TGATTTGCATTTTGTGGCTTTGCTAGCCATTGTATATGCATAGCATTCACATTTCATCTTGCAGTGTAGTCTCCCAGACTCTGTTGCAAACTGCTGCAAAGTGAATGGCCCTTAACAGGATTCACCATTCTCAGCCCAGCAACAAGTTTCATTGAATCCAAAAAACCTCGAAATATTCATGCTAGTAGTCCTCATACTATAGACTCTATAATGGGTATCAGTTTGCTGTAGTGTCCATTACTCATGCCACAATATGCAAAACAAAAAATGCGCAAGTTGTCATGGTTTTTTTTACTTCATGCACATGATTCAAATAAATAACACAGCATATCCACATTTTTAGACCCACTGGATAGTGTATCATTGCTAGACTACTGAATAAAGATGCAAAACTGGGAGATTGGATCCAGGGCAACTTTCATCAGACATACAGTTCATAAGGTTCCTTAGATAATATCTATGCAGGATAGCAATGACACTCCCTTAGCATACTGCTACTTTTGGTCAAAACTGCCCTTTTGAGTGTTACTGCTCTTCCATGGCCTTGATAAAATCAAAAATACCCCAAAAATCCACAATGGTATGTGTCATATCATAGATGTGATCTTGGGTATCACTTTACCATGTAGCTCACTAATGAGGGCCCCATGCGCACATCAAGCACAGAGAATTCCGACTAAGTTTGGTTTCTCTCCCACTTATCTGATTCATATAACCATATATCATACTCACAGACATTCCATCAAAGTATCTGGCTACTATATGGGGCAGAAGGAAATCCCTGTGAGTTGGTGGTTTGCTAGTTGAAGAGAGCTCAATAATCATTACAAAATTAGGGCTTGACAATCTTTGTGGCATTGCTTCACAACAGTGATAGCTTCTGTGTAGGTCATAAGACTGCATTTATGTAGCATCCAATGAAAATCATTGAGTGTTCACTGACTTCACTACAGGGATTCCAGCAGCTATCTGTGTTTTACCAGGCAAAATGAAGCATACTTACATGTTGGATCAATACTATATAGGTACTACCACCAGAATACATCTCCACGTTCCTATTTGGTCCAACCTATGCCTACATCACCACATAAAGGGTCACTCAGCATTGTGTAATTTATGCCAATGTGCATGCCATCACTCAAAATCAAACAGAAATTAATGGGTAGAGATTCAATGAGAACACTGGCTCAATAGGGGAAGTCATAAATACATGTTCCTGAGGCAGATGGCCTTGGAGCTCATGGAAGGAAACCACATTGTTTTTTCATTAGCAAGTGGCTGTAACCCGCCTCCCTGCAGTTACTACAATACATCACTATGGACACTTACCTTACACCAACATCATGGTTCCGCACACATACCCGTCACCGTTCCTTCATGTTACCTAAGTGATTCCCTTCATGTTTGGATTCACACCTTCATTGTCCTTTAGTCTCTACTATTCGCAATGAAGGTATGTACTTCAGTACACCGTGATATGCTTGTACTTATGAGTCTCTACTATTGCGCAACAAAGACACTCGGTTCCTGTTCTTGTTCCGAGTGATTACCTGGTGTTAGGGATAGAGGCTTGATAGCCGCAGAGCGCACAGAAAATCATTAGAAGTGTTGACTTACCGAGTGGCTGCATCAGTGAAGGTTTGTTATGTGCTTATCTTACTCTCCTTATCTTTCCTTTATTCCACTGAATGGACATCAATGTAGCACTTTCATTGTTTTATTACCAAGGTATTGATTACCGAGGTTTTGATGTTACTGCATCTACTAAACGGACTGTTACCGAGTTTCTAGTGTGTTCTTACTCATTATGACCAGATGCTTTCAGTACTGATACAAGAGCTACTGTATGCTCAGTAAATGATGGTTATTACCGATCAATCACCAAGTTATAATGGTTTTGTATTGGCATAGAAAGGAATGGCTGTGCGACAATTACCGTGTTGAATGGCTGTGCTATCCTTAGGCTGTACACCAAAAATGCGGACTCTTGCATGCCTCAGTAATGCCTCGGGAATCACAGTCCTGAAACAGTGGCTGTACTGTGGCTATACTAGGATGACTTGGTAACATAGCTTGCCTCGTTGGAAACAATGAAGTGTAAGGCTATGATCCTATTGTTCTCCTAGAATGGCCTCGGAAGCGGTGTAAATGAGTCAAGGACATGTACTATTCACTTCTACAATACTCCTTGATTTTCTATATACTTCCATGTAGCTCCATTGGCTGTGTCCTCAGTAATGGCATAAAAGGCCATTCCTGAGCATGGTCAAGTAAATCCATCTTCAATCTACCATCTACTCTTCACCAAAACGCACCCTGTGTGCCACTCAAAGTCTTACTTTGCCGCAAGTGCTAAGTTAGCCATACTAGCCACTCAACCACTCCTCTTACCGACACGCTCTAAGACCTGCGACAGTGAAACGTTACTTAGTACAGTCCTTGCGCTACTAGTAAGATTAAGTAACTCATTGACTGACTTCACAAGTTGGATTCAGTAAGAGAAGGTGCTTAGTCATCATCTACTTCTGTAAACTTGTTACCAACATCAATAGATCTCTGTATCAACTAGTTCCATAGTAGCATGTCTCAGTGGCATTACTATAATTAAAGTGGTTAGCCTAATCAGCAACTCAATTGACACTAAAGCAAACCTTATAGCCATTAGCTGGCTGAGGATTCATTGCCTTAGTGAGCCCCTCTTGAAGCACGGCCTCATGCTGCTACATTAGGGTTTTGTAACTTGCCATGGTCACTGTGCAGTCAAAGCTGGCTGTTCAGACTTCCCTTTAACTTCTGTTGTGCAACTTCAAAACCGAAAAAGCCCATTCCTTCGGAATCAACCTCTGGATACTAATCCTCTGTATTCAGACTTCATACTCTATTCTAAAAAGCTCTAAACCTCAGCAATAATCCCCATTCATTGCCAACTCAAATCCATTCTTAGCTTACTCTTCCCAGTTGAAGGGCAGTACTGCATACTTGTATAGCAGCACTGACTAAAGTCCCACCCTCTTTTGTATTTGTTGTGGATCTGGTATCCTCATTACAGCTCAACTTTGCGCCATCTCGGCAATTGCATTGCCGAAGATTACCGAAGACTTTACCATTTGTTACCACTTTGTATGAGCAATACAAATCTCTATTACCGAGGTTACTATTCCTATTGACTCGGCAATAAACTCGGTAAGTAGCTGTCATTAAATCAAAAACAGAACCATAACACCCGGTGTGCAGACAGTGGGCTTACAGTGGCTATATCTGTTGAATGTTTTTGATGTGTATTCTTTCTGTTTATCTTTCCTGTCAAAAATTCACAGGCCATCATTGTATGCTTTCATTGTACTATTGCCAAGATATTTGGACACTGACATTTCAATTCTTTGAAGCACAACAATGCATATACTATCTGGACTATTAGTGTGACTGTTTCCCAATTTCTGTTGTGTTCCTGCTCATTCCAGTTGTGATAAGATCCTTCAGTACTGATATAATTGCTGTTGTATGCTTGGTTAGTGATGATGATACTAATCAATTACTAAGTTATAATGGTAGACTCTATTCTGGTAACCATGTCAAGCATTATCAGGGTTTTCACAACATCTTACCACTTTGAATAGCTCAAAGAGATCTATTTCACTGAGATTCAAATCCCTATTGACAGGGTGATTAACTATGTAATCAGATGTCTAAAATTGAAGCAGAGATATGACAGACGGGAACTCAAACAGGGCAGAGAATGTAAGAAAATATGTTCATTGACATCATCACTCACACTTGGCAGTTCTCTTATGACATCTGTTTGATCATCAATGGTTGATTGTAACATACATATATGCAAGCCATCAATTTGCTGATTGTACTGTAGCAATCAGTGACTGATAAACACATCATAAGGCAACCTCCCTGTGCTCTAGATATGTCAGGCACACATTTAAATAATGAAACCATATGCCTGAGCCCAAGGGGCATACATATGCAACTTGACTGTTCTGACACCACATTGGCATGCCTATGCACCCTCTAAAATGTGATTTTACATGTGACACCATCATAACTGTTCATGACACCAATCAGCAATAGCATCTGCTGAAATGGAGTGACTACTTGCAATGAATGCTGCTAGATATATGACTGACTCACTTGTGCATTCATTACAATCATGTAATTCATTTTGAATAATACTTGTCAGCTATTATGCACCCAACAGCATCACAGGCACAGATTATAAAATGGACTGAGGACCAAAATTGTGCAATAATCAAAACAGAGGTTAGAGAACATATAAGTGGTGAGGAGTGAGAAATGATTACCAAAGCAGTGTTCTAGCCATAGGCAAGGCATTTGAACTCACAATTCTGTGGACCCATGTAGATTAAATGATGGATGATGGGCTCAATAGTTGTTGGTATGTAGATGGTACCATGTCTGTAGGGAAGCCTGGATGTGTAAGTTCAATCATGAAGAAGAATAGTGGGGTTATCAAGGCATGCACAAGTCAGAATCCAAAGTGGGAGATATGTAAGATTGAATGTCTGGAGCTGAGGAGGTAGTATTACAGATGTGACAGTACTAGACATGTTGCCTGCTTGCTCTGAGATTTCAAACTGAAGGGATTGTATTGCCAGACATGGCCCGCTCCCCAGCAAGTCTCCTCATAGTACCTGTTGTCGATCATTCCCATTATGCTGCCTTTGCTGTTGCAAACGTTCCAGTTGTTGCCCCCGGCCAGCTTTAGCGTCCAGTCAACGGCATGATGCTGGGGTATAATTGGTGGAAGTACTACCGCAATTGGTTTGGCCTTGGCCTTGGCCTTGCCCTTGCCCTTACTGGTGGTAGGCTCAGTCGACGCTTTTGCTACCTTGGCCTGCTTTGTCTCCATTCTTTGTCAGTACATTCCTTTGATCATCCACGTTCCATACCGACCTGGGACCTTGTAGCTCGCGCTGTTGTTGCAGTCTTCCCAGTGGTGCTTCTCTCAGCACATGTGGAGCAGTGGAGGGCTATTTGGGGCGTACCTGGCTGTCGCTCTCCTCATCCCCGGTGTTGCTCTCCTCATCCCCAGTGTTGCTCTCCTCATCTCCAGTGTCGCTCTCTTCATCCATTTCTGTCTCCTTCACGACTGTCTTCCCTGCGGCTGCACAATGAGGCCTGCTTGGTCCCGGAGCGGCCTGCTTTTCATTCTCCTTGTATCTATCGTGGCCTGGGTGGTTGCTTGCAATCATGCTTGCCAGCTTGAATGTTGGGACCCTTGGGATGCCACCCCTTCCTTCCCCTTTGGTGTGCCCTCTTGTCGCGTACCATGGTAAATTTGCGTACAAGGCGCAGGAGCAGCAAAAAGAGCTAGAGGGAGTGCAGCCAGCAATGTGGTGGCAGGAGACGAGCAGTGACAGGGCAGAGAGCCGCGCGATCATTTGTTCAGTGCTAGTAAACACGTGTTTGACGTGAAGCACCCCGATCGATCAAATAGACGCAATGCAACAGGGCCCCGCATTTTTGTTGGATCAGATCCATTGTTGTACAGAGGCAGCGACACATTGAGGATGGGCGTGAGAGAGCAGAGGAAATGCCAGATCGTGGGGGTGCGGTATATGTGCATCAGGGCCATCTGCATCATGCTGCCGGATGAGCCTGGTGGCTGGATGTTATGGATAATGGTGCTTAGCTGGATGTGCCAGATGTGAGCCTGAAGCATGTCCTTGGCCGACCCGGTGGAGCGCCATTTGTACAATTTGCGCATGTTCTGGTGCATCTGCTCCTCCGGCGTCTTCCCCTTGCTCGGATATGACTTGTTCTGCGCATGCCACTCCACTGCTTTCCTGTCGCCCGGCGACCCTGAACAAAGCAGGTTAATGTGCGTCCAACCACGTACGTGCCCCCACCATCACAGACAGTGCACTCACCATACTTATAGATGATGCATAGCCAGCATCCATGCCTGCAAAGGCAGGCGTACAGCTTTTTGTGTTTTGTGCGCAACCCCTTCCACCTTGGATTGTTCTCTCCTGTCGTGCTGAGCTCCGCATCGGTTTTTGCCATGACCTCCACATATGACTCGAGCATCTTCTTGCTCGCCTCGATCCGATGCCACCCAATGAGGGTGTATGCGGCGTGTGTTTGCGGCACGTCGGTGTGCTCCCCCGTGCCGAGCTCCTGTGGCTTGAGCTTCACCCACGGCAGTTGTTCCGGATGGTGCCAGTCTTGGTTCGCAGGGAAGTCGAACGCCTCCTCGGCAATCACGACCTCAACCTGATGGGGATGCAGTAGATTTTGGTATGTGCTCGTGTTGAAGTTCACAACCAAGGTGTCGACGTTTTCAGTGTCCAGGGACCGCGTGCTGAACGTTTTATGGACGCTGACCAAGTTACACTTGGTCTGGAACATGTCCAGTGTTGGTAGCAGCACATACCCATACATTGCCTGAGACATCTGGCACGAGTACTCCAGGTAGCTCCCGTTCCCTGCACCCCCTGCACCCAACCCCAACCCACATGACCTACTGCTCCCCAACCACATCAAGAACACTGTGCCAAGCTATACAGGGCAGCGCCGAAGGGAACACTGTGAAAAAACGTGGCTGAGAGTACGGGGTATTTGGACAGAATGATGGTGTGGCTAGCTGCGGAAGCAGGGGGCAAGGCACCATCCCAGATATCCATGCCTTCTATGGGGGAGATAAGCAAAGATAAGTAACTGATACTAATGTCCTATTAGCAGGACCTAAAATTTGAAACTCCCAGACAACGCGATTTGCACCAACAGATACAAATAAATGCTGTGGCTGGCTGCTCTGTCCTGGGGTGAGGGCCCATGAAACACCTTCCAGTGGCGCCCAATATGGCAACTGGTGGCTTTCATCATGTGACTTACAGGTTGGCTAGCTGCTGTGGCCAGCACTCACACTGTATAGAGTCAATCAGTAGCCAACAATAGTAGACATAGTATGCCCATCTGATAGCCATCCATTCAAAGAGTATACAGTAATATTCCTAAGCACTTACAGTGGCTGGTTGGGCTGGAAAGTGCAAAACAAAAAAATTCACATGTGCCTCTGCATAAGTCAAAGCACCTGTGTCTGCTCCAGATACTCACTGAATCATCAGGACAGTGACCTCATGCAGTTGAATGACTTTGTATGTGTCAGTTGCTTCTGTGACACAGCAAAGATGAGCAATATTGGGCAATTTGACCACTAGTGTGCATATAATTGCTTATGTGTCATGTCTATCACTGACTTGTGTCATTTATGATGACCAGCTGTACCCGTTTAGTTTCCTGTTATATTATCAGGATTTTGCACATTTTTACAAGCTCATAACAAGCCCATTTGCCCTGTATCAGCTGTGGTTTCCTTATTGGGCAGGTTGTCTACTACTTATGGCAATACACAGAACAGCACACTCATAGACCTCATCTGGGCCCCTCTGACTAAACACTGCATGTATGATACATGCTTAGCATCTGTGGGAGTATGTGTGCCACACAGACAGTGACTAGAGCCTAATGTATTGCTTCTGTAAGCACTGGGCTGATGATACAGCAACCAATGTAGATGTATTGAAGGTGTAACATGAAATAGAGTCTTTCTTCTCAATTGGAGCCTTTCAATTCATTGTCTATGCTTTTGATAATATTCACTGAATTCTCCGCATTTGTTTAGATCTGTACAAGCTAGTTTAAGAGAAGAGAAGTAACAGGCTTACATCACTTACTAAGTGCCCATTAAGCGCCCGTGTGCCATTCAGAGTTGCATCCACCTGGAATTTCCAGATGGATGCAACTCCATGTGGCAGGGGAGAGATGCCGATTGGCTGATAAGCCCATTTCCTTGCCCTGTTAAGGCAGGCCTGCCGATGTTTGGGCTGAGTTTAAAATTCAGCCACAAGGCCATTAGTAGCACAGTCACTCTGTGACTATAGGCCAATAAAATCCGTAAAATCTTCAAAATATTATGCCTTGTAGCCCTCATACTATAGAGTCTATTGCTAGTTTTACCTTCTCATGCACTTCAATACCCAGGGCACAATTTACAAAATAAAAAGATCACACAAATGCCTTGGTGACATGCTTGTAGTGCATTGCATGGGTACGACTAACCCATGGGGGTCATGGGTATGGGTGTGGGTAGCCAAAATCTGACCCACATACCCATGCAACCCATGGTCCCCTGTAGTGCTTATCCAGCAGTAAAAGATGGTATCTCATAATCAAATAGTCAGTATTAGGGTCTGTCACAGTTTCACATCTTCCAAGGTAATCCTGAGGCATGCATCTCAGTACTTTGCAATAGCTGTTCCATAAAATTGACCAGACATTCCCTTTTGTTAGCCACTGTTGATATGCTACAATAAAAGATACATTACTGTTATCATGTCAAGTTGACAAGGACATTCTTGTGTGTATGGTGGGTGATGTATGTGCTATTGTGGTGCAATTAGATTGGGAGGAAGCTGACCTATGCTTTCTAACTCATAATGACAGCTCCTGTAGTGCCATCTCAAACTCCTTTGTCAGTCACCTGTTGCAGGCTCATCACTGGACAAAGATTGGTATGAGCAATGCAACAAGATCTTTGAGGTGAATGCAAACCTGTATTACCAGCATAACTCCATTGAACTTGCCTCATTGTTTGTTTTAATAATTCCTAATTTTTATCAGAATGGTCACAATCGCACCTAGGTGACAAACTACACAAAAGTATAGCTATAATGATGGCTAGTAAATGATGCTGATATGATCTGCAAATGCTGATTTCTGTGACAGTTATTGTTATATGGATGGCACAATCCTACAATTTGCCTATGACTCAAATGAGTTGTTTTTTTAACCTGAGGGATGTTGCTGACTGAATTTCACTTGTTCTCAGAGTGTCATGGTATGACACGGAGGCCCCGTATTTTTGCCTTGTTTTATCCTATTTTTGCTCATTTTCTATGGACTTGTATGGTACGCTGTACAATAGACTTCGCCTGGAACGGCTTTCTGACTAGTCACGTGACACATCACGTGCTAGGGTTTGTCTTGTGACTTGTTCATCATGTGGCCTTGCTTATGTAACTTATCATGTGCACTGCGGCAGCGCCTAGCCACCTGACTCATTCTGACTCATACGTACACATGACCTCAGTTCTTGGATCCAGCATAGGTAGACCTGCCCTAAACCTAGCCAGTATATATAGGGCCCTGTACACTGCCTAGCACTCCAGCTTGTCCTCTTGGAGTTGCTAGGTAAGCACTTCACATTGTATTAAGTAGAGTGCAATGTAACTAACTTGGAGTTGCTAGCCATTGCGTTCTACACTGTCTAGACTGTTGTTGACCTCGGTCCAACACCTTGAGGTCAAGTGTTTCTGTTCTCAGTTCTGTTTCTAGTCGCGTCAGACCTAGCTCCACGACACAGAGCAAGCACAATCCATGGGCATGAAGTTTGAACATTGTCACAGGGAAATCATACGAGGTAGGCCAATGGATGTATACTTCTCCCCTTAGACAGGCACTATCACAGCTGAGCTTACAGGCTTGCCACAATCATGTGTTCTAACATGACTGAACATGATACATCCTTTAAGGTTCTGTTATCCTTGCAAACCCCTGCTCTCCATTCTCTTGTGCAATGTGCAAGATTCATTGATGTATAGAGCCTGTTATTTTATTACCCATATTTCTGCTGTTGTGCAACCTACATATAGGCATACAATTGCATTCTTAGAGATCATTTACCAGGTGCAAAGGACGACAAGCATGTAGTGCATTGCATGGGTATACCCACAGGTGTCTGGCAGCATACCCATGCCATGGGTATGGGTAGAATCATGGGTATATCTACATGCAGTCAATACTACTTGTGATGTTGGATGATGATTATTTGGCAAGTACATAAACCTTACAGTGCAGTGTTGTACTGGCCAACTATACTTCACTGACAGATATGATCATCAGGACTGTTTGTCCAAGTGTACAACAATATAGCACTAAGCACATGAGACCTGCTATTTGGAGCACCTTTGTGTCCTGTAGTGTACATTACAATCCACTTGCTGCTGTTTCTGGTATGTGGCTCCACCTTTGTAGATGCAGAGGCACATGTGAGTTTTTTTTGTTTTGCATTTTGTGGCTTTGCTAGCCATTGTATATGCATAGTGTTCACATTGAATATCCTCTGAATGAAGGGCTTCAGGAGGGTATAGTATGCTTGTATCATTTGTTACTGATGTGTACTTTGAAGGCTTGTAATGATTCAGGCTACATTTTGCAAAAAGTGCTCAATAAGTGCTTGTGCCACACAAGGTTTACTCGTTGACAGGTCAAATTTTTGACCTGTCAACAAGTCATCTTGCAGTGTAGTCTCCCAGACTCTGTTGCAAACTGCTGCAAAGTGAATGGTCCTTAACAGGATTCACCATTCTCAGCCCAGCCACAAGGTTGATTGAATCCAAAAAACCTCGAAATATTCAGGCTAGTAGTCCTCATACTATAGACTCTATAATGGGTATCAGTTTGCTGTAGTGTCCAGTACTCATGCCACAATATGCAAAACAAAAAATGCGCAAGTTGTCATGGTTTTTTTTTACTTCATGCACATGATTCAAATAAATAACACAGCATATCCACATTCTTAGACCCACTGGACAGGGAAGTTGTATCATTGCTAGACTACTGAATAAAGATGCAAAACTGGGAGATTGGATCCAGGGCATCTTTCATCAGACATACAGTTCATAAGATTCCTTAGACAGTAGCTATGCAGGACAGTGATGGCTTTCCCTTAGTGTACTGCTACTTTTGGTCAAAATTGCCCTTTTGAGTGTTGCTACTCTTCCATGGCCTTGATAAAATCAACAAATACCCCAAAAGTCCACAATGGTATGTGTCATATCATAGATGTGATCTTGGGTATCACTCAACCATGTAGCTCACTGCTGAGGGCCCCATTTGCACACCAAGCACAGAGAATTCCAACTAAATTTGGTTTCTTTCACACTTATCTGATTCATATAACCATATAACATACTCACAGACATTCCATCAGAATATCTGGCTACTATACAGGGCAGAAGGATTTCCCTGTGAGTTGGTGGTTTGCTAGTTGATCTGAGCTCAATAATCATTGCAAAATTAGGGCATGCTTGACAATTGTTGTGGTGTTGCTTCACAACAGTGATAGCTTCTGTGCAAGTCATCTGACTGCATTTGTGTTTGCAGCGCAATATTAAAGATGGCTACTACAATGCTGCTCATGTGATTTCTGATAAAATATTGGTTGAAATGACTGACAATGGCTATATAGTGCTGTACCAATATTGACAAGTTGAAACTTGTCAACAACTTCATGCTGCCCACATTATTGTTGTGGCAACACCTCTATGTCACATCCAATGAAAACCATTGAGTGCTCACTGACTTCACTACAGGGATTCCAGCAGGTATTTGTTGTACCAGGCAAAATGAAGCATACTTACATGTTCGATCAATACTATATAGGTACTACCACCAGAATACATCTCCACATTCCTATTTGGTCCAACCTATGCCTACATCACCACATAAAGGGTCACTCAGCATTGTGTACTTTATGCCAATGTGCATGCCATCACTCAAAATCAAAAAGAAATTAATGGGTAGAGATTCAATGAGAACACTGGCTCAATAGGGGAAGTCACAAATACATGTTCCTGAGGCAGATGGCCTTGGAGCTCATGGAAGGAAACCACATTGTTTTTTCATTAGCAAGTGGCTACATCTGCTGGATGTTTTTAATGTGTATTCTACATTTGTCTATCTTTTCTGTCAGAAATTCACTTGTCATCATTGTATGCTTTCATTTTACTATTACCAAGATATTTGGACACTGACATTTCAATGCTTTGAAGCACTTAACAATGCATATACTATCTGGACTATTGGTGTGACTATTTCCCAATTTCTACTGTGTTCCTCCTCATTCAAGTTATCATAAGATCCTTCCATACTGATATAATTGCTGTTGTATGCTTGGTGAATGATGATTATACAAATCAATTACTGGGTTATAATGGTAGACTTCATTTTGGTAACCACATCACCAAGCATTATCAGGGTTTTCACAACCTCTTACCACGGGAATTGCTGAAACCCCAATTAGGACTTCAATACCGACAGATGGAAGGACCGAGTCTCTGAAGACCATTGACCATCAGTATTGCATCAGGAAAAACCGTGCCTACATAAGGTCTCATCAGAGGTCATCTACAAGACATCTTAGGAACGTATAGGACACAAAAGACATCAAATGTTACATAAGACCAAAACGTGGCACTTAAGACAAGTCCCCATCTTATTGTGTCTTTAATATTATGCATAAGAGCACTAATGTACGCAATGAAGACATCTTGTGTCTTATTCAGTCTTAATTGTGTTGTCATTTTGGTCTTTAGTTGCCCTTATTTCACCTACAATATGTACTTCAGTAGGCGTGCTGAAGTACAGTTATGTACAGAATTAAGTGTGCTGATGTCCACTTATGCACATGTACCAGATCACATCATAAATATTAGCAGTGCGGGTTGTTGTACAACATATACAGACACATAACTACTGGTATAGCACGATCAACAGATAGGCATAGACTCGAGGTCAGACGGCGCCGGGATGACGACCACGGCTGAGACAGGCAAATAGTAGTAGAGGGGGAGTGGGATACGTAGCAGGCACGCACGTCTGATGTGTAGTAGTACAGAGGATGATAGATATAGTAGCTGCAGGATTGTTGTATGAGTAAGTGTAGATAGAGGTGGTATGGGCATAGAAACACTCGCCTTGGAAATGGGCTGATTCTACTGCTCCTGCCACGCGAAACAGACAAAGTTGATGATGTTCACGGCCTTGATGCGACAGGACAACTACAACATCTTGGTGATGTACCTCTCGCAGTGAGATACAAAGAAACCACTGGACACTGACTGACTTACCACTCATTGCCGCCTGCAGTTTCAAGTTCATCGACCTCACGCTCGCTGCTGGAAGTTTGCTCCCCCGAACTCTCCTGGGCCTTCTTCGCGCCGGACTTCGATCGCGACGGACGTGACGGTCCACTCTCTGCGTTCGCTGCATCCTTCGATGATCCAGCTGCAGTCTTGGACGCCGCAGGAGTCTTTGCCTTGCTGTTGAATGACTTGACCGAGTTGATATAGAGTCTACATTAGTGTATGCAACTGGCACTTTGCGTTACTTCAGTTGGCCATTGATAGTCAGAGCCAGTCACTGATGTAGTGAGGAGATCACCAATGGTCACAAATGCTGGCCGGCGTGAAGATATGTTAGCTGAAGACTGTTTCAGTAAATCAGGGTTTTCCTGATCAGTGGGAACACCAAAGGATCACCGAGGAAAGGCTGCACTGATACTTTGGACTTGGCACGGTGAGGACTTGTTCTGTGGGTTCAGACACATCTCAAGTAAGGTACATAGGATAGCCTTGGACTGCTTGTAGTGTGCAAGTTTGATGCCTCGAAAATGTATATAACTGATGAGACAAAAGACTGCAGTAATACATCTCTACTCTTTACTGAAATTCACCTTGTGTGCCGCATGAAGACATGCTTTGCCCCGAGTGCTAAATTAGCCACACTAGCCACTCAACCACTTTCACTGAGTTCTTACTGACGTGCTCTAAGACCTGTGACTGTGAGACCTTACTTAGTACAGTCTTCGCGCTACTAGTAAGGTCTACGTAACTTCAACTGACTTCAAGAGTCGGGTTCATCGGAGAAGGTTCATCCTAACTGATCAATGTTCTAACATTGCTCATCGTCAGCAATACTTCATTACCGACATTTTGGTGATTGCTCAACTGGACTTAGCTATTACCAACACTTCCTTCTTGCTTACTGAGTATTGTATACTTTGGTAATCTTCATAACAAACTCTCAACTTTGTTTACTAATCATCTGTAATGAAGGATTCATTCTCATCTCTATTGCTCTGACTTCAAGTAACTGGTTACTACAATGTACGTATTATACTAACTATAACCCAGACTCCAACAGATTCATGTCCCTATTGACAGGGTGATGAACTATGTAATCAGATGTCTAAAATTGAAGCAGAGATATGACAGACGGGAACTCAAACAGGGCAAAGAATGTAAGAAAATATGTTCATTGACATCATCACTCACACTTGGCAGTTCTCTTATGACATCTGTTTGATCATCAATGGTTGATCGTAACATACATATATGAAAGCCATCAATTTGCTGATTGTACTGTAGCAATCAGTGACTGATAAACACATCATAAGGCAACCTCCCTGTGCTCTAGATATGTCAGGCACACATTTAAATAATGAAACCATATGCCTGAGCCCAAGGGGCATACATATGCAACTTGACTGTTCTGACACCACATTGGCATGCCTATGCACCCTCTAAAATGTGATTTTACATGTGACACCATCATAACTGTTCATGACACCAATCAGCAATAGCATCTGCTGAAATGGAGTGACTACTTGCAATGAATGCTGCTAGATATATGACTGACTCACTTGTGCATTCATTACAATCATGTAATTCATTTTGAATAATACTTGTCAGCTACCATGCACCCAACAGCATCACAGGCACAGATTATAAAATGGACTGAGGACCAAAATTGTGCAATAATCAAAACAGAGGTTAGAGAACATATAAGTGGTGAGGAGTGAGAAATGATTACCAAAGCAATGTTCTAGCCATAGGCAAGGCACTTGAACTCACAATTCTGTGGACCCATGTAGAGTAAATGGTGGATGATGAGCTCAATAGTTGTTGGTACGTAGATGGTACCATGTCTGTAGGGAAGCCTGGATATGTAAGTTCAATCATTGTGAAGGTCATGAAGAAGAATAGTGGGGTTATCAAGGCATGCACAAGTCAGAATCCAGAGTGGGAGATATGTAAGATTGAATGTCTGGAGCTGAGGGGGTAGTATTACAGATGTGACAGTACTAGACATGTTGCCTGCTCGCTCTGAGATTTCAAACTGAAGGGATCATTATGCCAGACATGGCCCACTCCCCAGCAAGTATAAAATAATCAAAGTCGAACGATGCGACCACCATCCAATTGTAGAGGCAAGTGCACCGGCCATTGACCAGCCCGACAAGCACTCACCAGGTTCACCAGAATGGTGTAAGACTCCAGGGCCCGTAGCGGGTCTGCTGAATGTGATTGGCTCCGGTTAACCGACCGACCGGTGCTTCGCTAGCCATAGCACTGCAACAATACAACAGAGACTGTCATGCCAATCCTTCTCCTACACCACCATGCCCAACCTGCACGTCAAACCCATCACAGAAGCCTACATTGCCCGCTACTACTGCTTGATAGAAGTCATCAAGGCTGAGGCCAACATAGAACCCTGTCTGCTGCCAGTAACTCGGAGCGAATGGCTGTCGTGGGCCAACTGTGTTTGTTGGATGCTCGTAGGCCTTCTGTTGTCCACGTTGGCCAGAGATAGGTTCTCACCTGGCTTCTCCAGCATGCTCTCTTCGAGTCCTACTGCAAGGCAATCACCGACAACCCAAACACTGTCCCATCGCCGTACTCCTTCAACGACGTCATCAAAGTCATGATCTACATCAACGAGGTCTTCCAGCGCCACAAGCTGCCTCACGACCCAGTGGGCACACTCTATCTGACCATTGCCTGGTCCGAGGAGTCCGTCCTGCATCGACAGGCTCTTGACGAGCCTCTGGCTCCAGTCTCTTATCAGCTCAACCCGCTGGCTTTGCCGGAGTATTGTCGCTTGCCCGACACCTTCGATCGCTTGGCTAACACTGTCCACCGCCTGAGTGAGGACCAGCAGGAGGTTCGTAGGACCCTCGGGTCGCTCTCTACGAGCATCGCAGGACTGGGAGGGCGCGATAGAGGTATTAACTTCAGCGAGCCTGTTCGAGATGTGGTCGGTAGTAGGGGAGGGTCCAGAGGTCGTGGTCATAGCACCAGACACTACGTTGTATGGGACTTTTGCTAGAGACTGCTTGTTGTAGTCGTAGAATGCTGGCCAATGTTGAGCAACTCCTAAGTCATTGAAGCACGCGTGTGAGCTCGATACCCCACGAATCGGGGTGTAGTTTGGCTGGGAGCGTATCAACACAGAGCATCAAGCCAAGTCAAGGGTGCCACCACTCAGATGTGACTCCTTGGGCATGACTACAGCACTTAGCTCACCATGCTTGATGTCTGTCACACTTTGAGGCTCCCAACAATGGGACTCAAATATCTATGGATTGTCTCACTTTTTAGCTACTGATGAAGTTACTAGGTGTTTTGTAGGTGTTTTGTGTGTAGAATATACTAAGAATCATTGATTCTGCTGGCTACTTCTGCTTTGTGAAGCCTGACAAAAGTTATACTGCCACTTTTGGGCTTCACTTTGAGTGTTATTGTAATAACATATGAAGACCTCGTGAAGACCTCGTGCAATCCTCTCGAAATTCAATTACCAAATACTACTGTACTAGACAAATATCCTAATCAAATCTCTTGCAGGACCATCAAGATCAGGCCAGTGTGAAAAGGAATGCTGGTACACTGTAATGCATGCCACAGTTGGGCCAGCCATCCTATCATGTTCTCCTTGTCATCTTTTAGCTGACATAATCCCCACAACACCAAATTCAGCCTTTTGGGCCTCAATTTTGCCCCTAGTATATAGCCTAGGGTGCACCATCAGCATTTTGGGGGAAACCCCTGGGATAACTGGTTTTAGGACCCTGAGATTAGGTGAACAAATAGTGATTATACAGTGTAATGTAGTGTGATTTTCCACATCTGGTCATGGGCATGCTGCAGCTGGTATTTACCACATATTTGCAAGTACTCACATATTCCCTAATCACAACAAACCTTGTCAGTGACAGACATGAAGGATTCAGGAGCAAGTCTAAGGGTTCATGCCAGCCATATTGCCAGATCATATGGACAATCTCGGACACACGCACCGTAAGGAAACTGCCAATAAACATATTCCAGAGCCTCACTTGCATCAATGCACCTGAGACCCAGTCCGTCTGTGTAGAGAAGCCGTAACGTACAGTCCAGCAACAGCAACACATCGCGCTACAGAGAAAGCTGTGTGAGTCATGTCTCAGACCTTGTAGCGCCGGCCCGTTTTCGTGAAGAATGTTTGCAAAACATATACTTGCAGCCTATAGGGAATGTGAGTGACTGAGACAATAGGTACAGAGTATGTGAGACCGTACACAGCCATCCCAATGATCCCCAGACATTCGAGAACTGCGTACCAGAATAGTCGGCTAAGGCGAGATTTTCAGTGCACGCGCGCGAAAAGAGATGAGACGGACGTACTGTTGTGTTGAGCGGACTGTGTCGAATCCTCGGTTTTCTCGTGTGTGGAAGCTAGAAGGGCGCATGGTATCAGGACGCCGCCGTCCATATCCGACACCTCTGCAACTAGACACTCACTACTTCTGCGTCCTCTTGATATTCTGCAACATCCCGTTCAGCTTGAATATGCTCTCCTCCAGCGCGCTCGTATGCTCCGAGATCTGGCCGGGCTTCGCAGGGGGTTCGCGGCGGGGCTCGCTCTCGACCATGATGTCGAAGTCGATGAGCTTCTCGGTGAGGGTGGACATGTCGTTCTCGAAGCAGAAAGAGTACTCGCCGACGTGGTTTGCGGTGAGAACGTAGTCGCCCTGCCGCTCGCGCACGCCGTCGAGAAGGACCTTCTCGTTTGGGTCTTTCACCTCGTAGTCGATGTCGAACGATCCGCCAGCTTGCACCTGTTCGCGGTGAGGCCCCATTCAGAGAGTAGTAGATACTGCTTACTGCAAAGTAGAACTACATAGGGTCGTTCGTTTAGCGACTGACGGCCGTACGGAGCACGGCGACCACTTACGCCGATCTTCTCTCCTGCCTTGTCCACGTCCGCATAGAAGCAGAGCCGCTCGTTCGCGCCAATGGCTGTCGTGAGTGCCGATGCATGTACCGTGCCAATGAACTGGAGGAGAGCGAAGAAAGCGAATAAAGATGCGAGTCGGACGGCCATGGCCAGGAGTGCGCACCGCGCGAGTGTACTCAACGTCGCGAGGACACGTCCTGCCACAACACTCAGTGCATTACGTAAGCTTACAGGCTGGTGTCCGAGGGCTGATGAGCGGTGGCGGGGGGCAGGGCGCACGCGCGTACCGCGACAGACGCGTCACCTCCAAGTCGAGCGCGTCCAGGCTGCACCTGCGCATCTCTCCCTTCCCTCTCTCCCTCTCCGCTACTCTCCCTGCACGGCGCGCGACGACACGCAATGGCCACCGCATCCGCCTACCGCTCGCCAGGGTTCGACTTTTCCAACGAAATACGGTGAGCTGCGCTGCGCTTCCCGCCTCGAGCTGCCTATTCACGGCGCACGCACGCACAGAAACAACTTCCTCTCCGAGCGGGGCGTCCCGCTCCCAAAGGCGACGAGCACAGGCACAACCATCGTAGGGTGTCTCTTCAAGGACGGCATCGTGCTCGGTGCGGATACGAGGGCGACGGAGGGCCCGATCGTCGCGGACAAGAACTGCGAGAAGGTGCGCCCGCTCTGCCCGTCCTAGCGTTCTCCCGAGGCTCACTGGGCCGTGCGTTCCACAGATCCACTTCATTACAGACTCGATCCGGTGCTGTGGAGCAGGTACAGCAGCAGACACAGAGTTCACGACCGCCATGATCTCCTCCAACATGGAGCTGCACGCGCTATCCACCGGGCGCAAACCCAGAGTAGTTACCGCAATGACGATGCTCAAACAGTATCTCTTCCGGTGCGTCTCCCGCTTATCGCAATGTTTGTTCCCAAGAGACTCACGAGAATCCGGGACAGACACCAAGGGCAAGTCGGTGCAGCGCTCGTCCTGGGCGGCGTCGACGCGACGGGCCCGCACCTCTTCACCATCCACCCACACGGCTCTACAGACAAGCTCCCCTACGTGACCATGGGCTCCGGCAGTCTCGCCGCCATGGCCGTCTTCGAGGCCGGCTGGCGGCCAAACATGGAGGTGCGTCCGCCACCCTCCTCGTCTACAGCACAGCGATGCTCACCGACTGCACAGCGCGCGGAGGCACTCGACCTCGTCACGACCGCCGTCTCCGCCGGTATCTTCAACGACCTCGGCTCGGGCTCGAACGTCGATGCATGCGTGATCACCGCCTCGCACACGGAGATGCTCCGCAACTATGTCAAGCCCAACGAGCGCGTCCAGAAGGAGCGCAGCTACGGCTTCCGCCGCGGCACTACCGCCTGGAAGTCCGAGAGCATCCGCCAGATGGTCGTTGAGGAGGACATCACGTTCATTGCTCCTGAGGCGATGGATACGAGCTGAGCAGCACGCGCTGGTGTGTAGGATTACTGGTACAGAGTGAATTCCATTGGTTCCTGTGCGCCTGTGCGCGGGGCGTATAGTACGATGGTACAACGGGATGCATGTGGGAGACTAGGATCAAGACCACGAAGGTCGAGACTTATGCTGTATGTATGCCAAGATGCCATAAGATAATGCAAAGAAAAAAATGATGCAAAGGTGAGATAAAGGAATGAAGGGAATGTCCGTCAAGCGGCCCGGTTAAATAGAAAGTGAAAAGGGGGAAGCCCTATCATGGCCGTTTCGCCTCTGCCGGCGAGACGACCGCAACGAGCACCGAGATGTCTGCGAGGCGCCATCAGTACCTAGAACCAAAGAGTCACATTTAACAAGCGACGACTCACCATCTGGCTTGCCACCATGGAACGACCTCCCCAACTCACGCGCTCTTCGCGCAAACGGCACCTCCAGCTCGGGGTCACACACGCCCTTGCCCTCTCTCCTCTCCGCGGCCCGGCGTGCCCGCGAGCACAGCGCCTCACTGAGCATCGCCGCGAGTGTGCTCCGGCCGAGGACGCCCTGTGCGGGCGCGGGTGTGGACCAAGAGCCGTCGGCGAGGAACGGGCGGCGGAAGCGGATGACCTCGTCGAGCACATCCTCGTCCCAGAGGTTGTCCGAAAGGCCGTCGCTCGCGAGGATGAGGATATCGTCCGCCTGCACGGGAATCCGGAACACCTGCGCGTCACGCGGGCGCGTGGGCGAGGCAGGGCCGAGTTGCACGGGGGTGTTAAACTGCAAGCCTGTTGAGTGGGGCATCAAGATAGTGGGCGCGGGAGACTTACGTTCCACCACATCTCCTCGGTGCGCCAAACAATATCCTCGCCGCGGATGAGCATGCCCATGCAGTCGCCGAGGTGCGCGATGGTCAGCATCGCGCCGCGCTCGGAGACGGCGGGGCCCTGGCTCGAGGGCCGGGGGCTCGGGCCGAAAAGCTGTAGGGGGCGGGCCTGCTTTGCGCGTGTCCGCGGGTGTTCGAGCACAGCGACGAGAGCGGTGGACGACCCCTCTACCAGGGGCCGCTTCGGCGAGGGCGAGCGTGCCTGTCGTGCGGGTGAGGGTGACGAAGTAGGTGACGATGCCTGTGCATCGTCGGCCTTGCTTGTGCTGCGCGGTGACGAGTCTGCGGTGGCGTCGGACGCCTTTTCGGTGGGTGTATGCGGGGCCTCTCCGACATGATCCTCCATGGTCTTCTGGAATGCTTTCTCGAGAATCATGAGCACATCTAGACCGTCCTCTAGGTCCTCTAACGAGTCCTCTAACTCTGCCATGAGATCAGCAGAGTCTGAGTCTATGCTAAGTGCAGCTAGTCTGGACAAGCGATCATGAGATCGCTTATCGCGGAAGTGACGCAATGGCGGGACGTACTCCGACTCTGGCGCGTCCGACGGCGGGTGGGAGTCTGCGGTGGTGGCAGCCTCGACCCCCTCGGAGCAGTAGTGCATGAGCCTGCGTGCAAAGAGGGCGCTCGGCGAGGGCTCAGCGTGACCTGCGTGCGGCGTTAGTGGTGAGGCGGGTTGCGGACAAAGGCGGGCAGAAGGGAGGGCGACGCACCTGTGCGGCGATGCTTGGACCAGCCACCGACGCCGTCTGCGACGCCCATGGCGTTGTCGCGGACGAAATAGGCATCCTCTCCCACCTGGACGGCTCGGCCGAGAGAGCCCGTACGGTCGGACGGCGGGAAAGCGTCCTCGAAAGCGAACCTGCCGTTGCCGTCTCGCCCAGCGATGGACGCCCCGTGAGAACGCTTAGGGATGCCATAGGCCCCGACGTCGAGGTGGTAGCGTGTGCGCTGCCTCTTTGCGGCGGGCTCGGACCTAATGTCGGCAGAATGCGCGGGGGCGTAGGCAAAGGCGGGTGGAAACGAGGAGTAGGGGAAGAGGGGCTTGATGTGGGGAGGTGAGTGGGAGAACTCTGACTGGCCGGAGGTGAGGGCGAGGGAGTAGGGAGGGGGGCCGGTGCCGTGCGTCTGGGACTGGGCATGGCCGATCTCCTGCGAGTAGGGCGACTCTGTGTGGCCCTCGAGCTCGGCCTTGACCTCCGCGGCGAGGCGGGAGACGACGAGGTTGGGGTTGGATGGCCGCGAGCTGGGCGGGGGCGGGGGCGGGGAGTCGAAGAAGGGCAGCGAGCCGGTGTACAGCGAACGGGACGCGGAGTTCGAGCGCACGCGCGACGACGCCGACGACGCCGCGACGGGGGCGACGGGGCGGGGGAGGGCGGCGTAGATGCGCGGGTGGATGGGCTTCATCGCGTGCCCGTGGGGGGCGGCGAGGCGGGGGACGAGGAGGAGGAGGAGGCGGGGAGATGAAGTATCCGCCAGGCGCGGGCGTCCCACTGCCAGTGCCCGGCGGTTGCCGCCCGTACCCCGGCCCCGTCCCGTGTCCCTCCGACCCAATCACATGCTCCCCATTCTCCCCCAAGCACTGTCACGCTCGCGCTACGTCACACCAGTCACTCACAGTCACCCAGCGACGCGCTTCGTTCTTGCATCTGCCACCGACGCGCACGACCACCGCCGTCGCCGCCGCCTCCGATGTGGGTCCTCGCTGGACCGTTCGACTGCGACGAGCACAAGATCCCCACCTCCACGAGTGAGTGGCCGCCGTACGTGTAGCCACCCGCTGCTGAACTGCACCCCAGAACAGAAACTTCTCAAGGCTGGCGTCAAATACAGCCTCGGCCGCAAGGACGACACGGCAAACCTCGTCATCCAGCAGAAGAAGATCTCTCGCCGCGACCATTTCATCTTCGAGGTTGTCTACGAGCGCGACGTAGACCCGGTCAGTCCTCACGCTGTCCGCTCCGGGCCACCCCGTGCTGACTCACTCCCCAGACAAATCCTGCGCAACACCCCAAGCTGACCGTCGTCTACCCCGCCACAGAAGGCAAGAAGGCCGTCTCCCGCAAGGTCATACGCAAAGTCGGTCCCAATCCGGCACTGAACCCAGGCGAGATCCTCTACCTGGAGGACGCCGATATCGTACAGGCAGCTCTGGACATCCATATAACGTGAGTGTGCGACGCCTGCCATGTCTCCTGACCGTCTGACACTTCGTTCTCAGCGTACAGTGGATTCCAGTAGCCTGCCTATTACCTCCCACCCGTGGCGCTCCTCTGCCGGACCCCTCGACGTACGCCCCGCTAGGTAAGTACGTTGCTACAGAACCCCTATCACTGGTGGGGACCCCGCTTTCCCAGTCCAGAGCTCCTCAGGCACCTTCTGTGCGTCGATTGGATGGTGATCATGAAGCTGCTTTCGAAGAACAACTCGCAAAACGTCCTGCGCATCCCGTCCAGAAGTACATGCATAGTTCTGCCGGACAGGCTTACCTTGATTATCAGGTAGAACTATCCGTTCTACCCTTGTTGCGCGACGACGACGCGGGTCGTTCGCATTCCTATGTTGTACCTCGCTCGCCACGCAACCTCGTTGACCCTGACTCTCGCTGCCCAATGATCCCGTCGTCTAGTCATCCGAGCGCCGTCCGATACTGATCCGGCAACCCGAGATTTGGGCATTCTTGTCCGGACGCAGATGTTCGATCGCCAGGCCTCTACGAGTCCTGCGCGGCGCTGTCCGGACTGTCCGGACTGTGCATAGGGGTGCTTCGATGTCTGGATTGGAATCCGGGCCTTGTCAGCCATGCGGCCCATGGCGAATGTTCAATGGCGCGCAGACGGGGTGATTATTGACCATGCCAACGCTCGTCCTCGTCGCGCGCAGCGCGCTATGATTGCTCGGCATTCGACATCAGGACCTTGTAGGGGAGTCACGACGCCGACCTCGCGCGTGCAGCGGTTCGAGGCATCGGACAGGATCAGGCCCCGCGTGGCTGGAGGGACCGTGTCCGAACGTTGTGACACAGGCCTCCCGCCACACGAGCGTCCATTTTGTCCGGACGGCATCAGGCATACCCCTCCTCAAATGGCCGGATTACTCAGGCCTCTCCCCCAATTAATAGGGCTCATATTGCTACGTGCAAGTTCTCACGTCACGCCCACAGGCATTTGCATCCGCCCAACGCCGCACCCCGACGTCACCCACCACGTCTCTCCGACCATAACCCTCTCGCCCGAACTCGCGCTCTCCCTGCTCTCTGTCGCCACCATCGTCACTCCCGAATGGCTCGCCGACCTCCTCAAGGCCGGCCGCGCCGAACCCGGCAAGCCGTGCGCGCTCGAGCAGACCTTCCTCCTGCCGCCCGTTGAGAAGTACCGTCCCCCGTTCTCCCAGACGCTTCCGCCCGCGCTCAAGCAGTTCATGAAGTGGGCGCCGAACGAGGGCCGCGCGGGCCTGTTCAGGGGCTGCCGGTTCATCTTTGTGGGAGAGAAGGGGAGGGAGGTGCAGGAAGCGATGCGCGAGTTGGTGAAGCGCGGCGAGGGCGAGTACGAGTGCTATGCAGTAGAGGGCGGTAGGGCGGGCTTGAGGAAGGTGCTGTCGAAGGGGAGAGCGAAGGGGAGGATATTGGTCTTGGTGGGCGAAGAGGATGCGCTAGTGCCTGCTGTCGGCAAGGATGGGTGGCAGGAACTTGTCGACGAGGCTAACAGGTGCGTTCCTATCCACTCTTGATGGATCACTCGCCTGAGCCGTCGCAGCTTCGAGGTCAACTTCATTAGTCGCGAGAGGATCCTCGAAGCCGTCGTAGAGACTGACACTTCGCTACTCAACTCAGACTCGGTATCCGACGAAGGTGCGCAGTTACGTGACATCTCCACGCTAACTTTACTAACTCTGTCGGATCCGCGCCAGAAGCCCTCTCCCCGCTGCCAGACGTGGTACCTAATACGCATCCAGACGAGCCTTCCATACCTCCACCGACTCACACACCTGCAGCAGAGTCTCAGGAGTCCCAGCCGGCACGGAGTAGGTTACGCCGGCGCGCGGCCTCGGGTGCCTCGTCTCGCGCGCCGTCACCGCCGCCTCCTGCCCCGTCCCAGCCTTCCCCTGCAGCAGAGGAGCCGGCAGAGCCGCCAAAGAAAAGGGTGTGTACTGTTTGCATTCTGATCATTACGGCGCTGATGAGAATGCCAGGGGTTGATTCGTAGAGCTGGCCGCTCGAGGACCACCGCTGTCGATGACACCTCGATGGACCTCGACGGCGATGGCACGCCCGCACCGACTTCACAGTCTGCACGGCAAACGCCCGAACCGACGCGCGCACCCAGCATCGGTCCGGTAAGCCCACCTGTCGCCTCTCCGACGGTCCTTGCTAACCTCAGTGTTACGTCAGGAGCCTACACCAGCGCGCAGCCGTCTCAAGCGCCGCGCAGGGACGCTGGCCGCGAAGTCGGACATCATCGACCTGACGTCGGAGGCGCCTGCGGCCGAGGCGGACGAGCCCCCGCTGAAGAAGTTCCGGGCGCTGTTCGAGCAGAGCGACCCTGAGCGCGTGGGGGAGTCCGGCAGCCTGGAGACGCAGATGACGACGCAGGCAGAGAGCGTGACGGAGAGCGAGGTAGTCGCGACGCAGTCTGGCGTGGGGGCGCGGGCGCGGAGGGCGGGGCTGACGCAGCTCGCGGTGGTGGCGGAGGAGGAGGAAGAGAGCACGAGCGGCATCACGCCTGGTCCGGGGACGAGCATCGGGAGCCAAAGTCAGGGCCTGAAGAGGAAAAACCGCGGCGCGGATGAGGACGCGGCAATGGAGGATGCTTCTGGGCCAACGAGTAAGCGGCGTGCGGTTGAGGGTATGGACGCGGTGCAGCCGTCACAGGCAGGAGCTGCCGCCAAGCCCCCTTCGCGTGCCACATCCAAGCCTCCGTCGAAGAGCCAGAAGACCGAGAAGACGTCCGGCGCAGCCCCAGGCAAGCCGGACACGGACGAGGCGTTCCTCAAGGCGGTCGCCTCTACGAAGAAGGGCAAGCGCACGGAGGACACGTTCGATCGCGAGTTCAACAACCTGCGCATATCAAAGCCGGAGCTGGAGAAGGCGCAGGAGCGCGACGCGTGGGCGGTGCTGGACGATTTCGGGGACGATAGGGATCTACGGGGCAATTTTATGGTGATCGTGGAGATGCAGGTGCCCGATAAGCCACGAAGGCTGGCTTTGGTGAGAGGTGACGAAGGCAGGACGGACTGGGCGGGCAGGCCGGATTTCAAGAAGTTCAAGAAGGTATGTGGTGTATGCGGGAGCGATCAGTTGCGTTCACTGATGCCTCGTGCACAGAAATCGGCTGCGAGTAGGCGGCCCGCCGTGGAGCTCTACGCCGAGGACGACAATGAATATGACATGGGCTCACGTATGTTGACTTTGATTTAACGTGACGTCTGAATGCTAAATGGTCTACAGAATTGTGGAAAGGTTCTCAGGCACGGTCACAGTTGACGTCGCAAATGCAATCACAATCTCAGGAGGATCGCAAGCCAGAGTCAACCCAGAAACGAAAACAGAAGACCCAGACCCAGACGCAAAGGACTCAGAGCAGCAAAGCAAAAGCGAAGGCTGTGGTCCTCGACGACTCTGATGACGACCTCATGCCACCGCCACCCACTCAGCCCGCAAAGTCCCAAAGGAAAGCACCGAGCCGCGGTGGCTCCGCCCAGCCTCGGGGGAAAACTCAGAAGACGCAGCCGCTGTTCATCGAGTCTGACGAAGAGGCCGCGGGACCGACATCACAGACTATGGCAGACTACGATGACGGTCTCAGTCCAATCGGAGAAACTGATGACATGGATGACGACGACGAATCTACGCTACGCTCGAGCCGTCGGGGGACGCAGACCCGTACTACTCGCAATGCTAGAAAGGCTGGTGCATCGAAGAAATCAGCGCCTGTGGTATTGGATGATGATTCGGACGATGAAGCTGCATTCGTAGGGCTCGCAGCGCGGAGAAAGACACGAAAGAAATAGGGACTCTCGCTTCAATTGTACGTGGGTCAATGCACAATACTAATGCTCTGATGATTTCGATTGCAATATGCATATGCACCTCGAGCGCGGCTGCAGGCTCTGATATCAGAGGACGCGCCATTTTGTCGGACTCACTTCGACGCCTGGTGAGGTCGTTTCTCTACTGACACAGGTACCGAAATCACGTACAGTAATGCACAGCCCTCAGAACGTGCGCTATTGGTACGTGTGTGCTGAGTCTGACCTCGATAAAGTGAACCTGAATAGAAAGCTGAGCGACATTCGTACAGAATGCGCGCCCGATAAGGAATTGCGCTCGCGATGCATGCTATAAGTATGTAGCTTAGCATGAGCCGCCGCCTGATCTCGCAAGTGTCTTTCCCAACTTCAGGCCCTCAAATGCGTCGACAGAATACCTCCCACGAGAACAGAATGCAACACAAGAACAATCTGGATACAGTTTATATCTACGTCGATACATTGCTATTGGTCTGCTCACATTGACTACCTCTCCCCATGCTTTATCTCTGCTTACGACGTCTTAATCTTCATATGTACGCTCTTCGCCCTTGTGAGCTGGTCATAACCTACGTACAATGCGGCCCGTGAATCAGCACCCATATGCACCACGCGCGCACACAATTCGACTCACCGAACTTGCTCAAGCTAACGCCCCTCCCGCTGTTCTTCACGCCCGTCCACGCCAGCGCCGGGTCCAAAGAGTCACACCTTTCGAGCGTTGTTAGCATCCACTCGGCGGCAAGCGAAGACCCCAGGGCGTCTGAGGGACACGCACCTGTTCAGGAAAACAGTACCCGTGAACAGCTCCTCCTCGATCTTGAGGAACGCTGCCTCGGAGGCGGGGTTGGACTCGGCATCGGTCCAGACGGAGGCGGTCAGCCCGTAAGGGGAGTCGTTCATGAGCTTGATGGCCTCTTCGTCAGAGGATACCTACAGGTGGGCAGTGAGCAAGAGAAGGCCTCTGAGCGGGATGGGACGGATGGGACGGACCTTCATGATTCCGATGACAGGGCCGAAGGTCTCTTCCTGCGCGGATGGTGAAGATAAGTGTCCGGTCTTTGAAAAACACGATTACGGAAGGCGAACCATCATGACGCCCATCGCTATATTATGAAGGCCAGCTTCAGCATACAATACTAGAGAACCAAGCAGAACAAACGCACTATGATCCACATCAACCAGAACCTGCGGCGCTACGTACGCCGTGCCCCTGCCCAACCACACGATTAGCGTCCACATCAAGTCCACATCCTGTATCCATTGCATGCACTCACGGCTGAGCGGCAGCGAACAGGTCCTCCGGGATGAGCGCCTTCGCGCCCGCCTTCACTACACACAATCTATTGGACCCGCAGCCCACGCAGGCAGACGAAAGGAACACGCACCAGCGTCCGCAACCTGTTTGCGAATCTTCTCCGCGCTCGCGACGCTAACAACGGGGCCGAGGTTCGTCCCTGGCTGCGTTGGGTCGCCGAGCTTGTATTGCTGGATGAGAGCAATGAGCAGATAGGATCGGAAGGAAGAACGGGCAGGGGGAACGCACCTTGACGAGCTCGACGAACTTGGCGACAAATGGTTCGTGGATGGATGCATGTACATAGATCCGCTGTTTCATGAATACATGTGAGGATGTGTACTAGAAGCGCAGGAGACTGCGGATTAAGGTATGCGCACCTCGATGGCACAGCATGACTGGCCAGAGTTGAACATCGCACCTGTTGAGTGCGCAGTGGTTCGTCGTATGGCGTATGCACGAAGAAAGGGGATACTCGTACCGTCTACCAGCTCAGCAACAGTGTAGTCGAGCTTCGCATCTGCGCGAACGTACGCCGGATCCTTACCGCCAAGCTACACCACCACCCAATCCTCAACAACAAGTCTCTTGTCGACCAAAAATGAGACGTACCTCAAGACCAACACCTTTGAATCCCGCGCCCGCCGCAGCCTGCGCGACCGCCTTCCCACCAACTACGCTCCCCGTGAAACTAACGAAGTCGACTTTCGGATGCGTCACCGCAAACGCGGTGAGCTCTGGCGAGAGGTGCGCCACCTGTAGGAGGCCCTGTGGGAGACCGGCGCGTGTCCAGGCTTCCGCGAAGCGCTCGGCAGTGAGCGGGGTCTGGGGCGAGGGCTTGAGGATGACGGAGTTGCCGGCGACGAGGGCAGGGAGGACGGAGTTGATGGAGGTAAGGTAGGGGTAGCTATTGCAGATATCAAAGGTCGTGAAGAACTGAGAGCAGAGGATGCGACGCACTTCCATGGAGCGATAACGAGAACGACACCCATGGGTACACGCTTGATGTACCGCCTGAAGCCAGGCTTATCCGTGTTCACTAGAGAGACGTCGGCAAGGCTGGACTCGGCGATAGAAAGCATGTAGGCGGCGCGCTCAAGCGTGCCACGAATTTCTCCAGGATTCTGGCCGATGGGTCTGTTGATCATGCAAGGTCTGAGTCAGAAGCTCGGCGTATGTTGCGAGACATACCGGCCCATCTGGGCAGTGAGCTCCTTGGTGACTACATCACTCATGGCCTTGAACTCGTCCTATAGTATGACACACATGAGTCGCAGATTGCATATTTCCTCACCAGTATGACATGCGCACCATGAACTTCGCAGCAATAGTGATCCTCTCCTTGAGGGGCACACGAGCCCATTGCTTCTGGGCGGCCTCGGAGTGTTCGATGACATCGTTCAGCTCGGCCTCAGATGGATACGTGCGTGTGACAAGAGGCTGCTGGTTGTGTGGGCTGATGGTTGTCTGAGAGGTGGGCGAGGACATGGCGGTGGCGGATGAGCGCGTGTAGGCGAGCGGATGGCGGTCGATGAATCATGGCAGTAGCGGGCGACTCGTATATTCGCAATCTCAGATCATCATTACATTACATAATGTCGCTAGTACTCAGTCTTCGGCGTCGCCGCCAACATGAATTTCGCAACGTAAATCTGTACTTACAAGGCACACAATACGTGCAGCACATTCTGATGTTATAGTGGAACAACGTATCAACTTGGCTCTTCACTTGCGTCCAGTAGCACCTCCAGAAGATCGGACGCTGTACGCCTCACTGTGCGGCGCCGATGATCACACACAACAGGAAGATGTTCGACTTACCACGATCAAAATACGAACACAACATAAGGACACGGCATATGTGGGATTGCCCATCAGTGCTAGAATTAGAAAAAGTCCATATCACAAAATTTCCGACACTGAAAGTCCGGTAGAAATCGCCCTCAAGCCCGAATAAGGTACACTTGCTGCTTGGTGCAGCTGCCCAGAGTATATGCGCCACTGTTGTCGCTCGACGCGCTGTATACCAAAATCCAATCCAGGGAGGGGGTCTGGCACACCGAGAACGAGTTGCCGTCGCCATTGACCGTGAGCGTAGCATTTCCGCCTGCATCGGTCTGGGGCATACTCAAGTTAACTCGAGTTGAAGCTTTGCCAGCAAATATTTACACTCACCACAGCGCAGTAGGGTGTCTGTCCCGCGCCCGCGTTGGCCGAACCGTTGTTGGTCACCGCAAACTCGACAATGGAACCCTCAGCGACCGACATATCGCTGCCAACCAACCCGCCGTTGGGCGAGCGTGGCTCAGGAATGAGCGCACCACCCTCGAGCGTCCAACCCGAAAACACTCCCGAGGCTGTCTGGTGAATTTCCTATACGATAATTTGTAAGTCCCTAGTCGCTATGCAACACAAATCCGCTGCGTGCTGACCTTCAGCCACCAGAGGCCGTCGGAATCGCCGCTGACGAGTGCGAGCGGGGCGCCGGTGTACGTCGGATCGTACGTAACAGATGGGTCAATCACTGTCAGTTTGAAGTTGTATGCGAGGGAGCTGGTAGATCCCACCCCGAGGGCGTTACACGGGTCTTGGCGGGTGGACAGGGCGGCGGGCATAGCAAAGGCGCCAGAAGCAAAAGCAAGGAGAGTGAATGCGAACATGATATCCAAAGCCTCCAAAGAGAAATCGAAGAAGATAAGATGGCTGATACGAAAGGAAAGGAGATCGTTGACGATAGCGGGACAAGGTCGAGAAAGAGTCGTATTTATGTCTCAAAAATGACCCCAAAAAGTTGCGATGCACTCCGGCTACATACCTGTGTTCGCTGGGATCAGCAACATCCATACATGGCGGTACGAAGCCCGCCTTGGGAGCGTTCAACGGCCATACCTGCCGGCGTACGCGAGGTGCACCGCTACGGGACACGCTGCCCGTATGTAGTAAGTACATACCCCCGGGGAGGCGGTTAGCCTATCAGTTCGAAAACACTATGTGTACTTACCTGCGTTTTTCAACGTTCCAACCGATACATCCGACACCGTTCGACTGGTGGTGTTTCCCTTCAAGTTCGATCGATTTCAAATTCCCTTGGCGTGGTCCCTGTGGTACAGTGAGCTCATGGACTATGCTGACTCGAAGTCCCAGCCTTCATAAGAGTCAGATGAGTAAACGGAAAAGTCTTTGAGGTCGATTTCGGGGGCACAGCCTCTGTACATGTGCGATGTTCACAAACGAGGCGAAATCAACAAGTTGCCCAATCATACCGATCATATTGGAGGCATAAGCGAACTTGTACTCACCAAAGCGCACGTACTGGCCATCAAGGAGCAGTGGTCAAGATCAGCCAGAGTCGCACCTAGGCTGATCATGATCTGGGTTTATTGTAGCGAGCCGCGAGCAAAGGCTTCAAGTCATCAATGACCACCCAGAAGTAATGGCGGTATGATGAGGTAGATGAGTATCATTGACGAAAGATCGGGTCGCAAACGAGAGACGACGTGGCGTCACCAGTGTATGTAATTGTCAGTGTGAGGTTCGAACGACATCGCCGACGTGGCCATTTTCCTGGTCCATCTTCCACACCACTCAGCGCCTCGCGATAACGTGACCGTGTCGACTTGATGCGCGACGCGTTGTCTCGCGTTGTTCCATGACATTGCTGCGAAGACCACTGAGAGCAAGTTCTTCGTCTCTGTGCTGGCGATTACAGAGGTGCGGCTTCACGAGGTTGTGAACGTGCCGTGCATTCAATGGTTCCTTCCAGGAGACCGATTGAACATTGCGAGGCGCCCAAACAGCGCCCACAGCTTCACGCTGGATGGCAAAGTGAGATGATATTTACGTGGTCGTATGTCACGGATAAGGTAAGCGAACACAGGAGGAAGCACATGCAAGAGGTTACAAATCGTGCTGGGACACCAGAAGTTTCACACTTACTAGTAATGCTGACTCGCAACGTGACGACAGACATATAGTAGTAGGGGGTAGCCTATGCAAGAACCAAACAGTTGTGATTGCTTCCTGGCACCCGTATTCAAGTTGTTTCCGCCGAGTCTGTCTTCCAGGGCTCTAGGACTGGCCAAAGCACTCGTCATATGCCGCATCGGTCGCCCTACTGCAACTTCGGGACTCGGATGCCAGTGCAAGTAACCGAAGCCAACGAATCGACGATCACCGAGTCCGCCGCATTCAATCGTCACAGGCAGTGGTCGGTGGTCATCTCGGGCCCGCGCTCCCCGAGAGAATACATCAGACGTCGTGCAATCCATGGACCATCATACAAATTACAACAGCTGTTGACAGGCTGAAGACGCCGGCGATCGCAACGCAGGATAGGTATATAGTCTCCGAGTCAAGAGCTCATAGCTCCTCTGCGCCTCACAAGTGTTCGAACGCACCTCTCACTACAACTATTCTACCTTGCTTGATTTCTGCAGAAAGTGTGAGACACTGTGTTGAGTTCACGCATGATTGGGCTGATGCTCTCTGTTCAGCCAACTATCTAGCAGCATCATATGCCTTCAACCAGCCCGCAGCCCCTGACTCCCGAGGGCAGCGTAGAGGTGTTCTACGTTCATGGGCCGTATGTGCTCATCTTCAGCACAGCCAGTGTCGATATCTGGCGGACAGGTGGCCCGCACGGTCGCCTCGAGCATATCGCGACCCTCGCCCAGTTCATACTACTACTAGTAGCTATGCCGTATCATCTTGACCCCATCTTCGACACTGAACGCAACCTCATCATCATCGTCGCCCATGGCGATGGGGAAGATGGGTTGCCTTCCCTCCTCGTCTTCAGCCTCATCGACGGTCGGCTCGTCCGCAAGCTAGAGTTGTACGGCGCCCTGCTAGAGGACGACCTCCTGTACGCCGACGGCAAGATCCTGGTCGACACCGCAGAAGACAACGAACGCTTCCCACCCCATGGCCTGACCAAGATCTTGCTCTGCGACGTGGTAGGGGATGGCGGTGTCCTCGGTAGTGTCAACCTTCCCGCACGCCTCCAGGCTCGCGAGCAGGTGCGAAACAACACGAACGGAGGTATACTACTGCCCGTCCACGTCCGGCCGAACGGGGATATCTTTGCGACGTCCTCTGAGTCATGGGGTAACAAGATGGAGGTCCTATGCTGGCGCGGGGCGGACGTTCCGAAGTCCCCGGAGCCAGACGCGAGCTTCACGCTCGCTGTCGGAATCGAGGACGGCGATCAGATCTACCCGACGTGCAGTGCGCCTCTGGACGAGACGGCGTTCTTGCTCGCCGTCTACGAGGCGGACGGTAACGTGCTACCGGTGCAGTCCGCCTGCCAGACGTCGATCTACGCCATCGACGTGGAGACCATGACTATCCGGTGGCACGCGGAGCTCGGAGGCTGGGTGCACACCGTTCGGTACGTCGCTGCGCTAGACGTCATCGTCGCTTTCGGGCGGCATGACAATGGCGACGGCGACAAGTCCGACAAGTTCGGGTACGTAGTTGCCCTCGACCCCGCGACTGGCAGCCAGCGGCGGATGGAGACGATCAGCCACAACGTGCAGGGTGTTCCGGTGGAATACGGCGGCCTCAGTCAGACTGCAGATGACTTCCTAGTCGTGATTGTTTTCCGTGACGGCTCAACATGCGCTGCCGACTTGAGGCATTTCCTCGAGCATGGCTTCCCGAGGTTAGGAAAGCGGTTAGTGGTTTCCGGGTCGCCGCTGGGAGAGCAGTCCAATATCACAAAGGCAGTCGTATCTGGGCAGACGGTGATCGTTACCGTCGGCCATGGCAGCGAGTCTCGTAGCTTGTATTTCACTCTCCCGTAAAACTCTTGTGTAAACTCGAAAAACCTAAAATCTACCTCCAAACTTAGAGGCCTCGCTGTATGTCTACAGATGTTTTCTAGACGCCTAGACAACAATGTTTCCTGAAGTGCACGGTATTTGCTGACTGAACAGTCTATGCTACACTCTCCGCATTGTGGGACCCATCCGCATCTGATCAAGGCAGGTGCTACATTCTCCTCTCTGAGTCTGAATATGTCTCGTATGTGTCTATGCACTTGTCTCTCGCAGGTCTCAGGCGGTCGTAGCACCCGGTTTGTGCGAGTCGCGAGTCGATGAAAGACATCTCTGGAACTCAGTGGGACCATCAAGTACATCATCATCGCCGTGAGCAGTAGTAGGTACTACAGTACTACTAGTAGCAACACTCAGTAATAGCGCACACATTCAACGTAGGCTACTACTTGGATGAAAGTCCTGAAGTCCTGACGAAGTCCCTAGCGTATCTGATTTAGGCCTGGGTAAGGTATATGTAGTGCTGCTCGCAGGTATCGAATGTGTAAGTGCCGTTGTTGTCGCTCGATGCAGCGTACACCAGAACCCAGTCAAGGCTCGGCGCCTGGCACACCGCAAACGAGTTCGCATCGCCGTTGACAGCAAGAGCAGCCTGTCCACCGGCGTCCGACTGTAGAATCGTCGTGTTTTACAATCAGCTTGAATTCCAAACTCATTTGCCGACGAACATAACACTTACCACAGCGCAGTAGGGCGTCTGGCCCGCGCCAGCGTTGGCGGAGCCGTTGTTCGTCACCGCAAACTGGATGATGGAACCTGAAGGGACAGGCATGTCACTACCAACCAAACCGCTGTCATTCGAGCTCAGCGTCGGAATGAGGGCGCCGGACTGAAGCGTCCAGCCCGAGAACGTCCCCGTGCTGTTCTGCTGGATCTCCTAGATCACGAAGGGCAATGAGCTAGCTACAGAATGGCGACCAATGAGGCTACCGCACCTTCAACCACCACAGGCCGTCTGAGCTACCGTTCATGAGCGCGAGCGTGCCGCTGGCGGCGCTGTCGGTCGCAGAGGCGTTGGCGACCTCCAGCTGGAAGGTGTACGTGAGCGAGCTGGATGCGCCCGCGCCGAGGGCGGTGCAGGGGTCTTGACGAGCCGACAAAGCAGCGGCCGCGGGGGAGGCGAGAACGCCAGCCACTAGAGCAGCGGGGAGAGCGGCGGAAACAAACATGATGAGCGATATCTTCGGAAGTGAGGAGTATTAGAGAATCTGTCGACACGAAACTGCTGGAGGTCGTTGGCGATGGAGGATGAGCGGTCTGACACACAGCGTATATATACCCGAGAGAATTCAATGACACCAACCCGTGATGTAGTAGGCAGTGCGCTCGGAGGACATGTACCTCCTAGCGAGGCTGAAGACAGCCATATAGGACCACCAAAAGGCCGTCCTGTGAGGATGCAGCATGGCTGGTGGAGCAGAAGCACGCTGCTGTGGGGGGCGCTGCCCGTGCTTAAACGAAGACTGTTGGTCGCAGAAACAAAGTCAGCGTAGTATGCCTATGATAGTATCAACTGCCGTGTCGCTCACGATTACAGTTGGTCTTCTGAGTTGTCCACCCATGCCAATAACTTCAAGTTGTTCAATAAGTAGGTTTGGTTGTCGCTCGACTGCTAACGTCCTCTGTATATTCCAGCATCAGTCCAGCACCCAAAAGCAATAACATACAAGGAGACTTCCCTCGCGCGAGCTCCTCGCGAGCACAGCTCAGTACATTTGCCGATCAAGAAGGTCTCGGCGCACCTCAGTGAGCGAGGTCTTGAAACAACTTGAAGACACCCCCGGTGACCAACATACGCACCGTACGCTGGGTCCTCCGAGTAGAGACGCCCACTCGTCCGTGAGACTAACAACCGTAGAGATTTGGAAGCACAGTGCGGAAGTGGATATGATCAAGGCCTACTACCTTACGTATTTATGCTACTTACCTTCACCCAGGGGACCATGCACGCGTACTTGCTATAGGTAGAGACTATCTGAACCGGAGAAACCGACGTTTGTGTGAGCCGCAGATGTGGATGGTGTTCCCACAAAGCGACGGCAAGCAACGTTGATGATCAAGTCGAAGCTCAGCGCTCAGCGCTCGCACTCCAACTTTGAGAACTATGACGCGATAACGTGACCGCGTCGACGCGCGTCGAGTGGCGTACTGTACTTGCAAGTTGACTGACCACTTGGGCCGCGCTCGAACTCGAATATTCTACCAGCACGTCAATGTCTGCTGCAGCCATCGATAGCAACAAACTCCTATCTCATACATACATCACTATGCGCTTCGCTCAGTAACGAGCCTGTCCATCGTGTATTGCGACTCAACGTTACAACCACAGCCAATCTACAGCTCCGCTCTCCTCGCGACATCGCTCTCCTGCGCCGTGAACGACGGGTTCGCGCGGAATCCCATCAGATACTCCATGATTTGGTACGCAGCCTACACGCGACGCATTCAGCCATCTCGCTGTCTGCCTCGGAGCCAGTGCACTCACCACGGGAGAGAACTCGGGCACCATATGCCCACTGAGCTCGACCTCGAAGTAGGCTAGACCGCGCTCGTAGTGAGCTGTGCCGAGGGAGCCGACGCCGTCGACGATGAAGCTGTCGTTCGCGATCGGCGTCTGGAAGCCCTGCATGCCGTTCCCTGCGCGAAATTCATGTTAGCAACTCCCGCTACCACTCTCGAAACCAATTTGGGTTACTCACAGGTCATACTGCAATGGCACGGTCACCTCGTCAGCGTACGCTCCCAGTGGATGGTCGATCGTCCACTCACTTCTGCAGCGCAATCCTTGTCCCCTCACTGATCAGCACAAAGTCCGCAAGTCCATGCACGATCACCGCGCGCTCGCTCTTCTCGATCACGTTCGGGAGCACACTAAACACCGGCGGCAAGCTGTTATCGCCGTCCGGGAAGACGTCCACGTCCGAGCACTCCGCCCAGTCGACGTCCGCCGGCGCGTGTATCGCCGCCTTCACGTCCGCGCGGTCGAAGTAGAGCGGCGCGACCTGCGTCTCCGGGAAGGACCCCGGGAAGCCGAGCACGTCCCACAAGATCGGCCACTACCCCCGCCAACCCATCGCGTCAGCACTACCTCGCCCCCGTACGAGGGCAGTTACGCACCGTGTCGAAGATCCGGTAGATGTTGAACGCAGGGTTGACCTCGAGGGCCGCCTCGAAGATCGCGTCCCACACGTCGCACCCGGGGTCCGCCTCGACGCTCGCGCCGGGGAGGGGCAGCAGGCCCGTGGGCGGGTACGTGACGTGCTTGTCCATGTAGTCCGCATAGTTGCAGGAGGCGGCGGCGGCGTCGAGCGACGCGAGGAACGTCTGGTTGAACGCGAAGACGTGCTCGTACTTGTGCACGAAGCTCACGGCGGGGATCTGCTCCTGGACGACGTCCCAGGAGAGCGAGGCTGCAGGTGCGCGTAAGATAGGAGTTGGGAGGAGAGGAAGGATGGGAACGCTTACGGTCGGAGATCCAGAAGCCCTTGAGGTCGAGGTCAAGAGCGTTCGGATTCTCGTAGATGTAGTTGGCGATGTCTATATGCGGAAAAAATGAGCATGAAGACTCGCTTAGAACAACATGAAATACTCACAAGGAATGTAGGTTCCTGCGTACTTTATTCATACGTCAGTACGCGACGGGCGAAAATCCATAGAAACACGCACGCTCTCCCCGGTAGTGTAGAAGTTCTTGCCCTTAAGTTCCGAGAACACCTCAAGGAATTGCTGCAGGAAGCCAACGAGCTGCTCCGCCAACTGGTCTTCATCCTGCAAACACGCTATCACTCAGGATGCTACGACCACCATGTGAAAGACAGCACACCTCGATGTCCGGCGTGCCCTGAGAGAAGCCTGCCCCGACCGGCTGATCAATGTATATGATACTAGACAGGTTGGTCCAGCTATAGTCGTTCGGCGTCGGCTTCGCCTGTCCGTGAGACCATTGGAACGGCTGTGACGGCCGATTCCACAGTCCAGTTAGGTACCCACCCAGCCTAAAGACGACTCAGTAGACGCACCCCGTTCTCCTGCAAGACACCCTCCATGGACGAGCATCCGGGGCCTCCGTTGATCCTGGCGACTACAGGTCAATGGATCACCGGCAGCACATTTGAAAGGGAGGCACGCACCACATCACGAGATCATCAAGACTTCCTTGCGGGCCAGGAGGGAAGAACCAGAAGAACAACTAGCATATACTCAGTCCGCATGCGCACGCACGTCTCGCGGTGCGCATACACCCACCTGCCGCGTCTCGTCCGTCTTGTTGCTGATCGGGAGCAAGCCTGCCCAGCTCGGACCGATGTCCCAATCCACAGACGGGATGTTCGACCCGTTCACCCAGAACTCTGCACGCACCTCGGTCTCAGACCCAAGCCCCCGCATACGACGTAGGGACGCAAACGCACCTGATGCCTTCGGGTTGGAAAAGGTGATGTTCTTGACCGTGCCCGGGCCGCCTGCGAGCGCGTCCGCGCGGGGCTGGACACTCGCGGCCCACTTGCTCGCAGCGCGCTCCTGGTGCTCTCGCAGCTTGTGCATCGGCATCATCTTCTTCGCGCCGACGCCCGCCGCGCCGAGCGCCGCAAGCGCGATCGCCACACGCGACAGCGCAGAAAACCTCATCCGGTCGCCGGTTTCAGCTCAAGCAAAGGGCCTGGGGGACTGGGCTGACGAGTGAGCGAAGGGGCGGGTGGGAACGAGCACGCCCGGGACGCACCTGAGCTTAATATACCCGCCTCGAGCCACCCGGTGCGGATGCTTCGGGGATGATGGGGGCAGGTGGCGGGGGCAGAAATTGGCTGGGAATGCATGGAGAGAAGCAGCGGCGGTGCACCGGCCATGGGCGACGACCGACTCGGGACCGACCACAGACGATCGCACAGACCCCACGATTCCCTCGCACGACGTTTCAGGCGGTCTTCGTTGCTATCCCCACTACCTCCATCATCCTATGATCATCCCGTCGCTCGCAGCCGTGTCCGGTTCAAAACCTGATCGTCCGGCGATGCTGGCTACTATCGCGGTCAGCGCTTCATTACACAGGGAGAACGGAGGGCGGGGAATGAAGACTCACACAGACTGTCTTCTCTCGTCGCTGGCCCACTGCCAGAAATGAAGAAGGCATGGAGATACCTTCTGAGAAGCGGGAGGAGGACAATCTGCACATGGACGTGCACGTGGAACCGAGCAGTCGACCAATACCGGACCTGCGTGTGGTCGCTCGCCCCGGCTTGGACTTGTGCACTACATTGTCTCCGACACTTGTCCACCAGATCCCGCCTCTTCAGCAGTGCTGAGCGTTGCTAGTGCGCTCTGCGTCGGGCGCTATCGGCCGGTGGCTAAATCATATGGACCCCCTCCTCCTCGGATTAGCGCAATCGATGAGTCAGGCGAAGCGACAATGGGGCATTTAGTATGTACGCAGAGGTGCCTCATACGTGCACCGAAAGGGCGCAAGCTGCTCTGGTCAGCTTCCACGCTGTGCATGCTCTCAAATCAGAAGCATCCGAAAATGTATGCTCGAGAGTTCATGGTCAGGCATGGTGTGGTCCTGGGAAGGCATCTAGAGGCGACGAGGTGTCGCAATCAAGCCCACAGAGTCCCAGCAGCAAGCAATTATGCCACGCCTGCTACGACGGCTGTCCGACTCGAGGACACATCTCGACGCATGCATTGACGTATCCATATGGTTATGCTCATGAGGTAGGTCGCAACACTTACCTGGGTTACTTACTTATTATCCAAGACCACGAGGGATTGTCGTCGAAGAACTCGAAGCCTACGTCTCTTACAATCGGCCTACTGCAGCGCAGGGTGACTCGGAAGAGGCTGGACAGATATACGCAGTAGCATTGCAGTAGCACTGCGAATAATCCAAAGCGGCAGAAGGCCGCAATCATAGTGACGTGTCGACGCGGTCACGTTATCGCGACGCGGGTCGATACCTGCAAGCGCTGACAGGCCACACGACGCGCGTCCTGTGGACCAGGTCCACACTATGGTGACCCGGCATCTCTCTTGTCTCAGGTCTCGGTGCGGCTCAGTGCCCTTCAAGTTCATCTCGGCCATGCATGTCTACCGGTGAGTACAAACCTGCGTCCTCTGAAACGATTACGAAGGTTGTATGTCTTGTTTCACTGCCGGCCTCACGCGGCACCGTCTTCACGATCGGGGACACAAAGCTGTGCACCGACCTCCCGAGGACCTCGCAGTGACTGTGTTGTACCGAGCTGTTGCCGTCCTAAGGACTAGAGGAATTAGATGTAAGTACGCTCAGCTGTCAGAAGGAGGCCGGGTTGCAGCAACAAGTCTCAGGACTCGAGTACGACCTCCACAGTAGACTGACAGCGGTGGTGGCGACGCCGACGTGCTGCACTGCATCGAAGCAGATGATGCAACTAACCTTCAGATCTTCACGGATCCACACCGCCAAGACTAACCGACTGCTGCGTGTACGGGCAACGACCGCCGAACCAGTGCGCCCACGGCGCATCTCTGCACCAGCAGGCGCAGCCGACCGGCGTCGCACGCTCCCAGGATGGGCTTCTCGACATCCTCTATGGCCGCCACACACCTCGGCAGGAGGAACAACCACACCGGTTTCCCGGAAGTGCTGTCGCAGTACGTCACGTATACCCTAGTCTCCTCAAGTATATATACGGCCCAGTTGTGGCCTTATTCCCTATCGTCTTCGATATCCCACTTTCAACCAACCAAAGCCTCTTTACAACTTCCTTCTAACTTTCAAGACTTTGGTCATTATGTTCGCATCTGCCGTCATCTCCATCGCCCTCGCCGCCGGCGCCCTCGCCGTCCCCGCCGCCCTCTCGGCGCGCCAGGACCCCTGCAACGCACTCGGCGCAGGCTCCTCCAGCTCGCTCACATACAACTTCCAGCTGGAAGTCGTCGACCCCTCTGCGCAGGACAGCGCCACGGGCGCCGTGCTCGCGCTTGTGGACAGCGAGTCGGACGGCCTCTGGTGGCTCAAGGTAAGTCACCGCCGACCTCCATCTCGTTGTGCGAGGCAGTATGCTCACGCGTGTTCGATCTGCAGGAGATCCACCAGAACGCCACGGGCGACTTCAACGGCTGGCAGCTCAACGGCGGCGCGCTCATCCCGCAGCTGAGCTCGACGACCCAGGGCCTGGTCGGCAGCGACATGCCCGTCGGCGCGGGCTCCATCGTCGAGTTCGCGGTGACCAACAACGGCTCCGCGAACGCGGGTGCGGGCCAGACGCCCTACTGCGCTGTGGTGAGTCCGGCGACCCGCCAGTCCGACTCCCAGTGCCCTTTCGCTGACGGCTGGTATCGCAGTCCGACGCTGATGGCGACGCCACCATCGCGGTCAACGGCGACGCGAACTCGTTCTCGGTCTGCCAGACCCCGAGCCTCGCCTGGGTCCTGGTGTACAGCGCGTCGGGCGACAACGACGGCGCGTACGCGTACGACAGCTGCACTGCGCAGAAGGTGCATGCCGTCCGGGCCTAAGGACAGACGGGTACGGATTGGATACGAATGGGACTCATGACGGACATCCTCTAACATTTTCTTTCAATTCGCACTAATCGCACTTGCATGTTACGGACTTCCGGACTTTCATACTCAGCATAATCTACGTTGAATACGTTTGTTTACGCCCGGTAATAGTTTGTTAATGATCCATGACGTTCTCTTGTTCTACGATGTTGAATCTTGTGGGGTGCGATCGCCTCTCATAACGGCACATGTCAGGCGGATAAGTACCAGTACTAGTCGCGCAGGACTCCCATTGTTAGTGACAGTACTCAGAGGGAGTTACAAACAACGTGGAACAAGGGCAATATCTACGGAGCGGGAGTCGCATCTTCGTCTGGCGATCCCCTCGTCCAGCGGCATAACGAGGCGCACACTAATGGCAGCGGTGGTGAGATGTATCATCGCGGATACATATTGTCCCCATTCTTCAGTGCGGTGGCCGGTGCTCTGCGACTCACCCGTTTCCATACGGCGTCATGTTATGATATCGAGGACTAGGAATCTGTTCAAGCACGGTTATTGCTAAACATAGCTTGGTCGATCATCGTTGAGCGATTGAGTGCTGTGAATATTGAGATCACATAAAAGGACGGATAAAGGGGGCTACTAAATCAGGAGTCCAGGCCAGCGAGCCAGTGCGCCGGCATGCCGACGCCTCACAGGCCTCACATCTTAGACAGGGAGCAGAAAAGTAGATTGTCTGTCAGCGCAGCATACAGAGGGGACTGGTAGATGAGACAACATGGCAGTCAGGTATAAATATCGTGAACGTGGCATCCGCATTTCGTTTCTCATTCAGTGGTCCCGCGACTTCCTGCCACGAAACATAACGTGCTGTCAGCAAGGTCGCTCGCATTGACGACGGGGCGGATGCGCGCACCTGTAGTCTCCCTCGGCGGCAACGCTGAGCTCCTCGAGCTCGCCCTGGACGGTTGATAGCGCCTCAGCGGCGGTCGCGTAGAAGATGAGCTGCGCCTTGGCGAGCTCGTGGAGGTCCTTCAGTGGCTCCGGCTAGTCTTTACCTCAGCAACAGTTCCAACGGTATGTTATGAATGCAACGTACGTTATCAAGTACCGCCTTCATCAGCGTGATAGCGACTTCCGTCTTCTGCACGAGGTCGTCCTCCGCATTCTCGACCTCCAGCCGGGCAGCCTCTTGTCTCGACGGGCCCGCGGTTTTCAACCTGTGGATAACGGCTCAGCATGCCCACCCCCGCGCCGCGAGCAACAAGCGCACTTACACCTGCTTCGCAGAATCGAGCTCGAGCCTGCTCCCACGGACGGCCTGGCGGGCCTTCATCGCGACGGCGATGCTCGTCGAGAGGGTGGTCTGCCAGGGCTGCAGGAACTGGGCGCGGATCACCTGGTCCTGCTGCACACGCGCGTCGGCAATCTTCTCCCATGCGCCCGCGTACGCGCCGAGGGCGGTGCGGAGCTTGTCCTCGCCGGCGACTGGGCTCGTCTGGAGGGTCTGCGCGGCGGTCGTCGCGGCGCGGCCGATCGCGTGCGGGAGGGTCTTGTGCTGGGCGGTGGGCGGTGTCGCGGGCGGGGACGCGGGCACGGGCACGGTGCCCTTGAGGTTCTGTGCGGCGAAGTTGGTGAGCCCCTGGCCGATGGTCGTGCCGAGGTCGGAGATGGACTCCTGGATCTGCGTCGGGTAGTCGTACGTCTCGCTCTCGTAGACCTTCGTTACTCTGTGTGGGGCAGGTCATGCGGCGGACGGCGGGCACGGGCGCGCGGAGACGTACTTCAGGAGCGTGTAGTGGACATGGCGGAGGTTGTCGACCCGCGCCTCGAGGTCCTTGTACTCTGCGGGTGCGTGGCTAGGTCAGCGAGCAGAGTGCGCTCGTCGGCAAGATGACTACCTTGCGGGAGTTCGGTGATGTCGTCTGGAGCCACCTGGCCAATGCGCTCCTTGGTCGCCTGGACGGTGGTGTTGAAGCCCTTTGCGAACTTGTTGGCGGACTGGCCGATGTTGAGGCCGGCGAAGCCAGCCTGGAGCTTTGTCCACTGGTCCATGGCGGCGAGAGTGTGTGTCGAGGAGAGGAGAGGAGGGAGACTGTCACTTGCTGAGGACTCGTGAGGAGGCCGCAATCAATCAGTGCACAGACGCGGTGTTCGAGGTCGCCCGCACCGTCTCTGCCCTGGTGACCGGGGGTGTGCCACACGCGTCGCCACACGCGGAACGCGCGACGCGCCTCTCTTCCCGAGCAACCACCATCCTCTCCATCGCGTTCTGTTCCCCCCGAGCCCTCAACGTGCGCGATTCATTTCTTTTGCTTGCTATGCGGTCCATTTGAATTGGCCTGACGCGCATATAGCAACCAAATCCCAAGCGAAATGAACCAAAGCGGCGTCTCATACAGCTCCTTCAACGCGACCTACGCCAACCCGCGACCCACCATGCCTCTGGCCGCATACAGCTACTCACCAGGCGTATACCACCCCACTGGCCTGCGCAGCTCCTTCGCGGACTGGGACTCTGACCCGTATCTCTATGAGGCCTCGCGGAACGACCTCATCTCTCCGTTCAAAGACCCAATCGTCTCCTCTACGCCCCCGTTCTCGCTGAGCTTCTCGTCCAGCCAGTTCTCGAACTCATGCTCGTCACCTGCCACCCCTCTTCAGGCCCTCTTCTCGTCTCCCAGCGCCCTCTGGGCTGCAGTCGGCTCCTCGGTATCCCCGGTCCACCGTTGTGGCGTTCGCTCCCTCTCTCGAAGTGCAACCCACAACAAGCCTGGCACACCTCGTAAAGGACGTGTTTCACCTGAGAAGATCCAATCACTCTTAGCATACAAGGACGCTCAAGAACTAATAACCTCCTTCGAACCCGGATGCTCCTCGGGATCCTCTTCTAAGCTACTCTCTCCAGCTCTGTCTGCGCTCTCCTCGATGCCTACCTCTCCCTGTACTCCCACTAGATCTGTTCGAGGCTCACCTGCTGCTCAGGCTGTCGCTGAAAAATTATCTCCCCCTGCTGCATCTACCTCTGCTGCGCCAAAATCTAAGATCATGGACAGCGCCGACAAACGCGCTATGCGCGAGGCACTGGGTCTGCGTTACAACACTCGTGCACGAAGACTCGCCTATCCTTCGGAATCTCTGCCTGCTGCGTTCTCCGCGCCGACTCGTCCTCCTGGTTCCCGCAAGAGGCTCTCAAGGGACACTGAACGCGAGCAGTCTCTGGCTCTGCCTGCTCGCAAGAAGCGAAGATCCAACCCGGAAGAACGCACCTCCAAGGAACTCACCGGACCCGCCGCTGACCCTGCGACAGACGAAGCCGACGAGCCCGCCCTCGTCCCTCAGCGCACATTCCCTCCTTCAATACCCCTTCATCCGGAATTCCCCTTATTCTATAGACGTTTCGCCGTTAGTTCCTACCAAGTCGAACATGTCTCTAAGTGAGATCAGAAGTCGTCGCGCACATTTCACACCGCTTGACCTTCCATAGGTATGCGAAGACCAAAGGCCTCTCCGACGCCACTTTCAACCCACCGCGCGACGCCTTCGATCTATACACCCCTCGCTTCGTGAAGGGACGAGGCACGACGAAGGTATGTGTCCAATCTGTTATCAGGATGCGCTGCTCAGCCTGCGCAGGTCGGCTTGTGCCCGTGTTGTATGGAGAGCAAGAGTCGCGGCGGCGAGGGCAAAAGGCTCTGGCTGTCTACGAAGTTCTCCGCATTCAAGTGGTACGTCCACCATCCTACGCCCGCCATACGCTCCATACTCACTGTAACCACAGAGTACCCCACCTTCATCCCGCACCACGCTCTGACCCACCTCTAGCTACCACATGCAATACGCGCACGGTAACCCGACGACCCCCACCCGTCCACTCTGAGCGAGCTGACCCACCCGCAGGCATCTCCGTAATGAGCGGGCGCCCCTTCTCTCCCCCGCTCGCCTTCCGGACCGTGCAGCGCACGACGGTCGGCAAGCTCGAGAAGGCGCAGCTCATGCAGGGCAAGTGCCACAAGTGCAAGAAGTGGGTCGCCGTCGAGGGCGTCAAGGACGTCCCCACCAAGGTCAGTCCCCTACTCCCTCGTGCTCTTTTTCGAAGCGGAGTCTGATAGCGATTGGTGCGGTGAAGGTCAAGGAGATATACTGGTAGGTCGATGCCGACCGTGTCGTTGTGTGCTGACTGGAGCGGTGTGACAGGTGGAAGCACGCGGCGGCGTGTCATCAAGGGTCGACTGTCGAAGGGGAAACTGACATTTATATCGAGGATGATATTTACCGCGCGGCCGTGCAGGCAGAGAAGGAGGCTGCGGCTGAGGCTGAGGCCGAATCGGACGCGGATGCAGAGGGTGAGGCCGAATCGGACGCGGACGCAGAGGGAGAGTTGGAGGAAGAGTCTGCTGCGTTCGACTCTGAAGTGGACTAGGCCCCTCGTTGTCTGTCTGGCCCCGATCCGTCTTTATTCTCAGAAATGCTGTATCGATATGGACATCTGGTCACTGTCAATTCACGCTGTATCGTTGTCGCGACTGCTGGGCTAGACTAGTGGTGCGATGTCTGATGAACAGCATCATTCATGCGTGGGTATGGGCTGGTGTATCAGCGTACAAGTGTGCATTAGGTAGCGAGTGCATCCGTATCTCGAGTTTCGTGTCCAAGTCTGCGTCTCAATCCGCCTCCGGAGCCGGGTCCACCTTCGCGTGAGACGCATTCAAAATATGCTTTGAGTACTCCTTCGCCCAGACATTCGAAGGCGAAGAAGTTACCGGCAGGACTGTCACAGCCTCTTTGACTAATATCCTAGATGCGATGTCAGGTTGCGATGCTTGAGAAATGTAGTCTACAAGTGGTAGCAGGCGGGATACGCACAGTGCGCAGTCCAGAATTCCCCTTGCAGCAGCGCGCGGCATGTTCTGGGACAAGAACCGCTCCCAATTTCCCTCGCCGACTTTCTGCTCCGCTGCGATATCTGCGTCGTTGGCGGTCATCAACTCGAGTTCGAAACGAACACTGCTCGGGGGGAACTTTGCAAAGATCGAACCCGAGAGGATCTCGTCGATATTCCGGGCGGCGTCAATGTTCGCTTTGTTTTGTTCTTCATCGAAAGGGGGAACTAGATCCCACAGATTTTCTCGGAACGCCCATAGACGATCGTGGGTGTAGCGGATGTGGATTGAGGATATGGACGTGGAGATAATCGTCGAGAGAGCTGCAGAGGTCCGGGCGAGGTTGGGACACCTTGTGAAAAGGTGCGTCACGACCAACGTTGTCAAGTTAGACTGCCGAGAGAGGCTGAACGTCCGAGTCTCGGCCCAACCTGAACAAGTTAAGTCAACAATGGTCGAGAGGATTGATGCGGCGAAATCGCAATGACAAGTCAGGCGTACCGTCTCTATCTGTAAGCTCAACACTCCGCAGCGATGCACCAAATGCATTGAGTAGTTTTTGGCCTGCTTGCGTGACCAGTAGACCCCGCCCGGGAAAAGCACTGCCACTGGCAGTGTGACTGGCATGGAAAGACAAGATCTCCACCGTTGAAGAAATTGAGTTGAATTCGGCAAGAACGTTGGCAACGTCGTGGTCAGTGTTAAACAACACTATCTCGCATACACGCGCGCGCGGCATACGAGATGGTGACTGCCAGTATTTGTTTAGGCATCCAGTGAAAGCGCAGGTGAGGTGACGAAGGTTAGGGATGGCCGAGATTAGTGATGCGAATTGGGAAGGCTTTTCAAACATCACTTTGTAGAGTCGGAGATGCGTTATGGTGGAGTGCACTGGGAGACACTCGAAGACATAGGCATGCATGGATGACGCTTTCCAAATGACTTTGATTAGGGTCAAGGACGTGATATTTGGTATCCGCCGTGCAAGCATTAGTACGAAGGTGGTGAAGTGGGGGATCAGTGTGTAAAGGCCTGGCGCTGGCTCAGGGAAAATGGCATGTCTGATAGCGGCTCCCAGGTGATGATGTCGGCGAAGGTGATTGGAAAGAGATACAGCTTGCTCGCGATCCGATAGCCATACGTTCCTTTGGAGATGGTACATGCTGCGATCGTACCATCCTTTACAAGCATGCGCACAAGCGATGAGCGTAATCCGCCATTCACGTGCCTCGAAGCGTGTCCATTCGAATTCGAAAGATATGTGGGTGGAGAGGAGTGCTATGTGATCGATGACCATCTCGCAGAGCTCGATGGGCAGCCGTGGAACGAGATGCAGTGGGGTTTCGCAATCATGGGGCCTCGTTGATGCGTCCTGAATCAACATGGTTTTTAGGTTTGTGAGCTGCGAGCAACCTTCATCACGTCCTCTACTTGATATCAGGACCCTACAACTGTGCTCGGCGTTGCATACTCACCGCGAGGGTGGAAGGGCCATAGACATAGGGGGCTTGGTCGAGGGCTTGAAGTGGTCGAGGGCTTGAAGTGGTCGAGGGCTTGAAGTGGTCGAGGGCTTGAAGTGGTCGAGGGCTTGAAGGGCCATGCGGCAGTGCTACAGTAGTATATGAGAGTGCCTAGAGTCCACGGGTCAGGCCGAAAAGATGAATGAAGACCATGCGACTCTGAAGGCTAACCTGACCAATACATATCCATTGCGAGCGGCATCCACGTGCAGTTCCCGTGGGCACTGAGATAGCCTCGAAGACTCTCGAAGACACGATTCAAGACCTGCATGCGGCGCTCGCGTGGAGGTACTACGTGTGAAGTTTGCGTCGAACCTAGGCACTGAGGTCAGGCTGTGCATACAGAAATACAGGATGTCGACTTTAGTGTACCGATTGGATTTCCAGCCTCTCAGCATGTCCGTTGCACAGTTGCACAGAAGAGAACTCCTGTAAATGACACAATCAACATTCCGTACAGACACGTGAGCCATGATCTAGCGGCCTTCCGAGATACACAGAGTTCTTGACGGTATGTCCGATAATATAGACAATCACATGTAGGATGGACTTAAAGATCCTGGCCAGTCGAGAACTGGAAAGACTGACAAGAGCGTCCTGAGCTCGAGCATGGGTATTCCGGCGTATAGCCACATGTTTGCACCGTGATTGTCCGAACTGAGGCCATATGCGAATAGTGCTCCCTATAAACGACGTTCCTTATTCCGATGACCTGTGCACGCATTGCATCGTTAGCCATGTACAACCACAAGGATCTGCCGCAATAAAATTTGCGCTGCGCCGGGCAGTGCGCGCAGCATCTTGTCAGCCCCGAGGAAGATGCAGTTCCGAGCCAACATGGCGCAGCCTGCAGCGAGCCACGCAGTGTTGATATATGCCACATGCTGTGATTGATCCACCTCCGCAAATGCAGACAATTCGACCGCCGTGACTCCTCGAGATGGCCGTCGTACCGTGCGTCCCTGTGCGTAAAGTTTCTAATCGCCTGTCGGACATGAGAAATAGCCACAAGAATAACAGCTGACCACTGGGAGAACACTGCCCTCGGTTCCGCGTTCAACCTCGGAGCACTGAAGTACTCGACGTACGCACTGCTTAGGTTTGTTATTCATGTAATCAGGTTTCATGGGCGTTCAGACATAGGAGGCACTCCACTCACTGACTAGAGCAGCAGTTACCCTCTGTACAACACGCCAAAAGGACACTAGAGTTAAAGTTCAGTTTGAATGATCTGTCATTGAGGCGCGGACCTACCGAAGGCAATGCGCTACGTCGCCTTTTATAGCATGGCGCTCGGGATGGTGATCGCGTGTTGGTTGAGGAACGATAGTCAGGTCTTGTCAGAGCACTGATCGGACCTCGGCGGAAGGCGTGCTGAGCGAACGCTATTCAGAAGTGCACAAACGTCTATTGACATGGTGGGGATGAGAGGCTTACGGAACTCGGTCGACCATAATGAGAGTCTCTTGTTCTACGGGGCTGTATCCGAGCCATCCGGTCTCATGTGGACGCGCAGCTGGGCGTTCGAGCTTCTGCTGCAGAGTACTGTCAGACGAGCCAACCACGGCGAATCTTGTGTTGACACCCTGGTAGATTGATAGGGATGATGTACGGTATGCCCGCGTGTGTGCTTGGGGCGTTGAGAGAGCAAGAGCAAAACGCTGGAATAGAACAGTGGGTATAACTGAGATACAACATACAGCAGAGAAGCGAAAATCCAGGCTTGGCTTCGCAAATAGTCAAGAAGCACACTCGTTTAGCCCTCGACTTGTTTCTCCAAATATTGTCGAATCATGGTCATGATTTCTTGCTGCACCTTCGGTGGTATTGTCGCTGTTAACCTGAAGCTGTTGACAGATCTCGGTTGATATCACGCTGGGAGCTACCTTCGGCTTGTGGCCGTAATTCGGTCATCATCGTCTCGGCCGATATACTGTCCGCATTACGGGCCATTTCTATAGATAGCTGATGAGTTGACGTCTCAATGCGGCTATGTTTGAGACTTACCTTTGCTCTTGTCCCGGAAGTCGTCTAGCCACCCAGATTCATTCAGCTTCTGGGTGAGGACCCACAGCAGTCTGCACCAGAACAATGTGATGACCGCTTATAACGCAAGCATAAGCACTATTTGCGTACCTATCATAGTCTCCGTGTCCGGTCATCCGACGGAGGAGCTGGGGGTAGAGGTCATTGCGGCCGTCGTTCCGGGGCATGGCCGGAGTCGAGTTGTGTGAACAAAGCGCCCGTGGGAATGGGTCGTACATACAGACCTGCCAAATTGGGAAACGACCTTTCTGCCACCCGCGAGCCTCTGCCCACCGTCCAGGTCCTCGCCGACACCGACGACGACGACCGCCATGCTCGCCAATTCTTGCAAAAACGCATGGCGGAGAGCCCAGCGCATGGTGCGCCTGCAGAGCACCGCTGTTGCTCCCGCGAAGTCACCTTCTCCGTGAGCAGTATGCGCTGCCTCGCTGTAACGCTGCTGACGACTCGCAGAAACTCAGCGGTGGTGTCCGCGGGTCAAGACCCAGCTGAGCGTGCATATGCTTCCTCTGTTGTGCACGGCCGCGCGCTCTTTGCGCCGCACTACCATCCCAAAACACACGGCGTGCCCGTCGCGCTCGTCCACTTCCGCTCCTACCATCTCGACCTCCTCAAGCTGTTCACCCACTTCAGCGCACACGCCGCCGCAGCGCTCGGCATCCCCATCTCGAAGACGGTCCCTCTGCCTACGAAACGCACACTCTGGACCGTCATGCGCGGCCCGTTCGCACACAAGAAGTCGCAGGAGAACTTCGAGCGCTGCACGCACAAACGGGTCATCAAGGCGTGGGACGCAGACATGGAGGTCATCGACCGCTGGGTGAAGTACATGGAGGAACACACCATGGCTGGTGTTGGTATTCGGGTCGTTCGGTGGCGCCGGGCGCCGGTGAGCATCGGTCGGAAGCGGTTCGACGCAGCCATGGGCCACATGCGCCTCGGAGGGCCGACGAGCCCGGAGAAAGTGAAGGAATTGGGAGAGAAGATTGTGCAGCAGGAGATGGCGGCGGCAGAAGGCAGGACAGAGCTAGAATCACCAGCAAAGTCCTCATAGACCGGATTGTTGTGAGTCGTAGGACATCTACCACGGTATCATGATCCCTGCTGTTGTCTTTCCTCGCACTATTCTATGCATGCTTGAGCTGTACACAATTCGCTGGTGCCATGAAGTAAGCCGTGCTCAATTGAGCCATCAAGAACTACAACTGCTCAGAATTTACAAAGGGCCTGTCATTCTCGGCGGCAAAGGCACCGCGCAGGACTTTCAGACTATCCTCATTGGAAACTCTGCTCGTCCGAGCACATGATGACTAGCTTTTCAAAGCAGAAGATTCGAATGCGTCGACGTAGCCACCAGTGGCCTTCCTGAGCGAAGCTATGTACTAGTAGTAGTACCAACCCTCGCCGGCGTAAGTACTCACTTGTGACGGGACTTAGATCAGTATTACAGTCATAAGTATGCCGTGTTACAATCGAAGATTTAGACAGTAACAGAGTAATCAATCAACTACTTACTATCCTACAAGCTGGGCGCCAATTGGGCGGCAACGGGCCATCTGCAAGAAGGTGGGCGCCTACAAGCTCTGACCTCAACCTCCTCGACGCCTCTCTCAGCATGACTTCGCACGACAACGATCCCTTCTACCTCAGGTAGGAAGACAAGTGCAAGGGCGTGTGCGCAATTTGCTCACGCCCGCCCTCTGACTTAGATACTAGTAAGTGTCCTTTAGACGGCCCACAGATGCTTTTCTGACGCGTCACCCAGCACCGGCCATTCTGGAAAACACGGACACGAGTTCCTCGAGTTCGAGTACTCGCATGGCCGTCTCCGTTACGCGAACAACTCCAACTACCGGAACGACAGTCTGATCCGCAAGGAAAGTGAGTATCGCGCCTCACTGACCCGCGTCTGTCGCAGGACACTCATGGTCTGTCAGTGTGGGTGGGACCGCTGGTGGTGAAGGAGCTGAAGCGCATCGTGGAGTCGAGTGAGATCACAAAGTGAGTGCGCTTGTGCCATACTGGGTATCGCTTGTCAACGCAGCCTCTTGCCGCCCATAGAGAAGACGATACGAATTGGCCGAAGAAAAACATCGTCGGCAAGCAGGAGCTTGAAATCCGGGTAGGCAACGACCACATCGCATTTGAGGTACGGTTTCCGCGTCGTGGAATACGCGTCACTGTACTCAAAGTATTCAATAGACTGCAAAGCTCGGATCTCTAGTAGACATTCAGGACAGTGAGGATCCGGAAGGGCTCCGTGTCTTCTACTACCTCGTCCAGGATCTCAAGGTAGGGTGTTCCATGCGTGCTTGTGTAGGATGTCGTTGACGTGTCCGATGTCCTCTAGTGCCTCATCTTCTCGCTCATTTCCCTGCACTTCAAGATCAAGCCGATTTAGCTGTTGTGTCTCCATTGGTCTGCTGTCTGTAGTAGTATGTGCTAAAATTCTGCTCTGCCGCTCGTATGTTATGGTTCTTGCAGCGTATACATAGGCCGTTCCATCCCATGATGCTCAATGTTTTGAGATACAAATCGCCGTCGCAATGAAGCGGCGACGTGAAGTCCGGCCGGCCATGTTAACAGCCGCGGAGGCAGAGGTCGGCACCTAGGACGGCAACCCCTCATAAGGGTTATGGTTCACCTTGTGCATGAGCTCATGGTACGACGCTCCGTGTAGTCTCATGCACCTGTCCCTCACTGCCTCGTAAGCTTCATGATTCATCGACTTCTTTCATATCCAGGCACTTCGTGCATGAGCGCGGTATGCTTGCCGCTGCAATATTCTTGTCTTGACCTTGCAGTGGGACGTGGTTGAACGTTGAAGTTTGGTTGAAATCGTCGCCTATCGTCGAGCTTCCTTGCGTCCGCATGCTGATTGATTCGTGCCAGGTTCGTGCTAAGTAGACCGATGCAGTTTACCGTATACGCATTGTGTTGTGCTTTCGGTCTCGCTGTACTGCAATCCGCCCGCAAGTTGCACAGGATGAGGACTGTTGATCTATGCTAATACCACTCAAAGTACACTCGCTTCTGTCACTTCGTTTCAATATGCCTTGGTCATCCACAGCTTATACATCGTCAGACGCGCTTGACGCGGATTCGTCCTTCACATGTAACCATGGACCGCCAGCGGCTTGTAGGGCTCCTCGAGGTATTTGATCTCATCCGCGGTCAACTCGACGTTCACCGCAGCTGCACACAATCGCCATCAGCTCCCGCGTCGGAAAGCTCGAGAGACCCCATTCACCGATGATGTCTTCGAGATTCTTCAAGCTCGTCGTGCCGACGATCGGCGCGGTGACGCCTTCGACGGAAATGGCGTATCAGTGCTCCTCCTTGGGACACCCGCCGACAGCTCGAGATACCGCCCACTCACCATCCTTCGCCAGGCTCCACGCGGTTGCGACCTGCGCCATGCTCGCGCCCTTCTTCTTCGAGATTTCCTCGACCCTATACGCGGATAATCGTCAGCAAGGTCACGAAACACTCCGCCTCTGCGAACGTGCCCTACCGGTTGACGATGTCAGACGTCCCCGCCCACTTCTTGTACGGTTCCGCATAACTATCGGAGCAACGCGAGTTAGCTGCGGCCATCGAGCCAGAGAGGCGGGAGGCACTCACGCGTCGGTCTCCCCACGCTTCGTCTGTGCGGAGAGCGGGCGGGCGAGGATGCCGCGGCCGAGGGGCGACCAGGGGATCGCGCCCACTCCGAACATCTGCGCGCAACGCGTGAGCATGACGGACGGGTGATGGAGAGTGCCAGGTGAGACCAGGTGAGAGATGGTACCTTGAGGGTTGGGAACATCTCGCGCTCCTCCTCGCGGTAGATCAGGCTGTGCTGGTTCTGCATTGAGACGAACGGGGTGAGCTTGTTCTGGATCGCGTAGTCTGCGGGTGCATGGAGCGCCGTGTGAGCAATCTTGTACTTCACAATGAGGGGCACATACTCTGCATGGCGTGGACTACAGATGCATCTCGTCAGTATGAGTTTGTATGCTCTCCAGGACGGCGGCCAGCTGCTAGTGGCTCAGCAGGAGGCGACCGAGATGCTATGGCCAGCTCCTCGATCTTGTTCGGCACCGCATATAACGCAATGGTAGATGTGGACGGAGAAGACGGGTAGGGCGAAGGTCCGTCAGGCGCAGGCCCTTCGACTGTCCCAAAGACGTTGGTGGCTATTGACGGTGTCTGAGCAGGATCCTCTGATACCATAATTTTCTGAGCGCCAATAGCTTCACTGGCGATACCGAGAGCATCTGAGGACAAGGTCGGGTTGAGTGGAACCACGCCGGTGATGACGGTCGGGCTTTGATAGTCTTGCGGGACTGCGACGACCCCCTGTTCCTGGTCAGTCTTGGTCCCTGGAAACTCGACGACTGTCGTATCAGCCGGAACAACCGAGCTCTCCGGATAAGCGACAGCGTCAAGAACGGAAAGCCTCTTGTCTTCATCTCGAGTAGGCTGGGGAGTAGCAGAGGCAGTAGGACCCACAGAAACAGAGGTAGAGGGCTGAACATCGGTGTCGGTAGGCTTGACGGTCGGTTGCAGAGTCTCGACGGAAGGAAGCGCAGCCGCAGCAGACGTCGGGGTAATAGAGACACAGTCGACAGGAGTAGAAACCAGGTTTGCGGTTTGAGACTTGACGTTCTCCGCGGCAGCAACCTCAAACGCAATGTCCTTTCCGCCGTCGTTCGCATGAATGTTCGTAACATCTGTGAGCGGCGCCCAGCTTGTGCGCTTGACCTTTGATACGACTGTTGGGTCGACCAAGAGACCGTCCCGAGAGGCCTTGGAGACACGGCCATGTCCTCGTCGAGCAAGGGCGACCTCGTCGCGGGCACCGCCGTCGAGAGCACTGCGCCTAGGAGCAGGTGCAGAGTTCGTTCTAGTAGTTGGGAGAACGCGCGCGCTGGCATGATACGGGGCCGAGGGTGTAGAACCAACTTTAACATCGGGTATGTTCTTAGATGTGAGCATTGGGAGACCCATGGGTTCATGCGCAGCAGCGCGCCTGGCCTCAACGTCCAATGGTGGCTGACCTGGCTGAACGACGGGTTCGGGCTCCGATATCAGACCAAAGTCAGGCAGCTTTGGGGCACTTGAGTCGTCTTTAAATGCTGTTCGGTCAGCCGCACGCTCTGTATGCTCGGTGGTCGTGACTGCAGCATCCGCATCGATATGCATGAATTCTTCGTCCTTGATATCGACGACGGTGAGGCAGCGGGAGTCGGGTTTGGCCTTGCCGCGGCAGACGATGGCGTTCACGAAGGCCTTGAGAGACTTCCGGAAGCGCTTCTTCGCCTTTCTGGACTGTGGGCCCATCGGGGGCCGCGGGAGATGGGGAAGCGAGTTGATCGAGTCGAGACTGGCGCTGCAAACGGCGTAACACATGCTCCGCCGACTCGCCCAGCTTCCCGCGCCTCCTCGAGTAGTCAACGCCCTGTACCTACCTATGACTTGCTGAGTACGAGGGATGTGATGACGCGCGAGGGACTGGTACGAGTGGAGGGAAGGACAGAAAGAGGCAGAGAAAAGGGGCCAGCGACGGCAGGATATATGCAACGTAATGCCAGCCGCCACGATGAGGCTGACGCATTGCGATCCGCCTCGCGGGCTCGACGGACTGCGAGTGACGATGTTAGCGTTGATAACATCTAGTTTCTGCATTATTCATACCAGTGATCATGAAACATGTGCCATACGTTGTCTGGCTGCAGACGCAAGCGAGCTAAGTACCTGCATATTGAGACAACTCTGCTATGCGCATCTATGGGCAATGCGCGTTAGTCTCGGCTTCGCCACAAGTACATCGACTCACCACAATATGCCACGCATACTGATCATCATCGTGAACCGCAATGCTGATGTGGAACATTAGTTCACATCTCCTGGCAGCCGCTGGGTCGACCGCCACCGCCCTGGTCCGTCCCAGCGACCTCCCGCCCGCCTCCAACCTTCCTCGCGCAACATTACCGCCCAGCAGCGGTACGCCCGATTCTCCCTCATTGAGAGAGTCGTGCGAGTGCCCTTCAGGCCAAACGCGAGCCCCGCGAACGTCGCCGCCGCCACCGCCGTCTGTCCGCAGTGGAAACGACCATGCAGGATCATACATATCTCTCAGTTTTGAAATGGCAGTCATTTCGGTTCAGAGTTGAGAAACTACTGGGTGGAAAGCAATACGTTGAGTGTATACGCCAAGCTGGGCAGTAATCAATCCTGTAAGTAGCGCGGTTGCATTATGTGACTATAGATTGTGACTCACGTCATGTGCAACGTGACGTTCGCCACCAGCGCGTCGCGACAAACGCGGAACGCGTTTTCGACCGCGACACCACACCCAGCGTCTTGTCTGCTACTCTACAGTGTCCCAGCATCCATCAATATGCCCAGAGACTCCTTGGACTCACAGCTTGGTACGGACTATGACCCAGACCAAGATCCTGAGGAAAAGCGCACCCTTCGGCGTCAGTACCGCAGCCTCTACAAATCCACCACAGAAGGTGCGTGCGCCCTTGGTCGAGCGACATCTAAGGCATATAAACAGCGGGATATGGACAGATGCACAGGGGCATGCGCAGGACCTTACCGCGGAGCAGTTGGTGGAGAAGGTCAAGCAGTCTGACTCTTTGTTCCATCGTGGTAAGTTGTGTCTTCATTGTAACAAGACTCCATCTCACTTCCCATCGTGCAGTGAAGGGAACAGCGGAGGCAACACTTGACTCCACCTTCCTGCTCGCTGCGACCCAGATGGGCGCGGCGAAAGCCCGCGCCATGAAGGCGGGTGCCGGCGCATTCGACGTCGATGATTTTGTCTCTCGTCTCATCACCTACATGGGACGCAACCAAGGTGTAGCTGTGCCTGAGGACATCGACTCGGATGAGGAGCAAGACTACTCGGGAGAGCTGCTGGATTTTGCCCGTATCGGCCGTCGGGCGTTGGCGAAGAGCCACCGGGTGCCTGTGATGGACTTCATGTGTGTTGTGTTCTCCACGTATGAGCAGGCCGGGAGGGTTGACGGTCAATCCTCAGGCTCGGTCCTCTCTCGATAGAGCAAAAGAAACGAGCTGTTATCAAGCGCGCAACATTGCAAAAGGATGAGCGAGAAAAGAAGAAGCCACAGGAGATCACGGAGAGCGACATCACGCGTTCCGAGAACGAGACTACAAAGAATGTTGCCACTGTACGTCATCCTACTCCGCCTTGATTGAGGAATGTTCCGTACTAAGGGTCCGACGCTACAGTTGGAACGCATCTTGCAACAGCAGGACAACAAAGTGAACCTGTTCCGTGTCATCGTCAACCCTGACGACTTCGGACAGTCCGTCGAGAACCTGTTCTATCTATCGTTCCTCATCCGCGACGGAAAGTGCGCGCTCGAGTTCGAAGACGGCGAACCATTCATCTGTGCGTCGTTTGACGTGCACAATTAGGAACAATTTCCCTGATACATCCGCTGATGCACCCTGTACATTTCCCTGCTCTTCACAGATGTCACAGAGCAGCCGTCAGAGGAGGACTACGCCGCGGGTCTCCGGAAGCAGCAGATGGTTATGGAATTCGACATGGCCACTTGGAGGGTGCGTGCCAGACCTCATGCATCAGCATCCGCATCCTCCTTCCCTTCCATGTCTGACGCCGCTTTATGACAGAGGGCCATCGAAGTTTTCGACATCAAGGATGCATTGATCCCTCAGCGGCCCAAGTCGACGATGAGAATCGGCGGAAAGTGGTATGGATAACTGGGTTCCCGGGGACCTCGTACTATTCCTCTTGGCCTCAGGGCGCAGTGACTGACCGTTACATGTGTAACGTTCGATACCTTGCACCCTGGCCTTGCTTATCGTGTTGCTCGTTGCTTTATACCACCCCTGTTCATGCTTACTGTATGTCGTGTTGTACACTGTAGTTGGTACTGTAGAGCTCGACTGTGTACTGAACCTTCTCGCTATGCTCCCAAATTACGAACGTGACGTGGCTGGCCGATAACCTGGCTGAGGGGCACTTCGGAAACCTCCCGGACGTGCGGCGGTGCAGGATGAGCTGCAACATCGAAAGCATTCAAGATTACACTGTCTACTATGTTCTACGTCACACACACGGATGACAAGCTGCCTGTCATCACTTCAGCTTCTCAAACATCGCAATGGATAGTTCCAAGTTGTCGACCTCGGTCTCAAGCAATTTCCGCTGTACATCCACAAGCATGAGCGGCACTGAAGAGCCCTGACGCGCGGGTATCACTAACCTTCTCTTCGTTGGCCGCACGCACATCCGCGGGGACGGACTGCTCATAATCAGCGGGCGACTCCATCTTCCGTGCCTTGTTGAGGTTGATCCGTGCCAAGTCCAGCTTCTTCTGAGACTTGAAGATCTCACTGTCCAGGTCGACCTGGCCCTAAAGCGCGGGTGCACAAGATAGTCAGCGGAGTCCTTCGACAATCAATCACGCATGGAAGCACGATAGGAAGGGGAAGTGAGGTTGGACCGGACACTTACCCGCACAAGGATGTACACGACAATCGTGGAGGAGATAACATCGGAGCCGCAGCCAGCGGGGATCTCCTCAAGTGTCCGCACAACCTTCGCAGATTTGAAGTTCTTCGTGAGCGCCAGGATGGTCGGGAGCTGGCCCTCCACGAGCATAGCGTCCTTGTCTGATTCGATACGTACGAATACTGCGGGCAGTGTGGTCAGGACTAAGCCTTGTCGAGCGAGAGGCCGAGATAACTGAGCACATACGCTGGATATCCTTCTGCAGGTTATATCGTGCGGCGAGGGAACGGCCGGTCTTGGCCACTTCGTACACCAGCCCGAACTCCTTGGCGGCCTCAGGGAAAGTGAAGGCCTTGTCCTGATAAATGATACATTCGCAATCAGTGCGTCCATGTACAGTGTAATGGGAGGACGTACATATGTGGGGAACGAGGATACCATGATCGATGGGGTAGGGTCATTTGGTCTGCGCGGGAGGCGCTGCCACAACTCTTCCGTGACGAATGGCATGAAAGGATGGAGCATGCGCAAGCCGTAGTCCAAACATGTGTACAGCGTCTGTTGCGACGACTTCCGGGTTAAGGGCGAGGCAGACTCGTCCGTCATAGCCTTCATCGCTTCCTATATTGGTGCCTTTGTCAGCGCTGCATCAAGCAATATGAAGATTGCCTACGCACAATGTAGACGTCGCACAGCTCATACAGCCAGAAGTTGTGCACAGCAATAGTTGCTTCAAAGAAGTCGCGGCGCTCTAGTTCACGGTTGAGCTTGTCCACGGCGAGGTTGAGCTTGTCAAAGATCCACAGTTCTACGAGGCTCTCGTTCCCTGTCGGACGCGCAACTGGCTCTGGCACGAACTCCTCGTCCAACTTCAGCATGGCGAACTTGGTCGCGTTGAAGATCTTGTTGCAGAACTTGCGGTAGCCCTCGACACGCATGATACTCAAGTTGATGTCGCGACCTGCACAGAAGCTCAACACACATGCAGCGACCAGAATAACGACGGTGCTCACCTCCAGACGAGTAGGCGCAGAGCGCGAAGCGGAGAGCGTCCGTGCCACATTGCGGGATACCCTTCGGGAAGTCCTTCTTCTGGCCCGTCTTCGCCTTCGCGATCTCCTTCTCGTCGAGGTTGCCTTCGTACAGCTTCAGGTGCAGGTCATCGAGAGCGATACCCTCAATAACGTCGATCGGGTCGATGACGTTGCCGAGCGACTTGCTCATCTTCCGGCCGTGCGCATCCCGGATCATCGCATGACAGAAGACCTCCTTGAAGGGCATCTGACCGGTGTGGTGGATGCCGAGCATGACCATGCGTGCCACCCAGAAGAAGAGAATGTCCCAGCCGGTCTCGAGTACATTGTTCGGGTAGTACATCTTGAAGTCTGAAGTCTGCTCTGGCCAGCCCATAATGGAGAACGGCCACAGACCAGAGGAGAACCAGGTATCGAGAACGTCCTCATCTTGCTCCAGGGTAAACTTGTTATTACCAGCGAGCTTCTGAGCGCGCTCGGTGGCCTCTTCCACCGACCGGCCTACAACCCAGGACTTGCCGTCGCTTGTCTATGATTCGGTCATTACTGGAATCTCTTCGTCTGAAAAAAAGACTGACATCCTGCTCTAGGCCTTCTATCCGCACGAAGTACGCCGGACACCGGTGGCCCCACCACAACTGACGAGAGATACACCAGTCCTGGATACCTTCCAGCCATCGGTACCACTGAGTCTCCGACGACTTGGGCTGAATCACCATCTCGCCCGCACGCGTGCGCTACGAATGAAATCAGTATGAAACCCGTGTTGCTACCGTGCTTCCACGCTACGCACCTGAATTGCCTCCTCGGCAAGCGGCTTGCAGTTCACCCACCATTGTGGCTTGAGCAGGGGCTCGATGACGTCGCCGGACTTGCTGCATACGGGGATCTGCATCGGGTTGTCCTTGGCCTCGACGAAGAGGCCCGCGTCCTGCAACTCCTTGACGACGGCCACACGGGCGTGGAACCGCTTCATGCCCTGGAAGGGTCTGAGTATTCTCTCCGCGGCTCTCCGATTGATGTGGAACCAACCTTGAACTTCTCGCCCGCGTTGGCGTTGAACGTCCCGTCGTCGTTGAGGATGTTGATGAACTCCAAGTTGTGTCGGACACCGACCTCGTAGTCGTTGAAGTCGTGCGCGGGCGTGATCTTCACGGCACCGGTACCGAACTCCATGTCGACGGCGATCTCGTCCGTAACGATAGGTATCCGCCTCTTATTGAAGGGGTGGACGGCATATTTGCCGTGAAGGTGCTGTCCGGTTGTTGAGAACAGACAATGATACGCTGGCGACGGTTACCTACCTTGTATCGAGGGTCATTCGGGTGGACAGCAATAGCAGTATCACCCAGCATGGTTTCGGGACGCGTCGTAGCCACGATGATTCTCTCGTCTATTCGCCGTCAGTGACGCTGCTAGGCGCCCAGTGAGACAATCACACGCACCGGAACCTTCAATGGGGTATGCGAAAGAGGTGATCACTCCGAACTCGAACTTCTCCTTTGCATCATACCCAGGGACGTTGAGTAATGTCCTCCCGGTAAGCTCTTTTTGGTCGACCTATTCAGATAGATCAATGAGCCACTGAGGTATTCGTTACTAATCGTAGAGCACACCTCGAGGTTGGAGAGAGTCGTGTTCAAACGTACGCACCAGTTGACAAGTCGATTTGCGCGGTAGAGGAGGCCAGCGTCATGGAGGCTGCAGAAGTTCTCTATGACTGCTTTGTACCGTGGCTGGAACAGAATTCAGTGTCTAGTCTACGGCATGGCAGGCAATTCACCAACCTCGTCCATGGTGAATGCCACACGGTCCCATTCGAGACTGCCCCCCAGGCGTCTTAACTGGCTCGTGATACGAGCCTGGTACCTGGGGGAACATGCATGAGTTGGAAGTGTACGGACATTTCAGCTTGAAGCTTGAATACTCACTCTTCCTTCCAGTCCATAACAGTGTCGAGGAACTTTTCACGCCCCAAGTCATGCCTTGTTTTGCCCGACGTTTTGTACAATCTCTTTTCCACCACAGATTGCGTTGAAATGCCAGCATGGTCATATCCAGGGACATACAGGACCGTCTTTCCGAGCATACGTTGCCTAGATGACATTGAGCATGACATTTTACGTACTCTATAATAAAGTGGAATCACGGCATAGCTACGCGGACTGGGCTCGCACAAGGGGCTCATACCAGAGACCACTTAAGGTGGCAATGCAGTCGATTCAGTGGGTACGGGGACCCCAGGCGACTACTCAGCGCATTATCCACGTCACTGCCCGCATTCACCCGGAGCAGTGTCGCAGATTGGGTGAACACGAGCTATGACGAATGTGGGGAGTTCATGCACTCTCGCCCTCGCATATCTGATATGCCGAGCGCACCGTTGTTATGACTCACCATCGAATGAGTGTGTCCTGAATAGCCACGGTCAAGGCGTGTCCGATGTGTAAGCTACCCGTGACGTTGGGAGGGGGGAGAGGAATGACAAATGAGCCTTCTGGCTTGACCTTGCCAGCTGGTGTGAGCTGGGGCTTGAAATACCCTTGCGCCTCCCACCAGTCGTACCAAGCTGCCTCGACAGCGATCGGGTTGTAGCCGCTACCCATGGGCTGCGAGACATCTGTATGCAGGTCAAGGCAGGTACAGCTGGGCAGGAGAGCGACACGCACCCTTCTTGTCTCCCTTGGGCGTGGTATTAACGAAAGGTGCCTCCTCATCCTTGTTCTTCTCCTTCGCTGGCTTAGCCTTCTTCTCACCCGAACTCGATGTAGCTCTCGCCATGGCGACCTTTGCAGCTAGTTTGGCCTCCTTCTCCAGCCGCTTGGCCTTCTTTCTCTCTGAGAATTCCCGAATAAGATCATGAGTTATATTTCATGAGATGCGAACCAACATACCGACGTTCTTCGTGATCGACGCCAGGTCTGGCGCTGTAGCCGCATCTGCGGAGGCCGGATCCGACATGTTTGGGAGGCGGGGGACGTTGGAATGCCGTCTGAGAGATGGAGGTGGGCTCGGCCTCAGCAAGCGTGGAGAGCGGGTAAGGAATCGATGCAAGACTTGCATCGACTCAAATCCGATGAACCTCGCACACGCCGAGTCACGAAAAGAAGCAAGTCTCCCACGACAGCCATGACACGCCCCACGTGGCATATTGCGGTCACGGGATCGCGTCTACATCGCACGTCCGACCCCGGTTGTTGTTTTTGAAGTCGTCAATGGACATGCTGGAGTTCTGCTGGACCAGGAGTACGTACTCAAGACTTAGTATAGATGCCATAAATCCGATGAGTCACAGCGATTTGTCTGGGGTAAGGCATTCACTTCTGATGGCAGTAAGTACTAAGGTAGAAGAGTGTCCCGACCCTTTCTCGTCCTCCTCTGTCCATCACCATTTGTGCCTGAATATCGTTGCGCATCTCATCCCTCCACCGCCACACAGTAAATGACTTCCACGCCGCACGAGCATTTTTTCCGTTTGCAACGCCCCGGTCAGCACGATCAACCGTGCCGTCGATGTCGAGGATACCGGATTCCACCATGACGGGGTCAGCAATATTGTTCATGAGTTGTAGTCTGTCCTGGGGCTGCGGCTCTCCGCGCCCGTTTACCAAGAGTGTCAAGTGTAGGCTGCGCGTCGACCTCGGTGGGACGAGTACGCTGATAGTGGAGCTAGGTCCATCGATGCTATCGACCTGTATGAGAGCGCTTTTAGGGCGGATAGGTCACGAATGCGTTTGATATACATACGAGGACGTCCTTCTCGATGGTCACTTGAAGCTGAGCAAAGTGCCTTCGATATGAGATAACGTCGCCTTCCTGCAGAAGCCCGCGCTTAGCGAGCGCTGCCAGGTCGACCTGCTGCGATCTACGCAGCCGCAGCTCAGCCTTCTTGCTACGTAGCACGAAGCGACTCTACTCACTGGTTCTGCTGCGGGGAATGGTCTCTCTCCCAGACTTCGTCCTTCCATTCTGCATGCAGGGTGCCTTGCCGCACGCCGGCCTGAAACTGCGCTGCTTCTTCGCGCGCCTTCTTTCCAAACCAGCCGGAGAACAGATGGTCCTGGTAGGTGTGCGCAGCGGATAAGAAGAACGGCGACGTGAAAACCGCAGGGTCTAATGTCGCAGGCGTCTGCTCCTGGAGAAGCCTGGAGCTGGGGGACAGTTGCGTGTCGACGTCCATACGGTCGTCATCCGGGGCCGCGGTGGCTGCGTTATCGAATAGTGGCGTCCGATAGTCGACATGCGTGGGAGGTACAGATGGCGAGAAGGAGATGAAAGCAGTCGGCGGAAGGAGGGACACAAGGAGGCCTTGCGACTCGGGCGACAAGTCTAGGAGGTTTGCGTAGCTCAGGACGTCCTTCCGAGTCGGAGTAAGTTATTTGGTATCAGAAAAGGCCGCGGATGTACACACGGAGATATCTATCTTGGTGATTTTGCTCCTGGGATTGGTCAGGACATATTCAAGCCTTTCCGCTGAGTTCTTCTCGGGAGCCTGTGCCTTGCCTTTCCCCGGTGAGTTGGAGTGCTCACCTTCCGTCACAGCGAGAGGCGTCTTGATGGTAGCGCGGGTTGAGCGGCGAGGGCGACCGCCCGCGACGCTTGTCTCTGACATTCCCTTGATGAATGACGCAACGTTCCTGGGATATACTGGCTCCGCATTCAGCACTCAATACACTGAAGATCGTTGTCGCACATGTACCTCCTTCTCAGTTCGATGGACCTCTTGCGTGGTCCCCCTGAGAAGCCGTAGCTCAGGTCACACCGATAGCCCAACCGGTGTGGAGTAAACTGACCGGATACACAACGTCAGCACTGTGAAACAGCCTATGTAGAATACGGACTGATTCTTGTATGAGGCAAACGGATTTCTGACTATGACTCGTGGTCGTCTGCCGCAAGGGATTCGAACCAGTGTGTGGGTCAGCACTGACTTGACCAGAGGGTTTGCACAACGCGCGTCACGCCGGAGTGCGATTGCTGGCTTGACAGTCGGAGTTTTGAGCGGTTGAACCAGGTTAGCCTCACTCTGAAAGCTCAGTATAGTTAGCAGACCTACCCAAGTCGTACTGACACAGTGGCAATGGATATCAGGTGTATCGGAGACGCGCATGCCAGTTCCGACTCACCGTGCGGCGTGCATCTTCGCGTCGCACGTGCCTTCGACGCGCCTGTGGCGTCTATGTGCGTGATTGTGAATATCGTCGCAGCGCCGCCGCATGCCTCGATGTTTCCCTCCTGAGACTCCTGACAGTGCAACAATCTAAGGCTCATAAACAAAGTAGTAATGAGTATGCCTTTTGCAGCGAAGCAAACTCAGTACTTGGATTGTATGTACGCGAGATCCAAGCTGGTACTTCAGAAGCTCATCCACGGCTGACCTTTAGGCTCATGGAGTCAGCCAGGACCATTGGCCGAGCATCGCAGTGTCCTATTCATATCCAGAAATCTACAACTTCTCTCATGCTCCAAATTGCCACCGCCCATATACTGGTGGGACCGAACGCATGAGAAGAGGAGTGACGGCCGACAGAGGGCTTCTGTACTTCCTTACGGTATGAGGGTGCACCCAAGTGGACCTGGCGAACCTAATCATAGACCCCTACATTGCATTAGCATCTACAAGCACTTGATATACCGTGTATGATGGGGCGCACGACACATTACATGGGGGACAGGACGAACCTTGTATCGAGAACGGTTGGTACACGTCGCGATGGACCACATACAACTCACAAAGCCTGACGAATATAACAGTACCCAGAAGCACAAGGTTCGCGATCGATCGTCGCTGCACGCATTTGTTTGCATGTATGTCAGCCTCGCTGACAACCTCTCTAAGTATTCGACGCTTCAGATAAGCGACATATACAGGGTGCTGCAACACGGCGCAGTTATGGCGTAGCGCCGTTACCGAGTAAGTATCAGGGATCCAGCGTACTGCATAGGCACAACGCAGCGCGTGGACACGGATTAGATTGACGATTGCAGACATGGTCTAATGAGACCGGCATGCGTACAATATCAGTGAGGTAGGTGTCCGAGGGTATAGAACTCTCTTCCACAAATCAATCGAGGCCGATGAGCTGGACATGGACAGGAGTGCAAGTGCTGAAGTCGTAGTCGGAGCTGCCCTGGGCCGCCTCGAAAACAACGATATCCTGTCCGTTGGAGTCCCCGCTGGTGGACTTGCAAAGGGAGAACGAGTCGGTGTCCTTGTTGACAGAAAGGATCGGGTACGGGTTACCACCGTGGGGATCGGTGTCAGCCTGAGCGCGTGCGGTGAGCTTCAGCGATCTCACACAACGGTAGAGGCACATACAACACCGCAGTACACCTGCGCGGGCGCCGGCACGCTGGTTTCACTCGCCACGAACGAGGGCGCGTCACCGGAGTTGACGCTCAGGTCGGTGACGTTCACGCCAGTTGCGTTGACATTAGGCGACAAAACACCCTGGCTAAGCGAGAACGCCGCGAACGTGTTGTCGGGCTGGGTTGCGTAGGTCTGCGGACACATTCGATTCATACGGATATTGTCTATAAGACATGCTACGTACCGCGATCGCCATGTAGGCAGTGTCGCTGTCGAGCGATGTCTCGGTGAGCACGAGAGGGACACCAGTCGTGTTCGCATTGCTGCCCGAAGTGTCGTAAGCGGCAAGAGTGAAGTTGGGCGCGGTATCAAAGGCACCAGGACCGAGGCCTTGGCACCAGTCGGCGGTACTTTGCACGAGGCCCTTAGGGACCGAAACGGCCAGAGAGATGGTGCCCATCGCCAGAGGAAGGATCGCGTAAGAGAGCATTTTCGCGTTAGAGAAAGAGCGTGCTGGGAAAGGACAGACGGGGGGTGGTGAGTGAAGGCAGATTCGGAGAGGGAGAAGGCCTCGCGAACTGCGCTGCCTCACTTTTTGAACCCCTCGCTTGTCGGCACTGCTCACCTGCTCACCCCCGTTTCACAGCTGCGAAGCGTCATCGATTCATCTGCTGAACAGCCGAGCGAATCAACTTGCGAGCATCCGAGTAAGTACACGCGGTGCAGCGATCATCATGGGGTTGGGACAACCTGCAAGACTTCGCACGTCGCTCGCTCCGTTTCTCGCTATGCATCGAGCGGGCATAATCCGCGCTGGTAGCTGGTTACATACATGCACGAAAGACTGTCGAGTCGCATTCAGAGGGCGAGGTTCGTTCGACGGCAGGCCGCGGCAACTTGCAAGCGTCGGTCTCGGGTCTCCACTGCGGGCTCGACTTCTATTGATCACCATCATACGGAGCCGGTCGCACTGCTTACGTACCCCGATCTGGAGAAGCCAAGAACCGGAGCGACGCTACTGTCCAAGACGTTGCCGCGTCAACATTGCTTCAAGTACCTTGGGGGACAACAGTGACAAAGTAATAATGGCACATACGTATGGAACTCACAATTTGCTGCAGGAACGTGAATACCAGAGTAAGTAGTACCACACCTAGCTCGGAGGCGTGGTGACTGGTTGTGTTCAGACCCATTATGAGCGAACCGACACTGCTCGTCAGATTCGGTCTCCTTCCAATTTGAAGTTTCATCTGTTTTCATGTCTTCCTGAGGCAAGAATACTGTAGGCTTCGTGCCCATGACAAAATGAAGCGCGATGATGGAAAAGCTCGGGGCGCAAGACTCCCGCGGAAACAATTACACCTTCCAGAAGCGGAAGGTGCCCGAGATCCCGACGCCCACGTGCCATTATTGGGGCGGCCCGCCGGCGCCAAATGTTCGCCACCTCCTCTCGACCGCCAGTGCCACAGTCTAGTACTTGCGAATGTTCGTCAAGCTTGCTGAATGCAACATTTAACGAGTAAATGGGCAATGCAACGCTGAGCTTGAACTTCATGATATAGACGTGTTTGATCTTGAGGTCTGACAATCGCTTTCACAAGGTCCGATGTGACTTTCAATTACCGAATGGGGCCCACCGGATGCAGGTACAACGGTGAGTGTTGCAAATATCGCATTCAGTCTGTTTCTTGACGTTCCAGCTTCAACAGCACAACTTCTACTGAGTCTTACGCTCAGACGATGATATTGGCCAGTTGTCCGCTTTCTCCTCAAGCTCAAGGACCTGGTATGTGTCTCGTCTACTCGTCTCAATCAGTTCAGGACCCGTGGGAGTCGTAGGCTTCGATGGGCAGCCTAAGCCCACACATAACCTTGCACCGTGCCCGCAGAAGCGCAGTTCTATGCGTCTTTCAGGTGCATATATGCATGCGGTCTGTGTGTGGATGTGTTCGTGCGCACAAATCATATGTGGCCGTGCATCAAGCATGCACAATCTTACAGGCCGGTCAAGACGGACATGCCACGCTTTCGGAGCAGCCTTCACCCATCCTTTGAACTATTATATGTCATTCTCGATATCGCAAGAACACCTCGACTGACATTTGGCAATTCATACTCAATGTCGGCCCTGGACGTTCTCGCGGCTCACCCGGTAGTCACGGAATTGTGTGGCACAGCAAATCATTAGCAAACCATCGGTGTCCGAGAAGATAATGAACCGATCGGGGAAGCCATGCTTCTGCAGTCGCCGATGAATCTTCATGGTAAGCACTGTCACGGGGCTCCAAGTGACGTGGATTCTCATGCCCACCATGTCCCATTTTCATTCGAAAGCGACGATCTACCAAAGCCAGTCGCTGCTCGACCGGCGTCTGAGCATTTGTGGTACGTTACATTTGCTGCCGAGGCGTTCGGACCACATCGCATACATCTCTTCATCAGGCTACTTCGCAATATACAAGCGGCCCGAAAAGGTTGAGCATTTTGATGTCGACTTGCTTCCATATACTCTAGCCACAACTCTGTCGGGTTGATAACACCCGCTACCTCCACAGTCAGCGCAGCACAGAACAAATTGTCCCAAATGCACATCACCGTTTGCTTCGTTCACTCGTTATGCACTAGTGGCGCTCAGTCTCATTCTGTAGTGTCGCTTTTTGAATCTGCACAAAGGGCCATCGCTCGCTCAACGCGACTCCTCAGGTACAGTCAATCCAACTGCATTACCCTGAAGGGTCCTTGACGCTCACTCGCCGCGGCAGGGCGTCCTCAGTCAGTAACAGCCTTAGCCAATACGGGAAACGCATTCCTATGACTCCCGCCTCGATAACTCATATCTGATGGGAGTTCCTGTGCTCGATGACCGTAGGTTCCATTTGCGACAGACGGGCAGCGCATCGATATGTCTCGCCTCGCCTGTGTCATATCGTAAGGCAGGACCTCTCAATGGTGGCTCAGTGGTTTGTCAACGGTGCTGTCGGCCGAAGCATCTATTCGTAGGTACGGTGTGTCAGTGATGATCAAGCGCTTCGTTGTGTGGGTGTTAATAACAACTCTTATGTAGGCCGGGCCATTGACTAAATCTGCTTGCGTCGAAGGGCCCCGCACAGAAACACAATCACAGAGAGGTTGCTATCACAATCAACTGCGACTCCGTACAATGGCCATTGTTCCGACAGTAGCAATCGAACTCGGGAGGGATAAGTAGGATTACGGAGCATCGTAGCCGGTATGATCTCCCATCTCTCGACCGATCTGACGAACTAGGTATTTTAGACTTCGCACTATCGCCCTCTGCAATCTGCGAGGAACAGATCTTGTGCTCCCACAAGAGCAGTCACACGTGTACCGAACTCATTTTTCGACGCCCGGGCGCCCGGAGCAATGCTGAGTGGAGCTCGAAGCCTCCGTGTCCAGACCGTTTGGACTGCAGCTGGGCCATACCCTGAGTTCTTCGGGCCTGGGTGCGACCTGGCTGCGCGGGCGGACATCGATTGCACGTACCTCACTTGCAGCAGGGATGGTCGTGTCCACATGGTGTCTAAAATCTACGACTGCGAGTAAGTAAACCGGAGGATTGTGTCCTGTACGACCAATCACTTGACAGATGCAGAGCCCCTTTCTGGCGCGCAATCACAGCGTTAACTCACGACATCGGCAGGAATTCAAGCAATGCGACTGCTGTATCAGACTGCAAGGCGCCTCCACAATGGGTTCCGTGGCCCGTGGGGTCAGCGAGCTTGTGGAGAAAGAGACCTATCTGCCGGAATCTCTCGGCCGTGACGCTTCCGTGACGCGACTCAAGAACAGCTGCGTGACCGTGGAGGAGGCCCGGAGTGCGAGGCCCGTGGGTGTGGGGCGAGCACCACTGCATGTGCGAGGCGGACGTCCGGTATGTATGGAAGTGAAACCTCGCACCTTCATCCGTTTCTTCGTCGGTTTTGCCGATCTGCAGGGGTTCGCTCCACGAAAAGTTCTTCTTGGACCCTTGCTATGCAGGAGGCCGACGCTTGCAGCCTCGGAACCGACGAACGGTGTGATCGAGAACAACGATCATGATTGCCTGAGAGAAGGCAACGCCCCAGTTCGCAATGATTCACTCTTCAACAGATACACTGTGGCATACCTCAGAGTGATCCCGTGTCGCGCGCTAGTGGCGCTACGTCAAGCAGAAGTCCTCAGCTCGATATCGGAACAGGTACGCGAGTCACTGACAGTTCATTACATAGAGTGCACGATTCGAGGTCTTGTCGGGCACCTCGGTCCATGCACTACGACCGGGGGTCATGATGGCAGTCAGTGGCGATTGCGTTCCTAGCTGAGTGGGGTAAGCAATCTCTTCGTGAGACTCCGACTCCTTACTCACATGTCATTGCCGCAGTACCACCTCCGGAGGATACTGGCACCCGAGCACATGCAACTGCTAGCGGTTTTCTTGGACATGTTCTCAATTAATGCTGACGATCTGTGTGCATCAGACGTTAACAACAGGCTGAGGCCGCCGCAACAACGCTTTTCTAGAGAAATGACCTCCGTCCCCGAACGATTTCGTTGCCCTGGCTATACGCCTGCTGGTCAACCAACGGTCCGTGTTCTTGTGAGGCACGAGCGTACGGCCTAGTCGCAAGTCTCGAGGGTCTCAGGCCCACGAAGACGGTGATGCCGTACCCTCATCGTGTCAAATGTGGACATTCTTCACCTGGTTCGCCGCCGGACAGATGGTGGCGAACCTTCTGCTTCCCACATCGATTGATGGGCACTCCGCGAGTGGCGATTGTGCTGCCGTCTTCCGCATGGTCTAGACAGCTGTGCAGGATTCTCCCATTGGTGGACCTACGGCTCAGCTAAAGCCGAGTACCGTAGGGATCCTTGGTCCGTGCGAAGACTCGGTAGAATCTCAATGGAAGTCGACCATCTACATGGTAAGCAGGACCGTAGCCGGAAACAGAACGCACTCCGGGACATATTTCGACGATCCCGGTGATGCAAGGTGATGCATGTCTTCGATTTTATCGGAAGGGTTCGGAGGGGTTCGGAGGGTCCGCAACATGCGGAGGCGGAGAGCCCTATGAAGGTGAGTTCCAAGCGTGTCATTCAGGCACATTACAAAGTGTGACGAAAAGGATCTTGTGAGAAACCTCTAGGCATGGCGCCTCTCACACGGAGGTATGGTCACTGGTGTCATCCATCTTCCGATTGCAATGACAGCTGCATGCTGGCAGATTGAATGCAGGACAATGCAGTTATTCGACACCGCTCCGTCCGTTGCCGTTGGCGTGAATGCCATTGCCATGCAAGGCCCCGCAGAGCCGCCTTCCGTCCGGTTCCCGGGAGTATCCACATTCTAGCGCTCGGGACGCTGGGTCGTCTGGGTCTTGCTGCGATCCATCCTCACAAGAGCGGCTTCAAGAGACACTGCACGATTCGGACGCGACTGATGGGTACTATCGAGGTATAGTGTGGGACTGGAAGATCAGCAAGTCTAAACGCTTGAGGTTAAGTGACGAATTATGTCAGCCACAGCACCCTCCCCGGCGGCATCCCGATGCACGTCACGGTCTACCACAGTCGCCGAGTACGAGACCCGGGCCACCCCTGTCACTGCCTGTGACGGAGTAGAAACTCGGCGCTTATCCGGAATCTCACCGCACTCGCAGCGCGCGACGCGGTGTCCCAGGACACCCTGCGAACCACCCGTGTGTGGTAGCTCAACCCAGGTTCACGCCCTCTGTTTAGCTTCAGTCCACCGAGGATACGCGAGCTCCGTGGCGGCGATTACAGGCCTCGGGACAGATGCGGAACCCGGATAATTTGCTCTAGCCTCTGGTCTGTGCCACGGAGAGCGGGGCGTCTGCCTCACGACGCGATGTACGCAATTTGCAACGTGGAGCAAATGTCTGCTATACCTACACAGTCCCTGGGACCACGCAACAGGCAGCAACAGGGCGCGACCATCGGCGGGGTCTGTTTTCTGTTTTCTGTTTTATTCATCTGCTAAACCTATTACATATGCTGTGACGCGGCCCATCTCAACAGGTTTTGTTCATATCATAAGCCATCTGTTCGTGCACGACGTCATCCGCTCGCGCCAGCGTCGCTCTTTCCATGACGGTACCGTTGCGAGCGGGGTCGCTCCGCAAGTCCCTACGGATAATCTTACCCAGAGACGGCCGCGGCTTGCCCAAGGCGCAGGAACATATCCGCCACATACGCATGGTGAGGCGTCTTCCATTTATGTACCATTTGAGGGTCGTAACGGGCCGTCAGCGGCAGAAACATCCAGGCTTCGTTATAGCGTAACGTCTCCGACCCAAGCAAGGCCTCGAGCGCCGGAATACCTCTTCTATGCATGGCTGAGGCACAACATGCATGGCCGGGTCGGATTGACGTATCCCAGGCTCCTTCGTAACTCTATTCGGGCGTCACGACCCTGCGCTGCCGTACCAGATCCTATCACTTTCCCTGGCTCACTTTCCCTGGGTTGCTGTGCACCCGAGCGTCTCCGGAAACCACTTCTGCGGCGTTTGTTCCGCGGTTCTGGACTTCCGGGCACAGAGGTGACAGTGAATCGGAAACGTGTTATCTGCGGTGGTAAGGCGTCCTTGGTCTGTAATATCGGTTATCGGCGTGCCAGGCGGTGATTGATGGCTCCAAGGCGCGGTCGCCCGCGCGAAGTACAGGGTCCGTCGAGGCACAAGAATCATGCAGTCAGCGTGTATGTCACAGTTTGACTGTGTACTGCAGTTGGGGCCGCAGTCTGCTATAAAGGGCTCGGCCCCGCTGCTCAGCCTCCAGCCCGCTGCTTGCCTGCGAAAATGTCGATCACTCTGAACAGGTTCCCTGTCCTGCCGACGAACCTCTATGGAGAGGACATGCTTGCGCGGCCCTCCGCTAGCGTGGCTGGCTTCATCTCCGGCTTTCGGACCTCCGTCTTGCAGTCTCCAACAGTCCTCGCCTGCGTCGGGGTGAACCTCATGATGTTGTACTATATAGTCGCGTTCCTCGCGAAGAAGGTCGGTTACACCCCCTCCGTCATCACTCCGGTCCCACTCATATTGTACCAGAACTCTATTCCCGCGGTCGGGTACCCATCATGGCTGGGTCCATGGGCAGGAGCTATACGGTTCTTCTACGACTCCAAGCGCATAATCAACGAGGGCTACGCGAAGGTTCGTGTAGCGTTGATATTCAGTGGCGCTCTGGCTGATGTCGCGCAGTACAAGGGCCGTACTTTCCGGGTCCCGCTTTGGAACGAGTGGAGTTACATCGTGACGGACCAGAAATGCAGTACGTCTCATGCGGCCGTATCTCTGCTACCATCCACTGAATCAAGCACAGTCGACGAGATGTATCATCTGCCAGATGACGTGCTGTCACTTCGCCATGCCGCTGGGGAGGTGAGTGGATGCCGCTCACATCATACATCTTTGCTGAGATGTTCGCGCAGGAACTGCAACTGCCATATACCATGGGCCAGCAGATCGAAGACAACCCGTTCCATCTCCCCGTCCTGAGAGGAAGGGTATGTGTATCTACGTTCCACTGTGTTGGAAAACCTGTTCATAGCGCCTTAGCTCACACGCCACATCGAGTATCTGGTGAGAGAATGCCTTGATGAATTGCCACTCGCCATCGAGGACGACATCGGCAAGCACTGCGGCGGTGAGTATCACATTTGCTGTTTTTGCTGCGTGACCTCATCTTGCGCAGATCAGTGGACGGAGATGAACGCCTTCGATGTCCTGACCGGCGTTATCGCCAGGACATTCAACCGTATCTTGGTCGGCGCACCGATATGTAAGCGAAGTTTCCTATTAGGGTGCACCAGGATGCTGAACCAAGGCCGCCGCAGGCCGAAGCGCTCATTACACACAAACATGCAAATCATTCGCTATGAAGACATCCATCGTCGGTTTTATTATTAACCTATTCCCTTCATTCCTTCAACCGTGAGTTCCTTCTAGTTCAGATAGCATGGATACCATCCAAACATCTTCGTGCACAGAATCGTCGGCAGAATGATCACTCAGCTGCCTTCCCAAATCAAACGGTCGTTGTTCATCCTCGGGCCGATCATCGCTGAACGACAGGCGGCGATGGCCGAGTACGGGACCAACTGGTCAGAGAAGCCAGTGCGTACTGCTGTGCTCAATTGCATTATCGTTGAATACGCGCTGATCTCTGCGCGCTTAGATGGACCTTCTCATGTGGCTCATGGAAGCAGCGGATCCCGTCGAGTCGCAGCCGGAACGTCTTGCTATCCGCATCCTCGTCATCAACATTGCGACCATTCATACCACTGCAGCGGTATGCCTTCTACAAATGTTCCTTCCTCGCCTGTACTCACGATTCGCCAGTCCTTCGTGCATGCTATCAACAACTTGCTCGAGCATGACGAATGTATCGAGCCTCTGAGAGAGGAAGCTGAGGCAGCGATTGGCAAGCACGGATTCGCGAAAAATGCCATGAACGCTATGCCATTCTCGGATAGCTTCTTCAAGGAATCTTCTCGCCTGAACGCTCTTGGTACCAGTGAGTGGTGGCACTGGTGAAAGGTTCATGCTCTTGCTGACAGACTCTTCAGCGAGCTTCCCGCGCAAGGCTATGAAGGACATCACCTTCTCAGACGGCACCACGGTTCCCGCGGGCTCCTACATCTCCTCGCCCTTCTGTGTGCACTACGACGAGGAGTTCTATCCGGATCCGATGAAGTTCGATCCTAGCCGGCACATGCAGGAGACGTTGTCGAGCGGCGTGGCGAACAACAGCAGTGGGATGTTCCGCACGAACCCGCACTACCTCGTCTTCGGTCACGGAAAGTATCCTTGGTACGTCTTCTATTATCCACGTTTGAGGCTGTCCTAACGATACTTCTATAGCGTGCGTATCTGCCACCGTCGGTTCTCAAAAGATGTGCTTGGTACTGACATTCTATCACCTTAGCCTGGAAGATTCCTCGCTACCTACATCTTGAAGGCGACGATGGCTTATCTCCTCCTTAACTACGACATCAAGCCGAGCTCCCAGGGAAGGCCGGCGGACATCCTCTTCCAGTACAACAACGGCCCGAACATTCGCTCGACGTACGTTCCATTTTTGACACGAGAAGCGCAGTGTCTGACCGCGTTCGTGTTCACGAACAGATTCATGATCCGTCGGCGGAAGTTAGCATAGATGTATATTATACTCAGCTCTCGTCTCTTGCTCTCCTGTTATCACACCTCGCATTGCGTACGTAATCTACGGGAGTCCCCTCGTTGTATCATTGCTCTTCCCACTCTTCGCGGACTCGTTGGCACTGTCTTTACGCAAGCTGTCTACCGCTGCACACGCTGTGCGGGCGGTGGAATGCTCTCGTCTTCTGTTCCTTGTACCTAGGTATTGTGCGGACAATTCAGAGGGACTTTGTTGTAACGCATGCTTCAATGCTTCAAATGCTTGCCGACCCGAGCAACAAGGAGCCTCATGTAGTCGCAACTCCCACGATGCATCTGCCGTGAGACGACGAAGGCTACAGCTGGCTACAGGCACGGAGTGGACTTGAATTCCGGATTCTGTTCCTCTGCCGCTCCATCTTAGTAGCCGCTTGTGCTGCACAAATGTCTACGTACTTTACATCGTCCTGCCTGACAACACCCTGACAATGCGGAATGGCACCGAGCGAATTGCGGCGCATGCCTGGTGTTTTGGGCAGCGTGGCGACGGAGATGATGGTGGGAGGTATGCTGCCGTTATCCACACTTTCAGGGGACTGCCAGAGAGTCTTTTAGCACTCGCACTCCATCTGCTGAGGTGAGCCGAACGCCTTGTATAGCAGAGCGACACTGGACGCATGTTCTCTTTACGTGCGCAACCCCAAAGGTGGTCCCGTACGTTTGGTCCATTGACTGTACTAAGACCAAGGTCATCACGCTGCAACGGCACTCGTCGGCGTCGAAGTCTCGAGCTCCAGATCAAGTCATCGTGCTACTCAAGTGTCTACTGGTGGATTGAGCTATGGCATCGACCCGACTTCCAGACGTTCTGTACGGCCTATTCAATCCAGTTAGGGCTTCAGCATAGATCGATTGAATGTTCGGTGATGACTTCAGCTCCTCCTCCCTGCACCACAACTTCGTTAGCTCATGACCCCCTCATCGGCATGATCAACGGTCCCCGACTTCAACATCGCGGCCACCTCCATGGTGAATCGATGAGACGATGGTTCTCCTGCCATCCCGCTGGGGATGATGTACTTTTCCGTCGCGCGTGTATGTATTCGTCTTCGTTGGAGTCGTAATTTTTGCAAATGACAGGGTGAAACGCGCGCTCGAGCCCGCACTCAGGCCCAGGGCTGTGGCCGAGGGTCTTATTTAGTACACTTCCCGGCGGACCGGAGTCACTCCGAGTCGTAGTGTCCGGAGGCACGTCCGTGCGACGTGCACGTTAGAAGAAGAGAGATGTTTCACGTCGGACGGTTCATACGGGCAGCCGCAGGCCTTCGAGAACATGGTAATGATACATATGTAATACTTGACCAACTGAACGGAATTGCAGAGGTACCGCAACTCTGCAGGCCAAAGCTAGTCTACGCAGACCCGGGCACAAGTAGTAGCCGGCGACCCGATTTCAGAGCATTGGTTGCCGTATGGCATGTCGACCTCAGTCAGCATTCCGTACGGACAAGGATCCCGCAGGGATTTGATATCAACGTTCATGCAGTTCCGCAGTGAATGGGGATGGACACGCAAGACTCGGTCCTGGTAGAGGCCTCGGTCGCACCATCGGGGTAAGTACACCGGACGATGATCCGCAGACACATCCGCGCTGGCACTCACTGCAGGAATACTACATGGACTTGCCAAGGAATCTCCGCCGACCAGTTTTTATTTGTCCACAACGTCGAAGAGAACCAGTCGCATTGGTATATTGCACAGTTCTAAGTGATCCTTGTCAGGTCTGTCCGAGTCCAGATTGCCCTGGAAGCAGGTCAGAGTACATCTCAGTAAGGGACTCGTCTGAGACGTATGGAACACGCGGTAAAAGGAGAATAGTGTCCTATCTTCCACGAGTGTCTATTGTCAGAATCTGTTGCAGTGTGGGAACGCGAGCGTACCACGGCGTTCTATGTGGTACACAGAAGTAGCCTGAGAGAAGCCAGGTTCATGATCTGCACGTGGCGGCCTAGTCAGACTGCCACACGGTCTGGGCTTCTTACTGTTGCTCGGAAACATTGGCACAACATGCATGGTAAGCGTGTCCATTGACCAGTGGCCGCGGATTTTGGTGTGCTCTTTCAAATATTGGATGAGTATGGAAGCTGTGCTACAGTACGCGGAGTGGCAGCCTGACAAGCGCACCTTTTGGGGCGTGACGCCGAGAAAGACGAGAAGCAACTTGAATGTAGTTCACCGCGTTCCTGTGGTAATTTGTAGTGATAGGAGAGATTATGGCTGCGTATAGGCATTCATAGGATAACCGAGAGAAGTGGTCCCTGACCCTGTGTAGACGTACCAGCGCAATGGATGACGCCCATCATGACTATGAATCGGAAGTCATCGCCTCAGGCTGATGGATAACAACTGTCTTATTAGTGAAGTAGATTCCACCGAAGATATAATGGGAGTTCGTAATGACTGGGTCGGCGCCATGTTGAACTGCAATTACAGCCCGCGTTGTTAGACCTTTGTTCTGGTTCAAGCCAGCTAGGTTCAGCACGCAGCCTGGAGGGAGTGCAGCGTTGAAAGGCTGATGTCAAGGCGATTACTTGTTCGGTGTGTACGTGTTCGTCCGAGAGGCCTGGATAGATGAGCGAGCTACGGTAGCCAGAAGGTCGACTGTCAGGATGAGCTCACCGTGAGTGTAGATTACATCTCTAGAATAGAGTTGGGGGTAGGACAGAGTTGGAGGAAGGTGGCATACCCTACTATGCAACACGGGAACTCGTGCTTACGTGCTGAGGAGCGCAAATCGCATCCCATCGTGCGATGCTGGACGGGTGTCATGCAGCACCGGATGAGGGCTAGGAAGAGGAAACGACCTGGATAGATACATCCGCTCAGGGGCGTACCTACCGTTACGGATCACATAATACCGACTACAACGGACCACACGCCCGATAGCCTGCGGTGATGGCGGCTATATCCCAGGAGGATGGTCTCTAATCTGTCGGCAGGGACCGTTTCGCTGGTATAGAACTTGGTCGATCTAGAACAGTCATATTCTCTTCTCGGCGACGCAGATGGGCCCACCACATCGTTGCTGCACTCCGATGGCGTTAGCACCGCCATAGAGTACTTCTACGGGCTTCTCGCAGGCAAAGCCTATCCAACGCACCTCCTGAATTGAACACCGGGAAAGCCGGGTGTTTGTCTTTGGCGGCCGCGCACCCGACAGCTTCGATGAGTATCGCAAACAAACTCTTTCGCCTGCGTTTGACGTCGGAAGTAGCTATCACGATGACATAGGTTATTTGCTGGTTAGACGCCGCTTGAAGTGTTCCAGCGAATCAGGGCACGAAGCTAAGCTCTGTAAACCTTCGTAGTGTCAGTTATACGCCGGGGCGGAGTTGACAATCAAAACACATTCACACGGAAGACACATGACAGGAAACTGACATGAGCAGCATCGATGTTGAACATACCTGTGACCGGGGTGGCCGAGTCGCAGATCTAGTATTAGTCTTGCATTGTTGGGCAGCAATACGCGTGCGTTTGCTCAGTCCTGTCGTACGGAACATTGTGAGGACGCCGTTTCTTCCCAAACAAAATCGAGCGTACGGTTCGTGTACAACAGACTCCGGAAGTCAGGAGCCTCCTCGAGCGCCCGTCACACATGCTTTCGATTTGATACTGGCCAAGGCACAGGTGTGCGAGTGCTTGCGTTAGAATCTAGGAACCCCTCGGGGTTAGCTTGCCATAACATCCGCACATTGTGAGAAGGTAGCAGCAGGGGCACGAAGCTGCTAGAGATCGACGAGCTCTTCTGTACCGAGTCGGAGAACTCGCGAACTGTAGCTGATCAGCAAAGGCGCTCTGTCCGTGTGCTTCGAATGGAGGAGCGGCGGAGGTGACTTACTTCTGACTCAAAGCGCTGTCGAGCAAGCGCAGTACGCCGCCGATCCGTCCTGAGACTCACTCGGATTATCTCATAGCCGCCCTGCTGAGGGCCTATTTCTGAGCCAGATGAGTCAGATGTGGGAAATAATATAGTACGAACCGGAGCCGATGTTCTGTGGTGTCCTACGAGTACTAGAATCCGCGGATGATGTTGCTCCATATGGTGATCTTGTTTGACAAGGCGCAAGCAGAGAGCGAAATGTACGAGATGTCAGACAAAGAGAGGGTAAGTTGATGGATGGCTGCAGATAGGACATCTTCGTGAGGTTGTTTTGTGCTACCGAACGCCACGGATATGCAGACGTGACCAGACTATTGTATTCGCACTTCTAGTGAGAGTCTTTTTAATGGGAACTAGTCCATCACGACAAGTAAACATAAGCTCACCGGTGCCCCCGCCATTTCTGAGCTTGATTGGTGTCCACATGCGCTCTTATCGACGTGCCGGCCGACTCGGGGGAAGTGACTAGGCGGGCCTCAGTATCTAAGCTCAATAGAACATGACAAGCAAACATAGGCTCGTATTCCCGAATATAAACCTAGATGAGGACGTTGTGAGAGACATGCAAGCGGATGAGACTGCTGAATGGCGTACATGCCGCAGAAGGAAGCTACCAGCTATAGTAGCTGCCCGCGGCTGGAAGGCGACATTCAGCGGAGTCCAAACGAGACAAACTCACGGCGAGTAGGTACCCCGGACTCACCTGCTATGTATCGTAACAGGAGGCAGTGCTTCGAGGAAATGTTCTCCGGGTGAATCTGTCACAACGGTGGTTCCTGAGGTGTAACGCGTAGACACCTCCTCCCGGGGGTCTGACCGAGGACGACTACCGTTCCTCTGGAACCTACCTCTTCCCTCAGCTCCGAGCGAGAGCCTCGGAACCGAAGTGTCGCTGGTAGCCGGTCTTACCGGTGTCGTTGAACTTCATGATCGGCATACACAGTCATCGGTGCTATGTAAGCACCTGTAATCCTGCCTTTCGCTGGATCGCTGATGGTATACTTCCGTCGCGGCGGCATCGGCATCGAGTTGGTTCAGAAAGTCTGCTAGCATTTGGAGAGCACAGAGGTACGACGTGGACTCGACCTTGAAAGGGAGCCTCGCACCGCCGTGGGGAACTGCGGGACGAGGTGAGCGGACGCGATTGGCTGAGGCTTGATGCATATGAGCCGGAATGTGCGCGTTGCCGCGACCTACCCAGCGCAAGCAAAATACAAATTGGCCCGGGCCGATCCACGACCTTGAGCAACATCAATGACTTGTGACATATACAATACGGACGTGCGTTTCTACACACGAGAGGTACACTTTGCGCACGTACGTCAGTGCGTGTGCATCGAGGGTGGGCGAGGCCAGGCTCGCCATATTCAATCCTAGACAGGACGAGCGCTGTTAAGCGTTATGCCCGCTTGTGATTGGACAAGGAAACCCTTGGAGCATCCAGCGTCACTCCCGCCAGACTCCCGCCGCAAATGAAAAGAATTGAACCGTAAACCTGAAAATGTGACAGTGATTGAGACGATTACCGCAAGAACAGTGTATATCACAGCCTGGTGCGCGCTGACTTCAATCTGCTGGAGCCTGAAGAATCAGCACTCAGCGAGCCAAGATGTAAAAAGGTGATGGGCTTAGCTTTGGATGCATTGAACTGTAGCGTACCGTGAACATGACTCGAGCGATTGAGCAGTGCAAGCGTTGTGGCGAACAACTTCACCGAGTGACTGTCCGGTGGCGTTGCGGAGTACATAACCACGTGGCTTCGGGATCGACGATCGCACTCGGCCTCTCGGCCAAAATTGCGGCAAGCCGAAGTGCATTCAAGATTCAAGGCTGCAGCCACCTCCGTGCCAGGTTCGACGCGGTGTTCGTGCTCTCACTTTCCAGTCACAAAAAGAGAACAACAGAGGCCCAGGAGGGCTAGGAAAGTCTGAGGTATGTCCGAACGCGTTGAGAAGCTGGTCAAACGTTAAATTGTCACTCTGGTAGATCTGCACACGTCGCACCACTGCACTCACATAGCGCTACATCTTTTCCAAATTGCTGGCATGGCCCGGGTTCACAACGATCAGCGTCCAGGCTCAAAGACAGCCAAGGGAAAAACTGGGGCTACCTCGAAGGGCGCAGTTGGGAAGGACAGACGGCCGAAGGAGGCGAAGGGCAAAGGGAAGGCGAAGGAGGACACTGGGATTGAGCTCATAACTGGAAACCAAGCGGAGGATGTATGTAATCCTTTCGAATCTGCACGTTACAAAGGCAATCTAATCTTTGTGGTGCTCCATCGCTGTAGCCCGCTCTCCTGAAAGATGTCTCATCATTCCTCTCGGGATTGAAGTCAGCCAACGGCGCGGGCGCTGCAGAAGCGTCATCCACGAAGAAGTCCCAGCCGAGGGACAAAGCAAAGAAAGGTACACGACAGCAAAAGGATACAACGGTGCGCGTGGAAACCAAGACCTCGCAACAGAAGAAGCGGAAGGGCAAACCCGATGTTCCCTCGGTATCACAAACTGAAGAAACCAAACCCGCACCGTCTATTCCCGTACCCAACGCAACACCATCGTCCAAGCGAGGCAAGTTCACTGTTGACCCCAGCTCGCAATGGTACACGTCCGTGCCCGCTATTCCTCCCAGTGATCCCGTGCCCCAACCGACGGCTCAGCAGCTCGCCTCGCTCAGCGAGCGAGCACATAAACTGCTACAGGCTGATGCCGAGCTCTATGCGTCAACGTCGCTGTCCAGCGGAGACGCCAGCTTCATGCAAACGATCCTGAAGAGCGGAACGCTGAGCGACAGGCTGAGTGCTCTGACGCTGATGGTGCAGGGAAGTCCCGTGCACAACCTGAAGGCTTTGGAGGGCCTAAAGAACATGATGGAGCGCGGGAAGGGCAAGGGACGCGATGAAGGCCTGAAGGCGGTGCGGTGTGTTGTTGATTGGTGGGTTGGCGGAGGTGGGCCGGGGCGGAAACTCAAGTATGTTCTGTCCTCTCGTCCTAGGACCAATGTTCACCGAGATTTTCAATTGTTCTCGCGCTCAGGTACCTCCGCGACCAACCGCTCTTGCACCCGTCTGTCACAGACGCGCACCTCGTTCTCTGGCACTTCGAAGACTGGCTCAAGAAGTACTTCTTCTCCGTGCTCCAAGTCCTCGAGACGTACTCGCTCGACACGCTCGCCTACGTCCGCACGCAGTCGCTCGCGTTCATCACCGCGCTCCTGAAGGATCAGCCTGAGCAGGAACAGAACCTCCTCCGTCTCCTCGTTAACAAGCTCGGCGACACGGAGAAGTCGATCTGCTCCCGCGCGAGCTACCACCTCCTGCAGGTGCTCCAGGCGCATCCCAGCATGAAGGCTGTAATCGTGCGCGAGGTGAAGGCGCTGGTCTTCAGGCCGCTCGCATCCTCGGCTGCTGCTGCGTCTGCGTCCGTGGCAGCGCACGAGGAGAAGAAGCACTCGCATGTACGGTTCGACGATGACGCGGACTCGGAGCCCAAGGCTGGTAAATCTGCATCAGGGAAGGGCAAGGAGAGTGCGAAGGAGCGGTTGGAGCGCTGGAACTCGCACGCGTGGTACTACGCGTCCGTGACCCTCAACCAAATCGTGCTCACGCCGACTGAGGCGGACAAGGCAGTTGCGAGGACGTTGCTTGGCATGTACTTTGAGATGTTTGAGGAGATCTTGGGTGCGAGCCGAGGGAAAGGTAAGGAGAAGGAAGCTGTGGACGAGGACGCCCAGAGTGACAAGGGTGGCAAGGGCAAGTCGGGTCAGAAGGCAGACAAGGGGAAGGGAAAGGAAAAGGAGGTGCGCGGCGCTGCAGGCTTTGCGGAGGTGGAGGACGCGACGTCGAGGCTCCTCAGTGCCGTGTTGACAGGCGTCAATCGCGCGCTGCCTTTCGCGAAAGTGGACGTCGCGGGCGACGATGTGTATGCATTCTCTTCCATTCACGTAGTGCACAACTGACATCACCATTGACTGGATCACAGGTTCCAAAAGCATATCGACACGCTTTTCCTCATCACGCATACCTCGACGTTCAATATCTCCCTTCAAGCGCTGCTGCTCATCTTCCAGATCGCAGTTTCCCTTGCCTCCCATCCCTCGACATCGACTGCCTCCGCCTTGGCCACCACGCTGCAAGATCGCTTTTACCGCACGCTCTACGCGTCGCTTATCGACTCGCGCCTCGGCGAGTCCAACAAGCAGGCGATGTATCTCAATCTGCTCTTCAAATCACTCAAGGCGGACAAGAATGTGGAGCGGGTGAAGGCGTTCGTGCGCAGGTTCGTGCAGATGCTGGCTGCTGGCATCGGCGGCAGTGGTGGGGCGGAGTTCGTTGCGGGAGGGCTGTACCTGCTCGGCGAGCTCTTCCATACGACTCCTGAGCTGAGGGAGCTAGTGGGTGAGACGAAGGGGAAGAGGAGGGCGCCTGCTGAGGCGGAGAGCCAGTACGACCCGAGGAAACGGGACCCGCAGTTCGCGAATGCTAGTGCGTCACCGATGTATGAACTGGTGAGTGCTCCATCTACCATCCACGGCGCAGGTATGTTGATTACAACGACTTGTAGCTTCCTCTACTACATCATTACCACCCGACCATCTCCCTTCATGCTCGACAACTGCTTCATAGCACGCCATTGACTGCTGCTCCTGATCTGGCCCTCAATACTCTGAGCCACTTCTTGGATCGGTTCGTGTACAAGAACCCGAAGAAGCCACGGACCAAAGGCTCAAGTGCCATGCAGCCTGCGGCGAGCGCTGCTGACGGGACGGGTGTGAAGATGACGAAGGGTGAGGTCGCAGACGAAGGCGGTATGGTGAACGAAGATAGCTGGTGGCGGAGAAAGGTTGAGGACATCCCAGTCGATCAGGTATGCGCGGTTTCCGTTTTGCAAAGTGTCTAACTGATGCAATTGTGCCACTAGGTATTCTTCCACCAGTATTTCACCCAGAAGAAACAAAGAGAAGACAAGAAGGCAGTGAAAGTGTCCAAGCGAAAGACGCGCGGGGACGCGTCTGACACGGACGCCGAAGGCGAGGACGAGGACGAGCAGGATATTGCATCCGATCCCGAGGAGTCGCCGGCCGGTAGCGAGGACGAACATGAGGAGGACAGCGATAAGGGAGAGGCCGAGATTTGGAAGGTGCGTGTTTATACGGGCAGATATGTTTACGGCTTAGTACGCATGCACACGCTAACGCCGCATTTTCGGGGTGCAGGCCATGAAAGCTTCCCTGCCAGCAGAGCTGCAGGACGATGACCTCATGGATGACAGTGAGGATGACGCCGCCGCCGACGACGACGAGATACCATCTGGCTTGGACGACGACGACGAAAGCGCCAGCGACCTTGAAGATCTCGATGGCAACGATGTTGATGCGGTTGGAGACGACGCCAGCGCCTCTTCGGGAGATGACGAGGGGGACCTCGGGGAGCGTGACGAGGATTCTGCTGCCGACGAGGACGCATTCTCGCTTGCAGAGGCATCCGACGCGGAGGACTTGATAACGCTTGACGCCGACATGCCAGTGGGCCTCCTTGAGTATGATGGCTCAGACGCGTCTGATCCGGAGGAGGAAGAGTGGAACGGTATAGACGCGGACCAGTCGGTCAAGAAGCGGAAGCGGGTCGAGGAAGACGGGAAGAAGGGCAGGAAGAAAAAGCTGCGCAGCCTACCAACGTTTGCGAGCTATGAAGACTATGCACGGATGATCGAGGATGGACCGGAGGACAACTTGTAGCCTACTGGTCATGTCCTGACGCCGACGGGGGCATACTACTTCTTTTTGCTCTAGCCACACGTATCGATTCTCGTCACTGAGCGATCCAGAAACCCTGGATAGTCCGTTACTGCATGCAGTTTGCAATTTGCAGCTATGGCAACCCACGGCCAAGACCTCTTTGTTATTTGTGCACTCACTAGCTTGCATCGCTGACATCGGTTGTATCCCAGAACACCTAGAACACCAAGGGAAGCAGCGACTCATGCAGTGCGCATGCAATGCATCTCACCCTAGCTCGTGTTCGCACTATTCCGAGCCGCTCAGCCTAACAGACGCTCGCAGACCACGAAGAGTGTCGAGATGATTACAAGGGATCGTTGCATCACCGGCGTATTGCAGATCGGCTCTCACGTTCAACTGAATGACACAGCCCGTGTCATGGCTATCTCCTTCAGGTATGTATGTTGCGGGCGACTACTCGGACTGGTACGAGGTTGGTACGAGGTCTCTCGGAAGTCGGAGGTCGGTCTCAATAACTTGTTTACGAGAACCCGCCTGAGCAGATGGGCCTACGGGCCTGTGGTGCATGCATCTGTCCGAGTCTCGGGGTTGTAACACTTGCAACAGAACGATCGCGCGAAGTTCTGGTGAGTGCAAGTTGACCGGAGACGCTGTCGAAGTACGTTACTTTGTATCAGCCTGATGAGGGGCGGCGTGCTTGTGCCTGACTTACCTGGTGTGTGCTGTACCCAAGCTGTGCTATGTCAGCGATGAATATCCCAGCTGATTCGTTCATTGGTTATGCGCAGCAGCCAGGAATGAGAACCCTCTGTGTTCTTTCGTTCGTCGATGGTGGTGTGGACGAGAGGTTACTGCATATGATCCCGCTGTCGTATATAAGCTAACGACCTTTCGGTATCGACGGGTCCGATGTCTAGCCAAAACACCACCTCAATGTGGCCATATATATACCGTATACGTCGGAGATGTGGGTGTTCTCATCGATTTGTCCACAGGACTGAGCGCTGAAAGGCGGAGACAGGTTGCCGGTCTCAGCACTCAACATGTCCATGTCCATCTTCCCGACCGAGCTGTACGAATGTATCATCGACTACGTTGGGCAAGCCGAGGACGCAGTTACACTGCGTGTGTGCGCTCTCGTATCGCAATCGTGGTACCCTCGCGCCAGACTGCACCTTGTCCGGTCGGTGGTCTTATGCACTCGCAAGGAGGTCCTCGGCTTCGCGCAGATGGTCCGCCACGGCCGTGGGCCGATGGGTTTGGTGGATGTTGGGAACATGGTTCACAAGGTGATACTACGTGGAGTGGAGATCAAGGCGGGAGATGAGACAAAGGCGATTGGTGCGGACACTACGGAGAGCGCTTCGCAGACGTCGAGGAGATCCATGTCGTTAGTATGAGCATTGGCAAATCATGAGGATATATTCACATCACATCAAACATAGCTGTCACTTGTTGGATACGTCGTACATCAAAGGACACACGTAAGTACCATGATAGCAATTGTGTTGTGGTACGCCGCCTTCCCGGAAAGGCAGGTGATGTACCTTATACGGCAGATAAAGTGCTGTTCAGTCGCGCATCTCCTTTCCCATTTCCTGAAATAATCTGGGATCAACGCTCTCATATCGATACGTTACTTTGCACAGGTTGTCGCGTGGCCATCAATCGGCATATGGGTCAATCGTGTCGACCAAGATGATGCTTTTCGGTAATCCACCTTGCTGGCTTAACGATATCATTTCCTACCTCTTTCCTGATGCAGGCTACAAACATTCAGTCAGAATCATAATGACGCCGTGGCTGGTTCGTACGTACGATGTCATGAGCTTGGACAAGGCTGACTCCTGATAGATAGCCAAAGTCAGCCCCACGGCGTTGATACCGGTAGTACTCGCAGCCTTATCCCTCTCTGCGTTCCCCTTCTTTCTCCAGACTTACGGCAACAACCCATCTAAACACTCGTCTCACGCACATTATGAAACTTCCTCGTAATTTCTGTCGCACCTCGCGGGAACACCCTCTACCGCTGTCCAATGACACCGATGCAGACCACCCCTCAGGCTCGGACCTGGGACGCAAGACGAGACATGTTCTCAAGACCGCCGTACGTCAGAAGCCGGGAGTCCTTTTCACGGGTTCCAGTGGGACTGCAGATGATGGCCTCAGAGTGCACTCGAAAGGCAGACGTCGCATCCCCATCCCAGCCGTTGTGTTTTCTCTCGTTCACAAGGCGCAGATCGTACGCGTTGATCCTGTTACCGATGGGAAGGGAGGGCAGCCTACACTATCACTGTCCACGACTGCCATCCGCCCGAGGTTCAAGGAGGAATATGAGCCATCTGCCCCGCTTGGCGACGTGAATCTAAGCTCCGCGTCACCGGCCACCTGCGCAAGCACTGTTGGCCACAAGACTGATAGCTCTGGACGCACAGCAGTTGTAGCTCGTAGCACACTGTTCCAGAAAGTCAAGTCGGGTGTTACACACACCTGGCGTCCTCGCCCAGCTATTGCACCTGGTCAGAGCGTGCCCCCTGCCAATATCCCTGATGACTGCTGGCTTGGATGGGATGTCTGCCAGGCCGTCGTCAAAGGCGAATACGTTCCGCGGCCCATTGAGTCGCTGGATGGCCAGAGCGAGCAGGATTCCCGCTTTTCCCGAGTAGTTGTCTCATTTGACGACAGCCTTTCGATCGTGCCGGAGAGTTTGCCCTGGGTCAATCGCGTGGCAGAACCCCTGGGCGCAACGTCGAAGTTGCATACAGCGAAGGAGCAGGACGACGTCGCCAGCGGAGTAGATACGAACAATATTTCCGGGCTCGAGTTGGCCGAGCCTGCTGTACAGATCATCGTCGACGCACCGACAAATGGAGGCCTGAAGGTGCAGAAGAGTCCAAGGAAGCCAGAGGAAGCGAACATGTGAGTATTATGACTTCCGCGTTCGGAGGTGATCTTGAATCATGCAATTCGCAGCACATGCGACCATACGTTGGTGACTCATGGCAATGCCAGTCAGTCAAGGTACGCCCACCCACTATGAGATGAGCCTTCCCTCACCGAATATTACCAGCGCATCCCCCGTGCACTCGTCAATTGAGAAGACCGCCATACACTCTCAGACAATCATAGGACCTTCTGATGACGTCGTTGGCGACCTCTGGAATCTGGTCGACGCCGAAATGGCCGCAGTCCGCGATAGGATGCACGCCCTCGAAAGCTTGATACAGCAGTTCAACAAACACGGTGCACGGGTACCCATTTCCACGCAAGGCAATGCTGTGAAGCTTCGGGATACGCAGACGGGCAAGCAGCACCTTGCGTCGCACATGGAGATCGAACAAGGGTGGAAACAGTACTTGGCCGGCGTAGCTGCGACAGTGGATGCAGAGCTCTTGGGGACATCGAAGAGAGGCGCCTCCCCAGCATCGGGCTTCGTAACAAAGTCGAAGACCTCTTGGGCGTCCGCTCTGTTCAACGGGCAGAATAGCTCGTCCTTTCAGATCCTCGGATCCGGGTATGAAGGCTCCGCAAACGCATCCAAATCGGAGGACGCGTCCTTCTCCACCATTCCCCTCGATGGTTCGAGCATTTCGACGAACGGTGACGACTACCGGCGTGCAAGAAAGGCAACACCGGCTTGTAGTATCCCTTCGTCCCCGGTCAGCGAGGCGTGGTGGTGCAACAACAGCGGATCTAGCGCAAGTGGCGACCTCCCCTCCCCGACGAGCTCCAGTGTCTCGACGAGCTCCAGCGTCTCGACGCCCGGCTCGTTTTTCTCGGATTGCAGCTCGTGTTGGCCCTCGGAGGCATCGTCTGGCGTCTGGCGACGCGGCGTCAAGCGTGTGCGAGAGGAGCCGCGTCGCCATTGGCTGTCGCCTGTCTACAAGCGCGAGCAGCCGCGTCGCCATTGGTTGTCCCCGTTATACAAGCGTGGCAAGCAGCGCGGAACTGCGTGTAGGGAAGCAAAGCCGGCGTGGACAGTAGCATGAAAGGAATGCTGATGGGGAGCCCGCAGTGTTGAAGTGGGAGTGGTGGAGTGGTGAGGTGGGGACGGGGGCACAAGGGAAGCGGGGTGATCAGAGGGAGTCTAGGAGGGATTCGTGCCGGTTTGTTTCTTTGGTGGGTACGAGGCTCCTGAGTTCGTAGAGGTCCGTCGAGTTCGTGGGAGGAGCCGGCTGCAGGGGAGCACAGTACGCAATTTGTTCAGGTGAGCACAACATTTTTTTCCTGCCACAAAGACTCGGGACTCACTCCATAAAGAGCGACAGGCTTGAAAGGGATCATTCTGCGCTGGGTGGGCTATATAAGACTCGGAAGCCTGACCTGCGCTTTGGCCTACGACCGCTCGCCGACGGTGTCACGGAGCACTGGGTACGTTCGTTGCTCGGAGGTGCACGCTTGGCACTCACGACCCCTAGCAGATGTTCAGCCATCATAATTGCCAGCAAGGGAAAGCAGACATCGAGATCGGGGTGCACGATCGATGTCTCAGCTCCGAGGAATTGGTGATGGGTTGTCCCATTGAGTGCGGAAACTTCGTCGCTGGTGGGTACTCCAGTAGTCGCCATGGCAGCGTAGATTAAGCTCACTAGTAAGTAAAGCTTTTCAGCCGTACACAGTCAAGTATATATTTGCTTACCTCGCAATTTGATCTCGGATGTGATGGCTTGTGAATATGTCTATCTCTCTTATGTGGCTCCTTGGTCTCCAACATGGCGTATACCGAGTAACAAACCTGCTGTTCAACCGTCAACGGATACAGCTACGGAAGAGCTCACTAGGGGCGATATGATTGTCAATGCGGGCCGACGGATTGCGTCGTGTCATAGGCTCATAGCGAAGTCTCGAGAAACTGACAGACCAATTGGTATGCGGACAATTCAAGTCATCGTATTTGGAAAATTATCTGTGGGAAATCATGTGTTGGACAATTGGGTATGGCACACTATGAGCACTGAGCAGCGCCGGATGGGACCGCGGGGACGTGGGACTCGATCACCTCAATGCGAGTGCATTGGGGCTAGTCTCGTCTGCCAATAGACTTGATGAAGAAAGGCCAACGGGGGGCCTTGAGCTCTATGCACTGTGGAAGTCGAAGTCAACCCTTCATCACGCGTCCGAAACCATGTAAGAAACCGTATACGCCGTCACGTGGTCACGTTGTCTACGCGCCATCGCGACGCGCCTGGCCGACGACGTAATATTCCGCAGACTTCGACGACCGCGACTTCCTCCTCACTGCAAAGCCATCTCCAGCACTCAGAGTCAGTAACCACCCATGGCCGAGAGAACCACTCTCAAGCACACGCTGGATAGCGATGTCGAGGGAAGCGCTGCTGCTGCAGCGCCTCCTGCTAAGAAGCCGCGCGCGTCGACCAAGAAGAAGGCGGCGGCGGTGCTGGGCAAGTGCGGCATGACGAAGAAGGAGCTGGGAGATGCTATCCAGCGCGGGTTGAGGTAGGCCAAAGTCTGCTGAACACATTGCGCGTGTGGCTGAAGGGAGTAGACTTGAGAAGTATGAGGCACAACGGACGATGGTGGAGACCACCATGGATGCGACGTTCTTCAGCGCGTTCTTTGGCGTCCCAGGGGTAAAGCTTTCGCCTCCGAGTGAGTAACTTGGCTACCATGTATGTAGAATATAATCTGACAGACCATGCAGCGTTTGACGAGACTACGCCTATCGTCGTGGCCGACTTCAGCGGCCGTGTCGGCGGAGAGATATTCGGGGTGAGCAAAGTCAAGTACGTGCCAGCGTTCGGCCTACGTGCGCAAGTAGTCATTGAACTTCTTGTGTTCTTTCCTCTCAGAGGCGGGAATCGATATACCACAAACCACGTCAGACGCCTTGTCGCAATCCTATACCCGGCCGAGGAGAAGTTCGTCATGTTCTTCTCCATCTAGACCAAGGCCCGCTCTTGTCAATGCTTTGTCTTGCTTGTTACGTGTCGTGCTAAGGATCTGTTACCATGCAATCGCTTTTCATGGATTTCGATGTAATCGAGACACGTTCCTCCGAGTGTCTGACATGAGGCTGCGTGTTGACAATGTTGTTCTCCGAGGCTTCTCCACGGTGTCCCGTGTGTTGTACGAATTGAGACTTCCTCCTCAAAGTCCAGCATGCTCAGGCAAGAATGGGACACTCATATTGCACCGACATTAAGTCGCAGGTCGAGGCCGGGAGCAAGGATGAGCCAGCAGGAGGAGCGGTGCCCGGAGGCCCGCTCTGGGCCCGATGCGCCGATGTGGCTGAGATGCCAAACAAGGCGACGGCAGGGGGCGGCAGGGGCTTATGTAAGACACGCGACCAGGGACGCCGGGCACTCCCCACGGTTGAACACGAACCACATCATTCCCCCTACGCCGCAGGCTACCCGGCCTCACGTCCTCCACGCCCGCCTCACGTTGCTTCCGCGCGCCGTTGCCCGCTCTTACGCCATCATCCACGCTAGAATACGCATCCTCACGCTCGTCTCCTGTTCACGGACTTCCAATGTCGCGCATCGACACGGATTTTGCCTTCGGCGGAAAGTACAAGGTCGAAGAGGCGATTGCCAACGGTGGCTGCGGTACGAGTTCCCCGTTGGTTCGCGGTCTGGAATCAGGCTTGCTGACGGGCGTATGCTGTGACGTGTCTGTGTGCAGGCGCTGTCTTCCAGGGCGTGCACACCGTCGCCGGGAAAGAAGTGGCCATCAAGCTCGAGCCCGCCATTGCAAGGTTCAGCCCTCTGCAACAAGAGACCAAGATCTACAAAACGTTGTCTGGTGCACCGGGCGTACCATGGATTATGTGGTCCGGCAGGGCCGGCGACTTCAACGTCATGGTCATCGACCTGCTTGGGCCTTCGCTCGAAGACCTCTTCCGCATGTGCAACCGCCACTTTTCACTCAAAACTGTACTGCTTCTCGCAGACCAATTGGTGAGTGCCTCTGTCCATCGCCTGTGCGCGTCGTTTCGCGGTTGGGTGCGCGGGGCGAATTATGTGGTGTCGCTCCTGGGCCTCCATGGCGCTGCCTCACGGGCGTCCCAGTAGGCGCGGCGCACGCGTGTGGCGTCACACCCTAAAACGGCGCTGACCGCGCGCTTGTAGATATCTCGCATCGAGTACATCCACTCGCGCGATCTCGTCCACCGTGACGTGAAGCCTGGCAACTTCGTCATGGCGAAATCCGAGAAAGACTCGCCGTATCTTGTCAATATCATCGACTTCGGCCTGGCCAAGAAGTATCGCGATCCCCGTACGGGCGCGCATATCCAGTACGCGCAGGAGGATCAGCACGGCGTGGGCACATGTCTGTTCGCGTCAATCAACACTCACCTCGGTGTCGGTGAGTCAACCCAACCTACGTGACAGCGTCAGCGGCTTAGTGTGCTCCTTCAGAATGCTCCCGTAGAGACGACCTCGAGTCCCTCGCGTACATGTTCATCTACTTCATGCGTGGCACGCTGCCGTGGCGGAAGATCAAAGACCCTGACGCGACGACGACGTGGAACCTCATCCGCGACAAGAAGCTCGAGACCGAGGAGTTCCTCAGCGTCGGGCTCCCCGCCGAATTCGACATCTTCCACAAGTACGTGCGCGGGCTCGAGTTCGACGACCTGCCCGACTACGATGGTCTTCGTGCGTTGTTCCGTGGGCTAGCGGAGAAGCACCGGATCGAGTACGATTGGGTATTTGATTGGTCGGTACCGAAGCCGAATGAGCGCAAGCGCAAGAGGAAGTGCCGCTCGTGCCATGCATGCAGCGCGGCAGCTGAAACAGCGAAAGCGGCCGCAGCATTGCGGCGAGCCTCATAGTGAGGATACGCCGGTGGTCGGTATACCATGCACAGGTGTGAGTAGGGCTTGTCTACAAGAGTTTCGGCAGTCTGACTGACCTTTTGGGTTTTCAGCAGGCCAGTACGCCATGCAAAATCTTGATCGTCAGGTGCTCGCGCGATATGCTATGTAGTCCGAGATTCGACGCATATGCGTACGCGGTGCACGAATGACACTGTAAATGAACATGTCCGGTGCCCTCCGACGCGCCCCACTCGCCTTCGGACATCTCAGGGCTCGCGCGGAGTGCGCGCCGGGTATTCTTGGAGATCCTCGTGGCTGGCAGGCCCCTGCTATATATGTATTTTTATTCGGTGAGCGTGTCGGTGTTCGGGTGTGCTGGATTGGGTCTTGACGTTGTTATGCCTGCAGCCTGCCGCCGCTGACGCCATGGATCAGCCCTTGCGACAGGGTCTCGTATGTATGTGGACTCCGGGTCCCGGCTCCCGACGCCTGTCTCCTGCGACCGGCGTTATCTTCATTGCAACCATAGGACGCGCTCTCGCTTCTGCGTCCTCTCGATATTAGCTTGTATGTATGCTCTTAGGCCCACCTCCATCGTTGTACTCCATTATCCATCCCCAACCACCAGGCAGTTTAGGTTCACTATGAGTTATCACTATGGACTGTAGGTTATATGTTATTTATGCGGACTACTAGGAGGCATCGCTTTACTGGCTCTGCGTGCTCTGGCCAATGAAAACCCATATGACATAGGACAACCCTAATTGTGTGCGTTTGCGTGTCTCTTTTGTGACTGGAATGGCTGCGCGTTTCAGTTATGGCGGTGGCGGCGACGCGCCCGCCACAGATCGATCGGCTCGCAGCCGTCTCCGCTGAGAATGGCCACTGCTTGACTTCGACCAGCATGTGTATCGCCCGCGACGCCCCCAATTCAGCTTTCTGACACAGACGCGAGTGCCGACTGTGTGAGTCATCGAGGAACGTCTCCGTGCCAGCGTATGATTGGCACATCACAATAAATTTGCGCGGACCCGCGAAATATTTGATTGTTTACCTCTCACCGCCGCCCCCTCAGGCGGTTTGAAGCCGGTTGCGCGCCCTCGGGTCCTGCAGGCGAGTACTCCGCGTCAATGTCTATTTGCGAAGTTCCCACTGACTCCGGATTTCCGTCTCGCAGTGACAGTTCGGTGGCCTTCCGGTGGTCGTTCCTGCGAATCCCGCGTAGGGCCGTGTAACGCTACTTCACGGTGATTGAGGACCTTCTGTGTGCATGTTCTTGGATCATGCGACCTTCATAGCGGACCAGAGGGAATCAGCTCCTGATACGGCGCGATACGAATTGCATCACGAAGTGGCCGTATGCGTACTCGTCACCCGTCCACAGGGCACAGCTAACCCGTACGAGGCGGCGAACGCGCACGCCGATTGGCCCCCTCCAACATACTAGGACGACTGGTCCTATCGGGCCGCACATCCTGCACTCGCGTCCCCTGCGCGTACGCGCTTCGGTCGAGGGTGACAGGGCTCGATAGGCTACAGCGTCATCTCGCGCTCCTGTCCGACGCAGGCCAGGCCGACTCTGTCCGCCGAAATGCTGCGATCCCTTGCAGGGAAACCCGGAGCGCCTGTGCGCGCTGGGATATAATGGCGTTCCTCATGTCCTCTAGATCCCCCGTGTTCTGGACACGTACAGTACCGGACGCTCGACATCCTTCACCACGACGATGGCTACTCGCGGGCATCATGACGAGGAGGCTGCTTTGGGCACTCCCGACAGCGCCACACAAGCAGAGAAGCCAAGTACGTTCGCTCGCATCCACTGCTGCGTTTGCGTCTGCTGATCTGGGCCATGTAGTGTTTGAAGGAGGCGACGAGTACGACAACATCCTGCGCTTCGCGCGCACTGAGGCTGCCAAGCTCGACCACGGCGACGACGACGGAGGGGAAGAAGAGACCGGGTATTACCGCCCTTGGTTCTCCCCGTGGAAGAAGATCAAGGTCAAGAGTACGAAGGAGCTCAAAGTTCCCGCCGACTGGCTTCGCACCGACGTCCAGACCGGCTTGACGTCTGGCGCCGAGATCGAAAGGCGCAGATCCATCGCTGGCTACAATGAGCTGGAGAGGTGATGACATCTTCTGCATCTCTGCATGGCCAGGAGTGCTGATGATTGCTGTATGCGTCGTGTCTAGTCCCGATGAGAACCAGATCTTGAAGTTCATCTCGTACTTCCGCGGTCCTATCCTCTACGTCATGGAACTGGCTGTCTGTCTTTCAGCCGGTCTGCGTGACTGGATCGATTTTGGTGTCATCGTATGTCCTCTTCCTGAGTAGCATCTAGCCTGCGGACTGATGTCTTCGTAGATCGGTATCCTTTTCTTGAACGCTCTGGTCGGTTGGTACCAGGAGAAGTAAGCATTCGCATGGATTGGTCACTGCATGCACCTAACACTGCATCGTAGGCAAGCTGGTGACATTGTCGCTCAACTCAAAGCCGGTATCGCTATGAGAGCGACTGTCGTCCGTGACGGTCGTGAGCAGGAGGTTGAGGCTCGAGACCTCGTGCCCGGCGATATCGTAGGTTGGCTTCTACCGTCACTCCCGCCGGTTCTGATCTTGTCCACAGCTCGTCTTGGAGGAAGGCAGCACCATCCCCGCGGATGCCAGGGCACGTGCACACACTCAACCTGATAGCGAAATCATTATTCATACCTTTTGTGCAGATTGTTGCGGACTACGCCGACAAGAATGGTTCCAAGGCCAGGATGCTTATGGAGAAGCGCGGCCGCGGGTTGTCAAACTCCAGCACGGCATCCGGCGTCGACAAGGGCCCCTCAGTCTGCGCGGTCGACCAGTCCGCAATCACGGGAGAGTCCCTCGCGGTGGACAAGTTCGTCGGCGACGTCGCCTACTACACTTGCGGTGTTAAGCGCGGGAAGGTGTACGCTATGGTCACCGTCAGCGCGCCGTACAGTTTCGTCGGGAACACTGCGCGACTTGTCTTGGGTACGTTCTTCGCTCTCGGGATTAGCAGCGGTGATCGCTAACGTCGAATGTGAATCTAGCTTCCAACGACATCGGCCACTTCCAGATCGTCTTGGGCGGTATCGGCACGGCGCTCCTTGGTCTTGTCATCGGGTTCATCTTCATCGTCTGGATCGGCGGGTTCTTCAGACACGTTGGCATCGCAGAGCCGAAGGACAACAACTTGCTGGTGTATGCCCTGATCTTCCTGGTTCGTATATTTGTGTTGTGCGCGCGAATGTCCACCTGACGAGACAACAGATCATTGGTGTGCCTGTCGGTCTTCCCTGTGTCACCACCACGACGATGGCTGTCGGTGCTGCTTATCTCGCGAAGCGCAAGGCGATCGTGCAGAAGCTCACCGCTATCGAATCTCTTGCTGGCAAGTATCCACCTTCAGTCTATCAGCGTAATCTGATTTTCCTCCACAGGCGTCGACATCCTGTGCTCGGACAAGACTGGTACGCTTACGGCAAACAAGCTCTCTCTGAACGAGCCGTTCGTCGCGCCTGGCGTAGACCCCGACTGGCTGATGGCCGTGGCTGTCCTCGCTTCGTCGCACAACATCAAGTCGCTCGACCCCATCGACAAGGTCACCATCGTCGGACTGAAGGACTACCCCGGAGCGCAGGAGATCCTCCGCCGCGGCTGGCACACGCACAAGTTCAAGCCCTTCGACCCCGTCTCCAAGCGTATCACGGCTGAGGTCGAAAGGGATGGACGGAAGTACACCTGCGCGAAGGGCGCCCCTAACGCGTACGTGGCTTGTCTGTATCTATTGGACCTTGTTGACATTCATACTGCGATAGCATCCTGCGCCTTGATAGCTTCCCCCAGGAGACCGTGGCTGCGTACCGTGCCCAAGCTGCTGAATTTGCTCAGCGTGGTTTCCGTTCGCTCGGTGTCGCGTGCAAGGAGGAAGGCGAGCCCTGGCAGCTGCTCGGTATGCTTTGCATGTTCGACCCGCCGCGTGGCGATACGGCTGCTGTATGTCTTCGCTCATGGTCAACGCCTCCATTGTAACTCACAATTCTGACAGACCATCCGCGAAGCCATGGACCTCGGTATCAGCGTGAAGATGCTTACTGGTGACGCCGTCGCCATCGCCGTCGAGACGTGCAAGCAGCTCGGCCTTGGCACGCACGTCTACGACTCGGAGCGTCTCATCACTGGCAGCATGCCCGGCTCGGAAGTGCGCGACTTCATCGAGGGCGCGGACGGTTTCGCGGAGGTCTTCCCGGAGCACAAGTACCAGGTCGTCGCGATGCTCCAGGAGCGTGGCCACTTGACGGCCATGACTGGTGACGGTGTCAACGACGCGCCCTCGCTCAAGAAGGCGGACTGTGGTATCGCTGTGGAGGGTGCTTCGGACGCGGCGCGCACGGCTGCGGATGTTGTTTTCCTCGACGAGGGTCTCAGCACTATCATTACGTCTATCAAGGTCGCTCGCCAGATTTTCCACCGGATGAAGGCCTACATCGTCTACCGCATTGCGCTTTGTATCCACCTCGAGGTCTACCTGGTACGCACCTCCTCCACGCCAGTGTACGCAGCTGCTGACGAATCGCTAACAGTGCACGTCCATGCTCATTCTGAACGAGACCATACGTGTCGACCTCATTGTCTTCATCGCTATATTTGCTGAGTATGTCCAGCTTCGCGCCTGATGTATATCCGCAGCTCACAATCCACGTAGTGTTGCCACGATCGCCATCGCCTACGACAATGCTCCATACGATCGGAAACCGGTCGATTGGCAACTTCCCAAGGTGTGGATTATCTCGACTATCATGGGTCTACTCCTCGCCGCCGGCACCTGGATCATCCGCGGCACTCTCTTCCTCAGCGACGGCGGTATCATCCAGAACTTCGGAAGGTGCGTTTTCCGAGCGGTCCCTCACACACACCATAGCAACTGACTTCGCGTGCTATCTAGCGTCCAGGAGGTTCTTTTCCTGGAGGTCGCTCTCACGGAGTCCTGGGTCATCCTTATCACCCGTATGTCTCAGGGTCCTGACTCGGGCCCGTTCGTCTGGCCGTCCTGGCAGCTCGTCGGCGCCATCCTCGGTGTAGACGCTCTCGCCACCATCTTCGCCCTCTTCGGTTGGTTGTCCGGTCCGGCTGTCCACGGAGGGTGAGTAGCTCGTTGTCGCTCGGGTCTACGGCGTTGCGGAGATTGATCGGTTCTTCAGTTGGCTCGATATCGTCACTGTTGTGAAGATCTGGTGCTACTCCTTCGGGGTCGTCGTCACGGTTGGCGTTGCCTGTGAGTTCTCACAGCCTATTCGTGATCGTATTCTTGCTCATACATGCGTTCAGACTGGCTCCTGAACAAGATCAGGTGGCTCGACAACATCGGTCGCCGCAACCGGAGCCACAAGAACACCAGGCTCGAGAACCTTCTCACCGAGATGCAGCGCCTCACGCTCGTCCACGAGCACGATTCGAACGGCGAGTCGTACTACCGAATTTCGAAGGGCGGCGCGGAGGACAAGCAGGCCGGCGCGACGGGCACCGCGACTCCCGTCAAGTCGGACGCGGAGAAGAAGCACTAAGCTCGGGCTGCACCACGCAGGCTATGGCCACTTTCTAACGCATTCCACACGACATGGCGGCTCTCCGCCGCATCAAGGACTTATCAAGTTTCACGATAGAGCTTACGCACGCACGAGGAGAAAAGTCTCCGATAATGTGTAGTTTCCTTCCTTAATCATCGGGCCCCGAGCGGCCTTGCTGTGTACCATCTACGCATTGTTGTTGACACACATGTACATATTGTAATCAGCTTCACGAATACAGTCTGAAGCATCATTAGAGTTAACAACGGATGTCGGCTTGAGGCGACATGGACAGGCGAGGCTGGTGAGGGCATGTGGCGCCTATCACGACTCTGCTACACACCATCATCTGCTGCACCTCTTGACGCGCTGTACACTCAGAGATGTCAACAGGTGTCTTTGCACCCAACGAAAGGGTCTTGTGCTACCATGGCCCTCTCGTATATGAGGCCAAAGTCCTGAAAATGGAGCACTGGGACGAGTTAAATACGAAGCTCGGCTCGGTCGGGCCACACTACTTTGTCCATTACAAGGGCTGGAAGCAGACGTACGCCGTCCCTATCTGAAATCGTTGCTATTCATCTGACAGAAAATACCCATACATAGATGGGATGAATGGGTGCAGCCCTCTCGGTTGCTCAAGTTCAATGAGACGAACATCGCGCTGCAGAAGGCCTTGCAGGCACAAGCATCGGCTGCTGCATCCTCGTCATCCGCATCTGCCGCAAAAGGCGCGAACAAGTCTGCTTCTGCGAAGGATCCTGCGCGGCTGGGGCGTAAGGATGGGGGGACGCGTGGTACGAAGCGAGGTCGGGAGGAGGTATGTGTTGGCCAGCGGCGACGCCCTGCCGCACTCACAGGACCCTCGGCAGGATGACTCTAGCAAGCGGCCGGAGATGCGGCTCAATGTTCCCGAATCTCTGAAGGTGCTTCTGGTTGATGATTGGGAGGCTGTGACGAAGAACAACCAGGTTCGTCGCCTTCGGATGCACCATCCCACTCTCCCGCCCGTGCTGACTGTGATACCAGCTCGTAAGCCTACCGAGGACACCGAATGTGGTAGCGCTGCTAGAGGAGTTCAAGCAATACGTTCTCGCGGAGAAACCGTCTCAGTGCGCAGACAATGTTCACATGTTTCTACCATTAGTGACGTCTTCACCAGCCTGAAGGATCCTCCGGTTCTGTTGCCAACAATAGTAGCTGGCTTGCAGACATACTTTGACAGAGCCCTGGGAGCAAACCTTCTATACCGATTTGAGCGACCGCAGTATGCGGAGATACGCAAGAAGTACGTGACCGGTCCCACCGTGATAGTGGGGCAAGAGAAGGAGATGAGTGCAATCTACGGCGCGGAGCATCTGCTACGAATGCTTGGTGCGTGCCTCGGTATCTGCTTGTCTGCATGTGGGGTATCCGGGCTCATGTTACTGTCCCACAGTGAGTCTGCCCCAAATGGTGGCGAGTTCACATATGGATGCGGAGTCAGTCGGGCTCGTTCGAGACTATGCAAATGAATTGATGGTGTGAGTATGGACCAATTGCCTTTGTGATTATCCTTGCTGATATTGTGGATATGTAGATACATGGCAAAGGAGGCCCAGCGGATATTCATCCACGAGTACGAGTCTGCGAGCGTAGCGTACCAGAACATCTCACGTTCTTGACTTGCTATGGCTTGCTGTGACCGCGGTGTGACGTGTGTGACGCCCGGCTTCTATGACGTCACGCGATGGGCGAAGCGGCCTTGGGTGGCACAGGACGTTTATATAAACTCCTGCGCGCCCTTCGTCGCCCATCTCCATCTCTTTCCCTCTGCTCATCTACTACTAGACCATGGCATCTCTGCTTTCCACTGCTACTCAGGTCGCCCACTCCGCTGCTGTCTCGCTCATGAGCGCAGCAGAGGTCAAGCCTGGCGCTACGATCCCGACCAAAGTACCGGTGAAGGAGGAAGAGGCAGCGAAGACGTTCACTTTCGAGAGTATCAAGGGGAGAAACGTCTTTGTACGCTATACGGCTCCCCGGGTGTATGCAGACATCGTTGAAGTAAAATGACAGGTTGGCGTACCAGGAGCGTTCACCGGGACGTGCAGTGCACAGATTCCCGGTTACATCAAGGCCTATGACCAATTCAAGCAGAAGGGTATTGAAAACATCTACGTTGTCGCTGTGAACGATGTTTTTACTTTGAAGTACGTTACTCTGTCTTGCCATCACTACGCTGCTTACATGCTGACCCATCCAGAGCGTGGAAGGAGCAGCTTGCCCCAGGGGGGACGCGTAAGTTTTGCTCGCCTATCCCATGCGAAAAAAGGCCCATTGACATTTTTCTAGCTATCCACTTCATCGCGGATGACAAGGGCGCGTTTGTTGGCGCTCTCGGCATGCTCTTTGATGCGTCGGAGTTGCTCGGTGCGCCGCGGTCAAAGGTACGTCCCCCCAGTACATACCCCCATCCGGTTCTCACATGTAGCCACGCACAGCGCTTCGTCCTTGTCACCGAGGACGATACTGTCACTCACGTCGCTGTGGAACCCGTCACATCCCAGTTGACCATTTGCGCCGCTGACAAGATCTTGCCACTGCTCTGAACGAACCAAATCCGTGCGCGTAGAATGGTAGGACAACTTGAATGTAATAAGAGGTGTGAGTTTGCAGAATAGACGGAACTCCCATCGACTTTGACCCGAGGCCATCTGTTGCGGTCGCAGTTGGTTGGTCAAGGTTCGACCGCATTGCCGGTGGAGACTGGAAATCAATCCGCTATTTAGGGCTCAGCTATTCGATTGTTCACACAACATATGGTGGGAAGCCTCAAGTATCGCCGTGTATATCGTGCTCTGGACGCACGACAAGTCCTCGACCGATCGAGAGGTGACCAGATGCAGCGTCATTCACGATGCCTGAGAGAGTTTGGGGTATTCCAGTTCCTCGGGCGCCCTTGATGCACACGACGGCTCTCATCTAGCTCCGTCCATGTTGACCTTTCCTACTCTCATCACACGGGTTGTTTAACTCAGAAATACTCTCCCACATCAAGCCAGACGAAAACTCAATGGGCCACGCTGGACCACGAGCTGTCTGGCACCGACCCGGTAATCATGCCACTGTCAGCGGTGTGCGCCTGGTGTGCGCTCACGGCTGCACTCCTCGTGTGGTCCGGTCATCGTATCTACACTGGTGTCATTGCGAATATGTACGTCGTTCTGTACAGTTGCAGATTCAAGCTTCTTTATGTCGGACCAGAAAGTGGCTAATAACTTATTCAATTCCGTGACGGTTCGTCGGCGGTGTCTTCCAAAATCCCACGCCACATTGCAACGGTCAAAGTCGCGCATACTTACTGTAGGTATCACGAGTTTACACTATACGCTCTACTGGTGCGCTCTACCTGCTACCCCGCCGTAAGTGAATAGTATTACATACGCCGTAATATAAACTCACCCGGTCCGGCCGATTTCGTAGTCATAGAATGCCCGTCAGGGTACTGGACGAAGTGGCTCTGCTTTTCACGGATTGCATGCAGGACGCTGCCCATCCGATACACTGCGCCAGAGTCCTTTGCGCATGTCTCCACCTATTGGACGGGAGAGGCAACGGAAAACGCTACGCATTGGACGTGCGCTTCCTCATACCTCGGTCTAACGAATACGACTACATCCGCAAGACGTATCCCGAATACCTGAACGCGTGTATGGCCTTTTTGAGCCTGCCGCGCTCGGAAGAGGAGGTTCGGAAAATCAACACCGATATCAGTACATGCACATGCTCTACGCCACCAGACGAGAACACGAGGAGACTACTGGAGTGGCTGCACACGTTTGAACCCACCCGTCTATTCACTCTCGAGGACTTCATCCGAGCCCTTGTTCGGCACCTCGCTGGCGTCCTGCACAATGCGGTCACGTCAAAGACTGTGGGAGGTGTTACCGCTATACGTGGTCTCAAGAAGAACCGCAAGAAGTACGCTGGAGTGCCTCTTTGGCCTAAGGATTCCAGCGAGCTCATACCCCATGGTCTCGAGAGGTCAATGCAGGGCTACGCGGCGACATTTCGCTTGTGCGGCGAACCCCGAATCGAAGAAACCCTCCTGTTGATCAACAATCTCCTTGCCATCCGTGGTCGCTCCATAATCCCGTATCTTCTCCAGTTGGACCCCGAATGGCCAATGAAGATCAGCCACCTCGCTATGGGTCTCTTGGTGGAGCGGCGCCGGACACTCGGAAGGCCTGTCGATATTGGCACGCAACTGAGCTGGATGGAAACCCTCATACTTCTCATGGAGTGTTGCGGCCGTCTTGCGGATGGTGGTATTGTTAATGCTACGGATATCGCCATGTTCGTCCGCGTGGTCTGGCCCCGAGGTCCGGAGGGAGGATGCCAATGCTGCGGCATTCTTTTTGTTTGCGATGCGCTCATCAAAGAGTTACCTCTCTTCCTCGACGGCACCAGCCTGAGTATCTTCACCGCGGAGGATATCACCAGATTCATCCAGCTCTTCGCCTGCTACGGTGCGACTTTCTATGCGCACAAACCGTCCACGGACACCACAGACTACTGCAGGGAAATCGTCGACACGTACAACTTGATGCAAGCTGCCTCGAGGTTCGCGGACCCCTTCGTCGCCGCATTCAACGGTCTCATCTGGGCTATCACAATGCGGCGGTGTGCCGCGCCAGAATGCCGCGAGACATTCGCGACCGCAGGGCGGTCGTTCGCCCGGTGCGCGGGCTGCGGTGTTATGCGCTACTGCTCGCGTGAGTGCCAGACACGAGCCTGGAAGCACGCAACGTTCTCCCACAAGGCTGTTTGTGCGAAGATGCGCGTGCTTTCAGATAGGACACGCCTCCCGAGCGTCAGCGCCGTTGCCGCTGACCGAGGTCGCCAGTCATTCATCGATGCATGCAGAGCGGACGAGGATCTTGGCGCGTTGGCGCGAGATTGCGCCTGCCATACGCAGGACTTGATGGCTGCGCGAAACGACCACAGCGAAGCTACCATGACGGAGGCGTTTCGGGAGTTGCACGGGAGCTCGCCGCCGCTCGGTGACCGAGCAGTGTGATCAAGGCGCTGTTCAGTAATCTGTTCAGGTCTGGAATCAATACGGTAGTGTCATCAGCTGGTATTAGAGTCGAGTTTTCTCCAACAAGCCATGGCTCTGACAACCACTTTTACTTGTGATGATATACCTGAGGTTCAAGACTCTCCGACTCTCCGAGTCAGGAGTCGATTCTGGATCATGATGCGGTTAGCCGCGGGAAACTCTCACGCCACCCTCATCAATCGCCATCAAGTCGTGAAGGAACTCGACTGTACATGTCTTCATACCCCCAAGTATCGTCCTGCCGTACAGTGAGTGAGTGTTACCTTTGTAATTGTTAGCTTTGGTTCCGACTGATGCTTAGTGTTGAATTATCCAGATGTCCATAATCCGAGATGACGTTGCCCGGCTCTTCACGTCTTGCATGACCCAGCACGTCCAACACGATGCGCTCGAGTTCTTTGTGGTTGCCTCCACCTCTTGGATGGGAGGGAAGCCGAGGAACCATTTGCCATGGACGCGCGCTTGGAACGACGGGTACGAGGACATCCGCAAGGCATATCCGGAGTACCTGAGCGCTTGTGCTGCCTTCTTGAGCTTGCCACGCTCGGCCCACATCGACGCGAGAAACATCTACCATGTAAGGTCAATCGAATGGATGAGGACCACTGGCAGGAGCGGCTGGAAAGAACAGTTGATGATGCAAGAGCGAAGAGACCTAAATGACACCTTCAGCGTATGCACATGCACATTACCGTTCGATGCATCGGATCGGCTGCTCGAGTCGCTGCACCGATTCAAACCCACCCGCCACTTTACCCTCCAGGATTTCGTTCAGGCCCTCGTGCGCCATCTCTCTGGGATCCTGAACGACGCCGTCGAATCGAGGACCGTTGCTGGGATTACTGCACTGGGCGGCCTCAAACGTAACCGAAGAAAGCATGCTGGTAGTCTTCTCTGGCCGATGACTGCTAGCCAATTGATGCCCCATGGTCTCGAGCGGTTGATTGAAGGATACATGGGTTCCTTCGGCATCTGCGTCGAAGAGCGCTTCCCGGATATATTTTTTTTTTTTTTTTTTTTTTGGATGGCTTATATGAACCTTGGCAGGCGACAATAGGTCGTCCCCATCGGTCCAGCCAGCGTGCGGGCTGCGCCCGCTAATGCTTACCAGGGAAAAATGCTAATTTACGCACGGCTCTTACGGCCAGTGTGGGGCTCAGTTACCCGGGATCTTCCTCGATCCTACATACTTCCGGGTCAATACCCACTAAAACCCGCGGGACTAAAGTCCAGTCTTCCGGTAGGCCAAGTTCGTCACCGACTATCGCTGTCCATGTGGACCAAACGAGTCGTCTCGAGACTGTTAGCCGTCCGAAGCTCCTCCTGGTCGCCACCAGGTCGAGCTGTAGCCTTCTATTCAGAGAGGCGTACCATCGCTGTATTGTAGCGGTAGGGGAGTGTTGCCACTCTGGGTCATCCTCATGTCCGATCACTCGCTCACAGCGTAGTTTCCAGATGAGGTACGCTGCCTCCGACACCAGGATCCTCCATAGGCGAGCGAGGGGTTCTCTCGGCTTTTCGCCTACTCCTCGAGGGTAGCGGCCTAGGCCTGCTGCCAGGGCGTCCTCCAGGGACGGTGTCCGCCATGTCTTGGATCTTCTCCTCCATGCGTTTTGGGTGAGTTTCCAGATCAAAGCCTGGCCCGTGGCAGTACATTCAGTTAGAATGTGTCTCAAAGTTTCTCTGCACCCGCACGTTGGGCAGTCGGCTCTCTCTTCGTAGCCCGATATGTGTGCCCAGAAGGGGCCAATCTTGTGGGCTTCATGCATGCCTTTCCAGAGGAAGTCAACAATCTTCCTATGGAAGTCTTTATGTCGTATGCTCGTCCACAGTTCCGCCGTCGTCGCGGCGCGCAGCCCGGGCCCCTTCGAGTTGTCAGTTGTCCGCTGAACCTGTCCAGCTGTTCGTGGGCGGTCCTGCAACCGGAGTCGGTCCCGTATTCCTCTGTACGCTATTGCCTGGGTAAGCGTCGACAGCTTCGCGCCTGTCAGGTCGAAGGCCTTGTCGATGGACAGGCGGATCGTGGTGGTTGTCTGGGCTAGGAACTGCTCTTTAGCCAGGTCGCAGGCATTGTTCCGTATCGTATACTCAGCGCTGTTAGAGGCTTTACCGAATATGGTCGGCGCGCATCGCTGGCGGAGCTTGTTCACCAAGGCCCTCAGAACCTGGCTCCCTGCGATTCCAATCCAGCCTCTGTCCTCCCATCGTTGGAGGCGTTCCGTCATGTCTTTTGCCAGGGCCTGCGTAGACAGGATGATTTTAAGGGGGGCGTCGCGGGGCGTGTCTGTCACCACTTTCAGGGCTGCGACCGCTTCTCCGATGGAGTGACTCGTCGCTGGGATGACATCAAGAGGGCGCACGAGCGCGCCGCTACCGGCGCGTCCGCCGGCCTCGGGATAGAAGACGAAACCGTAGTCCAGGGGCATTGGCTCGGCCCCTCGGGGGAGGGACGCCCTCTGTATAGGGCCGACGACGTAAGCCGTGACTGCCTCGTCCTCTACAATGCGACCGCGTCTAGCCCTGATCGCCGGAGGTTCGTCGTGAACGTTTGGGTCAACGAAAGCTCGGAAAGCTTCCGTGACATGTCCTCTACTGGTGAGGGACGGGTCGAAGGTTATGTCACCCTGGGCCTCATCCAGGGCCTTTATGTTCTGTTCCTTCCTCCTTCGCGTCAGGGTTAATCCATCCTTCGGGGACTCCAGACCGGGATGCCATTTGGGTTGCACTTGGGCTAACAAAAACGCAGCAGCCTTGCAGCAGTTCATTGGGTTCTTGCAGCCACGGGAGGAGTCAGACCTACAGAGGTCGCAGGCGCATTCCTCCGGAACAAAGTCATTCGACATGGCTCTTGCGATGTTGTAACATTCGCGCCGGGCCAGCGGCAGGAGATCCGCAACCAAGCGTACGTCATGATTGTCTCGCAGGCAGTCACTGACTCTCGTGTTGTTCAGGGAGCGGAGCTTTTTGGATGCTCCGAGATGGTACCAGATCGGTAAGGCTTCTTTCATACTGGAGTCGAGTTTGATGGCTGCAAAACTTACGTTGTGTTTCTTCGCCGTCGTTAGCATCCGTTTGAGATACTTCGGCAGAGGTGAGCTGTTATGAACAGCGGGTGACCAGGACTGTAGGAATGTATTGAGCTGCGCGCTCCGCCTGATTGCGCCAGCGTCCTTTGACACCGCTCGACCGAGTAGGATGTCGACTGCGTAGGCCCACCGGGGCCTGTCTTCGGTGAGTGTTAGGTACCGCTTTATCCACATCAGTTCAATCGCCTCGTTCCTCGTTGCAACATCGAGTAGGCTGAGGCCGCCCTCCACAATCGGGCGTGTTAGTGTGGACATCGCCACTGGAGCCGTAGTCGCTCCGTCCCATACAAAAGCTCTGATCTTTGATGTCAGGGCTTCTTCCACCTGCTTCGGCATGCCCTGGACAGCCGCCAGGTATTGTGTCATCCCTCCGGGACCCATCTGAACAATGTGGCGTTTGCCCGTGAGGGAGGGGTGGCACTTTCCCCATCGCTCCAGGAAGCGGTCCACTTTTAGCAGGGTCGGTGTCCAGACCGCTACGTGGTCTACCTTATTACCGATCCACGCTCCTAGGATGCGTACCGCTTCGCCATCCATTGCGATTCTTACATCCCCTGGTATCGCGTCTTCCGGGCGAGCGGGGTTGATGCACCTCGATGTGAGCAGGGATTCCCGGTACTCACTCGATCCTACAGGGATGACCTCTGTTTTGTCACCGTTATATTTCGCTCCGGAGGCCACACACCAGGACTTCAAGATGATCCAAAGTAGGCCCCAGCTATCGTGTTCACACAGGAACGCTGACGTGTCGTCAGCAAAGAGCGTAGCGATCAGTTTTTCGGCAACTCCTGGGATTCGGAAGCCTCTCAGCGACGAGCGTCTGAGGGCGCAAGCCAGTGGTTCGATGGCTATGTCGAAGAGCAGGCATGACAGCGGGTCACCCTGACGGACCCCGCGTATGACTCGGAATGGTGAGCTCATTTCGCCGTTGACGATCACCACCGTTGTTGCGAACTCATACAGGCCGCGGATGCGTCTTATCAGGGCAGCTGGGAGGCCGAATCTCTCTAAGACGCGCCAGAGATAGTCATGTTTGATTTTATCATACGCCTTCTCCTGGTCGAGCGCTACAATCGCGCCGTTCTCCTCGGTTGCCTCGGCGTAGTCGACCATGACACGGCACATTTGTGTCTGGTCAGTGATCAGCCTACCGGGAACAAAGCCTGCCTGGTCGGGGTGGATAATCTTTTGGGCCTCTCTGCCTATTCTTCCGGCAAGAGCTCTGGTGTATACTTTATAGTCAGAGTTGAGTAGCGTGATCGGGCGGTAGTTCTCGATGATGCGCTTATCCTTTTTCTTGTATAGAGGGCACATCCATCCTTCAGCGAATCCTGTTTGGCTGCTGACGCCGTACCTGTCGATGTCGCAGTACAACATGCGCATGAAGTCCAGGCAGTTGAATTTGTGTTCAGATCGAGACGTGCACCATGTCCACCGTTCGTGAAGGGTGAGCCATAACTCGTATGGTAAGCCGTCCAATCCAGCAGCCTTGCCAGGGCCAGCTTTCTTGATCGAGTCGAGGATTTCATCCTCTGAGAGGGCCAGGGCCAGGGTCGCCGCATCGTCTTCGGGGAGTGGTGTCCCTACTGGGTCGAGAGCAGCGGTGATAGCCTCTTCCCTCTCCTCCAGGTGTCGCCGGAGGGGTGGGTCACCTTGTAGGTCGTTATGATAGTTCCTTGCAAGTTCAGCCATATCCCGGGACTTCGTGATGTAGCGGGCGGGGGAGGAGTTAGGGACTTGCAATGAGTAGAAGAGGTCGCGAGGTTTACGCTCCTTGTTCACCGCAGACCAATATTTGCTCGGGCATTCCGCGTTCAGGATGTATCTCACTGTAGTTGATGCTTGGATTTGTCCGTGACGCTTTCGCTCTAGGCTGTGCAGCTTGTCCCTTAGGATCCCGACTTCACGCTGTTTCTCATTGTCGTCGCTGAAGGTGGCTGCTGAGCTCAACGACCGGATGAGGTCCGAGGTCTTCTGTATCGCGGCAACCAGCTTGGGCACCTTCTCACGCATTCTCTTACGTGCCATTGTCCGCACCTCGTCTTTGAACTCCTTGAACAGGGTCTGCGGGTTCGTTTCCTCCGTCCTGGCTTCGCCGACGGCTTCCTTGGCCTTGTTCCATTTCTTTTCGCCAATGCAGATCGCGGACTCGATGAATGCCGAGTCGGATAGTAGAGTGACCGGTAGGGCCCATCGTCCCTTCCCTATGAAAGGGGCGGCTGCGGCTGTTATTGCGGCTGTCACCAGGCGGTGGTCTGTCGGGACTCCCGTGGTTAGAATCTCCCATGACAGCGCTCTTGACAGGATGTCCTTGTTCGCGTATATGCGATCTAGTCGCGAGCATGAGTTTCCCCCGCGCTGAGGGAAGGTGTAGTCCTTCCGGGTTGGTTCGCATGAGCGCCATCCGTCCGCGACTCCCGTCGCCGCTAGGAGATCTCTCAGGCAGGAGACCGCGTTCGATGGGTCTTCTCTTGATGGGAGGCGATCAATGGCCTCTTCGACTAGGTTGAAATCGCCCAGGATAATGTCTGGTTTTTTAGCTCTGGAGTTCTGAAATTGGTCCCTGAGCCTCGACCAGAAGGCTGCATTCTCGGTATGGTTGTTTGGCGCGTAGACGTTCAAGATAGTGAGCGAACGGCCGGCGTGCCAATTCATGGACAGCAACAGGGCCCGACCTGGGACCAATTCCATTGTATCCACGTTGGACACGTCCATCAATTCACGGTTTAGCGCAAAAGCAACGCCTTGAGCTCCAGTAGAGTTAATTGCCTCGCTATTGAAGATGCGTATTCGTCTTCCGTATAGCCGGTGGACGTCTGCTGTGAGCGCGTCGTCCAGGTGGGTTTCCTGCAAGGCTAGGACACCTATTTTCTTCTCACGGAGGAGTTGATTAACCTCATTCCACTTATTATTGCGGGTCCCGTTGAGGTTACCTCTTCCGCTGATGTTTAGGGACCCAATTGTGAGGGACGCTTTTGTGTTGCGTCCCTTCTTTGCCTGCGGAGGGCGATCTGCAGGCGCGGGGGTATTGTTAGGATTCTGCTGTTCGGGTTGTGAGTTAGACCGGCCGCCCAGGTTCTGTCCAGTTGGGCAGGGGGCGGTCGTCCCACCACCGGGTTCCACCAGCGGGTCCTCAGAGGGTCCCCGGATGGGAGGCGGGGGCGCTACTCGCCGTTGGTGGAGAGGTGAGCCGTTTGCCGAGATGTCGTCCGTGTTTGGTTGTTCTCTTTGTGTATTCGCCGTTGCTCTACAATACCCTGTTACAACGATTACAGGGATCGTGCGCCGCTCCTGGGCACATCAGGGGACACGCCTACGCGAGGCTTTGCCATACTAAGGCTGGGCATGTCTAGAACTGCCCGCGCTGAAGGGGTGAAAAAGCAGTCTCCGGTGAGTGGGCTTTCCTGTCCCGGAATCGGTCAGTAAGTGTGGGCCACACCATCACCGTGACGCGTCAGTAACCATTTATCGATCCATAACGTTTGGTACGATGTGCGGGCTCGCGCCAGCATCCACATCGTGAAGAAACATCAGGCCGAGCAGACACGCCGTATGAATCATGACGTCGCTCTTTTCCGTTCGTTCGTCGGGGCTGATGGGGTGGTCAAACCGAGATGCGCACATACGCGGTGTATTCAAGAAAGCTCGTGACTGTAGGATTGTACAAAAAGGTAGAGATGTAGGACCGCGCGTGAGGACGTCGATACGAGCTAAAGTGGCTAACGGTCTACTTCTTGCCGTACCACTTTTTGGCCGTCTCGCGAGCGAGGGCGGCGTGCGTAGACGCATCGATACGCTGGCCGCTGCCGCTGGCCTTCGCGTTGTTGTTGCGAGGCCTGTTGCGATCGTTACCCGGTCCCCCGTTCCTTTTCCCTTTGCCGTGGCCGTTCCCTCCACGAGCGGGTGTGGGCTTCGGCTGGGAGTCGTCTTCTGCTGGTCGCGGGCCGAACCAGTCGTTCAGATGAACGAGGTCGCAGAGGCCCACCTTGTGGTCCATCGAGTGGCAGAGCTTACACTGGAGCTCGCCGGTGAACACGATGGCCGGGCAGCCACCCTCCGTGCGGAAGGGTTGGCGGCGGACCGCGTCGCGGAAGGTTAGCCAGTTACGTGCGATCGCCGTCGGGGGTTCGCAGTAGACAATGAAGAGAGGGTTGGGGGAGCCTTTCTCGAGTTTACGTGGGAAGACGCGTACGTCGATGGAGTCGACGATCGTGCGCCAGGCGGTCATGACCGGGGTATCGCCCCACTTTCCTTTGGCGCCAGCTGCCTTGTCGTCCTTGATCGCGTCGATCGTAGCCGAGTACAGGGGCTCGCGGCGGAAGGTGGCGACAACGATCCTTCTCGCCGCCACCGGGTCGTCTGTCATGAAGGCCAGTGAGGCGTCTAGGGTTACGAGGAGATCGGGGGGCGGCGGCGGGAAGCGGGCGAAATGGACGGTGAGGTAACGTGACGAGCACCATCCCTGGCTCACCAGGACGGCGAGCTGCAGATCTGTGACGTTCGGGAGGAGGAAGCACCAGGGGGCGGTGAAGAGGGATGATCGTCTCCCTGGGGCTGGTTCGGGGGCGAGGAGGGGCTTGTCCTTTACTTCGAAGCGGTACTTCAGCAGTTCCATCAGTAGTTGAACTCTCGACCAGCATTCCGGATCTTTGTCGCACGCGCCGTGCATCGCAAACCAGATCATAACGCAGTTTGCGTTCGCGGCGAGGGCTTTCCACTGAGTTAGCTGGGCTTCTGACTGGCCTTCGAAGAGGCCGTCTGGCGTGAGGAATTGGATCTTTCTCCAGCCGCCTTCGGGTTCCGCGGTAAACTCGACGTTTGCCCAGTCGATCCCACTTGCCGGAGCATCGTCTGGAACGTCAGGGGCGTCTGGGTCCTGCTCATCCTGGTCGATGGGCGGTTCGGGGGCGGCATGCTGATCGAAAGCGGCGGGTGGCTGGAAGGCAGGTAGGAACGGGCCGGGCGGTGGCGGAGTCTGCACTTGCGCGAGGTTCGGGTAGTTCTGATGCAGCGGAGCGTTGTTTACATTAGCCGGCTGTGCGTGCTGGAACAGGGGGGGCTCGATGATTTCGATGCCGTCGCCGTCGATGCTCATCGCGTCCACGTCAATGGGGGAGGGGTGCCTGTCGTTCGCCGGTCTGTTGGATACGTACGAGAGGACAGATGCCCGTGATGCTCCACGCTGGGGGAGATGATGCTCAGGGCGCGGGGTCGCTACCCGGCTAAGCGGTCTCGGGGTCGACTGCATTTCCGGTGCCGCAACCGGAGGTACGTATGAGGGCCTGCGCGGAGTCTGTAGGGTCGTTTGGCGTCAGAAACAGAGTTAGACGGATGAGATAGACTCTGCCCAGCTTACAGGAGCGACGATGGGCAACTGACGACCGGATGGGCCGGGGTAGGGCCTGTACCTCACGTCTGCAGTGAGATTCCGTCGACTGGGCTCTTTGTGCCACGGGGGGGCGAGGATGCTTCCATTCGGGTCGCTCGACGCTGCCGCGTTCGCGAGCGGGTGCTCCTGGAGACTTGTGAGGGGGCGCTTTTGCAGGCTACTGACGCTCATGCTGGGGGCTAGGGGGGAGTGGACTCGTGTCTGCTCGGCAGCGATGACCTCCCTCAGAGGACGCGGCGCAGGGGAGAGTGTGGACAGACCCGGGGGCGGGCTCGCGTAACTCCTGATCATCTCATCAAAGGATGCAGCGTAGTAGCTGTTTTGGGAGTCGCTGGGGGCTGAAGCTTCAGCTCCACGTTGAACCGCTTCCGGACGCCAGAGAGGGTCAGCAGTCATTGGCGGCGGGTTCCATACGAAGCCGCCGTTCACCGAGTCCCACTCGGCGAAAGGGTGGAGGGGGTGCGGCGGTTGATTGACAAGGTCGCGCACGGATCGTATGGGGTTGTTGGGCGCGTTGCGGGTCGTCTCGGGGGCAGGGCTGTACACTTGACTCGCCGCGATCGAGGCGATCGTAGGGGTGCCGTTGGCGCTGGGGGATGTGACGGCGGGAGCGGGGAGCGCGTTCGAGGACGACACATCGCTGGTGGAGGGCTGATGCTGGAGGGGCGCGTCACTTTCTTCGACACGCTTTGCTTGCGTTCGGCGGCGTCTGCGCCCGTCGCCCGCTGGCTTCTCCTGGGGCGGGAGCGGCGTCGAGGGCACCGGCATCGGCAGGGGGCCTTTGTCAGTGTCCGCGGCTTTTTGGTGCTTGCCCTTAGCCCGCTTATTGGACGCCTTCTTCGTTTTGGACGCCTCGGTGGCCGGCGTCGGGGTTTCAGGTACGAGGACCAGGGGCGGGTACTCGTCGATGACCGGCAGCACCCCTTGAACGAGGGGGTGTTGCTCCGAGTTGGCATCTTCGCTTGGGGCTGCGAGGTCGAGGAAAGGGACAGGGCCCTGGTCAGGGATCGGCCTAAGCCTTGGAGTGAGAGGCATACCGTTGGTCACCATAGGAAGTGGCGTGGCCGGGCGCCCCGCAGTGACGTCCGCAAAGCTCCTGGGGTCGTCCAGGGTGGGAGAGGCGCGATTGGCCACGGGGCCCGTGACGGTGTTAGCGTTAGCGGCTGGTGCGTTCGTCGCTGGGTTATTAACGATCGGCTCTAGGTCCTGGCGCGATTGCTGAGTCGGGGCGGCCACCGGCTGCTCGTTCGCGTTGGACTGCGGGGAGACTTGGAAGGCACTAGGGTGCATTGCTGAAGCAGGAGGAATTCGAAGAATTCTGGGAGGAAATTGGGCGAGAGGTTAGGGCGGGATCGAGCGTGCGCTTGCTCGTTTTGTTCGCGGTGCGGGATTTTTCAGCTGTCTCGCGCCTGACCAAGGCAGCTAGTCCCTAAGGTTTGCCGAGGGCACAGGATGTTACGGGATGTGCAGGGTCGCGCCGTGCTGTAATGGCGCTAAGAGGAGGGGCTGTCGTCGCGATGAGGAGCGGTAGATTCCTTGGATAGGTTGCCGCCATACCTTTGCTGCCCAGACGTCTCCCATTCGTTTAGGCATGCTAGCGGCGTGTTGCGTTTTGTGTGCACTTCGCGGAGGTTGCTAGCCCGAGTCCATCCAGTATCGTTTGTGTAGGGCTAATCCCGACGACAACACCGCCGTGCGTGAGGAGGGGGATGTCAATGGGCCGAGCGCCCGCCTCGGCATTTTGGTTCGCTTAGCGTTGTGGCAGGACCGATTTACGGAGACAGAGCGGGCGATTACCTGGAATGGAGATGACGGCGTGAGACACCGCTGCCATGAGCACTTCCCAGCGCCCGTCACGCCGGGACCTGACCTGATCCAGACTGTAAATAGCTCGATTCTGTCATTCGTGGGACTGCTTTACATACATGCCAGGCTTCGTCTGCGCGCGGGATCTCCCGCTCATTTACCCTCCTGCGCATTGGTGATGTTGGCGATTCTATTCGATAGGGAGGGGATCTCCTCGTCTTCTATGTCGAATTCGTAGGGATTTTCATCCTCATTCTGGAAAGCAGGGCGATGTGCGAAGGAGGGGTGAGGAGGAGGGAGTTTCGCGAGGTTGAAGTAGTGATGCTGGTGGGTGTATCCCTCCAGGTCCCCGAGGGACGCCCATGGGATCGGCACGCGCAGGTTGCACGGCTGGTCGGCTCCCGACACCAGGAACGTGACCCAGTGTCTGCGGAGATCTGCGATCGCAGAGAGACGTCCTAAACCGGACATCTGGACATCAGTGCAGAATCTGACGCTCATTCCCTTTCTGAGCTGCTCCGCCGGGCGTTTGTCCAGCGTCCAGGTGAGTCCACGTCCAATGCCTTTTCCGACGATGGGGAGGGGGAGGATCCTAACGTCGATTGTCGTTTCGTTTGTAGGAGGGAGGGAAAAGGGTGGCAGGGGATATGGTTGTCGCATTTTCGCGGCAATGCTCCTGGTGGTCGTCGGTGTGGACGATTCGGCGGCGGCTCGTTTTGAACGTTTTTTACGCTCTGCAGGCATGTCAGGCCGGGGCGACTGGTGCGTCTTGGGTTTGTGGGGCTCCTTCGGTGAGCGCTTTCCTTTCACTCAGACCTCCTGAATTTAACGAAAGTCTGAGCGCTTTAGACGGTCTTTACGTATCCTCAAGCGCTTTCTCTGACAGGTCATTCCTTGCACGGACGCTCTCTCTTTTACGTCAGGGATCACACATAGTTCACACATAGTATGTTTGGGGCCCCTCACCCGTGGCCGGGGCGAGGGGGACAGCGTTTTATAACATGTTCTGGCCATGCTCCATGGAGCATGGCAACCTGTGTGTGTCGCGTCTCGCTGGATATGGGAGCCTTCCCGGTTAGGAAACTGGTGAAACGGGATTGTCCGGGATGGACTGTTACAGTCACTGATCAGTGGCTGTAACTTTAAAATATAGACGCCGTTGACATCACTTAGGCGCCAGTTGCGGGGAGGTCGTCGGGTCGCTGGTCGCTGAGAGGATGCTCGACAGGGGCATAGTCAATCTCCTCAACCGGAGGGTGGCGGGTACTTTAATTGGAGTTAGGTGGGTGCTCGCTTTATAGGGATCCGTGAGGAGTGGATGCAGTTAGATTGTGATTTTTTGCCACCCTGCCCGTCGTCGCCCATTTCATTGTGGTCGTAGATGCGGCCGGAAGGCGTGTCTACCAGTGTTCGTCCTCATACCATGGGCCGTGAGGCACACATGGGATTGACTTGTGAGTCTGGAGTTGCCTCCATCCCTTTGCAGGGTCGGATGAGTCTTCGTGGAAGACTAAATCATCCAGGGGCGGCGACCGTGAGGACGCGTATCCCTTATAGCGCATGTTAGCTTCGTCCCGAAGGACTACTAACCCCCCGGGACCACGAGGAGGTCTGCGCAGGGCATCGACGAAGTCGAGCCCTCCCGGGGGGCTTCCCGGATATACTCCTACTCGTGAACAACATCCTTGCCATTTGTGGCCAATCCGTCATCCCATACATCCTCCGGCTTGATCCCGGATGGCCCATTGATATCACAAACCTAGCTATCAGGTTACTGCGAGAGCGGCAGGATACCCTCGGACAGTTTATTGACATAGGCACCGAGCAGAGCTGGATGGAAATAATCATGCTTCTCCTGTCGTCCTGTGCACTCATCATCGAACTCAGCCGAGTGAAGCCACCGGGACTCGAGCCGTTCGTTTGTGTGCTCATGCGGGTCGATTGTTTGGAGGAAGTCCGCAGCCTGAAAGGAACTGTGTATGGCATGGCTTCTTACTCAAGTATAAACTCCGGCGAAGAGGGCAATAAAAGGCCAAGCGAGGCGCGGCACGTTCGTCACGTATGTGCGAGGGACCCACTGCACCGCCGAGAGCATTGGGTCTCGGCCAGTCAGTCGTCCTGCGGCGAAGTGCACTGTCATTACCCCGTGGGGATACGGCCCGTGGTCAACGTTATCAAGTACAGGACAGGACAGATCGTGTACATCACGCGATCAATATAGTCACTGCCGGTGACATATACAGCACTCAGCAAAAGTTGAACAAGCAAGAAACCGCAGCGACCGCCTCCGACTCAGGGGAGCCTGGCAGGCGACGCGACGCGTCGCGCGTCCCGGCGTATCACGTGCGCGCAACATCCCGAGACCGGGACCACCCCTCGGAGCTCCGGGCGGTGGGATCCGGAGGCCGAAGCACTCAGTCAACGCTTAGCACTGGTCCTCGGCGAATCAGTCATCTAGCCCGCACACTCAAACACATTCTCTACAATGTTCAGGACGGGAAGAGGAACGCCAAAGACGCTCTGTGAGGGGCGAAATGCCGGCGACCCGTACCGGGCTGTATCCTCAGAAGATTATCAGTTCAAGTTCGGGCGGGCACCCACACTCCTCGCCATCCAATCGACGACGCGTTAGTCATGGGATATCCGAGTATGACGCGTCCCGTACTTAGAGGAAGTATCAGGACTCAGAGACCTACTCAGTACTTAAGGCCCAGTCGTGCTGCTGCGGTTGCAGTGCTTCAGCAGTTTCCCCCCTTGTAAGCTTACGCATCATGTCTTCCGTGAAGAAGATTCCGTACGGTGAGCATGCATTTGCAGCGCATCTAGTTTCGTTTGCTGAAATGTTATCAATGTACAGTTCGCCTCGGGAAATCCGGCCTAAAGGTGTCCAAGATCATCCTGGGATGCATGTCATACGGCAGCAAAGGCTGGAGCGAGTGGGTCATCGACGACCAGGAGGAAGTCAACAAGCACATCAAATTTGCGTAAGTCCAGATATGCCGTGCACGGTGCGCATCGCTGAATTTGGGGGCAGCTATGACCACGGCATTCAGACCTTTGACACGGCAAACGTTCGTCCTGTTCATTCTTATGATATCTCAACGCGCAGGCTGAGGCCCCATGATTTTGCAGGTGTACTCCAATGGCCTCTCGGAGATCATGCTTGGGAAGGCCATCAAGGATCTGCAGCTTCCCCGCGAGGAGCTCGTCATTCTCACCAAGGTTAATCGCCGCCCCTGACACTAGCGCTTCCGGCCATGCTAACCAGAAACAGCTCTTTTCCCCGGTTGCGCCCGACTACGACACGCAGCTTTGGGGCAGGGACCCACAAGAAGTTGGGATCATCAATCAGCAAGGGCTGAGCCGCAAGGTGCGCCCGTATCTCTTTTGTCATGCCGCTAGGCGCGAATGCTTACTCCGGGTGGGTTTCAGCACATCTTCGACTCAGTGAAGAAGAGTCTCGAACGCCTGCAGGTCGAATACATTGATGTCTACCAGTGTAAGTGCAATACTTGCCGTAATGTACGTGATGTATGGCTAAAAGTGGCGATCAGGCCATCGGTTCGATTATGACACACCGATTGAGGAGACGGTTCGTTACTGCCTTGTGACATGTCGCAGAACCGCGCTAACAATGACATAGATGCAAGCCCTCCACGACGTCGTGCAAGCCGGATACGTCCGGTACATCGGCATGAGCTCCTGCCATGCCTATCAGTGTGCGTGTCCCAGACTCTCGTTCACAGCGTTTCACAGATTGATGATATACCCATAGTCCACGCCATGCAAAGTACGTGCGCTCGCTCACATGAGAGCAGGAGGCGCATGCTGATTCTTCCGCCCGCCGACAGACTACGCCATCCAGAACAAGCTCACGCCGTTCATCTCGATGCAGAACCACCACAGCCTGATCTATCGCGAAGAGGAGCGCGAGATGTTCCCCACGCTCAAGGTGCCGCCCTGCACTTTTGCTCTCACCAAAGCTCCACACCAGCTGACCGACTGGCCGCGCACAGTTGTTCGGCGTCGGCGCGATCCCCTGGTCGCCTCTTGGCCGCGGCAACCTTACTCGCCCGCTGTCGGCGCAGACGAAACGCTCGGAGACCGACGCGTGGGTGGTCTCCAGATATATCATATGCGTGCCACTGACGCTGCGCGTACCAGCTGGGCAGGGCCGCTTAAGCAGTGGGCGGGCACGGCTGACATCGTCAATCGGTATGGCACGCTCCCAGGGATGTCGCCGGCGTTGCTAACAATTCCACGTGTACATATAGGGTCGAGGAGATCTCGAAGAAGAAAGGAGTCAGTATGGCTCAGGTCGCGATCGCGTGGAGCTTGTCCAAGGACGGTACGTGTATTCGTCTGGTATGTCCATTATTTTCGTGCTGAGGGGACTCAATGTTTGTTCAGGCGTCACTGCGCCGATTGTTGGTACGACGAGCCTCAAGAATCTCGAGGATATCATTGGTCAGTGTTGGCTAAAAAGATCATTGTGTGCGAGGCGCACTCATGTCTCTGGATGCTCGCAGGTGCCGTAAATGTCGAGCTGACAGAAGACGAGATCAAGTACCTCGAGGAGCCGTACAAGCCGCTCGAGGTGTTCGGACATACTTGAGGCAAGTCTCCGGTCGCGGTGCTGGAGGACAACGCCGTTTGATCCCCTCGTCCCGCGACATCAGTTTCAAGGATATGGGATCACAATTTGTATACTAGCACGACGCAGACAATGTCAATGACGGAAACCCCACTCGCAACATACTGCGTAGTATGGATAGGGTGGCTACTTGGAAGGTGGTGATCTCGAAGTATTCACACTCATGTCGAACAGCGAAGCCGCGCACGCACTTGAGTGACGCGTGTTGAGTGAGCGATGAGATACCCTGCGGGCGGATGTTCGTTGTCTGATGAACGACCATCAATCATGTTAAGTGCCTATTAGTCGTTGCTTCTCCTGTCTGTCTGACTGTCTCGGAGTTTGTTGTCAGTAGGGTGACCACCAGTTATTGCTGACAGATCACAACACTGAAGATCTCCATATTATGGGAACATGGTACGTGGTAATATAAACTGACTTCGCAAAAGCTGAAACTCGCCCACTTGGCTTCAATATTGCCTGCAAGACTTGAACGCGCATCTATCTAATAACTACAAATCCCGCTGCATGCAGGTGCGGCACGCCAGCTTGCCTATCTAAGCTTTAACTTGCTTTAGCTTTCCACAAGGGGAGGTTTGCGTCGAGCCTCGAGCCTGACCTTGCTCCACAGTTCATGCTCTCTGTCAATTGGTCAGTATAATAAGCGCATTCGGACTGAGGCCATCATCTACGCACAAGTCATAGTCAAGAATACCGGGATCAGCTACTCGAGGGATCTGTTGGGTGAGTATCTGTTTGCAGTACCTCTCGCTTTCCTTCAGTTGTGCTATATAGTATGCGCGGGTGGTGTGACTGGTGTCGGGGTTCATAGCAACCTCGTGGTTTGTGATGCCTGCGAAGACAGTGTCCGAAAAATGCCCGTTGATGCACCAAAAGACACTCTTTTTATCTAATCGCCAGTCGATGAACGCGTGGTTAAAGGCTAGGGGCAATAAAGCCAGTGACTGACCCGCGGTCATAGCGCGACGTAGCGCTCACGCCACAGACGCGTCGACGGCCCGGGCACGCGACCGTGACTGATCACGAACCATCATTGTCTTGTATTCCTGTGCGCCTTTGTACTTTTGCTTCATTCTCTTCGCTCGTCTGTGAGTATACTGCACATATGCTCCATGAGTTGTCGAGCGTAGTACTGATGCTGACAGTTTGCTGCAGAATGCCATCTTCCACTGTAGCGAGACTACTAGATCGGGTGGCGCTGTTGTTCACAGCTTACACTCGGGACCCGGCACATCCGCAAGGTTGCGCCAGAATGCTCTGCGCCTGCATCCACATCATGGACGGACATGAACTCAACGAGCCTTTCGCGCCGGACATACACTACCGCACTCCTCAAACCCAGTCATACCTATACATCCGCATGGCACATCATGGATATCTGACCGCGTGTGCGAAGTTTGTGAGCTTGCCGCGTTCAGAAGAGGAGATGAGAAGGCTCAGGACCGACGTCTTCACATGCGAGTGCTCTTTGCCGGAGAACGAAGACGCAAGACGTTTAGTCCAACGCCTACATACGTTCGGGACCGCTCGTGCTCAGTTTGAGCTCGACGACCTCGTCCATGCGCTTGTTCGCCACCTCGCTGGAATTCTGAATCATGCTGTGATGTCGCAGTCCGTTGGTGGCATGACTGCTGTGGGATACATCACCGAGAATCACGTCAAGTCCGTCATGGTACGCCCTTGGCCCGTGGATACCATCACCCAGGTCGTACCGCACGGTCTTCGACAATCGATGGAGGGGTATGCAGCCTCGTTAAGCTTGTCCCTTCGGAGGCGGCCCCACGAAGCTCTTCTTCTCTTCAGCACTCTTCTTGCCATCTGCGGTTCCCCCATCATCCTCCCGGTTCTCACTCTACATCCTGACTGGACATCGAGAGTTGTCGACATCGCCGAATCTCTCATTGACGAGCGCACCGCGATGGTCGGGAAATCTGTCGACGCGGGTACCGAGGAAAGCTGGAAGGATACGTTCATGCTTCTCGTGGAGTGTGCTGGAGACTTTTCGGATACCCGTTACTTGGATGAAGGGGAGTTGAATCTGCTCGCCCGCGTGGAGACCGTGGCAGACGCGGATGAAGAGCCAAAAGAAAGCCGTAGCCTTCTCTCCGTATGCGACCGCCTCCTCAGACATTTACCCTGCTTCCTCGACGGAAGCAATGTCTTTACCCAAGGCGACATGGCCAGCTTTACTCAAGTCCTCACCATCCACGGCGCCGCGTTCTATGCACACCGCCTACCCCACGAATGCCTGGCCGTCTGCCCGCAGATCCTTGACTACTACAATCAGGAACGGAACACTGCCAGTGCTGCGGATCCCTCCACCCTGGCCTTTCACTCTATCGATTGGGCTTCCACAATGCGGTGTTGCTCCGCGCCCGAGTGCCACGAGACGTTTGTGACTGTGGGAAGGCGGCTCGCCCGGTGCGCGGGCTGTGGCTTGTTGCGCTTCTGCTCGCGCGCATGCCAGAAGAAGGCGTGGAAGCACGCGAAGCTCCCGCACAAGGCTGTGTGCAAGAAATTGCGTGTACTACTGGAGGGGATGGATTTTTTTGAGCACGCGGAAGACGCTGATTGTGGCCTACAGTCGTTCGTAGACGCGTGCGAGGAGGACGAAGAACTTGGTGAGCTTGCGCTAGACTGCGCCGGCCATATGTATGACTTGATGGCCGAGCAACACGACATCCGTGAAGCTTATATGGCAGAGGCGTATCGAGAGATGCAGAAGAGATCGTTGAGCAGAGGCGATTCTTGAAGCTGCAGCGGATCGAACTGGACTGCATCATGTCTGCTTGGAGTGGACTCTCCTCAGCACAGCATGTCTTTCCCCGGTTATATTCTTTACAATGTACATTGCTGTGACGATGCTCACGTATAACACAGCCTCAGACCCTACTACTCTCATTCTATGTAAACCAAGTTACGCGTTCGGATTGTATTTCATTCGGTTGATGAACTAGTAATTTCAAACTGCCGACTGGTCCGTAATAAACTGCCGACTGGTCTGTTGTGTGATCAAAGTCGCAGAGCGTTCAACTCAACTAGTATGTATGCAATTGCCACGCAAGACGTGACTGCCATTGTCGCGCTCAGTCGGTTGGAAGACCCACTGGCGCGTCGTAGCGCCCACGCCACAGACGCGTCAACGACCTGGGCACGTGACCGTAGCTGAACGTATTGAACCATCAATGTTGTGTACATATCTCACTGCTTCTTCATAACTTACTTACGTGTCATCCGCTTCATGAACCTCGTTTGTAAGTATTCTACGCATATATTTGTACTCCGTGTGTTGGCTGTAGTGCTGTTACTGAGACTGCACTACAGAATGTCCACGACACCGTTACTAGATGATGTCGCGCTGTTCTTCACAGCGTGCATGAGGGACCCGGCACGTCCGCAAGCTTGCGCCAGAGTTCTCTGCGCCTGCGTCCACATTATCGACGGACACGAATTTGACGAACCCTTCGCGCCGGACGTGCGCTACCGCACTCCCCAGAGCGACGGTTACGAGTACATTCGCAAGACACATCACGAGTATTTGAACTCGTGTGCGGCATTCCTGAGCCTGCCGCGTTCGAAAGAGGAGACGAGAGAGCTCAGAATCGATGCGATTATATGCATGTGCTCTCTACCAGAGCACGAGGACGCAAGACGACTCGTCCAATGGCTGCATACATTCGGGGCCGCTCGCCTCGACTTTGAACTCGAAGACCTCGTCCAGGCGCTTGTTCGCCACCTCGCTGGGATCCTTGATCATGCAGTGACGTCGAAGACAATCGGTGGCCTCACTGCTGTGGGCGGTCTCAAAAAGCACCGCAGAAAGTATGCCAAAATACCTCTGTGGCCTACGGATACCAACCAGCTTATACCCCACGGTCTTGAACGGTCGATGAAAGGGTACGCAGCGTCGTTGGGCCTGTTCCTCTGCATCCGGTTCCATGAAGCTCTCCTGTTCTTCAACATGCTCCTCGTCATCTGCGGTCACTCCATCATCATGCCGGTCGTCAACGTGGATTTCGATTGGCCATCGAGAGTCACCGACCTCGCTGACGCTCTTCTCGGTGAGCGCAGGGCAGCGTTCGGGAAACCCGTCGACGCTAGTACGGAGCAGAGCTGGAAGGACACACTCGTGCTTCTCACGCAGTGTGCTGAACATTTTTCGGATACTCGTATCTTGAATGCAAGGGACATCAATCTACTCGCTTGTGTGGGGACCGTGGTAGACGCGGATGAGGAGCAAGTAGAGAGTCGCGGCCTTCTCTTCGTATGCCACCTGCTCATCAGACACCTACCCCGCTTCCTCGTCGGCACGAGCGTTTTCACCCAAGACGACATCACCCGCTTTACCCGAATTTTCGCCCTCCACGGTGCAGTGTTCTATGTACACAGCCTACCCTACGAATGCCTGGCCGTCTGCCCGCAGATCCGTAACCTCTTCAATGCGATGCAAAACACTGCCAGGGCTGCAGATCCCTTCATCCTTGCGTTCCACGGCGTCAAATGGGCTATCACGATGCGGCGTTGCTCCGCGCCAGAGTGCGACGGAACATTTATGACTGCTGGCCGGCCACTCGCCCGGTGCGCAGGGTGCGGCGTCCTGCGCTACTGCTCGCACGAGTGCCAGAAGCGAGCCTGGAAGCACGCACTGCTCTCGCACAGGACCATTTGCGCAAAGCTGCGCATGCTACTGGAGGGGACACGTCTCTGCAGCCTGGCCAGGGTCATCAGCGCCGACCATGGTCGACAATCGTTCGTTAACGCGTGCAATGGGGACGAGGGTCTTGGTGTACTTGCGCGAGGTTGCGCGGACCATATGTATGACTTGATGGCCATGAGATATGACATCAGTGAAGCTTTCATGGCGGAGGCGTATCGAGAATTGCGAGAGGGAGCTACGAATGAAGGCGATTATTGGCGCAACGGGTTGACCCGTCCTGCATGATCGTGGGTGTGATGTCTGGAGTACACTGTTCTGGCTAATACCTGCCCCTTGCATTAGTTTCCCCCACCGCAATACATGGATGACGCTGACGAGAGCTACTTTATTCTACGTTCACAAAGGCACGGGCATTAGTTCAGGATTCATACCTTCTTTACGAACTCACCTATTTTATCTAACGGATTGCGTTCTGCGCGTGTATAGGTCAGCATACGGCGTACATCTGCAAGTGACCAGGGATATACACACAATACACATTGAAGGATCCCGCGCTCAGCCGCTCGCGGCATCTTCTGCGTGAGTGTCTGCGTCCAGTACTCCTCGCTTCCTGTAAGTTGGGCTATGCGTGCGTGGTGTCGGGGGTTCATGGTGATCTCGAAACAAACGCCTCCTCTCGTGATGCTCGCGAAACATGCGCCTGACAGGATTTCGTCGATGCGCTGAAGGTCGTCATTGTGATCCATCTGGTTCACGAATGACTTGGCCCACTGGTCCGTAGCGCGGTAAAGGTCTGAGAGTTTGGAATCGATCGCGGAATGTTGGAATTGAACGTGAATCGTGGACAAGGCATCGGATGTGATCGTGGAAAGCGTCGCGGCAATGTAGTAGAAGCTGGCATGCGCTGAATAAGTATAGGAGATGGATAATCTCCCTAACTTCGAATGTTGAGAGAGGTCGATGCGTCGTACTGTGGACACGAGTTAACGGCGCTGAGGGAGACAAGGGCGATGAGAGACATACCGGATGGCAGAGTCATGCTGACTTCGCAAGCAGATACGTGGTGCAATATATCCAGTAGCCGCTGCCAGTGACTGCCAACCTGAATGTTCTTGCCGTTCAACAAAGACTTTGAGATCGTTGAGGTGTCGATCCCGCTTAGGATTAGATGATGTGTGTGCCTCTGCGCGTGAAGTGGGACCGGCAACATGAGCGGGATCTGCGCCCATTTGACGTCGGCGCAGTCGAGGCATTGTAAATTGGGGAGTGCCGAGAGTAATGACACGAACTGTGAGGTCCTCGTGAATGTCACATAGTGTAGACAGAGACGAGTGATGGTGGTATATGTGGAGAGGTACCTCATACACTCCGGGTGCATGGATCCTGTTCTCCAGACCACTCCGGCTATGGTCAGTGAAGTGATATTTGGGAGCCGGCGCGCGAGCATCATTATGAAAGTCCCGAAGCGACCGATGCCATCATGATCCTTGTCGCCGGATAAATAGGGCCTGACACTCAGGCTCTCCGCGCGAGAGATCGTGACATACTCAACGGCAGCCTGTAGGTCCTGGTGCTGGCGAAGGCGTTTCGAGAGGGATACGACTTGCTTGCGATTTGCCAGTTGGACCGACTTGTGGAGATGGAACATGCTGCGAAGGTGCCATGCCCTACATACGAATGCGCAAGCAAGGAGTGCATTCCGCCATTCAGACTGAGCCCAGTAGCCACGACCTTCGGGCATATGTCAGTAAACGCTTACGCTGAGACCACATCGCACTCCCTCACCTTCGGTCAATCCGGAGTATGCAATGGAATCAATGATCATCTCGCAAAGCTCCAGGGGGAGACGGTAATCCAGGATATGCTCGTCACTTTGCTCAAGTGTATCCCGATTGCTTCGGGAATATATGTGCCGAGAGGCCTTTGTGTGCACATTGTTTCTGCATTGAACTGAGATGCACCCGACGCCCGTGATACGGCTACGTGAACTCACCTGGGAAAAGGTGAGGCCATACTGCTTGACGATGGTCGGCGATTGAGAGGCATACGCAAGGCATACGTGTATGGAAATTGATGAAATGGCTTGAAGTCGTCACGTTGACGGAGGCATTGACCACAGTGGATAAAATCCCATCATGGTCGACTAGTCCGGGCGATTGATATTCTCCCACTTACTTGCCCTCTCGGATACGCAGTACGACTCAGGCAAGTGACAAAGCATGATTCGGTCGAAGCTACTTACCACTATAACTTGAAGCAGTGAACTCGGACGCCACACCGACGCGTCGCGTCGTGGCGTGCATTAGCGCCCACGCCACCAGCGCGTCAAAGCCGTAGCTATAGTATGATCTTGTTATGACCACTGGTCATTCAATCACGATTGAAGTTATGAAGACATGACTACCTCGATTCGATGGATGCAATACATCGTTGAGACTGAACATGCTACATGTTCCTACCGGATACAGCGCGCATGACACCGAGAAATATGAAGGTCAGAACGAGGGCGAATGAATGAGTCGTACAGTATCCCGCGCTACCAGAAAGGCCACCAAGACCTTCCTTGCGAGCTGTCTGTAGCACCAGACCCCGCAGTGCTCTCCTCGGTTCGACGCTCACCCGTGGCGCTCCCCGTAGTCTTCGACGAGCCGCTTTCAGAGGTCTTTGTATCTTTGGCGCTATCACTAGTGTTGTCCTCCTTCCCGGCTGTGGAAGAGCCCGCCGTCTGCTTTCCTGGCTCATGTTTGCTTCCGCTTGCCGAGGACGTTCCAGACTGACCACTGCTCTTTGCAGACCCAGTGCTAGTGTCGCATCCGCATCCGGTGGCACGATGCCACTGACCGCCAGCGTAATGATAGTGCTGATTGGAGGAGAAGCCTTCGGAGTAGCTCTGTCCACCGTAAGAAGACGATCCGTGATTGGCCTGCCCCCCCGATTGAGGTTGCGTCGATCCGCTGCCACCAGTGTAGCTGTTTGAAGAGTTCTCCCGCGAACGATTGTTTTGCGACTGCCCTCCGCTCTGAGTTCCGCTGTTGAACCCGCTGCCATTCCCTGCGTTCTCGTGAAACCCACTTTGACGGCGGGAACCATCGAAGTGGCCGCTCGAGGTCTTTGACGACGAATGGGAACCAGTTTCTCCACTTGCACCGGGATTACTCTGTGGCTTCGTACCATAGCCGTGAGAACCTCCGCTGAAACCAGAGGACCCGGATTTCGGCGGAAGCTTGGCATCGTAGTTGCGCCTGCTGATAGGGTCCGACAACTTCGTGTAGGCTTCTGTGACCAGCCTGAACTTCTCCGCAACTCCTCCCTGCCAATGGAATGAGGTGAGCTAGCGTCAGCTCCATCAGGTGCTCACCCACGACTGACCTTATCCGGGTGGTGCTTCAGCGATTGCACCCGGTACGCCTTGCGAATGTCCGCGGTGGTACAGTTCCGGTCAAGGCCTTCGAAAACCAAGGATCACAGGATGTAGTCAGAGTTAAGTTCTTCGTCGCTAATTCTATGCAAAGCCGGAACGTACCCAGGATCTCGTAATAATCCCTTACTTTCAGGCGTTCTCGCACCGCACGCTGCTCTACATCCTCCAACTCGCTCTGCACCGTCTGTCTATCACCCGCACCCAGCTTCGACGCGTCCGCTTGCAGGGCATCCTTGAAATCCTGGATGGCCGTGTCGAATAGCTCTAGCCCGACGTATATACGTGCGCGCGTGACGACGATCTTGACGTTGTCCGGGTCCAGCTTCCCGGCGGCGTTTACGTCTTTCAGCGCATCAGGATGCTGTCCGACCTACATGGACAGAGGGCATCCGCTAATCAGCGACGCAGGCATCAATGAAGGCGGCACAGACCTTCAGCCTCGCTCTGGACCTGTTCAGCAGCAGGGTTGAACGAATCCGGCCGCCATTTCCTTCCTCTTCTTTCTCAGCGACGAGCTAAGCAGATGCATACGAAAATCGTGAGCAACATGTCCCACGCACTACAGACTGCAGACTTACACTCAGCGCACTCGTCCACTTCGCAATCGCACCAGTCAAGTCACCAGTTCTGAACCGCCCATTCCCGTCCTCCTTGAGGTCCATGACGCTCTTGTATCGCGTGCGAGCCGCCTTCGCATCTGCGTTATCGGGATCGAGCTTCAACGCGGCGTGAGTCTGTTTGACGGCCTCTCCGAGGTCGGCTGTCAAGAACAAGACCAGGGCGCGCATGAGGAGGGCCTCGATCGATTTAGGGTGGATTGCAAGGATCGCGCTGCGTGCCTGATCCTCAGCCACGAACTCAAGTAGGCCCAGAAAGACGGGACGCACGAAGACACAGCCAGCGCCTCCGCCCACTTCGCCTCCGCAACATCCACTTCGACCTCATAACAGCGCATCTCCACCGGCAAGCCCCCACCATACGCCTCATACGCCTTCCTACACGCCTCGTACGCAAGCCTCACCGCCTTCCACTGTCTCCTCGCCTTCGCGCCCTGGTACGCCTCCACGCCGCTGTCGATCCCCGACACGCGCTTCTTCAGCGCAAGGGCGGCTTCGTTGGCGGGGTCCGCGGACAGCGCGTTCCGCACGGCGAGCGAGGCTGCACTGGGTGCCCCAAGGCTGAGATGGCAGTGAGCGATCTTGACGAGCACGGACGCGGCGGTGGCGGGCAGGGCGGCCTTGAGCAGCTGGAGGGCGCGCTGGTAGTCGCCTAGTGCTGCGGCGTGGTCCTTCAGCACGTTGTACGCGTCGCCGCGACTCCTGAAGAACGCTGCGGCGCCAGGGTCCTTCGCTGTGCATCGACGACGCCGTGAATACCGAGTAGGGCGACTATATGCTAGCAAGGAGACGCACCGATGCACTGGTCGAACAGACGGATCGCACGTACGGTCTGCCCGGAAGCCAGGGCGCTCGTACCCCGCATCCACAGACTCATCGCCTCCTGATCTTTCGAGTACTCGGCGGACGTCTGCTTCGCGTTGTTTTTCTTCCGCGTGCACGGCGTGCACCCGCAGTCAGGCCCATGACGAGAAGTCGTCTCAGGCCCAGTACCGGCGGCAGTCCGAGAAGAATTGCCAGTGCTCGTCCCAGGCGGCGGTACGTTCTCTTTGGAGTTAGGCTTCCCGCCGCCTTTCCGTGTCAGCTTGCAGATTGAGCACGTACAGGAGGCTGCATGTGGATTGACTTGACTCGCGTCGCCAGTGCTTTCGGCTTGAGCAGCTCTAGGAAGTGGAGGAGCCTGAGAGGGCGCCGGCGGCTTCTCCTGGGCCTTGCGCCGCTTGACGAGATTGCACAGCATACATCTACAATCTTCATCGTGGTCGGCAGCGGGAGTCTGTTGGGGAGCGCTATCAGGGGCAGTCTCAGGCTCTGCAGGCTTGGGAATTTCCGGTTCGCTTCGTTCCGTACGTGATGTCGAAGGTTGTGGCTCCGATGTGGCAGACGGTGCAGACGACGCCGTCTGGCGACGTTCCCTTCTACATAAGCGAAGGTAGGTCAGCGATTGTCTTCACTGACACATGAGAGGATAATCGTTCTTACGAAGTCTCGCGTCGGGAAGCACCAGCAGTTGCACCAGCAGCTCGAGGACCCGCAGCAAACCTCACTATCGACCCATATGAGCCTGAAGTCAAGTTGTACGACGTCGCTCACCTGCTTTCTTCTTCTTGGCCTTCTTTGTACAGCTACTTGCAATATGACCGACAATCCCGCATTTCTATTTAGCCGTCAGAAGAGAATCGAGTCCGCGCGTCGTTTACACTCACAAAACAGGTCGACTTGCTGCACTGCGATAACGAATGGCCGCTCTCACCGCATCCAGTGCAGATGCGGCCTTTCTGGGCACGAAGTCGTGGACAGGCTGCGGATTGATGCCCCGTTCCGCTGCAGATGTTGCAAACCCATTTCTGCGGAGTTCTACGCTCAGCACAACGAAGTAGATGTGTTCACGCTGACATACCTCGGTGTTCGTGCATGCATTACTCTGGTGACCCGTCTCATTGCATAGATAGCAATGTGGCTGAGTCTCGCTTTGCCGTTTCGGACACTCCCAGAATCCGTGGCCATGCCCTTTGCACTTCCTACAGACCCATTCCTGCACACGGTTGGCGACTAGTAAGACCTCGATGGGAATGGATCCATGCTCACTTCGCGCTTCTCGCACTCATGTGGGACATGCCCAGTCTCTCCGCAACCACCGCACTTCCTCGTATCCCTCCTGGGAAGCGGGCACTGAGGTGTACGGTGCCCGAGTTCCTGGCAGTTAGCACATCGTGCCCTTCGCGGCATCTTGAGCGACCGCGGGATGAGCTCGTTGGGCAGGCACTGGCAGTGCGACGGGGACTGGGAGCGAAAACAAGAGGGGAGGGGGAGGCTGCAAACAGCCCATGCCAGAAGGAGCGTATCGAGTCCCAACTGCCCTTGAGGCCAGTTCTACGTAGAACGGCCTCTGTCGAGTGCGCGCCAATAGACTTCATCAAATGTCTGTAGGACGAAGGTGATCATCAACCCTTTTTGGACACTGATGGCAGCAATACAACTCCCCGCCAGTCGCCACCTGCCCGGTGCACAGATGCCCACCTAGGCCTGATGGACCATTCGAGCCAAGAAGAGGAAAGCACACGGGAAGCGTTGCTACTGAAACGGGAGGCTTTGTCCAGTCATACTGTGGTCATGGTCCCTCGAGCACAAAACTAGCGCGGGGAAGCCTAATTCCCTACAGCGCTCAGCCCCTTTCAAACTTGCGCCCTACGTCGATCGTTGATCTTTAGGGCCTGGTACATTGATGGGCTACATAAGTAGGCACAGTCCATTCGCGAAACACGCAAAGTATCAGCAAGATCGGACAACAGCCAGTAGGCATGCGTGAACGTACCACAAGTCGTATGCCCCGCAGCTTCGCCTTCGCCAACATGCTGTTGTCTGGCTTGTTCTCAGGTTTGCGCGACGCAGAGCTGCAGTCGTCTTTATGTCCGCCTCGAGTCGAGGTACGCGCTCCGCGCTCCGAGTCTTGGGCTTCACTGGCTATACTTGTACCCCTTTGTCCCACACGCATCGCCCGTAGCATCGAGGCTAATTCAGAGACGGTAGATCCGGCATCTGCATGAGCTGTTGGCGATGCGCTGGGTGGGCGACCTCCATCGTCGGATGATATGCCTTCCTCGTCGTCCGACGGAAGTGCATGATCTTCCTCTGACGACGGGCAGTCTTCATCGTCTCCTCGCCATTGTTTACACAAGCTGCCACGCATGATCAGCGCACCATCTGGGGATCAGACAGGTATGCATCTCACGGGGCGAAATGGCCCCACTCCCCGCATCGTTCGCACAGTTTGTCCGCCTCTTGCACACCGAGCCTGTCAGTCACTCGGCGCTCCCATCATCATTAACGACGACGTACTCGGGCAAGTCCACAGTATATGCCCGGGGCTACCGCAACTCTGGAACGTCACACTCTTCAATATCTGTTGGGCGACGTCTAGGGCGAGGTACTCACCCAGCATGTACACTTCGTGCACGTCACGAGGCCATGTCCTTTCTTTCTGCACCCCGCGCAGATCCAATCCTCCGACTGCACAGGCTGCCGACAGGTCACGTAGAGGTGCCCCATCTCCCGACAGTTCACGCACTGCCATTGCTATAGAATAGTCTGCATCATTCAAGCGCGTGTGTGTACACAGGGATGGAGGAAACTCGCCTCGTAATTGGTACAACGCGTACTGTAGTGGCCAGGAGCCTTCTGCAGGCACAGATGGCATTTGTAATCGGGGCAATCCGACTTGAAGTGGCCAAAGTTGTGACACTGATAGCAGGACATGTCTGCCGCTAGATACTCAGTCAGAGTGGGTTAGTCGACAGTTAGGGTCAGCGAGCAGACTACGCTCGAACGGTCTTATAAGCCTAGCCAACGTGTTTGCAGGTCGGTGACCCGTGAAGAAAAGTACTGAGCAGTTACCAGGCAAGGTTCAGCACGTTGCAAAGCTATGAACGGGCCGCTGTAAGTTGCGCGATTCGAGACTGCCAGTAAGATACGCCACCGTCACAGACACCGCGAGGCGGCGCCAGCGCAGATAATCTGGCGGTCCATGGAGTCTTGTGATAGAATGATAAAAGAAAACAGTCTGTGCTCGGACAAGGTTCGAAAGAAGTTAGCCCCAAGTGTTCACAAACCTGAGAAGGTCCACCCATCCACCCAATCCGAATCCGAACCCAAATAACCCAAACCCAACCCAGAACCCAGCCCATCCTCACACAACCCCCGGCCCATTGCACCACACATTCCCCCACTGATCCGTGCCCGCGCCCGTCAGCCCGCCACCAACGACGCCCTCCTCGCCCGTGTCCACGAACCCCACGCCATAGCTCTGGCCCGCGGTGTACTGCGGCAAGGGACACTGGAAGCCGAGGAACGGCGGGCACGCGCGGTCCGCAGCATGGCACACCTCGAGGCACGGCAGCACCGCCGTGTAGTTCTCCGCGAACGGCGGGAGGCTCGGGTTCCGCGGGTTCGACGCGTTCTGCATCGCGAGCGCGGGCGTCGGCGTTATCAGCGGCTCCTGCGCACCCTGCCCTAGCATCGTGCTCGTGCTCGACGCCGCCGTGGTCGACGAGGAGGTCGGAGAAGCGTACTCGGCGCAGCGCGGGAGCGAGACGATGCAGAGCCAGTTGCGGTACGCCGCCTGGCAGTCCGCGCAGGTCACCAGTGGGCTGTAGAGGTCGCGCCCGCACGCGATCGTCGTGAGCATTGTCGTGAAGTTCGACAGCCCGCTGAGCAGGTTCTCTGTGAATGCGCTCGGGAGCTCGCCCGCGCTCACGCCCGTGCCGGGGTCGTTGTTGCCAACCGGCGCCGCGTAGCCTATGGAGGGGCAGAAGGGGATGCCGTACACGATCGGGCAGGCAAACGCAGCTGCACGTACATGTCAGTGGGATGGACAATGGGAGGGTGACTGGACGTACGGGACTTCGTGGCGAAGTATACGGGCCCGGCGACCTGCGACTCGTTCTTCACCGCGTACGCTGTGTAGTTCGTCATCGGGACGAGACCGTTCACGAACCACTGCCACCGCCAGCCGTCGGTATCGCGCAGCCACAGCCCTTCGCTCCGCGATGATGTGAGGAACTGCCCGACGTTGCTTGCGGAGCCGCGGAACGCGCAGCCAGTCCGAGGTAATGTCATGAAGGCCGAGGACGTCGTGGCTGCGATGAACAGCGAGTAGTCTGGTGGTGACGTAGGCTCTGGCGGGAACGTCTGATTCGCTGCGGGAAGCGTGTAGTTCGGATATGATGGAGAAGACATGTTTGAAGGGGAGAATGGAGGGGAGAACATGAGCACCTGGTTCGCCGTGCTATCACTGAACAATGGTACTTCATCCAAGACTTGGTGTAGTGGACCTTCAGAAACGGTATGTCAGTGTCAATGGACCAGGCGTAAATTGCACATGGTGGCGTGGATAAGCAGCAAAGTATGGTAGCCCAGCTCACTGAGATGCAATCTATCCCTCCCGCCTGTGCTCCGAGCACGGCCACAGTCTAGGGACAGTACGCGAAGATAGATGTGAGGGATAGCCGCATGGCAGTTCTGTGGTCTCAGTGGGCGTGGTTACCTGACTTGCTGCGTGAGATGTACACTACGAGAACGGTGTCAGCCAAGAAACACGCTCACCCTCGTCAGAGACACCCACTTCGAACGACATGTCCGCCGCATTGTACACGGCGAGCACGCCCGCGCTTGCCACTTGCACCGTCACGCTCCCCAGCGAATAGTCGTCGAGCTCAATCTCGAACACGTCTCCCTCCCCGAGGTCGTCTGGTCCGGGCGTCGTTACGGACCCATTCGAAACGAAGAATCGTGGAGTGGTCGACTTCTGGTACGAGCATAGTGCCACAGACACAGAGACGGGATCCGAAGAAGCTGGCAGTGAATAAGTCAGAGGCGAGGTCGTCGCAGAGAACGTCTGTAGCTGGTTCAGAACCAGCTGAGTATCGGCGAGAACGAGCCATGCTTGAGCAAGACAGAGTAGAGTCCGCGGCAGCAGCATGCTATTCACGATGCTCAGACAAAGCCGTAGACCCTTTCAAAGGGTGCGCGACCAAGATAGCGGGTCACTGGAGAGTACAGACTTGGTACAGACCGCCAGTAGGCACTGGGATGAGGGGAAGGTCAGGGGAAGGTTGGGGGGAGGACAAGTCGGGTTCTAACAAGGTTTCAAACTCCGAAAGACAGGAAAGTAACAATCCTCAGCTTACCCCTTGTATGCATCGTCTTTTAGCTGTCGCTATACTGTTTAGTATACTATGAACATGAGTACTGTAGGAGCATTTTCGGAGTCATTCAAGCTCTCCGAAAAGGTTCCCATGAAGGACCAGAAGATCGGTAAATTGGAAACTACGCCCCTACGGAAATAGCCGCCGACCGTAGTCCGCGCCTGCCTAATATGGCAAGTGCACTTTTGCCCGCTGTTTCGTGGCAAAGCTCGACACTTGTGCACTGTATTCTGATGTATAGAGACCATGAACTTCCTAAAGAGTGGCTGAAAATCATCCAATCAGCGTAGGAGACTGTATGGGTCCAGTACAACACTGTGTGCATGCCGTCACAGGCTGTTACGCGCAGAGCGCCCGCGTCACACACGTGACAGCTGCCATGACATGTCCCAAAGCGGACAGTCACAGTTCAATTTTGACTTACCTGTCCGTTGTGCCCTCAAGCGGCCTCGTCCATCGCAGTAGTAGTTGAAATAACAGGGAAATACAACCAGGAGTGAACACTGAGAATCGAGTACGGTGGTATACTTAGGGTAGCGCGAGTGTATGCGGTACATTTACGTAAGCATGTGGCGGGCCTGCCCTTTATGCATACTTACCATCTCACTGAGTCACCGTTCCACCTACCGCCGCCCAAATACTAGTGGTATTATCTGCTCGCAAATTCTCTTCAATTGCGATGCGTGCAGCAGTGAGAAATGCTGCAAGAAGGGCGGGATATACGCGTGTTGTGTGTGTGACAGTATGGTCACGTGCGCGTACGGTCCGTAGTGCGGTCCGGAACCGTAGGGGCGTACTTTCCATTTTCGATATGTCCTCTGAAGGACGGATGTTATTAGCATTTTCGGAGTCCGAAAAACCTGGTTTGCCTGCGGTGCTAATAGGCCTCAGTTGACCTTCTGTTACACCGGAGACACCGGATAGTTTGAGGTCGTCTCAAATCGGGCACAAATGCGGCCGCAAATTGTGACCACTTGGACAGGATTTTGGACTGTTTCGTACGCTAGCTCAAATGATAAGTCTACGTTGGCATGCAGGCTTCTCTCAGAGATAAATATCCAAATGAAGCATGTCTGCCAGTTGCATATCCCTCAACTTAATTAATTTTTTTGATGTGCCGTGGGAGAATATGCTTTATTAGGGGTGTTAAGTTCGAGATGGGCCTATACCTTACCATAGATTTGACATCTGGGACGACATTTGTCCTACCTCCAAATCAGACCTCAATGGTCACTGCGGTAGGATTTCAGCCTGATTTGGGACAGTCTCAAATCCACCGATGTCTCCAGTGAACACGCAGCGTCGTCTGACCAGCTTCTGACCCTCGAGCGAAGTCGTCGTGACCTCTCCTCCTCCTGGAGGCTGCATGTTGCATTTGCCATTTAATGCGATTCCGAGCGCTGGCCAAGATCTAGCGAACGGCATCACATGCGAAGCGCGTCCGCAAGACGCGACGCGCCGCCACTGTGACCTTAGTGTCGACCGTCGAGAGTAACGACGACAACAGCGACAACGACGACGAGTAGACAATCGCATCTCATACACTGGGCTCTGTATTCAGAGTGGCCTGCGGCTCCCGCTCGACGCTGGTCGCGGTCAAGCCTGCTCCTCAGGGTGGCGGCGCGCTCGCCGCGGTCGGATCATACCAGACATGTTCTTCTTCCTCCGTCATGCGAGCTCAGACACACGACGTCGCCAAAGTCCGCTAATAATGTGTCAAAACCTTGGCCGCTCCATTCTGGCCTTTGTTGACGGCCCCCACCTCCCATGGCCATCCTCCGACGTTCTCCTCTCCGCCTCCTGCATAGGCCCGCTGCTCGACATGTCAGCTCGACCGCGCACGCGAAGTCAGGGAGACTGACCGTTGGAATCCGACGCGAGGATCCAATTCGTATATGGGAAAGGAGGTGTCCGCTGACGCCAGACGTCGTCAATGAGCTTGTTGATAAACACGGAGTTGACGTGCTGGTTGAGGAGTGCGACAGGAGGGTGTGGACGACCGACGACTTCGTCAAGGTAAGTACAGGCCCTTGTACTCGCTGTGGACAGTGCATTGATCTATACGTACATGCTGGCATTGCAGGCAGGAGCTCGACTCGCTCCTACGCTCTCGCCTGCCCACATAATTCTCGGGATCAAGGAGACTCCTCTTCACGAAGTGCTCAACGATCCCGTACCACATCCTGCCTCGCTCACCCCTCGGACGCACCTCATGTTTTCGCACACGATTAAAGGTCAGATGTACAACATGGAGCTGCTCTCGAAGTATGTCTCTGCGTCACACGCACGCGGAGGTTCCCCTACAGAGGACCCCGCTCTACTCCCGCGTCTCGTTGACTACGAACTTCTCACCGGAGAGGACGGCAAGCGGACTGTGGGCTTCGGGTGGTTCGCCGGTGGTGGGCACTGCATTTGCTTTGCTCCTGTTCCCTTCAGCTCATGACCGTTAACATGCAGTCGCGGGGGCGCTTGAATCCTTGAATGCACTCGCGCATGCACACCTTGAGCTCGGCGTCGCGAGTCCGTTCCTGGTGGGTCGCATTCTGTACTTCGCCTCCTCCAGATGACGTCATAGCTTCTACAGTACACACCGCGCCCACACTCGCATCCAACTCTGGCTGCAATCCGAAGTTTGCTACGTGACGAGGTCGGTGCTAGGATTATCGCGGAAGGTACTCCAAGGAGCCTCGGACCTATCGTTTTCGGCGTCACAGGGTCAGGCCGAGCTTGTTGCATACATTAAGTGGTCTTTCTGAGTTGGGTTGATAGATTCGGAAAGGTCGCGCAAGGCGTGCTGGATTTGTTGGAAGACCTACCTATCCAGCGCGTCAAGGTCGACGACCTGCCTGCGTTAGTCAGTGATCCTAGTGAGTGCTATGACGCCGGCTTGTTCGCCATTTCACTGACCCAAGAATACTAGACACTGATTTGCACAAGGTTCGACCAAGATCCGGGATATGATAGCTCAAGCTGACATGAAACCAGATATACCTCGTACATGCTCTGCCGCAAGAGTACTTCGTTCGCAAAGACGGTGTCGCATACTCACGCTCGGATTATTACGCGAATCCTCATCGGTATGAGTCCGTCTTCCACGACAAGGTGACTTCCGCGCCTGTTACAGTACAGGCACTTCTGACGTTCAGCAGATCGCGCCCTACCTCTCGCTCCTACTGCACGGTGCCGGCTGGGCACCCGACTTCCCGCGGACGATTAGCAACGCGCAACTCGTCACCACGCTCGAGAAGGCACAACAAGTCGGGCGGGGCCGCTTCGCCTGCGTCGGCGATATCAGCTGCGACATCGAGGTCTGTCACCTCTGCCTCTTCCACATAGCATTCTTTTAACACCCTGATCCCGCAGGGCGGCCTCGAGTTCCTTCCCCGCTCAAGCACGCTCTCCGCGCCCTTCTTCTCGATCAAGCCCTCGCCCTCGCTCCCCCCGGTGACGATCATGGCCGTCGACATCCTCCCGACGTCCCTCCCGCTGGAGGCCTCTCAGCACTTCTCCAACGTACTGACACCATACCTCCGCACCCTGATCGACGAGTATCGTGGCTCGTCCGAGCCCAATGACGAGGCCACGATGCTCCGACGCGCGGCATTGGATCGGGCGACGGTGGCTCAGGGCGGTGAGCTCTCGAAGGAGTTTGAGTGGCTGAAGGAACCGTTGGGTGCATGGGCAGCGGGGTGCAAAGCAAGCATAGGGCCTGAGTCTCCTGTCGGTGCTGCAGGCGATGCTACACACAAGCTTGGACTACCCGCAGGCCAGGTGCCTCCGCGGAAGAAACGGGTGCTGATGCTCGGCAGTGGAATGGTAGCTGGCCCCGCGATCGAAGCGATCTGTCGGCGACCCGACGTAGAGCTCGTTGTCGGTGAGTGGTCTGGATAATCGCGCTTGCCTTTGCATAGTGGTGGACTGGCGAAATGCAAACAGCGAGCAACGTCCTCTCCGAGGCCGAGAGGCGGATCGCGGAGTTTGCGAACGCCCGTGCTGTTCAGGGCGACATGCAAGACGCGGCGAAGATCTCGGGGCTGGTTGAGCGGGCAGACGTCGTGATAAGGTCGGTGCCAGTCGTTCATGATATAGAGTCGCTGATGTAGCTCATGCCCATACAGCTTGCTGCCTGTTCCTTTCCACCCGGCAGTAGCGAAGCTTTGCATACAACACAAGAAGCACCTCGTGACTGCCTCCTACATCTCACCGGACATGGCTGCGCTTCATGATCAGTAAGTCTTGCTTCCTCTCCGCACGTCCGCCGTCCTCCTGACTCAAGCACGACATCCGAAGAGCGGCTGCCGCTGATGTTGTCCTGCTCAACGAAGTTGGACTCGACCCGGGCATCGACCACCTTTCCGCTATATCGCTTATCGACCGGCTCAAATCCCAGGGCAAGCATGTAACACACTTCACATCATTCTGCGGAGGTCTGCCCGCACCTGAAGCTGCAATGGGCGTCCCTCTCGCCTACAAGTTCAGCTGGAGTCCCCGGGGTGTACTCGTGGCAGCGTTGAACCCAGCACGTTTCAAGGTCGAGGGAGAGGTGAGTACAGATCAGCCCGCGTCCCCACTTGGTCGCCTTGTGTTTGAGCGTGTTGACGATCATGGAGTGATCCCTCAAGGTGGTACAAGTGCGCAATGAGGAACTGCTGACGAGTGGTATCCCTGATGTACCGATTTCGGACATCATGAGGTTCGAGGGCTTGCCCAACCGTGACAGTCTGCCGTATGCTGGTCAGTACGGGCTTGATAACCCTCAGTCGCAAGAGCTCCGAACCATCTTCCGAGGCACCCTGCGGTAAAGTACCTGTCTTCATAATGGCCAGACCGAATAATGCTCACGAAACACAGATACCCTGGGTTCTCCAAGTTGATGCATGGGTTCCGCGATATTGGTCTGCTTGATCACATGTCGAAGATTCAGTTGTCCGACTGGTCTGACCTTGTACGGAAGTCACTTGAAGTGCGACTCGGGCATGCGCTACCGAAAGATGAAGCGTCTCTCCTCAGCGCCATCCGGGACTTCTCGCAATCGCATGCGACGGACGACCTGTTTGATGCGCTGCGTTGGTTCTCGTTGGTGGCTCCTCAAGAATCTCAAGCGCGTACTATCGAATCGCTTCCTCCGGCCCCGTCCTCGACCTCGCCCCTTGATGCCTTCGCTCTACTCCTCGCCAACAAACTGCGGTACCAACCCGACGAACGTGACATGGTCGTCCTTTCGCACGAGATCGTAGCCAGCTCCGCTGCCTCCTCGCAAACGGAAGTCCACACGTCGTCGCTCATCGCCGTAGGAAATGCCAAGGCCTCGGCGATGGCACGCTGCGTTGGCTTGCCGGTGGCCTTCGCCGCTCTGCACGTCCTGGATGGAGGCGTCAAGCTGAGAGGCGTGCACGGGCCTACGGACAGGCAAGTTTACGAACATATGCTGTCGAGGCTGGATGAAGAGGGGTTGGGGATGAAGGAAACGGTTGGAACGAGAGCGCAGGTAGGACGGGCGTTACGGCGCCGGTATTGCTCGTGATCTGCATCGGACACGCGGAACACTGGATTTGTGGAACTTTGGTCGTGTTCGGGATGGAATGGACATCGTCACTCACGCATGTACGACTTGACCTTGTATTATGATTACCTTCTTGCAGGCCCTGCTCGATGGCGATGATGTCGGTACGTCTCGTTAGCGCGCCCAAATACCTGTGTGCCACTGTCGCTTCTCGCGTGCTCGTTGCGCTCGGTATCTGCACCCTCCCGCGCCGTTTTGATGCACTCATCGATCCCCTGTCGGAATGCGTGAATTTGAGGTAAGCACTACCCTGAGCTTCCTGTCATGTTCAGCATCGTACTGACACAGACTCGAGATTATTCCTGGGGCACCTATCGCCATGCTTTATCCCTTCGAGCGACGCTCCGAGGCAAGCTGTCTGTAGTATGTTTAATGTTTGCGGCCTCCATCACAATGTCTTGGCAATGGTCAGGACTTCGTGGGCACCGCCACAAAGGTGTTCATCCGCGCCCAGATCGGCGCCCAGAGATCGGCAGCAGCATCCTACCGTCCCCGCAATGCTTCGCCACACCATCCTGATGGATACCCTGCGTTGAACAGGGAGGCCGCTGCCGACAAACACATCGGTCTCACTCGAGCTGCGTGTTTCATGTCTCTGCGTCGACAACATGCACTGCGACTCATCGCCCAGCTGTCGCCGTATTTAAGGCAATGCCTACGAGAGTAGTAGGGCATCCTCTTCTACCGACTTCTCTCTACCGGAGTCCCTTCTAATTCTTAGTGCTTTGCTTCTCTTCGCTTTGGTTCACACCATGTTCGCTTCTACACTTATCCTCGCACTCGTCTCCAGTACTCTCGCCCTTCCGTCCACTCTGAACACCCGCTCGAACCCGTGCACCGCTATTGGCGCAACCGACTCTCTCAACTACAAGTTCACGCTGGAGACCGTTGCGCCGTCTGCACCTAGTGGCGTCACCGGTCCGAAACTCGCGCTCCTCTCTGGCGCGCCGAACGGCCTATCGTGGTTGCAGGTAGGTTCTCATCAACCGACTCCCAGCAGATTTGCTCACCCGGGCATGATTCTACCACTACCAGGAAGTTCACTCGGCGAACACAGGCATTTTCGACTCGTGGACCCTGCAGTCCGGCGGCCTCATCCCGGGTTCTACTTCGCAGGGCAGCGCATCGGTCGGAAGCGACCTGAGTGTCGCGCCGGGCTCTATCGTTGAGTTCTCTGTCACCGAGCGCGGCGCTGCCGTGGATGCGGCGTCGGGCCAGACGCCCTACTGTGCTGCTGTAAGTGAAATTCACTGCGTTCGTCGACACGATGCTGAAGAGCCTGTGACTAGTCTGACGCAGCTAACCACGCCACCCTCGCCGTCAACGGTGATGCAAACTCGTTTGCTATTTGCATGACGCCGTCCCTCGCTTGGGTATTGGTCTACAAGCCGACTCTGAGCAGTGCATACAAGTACAACTCTTGCATCCCGAGGGTTATCCATATGGTGCCCGTTTAGCGCAGAAGCTGGGAGGTAGTACAGAGACTGACAGATCATGGCCTGGGTATTATTGGATTCGGACATTTATTATGGACATACACGTTGCGCTAGCTCTTGTTGCTGGATACTTCGTACGATCGTTCATTCTCAGTATCACATCTTGAGCCTTGGGTGTTGTCGGAAGACACGATCCTGTATGTCAAAGTTATGTGGGTAAATCTCATATACGACCGCCCTCCTCCCCTCAAGAAGGTCGTGTTAGAGTCTGCCTAGGGGAGACTAGGGTAAATCCTAGCCGTGCTCCGAGTCAGGCCGCGAAGACTCGGAGGGCCTCTATCGGGATATGCTCACGACACTATTATTCAATATTACACGGTGTTCGTGACGAGGGGAGAACTGGCAGTAGGCTGAGGGCGAGGCACGAGACTTGAGCGCTTGAGCCTAAGTATAGTAGTGCATAGATTAGGCGCGCAACGCTTCTCTCGTTTGATACGGTACTTTCCTTATGCGGTATAATTCCTTCCCGATGTGGCACCGAGCGATCTCTTCACTGGTACGGTTTCGTCTGTCGGTCTGCTCCACCGTAGGTTTTTATCACTCTCGCGTTCCTGTCTCTGCTCTGTACTTATAGAGGGCCGCGTTGCCCATTCGCAATCGGATCCCCTTGCTTCTCCCCTCTCGCCCGCGCGCGTTTCAAGGTTCGGCACGGACGAGCGACAACAGTACTCAGTCGCGCGAGCACTTCAGTCGAGTTCGTCGAGACGTCGAGACGCGAAAGATAAGTATTCGTATGTATTAATAGGTGGCCCATTACCTTCTACAGAATATCACCACGCGAAAGATCAGTATTCGTTTGTATTGAGGTGACCCTATTACCCTCTACAGAACATCACCCGCCGTCCTTTCCCCAGCCCGAACGCCCATCGCTCGACTCAACCAAACGTCTGTACCCGGAGTCGATAGTACGCGTGTTGATCCCCGACACGTACGCTCTCTCTCCCACACCGCCAACTCGCGTCTCCCGTAGCTTGAACACTCCACCTACTGGGGTGATCACGCTTGACTCGGATAGCACACCCACTTCGTCCACCTGGAGCATGGACCGCCGACTGAGGGTCGCAATCATGTGAGTAACGGCTTTGATACGCACCTCCACTAGGCTGACTACATTGATGACAGCGGTGGAGGGATCGGAGGCGTCGCTCTCGCTGTGTCTCTTCACAAACTCGCCGCGAATGTCGCGGTTGACATCTATGAGGCTGCTCCATCGTTTCCTGATATCGGGGCTGGCGTAATGCTATGGCGACGAACCTGGGAAATCATACAAGCTCTCGGATTAGCTGACGAACTGAGCGTTTTCGCGTCTGGACGTATCGAGGACGGTGGTGAGTGCTTTGAGATGACCCATAGAGGGTATGTTTGATGGCATGATTGCGCAGGCCATACCATGCATATGCGCAAGTCAGATGAAAAGGAAGCCCCCACAACTGAGATGGTACAGAGCGGTACGTGTGGTATCTCTAAGTTGTGAGACACTACACAGCAGTGTATCTTAATCTACATTAGGCGGGATGGCCTTCCACCGCTCGCACTTGCTAGCGAGCCTCAGAAAGCACATTCCCGACTCTTGTAGCATCCACTTCGCCAAGAGGCTGCAAACATACACCAGATTACCCACAGGTAATATCCAAGTAACCTTCGCGGATGGTACCCAGGCAACCCACGACCTCGTTGTCGGATGCGATGGCGTCAATTCAGCTGTGCGCGGAGTCCTCTACGGCACATTTGCTGAAGAAGCGAAGAATGCCGGGGAGAGCTCGAAGGCAGCAGAGTACGCGTCCAAGGTCGACCCTGTATGGAGCGAGACTGTGGTTTACCGAGGCCTGGCACCACGCGCGGTGCTGGAGAAAACCGTTCCCGACCACCCGGCATTCTCGCGCAACGCCCTCGTTCGTCTTCCTCTTATAAAGTCTTCATGGATGCTGAAATATAAATGAATAGCTCCTAGGCAAGGACAAGGTAGAGTTGAAGTACCTACGTTCAACGGCTCAGTGCTTCTGACACTACCTTCAGCATATCATTCTCTACCCGATTGCTCAGGGAAAACTCATCAACGTCGTCGCCTTGGTTTCGCGGCAGGCATCGGAAGGGACGAAGTACGGGAAAAGCTGGATACGCGAGGCTACAAATGAAGAGGTCCTTCGCGAATATGCTGGATGGGAACCTCTGGCCATCGAAACTCTTGCCGTAAGCCGATGTGTCTTCATACCGATACGACCTCCACTCACTGCATGTAGGCAATGGAGAGGACTGACCTCTGGGCTATCAACGTCGTTCCCACTTTGCCGACATACATCGGCGACGGTGTAGCCCTTGTAGGCGACGCGGTATGTTGAAAATCGTCCCTTCTCATCTCGCCATCTCTTACGAAGCTCTCCACACACAGGCTCACGCCATGGCAACGCACTTGGGGGCAGGGGCCGGACAAGCCATCGAGGTGAGTCCGTATCTGACGTGAGACAAGCTGGGTCATACCGATCGCTCCCAGGATGCATTCGTGCTCGCTAGCTTGCTTGCGCATCCAGCTGTTACAGACGAGATCTTACCCCACGCGCTGCGGGCCTACGACGAGGTCCGCCGGCCGTTCTCACAATGGGTTGCAGACCGGTCGCGCGAGTGCGGCCTGACGGAAGAGTTCAATGTGTTGCCGCAGACCTCGGATCCTGTGCTGGATCTCCAAAAAGTGGTGAAGCGTATGAGAGAGCTCTTCTCGTTCCTCAAGGAGACATCGGCCATGGCGGACCGCCACAAAGCGGTAGCGATGCTAGAGGCCGCTGTCGGGAAGTAACCATAGACCACAGATTATGCGTATCTTGCATGGTGCAGATACGACCCCGCAGGTCCAACAGACGTGTAGATCACGCAACAAAACGTACTATACAATAAATTCACATCATCTCTAAGCAATCTCTAATAATCGTTACTCTGCGACTAGCTTTGCGTTATCCGTCAAGATTTTGTTCAGCCCATCGCGGTGCACGCAATTCTCAAAGCTGAAGCTCTTCGCAATCGCATCAAGCTCCTCGAGGCTCTTCCCGCGGAAGTGCTCTGCCCACGGGCGCACGAGGAACTCCGCGACGAGGACGTTGCGCGCCAGGCGGCCGACGCGGTCCGACAGCTTCCACACCGGGAACGGGTACAGGTTCTGGTGCTCCGCCGGGATCTCCTTCTGGAGGAGGTCGATGAGCGGCTGGTACACCGGCCGTACGTGTGTCTCGTCCGCGCCCCATGCGTCGATCGCGAGACGGTGCTTCTGCGCGAGGAAGTCCTTGAAGAGCGTCATGTACGGCGTGTCAAGGTTGACGTAGACCATGCCCTGGAAGCCGATGTCCTTGTACAGCCAGATGGACCAACTCAGCCGATCCTGCGTGGCGAGTCAGTCATACCGGTATGTGAAGGCGAGGATTATGCGCACCTTGTTGTAGATGCTCAGTTGGTCTTTGAGTACGTGATACCGCTCCTCATTGATTTGGTCCGTGAGCTCGCCTTCGTACTGCTTGCGCGCGTACACGGGACCCCACTCGCCGTTCCAGACGCACAGACCCCGCGCGTCCATCCACTCGCGCTTCTTCTCGTAACTCCTGCGCAGCCGCCGCTGTTGCGCCTCGCTGCCTACGTACTTCTCCGGCGAGCTCGGGAACCCGAACAGGGTGTAATCGTGGATCGAGTACGCGGAGTTGTCCCAACGCTTGTGCGCGTCGCCAAAGTGCGAGAAGTCGGACGCGAACGTGTTGCCGTCGAAGAAGAGCGCGTGGTGCGGGTCGATCGCGCGGATCGCGGTGTACACGCGGTCGTAGAAGTCCACGATGCGGGTGTGGTACGGGTCCGTGGGCTCGTTGAGCGGGTTGTAGCCCGCAATCCAGGTGTTCCCGACGTAGTGTTTCGCGAGCTCCTCCCACAGCCAGACAGTGCGGTCCTGGAAGTCCTTGTGCTCCCAGAATTTGGCGATGTGCGTGCCAGCGTCCGAGTGCCAGTCGGTGTTCTGGCCACCGGGCGCCGTGTGCAGGTCGAGAATGGTGTAGATGCCGTACTTTGCAAGAAGGTCGATGACGCGATCGAGGTGCTTGAAGCCCTCCTTTTTGAGCACGCGGGGATTCATGTCATCTGCAAAGAGTGAGAACTGTGCACATGTTGCAATGGCTGAGTGGTTGACCTTCGAAGTGCCTGTAGTTGAATGGAATCCGAATGCAGTTGAGGCCGAGGCTGGCAAAGAACTTCGCATCCGCTTCGGAGAAGAAGTACTCTAGGAACTATACCCCCGTCAGGCCGCAGTAGCAACTGCGGATGATAGGGACATACCTTGTCAAAGAAGAACTCGGACTTTTCGTTGCCCACAACCTCCGCCAGGGCAGCGCGGATCTGAAACTCGCAGCCAGGGTATCCTGTATAGGTGGGTCAACTCAGCGATCTGGCGATGTCAACTTAGAGGATTCATTACCGGAGATGAAGTTCTCCATGCTGTAGAACGATGAGCCATCACTGGGCCACGACAATGACAGACCAGACGTACTTCATCCATCCTCCGATGGCCGTTCCGCGCAGGATGATCTCCTTGCCGTTCTGGTCGACGAGCTTCGTCCCGGAGACCTTGAGGTATGCCATCGTGAATGATATGAGGTTCCTGGGGCTGCCCTGCCATGTTTTATAGCTCGAAGGCACGGCTGGGTCATGCTGGACAGCTGAACGCTAAGCTTGCAGACGGTCCGCACCCGTCTCTCCTTCCGAAGTAGTCCCGGCCGACAATCAGTCGGTCTGCTTCCGTACAACGGGCGGTGTGGTGTGCTGGATGTGCAGTACGTCGGGCGTATTCGACAGCGAGTGGTCCGGACGTCGTGAAGGTCGAGAGAGCGTCGGGCGAGCTGTCCTCGTCGCGACCTGCAGTGCAAACCCACTATTCGGGGATTGCATGGAGGAGACATGTCCTGTTGCGGCCCGTCGCCAAGCTTATCGCCAGGAAATTGCCCTGAAATCTCTTGTCCCCTGACCACCAACTGACCCCTGGCATTTCTCCGGAGCGCAGTCCTCCGTCGTCGACACACCCCTGTGTCGACGACAAAATCATCATGTGTTGCTCAAGGACGTCCAGACGCTCTCGGTTATCTATGGGTGAGAGTCGAACGCATAGCGAATATAAAGAGCGAGCGGGGACATGGTCGCTTTCTCTGTGAAGTCAAGCGCGAAGTTCGACGATGGCGAGCTTCCTCAGGATTCAAGGTGCCAAGATTGTCGACGGAGATGGCCAAGAGGTCATCTTCCGTGGGGCAGGCTTAGGAGGCTGGATGACGTGAGTCGCACTACGTATTATCCTCTCGCAAGCGGCGACTCACTCTGGATAGAATGGAGAACTTCATCTCAGGTATGCCGAGCACTCAAAGTGTGTGCGACACGTCCCGAACGTTACACGACCGCATATAATCAGGTTTCCCCGGTTGTGAGTTTCAAATCCGCGCAGCTCTGGCAGAGGTCATCGGAGAGAAGAAGGCAGAGTACTTCTTTGACAAGGTAGGCCTAAGCTCAGCATTCTCATCAGCTGAGACCGTTCTTTCCATGGCACGCAGCTTGTACGTGGATGGGCAGAACACGTTCCCCAGAGCGTATGCGCCATGATTCTGCTACGGACCCCTCCTCGCACAGAATGTGGCCGCGGCAAATGACGGCAGGCGTGTTCTGGCAGTAGTCCACACTTCCCATTTGTGCATCGCTGCGATAGTGATCTTGAGTGAGCGAGATTTGCGACTTTCTTCATGACGGTCCGCGAGACTTCACTCGTGTGCCGCAGTGCTCACACAAACAATACGCAGTGCTGCTCAGGCCTTCTGTTGAAGGTTCAGTTCCGAGCGTCACATCTCACGCATTCTGCACTTGACAGTTCCTCGAATACTTCTTTGCCGAGCCCGATGCTGCTTTCTTCAAGTCCCTCGGACTCAACTGCATCCGCATCGCCATCAGCTACCGCCACTTCGAGGACGACATGCACCCGCGCGTCCTGAAACGCGAGGGATTCAAGCATCTCGACCGCGTCATCGCCACATGCGCCAAGCATGGCATCTACACCATCCTCGACATGCACACAGCCCCGGGAGGCCAGAATGGTGGCTGGCACTCCGACCATGGCGCGCATATATCCGGGTTTTGGATACACAAGGACTTCCAGGATCGAATGGTCTGGCTGTGGACCGAGGTGGCGAAGCACTACAAGGACGAAACAGTAAGAAATTAATTAACGCCGGGTATACATCAGCTCACAAAGGACTGTCTGCAGTGGATCGCAGGATACAACGTCCTGAACGAGCCCGCGGATCCAGCGCACAGCGGGCTCATCGCCTTCTACGATCGCGTGCACGCAGCAATCCGCTCCGTCGACCCCAACCATGCTCTCTTCCTCGACGGGAACACATTCGCGTCCGACTTTAGTGGCTTCCCGGACGACGCGGGCACGCGCTGGCCCAACGCTGCGTACGCTATCCACGACTACTCGCTGTACGGCTTCCCGAGCTCGCCAGAGCCGTACTCGCGCACGGAGGAGCAGCGCAGGCGAATGAAACGCAGCTACGAGAAGAAGCGCGAGTGGATGGATGCGCGGGGGCTGTGTGTATGGAATGGCGAGTGGGGGCCTGTGTATGCGCGGAAGGACTACGAGGGTGCGGAGATGGACTCCATTAACGAGCGGCGTTTCGCCGTTCTCAATGATCAGCTCGAGATGTATCAGCGGGTCAGTCCTCATGCTCTTCCCGCCTTCATCCTGCCGATTCAAGCCATCTTCAGGACCGTCTCAGTTGGTCTATATGGCTCTACAAAGACATCGGCTACCAAGGCATGGTACACGTCGCGCACTCAACGCCGTACATGCTACTCCTCCGCGAACATCTCTACAAGAAGTACCGGCTCGCCGTGGACGCCTGGGGCGCAGACGATCGCTACATAGGCGACGTGTACAACCCGCTCGTCGCGCTCATTCGCAAGGAGGTGCCCGACGAGGCCCACCAGCGGCTCTACCCCTACCCAATCTGGACAGTCCCGCGCCGCATGGAGGTCCTCGCGCGAAACATCCTCGTGGGCGAGTTCATGGTGAAAGAGTGGGCGGAGCATTTCCGCGGGATGCGCGACGAGGAACTGGACAAGATTGCGCAGAGTTTCAAGTTTGAGAACTGTGTGGAGAGGGAGGGCCTGAACCGAGTGCTGAGGGCACATGCCAGCCAAGCAGCGTCGGGGTGAAGCACGCAGCTGGCTACCAAAGTTGATGCGAACCTCCTGAAGAACATACCATGATTGCAGTGTGTACACCTTCAGTGTCCGTGAGTGCGTTCGGTGACACAATCTGCTATTGTCCGGGTGTCGCTGTTAACGCGGCGAGGAACGATCAGCTACAAGCAACCTTCACAAACAGGAAGAGGTACGTAGTCCATACAGTCCGGGTTCTATTATAGAGTTCGAAGTCCATCTCAATCCCGAGATCGCAGTGTCCATGTCTAGGAAGCTTTTACAGCGTCCACTTCTCAGTCCGTTCAGGCAGTCCGACTGTCCAATACTTTTGATCACCCCCGGCTACAGCCCTCACGCATTCCCACCAACAATCTGCAGCGTGACGTTATAGCACGTCTCGTACAGGTACATGCCGTTGTTGTCCGAGGTCGGGCGCCACACGACGTTGTTCTGCGCGTAGGGGCCGTCGCCGTTCATGCACAGCGCAAAGTTGTCCGCATCGCCGTTCACCGCGAGCGTCGGCGGGCCCTCGAAGTCCGGGTCCGTGTCCACAATCGCGCAGTAGATCTGCGCCGCCTCCCCGGACGGCGACTCGGAGGTTGTGAAGAACTGCAGCGGCTGCCCCGCGACCGCGGCCATGTCATACGACGGCACACCGTTCGCCGAGTTCGGCACGAGGGCACCCGCGTTGAGCGACATCGTCGGGAAGTCGAGGTACGGGTAGGTCGCCCACGTCTGTCGGTCGTATGGTGTCAGTTCCACGAAAACTCGACGGACTGTAGGTGCAAAGCCTACCGAGAGCACTTCGAATTCGGCACCGTCCGTCGCGCCGTTCTGCCCGGCGACGAGTGGCACGCCGGTCGAGTTGGCGTTCGGGAGCGTCGTGTTGAGTGCGGTGAGCGTGAAATTGGACGCTGTGTCGTACGTGATCCCGAGACCCGAGCACCAGGCGCCGGTGCGTGGTGCAAGCGGGGAGGCGAGTGCGACGCTCGCGGCGGCAAAGACGGAGAGGAGTGTGGAGAACATGGTGGCACTGGTAGGTGGTACTAGTCTAGAAAAGGGAAAGGATAGGTGTATCGCTGAATTATACGTGAGTAGGGTGCAGGGTGGTGCTCGACGCTGGAACGAGATCAAGCGAGGGGGGACGTCAAGTGGACGAAACCCCCGCTTATATACATGTCCCAGAGTGTGGCTTGGCCCGATCCATGCCCCATCCTCCTGGATCAAAGCAGACCGATCTGGCCGCGGCGCAAAACGTGCCCGGCGATGTGCACGTTCTACTAAGCGTCATTGACAGCACCGCCCTGCGTCTCACCTGTAGATCGCCTCTATCGCCCTATGCCTTCATCCCGACCACTTCGCGCTAGCGTGTGCATATGCCTATTGGCCGGGCGGACGCAGTACTGCGTACTTCTAGTGGCTGCTGGGAGGTGGGTTTCCCTGGCCGGGGAACGTTGCCCACGTCGTGCATCGAGAAGGGCGGACGAGACAAGATGGATAGGTCATTGACATACAGTGCGAGTTGCGATAGGTATACGGGGGATATCTCGAGGGTCCATCATGCTTCGGCTTCACCTGACGCCACACGCGCGCCTGCGCCGACAATTCAGTTGCATGACGCTTATTCCAGAGACCACCTTACCTTGCAAATGCCAACTTCCCGCCGGCTTCCAGTCCAAATCTGGAGCGAGTGCACCACGAGACTCAGATGGAATCACCATATCCGTCGCCGGGACAATTGATGATGAAGTTTGCGACGCGGTGAAGCACAGCGTGACGCCCATCTGGCCACGATGTACTCCGATATGACCCTGTGAGGCCCCCGAAGTCTAGGACCCGAGAGTCGGCGCCGAAACTGAAGAACGGATTCGCGCAACCACGCAGCAGACGAAATGCCGCGTCCCCGCGTACGCCCTACATACTTACCTCGCGGGTTCACCTATCTGCGTGCGCACCCCCAAGGGGACTCCCTGGGACTCCACACAATCGGTACCCGCGAGAGCCGCCACGAAGGCGTAGACTGCCGCCGGTGAGCCTCGAGGCCTCGGCGCGGGTGCAGAGACAGGCAGAGACATGAAGATATCGACGGATTCAGTAACTTACTGCTTGCAAAATTCGAGCCTTCTCACAGCTCCACGGAGCCGTACTCTCGCACATTTCCAGCACGTTCCAGGCAACATCTAGCTCCTCCTTATTCTCGACGAAGGAGAGACACTGTGGGTTCTGAAAGAGCCCGAGTACACAGTACTTACTGTGTCCTGGCGCAGGGATTCCAATCATAGCTGGACCGCTGCAGTGCTCGCCATGCGGTAGTGCCCGCTAGTGTCCGTCTATAGAAGTGGAGTGGATTTGGCCTCGAGCGGCTTGGGGGAACCCGGAGGCGGCGAAGTCCTTCCAGAGCACATTGTCCAGTCATGCATGAATGACTAAGGGCACCTTCATTTCGCTACAGAGTCACGGAGGCAGTGCTGCCGGCGTGCTGGGGCTTTGCAATTCCTCCCGGCGGTGCCATAGCTGTCCTTTACCTGCGTGAAGGATCCTATGAGGGGCGGTCCCGAGAAACAGCTCATGAGAAAAGAGCATGATATCTTGTAGGAACCTCGGTGCGTTTTGTCAGACCTCACATGATCGTGTACAACAACTGAGGGATGCATTGTCCTTACCAGTAACCATTAGTAGGTTACGTCCAGTCAAATCTACATACATGATGTATCAGCTTGGGGGTTCTGTGCGGCAGAAGACGTGGGCGTGGACCACTTACGACAACCAGTGAGGAAGAGCGAGAGCGAGGATGAACTTCAAGGTTCCCATGGGCCATAGGTGCCTCAATTTGACACGTGGGATCGCATTAAATGTATCCCCGTCATGCACATCCACAGCGCCAGAGCGTCGTGTTACAATCAGTCCCTGACCTCTGCTGCTGGTCCTTACTATAGCAGAGGTCGAGTACTTGATGGAAGCTGTTGCCAGTTGCGACCTTGGTCGGGTGGAATCCTATGGACAACGGGGAAGCCCCAATATGGGAATTGCGTCATAGCTAGCGCTGTGGTACACGCATTAGACTGCAACGTAATTGTCGATACATACCATGAGCTTCCGAGTTTGGGAGCAACTTCATCGTGTATCCAGACGCGCGCGATGCGATGCGACGTGGAGTAGCCCGGTTTGGCTCCATAAGAACCGGTCGCCGGGGGAGTCATTCTGCAGCTTCACCGCTTTACTGTGCCTTGTTGAGCCAATTGTTCATGCGCAGAATGCTGTGAAGTCCCTCCGCTGCCTGTCAGTGTCACTGCAGTCGCTCCGGAGGACTCGGGTTTGATGAGTTGGGTTGATGACGATGCAACTTGGGCGCTTATCACGGGGACGCCGCGGAACGGCAACGTTCAGACCCATGGGCGCACGCAAATCATTTCGGGAGGTTGTCCAGCAACGCACACTCGTCCAAATAGAAACGAGGCGAAGATTACAAGGAGCGGCCACATGCAGCACAATGCCATCGTCGTCGGGCACAACAAGTTGAACAACGCCGGGCACGGGTCAGCGCGATCTGGCTGGCCGAGTTGCCGGTGGAGAACGCCGCCAGGACAATAAGGGCCGATATGAGTGACATTCTATGCGTGGGAGTGCGGCGCATTTCGGAGTGTGAATCTGGACGGCGGGCTGGGCCTTATCTGTGCCAAGCGCGTGTGGCGGGTGATAGACTTTTGGCGGCGTGGCGCGAGTTACTTAATGCGGGGCAGAGCGCCGGGCTCTCTCTCTCCTTACCACCATCCCCGTCGAATGTTACCGACCGCAACTCGCCTCCATCTGCAGAGACTCCTCCTCCCTGCTCTCTCCGCCGCACTCCAACATGTGCCGTTCCTGCGCAGCGACCAGCCGGGCACCCACCGTTTCGCCAAGCGTGAACTCACCACGGGGACGACGGTCGCCTTTGGCGTTCTCATCCCCGTCCTCGTTATCTTGTCTGGTATATTTGCCGGTCTAACCCTCGGCTACATGTCGCTCGACGAGACCCAGCTCAACGTGCTGAGCATCAGTGGCACTCCGTGAGCCCCTCGTATCGTTTGTCCGCGCAGCCGCTGACCGCCACCGCAGGAAGCAGAAGGAGTACGCCAACAAGATAAAGCCGATCCGCAAGAACGGCCACCTCCTCCTCGTCACACTTCTCCTCGCGAACATGATCACAAACGAGACCCTGCCCGTCATCGCGGACCCCCTCCTCGGCGGCGGCGCCCAGGCCGTCGTCGTCAGTACCGCGCTCGTCGTAATGTGAGTCCCACGTCTTGCCTTGCTCGCCTCGTTTCTTTCCCCGCGTCTCGCACATCTACCGGGGTTATTCGTCACCAGTACGTTCATTCGCGTTTTGCGGATGTCACGGGTCCATGTGCGGCGCCGCCCAGACGCGTCACTGTACACGCGATCGGGCACGTGGGGCGCGTCGTTTCCGCGGTCGCTAACAGTCGCGCCCTCCTCGACGAAATCCACGCAGGCGGAGGACGTCGGGTCTTGGCTTCTGGTGATCCGCAGCTTTTGCCGTTTGACCTCGGCCACCTGCTAGGGTCTGGCAGAGACTGGCTCGTCCCCGGCGCTGCCTTTTGAGGTAGTTTCTCCTTGGGCGGTTCCAGACGCAGGTGCCCATTGTTTGACACAGCTGTCATTCTGGGTTTGATCTGTTGGTGTCATCATGGGGGAGTCTCCGGATAGCTAGGCTCCTCCAAGGCAACATCGGGAGCAAGCTAGATCCGTGTACACGCGAGTAGGTTGCCATGCGAGCATTTCGAAAGATTTGTCGGTGTGATTATCATCTACACGCGCGAGCCGTTTGGGATGCTACATCGTCTTGCGTGATGGTTGTAGCATGCGCACGACGAGCATCTTGTCTCGCCCTCTTTGGCTAGCCCCGACGCACCACCGGACTTGCTCAGTCCCATCGCCTATGCAGAGTGCATGCAGAGGGTCCGTGACGATCTCCTCTTCCATAGTACACAGGAAACCTAGCCTGCACCCTCGTCACGAAATATGGAGGACAACTAGCGCAACGCCAGGTACTCTGAACATCTCGGACGAGGGGACCAGGTGCTATGGTCTTTTTGACGGGGTGTGCCTTGGCAGATGCGGGGTGGGAAGCCACAGCTGCTGGGAATCGCAAAACGACCACCATCTTGCAGGATGCGACTTGAACTTCGCTTCCTCGAGACGCACCCCTGTTTAGCTACTTAATGCCATATCTTCATGCATATTCATGAGGCTAACATGTTCTTCCATTTAGCTTCGCCGAGATCATTCCACAGTCGTTGTGTACGCGTTATGGGTTGTATTTCGGCGCCAAGATGGCGGGAGTCGTACAGCTCCTCATTTATGCCTTTGTGAGTGCTCATTGACATCTTACACGATCTTGGACATTGACATCGCCCCTAGGCCATCGTTGCATGGCCAGTCGCAAAACTACTCGAACTTGCGCTGGGCCCCCACCATGGTATAATTTATCGGCGTGCGGAGTTGAAAGAGCTCATTGCAATGCACTCTGACGCCGGTGAGCTTGGTGGAGACCTGAGGAAAGACACCGTCATGATTATCGGAGGCGCACTCGATCTGCAAGAGAAAGTCGTAAAGCAGTCGATGACGCCGATTGAGAACGTGTTCATGCTAAGCATCGACGCGAAGCTTGACTACGCGACGCTGCGCGACATCTGCATGACGGGCCACTCGCGTGTGCCGGTATATGAGGAGGTTGACATCCCCGCGCCGACGGCAGTAGCGGGCACGCCCGTTGTGAGAGAGACGAGCAAGCCGGGCGCCAAGGACTCTGCTGAGGCTCAGACGAGCGCGGGGGGCGCCTCGCCGGCGAAGACGATCAAGGCGAAGAAGATCGTTGGGATCTTGCTTGTGAAGCAGTGTGTCCTGCTCGATCCCGCGGATGCCACGCCCGTGCGCAAGATCCCACTCAACAAGGTGCCGATCGTGCCGCACAACGAGTCCCTGCTCGGTATCCTCGACAAATTCCAGGAGGGCCGCTCCCACATGGCGATCGTGTCCCGCCTCAGCGTCGCCCGCGCGCAGAGCGTGAAGAAGGCCGTCAAGCAGGGCCTCACGCAGCGCCTCCGCTCCGCCATTCGCGACACGGATTCGAGTAGCGAGGATGAGTCCAGCAGCGACGAGGACGCTGGTGCATCACATAAGCGCTGGACCCTGCGCCGCAAGAAGAGCGACGAGAGCAAGAGCAGCGGGAGCGCGAACGCAACGACACTCCGCGAATCGAGCCACGGCGAGGCGAGCGAGGAGGAGGGGTCCACCTCGATCCCGAAGAAGATGCGCGGGCTTAGCGCGCGTGGCCGGAGGAAGCGCAAGGTGGCGAAGCCGGAGGACGTCGACCTGGAGATGGGCGTCGTGAACGGCAAGGACGGCAAGGACGAGAAGAAGGAAGATAGCAAGAGTAGGAGCAGGCTGCCGAGCCTGTCCGTCCCACCCGCCCGCGGGTTCTGGGGCCGTGAACAGGACATGCCTGCTGATGCTGTTCTGTCGACTGAAGGCGCGGAAGAGTTCTTGCAGAGCGTCGATCCGGCTGTCATGCCTCTCGGTATCATTACGCTCGAAGATGTCCTCGAAGGTCTGTAGTAGCGTTTCCTTCGATGAGTGTGTTTACTGACGCTGTGGTATTGTAGAGCTCATCGGCGAGGAGATTTACGACGAGTTCGATCCCCAGGGACACCCGGAGTTGTCGTATGCCGGCGGCGAGTCTAAGCCCAAGCCTCAGAAGTCCAAGGTCCCGGGAGGCGCGGTTGTTCGTCGCAGGCGCTCTGCCCCTCAGCTCGCTGCTTCCTCGGAGAAGAACGCTCCGGATAGCGCGGCTGCGCCCATTGTCATCGTGTCCTCGCCGCCTTTATCTGTCCCAGATATTGTCAGCGTGCCCAGCCAGCCGGGCAAGACTTATGTGCCGCAGATCGTGAAGCCATCCGCGCTGCGCGGTCTGAATCCGCTGAACCTGAAGAACCTCAGCAAGATTTCCCGCTCTCGGAGTGCCCCGCCTACGCCCAGAGACAAGGCCGGTGCTCGTCCCAAGGACGGAGACAGCACGCCTGCCCCGGTCCCTGAAGGCGAGGTCGTCGAGTCTCCTGAGCCTACCCTCTCCGAGCCTAGCCCCGACAACCTGGTAGAACAGGAGAGCGGCCCTGCGCCGTCAGATGCTCCGGATGTGTTCGTGGAGGCGGACGTTCCCGCTGCGCCTGTAGCTGTCCCGGAAGTCATCCACGTCGAGTCTCGGGCGCGCTCGCGACTCTCGCCGCCCAGCTCTCCGCGTCTGGGTCCATCTGGGGCTACGGGTCTATCGCCTCCCTTGCTCGTTGCGTCGAGTAAGCCCAACTCGCGCAGCGCGTCGCCCTCGCCCTCTCTGGAACACGCGATCATGCTCGAGCGGAAGCGTCGTGCTGCGTCTGCCGGCGCTGGGTCTATGCCCGCGCCGAAGGGCCTCAGATTCAAGAGCAGTCCGCTGACGGGCGAGCGCACGGGCCTCATCGTTGCGGAACACATCAAGCGAGAACGGAGTGCGGGCGAAGAGGACGGGTCAATACCGCGGCTCGAGAAAGACAAAGAGGGACCGGATATAGAGAAGAACGAGAGTGTGGACACGAGTAATCAGGATTCATGAGCGTGAGCACGGATCGGTGAATCGGTGGATGGATTTGTTTCTTGTACTATGAATCGTGTTCCATGCCTGTTCGGATTGTCCGTTACGCTTCTTCATTGACACCTAGATGTTTCGACATGCATTGAAGTTGCCATATGATGTGTTTCCCATGTTTCCGTGACGATGTGTACGATGTGTAGCTATAGTAGAGTCCTTGAACTCGTGTCGTAGTCGAAGTTGAGCCACTGGAGTCGTTTTGCCAAACGGACCTAGCCGTGTATTAAGCGAGTTCGATGGACCACAGGGATTTACCTACATGATGTTCGGATCGTACGCTCGACATCCTCTGGTAGTTTGCTTTGTCACACTTGGCCCCTACATGAGTACAGTGAGTACCTTTACCCGCTAGTCAGAATCAGAATCCGTGGATGAACTTCAACTTGTCCAGGCTGTCAGTTAATCGTAATACTAAATGTCCTCGTGCCCGCCGCGTGCGATCTGACGCGCGTACGCCGAGGGCATCGATTCGGACCTGTATCATCCTCCGCCCCCTCCTCCTCAGAAGCATTGCGCCAGGCAACCACACTGTCAGGTCTAACAGACGGGTCGGTCACGCGAAGGACACGTCAGCTTCAATTAAACATGGATGGACCCAAAGTGAGTTCAGTCAGGTAGTCAAGCCACCTTTGCGCTCAGCATACCACACAGGCTCAAGCGAACAAAGCACCTTGCGGGCCCGCGGTCGTCTCGTTGCCAGACGACTCTGATGTCGAGCTCAACCTGGTATTGGACGGTCTCTTTGAACATCTCGACCAAGTAGCAACGTTGCTTACGAATGTCATCGCGGCCTCTCCGATGAGGTGAGCGAACGAGTTTACACCGTATAACAACGGCCATTAACGACTCCTAGGATGGGCAAGGTGTGTGTAACGGTATTGTCAGGGATTCAGCTGCTGAGACGTTCCGGTTCTACAGCTCAAGCAGCGTCGGGAAACCTTGCATGAGCGGTTCTTGAAGCTTGATAAAGCTATTTCTATGCTCAAGACTCTCCGAAATCACTTCGTCCCGGCGAGTGCTCTGCCTTCCGAAATCTGGCGCAGGATCTTCCGCCTCGCGGTTGTCTCCCTGGACGATGACGCGCTGATGTCGGACTCGGACCCACCTGAATCCGTAACATTGCCGTTGTGTATCCACGAAAGTAGCCGCACTGTTATCACCACAGTCTGTCACTTTTGGCGTGACATCTGCATGACAATACCGAGTCTGTGGAGTCATATCTCCGGACTTCCTACCAAGCTTCAGCATGTCGTTCTCGAACGATACCCCACTACACCCCTACGCATCTATCTCTGGCACATGCTCTCTGAAAATCTGCGGTTGCTTCAATGCGCGCAGTCGTTGCGCCCGCGATACACGGACCTCTGGTGGTACAACTGTGATTACTCAGTCATCTCTACACACGAGCAGCTCAACCTCCCTGCAAGAGACGTCAATGTCCTAACACTGGCCTCGTACTCGCGCATTCCAATCCACCCGAATTCAGGCTGCACGCTTTTTGGTAACGACACCCCCCACCTGCAGAGCGTGTCCCTATTTGGTCTTGACTGGGTTCCTCTGAACCGCTTTGTCACAATCACACAACTCCTGATCCGCAATTGCTCCTGGTCAAATCCTTTCTCGACTATCCTCGGTGTTCTCAGCGGAACCCCACAACTTGTGGATCTCGTGATCTCGGAGATGACGGATGGACAACCTGGGGAAGCCGCCGCAGAGAGCGAGGCGGCAGGCAAGATTGTCCTGAAAGGCCTTCGACGGCTGGCGTTACGCGACATCGGAGCTCAGGATGTTGCTCAGCTGTTGTCCAGGCTCGAGCTCGGACCTCAGACCGTCATCGTCATGAACGAATCGGACGTACTAGTATCTGGTCACATCGGCGTACTTCCCGAGGGTCTCTCACACTTTCCTCTGATGATGCCTACGCAGATGCAACTCACCCTCTGCCACGGCGGCCATTGCATGGGTAGCCAGGAGCTGTCCTTTGTCGCCGTCAACCAGAATGCCGGTGTCATCTTGAGGGAAAGAAGAGTCGTACCTGTTGACAAAGGGTATGACTTCCTCACCAGAATCTTCCAACTCTCATGTCTCCGAGATCTTTGGTACCTGGAGACATGCTACCACCTCCCTGGGAACACACCGTGGCCATCGCGAGCATGGTCATCCATATTGCCGGAGTTAATAGCAGTGGAGAATCTGTGGATATTCGATTCCAGCCTCCCTCACATCCGCCACTCCCTCGACGACATCGATTGGCGCGCAGAGGCAACGCCCATTTGTCCTCAGCTGGCGAGGATAACCATCCTTTTATCCTGGAGGTCTGCGCCTGTCGACGAGGTCATGGCGCACCTCATCGCCATACAAAAGCGACTGGGGTTCCGCTACCTCACAGTCGGCTATCTCCCGCAGTACGCAGAGGCGACGCGCTGTCGGAGTGACGGAGATCCCCACTTTGACTCGGTGGAATACGTCCATTTTGACACGATGCCGCCGATCGTGCCCCCATGGCCTGATTTGTCCCTGCTCCCCGACCTGCCCCGCGCGTGTTGGCCATCAATCCAGGATGAGACGAGTCAAATACCACCCTTTGTCAGGTTGTACTAGTTGATCCGGATTCCGCGAGCGAGTCAAAAGCCACTCGTGTACTAACCGCAACGCTCATGAAGTGAGGCATGACTTGGATCATCATACATCAAGGTCGATGTTCTCGATGTGACTCTTACAACCGCCGACATCGCAGTCTTGAATTAACTTTTCTTGTACCATCGAGCTTTTCATCTGTAGTGAGTTGGGGTTATTATTCAGTCATTACCATACACAACACACAATTCAGTCCATGAGTGACCGAAAACGACCCACTGGCACCGCCTGAAACAGAGTCCGCTCAGGCCAATTCCTCAGTGACTCTATCCAATGCCTGCAGCGCCCGATCTCTGTCGTCCATGACAGACGTCTCCACCGCCCAGGACAACATCCGTTGCAATGCAGCACTCCTCCTGGCGATGTCATCCGCCGCCGAGTGTCCCGTCATGCCCACCACGTCGCCCTCAGACTCCGTCGGCGAGAGCCCGAACTCATAGAGCCTCCCGGAGTTGCGCGAGCGCTGCATGATGTCCTGTGAGAACGGGCGGCGGATCGCGTCGTAGATTTGAAGCACGCGGGGGAGCGTCTGCCGGTTCGTACGCGGATCTGCGAGGAGGCTGGCGAGAACAAAACCGTCCTGAGTGCGAGTATCGCCAGTGAGCGTACACGCAAGAAACACGTGCAGATGGGAGCTACCTCAATCGCTTGTCCTGCACCTGAGCCCTGATGGGGAGTCATCGCGTGTGCCTGTCAATGGTACAATGGATTGAGTTCAGAAACTGCAGAGCTCAGCGGCGCGACGTACCGCGTCACCGATCAATGCAACACGCTCTCCTACGTACGTAGGGAGGGGAGGTATCGTGTTGATCGCCCACAACGTAACCTTTTCCGCGCACTACAGCGGCGATTTCAATGTCAACACTTCGTGTACAGTCGAAGGGACTGACGTTCAGCAGCTCTATCATGGTTGGTTCCCAGCCGGCGTATGCATCGAGGAGTTCCTGTTTTGATGCTTCTCGAACCCATGCGCCGTCGTACTTCGTACCTTCCTGCTCCGGCTGAGAGACGAAGCACACGATGTTGATGAGGGTGGCCTGGGCTATCGGAAACGCAATGATATGCTATTACATGCGATCGAATTAATACAAGCCCGTAGCGTGCAAGGCGAGATGACAGCGACACATACCTTGTTGTGACCGCAAGCCTAGAGGACGATCTCAGCTAACGATCCACAACGTACGACAGAGAGTAAGATAAAATACCGACCACTACAGCCTTCGTCAAAGAAGGATGCTCCGGATCGATTTTCTCGAGCACGTCCCGCGGGATGAGGCTGCGATATGCCACCGACCCGCTCCATGCCGGATCCGCCGGGTGAGCCAAAGGACGGTAAAGCGTGGCACGGACAACAGACTTGATCCCATCACATCCTATGAGGAGGTCGCAGACAACCTGCGAGCCATCGGTGAAGGTAAGATCAATCGCTGTCTGATCGATGGACGAGGCTTCATAGGAAGCGAGGCGCTTGCGGAAGTGTGTCGTGTAAGATGGGTTCGAGGGGAGGTGTGCGGCGAGTATGGCCTGAAACTGAGCACGGTGGAAGGGCCGGATGCCAGCTGCATGTGTCGCTTGTGCATTAGCCAGACGCCCATTACGGAGCGCGTTAGAGAAATCATGCTACGTACCCAGCTTTACTGAGCTACTCGCCGGACCCTCGGAGGTGGATCCCCCCTTAACTGTATAGTCAGACTTGCGGAATTCAGCAGGTTGTCCTAGTTGTGTTCGGTCAGCATACCCGCGAACGACGCGGAGGACACAAGGGAATGCGTACCTTCCTTTCCAGCGTCGTTTGAAATCTTGGAGAGGTCACTGGCAAGGTCAAGTGCCTCCATGACCTCCCAGACACGAGGCCAGACACCAATACCCGCACCGATTTCGGTGAGTGTATGTGCAGCTTCATATATGTCGACTTGAAACCGTGATCCGCAGAGCTTGTGGAGGGCGACGGCAAGGGTCAATCCGCCAATGCCACCCCCGCTGTTAAGATGTGAATAAATATGACATATCACAGGAGCACATAGACTCACACGATTGCGACCCTGAGCTTGGGTTGGGTACTATCCATGGTATGTAGTGGCCGTGTCAACGTGGGCGTAGATGAACGTCTGACACGAGTGAAGCGCTGAGCCGGACGGTAGCTATGGAAGTATTTATATGGGTAGCACAGGCAGACATAGAAACTTGACGGCCGCGGCAGTCGGTGCCGATACAAGTTTGAGTGAGCGTCGCTTCGGCAGGCTCAATCAGCTGGAGTTTGAGTGGGTCTTGTAGTATCATCAATTTACACTATGTCATGAAGCCTGTCTTGTATGTAAACCGCGGTTTATTACCAGGGAACGTTGCTTCATGAGAGTTTCGTGCTGATTGAGCGCTGATTGCACGTCGATTCCTGGACGCATCACAGCGATGGCCAGGGAGACGCGTATCCAGCCGCGGCGCGCGCGGTAAGTCACGGCGACGCGTCGACGCGCTGACTTGTCACTCAGAGCGTGACACCGTTGCCATATGCATGCCAGTGATCTCCTTTCGACTCGACTCGGAACATAATGATACTAGTTCAATTGCCTGTCGTACTGGACCGCGTCTGGGTATGTATATATGTTTGCTTGTCGCGCCATAAGTATGATTGAATTCATCGAGCACGCTTGGGGCTCGTGCACGTGCTCTATGCATGCAGAATGACATTGATACTACGAGATTGGAACCTGGTTCCGGTCAGAGATGTTCAGAGCACTCGGTGACGGTCTGCTTGTAAATCAGCTCTGCGAAAAGGCGTTCCGATTGCGGCAGGCTGCAGAAGGGCCCTTCGACAGAGATCTGGTGAGGCGCACTAAGACTGGAACCAATATTATCTCAGCTGAACCACACGCATAGTTACTACCATAGACTACAGAACGAGAACGACCCATTACTACCTACCCTTCCAGACGTTACTCTTACCATTACAGCCCCGAACTGGACGTCGGCCTGGGTGGCGCGTTTAAACGCCCACTACAGTACAGGCCGGCGTCCGCCGCGTCTTAGCACATGTTTGCTTGCAGCGGTTAATAAATGCAGAGATCATCATCATCACCAATATTATCTCGGGCTTACTCGGTAACTGTAGTTTGTGACCGTGGGATCGCGCTCTAACCTTCGGTACTTACGTATACTTACTGTTGCTATATGACCATCTTCGACCGAAGCGGCTCAACATCCTCTTCACCCACTTCGTGCATGTATCAATATCCCTGTCAAACACGTCAATGATCTGCCAGTACGCTGGCAGCCCGTTGACCTAGCGCCTGGAATGAGATCAACGTTCGGAATCCTCGAGGAGTCGTTACAACGCCTTGATGCGGCGGCCATCGAACGGTCATGCAATTCAGTCCTGTAACGCGGACGGACCCGACTCTGTCCGCCGTTCGAGGCATCCAGCATTTTCTGTGTCTCTCACCTGGCGCCCTGCATGCGTGGCTGGACAAGGCTTTGTTCGAGCTACCCGGAGACTCGATGGTTTAGCAGAGCAATACGGCAAAAGATAAGTGCTCCTTGGCACGTCCTGCTGCTCCTCCTGCGCATGCCGCACAGTGATCTTCGTCGTCTTGCTCGCCGCTTCAAGCTTCAAGCTTCAAGACCTGGTCCGCCGTCTGGGTCGTCGGCCTGCAGGCTACGGCAGTGTGGCATACGTACAGGTATCGCAGGACGGACCTCGATCCCCGCGCCGATCTCAGCTCTCTGCCTCTGCAGCTCTCTGCCTCAGCTTCGCTTGGCGGCGGGCGTTGTCCGCATTGGCCCTTTCAACGCCTTCTCTGGTCGCTCTCTAGGCGTTCCATCGGGTCATTGATGGCCGTTCGGTCAGCTGGGCCCAGCCTTGCGATCGTGCGATCCCGCCCACCGCGGGCCAACATGCTGCAAGCCCACGGGCAACGCGGAAGCACCGGTTCATATGGTTCTTCGGCGTTCATGCCCGTTCTTGTGACCTCACGTTGCCCGTCCCGCCCATGCTGCCTGCTGAGTATATAAGTCCCCGTTCTGTTCTTCGGTTCTTCAGTTCGTCGCCTCTCAACTCGACTTGAACGCATCCGACGTTTATCTTCTCATCCTCGACTTTTCTTACGCCCTCCACCATGCGCTTCACCTCCGCTCTCGCCGCCGTCGCCCTCCTCTTCGCGCCCGCCGCGCTCGCGCAGGACTCCGTCACGGTCGCGTACGACGAGAACTACGACAACTCGGGCCAGTCGCTCTCCACCGTCTCGTGTTCCGACGGCACCTACGGCCTCGAGACCAAGGGCTACACCACGTTCGGCTCGCTCCCCGACTTCCCCAACATCGGTGCGGCCGCGGCCATCAGCGGCTGGGGCTCCGCGGAGTGCGGAACCTGCTGGGAGCTCTCGTACAACGGCAACTCGATCTACGTGCTCGCGATCGACCACGCCGGCGACGGCTTCAACATCGCGCTGGAGGCTTTGAACACGCTCACCAACGGCCAGGCCGTCAACCTGGGTCGCATCACTGCAACCGCTACCCAGGTCGATGCCTCTAACTGCGGTATCCCCTAAGCGCGTTCATGCATGGTATGTCGTCGTAGCTCTTGTGTCGAGCATCCCCACTGACGGGGTTTGGTGTAGGAAAAACGTTACGATGGAATGACTTGATTCAACGGACAATGGACGATGTTACGGACTCTATGCAATGACTCCTACGTTTCGCTTAGTTCGCGCATCATGGACTTCATTGCAGTGTTTTCGGATTTGGGTTGATGTTCACGAATGGACTATGTTTTGGCTCTCGCTATCTACAACACGTGATGAATGTTTGCGTCCAGCCTGAGGTAAGTATGTCTTATGTGTGCAAGTGGCTGAGAACAGTAGGTCATGCGTGCACTCGGTCGTGTTGCGTATAGCGAGAAGAAACGGTGAGTGTACATGAGTGTCCGGGAATTGTTAACGACGTTGACAGAGCGACAGTAATGTTACAGAGCAATGTTACAGAGCAGGACATCATTCGATGTGGACCTTGGATAATCGGAGCAAGTCGAGTCATTTTATCGCATTGCATTCGCAACGGCTCCAGCGTCTCAGCCTGCTGCACAGAGGGTTAATGCCGGCCGTCTCATCCAAGGAGCCACACGCACCATGGACTATCAATGCGGTTGAGGGTCCTTCGCGTAAGGACAGTTCGGCTTGCACGGTCTGCCAACATACACGATCTCATCCTTGTGTCCCAGCTCCGCTATGCTCGTTATCTTCCTCCCTACCGGGCAGGACGACTTCTTGAAGGAAACCTCCTTGATGACCGTCTCCCCAGGCAGGCATTCTCCGCATGTGTACAGCATCTGGTAGTGCACTTTGACGCAGCGATTGAGGTCCAGACCGGTGACGTCCTGCGAATTCGACATGGTGATGGCGTAAAGGAGGTGTCGAGCGCGGTGTGTCTGGCCACTCTGCGGGGCTAGGGGCAGGGCCGGCGGACGGAGGCGAGTATGGTTTGACGCGTCAGAGCAATGTCGTCGGCGCCTTTATAGAGGGGGATCAGGGTAGTTTGTCGCCTTTGCTTTGCCATAGGAGGAAGATAGGGGCGTCAGCACGGACCAAGTCGCGACGGAGACGTCAAAGCGATGGTTGGTTTCGAGGCACGGCGCAACAAAGCGGCGCTTTGAGAGTGGCTGATGTATTTTTGAAGTACAATCGTTCGACGAGATGGAACGAATCTATCTTCTGAACCATTATATGCTTGAGATAATGCCGCAGGCTGAAGCCTCTCAATGGGAACGCGAGACTACCTCACCCACATTTCGCACAGCTCCAAACTGGTCTTTTGCGCTTTGTGGCCGCTTACTTCAGCGTCCCAGAGCCTCCACGGTGATCAAAGCACGTCATGTAGACACGGATGGTCGAAGCAGACACACAACAGCCATGTCCCCGTTCTTATTCACCTTCCAAATCGGGCTACCCACTCTCAACAACCGTTTGATAGCCCTCATCAGCCACAGTGGGTAGCCGCTCTCAGCGACGAGCGTCCCGAGTCGAGTTTAATACATTGCCGCATCATGGACACACATAGCAACCGACCTTGTCCGCCGACGACGCCTACGCTCTATCTGTCAGCTGCACTACTTCCGAGTCACGGCGAGCAGGGCTTGTGAGCTCGTCGGTCTGTAACCTCGTTCGCCATCCCAGACCCGGACTGCCATGCCATCTCTCCGGATTTTGTCGACAGTGTTGGACCTCCCTGGCCGTCTGAAACAGAGACGCAACAACCCCCGCGACTCTATATCGCCAGAATGGCAGGAACCTACTCAAGAAGATGTCTCGAGTTCAGTGCGTGCGGACCAGGAGACGCAGCCTACGCCGGCGCAAGCCCGTGCCAACGATGAGTTCAAGCTGCCGAAGATGACTTCGTTGGTGATTGTCCTGCTGGCTAGTACTCTCCTACAGGTGCGTGGTCAGGTCACAGAGGATACGCTCTATCTAACATATGCGAGACAGGTGTCCTTCTTCATCGTGGTCTCCTCCTCGGACCAGTATGCAGAATACCTGGGTGGTACGGCAACATTCTCCGGTCTCGTTATCGGCATTCCTACCGTATTCTCTGGGCTCGTGTTGGTGCCGCTCACGAAGCTCGACCAAGGTATGTCCTACGCATATATGCACTCTGTACCCCGTTTAAAGGTCGACCTACGACAGGCGGCTACAAGCGACCTCTACACTTCGCATGCGCATCTGCGCTCCTCGGGAACATCCTCTATAGCTTGGCCTATCGCGCGAACTTCCTGTACCTCATTCTCATCGGTCGCATCGTCTCCGGATTCGGCTTCACGTTCTGGATGTACTCCAAGCGGTACTGTTCTGATCCCAGGATCGTCGGTGTGCGCCGACGGACCATGCTAGCCGGTTGGCTAGTGTTAGGGCAAGGCGTGGGCTTCAGCGCGGGCCCATTCCTGGGCGGTCTCTTGTGAGTACATAGCCCGATAGTGGAGATCCTCTCAACTCACTGAACGTGGCTGTATGCGCTTCAGTTACAGAGTCGGCTTCTCCAACTCTGTGTTCAACGGATACACGAGCCCGACTTGGATCCTTGCTGGGATATGGGCTGTCTTCTGGGCTGTCGCCGCAGCCCTCTACGAGGATGTGCCACCGCCCGTTCCCGCGACCCCCGAGATCGAGCTCCAGCCGGTGCCAGTGCAAGGGCAGGTTGTAATCAACGAAGATAAGGACAACTCAACTGCTTCCGTTGCAGGTCTGAGTTCCACTACCGTACCAGCATCTCCGAGCTCAGACGTACCGGAGGAGCCTCCTTTCCATATGACCTGGGCGCAGATTGGTGTGACCGCGACTATGTGCTGGTTCGCCATGACATGCTTCTTCATCCTTGGCGCATGGGAGGCGAACATCCCCGTCTTCACAGGTTCAGACTCTACCCTGAACCCGTTCCACTTCAACCCCTCCGCAGCAGGCGACCTCATCGCCCTCGGCGGCGTCTGCACCATCCCATTCCTCCTCCTGAACCTCCTCGTCGCGCGGCGCGTGCAAGACCGGCACACGCTCGCGGTCGGCTCGGGGCTCGGGCTCGTCGGGCTGCTCGTCGCCATCTCGATTCTGCGCGCGGACAGCGTGAACTACGGCAGCCTGTGGGTCTGCTGGTTCCTCGTCGCGCTCGGATTCAACCTCGCAAGCACGGTCACGCTCAGCCTGCTCTCGAAGCAGCTTCCGGGCGAGTGGAACGGCCGGATCAGCATGTTGATTCAGTACAGCAACTACACGGGGCGCGTAACCGGCGCGGTGTGGGGCGGCGCGGGCGTGAAGGTCGGGATGTTGAGCTTCGTCGGGATGCAGATCGCACTCGTCGGAGTTGGCGCGGTGATGTTCTCGACCCTTTGGAGGCAGTTGAAGGCGAAGACTGGTTGAATTGGTTGGTAAGGTATACGGAACCGTTGACTAGTATTGGGCGGCGCGAATCGTCCACAATCGCGATAGAAATCTACCCCGTGTAGCTTTGCACATCTGTCTTGTGGGCCGAGTCACTACCGAGTCACTACCCCGCCCGCCTCTCGCCGATGCCCGCCAGCATCTGACAGATCAGAGGCACGACGGTCGCACGAACAGGCAGCGCACACTACGAGGCAAACATCGATCTGGGGTTGGTCCTCTGGTAAGTTATGTGTCGTTGGTTTCGGCGACAGTCATCATTCAGTCTAGTCTCCGACCACTCGGGTAAGGGTACCGCACAGCCTGAACAAAGCTCACCGTGCGAATGGATGTTAACTGCAGGTCTAATAGCAACGCGGCCGTGATAATGCGCGTTGTCTGTTTCCTATCAACCTTACCTCACATCCGCGGCGTGAGTCGTGAGCAGTGGGATGCCATGCTGTGGATCATGCGCGTCGAGCCTTCCTATGTTCCGCAGTGGCGACCCCGAGGCGATCCCGATGACCTGGTAGAAGACCGGACGATCGATATACGGGGTGGCCCACCATGCGGGCACGAGCAACTCTCTAGGTCATCACTATTCTTCCCCGTGAAATTGAATGGTACGGATTCATGTTCGGTGATTTCGCATCCCCTTTTGCAACCAGTTTGCGAAGGATGCTGTTTCGTCTCAACGCCGAGTCGCTTCAAGTTACGAGTGTCCCGCTTCTTGATGGGTAGGCAAGCTGTGCCCGACGCTCTCGTCACAATTCCCTTCCCATAACTTACCGGGTATTGCGAGTATGTAGCATCCCGAAATTCGACACGCTCCGAGCAGCGTTATAGGGCCTTCGGCAGCATGAGATTGTGTTTTGACACTACGAAGCCTTGTCTCAATTGAAGTGCAGTGAGTGTACAACGGCGTGCGTTAGTAGTCGAGTAAAGCTGATACCCAGTCTATGACTTGGAAAGCAGTGGACCACGGATGCAACTATTACCCGCACAACATAACGAATGCTACCCAAACTGACATGCCGTACGTGCGGGCAGCGTGCGCCGTGTCGTAGTGCTTCTGCGGCCGCAGGCCCATCGCCGGGTCCACTCAAGGCGGAATTCCCGTCCTCGACCACGACTTTCGTGCATTCGGCAGGAGGTAGATGATCCCCGGATGTGTTTCTGCAGGTCACGTCTCTCGAACCCCAGATGTATATATACGGGCCTGCCTGAGCCATCTATTTCTCATCGCCGAAGATCTTACTCAGCTTCACTCGACCAAAGCCTCTCTTTCTTAACACTTCCCAAACCTTTCAGTACTTTGGTCACCATGTTCGCATTCATTGCCCTACCCGTCGCCCTCGCCGCTGGCTCCTTCGCCATGCCCGCCGCTCTGTCGGCTCGCCAGGACCCCTGCACTGCCTTGGGTGCCGGTGCTGCGAGCACCTTGAGCTACAACTTCCAGCTGGAGGTTGTCGACCCCTCTGCGGCTGAGGGCGCCACTGGCACTGTGCTCGCCCTCGTCAACGGCGACTCGACTACTGGTAACTGGTGGCTCAAGGTCAGTAGCTATACGATATGATCCGCGGTAGCAATGGTACTTATGCGCCTTTGGCTTTATAGGAGATCCACCAGAACAGCACTGGTGACTTCTCCAGCTGGACGCTCAACGGCGGTGCGCTCATCCCGACGCCGAGCTCCTCCAACGCCGACACGGTCGGAAGCGACATGGCTGTCAACGCTGGCGACGCCCTCGAGTTCGCGGTGACCACCAAGGGTGCAGCCAACGCTGCGGCGGGTCAGACGCCTTACTGCGCTGTGGTGAGTGCACTATCAAGTCATCCATTCACAGGACTGCAGTTAACTCAGTAATGCAGTCCAATGCGGATGGCCATGCCACGCTTACTGTCAACAGTGTTTCCGACGAGTTCTTCGTCTGTCAGGCGTCCACCTCGGAGTACGTGCTGGCGTTCAGCCCGTCTGCCTCCAGCAGCGTGTACGACTACAGCACCTGCACCAAGCAGCTCGTGCACCTCGTCCCGGCCTAAGCGCAGCTTTCGGGTGATCGAATCACGAGCATCACACATCATCATCGCACTTATTTACGTGAACACTTGGACTTCGCCGTTTACCCTACTTTTGCCTCGCGTACTCACGCTTTAGTTGTTTTGGTTGCTGTGTACGCAGCGTCGCTCTTTACCGAATCATAATCGTGGTCATACCCGTGTCTGGTGTGGTCGGAGTCAGCATTCAGTTGCTTCAGTCTGAAGATGTGAGTGCATGTATTGCATATTCTTGGGCTCAAATCCTCAAGCCTGAGGGATCCGGACTGACCGAGTCTCATGAGAACAATTACCCTGATTACTGTGTTTGATGTACACATTCAACGTTGGATGCACGTACCCTCGTCTGGACTGCAAGTGTATGCTGAATCTGAGTGCCTTTGAACACTGATATATAGTTTTGTGAAAAGGTTTCCAAGCCGATCTCATGGAGCTGACGACACTTGGGGTCGCCGGGGCATACAGCAACATCACACATGATTTCAACGATTTCCTTACATCAAGGATACTCGACTGCCCACTTCCGTGCCTTCCGGTGGTACTGGTAGTTCTCCACTCCTGTCAGACACAAAGGCACGATAGCTGTTCACGTCCTATCATGTCAGCTCGGTCAGAACAACAACAGGCAGGAGCACGAACATGCGGCTTAGTCGATCGCGCTCCTCGTCTGGCACCGAAGGACGCGTCGTACCCAGAACCCGACGAACATGCGTGTCGCTAATCTCGTATGTCTATGGCACGAATCAACACGCTGCGAACCTATGAAAGAAGATTGACATACCGGCTTGGACCTAGCAATTTTATCGCTTTCGGCGTCTTGCCTAGTTGGCGGCTCCCGTAGAATTCTTTGAAGCTAAGTGAAACGAAGCCATGAGCTCCCTAGAACCACGATGGCATAGCAATACAACGTACACGTCGTTGAAATGCAGATTCCTCCGCTATTGACAGGACCTGCTGAGACTCAGGCGACGCCTCCCCCAGTAGGCTATATTGAACATCGTGTTCGCGGTCATTGACGCCATCGACGACAGGATCTGCAGTGCTGGACGGGCCAGGAATGGCTTCGTGGATGACCTCGAGATGAGCGTTGTACACGAGGGCCTGTAAGTCAGCGCCAGAGAAGCCATCGGTTTCTCTAGCGACAGCCTGAAGATCTACAGACGGTGCAATGTTAATCTTGCGACCAAGTGCCTCTAGGATCTGGACACGACGTCAAGACGCAACTTTCAATGTCCTGTGTACAAACGAAGTTGTAAATTGACTCACTTCTCGACGTTCGTTCACGTCGGGCATGTCACAGAGCAACGATTTGTCGAGACGACCCGGACGCAGGAGGGCAGAATCAATGAGATCAGGCCGACTGCACTGCTAGTAAGTGTTCGCTCATGGAAGTAGGAGCTAGATTGATACATACCTCGTGGCTGCCAATACGTACACGCCATCGAGTCCCTCTGCACCGTCCATTTGGGTAAGCATTTGATTGACAACTCTGTCGGTTACTCCGGTGCTATCATGCCCTCTGAAGTCGAGCAATCAGTATATCATCGTCAATATAACGCTTCGGGCTGACCGCTTGGGAGCTATTGAGTCGAATTCGTCGAAGAATAGAACACAAGGTTTCGCCGCGCTTGCACGTTCAAAAAGGTCACGAACCTACGATAGTCATGTCAGAGTGCACCAAGGGACTTCACAACAAGATCCTCACTGATTTCTCGCTCGCCCCAATATACTTGTTCAGCAACTCAGGCCCCTTGATGCTAATGAAATTTAGCCCGCATTCCTTCGCTACCGCTGAGGCCAATAAGGTCTTGCCGCAGCCAGGGTACCCGTACAGAAGGAGACTACCGTGAATTAGATCAATCGCACCACTGTGAAAGACGACAACTCACCCAGAACGTAAACGCAGGGGCGACTGAGCAAATATTGGTCCATACTTCGTGGGCCACTCAAGTGTCTCTCTGAGGGTCCGCTTGGTCTCGTTGAGCCCTGCCCATGTTCAGAATGCAGCCCTGCAACGGGCCAACGAGACGTACCTCCAATATCTGCCCATTCAACCTCAGATCGCTGCAACTTGACATCGCGCAGTGAATGGGGCACGAAGTCGACTTGGGCTGTGGCGAAGTCTTCTGGGATGAGAGTAGTCTGTGGAAAGATGAGACGTCCCATTCGTCGCATGGTGGGACACAGACATACCGATGCTTCCTCGCCCTCTCCGTTCTCAGAACAGCGGATTGCAGCTTGATGGACAGCTCGGGCAACAAAATCCTTAAGATCCGTAACGGAGTATCCCTCGGTCTGTGTTGCGAGGGCGGTGAAATTCACGGGCTTCGAGGAATCTTCGACAATGTTTGATGTGTCTATGCGCTCTCGAACTAGCTGGCTGATGATCTGAAGTGCTCATCAGTTATAGTTCGTTCCAAAATACGGATGCACCATACATCTCGCCGTGCATCCTTCCCCGGAGGCTTCAAGGAAACGACTTCTTGAAACAGGTGTGATGAATTAAGTGATGGATGCAACGCCGTTTGTGACTCAGCAGCTGCAAGGAGTACGATCCCGCTGGCATTTGGGGCCGCGGTACGCGACGACGGTCCGAACGTAGAGAGGAACAGCTCAGTGATATGACGGCTCCGGAACGAATCGGCATGCTGTGAACGAAGGGTAGCGGTCAGTACGAGCCTCCGGAGGCGTTCGAGATGACGAATACCGACCTCAAGCTCAGCGCTCATGAGTTTGTCGATGTTGTCCACGACAAGGACGCAGGGACGGTGCCACGTTGCCTTCGCTATCCAGTATCGCAGCAGCGCGCGCATCTTGCCCACGGTCGTCTCTGTGTACTTCGACATGTCCACATGGAGGACATCTGGCGAGGACCTATGAGCAGCAGGCAGGTATAAAACAACGTCCGAACGCACATGCGAATATTTGTGGGTCTTCTTGCATCGACTTGGCAATGGCGTTCAGGAGGGACGTCTTTCCCGCCCCCGACCGACCAGTCACTAGAAGCCCGGGAACTGGAGAGGCGTTAAGTCGTTGTCAGTGCTTCCGAGGTTGCACGACTACGAGTTTCGACTCACCACCACGGACTCTACTGCCGAATGAATGGACGAGAAAATTAGTTCGACAAAATCCGGTGGCTTTGTCGAGGATATCGTCGACGCCAGCTAGGCCATGCTTCGACGGCGGTATTGAGCTAGATGGGAATCAGGTTTGAACCTTGCATCAACCTGAGGACTTAGCGTACGTATAAGGTCTGTGCTCTACGGAGCGGTCGACATCAGATAGAGGCGTCGCCTCAGGCCCGACGAAAGCTACCCTACATGCAAAGTCAGCACGCCCGATCCAGTAACAACGACACCGTTCACCAGGAGGCCCATACGCACCGAACCATATCCCAATCTTCGACGTTCTCTATTTGTCCAGATATCACTACATGACCTTCCGGGACTGGGACTTCCGGAGACCAAACTAATACCACCTCGTCGCGTGCCTTCTCAGGGGGCTGAGAGGGAGCTTTGGCAGCGGATGCCTCTCCATTGGGAACAAGGACCCGAGGCGCAGGTGGTGATGCTGGTCCGCCAGAGTTCTGCTCTTGCGATGGATCACTCGGCGGTGGTAGCCTTCGAACACGAGCGCGCCAGGGTGACGGGTTGGATGCGGAACCGGAAGCTTCCGCCAGGGATGTTAGGGCCGCGCGCGAAACGTATGCTATCACCACGTCTGCATCGGGCAAGCGATGTGACGTCGTAGGTGATGACGGGACTAGTCGATGCGGAAGTACACGCATTACGCGTACAGGTAGCTTCGCAGCCTCGCCATTAGGTATTGATCCCGAGAGATCCTCGGCTGGAGTGCTGACACCGTTGACCTTGCCATTCGCGCCGCGATGTTTCTTCTGCTTTGTCTTGCCATTGACGGCAGGGCCTGCAGAGCCATTTTGCCGAGAGTGCAGCTTCGGGGCTATGCTCACCTCAGTGCTCGTCGTCAGCAAAAGGGCCTTTCCGGCGGTCGAAGGCTCGAGCGATACTACGACGCGTGAGGCGATGAATGGACACACCAATAATCGAATACGTACCGACTCTGAGACGGACCCTGGTGCGTCCTAGCACCCAGATGTCGATCTCCTGTCCTATGGCAGCTACTCTCACTTGCGAAAGGAGCGTAGACTCGACGTGAGACGCATGTAGTTCCTACAAGACGTCAGATATGGAAAGGTTAAAGGCGTAGCTCATACTCACGATGATTTCCCAATCATCGGACGTTACAGGTTCAGTTGCAACCGACTTGGCCAATCCGAGGTCGTGCAGTAGTCCAATCTCCACCTTCGCACACGTGACTCAGAACCAAACCGCCACGTCAATCGTACTGTAGTAGCTTACAATGTCACCCGCGACAAACCCGAGTCCTTGCGCGAATTGTGGGTCCATTTCAATGGTCTCAAGGCTTTTATCGCTGCTACCGGCGCTGTTGAAATGCGCCAATGAGGAGGCAGATGCCATGCCGGTCCATCCCACATATGCCTCGAGCTTCCGTTTTGCGGAGTCAACGCCATCTTGTGAATCTCTGGGTACCCAAGTGAGGTGTACCGCGAGACCTTGGGGTCGCTAGATCCTACACGTTCGGATGAGTAGACTACGGCTAAGCGCTTGTTCCACTTACTATGCCTCGCTCAAGTAGGGGCCCGTAGATCGAGATAGGGAGATTCACCAAGGATGAATGGAGAGATACAAAGTGGATTCGTGCTCTTCGAGGCATGGGATGTGTCCTATATGGGCATATACTCTTGCACAAGGAAGAGGGGCAAGCGTGGCGGAGGGAGGCGAGACCAAGACTACGATACCTTCCTAAATAAGACTGGCAATATTCACGTGCTTGCCGCCAACCGGGGAGTTTGTGCGGGGCCCCGCATCCGGAGTCCGGATCATCGAGCGATGTTCCTTGATGTTCCCCATCGCCACACCACGGCAAAGACGAACAGCACGAAATCAATGCAGACAAGACCAGAAGACGGGTCAATTGGACTGCCAGGCGCGAGCTCAACATGATACGGATCGACGTCTTCGTGCAAGATGACATTCCATCACCGCATGCTCCTCAAGGGTCCGATATAAGGAGTAAGCGGGTGATGATTAGTGTAAGATACAATGAGTGGTGCATGCGTAGTCAGCCGTAAGAATGCCTCATACGCCGGTATAAACATGTAAAGTAAACCGAATGTCCAATTGTAATAAAAGTCCGGTAGAAATGGCCGCGAGTGTCCTCAGAGTCATAACTTCGGAGAGGTTTACGCCTTCAGGAGCTGCACCTTCTGTGAAGTACATGTGCTGAAGTCGTAGGCACCGTTGTTATCCGCCGATGGCTCATACACGAGGACATAGGCGGCATCACCCGGGGTGTAGCACATCGCAAAGCCCTGCGTGTTGCCGTTGACCGCAAGGGTGGCATAGCCTTCTGAATCAGTCTAGTTAAATGGCGCTTTCAGCACTGCATCGCGACAGGGTCAACGGACGGTCCTCACCACAACGCAATACGGCGTCTTGCCAGCCTGACCGTTCCCGGCGCCCTTTGTCGTCACAGCGAACTCGACGATGGACGCCGGAGGGACAGAAAAGTCATTTCCCACCAAGCCAACGCCGTTGGAGCTCGGGTTCGGGATAAGGGCGCCATTCTGAAGATTCCAGGACGAGAAGTCTTCCGTGGTGCTCTGGAAGGTTTCCTGCAGAATGGACGATCAGCAATCACATAACAGCCGGAGGTATAATGAACCAACCTGGAGCCACCAGATGGAATCTGGGCCCTGCAAGAGAGCAAGAGAGGGCCCGGTAGCACCATCTCCGGTCGACGGGTCGACGACGGTGAGGATGAATTCATATGCGAGCGAGTCGCTCGATCCCGGGCCCAGACCATCGCAAGGGCTCTGGCGGGTAGACAAGGCGGCGGGCACGGCAAAGGCACCAGCAGCGAGAGCGAGGGAAAGGAGGGCTGGTGCGAACATGGCGATCAAAGCTCGTGGATCGAAGTGCGAAAGTGCGAAGGTGGAAGTCGAGCTTCGAAGACGGATGCTGAAGAAGAGTGTTGAGAATACGGTGCCCTCAATACCTCTCTTATACTTGAGACGACCACGGCGACAATGTCAGCGTTCGGTAGGTAGAGGCCGCAGAGTGCATCTTCCCAACGCCGTGCTGAGACCGTTCAGTGAGACGCTTACGGAGGGGTGCACCGAGTCGCGCACGCCGCCCGGGGACCGCGCATACAGCAAGGCTGCATCAGCGGACGCTGTGCTGTTGACGCCCACGAAGCTGTCAATAGCGACGTTGAAGGGGTACTCAACACAGAAGGAAAGCTCGCGCACCGCATTGCCCCTAGACGCCGTCACGCCATGCGCAATAAGATGATTTGTCGCGCCCATTGTGCGGTGGTACATACACGGCAAACGAATTATGCATGACGCTGGTCGCATTGAACCCGCTGCCCACGCTGCAGAGAAAGGTCGAGCGAGGGGGAATGCGGATTGTTTTGCCAGGCAGACGCGATTTTGCAGGTGGACTCACCCTACTAAGATGGTGCCACAGACGAAGGGCATCACTTGCTGTATCCTACGAGAAGCGATACCATTGGAACCAGCGCTTCAGAGACTCTCCGACCACGTATACAGAAAGCAAGTCTAGCGACTTCGATGACGGACAACGAATCGATCAACAACAGAGCAGTATTCAAAGCAACACATACGAGCACAAACACACATCATCAGCATACAACCACACAATCGACTCGTCACGTCTTCGCCTTTGCCTTCCGACTTCGTTTTGTAGGCGTCTTCACCGCAGGCTCCTGGGCGTCGTCCTCCTTGATGTTTCCTCTATGCATGGCAGCCTCTAGCAAGCCCTCGTTGTGCATACAGGTTATGAACTGTGTAATGAACGGTTCGTAGTCGAACGTTCGCTTGATGTGGTCCGTCTGCACCCCATGTTCAGTGCCCTGCTCGCGAGAACGGCGAAGCAAAGCGGCTCACCTGGGTATCGCGCGCCTTCGTGATCTCCTCTTCGACAGCGACCTTCGCGGCGAGCGCTGCTTCGACACATGCGTTCCATGCGTCAGGGAGTTTTCGTGCGGCCATGTCCAGGATGTGTACATCCTTTTCCAATTTTCGCGATCCGAAGTCATTTGCAAAGACTCGGCCCTCCGTCGCCGGCCTTAAGCTAGTTGCAAACGCCTCTTCTGCGCTTGTCAGTAGCACATCATTGACCTGATCCAGCACGTGAGCGCGTGAGCCCTCCAGGTCGGTAAAATGCAGTTCGTGTACGCTACCTTGTCGGTCCACCCTTCAGGATACGCGTCCTGCAACCTCCGCTCGATCGCCTGCCGTTCGCGCTTGCGCATCTCCAACTCGTCGCTCGCACTGAGATACTTCTCGTCCACGATTGCGAGGAGGTTGTACCGCACATGGTCGTTCTCGCTCGCCATATATGCGTGCATCTTCATCCGCAGCGCAGGCCGCACGATGTCCATCCAGCCTCTCGTACTTGAGCCTGAGCTTGACTGGGAGTCAAGCTCGCCGACTTCAATGGCCGTACGCTGCAGACCGTCAAGCTCCCAGACCTTGCCGTGGGCGGGAACGTAGCCGATGAAGTGGTACTGCTCCTGCATTTGGTCACCATTCTCAGTCGACTTGGAAGGGCTTGCAATCGTCTTGCGCTTCTTAGTTGGGGGACCCTTCGCAGCTTTGACCCTTGCCTTGTCCGCTTCGAGGGTTGCACGAGCGATGACCTGCAATGACCCACGGATATCCGCAGGCCTGATCTAGGATCAGGGCGGAACCCTCACTCTACAGTAGATCAACATACCTAGCCAGTGAGTTGTGTGCATCCCGAATGAATTGAGAACTCGACACCGCTAATCCTCTCATCTGCACGCCGCGTCACTAGGCATCCCGCATATTGACCGACCCGAGCAACAGCGAGACTAGCGGGATGTAACGTACCACTGGTGATATCTCCGCCGTTACCGCTTGTAGCTCTTGAAGCTCTCCGCCGAGGTCAACGTGAGGACAGTTCAAGAGCACATTGAGGAGCGCGTGGGAGGCACAAGCGTCGTTGCTCAGTTGATTGGCGAACCACACCTTCTCCGCGTCCTCGCCCTCAAGTGCGGAGGTATTCGTCTCTTCCGAGTCGGTACACATGTAGCAGAATATCAAGCCGTGTGGATCTAGGTGGTCTGTCGCCCAAGGTTCAATGTCGTAGATTTCCGTGACTTCCAAACCTCGTACACCAAGCTTGTGTAGCAGCGTTGTGAAAACTCCTATCACAGCATTAGAGCGCGTTCGCCAAGTCATGTGGAGTCTAAGAGAACCTGGATCCGACTCAATGACCGCAAAAACACCGCCTACGAGTTCTGCAGAGCCCTCCGCCGTGCGAGAAGATGGCCCTTCCATTGTTCAAACGATCGTAATGCTTGATGCGTCCAGGACTCAAGTAGATGGGATAGGAGGCGGACGTGCAAACCCTGGGTAGGAGCCTTGAGTCTGCACCGGTACCGTGAACCGTCGGCAGTCTGAAGATGGCCAGTACAGGACTTGTCAATTGCGAGACCGCTGGGTGACCGTAGACGATGGTAACTGATGTACGTCACACTTGGGTCGTACGCGTGGCGTCGTAAAATCCGTCATGTGATTTGTGACATGTCGCGTCTTCTCTACATTTCTTATTCTCCGTGTTTATAGCCCTACCAGTAGTACCACTATTGGCGAGGTGGGATCGATAACCAACGAGAAAATCGTCTCTAAAGACGTGTCGCGTCGACTGCCGGAGCAGCCATGACATTCGATTTCCACTCATGTGTTGCGCTTCAAACAACACGTGTACGGCCCAGCTGAATGGCCATTGGGAGGTTTCACGGATAGCCTTAAGCTTAAGTTGATGACCAACGAGATTCCCGCAAAGCAGGTTACACAACCATCATTTACACTGTAACTACATACATGAGATCGTCGCGCTGTGTTTCAATGTATCACGATAAAGCCCGACAGAGAGATTTCGCTGCATGTCATACATATACGTTAAACTATCGGTACAGACTCTCGATACACAGCATGCCGGTGGTTATCAGGAATCGCGAAAGATCTCGGCCATCGACACTAGGATCCGAGGATCAAGGTTTGGAGACACCAGTGTCGAGGCAGCTTCCTCAGTGATCGCCCCCAGTACTTGAACGGCCGTCGGACGCATGTCCCAGTTCGGGTGCCAACAAGCCACCACTACGCCCCACAAGTCATCAGATAAACCTAAGGCGCGGGCACGCTCTGGACGGGTCAGTCTATACCCCGCCAGGACTTGTTGAATAACCTGAGGGCCGCGCCACCGTCCATACGGCACCCGCCCTGCGAATACCTGTCTCGATGGTGTCAGCATTAGGCTGGGAACACGTGGATCCGGATACAACAAGCAAAGACGAACCTCCCAAATTACGATGCCTAGTGCATAAATGTCCGCTGGTAACGAGACATGCGCATGTTGTAGTCCATATTGCTCCGGATCCAATAGCTCGGGTGCCAAGTAGCGCGTGGTACCCTTCTCGCCATGGCTCTCGGTGGACGCATTCGCCGAGTTAAGAGAATGTATAACCGTTGTCATGCCGAAGTCGCACAAGCGCGCATGCCGCATGCTATCTACAAGAATATTGGGCTGAAGAGAGATTTCAGACAAATAAACATCAGGAAATGCTCTGGCCGGTAAGCAAGCGACTCACGCTCTTCAGATCGCCATGCGCGAAGGTCTCCATGTGCAGGAAACGCAATCCCTCGCAAACCTCCCGGAGCTAAGTGTAATATGGTGAGTAAGGGGCGCGACCCATGGTAGATAGACTACTTACCAAACGAAGTCGGTCCTCATTGGGATAATTCTCCAGGAACTGCGTGATGGTGCCGTTGTCCATCCACGCGCTTGCAATGGACAACGGAAAGATATGTCTATCAATGCCAAGCATCGGCACAATATTTGGATGCTGCAGGCGTCGCCACATTATGATTTCTTGACAGATATCCTGAGGATTCGTTGACGCATGTGCGGATCCCAGCGGTCAGTACAAGGAATTCGGACGGTGAACTTTGGGAGAACTGACGGGGTGTACAACGCCCGCATTTGTAGCACTTGCGGGGAGTTCCTTCAGAGCCACATGCACCGGAGCGGATCGCGGGTCTTCATAGTATACTGCCCGCCATACAGCGCCAAAGCCGCCACGACCCACCCATTGTTCGCTAGTCTTTTTTAAGCGATTCGGTTGTATGACCCATGTTTCAGGGATCATTGTATGTTTTCGACAAAGGTGGCGGAGCAGTTCAAAGACCGACCGAATGGGTCCTGCATTAACCGTCTCATCTGGGAGCTCATCGAGGATCTGCACCGTAAGAAAATGTCAGCCATTGGTCAACGTGTAGCTTAAACAGTTGAACAAACGAAACTTGAGCCAGCCTGATGATCACATGCTGTGCCACAGCAGAGTTCTCGCCCGACATCTCTGGAGTGTCAGAGTAAAGGCTCAACCCGGATACAGATGTCGGGGTGTAAATGCCAATGGTAGGTGTAGAGCTCATCGCCGTCTCCATATCGTCCCCATCGACATTCATTCCTGCAGCATGTTCCTGCCCTGCAATATGTTCCTGTCCTGCAGTCACAGTGTGTGCCTGGGGTGGTTCATAGGAAGGACGCCATACTTCCAATTCTGGAGGATCATGGTGGACTGGTAGATAACTGGTGAGGGACGGGGTTACACAAGATGGAACGAAGAAACTCACTGCGTTTTTTACTTCTATTCTTAGATCTTCCTACTGTACTTGCTATGCTACTTGCGCTAGACTGTCGTTTGAGTCTCCCGGGCCCTTGCTCCATGTCGCCGCTCGCGTATGGGACCGCCTAGCCGATGACCCCATCAGCCCACTGGTCAGATATAACAATGATATACTGAGTTTGCGTCACCTCAGGTTTCATACTTGGCATATACTTCAAAAACGTAATTAGGCAGATATGAGGCAAACCAGCAGAAGTCCACTGCGCAAGATTCGACGCCAAGTTCGTCTGTGTAGAGAGTTGTGAGGCAATACTGAAGCGAGAGACGACTGTTATATGTACTTGTGCTTATAAGACCAGCCATATGAGTGGACAAGCCGTGTGTATTCCGTTACCAAGCACCAACTGCAATCCCTGTTGTCCTCTCGGAGCCACATGTGCGCTTGAGATGAACGCTGAGGCGGAGGTATAGCACAAGGACCTGAGAATCCTCTTTACGGCACAAGAGCCCGTATAGCATTGATCAGTATATCCATTGTACTGCCTCTCATTGAATCATGAGAATCAAGCGACGAAGAAGACGTCCACAGAGAAGTCAAGAACATCATTCCACACGCACCGATTTGTAGCCAGCGCCCTGGCTGATCTGTATGCTGACTACACATGCTTGGCTGTGAGGGCTTTTGGATAGTACTTGAACATGGAGCCGTACAGGGACGGGATGTAGCGGAAGGAGCGTGACAAGTTCTGGCATGCCCGCCACCTCCTCGCTAGTATCGCCTGTGATCAGGAAGTCGACATGTCTCGCCGTAATGGCGCCTAGTAAACGGCGATAGAAGCTATCAGAGAGTGCACAAAGGAGTACAACATCATGAAGACCTACCAATCCTCGAGTTCGCGAAGGGTCTCCTATTCTCTCCGCCCTCAACCAGAATATACGTACGGGGATAAGGGTTTCCCTGTCTCCTGGCAATCTCACCGTACAGGCCGTAACGGATTTGGCTCGCACATGGCCTTCGACACGCGTCCCTGGTGAACAACGTTGTGTTGTTGAGTAGGCTGAGCCGTGGTCTGTGGTCGCGCGACGAACCTCATTCTGCTGGATTCTGAGCACGGCCCACCGTCTCCGTGCGTCAAATGGATGCTCAACGATTCCCCTACACATGGAATGCGCTACGAATGCGAGTCTGCGACAGCCTGAGGGCATTATGTACCTGAGTGCGCGCCATCGCGGGAGAAAGCGTTAATAAGTCATGAAGTTAGTAGCAGGCGATAAGGCGGGGCCCGGCGTAGAACGAGTACCTGCCGCGTAGTGGTAGCCACCATCACGACCATGACTACGCAGTCAAGAGCCTGAAAGGAGGTACCATTATGTTGCGTCCGACTCAGTAGTTCTGTTGTAGGCGGTGAGGGCGAACGGAATCGAGGCACCGCGCGACGGCGTGGGCAGCAGAATCCGCTCACATGATCGTGACATAACGCGGCCGTACCGAGTCGGGACGTCCGCTCGCATGGGTATGCAACGGAGACTAGCTCAAATGCAACTTCAAGCGAAGCACGCCGGGCCAAGTATTGGGCCCAGTGTAGTAGCATATTCAGCTAGAAAAAGAATTGACTTCTGACCAGACACGGGTGAGCATGTCTACACACAACGGCTGTCCTAGAGAACGCAATATGTACCAGTCTCGCCGCTCCGAGTCGGAATTAGACCCAGGTGATATTAGTAGTAGCACTGCCAAACTTGTCATTTCATAAACCGTTCGGCTCGAGTGCTGGCTTCCGTACGATGACATGTACAGACTCGATGGGTTATAACCCCAAGACTGCAGAGATTCATCCTATGACTGCAGCTTTGGGCGATATCGCATGTTCCAGTGTATTGTACTACTACTGTCGTCATCGGACAGTGCATGATATCTGCACCATGTGCGAACGTCGCCTACATTCGTTCAGCTTGAATAGAAATTTCAAGCGAGCGATATTGACCTCTACAGAGCAATCAAAGCGAAGCGTCCTTCCTAGTGCCTAGTGCCATGATGTAAATCGAGCAACTCGTTGTTCAGATTGCTTTGTGCACGTAAGTATCGTACGGCGGGAGGCATACTAGTACATGGTGACACAGCTCAGAAGGGCGGCCAGCGCCATGAGCCGTCGCGCGACTGTGTCTCACGACTGCGTGATGGGATGTTTTGACAGCATCGGCAAGAACTGAAAGTACGTGTCGGATCTGAGGGCGTTGACACCGATCCGACTGCCAACATTCCTCCATGAGCTTCCAAACAGAGTCGGACAGGCCTAGAGGAAGGGCATCGGGCAGATGGGGAGGCCTTTTACCCCTTAGAATCCTCCAATGTATTTGTCCCGATCCCCACGAGCTGTACGGAGGCCGTCCGGCAAAGATCTGTTCAGGGAATCACTCTCAGCAAAGCAGGCGCAGCTCATAAGTATCAATGAAAACGAACCTCCCACATCACAATGGCCAAGGCATAAATATCGGCTTCCAGTGAGACATGCGCATGCTGCAGCCCGAATGCTTCCGGATAGAGGAGTTCGGGTGCCATATATTGTATGGTCCCTTGCCCGCCATTGCTCTGCGTCGTGGGATCGACCGTATTGACACCATGAATGAGGGCTGTCAGGCCGAAATCACAGAGACACGCATGTCGCGTGCTGTCAACGAGTATGTTGCTCTGAAGGTCAGAGGTCACACGCATGCTATCATTAGACAGGCTGTTCTGAATACGCAGCAGACTGCCGACTCACGCATTTCAGATCACCATGAGCGAATGTTTGTGAATGTAAATACTGTAATCCTTCACAGACATCAATCAGCTAAATGTGCGTTTAATGAGCATGAAATACGATGGCCAGCTTGCTGAGCAGACGCACCAATCGAAGTCGGTTCTCGGCAGGGAATTGCTTGAGGAACGCAGATATAGTACCGTGTTCCTGCCACTTGCTAACAATGCATAATGGGAAGAGCGTCTCGTCGACGCCGAACATTGGCGTTATCCTCCGGTGGCGGAGGCGTCGCCACATCACGACTTCGTGGCATACATTCTAAGCGAACGTTCAGAAGCACGGTCACGGATGTCTTGCATGTGTAAAGAACCCGACGCACCGGACGTATGCGTGACGCACACTTTGCATTGATACGTATCACTTTGAGCGCCACCTTGACTCGACCCGTAGGTGTCTTTAGTTCTCCGCGCCATACATCTGCATACCCTCCGTGCTCCAACGGATGTTCGCCGATCTTGGACAACGATCCCGGACGCATTGTATACGTCGGAGGAATGACAGTGTAGTTTCGGCAGAGGCATCTAAGCATCTGGAACATCCTCCTCAACGGTCCAGTGGCTATATTCTGAGACGGATCGCTGTCAAGGATCTATGCCGATAGTCACAAATCAAGCATCACCAGATATGTCGGCTCTGAACACGCACCTGCGCAAGCGAGTTGATCGCAGAACATGCTGTTCTGTAATCGTGGCTTGTACGTTTCCGAGTAATCACCCTGTTTGATGCACTGAAGAACTGGGCGTAGTCTAGCGGGAGGCCAGGCTGAGAGCTTTGTGTAAACCCTCGTGTCGTCGCCTCGAGTAGTGGGGTTCCGGAATCCCGCGGACTCGGTTGTGCAATGCGGCGTGGCTTTGCACCTGAATGAGATAGCACCAGTACGTCAGCTCATTCAGGTGCGACAAGACATTCGTTTGGAACATTACTTCGTTTGTCTTGCTGTTCATTGGGCGCCGGTGGTGGCAGCCTCAGGCGTGGCTTTGCACCTGAATGAGAGAGCACCAGTACGTCAGCTCATTCACGCGCGACAAGACGTTCGTTTGGATTATTACCTCGTTCGTCTTGCTGTTCATTGGGCACCGGTCCAGATTCGTGTATACTGCAGAGGGCGCCACCTATGGAATCACTATGAATCAGGCTGGTTTGCATTGAGCGCCTGAGCCCGTCGGTATCGTCGTCGTCGCGCATACTGCCGGGTTCCTGCGTTCGATTGGCACGGTCATAGGGAGGATCAAGCGCTGCACCGTGTCGGTCTTCGTACAATATATACTCGCAATGATGCCGGTTCAACCGGTGGGATGCCCTCAGAGCTGATGCAAAGTATACGTCTGCATGAACCTAATCTCGTCTGACGACTCACTCGGGATCCTATCGGGATCTACATCCACTGCAGGTACATCCACTGCAGGTTCCGATTCAGATGATTCATCGTCTGTTGAGGTCTCAACAACAATAGTTCTTGGTCTTCGTACAGAGCCTCTCCGTGCGGGGTCGTCAGTGGGTGCAGCACCGCCTCCCATTGAGACTCGTTGTGGTACAGCCTTGACCTTGCGCAATGATGTAGCAACAACTCTTGGTCTTCGTACAGAGCCTCTCCGTGCGGGGTCGTCAGTGGGTGCAGCACCGCCTCTCGTTGAGATTCGTGGTACATCCCGCGTCAGCTCGAAATGTCTGAGCTCTCGACGTTCGGGAATGTTGGCTTGCATGGCGTTGTGGTCAAGCGGGCGCTGGTAACCACACGGAATAATCAGCAATGCTCCCTATGGCTCGCCGAAACAATATCACCTTCGAATTCCGGGGATTCCCCAGGAGAACGACCAAGACTTGGAGGATGCGACGCTGATATCCTGCGGTGGAAGGCGTCTAATGGGCGGTTCGGAGATGCTTGTGAGGTGAGAACCATCTAGGCGTACCTATCTGCGAAGAGGAGGTCTTATATACATCTGGTGAGAAGACGCATGGCCACGAGCAACGTGTCCACTCTTCTGTCCGGCAGAATCCGAGTCAAGCACCGGAATGGATCGAGTGAGCAAGCAATGCAGACACGACATTGCTTCGTGGTATCAGCGTGGTCGTTGCGCTGCTTTCATCTCCGTCCTCTATCGGCGGTCGGCATCAGGTACATAGTCATGGGCGTGTGCCCCACATACTGAGCTCTCTTCAACGGAGTCAGACGCTCGATTTCTCGTGACACCAGGCGATTAGCAGGCTGGCAACGTAAGTACCATACAAGAATGTGAATCGGAGCGAATGCGGCAGGACCACTACCGCCGCCTCCTCGCTACTGCCTGCGATTGGAACTTTGATGTCTCCCGCCGTAGTCGTCTGCAACCCACGAGGAATCGTCAGCATACATCCCTAGAGAGAACATGGCACACACTCACCGACTCGCACGCTCGCGCTCAATCTCCCTCCGCTCCACCTCCTCCGCTGTCAACACCTCAAAACGCGTCCTAAACTCCTCCGCCTCCTGCCAGTCCCGCCACACGCTCCGCAGCGGTTTCGGCCCGCGCCCGTCCTTCGGTGCGCGCCCCCACGAGAGGCCCAAGCCAGTCTTGTCCTTGAGCAGGCTGAACCCGCTGCGGTCGCGCGGGCGGTCCTCATCCGCGGCGTGCTGTTGCTCGATCCCGAGGACACCCCACTCCCACGCATCGCGCTTGTGCTTGAGTAGCTCTTCGTGCACGGCGTGCGCAATGAGCGGGACTGCCTCTCCCGACAGCCCGAGCTCGGCGCAGAGCGTGCCTGCGAACTGCTCGGGCGTGAGAGATGATAGGAGGTCCCACTCGATGTGGTCAGAAAGGTGGTGGTTCGCGATCTGAACGTCAATCTGTTCGTGCAGCACGTCGATGTGAGCGCCCAGAACGTTGGAAGGAGAGGCGGACGTACGCTGAGAACGACACGACACTCAGAGACTTCGACGCCCTCCATCGTCTCGTCTTCGACATCTGCTTCTATGCCGCCGAGGTCCAACGCCGCGATACCCTCATGCTCTTCCAACTGTGCGCGGATCTGCGCTGCGACAGTATCTGCCCACGGATTCGTAGGCAGGTCTAGATCCGCGCAAAATGTACGTGCGAACGACTCGGGCTTGATGAGGTCTTCGTGTAGGTTCCACACGAAGCAGTCTCGTATTCGATGTGAATCAGTCTCGAATTCGACTCGAATGGGCACAAGCGCTGTGGGCTTTCTCGCCTGGTACTCCAACGCATCAGGCGAGCTAGAAGCCACTTATCAGAGAATGTGAAGCGTGTTTTGGATAGGACATACAAGTAATCGTGTTTTGTGGGCAGGATGGGTTTTGCAGTGATAAATCTTGAAGGCGGGACCATGCCGAGGTAGCTACGATCCAGTTCATTTCTTTGCGGTGGTTGCGGGGTCGCAGCTTGCACTGTAATAGTGGGCGTTGACGCACCAGCGCGGAACACCGACGCGCCGACGGGTGCTTTGCTCGACAGTCGCGCGGCACGTACCGCAGTGCGCGTCCCTCCGCTCGCCACGAAGTCCGAGTCTTCAGAATCAATCTCTCCAGCGTCCGGGAACTCGTCGCCCGACCCTGGCTCGGTGTAGTTCACGGCGCCTCCTCGACGTGACGAACGTGTGTTTATTGCAGCCTGAGTGGAAGTCGTGGCATTATTGAGAGTAGGCTGCATGAGAAGGGTTGTCCCAGTGCGTAGTCTCGACGCATATGTGGAATGAAGGGCCTGTGGCCGCGCTGGGATAGCGGTCGTCGGCTGAGAGCCATAGGCCGTAGGATCGGCATTCCCGGGAGGTATGGTAGATGAGGCGCGAGCGGGGAGTGCCTGCTGGTAGCTGGAAGGGGAGGCGGGGGTCTGAGAAGTGGCAAGGGTGCTGCCTCTGGTCGGGCGTGTGCTTTTGCGAGTAGGGTTGCTCCTGCCGTTCGGCGGTGGAGTGACGGAATTGGACCATTGTCGTATGTTGTTGTAGTAGGCTAGGGACAATGAGATGTCATGTCATTTCAAGCCAAAGACCCTGTACCTGGATGCGGGACTGCAGGCTGAGGTGCGGCCATCATTGAGGGTTGCACCGGCCGCGGTTGTATGGCAGGCAGCGCTCGTCCCGACGCGTCGGTCATGCGGCGCAATGATCAAAAGACGTAGATAGTGAGTTGCTGAGGTTCTGCTGGCCGTGCTCGAGCCCGGTGTTTCGTGATATTGACTGAACCGAAGCGGACAATGCGAGGCAAGGCCGTGTATTATTGCTTCTTGCCCGGCGCAATGAAGTCGCTTTTCAGGGAAATACGGGCAGAAAGAAGAGTGAGGGGCTGGTCGCGAGCGAGGCAGAGGTGCGGCAGATGCGTACAAACCGAGTGTCCGTGTCCGTCAAGTCGCGGTCGCGCGCTGAAGTGAGACGAGCGTTCAGAGCGCGTGTGACGCGTTCTACGCGCGTGACAGCTGTGTGACGGACGCGTTTGACCTCACATTACTTACATACGTAATACAATGCTTTTTTTACTTGTTAACTTCACTTAAGTAGGTCTAGGCATACTCGGTTTGTTAGAGTTGTAATCTATCTCGCAAAATCGGCGCTTCCCTCCTAAGTAGTCCTCCTCCTGAATTCGGACTCGCACAGCTCTTCCCTGAACCGTCACCTGGTCGCGCAAGCAGGCTTTACTCCTACATGTCCTGCGTGCCTCGTTATGCATGCATTTCTCCAAAACTTACCAGCAGCTGCTGCTCACTCTTCCACCAGAGCTGAGGGATAGCGCGATCGAATATCGCAAGCTCAAGAAGCTGATTAACCAGGTCGTGACAGAGCTTACATCGCTCGGTGAATGCACTCGCTTTCAGGACGTTGCAACTGCATATTGACTTTGAATTCAGGACTTGCCCCAGAGGTTCTTCACGATGTCCTGCAGCCAGGAAGCGCCGAGTTGACTACTCCTCGAACAATAAAAGTCAATGAGCAGGATGTCGAGGTGAGCATCATCCCACGAGGCCGCTATGACCCTCTGCCAATTACTCGCTTTCTCCTCAGGTCATATATGAGCTGAGCAATGTCGAGGACCACATTGAGCCTCGCCTGCGTCTACGCATCGAGTCACACGACCAACCCGAGGTCACTGCCTCGGCCAGGGAAGCGGATGTTTCCCTTCTGGATGACGGCCTAGAGGTCGGGGATGAGCTTGCGACATTATTTGCGGGTGTTGGCATCGGTTCGGATGGCATTCTTAGCACAGACGAGTCTGTCCTCATCTCACCCGGAGTCGCGGAAGCCGCAGCGTCAGCCAGCTCGCTGTGAGTCCCGCCACTGCTCGACTTCCCACTCACCATTGATGTTAAATTCTTCAGACACGATGCCCACGAAGTCGTCATACCCCTCGCCTCCGACTCGGCCTTCTACCAACTCCTCACGCAGGCCCTCCAGATCCTCAGCTCCCGCCTGACCGCCGTCCGGCTCGACTTCGAGTCGAAGCTGCACGCCCTCTCCCGCAGCATCTCCCTCGCCGCGCGGCCCATGTCCGCCACGCACTCCTTCCGGGCGCACTCCGCGCACGCGACGATCCCCTCCGCGATCGACGTGCAGACGCCCTCGCACATCCCCTTCGCCGCGGGCAAGTCCGACCTGTACGCCTGGCGCGAGATCTTCCAGCTCTACATGGACGCGGAGATCTTCGAGAGCCACGCGGAGGCGACCCGCGGGGAGCGCACCATCGAGGACGCCGAGGCGCACATGGCGATGTTCCTCGAGCAGCTCGACGCGCGCGAGCTCGGGAGCGGGCGGCGCTTCGCGGTGAAGGAGAGCCGCGACGCACTGCAGGCGTTCCTCAGCCTGAACGCGTTCATCCTCGACCTCCGCAAGTTCCAGCATGCGACGGCAGAGGCGACGCGCAAGATCCTGAAGAAGCACGCGAAGCGCACGGCCCTGCCACTCCCCCCTGCGCTGGCGTCACCGTTCATGGTCCCCGAAGGCGCGAACCCGCGGACATTCTCGATCGTGTTTCCAACGACAGGCGGGGCGGCGGCGCTTGTACCCCGCTCATCTGTGTCGCTATCACACCTGCTTGGGCAGGCGCTGGGCGAGACCATCCTGCCGATAATCCCGCACATCGACGACTACGCATGTCTGATATGCACGAACATCGCCTTCAAGCCGATCCGATTGTCTTGTGGACACCTGTTCTGTGTGCGGTACGTAGTGCCTTACCGTAGAGACGAGGACATCGCTGAGCATGCATCAGATGTTTGGTAAAGATGCAGAAGCGCGGCCAGGATCATTGTCCGATGTGTCGCGCACACACCGTCCTCTCTGCGAATCGATGTAAGTCGAGAGTAGCTGGCATGATGTACATTGTTTCTAACAGTCTTTGTAGCCAACGTCGACTGGGCGATGCTCAACTTTATGAAGGACTGGTTTCCGATCGAGTCGAAAAAGAAACTACGACAGAACGAGAGAGAAGTCGCAGAGGAAGAACTGGAAGAACTCGGTATCGACAATCCGAATTGTATAGTCATGTAACAAAGGCTTGTTATGTTTTCTTGGGCTACGGTAACTTATACCTCCTTTGCGTCTCATACTGTGGGCTTATAGGTGTTGTTGCGTCGGTGCATACATACTGTACGGAATAGATAATTGTTCGACTCTCCTTGCAAGGGTAGTTCCCATAGGCAAGTCCCAGAACGTGACGAGCTCGCCGTCCGCAGCGCGTTGACTATGGTACGTCATTGCACCACATCTGCCTCCCAGTGACTACTCGATCGACCAGCGTAGTGTAGTCCCTTCACTATCACACTTCCATCCGGCGTTGTGAAGGGAGATGCTGGAGTTACTGTATATATAAGCAGCGCAACCGCATCCCGCTTGTGCGAACCCTCTTGTCTCTGCACTCCCACCTTCGCGCACTCCGTCGAGCGTGTCCTGGTACTATCGTCGTGCACGAAGATTTGAGCGACGAGCGTGTCAGTCCGTAATCCTTGTATTTAAAGGTAATGCAGGCTTTCGTTCAGTTGGTCCTTGCAGTGGCTCGATGACAGCCTCCCAGAATGGCATCAACCAGGCGTTACATATGTACCTTCGGGCGGACCCGAGTGTCCCGCATGATCCTGTGGATGCATCCCGGATGCACATCTGTGATAGAAGAACGCCTCAAGGCCCGAGCCCAATTGAATAGCGCCGTACTCATGGGCTCGGATTGCAACCTTGCGGCGTTGCGAAGCAGCAAAGGCCGCATAAAGCACTGCGGACAAGTGTGTTGGCCGATGCACTCGACGCGGCCGTGGCCCGTGGATGCGCCTGGTTCAGGTGTAACTGCATTCCTTCCAGTCGAATAAGCGAGTAACGTCATCGAGGACGCCGCGGGAGTGAAGTTAAACCAATTGCCAAGACTGGGCGGCTGGTACAAAAGTCACGCAGTCCTCGAAACGGCTAATCTCGCATCGCTCGTTCGAGACTGCTCTGTCCTTGGTTATCCCCGCAAATGCCCTCCTTCGTTTACTGATTCTCTCAGCCCTCTAGAGGTTGCTTCTGCCACGCTCTCTACTTGCTTTCGGCCTCACTAGGCGTCCTCGTTCACTGGTATCACAGCAAACGCGTGGTGGTCGCCGTTGTCTGGCTCCTGGGCGCCAACGCGTTTTGCTACTCCAAGTCCTCTCCACCGACGACCCTCTTCTTTCTCAGCCAACTGACGTCCTCTCGTTGTGCGTACAACCATGTCCTCGACAACTCGACCGAGACCCCCGCGAGAGCGGCCTCAGCCCATCGACAATCGCGGCTCGATGCTGCGAGCGTCAATCCTCGAGAGCGCCTTAGAGCTTGGCGTAGGTAGCGGGGGCACCGTTGCGAAGTGGATGTTCAGTCCTGTAGAGGAGGGCGATGAGGACATCGATGCAGAGGTGCGTGATTGAGCTGTACTACTTTGTCCGTCTCACCCGTGTAGCAGACGGCGGCATCACCAAGCTTGACCTATGCATCGACTGCCACTTCCGAAGATTCCTTTCTCTCCAACGCCCAATCTCCACGAAGCCAGCCCGGCGCTGGTATCTTACTTTCACCACCAAACCGGGTAGGCATCGTCCAATCCTCGACATACGCATCCCGCGAAGGCCTTTCTCCTATTAGTGAGGGCGCGCAGCGCCTACAGTTTGACCTCAGCGTATCACCCGAGCCACGGCTCGTCTCGCCTATTCCTCCATCAGGGCTGGGTAACAAACTTCGCAAACTCCGGCTCAACACGAATGGAGACGAAAGCGATGGAGGTTACATCAGCGAGGCGGGTAAAGGCAAGAAGGAGAAAACCAAGAAGAGCAAGAAGAAGGCGAAGGATGACGGGAATGGGACTGAGGACGAGAGCGATGGGGGTTACTTCTCGGAGGCGAGCAGGAAGCGGCGCAAGAAGATGAAGAAGGAGAAGAAGGCTGCAAAGGAGAAGAGGGCCGAGTCACCGGCCACCGACTACGAGACAGACGGTGGTGGTATAGGCCGCGCGAAGACCAAGAAGACGCGGGGCCGGAAGGCATCGATCATGTCCCCTGGCACTGGCGACGAGAGCGACGGCGGGAACTTATCAGAGTCCTCCGCGAAGAAGAAAGGCTTCTTCCGTCTGAACCCACGCTCACGCAAGAAACGCGATGCAGACGGCTCGCCCTCCCAGGAGGTCCCGCCCGTGCCTGCGTTGCCTACTATGCCTCACCCGATCGCCGACCACTTCATTCGTACTCTCACCCCGAACATGCCGGAGCTATCGCGCACTACGTCCGATACGTCTCGCACGACGTCCGAGTGGTCCCGAACGACAACAGAAACGGAGCGTACTGCTACTCCCGTAACTAGCTCGGTACATACTCCCGACGAGGCCAGCCTGATATCCTACGCATCCACGGAGCCCGATGCGGGATCGATCATCGCCCGCGAGGGACTCACAAAGGCATTCGGGGATGCAAAATCCATACACAGGCCGAGTTATGACGTGCTTGCGACATTTCGGAATCCATCTCCTATGCGTCCTGCACCCAACCAGCCTGAGGACGCGCAGAGCCCATTATCGCCATCGTCTCATCCGTTCTCCCGGACATATGACTCGCGGGACCAATCCAGCCCCCCGAAGACGAAGGGCACAAAGCCTGTCATCTCCGCACCTAACACCGCAATGCTGAGTGCAAAACACGTTCCTGCGCCGCTGGTGCTCGGCTCGCCAACCTCTATTCGCTCCCAAACCGCCCAGCAGTACCCGTTCACACCCGGGTCGGACTATGTCATGGTCACGCCGCAGGCTACACCAACGCCTAATCAATCAATGCAGCGACCCGCCGCGCCCTCCGACTTAGAGGCTGCACGGCCCGACTCCGAGTTTCTGCTGCCCTCCCCGAGCCGAAGAGGGTTCAATGATAACGGCCCACCAAGCCCCAGTGCCAGTCAATCCTCTCTTCGCCCGCAGGTAGCTGCATACTACAACATCCCGCCACCAACGCCGCCACCACAAGGCCCACTCCCAGATGTTCCCCCAGAGTTGTCGAGGCCGCCCTATGCTGCGTCCCCCGAGCTCTCGCGCACCGTCTCCGCGGACGACATGCGGGCACGCAGCCCGCTCGCCCGGTCACCCCTCTCCGCGACCCGCGCGAATCCTCCAACTCGTGCTCTGCCTCTAGCGCCGATGTCCGCGCCCATGCACTCCGCGCGGTCTGCGTCCGAGTCAGACGCGAGGTCACCATCCCCGCCTGGGGCCGCGCTGTCCGTGCCAGTCATCTCCGAGCCCGTTCCGCGGACGCAGCGCGGACGCATCTCGCCGTTCCCCGCGTCGCCTGTGCTGCCTTCACGAGCGCTGTCGCCTATGTTCTCGCGCTCGGCGTCGCCTGCGCTCATGACGCCGCCGGTGAGTGCAAACCCAGCCTTGAGCCCCCGTGCAGAGCGGATGGCACGGTATACTGGGAACAAGCCTGGGTCTGCGGATGGGTACATGCCGTCGGGCAGCTGGCGCGATCCCGGGCGCCTCGATGCACAGTGGGCACCGCGTTCGAACTCTTCGCTCGAACAGCGGAGACCAGACGCGTTCGACGCGCCGTCCGTACGGAAGAAAGTCTCCTTCGAGGACGAGCGGCCCTCCATGGACGAACCTGAGGACGAGCTCGTCTACGCCGGGGAGCGGTCAGAGCTGCACATGGGCGAGGATTCAGATATGGAGGACGACGCGGAGCACGTCGTGGATGACGACCGCTCGCTGTACCCCGAAGACGACGACCGCTCGCACTACGGGGACTCGCGCCCGGGGACGATGTACTCCGAGGGCGAGGGCGAACGGTATAGTATGTACAGCCAGTCGGACGGGCGGCGCAGCTTCTTCGACGAGGACAAGAGCGCGGCTACGCGCGATCGGTTCGTGAAGCAGGTCGAGAAGATGTACGGCGAGTACAAGGTCCCGCCCGTGCCAGCACTGAGTCCACAGCAACTGAATCGCGGCGTCGTTGGTTGAGGATGCGATGGCTGCTCTTATGATTGCCTTCTCTTGTTCGTCCCATGGACAGGTCTTGCGCCCGGTACTTATTGGTTCTGGCCGGTCCGGTACATATATCTTGGTCGTCGTGTCGCTTCCTTCGCTGTTCGTATGGCTTTCCCGTTAACGGACTCTCCCTCCTTCGGTGTATTGTGAGTGTTTTCTGTGTTCGATACCAGCGCGACTCATCATGTGTGTCTTTCGCTGTAGATCATTACCATGCCCTCGTACATAATATGTAGTAGGCTATGAAGATGGCGCCTCGTAATCATTGAGCCGTGGGGCTAAGGCAGATAGCGGGACCAGCAACAACGCAAAGCATGAATTGATGATGCAACGTCAACTAGCATATAATTCGTGCTATGGCATTACAACTGTGGTCCGATCAATCCCAGTTCCTTGACCACCGTCTCCAATACCACATACGGTTTGACCAATCTGTTCGCCTCCCACCCATGCTCAAGCTCCACCTTCTCGAACCGACTCAATCCTAGCCTTGATGGGCAGACAATGGAGACTCCAGCATTGCTCGCACGCATCCGACTGGAACTCGTGGCATGCTCATCTTCCATCATGTCCGGGTCAAAAGGCGCGTCGGGCCTCTCTATGAAGACCATGTATTGACTTCCGAGTACGTCTTCTTTGATCATCCTGCGGATCTTCGTAGCGGCACGCGCAATGACCCCTAGGCTCTCTCGCAGACCCTCGTCTTGGTGAAACTGCGGCTCTACGCACGCGAGTTGGAAGACGGCCACCGCACCTTCCAACAATTTCCGCTCGGACCGCTCGTGTTGCTCCTGCTGCTTGTCGGATGCCTTCAACATGTATTTGTGGGTCAAGCTACGCCAACGGCCAGCCACAGATGGCGGTTCTAGCCCCGAATAGGATAGTATCAACGGCTTGCTATTGGACACGCACGAACTGAAACACACCTGACTCCTGCATACAGCGGTGCGCACGATCGAGCATCTCGTTCACCATTGTGGCATGGGAGTACTGACCCCACGAGTCAATTAGCTGACAAACATCGTCCACAATCACCGCTTGGAGGACAATTTCCAGCGTGATGCGATCGTCATCCTGCGGTGGGTACTCGATCAAGAAGTCCTCGATTGTCGGATCCAAGTGTCTCTTTCCCTGCTCAGTCGCCACGGCTGCGTAGTCGCCGGTTGTACCCTGCCCAATGCGACATGCCTCGACTGCACGTTTCACTGCTTGATAGATTTCCCCGTTGAGCTCATGAACTGCTTGAACGATCTCGCTTTCGGAAATGGAGTCCCCTGCGCCGATGAAGCTCCGGGCCTCTAGGAGCTCTTGTCGTGCCGCTCGCAGTTGCGCCTCCAGTGTACGATTTCTTTTTGTTATCTCTTCGTTACGCCGCAGCGATTCATGAAGCTTCTGTTTGCTGATCAGTGGCGATAACCTGGTGACGATAGTAAAGTGGATTTACTCACCTGCGCTACGATCTCAGCTTCCCTGTCCCATAACATGTCGTTGACGTCGTGCTCAGAATCCGCAGGTGACCCGCCATCGATACTCCCAATGGCATACGCCCGACCCTTCCTATGTCTTGACCACTCGGACTCCTCACGAGACGTGGGGTTTGGACTCAACGGTCGTATCAGCTCTCCGGGTTCCTGGTCAGAACTAACATGATGCCGCAACATAGGTACATAGTGTCCGGCTCGTTTCTGCGTCTGTCGGCAACGTGTGAGTGCTATCTGCCTGTAGATCGTTGTAGCTACTCATACCTGGCATTCCATGTCCAAGCTCATCGTCGTCGGGGTTTGTGAAGGTTGTAGATAGCCCTCAGGCTCAACATCCGAGTGCTTCCCCCGGGTCGGGAAGACCATTGACGATGGACGTTCGGTCTTCACTACAAGGTAAGTGCCGGTGGTTGGGAAGTCATCGCCGTGATGATTTTGCCCGTCGGACGTTTTGCAGTGTCCAGCCGATGAGTACGGTGCTTGATCACACGTGGATGCCGTGCCATGGGAACGATGCTGTCGAGGTAGCATGGTCTAGGCGAAAATTGGCTGGGTTGTAGGTAAGTACCATGAACTCTAAGTCCACGAGTGGACACGGAAGCACCGATCCCGAGCACTGATTTGCTGCTGTCTGACGGCGCGGCCATGACTCGAACTCCGTGCGCGCGGGGTCGTCGGCAAGGCCGAATGTAGGTCCTGCCAATCTATATGTCGGAATAGGAGTGCCTGGAGGCCCGAGCAGCCGGACAGCGTATGGAGTCGAGTCATGGTGAGCTCATCAGCGCCTCACCCTTGTGCTCGATACCAACGCTTTGACGCAGTTTAGGTTCCTGATCATTCATCCTCCCATAGTTGTTGGCATCGCGCTCTCGTAGATCCATCATGCCCCGCGGACAGCCATACATTGGGACGACTCGCAAACTAGTGCTAGCAATAGACGTCGGGACTACCTACAGCGGCGTGTCATACTGCATCTTGACACCGGGTGAGATACCGAAGGTGCACAGTATCACTAGGTATGTCATCCTCGTGCCACCATACATTACTTCACCAAGTTCGTACCATACCCAGGTTTCCCGGCCAAGAAGGAGAAGATAAGTCAAGAGATACAAAGATACCATCTGTCGTCTATTATGATGATGGTGGTAAGGTCCGTGCCGTTGGAGCTGAGGCCTGTCTGGATAGCACTAGGGTCGAGGCCCAGGAAAACGGCTGGACTCTGGTAGAGTGGTACGCAGTAACACCATCTATGTTTCGTGACTGCTGAGCACCTGATCACAAAGGTTTAAACTACGTCTCCGACCGAGTGGCACGCAAGGAAAGGGCGAGTCATTGCCAAAGATTTGGATCACCAAGTCTGTGATTGATATCTTCGCCGACTACTTGGCCTATCTTGTTCGATGCGCTAAGGAGTTCATCGCTGAACTTCCTCTTGGAAGACAGGTACTGAAGTCAGAAGCAAACGTTGAGTACGTGATGAGCCACCCGAATGCTTGGGGTGGTAAGCAGCAGAACAACATGAGACGTGCTGCGATATTGGCCGGCCTGGTCCCTGACACGCACGCTGGACATGCAAGAGTCCACTTCGTCACTGAGGGGGAGGCTAGCCTCCATTTCTGCATTGTCAATGGACTTACTCAGGACATCATGAAGGTCAATACTACTTACCCTCTCGCTAGCAGGGACCAATTGAACTGAATCAGACACACCTTAGGTTGACAACCACATATTGATAGTAGATGCCGGTGGAGGAACAGTGGATCTGAGCATGTACAAAGTGCTCAATGCATCTCCATTGAACATTGTGGAGAGTTCAGCACCCGATTGTAAGCATGAGTGTACTATTTGAACATGGGTCATCTTGACACGCAGATGGCTGATGGTTTCATTAAATTACTAGGCCTCTTACATGGGTCCACCTTTGTAGACACCCTAGCTCGAATTATGCTTCAGGGTGAGCACTTTCATCTCATATGGACATGATTTACTGTTTACCCTCTGAGTCACAACTCATCAGAGAAGATGAGAGACTCCCGTTTTGCACACGGTGACTACATAGACTTGATGCTCAGCTGCTTTGAGATGAACACAAAACCCACCTTCCGGGATGTCTCAAAGACGGCATACATCAAGTTTGGAGGTCCTCGGGATACTGATGCTGGATGCAGCATCAAGAGAGGTGTACTCTCTCTAGCAGGGTAACACATACTATCAGATCTGAAAACGAGTATATTACTGACTGTTGAACCAACTTGAGTAGTTCCGACATTGCTGGGCTATTTAGCCCTTCAATTGATGCAATAAAGGGAGCAATTCAGGCACAAGTTAGAAATGCTGGTTGCAAGCCATCTGTGAGTGCTACATTACTGTGCAACTGCCACACCTGCTTGACATTTGGCACATGGCAACAGAGGATCTTGCTTGTGGGAGGATTTGCCAACAATCGATTCCTGCGTTCACAGCTCCAACACTTTGCAACTTCGAAAGGCATGGCGTTGTTCTGCCCAGAAGTACAGACGTACGTCACAGTGAATTGCGCAGTGTGACTAGCTACCACCCAGTATTGATGCACTTGATATAGGGCCAAAGCAGTTGCGGAAGGTGCCCTATGGCATCATCTTGATCACTACGTATCGGCCAGAATCGCCAGAGACATATATGGCACTAGCCACCTCAAACTTTATGATTCATCGCTCTTCGATCATGTTAATCGAAAGGATTCGACTATCGTATACGCAGATGGGCTTATGTATGTCCCGAGTGCCTTCTCCCGGATCGTGTTGCGGGTATATCACAACCCTTCTCATATGCGCTAGCAAAGTCGCTGATGCCGTCTTGACTGACCAACAGGGAACCTTAGTGGAGGAAGAACGAGAATTTCGATTACCCTTGGAACGCTGTTCGTCTCAACGCGACACTCAGATCTCGGCGGGAATCCTATGCTACAAGGGAGCCCAAGATGATCCACAATGGATTGACGAGGAAGCAGGTATCTGATTCCCATTTGCAGATTCATCACTGGCTATCACTGACGGCCGTCGAAAAGACCTGTTCTCTGTCCTCTGCACTGTGCATGCCGATGTCAATCCTCAAACATATCAACGTCGTATGGGTGTCCTCGGCGAATACTTCACCAAGGAATACCACGTAGTGCTACTGTTCGGTCTCACGGAATTGAAGGCACAGCTATCTTGGAAGGAAAAGGTCAGTAGCTGCTGTGGACCTGGTAGTTCTCTCCTGACACCGTATCCACACATGGCACTACAGGGCAAGGAACGCAGGTAAGTATATCGATCACATGGATCATGGCGTTCGTTGATCTGTTACGTGCTGCCGTAGAAGTCCTGCTACTATAGTATTCGATGACGAGGATGCTTGATCTGCAGATGAACCAAACGCGTAGGCGGAGACCTCAAGCATCATCTTGGAAAACCGTGCATATTCTAGGAATCATAGTTATCAGGCACTTGAGAAACACCGAGCACGACCGATTTTGTTAGTACATGCGTCACCAAAATACAAGAGCGTCCCACGATCACAGTAGCCCAGAGCATACGCCCTCAATCCAGTCGGTGTCACTCCGCACGGTCGTCAAATTCTCATAGCCGTCCTTGGTGATGACCACGGCGTCCTCGATCCGGACGCCCCCGACACTCTCGTATCGCTTCAACACCTCGTAATCGATATGCTTCGAGTCGCGGACCGGAGCCAGAAGATGAGGAGAGAAGTAAATGCCGGGCTCGACCGTCTAGAGCAAGTGTTAGCCACGCACTGTCCCTGAACGCAGCCAGAAACACTAGTACTTACCACCACCATCCCCTCCTCCAAAGGCAGCCTCAGCCTGAGGTACGCATAGAATGACTCATGGCCGAGCTCGACGCCCTTTCCGACCGTCTCGTTCCGCTCGGGCTTACTCGCGCTCGGCACGTCGTGCACGTCGAGCCCGAGCGAGTGGCCCACGCCGTGCGGGAAGAACGCCGTGCTCACGCCGCTCGCGACGATCGCCTCCTCCGCGTTCCACGAGCCCGAGCCGGGCGAGCTGGGCGTCTTGAAGATCCCGAGCCGCTGGAAGCCGCGCACGAGCGTCCGGTGGCAGAGCAGCTGGATGGCATCCCAGTGGACGCCTGGCTTGAGCGCGTCCATGGAGAGCTGGATGACGCGTTAGATGGGCATGGCTGGGGGGAGTAGACGGAGACAGACCCTTTGCATCTCGAGGACGAGCTCGTAGATCGCCCGTGCTTCGGGCGTGAACTTCCCGCCATTTCCAACGGGCATCGTGCGGGTGACTGGTTCATGTAAGGACCTCACGAGCGTTCAGGGAACCAGACACCTACTGTCGGATGCATAGCAGTCCCATTCGCACCCAGCGTCGATGAGAAGGACTTGAGGGTTCAGCTGCCGACCCTCGCCATGCGCGAGGCAGTCGCCGTTCTGGTGATCATGCGGACCGACGGGGCCCCAAGCGAATTCGCGATCGTTGCAGCAGTAGTGAAGTGTTGATGCACGGGTCGATGCCGCGACGATGGGGAGGTACGCCTGATGCACAGATCTGTCAACGTTGTGTCAGTCGCGATTCGCCGATTGTACTGCGACTTGAGCACGCGCACCCTTCTCTCCGACAAGAGGCAACGAACAGTGCTTCTGCCTCTGCCTCCTTCTCGATTAGCCACTCGTTAGGCAGGAACGGCCTGTCGACACCGGCACCATTGCCCGCCTTGATCGCCCCGCGCACGCCCTGGCCCAAGACACGCATAACGACTTCGTGTGCTCGAGAGCTAATCGCATTCGCCTGCCTGATCGCCTCGATCTCATCTGCATCTTTCGTGAGCCTTGCACGGTGCAGCGCAGGCAGAAGGTAGTCGTCTGTCGCCGGAGCATGCGGCGGGAGCACGAGAGCCGTGTACTGCGCCGGGAGGATCGGAAATAGGGGCGAGCCCGCGGGGAGGATATGGAAGGTCGCGCCGGGGTACGCCTTCATCTGCTCCTTGATCGCGCTCGAGAGCTCGCCGAGGTACTGTACGCGCGTCATCTGGTAGAGCTTGGTTGCCTCCTCCGCCGATGGCGGTGCCACGGACCACATGAGGTCGGCGAGCTCCACCTTCGGGATGAAGAGTTGCGTGAGGGGCTGCTCCGCGAGCGAGGTACCATGCTGGAAGGTGAGGAGGAGGTACGAGGACGGGACGGCGCATCCGGAGAGGTAGTAGAAGTTAGATTCCTAGTACGGAGCCTGGTTGAATGCGAGTCCGTGTGCGATATTGAATCAGTCAGACCTGCCGGAAGCTCAGCTCACGGTCTGTGTCATTCCGGAAAGGAGTTATTGCCCCTGGAATGAGGATGATTTGAGGCTAGAATACGCCGCATAAGTACGAAATGAAGCACAAGTAGTGGTAGACGTACCTTGGCGCGGTCTGAGGCCGGTAGAAGCTCGATGAGCTTGTTGAATGTCTTGATTATATGCGCTTGAGCTACATTATGGAACCTACATCAGTGTATGTTCCGACGACACAAGGAGAATAGCTACCAGGATACATAGCGTCTTTATTCGAGTGAAACGATGGAGGCCGAGGAAGAGTCAGAGTCTGACTCCGAAGAGGTCGCAGCCACTCAGCCACCCGGCGCGATGTCGTACCAAATCCGGGCATCTCTTTCGCCACCACTTCACTGTTCATCGTTCAGTGCTACAGAGCTTTCTGCTACTACTCGCTCAGTGAATCGCCTTTTCGGACATGGCAGTCCCTTCATTATCAAAAGCCGAAAGAGCATACATCCAGGCTTCACTACAGGCATCTCCGCCCTTGCGCGCTGACGGTCGGTCCCTGCTCGATTTTCGGACCGTTCTTCTGGAGACAGGCGTCGCGCCGCTCGCGAACGGTAGCGCGAAGCTGAACATCGGGAAAGCACCGCAGGAAGGCGGGGGCGGTACAGAGGTCATCGCTGCCACAAAGCTCGAAGTGGAAGACGTCGAGACCGGGGATGGAGTCGACGGCGGGAGACTAGTCTGCACAGTAACGTGGTTCGTACGCTCTCCCTCTGCACGCGCCCGGACTGTTCCGACTGCATAGCTGAGTCGTTCAAAGATAGTTCTCCATCTGCCTACCCGCACTTGTCCACGAACGCGCTGGACGAGCTGCAGTACGACCTGACCATCCTCCTGCACCAAACGCTCTCCCACCCGACTCTCCACCCCAACAACCTCGGGATCCTCCCGCACAAGAAGTCATGGCTTCTGAGCCTCGACCTTGTTATCCTCGCTGATGCAGGCAACGTCGTCGACGCGCTGTTCATGGCTGCGCGTGCAGCACTATGGGACACGAAGGTGCCAAGGACGCGGCCCTTACAATACCAGTCAAGGAAGGCAGGAGACGCATTGAAGAACGCAGACGCGATGGAGGTGGAGGGTTTGCCGGAGATCACGAGCGCATTCGACACACGCGACATGGCGAGGGCCGCTGCGGACTTCGAGCTTCCGGACTACTGGGACGAGGGCGAGGTCCTGGAGGGAAGAGACAGATGGCCTGTATGCGTGACACTGAATTTGGTACGCATACATCCAGACGATGAAAGAACTCTGTTGACGTATGTGACCGTCGGGATAGCTGCCGCCTTCACATTTTCTCGACGCGACGCTGCTGGAAGAGGCTTCGACACCCATCAGGCTCCTGCTGGCCTACTCCTTCCCCCACAAATCACAACCTAACTTGCAAGCGATGCGGTTCATTGGATCTGGCGAGGTCGTCTTGACGCAATTGAAGGCTCTCAACGCGGTAAGAACTCCTACACGCTTCATCCCGAAGGCCTCTGACAGTAGACTAGGATGGTGAGAAGTACGCTCGCTCGCTCTTCGATTCCCTCGAGACAAAGCTGCGAGATGAAGATATCCGAAGGAACGTGAAAGCCAGAGACAAGTTCGCTGTACGGTAACAGAAAGTCAAATGAGGGCTGCTTGGCGGCCGAAAAGTAACGCAGGTATTGATATAATGTGTACGAGTCGTATTGTCGGATTTGCTGCCGGATGGCGTCCATCTCATTGCTGGAGGTGTTCCCTCTTTCAAGGGGCTGTGCACACTTCATCAACGTCTGAACATGCAAGTCTTTGATAAGTCGCATACACTCTAAACCGCAGGGTCGATCGGCCTCGGTAGCTCAGCGCTCAGTAGCCATCGACAGAACTGTCTTGGACTTTTACAGAGTGTTTCGAGTAGGTAACCACCGTGATCCATCCAGTTCAGATGGAGAGCTGACGACGTCTCAGACCTCAGGTGTACCTAGGGCATCATATGCATCCTCGTACGCATCTCAGTAATAAGTTAAGCGAACTCGGACTTGGACTCCGCATGCAATCCTCTTTCTTGGCAAATCTTTGATCCCAACGCGACTCGGTCTCGCTCGGTCTCGTCAGTGAGGACTACCGTGTATAGGACCCCTGATAATTGGGGAGGAAGCCTTAATCGAATCCGGACAAATTTGGGCGATTCGGAGGGGCTGGGGCTGATGTTTGTCCGGACAAATGGGCAAATTTCGCCGGGAAGGGCTGAGGAACTGTACGGACATAGCTTGTCGTGATTGCTCGAGGGGTGAGGAACATCCGGACATGGCCAGCCCAGGTGCTCTCGCGAACGGCGTCAGCGCGACGACAACCCCCCGAGAGCACCAACCCTGCTAAATGGCGGGGTCCGTCGGTAGAGGCCTGAGGAAAAGTCCGGACAAACCCCCGCCGAACTTGGGACTGCCTGATTTTATCCGACCAAATCTCGCCAAATTTCGCCAAAAAAGTCCGGACAAAAGGGCTGAATTTGCGCGCGAGCAGATCAGGCCTCTCCGCATATAATCAGGGGTCCTCCGTGTATGCGGTACATAGTGGCAAGTATGCACAAGCAACTCAAGACATCCGTCCCTCGACCGGCGATCGCACTCTCGAGTCTCACATCGGCGACGAGCGGCCAATTCCATACTGGACCACTGCGACCTCCTCTACAGCACCGCTACAAGCAATTTGACAGTTTTCCGTCCCCGACAGGCAGCGGCTCTACAACACCGTTTTCCGTCAGTGAGCTCGAGCTGCCACTATGCATCTACCAGACGGTGGCGCGGTGGCGCTGGAGGAAAGCGCCGGCCAAGGCTCGGCCCCCTCCTCCCGCTCTGTCGTTGGAGCGCCCCGCTCGGCGCGGTCGTCGATGACCGCGGCATCGAAAACGGTGTACCCTAGGGCCTACAAGATCCCATGGAGCTCACACTGGGGTGGCCGAGTGTCGCCGCAGGGTTGCCGGGACGGTCTCCTGTCTCCGAGGTGCGTCACGCAACGCGGCACTGCCACTGCTGAGCTTATACTTCCGTGATATATAAGGGGTGCACGATGGCTGGGATCGACAACGCCTCGTTCATTTTCCCCACTTACGCCACCCTTCGTCCTTCAAATCACCGTTCACGATGTTCGCCCTCGTTAGCTTCCTCGCGCTCTTCTCTGCCTCCGTGTCGGCCATGCCCGCTTTGAGCGTCCGCCAGAACGGTGCTTCGTGTACTGGCTTGGCAGACGGTTCTACCGACTCGCCGGCGTACAACTTTACGCTCGCGGCGTACAACACGACGTTGTCCAACACGAACAGCACCGGCGCGCCGCTCGTGCTCGGTTGGGGACCCGCCGGGACGAGCCCCGCTGCAAGCGAGTGGGCGATCTCGGTGAGCAGTCCCTCGAGGGTGTAGTGCGCATGGGTGACTAATGAACGTTAATGAACCTCCAGACGTACGCTGCATGGCACTCAAACGAGTGGCCGTACTTCACCCTCTCGAACGGTGCGCTCTTCCCCATCCCGGGGCCCGACGAGAACGGCCTGGGCGCGTACGACTTCACGGTCGCCTCTGGTGCAGAGGTGGCCTTCTACGTCACCGAACACGAGTCGGATCCGGAGCCTGCCCTCATCTACTGCGCTTCTGTACGTCCGCCCTTTCAGCCTAAATTCAGAGTGGTCGGAACTAACCAGGGACCTCGATAGGCGGATGCCGACTCCGAGTACGCGAAGCTCGCTGTGAACAACGACGCGGACAGCTTGTCGCTGTGCCAGGCGACGACCGCCGCGTGGCCGAACACAGTCCTCGTGTACGAGGCCAACTCGAACAACACGAACTATGATTACAGCACCTGCTACCCTGTCCAGGTTAACATCGTCCCGTACGAGGCGTAATTAGTTTACACACCAGTGCACTCCTTTGAATATTTGATACTTGACGCATGGACTAACGCTACGGACTTCATGGACTGTCGTACTTTGCTTGTGTTGTTAGTTTAGTTGCTCCTATTATTAGTCCTAATGCATACAATACCTTATACTGTACGCGAATCGACTATCATATCAGGATCCTTCCCACTTTTTCGCCAGTACTGGGCAGACCTGTCAGCTCAAGGTATGCGCGTGTAGCGTGGCTAAATGGATCCTCTCCTCCTCAAGTACGACTTGTCAAATTTCATTTCAAAGGAGAGGAACGCGGTCACGTGACGGGATCCACGTGTACCGCGAATCTCGGGCGTAGTCTATCGAATTTATCTCGTTTCTCGTTTCTCGGCCATCCTGAATCCTCGAGTCCTCCTCAAGTCTCTCAAACACACTAGGGCCTTGGGACCTCATGGATCTGACAGCTCGAGTGGCCAAGTGTCGCCGTTGTCATCCAGCACAGCCCGGATGCCGTGTGCCAAGGCCCCCCACGCCCGGTCTGTTGTCTCCGAGCTGTGTCACCGGACCGTCGCGTCACTGCTAGCAACTTGTGGTGAGCATGATAACTTGCGCGGTATATAAGGAGTGCGAGTTGGACGACAACGCCTCGTTCGTTCTGACTGTTCACGACCAACCTTCGAGAGTAACCCCGAGTCGCATCCACACCCTCAACCTCCACTCACGATGTTCGCCCTCGCTAGCCTGCTCACGCTCTTCGCCGCCTCCGTGTCGGCCATGCCAGCTTTGAGCGTTCGCCAAACCGGTGCTACGTGCACGGGTCTGCCAGACGGCTCGACCGACACGCCGGCGTACAACTTCACCCTCGCAGCGTACAACACCTCGTTGCCGAACGCCAACAGCACTGGTGCCCCGCTCGTCCTCGGCTGGGGACGTCCGGGCACGAGCCCTGAAGCGAGCGAGTGGGCCGTCTCGGTGAGTCCGCCATGCGCCCAGCGTGCAATGTGGGTCTCGCTGATCATGAGTGGGGTTCTAGACGTACGCCGCGTGGGGCTCGAACGACTGGCCGTACTTCACGCTCACGGGCGGTGCGCTCTACCCCATCCCGGGCCCCAACGAGTCCGGCCTGGACGCGTATGATTTCGCGCTCCCCTCCGGATACGAGGTGGCCTTCCTCGTTATGATCCACGAGTCCACCCCGGTGGTCCCTTCCGTTTACTGCGCTGCCGTGCGTACTCCTCATTTGCTGATCTCTGAGCAGTATGAATCTGACTGTTTGTCTGTTATGTTTCAGGCGGACGGTGACTCGGAGTACGCGAAGCTCGCGGTGAACAACGATGTGGACAGTTTCTCGTTGTGCAAAGCAACGACCGCCCAGTTTACGAACGTCGTCCTCGTGTATCAGGCCGATGCGAACGACACATTCTACGACTACAGCACATGTTACCCCGTCCAGGTCAATATCGTACCCTATGAGGCGTAATCATCTTTCACTCTCATTCCTTCCCCACACCCTATCACGGACTAAATGGACTAAATGTGGACTTCCGCGGGCTCAATCATACATGGCCGGCTTTCTTTGCTAGGGGTACTTTGGAAATAGTGTATGAACCCTCGTATAATGTACACAAACTTGTTCAAATCAGGATCTGAGCGTACATAACAGAGTTGAGTAAGATTTGTCATCGCGGTACTACTGGCGGTGTCTTGTAGTACGTCGAAGTCAGTTGTTCTTCACTTTCTTGCTGAATGCCCCCTTGCTCCTCGACTTCATTCATCATTTTCTCTGCTTGGACGTCCCCCTCTGAGTGGGAATCCCAAGGGAATCCACCATGATCAGGGCACGCACACTCTGTTCAGCGCTGTTCAGCATCCGTGAGTCCGAGCGCCAGAAGCGTCACCGCCACATCGCGCTGCTGAATTCAGTTCACCAGGTACGAGCTTGGGCCTTACATGTTTCACCTGTCTTCTCATGACACACGACGTTACTGAACGCCCAGAGTCAAGCCGCTGGTCTTACCGCAACGTGTCCATTGCGGTGCCACGAACGATAAACATGAACGCCATGCGCTGGATGATTGCCCCTCCATTGCCGTCGGGCGAACGCGAAAAGGTGAGTAGGCTGGACACTGCTCAAACTCGCTAAAGCTACCAGCCTCGAGTCCACAGGCTCCTCCGCGGTTCGCGCAATTAAGTACATTGCTCTTACGTATGACGCCTGCGCCCCCATCGAATCTGACCGTCAGGAACCGGCGCCGACAAGCAACGTGAAGACAAATAGTGAGTCACACTGAGCTGTATTCGCACGTTGGTCGGCGAGGTAGGCAAGTCATCTGTCGCCGTTCACGTCGATGACGAGGGCTTGTATGCCCGAGCGTCATCATAATGATGGCCTGCCTAGATGAATGGTCGTGTCTGCAGGAGAATGGCTTGCAAGACCAAACAAGAGTGCGCGAGCTCCCTGCACTCGTTTGCTACTTCAAGCCAGCGCATGTTGGTATACTGCGGCGACCCATCCCGGAGTCACGCAGGCGCGGAAGACTTACCATGGCCAGAGCCTGCCGTCCTCAATTTCAGTGGCGTTCTAATCTTATACAACCAATTCAAATACGGATCGCTCGCATCGACAGCTTGGATGGCTGTCGCCGATTGACTGACATTTTTCTCCCGAAATGCTCACGGCGCGCCCACTGGCACGTAAACCCAGTTGTTGGGCTCGGGACCGGGGCTTGAGCAGTGTTTCTGGCCCTGAGCGGGACAACCAAGCCGGTACAGGCGAGGTGAGCCTTCAAACTTGAAACGCACGTTGTTGCGTCTTCGTTCTTCGGAGGGCGCCCTGCAACATATATAAGTTGCTGCGTCAACCCCGAGTCCTAGGTCCAACAGCGCAGTAACAGTCCTCGTACTGCACCGAACCAGCGACTCTCCCGTGCACCTACACAGTGATGCTCGCTCTCGCATGGTCCGCTGCATTGTTGGCTGCCTCTGCACCAGTCATGGCCAGTATCCTGGGCCGCCAGCCTGAGATCCCGGCGTCGTGCGCTGGCTTGCCTCAGGGCTCGCTCGGGTCGCTCTCGTACAACTTCACACTCTCCGCGTATAACCTAGACAAGCCGAACGCGAACTCGACCGGCGTTCCGCTCGTGCTTGCTCTGGGACCGCCCGGAACGAGTGCCGCGGCTAGCGAATGGGTCATCGCGGTAAGTAGATTGTATTCATCGAGCATATGGTTGTGCATTGACGCGATCATGTAGACGCAGAAGACCGCTGGGTCTGACGATTGGCCGTACTGGACCATGGTCAACGGCGTGCTGACCCCTCAACCAGGCCCCAATGAACAGGGTTTGGGGGCCTACGCGTCTACCGTTGACCAAGGCGATGTACCCGCCTTCATCGTGACAATTGCCGAATCAGACCCGAACCCTGCGGACATCTACTGTGGTGCGGTACGTTTCATTTCAAGGCTTGGGAAGGAGGTTTGAAAAGTTTTTCTGACATTGCTTTGGTATAGGATGAGTCTGACGAGTACTTGGTACTCTCCGTGAACAACAACCCCGATGGCTTCTCGCTTTGCACGGCGACAGACGACTACGATCAGAATGTAGTCGTCTATGAGGCCGAGCAAAGCAACTCAGCTTACAGTTACGACACTTGCTACGCCGTTCACATATATATCGTCCCTTACACGGCTTGAGACAGCTTATGGTATCGTCTCGCGGTGACGTTATCGGGACAATCGAGTATCATTTACTACACACTGCGTACATCCTCAGTATCTTGACTGGATAATACTATGCATAGAGTAGGTGTAGTTATCGTACATCGCGCGAATAAGCATGGTCAAGAATCCGTCTACACCCTTAGTCTCCTAGATAGTTGCCTTCGATCACTGGTCTGCCCGGGCCACTGGAGCCTCAGGGGTAACTCCGCTAGCAGTGGACGGAGAGCCTTGGTCCCCTGATGCTTCTACCGGCGATTCCCCTTGTCCTTTCTGCCCGCGCAGCTCTGAGATCCAGGCTGGTGCATCGCGCACGGCATCGAATGGCCGTGTCTTATAGGCCATGAGGTACCCTTGTAGAGCTGCGACCGATACCTCACGTTCAGGAATAGCCTCGCTGAATCTCCTGGCCAGTTCGCATGCGACACTGTGCGGTACAGTGATACCGATAGGCGGGCCATTCTTAACTTCTTGACCAGCGGGTGGCGAAGACTCCACATTGAGGAGAGGAGTCACCTCTTTCGCATAGAGCCCATCGCCATCGACGGCGCCTGCAGTGGTAAGAGAATTGCCGCTTTCTTCAACTGGTCCGGCGGAAGCACTAGACGGGGACGAAAAGAAGGCCTTGAAAATCTCTCCTGCCTGATACTTGCTCGCGTTGTGGAACTTGATGTGCACGTCCATACGGCCGGGTCGACAAATCGCAGGATCCAGAGCACCGTAGTTGTTTGTCGTGGCGAAGAGGAGGCGTCCGTCTTGCAATGCAACTCCATCCAGGACGTTGAGCAAACCGCTGAGACTGACGCCACTGGTAGGCATCGCTGAGAGTGCGGAAGTAGTAGTGCTAAGATCTCCGTGTTTCAGATTTGTGTCTCCAGAGAGAAGTCGCTGGTTACGCTCGTGTCGGAAAGCAACGTCGATGTCTTCCATTAGCGCTATACACTTGTCAGGCATGCGGCTGATGAGCGATTGCAGTTTGTCGTCGTCCAATCCAGCCTTCGACAGAGTGATGATACAGATGTCTAAACCGAGCTCGCCTGCTATGCTTCGGATGAGAGTTGTCTTCCCGGATCCTGGAGGGCCGTACTAGCAATGAGGTGAGAATGTCAGCGAAGGGATAAGAAGTAAGTTGTGTTAATGAGTCGCACCAGAAGGTAGCCTCGTCGGAATGGGATACCTAGACAATCAGATTGTGTTAATATGGCCAGTGTGCAGACTTGACGCAAAGTAACTTACCTCTATCGGCGTACCACTGCCCGCTTCTATTGAACTCGACCACATCACTCAATACCTCTTCTTTCACCCCGGGATCGAGGATGACCGTACTCAGCGAACGCTTCGGTTGTGCCGCAACAAAAACCCATTCGTAGTATCTTTGAAAGCCATCAGCCGAGGTAGAATCAAGAACGACACGTGTATCCCCACTCACTCGTTCGCAGTGTACACGGACACCATGCTCGCTTTTGCATCCTTATAGCTCTTTTTGGCGTCGCTGAGCAGTGTGTCCAGGATCGTACGACTCAGAGCCAGAATTCTGCAAGCGAGGTGTCAACGCCACACTGTCAGGGCTCTGAGTCCAGAGACAACATACTGGATTTCGAGAGTTTCGATTGGATGGCTCATCGACGACTCCGAGCTTCGGCTTCGAGACACGCGAATGCAATGGTACCTGTACCATAGGTAGTGAACTTTGTACAAGCTAGGTATATAACTGGTGGGTTGGTCTCCGTCACCGTCGCCGCCGAAAGCCTGTTGGCACCAAGTACGAGACGGTTGTAAGCCGTAGTTTCTTGTCGTAATTTGAGCTGTTCGGGCGTGTTCTGTTGACATGGTTGTGATGCTATGAGAACATACATAGTGGTCAGGGACATGATCAACGTACGCCACGATGGGTGCTGCGACAGCCAACACAGGATCCAGCCTAAATGAACGCCGTCAGGCTCACTGTAATTCGTAGAGGTTGGGAGAAGCCTTACTGTAAGCAACGTCTTCTTCGCTGAAAGTTATCGTAATCCACGGCAAATCGAGAAGCCAACGCCACAGTACGTTGAGGGTTCGGCGGCAAAGCTCTATAACGGCCCCAAGCAGGGCCAATTTCGCCCAGCATTGAACACCAACACCGGTGATGTTTGTCAGTACGAATCTTGTCAAGGGAGGCCAAGAGCAGTCAGAGACGAGGGTGGTATTGGTGGCGCTAGCATTGAGGAGGGAACCTGAGACGGCTAGCAGAGAGTGGATGTGTTCCATCCTGAAGTCGATGGAAGACGTTGGCAAAAGAACGAGAGCCGGAGACCTGCTATTTATTCACTGCGGATGGCGCGCCACAGTAGACGGCGTGTCGGACAAGACCACACATGTCTAAGCGAAACAAAGACTGTGGCGTGGTAGGTGTTGATAGTGTGGTCAAATTAATGCCACGAGTAGGCATATTCAACAGCATCATCAGAGCTACAGAACGCCTCTGTCCAGTCATAGCACGCCATACAATCAGCGAAGGTGGATTAGATATACCCACCTTCGACAACGCCAATTCGAACACGCATTCAGAAACCGAGGAAAGCGGTGCTCTCCACCGCCTCTGAACACAACGAGAATCGCACTCTCCCCGAGTCCCTTTGTGCATCGCGACGGCACTAATATGGTAACATAGAGCAACAGCATCAGCGACCACACAGAAATGATTCTCTGCACGCACTGCCTTCCTTAATGATTGGTCATACAACACACATATGGAGTAGTCATTGGCAAGCCTACTCCGACTCGTGGCGCTCTTCGCCACCTTCCCCGCCCAGTTCTAGTTTCACCCACCCGGGAGCGTCGTCTACGGCGTCTTGTGGTCGGATCTTGTATTTCATCAGGTAGCCCTGTAGAGCAGCCATCGACAGCTCGCGATCGGGAATAATCTCCGCGAATCGTGCTGCGAGGTCCTCCAGGCCCTTCACTGCATCGTCTGCTGCCGGCAACGCATGAGGTCGACGTACGCCTGGAAGGAGCTTCTCCAGGGTCCCGGGGCCCGGAGAGGCTATGTCGGCCCCTCTGCCAGCAGGTACGTAGAAGCACTTGAAGAACTCCTTCGCCTGGTACTTGCTAGCGAGCTTGAATTCGACATGCACGTCCATGCGGCCGGGTCGTCGCAGCGCCGGATCGAGAGCGGAGAAGTTGTTCGTCGTCGCGAATAGCAGTCGTCCTTCTTGGGCGCCGATGCCGTCGAGAGCGTTGAGCAGCCCGCTCAGGGTGACGCGCGCGCCGGGGTCCTGAAGCTCCATGAGCGGAGGCTTCTCGGTGGCGCCGGCGTCTCCCTCTGAGTCATCACTACGAGGCAGACTGCGCGTGATTCCTTTGCTGAAGGCCGCATCGACATCCTCCATGAGGGCGATGCACCTCTTCGGGAGACCACCAATGAGCTCGTACAGGGAGTTGTCGTCTAGTCCGGCCCGTGACAGGGTGACGATGTAGACATCCAAACCGAGCGCGCCTGCTATACTCTGAATAGTGGAGGACTTGCCAGATCCAGGTGCACCATACTACGACGCGGTTTGTGAGTTGAGTTCACCAGATGCATACTATGTACGTACCAAGAGATATCCTCGACGGAACGGGATACCTAAAATGTACTCGTCCATAAACGATACCGTTTCGCTAGCATGTCCCACTTACCTCTCGCGGTGTACCATGACTGACTGTCTAGGAACTCGCGAGTATCCTCTAGTAGCATTTCCTTGACTCCGGGGTCCAGAATAATCGAATCGGTCGTGCGCTTTGGATTAGATGTGATATTGATCCAATTGTTCATGCTAAGGAGTAATGTTCAGCATCCGAACACAAACCGCAGACCATACAACCCACCTATTCGATGCCCAGACTGAGATTAGATTCTCCTTGGCCGTCTTGTACTCCGAACGAGCCTCGTCCAATAGCTCGCCTAAAATCCGATGGTTAAACGCAAATATCCTTTACCGAAGTCAGCGCACGTCACGCAATCTCCTGCACAAAGACGGACAAACCGTATATACAGGTACTCCGACTTCCTGGCATACGACGAAGTGGACGTCGAGTTTACCACTCGATTGACCAGCATCAACCTGCGCTTGTACCACATATGATACGTCTTGTCGACCCGAGGTAGGTATGACATTGCCTTGCTGGTGTCTCTTGTATCGTCTTTGATAGGAAGCCAGGGATGCGGGGAGTGGTCCGCTTCGAGGCCATAGTGTCGAGTGGTCACTTCGATGTCCCTCGCCTGTCCTATGTAAGCCAGGATATATGAGTTGCTTTGTCGCGTCACAAGAACGGAGTGACGTACGCCACACGGGCCGGCGAGAAAGCCAATACAGTAGCCAATCTATGCTGTTGTCAGACAAACACGATTGAATCATGGCCAAGGACAGTGGTCGCACTATACATCGGATCGTCCTCGTCGAAGGACGCCGTCAGGCTGATTCTATCGACGACCGATGTCGCCAAAAACAAGAATACTCGGCGATACACCTCTATGATTCCCCCGGTGATCAACAGCCTCGTTCCTTCATGTAGAGCAGATGAAGACGGAAGGTGAGGATACAACAACGACATCCTCAGCGAAGGAACACGCAGGGACACCCTGCTGTCCGCGCCATCGAGCGCCGTCAATGAAATCCTGCTGGGGTCCATGAGGGAGGTGGCCAGGAAGGCCAACGTCGCCCAGGGGCGCCGAGTGCGTTCTTTGAGAGAGCGGTAAACGGACCGCAGTGATTGAAGATTGAGTCACGTCGAGATGTAGTTCACCGCCTCACTATCGAGCGCCGTCTTGGCAGTGTAGCAACACGTGTAATAATTAGCGCGTTAGGCAACGAGGACGACAAGAATAACATCACGCACCAAATCTGTCGACCGCGAAGCCCGGCGACAGGAATGAGGGTAGACTGGTTAGCAGAGTACCTTGACCACGAAGGTCGCACCGCACAGTCGCAAGGGGACCCGCACTGAAGAGGCAGTCGAAAATCAAATGATCCAGTACCATTGGGCCTAAATTACAGCATGCTAGATGGGTAAGTACAGAAGATGGATGAGTGGTAGCGCAGATTCGAAGATGGGGTTGAGTCAATATGAGTAGCCGATTAAAGTGACATGAGTATACCACGCGAGATTGGTGATGCGGGTCGTGTGAGGGAACGAGGATGACAGATTGTTTGACGTTCAGTGGGAGCTGCGAGCGTCGACCTGCTGCACTGGGTGGTTGTACGGATGGTTCAGACAGTCATAGCATGTCGTAGTGGCACTGTTCCGGCAGTAATGACAAGCGTTGCCCGTCAGGTTAGGTCAATTGTGAGCGATGGTGTGCGTACCTCAAAGCATTCTCATGGCAACAACTGCGACAGACCGTCCTACCGCAGCCACGCGGAGTCGCTTCTTTCGAGGCTTTCTCAATGCCCAACGACCAACTTGGCTGTTCGTCTCCATCTGTGTCCGACTGGAGTGGCTTGCGACGTTTTCCGGCCGGTGTACGCTCAGGCGCGGGGTTAGACAGCGCGTTCGCTGTCCGCGAGTTCGTACTGAGCGCGAGCGCAGGACGCCGCGGCGATGGCGAAGGTGACGGAGACGGGGTAGAAGAGCGGGTCAAAGCGGGCGTCGGAGGCATAGACAGCGGCGGCGCGCTGCACGTCCGCGAGCAGACCAGACACGTCGTTGCCCGACATCTAAGCCGACAATCAGTAGCACAGACGCATACAGCACGGATCGCGAACCTCGCACAGCGCACGACCTCGTTGACCTTTCTAGGGAAGCTTCTGTGGCAAGAAACGCAGACGGGGATCCCATCGTTGACCAGATCAAGGTGTTGTTCCACTGGCGTAGTCAGTGTAGACGCGTCTTTCAAGCTGGATTGTGCTGAAACCAGCCTGCGCCGTTTCGGCAGAGGCCTCGCTATCCGCTCAAGTCCCATTGCGGAGGAGAACAGAAGGTGGCAGTCCCGGTCAAGTCCCGGTACAAGAGCGTTGCGCGCTTCTGCAAACAGCCATGCCGAAAGAGGTCTACAGTCATGCACCGGTCACTGTAACACCCAAACAGTGTTTAGCCATTTTCTTGTCTACGGAGTGAAAAATTCTCATGGTTACATTTTCAGATCATTACTAGCTACTCTCACAACATTCTCGCCAGGTTTTGTGTCCAGAGCTTGAGGGAGTGAATGTACATAGTCGAAACACAGGTGTTACAGTGGGTGATGAGGATGTCACGCCAATAAGCGCCCGCACAGCGCCACCTCTACCTCGAGCGAAAGTTGCTTGTTCTGAGCTGGATGTACCTCTATCGTCAACGAGGGACATGGTACGTATCTTATAATACCATCAGAAATAAGGAATCATTAGAGTAGCTTGGGTCTGAGCTATTTTGAAGTGTTACAGTGACCGGTGGTGTTACAGTGACCGGTGGATGACTGTACGTCACGAGGCAACTGTATGAGTACTTGATGAGTACACAAGTACTTAGTTCAAATGGACTCCTCCTCCTCCTCCTCCACCTATCGACTAGCAAAGGAGACCAACAAGCATCGCGCATTCAGTACGTGCGTCGAGTGAGCAAAAGCTTAAGCAATGTCACAACCAAAAAGGACTACACTGAGGGGGAATCGAACCCCCACCCCGTAGCTGTGCACCAGGTACAACTCCCCCCCGCCCACCCCGCCCCCTCCTACCACCCACGTGCACCTGCCCGCCGCCGCCGCCGCCACCGCCGCCACCGCCATGCCACCCACCCCCCTCGCCCACCCCGCGCTGACGACCACCGTCACGCTCGCCGCCGTCGCCCGCCCCGTCCACAGACGCCACGTGCCGCCGTCGCCCGCCCCGTCCACAGACGCCACGTGCCGCGTGGGCCCGCGCCCGCCACCCGCGTGGGCCCGCGCCCGCCTCTCCTCCACAGGCCGCCACGCCCCGACGGCCCCGTGCTCGCCCTCGCCGCCGTCCCCAGGACGTCCACGTCACCACGTGCATCCGCCCGCGCACTGCTGTGCGCCGACGCGCAGCCCGCGCGCCACCCACACCGCCACCCAGCCCATCGTCCCGCCGCGCCCCCATGCTCGCACTGGCGACCGCCGTCGCGCTCGCCGTTGCGCTCGCCGTTGCCGTCTTCGCCCCGCGCCGTCCGTACCGCCGTGCGCCGACGCGCAGAGACACCTGTGGAGCTCATGCACCCAAATGCCCTGGCGCGCCACCCACGCCTCTCCTCCCACCACCTCCCAGCCCATCGTCCCCCACACCCCCATGCTCGTGCGCCGTCCCGCACCATCCACAGATTTGTCACCGCCTCAACATCCTGCCACGCCCATCGTGCCCGCCCGTCTCCGCCCGCCGCCCGTGCTCGGACGACCGCTCAACGTCCTGCCCGCCGCTCCCATCCTGCCACACCCGTCGCGTCCGCCGTGCCCGCCCCATCGCCTCCCCACTCTCGCGTCCTCGCCCTCGTGTCCCCTCAATGTCCTGCCGTGCCCATCGTGTCCGCGCCTCTCTGCCCACCGCCTGTGTCTGTCCGCACCAACGCCACCCCACTCTCGCCGCGTATCGCCATCGACTGCACGTCAACGCCTTGCACTCGACCGCCCGACGCACCCTCTCCGCTCTCAACGGATGCCCGGCTGACGCTATGACGCACAGTCGCAGTGGGCATAGCGGGCAACCCGCTGTGGCAGCTGCGACCTACGCCCTGACCGCCGCCCCTGTATGTGTCCGCTTGCCGTACGGATCCGTATGGGAAATAGGCGCCGTCCACTGCTGTGCGTGGCCGACGACCAAAGACGAGGGAAAGGGGCAGAAGGTTGACCGCATCTTGCTGCCCAGTCACCTTCAATGACACCGCAACAGCGGGACACGGACGGTGGGATGTCTCTGCTACCCCTTCGAGTCGTCTTCGAGTCGCGCGTGCCCTCCGCCGTCATCCAGCACTCTAGATCGCGGGCGCGCCTTGGCTTCATTGTCCTGTCCCACGTCGCTTCTTGATGTCACCACGCCGCCGCCATGGGAGCCCGCCCCGCCTTGCTCCCAACCACGATGGACGCATACAACCTCCCCGACGACGACATCCATGCCGCCAGCGCCATACATTTCCTGCGATGCGCAGGCGCACCGCACGCCCGACGCCTGTCGCCCGCGCTCGTTGCCGCCCGTTACCGCCACCGCCACCCGCCGTCGTCCGCGCCCTCGCGACCTGCCACTCGCCGTCCCTAATGCCGTCGCCCGCCCTCATGCCCCTCCATGCCGTCTCTCTACTCCAAACCATGTCACGGTTGCCTTGGCCCCTCGCGGAGGCCGGGTGATGAGCTGCTGGTACCGGATAGGTTGCTCTGCTGGCAGTACTGTAGCTCGACAGCATCAACATGCGAGATTGTTACACAACCATCGGTATGTACCAAGGACTTCTGTTCAAACGGAATAACACTGACAAATGTCCTCTGCTGATGCTCTACACACTCCCCACCGCCGCGTCGGCCCGCATTCACATTGCACGCCGATCGTTATGCCTGCACACTGTTGCTCCCCGGTACGCGCCGTCGCGCACGTGACACTGTCGTTGATTCCCAAGAGGCCTTGGGGAGTAAGCTCGCCCGCCGCTGCCGCACCCACAGCGATGCCCCCGCCGCGCGCTGGCGCCCGTGCAGGCGTACGCACGAGCGCCGCGCATTTTCATCACGTGTCAAGTCATCCGCGCCGCCCGCCGTCGTGCGCGGACGTCGCCCCAGCGCGGCGCGTCGCTCCCGCCTTTCGCGCGCGCATTCCGCACGCAACACGGTCACGGGGTGCATCGCACCCACCCGTCCGCCATCCATCGCGCCCCGGTACACACACTGCACGTGAGCCATTAGCGGCAGTCCTCTGCGCGGGCACTCCCTGCACCGCGCCTCCGCCGACTCCCGTCGCCCACGCCTCGCGTGCAGCCCGCTCGATCGCCCGCCATGCCCCCGCGCGTCCTGACGTCACCCCGTCGCCCGCTGCCGCTGCACGTCGCGTCCTGACGTCGCCCGCTGCTGCACGTCGCGTCCTGACGTCACCCCGTCCTCCGCCATGGCCAGCTATAAGAGGCCCACCCCCACCCCCCGTCTCCCTACCATGGACGCATACAATCTCCCCGACGACGACATCGATGCCGTCAGCGCCATACATTTCGCCACCGCCGACAATGGCCACCTCACCATCGTCGCCAAGGACGATGTCGACGCAACAGTCTGGGCCATCGACGAGGCTGCCCTTGGGACTGCCCGCGACTGTAGTGTCTCGCGGGCCATCGAGCACGTCCTCCTCCAGCCTCGCGGTGACGTCCTCACCGACATTACCTTCACTAATACCCTCCTCAATATGGTATTTGATCAGCCTCTCCTCCCTGCCCACGCCCTTGCCGAGTGGTCACACCTCACTCGTCTGGCCTTGGTTGCCTGCACCGGAACATTCGAGTGGCTCGTCCTCCTGGGCATCGGCGCTGCACCTGCCCTGCAGGAGCTCTCCCTCTCCCATTCCGACTATGACCTCGAAATCCTTGCAGAAGCACTAGGGCGCCGACGTGACTCTCTGTGCTGCCAGCCTCTCACACTTGAGCTCTCTCGCGTCTTGCCCCTTGCTGATCTCGACGATGAAGACGCCCTCCACTACTGTCGCCCCGAGGAGGATGCTGCCTGGGATCCAGTCCTCATCTCCGTAAAGGCAATATGCTGGGAGACCTGCCACTGTGCCAACAGTCCGCGCCCCTGCTGGACTTGCCCTATGGATAATCCGGCTGAGTAGCAGCCATGGATGTAAGATCTGCATGCGTGGGCAGCAACCCAGGTGAGTCGCTGCAACCCTGTGTAAGGCCTGCGCCCCTGACGAAGGGGTCCATGCCTGCAGAACGACAACGGCCAAGGCTGGGCATAGGACATTCAGCCCGGGGTATGCCTTCCCTCTCATTAATTCAGAGCGTTCTGACCATTGCTGCAGATCCTGACCAGACGCCGAATACTTCACAAGGATGTGTGCGATGAAGCAGCACATTGGGACCGTCTGTGGGCTTCGAGGTGTCTATTATGTGTACTACAGTGATATACATCGTTCGTCGATGCCATGTTTCCTCCACACCACGTCGCGGTGTAGAACCGCATCTGCGTGAGCGGAGGCCTGCTGATGCACTGTTAGTGCTTGTCCACACCCGCAATACGCGCACGGAACATCAGCGTTGCGGTGATGCTCGGCCTGCTTGCGTTGAGCCTCACCTGTGTGCAGGGGACCCTCCCGACCTCTGCGGCGTGCGTCCAGACCAAGTCTCGAGGTCCTGCAGTGTGTACTATCTACTAGGTGTGAGTCTGATCGTTGCGTGTGTGCTTGCGCCCGTCTGACCGTGCACCTTTCCTTCTATCCTTCCATTCGTCGTGTCTTACTCCATGCGCCTGCATCCCCCATGGCGTTCACGGCAGCAGTCCGGGTTCCTGGCGTTCATCCTCATCGATGGAATTGTCGGCGCGGTGCTCGTCAAACACGGTGGTGTCGGGTGGTGTCGGCGTCGGTGTTGCTTTCTAGCTCCGCGCCTCCCACAGCTAGGTCTCACAGCGTGCAGGAGCATTATCGGCAAGTATATAACACAAGTCTTTAACAATAACCTTCGCTACCCGGCCATCTTCGGTGTCTGTATCCGGGTAAGAACAACGGTTCAAGTGAGTGATATTGCTTCTTAAGAAAATTATATGAACTCACTGTGTGCAGGAGCATTATTGGCAACTTGGAAAAGCTCATCAGTACGTCGTCTCCATATTTGTGCCGGCAGGTGGAATTCCGGTGTTTCGACGGGATACTCACAAGCATATTCCAACAGGTGCTGTGACAATCGACCTGAAGAAGCCTAAGACGATGCAGTAATGGGCAGGAAGAGACACTGCACACCCCACGCAGTGTGCTGCGGGTCCGCGGGCTTCGTTGTTGTCGCTAGGAACGCACCGGAGGCGGGTAGGGGGTGTGGCGGCGGATGCTATGGTCGGCCGGGGTGTACATGCACACAAACAAATGTATCATATTGTAGCAGCTACTGGAACACAGGGGCATTTGACACGATATTCGCGAGCAGCTGCCGGAATATAGGAGCATTTAATTATATAGTTGGAGCCTTACTTGGGATGCCCCAGCCCTCTGTGCCTAATGGACTGCACCAACAAGGACGCTTCGGCCATGCATTGCTGGTTCATGTATGTTACAGTACAAGACACAATGGCCAGCCAGTTCCTCCCACCCTTGTCCCCACTTCCGGTCATGATTCAATGACAATCCCAAATACGGACAAAGGTCTACTGGACGATTTCGCCAAGAAGTGAAGTAAACTCAGTCAGTTCCTTTGCAAACGACTCTGCTTTCCCTTCTTCAAGAACCCCGTGCTGCAGAATATGAGCTGGGCCGCGAGCCTAACAGGCACATAAATGGCTACTCACCTTGCATCCCAGGGAGAGCAAGGCATTGACGTCCAGCTGCTGGAGCTGCTCGCATGTTGACTTCACATCTAAGGGGAGGGTGCTTTGAGCTGCAGCAAGGCGTTCTTCCAAGCTGAGGTCGCCATGATTAGCCTTTTGATGGGAGGCCTTGGCACTGTGTCCAGCAGCTGCTGGGGCCCCAACGACCGGAGCCTCAGTGCTGACTGGAGCTTGGGCTGCTTGAATGGACTCTGCGACAGTGTCCAAGTTGGAGGCGCCTGTCTCAGCAACTGCCTTGTCTGCGGACAGATATGGGTAAGTCACAGAGCATCACTTGGGAGGATCACCGCACCGCTCATGCCTTTCTTCTTCGCTTTCCATGCTGCGCCTGCCTCATTCCTTGCCATTCGATAGCCGTCATGCTCCTCTTTGATTGCCCGGAACTCCTTGCTGTGTTCGCACCCTTTCAGGCAGTGTTCCCGGACCAGCTTGATGCTCTTTGCCCTAGAGAACGCATGAGACACAAAGCACAACCCTACAGTAACAGCAAACGCACTCAAAGTCACAGGCCTTCAAAGGGCAGCCAAATTGGCCATCCGGCAAGTACATGTGCTGTTCTAATTCCGCCCATGGGTTATGTTTCTCTTGGCTGGGAAATAGCATATAGTCAGCAGCCGCATGGAGCTCAGAGCTCAGAGTGCTTGTGCGCACACTTACATGTGACGGGATAGGTTTGTGAAGCGGGTCCACTGCTTGTTCATCCGTGCGTCGTCATGTATGTACGCCTGACAAGATAGGCATTTGCCGTCCTGTTTGTGAAGATCAGAAGTGGCTAAAGCGGAGCGGTGGAGATCAAACTGGGCTTGCCTTCTGCCAGTAGGTCCTCATCGCTCGGTATTCCCTCACAGGCTTGAGTACATAGTCCATGAACTGCACCCTGACTTCGCTCACGTCCATCTCGCCACCCTCAACAATGTTACCGGTCGTCTCTGCAGCGTCAAAGGGCTTGTCAGAGATACCACCCTCGGGCGGCTGGAAGCCAATCATATCTGAGGACTCTCCGTCTGGTTCTGCAAACTCAGATGGCGGAGTCATCTGCTGGGACTCCTCTGCAGGCTGCTTGCCCTTAGGGTTGGGCTTGGAGTAGAAGCGCAGGTGCTTTTCGAATTTTGCCATGGATCCGGTTATGTCTTCAACTTCTGCGTCTTCTTCGTCCTCCATGGAATCCCAGGTTTCAGAAGTGAATCGCAGCATCGAGGGGTCAATGACTCCGGCGACTGTGCATGCCACGCAGTGAGTCACATCATGAGCAAGATAGGGTCCAGATGTGCAGGAACTCACCCCCTTTCCTGTTGGCCTCCAATATGTTCCTGAGCGTTGACATGGGTTGCTTGAACGACTCAATTGCATCCAAGCGATTCTCTGCAGTGTCATAGCTCAAAACCCCGGTATGTTCGGCATGCAGCCTGGCCTTCAATTCCACCGAACGGGCCTTCTTCTTGAGCTTCTTTTCGATTTTGTGGCGCTTGTCCACAGCGGCAAACAAGATAGCCTCCGCCTTGACACCTCACAAATCATCAGGGGCGGAACTTCTCAAGCATGAGAGATACAAACGTCGTTTAATGCCTCTTCTGTAGTTGAGGACAAGGGCTGGAGATCTTGTCGCAATCGGAACACACGCCCCTTGTCTTCCACCAGATCATCCCGGTAGCCCCTAGCCCCTCCGGGGAAAAGGGCGTACATGATGTCCCAGCCGCGCTCAATCTCACGGGATGCCTGCTCCATCTCAGGATCCTCCTGGCAATGCATTGCATCAGCTGCTACGGTAGGAGACTCTAGGTAAGTGTCAAGAACCTTGATGGCCTGGAGCGCCTCGTCTGACAACTGTTGGGCAGCTTTAGCAGCTTGCCTTTGGGGCGCCTCATATCCAGCAGCTTCGCGAGCCCTCTGGGTCACAAGGCATCTTACTGCTGCTGACGTGAACATTTGTTGCTTTGTGGCTGCCTGTGCCGAGAGTAGATCAGTATCCCTGCAATAATGGACGCCCTGAGACACACTTCGGCCATGGCTGAATTTGGGCCCTTCATCTCTCCTAAGCGTATTGCAAGAAGCGGTATGTTCTCTACCCCGCGCCAGTAGTGCTTCTTAAACACGGCTTGCACGTCCTGGTCATGTCCTGCGATCGCCGATGCTATATCTACAGATATTTCACGGGCGAACTGGATGCTCAGAGTGAACACACGACGCGGTATGATAGTAAGATCATGGACAGACTCACTCCATCAATTGTGGTCCTGCGAAATGCATACATTCCAGACGACTTCAATCCGGCCAGCTGGCAGAGGTGGGATATGTTGTTGGACATCGCGCCTGCAGTCTGCGGCACTGGGTCTGTGAGGTTGCCTTCTCTACCACCAGGTTCGCCTGCGGTGAAGCTGGCGGACAAAGCTGTGTATCAGCTACTCGGTTATGACTTATCAAGGCCTCAGGAGCTATGCATACAGAGGCTGCGTCTTGAATTCTGGGCGAATCAAGACCTCAGCTTCTTTGCCAGCCATCAGCTCTTCGGCGGTCTGCAGCAAAAGGCATCTGACGGTGAGTAAATGCAATCAGTGAGGCTGGGCCCTTACCTTGTAATAAAGGGCACCCCTGTAGATCAGGCACTGGCAAAGCCACACGCTCAACTCAAATACAACGTTGTACCAGTTCTCTGCGGCTGAGAACACCAAGTGTTGCTCCTTTCCATTTCCGGGGCCATTAGCACCCTGCAGCAGCACAAGACATCAGAAGATCGGCCACTCAGAGCTTTCGTGAAGCATACAAAACCGCACCTTGAAATGCTTGGCATGAAAATGCACAGTGATTCCTCCGTTCTCTCGGAACAGCCTGATGTCCTCCAGTTTTGGATACTGTTTGTTGTCAGTGTAAGCACACAAGAAGACTAACCCAGTCGCTTACAAGTCCACGTTCTGCATACTCGGGAGCACATGGGGCTAAGGTTGATGCCCGAGGCCCAGCAGCAAATCCAAACGCCATTGCACACAACGTCTGAAGGCGCATGAAAACGTCGTCCAGAGTGGCCGTCTCGATAGCCTTCTGAATGACAAGTTGGAATTCGTTGCGCCCATAGTACTCCTTAGGCTCCAGGTGACGGTCTAGCTGATACTTGACAATCACTGGGCAGTGAAGCAGTGCGCGTATAGTCAGGCAACAGACTGGCCCTGCGAAGGCTTGGAGGACGCTTACAGTGATTAACCTGGGTTTCCAGCTCGGTGTACAAGCCACCTGCAGCAAGTAGACGCCCTCCGCAACGCTTGCCCTCCGTGTCAGAGGTGTACTTGACAACGCACTGAGCAAGGATGGTGCGCCAGTATTGAAGGGTGGTAGCCTTGACATATTGTTGACCGTCTCGGCCCTCTGTGTTCCGGAACTGGGGCCGCAGTGAGTAGATTGACCACTGCAGAGGAAACAGCCTCCAGCTTACTCTGATGACTAGATACTCTCGAGCATATTTTGCAACTATGTCCACGTTCCAAAGCTCCTCCTGTGGAATGGGCCGCCCAGCGATACTAGGCACAATGAGCTCCCAAGTCTCCAGCAAGTTTCGGAAGCCACGTGTAAGCGAAGGGCTCAGGTAGGGCTGGGCTTCGTTAAGGATGGCCTCCACCTCCTTCATCTCGGCATCCCTAGCCTCAGGATCATTCAGGGTTCGGTTGAGGCGGTCTCTGAGAGCCAGCATGCCCCTGCCCAGTTTTCCGGACGCCTTTGGAACGGGTGCTAGAGGATTCCGGACAACGGGTCCAGTATATGCACCATTGGCGCTTTCTTCCGCGAGGGCCCGCGATACGGTCGGCATGGCCACAGGCTTGGTGCGTACGTGGCCCAGAGGAGCAGAAGGGACAGAGAGCTGATGGACGTCTGTGGTCAAAGAGTGGGAAACCTAGGGAGGAAGGAAACCAGGAGAACCTGCCCTGGTGCAAACGCAAGTGCTCTGATGACATCATCGCGGTGCTCGTGCTAAGGCTTGCCCTGCACTCCTTGCTGAAGCAGCCCGACGCCTGCCAGACTGGCCTCAGCCCACTCCGGGGACTTAGTCCTGGATGTATGCGCGAAATAGTCCTGGATATATGCGCAAAAACACACCCCAGATTGAAGCCGGAGTGCAGCCACAATGTCATATTTATACAGGTGCTCAATAGGGACGTACAATACACGCAGTTTGACGCAGCGAAATGGTTGGGAGGGCACGCCACAGCTCTAGACATTCTCCCCAGCACAGAAAGGCAGCGGCGACTAGCAGCACATGTGATACAGGAGCAGAGACCTCTCTTTCGCATCATTTTTCCCCCGCATCGGCATCGGCGTAGCTTTCGTCAACGCCGATGAGGCTTTCATCAACGTCGATGGCGCCACCCTCAGCTGCGGAGGAAGCCAGGCTTTGTTTAGCCCACAGGCGCAGCAAAAGAAGCCTTACGACGCAGTGGCAGCCCAGCAGCCGCCAGCCCCGGTCCTTCACTCGGCAGAGTGCCAGCACTTGGGGCGCCACAGGTGCAACTACGCGCCTTGGCTTGCAACTGGAGCACTTCGATTTCATTCTGCGTGACTTTAAGGCGGCGTCCCAGAATTTTGTGGGTCAGCTGGAACATGGGTTCGACGTGCTTGAACAGCGCTAGGAGCGCTGGCTTGTGAATGACCGGTTTGCTGCGCATATAATTGCGGTGTAACCTGGTGACAGCGCGGCGATGTTTGGGAACTACTCACGGATCAGGCTTTCCGCCACATTTCGCCTTCTTGGCCGGTTGCCCCACTTCTTGCTCACCACCGCCCCCGTCCTCAGAGCCTCCGGGGAGAGATTTACGCTTTGAGAGGGCAGGCATGGCTGCACCCAGATGGCAGTAGGCGCAGCGGAGGCTGGGTTCTGAGAGGCAGAGGGAGCTCTCAAAAGAGGACGATTGAAAGCGCGATTTGCAACTGGCACATTCCCATGGTCACGTGGAACGAGTGGCCCGCCAGTGAGTGAGTTGCCAGTGGCATACGCAGAACCCAGATGCCGGATGCGCCCCATACGCCGGCCGCTGTTTCCCCCAGAGGCAACCCGCTCACCACGGCCGGACCTGCCTCGTTTGTTTAACGCGCGCACCGGGCGGAATGGGGGCGCGTGCGGCAGAGCGATGTTCTCGGCACACGCCGCCGCCGCACGCCACGCAGCGCCGGGGCACGGTCACGTGAGTACACGCGCGTACGCGCTTGCTTTGTTGAATGCCCTCACGTGAAGCCGCCCGTGCGTTTGCCGGGGTGTACATAAACGGCCCAGCGCACCTCTGCGCACCCTGCCGCAAGGCCCCACGTCAAAGGAGAGAAATCCTGAACGCAGGGCCCGCAGCCTTTCCAGCCCGCCCCCATCGCCCGCGCCCCCGCTGCATCCCCGCGCCCTGGGCAGTCGCCCCACCGGCACACGCAGTGTGCCAGCCCGGGCCCTGCCCCTGCCCCTCGCCTGCGCACTCCCCCGCCTTCAAGCGCCACGCCCTCGCCACGCGCCATGCTGCAGAGCGCGACGGCGCTGCACACCTTCGCCGCCGCACTGGCCGCGGGGATGGAGCGGGGGCGCGTGCGCCGTGCAGACCAGCAGAGCACCCGCCCGTGTCGCCCCCGCCCACGTTCCCCCCGCCCGCATCGCCCCACCCGCGTCGCCCCCGCCGCCACCCACCCGCGTCGCCCACCCACGTCGCGTCGATCCCTCTCCCGCCGCTCGCATCCGACGCGCCTATCGCACTCGTCACGTCGACCGCGTTCGTCACGTGCCGCCGCGTTGACCGTGTTCGTCACCGCCGCCTGACCGCCGCCGCCCGCCAGCGCGGTGTAGACCAGCAGAGCACCCGCCCGCGTCGCCCCCGCCGCCGCCTCCCGCCGCCGCGTCCAGCCGTCGCGTGTGTTCGCCGGCTGCATCCCTCGCCGCCTCGCGTCGCCCCCATGCGCCCGCCGCTCGCCAACTCATCCACTGCCACCCGCTGGGGCCCCACCGCGCCGCCGCTGCCCGCCTCGCCGTGCCCTCGCGTCGCCCGCACTCCACGAACCCGTGCCCGGCTCTAGCCGCTCAGCAACGCCGACCGCCCCGCGCCCTCGCCGAGCAGCGCGCCGCGGGAAGGCGGGGCGACTCACTGGGCGTCGCAAGATGTACAACGAGAGGCTCTGGGGGAAGGACCTGGCGCGCAGCTCTGGCCGCCTGAGCTCTCGCGCAGCCTTGAAGCTCTGCCCAGGCCCCGCTGCGTGTGGGCCTCGACCGTGCCCTCCCCGCCTCGGGCGGCCCAGCGGGCCATCTCCAGTCATCCTTCGTCACAGGTCATGCGCTATCTCAGCCGGTCCCAGGCTGGTCCCACAAAGGCATCGCCCGCCACGACGCTCGACACTCGCCCGCCACGACACTAGCCCGCCACGCTCGACTTCCCCCGACGCTTCGGTGCGTCGGGGAGCCCTGTGAGCAGTACATTTCAGGACGCTTCGCGACCGGATATCGTGCGACCATTGGTGCAGACTTCATAACGAAGTCTGTGCCGCATCATAGCTCGCCGGATGAGACGGTGACACTGCAGTTATGGGTGCGTGGTTTGATTTTGATTGCACGGGCGGGATGAGACTGGTGTTGCACAGGATACGGCGGGGCAGGAGCGGTTCTCGAGCCTTTCATCGGCATTCTTCCGCGGCGCGGACGCAGCAATCCTCCTCTTTGACGCGAACAAGTCCGAGATGCTGCAATCACTCGTACGATGGTGGGCCGACTTCCGCGAGAAGGCCCCAGTGCCGGACGAAGACCTGCAAGACTTCTGCTGCGTCGTCGTCGGGAACAAGATCGACCTCGCGCGGGACACACCCCCAGTGTCTGAGGCGGACGTTGAACACCTAATCGACGAGCTCGTACCCCCTCCTTCGCCTCCCCTAGCCCCAATCCTGAGCGTCGCGCCGATCCCAGAGACAGACACAGACGAAGACGCCATGACAACTCCCATCGCCGCCCCGGGCACGCCGCCCAGCAAATCCATCGACATCACCGCGCGCCGCCCGCGGCGGAGCCTGCGCTCCGTCTCGCGCTCGCGGAGCCGCTCGACGGTCTTCCGGGGCGGGACGGTCGGGACGATGACGGCGACGCGCACCATATACCACACCCCGTCCCGCTCCGTCTTCGACCTCTTCGAGTCCGCGCTGTCCTCGCCCGCGCACACGACCATCTCCATGCTCGCGCGCTCCGCCTCGCCCGTGCGCTCCCCGTCGTAATCGCCCACGCGCGTGCCCCGCCGCCAGCCCTCGTCCTCGACGGTGTCGTCGGCGGGCCTCGACCGCGCCCTCCACGCATCGGGCGGCCCAGCGGGCCATCTCCAGTCATCCTTCGCACCTCAAGATCCCAGCTCGCGCGCCAGCGCCGCCTTGCCCCGCTGCGCGGCAGAGTCGGGCACGCCCGCCGCAATCATCATTCCGAAGCTCCACGACCAGCTGCACGGCTCCCTCTCGCTCGCCGAGCCACTCAGCTCCTGTGCGCAGAGCTGCTGCTGCGACGAGGCGCTGCGGCGGGTTGCGCAGCACGCAATGGGGCTCGCAACGCACATCTGCAGCGGGAAACGCGCCCAGCAGGTGGTCCAGCGGCTCGGGGTCTTCAAGACGCCCAGCTCGCCCGGCTCGGGCTCGTGGAACGTGGAGGGGGCGATCGTCGCGAGCGGCGTGGGCCACTCGCTCGGGCTCGACGCGCACAACGTGCTGAGCGCGAGCCAGCTCCGGGCTTCTGTGATTGTGGCACATTCGCATGCGTGACAGCTGTCTGCACTTAATGTATTGCTGTAGCCGTTCCTGGCGCCATCTGTTATGTCCAATACGGAAATGCAGCATCCTGGTGACCTACATAGGTCTGTTTCCGAACGGCTTTAGCATGCCGCCATTCTGTTCTCCTCCAAAACATCATTTATGCACATTATCTCAGCTGTTTAGCACCCGTGCTGCCACATGCGTGAAGAAGCGTCTGGGTACAGTCTAAACGCTCAGTGTGAGCCAGCGAGGGTCTGCAGAGAAGATGCAGTCAAGAAAGCCCTCTCCACTTCTGCATCATAGTCGGACGTGATTTTCACGCCAGCCTTGGCAGCCTTCTTTAACGTAGCATGACCTGTTTCCGACGTTTGAATCATGGTCGCCATGTTGAACCAAACCATTGAACCCCTTCCGCAATCGTCGCCGTCAATGGGGCGGGAGTTGTGTTTGGTTGGCCAGTCACCGTCTGTGACAACAAACTCAATGTCTGGGTAAGCACTCTCAGCGCGAAGCCCTGAAGTCAGTTGATGCAATAGGCTTACCGTGTACGTCAATATTGAAGTGCAAAAACAAAGAAGACGGGTACATGACCGGTGTCCAGGGGGGCATTTCTACGACGATGCCAGCCTCCCAGACCACCAACCAGGAGCGATGCTTGCTGTTGAATTTGGCTAGGCGCGTCTATCGGATACAGGAGAAGGCGGGGAAAACAGTGAGAAGACGCACAGTTCGGTAGGACGTAGACCATCAAAACGCAGATGCCAACAGGGTTCTTAGCATCTGCATGGGGCATGCAGTGTACCCGGTCTTGGTCTGGGAAGATGCCGTTGAGGCAAAAGTTCCAGTAGCCCCCAAATAAAGGAGACACGCCGCTGTGGATTTTGTGCCATTCCGCAGACAGGAGGAATCTCTCGTAAACCTTGGGAAAGGCAGTCTTGAGTGTGCTCTCAATCAACCGACTAACAGACAAGGTCAGCCGATGGATCAGGCAGCTAAAGACGGCATACTTCAGATCAATGAAAGGCTGATATTCCAAAATTGCGTCGACTTTGGCCTTGTTGTCCAAGTGCCATTTTGTGAGAGACGGTCGCTGACGAATGCGCCTGAGTCGAAATCAAGGGAAGTAAAGAAAGTAGACTCTCACCGAAGCTGACTGCCTCCAGTGCCCTGCGATGGAAGCTAGATGCGGGCCTCTTCTACCATTGATTGCGTCATCCCGTTCGGCCTTGCTCATAAGGGAATCAGAAATTAGGGTGTCGTGGATGTAGGCGAACACTTCTGGGTTGAGGAAAGGAGCAGGAAAGCCGCGGTAAAAGAACAGTCGGTCTTGGACGTCAAGAACCTTCAAGACTGAGGGAGGGCTGTGGTAGAGCTGAGAATTGAGGGACTGGTATTCAGGAAGACGCTCACCCCTCCCCATTGAACGGAATGGGCAAAAAGCACGCCACGTCGTCCTTGATGCGGCCATCGCGCCAGCGAGCGATGATGTCCTCACGAGAAATCTTCGGAATCGTTTGACCTTGCCAGCCACTCTTCGTGACGTTCACGCCGGTTTTCAAGTTGAATGAGAGCATGGTGACTGTCGTCCCACCAGACACCAGGCGGTGCTGCAGGCGTGAGAGCTGCCGCTGCTCTTTCTTGTTGCCCTTTTCTTGTGCATTACGCTGCCGTTTGTACTTCTTCGATGATCCCGCTCCCGGCTTCCCGGGCTTTCGCTTCCGCTTAGGGGCGGTATGCTCGGAAGGAGGCGTAGGAAGCGTTGCCTGGCTAGAACTTTGCAGGGAATCGGTGTTGGATGTAGCACTGAGCCAGCCAGGTGTGAGCAAGCATATGCGCAAGGACAAAAGGCTCACATTGAATAAACCGGACTTGGGACGTTCAGTCGCCGCTGATTCATCTCCTTGATGTGATAGGCGAATCCTGCTCGCGTCTCACTGCGTAAGCAAATACGCGTGAGGCGCAATAAGCCTGACCTTTGGCAATGGGCTGTTCAGCGACTACGCCCGCTGCTTTGGCAGCAAGAGGCTGCTGGATGCGCTCTTTCTTGACTCTGGTGTCTCCCGGCGTCTTGTCATCGGAATGCCCAGCACCCGCATCAACCAGGCCTTCCACATCTCGGCCTGAGTGTTCCCCATAGGCCGCTGCCACGCCTTCAGCAGGCGACCGAAGTGATGGCGCTGTGGAGCATGAACATTAGCAAAGCTGTGCTGCGTTGTGACGCATGGCGCAGCATAAAGGCGGCATAAATCGTACGCACACAGCAAGAAGTCGTGGCCTTCTCTGAAGGCATGCTGGCCACGAACACGAGCGGCGAGCATTACGGCGCTGGCATCTTCAACGCCGAGGGCCCTGCAATCCCTGGCAATACACGCGGCATCACCTAGGTATCCTTGCATGTTACTTTCGTCCTCGTTTGCTGCAAAGAACACGCCAACCAGGGCGCCCACATCACAGGGCGCATTTATAGTCTGGAGTACTGAGGTTAGATAGCTGCGGCAAAGCGCAGGTCTTCGAGCTGACGCACCACCTCAGAGGCTGTAGCGACTGCGTGTTCCATTTCGTCTGAGTGCGCGGGCGAGACGTGCTGCAATTGAACGCGTGTAGCGGTAAAGAGACGTCGACAAGGTGAGCGACAGGCGGCGCTGAGGCGCCCAGCTAGGTCGTACCGCGTGTACTTGGCGTGTACTGTACTGTACTTCTCGACGCCGCCGGACGCGCGGGCGGACCACGACTGCCTCGTGGACCACCCCTCGCCCTTCTACTTCATGGAGCCGGGGAAGTTTGCGCGCGCGTTCAGGAAGGTCAGCTCGGTGCAAGGCGCGGTCGCGCGCATGCAGAAGGAGATTGGCAAGCGGAAGGAGAGGACGGGGAAGACGACGCAGTGTGCGCTAGCGTACTAGGGCTGATCTGGACGCGAGCGATGCCACTCTTTACGAGAACTAGACTGAGGTTGTGATGATGGCGTTGTACGCCCCTCGAAACTCACTACATGATCATCCCCGGTCGTGTCACATAGGATGTCTTGGAGGTCTAGGATACATAGAGGAATCACACCGGAAATCAGCACGCGCAGTACCTCTAAGATCTGCGTTAGTGTGGTCACAGACTGGGGTCGGGATGGTCCTGTGTTGGCTAACCGACGGGGTACATACTTCGGAGACTGGAGAGAGAAAAAATGACAAAGACATACACTGAGAGGGGATCGAACCCTCACCCCTTGCTTACGTAAGAGTTTCTCACGCTTGGAAGGCAAGGATGATAACCGTTTCACCATCAGTGTACATGTTACTACTATTTGTAAATCTGTGTTATATCGTCCAAATTGCGATGGGCTGAAGCATTGGCAAGCTTGAAGTGCCAATGGCTGTTCGATCCCTACCACCAAGTCTTGCCGCTAGCTGAGTCGCCTCTGACATTCGACAGCCAAACACGGGGCCGAACATGAAGAATAAGAACAAAACCACCAAGTTTCCCGTCGTACGTCTGCCGCGCATCGCATCTTCGTCCCTACTCACGTTGTGCCGCCACATTTATGCGCTTCATGAACAACGCACTGCCATAGGCCCGGATAAAGCGCATCATGCAGAAGGATGAGGAGGTCGGAAAGGTCGCACAGGCCACGCCCATTGTCATCTGTGAGTCGCATTGCAAGTACGGACGCGTTGATTGTCCGCGGTTGGCTGATCACCGCGCTCTAAACAGCGAAAGCACTGGAGCTCTTCCTCGCGATGATCATCGAGGAGGCGAGCAACGTCACGACGGAGCGGGGTGCGAAGAGAGTAGAGGCGTATCATCTGTAAGCCCTTCCTTCCTCCTGACCCTCTGATTGTGGCCGCTGAACGCACACCCGCCGACGACCCAGAAAGCACGCCGTCGAGACGGTCGACGTGCTCGACTTCCTCAAAGAGATCGTTGAGGCTGTCCCCGACCCTTCAGCCGGGGGGACGATTGACCTAGATGCCGACACAAACGAGTCTGGGCGGAAACGGCGCGGAGGAAAGGGGAAGCGCGCCGCTGTTGCGGAGGGCGAGGAACCCGCAGCCCCGCGGCGGCGGCGAAAGAAGGGCGAGGCAAAAGAGGAGGGCGAAGGCGGTCAAGGCAAGCGACGCGCGAAGAAGAAAGAGAAAGTAGAGAAGGAGAAGGAGAAGGGCGAAGATCTGGACATGGAGGACGAAGAGGGAACGGGCGGCGAGGCGGGCCCTGTGCGTAGGGATGAGTACGACGATGATGACTGGGAGGGCTAGGCGTGTGCTGGTGGGTCAACGAAAGCGAGACGGAACTCTGCTCTGTATTTCTGTATTGTACTTGTGTGGGATTAGCGTGGACTCTGTAATGCTAATATTTGGTGACATCGATGGTACAAAGCGCTGGAGAGCCTGACTGAGGATAGCATGGACAGCACGACGACCGACGGAACGAGTAAGGTACTGGGATATCATCCACACAAATCACACCAACTCGACTTCCCCTCGCAAGAGCAACTGCTCGACGATGTAGTACGGCGTCAAGGATATTCGCCCCTTCTCCATTGCGATCGACGTACCACTGTCGATGGAACCACATCAACGCTGGGCTATACGGATGAGTGGGAAGCTGACATACTCAGGTAGTCGGACCGGCGGGCATTCTTGCCGTGCGTGCACGAATACAGGCCGGAGCTTGTCAGGTTCTGGGACTGATGGACAGTGGTGAGCACGCAGAGAAGACGCATAGAGCCAGTCAGCTCACTCATCGGCGGCATGAAAGCCATGTCGTCTTCAAGGGAACGCTGCTGCGGGGGAAGGCTTTGCAAAACAGACTGATTGAAGTGGTACTCCGTCAACCGCGCGTATCTTCGCCACCGATCAGTCAGCCAATACTGCAGAGACTACTACGGACCCCTTACCTCCTAGCATGGTCGAGCTCGGCCTTCGACAGCTTTTCGTGCACTTCGGCCGTGGTGCTTATCCAGCGGGCGTACTTTTCGATCTAGACATCAAGTCAGGACGACTGGTCAGCCTCATCCCGCCAGCATGAGATGAGCGTGCTTGCCTTGTAAAGACGCGTCCGGATATACGAACGCACGACAAACTTGACGCGCTCTATCTCCGTCTGAACGAGCATGATGCGAAAGTGCTCGTCTTCCGAGGAGTCAGGGTCCGCGCGTAGAAGCTGAACATCGTCGGACTAGAACTAGGTGTTGTCAATTCGCCGCTCCCCAGAGAAGAATTCGATATGCGTGGACGGAGTGGAGCCATCAGCCTTCTGGCTGGGCATGCCAGCGAATGTATTAGACATGCATCCCATGTAGGTGCTAACCAGGGAAAAGCCACCGTGAAGCCTAGCCGTCGCGGCCGTCGCGTTTCTGTGCGGTGTTCCAGCATGCAATCCGTAGTGGTTACGCGCGCCGGCCACGCCTGTGCATATCACAGCTACCACCTACTCCCGCAGACCGTCCCGCACAGTTATCGCAGACGGGACTCTCACCTGCTTCCTAACATGATCCAGTATCCTCCCAAGCAGCATCTCCTGTCCAGGCAATATGTCAGGCGCCTGCCGTTCGTTCATCCAATGCCGGGTGAGCTGCTGGAAGGGCGTCTCCTCTTCCTCTTCTACTGCGCCAAGCAAGTTTGGCCGTCCGAAGTCGTCTGCAATCGGGTAGTCGTCGTCCGGCGCGTGTCGCGCGCGTTCGACGAAGGACGGTCCTGCGCGTGGCCGGTCGTTGGGCTCTAGGTCAAGACCTTCAAGCCAGTCAGCCATGTCTAGACAGTTGTCTTTTTTATGTAGTGTCAGACGTAGCCTGAAGAGCAAGTCGTGGTCGCGTAGGTCAGGACGAAGCGCGAAGGGAGATCGCGACAGCTGAGGGAAGCGAGGGACGAGGCGACGCGCTTCGGCCTGCCCTGAACATCCGCGTCTGTGGCGGGCGATAGGCCGCCAGCTCATATTCAAATTATTCCTAAGTATGACATTTTCTTCCGACTTCATTTCCTCGCACTCTCAATACGAGCATCATTCAATCGATACGCTTATAACTGCTCCGTAGCTAGGCCAAGGTCCTGACCTCTCTCCTTGGGGCGTAAGGCCCACTACATGATGCAGGAAACACCCGCGAGTCGAGATACACAGCGTGCAAAGTTTGTGACGCCAGCTCTTATTTGCTGCGTCAAGGGGAAGCTACATAAGGAACAGTCGTCGGATACAGCGAGTCGGTGAGTAAAGTCAGACCTCATCGTCGATGTCTGTTTGAGAGGTAAAGGTTGACGCCGGCGAGATCGCAGTGTCACGCCAAGAAAGCAAGTGCTTTCAACATCCTCCTCCTCCCGAACGCAAAAGCAGTACACGCAGCAGGCTCCCCCAATCTCTCGCATGCTCCCGTTGAATATTGAGCACTCGACTCTACATCGCCAACATAGTCCCCTCCATCGATCATAGAACATCCGTAGCGCGCGCACAAGTAACGCAGTCCGTATGGGCGACGGGCTATGAAAGAACAACTTCAGTTGAATGCACACCGCTGAACGTGCAAAAGAACGTCACCGCTGGTCCCCCGGGGGTTGGCATCCATTCCGGGAAGGTCAAAGGTCGTCAGCATGACGGTGCGTTCAATCGTATCACTCACCCATGCTCTCGCGCACATCGCGATTCATTTCACCGACGTTCTCAGTTGCGCTTGCGCGCGTTCTTTTTTTTTTTTTTTTTTTGAGCGGAGGGCCCGTCACCGGACTACAACGAGACGAAGCTCGTTTCCTCCCGGGGGGAAATGCAGTTGCGCACGAACTCCCAAAAGGGAGAACAGTGTGGGACTCGGGACCGTCATCGCACCGCTTCGCCGTCGTCATCTTCGTCGCGGCCGTTGTTAGCTCGGCTTGTCCGTAGCGGTGCTCTGGTCCCCCTGCTTTACCCACTAAAAACCCCCGTGCCGCCGGACACCCGATTGGGCTTAAGACGGCAAGTTGTTGCTCGCTCGCGCTGTGCACGAGCAGAGCGTCACCCGTGTTGGGCAAGAGAGCCGGAGGGAAAGCGATTGTCGATGGGGAAGAGCGGGGAGATGTAGAGCGGTGGATGATAGTAGCTACAGCTTGAGGTTTGGCTCGGGTGTGCCTGCAACAAAGGTCAGTGTCGGCATGAACTCCGGTGACCACGAACACTCACGATCCACCCTAGCCAGGGGCGCTGCTCATTATATCATTTTTAAGCATTTTGCAGCGGCGCCCCTCTTCCCAGTACGGATGTGCGCTAGCACGCTGCAGTACTACCCGACGATGCGGGCTTGCACTGACGGCTTGGACGTCCCCGTACCATAATGACCGGCAACCGACTGCAAGGCATGTCATATGCGGTGCTGTCATCGGTGCGCTGCGTCGGCAGTACGGTGCCTCCGGCGGCCTGCAGCATTGGCAGGCCACCTCGTGCCAGAGGCTGGACCCTTTCGCGCACAAACGACGTACCAGGGATCTGGAAAGCCCGTTTGGGGCGAGTGAGGATTTGACCGGGGTGGTCCGGCAAATATCTTGAGGTTTCGCTCGGGCGACCTGCGAGGCGAAGGTCAGTCGCAGCTCGCATCCGTTCCACGACAGACACTTACTTTGGCCCGAGCCAGGAGCGCCGCTCACATGCCTTCATGAACGACGCCCCTATCCCAGTACGGTCATGCGCTAGCCGGCAACGGTAGTCCGACAGAGCGGGCGTACACCGGCGGCGGGGACGTCCCCGTACATATTGACATAATGACCCGGCACAATCTGGTCGACAGTGGGTCGCAATGCCCCGTCTCCGCTGGTGCACGGCGTCGTCGGTACGGTGCCTCCGGCAGCCCACACCGAGGTGCAGGCCACCTCATGCCGGAGGCTGGACCCATTCACGCAAGTACGACGTACTGGGGATGTTTGATGCCCGTTTGGGACTTGGTAGTGGAGGATTTGAATGCGCTCGCCGGGATCATAGACCCTCGACGTCGGGACGTGGCCTACAGTGAAGGTCAGTCGAGGTCAACGACAGGCATGACTACGAGCACTCACATTGCCACGTCTTCCCACCCGCACGCCACAACTGGCTAGCCTCGTGGTCTGCCGGGCCGACGATGCGTCGGGTCTCAGACCAGTCAACGGCGGGACGGTCCCCGTACAGAGTCCGCGCACCGTGTCCCTACGGAGCCGCATAACAGCGAGGCTCCTGACCCTTGGTGCGCGTCTGCAGTACAGTTGCTTCCAGCTACCGACGACGCGAGTAGCTGGGCCTGTGTCGCCGCTATCATGGCGCGGACGACACCAGGCTGGACGGTCCCATCACCAATCGTGCAACGTACGGGTGTGCCCTTGCGGGACTTGTGTTTCGTCGTCTGGCATATGGCTTTGAACCCGTTGGAGGGATTTGTCTTCGCATAGGTCGGTCATAGTTGCATAATCTTGATGCACACATGTTGATGATGGGTCTTGCCGCACACAGGCTTGAGGCACACTATCTACCATTGCGGTCAGCGACTGCCTAGACCACGAGCCTTGACGCAGACTTACTGTTGTCGACGTCGAGAATGGCCACGCACCTTGTGGCGTTGTGGCTCTGCGGGTCGTCGCGTTAACGCGTGTGGCGTCGATGGATAGACGAGGAGGATGGAGTCAGGAGGGCGCAGTACGTCAGTGAGTGCTTCTGCTATGTCGATCGGCGAAGGAACATACCTAGTCTGCCGCTGTTTGGCGCGTGGCCCTCAGTTCAACTTGTGGCGCATCGTAGCTGGGCCGACCCATCCCACTGTTGGTGAGATGTGACTACGTGCGGCGGTCGAGTTGCTGTTGGCGAGGGAGAGGATGGGGCCGGGGACCCTACATGGCCGTCGGAGGGCAAGAGGGATGGGGGAAAAGTCGCGTCCGCCTCCGCTCCTTATACGCCTCCGTGTGGGTCCATGTTTGGTCCGACCAAACAATCCCTGGTGTCTCTTGTTTGCCATTTCGAGCTCAGCCGTCAAACTCGATTTGGGCATCTGCTTGTGGTCGATGCCTTATCGATAATCAGAGGCGTACCAGAAGCACGCACCACGCTGCCCTCCATCATCATGGGTTCTCCGAGCGTCGCAACGGCCTTGTTTTCGGTGACACGGCGCTGTTTCCCGACACGAATATGGCGAGGATGACTCGTCTTGGCTCTCTTATCGCTGTTCATCCTTGTGCTGTTCATTCTCCGCTGCGGCCTGCCGCATCAGCATCTTCGTCGAATATTCTGGGCTAACTCGGTCATCGGCGGTCCTCAACGGCAGGCCCTGCGTATTTGGGCACGAATGAGCGATACACTGATGCTCTCTCTTGCCAGCCAACGGGATACGTATACTTATGCAAGTTGTACGGTGTATAGTCACGTGGGAGCGCCTTCACAATCCCTATCGACTGGACGGGGGAAGTCGTAGTGGGCCTCGACCAAAGGTGGAACGCTAGAATCGCTCACCAGGTGATACGGGCGAAGCTGACTCGCCTTGGCATTCTTATCTCACCGAGCCTGGTACAGCCTGGTGCGACGGTTCCTTTGCCGAGTCCTGGCTGCTGGTTGAGAGATGACCGGTAGCGAGAGCCGTGAAGAAGCCGTCGTGAAGAAGCCGTCGTGAAGAAGCCGTCCTGACTTGCGGAAATAATTGAGCCCAGCGCAAGTGCTAGTAGGGGACAGATTCTGCCTCTGTATGATGTTTCGAACTTGGTATGCATGCATTCTCACTTGCCTACCGCAGAGCAACGTGTCTAAGGACTCTTTACTGTCGTGTTCTCAATACATCATTGGTGCCTAAACAGCGGACACTACATGCTCGGGCCGTGAGGTATGTTGTGCTCATAGCTTTTTGAAGATGCTCGTGCAATTAAAGTCATGAATGAGGTTTATGTTCAATCGCACAACCTTGAGCGTTTTGGGCGCCCACACGCGGAGTTCCTGCATGATGACATTGACATACTGTCCCCTTACCTCTCCCTCTACACACATGCATCAGCGTTGATCTTGAACGTACGTTCTAGATTCCTCATCGAATGACAGCTACTGAAACATAGACTACAGAGGCATCATTTGGCCGCTTTGCCCAAGCGCGCGATTGTATACGTCAGCGCCAGAGGCAAACAGAAGAATGTTTTGGCCGTACCCAACCGTTGACAGTCACGACCTCGGCGATCAGTCGTAGAGCATCCCACCGTTGATGTTGACGGATTGGCCTGAACTTCCCGGTCAGTAAATTAGCTATGCTATACTTGACTGCTTCGTACCAGTTATGTGATATGACTCAGGTCGAATCAGGTACGACACGAAGTCAGCGATGACGGTCGGTTGTGCGTCCGGAGTATCCAGAGGTACTCCAACAGCCTATACCTCCATGGTAAGCGTCGAACAGCTTCCTTGACGCAGCATACGCACCAGCTTGCCGGTGGATGCCGGGCCACCGTTCTTCTCGTCGTCGGGATGGAAGACTACGGCCAATTGGTGAGACTCGGGAGGGCGCTAAGATTTTGCTCGATCTCACTCATTGGAGTCAGGATGCTCCCCGGTGCGTATGTGTTGACAGTAATCTTGTGCTTTCTCCACTCAGCAGGTTTCCATGGGATCGACATCGGCAGATACCCGCGCATACCAAAGCGCAATCACGCACCACACGCTTGCGTCAAGGCACGCACGGCAAATTTGGAGGCGCAGTACGCGCTCAAGTTCTGGACACCTGTTCATAATGATGTCAGCTAATTGCTGTTTGTAGCCCACAACATATCACGACGTATTGCTCTTTGCCCGGGCCGCCACTGAGGACGCACCTGCGAATGAAACCCTTGGTTCAGTGTCGCTGGATACGGGGCGCTTCGAAGGTCTGTGCGCACCAATGATCCGTCCACCGCGTCCTGCTTGACCATTTGCATGGCGGCGTACTTGTAACATAACATGACACCGCGCACATTGATCGACAAGATGGTGTTCAGGTCATCCACCGAAGCTACGCCGTCGAAAGGTTCTATTGCGAGGACCAGGTATGAAGTGATGATAGTAGCGTACTGTCGAACATTGGCTTGACCATCAATATTCCGGCATTCGCTACCATCTACAAGAGTCAGTGTCAGTCGGTAGACTTTATCGTCTGTCATTCCATGCTCACCACATCGAGACCGCCGAATGTCTCTACGGTCTTGTCGATCATAGCAACGACCTTCTTCTCTTCAGTAACGTCGCAGTCAACGGCCAGGGCGCATCAACCCATGTCATCGATGCGAAGTTGGCCACCGAGTCCAGTTGCTCGCGCTTCGAAGGCAGGTCGCTGACTGGCACAACATCGAGTCCATCGGCGCCAAGGCGAATGGCAATGGCCTCACCTATGCCCTGAGCTGCGCCTGTGACAATAGCAATACGGGACATGATGAATACGAGAGAGGGTTGGGTAGACGGGCCTCCGAGTCTGCCTCACCGCCTGCGGCCGTCTTATAGCATACTGACTAGCAGCTGGTGCCTGCTTCTAATCGGCCATGCGCAGGAAGCTCGGTAGTCAGATGTCTATTCATGTAACCTGACGAGTGGGAGTACTCAGTAGTGAATATTTGAATCCGAAGGGTCATAAGTATCACAGACACCCATGCGGCTTGCGAGAAGTTTGAAGGCTGCTCTACTCTTAGTAGTAGACTCTGAGTCTTATTCCAAATGATCTCTTTTCTTAGCGCAGCCTGGCAATCGGCAAGGAAATACTGCCATCATATCAGTATGTAGTATCGAATCTCAATTCTTGTACCTCATGACGACATAGTGCACTACAGCCTGGCACTGGCAGCAGCTTCCAGTCACTGTAGGGTCATCCCTATCAGTAGTACCAAGTTCAAGTTTCAGCTTTCCGCCCATTACGTCGTGAAATGTTCCCAAACCAATACCGCCAGCACACAGAACTAGTCGTTCACGGTTCACGCTAGAGTACTTACTGCGCAAGCCTGGTTTACCGGGTCACCGCTCGTAGCAAGACAAAACAATGAGCCCAAGCATAGTCTGCATGACTGTTCGCAGCAGAGCTGATGCCACTTCCGCCACGTTCAGTCGACGTATGAGAGTGCATCACGTCACGGTAGTTGAGTAACGAGTCGATAATTGAGTTTCAGCACATTCGCGGCAGAACCAGAGAAAGCGCTGAGGAGCAATGAGCATGCCAGTACTACGTCGCAGGAGACTGTGAGCGTGGCCGGGAAAGGGTCGACTGTAGCCCTAGACAAATTGTTTGTCTGTTGAGGATGCAGAGTCCCGAGAGGTGCGAGGCGACAAAACATGGCAAAAGGTATGAGTCCTGCATTGCCCTATGACGCAGCTGAGAACCCCCCCGTCTGCGGGACCACGTAGCGGTCTGACCATGGAAAGGCGTGGTAGCAATGGATATAGAGAGCTAGAGCGAATAGAAAGTGGAACCTCTGAAGGTCACAACAGATATACAGAAAGTGTGCAATGCCATCCGCATCCATCGACTGGAGCAGCTGGGAAGCGGGAACACATGGGAACGCACCTGCTTCGCCCTTCCCTCAACGACAACTTATATGCACCAAAAAAGATGCTCCTTCTTTGCCTGAGATTAAGTTACGCCCGTCGTGCCGAGTACCAAGCACGAGTGCACGGTGACGCGATTCGACTCGCTGACGGAGGTCAGGACCACGCAGTCGTTATTGAGAATGAACCAGAAGTAGAGCCATCCGTAGCTGAGGCCTCAGGTATTCTTCGAATGTTCTGCGATGAGAATGCTCCTGAAGATGACTCTGGGAGTGCCCGCTGTTGGGCGATGACAGTCATGGACACACCGAGCAAGGCGGCGTTGACGGCGCTTGACGCTGGACCTTGAGGCGACGAGCGCTGAAGATCACATCGCTACTGAACCGGGCGCATAAGCGTTTACCAAACCGTCTTTGCTTCCGCACTAGTTCGTCACTCACCCAATACACCAGCCCGACTGGCAACCTGAACAACAGACGAGCACCCTGCTCATTGACTGTGTTACCACCCTCGCCGTTCATTGCGTCTGGTGACCTCGGTTGCCGGTGAACATGATTCCAGCCTAGTGACGAAGCAAACCCGAATGTGAACCCTTGTCAGCTGGAGCGCGGAACAGGCAGTACGCACGAACACCTTCTTTAAAATTGAACAGGGAATGTTGATTTGAGGTGTCTGAACTCGCAGAAGCGGACTGTATGATGCCGCGGTCAACGCCCTGGCCCCAATCTGGCTCAGGCCGAATGTACCGCAGTGGCCAACTTCACCAAAGGCATACGACTCTCCTCCGGTCAGATACTTCCTGTACGTGTGTAAGCATTTCAGTCTTCCTCTTTCGTTGTTGTATACTCATCAGACTGAAGCAGCTGATACCGCGAAGACCTCAAGATTACTCACATCTTTGGCTGCACTTGTGTGTTGCGGTACATATATGCGGGCTGTATCCTGCGCAAACTGGCGGACGTTTGCATTGACAAGTTAACGAAGTGAGTGACAGTATTAATGTCTTGAAATATATTCTGACTGCTCGGGGGAAGGTGGTGGGCGGAGGTAACCCGCAAAACGAACGACCGTGTCCTCCCAATTAGGAAACGGCTTGACAGCCCTTTCACAAACCTCTGTTAGTATTCACAAACGTGACTTTGTTGAATGCAAACCTTAAACGCGTTGAATGCGCCAAATAACACGCAAACAACGCGCCCCGCGGTATAAATACGGGTGCCCGCCGCGGGCTATAAAGCCAGCTGCCCCGCCCTCCCTCTCCCCACCAGCAGTCCGTCGCACCTCGCCTCTCGACTTCACTCTCAGAGTCTCACTCTTATTCGTTACTCTCCAACATGCGCTTATTCAACCTGCTTGTGGACGTCGGTGTCGGCGTCGGCACCCTCCTCAGCAGCTACTGCCCCGAAGACGGCATCGCCCCTACCTCCAAGCCTCCCGTTGTCATCGACAAGGCCTGCACTGCATGGGGAAAGACCGTCGACGCAGCATTCAACCCCGTCGGGTACGTCGTTGTTTCTCAATGCGCTCATCTCACATGTTCTGACATCTCGTCCACCAGACTCGCGTTCCTGGGCATCAAGGACGGCTCGTTCAACATGGGTTGGGATGGTGTTTTAATTGGGAAATGGCGAGGGTGCGTACATGCTTTCATCGATACCGTGCCTTGGCCTGACCCGCTTGGCGCACAGTGGTCACCTCGCCACCTGGGACGACGACATGTCGCCCGACGTCTCCTTCGTCAACGGCACGACCAACAGCGACATTGATATTCTTGATACCGGGGGTACGCCTGACCCCGGAGCGCCAACCTCAACGGCGCGGACTTCGGACGTAAACACCGGCACCAAGGATATCAAGCCCGCACCCTGCATCATCTGTTCTTCTCTCCGCGATGCACCTACCGCCACCGTCGACCGCCAGGCGACCATGGTCGCAGCCGACCTGGAGGCCGAGTACAAGTTGATGCCTCTCGTGGACTCCGAGTCGGTCGAGGCGGACTCGCCCCCGACCGAAGCGGAGAAGCTGATCGCGCTCTTCTACGCGTTCACCATCCCTTTCTGGACCGTCTTCATCTGGCTCAAGGTCGACACGAAGCGACGCACTCTCATCGACGACTTCGGCACCTCGCTCGCTCGCCGCTGCGCGGACTGGATCGCTATTTTCATCGCGGCGATCCTCCGACCTCTTCGCAACGCGCTCGCCTACTTCAGCCCGTTCGCGAAGATCATGAACGGCTTGACCATCCCGTGGGACTCGAACGGGAAGGTGTTCGTGACAACGAAGGACGGCAAGTGGATGGTACGTCTCCCCAACTCTCATCCCGCCCGCAGGTGTTGACATGTATCGATAGTCTCTGGCTGTCCTCTCGTCATCAGAGTACATTCTGGTAAAGGGCTCGCCCGACGACGAGGTATGTCTCCTTCACTCACCTACTGTCACTGCGATACTGATTGCCTCATAGGAGCCTGAACCTGAGCCTGCCGAGGCCGAGGAAGCAGGGCCTGCACGGCGCATCTCCACCTCTGGAGCCCGTGACAGCCGCCGGGGCCAGAAGAAGGCCAAGAAGGATGCGAAGGCAAAGGCAAAGGCCAAAGCAAAGGGCTGGGCGTGAGCTTCAGGTATGTTCCTCTGCATCTGGTACTGCCTTCGGCCTCTTACCGTCCATGCATAGCTCAGCCCCGCCCCGTCACTTTCCTCCTCCTCAACCTATCTGTATCGATATTCGGTCTCGCCTGGTCCCCTGTAGCGTTATGGTTTCCCTTCTCGGTTTCTCATCCACTTACGTTTCTTCCTTGTACTATACTGGGATCTCGGTGGCCGGCGAACCTCAGAGCACCGATGCCCCCGTGTGTTCTTGAGGTTCGTCGATCATCGGGGCGGGTCAGGCGAGCGGAGGGGCATTCCGCGAGTCTGGCCTGTAATCCCTTCCCCTTCTCCCTTTCCTCTTTTCTCTTCTTCTGTTTCCTCTCTACCGGTGTTGTTGTTCACCTCGTTTCATCTCTGGGTTTCGGTCTTGCATAGTGGTTCGGACATCTGCCTTCTTGTACTTGGCATCGGACTCTGGGACTCGGATTTGTATCTGGCGATTGTAGTCTTTATTCTAATGGACTTCGATCTGTAGCATGGTCATGTATTGATACGATATATATTCAACCGTCATTGATTGACTTCCCAGCTACATGCCGCAGTTTGTGTCGATCATTGTAACGCCTTGTACTTTCCTACGGTTTTGGCTATCCGCCTTCCCTATTCGACCTCTGGCGCTCTATCGCCTCGTCGGTCACATCGCCACTGCACTGGTCTTCGATATACTCCAGTTCCGTGCGCTATATATGTCATTGGTTGCTTGCGCGTCTCGGTAAAGAGCTGCGTGGGCCGTCTGGCGTCCGACTTTCCTTCCCACGAACACCCATCTGCTCAGTGAGGGCACCCAGACAAAGGATACCATACAGCAGCGGTGCGCATGAGGTAACTGTATCCCATTAGGCAAGTACAGTCAGTAAGAGTCTACGCAGTCGTTGACCTTTACATACTTACTACTACGGCATGACAGACGCGACATCCAACGTCGCCTCGACTCCGATTGTCCTGCCTGCCGAGATTCCGGTGTGAGGAGTTGGTGTGCATGTTCCACTCTCTGAACGCTTTCATGACTTCCCTAGCAGCCTGTCTAGTCACTGCCTACTGCGAAGAACGCGTCGAAGCAACTCTAGAGGGCGACGCGTGACGCCACGCGTTACGCGCAGACCGTCGGAGTCACGAGACCGCTCCTGTTGTGCATAATTTCTTATCCGGGTAAAGGCGATCGTCCTTGGCCGGTGCCTCAGAAGTCGATGCGCTACTCCTCCCTCCCTCCGCCCCTGTTTGGCAGCACTTTTGCCCTCGAGGCCAGCGTGGGCTGATCTCCGCTCTCGCGAGCACAATGTCGATCCCTCGAAGGTCGCCGGACTCGCCTCTCGATGAACCAGCCCCGGGAGCGAAGCTCGCAGCCGGCAATGACGCAGGATCACCGTTTGTTCACGACGGGTTACGAATGGGCGCGTCTCCCGTAGCACGAGCCGGGTAAGAACGTTCCTCGTACATAATCCTCATCGTTTGCGTGATCAGCTGCTGAACTGCTGTGTGACAAGCCTATTACAGCCGAGAAGCTTTGTGTCGTCTAGTTCAAAGTCTTCTCGTCCCCGCAATGCGGCGGTCCACAGCCAGGACGCCATCCGGGACAGCACTATGCACATCTCCAGGATACCCCTCCGCACGCCGAGCGCCACGCCTCACTCGGAGGACGCGTTCATATTCCCGGAGGTCGATACTACACGCGAGGCCGCCTCTACGGGAATCGCACCTCAGGCCGGTTCGACGGTGTCCCTTGTCTCCTCGAATCGCTCCACCGACAGCTTGACAGACCTTACTGCATCTACCACGACTATGGGCACTACGCCGTCTGGAGCTGCCACTCCCCGCGGACGCCAGGGCCCATCAGGGCTATCACTTCTCTTAGCTCGGCAGGTCCAAGACGAGTCCCCTGGAAGCTCGTCGACGCCGACTCCGACCCTGGAATATCCCAACGGACGTCTCCCCACTGACCCTGCTGGTGATGTGTCCTTGGAACACCCCTCAGCAAGATCTGCACTGTCTCCCGTTCGCTCCTTCGCGGGCGCTGCACAAGTCGACAGAGTCAGTGTGCATTCCGAGACGACACCTCTGCTGGTAGATCTGGAGGCCGCGCATCACGGCAACGGCGGGCTCTTCCACCCCAGTTCCAAGGGCAAGGAACGTGCGAGTCGGCTATTGTCCCTGCTGCGTCGCCCACCTGCACCACATCTCAGCCTGCATGCGGCGAAGGACACTGCAGTTATTGCCGTGCAGTCGCTGCCGGCGGTGCTTCTGGGCACGTTGCTCAACATCCTCGACGGCGTCTCCTGTGCGTACGTACTGCACGATCACGTTGGCCAGCGCTGAGGCTTCTTTACGTTCAGATGGCATGATCATATTCCCCGCGGCGGGGGTCTTCGTGGGGCTCGGCGGCACCGGGGTGTCGATGTTCTTCGTCTCGTGCGTGCCCTCGTGTTTGCTGCTGTAGACGAGGGTTGACGAGCTGACGGGGGCATTCCAGGGCGATCATCGCGCAGTTGATATACTCCGCCGGGGGAAGTGGCTTCGCGGGGGCGAATGGCAGTATGATGATTGAGGTTGTGGTAAGTACTCGCTTGTGTCATAGACGCGTCACAGGTGAAGATGTTATGATCTCTTTCTCTCTCCACAGCCCTTCTTCCACATCCTCGCGAACAGCATCGCGGAAGACATTGGCGAGGATAATCCCCGCGCGGTTCTTGCGACCACCATTCTGGCGTTTGCATTCTCGTCTATCCTCACAGGTCAGTTGTACGGTCTGCTGAACAACCCTGAATGCACATTCATCTGATGACTTCTTGCAGGGCTGATGTTCTTCCTCCTTGGCGCGCTGAGGCTTGGTTCACTGATCGGTTTCTTTCCACGGCACATCCTTGTTGGGTAAGCCGCCCATTCTCGCGTTTCCGCAAGTTTGTGTTGTTCACGTCAATCCGGACAGTTGTATTGGTGGCGTTGGTGTCTTCCTAGTGATCACAGGGTGAGCCACGTGCGTGCTTTGGTTGTATCTCCACTCAATGGTTTTGTGTCCATGTGCAGTTTCACCGTCAGTACAGGCATGCCCGAAGAAGACTTTGACTTCTCGCTGGAGGCTTTGACCTACGTCTTTCTGACGATCCGTAACGTCCTGCTGTGGGCACCCGCGCTCGCGTTGGCTGTCGTCCTGCGGCTGATCACGCACAAGTATGAGCACCAGCTCATCTTCCCGATGTGTACGTCCTATGACTTCATCTGTATACCTTCGGCACGGCTTCTGAACCATATCAACATAGACTTCCTTGCGGTTCCGGTGATATTCTATATCGTAGTCGCCGCTGCACACTTGAATATGGGTGCCCTTCGGGACAATGGGTGGCTGTTCGATATGGGAACGTCTCGTGAGCCTTGGTATCACTTCTACACATTGTTCGGTGGGTTCAACAGCGGCCCGCATTGTCCGAGTCACCCTAACTCTGTTCGCAGACTTCAGAGCTGTCCAGTGGGACGCGTTCTGGGCCACTCTGCCGACGCAACTCGCTCTGTAAGTCTCATGATTCAGTCGTCTTGGCGTGATTGGCAACGCTCATGTCAAATAGGCTGTTCTTCAACATCTTACACCCTCCTCTCAACGTCCCTGCTCTAGGTTTGTGATGGCGTGCACGTCTGTCAAGTCCAGGACTGACAATGACTGCTTAGCTGTCTCGTTGGATCACGATGTCGACACGAACAAGGAGTTAGTCGCTCATGGCTACTCCAATTTCCTTGCAGGCGCACTGGGTACAGTGTAGGTACCACTCAAGTGCACTGTCTCGTCCTGCGCGCTGAATGGTGCCTCGCAGGCCCAACTATCTCGTCTATGTGAACACACTGCTGTGAGTAGATCATGATATCAGGTTTGGTAGGCTTTGTTGTTGACGTCTTCTGATAGGTTCTACCGAGTGGGTGGAACGACGCGTGTCTCAGGCTTCATGCTTGCTGCCGCTACTGCGGTATTACTCCTGATCGGGACTGGACCTATTTCCTATATCCGTAAGTACCAGTCATAGCAGCGGTAATTACTTTTGCTGATGTGCGGTCCATCACGAAGCGGTCATGGTCGTTGGCGCCCTCATCTTTGTATTGGGTATTGATTTAGTCAAGGAGGCCTTGTGGGACACTAGACATCGTGTTAGTCGGTGAGTCATGCATGCTCCCCAATGTGCGTTCAGAAGTTGAACAGGACATAGGATGGAGTACATTACGATCGCCAGCATCATGATCTGCATGACTGTCTGGGACTTCGTGATCGGTGTCATCTTCGGTATTGTCGTCAGCTGTACGTTCGCCTCGGCCGTACACAGTCTGCCGGACCTTACCCATCATGTGTCCCTACAGGTGTGTTCTTTGTGGTACAGAGCTCACAACGAAAGAGCATCCGGACGTTACACACCGGCGAGACCGTCATGTCGACTGTGCGTCGGCCCGGTGCACATCGAGCCTACATACGCGAGGTTTCGAGGCAGACATCCATTGTCCGGTTACAGGGTACTCAGCTTCATCATTCAGGCGCTCGGTTTATTAACATTGCGATCCCACAGGTTTCCTCTTCTTCGGCACGATCACGCACGTCGAAGAGACAATCCGGACGCTCGTCGAGGGCCCCGCCTGGCAGCGCAACCCCGTGCGCTTCCTCATCCTCGACCTCAGCCTCGTCGCGGGCGTCGACATGTCCGCGGCAGAGGCACTCGTGCGCGTGCAGCGTCTGCTGGCGTCGCGGCGCGTGGTTCTCGTACTCTGCGGGTTCTCGCTGGAGTCGAACGTTGGGCGTTCGTTGAGAAACGTCGAGCTTCTGGACACGGAGGGCGTGGAACTGTTTGCGACCTTCAATGATGCCTTGGAGTGTGAGTGCTGGCTTTGTTCCATGTGGCGATAGGCAAGAGCTGATAGATGGGGTGTTAGGGACCGAGAATGTCTACCTGAGGACGTGGTTCAGCAGCCAAAAGACAGAGACTCAGGCAGTTGGTACGCGTAGTCCTCTGTGTTACTGTGTCACTGTTCATGTCCTCTACGCAGTGCTGCCTGGTCGGGAAGCCTCTAGTCTCGTGTTTGAGGAAGCCGTCGCCGCGACACCGAGAAACTTGCAGCTCGTCGAAGCCGGATGGCGTACCATTGCCCGAGGTAAACCATTTGAGAGGTGGATGTAGAGACACCCTAGCTGATGTTACCACCTCATCAGATCACTCCCCGCCAGATGACGAAGTCGCGGAGGCACCCGAGCCCTACAACACCCTTGTCAAGGTGTTCTCCTCGTACGGGCCAGTCGACAGGGATGGATTTGCACCGCTCATCCAATGCCTCGAGCGCGTCTGCCCCGCAGAAGGCACGGTCCTCTGGCGGCAAGACGACGAGTCTGATGGGCTCTACATCGTAGAGTCTGGCGTGCTGAGGGCTACGTACCAGTTCGGCGAGCACACGCGCCCGACGGAAGAGTCCATGGTCCCGGGCACGCTAGCCGGCGAGCTCTCTACCTTGAGTGGCTTGTCTCGCAACGCGACTTGCGTTGTGGAGCGGCAAGCAGTTCTGTGGAAGCTTAGCACCGAACATCTGCGTCGGCTGGAGGAGGGGGAACCTAAGCTGGCGAGAGAGTTCACGAGATTAGTGCTGAAGGGTGCGTCCGCTTCCATCGCTCAGCGTGTAGGATGTATGCCTGACAACTCTGGTGTAGCTGCAAAACTCGACTACGACACCCTCATCGCCGCGCTCGCTACGCGGCAATGAGTTGTGAAATTGTGCTTTGAGATGCGACGAATTTACACTTCATGTATCGATACCTATAGACCGGGAGTCTTGAACGGTCTATTGACCACTCCTACGACCATGTATGACACAAGACTATCCCGCAGCTACACGACACAGCCTGTACTACATATCACGCCAGTATACCATATATAGATGTCATGACTATCGGTTATATGCGCACCCTCTGGACGTTGTGGCGACGGCTGCGCACATCCGACTCCCCTGCTGCTTTACTCTCCGCGCCGCTGGGCACGAGAACTCTGGGATCTCAGCCTCACATGCGGTATCTAATTCGTGGCTGCGTGGCCCTCGTACGACAGGGTGCTGCTGCATGATGACTTACGGAAGGCGTCTGACAGCGTCTGACACAGTCGGCGAGGATGGGGCTGGCAGAGCGCTCACAGCGCTCACAGCTTGGTCGCAGCTCTCATACCGCTCGCTACGATGGCTTTCGACCTCGGCACACCCGTGAACACCGCTCTGCTGCTGTACATCCTCTATGCTGTGCAGCGCATCCTCTTGCCATCCAACTCCCAGTCGAAGAGCGTCCCGCATGAGTTCAAAGGCGGCTACTCGTGGATGCCCAAGGCGCACCCTCCCACACTCCTGTTCAAGACGTACACGCCCAAGACGCTCGAGCCGTTCAACGGAGAGGACGGGAAGCGCATCCTGCTGGCGATCAATGGCATTGTGTACGACGTGACGGCAGGACGCAACTTCTATGGCCCTCGTATGTTGTCCTCGGATTAGCCTGACGTCAGTGTGCTCATCCGTTCTGCAGAGGGCATGTACGCCAACTTTGCTGGTCGCGACGCCTCTCGCGGCATGGCGAAGCAATCCTTTGATCTTGGTACGCATAGTCTCTGTCTTGGTTGCTGGCCATGCTCACGACCTCGCTGCAGAGATGTTGACCCCACTCGACCAGCCGCTTGACAAGCTGGATGATCTCACGCCCGACGAGATGTGCGTTGCTTCGGTTTCTACTTGTGTGCACTCATTGAACCTCGAACGATTGGCAGCGAGAACATGCGAGGTATGTTCATACGCTCGTTCGTCTGCACGTACTCTGACAGGGATCACACCAAGGCTGGATGGACCACTTTTCCAACAAATACATCGTTTGTGGCAAGCTCGTTGAGAATGGTGCGGTCTAGGCCCTGTCTTCCCTTTGTAAAATACAGTCGTTGCTTGTGGATGGTATGTAAGATCATCAGGTGTACCCTAACGCCGCAGTGTAATCTGTTTGCATGGCGTGTTTCCGTTGGCCCTCGATGGTTCTGGGGCATAGCGAGTCGCTGGGCTCACTACGAAACTTTCGTGGTACCGGACGTGTGCGTTGACACTTTCACGTATAGCACAGGAACAGAAAGAAAGAGGAAACATCATTTGCACCGAACACGCAAGATGACAGTTCGTCCCTACGCAGTCCGCGCGCGCTGGCTGTGAGTTCGGATCCGCAAGGAACGACTGCTCTTCAAGGTATATCCAGACTTCTTCCCCAGCTCGTCGTCGTACGCCTCAGTCCTACATTCAGCGATCTGGCCAACCGGGAGAGCATGCTATCGCCAATATGGTGTGTTGCTCCGGTGGCGTGACCCTCGCGGCGAGCATCAACGTACCCCTCCGTTGTACTGCAGAGCTTCCGGCTTCGTGCCAGCGCAGATGCTGCGTGAGGGCACCGAACGGCGTTGGGCAACTTGCATGTTGGGCTTGATGTCGTTCTCGAGTTAGTTCCACAATTTCTCCGCTTGGGCAACGTCGACTCGAACAGGACGTATGGCATCCGCTATAAGTACAACTTCGAGGCTCCCCACGACTGGACTCCTGCGCACGGGCGATACCCAATTGGCGAGACACGATCCTCAAGCCAGGGGATGCTGTGACCTCATACAAGCTCAACGTTTCAAGTTCAGTCCAGATTGTCAATGTCAGTGCAGTATCGACACGTAGATGAGGACCATCGTCTTCGAAGTCAAGCGAGACAAAAGAATAAATATCGTATAAATACGTGACCATGCTACAGATCGAAGTCTATGAGAATGAACTCTACAATCGCCGGGTACAAATCCGAGTGCCAGAGTCCAATGCCAAGGACAAGAAGGCAGATGTCCGAACCGCTATGCAAGACCGAAACCCAGAGATGAGACGAGATGAACGACAATACCAATAGAGAGGAAACGGAAGAAGGAAAAGGGAGAAGGGGGAAGGGGAAGGGATTACAAGCCAGACTCGCGGAATGCCCCTCCGCTCGCCTGACTCGCCTCGATGATCGACGAACCTCAAGAACACACGGGGGCATCGGTGCTCTGAGGTTCGCCGGCCACCAAGATCCCAGTATAGTACAAGAAAGAGAAGTAAGTAGATGAGAAACCGAGAGGATGGAAACCGTAACGCTACAGGGGACGAGGCGAGACCGAATATTGATACAATAGTTTGGGGAGAGTGGTGATGCGAGGCGGGGCTGAGCTATACGCGGACGATCAGGGGTGTGCGGCGGTGTGAGATGCGGAGGGACATACCTGAAGCTCACGCCCAGCCCTTTGCTTTGGCCTTTGCTTTTGCCTTCGCATCCTTCTTGGCCTTCTTCTGGCCGCGGCGGCTGTCACGGGCTCCAGAAGTGGAGATGCGCCGTGCAGGCCCTGCTTCCTCGGCCTCGGCAGGCTCAGGTTCAGGCTCCTATGATGCAATCAGTATCGCAGTGACAGTAGGTGAGTGGAGGAGACATACCTCGTCGTCGGGCGAGCCCTCTACCAGAATGTACTCGGATGACGAGAGGGCAGCCAGAGACTATCAATACATGTCAGCATCGGCGAGCGCGATGAGAGTCGGGGACACGTACCATCCACTTGCCATGTTTCGTTGTAACGAAGACCTTCCCGTTCGAGTCCCACGGGATGGTCATGCCATTCATGATCTTCGCGAACGGGCCGAAGTAGGCGAGGGCGTTGCGAATGGGTCGGAGGATCGCGGTGATGCAAACAGCGACCCAGTCTGCGCAGCGGCGAGCGAGCGAGGCGGCGAAGTCGTCGATGAGAGCGCGCCGCTTCGTGTCGACCTTGAGCCAGATGAAGACGGTCCAGAAAGGGATGGTGAACGCGTAGAAGAGCGCGATCAGCTTCTCCGCTTCGGTCGGGGGCGAGTCCACCTCGACCGACTCGGAGTCCACGAGAGGCACCAACTTGTACTCGGCCTCCAGGTCGGCTGCGACCATGGTCGCCTGGCGGTCGACGGTGGCGGTAGGTGCGTCGCGCAGAGAAGAGCAGATGATGCAGGGTGCGGGCTTGATATCCTTGGTGCCGGTGTTTACGTCCGAAGTCCGCGCCGTTGAGGTTGGCGCTCCGGGGTCAGGCGTACCCCCGGTATCAAGAATATCAATGTCGCTATTGGTCGTACCGTTGACGAAGGAAACGTCGGGCGACATGTCGTCGTCTAAGATGGCGAGGTGACCGCTGCGCGCCGAGCGGGTTCGAGTCAGGCCAAGGCACGGTATGGGTAGAAGTATGTACGCACCCTCGCCATTTCCCAATTAAAACACCATCCCAACCCATGGTGAACGAACCGTCCTTGATGCCCAGGAACGCGAGTCTGATGGATGAGACATCAGAATATGCGTGCAATGAGGAACAGCGCGACGTACCCGACGGGGTTGAATGCTGCATCGACGGTCTTGCCCCACGCGATGCAGGCCTTGTCAATGACGACGGGAGGCTTGGAGGTAGGGGCGATGCCATCTTCGGGGCAGTAGCTGCTGAGGAGGGTGCCGACGCCGACACCGACGTCCACGAGCAGGTTGAAGAAGCGCATGTTGGAGAGTAACGAGTAAGAGTGAGACTCTGAGTGTGAAGTCGAGAGGCGAGGTGCGACGGACTGCTGGTGGGGAGAGGGAGGGCGGGGCAGCTGGCTTTATAGCCCGCGGCGGGCACCCGTATTTATACCGCGGGGCGCGTTGTTTGCGTGTTATTTGGCGCATTCAACGCGTTTAAGGTTTGCATTCAACAAAGTCACGTTTGTGAATACTAACAGAGGTTTGTGAAAGGGCTGTCAAGCCGTTTCCTAATTGGGAGGACACGGTCGTTCGTCTTACGGGTTGCCTCCGCCCACCACCTTCTCCCGAGCAGTCAGAATATATTTCAAGACCTTAATACTGTCACTCACTTCGTTACCTTGTTAATGCAAACGTCCGCCAGTTTGCGCAGGATACAGCCCGCATATATGGACCGCAACACACGAGGATAGCCAAAGATGCGAGTAATCTTGAGGTCTTTGCGGTATCAGCTGCTTCAGCCTGATGAGTATACAGCAACGAAAGAGGAGAACTGAGATGCTTACACACGTATATACAGGAAGTATCTGACCCGAGGAGAGGTGTGTGCCTTCGGTGAAGTTGGCCACTGCGATTGAGGCCAATGCGTTGACCGCGGCATCATACAGTCTGCTTCTGCGAGTTCAGACACCTCAAATCGACGTTTCCTGTTAAAGTTTGCAGAAGTTGTTCGTGCGTACCCCCTGTTCCGTGCTCCTGCTGACGAGGGTTCACATTCGGGTTTGCTTCGTCACTAGGCTGGAATCATGTTCACCGGCGACGAAGGCCACCAAACGCAATGGACGGCGAGGGTGGTAACACAGTCAACGAGCAGGATGCTGGTCCGTTGTTCATTTTGCCAGTCGGGCTGGTCTATTGGGTGAGTGACGAACTAGTGCGGAAGCAAAGACGGTTGGGTAAACGCTTATGCGCCCGGTTCAGTAGCGATGTGATCTTCAGCGCTCATGCACATGGTCCAGCCTGGTCCAGCGTCTCCGCGTCAACCGACTCAACCTGATTCAACGCCCTTGCCATGACTGTCGTCGCCCAACACCCAACCAACACCGGTCTCTCCCAAAGTCATCTCCAGAAGCAGTCTCAATACCACACAACGACCGAAGAATACCTAAGGCCTCAGCTACGGATCGCTCTACCATATCGATCTTCTCGTCCATTCTCAATAACGACTGCCCCCATCAGATTGAACAGCGTCACCCTGCACTCGTCCTTGCTACTCAGTATGTCGGGCGTAATCTCGGGCGAAGAGAGAGCATCATGTTGGTGCATATAAGCTGTCAGTGAGGGAAGGGCGATCAGGTGCGTTCTCGTGTGTTCCCGCTTCCCAACTGCTCCAGTCGATGGATGGGGATGGCATTGCACGCTTTCCGTATAATTGTTGTGAGGGGCAGGGGCTCCACTTACTACTCTTCCTAGCCTTCTACATCTGTCACTACCACGCCTTTTTTGCCTGACCAGACCGCTACGTGGTCCCGCAAACCTGGGTTCTCCATGAGGATCAGCCGGGTCATAGGGCAACGCCGCACTCATACCTTTTGCCATGTTTTGTCGCCCCGCGCTGCTCGGGACTCTTCTTCCAGGTCCACAGTCTGACCTTTCATACATAACCCTCCCCGTCGGCACCCAGCTGAGCTCAGATGTCGTCAGAGTCATGCGTTGACAGCCTTGAGCTAGATGCCGTAACGTTTTTACGGCATATACCTCAAAGCATGGCAGCGCGAGCTTTATCCCTTTCAAGGTATGCTCACCAATCTAGGGCCGCGTCGACAGGAAGGGTTGCTTTGCTTTGCTGTCGGACGAGCTCAAGCCGGTTATTATATGCATACAGCCAATCAGCCCGTATTGTGTGTGTTTGCTCGCGGAGTGTTTCAAGGATCACGATTGTCGACCGCGCTATTGTGAAGGCGCTCTGACACTTACTAAGTACGTTCGTACACACTATGCATCAGATGACATCTCTCGTTCAAGCAGTCTTGCCATAGATTGACGATGAATGGTTTCGGAACCGGCCGTCTGGCTTCACCGCATTTCCTTCGGGGCTTAAAGCTTGAAAGCGGCTTGTCATTTTAGTGCATGATCGCAGGCTCTAGTTCCTTCGCTCAGGCATGTCATCCACACAATCAGCGCTATCGTCTATGATGCTCGGATACACTCGCACATCTTTGGCGGTCGCTGCAGTAGCTCGAAGTAGTTGGACACACTACCTCGTCGCGCCGGTGACCAGCAGGTCGTCGACACAGACGTGATCTATCATCCTCGTATGTCCGCTCATATTTCTCGTAGTTGCAAGCTATTGATTATCATACAACATCGCATCTTAGAAGCGCGGCTTCACCCTGCCATCTGGGCCCTTTGTTGACGTGGATTGATTGCGCCCATCCATTCTGCTGCGTCTCTCATATGTGGACGAGGTCGAACCTATTGTTCATCACGTAGGATGCCGCTGTTCTGTGATTGTTTGCGCGTCTGTGGCTTGATCTTCCGATCTTCACAATTCAAACTGGGTTTAAGTTAGATGTGCCATCTCGCCGAGCCACCGCCGCCCTTACCACACGCGCGGAGTGTCCCTAGATCATGATACGGTCTGCGCCGCATAGCCATCCATAAAGCCCATCTCACTCACACTCGCAAATTCCCCGCAGCCAACATGGATCGATCCCTCTACAAGACTGTTATCACGAAACGTGATCTCAAGTACAGCTACGCGTCCATCCCCGCTGAAGGCACGCCCAGAGATACGCTCCTCTTCGTCCATGGCTTCCCCTCAACTTCGTACGACTGGCGCAACCAGGTCGATTTCTTCAGGAAGGCGGGGTTTGCGCTGATCATACCCGATTTGCTGGGATCGGGCGAGACGGACAAGCCGAGGGACACTGAGCTGTTCAGGCCGAGTGCGATGGCGGCGGACGTCATCGATATCCTCGATGCGGAGAACGTGGGCGAGGTCATCGCGATTGGTCATGACTGGTTCGTGGCTTTCACCGGCTGCGATTCATACTGTAAGCTGATACAAACGTTGTGTGAACTACAGGGGAAGCATCCTCACGTCACGCCTGGCAAGCTACTATCCGGGGCGTTTCAAAGGGTTCGCTTTTTTCGCCGTCGGGTACTCGCCGTCGGCTGCCGAGTTCGAGTATGAGGCAGCTATGGCGTTGATCAAGCAATACATCGGTTACGAGACGTATGGCTACTGGCAGTGCGTTGTTTTTTCTCACGATTTGTGCATGGGCGGTGCTAACGTAGCCCAGTTTCTTCTGCGAAGACGGCACGGCCAAGGTTATCGAGGAACATGTAAGCTTGTGTTGATCATGGAGAAATCCATGGTGGCTGCTGACTATCGGCCTCTGTTAGTTGGACTCCTTCCTGAGCGCGTTGTATCCATTGGACCCTGCGACATGGAAGACCGACATGGGACCGCGGGGCACGCTGAAAGCGTGGATACTGAATGACCGGAAGGCGCCTTGGCCGTCTTACCTCAAAGAGGAGGTAGATCGCATTCCTCGTCTCACGTTATTCAATCCTTACATCCGCGAACGCTATGACAGGACGTGAAGTACATCTCTGATCTGATCAAGAGATACGGAATCGACTCTTCGCTCAACTGGTACAGGACCTATCTCAGCGGCATAGCTGCGGCGGATGACAAAGGTATACTGTTCGTTGATTCGAGCTTCTTGAAGAGCTTATCCCTTCTTCCGCAGGCATTCCCGCAGCCAACCAAACCATCACGAAACCAGTGTTGTTTGGTGCCTGCCAGAAGGACTACGTGTGCATTCCCGTGCTGTCTGTGCCAACGATGCAGAAAGTATGTACGAACCTGACAATCAAAGACTACGATACTGGGCACTGGGTCCAGCTCGAAGCGTCAGACAAGGTCAACGCTGACCTTCTGGAGTGGATCAACGGATTCACGGAGAAGGCGTAGGATGCACATGCCTGTCGTGAAGCCGATGGACATGTGTGTCTGTACTCAGAACCTTGAGGCGCCCTCTCGATGGTGTATATTAGTTGTTTGACACGTGTACGTATACGAAACTGCGTTCATCTCTCGAACACCGGGAAAGGGGAGCTCAGCGGCTCAGCAGAGACTGCTAGTGATGACTGTCCTTATTTTAATCGGGTATGACTTGATGCCGTATGCATGGCCGCACCTAATTTACAATGCGCTTTTACTGTTGACTGTCCTCACGAAACTACTCTTATAAGTGCATTGGTACGACGGTCATCATGAGCAGGGACGTCCATTCCCAATCAGGAAGCTGACGGCATCATTGATTGGCCGCCACACGCGATCACATGACATGAGGCTGGTGTTGAAGTCCGCGCCGCCCTCAGCCTCATAAAAGACGGGTTACATACGAGACCGACCCAACCGACCTTTCCTCCTCACCACCACCCAGCCTTACTGCCTCGGAACCCGACCTGTCCTCTTCTCCTACGGTGTAACGTGCTCGTATGCATGGCGATGGGGGCCGACGCCACCTGAAGCTGATGCTCATGCCGGTGAGTTCGTCCCAGCCCTTGCCAAATATATTCTCACAGGTTCACCTTGCTTGGCCATCGACCTCAGTCAAGACGATTGTTTGAAGGAAGCAACCCGCAAGACCGTGTCAAGGTGGTCCAGGATCAGCTCAAGGCGGTGGAAGACGCTCCCCCGGTCGACCGTTTGGGTTCTGGCTCTGGTCTGTGGCACCTCATTCCCATTCCGTCATTGGACTCGACTCGACTCCGCTCCGCTGTATCTGGGTATCTATCTCTGGCTTCTGTCTCGAGGTCTGGCTCTCCCCGACTGCTGCGGCTACCCCCCAAGTTCTCTAGAGACCTGTCTATCGTCGACTCTAGCATGGTGTGTCCTGGCTCTGGCTGATTGCTACTCATCGATCCACCTGGGGCTCTTAGGCGACTGTGACTGCTTTGCTTTGCTTCGGACTCCATGGCATTGTCTTCACTCGACTGGCTCTGCTTTTGGACTTGAGTCACCGCTCGGCTACTCCCGCCACTTACGGTCGAACGCTCTGTGCTTGGGTCCTCACGGGGTCCCTTGTCGGTCTCTTGCCAGCTGCACTCTGGCGGCACTTCCACTCACCCCGCTAGTCTCTGAGCTTGACCTCGCCAATCGGACCTCGCCGATGCGGTCGCTGCGGTGCCACGGGGCTCTGGACACCCAATAGTCGCTTGCTTGCCTCTGTGTCAACTCCCCTGCTGTGCACGGATTACTCATGATCAAGTCCCCTTGCAACATATGCTCAGGTAAGTCCCGAGGGAGGGCGGACGCGTGAGCGTCCGTCCTGACGCAGACCTTTTCGTTGGTCCTCGGGATAAGTAGCCCTTGTGCGTGCGAGGCCAAGACGTGCTCAGACGCACAGGGTGAAACCAACATGCGTCTCAATTCTCTCCTTTACCTTTTGAGCGACGCTGATGTATGCTTGGCCATCATACTGCAGATATGTGCATGCGTTAGCGCGACTCGATTTCTTCCTGATGAGGCCGTGCACTACTCGGCCTGAGAGCGATTGACAATGCTGGCCGCGTATTTCTGGGTTTGAAATCGATCCTGTTCAACGCCTCCCTCTCGTAGTCGAGTATCCCTAATATTATTTGGGTCATCTGTTGACGGATGTAATGCATACCAGCTGTCAGGCATCTTCGACAAGATCTTCGAGATACATATATTCTACTGGTGATGCTGTCCAAGTGCGACTGCCCCTGTAAGGTGCAATCGGTAGGTGCAATCGCCGGTACGAGTCGACAATGGCAATCATATGCATAGGAATGTACCGCCTGGTCGCTGCACCGTGCGGTTCAGCGGCCATTACGGACAGTATTCGCCAAATATTCGCCGCAAAATCCAAGGCGAGTGATAACGTATGGTTTGGCTTGAAGGTATCTTATATGGCTTTGCAAACAGGTCGCTTGAGGCGTTGCTTACACGGCTTCCGCCCCGGACGTCAAATACGCAACGAGCCAATAACGCGTCGCAGGAAGATCGATAACAGCACCGCTCATCCCTGATCTCGCTGCAAGCGTTCTGCGTCGAAGCCTTCTCCGGAGTTCCATCGCAGTCACCGCCGCAATCATAGAATGCTGTGAAGGCGGCCGGGACATATCGAACCAGTCTCTGGCTTGCGCAGACCTCGCCCACGCCTACTTACTAGTAGAAGCAAACGTAGAAGCAAACAACTCTGCGTATCAGGTAACAAATCCAGTTAACATGAATCAACCGTCGCGCAGAAAGTCGGCGAACTCATTCAAGTCCATCGACCCGCCGCGCCTCTCGTGCAGAAATTTCAATGGAAACGCTAGCGCGGCCGGCCTGGGCGGAGAAGCAACACCACACGCGCAAGCACTGCGATAAGGGGAGTCATCCTCGCCATATTCGTGTCGGGAAACAGCGCCGTGTCACCGAAAACAAGGCCGTTGCGACGCTCGGAGAACCCATGATGATGGAGAGCACCGCCCACAGCATGGTCCGTGCTTCTAGTAGGGCTCTGATTATCGATAAGGCATCGACCACAAGCCGGTGCCCAAATCGAGTCTAACGGCTGAGCTCGAAATGACAAACAAGAGACACCAGGGATTGTTTGGTCGGACCAAACATGGACCCACACGAAGGCGTATAAGGAGCGGGGGCGGACGCGACTTTTCCCCCATCCCTCTTGCCCTCCGACGGCCATGTAGGGTCCCCGGCCCCATCCTCTCCCTCGCCAACAGCAACTCGACCGCCGCACGTAGTCACATCTCACCAACAGTGGGATGGGTCGGCTCAGCTACGATGCGCCACAAGTTGAACTGAGGGCCGCGCGCCAAACAGCGGCAGACTAGGTATGTTCCTTCGCCGATCGACATAGCAGAAGCACTCACTGATGTACTGCGCCCTTCTGCTTCCATCCTCCTCGTCTATCCACCGACGCCACACGCGTTAACGCGACCGACCCGCAGCTGAGCCACAACGCCACAAGGTGCGTGGCCATTCTCGACGTCGACAACAGTAAGTCTGCTTCGTGGTTCGTGGTCTAGGCAGTCGCTGACCGGAATGGCAGATAGTGTGCCTCAAGCCTGCGTGCGGCAAGACCTATCATCAATATGTGTGCCTCAAGATTATGCGACTATGACCGACCTATGTGAAGACAAATCCCTCCAACGGGTTCAATGTTCTATGTCAGACGACGCAACCCAAGTCCCGCAAGGGCACACCCGTACGTTGCACGATTGGTGATGGGACCGTCCAGCCTGGTGTCGTCCGCGCCATGATAGCGGCGACACAGGCCCAGCTACTCGCGTCGTCGGTAGCTGGAAGCAACTGTACTGCAGACGCGCACCAAGGGTCAGGAGCGTCGCTGTCATGCGGCTCCGCAGGGACACGGTGCGCGGACTGTGTATGGGGACCGTCCCGCCGTTGACTGGTCTGAGACCCGACGCATCGTCGGCCCGGCAGACCACGAGGCTAGCCAGTTGTGGCGTGCGGGTGGGAAGACGTGGCAATGTGAGTGCTCGTAGTCATGCCCGTCGTTGACCTCGACTGACCTTCACTGCAGGCCACGTCCCGACGTCGAGGGTTTATGATCCCGGCGAGCGCATTCAAATCCTCCACTACCAAGTTCCAAACGGGCATCAAACATCCCCAGTACGTCGTACTTGCGTGAATGGGTCCAGCCTCCGGCATGAGGTGGCCTGCACCTCGGTGTGGGCTGCCGGAGGCACCGTACCGACGACGCCGTGCACCAGCGGAGACGGGGCATTGCGACCCACTGTCGACGAGATTGTGCCGGGTCATTATGTCAATATGTACGGGGACGTCCCCGCCGCCGGTGCACGCCCGCTCTGTCGGACTACCGTTGCCGGCTAGCGCATGACCGTACTGGGATAGGGGCGTCGCTCATGAAGGAATGTGAGCGGCGCTCCTGGCTCGGGCCAAAGTAAGTGTCTGTCGTGGAACGGATGCGAGCTGCGACTGACCTTCGCCCCGTAGGTCGCCCGAGCGAAACCTCAAGATATTTGCCGGACCACCCCGGTCAAATCCTCACTCGCCCCAAACGGGCTTTCCATATCCCTGGTACGTCGTTTGTGCGCGAAAGGGTCCAGCCTCTGGCATGAGGTGGCCTGCCAATGTTGTAGGCCGCCGGAGGCACCGTACCGCCGACGCAGCGCACCGATGACAGCACCGCATATGACATGCCTTGCAGTCGGTTGCCGGTCAGTATGGTACGGGGACGTCCAAGCCGTCAGTGCAAGCCCGCATCGTCGGGTAGTACTGCAGCGTGCTAGCGCACATCCGTACTGGGAAGAGGGGCGCCGCTGCAAAATGCTTAAAAATGATATAATGAGCAGCGCCCCTGGCTAGGGTGGATCGTGAGTGTTCGTGGTCACCGGAGTTCATGCCGACACTGACCTTTGTTGCAGGCACACCCGAGCCAAACCTCAAGCTGTAGCTACTATCATCCACCGCTCTACATCTCCCCGCTCTTCCCCATCGACAATCGCTTTCCCTCCGACTCTCTTGCCCATCACGGGTGACGCTCTGCTCGTGCACAGCGCGAGCGAGCAACAACTTGCCGTCTTAAGCCCAGTCGGGTGTCCGGCGGCACGGGGGTTTTTAGTGGGTAAAGCAGGGGGACCAGAGCACCGCTACGGACAAGCCGAGCTAACAACGACCGCGACGAAGATGACGACGGCGAAGCGGTGCGATGACGGTCCCGAGTCCCACACTGTTCTCCCTTTTGGGAGTTCGTGCGTAACTGCATTTCCCCCCGGGAGGAAACGAGCCTCGTCTCGAGCTCGTTGTAGTCCGGTGACGGGCCCTCCGCTCAAAAAAAAAAAAAAGAACGCGCAAGCGCAAGAGTCGTCCGCGGCTTGAGGGAGCATTCGAAGTCGACAGGTGAGTCGCATTCCTGTGCGCACGTTCGATTGTCGCTGAGCAAGTTGTGAACCTACTGCAGGCTACTCCCAGTGGGTCGCCTCCAGAGTCAACGTGACTGCGTAATGAACTTGTTCTTCCGTTCTAGTATTTCCTATATACTGACGTCCCCTCGCAGATCGCACGGTTGTTCTCAGGCGACGCGATTTAACGCTCGGTTCCTTTTCTCCGCTGGAGATCTACGCTAAGCGTCCCGGTCGCGGTCGCGGTGTACCTTTCCCACTTTGAGTAGCTTTGGGACTCGAGAGCTTGTACATGGAAATTTTGCGTATATTGTCCGCTTATGAACCGTTGTACGGCCGTCTGGCATCGCCCAATGAGCACAGGATAACGATTTGTGATACTTTCCTGCAATCCGAGCGTGACATCTTGTGGTTCCTGCCAAGTCTACTCCTACGCATGAGTCTCTAGATCCTGTGGGACCTGTGGATGATCGCAGCGTCCACATCAAGTTTACTGAGGCGGGGCCTAGTACTGCCTAGTACGCACTGCCGCAGGGGCCCGTCTTCATGCATCATGGCGCACTGGATAACGCTCAGCAATATTCGGGCTGATTCAGGAGAGGGTCGGAGTCACCGTCAACGATACAGAGGCCGCTTGCAGTGATCGTCAGTGGGATTTGGGGAGGAGGACTCCTAGAAACCACGTCGTGGTCGAGGGAGAGCCCGGTAGAGGAAAACGCGGTCACGCCACACACGCGCCCAGTTGAGCGCCTACCAACTTGCTCCCGTCCATTCTCCGCCACGACCTTGTCACTCTCTGTATGCTCTCAACAGCGTGCGTTCGTTGAAGCTGAAGGAAATCATGCTACTGTCTACACGTCTACATGATTGCTCCGAGTCCACGCCCCCAGGATAGATTGCACAGGTGCGATTGTATGCATGAGCGTTGGCAAGGTCGCCGCCACAGCGACTGGTTGTCCTCCATTCGTGAGTGTTTCGTCTGCAATGCTCTATCCTATTTTATTGACCGGGAATACTGCAGAAGCCATAGCGTACTGTTCTGTGCTTGCTACTCCGGCAGGATGGCAGGTGTGCAGACACCCTTGCTGTCAAGCCTGACGGGTATGGCCCGACTAGGCAACATGCTCGATCGTCACATCCGCGGGTCACGTATGTTCGAGTAGGATGTCCCCCTCCTCTACCCCTGTGACCCCCTCTGCGACCTGCTGCGTCTGCGACACCTATGCCGCTGGCCCGCACCCACTTCCGCAACAAAACCAAGTCGCCTGCGCCCAACGCTGCTCAGTTCACCGCTGCGTCTCGGACACCTGTCTTTCTCCCCCCATCGCACTACGCTGCAGCCGCAGGCCTTGACTATGAAACCATAGCACGCTCGCGTGCCGATGACATCTCTCCCGGACAACCACAGCAGCCCGGGGACTCCGCGTTCCAGCCGAGTTTCAACCCATCATCCCCACTTGCGTACCCCACACAGACTGAGGTCGCCGAATCGCAAACACGCGCGAGTCCTGCCTTGCACCATTCGGGGTTCAACCGCGTGAGTCGCTTCATTGCTCGTAGTCCGAGTCTGGGGAAGGCAGCCGCCGCCCGGCGGGCCACCAAGGCAGAAGAGAAGGCGAAGGTGGAGGCAACGCAGAGGTCGAGTCGCATGGTGGATCTGCCCCTTGTCGAGCTACAGCTGATCCCTACGCTCCGGGACACCATCGACAAGATGACCCACCCCCCGACGCCCGCAGCGATCCACGACGAGGAATTCGATGGCGCCATAGTGCATGCGAAAGCGCACGCATATACCGACCTAGACGTTGATCACTCTTCGGCGAGCTCCCAAGCATCGTCGTGCTCCTCAGGGGTGTCATCTATGCGCCAGTCATCCACGAGGGCCGATTCCTTAGACAACTATGCTCTGCTTCAGCGTCCGAACCGTTCGTCCGCGATATATCCTAGAGATGAACAAGAAACTCGCAGCCTCCACCCACCACCCCCTACGAAGTCTGCTCTCCGCTCGCCTTCCCTGGCCTCTAGGCCATCTGCAGAATCCGCGTCGGTGGCCTCGCCACGGAAGTCGAGGCTTCCGGCACCTCGAGAGGCACTCCCTGCGTCTTCTCGCGGCGGAAATGTACCTACAGGAGCTATAGTGAGCCCCGCTTCTCGTTTGTTAGTACGGTCCCTCGTTGACATCGTTTCGCAGACGGCTGAGTCTGCTATTGCTGGGCCCAGCAGAATCCCGGGTGCACCCAACTGCCGCTCTCGCTTCACAGACAACCACCCTTTTACTGGCCCCTCAGTCACCCCCACCCAGCTCCCGCTCCCAAAAACACGCACCAAGCCGAACTTCAACTTCGGCTTCAAGCCCAGCACGCCCCAACCGCCGCCCGCGCTCCGCCCGGGCTACCCCGCCTTCAAGACGCCTCAACTAGCGCAGGGATCCTTTGCACAGCGGCAGCGCTCCGGCCTCCCTCGTCCCGCAGCAGACGGGAATGCGAGTGGGAGCGACGCGGAGCACACGTCGCGCGCGTGCCTGACCTTGCCCCGCCCGGCCCAGATGCGGCGCAGCGACCATGGTCGCGAGTGTGGCCGGGACCGCGAGCATGACAGCGGGAGCGAGCTCGAGCGACGCGTGAACCCCGGGCTGGGCAGGCTTGTCGTGACGAACGCGGACATCGTGCCGAGCTCGTCGGAGGACAGCGCGAGGGGACGGCCGGGGGCCTACCAGGCGCTCGTGAGGAAGACGGCGACGAGGGTGCCGAGCCCGCAGAAGAGGGAAGCGGAGCGAGCGCAGGAGCGCGCGGCGGGCGCGGTGGATAGTCGGTTTGGGGGCCCTGGGCTACGCGGCGAGCGTGTGCAGGGGCTCGGCGTAGGAGGGCAGACTATTGGGCTTGGATTTAGGATGAGCCCGAGGGTGGACGCGGGCCAGCGATGTTACCCTGAAGATGTTCACGATGAAGAAGAGGAGAGTGTCTATGACGACGAAGACGACGCGTCTTCCGAGGCAAGCGACATCGAGCCATCCAAGGACTTCGACCCACGGACGAGCTACGCCGAGGACGACCATACACCGAACGCCCCAGCACAGTCCCTGCGCAATCGACATAGCTTCACACGGTCAAGAGAGCGCATCTCAGACGCGAGCCCTGACCGGCACAACGACAGGCGCCTGAGTGGGCTCGTCGACGGGCTCCAGGCGGCGTACGGCGTGCGTTGCTCGCCCGGGAAGAGCGTGCTCAGCCAAAGCGAGAGCGACGTGTACTTCGAGCAGGGCCTCGCGATCGGCACGTCGAGCGACTTCCCGAACAGCAGCGGCGACGTCTCGTTCAACGTCGCTCATCGGGAGGACGAGCCGGAGGAGGATGTGGATGGGGACGAGGAACGGTCGGAGTACTCGGAGTCGGAGGAGAGCTTCTCGATTGTGGTGGATGACGAGGAGGAGGAGGTACAGGTGGAAGCCGGGGGCCCGTGGTGGACGCGCGGACGGCGGTCGCCGAAGGACGAGGGCGTGACGAGCGATGTGGCACCTTTGGCAGTACACAAGAACGATCGACGTACCTCTGGTGATAGTCGAACATCAGCACATCTACGAGCGAGCTCGGACGAGCGCGCGAGTGCACCAGGTACTGTGGATGTCTTCTCTACGTTGGCAGCAAATACTGACACACTACATCTGGTCGTAGATGTCCAAACCGTCAAGTCGATCAGCTCTGCACAAGCGTCATCGAGCCTGTCTACCACACGCAGACCTCAGAGCCGGGCCTCGACTCACGCGGATGCTACTATCAAGAGTCCGCGACCTGATAGCATATCCTCCACTGACTTGCGGACACGACGTCGCACGATGATGTATGGGGTAGACAATACCGCCGAATGCACACCTCGTCTACCATCATTTCCTTTGGACAATTTTGAACCTCCCAGGAGACTCGGGCCGTCGTCAGACGAATCCAAAATCAGCAAGAGAACGACTATGTCCTTTACCGAGCGTTTCGTTCGCAGGCCCGACTCCCGTCGATCCTCGGTACTCGAGGATGACGTCGACAGAACCCCGCGCGTGTCCTCCCAGGACAACCAGTTCTTCCTCCCCGCGGAAGACGATCCCGAGGAAGCAGTCATCTTAGAATCGGATGACTGCACTGAACGCGAACGCCAGGCGTTCGGCATCCCGCGGTCTCTATCTTTCGGGGCAGGCCACTCTGGCGGCGTCTCTCAACCAACCGCTTCTGGGGCGAAGAACAGGCCAAGCGCTCTACTTCGCAGTGAGAGCGACGAGTCCTTGTCGGGGGGACCATCGGCGATGACTCGCGAATCGTCATACATGGCTGCGGTTTGGAGGGAGTCAGCGGGTAAGGACGTGCTGAGCAAGGGTGCACATGAACTCTTTGAGGTTCTCGCATTCCGATCTCGAGACGAAGAAGCGGACGAGGTCGAACGACCGAAAGAGCGGCGGGATAGATCATTGTCGCGCCAGAGTCGACCACGCTCGCGGTCTCGACAGCGGGAGGAACGACCGAGTTCCAGACAGGATTATCAGCCACCAAACCCGTCGGGCGAAGAGGCAAGACAGGTTTCACAAGCCAGGCCGTCGCGCCGGAAGGAGAGACAACCGGTATCTCCTGCTACCTGCGAGCACGCGCCAGATAATCGAAACTCGCAAATTGTGCGCCCGCAAGCCTTGACTCATGAAGCGATACTGCAAACCAGTCAAACCAATCCGTTGCCAGCCCCATCGCCTCAGGGCAACTGGCGTTCGACTTTCCACATCGATGTATATGATTCCCTTCTGGCACGACATGGCCCCATGGAGATGCAACGACAAGAGATTGTCTACGAACTACTCCAGACGGAGCGTGATTTCGTGCGGCGGCTGCGTGCCATGACCTCGGCTTTCATCGTACCGCTCAGAGTGCACGCAAGCAAAACATGGCTTCCAGGCGTGCCAACCCAGGTGTCGAGGCTGTTCGACTGGCTCGAAGACATCTTGAATCTTCATACGTCGCTTCTGCGGGTACTGAAGAATACGTCGCGAGCTTGGCATGCGAACAAGGTCGTTGGCGAAGTGGCGAGTAGTCTCCTGCCCCTGATTCCGAGACTCGAGGTGCATCAGCCGTACCTAGTGCGGGTGGACGAAGTCAGGGGGCTAGTCGTCATGTGGGCTCAAGATCAGCACTCGCAGTTTGGGGAGTACATCCGTCTGAGCGAGGAGGAAGGACTCTGCGATGGCTGGAGCCTGGAGCAGTGTCTTCAGATTTCTGTGCATAGGCTGACCACTTACTTGACGATGTTCAAGGTGGGCCATATGTTCATGTATGTCGTTCCCAACTCACCTCGCTCCGCGCAGAGGCTTCTTGACACCACGCACCGGCAACATCCTGATTATCTTGCAACTCTATCTCTGCTGCGGTCCGCACAGATGATGATACACGTAATGGAGGAGGTTCGCGTTCGTGAAGAGGAGTATGACTTCGTGAAGGCCATTGCTACTCGCATCCTTGGACCGGACGCAGCTGCTCATCTTGCTATACGAGAGCGAAGGCTTCTGTACCAGGGTCTCTTACATCTGTCGTCATCCGATGCAGCTTTGAAGGTCGAACCTCAACCAGTGGCCCCGACAGTCCAAGTCAACGGTCGACCCGTGCACCACTCCATAGATGACGAGCAAGATAAGGCAGAACGAGGAAGGCGTTTGGCCACGGCCATTCATGATTGGCACGTCAAACGGGCCAGGTCAGAGTCCATCAGCTCCTCGGCTTCATCTTCGTTCTCCCTTTGGTCTCATGACAGCCTGACGTCGAACGTAACACCGAACACACCGATGTCGGATATACATCCACCGTCGCTTGAGGCTACCACCGGAGCAGTGCAAGTCCTCGTTTTCACGGATATGGTACTGCTTGTCACTCCATCGTATGATGATCAGAGCGGCGGGACACAATGGCAACTGCTTAGTGGAGCAGGGTTGTCACGCATCTTGGATGTCAGGATTGACACAAATGGCCGAGGTGAGGCGTCATGACCTCTGGAGACGATAAATGTGTCTGACCCTTGTCAGCAGATCGAGCAGTGGTACTCGATCTTATTCCGCTCGATATCCAGGAGCTGTCGCTATCTCTTCATTCACGTGCAGGAGCTGTTGTGGAACTGAGGCTTGAGCTTCCTCACCTGCGCGGTGACAACGAGCAGGATTGGTTTGCTGCACTACAGCGAAGCCGCACCACTACGCTGCATTCCCTCTCCTTCGCACCTCCGTCTCCCGAGGACGTTCTCCAAGGGCCTGTCGGCGACTACGAACAAGACACGTACCACTGCGTCAAGTCTATCCTTGCGTCTGGTTTGCCTATGCCCAAGAGTCCGTCGATGCAATTAGACGAAGGGAATATTCAACAAGCACTACATGACAACTCCGAACAGGAGCGAGAGGAACGAGGGTGGTGGTCTCTGCGGTTTCATCAGGTCCTGCGTGAGTTTCAGCGCCAGCAAGATGCTGGTGTCCTTCTTGGTCCGACCCCATACGTCCTCAAGTAGTCGCTTCTGGCTATGCTGAACACTTCTCCATTCACTGATTGGCACCCCCTACACCGTGTACCAAACTGACTTCTTGATATCTGGGCTCTAAGCTGTATCACTAGCTCCGTTACATTGTATTCCCTCCATATTCCTCGTAATGAACACTGTGCTAGTTTCGACGTCATAGCTCTTATCGCACCACGAAGTCGCCACTCGGCTCATCGATTTTTCGCCTGCTCACGGCCAAGACGGACGTTGCGTTCGAGTCAAGACCAGTAGATTGCCATGGAAATACTACAGTTTGGAGTCAGAGAGGACGCACATAGCCCACGGAACCCATCGTGGTGAGTAAATCACTTCATCCCATTGTCACGCGTTGACATATACTCTGCCAAGGTCACTATCAGTCAAAAGCGCGAGACGAGAGTCCGACTATAGCCTATACGGCGAACCGTGTTGGTTGGCGGGTTTACATGACACTAACACCGCACCAAAGTCAATGTTCCAGATATGTATATGCTGCTCGCCAGTCAACCAACTCCGTAACGGCGAGGCCGTAGCGCGACCGCGATGGTGTGGGACAGTCATCCTAAGAGGACTGGAATGTTTCTTTCGTGCAATACCACCCGTAACCGATCCACGGCCCGCGCGATTGGAGCCACAACGCCTAAGCAAGGGACAGTCAATAGGCATCGACAGCGTGAGGCATACGTTAAACGCTTCCGACGGAACGCGACTCACGCATCGTGTTACAAACGACTCTTGCGCTTGCGCTCTCTCCACGTACAAGCTATCGAGTCTCAACGCTACTCTGGTGCGAAGCGCACACCCCGACCGCGGCAGCGACGCTCCACGTAGATCTCCAGCGGAGAAGAGGTATCGAGCGTTAAGTCGTGTCGCCTGAGAACATTCGTGCAATTGTGCGATCTGCGAGAGCACGTCAGTACACAGGATGCACTACAACAGAAGAACAAGTTCGTCACGCAGTGACGTTGACTCTTGAGGCGAACCACTGCTGGGAGTAGCCTGCGGTAGGTTCACAAATTGCTCAGCGACAATCGAACGTGCGCACAGGAATGCAACTCACCTGTCGACTTCGAATGCTCCCTCAAGCCGCGGACGACTCTTGCGCTTGCGCGTTCTTTTTTTTTTTTTTGAGCGGAGGGCCCGTCACCGGACTACAACGAGCTCGAGACGAGGCTCGTTTCCTCCCGGGGGGAAATGCAGTTACGCACGAACTCCCAAAAGGGAGAACAGTGTGGGACTCGGGACCGTCATCGCACCGCTTCGCCGTCGTCATCTTCGTCGCGGTCGTTGTTAGCTCGGCTTGTCCGTAGCGGTGCTCTGGTCCCCCTGCTTTACCCACTAAAAACCCCCGTGCCGCCGGACACCCGATTGGGCTTAAGACGGCAAGTTGTTGCTCGCTCGCGCTGTGCACGAGCAGAGCGTCACCCGTGTTGGGCAAGAGAGTCGAAGGGAAAACGATTGTCGATGGGGAAGAGCGGGGAGATGTAGAGCGGTGGATGATAGTAGCTACAGCTTGAGGTTTGGCTCGGGTGTGCCTGCAACAAAGGTCAGTGACGGCATGAACTCCGGTGACCACGAACACTCACGATCCACCCTAGCCAGGGGCGCTGCTCATTATATCATTTTTAAGCATTTTGCAGCGGCGCCCCTCTTCCCAGTACGGATGTGCGCTAGCACGCTGCAGTACTACCCGACGATGCGGGCTTGCACTGACGGCTTGGACGTCCCCGTACCATACTGACCGGCAACCGACTGCAAGGCATGTCATATGCGGTGCTGTCATCGGTGCGCTGCGTCGGCGGTACGGTGCCTCCGGCGGCCTACAACATTGGCAGGCCACCTCATGCCAGAGGCTGGACCCTTTCGCGCACAAACGACGTACCAGGGATATGGAAAGCCCGTTTGGGGCGAGTGAGGATTTGACCGGGGTGGTCCGGCAAATATCTTGAGGTTTCGCTCGGGCGACCTGCGATGCGAAGGTCAGTCGCAGCTCGCATCCGTTCCACGACAGACACTTACTTTGGCCCGAGCCAGGAGCGCCGCTCACATTCCTTCATGAGCGACGCCCCTATCCCAGTACGGTCATGCGCTAGCCGGCAACGGTAGTCCGACAGAGCGGGCGTACACCGGCGGCGGGGACGTCCCCGTACATATTGACATAATGACTCGGCACAATCTGGTCGACAGTGGGTCGCAATGCCCCGTCTCCGCTGGTGCACGGCGTCGTCGGTACGGTGCCTCCGGCAGCCCACACCGAGGTGCAGGCCACCTCATGCCGGAGGCTGGACCCATTCACGCAAGTACGACGTACTGGGGATGTTTGATGCCCGTTTGGGACTTGGTAGTGGAGGATTTGAATGCGCTCGCCGGGATCATAAACCCTCGACGTCGGGACGTGGCCTGCAGTGAAGGTCAGTCGAGGTCAACGACGGGCATGACTACGAGCACTCACATTGCCACGTCTTCCCACCCGCACGCCACAATTGGCTAGCCTCGTGGTCTGCCGGGCCGACGATGCGTCGGGTCTCAGACCAGTCAACGGCGGGACGGTCCCCATACACAGTCCGCGCACCGTGTCCCTGCGGAGCCGCATAACAGCGACGCTCCTGACCCTTGGTGCGCGTCTGCAGTACAGTTGCTTCCAGCTACCGACGACGCGAGTAGCTGGGCCTGTGTCGCCGCTATCATGGCGCGGACGACACCAGGCTGGACGGTCCCATCACCAATCGTGCAACGTACGGGTGTGCCCTTGCGGGACTTGGGTTGCGTCGTCTGACATAGAACATTGAACCCGTTGGAGGGATTTGTCTTCACATAGGTCGGTCATAGTCGCATAATCTTGAGGCACACATATTGATGATAGGTCTTGCCGCACGCAGGCTTGAGGCACACTATCTGCCATTCCGGTCAGCGACTGCCTAGACCACGAACCACGAAGCAGACTTACTGTTGTCGACGTCGAGAATGGCCACGCACCTTGTGGCGTTGTGGCTCAGCTGCGGGTCGGTCGCGTTAACGCGTGTGGCGTCGGTGGATAGACGAGGAGAATGGAAGCAGAAGGGCGCAGTACATCAGTGAGTGCTTCTGCTATGTCGATCGGCGAAGGAACATACCTAGTCTGCCGCTGTTTGGCGCGCGGCCCTCAGTTCAACTTGTGGCGCATCGTAGCTGAGCCGACCCATCCCACTGTTGGTGAGATGTGACTACGTGCGGCGGTCGAGTTGCTGTTGGCGAGGGAGAGGATGGGGCCGGGGACCCTACATGGCCGTCGGAGGGCAAGAGGGATGGGGGAAAAGTCGCGTCCGCCCCCGCTCCTTATACGCCTTCGTGTGGGTCCATGTTTGGTCCGACCAAACAATCCCTGGTGTCTCTTGTTTGTCATTTCGAGCTCAGCCGTTAGACTCGATTTGGGCACCGGCTTGTGGTCGATGCCTTATCGATAATCAGAGCCCTACTAGAAGCACGGACCATGCTGTGGGCGGTGCTCTCCATCATCATGGGTTCTCCGAGCGTCGCAACGGCCTTGTTTTCGGTGACACGGCGCTGTTTCCCGACACGAATATGGCGAGGATGACTCGTCTTGGGGCTCTTATCGCTGTTCGTGTGCGTGTGATGCTCGTCTTCTTCGCGTGTGGAGGGACTAGGTCTTCCACCGAACATTCTGGGCGGACCGGGATGTCGGAGGATTTCGTCGACTTCTCCGACTGCTTGTTGGGCACTGCGCTGAGGGGAACGGGTTTGTAATACCCAGGATAGTTGTGCACCAGGCGAGACGCGAGGATTCTATCTCGGTAGGCGATGTCTGGATGTCCACGATCTAGTCAGCATCATGGGACAACCAACGAGATCGCAGGGTCAGTCATGACCGATCACGACGCGTTGACCGACCACACATGTGAGAGACCCAGCGGAATGCATGAGCGCAAGCAATCCGTGTCAAACAGGTTTGAGACGTTTTGGGGAGGTGCTCTATACTCGGTCGCATCGCACCGTACGTACTAAGATACGCAGCTAAGAGTCAGTATTACAGTCTCGAGTGGAGAGTGAAGACTTCACGGATGAGCAACCATATGAGAGCATGTCTGTGATGACGACCTGCTCCTCATGGACGCGACGTTGAGTGTGTCCAGCTGCTTCGAGCTTCTGTAACGACCAGCGTAAATGAAGCCCTGTAAGCGTAAGTAGAGCCGGGGATCATGAATAATAGCATATCTCTCTGTATACGACATGCCTGAGCGACGCAAACAAGGGAGCGAACCTGTGACGGATGCAATAAAGAAAGTTTGAACGCAAGACGATGCCGCTCGCCATCTGTCCCACTCTCTTGTTGTGGCCAGAGCGCGCATGCGAGAGATGCTGCGACTGCGTCAAGCACAGTGTGTACGAGTGTGCGTGTCTGAGCACCTTCACAATCGCCTGTGTGAAAGATTGAGGCCCTCGAGACGTTCAGCGTGCAGAGAAACACAATATAAGATCGCGCCATACATTGTAGGATTATTTGGCGTAAGCTCGTCTGGAAGACAAGTCTTCATCGACGTGGAATCGCCTTGACGCGGTCTCGAAGTCGGTGAGCGACGCGCTATCACGCTTTGGGGTATATGTCGTAGCAGAGCTACAGCATCTAACTCAAGGCTGTTAACGCACGGCGCGGAGGATAATTTGAGTACAGCGTTAGGTACGGCATCTGTGGAGAGCGAGGAGCTTCAAGCACTACAAGAACTGAACAGACATGATGACATGCATACATGAATGGCCAAAGATGTGGAACCACCCTATAATGCGCTGCGAGGCTGTGAATACTCGTGTGCCTCGTCTCTTTGGGCACCAGGCAGCCATCTGACAGGTCGGAGCAGCATGCAAATACCCAGGAGAAGTAGGTACTGTGAAGCAGACGAATATGGAACATCAAGACGTGAAGAAAAAAGAATGAAGTAGCCGGGGCCCGATGTTCTGGATCTCAGACAGAAAGCGTGCAGTGTCGGTCGCCATCAACCGGAGCAGCTACGAAGCAAGATTCAAGTACAACGCACCTCGCAAGATCGCCCAACCGTCCCTCATTGGCAACGTATACACATGTATGCCACTTCTTCCAGTTCCACTTCTAAGATAAGGTCGGACGGCGTGCCGGGTAAGATAGCAGGGAGCAGTACGCGTCGGAGACGGATTCCGATCATGACGCTCACGAGACAGTGGGTAGCATGACAATCTTCTGCAGGTAGAAAATCCTTGGAGACGGAATCTTGACGGTATCAGTGATTCTTCAAAGACCGCTTTTGACTGCCGACGACCATGGACGCGCTCAGTACAGGCTCAGGCAGGGCTCAGGACGTGCAGAGCAAGGAAAGCGCTGACTCTGAGGCGCTGGACCTCGAATGAGCGCTGAAGATCACATCGCTACTGAACCGGGGGCGCGTACCAGTGAGCGTTTACCAAACTGTCTTTGCTTCCGCCTTAGAACGTCACTCACCCTATACACCAAGCCCGCCTTACGTGGAGGGAATGGCCAGCTTCATGAAGTTGTTTCTTTCGCCGACTCGCTGCGTTCCCCTAGGTACATGATTACAGCCTGGGTGAGGGCGAAGGTGAGGCCAGCGAATCGTCGTCAGCAGCAGCGCGGAGCTGATGGTACGTACACCTCTTCATTATGTATCAACTAGCATCGGTTTGATGTGTCTTCACTTTCGGGCAGCACTGCATAAGCCCACGTTGGTCAGGGATCGGCTGGCCGATACGTCCGGCGCTGTGAAGGATCTCACTGAATATGTACGACATCGACTCTCCCAAGCCAGATACTCACTGTATATCTGTAAGTGTTGCTGTAATGCTCTAGTTCATGCACGTTCGGGCGACACAGCTGAGATTGCGAAGAGGTTGAGCTCATCCACGTCTGACACCAGTGCTCGTCTATGAACGTCGGATGTTGCGGTTGAGCCATTCCCTGCGCAGGTGATGCAGGGTGGAAAGGTGAGCGACGATATTGATGTGTTGCAATGAATTCTGATTGCTCGGGGGAAGGTGGTGGGCGGAGGCAACCCGCAAAACGAACGACCGTGTCCTCCCAATTAGGAAACGGGTTGACAGCCCTTTCACAAACCTCTGTTATTCACAAACGTGATCTTGTTGAATGCAAACCTTAAACGCGTTGAATGCGCCAAATAACACGCAAACAACGCGCCCCGCGGTATAAATACGGGTGCCCGCCGCGGGCTATAAAGCCAGCTGCCCCGCCCTCCCTCTCCCCACCAGCAGTCCGTCGCACCTCGCCTCTCGACTTCACTCTCAGAGTCTCACTCTTATTCGTTACTCTCCAGCATGCGCTTCTTCAACCTGCTCGTGGACGTCGGTGTCGGCGTCGGCACCCTCCTCAGCAGCTACTGTCCCGAGGACGGCATCGCCCCTACCTCCAAGCCTCCCGTTGTCATTGACAAGGCCTGCATCGCGTGGGGCAAGACCGTCGATGCAGCATTCAACCCCGTCGGGTACGTCGCGCTGTTCCTCATTGCACTCACCTCGCATATCCTGATGTCTCATTCATCAGACTCGCGTTCCTGGGCATCAAGGACGGTTCGTTCAACATGGGTTGGGATGGCGTTTTAATTGGGAAATGGCGAGGGTGCGTACACACTTCTATCCGTACCGTGCCTTGGCCTGACCCGCTTGGCGCACAGCGGTCACCTCGCCATCTTGGACGACGACATGTCGCCCGACGTCTCCTTCGTCAACGGCACGACCAACAGCGACATTGATATTCTTGATACCGGGGGTACGCCTGACCCCGGAGCGCCAACCTCAACGGCGCGGACTTCGGACGTAAACACCGGCACCAAGGATATCAAGCCCGCACCCTGCATCATCTGTTCTTCTCTCCGCGATGCACCCACCGCCACCGTCGACCGCCAGGCGACCATGGTCGCAGCCGACCTGGAGGCCGAGTACAAGACGGTGCCTCTCGTGGACCCCGAGTCGGTCGAGGTGGACTCGCCCCCGACCGAAGCGGAGAAGCTGATCGCGCTCTTCTACGCGTTCACCATCCCTTTCTGGACTGTCTTTATCTGGCTCAAGATCGACACGAAGCGGCGCGCTCTCATCGACGACTTCGCCGCCTCGGTCGCTCGCCGCTGCGCAGACTGGGTCGCTGTTTGCATCACCGCGATCCTCCGACCCATTCGCAACGCCCTCGTCTACTTCGCCCCGTTCGCGAAGATCATGAATGGCCTGACCATCCCGTGGGACTCGAACGGGAAGGTCTTCATTACGACGAAACACGGCAAGTGGATGGTACGTCCTCCTGACTCTCATCCCGCTCGCCGATGCTGACATGTATTGGTAGTCTCTGGCTGTCCTCTCGTCATCCGAGTACGTTCTGGTAGAGGGCTCGCCCGACGACGAGGTATGTCTCCTTCACTCACCTACTGTCACTGCGATACTGATTGCCTCATAGGAGCCTGAACCTGAGCCTGCCGAGGCCGAGGAAGCAGGGCCTGCACGGCGCATCTCCACCTCTGGCGCCCGTGACAGCCGCCGGGGCCAGAAGAAGGCCAAGAAGGATGCGAAGGCAAAGGCAAAGGCCAAAGCAAAGGGCTGGGCGTGAGGTTCAGGTATGTCCCTCCGCATCTGGTACTGCCTTCGGCCTCTTATCGTCCGTGCATAGCTCAGCCCCGCCCCGTCACTTTCCTCCTCAGCCTATCCGTATCGATGTTCGGTCTCGCCTCGTCCCCTGTAGCGTTACGGTTTCCATCCTCTCGGTTTCTCATCTACTTACTTCTCTTTCTTGTACTATACTGGGATCTCGGTGGCCGGCGAACCTCAGAGCACCGATGCCCCCGTGTGTTCTTGAGGTTCGTCGATCATCGGGGCGGGTCAGGCGAGCGGAGGGGCATTCCGCGAGTCTGGCTTGTAATCCCTTCCCCTTCCCCCTTCTTCTCTTTTCTCTATCTTGGTCTCGCATTCGTTTCGGTGTCTCCTTCATATCGTCTCTGGGGTTCGGTTTTGCGTAGCGGTTCGGACATATGTCTTGTATTTGTTGGACTTTGGGACTTGAGTATGTATCGGGCTAATGTAGTCTCCACTGTAACGGAGGTCGATTTGTAGCATGGTCACGTATTTATACGATATCTATTTGATTCCGATCCCTTTTCGAGCTCATCCTGTATGATAACAATCCGTCTACGTTGTCGCTTGACGAAGTTCTACAATACTCAAGCTATGTCGGCTGAATGTATACGACAGTGCGCATTTGTCGAACTGCCTGTCGTTCAACAGTACACGATTGTAGACTGTGCTCACATCCGCGCGTCCGACTCGATGGCGGCGCTTGAGCGACCATTCCGATGCTCTTTCCTCGTACGGGTGAATCACGCTTCGAGTCTATCGTCTGTACCGAGGAGTAGACTGGACAGTCATCGGAGCTCTGCGAAAGGCCTCGCGAGGGATGCTCCCAGTCAGATGCCTTGCATGGGGATCCTGCTGTCGGGGACAGCATTCAGTGCCTTCGGAGCGTGCAGCCCGGACCCACAGTGCATGCCTATGACCACTTGTATCGTCGCGATGCCATAACGGTCACAAGTCGAAACGACTTGCGGATAGTCTGGAACATTCGATTTGGCGCAGTGACCTAGTGTTCCCTTAGCCCGTGCAGCGCTCATCAGCGAAGTGGGAGCGGCGGCGACTGAGCAATTTCGATGGTCAGGAGAGAAAGAAGGCTCCGAGCGAAACAGATCCGTCCGAGGCGAGGCAGACAGGCAGCGGGATCGCCCAAGGATCGCCTGGCAAATCAGACATGCCTTCAGTATGTTATATGTAGATCAGATGGAACGCACTTTTGGGAGATATGAGTTGTGTTTACCGCCAAGGCAGTTCTTTTCGAAGAAGTGCGGCTGGCTTAAGAAGCGCTTGGGAGAAGTCTACGTCACCGTGCGAGCTCCGGTAATGACGGGTCGTAAGACACGAGTTACTGCGGAAGTTGGTGTGTATCCTTGCTTCTTCCGCAGCGAGGTCCGTCGACGCGACGACAGAAGCACACGCTTGCCGGGGATAACTTTTGGATAACTCAAGCGTAGACATGAGGAGACCCACCGGTTGTAACGACTCAGATCAAGACACGCAGTTCCTGCCAAGACGCCGTGATACGAGGTTGGAGTATTGACAGCGTGTCGCGTTTTTGTAGGCTGTGGTACACCTGTCAGGGTAGAGCAGGCTCGAGAATGATATGGGAGTCATCGGCTCAGTACTAAGGAAGGGGACCACTGATTGCTCAGCACGCGAGTCCATATCATTCCCCAGCACCCAGGTCTCCTGCGAGGAAAAGAAGCATCGGGTTCACCTTACACCTGTAACTTCGGACTGGCATAGAGAACTCCGAGCCGAGTGCAGCTTTCCATCTCCTACAAATGAGAGGCCGACGGCAGATGGAACAGCACATCCAGAAGTCTGAAAACGAGTGTCAGTGAAACACTATCGCCGACCGGAAGCTTACTGTGGGGCATGGCGCTACAGCGAATAAGGCCGGCATCTCTCGAAAGCCTCGAGGCGGCCGAGCGGACGCGCATTCCAAGGTTTGTAGTAGCCATACACTTCCGATGGGAGATACCTCGGCGAGAGATGCGAATTACTAATGTAATCCACTGACTGATGGTCGGCGACTGCGGTGCATCGACTAGTCGCTCCGTTAGCTCTCCTCCTAGTCGAAGTGCAGAAAGTGTTTTCCAGACGTACCAACGACGCTCAGGCGGTATCGACCGACGACAAGTAGGGGTGAAGTCGTCATGATTGTGAACGATAGTCTGCCTCCCTGCGCAATGATCAAGAGAGTATATCAGTGCACTGGTCATTGAAACATGGAGCACAAGCAACAGGGAGACTAGAAAAGTGGGGCGGGCGAATCGACCCAACGCCGGGCAGGCGTTGACAACAATCAAGAGGTGTCTGACGGAGTGCAAGTTCGACTTGAAGGCGCATAATGACTCTGCGGGGGACCTGGCGTCATGGTACCCTCCAAGGAAGCTTTCCTTTTCGTACGATTGTAACAGCTCTGAGCGCCTCCGTGTCTGCATTGCCTACGTAGGACGCGAAGGCACGGATCACCCGGTGTCGCGCTGTCGGTCAATGCTGCTGCAACATGACTTCGTCACACCTTCGCTCCCTCGGCGAACTCGACCGGCTGACAGGTTGCTGTGGGAAGAAGAATTTGAAGGAGTCGGACACTACACCCTGGGCCGATGCAATGTGGATTTGCAGAACGGGGAGCGGCAGTGAGACTTCGTGAGTGACGCATGCTCCCTATTCTGGGTGGAGACTCACTGCAGCATGTGCCACCATGTACCACCTGCGACTGTATTCATGAGGTAAGTCAGCACGTACAATCCCCGAGTGACTCGGCGAATCGAATCTGCGCGCCGGCAGTGCATGTCGCATGTAGTCCGAGATCCGCACACTGGGAGGATCCGAACGATGCTGTACCGTGTCAATTCTTTGATTTGGTTCGCAACTAAGAATGGCCATCCAGCCTGCTGGTTGCCCGGCCCGAAGACAACAGGTACATGATACAAATGCGAATCGCGGGTGATTCGGAACTGACAGGAATGGGGGAATGGGTAACCAAAGGCTCCAGCTGAGTTGGTGTGGTGTTGGTCGGTGGCATGATCAGTTGCAACCGGTCGTCGTGCTTCGTACTTGAGAATGGTTTCGTCATGCTGCGATCGCACTCTGACCACAGCACTCTGCCTTGTTAATAGATAGAAGGATGGTATATCGCGATGACTGTATACCTTGACTCATAGCGTATGCATCGGACGTAGCATACAGTGCCGCTATGACTGTACATAGTAGTTGACCACATCGGTGATGATACGACGTACGTTGGTACCCGGGGCATCGTCATGTTTCTAGTTTCTATGAACATCTGCGTAGAACTTGCTATAGCAGTCACTGAGTGGTAGAGGGGATACAACCCGGTCCAGAGCTGGCATTTGGCTGACATCGGCGCGCAGCGTCACGCCGGGTTCGGTAGCCAGGTACAGGTGATACTATGTAGCGACCGGTAGCGATTGGGAAAGCGCAGATCTGCCACCATGCCGGTCTATGCCCGTCTAGGTCATGGCCGAGTCTCTCCGATTCGGGCAAGATGTTTCTGCGCAACGCGATCTCATCGGCCTCGTCCGCTGGCAGAAGTCATCTCCTACAGTCAGCCTACATACCTCGGAACAGACCATGGATAACTCTGAGTTGTGGTCGTACGCAACGTTGGCGTGGCTGCGATGCGACAAGTAGCAACTGCGGTACGCGGCGTAGTCAGTGTTGCCAGTGGGTACAACATTGACTGCCAGTTGGGTGAGCTGGCCGTTCTGGCCTTAATCAAGCGGGTTTCCCAGGGATACTGATCGCTGGATCTTGCGCAGATTCTCGCCTATCCCTGCTATATCATTGGACGGCATGAGAGGTTAGTCCGAGCCGAAGCAATGGTAATATGGGGACCAAGCTCGCCGTGATCGTACGAAATTGACCTACAAGATGCGAATTTGGTAGCCGTGATCCCCTCTCAGACTCCCGCCTTCAGCAGCAAGGTATATATACCTCAGACTGACGTTACGCTCCCTATCAACTGCCCTGCCACTTGTCGACTATTGTCCTTCGTTCGTTCTACCTATCATTGACAGATGGGCATTCTTCTCAGTGTCTTGCGCGTCATCGCGCTTCTTGGTACGGCATATGTGCTTCTCAAGGTATTGCAGAACTATTTGGGCCGTTCGCCCTTGGATAACATCCCTGGTCCGCCTTCGGGGCACTGGATGAAAGGTATGGACAAGTTATGCTTCGTTACGAGATGACCCTCAACTTGACGCGCAACACAACAGGTAACCTGGGACAGATATTCGACCGCGCAGGCTGGGACTTTAATCACAATCTGGGTCTGAAGTATGGTCCCGTCGTGAAACTGTATGGACAGTTCGGGGTATGACTTCTGGATTACACTCAGACCGACTACATCTAATCACGAGTATAGACTAGGCAACTCTTCGTATTCGATCCTGCTGCTCTGTCCAGCATCATTGTCAAGGATCAATATGTATACGAGGAAGCCCCCGAGTTCCTTGCGTACGTCCTATGCCCCACTACAGCGCATGCTTGGTCTCATACGCTCATTGCTCTAGCTCGATACACTGCATGCTGGGTGACGGACTACTCGCAACGCTCGGCGAGCGCCACCGCAAGCAACGCCGGCTCCTGAATCCCGTCTTCTCCATCGCGCACATGCGGCACATGGTCCCCATCTTCTACAACATCACTTCTAAGCTCCAGCGAGCCATCGGCGCTCGGGTCAAGAACGGTCAGGAGGAGATCGACATCCTCGACTGGATGGGCCGCACAGCGCTCGAGCTTGTCGGGCAGGCCGGCCTGGGATGGTCCTTCGACCCGCTCGAAGAAGATACCGTAGACCATAACCTCGGCACTGCCGTCAAGGGCGTGGTGTGAGTTTTCAGATTTGCACACGAGTCGGTACTCGTCTGACTATGAACCCGTCTGACATGCAGCCCGACCCTCTTCCCTCTCCGTCTTATCCGTCCTCTCCTTCCTATCGTGATGAAGCTCGGATCTCCAGCCCTCCAGCATAAGTTGGTCGACCTCATCCCGAACAAGCACGTCAGGCGGGCGAAGCAGATCTCCGATGAGATCCAGAAACACTCGCGTCACATCTATGAGGAGAAGAAGCGGGCAATGCGTGAGGGTGATGAGGCCGTCATGCATCAAATCGGCGAGGGCAAGGACATCATGAGCAAGCTCAGTAAGTAACCGCGCCGTAGGTTCCGAGAGTGCGGACTTGCTGACAGTTCGCTGCAGTGCAGGCGAACATGAGTGCGTCCGAGGAGGATAAGTTGCCTGAGGATGAGCTGCTCGGCCAGATGGCGTATGTATTACCGCTGCCTTCTGCTGCGTCCGTCTGCTGACCCGTCCGTTTGCTACAGTACCTTCATTTTCGCCGGTATGGACACAACTTCCAATGCGCTTGCGCGCACGCTCGACCTTCTCTCCACGCATCCGGACGTCCAGAACAAGATGCGTGCGGAAGTCCTCGAGGCAATCCGCGAGCATGGCGACGACATCCCGTACGACGTCCTCGTCGAGCTGCCCTACATGGATGCTGTCTGCCGCGAGACCCTCCGTCTGTACGTCCCACCCTCCCTCGCCGCGTGTCGTCATGTGTAGCGCGGACTAACCGATGCACTCGTGCAGGTACGCTCCCGTCCCGCACCTGATCCGCAAGACGCGCAAGGACATCGTCATGCCCCTTTCGGCGCCGATCCGCGGCGTAAACGGTGCGCTGATCAATGAGATCCCCGTGCCCGAGGGTACGGTCGTCCACATCGGCATCCTCGCGTCGAACCGCAACCCCGAGTTGTGGGGGCCCGATGCGGCCGAGTGGAAGCCCGAGCGCTGGCTGAACCCGCTGCCCGAGGTCGTCAAGGAGGCACACATCCCCGGCGTTTACTCGCATCTGTAAGCGTCCCGTTTGCTGTCCTCGGCGAGCATTGACTGATGCGATCTATGCGTATGTTAGTATGACTTTCTTGGGAGGTGGACGCGCTTGCATTGGCTTCAAGTTCTCGCAGCTCGAGATGAGTAAGTCGCCACCGCCCGCGCTGTGCGCGCGTCCAGACGCTGACTGTCATTGCAGAAATTGTTTTTGCTGTCCTCCTTTCCAAGTTCACCTTCGCGCCGTCTGGGAAGGAGATCTTCTGGAACGTCGGGGGCATCCAGTACCCGACTGTGGGTGTGAGCTCATCAAGGCCGGAGATGCCGATGAAGGTCGGGTTCGTGAAGGCATGAGACATAGTCTTGGAGGGGCATTTTCGTCGCATTGTTGTTTATCGAGGATCTATACCTTCGGAAGTATCGTGACACTCTTATGTGCCGCCCCGCTTTCGTTCACGCATACTTTGTGAGTGTCATGATTGAGTGACTATGCGTACGCTGCTTTGCAGTCAGTGGTGCGAGGTGCCTCTCAGCGGAGTCTAATGCTACCAGATCATCCCGGACGGCGAAGACGAAGACCTGCTCGGCTCAATCAGTATGCCTGAAAACTTTGACGTTACGAAACCAACCTCATGCCTGCTACCTCCGCGATCCTTTGCAGCAAGCATGACGCGCTTCACCAATGCTCATTCGGCGTTTATGACCGTCATGAGCGCTTGGTTTCCCAGCCAATCCAGGCGGTCGAAGGTGAGTGAACACTCTTCTTCCATTCATCGAAGCCTTTCTCGATCCCGATCGTCATCAATCATAAGGGATGCGTACATCTCGACAAGACGACCCAACCTACGTGAGATAATGCGACGTTGTTGGAGGGTGTTCACTTACCCCATGGGGTATAAGACCTCAGTTCCGCGACGTGGCCGGAGCGCGTTCAAGACAAGTTCAAGATTAATGACAGTAGGACAGGACTACTGCCTCAGTCCGCAGCGTTTGGTACGTACACGAGTGACATTGGGTGAGATGATACGGTATGCGCAAACCGGACATCACGCACTAGGGTCCGGCGCGCTATATGTTAGTGATAGCTTATATACTGAGGGGGAAACCAGCTGTCTTCATCACGCAGCGTCCAAAGCCTCACAGAGATTCCTTCTTTGCTATCGACCGAACAACCTTAGGACAGCCCGCACAAGCATTGTATAAGCATGGACGTCATTGCAAACTTAACAGACACGGATGTCCCACTCATCATCGGACCGAGTAGGTTGTTTGTTGATGTCTACCGCAACGTTTGCTGATTAGTTGGTCTCTGCTCACCGATATGCAGCGACAGGTGCCTTCATGCCTGGCCTCGAGAAGCACAGAGCGGAGATCGAGAGCATTCAGGTGAAGACATTCAAGTATGGATCCACAGATAGACACATGGTATGTTGCTCTTACTCGCATTGTGGACCAAAGTTCACACCTAAGCCATGTTCCGCAGCTAGATGTGTACTATCCTCCGGAAGATACCATCCCTGCAAGTGGAAAGACTCGTGTGCTCCATTTCTTCTATGGGGGCGGGTTCGTCAGCGGTGCGCGGAAGCTTCCTGCGCCATACGACCTTGGATGCTACGCTAGCACAGGAGCTTACTTCGCAAAGCGGGGGTGAGTAGGTCTTTTATGACCTTTCTAGCTTGAAAGTCAGCGGCTGATTTCCATCTATAATCCCAGGATCCTCACCGTCATCGCTGACTACCGACTTGTGCCTCATGTGAAGTACCCGCAGCCCATTGAGGACGTCAGGGACTCCATCAGCTGGGTAGTCGCCAACGGCACCGAGATCGTAGGCGACACCGGCATACAAGCCGACTTCGACAACGTGTTCCTTCTGGGACACTCCGCCGGGACGGTCTACATCTCCACCCTTCTCTTTCATCCCACGCTGTTGACACCCGAACTCCGTTCGCACATCCGCGGCGTCATTCTGAAGAGCGGGATTTTCAGGTTCCCGCGGGACGAGAGTGTCGGCGCCGGGAATCCGCTACTCCAGCTCTACGGCGGGTGGGACGAAGTCGAGGCGAACATGCCGATCACGTTGCTGAATCAGGCCTCCGGGGAGCTCCTGACGAAATTTCCGAAAGTCCTGATGTTTGCAGGCGAGAGGGAGCCGGACGGCTTCTTCCCGTCGAACGAGGAGTTCAAGGAGACTTTGGAGACAAAGTTGGGAAAGCAGGTCAAGCTCATCGTCATGAAGGGCCATAATCACGCTAGTCCGCACTGGGCCTTATGGAGCGGAGCAGGTGAAGAGTGGGCGGAAAAGGTCGTGAGGTGGATTCATTATAGGGCTTAACCCGACCGAGACGTCGTTTGTAAGATGAGCTAGATCTCAGTCAATCTTATGTACTTGAACATGGTGAAGCACAAATGAATCTACACGAGCACAATGCGTAGTGGACAGCAACATATATGCAGGGTTTCGACGGAGCTGTACCACGTCCATGATCGGGAGGACATTAACGTTTGAACCTCCGTAGTAGATGCAGACATATGATCGATCTGCTAGCGTGCCACGGAGATATGGGCAAGCCTTCAATAGTACACGCGCACGGAGGCGACAGTCAGCGCAAACATGAATGCCCACAAAGCAGGTTCTACATATATTTAATTACTACTATTACATGGCTGCTTCGCTTCGCTCTGCCTGGCCGGTAGGACTTGCTTGAAGCTTGCTCAGAGGTTGTTTGTACGGTTTTCTCATGTTCGTACAAGTAACCTCTAGCCCTACCGGCCAGGCAGATCACTATGATCGTTATCACTCCTCGGGGTGGCATGACCATCTTGAGCCTCTTCCTTCAGATCGCTGGCCCAACGACTCTTCAAAATTGGCGTATCTTGCGGTGCACGAACCGAGTCATAAGGGGCTTCAATCCCATCGGTGGGGGCGACGTCGAAGACACTGCACGATGTTGCGCCGGAATGCGCTAGATCTAGAGCTTGGAGATCAATAGAGGGTAGCTCAAGAAGCAAAGACGAGGATAAGTTAGAGTCGTCCGCTGTCGCTGTTTACAGCTTGGTGACCTCGCGGTTCGTGTCCTGGGCCGTGCTTCATTTTGTCACCAGAGGAACTTCGGTCACTGCTAGTGGCACTTCAGTTGATCGCGCTGTTTGCGTCACAGGCTGACCATTGCAGGAGGGACATCCAAGGGACATCTGCGGTGGACGAAGGCACGACAGAAGCCAGCAGTTTCTTATAAACTGCCGGTAAGGACGCGTGCTGGCAGTGGTACTACTTACATATCGACGTCAATGTTCCATCACGTGCACGACAAACGCGACTTCGCAGCGTGTGCAGTTTGACTGCGGGCGGCTTAATGGACCGCCTCCTCCTCCTCCTCCGTTTGGACGCCGGGGCTATGTACATTGTAAGTACCCGCGAGGTCTAGCCTGCCCTTCTAAGCTTCAGCTCTCGCCGCCGTATCGGAGGCCTTTCTGAATCTCAAGAATCATCCAGTGCGTTTGCATTGCAAGGATCTTGGACACCCACCGCTGGGCTCCCGGAATCATCCCTAATACGACCGCCGCCCTCCAAAGAGGTCGTATTTGTGGTCTGCCTACGGGAGACTAGGAATCATCAGGTGAGTTAGTGATATACCCTTCGCGCCACACTGCTGCGACGACCAGATGGCAGAATCAGGGGTACCGTACTTACTACTACCGGTAGTCATGGGCTCGCTATTTCGATCGCTCTTCGCGGCGGAAGAGGAGCTCACTCCAACCCAGAAGCTCATGTATGCTTCAGAGAAGCTGAACAACTTTCGCCTCATCTCACGGCTTTGCGCTACACGGTCTTCCTATACCCTGACGGCAAACGATTTGGCACCCGCCGACCTCTATGTCGTCCTCGCCGACTTGGGCGAATTCGCACAGATCGCGTCTAACATACCCGAGACGCAGTATGTGTTCGACAACAAGGACATGCTTCTGCAGCGCAAGTACCCCTTTGAGGGGTTCGAGGCACTGCGGGACGCCGAACTGTTGTCTGCATTCAAGGGCACGGTTGCCGCCGCGCCTGTTATCACGGTATATCGTCCTGGGACCAAGCAGCTTGTCGTCGGCTTCGGAGGTACGACGAACATAATGCAAACACTATACGACATATATCCAGTTAGGCGACGCCTCCCCTATGGGAACGGATGCGTGCATTCTGGCTTCTACGCCATGTATAAAGGATGCAGAGACCAAGTGATCGATGCCGTCAGGCAGGCCTTCGACGGGCATGACGTCCAAGAGCTGGCGATCGTGGGACACAGCATGGGAGGTGCCCTGAGCTATCTTTTCGCCGTCGACGTCCTTGCGGGGCAATGTCCGCTTCCAGCTGGGACACCGGTGACGGTGGCTACTTATGGGTGCCCCAGGCTCGGAGACGCCGCACTATCTCAGTTTTGGCGGCAATTCGTCGCACAGTACCAAGCCGCAAACGGCGAAGCTTCTGTGAAAGACTTTTCCGTGAAAGGTCTGAATGATGGTGAGTGTACTGCGCAGCATCCTGTTGCTTCGATCCGTACTGACAAGTGTAACAGGCGTGCCATCTCTCCCGCCTGTCAGCTGGGGCTACAGGCACATCGCATGCACACCATTTTACTTCTATCACGGCCGACTGTTCCATATTCCGGCAGCGGAAGCTGAACACGGCGTCTTCACTGTCGAGAAGGACGCGTTGGACCAGACACGCATACCAGACCACCCGCGGGGAGGGCACAATTACTACAACGGAAGGGACACGGAGAAGGTCGTGCGGCGAGCGTACTGGCTAGACCGCATGATTTCGGAGCAAAGCAGCGGGTGGCAGGAGAAGTACCTCGCAAAGATTGCCGAATTAGAGCAGGTGAAGTAGCGCAGCATTGATAGTGGTCGCAAGGGACGGATGTCGGTTATACCAGTGTCACAGTCAAGTCCGGCAGTTCTGGTGGACAAGATCTGCGCAACGCAACGGCAGTACAGAGTGTAGCTGTAGCAGGATGTAACATACACGTAGATTGCATACATATCAAGCCCCGGAAAGTCAGCAGACTGTCATACTTAACTTTGAAGTTTGGACGAAGCCGTTCGGATCGTCACGTTTCAATAATCCGACCACGGGCACTGCGTACTCAGCCTACAGCGTGCTTGGCTGCATGTGCATGATCACCAACAAGGGCTGCCGCGAGCGCTGAGACAAGGCTTTCCCTCGAGCAAGCATCATGGGATTCCCTTCCAGTTCTTCCGCCACCACGACCACCGATACTCTGACGCGAGCATGGACATCATAAGGAATTTTGAACCGACAGAGATCCCACTCATTCACCAGCCCAGTACGTACCTCGCCGCAGATCCTGTGCGATATGGATCGTCGGGATCTTGAAACCCTGACATATGGCGTCTGTCTGCAGTTCGGGATGCGTTTTTGCCGGAATTGGAGAAACATCGCGCGGAGATCGAGAGCGTCAAGTCGGAGACGTTCAAGTATGGTTCTACTGACAGACATCAGGTATGTACTATCTTTTGAGCTCGCGGAGACTCGGAACCCCTTTGACGACTGAATCATATATCGCGATTAGCTAGATGTCTATTATCCACCGGCAGACGCCATCCCCTTGTCAGGCAAAGTGCCGGTCCTCTACTTCTTCTACGGCGGCGGGTTCTTCGAGGGCGATCGCAGGCTTGCGACACCATATGAACTCGTGTACACTAACCTTGGCGCGTACTTCGCCAAGCGTGGGTCAGTAATCACCTCGGTCATTCATCCATACAATAAACTGACACCCGCGACGGTGACCGCTCAGAAATCTGACCGTCATCTCTGACTATCGCCTCGTGCCAGGCGCGAAGTTCCCCGAGCCTGTCGAAGACGTGAGGGATGCCATTCAATGGGTCGTGGCCAACGCAGACGAAGTCTTGTCTGGGACTGGCATCCAAGCCGACTTCGACCACGTCTTCCTTATGAGCCACTCCGCCGGATCGACCCACACCTCGACCCTCCTCCTCCACCCTTCTGTGCTGCCGGCTGACCTGCGCCGACGCATCCACGGCGTCATCCTGAAGGGCGGCGTGTACAGCTTCGAGCGCGACGAGAGTATGAGCCCCAATGCCTCGCTGCTGCAGCTCTACGGCAGCTGGGATGCGATCGAGGCAAACATGCCTGCAACACTTCTGCAGCGGGCGCCGGGGGAGCTGTTCGAGAACTTCCCGAAGGTCACCGTGTTGGTGAGCGAAAGGGAGCCCGATGGGTTCATCGAGAACAGCAAGAGCTTCGCGGCGGCGCTGGAGACGAGGCTGGGCAGGAGCATACCGATTGTGGTGATGAAGGACCACAACCATCTGAGTCCGCATTGGGCGCTGGGGACGGGAGCGGGCGAGGAGTGGGCAGAGGAGGTCACGAAGTGGATCAAGGACAACGCACCATCCGCATGAGCGTGTTGGAGGGTGAGCGAGTGAGACTGCTTCAAGATTGGCTACAACTCATGTACGTACTGAACAGCAGCTCGTGGATCAACAAGGAGGCCCGGACGGAACCCAGGGTGTAGTACCTGCTATCAAGCTACCTGTAACCTGACCTACTCAAGTTGACCGAACCACTCGATAGCGTCACACAATATGAGTTTCCAACGGCATGTCAAGTGATTGGGCAATTGCCTTGCAGAAAATGAAAGCTACCGCCACGCTCGCGTTGGAGGCGAAACCATCGAAATCGGAGCGGTGGTGGGGTGCGTCCACACGGATGGGTACGAGACCACGAAACAGATGATGCTGGACACGTCCGAGTCGCTGCGATACGTAACATGAGCGTTGTTCACCCTCAACCCTCGGAAACCAGACAATTTACAGGGCGTAGGGGACTGGGCAGTGGCCGTGCTACATCGTTGTGTTTTGTTCAATATCGTGCGGATTGCGCGGAGTTGAGCCTGAATGTGCGACAAATGAAGTCGCATTCGGCCGAGAGGCATGGATGCCATGAGGCTCGGGCGCTAAAGGGCAACTGACTCCTTTCATTGTGCCACTATCATCGTCGCGGGTGCCCGCTGGGCAGCGCGCCCTCTTTCGCCTCTCTTCCAGTCTATGATACCCATGGCTGCCGTTGCGCAGGGCCCGAGCGAGCGCGACGGCGCGTACTACCAGGATACGCCCTTCGAACCAGACCAGACATGGAAGAACCAGCTCCGCAGGCGAATTTCCGAAGGGTTGCAGCGTCTCGTCGACGGAGCGAGAAAAGAAAAAGATGCACACTATATCATTAACCCCACTAACGACTACGAGCATGCCAAGAACGACAACGTGAAACACACCTACGAAGTCAAGATGACTCGCATCCGCCGAATGGCTCAAGATCAGTTCGAGGCGGAAATGCAGCACGAGCGACAAGTACGTCGCCTGGCTGCCGGTGTCCCGCTCGACGAAGGATGGACCGAGACCCTCTTGCGCGAGCAACAAGGCCTATGGAACGCTAGTCAGAAGACGAACAGGAGCCAGGATCGCGCGCCCTCGCGGCTTGCCTCTGGAGGGAGCACTAACGCCGCCGCCGGACCATCGCGCGTCGGCCTCGACGGATACATCGCTGGCGATGGTCTTTCCTCTGTGAGGTACGACTCTGCCTCCGGCTTCGACGACACGGGCCGATACTCGCGATGGATGCGGGGCATGCCCCCGGCGCAGCCTCAGCCTGAATGGCCCTCGCGGCGTGATGGTACCGTCCACTTAGATCAATGCAGATAGACATCTGACTCATTCGTCCGCAGGTGAACAGCCGCGCGGCGACGCAGATCCTCTGCAGACGGCGCTAGAGCGGTGGATGCCACGGGTGGATGAGCCGACCGGCCCACCGCTCAACGCGCCGAAGAATCCCTCGAAGCTCGGTCGCGTGCACTTCCCCAGTGACCCGGAGAAAGCCCCTGGGACACCGCGCCGTGCTGGTAAGCAAATCGCAACCGCCAACGAGAACGACGTGCCAGGCCCGGACGATCTGCGGTCTTTCTTAGCTAGTGCAGAGATGCAGTTGGCGATGGGTGGCGACGCACAGCGGACAGCGCAGTTCGTTCCTCAGATCCCGGTCCAATTTGCAAACGCCCCGCACCTATACGATCGGGCACAATCCGTCACGCCGCGGCCGATCCAACAGCCGGTCTCGCGCATGGCGTCGAAGCTCGGCGACGAGATCGAGGGCGCCTCCCAGGCTCTGTCCGCGGCACAGGAGACGACGCGCACTGAAAGCTACCTGTTCGCGATCATGCAAACGACGAGCCGTGCGCCCGTCTCGACATCCGGTGCGCCCGCGGCGAGCGACACGACCTTCAACATGCAAGTCGTCGACCCGCGCACGTTCACCATGGACGACGACGCACGCAGCATGCAGAGTCCGTACCAGCCTGCGTTCGCCCTGCCCGACTTCCGCCCGCCGCCCCCGGTGTCGACCCAGACCTCGACGAGCAGCCAGTCTTCCATGCAGTCCGCGAGCCAGTCATCTCTCCAGTCGTTGTGGCAGTCTGCCGGGAGCCGTTCGGAGTCTGAGCAGAAGTCACCAAGGTCGGACGAGATGGTCGTCGTAGCGTCCGACGAGGGCGACAGCGACTGGGAGGCCTCCGGTTTCGACAAGGACGAGCTCGAGAAAATGATCGAGGCTGAGATGAGTACTCTCGGTAGCGACAGCGCCACGATTGTTCCGGAGATGCCCGATTCTGTCGTGCCTCCCGTCGAGGACAAGTCGGCGGCAGACGACTCATCGATGCCGGGAGCGTTGCCCGAGGAACCCGAAGAAATCAAGACGAAGGCGAAGGGCGGAAAGGCGAAGAAAAAAGAGGAGGCCAGGCGCAAGGAGTTAGAGGCCAAGCGGAAGGAGGAGGAAGTGAAGCGTAAGGCAGAGGAGACCAAACGCAAGGAGGAGGAAGCGAAGCGCAGGGAGGAAGAGGCCAAGCGCAGGGCAGAGGAGATCAAGCGGCGGGAGGAGGAGGCCAGACGCAAGAAGGAAGCTGAGACGGCGAAGGTTAAGCCTACCACTGCGCAGGCGCGTCGGGCAGCAGCTGCGGAGGAGAAGAAGAAGGCCGATACGCTTCGCAGGTTCGAGGATGAGCAAAGGCAACTGGAGGAGGCCACTCGGGCCGAGGAGGCGCTGCGCGCTGAAGAGGAGCGACATAGGGAGGAGGAGCAGAGGAGGCGGGACGCAGAGGCGCTCGCGGAGCGACTCGGTAAGGAGAAGCTGGAGGCGTTCATCAAGCAACAAGAGGCTCGCAACAAGGCAGAGCTGCTGCGCAAGCCTGAAGACAAGCAACGCGCGTTCGAGGAGGCAAGGCGAGCGGAGGCCGCGCGCCTGCAAGAGCTTGAAGAGAAACGTCTGGAGGAAGAGAAGCGCAAACGGGAGGCGGATGCCCTTGCCGAGAAGATTGGGAGAGAGCGGTTGGAGATGTTCAGGAAGCAGCAAGAGGATGCCAGGCGACGGCTGGAGGGTCGCCAACGGACCGACAGCCTCAGTCGCACTCCTCCGGACACGCCGAAGCCGTCGATCCCTGTTTCGAAAGACCCCAAGGAGCCCTCGAAGAAGGCATCCGAGCCTCAGATCAGGAAACGCACCGTGACCTTCGCCGAGGAAGATCCCCAAGATCGTGAAGTTAGGTTGTTCGCGCTCGAGGATCAGCTGCGACGTCGTGAACAGGAGGTCCGGCGGCGTGAGGAAGAGATCGCGCGCAAGCAGCAGGAGGAAGAGGCGCGTTGGCAGGAGGAAGACAGGAAGCGGAAGCCAGGTGCGCCGCGAACCAAGGCCGATGAGCTGCGCGACAAGGAGAGGCAGTTGCGCAGACAGGCGGAGGACAACCAGAAGAAGGAGCAGGAACTCCGCAAGCGCGAGGAAGCGCTGAACCGCCGTGCGGAAGAGCTCCTTGCGAAAATGAAGGCTCAACAAGAGGAGTTCCGTAGGGACTGTCTCCTTATGGGCATGACCTTGACGAAGTGATACGTGAGTGCAGATCGATTGCGCCTGTCGGCTTGTCGTTGACTCTGGACGTCTAGCGTTGCATCATACCCCAATCGACCGTTATCCCTGACCACCCCATCTAGAAGTTCGCCTATTTATCCTGATTTTTCGTCGTTTCTTGACTCCCTTTCTTGCCCATCATCTCCGCATACCGGGCTACACTACCACAGACATTAATTCTCTCAAGGCGACGACTGACTGTTACGATCTCCATCTCCCTCTCCGTCTATCCCACTGTAGCGTACACTTTCCTTCCTCTCTCCTCTCGTCTCTCATCTCTCACCTCTCGTCTTGCGACGGCTGCATCGTTGTATACTGCTGTGCTCGCTTGTTATCGCTGTGTTAGGCTTCCGTTCGTAATAGTTCGCTAGTACTCGATGTGGATAGACTGCTGTTGATACTGGACTTTGATCGCTTATGACCATCTATTTAAGACAATTCGTCGTAGTCTGCTACTATCGTGCCTATGCTCTCCTGTGCGGCTTTTCTTGCAACAGCAGATGCAATAGCGACGTCCTGAACACCGACACCGACTGACTTGAAGATCGTGACGTCTCCGGCAGCTTGGACTTTTCGCACTAGCTCGTCTTGGGCTGCCCAGACAGAGCCAGAGCCATCGGCGGATACGGCGGGCTGCAATAGCTCTCCGATTTCGACGAGGTCGAAGGGCCTAAGCCCTGCTGTAATGAGTTCTCCGGCTTCGACCTGGGAAGAGAGCCACTCAGCCTCCGATCTCCTTCAGAATGAGCTGTACGGGATGCATACCAGACACGCGGCGCGGGAGTCGACTACAACTCGACCAGCACGTTTGACCAAGTCGGTGTCAACTTCATGCCTATCAACAAGGTTCAGCGTAGATGAATGATGCAAGGAGGACATCTCATGGCATTGCACGTACATCTTTGGTGTATAGGAGCCTATGAGACATAAATGTGCTCCAGGTTTGACGTAGTCGGAGGGAAAGAACGGTGTCGTCGAGGATGTCGCGGTTATGATGAGGTCTGCCTCCCTCACAGCAGCGCGGAAGGCATCATCCTGTGTATCCTTCGGCAGAGAACTGACATCGATATTGACCGATCCTGCCTCTGCTTTCAGACGCGAGGCGAGAGTCGACAATCGAGTGTTGATGGAGCGATTGAAGATCGTGCAGGACGTGATCGTCGAGAAGTGCTTGAGGAAGAGGGAGATATGCGCTGCGATCTGCGCGCCTGCCCCAAAAGCTACCAGCTTGCGAGGCTTAGCGTCAGGAATGGATAGCAAGCGGGTAGCAAGCAATGATCCTAACGTCCGGAGCGGATTGTGAATCTGAGTGAAACATGCGACGCGATGAACATACCTGCTGCATTTCTGAGAGCGGTAAGCTGTCTGGCATTGACGACTGCCTTTACAGCACCAGACGTCTCGTCAAGAACAAGCGTTGTTCCGGGTAATCCAGCCTCTTTGACCAAGGGTGGCGCCGTCGATGTAGGAACGGAGACTACCTTGATGGCAGTCCCAAAAGGCTCAATGCGTGAAGGCATGAATAGCCCGGTGTGATTAGTCACTGGCACCGAGATGCGATGAGGCTGGTGTATTCCGGAGGCTTCGCCAGGGGACTTTTCTGCCTTGGACAAGCTATGGAAGACCTGCGCCATGAGATCAGTCAACTCCTGGGGCTCGAACGTCGCAGCGATCTTGGCGACATCTTTCGCCGACACCACTAGGAGTGACATGGTCCTAGGGGCTTCGCGTCAGATGTAGGTCTAGCTGTGTTAGAGAGTGTATCAGTTGAAGGGGACATAATCCTCCGAGCATGGACACTTGACAGCGGCGCACTGAGAGAAGGAGTCACAACTGTGGCCGAGACGATAAGCCAGGTTAGGAAGGCGTAGTGTTTGGTTGGCGGCGCGCTTCGAGTTCTTGTGGCTCCCGGGCCACGGACTCGGCTGGGGCCTGCAAGCCAATCTCAGGTCTTCCCAGCCACTACAATACGAATCAACTTAGCATAGAAACGACAGTAGCATGTCTGACTTGACCAGTTGTAACGTGAGGACGATCGCGCTATAGGCAAACAGCTTGTACGAGTTGTCAAAAAGGGTATATACGTATGGTTTGACGCCAGTTGATGAGTTACAAATGGTGTTTTAATGGGTATCTTGGGTATACTATGGAACTCATCACAGGTCTGTACCACACTGTCCTCTCTCACTTGCTTCCACCAGGCCGTAGGTCCTTTCGGGCAGAGCCACTCTTCCGGCCGCTAGCTTTCCTCGGCCGCGCCCGTGAGGGCTCAGCAGGTGCCTCTTCCTCCGAGTCGCCGAGAGTCGCCGACGCGGATCCGGTGTCCGGTACCAAGTCCGGAGTGGGTGCCCTTGAGGGCGGCAGCTCGAGGTCGTCTGCGGCGGGTGTGGACGGCACCGCCTCAGACGCCCCAGCACCCGCCCGAGCTGAGCTGAGGAACTCAGGCGGGGCGGGGGTAGGACGCCGCAGACGCACGGCGGAAGGCTCACCGAGCCTGCGACGCACGACCCTTCTGTTCTCGGTCGAAGGGCCGGCCTCATCATCCTGGAGGTCCTCCTCCGCCCGTACCCGTTTGGTACCGCGGCTCGGCGTCGAGGGTGCTTCTGCTGCCCCCGAGCCAGATGCGCCCGACGGCCCCGATGAGTTCGACGGGTCCGTCACCCGTCTTGAGGGACCAGCCTCCGAAGGACCAGCCACCGAGCTGTCCGACATCTCCGCGCCCGCATCGACGTCGATGAACTCGTTGATGCTGACAGGCTCCGGGTCCTGCTGACGTTCCGGCCTCGGGATGCCGCCCTCCCAGTCCGGGTCCTGCCTCCAGTCGCTCGTCCGCGTCACATTGTTCACGACGTGGTTGATGCGCCGGCGCGTGCGCCTCCGGCGTTGCGCAGTGACGGCCTCGACGGCGGCAACACCCTCGGGAGTCGACATGAGCATGTTCGCGAGGCCGCGGGGGTCGAGCGCCTCAGCGACGGCCCGTGTGCCACGCCCAGTAGCCAGCAGCCGGTCTATGATTGCGCGTGGGGTGGCCAGATCAACGATGGCGTCGAATCCTTCTGGGTGAGACAGCAGCTGCCACGCATGTGCATGCGGGTCGTAGGGGACGTTGTAACCGAGACCAGGGACACCCGCGGGCTGCTGGAAGCCCTCTCCATACACTTGCTGCGCGATGGGGACGTAGGCCATTGGGATGTACTGGTCGCCGGCGAACATTGGCGGAACGAAGGGGCCGGGGACGGGCGGGTAAGGACCAGGGACGGGGACGGGCGGGTTGAAGGGGCCGTAAGGAGGCATGCGCGGGTTGAAGGGGCCGGGCATGGGCAGGGGCGGGTTACCGGGCAGAGGACCAGGGAAGGGGCCGGGCGCGTTGCTGGGGCCAGCTGCAGGGGCGGGCATTCGGGCACCGCTGGCACCTGCGGTGGGAGCCGGCGCGTTGCGGGTGCCCTCGGTGCGCCCCGCCGCACTCCCACTGCTCGATGCTTGTGCGGACGTCGACGCGGGAGCTGGAGGGGGTGGACGGGCTGAAAGAGGGCCATAGTGATGTCAGTGACAAGCTCGCCAACGAGTGTAGAGATACGCACGAGGCTCAGCAGCGTTCAGCCTCATAGCGCGCGGAAGGTCGGATTCGCCATAGAACGCGTGTTCCCGGCGAAGGGAGGAGGCACCGGGCTGTCGATCCGGGATACGGTTGGCGCCACCCGGCCCTAGACATCGAGGTTAGGACAATGGCGTACGTGATTATTGAAGACTCATACCTGATGGCCGCGATGACGGGTACGGTGGTGGTGCCGCAGACCGGGCAGCCTGACGACGTGGAACCGTCCGCTGGGGTCCACCAGATATCTCCGACACTATGGTATCTGCAATGCGTTAGTAGTGTGCCGATAGACTGCACATCGCGGGGAGCACTCACTAGGTGCCGAAGACCTGGGGCGCCCGGAGGACGGGCCAGCCTGTGCGTTCTGGGCGGCGGCGGACCGATTCAGCGCCACCGCCGCTTCGCGCTGCGCGGACGCTCGGGTGTTGAACCTGCGTAGGTAGTCGACGGCGATGTGCAGGAAGCTACGTCCGCCGCTAGTGGCGTTGTTGTTGCCGTTGTTGTTCTCTGCAACCGCGTAGCGCAATCGTCAGAAACCAACGCAACGGGGAGCAATGGAGCGTAGCGAGCGTACCATTCCTGCCATTGTTCCCAGTGTTGTTGTCGTTGTTGTTGTTATTGTTGTTGTTGTTGTTGTTGTTGTTGTTGTTGTTGTTGTTAGAGGCGTTGCGGTCGCCATTGTTGCCACTATTGTGTGTGTTCGACGGCATCTTGGACGCTTCGATGTGTGCGAGTAGCAAAGCTGAGTACGGGGTGAGTGGCGAGGAGCTGCTGGTAGGCAGAAGTGAGGGGAACCGGTGCCAAAGCGGCGCATTTTATACACATCCAGCGGTACCTACGCTTTGACCTAAGCTGTGGCGTAGCGCCCAAAAGGAGTGGCGAAGGACGCGTGTCCCAGCCAGCGGCGAGCTCACCGGTGGCGGTGCCCTAGTAGACGCATTCGGTGCTATTCAGTGCTTTGTGGATGATGATTTGTGGCGCGGACATGCCTCATGCGGGGAGGGCGGCACCGGGACTTCGCGGCGGAGAAGCATGTCGAGCACTGCAGTGCCTCCTATCCCATGGTTCACCGTGACGAAGCCCTACGCATACTGTACTCCGTTGCCAGAGGTATCTTAAGTAGCCATCCCGTCTGTAGTAGTCGGCAGGGGCTCTATTGTGCTGATCACCACGCACGTCCTAACAATAACAACAGTGGTCGTCAGTAAGTCGCTATTAAGCGCACAGGGAGAGAGCGAAGTACTTTACAACAGTCGTTCTGAGGACCGATCCTAGGGAAACAAGGTCGCTCAAGCCGAGATGGGCCCGAGCGATCGTCATAGCACGCCCTGAATCCTGATCCGTCAAGCCTGGGACATGTTCCCCAGAAAACGTGTCGAAGCGGACGCTCTGACCTCCGAGCATGTGCTTCTGAGCACCGCGTTTCGCCTCCCTGTATCCTCGTGTTGTAGAGCTGTGCACGGTGTGCTTCTTCGCTTTGACCTCGTCGTCCCGCACGGTGCAGGTGGCGCATCGCCATCGAGCTAGGACACTAGAGGGTGTTATACACCCACGAGAACCGCGTACAGATGACCATGCGAGGTGGCTATGTATGCCACGAGAAAGGGCATGTCTGAGGACGGAAGATGATCTCGTAATTATTGTGGATATGCACCCAGAGCTTGGCGTCGTCGCGCGAGACCAAATCCATTCCTCGTATGGAGAAGTAATATTCACTACTTTCCGAAGAGCATCAGTTTCCCGGCCTATACTCGAGATCGACTGCACTTACCTATGACCGTAGGAACATACGGTGCCGGCTCTTCACGCTCTGCATCACCGTGACAATAACTCACCAGACCGCAGAAACTGTCAGGTGGGCATGTCTTCGTATGCGGTTTGAGTGCAGCTTCTCTTGTATACGCGGAAATTTAAAGCGAGCATCCCGGCCGGTGACTGTACCCATGCATATACAGGCTGACAAGACTCGAAAGACATCGACAGCGCGGATACGTTGTCAGTCTTACCGTGACGTGACGTGTGATGCGACGCGTCGAATGTGACGATGCGGGTCACAGCACGTCAGCGCCGCCGCGCGAAGTCGACCGAACTTGACCGGAACACTCGTACTCATAGGCAGACGGCACAACTTTGACTTTTTCATCCCTCACTGTCGTATCGAGCTCTTCGAGTCCCGCAAAATGTCCAACACAATCGCACTGTAAGAGGGTACTCATCGAAGGAGACGTCTCCACTTATGCAGCTTATAACCCCAGCTACCCGCTCTCGAACTTCACGTTCAGGTATGTCAAAGTCTTCCAAACGATGCCTCGTCAGCTCAATATCACTCTTGCCAGCACAAAAGAAGCACAACCGGAAGAAGACCCTTCAGTTTCTGCGCGACTTCAGCGGCTACAAAACAACTACGAGGACTTCGGCATGCGCAGGACGGTGGAAGGCATTCTAGTCGTACACGACCATGGACACCCGCATATACTCATGTTGCAGATCGCGAACGCCTTTTTCAAGCTGTATGTCGTGTCTGCCCTGACAATCCTTTGCTCATTGCGGTGTGCCACAGACCCGGAGACTACCTGAAGCCTGGTGAAGACGAGATCGAAGGGCTCAAGAAGCGTCTGGACGACCGACTCGCGCCCCCAGCCGAGTCTAAGCAATTTAACTCCTCTCATGGCGTAGACAACGAGTGGGAGATCGGCGATTGCCTCGCGCAGTGGTGGCGCCCCAACTTCGAGACATTCATGGTGCGTGCCTCTGCTTGTCGTGCCACTTCGCCAGAGAAGGATCCGGAAATCTCATGGCCGCTGTGTACATATGCTTTGGTCGTGGAATGTGCAGTACCCATTCATCCCCGCACATATCACTAAGCCGAAGGAGTGCAAGAAGCTGTTTCTCGTGCAGATGCCCGAACGCAGTACGTAGCCTTTGAGCGCCTTACATCATCGATTGGATGGACCCACTGACGAACACACCTATGCCTCGTGCCTTCTTATGCCTGTCGTCCATCGATCACCTGCACCCACAGAGGTCCTCGCTGTGCCCAAGAACATGAAGCTCCTGGCGATCCCTCTCTTCGAGCTCTACGACAACGCCGCTCGGTATGTTCTGGCCCTTCACGCGTATGCGTGGTCTGACACAAGCTTTGCTTTAGGTATGGGCCCCAGCTATCTGCCATCCCGCATCTTCTCTCTCGGTACGTTGACATCATCGCTTCGTCTGCAAGTCCCTTACTGATCGTTCTTCATACCTCCAGGTACAACTTCATCTACCAGTAGTCGCCCCCTGAGAGTCAAAACCCACGTGCATCCCATTTCGTCGTCTCGAGTTTCTCGTTGTTCTCCTGTTCGCTCTAGCTGTCGTCATGTCATGATTCATCCATACCGTCGCTTGCATTGTAGCATAGAGCCACGTAAAAGTCAACTCCCGGTCATCTTCTGGTCTGCTGAGTCTGTTACTTCAGGACCTCGTAAGATGAGACAGTCGCGGAATTGGTTAAGTCTCAGAGATAGTAAGTGATTCGATGTCGTTTTCCGTCTTTGACCGAAGGCTGACAATGGATTCGTTCTCTGACTAGCAACGTCCTCAGAAGCAAGGCTTGCAGTCGAGCCTAGTGAGAATCACGTCCTCTCAGGCTAATTCGTAAGACGACCGTGGACAGATTCACGACGAAGTCATCATGAGCCCGGCTCGCACACATCGTTCTATAGGTCTCGCTGCGCGAATCACCATCACCTCGTTACTCCCAGGCTATTCACAAAACCCGATGTTTCTAACATTCTCTATACTCACCCTCCTCACAAGCCTCGTCTCACACGTCATCGCCCATGGGTACGTCAGCAATGTCACCGTCGACGGGACGACCTACCCCGGCAACGCCCCAGGGCACTACACAGGTCCCGATCCTCCTTCTCTCGTTCAGAGTCATCCTGACCTCCGTCATGATTTGTTGAATCGCAGCCGCCAGTCCGATCCGCATGGTGTCGTCCGACAGCCCCGTGACGAACGTCTCCGACCCGGACCTTGCCTGCGGGCTCGGCGCGACCGACGCCGCACTCGACGCCCCCGTCTTCCCGGGTAGCTCAATCAATCTTACGTGGGTCTCCGGAGGTGGAGGGAACGTACGTACACCTCTGCCTTGCGCACATATCCACTCACAATAGCACTGTGAACGTGCATTCTGCCTTGGCGGCGAAGTGGCCTCACGAAGTCGGGCCGGTCCTGACGTACATGGCATCCTGCGGCACGAACGCGAGCACCTGCGCGGGGTTCAACGCGTCCGTGGCTGAGTGGTTCAAGATCGCCGAGGACGCTCGGCAGCGCTCGCCGGAGAACGCGTCTTGGGTCCAGGAGCTCATCAGTACGCCGCCTTTCCTCCCCTGTGGTGCCTCATACCTGAGCGGGACTGCTGATGCCGGGATTGAGCGCAGTGGAAGGCGACGCCTATAATGTGACGATACCCGCGGGGCTCAAGCCGGGGGCGTACCTGATCCGGAATGAGGTCAGTTGTGTCACCGTGTTGAAGACCATATGAAGTTGACTGACGTGACGACGTATGTGCTGTTGCAGCTCATAGGCTTGCAGAACGCGATGGCCCCCGGTGGCGCCGAGTTCTTCCCGTCATGCACGCAGCTCCGCATCCTTGGGAACGGAACAGAAGTGCCCGCGCCGAACAACACTGTGCGGTTGCCGGGGGCGTACAACGCGAGCGACCCAGGGATATTATTCGACGTGAGTGTCGGCTTAGTCCCTAGCAATGGAGTGTTGAAATTCACTTGTGTGTTAGGCGTATACGGACCCGGACAAGCCATACGTGATTCCCGGACCTCGGATCGCGACGTTCGTCAACGTGACGAGTCCGGATGAAGCGAACGGAACCTCCATTTCCAGCTCTGTCTCAGGCTCACCTCCACCGCCGGCTTCACCCTCAGACAAAGCGGACGACGCACTCCCAGCACCCGTGCCTCCTAGCCCGTCTTTGAACTACCCCCCACCATCCTCGGCCCCCACCTCCCTACACACGCCCTCGCAAGACCCAGCCTCCACCACCCCAACAGTATCTAGCACCATTCTCACCTCAGAATCTGCGCCGACGCCCACAGGAGAGGCACCGTTAGTCCCATTGCCCGGACCTGCTCAGGTAACTGCGAACAACCAGGCACAGCTGTGGATCCCCATGGTCGACGCTACGCCCCCACAACCCAAACGGCGCGCGTGGCGGTCCAGGGACCATAGTCGGGTCATGGGCAGGGTCGCGCACTAAATGGACCCAGATACTACACATGCACCTTGTCTCTCGAGCGGATGTCACTCGATTTGCCCACCACAGACAGAGCTTGTATACCAACAGTACGAACAAGTAAGGGTCCAGAAAATGGGAGGGATCGTGATAGAGCTCCCTCGGGTTGCTTCTAGGCTACGCCTCCCTGACTTCTTCCTCCAAGAACTCCCACACCCGCTTCCCGAGCTCGTCGTCATATGCCTCCGCGCGGCACGGTGCGATGCGCGCCGCCGGGATCGCGTACTACCAGTACATGCCCGCCAGTCAGCTTCTTGTCTTTCTGGCACCGTATGCAGCAGCAAGTGGGGCACACACAAACGCACCTTGCCGTTGTGATTGATCGCCTCGGGCATGGTGCCCGCCCAGAGCTGCGTGAGCGCGCCGAAGGGCGCGGGGCGGAGGATCGTCTTCAACTGTCGTAGTGTGCGGTGCAATTCAGGTGAGCAAGTACGAGTGTCCGGTCGGTCCATAATGCGCCGTCGTGTTCAAGTTGTGTCCCCGCCGTCGTGATTACGTATGGCGTCCCCGTCACATTTGATATCCAACCAGTGGACGATTGTGTTCAGTCATGTTCCCATCCGCTACGATCAGCAACGACACACGACAGGTACGTAGCGCGAAGGAACGTACGAAGAGGTGTGTAAGCACCCCCACGATGCCAGGAACGTCGCGGTAGTACCGCTGGAGGTCCGTCTCGATGCTCCCTGCACAGACACGCGATACCGCTCAGCCCCGGTAGACGATAGGTCAGCAGGCGACTCACCGGGGTCGGCAGAGATGGCCACAATCCCTTCCCCTCCATACCGCTTCGCCAGCTCGCGCGCCTGGATCGCATTCGCCTAGCGCCCCGCTCTATCAGCCCCCTCCCAACTCACCAAACGCGCGGCACTCACCAGCTTACTCTGCGCGTACAGCGCCTCCTTCGTGTACTTCCTCCGTGCCGGGCCGTCGCGCACGGACGCAAAATCTATCGCGCCAATCATCGCGCCGGAGGAGGACGTCGTGATCACACGTGCGTGCTGGTCGGGCGAGGAGCGTACGCCTGCGAGGAGGGCGGGGAGAAGGAGCTTGGTAAGGAGGTGGTGGCCTGCGTGGACGGAGTCAGTGGGGATGGAAGGGGGAGGAACGACTAGGACGGACCGATAACGTTGGTGCCGAACTGGAGGTCGAGGCCGTCGGACGTGAGCTGGTCGAGGGGCGGGCCCATCACTCCCCTATGGACGCACTCAAGTCAGCGCTTCACGTGGATTCCGAAGGCGCAAGGAAGGGCGTACGCATTGTTGAACAAGATATGCAGCTCCGACTCCTTGCTACATCGCACCCATCTTCAGCACCACACGCTCAGAACGAGACACCGAGCCGCGCACCTCAGGAACTCGCTTGCAGCCCTGCGGACCGATGCGAGGCTGCCGAGGTCGAGCTCGAGGAAGATGGCTTCCTTGCCCGTCTCTGTCTTGAGGCGCTCGATCGCCGCCTCGGCCTTGTGCCTGCTTCGCGACGCCATATACACTTTCGCGTTGCGCTGGAGGAGGACCTGCATGCGAGCTCAGCCTCCGGACGAGCACTCGCGTGACATGACTGCTCACCTTGATCGTCTCCCATCCTATACCCACATTGCCTCCTACGCCGAATCGAGTATCGTCGGCCGCGCTTCTAGGCAAGAAGAACGGGAGACGCACCGGTGACGACTGCAACGCGCCCGCTGAGGTCAGGCACATCCTCCGCCTTGAAGTTGCCCGCGGGGAAGCAGTTGCGCCAGAATATCAAGAGCAGGTAGTACGCCTCTGTGAAGATTCCCATTTCGGCAAGAATCCGTGTCGGTGAGTACTTCAGGGGGTATGCGTGGCGGCAAACACTGTCGGACGCAACCTATATACACACGTGGCATGCCTCCCCCTCGATCGAAGGCTCGAGCTGGAAAACGAAGCAGCCCCGCCCGGCCGTGGGGAGTCGTCATCGATTGGTTTTCGCCGGCATCTGGGTCACTGTCCAGTGTCAATGTGCTGCCGGGGCCAGTGGGAAAGAGAACCACACCGCCTGCCGTTTGGGGAAGAAGACGCTTCCGCCCGGGTCGTTGCGGACCACAGCACGACCAGAACGACGCGTCATCTAGGCAAGGGCGGCGACGCTCTCACTGCACGCGCGGATCGACCAACGCGTTGCCAGCCTCCGGTCGCCGCAGCGGGGCAGCCCTGGTGGCGTCATGCGTCGTCGATCGCAATTTACCCGGCCGCCCAAGCGCACGATCGGTGCCTTTTCGTGCCGCCTCGCCGCGTCCACTGCGCCTCGACGCGTCCACTGGCACTCTGGCACCATCTGTCCCCGTCCTGGGCGTAATCCCGAGCAGTCGGAGATGCGCTGGGCTGCCGCTGCATTCCATCATCGCCGCGTCGCACCGCAGGCACCGACAGCGCTATGTAGCGCTTTCGCGATCAACAGGCGTATGCGGCGACGCTCTGCGTGCCGACGGGATGCGTCCAAGGTGCGTCAATGAGCATCACCTCAATCACGCCCACAATATTCATCAAGCCACACAGAACCGTGAACAGCAAACATGTATCCAGATTATCGGGTATATATCATAAGGTCAGACCCTCCACGTCTCGTTCCTCACAACCGATTTAGCAGCCTGCGCTTCTCTATTGCGCCTTCACCTCCTCATCCAACCCGGCCTACAGCCTCTCGCCCAACGTATCGTCATGAAACTCTTTCTTACACCGCGCGGTCTTCGCCACCTGGTCCGCGTACTGTCCTCCCATCAGCCTCCACAGCCACACCACACGCGCATACGTAAACACACATCGCCGTTGTGAAGCCCCTTCAGCGTAGTGCCTGCCCACAGCTAGTACGGCAGCGCGCCGAGCAGGCTCGGGTGCAGCATCACCTTCGCCTGCGGTGAGGAGTGCGCGTTCATTCGAGTTGAGTTGGTGCCGCGTGATCTATGCGTTGAAGGTACTGCTCACCGCCATGTCGAGCAGCCGGCCCCCGAGCCCCGGAGAGCCCATGTAGTGTCTCTGCATCTCCGTGCGCACGCGTTCTGCCACTCGAAAGTCGTGGTTAGCTAGACTTCCCGCCATCTAGCCAGGTAGGCCAGAAAATCGTAGTGTGCGGCATCGGTTTTTATGCTGAAGCGAGCCGTCTGTTCGGTCTACGCTCATAGGGAGCCGCTCATTTCGTGCGGGAAGTGCGGGCCATGCTTGTCGGGTACTCGCAACCTCTGTCGTAAGATCAGCTTCCTTGTGCGCCCCCTTTTAATCTGGAGTATAGTCTCCGTCGTTCAAGTTCAGAGCCTGAGTATACCAACTCTAGTGATTACTACCGGGCTACCAAAGTGGTGGCGCCGACGTCATGTTCGACTGCGCGGGAATGCAAGCTAGCTTCGACGCAGCTCTGGACGCGGTACGAACCCAGGGGAACGTCGTCGAAGTCGCCGTCTGGGAGAAGAGCTGCGCTTCAGACGAAAGAGGCTGTCCTGGTCGGTCTGTGTCTTGTTGCGCGGTTGCGTTGGAATGGATGGCAGAGTCACTTGCGCGCACCGTCGTAGCGAGTCAAGCGTACGACCGCAGACAAGCCGGGTTGCTCAAGGTCTTCGCAAAAGGCTGGATCCCGAACCTCGAGGAGCTGATTACCAGGCTTGAAGATCGCCTTGGAGGACTTCGTCGAGGAAGGTATCAAGGCTCTCATCGCCGACTCGGAGAAGGATACACAGAGTGAGTCTCTGTCGCATAGATCTACAGGTCTTGCTCGCTCATTGGCGCATAGTCAAGATCATCGTCCACCCCTAGCTAGTACACGGTACATAGGTTCGAGGTTGAATGGGCGCGCAGGATTGCAGCCAGGTATCGGAATGCCGGCATGGACGGCCCGGGCTTGGTGTACTTATGCGCTTACCGTTGTCTCGGGTCTGCACTAGTCGCATCTCGATTGAACGTGGAGGATCGCCAGGAACTGACGCCGTCCAACGCCGAACGGCTCCAGACGGCTCCCCGTTCGCTAAGGTCGTGCACGGGCACTTGCAGGCTGAATCCCAGCAATATCAATGACCTCTATTCTTTCAGTCTCGAGCTAATATCACCGGCAGAACAATTGTCATGTCTTCTACGACCATCTGCGCTGACAACAATGTCGCGCTGCAACCGCTGCATGGTGGCACGCACACAACCCACGGACTGACGAACGCGAGACTACAATCACAATCTCTTCGAGCTCGGAGAAAGACTCACCAACACGGGCACCGTGTGACCAATCCCTCTCTATTCGCCCGCCGTCCATAACGGCCAGACGGCTCCCCGGCAGCGGTTCCCTGACCCTGACGATAAGGTGTGGCCTCAATGCGGCATACACGCCTCTCGACCTTCAGGGCGCTCGTAATGTCCGGACGCCTACTAGTGTCTCGGGAACCTACGCAGTTATGTTAACGCCTAGCAGCAGGTCGACCGTTGTCCTTTCCGCCCTTGCTATCGCGCTCGGGCTCTCTCTCGCTGCATACGCGGAGTACGTGCAAATACCATTCGGCTGGAGTCTGTTCGGGATGGGGTCTCTGCCAGATCTGTACGAGGCGGGCATTGAGGAAGTCCAGGTCGGTTTGAAGAAGAAGCGCTTCACGAGTGTTGATCTAGTCAAGGTGAGTCGCTCCCGAAGCTCCGCTTGCGCAGGCTGATCGCGAACACGACCGACTTGCAGGCATATCTCGCACGTATAGAGGAAGTCAACTTGAAGGGCCCTGGGTTGCGTGCGGTTCTGGAGACGAATCCGAACGCGCTCAAGCAAGCTGCCGAACTCGACAAGGAGAGGGAGGTCTCCGGGCCCCGCGGTCCCCTCCACGGCATCCCGATTCTGCTCAAAGACAACATCGCCACGCTGCACAGCGAAGGTACCCGCACGCCGTACTACACCCTCACTGAGCCGGACGCTAACGGACTGCACACTGTCAGGCATGAACACCACAGCAGGGTCCTACGCCCTGCTCGACTCCGTCGTCGACGGCGAGTCCTTCGTCGCCGCGCGGCTGCGCGCCGCGGGCGCGATCCTCCTCGGGAAATGCACGCTCTCAGAGTGGGCGAACTGGCGGGGCACCGTCCCGTCTGGGTTCTGCGGGCGCGGCGGTCAGGGCACGAACCCGTACGTCCCGCTGGGTAACCCGTCGGGCTCGAGCTCGGGCAGCGGGATCGCAGGCGCGATAGGCCTCGCGACGGGCACGCTCGGCTCTGAGACGGACGGCTCGATCATCAGCCCGAGCAGCCACTGCAACCTCGTCGGCCTCAAGCCGACGGTGGGGCTGACGTCGCGCGCGGGAGGTGGGTGTTCCCTCTCGTTTCTGTGCTTGAGGCACGACTCATATCCGCGGGCAATGCACAGTGGTCCCGATCTCAGAGCACCAGGACAGCATTGGACCGATGTGCCGCAGCGTCGCGGACTGCGCGGCCATCCTGTCCGTCATTGCGGGGCGCGACCCGCACGATAACTACTCGCTGAATCAGCCCGAGACGGTGCCGGACTACACCCAGGCCCTGAAGAAGGATGGGCTGAGAAGCGTGCGGCTCGGCGTGCCGCGCAAGGTGTTCGAGGGCGTCGACGCGAACGTCATGATCGCGTTCAACAGGGCACTGGAAGACATGAAGGCCCTCGGCGCGACGATCGTCGACCCGGCGGACTTCGTGGACGAGTGGGACCACGACGAGGTGTGGAAGCGCGAGGAGATCGTGCTCTGTGGTGACTTCAAGGTGAACATCCACAGCTACCTGTCAAAGCTCGTGGAGGTTCCGACGGGCGTGCGGACCGTCGCGGATCTGATCAAGTTCAACGAGGAGAACAGGGAGAAGGAGCTGGTCGAGCCGTTCTGGACGGACCAGGCGACGTATGTTCAGATGGCCGTGTGATGTTCTGGGTTGAATCACTTAAATGCGGCGTTAGCAGATTCATCAAGTCCAGAGACACACACCAAGATCCGACGTTCTGGGACGCGCTGGCTTACGACTATCGAATGGGTCGGCAAGACGGCGTCGATGGCTTGCTGAAGAAGTACGAGGTGGATGCGATCCTCATGCCCACGGCAAAGGCGTCGCGGCCTGCCGCGGTTGCAGGATACCCCGTCCTAACTGGTACGTACGATGGAATCCAGCATAGCGTGAGGAGAGTTGACCTTGTGATGGGACGCAGTGCCCCTCGGCTTCCAGCCGCCTGACGTTGCGCTCGCAGAGGCGAACCCGACGCGCATGAATGGCCCGAGCATGCCCTTCGGGATCTCGTTCCTCGGCACCGCCTACAGCGAATTTCAGCTCATCCAGTATGCGTATGCGTACGAGCAGGCGACGAAGCATCGGCTGGAGAAGAAAGCGTACCCGGAGGCGATCCCAAAGACGCAGCTGGCAGATGTCATAAGCAAGTAGTTCCAGAGGCGATGTGCCAGTTGAAGTGCCGCCCACGATGGCGATGTTACCCTTGCCCGCGCCAGTGTGATTGGAGGTGTGAGCGGGCGTCCAGAGCGCAGGCTCATTCATCGACGGTAAACCGGTGAGGGTTGAGTAGCATGTCATAGAAGTAACACAGCCCCTCGGCCGTGAGTGACGTGCAGTGAGACCTTTCACTCCCTTCTTCATCCTCCTCCCCGTGAGGACTCGCAGGTAAGCGTGATCCGACGGATGTCCGGCGCGAAGACCTCCCTCCCGCCTTCCTTCTTCCGCACCTCCGCAGACCACGAACATGGAGACACGCCGCACCCAACCGCACCGCCATCCACAACAGGCAAGTATTTCACCATACACGGATAGGCACAAGCTCGGGTGCTCCGGGGCACTGAAGAACGGAGAAACGGGAGGGAGGACTTCCGTCTCAGACCACATAGCCCGCCCGGGCCTACGAGCTACCAGGAGCTGAGGCAGCATGGAAGGTATCTGTGAGTGTCCATGGCGGATCGGCGGTGTGTCATGAGTGGGAGTGGACGGTGTCGGAGAGAGAACGTGCGCGTCGACGACCAACACACACACAATACGATCTCCTGGAGCAGGCGTTTGGAGCGAGTCGAGATACGGGTGATCGGGCTGGTGACTGGACGACGGGCGAGGATCTGTGTAGGGTAATAGGGCCGCGCAGAATATAAACGGATACTTATCTTATCTTCTCGACTACTCGACTAACTCGACTTGAGATGCACGCGCGACGTCGAGTCGCTCGTCCGTGCCGAACCTTGAAGTGCGCGTGAGCGAGAGGGGAGAAGCTGGGGAATCTGATAACTGGCGAGAACGGGCGACGCAGCCCTCTACAAATACAGTGCGAGACCGAAGCACCAGAGAAGTGTAAAAAACTAGGAGAGAGCGTTGGACACAGAAGGAACGCGTGACTGGTTCGAATGGAAACGTGATATGTGAAGTACCAGCGATCGACTGCCGGATTGGGAAAGAATAATACCTAATTTGGATGTACCGTATGGAACGAATCTGGAGCACCCGCCCGGGTGTCGACGTACGTTGGTCCCCCTTCCGGCATTGACGGCGGACCGTTGTCTCGGTACGGGGCTGACAGCGGACGAGCGGTGCTATTGACGTTCGCGACCTGGCCCCCACAGGTGCGGCACTCTGCTCGTCGACCCGCCTTCGTCCTACGGTAGGTCTTTCGCCTCTGCCTTCCAGATCGCCTCGGACGCGTCGGTAGTGTCGAGATGGTACAGTAGTAGATCGCGGCCGTAATGTATGAATGTCTAATGCGAAGTGCGTGAGTCAAGAATAACAGAAGCTGGAATCGATCAAGAATTGAAAGGTGACATATCTATGACGCGTCGCGTCGGTCTAGCCTCCGGCCGGCTTTCTCTTCCACAACGGAGGCGGTAAGTGTTGTCAGGAGACGGTAAGTGTTGTCAGGAGACGGTAAGTGTTGTCAGGAGACGGTAAGTGTTGTCAGGAGCCGGTAAGTGTTGTCAGGAGCCGATCACTGGCAGGACATAGCCGCGTACATAGTCTCCGTTTCAACCCACCAGCCAGCAAGCGTCGCAACTGCGTGCAACCCCTGAAAGCCGCGGTTGCGCCTACCTAGCACAGCGTCGTCAGCGTCGTTGCCCTTCGTACAATCATCGATACGGCCGTGTACAAGAGAACGCACCTAGTTCCAGCCTATCCTGCGCCGAGGCCGACCAGACGCCCTAGTGACCAGCAAACCAATGTGATTGATGTTCCCTGAGTCCGAGGCTATGCTACAACACAAGTCGACGATGCGTGTGTAAAGTGCGGTTTCCTGATCTGACGTGCAATTAGTGTGCATACATGTAATATACCTGCTCTACAGTTCCCGCGAATGCCACGGCGCGATGCAATCCCTTCCATTCCCAACCAAGCCAGAGAAACGACGACCGACAGCGCATTCTTCAAAGATACTGGGCCAATACCCAGCATCTTGCTCGACAGCCCCGCCCCGTTCACTCGCCCAGAATGCTGCGAGTCGCGACCCGTCAGCACGCTCGAGGCCGGGCTACATAAATCATACACCACTCACCCCACGACGCCCATGGCGACACACCCCAGCAACAAGCTCCCGAGCGCGAGCGCCTGGCGCGCGACGCTGCTCCGCCACAGGTGGGGGTCGAGCACGAAGTCGCCCGCGAGCATCTCGACGCACGCCGCGTAGATCAGCATCCCCGCCGACAGCGCGGACATCAGTCCTCGCAGCAGCGTCACTTTCGCTGTGCGGACCGGGACAATGTCAGCTTGCGAGTCTCGCTTTAGGAGGGGGGAGGGGGGAGGGGACGTACCGCCCTCGCTGCGCCCCGGCTCGAACGCCGCGAGACCGATGCCGATGCCGATGGGGGTCGTGATTGCGAAGGAGACGGCGAGGATGGGCTTGAGCAGGCGCAGGCCCGCGACTTCTGCAGATAATGGTCAATCCCAACGTAGACGAGACTGGGAAGCGGAGCAGGAACCGACCTCGAGCGGCCGCGGCAGGCAGTGTGGCTATCCGGATCCCGAGCGAGAGCCCTTCGAAGAGCTGGTGGAAGACGATGGCAGTGACGAGCGATGCTTGACAGGAGTTAGCGCAAACGATACGTGGGAGCGAGGAAAGGACACCCACTGAACTCTCCGCCGGAGGTGATCGCGAGCGTGAGGCCGATGACGAGGGAATGAATCATGATGCCGATCTCGAGCATCTAGACAGGCACTGGCATCAGTACTGCGAACGAGGCGATATGTGCATAGAACCGACGCACCAGGATCCCGATGACCTGCCTCCGCATCCCCACCTTCGCCTCCGGCCCATCCAGCTCAGATTCGTCTCCCTCGTCACGCTCCGGGGACCATCTTTCCATGTCCATATGCGCATGCCCGTGAGCATGTGCATGTCCACCACGGTGGTGTCCATGGTCGTGGCTACCGTGTCGGTCGTGCGCGTGGCTGTTGCTGTGCTTGCGCGTCTCCACCCCCTTCCGTGCGCTTCCACTAGCAGCCTCCTCGTCCTCGTCCACCGCCCGACCACTACCAAGCCCGAACCACCCCATCCACGACTTCCAACTGCCGTGGTGCTCTGCGTGCGAGCCGCGCTCCTCGTGCCGGTGGTGTCCGCCCGCGAAGATCTCCTCGCTCGCCTCCGCGATGGTGCCCCGCCGCTTGCTGCTTTGTGTCCTAGGGAAGGTGTGCGCCCAAGCTGCAGGTCGCGGGCCAGGGTGCGGCGTGGCGCCGTAGGCCGGGGTGCCGTTGCCGCTGAGTGGGGTAGACTCGTCGGTGAAGGGCTCATTCACGGGGGTGGACGACTCGGGCGGTGCGAGCGGGAGAGGAGCATCGGCAACGTGTCCCTCGTTGGCAGACGGGGGGTGCGCCGGTGAGCCCGGCCTCGGGGTGGGTGAGGATGTGGATGGGGTGTCACACGGCGTGGGAGGTTGAGACGCATATGACTGTAGGCGATCAACGTAGGATGTCGAGATATCTATGTGATCGTTAGGACGGCACCGCAGACCAGAAAGAAAGCGCATACATTCAACAAGGAAGATGAGGAGTAATGAGCTCAGGCTGCGTATGGGGTCAGCCTCCGAGATACATCCCGTTCATTTGCGCAATACTCACACAATCATGCCAACCCAATCCGACACTGCCCATCTTTGTGCGACTGCGGGACTGAGTAGGGCCTCATAGGCATCCTGCAACAGATGGCCGAAAGCAGTCGAGATGATGATGCCCGTGCCAAAGTGTTTTCCGATGAAGAACACGATGCCCGGGACGCGTACGCCTGGTAGTCGCTGGGAGAGGCTGGGAAAGCATGACGCTACAGCAGAGGTCAGTCGAAAGATGGCGATCTTATCGGACGGGCTGCGTACCGAATAAAGAGACCACGAAGAGTCCGAGCATGAGCCATATCCGCGTCTCCACCCACGATGCCATTTCGTCACTGGGGTCGTCAAGGGTCTTTTCAAATAGCGCAAGGGGCATCTTCTCCAGTTGTCGCAGCGATGGCTGAGTCGGGTCCGTTTCACTCGACGCAAGCACGGGTAGGACGACGGTCATACTGAAGCGATCCGGGGAGGTGGCGGGAGGAGGAGAGAGGAGGGCAGCGTCCTGCAGATTATATTCGGTCGATAAGCGAGCGAAGACGGCTGACACGCACAGCAACTGAGAGGAATGGAGGGAAAGGGCAGTCGAGTCGCTATGATGCACGGAACGGGCACTGCGTGGTGCGCTCCCCGGAGCAGTGATGAGGACCGCACAGGTCGTCGCAGGCGCCAGCCAATCACCGCACGCCATTCTGTAAGCCCCCGGCGTCGGCGCCGCCGCGTCGCGCGTCGGTCGCGGGTCTGCTGCAGTCTGCGCCGATGGTGGAGGGTCGAGGACAAGAAGTATGCGCTGCGACAGAGCGGACGATGCCTTTATATACGGACGGGCGGCGCAACTTCTACGATACGGTGGAAGCTGTCAGACACTCATTTGGCATGGAGGATGCCCATTGAGGAAATCAGAGCAGGCGGTCGGCTTATGTCACAGACTCTGCTTTCGGGCGCAGACGACTGGGAAGTTAGGAGACTCCCCAATTGGCAGGGTACACAACATGGGACACACAGCAACAGCGACGGACGCAAGTTCGAATCGAAGGCTGACCAGTGACGGATCGGGAAGGAATGATACCGTAGAAGGAAGGTTGGTTTCCCTTTGCGGACAAATAACAAAGCTAGCTTGGTACGGGGATGTGTGCGAGAACGACGGAGTGGTCGCTTCAGGACGAGCTGACGTATTCAACGTATTGATCCGAGGTACAGTTGGTCACTACAGAAGAACATGAAATTCGACCGACTTCAACCTGAATACGGGTGAAGTCACAACATGCGAATCGTATCATACGATTAACTGTGGAGGTAATGGAAACCAATAGATATCGTATAAATACGTGACCATGCTACAAACCCAAGTCCGTGACAATGAACAGTCTGCCAAGTCCAAGGAATCAGACGTCCAAACCGCTATGCAAGACCGAAACCCAGAGATGAGATGAGTGAGATCCAGGAACAAATACGAGACCAATGGATAGATAACGGAAAAAGGGAAAAGGGGAAGGGATTGCAAGCCAGACTCGCGGAATGCCCCTCCGCTCGCCTGGCCCGCCCCGATGATCGACGAACCTCAAGAACACACGGGGGCATCGGTGCTCTGAGGTTCGCCGGCCACCGGAACCCAACCCAGTATAGTACAAGGAAAGGGGTAAAGAGAGACCAGTCAAAGGGAACCCGTAACGCTACAAGGGACGAGACCGAGTAATCGATACAATAGTTTGGGGAGAGTGACGATGCGAGGCGGGGCTGAGCTATACGCGGACGATCAGAGGTGTGCGGCGGTGTGAGATGCGAAGGGTACATACCTGAGGCTCACGCCCAGCCCTTCGCCTTGGCCTTTGCGTTGGCCTTTGCATTCTTCTTGGCCTTCTTCTGGCCCCGGCGGCTGTCACGGGCTCCAGAAGTGGAGATGCGCCGTGCAGGCCCTGCTTCCTCGGCCTCGGCAGGCTCAGATTCAGCCTCCTATAATGCAATCAGTATCGCAGGGAGAGTAGGTGGGTAAAGAAGATGTACCTCGTCGTCGGGCGAGCCCTCAAGTAGTATGTATTCCGATGGCGAGAGGGCGATCAGGGACTATGGATGACTGTCAGCATCGGCGAGCGGGATGAGAGTCGGGGAGACGTACCATCCACTTGCCGTGTTTCGTTGTAACGAAGACCTTCCCGTTCGAGTCCCACGGGATGGTCAGGCCATTCATGATCTTCGCGAACGGGCCGAAGTAGGCGAGGGCGTTGCGAACGGGCCGGAGGATCGCTGCGATGCAAACGGCGACCCAGTCTGCGCAGCGGTGGGCGAGCGAGGCGGTGAAGTCGTCGATGAGAATCCGTCGCTTCGTGTCGACCTTGAGCCAGATGAAGACGGTCCAGAAAGGGATGGTGAACGCGTAGAAGAGCGCGACCAGCTGCTCAGCTTCGGTAGGGGGCGAGTCCGCCTCGAACGACTCGGAATCCACGAGAGGCACCGACTTGTACTCGGCCTCCAGGTCGGCTGCGACCATGGTGGCCTGGCGGTCGACGGTGGCGATAGGTGCGTCGCGGAGAGAAGAGCAGATGATGCAGGGTGCGGGCTTGATATCCTTGGTGCCGGTGTGTACGTCCGAAGTCCGCGCCGTTGAGGTTGGCGCTCCGGGGTCAGGCGTACCCCCGGTATCAAGGATATCGATGTCGCTGTTGGTCGTGCCGTTGATGAAGGAGACGTCGGGCGACATGTCGTCGTCCCAGGTGGCGAGGTGACCACTGTGCGCCGAGCGGGGTCAGGCCAACTTGGCACGGTATGGATAGAGGTATGTACGCACCCTCGCCATTTCCCAATCAAAATGCCATTCCAACCCATGTTGAACGAACCGTCCTTGATGCCCAGGTACGCGAGTCTGATGAATGAGACGTCAGGATATGCGAGGTGAGCGCATTGAGAAACAACGACGTACCCGACGGGGTTGAATGCTGCGTCGACGGTCTTGCCCCATGCAGTGCAGGCCTTGTCGATGACAACGGGAGGCTTGGAGGTAGGGGCGATGCCGTCTTCGGGGCAGTAGCTGCTGAGGAGGGTGCCGACGCCGACACCGACGTCCACAAGCAGGTTGAAGAAGCGCATGTTGGAAAGAGTAACGAGTAAGAGTGAGACGCTGAGAGTGAAGTCGAGAGGCGAGGTGCGACGGACTGCTGGTGGGGAGAGGGAGGGCGGGGCAGCTGGCTTTATAGCCCGCGGGGGGCACCCGTATTTATACCGCGAGGCGCGTTGTTTGCGTGTTATTTGGCGCATTCAACGCGTTTAAGGTTTGCATTCAACAAAGTCACGTTTGTGAATACTAACAGAGGTTTGTGAAAGGGCTGTCAAGCCGTTTCCTAATTGGGAGGACACGGTCGTTCGTTTTGCGGGTTGCCTCCGCCCACCACCTTCCCCCGAGCATTCAGAATATATTGCAACACATCATTATCTTCACTCACTTTGCTACCTCGGACGGCACCTCCGGCGCCGGCCTGGGCAGAGATTAGCCCGCATATATCGACCACGACGTCGGGCGCATCGAGGTCAACCAATGCGACAAGCCGACCAGCCGTGGGTTCACACAGTGTGCACTGCAGGTAGAGACGCATATATTTAATTCCAGTTGGTACATATTGAAGAAAGGTGCGTACCATCTGCCCCGCGCTGCTGCCGACGACGATTCGCTAATCTGCACCCCTTCAAATTCATCGCTTCTTCACTTAGGCTGCCATCAGAGGAGCACAAGAGCTGCGAGTCTGCGGTAGAAGAACTTCAACAAGCTGTGTATTAGTTCAACATGAGGCGGGCTTGGTGTGCAGGGTGAGTGACGAACTAAGGCGGAAGCAAAGACGGTTTGGTAAACGCTCACGCGCTCGGTTCAGTAACGATGTGATCTTCAGCGCTCAACACCTCGAGGTCCAGCGCCTCAGCGACCTTGCGACTTGCTGAGCGCGTCCATGCTCGTCGTCAATCACCATCGGTCGCCCACGTCTCGCTTTGTTCGTCCTCAGGAACATATTTGGCCACGGGAAACGCGAAAGGCGGGTCAGGCGTGGCTCCAGCTTTCTCACATCGACAACTTTGTTCCTTCCCAACAGCCTCATGAGCTCAATCAAACCGAGCCTCCGACCTCATACCCATGCTCCCTGGTACCCGACACGTGTCAGTCCTAAAGTAGGCTCCGGGAAGCAGCTATACCGTTGATGAGAAAAGAGTGGGCAAGCCTGCAAGGTGCGTTGTAATCAAATCTGGCGTAGCTGCTCCGGTAGATGGATGCGAACGTCATTCCGCGCTCTCTGTCCGACACCCCCAGGATCTCGTTCGATTCTCTGTCAAGTGCTCTGTTTCCGTCTTCGCAACTGTTCCTGCTTCACCTAGGTGATAGCTTACTTCCCCGACGATAGACCACTGGTCACGCAGTGAACTCGATACCGCATGCACGCTCCCATCATGAGTAATGTATCTTCCATTCTCATCCAGTATACGACAGCCTCGCCTTTGACAGGCGGTTTGGGTTTGTGAGCATCAGCTCATACCGCCTCCTCCTCTGTTGCGATCTCGTTGCAGGAAAACGTCGCGTCATGATGCGTCGTCTTGGTTGACGGTAGAAAGGTATCCGTCGGAGCAATACATACGGATCCGACACCTACATGCCAGTGCGTTACCGTACCGGTTCGCGGTTTTCTTGATGTTGTAGGGAATTGCGCGTCCACGTTCTCGTCTCGTCAACTATAAGGGCGCGTGTTTAGGTGCGCGTTCGTTCAGTGTCACTGAACTTGAAGTCTTAATGTGCTGACTTACCACATAGGAAGTACTCTGGTATGCATGTTCAAGCTTACTTCGTCTGTCAGTAACTCGTCAACAGGCAATAGCACGTCTCGCTGGCTTCTTCGGACGACACAGTCGCTGGTCGCATGTGTCCTCGCACAACCACGAGACCTAAGTAGTAATCTAACCTGTGTCAAATCTCCCATAGGCGCGGAATGTGGCCCTCTGCCATACGGATGGTACTCGGACAGTAGCGCCCAAGCACCGCCGGTGAATGTGTGGTTTGCGGATCTGGCGCGCTGACGTGCCAAGAGGATGGGAGGCGGGATTGCTGAGTGATGTTTATGTGCGTTAAGCAAACTTGAAGTCTCCTCGCGCCACAAACCGATACATGCGTACTCAGGTGCGTGTGTATACCTGCTTTGCGCTGTAAGTAGGTCATACTCATTCCATCCATCCTTCTACATCTATTCGCATCGTAGGCGGATCACCCTAGTCATGGCTTCGTCCCATAACGCTGCTTGACTTCATACGCTGCTCCGATGATTAGGGTCGCATCACCTGTGAGGATCAAGAACGCGCACATCCCGAGGTCTCGGTCATTCGGATGTACGCAAGCCTGCTCTGATGAGTTGGGTGGCATGCGGTTGGTTGACCACCTGCTGTGAATGTTTGCCACATACAGACTGTGTCTCCCATCGCAGCGCCTTCTGAGCGGGCGTAGGCTGCTTCTGCTATCGGGCCATGTCAACAGCTCAGTCATTCCCCAGTCGCCCTTGGCTAGAGGATGGCTCTCGGGTCAGCCGTGCTGTATAAAGCCGGGCGTGGGCTCTCTGAGGAACCGGCAGGCTTGCTGCAACAGATCCGTTGTCCGACTCAAGATGATTGCGTTCAAGCTCACCGCACTCGCTGGCCTGGCCGTTCTGGGAGTCTCCGCAGTGCCGAAGGCCGTACAGCATCGGGTGAGTCTTGCTACCTTTGACACCATCATGGACACGAGGCTGACAGCTTGCAGGCTACCACTACAGATCCTGCGTGCCCCGTTATCACCACCGAGGTCGTCACCCAGACGCTCTCAATCATCGCGCCCACGACCACTGGGCCCTTCGAGACGACGACGTTCACGGTGGTCGAAACGAACTGGCCGCTTGCGACCACGACGGAGACGCAGGTCGAAGACAACGGCAAAACGTACACTGTAACGTACACGTACACGGATGATTCTGAAGATCCGCCGTACCCGTCCGATTGCCACTGTACGCATGCTGTTTCTTCAGACATTCCAAGACTGACGCGATGTATCTATGTGGCAAGGGCCATACCCGTAACCCGTATAGGCTGTCCTAGGCAATCGGTACACCTTCGTGACGCTGAAACGTTCATCTGGAGTACAGGAACGATTTGCGACCATCGCGAATACGAATCGTAGCACACAAGCCCCTGCGATCAACCTGCATAGCACCTGCCTAGCGATTATTATGCTGTTCTCCGCAGCGTGCTCCGTCGTTGATCAAGAAAGGCAGCAAACAGCTTTGTCACCAGGAGGTAAAACGTCAGGGGCGACGCAACTGATTCTGTTGAAGACAGTCAGGGTGGATTTATACGACATGTCGGAAAGACATGAGATAGGGATCGAACAGTGCTCGCCCGTCTGCGCTTGCGCCGACGGCACGACCACTTTGTGAGGGGACAGGTCAGAATGGTATCGCGAGCCGATACATGGAACGAATGGCCAACTCATCAGTGAGCTTGAACCTGCGTCGCGATCGTCGATGTCTTGTTGCGCTTGCGCTCGTTCTTTTTTTTTTTTTTTTTTTTTGAACAGAGGGCCCGACGTCAGGCTACAACGAGCCTCCAACAAGGCTCGTTTCCTCCCGGGGGAAAATGCAGTTACGCACGAACTCCCGATAGGGAGAACAGTGTGGGACTCGGGACCGTCATCGCACCGCGGTACCGCTTCGTCGTTGTCGTTGTTGTCGGTTTGGTGTGTTGGTGCGGTGCTCGGGTCCCCCTGCTTTACCCACTAAAACCCCCCGTGCCGCCGGACACCCGACTGGGCTTAAGGCGGCAAGGTGTTGCTCGCTCGCGCTGGGCACGAGCAGAGCGTCGCCCATCAGTCGGACGAGAGAGTCGGAGGAAAAGGCGAGTGTCGAGGGGAAGAGCGGGGAGATGTAGAGCTGTGGATGATGGTAACTACATCTTGAAGTTGGGCTCGGGCGTTCCTGCGGACGGCGGTCAGCGACGATCCAAGCACTACGAACCAGCAAACACTCACGATGCACCCGAGCCAGGGACGCCGCTCATTCGATTATATATATAATTCATTTTGCAGCGGCGCCCCTCTTCCTGGAACGGATGTGCGCTAGCACGCTGCAGCACTACCCGACGGTGCGGGCTTGCGCTGACGGCTTGGACGTCCCCGTACCATAACGACGGGCAAGCCGACTGCAAGGCATATCATATGCGGTGCTGCCATCGGTGCTCTCCGTCGGCGGTACGGTGCCTCCGGCGGCCTGCAACATTGGCAGGCCACCTCGTACCAGAGGCTGGACCCTTTCGCGCACAAACGACGTACCAGGGCGGTATCAAGCCCGTTTGGGCCGAGTGAGGATTTGACCGGGGTTGTCCGGCAAATATCTTGAGGTTTCGCGAGGGCAACTTACTAGACGAGGGTCAGTCGCGGCTCGCATCCACTGCGTAACGAACACTCACTCTGGCCCTCGCCAGGAGCGCCGCCCATATCATATGATGAGCGACGCCCCTATCCCAGTACGGACATGCGCTAGCCGGCAACGGCAGTCCGACAGAGCGGGCGTACACCGGCGGCGGGGACGTCCCCGTACATATCGACGTAATGACCCGGCACAATCTCGTCGACAGCGAGCGCAATGCTCCGTCTCCGCTGGTGCACGGCGTCGTCGGTACGGTGCCTCCGGCCACCTCGAGCCGGAGGCTGGATCCGTTCGCGCAAGTACGACGTACCGGGTTGTGTGGTGCCCAATTGGGGCTTGGTAGAAGAGGGTTTGTATGCGCTCGCCGGGATCGTGGATCCTCGACGTCGGGACATGGCCTGTAACGAAGGTCAGAATGGGTCAACAACGGGATGTTAGCGAGCACGTACATAGCCACGTCTTTCCACCCGCACGCCACAACTGGCTAGCCTCGTGGTCTGCCGGGCCGACGATGCGTCGGGTCTCAGACCAGTCAACGGCGGGACGGTCCCCATACACAGTCCGCGCACCGTGTTTCTGCGGAGCCGCATAACAGCGACGCTCCTGACCCTTGGTGCGCGTTTGCAGTACAGTTGCTTCCAGCTACCGACAACACGGCGAGTAGCTGGGCCTGTGTCGCCGCTATCATGGTGCGGACGACACCAGGCTGGACGGTCCCATCACCAATCGTGCAACGTACGGGTGTGCCCTTGCGGGACTTGTGTTTCGTCGTCTGGCATATGGCCTTGAACCCGTTGGAGGGATGTATCTTCGCATAGGTCGGTCATAGTCGCATAATCTGGAGGCACACATATTGATGAAAGGTCTTGACGCACGCAGGCTTGAGGCACACTATCTGCCATTCTGGTTAGCGACAGCCTAGACCACGAGTCACGAAGCAGACTTACTGTTGTCGACGTCGAGAATGGCCACGCACCTTATGGCGTTGTGGCTCTGCGGGTCGTCGCGTTAACGCGTGCGTCGATGGATAGACGAGGAGGATGGACGCAGGAGGGCGCAGTACGTCAGTGAGTGCTGCTGCTATGTTGATCGGCGAAGGAACATACCTAGTCTGCCGATGTTTGGCGCGCGGCCCTCAGTTCAACTTGTGGCGCATCGTAGCTGGGCCGACCCATCCCACTGTTGGTGAGATGTGACTATGTGCGGCGGTCAAGTGGCTGTTGGCGAGGGGGAGGATGGGGTCGGGGACCCTACATGGCCGTCGGAGGGCAAGAGGGATGGGGGAAAAGTCGCGTCTGCCCCCGCCTCTTATATGCCTTTCTGTGGGTCCATATTTGGTCCAAACAAACAGTCAGCCGCACCTATTGTACTCCTATTGTCCGCCATTTCGAGCTCAGCGCTCAGCTATTATCCCTGATTTGGGCATCTGCTTGTGCCCACTGTCTTATAGATAATCAGATCCCTAGCAGAAGCACGAACCACGCTGTAGGCGGTGCCCTCCATCATCATGGGTTCTGCGAGCGTCGCGATGGCCTTGTTTTCTGCGACACGGCGTTGCTTCGCTGGTAGATACTAGTGGTCAGGCCGGATTGTCTTGGCGCGTTTTTGATCTGCGCGATAACACTGCATCGCGGTTCGTACATTGCCCCTCCAGACCGCTCCAGACCGCCGACTGGAGTGGGACCCCGGAGTTCGCGTTATAATCGCTGCAGCCTGTCGAACGAAATATCTCGGTGAGCCATATATTATAGACAAAGAACAACTTACTGTGTTATTAAGTAGTATCGGAGCGGTTGCGATCATGATACGAGTTTCCAGCCTTAATGAGATGCGGCTTGACTCGGACGAAGAGAATGGCGCAACGCGCACTGGCCACACTGCCGGCACGCCTAACTCGGACTTCCCGAAGTTCGAGCTAAGCAAGGTATCAGCTATGTGCTCCATTGGCGGGAGCCGCTCAGATTGCCAATGCCCTGCAGCGTTCAATGCGCTCATCTCGCAACTTGGTGCGCGGAGAACGTGCCAGCGGATGGACGTTGGTGATGCGCCACAGAGTCTTGAAGCTTGAAGCCACAGACGCGTCCGTGACGTTGCGTCACGGTCATGCACTAGTGACACTGGCCGTATTCGATGGTCACGCATGATGCTCACGCCAGCCTACGCACCTCTTCGCAAACTTATTCATGACCTTCTTGCATGTGTATCGGCATCAAATAACACCGTGTTTCTTGCAGTCCGCATTGGCTACGCTAACATTTTGACCTCAGGCTCATGATCTGCGGGTTCGTGAATTTCGAGCTCACCGCCATCTCATGTTCACATGCACAGTTGGCAAGTCTCTGTCGATGCCAGCCTATAATTTGTGCCTAAAACAGATCACAGAAGTGTCGCATGACGAACTGACGGTCCACATATACTTGCAAGTCAGTCACCTGCCTACAACTAGTCAACTCGATCGATAGGTGTTCCAATTCGTGAATACGTTTACCGCTGTTGACACGCATATCTTTGCTGAACAAGTGTCAATGCGCAGAAAGACATCCGAATTCCCTGGGTGGATGCATCCGCACAAGCCGACCGCTACACTTGGTCCGACTCGGTGCCCGCGTGTGTGCGTTTCATGGCGGTCCGGTATTCGTCGGAGCGCTCTGCAGTACAAATGTACGGATCCGATGCCTGCATGCATATGGGTGCGTTGCCGTATTAGTTCGCATGGTCCTTATTTTCTGCCAAATATCAGGGCACATCTTGAGTTGCACGTTCGTTTTGTGTCGCTGAACTTGAAGACTTACTTAGTCTCCCATAGGTAGACCACTAGGACGATCTTTCTGAGGGGAGGAGTAAGACTTAACTAAGTAACGTGCTGACTGAGCACACAGCCAGTACTCTGGCATGCATTCCCAAGCTTACTTCAACTGTCAACAACTCCTCGACAACAAGCAACTTGTAGTGCATAGCTACCTCCCGTCCCGCTAGCCTCGGGATGTTTTGGACGACACAGTGACAATCGCCCAACGTCAACACTTGTCACTGGTCAGGCGGTCGCATCATGCATGTGTTCTCGCAGCCCCGAGATCTAATTAGTGATCTAGCCTGTGTCAAATCTGGTGTAGGCGCGGAATCGAGCCCTCTGCCATCTTCTGCCATACGGACGGTGAATGTGGGGCATTGCGGGTCTGGCGCGCTAACGTGCCAAGGGGATCGGAGTCGGGGATGTTTGCGCGCGATGGCGCGTTTAGCGAAGTCTACTCGCGCCAGGCTCGCGCCACAAATCGACGCATGAGTACTCAGGTGCGTGTGTATACCTGATGTGCTGTCAGTACATCATGCTCATTCCATTCATCCTTCTACACCTATTCGCATCGTAGGCGGGTCGCCCTAGCCGGGGTATCGTCCCACAACGCTGCTTGACTTCAATTATGCTCGTCCGCATTAGCTGCGCATCGCCTGCGAGGATGAAGAATGAGTTGGTGCCGCGCACATCCCGAAATTGAGGTATCGACGATTCGGCTGTACGCAAACTCCTTCTGATGAGTTGGGTGGTAGCATACGGTCGGTCAACCCCCTGCTGTGATCGCTTGCCACATACGGACTGTGTCTCCCATCTCAGCGCCTTCGCAGCGGGCGTAGGCTGCTTCCGCTGTTGGGACGTCTTAATGGCTCAGTCATCCTCACTCACCCGTGGCTGAGGAACAGCGCTCTGGCCATCCGTGCTCTATAAAGCTGAGTGTTGTCACCCTGAAGAACTGACAAGCCTGCTGCAACAGACTCGTCGTCCGACTCATGATGATTGCGTTCAAGCTGAGCGCACTCGCTGGCCTGGCCGTCCTGGGAGTCTCCGCAGTACCGAAGGACGTACAGCCAAGGGTGAATCTTGCTACCTTTAACATCTCCACCGACACTAGGCTTACAGCTTGCAGGCTACTACCACCAGAGATCCTGCGTGCCCCTTCGTTACCACCCAAACGTTCGTCGAGACGCTCTCGATCATCGCGCCCACGACCACTGGGCCCTTCGAGACGACGACGCTCACGGAGACCCTCATAAGCTGGCCGATCGCGGCCACGACGATGACAGAGGTCGGGGAAGATGGGAACTCTTACACTGTGACCTGGACATACTCGAACTGGGAAAACAGCCCGCCGTATCCGTCTGACTGCCACTGTGCGTATGAGCTTTGTTAGTTTGTCTGCTCGGTGACTGACGATGTGCTTGCTGGTTGTAGTCACCTATCCTTAGTGGAGTCGAGAACGAGACGCGTAGTACGTGCCGATGCAATGAGTCAAGAAGCTTGGTTACGGCGGTGATCTTTTTGGAATACACCCTAGTGCGACTCGCTATGATTTGCCCTTGACAGCGCATGTCGTACATTCACGTTCGTGATATCTTCCTTTTCATGCGCATCGGAGAACGTTTTGCAGAGAAGCATAGAGGCAATGCGTGCTCATGTCGAGGGTAACGAAGCATCGCGGGGTTGATCACCATGTCAGTGGGATTCACTACTGCTGAGAATTGTGCAGAACCTGATAACTTCCATCCGCCACAGGTTGATTGGCTCTAGACGACAGAATTACCGTAATTCTGTGAACAAGCGAGTATCCATGGGCTCACATGAAATCGTTGAGAGAGCAGGTCAATTGAGCCCCAAATATGGGCTCATGACTATCAAGTACGCAAGTGCACACTTCGTATTCGCGCGTCCAGGCCTGCAGGCCTCCGTCGCCTTATTTGCTGGCCGATATTCACACTTCCTCACCTGCGCGATTGAATACATGATCATATCGTCGTCTGGCGATGCGGCATACAGCTATTACTCGCTGGTCTTATGGAAAAGCGCATTGTAGAGCGCAGGCGAGTACCTTCAGATTCTTGCTCGCCATGTATGTGTCCTAATCTGACTCGTGCGCTGTCGCATTTGTGACGTGAATGGCTTCATTGTGTCAATCACCATTCGTGGCGCACCGCAAGTCATGCTAGGATAACGCCCGAGGACTAGCGCGAAAGCCTTGAGACTGTTGTACTCGAACAGCGGGAGAGGTCCGGGAACGCAGTTCGCGTTCTCGACGCCATTGTGATCGAAGCTTCATGGCTCGCCAGGATTCTTGGGCGGCGTGAGCAGGATCGCGTTCATGCTCTCCATTGATACGTCAGCATCAAAGTTTTCAACGGTATGACGAAGATGTTGCATGCTGATTGGACTAAGCAACTTGTTGCATTAGGAGCGAGAGGATACTCACCTAGAGGCGGCAAGGTTGGTACGGATGACGGGCGAGTCTTCTGCCTGCGGAAGGTGATGCATGCCGACGTTGACCCAGGCAACGAGGTCATGCTGGGTGATAATTTCGCCATCCAAAGAGCTTGTGGAAATTGACCATCGGGGCCCCGGGCAATATCTGATTCACTTGTTGCTGCTCGACAGCCCCGTGTCCTTGCGCTTGCTGGGTGCAAAGTTGTACCGAGCCCGGTTCGCATTCTCTATTAATCGCTTGGAGCCGACAACGGTCTGTTGCGAGAATTGTCGGTCGCGCGGGGAATAAACAACAGGGGGACGTACGTTATGTACAGGGTTGCATGCGAGATGGATCACGTAGCCCCGAATGTCCCCACCGGTTCCTCGCCTCGCGGCTGATGAGAGCATCCGGCCTGGAAGTTGTACGGGAACTTCAACATTGCGTCATTCTCGTTCTCAATGAACGTGCGCGTGATTTTCTGCGTATGAAAGTAGAACCCCATACGTCCTCAAACAGCGGCTGCTCGATCTCTTCCTAACGATCTCTTCCTGATGCGTATGGGCGTATAGAAGCGTATTCTCGTCACTCGCGAGGAATACTTTGACTTTGTAGTCATGCAAGGAACCCACTGAGCGTGCAGTCGGTCAGTGGCCGCAAGCGAACGGAAAGTACATAACAGATGAACGTACTAGTGGTCTCCCGGATCGTCGCTCCATGGCTGTACTAGCTACTCTCCAGTCGCCCGAGGCAGACAGGCAGACCTCAATTGTGCCGTCGATATGAAGGATGTAGTCAAGACTACATAATGTGGATCAGCTATGTACGCGTCTCTTGTCAAGCGCGCTGATGAACTCACGGTAGTCATACATAATTTCCAACGGTTGAGATGCTGCGCACGATCAGGTTGTACTACTACCCGCGCACGTTGCGCGCACGGCGCCGAACTCTGCCTCGGAGTAACCCATGTGGCGCGTGATTGGGCGGGCCGAGTCGTGCTCAAAAGTGCAAATCACCCTGGGAGCGATGGAACTCTATAGGTCCATGTGGGGCTTGGGAAAGCGCGCCGGCTCACCTCTCAAGCGTAATGGACCCGCGAGTTATGGACATCACTGAGAGGAAGACGGCCTTGTGCGGGCAGTCATAACCTGGGAGCACATCGCGTACAGAGCCGCCCTGAGTGCACATGCTCAATTTTCAGCTATCATATTTCTCGATGCAATACTCAAACCCTGTAGAGGACATACCATGCCAAATGAAGCGATCCAGCCACGCAGCGGTGCTCTGGAACGGGTCATTACGTGCACTGTGCTACGGTTTCCTGGGGTACTATGGGCTATAGCCGCTTAGTACATATATGCAATGTGCGCGAGATTGGCTCAGGTGAGGAGCGTACCTCATAGACGGTGCGCTCAACACGGAACATAAGCCCCAGAGGCTAAGGCCCATATCGCGTTCGAAGCCGAGGTACATTTCCCCAGCCGATCTGGCAGCTCACATACTGCGCCTCCCTACGTTGTTAAACATTCCGGTCAGCATGCGTGCCACAACTTGAGAACCAGTGCAGCAGGACTCGCCTACCCACGAGAAACCACAGCCCAGCAAACGCTACAGAGTGGGGACCAGGCAGGTGGTACTCGAGCAAGCGCTGAAAGCGGGTTGCCTGTGACGCGTGACGCGTGACGACCCGCCCGGAGGGCGGGCCCGTGACGCGCTCGTGGGCGTGCCCGCCGCGGCGACTCCCTTTCAGGATTGCACCGGGATCCGAATGTTTCCATTTCCAAGCGTATCGCTCATCGGCCACCGAAGCCATCATGCTAGGGTCCAGTGCGTATGTATGTGATAGAAACATACCAAGACGGTTATTCAAATGATATCGCTCATCCCTCCTGTTCCTACAGATATCGGAAAGTGGCTACGTCTCTGCCTACGATTTACCATAGACAAAGTTCTGCAGAGCCTAGCTACCCCTCCTAGGAACTGGTGTGCCTGGCCGCCATCCATGGACCTGAATGGTGAGTACCTGATGGACAAAACCCTTGGAGTACCGGGGTTGTTCGCAGCACCCTCAATGATTGTCGGACATCCTGTGCGCAATGCGCGGCAACTCGTGGTCTCGCGGTATTTTAACCGGCTCTCTTCGTTGTGCGATGCATACCCACAATACGTTCCGGGACCGTATTGCCTGAATGATCGTCACCGACGCACGGCTGCCATGCCTTCCCCACGACGCATCATTGACACTGGATTGTACGACGCGGACCGTCTTGGGTATAGCTGATGGCGTAATTGCAAACTCGCTGGGAAGTCCGCGTCGATTCGCTCTGGAACACATGAACGACAGCTATAGGAGGGCTTCTGATCCTGTCTCCGTTTGGAAGTCAGGTTAGTGTCGATTTCTGGTTACACATGGCAGATTGATTTGTGAGTTTAGCATTCAGTCAGGCAGACGAGCTTACGGACTCCCGCTCTGAGTCAGGCCCAGGTCCCACATCATGGGTCAGTTACCACTGTGTACTTACTGGCGTCCGCTGGCTGCCGCAAATTCGCGGGTCTGTTGTCCTAGCGCCTCCACTTCACCTGGCCCCAGACCGTTCTAACAGTACTTCCTTCATCGGACATTTCCTTGGCGGCTCTATTGTTTTCCTGGCACGCAATTCAATGGCTCGAAGTGAAAATGCTGAAACGCGCGTTAAAACACAATGGCGAGTAGTTCCAGTCTTTCGGTGTGTCCTTACTAAATCGGCAAATAGCATAAGTCCCTGCCTTTGGTTCGCACCGATGTCGGTATCAGCCATGCCTTTTGCTTTACTCGGAGAATTCCGACATGTAGGGACTGATCATCAACCTATAGCGCGGTATTATTCAAGGACATACCACGCTCATGTTGGGCATGCCCCCCAGAATTCAGCAACGACCACGCACCTTTGATATTTAGCAACCTTGTCAGCCAACGGATTCCTCTTTCATGGATCTCCCCCACGAATATGGCATGTACTCGGTTCCCACCCGCGGCTGGCGAGAATATTCATTGCTGCAGGCGCCGCCGGATCCGAGTGTTCCGGCAAGCTCCGCCGTGCGGCGGACTGGGAAATTGCGCGGTTGGGCGATGGACGTTTGCGCCTTCTTCTTCTTCCCTTCTTCACACCTGCGTCGCCCTATAGCAACCCGCTAGTGTCAGCCAATGGTATCGAGACGGGGATTGCCGCAGTGCACCCTCACGGCGCGCGGCTATACGGCGATGGCCACCTCCACGGCAGTTAGAGGTTGCCTCTTCCGTCTCGACAATTCTCCGTGTGGTGTGGTTATATAAAATGCAGAAGGTTACTGTGCCCCAAGCTCGCTGTAGGGCAGCCCTGTCAGGAGCCTCAAGACGCCCTCGACCACCATGGACAACGCTCAGCCTCTCAAGTGGGTCATTCGGCCGCCATCGCAGAATGCAAATACTCACCGATCATCCGACATAGCGCGTTTTATTTCGAGCACGTTGCAGGCCCAGACACCGCCACCCATTCCGGTTCACCTTCCAGCCCTCTGCTTCCAGCGACGGACGGCCCTCAATATCCGGGAGGACCAGCACCCATCATGATGTTCCCTGCATTCCTGACTATTCCCTATGATATTGGCTACTCCCCCGCAGACCGCCGCTGCTTGCTCGATGCATTCGCGGACCTTGTCGACTCGTCCGCGGAATTGTCGCCAGAGGTCGAGGGCATTCTGCATGATGTTCGCGCCTTCGTACTCTCGCGCGTATACGCCGCACCCCCCTCGATAGGGAGTCCCTTAGCCCGTTCGTTGACGACAGAGGACCATAACGGCGACATCAGCGTAAGTCGGTCCATGCTTCGGACTGGTTGACGGCTGAATGCTCGACTTATAGGGCCTAGACAACCACGCCGAAGAGACATCCAGCGAGGGGAAAATATGTCACTTCAACGGCTGCCATGGGGCCTTTGAAGACACGACGACAGCAGGGATCACCAATCATTTGCTGGAAAATCACTTCAAGGACAATCGTACGTCATGGGAGACGTCAGACGAGAGAGTACACTGTTTGTGGAGGGACTGCCGGTGCCGCGGTACGCTCAAAAAGCGCAGTCTCGCAAGACACATTGGCACAACTCACTTGAAGACGACGGAAGTACCGTGTGACGTGCCGGGGTGCGGCGCCGTATTGAGTAGGGAGGATGGTCGTAAGAGACACATGAGGACCGTGCACGGTACGGCGGGCACGCCTCAAGGTGAGTCATGGAGCCGTGACAGGAGGATGTTCGACTGAGCAGCCATGATACTTGCAGATTGAGCAACAGCGGCAAATTCACGAGAGCAACATGATTCATGGTCCCTCAAGTATCTTAGAACCGTTTAATGTCTTCTTGTATCCATTCATCATTGCGATCGATGGTCGTCCGCATAGCCTCTCGCGATCCCACTGCGGCCTTGCTCGAGAATACTCGGCGCGTCTTTTCCAACCCTGGTCTCCAAGCCTCGGAACGTGCGATTCTGGAGAAATTGCCCTGAGAGCACGAGTCAATGAGTCGCCCAAAGTGACTGGAGTACGCTGGTCAAACGCACCGGCCGCACTATCAGCGAGGACAGCGACTGAGCTATCCTGGTTTCGAAGGACGACTGCGGAGGACTCGGAGTCGCCTGACGGTTGTTGAGAGGAGGCGGTGGCTGGTTAGCACGAAAGTAGAGGAAGTCAGAGGATGAGCGAGCAGGCCGCGGGAAGTGGTGTGTGGTACGTACAACCATAACGTTTGGCGTGTCGATACATCCCGGTGACTAGTGAGAACACAGGTTCGTCTACATCTTCTGCGTCGCGGGCTGACGGATCCTCTGGAAGAACTTCAATGTCACGAACATAGCTCATGCTTTCACTGAACTTACCTTCCTCCTCGTATTGTCCGTATTCGGCGAGCACTTTGTCAAAGTTTAAGACGTATCGTCCCGTCCAGCTCTGCTCCGTCCGCAGCGCCACTTCAAGCTCATATGGGGTCACAATCGGACGCAAAAAGTCCTGTAAGGATCTACTTTAAGCCAGAATGACGGAGAAGCGATACGGGGGTCAGACCTTAGCCTCGATCAAGCTGTTCTCTGGACATGCGACGAGGATGAAGCAGTCGATCTCTAGGAAATTTGCGAGCTTGGCTGGGTTCAGCTTTCCAACGCTGATCGTATAGCTCTTCTTGTGAGACTTTGCTAGTAACTTGCGCAGATGTGAGATGAGCGGGAGGTAGGACGCTGATCAGTTATGAGTATGTGATTCGCGCAAAAGAGTGGATGTATGTTCACCTACACCGAGTGTCCCGACGAGAATGCCAAAGACGTCTGCATCGCGGGCCTTCTGGACTACGGCGTATCGGCGCATGAGGAGCTTGTTGGTACGCGCGGATTCGAGCCGTGTCGACATTGTCTGGGGATCATACGAGTACACCTGAGCCGGAAGGGAGCCGTCAGCTGCTCGGGTAGGGTACAGACAACAAAGGTGACGCACTTCACAAGATGCATGCGTCATGAGCAGGTTTGTAAGACTAAGGCTTTCCCCGCCGACGTAGAGGATAGTGCAGTCTTCGGACGTTGTTTCTCCTTTGCGTTGGCCATCAGTAGCTGCCGGTCCATTCTGAGGTGATGTTTCGATTGTGCTTAGTGGTGCAGACGGGTGGGTCATATTTGGGATTGGTGAATAGAGGATCTTGGTAGTCGAAGGGAGTGCTGCTCGTAGCTTCTCCAGGATCGCGTCTCGAAGATACTTATCAGTCCGAAATGTTCCTGGCATAACTAGCATTGTGTTACCTGCTCTATGAGCATATGCAACATCCAGTTGAAGCATTGTTGCATCCCTTGGGTTCGCTGAGCTTGAACTTGCTAGCGTTTGTACCAACTTGTCTACACAGTCCGTAGGATCGATCGGCTTCTTCCCAAACACATAGAAGACTGGTAAGCGGGACGTTCTGATAACAAAGATCAGTGATCTGGAGAAAATCAGAATGCGTACGGCTCACTGGCTCATGCATGCATGTCCGTAATGAACCATTGCATCTGCATCGACGTGCTGAGCAGCGACTTCGTCAACACAGCAGCTATTTCAAGCGATGTTTGTCACGGTGAGCATGGTAGTTATATGATCCTGCAACATACCTGCCGTACGATGTGTCAGCTAGGACGTATAGCTCTCGTCCTTGGCCCAACCTCGCCTTCAAGCGTCGGTATAATGGAACAGAATCATGCAGGAGCTCATCAGGGAACTGAAGAGCTATCTGCGGAATAGATGAGCGCGTTCAGTAGCATGTCGCAGTCCTATGACTGGAATTTACCCTTTTGTAATCACCTTTGCGTATTTGTTCTACTGTGCGGTCGATCTCGTAATAATCTTCGAATTCTTCGTACGAGAGCTCCTTAGGGGCGTCGCCGAGGTCAATGGTCCGCGTGATCGCATCTTCGCCACTTGTTGCGAAAGCTGAAGTAGGCTCCATAGAAAGGCTTACGGGAAGGTCGTGAATAAGAATGAGGTTGTGGGAGTAAGATTGAAGAGGGATTGAAGCTACGATCTGAATCTCAGCGATCCAGGTTATAATAAAAACCCTAGTCTCGGTGTTATCCCGCTTATTAGAGAGCGTCGTCACATGTGACTGTCACCAAAAATTGGCATTCCCTGCCGTGCCCGGTGCGCAGGCCGGCGTCCTCCCGCCATGTCTTCCTCCTCCACGTCGTCGCAGGGCGTCGTCGAGCGCGTTCAGTCCTTCGTCTCCGAAAACAGGCGAGCGGTTCTCATCGGTACTGCCGCCGCGCTCGTCGCCATCGGCGGCGTTGCGTACTATGCGTCCACGTCACGCAGGCCAGGCGCGGGCGGGGATGCGGAGACGGGCGACCGCAAGAAGGATAAGAAGAAGAGCAAGAAGCGCAAGACGGTGAAGGACAAGGACGGGCCCATCCTTGAGGAGCGTACGCCGGTGTCCGAGGAAGGTCATGACGGTGCGATAGAGGATGTCAGACTATCGGCTGAGGACATAGCTCGTATGCCCACCGAGGTGCGTTTGTAAACCATCTGAACGTGCACTTGCATTCTCATCGTGCTGCAGGAGCGGTCCAAGGTCGCAGCATCGATGAAGGCGAGGGGTAACGCCGCGTACTCGAGCCGCCAGTTCAGTACCGCCATTGACCTGTACACACGAGCCATCGACGTCACGCCCAAGCCCGAACCTGTGTTCTACAGCAACCGTGCAGCATGTTACATCAACATGAGCCCTCCAGAGTACGAGAAGGTCGTCGTGGACTGTGACGAAGCCCTCAAGCTCGATGCAAGCTACGTCAAGGCCCTCAACCGGCGAGCAACCGCTCTGGAGGCGCTGGACCGGGATGAGGAGGCATTGCGGGGTATGTTCGGATGTCATTGGCATGCTGGTAGAGGCTAGACCCACTTGGGCAGATTACACCGCGGCGACAATCCTCAAAAAGTTCCAAAACGAGGCAGCAGCACAGTCTGTCGAGCGTGTACTAAAGAAGCTCTCGGGCAACAAAGCGCAAGAGATCCTCGCAGTATGTATGCCTTCAAGGACTTTGGACGTTCGCTAAGCTATGCCGTAGGGTCGTGAACGGCGTCTTCCTTCACATACCTTCGTATCTGCGTACTTCGGAGCCTTCCGTCCCCGTGAGTGCAGATCAGCGTCCTGTCCTCAACCTTGTCGCTCATCTACGTGAAGGCCAACCACCCACACTCCCGGAGTCCCCTACGCAAGGCGACCAAACCCTCCTGCTGTCCTTCCAAGCGCTCGCCGCCGGCGACTACACGCACTCGCTCAGCCTCATCAACGAGGCCATCGAGCAGGGCATCTCATTCAACGAGGGCAAGGCGGAGGCGCTGAACCTGCGCGGCACCTTCAAGTGCGTCCGTCGGCATGCGCACTCCCTATTCGGGCTGACATTTCCCCACTTGACTTGTGTGTCCCAAGGTTCCTGATGACCGACGTCACTGGGGCGAAAGACGACTTCCTCGCATCGATCGACCTGCACCCCTCACTGACGCAGACGTGGGTGAAGATTGCCAGCGTCTATATGGAGCAGGGCGATCCCAAGAAGGCATTTGATTGCTTCGAGGAGGCGATCAAGCACAATGCGGACGATCCAGACATCTACTACCACCGCGGGCAAGGCAAGTTCCCTGATAGGAATAACAGTTGGATTTGGTGACTGACGCGGTGTGGTGCAGTGCTGTTCATCATGAACGAGTTCGAGGAGGCGGCCCAGAACTACACCAAGTCAACGCAGCTGGATGACCAGTTTGTATTCAGCCATATACAACTCGCTGTGGCACAGTACAAAGCGAACAACCTCGCGAACAGTATGGCTACCTTCAGGCGGACGCTCAAGGCGTTCCCGCACCGCAGCGAACCGCACAACTATTAGTTAGTTTCAGTTAGCTCCTGCAGCTACTGGCTATATTGACAAATCTTGACAGCGGAGAATTGCTACTTGATCAGCAACGGTTCCAAGAAGCAGTTGACAAGTTTAACCGTGCGATTGAAATCGAGAATGAGCGCCCGAAGTGAGTTGAAGTAGCATGGCCTTTACTCGATTGGTTCTCATTGGGCTCGAAAGGCCGCCACCGATCAACGTCCTGCCCCATGTAAACAAGGGTCTTGCGATGTACCAGTGGAAGCAAGATGTTGGTGCGGCAGAGCGATGCTGCCAAGAGGCATTGCGAATCGACGCGGAGTGCGAGGCTGCTGTGGCGACTCTGGCACAGTTGAGCTTGCAGCAGGGTAAGATCGACATCGCGATGGGGATGTTCGAGCGTCAGGCCGACCTTGCGAGAAGCGAGCCCGAGCTCATGAACGCGCTGACGTACCAGTTTGTAAGTCTCACCTACTTGGAGGGGTTGGTACGAGTCTGACGACTCTGTGTAGGCGACGAAGGCGCAGGTAGAGTTCATGACGAACTATCCGGAGATGGCTGTGCAGCTGAACCAGATCGCGCGGAGCATGGTGTGAGCAGTATGTTGTCTCGAGACGGGGACGAGCAAAACCACATGGACTATGTCGCGTGCTATGCGATTCTGTTGTCTACATCTACTTAGTCTTATAATGATATCACCATCGCTCACTCGAGAAAGCAATCGGACGTGCGAGCTCGGTTAAGTCGCAGGGCCCGAACTCCCGGGAGCGTGATCTGATTGAAGTACGCGAACATCTCGATTCTCCGCATTCGACCCTACTCTTCTCCGACCACGATGGGACTTGCCCTCCTTTGCTGATGCTTACGATCGCTCTTGCTTGCTTTTAATCACATACCACTACCGTATACCACACACGATGAATACCTCTCAGTCCGAGCCCACTTTCAAATTCCCGCCAGACGCGCCACCGCCCGAGGGCTCTGCCGCCGAGCAAGAGTCTGCGCGGACACCCTCGCGGCGGTCGGTCGCCTTCTACCCCAACATGAACTCCGCGAACAAGCCCCAGAAGCCGTTCAGCCGCAGCGCAGCGAAGCGGGAGAGCGTGATGGCACTGGGGAGCATCGAGCACCTACAGCACTACTTCACAAAGTCGGGCATCGCGGCGGAAAGCAAGTGAGTGCTGTCGAGCGTTGGGTGAGTCGAGCGTGCGCTGATGCCGCCGCGGCGTTCTCGAGTCCTCTCAACAAGCCAAATAGCGGGATGGTGCCCGCCATCGGCGGCCCGTCTACCCTCCATCTCCGCCCCTTCTCCCAGCAAGTCCGCGACTTCGAGCTCCCGCCATCCCCGGTTGTCCCACAGATCATCCAGCCCTCCTTCCCACCGTACGTAAAGACATTCGAGACTGACTCTGAAAGTCTGCGCCCGGGTGTCATCGAGGACCTGAGCGCGGTCGCGGCGGGGTGGCAACTGGACGGGGACATACACCCACCAGGCCAAGATCCCAATCTCCTGGGCGCAGGCGGAAAGTCCGGAGAACACCTTGACGTTCTCGATCTACTCAAGACCACCACACGTGCAGTACGGTCCGTCCGAAACTACCTCGTATCGCAACCAGACGACTCCGCCACCCCGATGCTTCAAACGTACTTCCGCCCACAGAGCCTACCTAGCGCGCCTCCACCCCGCAGGCGCGTCTCACAGCCTGATGCAGCCTCGGACCAAGTGACGCGGGTCCGGCGCGGCGCGCTCGAGGTGCTCGCAGCCCTGAGGGACCTCGAGGAATCCGCGCGTCTCCCGCTCGAGCACGACGCGTACGACGCGCAGAGCGACCACGGCTCGACGTCCTCGCCCGAGCAGAGCGACCTCAGCACGCGCGCGACGTCCCCGGACTTCTTCGACAACGACGGTGATACGTCCGTGTCTATCTCGTTCATCGAAGTCGGCGGAAGCAGGAAGCCGGTACCGGTCTGGGAGGACGACGAGCCGACGCACGACATGAGCGACGAGGAGCGCGAGAAGCGCGAGAAGCGCGACCGATGGGATGAGCGGCTCGTCGTCGGGGGCGGCTGGCTCTACCGCCAGGACATGCGCCTCGCGGACATGGCCCGGGAGCGCGAGGTCGTAGGGAGGTACCTCGATGCTGTCGATCAAGTGCTCTTCGGCGGCGTGCAGGGCGGGAAGCGCGGGTGGACAAGAGAGCGAGAGCGCGCGGAGCGGAAGCAGAGGGAAGGCCGCCGGGCAAGCTCCGTAGAAGGCCTCTTGGGCGGACACGCGGCGTCCAGGCGAGCATCGCGCCGTGTCGTATCCACGGGAATGCTGGACACGATGCGAAACATTGTTGTCACCGAGGAGCCGGAGGAGATGGAGACTCTGACTGAGGAGGATGCGATAGAGGATGACGATCTACCGGACTGGGCGAAGCGGTCAACGTTCGTTGACGACCCTCTCGGTAAGTTCTCATTGTGTTCCTCGCGCCCTCGCCTCACATCTTTAGCAGGTCGCCTCCATGCACTCCTAGTGGCCCTGCTACCTGCAAATCTCTTGCCACAGCTCCCGCACCCACCGCCGGATCGCTCCGCGCTCCTGCAAGTCCTCTCATCTGGCCAGCTGCTGTGCGTCGCGTACAACGTTGGCGTACGCAAGTCGCGGAAACCCTGGGGCTTCGTCAGTAGGGATGCCATTCATGACATAATCATGCTTGAGGCTCAGTCTCCCGGCGGCGGCCAAGAAGGCGAGAAGAATAAGCGAGGTTGGACGTTCCGGCGGACAGACAACCTCCGCCTTTGGGCAGCGTGAGCGCTTCCTCTGCATGCGCATCACTACGCCATCAACGCTGACACGTCTTTAGAGCCCTCAAGCTACGCTACCTTCTTCCGATCACATCGCCCGCGAAACCGAATGCTGTGAAGACGCCAGGCACTGCAACGCCGTCTAATGCGGGTACGCCAATTCCTTCGCCATCTCCGTCGCAGGTCAAGTTCCCAAACACTACCAATGAGGAGCCGTTACTCTTTGACGCGCCGATGGTCGCGCGTCAGGAGGGCGCGTGGGAGGAGATGCTAGAGACGGCGGCGTTCAAATGGATGGATGCTGTGGTCGAAGAACGAAGAGGGGAGAGATGACCGTGTATGTCGCATCAGCATCCGTAATGAGATGCGTGTAGCAGTTCAAGCATGAGTTCAGTGGCTCACATTCAGTCCTCCGGGATCTGAGGAAGAACATACAGAAATGCGCATGCTATGAAATGCAGTGTATATTTGTCGCCAATGGACTCAATGTACAAAGCGGTGATCGCCCACAGCGAGCGTGCTACGACACCGTCCATTCCCTACATAATGTTATCCTCCTGATGTGTACCGAGGGAGGACAGGAGCAAGCATGTCCAGCCCTACAGTCTACGTGATTGGGGCATATGTATGTGAGTCCTTGATTGTAAAGTCCCGTATCGCCCGGATACGAGAGAAGTGAAGGAAGGCGGTATAGGCGTGACGGGCCTGGTGTCTAATCTATGAACACTGCTTTCAGGACTTAGGAGACCCAGCATCGGTGAAGCTCACCTGAACCGTCATTGGTTTTTGTGCCTCGAATCCATGTGCCGCTTCAAGGCATCGCCCCTCGAAAGCCTTTCGTTGCACCCCTCGACGGGGCACAACTGCGTGTTGGACTTGAGGTGCGTGCCGCATATGTGTTTCGGGAGGCTTCGTATAAAAAGCTCGCTATCGCACTCACTCCAGCGGCAAGCGAGTTTCAACCCGGAGTCTTTCCAAACCTCCGGCGGCTCGGGGATGTCGTCGAAGTGGCATGAGATCAGGTGAATCTTGACATCGGAGGCGGTCGATCCGATATGTTGGCCACATCCACGCCATTTGCAGACATGGACGCCCTCCTGGGACGACCCTGCCGCGGCGTCTGGGGTGATACCAGTTTGCTGTGAAGACTGGCAGTCAGGGTCGATACGCGGACGTTCGAATAGGAGGCGTACAGCGGGCTCAGGTGGTATGAAATGCAACGCGGCTGAAGCGGGAATTGTATCCAGCCTCCCTCCGTCTTTGAGTTGAACGTAGAGTTCGAGCAAACGTATGATATGCTCAGCTATGGGCGTGTGCTCATAGCCTGTGCCTGCATACATATCGGCGCGGAACACTTCAAGTTCGAATATGGGCGCATTCGCAGCCTGAGGCGGGGTCGTCTGCGTGCCTCCTTGCGTGTATGGCGCCGCATAGCCCATGCCGGCCCCAAACGTATCGTGCGTCGAGCGCGATAGCTGGGGAGCGAACTGATAAGCGCCGTAAGGTATGTGGCCCTCCTCTAGACTGTCGCACAACTTCAGCGGAGCAGAACGGCTGGCAGGTGCGCCACTCACCCATGCATAGGACCGCCGCGACTTGGATCCATAACCGACGAAGCTCGACTCGATAAGCAGCTGAAGCAACGACGAAGAGAGTATCAAGGACGCCTGCGGGCTCTTCAATGGACACGCCGAGTAAGAAGACAGGCAAGGGGTCGTCTAGGGACGGCCAATCGCATGTCGGTGCATGAGTATTTGAAGGGGTTTCTGTGACTTCGCTCCGAGAGCTTCTGTTGACGCATGAAACGTAAGTATGTAGTCCCAGAATCTCGATTCGATATGCCGTATAACGATGCCCGCTCTGCCATGGTGTGTGTCCTAGATCCGACTCCACGATGTCACCATTCAGTCGGCTACGGCCAACCCATACATCATCAAAAGATCGCGAACATGGGCCCCTCTACGAGGGGCCGACCTGTTCGCTGTAAGGCCACCGTTTCAAATTTCTCAGCTATTAGGGTACCGACTCCCAACCGGTACGGGCTCGGATGCGCAATGACAGGATTTGTCAAAGGCCATGTGCGAGTTATGCATGAACCGGCGCCGGGGTACGGCAGAGTGTACGACTAAACTTTTGCTGGGCGCGCGATTGCCAAAGAGAAATCGGTGGCCAACGAAAGAAGATCCTATTCGAGCGCATCGGCCACGATATCTCCGCGCCTTTGTGGTAGGCAGATAGAGTACCGGACGGCCTGCCAAGGGGATCACTCATTCTGATTGGCTGATGTGACCGCCGCCGCAGGATTACTCGTAGAATGGTCACAGAAGGTGTCCCACGTCGCTTTGTTGTAAGCCTCGAGGTGATAGAGATCCCCAACCGCTCTCGAGAGTTTGGGCCCGCGCGATAAGGTTGCATACGCTGTGCGTCTACATCGCCGACACGTCCCACATGCGTGCGGTTTCAATGGTGCCTCATGTTCAAGTTGAAGCTTGACTGCGCATTTCAGCCCGCCCCATCATGATACCGGCTGGAAACTCGTATACCAGTCGTGCGAAGAGCACCAGTGGGCTGCTTGCTCGCTGTGGTATTCGTTTCGATCCGTCTGTCAGATGTCGTACTGAGGCCTTTGCGCCGATAGATACGACATCAGCGGCTCTCATCATATATCGAGACGGCCGCCCGGTCAAAGAGGGCAACCGTTGAATTCTCGCTGAGACAAAGGTCATCGCAAAAAAATCCATGTCACGCAGATGCCTCGAGTAAGCCATGATGAAACGATGAGTAGTTACTTATCTTGCCGGATGTCGTCCTCGACTTCCTGGACCGCATATGTCATGTCGCATGTTCCTGGCCTCTTTCCCTATCCGAAGGAGGCGGCATCCGACCTAGTTGTCGCTTTCATTCACATCTCGGAGATTCGAGATCGAGAATCTGGAGCGGCGGCACAGTAGGCGAGGCATACCTTCTGCCGATCAAGCTCTCCATTCGAAAGTGCATGGATGGCGTGCCGACCGAGAAGGAAAGGAAGTTACTAGTCTAAATGATCGTGAGAGCTTAGAAGCGCGGATGCGTGATGTCCTGTCCCCGAGCAACTGTGAACACGGCGAGCCCGTAACCACTGTACCGTGCGGTCCTCGCGCTGATGTGATGAGTTGACGACATAGCACCCTGCGCCCATATGTTGAGTGCGTAGGAACCGTGATCCATGAGAATGGGTGGGAAGTTGAGGTGCTTCCTTTAGCATGTGGGATACATCATACTGCTTACTAGTGATCCAAATCATCGGTTCGAGCCTAGACTTGCGTCTACGCAGCGAGGCAGCAAGCCTGAGGCTTTGCCACATGAGAGAGTGAGCACTGGTAATATAGTTGTCGAATTACGGAGCGCGTAAGATTGAAGGTGATCGCCTGGGGATGCACCCATGGCATCGTGGTGCTACTGCCAGCAGTGGAGTCGTTCGGTGACTGGTCGGTATGGCCGAAGTGGTTGGTATAATTTCCATAAACAGACTACGTCAATAGCTTGTGACGTCCTGCCCATGTTCTGGACGAGTCGCTTTTCATTCTCCGAACAGCGAAGAGGCGCGAAGGGATACCGCACACACCTTCATGAGTTTTTCCTCCAGCATTCCAGAATGCTTTTGTCGTAAACCCTCAGGTTGCTCAGCAACCAACATCATTTTCGTGATGAGTCTTGACAGCGGAGCGATTGGCAGCGAACGGTGAAACAATCCACCTTGCAGCGTTCGACGAGCGTTCAACGCTCAAACACGGAAGGTCGTCCTTGATATACCTCTGGCGCGCGCCGCGCGAGCCTCATTCCTTATGAGTGACAACAATCAGCCGGAAGTTCTATTATTATGCGCACCGTGTTGATCTGACCACCAATCTGACCACAATTCGCAATGTCGCAGCTCGCGGCATGTCGAGTTGCGAACCTCTGTCCTCCGCCTTCTCGGGGTGCTTCTGCGTGCCGATTAGCAGTAGGCTCTTTCACAAGTGGCGATCCGGGGCCGTGACCGCGCCATCCCACGTCTGAGCGCTGATGCCAGTCGCACTTAGGCCAACGTGTTGAGAGTCTGGCAGGCCCTCCAAACTCGACCGTGTTCGCCCCCGCTGCGTCCGCGCCTGTCTGCGCTTGGGCGACGCGCGACTGGCACGACGCGCAGGGCAACGCGCACCTTCGCTTCCATTATTAGCGGATCGGCGTGTCGTGGCCTGCAGCGCGACACCGAACGACTCGGCAGACGCCGTGTTTGTACCAGAAACGCGACTCGCTCGCGCGACACGGCGAGACGGCACCAAGCACAGGCCGTCGCGGCCACCAGCAAACCGCGATGTGCGATGTCTAAGGGTCCGGTGTTAGCAAGTCAGGTCGGGGCGTACAAAAATGGTGTCGGACCGGCGGCGCAGCAATTAAATGTCATATGGATCAGAGAGGTTGCCACAGCGAACGCAGTGCGTTGCAGTGAGCGACGAGAGATGCCAGACGGGGCTGAGAGTGTGCCTCCGCACCTTCGCGTGCGCGTGTGTGCACGCGTAGATGAGCTCCGAGTTGGCGCACCGACGCCTTCAAGTTCGCCGCCGCCGGCCGCGGATTCGCGAACAGCGGACGCTTTTAGTGCCTTAGCCACGGGATCGGAAACCGGTTGGCAATAGACGCCGTTAGCCGGTTACTGTATTCCGACTTAAGCAGCATTTGCGGCGTAAGCTTATGTTACAGTCGATTGCAGAAATCATGGCACTCGCGGATTTTTTTCGACGCGCGCAATGACGCGCGTGAATCTTCCGACCCAAAGTTCCGAGCTACCTTACCAGTGTCTCTAGCTATGATAATGCAGCATAACTTCGCTTCTCTGTTCTGAAAATGACAATAACACTACCAGATAAGTCCCTGGTCATCATAGCAGTGAGGTTTAATGGAGAAAAATACGGCAATGCGTAGAACTGGGTTCTGTTACGCGGTCTATCCAATTGTGGTAATAATGCACGTGATTGTTCTGTGCTCGACACGCCATACTTCTTATTGCGCATTCAGCTCATGGATCCTCCTTTTGTATGTCATAGACCTGTTCCAAGACACATAGAGTAACATGTGGTAGTGTAAATTGCTGTAGTTTTGGTAGAATACATGAGAGATTCGTCATTCGACGACTCGGAAGATGGGTCGGAAGATGCGTGGGAACTTCAGTCGGAAGGTTCACGCGCGTGTCGAAAAATTCTGTGAGTGCCAACATATTCGCAATCGACTGTAATACAAAGCGAAACAACTAGTTTATATACTGTGCAGTTCTACGCAACAGACACGACTGTCGGTGAATGAGCACAACGAGCCGTACGCCCTTTGATGCAGTCCTGTTCCGAGTCATTAACCGGTCAATTTCAACGATTCAGGTGCCACGAGGGCCCGATTCCGATTTGAGCGAAGATCTCGTAGGCCACAGTCGGTCGATCGGCGGACCGACTTAGATCGCCCTGGGGAACCGTCGCGGCAGCGTTGCCTCAACCTCCTTGTACACAGACGACTCTCCGTACTACGTGGTCCCTCTTACTCTGGAGCGTGTGTTGGTCGTCTAGAGGTGAGAGATCACCTACTCACCGTTCGCCCGGCCTGTAGGCGGCGCTTGGATTGCGAGAACTTGAGAGCGATGCATCTGTGGCAGTGTGGAGGTGTGATGACGAATGGTGCCGGTGAGTCCACATGATACACTAGATACACGAGGTACGCACCATCCCGGGCCATTCATCGGAGTACTTACCTCCTTGAATGAGCTAGAGTTTCATTCATATAACATGTTCCTTGCCTTCTTGAATTGATGCCGCTCACGTTTAGCTCTCGCTAGTCCACCGCGAGACGCACCTGGGTCAAGTGTTACAGGTTCAGCATATTCCTCGTGGCTTTGGCCAAATAGAGGTTAGTCCGCAGACTTCGCATTGATGAGTAGGGTCCGACGGGCTTGACCCCGTGGTGGACCGCGCCAGAACCGTCGTGCGTTCATCGTGCGTTCAAGTCCCGCGCTAGGGGTATAACATCTAGATAGGTGAGCCATCTAACAAGTCAAAGTTTGATGAATCATACCGGTAATGCTTCGCCATTCATTGTTCTCATCCACTCCAGCCCTACTGCGTCCGCCTGAGGCCTATCTTCCCAGATTCTCGTCACACTCCCCAGGCCGTTGGCCATCATAGTGGCCCTTCGACTGACGATTTACGTCTCCGACCTCGTGGAATTCAAGCAAGACGACCTGCAGGAAGAGCCCAATTTCCTCAATTTGTACGTACGAGAAACACAGCTAGCGCAAGCTCACCTGGCGTCCCGTCACCATGTGTCTGTCGTCCGACGACAACCTCTTCCTACGATCCTGCGAAGTCGTTTGGCTGCCTTCCTGCGTATGTCAGAGTTGCCTGGACTGTGGCGTTCTGGGGTCGGATGGGGGTTCGTAGGGTAGTCGAGGCATAGCGACAACAGTAGCTCGGAGCACCTTTGGAGCACCCTATTGTCCGCCGCGTACTGGTGTGATAGTGTCGAATCGATGGTGTCATATGAATTGGTAACAGGCCGTTGTCGCCACTTCGGAGTGCATTTCTGAGCTCCACGCGGACTCACGAACCCAGCCAGACCATGACCGGAAGGGACTTGTGCATAGCTAGCATGAGGAACCGTTCTGCATGGACGCGTGGACGTCGGTGGAGGGCACGCCCACTGTGGCACCTGACCTTTGGTTGACTGGCGCTTCTATTCTCACCTGAATCAAACTTCGGTCGAACTTCCTGGCTTTTGCGTTCGAGCCTGTGCAACGACTCCCTATCTGGCAGAAGCTATGGTATGTCCTTTTTCTATTCCAATGCTGAGCTCCTCCAGAGCGGACAGTGTGGGCGTGGCCACCGATCTTAGATGCCGCAAGCGGGTTCCTTGCCGCCAGAGGACCACAGTGGTACTGTACCTACTGTACCTTCGATTGAACGGTGCGAAATTCCAAATATATATCTTGCATGATGACCAGCCGGACATACATTGTTGGCGAGCTACAGAGACCGCGCCGCATCGAAAGCTTTGGCTACTAGGGCTACTCATTGTCTTGAAGTTGCGCAGTGCACACTGCATCGCAATTCGCCGACACTTTTGACTCGGAGATTCAACTCATGTAGGCGGGAGGCTTGGGCACTCATGGATCCAGCAAGTCTCGGGCTGTGAAATTTGCTGAGTCTCGTCGTCTCTATGTTCTGGAAGACATACGCCAGTGGACACTGAACGTTCAAAAGGTGCTCTTATTTGACAGACACAATTTGGGATCACAAGAAAAACAGATCGGTGAACGACCGCAACGATTCCGGTGCAAACACGCCGTGAGGGAATGAGAGTCTGACAGAGGTTGCATTACTGGCAAACAACCGGTAAGCATAGCCACTGAGCTTGACAAATCCGAAATGGCGTACCATACAGTCACTTTCAGATATACTAGCACCACTGATGCGACCGCTGTAAGGACAGCTCTTTGCGTGACGTGTCATGCCGTCACGACGAGAAAAGGTTGCCTTGCAATGAGGGGAGTTAGAGCAAGGCACCCGTTCCCCCCTGAGGTGGATGTCGCGAACGTGCTTCGATAGCGTACGTCTCAGCATCTGTCTGCCCCGATTGCAGTGTTCCCACTGACAGGATACCTTCTCGTCTGTGTCCCATGAGCATCCGTCGAAATGGAATTCCCGCAGGTGGGAGTTGATGTCCGTCAGACTCGAGGACACGAAGTACCCTGTACATCCGTTGTAGCGGCAAGGAACGGTGTCCTCCGGCATGGCTGGTGCATCAGTCGCAGAGGACTTGGGAGAAGGAGACGTCTGTATGTAGGAGGCCTCTGGGTGAGTGCGTTGCACGCGTTCCTTCAATCGTCAGATCGACTCACAGAGGGACCTTCCGCTCCACCAGCCTGACCGTCCACATCGCCGCCGAAAAGCGAACCATTCACAGGTAGAGTGGCGTCAAGTCGTCGCATACGAGCGTCGATCTGGGCTGCAATGTGCCAGTCCTCTTTGGTAAGCTCCAAGTCTGACGGAGGGGATGTGACGAGGAGGAGGTAGTCGTAGATGCAATCTTTGACTGGCTGAGGGAACCTTGGGAGCGGAAAAGCCTGTGATCCTGCGGTACATTCGTTGTAGGGCGGAGATGGTGTGAGTTGCTGCACGACATCGTCTTGGCCCTGGCCCTGAGTGGGCAGCTGCGTATGAGGCTGGAACAGATTGTTTCCTATGTCAACACATTAGCTGACATGTTCAACAGAAGCAAGGCAAAGTCCTGGGTGGTCGCTGGTAAGTACCTTGTTCAGATGTACTACTAGTAGCGTACTGCTGAGGAATCGGCTCAATGCCAATGTTCAAGTTACAAGATACACTGTACTTCGTGTTGGACCTAAAGCTGGTTCGATAGTGTGATCCGGTGGTGGGAGAGTAGGATTGTGACTCACATGAGGTAGTCCCTTCGATGGTGCATAACTTGTTAGCTTGATTGAAGTGGAGTAGGAGGCGGGAGGTCTGGATCCGTAGTCTCCCAGTCGCTCCAGCAGGCATAGAAAAGGGCGATTATATAGTACCGAGTAAGTATTTGCACTGCATCATGAACGTGGCCGTCAGACCACTGCTCTGGTACAGCTTCTCATAGGAGGATCAAACCCTTACCTACAGATTGCTCGATGAGACTCCGAGTCGCCGAGTTCGCCGTGTGTTTTCGACGGAAACTCTCTTAGAAATCCGACGACACTAGGTACATCAGCCAAGTTTGCCCGCCGGGCGCCTTGGCAGCAATGTAACGGAGAAACGCAGCCCCGAGCCTTAGCGCTACCTCAATGAATCGCGGGTCAGTTCAAGTTTCCCTGACAGCTCGGACTCGTGCCGCTGCGGCGCGCCGCATGTTCAACCCACAGCACCGTGAGCACGTCGCTCATTGTGGCGGCGGCGTGCGGACTGACTCGCGAGTTGGTCACGGTGGACTGTCAATGTCAAGTTGAACCAACTTGAAATTGCAGTAGCTGATGTCCGCCGGCGGCAGCCCGCAACGGTGAGCCATTTGACGACATGATGTTTAGATCCACGGAACTTACTTACGGAGCATATCTGCGACCGGGCCTAAATCTGCGATAACCGTCGACCGACGGCCCGGCGGTCTGTGCAGTGTTGAGGGAAGTGAGGAATGAACTCAGGGGAGTGCACACAGCTGTGACTCTGCTCATCGCGGCGCGAGATCGAATGATCATCGACTTACGACGGTCGACCACGACGCCACCGGGCGACTCGAGGCGACATACATATACAGGCTTCCCGCCGGCTCGGGAGGGCCACTCTTCGCGGATCATGGCCCTCGTGAGAACGTGCCTGCGCGATGGACGCCGACCTCCCGACCCTCGGGAGGCCTGATAAGTACCAGGATGCTGGAACCTGAAGCGCCGGAAGCGCGGCCACGCACCGTCGGCTTCGTCCTGGGTGCAGGGGAAAGGCAAGACTTGAGCTTGAGCGAGACGCAGTTGGTCTGCCTGCAGCCTGCTGCAGCCTGCCGCTGCCCTGTGCCGCTTGCGCCACCCGACGCCAGGGGGAGACCTGAGTCACGTGAAGGCCTACGTTAGGGAACATGTAGAGCGCCTTCGCGGTCGTTCTACAGAATCTACTTTCCATACTTACATACAGTCTCGAGTCACCGTAGATCGCGCGCGGCGTCATGGTCCTTATCGGAAGCTTGAGGCTTCTGGCACGGCTCCGAGGCGACCGAGACGGATGACATTTGTCCACCACCGCACTGTCTCCGGAATTTCCTGGCTGGGTTTGGCCCGCCTGTGCATCTCCGGCAGTGTACGTCCGACGTAATCCAACGCGGAAACGGACACTTTCTACCTCCAAGTTCTAAGCAGATGGGCCGGCGGGATGGCACCTCTGGACTAGTAGTAGTCCTCCGAATTCGTCGCGATGGCAAACCGGAGGTTTGCCAAGGTCAGATTAGTTTATCTCTTTACGACTCCGGGTCGAGGGGTATTCCGCATCCCTGGACATTATCCGATGACAGTGGCACGGCGGCATGAGCCCTCCTGATGGTGGGTGATCCGCTTTCAGAGGCCCCGCTGCACGGTCTCGGTGTCTGGCTGGGCCTCGTATGCTTCCATATTCTCTCCCGCCCGGGACGCTATGTAATTTGCGACAGCGTGCATCCCCGTTGGATGCGGGCTCCTCGGCGGTGACAAGGACGAATACTGCTTCGCGGACCTGGTGAGTTTCGCATCAGCATACGGCATGGCCGATCGCTGAGACCACACAGTAATTTGGGTAGTGCAAACGCAGAATCCGCTTGAAGCGCTAGGAACGTCACACCGGATGAAACTTTCGATCCTTCAAGTGAAAGATCGATAAAATTGACAAAATCTTTTTCACGATATTTCGTATGAAAGATTGTCAATAAAAGTCAGAAACAATCAATTAATCATTCAGACTCGAAGTATCAGGAACAGATAACAGAAGGATTCATTGACAAGTGTCTTTGATCTGTCTGCGATCCTCTAGGCAAATGATTGAGAACATGATATTCAAAAATTCTTGAACACTATGTGGCTCAATTGTTCTGAAAGGATTGAAAACAGATTGTCACATGGGGTGTTACAATCTTTTCTCAATCTTTCAGGCTGTCACAATCTGTTTCAAATCCTTCCAGCTGTTGATATCTTGGTGAGATTGGAAACAATTTGTATCCCAGGGGTTCAAAACAATTTGCCCAAAAGGATTGACAAGAGATTGTGACACTAGCTGTGACACTGTGCCACTTCCCTATGACAGAGCGGCAGTGAAGGCAATTATGCCAAACCTATGATAAGCTGCCTTCTGCTGGTATGCTCAGTCATTTTTGGTCCCTCATTCATTGCCTGCCATCACATGAGTCTCATTAGATGCACTCAGTGTACAGGGTTGTACTTGTGATTGTACATTCCTAGATATGTGCATCTCATTGTATGACTAATGAACATGTCCCAGACCTGTGCATGTCCAGATGCAATGAAAGAGGGACCAAAAATGACTGAGCATACCAGCAGAAGGCAGCTTATCATAGGTTTGGCATATTTGCCTTCACTGCTCTGTCATAGGGAAGTGGCACAGTGTCACAGCTAGTGTCACAATCTCTTGTCAATCCTTTTGGGCAAATTGTTTTGAACCCCTGGGATACAAATTGTTTCCAATCTCACCAAGATATCAACAGCTGGAAGGATTTGAAACAGATTGTGACAGCCTGAAAGATTGAGAAAAGATTGTAACACCCCATGTGACAATCTGTTTTCAATCCTTTCAGAACAATTGAGCCACATAGTGTTCAAGAATTTTTGAATATCATGTTCTCAATCATTTGCCTAGAGGATCACAGACAGATCAAAGACACTTGTCAATGAATCCTTCTGTTATCTGTTCCTGATACTTCGAGTCTGAATGATTAATTGATTGTTTCTGACTTTTATTGACAATCTTTCATACGAAATATCGTGAAAAAGATTTTGTCAATTTTATCGATCTTTCACTTAAAGGATCGAAAGTTTCATCCGGTGTCAGCCAGTTCTGTCCGTCTTCCATTACGCGCGGAGACCGCGCGCAGTGACGTTCACTTACAGGGCTCCGCGTCTTTGTGGCGATGCGGCTGTAAAGAGCGAACGTTTCTGCTGTCTCAGATCCGTACCCTGCGGCGGATCTTCAAATCCGAGCTCTCGGTACGGGGATCATGGATGGCAGGCGAAGCCGTCAAGCCGTTGACGTTGCTGGTCGGGCTCAATGCGAACCTTTCCGACGAACCAACGAGCGTCGTCCCATACCTCATCAAGGACTAGACTGGCAATAGCCCTCAGGCTCATGCCACAGACCGCAGGTGGGCGATTCAACGTACGGTGGGATCCCGTTGAGAGCTCGCGCACCACCTCATGCCCCGGGACACACGGCGACCACTTACGTCTGCTGCCCATCACCATTCAGAGTAGTACTCCTCCACCTTCTCTCGCGTGTCAGGAAGCGGCACTCGAACGAAGGATGTAGTACATAGGCTGATACGCGAGCTACATGTTCTCCGCGCTTCTCGAGGAATGGCAGGCCCGGGCCGTTGGCGGTGGGAGCATCGACGGACGATATCTGCTTTCACATATCCCCTTTGGGCTCGACCACAGTAGTCGTTCCTAGATTCAATTGCGTATCGACCATCTGCGTGGCGTAAGCCAGGGTGACGCCGCCATCGGGCTGGTTCTTCCCTCGCGGTCGTGCGGCGTTTCAGATCCAGCGGATGCACCGAGACTCTCAGCGATGCGCTTCCTATCCCGGATCCCAACACCGCGCGGCGCCTCCTAGACGCTGAATTCATTGTAATACAGGTTATGATAGTAGTTCATTGTTCTGTCCGACAAAGAGAGAAGTTGCCAGCACGCGGTCGATGAACTATGTATTTTAATGTACTAGTGAATGCGGACATGATTAACGCCACCTCTCACTCCGCGTGTTTTCCGCCACACGTACGCCGTATGTTTCGTGTCAAGCGACTATCGCGCAACCTCATGAAGTCTGCGTGCCTGTACGTGATACTTTCGTCGCCCCGGAATTAGTGAGATTCTCCGGTTCATCAGGCTTGGTAAAAAGGTATCCATATAGTGTGCGTCACTAGCGTTACGAACTACCGGTCTTCGATCTACTGAACCTTCCTGATTGGGCTGCGGCCCCCATTCTGGACATCGGTGGCGCTGCGGTGTTCTTGAGTGGCTGCCAAGTGGCTGCTCGTGGTTCTGATTTCTTGTCCCTTGCACGTTGCCATGCAGGCCATAGGGGAGGACCTGTTGTAGAAGGGGAAGTCATAAGTGCAATTTTGCCTCGATTACAGACGGTGTTGGGACAGACGTCGCAGCCAAGTATAGAGGTACAGCGGCGCGGAGTGCCCCTTTCTGCGCACAATGAACGTTGGGCTCGAGCCAGGCTCTCAATGCCCGCATTGTTGCAGGTTGTTGCGTAGGTACTCGACTGGTCGTAGCCACACCTCCGACTGGTCTGGAGGCCACTCGATTCACACCCATGTTCTGCATCAGATCTGGAGATCGCAGCACCGAGCCTTGACTTGCATCCTCCTCCCTCCACTCGCGACGTTTTCACATGGGTCGTAGAGCCATAGCAAGACCTCGTCTCGCCATACTCGCCTCGTAAAGTGCACAGCTAGACGTTTGCGGCCCTAAGTCGTGCGAGACCTACCATATATGGGACGGCAATATCACGGGCGACGGGCGGTGGCTGCAAAGTGGGCCGACAACGAAAATGTACGCCCGTCCTGAACGCTCCAGCCCGCGTCCTGTCGGCTCTCGACTGTCCTCCTCGCCCGCTCAAAAGCACCCCGGCGCCCACCCGCCACGCCATGCAGCTCGCCAGCTCGTCCAGCATGCCCTCCAACCACTACGACGTGATCATCGTCGGCGCCGGCATCGCAGGCTGCGCGCTCGCCCAGGCCCTCGCGACCCTCAAGCGTCCCGCGCCCCTCCGGGTATGTCTCCTCGAACGCTCCCTCGCGGAGCCGGACCGCATCGTCGGCGAGCTCCTCCAGCCTGGCGGCGTCGAAGCGCTGCGCAGGCTCGGCATGGTCTCCTGTCTGGAGGGCATTGACGCCGTCCCGGTGCGTGGTTACTGTGTTGTGCTTGACGGCAAGCCCGTCCACATCCCCTACCCCGACGGCCACGAGGGCCGCAGCTTCCACCACGGCCGCTTCATCCAGTCGCTCCGCAAGAAGGCGCGCACGGCCCCTGGCGTGGAGGCGGTCGAGGCGACGGTGTCGGAGCTGGTCGAGTGCCCGACGACCGGGCGCGTGCTGGGTGTGCGGGCGACGAGGAAGACAGAGGGCGAGGAGAAGGCAGTGCACAAGGAGACGTTCCTGGCCGACCTTACTATTGTCGCGGACGGCTGCTTCTCGAATTTCCGGAATACCGTGTTGAGCGGAGCAGGTATGAAGCCCGTGACCAAGAGCCATTTCGTCGGCATTGTGCTGGAGGACGTGGAACTCCCGATACCGAAGCATGGAACAGTGGTCCTTGTGAAGGGACATGGACCAGTACTGCTCTACCAAATCGCGGGTCACGATACGCGGATGCTTGTCGATCTTAAGGTACCTCTACCGTCTGACATCAAAGTGAGTCCGTGTGTTTGTGTCTGCTAGATCACATCTCTCACAATTACCGCAGCAAGTCATTCTCGACGAGATCATGCCCCAGCTCCCGACCTCCCTCCAAGACCCCGTCTGCAGCGCCCTCGCGAAAGACCGCATCCGGCGCATGCCCAACACGTTCCTCCCGCCCGCCGAGCAGGGCCATCACACGAAGGAGGGCGTCTTCCTTGTCGGCGACTCGTGGAACATGCGGCATCCGCTCACAGGTGGCGGTATGACCGTCGCGTTCAACGACGTCGTCGTCCTCCAGGACCTCCTGAATGACGTCGAGGACTTCGGCGACTGGAACGAGATCTCGCAGGTCCTCCACCGGTGGCATTGGCGGAGAAAGCAGTTCGCGTCGACTATAAACATCCTGAGCGTGGCTCTGTACGACCTCTTTGGTGCTGACGGTGTGTATCCGTCTGGTGCTTTCCCCGTACCTTGTACTGAATACGCTATACAGACGAGTCTCTAGCAGTCCTGCGGGTGGGCTGCTTCAAGTACTTTGAACTCGGCGGCAATTGTATCCGCGACCCTGTATCCCTGCTTGCTGGGTACGTTTCGTCACTGGCACGTCTCACCGCTCGAGTCTGATGATGTTCCCTCCTCCTCAACAGCATCGAGCAGTCAACGCTGCTGCTCGCGCGTCACTTCTTCGCCGTCGCGCTGTATGCCATTTGGGCGATGTTCGCGCACCGGCGGTGGATCACCGTCGACGAGAAACCGGTCTATGTCAAGCCCGGCTTCGAGGAGTACCCTATCCTGTTCTTCAAGTGCATCCGCGTGGTGAGTACCTGCGCATAACGCTGCTAAGCGCGTGCTCGGCTGGGTTGCTGACTACTCGTTTGTAGTTCTGGACGGCATGTGTAGTGTTCCTCCCGCTCGTATGGACGGAGGTTCGATGGTGGTGAGCGTATAGCTGGCACCATAGAGACATTGTAGAGAGGAGAGTAAACTCACGTTCTAGGTTAGATTACATGTTCTTTCTAGTTGTTGACGATATCGAGCCTATTGCTATATCTACGGACCTTAACACTCTATTTTTCATCGCGATCCTTGTGCGTTGCTTGTAAAGGGGTTGCGGGACATATTCATGCGATCAGATTCACAAAGGCCGCTTCCGTCGAGATACAATTCGAAGGCCTACATACTTTCAGAGTTCTAGCTTGGTTTTGGCTGTGGAATCTCCAGAGTCCAAGGGGGTGACACGTCGCGACGCGCTACTTACCTCGTCATGTGACTGTGTTGATCCCTGCGTGAGACTGGGCGCTCACATCCTCAATCTGACCATCATCAGGTCGGTCTGAAAGCATAGACTTCTCTCGAGCTCCTTGCCTATCCTTTCGCGTCCAACGCGGCTTTACCTCTCGAACAAAGGAAGTGCCTTTTCTACCCCCTCATCACCCGCTGAAGCGGAGGGGAAGTCCAGAAGCTGAGTCAAACGCTCAACGTCTCGGAAAACAGGTAGGTATGCTCGAAAATCCTCGGTGTTGGCTGCTCTGTCGTCAGTCATCACATATGTCTAACATGCAGCAGAGATGTCATATAGCAGCACCAGCGCGCGGCTTGCACAGTCGTCACCGTCGGTCTCACTCGAGAAAGGTGCATACAGGCTGCGCGCGCCCCCACGCATCCGCACCATATCCAAGACGCGCATACAGCCGCTCCAACTGCACCCGCGCGCGGCGGACAGCTCGCGCTCCGCGTACCAGAAGCAGATGGCCGTGCTGGTCATCTTCCTGATCTCGGCGACGGTCTCTTGCTTCGGCGCGGCCTACTACCTGTTCACCACCAGGTGGGACCTCGCGACCCTCTCCTCTCTCGGCGACGCGTCTGACAAGTCTTCGCATGTGGCCTCCTCTCTGCCTGCGCCTGCGCCAACGCAAGTCGTCCATTTTGACTTCGGCTCGGACCCGGACCTGAGCCCGGACTCGCTGTCGCCTTCGTCTTTGCTTTCGCTTTCGTCTTCGCTTTCGTCTGTGCTGTCGGTGGACTCGTCGGAGAAGTATCTTGCGTACCTACCCCATAGTGGCTTTCATAACCAACGTATCGCGTTCGAAAATGCTCTTGTGCTGTCCCGTCTGCTGAATCGTACTCTGCTTGTCCCCCCTGTCCGTCTGGGCATGACGCCGGTGTACTACCTCCCGTTCGACCAGCTACGCGACGTCCTCGCGAACGCGACGAAGGTCGGTCTTGAGCACTGCAAGGAAGTCCGTCTGGACGGAAGTCAAGACATCCCTCCGGAGTGTATGGACTACTACGACTTCACCTACGTGCCCTGGGAATGGCTCGTCGACCTGTCTAAGCTCAAGACGGAGCAGCGCGTCTTGCCGTGCTGGAACCTCACCGACGCTTGGCTCGAAGACCGGCTGAATATCTCTCACAACGATACATTCTTCTTCAAGGACACCGCTCGGAACCACTACAGCTTCCTCGACTTCACTCCCGGCCCCAGCTCTAGCACGACCGCACTCTCGCGCAAGTATATCGAGTCCATCCAGATCTCCGCACTCGCTCAGCGTGCGGAACGGCTCGTCTTCCTCGGGACACTCATGGGCTCCTCGCGCTTACACCTACGCAACCCGACGTACTACCAGCTGCGCGCGCGCATCCGCGAGCAGATGGCGCTGACGAACCCGCTCCTGGCCGCGCTCGCGGAGGACGTGCGCGCCGCGCTGGGCGGGCAGTACCTCGGCGCGCACGTCCGCCTCGGCGACGGCCTCTTCCGGGAGAATGGCGCTGAGAACGTGCGCTTGACGTGGTGGCGGCTCGTGCACGCCACGCTGGGGTTCAGCATCCAAGACACGCTCGCGCTGGAGAAGGCTCTCGTGCTCTCGAATGGGGACTCTGGCGACGACTCTGGCTTGCTCGCTGCCTCTAAGGCTGACTTCGACGTCGATGCTTCTGGGAACGCTGCTATGACACTGGCCCCGCCGCGGATCCCCTTGGATATCCCCGCTCTGCGCGTCCCGCACCCTCCTCTACCGCCTCTTAATCCAGCGACCAACCTATCCTTCGCCTGTCCGGGCACGCTCCACACCGCACCGGCCCTCACCCTCCTCAACACTCCCCTCTTCATCGCGACCGACGTCGCCGCCCCACACGCGGACCCGCTCCTCGCGCGCTTCACGCGCACCTTCCCATGTACGTTCTTCCTCGCCGACTTCCGCGCGCAGTTCGCCCCGCTCGACGGGCTGGTGAGCGGCGCAGACGGCGTGCGACTGCGGGGGTTCGTCGTGCCGTTCCTCGACGCGATGATCGCCGGGCGCGCGTGGGCGGTCGTCGGCACGGAGCAGAGCACGTATAGCGCGTTCGTGGCGGATGTGCTGTGGAGGAGGTATCATGGCTTCGAGATCGTGCAGAGGGGTTAAGAGGGACGGTATATGGGTGCTCGGGTCGTTGTTCTGCCGGTGCGTCGCTGGTTGTCGTATGGCCGGGGACGACGTGGCCGTAACTGTAGATTTCACAGGCTTGGACGTCGGGTCTTATCCTCTCCTCACTTGGTGTGTCGCGGCGCAAGGACTGGAGCAACGAAGCAGCCACGGCCTGTGCGTGCATGCCTAGTTTTGTTATACATGCCACCTTTGACCTGCCAGGCGGCAAATGATTCGAAGTGCCAATGCAGCAGCGTAACTTACAAGTTGGATGCCCTGGCGACTACGTTGCTCGAATGATACTTGATGGGTGTGCGCTCCAACTGTTCAACGCAAGATGGCTGCTCCACCGTACTGCGATGCCGGAGACCTGATTGTCGCTACGCTTCTTTGCACAAACAATGCTATGTTCATGCACTTCCACCGACGCTAGCTTGCGCCGCCCTTAACGCGGGTCGTCTGCCCTCACCTGAGACCAGATCTTCCTTGTTCCAAACTTCACCGGCCGCCGAACTCCAGGTAATGGCAACCATTCGTCATAGTCATGACATGAGTGCCTAGCTTCTCTCGGAATGACTTCGCCTTCGCCACAGCCCGCGAGATGTCCTGCCCGGCAGTCTCTGAAAGTTTTGCGGAACCGCGATGACAGCGGCCGGGTTGCAGGCATGCTATGTACGGAATGATTTATTAGGTCGGTATCCAGGGCAAGCAGTATGCTTCTCGATGGACGTTGCATTGCCTCTGTGGTTTCACTTTTCATATTCACCTAAAGATGACGCCAGCAGATCGACATTTCCATTACAGGGATGGTACATGCGAGTGCCGTACGTACGCAGAGATCCTCAGATGACAACGGGATCTCCATATTTCATTCAGAATACCGGAGGTTTTGGTGCTCGGGGGCCCAGAAGTTCAGAAGCCCCGAGCGAGATAGGGTTTAGATTTCAAGTTGCCGTGCTGACCAGGGACCGATGATGTTCTCCTGCTTGAGGCTTCTCATGCGAAGCTGATTCATTATAGCGCCTGCCTGCGCACCCAGATTCTATGAAGATGTCGCCCAAAATGCGACACGGGCCTCGTGGATCACCCTCGGAAGCTCACTTTTGAAATATTGCTCAGATTAATTCCCCTGCGCCGTGCATTCCGCGTACCATTGTTCTGGATCCCGACAATGGAACATTTGTCTATCCAGCAGACAGCCCACGGGGGCATCGAACTGTCTGCCCGAAACTTTAACGGCACGAGGGTGTCTCGAACCAATCCTGACCTACGCGTAGGTCCCTGCACTTCCTCACTTCCTACAGGGCCTCCCGCCGGCCCCGCGGCCAGTTGTCAGGGCCTGACAGTGTGAACTGTCGCCGTGTCGCCGATCTGCGGCGGTAAGTATGAAGAACGATCCGGCCGAGGCGACTCGGGTGCATCACTACCACGCCTCGTTGCGAGAAGAGATTAATGTATTCACTAAGAATTATCCCACTAGTAGGCTTCTCTGGGCACATTTCACGCGATTCTTAAGAATGTCCACGAGGGGGAAAGACCAGATAGGATTGAACTGTCAACATAGCTTCCTCTTCTTCGCTGACCCATCCTCCTCGCGCGCGGAGGAGTCAAGGACACCCGTATCTTCCGCCGAAGACAATCCGTCTGGAGAGCGTCCACGTTTCTTGGAGGCGGTCGATGGTGGTTGCGCCGTGATAGGGTCCTCGGGCACTGTTCGCCTCTGAGCGATCTCGCCGGAGGAAGGCGTTCCTGCCGCTTCACGCTGGTTCGAGGGCATTCCATGCGCACCCCGAAAGTGTCCCCCGGCGACGGTTGGACCCGCCCCAGGATACGCTGGGTTGGGCCATGTTGCACCTGCCCCGCCCCCGAACGACGCCTCCCCAAACCGAACCGCACGACTAGGCGCGTGGTGCATTCCGCCGTGCAGAGGTATGGAGCTGGCCGGGACTTCTCTTGCCTTCCCCTTGTCCGCTCGTGGCGGTGGCGCCTCCTCTTCCTCAGGCCCCTCGCCTTCCTTGTCCTCGTCGTCGATGTCTTCGTCGTCCTCATCTTCATCGTACTCACCCTTGTCTTCGTCGTCTCGACCATAACGGTCGTCTCGCACACGCAACCCTCTCAGAAGTCTCGAGTCGAGGGCAATAGTGGCGGGAAGAGACTTCAGGACCTCACGCATTTCGGCTTCGGACATCTCGTCGATTGGCTTCTCGAACTTGATTTGAAGCAAAGGGACGACTCCTTCGTGGCCTGCGGGAACCACATTTGCCTCCATCTCGCGCGCCAGGGCCTCGCCTTGGGCTAGACGTGGACTTTCAATGTTAAGCATGAGTAACGTACACGACGTGCATGGATACGTGCACGTACGTCAGGATGGACATTAATCCGCTCGCAGTTCTCAAGTTGCGCACCGCCTTCGTCCGTTGGCCGTCCCATATCCTTGAGAACCGTGCCTCCTCGTACTCCAAAGACTCCAAGTTCTGGTCGATCCTTTCATTCTCGCATGTGCGGACCCAGGCATTTCGGTGATTTTGATGAGTCGCCTGGAGGATTGCCGCAGCTGACTGACGCTCGTCGTCCCGCAGCTCTTCCGGCTCCGCCTTCTCCTCCTCGCCTTCATCACGCGAGGAGGTTCGTAACGGCACACCCTTACGCGAGTGCCTCCCGTGGAGCATCTCAACCAGGAAATCAGTCCGTACCTCTGCATCCGCCATGGGAAGGCGACTCTCTCCAGCATAGTCTTTTCCACTCGAGGTCCCGCCCAGTCGCCGTATTTCTTGCTTCTTCTCATCGCTTACGGAGGAGGAGGCGAAGGCGGTAGGGGTCGAGCTCGAGCTCGAGGTCGGCGAAGAGGTGGACAAAGGCAAGGAGGTGGTGGAGGCGGAGGTAGAAGTAGAGGAGGAGGCAGTGTAGGAAGAGGTAGAGGTGGCGGTGGCGTCGGCTGTGTCATCGTGGCCGTGACCCATGCCCTTGTCAGTCGGCCTCGATGGTGTTGGCATACCTCCGACTATGGCATGATTGTATAGACGTGCAAGCCTGTTCTCGAGAAGCCCGACTCTTGCACTGTAGTCACAATTAGCAGTCAGCGCCGGCAGGATGAACGCAAATGCAAGAGTAGCGTACTGAAGACGTTTGAACTCCTCGAGAAGACGTTCTGTCATCGGTGCTATGGCCTCCATGCTTCTGTACATGTCCCTGTGATTCTGCATTGTCTGCATAGTCAACCTACCCAGGCGGTTTTCGAAGTCTTGATGCGCGAAGTACAGCCAGTTCGTCGCCATTCCGACGGTCTCTACTTCTCCCATGATTCTGTTGAAGAGTCCTTCGACGGTATGCTGCTGCTTGACATCAATGAACCTGGCGTTCAGCAACGCGGGCACGACGAGACGACCGTGCTGGCCGAACACCATGGACGGGCCGGGCAACGGATCTATGTGTATGGCGGACCCGTCCGACGTAAAGTACTGCAGGGTGGTGGGATATGGTGATTCTGTGTCGGTAGACATATCTAGAGCTGGCGTTGGTAGAGGAAGTCTGAGGAAGCCGTGATGGTGGTTGTAACTAGAGAGGACGGGTGAGAGTACACAAAGGATATCCGCACGCCACCTTGCTTGGACCTGTGTACAACAAGTTGCTTTGGCCCTTCCCCTAGACAATGCCGACGTTGCCACACTACGAGATGTTGTTATTTACCTCACATCCGGACAATAAACGTCCTACATAAGACAATAAGAGGCAGCAATTGTTTTCAAACTTCAGATTGTTTGTCGACCCAGAGGGTGCAGTGAGCGGCGCACTCAGATCACGTCCGACGAGTCGTAGACCGAGCACGCCCTGAGTACGCGCTACGGATCACGCCTAATACAAGGGCGTTAGCAACAACACACCAGGTATGATGTATCGATGTTAGATTGCGAGCAACTCGGAGCATTTCTGAAAAAAACAGTTCAAAGCAGTTCAAAGCAGTTCAGAGGCAGGTACGATGTAAACCGGAATGCGGTACACGTAGTCGAACTACCGTCACGCGGCGCGACGGCGCAGTGCAAGCGCTGACCGTTTATGGCAAGCGAAGTCGTTGAGGGACCAAGTTCGCGGGATATGTGATCGCCGCCAGAGGGCGATCCGGAACTGTATCTCTCCACAGAGCTCAGTCATGACTGTGCAACTACACATCACAGATGAGGTGTTTGTATCTTGCGGCTTATTGCGAGAGGCAATTCGTACAGACTTCGTACAGACATCCAAGTTCGCAAGAGGCTTCAAATCCGGATGCACCAGCGCCAACGCCGGTCAGTCCGACCGCCTTCACTGGTACGATGTCCTTACTATCATACGCAATGGTATATCAATCACGAACCATCTTGACATATGGTACCTGTATCAGACGCATTGAGTACCGCGCGACGACGCCGAGCCATCGTGGATGCGCTATCAGCTTAAAATGTGGACTTGGGCCTAAGCAACCGGTGTATAATTGAATTCTACTAGTCATATGTAGCATAAGGTTATAGTGTACTTGACTGCGTGAATATACCATACAGTGAAATTGTCAGAGACACCAACCAACCGCCACACCAAGGTCCCGAAGGCAACGCGATTCCGAGAGCGTCAAGGCGAAACAGAGGCACTCGCGCTCCCTGTCTTTCCTACCCTGCAGCCCGTACTGCTTCGCGAGGAAGTACCAGGCCTCAGGTACGTCCCACGCTGCACCTCGGGTGAGATCAGACAGGAGACCCACGGCAAGGTCTACGTTGTCGCGACTTGGCTGTACCGGCCCAGGTTTCTGCGACGATGTTGAGTCTGTCGATGGCGGCGTAAGGTATAGTCGACAGAGATGTATCGTAGCGGATATGTCGTCGGGCGCAACGAAGAGAGCCTTCTGGAAAGCTTCCATCGCACGACGCCGGCTGTTGAGAGCCATGAAGTACAAGCCAAGCTAAGCAAACACGTCAGTCCGCGTCGAGGCTGCGTGATCGACCAAGCGCACCTGTACCCAGACTGCAGGATTGCTCTCATCTCTGACTTCAGCCTCCTGTATCGCAGCTCTCGCCTGCTCGATCTTCCCGAGCCTTCGGAAGGTTGCCGCGGACATGAGCCAGAGGTTGCTCAACAATCGTCGTTCTCTGGCAGCACGAACACCCTGCGTTCTTAGCGTCGACATGGGGGACTGTGAGGGAGGAGGCGGTGGTAGAGGCGGTGGCGGTGGCAAATCCGCTATTGACAGATCTTGCTGAGACGCGTGTATACTGTAGTGCTGTCGTAGATGTATCGAAGACGCTTGATAGGGAGAATGACCTAAGACAGCGTGGAGGTCTTCCGAGCCCATCAATCCCAATGTCCCAGAGAAAAATCGGTTTACTCACCGGGAGCGGAGTTCGATCGTTTCGGATGTGTTCCTCCGTGTTTCCCGACGTTATGTCCAATCTTCTTCAGGTTCTTCGTTATACCAGCTTGTCCCTTGTGCACATTCCGCTTCACGGCCTCGCGCACCTTCTTGCCTCTTGACATATCACGATTGGGGTCGTCGAAAGACGATGAGCGCCTTTCGTACGTGCCGTCCTCCGTGACTGTGTGACCGTCCGTGGATGATGGAGGTATACCCGGTGATGCAGGAGTTATGGTGATGGGTATGGGCGTGTCTTGCGTGGGTATCTTCTCCAAGTCGACTGAAGCTCGGAGATGCATTGACTTGCGCCCCATATTCGAAGGTGCCGTTGCGGTTTTCTCAGTGGACGGCACCATAGACCGGGCTTCGGCATCAGCTCTACTGTCGATGGACAATCGTCCTAGGGTATATGGTGTGTGCATACGAAGTTGACACTGTCAGGGATGAAAACTCACTGTCATCTGTCCCTAGTTCCCTTCTTTCTGAAAACCACTGAAACACCTCTACCCATCGGTCGCCGGCACCCTCCGGGCCCTCGACATACTCAGCGAGGGTCAGCTGAGACATCCGTAGCTGGAGCGCATGTTCGAACGCTTCGTTCCTGGAAGCTGGTGGTCTGTCCCGAATAGGCCTCAGTAATGTCGCCGATGAAGGTATGCTCTGAGCGTCGCGATCCAGCAGGGTGACCGGCGTAGTTGGGCTTGCATCTCCTTCCCTAGGCGTATCGCCATTGACCTTCGCGTCGCCATTAGCGTTTCCGTTCACTTTCGGGGCTAGCGTAGCGTAGTCATGCGCGACCACGCCGCTCGCCGCGTCGAGCTGTGCATCGTCCCCGGTCCCGGAGCCATCCTCGGCCAAGTCAACCTCGCCCACACCGGCACCAATCTCGAAGACACCTTGCGCCGCCCTCCAATCGCCTGTGGCAGTCAGTAGCAGTCCTAGCAAGTGCCAATGCCTGACCTCGCTCGACTCGCCTTCTACGGCCAGTCGCGCGTCGGAGATGGCTTTCTGCAGGTCAAGCGTGGGCCCAGGACGAGAATGGGCAAGGGCAAGGTGATGATGGACAGAAGGGGTGGGGTATGTCTGTGCTGCCGCCTCAAGGAGTACCATAGAATCGGAGAGACGCGTCTGTCGGGTCCGAGAGTCCTGCTCTGCCGGCCGACATGGTTAGCTACCAGATGCACAGACGAGCGCGACTGTTACGACATACCCGTTTGAGCCATGACAGACTGCCAGATGCCTTCCGCGAGTTGTACGCTTCCAACCAGTTCCTTGTCGTTCGCATTCAGGCGCTCCTTGGCCCACTCGATCAAAGTCCCTGCCTCCTTCGCCTCCTTACGTGCCGCCTGCCCATCTGCCTCAGCCAAGGCTAGCCGACACAGCATCCTCGCACCCTGCACACACGTCTGCACCCAATTGCGGTCTGTGTCGCAGTCAACGTCCCCGACGATTGTACCGGTCTCGCCTTGCGCCATCTGCGTCTCGCGCGCCTTGCCTACAACCTGCACGTAGAGTCGGAGGGTGCGCTTCGCGAGCTCCGCATCACCGGATACGTACAGCAGGCGCGACATGTGCCGGTATACCTTGTACGAATTGAACGTGAGTCGGGTCGCCCACCATAACACCTGCCTCAACAGAGTTAGTTTCCCGTCCTCTGAGTGTGCTCCAGGGGAAAGCACACACATCGATAACCCAACCCGCGTACTCGCCCACAGCGCCATCCGCCTCCCAAATAGCGACGCTCAGGTCGACCAAGTCCTCTACCTGGACATTCCGCTCGCCGGCCCTTGGGAATTGTGTGCTGACACTGAGGATCGCGCGGTATTCCTGAACCACCGAGCGCGCGGCACTGATCCACCGGTGCGGCTTTTCTACGCCGGCTCGAGACGCAGGGATGGCTGCCTCCGCAGGGGAGGCATGCACGCGAAGGACGAAAGCGCGGAGGTGCAGCACGGCGATGGTCGAGCGTTGCGCTGGACGGAACGTCGGGGGCCAGTGTGCGCTGCAGGTGTGATACCTATCGAGGAGCGTCCAGAGTGAGATTGTGCCGCTGCTCCCCTGCTTGGGCACGTCGTATGTCCGTGAAGCGAGAATGATCGCGCGTCGAAGCAGCCGCTCGACCCACCGCCAGAGCTCGCGGTACCGTCCGAACGAGGTCGTGTCGACGACGGTCCCCGCATATGTATTTGATGCAGGCTGGACAGACATGTAAGGAGGGATGTCGGATATCGCACCAGAGACGAGTGGGAACGCAGTCAAGTAGGTGTCGAGGGCCTTCTGGGGGTCATCCGGCGTAATGCATTCATGCGACATGCCTTACTGCGAGTCAGAACAAGGGTAATATAGAGTGAGGGTGGACATACCCTGCAAGCAGATACTGCGTATACGCTCCGCAGCGGCCCATGTGCTCCCGTCACTAATCTCCGCAATGGACACAAGTGAGACCGCGGATATGTCGCTTCCCGTCCAGGCGGAGGATACAGACCCGTCGTTTCCGCCATTAGGTATCCGAAGAGTCAGGGAAGAGTTACGCGTGGTCGATGATGGTTCACGGTTGTGCGCGTCCAATAGGCTCTGCACTTCCACCAACACAGCCAGGCATTCCGAAGGCCTTCTGAGAGCATACGCGTAGTACGCCACCGCCAACTTGATCGACTGCGGCGAACGAACATCAGCAATATCATAATGGACTGTACGGACGACGTACATCAGAGTTAGAGGTCTCGAGGGTTTTCAGGGCATTATATCCAGCTGTGGCCTCCTCCAGACGTTCTTCCTGCAGCATGCATTCCTGCCCTAAAGCGAGCTGGTTGGGGACACTCACTTCGTTCCCATCCAGGTCTGCAGTGGCCGCCTTCACTGACAGGAGCAATGCCAGGGTCTGTGTCTGCAAGGCAAGGTCCGCCGCGTGCGAATGCCCAGGACAGTGCTTGTTGAACTTGCGCAGTAGCTCAGGCCATGAGAGCGGACCACCGCTAGGCGTCTTCGCAGGCAACGAGTCGCCCCATCGTCCCGCTGTCAGAGTTTCTCTAAGCTGTCTCCAGTAGTGCTGACCCTTCGGGTTGGACATGAGAGAAGATGTCGCAGGCGTAGGCCCCAGAAAAGGAACGCTGGAGAAATTTCTTGGCTCGCGAGTCGGTAGCGGGAACCCAGGCCCTTGGTGGCGAGGAGGAGAAGGAGGGGTCGAGGACGGGGTGACGCCGCCGGTCGATGGTACATATGCCAGTGGTGGTACTCGCGTACCATTTCACGTGACTGGTTCCACCAATTATGTAAGCACTGTAGTGCCCCTCACTCCTTACAGTAAAGTCCTTTCGGAGTCCGCCCAGTGGATGCTCGAGTGCACGCTCGAGCCTAGTCTGGGTCGGGAGAATCGAGGGAGGAAGTCAGTACTAGCTAGGATGAATTTGTGACTAGCAGTACACACGTACCAGTGGCGCTTCAGTTGTGGAGTAGGAGTATGTACCTTGATTCCAGCCCACTGCCAGCACCGAGGTAGTACTAGTACTATAGTATCACCGTAGGTACCAGTAATGCAACTACGTACTCAATTCCGAACACGCTACCCACTCTGAATATTCTGGATCATTATAAGTTACTATCGATATTTACATCTCCTCACTGTTCCCTCGACACTCGCTTTCCCTCCGACTCCCTTCTCCAAGCCGGTGAGGCCCTGCTCGCGAACAGCACGGGCGAGCAACACCTTGCCATCTTAAGCTCAGGCGGGTGTCCTGCGGCGTGGGGTTTGTTGGTGGACGGGGACCAGAGGACCGCACCAACAGACCGACAGTACAACGACGATGTCATCGACGACGAAGCGATGCGATGACGGTCCTGAGTCCCACACTGTTCTCCCTTTGGGGAGTTCGCCGGAATCGGCTGCGTCGTCCTTGACGTTATACCTCCTGGTGACAAAGATGTGTGCTGCCTTTCTTGATCAACGATGGAGCGCGCTGCGCAAAACAGCATAACAATCGCTAGGCAGGTGCTACCTTATACAGGTTGATCGCAGGGCTTGTGTGCTACGATCCAAATTCGTGATGTTCGGAAATCGTGCCTGTACTCCAGGTGAGCGGTTCAGAGTCACGAAGGTGTACCGATTGCCTAGGACAGCCTATACGGGTTACGGGTATGGCCCTTATCACATAGATACATCGCGTCAGTCTTGGAATGTCTGAAGAAACAGCATGCGTACAGTGGCAATCGGACGGGTACGGCGGATCTTCAGAATCATCCGTGTACGTGTACGTTACAGTGTACGTTTTGCCGTTGTCTTCGACCTGCGTCTCCGTCGTGGTCGCAAGCGGCCAGTTCGTTTCGACCACCGTGAACGTCGTCGTCTCGAAGGGCCCAGTGGTCGTGGGCGCGATGATTGAGAGCGTCTGGGTGACGACCTCGGTGGTGACAACGGGGCACGCAGGATCTGTAGTGGTAGCCTGCAAGCTATAAGCCTCGTGTCCATGACGGTGTCAAAGGTAGCTAGACCCACCCGATGCTGTACGGCCTTCGGCACTGCGGATACTCCCAGAACGACCAGGCCAGCGAGTGCGGTGAGCTTAAAGAGCGCAATCATCTTGAGTCGGGCGACGTATCTGTTGCAGCAAGCCTGCCGGTTGTTCAGAGGCCACGCCCAGCTTTATACATCACGGGTGACCCGAGAGCCATCCCCTAGCCAAGGGCGACCGGGGAATGACTGAGCTGTTGCCACGGCCCGATAGCAGAAGCAGCCTACGCCCGCTCAGAAGGCGCTGCGATGGGAGACACAGTCTGTATGTGGCAAGCATTCACAGCAGATGGTTAACCAACCGCATGCCACCCAATTCATCAGAGGAGGCTTGCGTACATCCGAATCACCGAGACCTCGGGATGTGCGCGTTCTTGATCCTCACAGGTGATGCAACCATAATGCGAAGCAGCGTATGAAGTCAAGCAGCGCGGTGGGACGAAGCCACGGCTAGGGCGATCTGCCTACGATGCGAATAGGCGTAGAGGGATGAATGGAATGAGTATGACGTACTAACAGCGCAAAGCAGGTATACACGCGCACCTGAGTACGCATGCATCGATTCGTGGCGGGAGGGGACTTCAAGTTCGCTTAACGCACACAAACATCACTCAGTAATCCCGCCTCCCATCCACTTGGCACGTCAGCGCGCCAGATCCGCAAACCACACATTCACCGGCGGTGCTTGGGCGGTACTGTCCGAGTACCGTCCGTATGGTAGAGGGCCACATGCCGCGCCTATGAGAGATTTGACACAGGTTGGGTTACTAATTAGGTCTCGTGGCGGTGCGAGAACACATGCGACCAGCGAGCTCCAGCGAGAGCCAGCGAGGTTGTCCGGAGAAGCCAGCGGGACGTGCTATCGCTTGTTGTGGACGAGTTACTGACAGACGAAGTAAGCTTGAGCATGCATATCAGAGTACTTCCTATGTGGTAAGTCAGCACGTTAAGACTTCAAGTTCAGTGACACGGAACGAACGCGCACCTAAACACGCGCCCTTATAGTTGACGAGACGAGAAATGTGGACGCGCAATTCTCTACAACATCAAGGAGAACGCGAATTGATACGGTAACGCACCGGCATGTAGGTGTCGGATCCGTATGTAATGCTCCGACGGATACCATTATACCGTCAACCAAGACGACCCATCATGACGCGACGTTTTCGTGTAACAAGATCGCAACAGAGGAGGCGATATGAGCTGATTCTCACAAACCGCCTGTCAAAGGCGAGGCTGTCGTATACTGGATGAGAATGGAAGATACATTGCTCATGATGGGAGAGTGCATGCGGTATCGAGTTCACTCTGCGCGACTGCAGTCTACAGGTCGGGGAAGCATGCTGACACCTAGGAAAAGCAGAACCAGTAGCAAATTCGGAGACAGGACAGTTGACAGAGAAATGAACGAGATCTTCGGAGTGTTGGACAGAAAATGCGGAATGCCATTCGTATCCGTCAATCGCAGCAACTGAGCAAGATTCGATTACAACGCACCTCGCAGGCTTGCCCACACACCCCTCATCAACGTTATAGTTGCTTCCCGGAGCCTGTTTCAGGTCTGACACACGTCAGGTACCAGGGAGCATGGGTATGAGATCGGAGGCTCGGTTTGATTGAGCTCATGAGGCTATTGGGAAGGAGCACGATTGTCGATGTGAGGAGAAACCTGGAGCCAAGGCTGAGCCGGCTTGCGGTTTTTCTATGGCCAAATATGTTCCTGTGAACGAGCAAAGCGAGTCTTGGGCGACCCTTGTTGATTGACGACGAGCATGGAGAGCAAGTCGCAAGGTCGTTGGAGCGCTGGACCTCGAGACGCTGAGCGCCGAAGATCACATCGCTACTGAACCGGGCGCGTGAGCGTTTAGCAAACCGTCTTTGTTTCCGCCTTAGTTCGTCATTCACCCTGCACACCAAGCCCGCCGCATGTTGAACTAATACACAGCTTGTTGAAGTTTTTCTACCGCAGACTCGCAGCTCTTGTGCTCCTCTGATGGCAGCCTAAGTGAAGAAGCGATGAATTTGAAGGGGTGCAGATTAGCGAATCGTCGTCGGCAGCAGCGCGGGGCAGATGGTACGCACCTTTCTTCAATATGTACCAACTGGAATCAACTATAGGCGTCTCTACCTGCAGTGTACACTGTGTGAACCTACGGCTGGTCGGCTTGTCGCATTGGTTGACCTCGATGCGCCCGGACGTCGTGGTCGATATATGCAGGCTAATCTCTGCCCAGGCCGGCGCCGGAGGTGCCGTCCGATGTAGCAAAGTGAGTGAAGATAATAATGTGTTGCAATATATTCTGAATGCTCCGGGGAAGGTGGTGGGCGGAGGCAACCCGCAAAACGAACGACCGTGTCCTCCCAATTAGGAAACGGCTTGACAGCCCTTTCACAAACCTCTGTTAGTATTCACAAACGTGACTTTGTTGAATGCAAACCTTAAACGCGTTGAATGCGCCAAATAACACGCAAACAACGCGCCTCGCGGTATAAATACGGGTGCCCCCCGCGGGCTATAAAGCCAGCTGCCCCGCCCTCCCTCTCCCCACCAGCAGTCCGTCGCACCTCGCCTCTCGACTTCACTCTCAGCGTCTCACTCTTACTCGTTACTCTTTCCAACATGCGCTTCTTCAACCTGCTTGTGGACGTCGGTGTCGGCGTCGGCACCCTCCTCAGCAGCTACTGCCCCGAAGACGGCATCGCCCCTACCTCCAAGCCTCCCGTTGTCATCGACAAGGCCTGCACTGCATGGGGCAAGACCGTCGACGCAGCATTCAACCCCATCGGGTACGTCGTTGTTTCTCAATGCGCTCATCTCACATGTTCTGACATCTCGTCCATCGGGTACGTCGTTGTTTCTCAATGCGCTCATCTCACATGTTCTGACATCTCGTCCACCAGACTCGCGTTCCTGGGCATCAAGGACGGCTCGTTCAACATGGGTTGGGATGGCGTATTGATTGGGAAATGGCGAGGGTGCGTAGATACTACTATCCATACCGTGCCTTGGCCTGACCCCGCTCGGCGCACAGTGGTCACCTCGCCACCTGGGACGACGATATGTCGCCCGACATCTCCTTCGTCAACGGCACGACCAACAGCGACATCGATATCCTTGATACCGGGGGTACGCCTGACCCCGGAGCGCCAAAGTCAACGGCGCGGACTTCGGACGTACACACCGGCACCAAGGATATCAAGCCCGCACCCTGCATCATCTGCTCTTCTCTCCGCGACGCACCTATCGCCACCGTCGACCGCCAGGCCACCATGGTCGCATCCGACCTGGAGGCCGAGTACAAGTCGGTGCCTCTCGTGGACTCCGAGTCGGTCGAGGCGGACTCGCCCCCCACCGAAGCGGAGAAGCTGATCGCGCTCTTCTACGCGTTCGCCATCCCATTCTGGACTGTCTTCATCTGGCTCAAGGTTGACACGAAGCGTCACGCTCTCATCGACGACTTCGGCACCTCGCTCGCTCGCCGCTGCGCGGACTGGATCGCTATTTGCATCGCGGCGATCCTCCAACCTCTTCGCAACGCGCTCGCCTCCTTCAGCCCGTTCGCGAAGATCATGAACGGCTTGACCATCCCGTGGGACTCGAACGGGAAGGTGTTCGTGACAACGAAGGACGGCAAGTGGATGGTACGTCTCCCCAACTCTCATCCCGCCCGCAGGTGTTGACATGTATCGATAGTCTCTGATCGTCCTCTCGCCATCTGAATACGTTCTGGTTGAGGGCTCGCCCAACGACGAGGTGCGTCTTCTTCGCTCACCTACTCATTGTGATACTGATTGCATCACAGGAGCCTGAACCTGAGCCCACTGAGGCCGAGGAAGCAGGGCCTGCACGGCGCATCTCCACTTCTGGAGCCCGTGACAGCCGCCGCGGCCAGAAGAAGGCCAAGAGGAATGCAAAGGCCAACGCAAAGGCCAAGGCGAAGGGCTGGGCGTGAGCTTCAGGTATGTACCCTCCGCATCTCACACTGCCGCACGCCTCTGATCGCCCGCGTATAGCTCAGCCCCGCCTCGCATCGTCGCTCTCCCCAAACTATTGTATCAATATCTCGGTCTCGTCCCTTGTAGCGTTACGATTTCTCTTCGTATGATCTCTCTTTACCTCTTTCCTTGTACTATACTGGGTTGGGTTCCGGTGGCCGGCGAACCTCAGAGCACCGATGCCCCCGTGTGTTCTTGAGGTTCGTCGATCATCGGGGCGGGTCAGGCGAACGGAGGGGCATTCCGCGAGTCTGGCTTGCAATCCCTTCCCCTTTTCCTTTCTTCCTTTATCTATCCATTGGTCTCGTATGCGTTCCTGGGTCTCATTCATCTCATCTCTGGGTTTCGGTCTTGCATAGCGGTTTGGACGTCTGACTCGTTGGACTTGGCAGACTGTTCATTGTCACGGACTTGGGTTTGTAGCATGGTCACGTATTTATACGATATTTATTGTTCCCATTACCTCGACAGTGGATCGTATGATACGCTTCGCACGTTGTGACTTCGTGCATAGTCAGATTGAGCGCATAATGTAGTGACGTCGGTCGAGTTCCATGTCTTTCAGTAGTGTACAATTGTACCTCGGATTGATATGTTGAACACGTCAGCTCGTCCTAAAGCGACCGCTCCGTCGTTTTCGGACACATCCCCGACTGCGAATGCGCCTGCTCAGGGCATCCTAATATCATTCTCCGCGTCGACACTTATTCAGCAAAGATATGAGTGTCAGCAGCGATGAACGTATTCACGAATTGGAGCACCCATCGAGAAATATGGGCAGATAACTGGCCTGCAAGTGTATGCGGACCGTCAGCTCGTCATGCTGCACCTCTGAAAAATGTGACGAAGCTTAGCAAAAGCTTAGGCATGGCAAGATGTAGGCTGGCATCAACAGTGACTTGCCAACTGTGAGAAGGCTGGCGGTGAGCTCGAGCATCACGAACCCGCAGATTATGGGCCTGAGGTCAATACGTTAGCATCGCCAATGCGGAATGAAGGAAGACAATGATATTCGAGCCCGAAACACATGCAAGAAGGTCATGAGTAGGTTTGCGAAGAGTAGGTCGGGGTGGCCCATCATGCGTGACACAGACCATCGAGTACGGCCAGTGTCACTGGTGCATGACCGTGACGCAACGTCACGGACGCGTCTGTGGCTTCTGTGGCTCGGGCGCGCTCAACCACCAACTCAGAGTCAGAGCGACGCATGCAAGGGCATCCGAAGTCCAGCCAGTGACAGCACATCCAATCTCTACCAGTCCCAAAGGAAGAGCCGATGCCACGTTCGGCTTGTCTCTGAACGTCAGAGTCAGTAGTAGTGCGGCGCACGATTCTTCGTCATGCGGCCCAGACCAGACTTCGTGTCGCTTCCGCGGCAGCCTTTCAACTCTTTTGTAATAACATACGGTGCGTGCTGTGCTCTACAGTGCAATTTTGGCCCACCGATGCTCACTTTCGAGACAGACTGCCGCGGCGACAGGCGTACCTGTTCCACAAGTTCCCGTGCCAATGGCGGTTGGTCCAGACCGGTCTCCAGAGGCATCGTCCGGTCCGCAGTGAGCTGCTATCGCGCAGATGCTCAACGATAACGACGCCAAGCGAGTCATTCTCGCCATTATCAACCAGAGAAGCAGCGCCGCGTCACAAAAAACAAGGCCGTCGCGACGCTCGGAGAACCCATGATGATGGACAACACCGCCCACAGCGTGGTCCGTGCTTCTGGTTGGCCTCTGATCATCGATAAGGCAGCGAGCACAAGCAGATGCCCAAATCAGGGAAAACGGCCGAGCTCCGAGCTCGAAATGGCGAACAATAGGTGTTTGTTAGGAACAAACATGGACCCACAGAGAGGGGTATAAGGAGCGGGCGCGGACGCGATTTCGTCCCCCATCCCTCTTGCCCTCCGACGGCCATGTAGGGCTCCCGGCTCCATCCTCCCCTTGCCAGCGGCCACTCGACCGCCGCACGTAGTCACATCTCACCAACAGTGGGATGGGTCGGCCCGGCTACGATGCGCCACAAGTTGAACTAAGGGCCGTGCGTCGAACATTGACAGGCTAGGTATGTTCTTTCGCCTGTCGACATACCAGAAGCACTCACTGACGTACTCCGCCCGCCGGCCTCCGACCTCCCCGTCTATTCATCGACGCCACACGTGTTTACGCGACCGACGTGCAGAGCCACAACGCCACAAGGTGCGTGGCCATCCCCGGTGTTGACAACAGTAAGTCTGCGTCGTGGCTCGTGGTCTAGGTGGTCGCTGACCTGAGTCGCAGATGGTACACCTCAAGCCTGTGCGCGTCAACACCTATCATCACTATGTGTGCCTCAAGATTATGCGACTATGACCGACCTATGCGAAGACAAATCCCTCCCGAGGATTCAAGGCCATATGCCAGACGACGAAACCCCAAGTCCCGCAAGGGCACACCCGTACGTTGCACGATTGGTGATGGGACCGTCCAGTCTACAGTCGTCCGCGCTATGATAGCGGCGACGTAGGCCCAGCTACTCGCGTCGTCGGTAGCTGGAAGCAACTGTACTGCAGACGCGCACCAAGGGTCAGGAGCGTCGCTGTTATGCGGCTCCGCAGGGACACGGTGCGCGGACTGTGTATGGGGACCGTCCCGCCGTTGACTGGTCTGAGACCCGACGCATCGTCGGCCCGGCAGACCACGAGGCTAGCCAGTTGTGGCGTGCGGGTGGGAAGACGTGGCTATGTACGTGCTCGCTAACATCCCGTTGTTGACCCATGCTGACCTTCGTTACAGGCCATGTCCCGACGTCGAGGATCCACGATCCCGGCGAGCGCATACAAACCCTCTTCTACCAAGCCCCAATTGGGCACCACACAACCCGGTACGTCGGACTTGTGCGAACGGATCCAGCCTCCGGCTCGAGGTGGCCCGCACCTCGGTGTGGGCCGCCGGAGGCACCGTACCGACGACGCCGTGCACCAGCGGAGACGGAGCATCGCGCTCACTGTCGACGAGATTGTGCCGGGTCATTACGTCGATATGTACGGGGACGTCCCCGCCGCCGGTGTACGCCCGCTCTGTCGGACTGCCGTTGCCGGCTAGCGCATGTCCGTACTGGGATAGGGGCGTCGCTCATCATATGATATGGGCGGCGCTCCTGGCGAGGGCCAGAGTGAGTGTTCGTTACGCAGTGGATGCGAGCCGCGACTGACCCTCGTCTAGTAAGTCGCCCTCGCGAAACCTCAAGATATTTGCCGAACAACCCGGTCAAATCCTCACTCGCCCCAAACGGGCTTGATACCGCCCTGGTACGTCGTTTGTGCGCGAAAGGGTCCAGCCTCCGGTACGAGGTGGCCTGCCAATGTTGCAGGCCGCCGGAGGCACCGTACCGCCGACGGAGAGCACCGATGGCAGCACCGCATATGATATGCCTTGCAGTCGGCTTGCCCGTCGTTATGGTACGGGGACGTCCAAGCCGTCAGCGCAAGCCCGCATCGTCGGGTAGTGCTGCAGCGTGCTAGCGCACATCCGTTCCAGGAAGAGGGGCGCCGCTGCAAAATGATAAACAATAATAGAATGAGCGGCGTCCCTGGCTCGGGTGCATCGTGAGTGTTTGCTGGTTCGTAGTGCTTGGATCGTCGCTGACCGCCGTCCGCAGGAACGCCCGAGCCCAACTTCAAGATGTAGTTACTATCATCCACAGCTCTACTTCTCCCCGCTCTTCCCCTCGACACTCGCCTTTTCCTCCGACTCTCTCGTCCGACAAGGGCGACGCTCTGCTCGTGCCCAGCGCGAGCGAGCAAAACCTTGCCGCCTTAAGCCCAGTCGGGTGTCCGGCGGCACGGGGGTTTTTAGTGGGTAAAGCAGGGGGACCCGAGCACCGCACCAACACACCAAATTGCCAACAGCGACAACGACGAAGCGATACCGCGGTGCGATGACGGTCCCGAGTCCCACACTGTTCTCCCTTCTGGGAGTTCGTGCGTAACTGCATTTTCCCCCGGGAGGAAACGAGCCTTGTTGGAGGCTTGTTGTAGCCTGACGTCGGGCCCTCCGCTCAAAAAAAAAAAAAAAGAACGCGCGCAAGCGCAGCAAGACATCGACGATCGCGACGCAGGTTCAAGCTTACTGATGAGTTGGCCCTTCGTTCTTCACGTCTCGTCTCCCGACACCATTCTGACCTGCCTCCTCACAGCGTATGTTCGTGTCGTTGCTGATACCAGACATCGCCTTTCACCGAGTGGATTGCAGAGATACAGGCTTAATGTTCGTTCGTCCTGCGGAGTAGATTAGAGTGTACGTGCAAGGCCTTCCCTTCTCACAATATGTATAGCATGAGCGCATGGCTACGAACAAGACAGTGACTGCCTACCATCTTGACTACAAAATGCGCACCCTTGTCCCAGGAGAGACGCTTTTAACCAACAGATCCGCACTGGGAGGTCCGCGACCTCACCGGCAAGTTAGAGGAGCTGTCGCGAAGAATTGGCGAAGGGTATACTACATGGGCGCCTAACATCACGTGCATCGAGCGCCAAATTGATCGGGCAACTGGCAACTTCAAAACGACTCAACGAGTGCCAGTACTTGGCGACTTACTCAATACCAATATCCGTGCTTACCGCCATTCCAATCGAACTTTCCTTGCTCTCCGATAGTTCATTGAGGCTCCCGAACTGACTCCAAGATTCCCTTGTACTTCCAGAGTGTAGGGAGTCGGACTCCTCGGCGAGCCGCCGCACGAGCCACGCGCGCGGCCACTGGCAGTGCGCGAGCCTCTCGCTTCATATGATTGAAGACCTATCTTCCTAAATGATGATCTGTCTACAGTATGAGGGTACGTGGCTACGATACTTGCTGAAGACACGCTTGAGGCATCCTCACACAGTGGGCCGGGAGACCGAGCGGCGAGCGCTGTGGCCACCCGGGTTGTTGGGTGTCCCATGTTTTGGTCACCAAACATCTCATACAGTAGAAAAGAAGTACTTCGAGGCCGTGGCATGGAATGCAGACGCAGACGCAAACGGATCAAAGCTTATCATGCGTTTGTATTTTGTCTGCGTGCACTTGGCCAATACGTGGCCGGCGATGAAACACGTCTGGGTCGATCCGATTGTTGTCCTGATGGAATTGGAACGTGTTTCAATGGTCCCATGTGGCGCTCGCCATCCTCAGGTCAGTACTCAGTAGCTATTGGCAATTTAAAGCACTACACCGCGGTTCGAGGCTCACGCGCTCACGGGTTAGCCCCTTTCGTAGGTGTCGTACGGTGACGGCGTATGGTCGCGTTCGATATGAATTCCTCAATCAACCTTGTCCACCTCGTGCAGTTAATATACGGATTCACTGTGGGAGCTTCAGCATCCTTGTTACCCAAATTGCTTTGCTAGACTGACCATGCTGTCATATAGGTCATGGCGATGTCGCCCTATTTAACACCGTCACGCTGTGCTCGTACTACGAGGGCATTGACAGCTAAACAGTTCACAGGACGCGCAATTCAACGGAAACAGAAGAGTTCACGCGTCAATGGCATCTGCTGGGTTGTTATTACACCGGTGGGCGCAGTTTGTGATTCTGACCATGTTGTCCGTGCTAACGTTTTCCCTCGTCGATTCTGAATAGCCTTGCCTACGATCGCTTGCTGGTTGCCGGAGCAAGTAAGTGCGATTGGAGTGTCATTGACGTCCTTGGTTGATACTACGTTATCTCCAGCTGCCTACGTCTACGATCGGATGCTTACCATTGGGAAAGAAGTTGACTTAGTGTGGCGCCGAGAAAGAGTTGGCTTCATCATCCCCATTCTCTTTGTCTCTATGCATCTGTTCACCGTCTTGCTCCTCGTGCTTGACATAGCTTTCATTGTTCCGCCGCAGACATGTGAAGTACGTGCTCATTCTTGGTCAGATTCCGATGATGCAGGAAGGCTCACTTCGTCACAGAGGCGAGTTTCGGTGGTTACGCGACGTTGTCGCTCCTCTGCAACTGACCAATTGCCTATCAGTTACTACAAACTATATATCGCAGCCGGTATCGTTTTCTGCTTTCTGTACCTCGTCTGGGGAGGTACGTACGATCGGTTTCGTCAAGGTCCTGACTCGTAGATGTCAAATCGTCTCTAGCTGCATCGGCGCTACGTGCGTTCGCAATCAATGGAAGGAAATATGGCCTCCCCGCCATGGTCATGGCTGTCTCGCTTCTTCCAGTCGTAACGAACGTTGTACGTCCCGCGGAACATACCGTATCCAAGTTGTACTGTATTATCGGTTCCAGCTCAACCTTGCAACGATCTACGTTGTTCCTGTTCCGCCCCCCAGCAATTGTGCAATCCTTTCGAAGGCAAGCACGCCCGTGATGCGAAAGTGTGTTGTTGTTGTCCCTGAATAGGATCGCAGGCGCTGACTATACTGTCCCAGTTGTATGTTCTTCCTTGTCTACCCTCGTAAGCTGTTCGTATATGTATTGACCATCCACAGTTGAGATCGCCACAAGGGTCAGTGCCATGCTAGTGGATGCCATGGTTGTTCTGGCCACTTGGCAAGTCACTGGTGGGATCAGGAGCCTAGCCAAGGGCATCGATATCAACGTTCCCACAACGAGACGCTTGTTGCGAGATGGTACGTGGCCCACGATGGACCTTTCGGTGACTGGCTAAGTTGAACATGTAGGAACGATTTACTTCTTGTACGCCCGACCTGCATACGCCGTATCGCCTGCGCTTGCGCTCACTTCAAGTGCAGTATTTTGTTACTAGTGAACGCACTCGTTCTTGCGCTGTATATCTCGCCTGTACGTCTCCTATTGTCTTCATATGCTACCAGTCACCAAACGAGCCAATGGCATTTTAGGTGAGCTTTGCGGACAGCAACATGGCAATGCTCTCCGACGTGTGCGTTTGTCATGTCTTCTACTAACGCTCCTCACCACAACTCAGCCATACCGCAGCGCTACAACCATTCTGCTCTCTCGTTTGTTCCTGAACCTCCGCGAGGCCACATTCGGGCCGACTGATTCCGCCTTCTCGGGAACGTCGCAGACGTGCGATTGCGCTCGGCGCTTTGCACCCGCTGTCGGGCCACTCGGAATCTCAAAGATCGCGAATGAACTTGACGACGCTACAGGACGCGATGACGAAGATTTGATTGAAGACCTCGCTTCCACTAGTTACGCAGTGGAAGAAGGCATAGCTTCGGGGGTCGCGCACTGCCCTGCTGGTTGCACGTCGCGGGAGCATGGCGATCCATCCGAAGTCGTCGAAAGCCACCCGATGGCGCTTCCGTGACGGCGTTTACTACTACCCAGTGAGTTCATCAGACTTCGATCAGGCGTGAAGGTTATCTACACTCATAACCCTGCGGTTCTGATGTATGTTCACTCAGTAATTCATGTAGTATGATGATAGTGGTCACCAGCGCCTACACTGCACAGGGCGCATCCACACGTCCTACTATCGCACCGCTCAGATCTGATGATATACTCAGTCTCTGAATGACGGGAAAGTCAGAGTAACATGTAATAGATGAGTCATCTTCTTCGGTTCATTGCTCGCGCGGTAGAGGTTTATTCCTCGGTTTCTCAACAACGCCTGACTGAGTTATCTGCGGGGAGCGGACGCGTCGAGCGTTAGTGGTGGCCAGGTGGTGGTTCAGAGTTCAGCGCTCGCACCGCACACTTGGCCAAGCAATGCTATGGTGCTCCGGTAGGTATTTGACAAAGGATGAAGTGGAAGTGGTCCTCTTACACACCTGATAACTGCGTCTAATCAGATGCATGGTGCCGTAGGACGTCTGAACCAGGTGGCCGAGCGCTGTTCACGGCCACCGGGATCATCTGTCTCTTGCGCCTCTCGGCGATGAGAATGTCTTGGAAGGTTTATATTGTGATCCTCTGCAGTGGACTGACTTACTGACTATGCGTCTCATCGTACTGCGGTCGTGGTTGTGGCTCCCCCGAGATGCGCGTATCTCAAGTTGCTGTTGGCACTCGAAACAAACCTCTTGTTCCGCTGACACATTGAATACATCAGGTTCCACCTATGCAAAAGCACGAATCGACACTGTCCATGCATCTTACGTACTGATCGCAACAGCTTCGGCGGCCCTAGCGACAGGAACGAAGATCGATGTTGGGCACTGCGTGGTCAATTAGTAGCGTGCAGGGTTCTACATTGAGAACGTTGATCTCACGCTCTCACATTAGGACCCAAATTTCGAGGTGTTGTCATGCTTAATCAGTCACAGTCTCACTGCTGTAGCTAACGCTGCGGTTCGACGTGTCTCCACGAGCCTATTTAAGTTGCTTCGTAGACCCGTAATTCAGAGCTCTCGCCATCGCTAGTAAGAACAAGGAACGCTGACCCCCCCCCCCCCCCCCCCCAACTGAGCACCGGAGGGTAGCCGAATGTCTTTATCTTCCCTAGATTCACTGCTTATACGGTGAGCGATGCCCCTCATGACGCATTACGATCGTGTCCTCTTTACTGATCCTGTCCTCTCAGTGATCAACCAACTGTCGCTTATGATCGCCTGGTCATCGCTGGTGCTGGTGATTACCGTCACTTACAAGGCCTATTGGGTGCTGTCATGCTCATCTGAAATGGTCTAGCTATTTATGTCTATGATCGACTCCTTACTGTCGGCAGAGAATTCGAACTCATATGGGGCCAACGAAAGACTGGCATCGTCATACCGATTGTTCTCGCGTCTATGCATCTATCCATGGTCTTCACGCTGATCCTTGGCATCGACTTCATGACCCCTCCGCGGTCTTGTAAGGTAAGCCCATCTCTCTTGGATTGCATCTCCTTGTTAATTGACATGATCATGCAGAGGTGAGCTCTAGACTACAGAACAAGTCATAGATCCAGGTCTTTCGGTACTGATACTCTCCAGTTATTACATACTGTATATCGTCGCGGCCCTCAATGCTTGCTTCTTATATCTTGTGTGCGGAGGTGAGCGGCAAATTTCTACACATTCTCAATGCGAGCTCAAAGGTTTCTGCGACCAGCCGCCTCCGCATTGCGAACATTCGCCGTCAACGGCAGGAAGTACGGGCTTCCTGTGATGATTATACTTGTCTCGACTGTTCCAGTTGCAGCTAACATTGTACGTCCAGTGAATTGCACTGTTGAACTCAGCGGCTTACGTCTACATTGGCTGAAAGGCCAACATAGCATCTGTGACTATGGCTCCTACTCTACCTTCAATGACTTGCACGATTGTATGGAGTATCGGAACCCCAGTGATGCGCAAGTCCGTTTTCTATCCTACGATGTGCACGAGTGATGAGCTGACCACACACATTCAGTCGTACGTCAATTCACTGAATAACGTTGAACACTGCGCCGATGTCCGCATTCTCAGTCGAAATCGTCACGCGCGTTAGCATTATGACTGGTGATGCGATGGTTCTCCTAGCGATGTGGCGGGCTATCGGTGGATTACCCAAGGTGACCGCGGTGCTTCACGCCAAAGTCTCTATCGCAAGTCGCTTACTGCGAGATGGTACGTATGAAAATGCAGGAGAATCTTTGTCTTGAGTGCTGATAAGACGACAGGCACTCTGTATTTCTCGTGCGTTCTCATGACACTGGCTGTTGTACTAATCGCGTTGATCTTTCGTCTCCGTCTTGATCTCAGTGCCCTCCTGCTCATGAACGCCCTTGTACTCGCACTGTACATCCTACCTGTACGTCTCACCCGTGGCAACGGGCATCCTGTCATAGTCCCTCACTGATATGGCATCATGACTGTCACAGACGAATTTTGCAGGCAAGAACATGGGTTCGCTCCCTGACATGTGCGTCCTTCGTACCATACACGTTACGCTCCCTTTCGCGCAACTTACGCCCTGCCGCAGCGCCGCGGTTGTCCTCCTCTCCCGCCTATTCCTCAACTTACGCGAGGCCGCATTCAGTCCAGCAACAGTCTTGAGCACAACTGAAGCTCAGATGTCCGCCTCGGACCTAACCTTCGCTCGTGTTCTCGGGGTTCTAGGAAGCTCTATGATAGAGGAGGACAGTTGTCATTCGGAGGAGTTGGAAAGCTCTGGGGATGGGGAGACATGCGAGGCGGAAGTCTCGGGAGATGAGCATATCGCTGACGAAGGCTCAGGAGCTGCAGAGTTCAAAACCATCACGATTCATTCATCGGGTGACAATGGTCTACTAGAGGCGGCGGATGGATCGCCGCGGGGCAGACAAGGCGCATCCGCGGACAAGGATCCACTCATCAAACTCCTGGAGAGAATTGCCTAGAATAAATAGCAATCGTACTGCATCCTAGAGGCTCGCGTTACATGCATTGGTGATCATACGACGGAACTAGATACCGTTCCCAACTTCACCTGAATGGGTGACAATTGACCGACGTTACTATGTCAAGTTCAGGCTCGCCGTGAACGTGTCTGTGAGCGCACAAAACATGGCAAGCTCTGGGATACGTACACGTACGCATGCGTTGCCGTCGTCCAGGTACTAGCAAACCACGCCCGCCTTCCGACAGTGTGCTTCCAGCGCCTCATCTAGGCGAGTGCCCACCTGCTCCCACGCTGCAGCCGCTCTCTTCGCGTCTTCCGGTTCCATACGAATGTAATGCGTGCCCAGCTGGTCCTCGACCTTCAGCATCGGATGCTCCATATTGGTGTAGGAATCCTTCAGCATGTCCTGGACTTTCTTGACATGCTGTGGCATCGTTTCGCGGATGAAGTCCAGGATCTTCTTGATGCCACTATAATCATACTCGTGATGGACTCCGTGCGTTTCCGAGTCTACGACAAACAACCACATGAGAAGCGGCAACTTAGCAGGCGTCGGAATCTGCAACTTACCATGGTGTTCGCCTTTAGCGTCGGATTTACTAAGGTGCGCATGAACGGCGTCGGCGAGAGCGGAGATGATGTTGGCAACAGGGTGCACCAGGCCCAGAATCTTCCCGATGTGGGAGATGATCTGCACGACCGTCTTGAGGATCACGGGGAGGGACTCCCGCAGCTTCACCCACACGTAGTGCGTGCGCGGGTGAAGGAGCCAATGGCTGCCCTTCTCCTTCACCACGTCGATCTGCTCTGCTACGCCGTGCAGCGCGTCCTGCAACGCGCCGATGTGTGCCGAGAACTCGGAGAATGCGGCGCGGACGCTCTCCCCGGTGGCGACGACGTCCGCGTCCCGCGACACATGCCCGTGTTCCTCGGGACTCGCCGCGCTCCTGAGTGTCCTCGCCATCTGGCCGCAGAACAGGACGTGGGACTTGGTGATCTTCCTGGATAGCGCGAGGCCCGCGTCTGCCTCCGTTTGCACCGATCCTACCGCATCCAGCACGCCTTTCACCTTCTCGCGCTCCCAGTCATGTTTGCTGCGATGCGACTATAAGTCATCCAAACCTGCTTGAAACAAACGAGCACGACATACGCTAGGTCATCGAGCATGCCCTTCAACCTATCGACTTGTTCCTTGCAATCCTTGAGCGCAGTCATCGACTCCGCGGCCTCCTTCACGATAGCATTATCTTCTCCGGGAACGCCATCCCCAGGGAGCATCCGCTCGATGGGAATCGACTCTACGTACGGTGGCAGCTCCGCCTCCTTCTCATCAGCCTCGGCGTCGTCGGTGCTCTGGTAGAGACACGACAGGTATCAGCCACCTACACTCGTCTCTTGCATACGCGGGTGAACGTTACCTGCACAATGACGACCACTGGCATTCCGTGGATGAGCCGCTTCGCGATACCATGCAAATAGTGGGCACCGTGCTGTTGTACGCCGATGGCCATCAGTTCCACAGTGGCTGTAGAGGACATGGCGAGGAGTGGTCGACTGGGGAGAGGGCGTTCGAGCAGTAGGCCGTTTTAGCTGAGGCCGAGCCGCTGAGACGAATTCGCCGAGTAAGCCTTGGATCACCTATATACCCCATCGCGAATACAGAATCGTGAGGGCCCGTGCGGACGCGAGGTCTCAGAAAGTGACGCTGGTCAGCAGGGTCTTGCAATTCAATCCGTGGCCCAAGGGGCATGTCTGTGGCCGCGACGAGCTGTCAGCCTCAGACCACACGGAGGCAAGAAAGACCCAGCCGCACGTCCTTCCGCTCGCGGAGACAGCCACAGACTGGATGACTTATGGAACGCACCACGGAAGTAAGTACTCACCTGCATGAACGAGACACACTTATCGGCGAACGGAGGGGATTCCCTACCGAGGGCGCACTCAATATATGCTGACTGATGCTTCATATGCACGCGTTAGCGTTGCAGTTTGGTTGCAACGGTATCTGAGCCACACTCATGTCGCTTAGCGCGCGACCACTCAGCGTGCTAAAAATACAACGTCAGTATGGGTGTGGATAGAATCATAGAAAGGAAGCCAACACGCACGTAGACATGCCTCGTGTGGCTCAGGAAATGCCGCTCCATACGCCCGCGAGCACCGACAGGGTCCAACGTTCAACGGTTAACGTTCATCTTAGATGCATTGAAGATTCGAAGTCGACTGTACATGCTGAACCTCCGCGTCGAAAAGCACTCCGTCTCCTCCAACTCGAAGGCAGCTTACCCCTGACAAGGCACTGCATGAGCTCTACATCGCAGGTCTCAGCCATACACTCACCACTGGGACAGGACGGGGGCGAGCGTTCTAGGGCTGAATACAGGTACTCACTGGCCGTGGCCAAGAGAACCGAGACACGCGATACGCACACACCTCGTCGCTTCTCCGCGACGCGCCCGCCCCTCACACCACGGGGTCCTCAACCCTCAACAACACCTTCTCCCCACCCGGGCTCCTCCCCTGCACGCCCAGCGCCTCCCTCACCCTCCTCCCCGCCTCCTCGTCGCTCCACCCCGCCTGCACCGTAAACACGGTATGCCTCGGCTCCTCCAACTGCACGCCATCAGCGTCCGCACGGATCCGCAACTGCGAGGAACGCGCACCTTCAGCCGGACGACCTCCTCCAAGAGCGCCTCGCGCTCCTTGCGCGCGTGCGCCGCATACCACGCGCTCATCCAGAAGCCGCGCGCGACGAGGCCACGGAAGATCTGCGCGCCCGCTGGGAGCGCGAGCGGCTGCTTCGACATCGCGCCGTACGACACGAGCTGCGCGTCCTGCCCGAGCAGCCGGAGCAGCCCCGTCGTCTGCGGGCCGGACACGCAGTTCAGCAGCAGGCGCGGCGGCTGTGCGTGCGTGAGTGAGGTGCAGGGAGGGGAGGGAGGGGGCGTACGGCGGTGTGGGTGAGTTGCTTGATGTGCGCGGTGAGCGTGCGGTCGGCGAGCGCGTCGTACGTGAACGTATGCGTTGCACCGAGTGCGCCGAGGTGCTTCACGAGCGCGTTGTTGGCCTGTTCTTCCCTGCGCGAAGGGCCGGCGAGCATGAGCCCGGATCAGAGGGGGGAAGGAGGACGCACCGGCTGCGGACGAAGTTGAGAGTGCGGATGCCCCGCTGGGCGGCGATCTGGATGACGAGCTGGCCGACCTGTACAGAGTACGCGAATCGTCGGGCGTTAGAAGCGTGTGACAAGGCCGTCAGCCAACACCGTCATGCTGGGTTCTGCGGAGGCAGGTCGATCGCTGGGGCGACCAAGCACACTGAGCAGATGTGAGCCGAGAAACGCTGGATCACTGGGATGAACACACCGCTGTGCCAGGAGTCGCACAAGGCCTATCCGAAAGGGACCCAGTATGATGGGGTTGGCTGACACGGACTGATATGAGAACATACCGCACTGTTGGCGCCTGCACACAGTTGTGGCAGCGGTCAGCACAGATAAATAGAACGTCACAGCACCCAGGACGCACCATTCTGCACGATCCAGTCTCCCTCCTTCAGCGGCACAAACTCCCGCAAGAGACACAAGGCCGTCGGCGGATTGACCTGCACGTGCGCACCTCAGCACCCTGAGCGACAGCCGACGCATGCGCACGCACAGACAGCATCGCAGCGGTGACCTCGCCCGCATCCTTGTCCACCCTGATCACATCCCGCGCCCCCACCTGCCGCGCACTCGCCCACGTCCCCGGCTGCGTCTTCGCAAAGACGACCCAGTCCCCGACCTCCAGCCCACTCACGCCCTCGCCGACCGCCGTGACCTCCGCGACACCCTCGTTCCCGGGCACGTACACCTCCCCCGTGCCTTCACCTCCATCCACGCTCTGGACGGGCTCGCCGCCCGCGACGCTGAAGTCTTGTGTGCCGCCAGAGTCGGGCGGAAGCAGTGTCTCGGGCGAGGGCTTGTTCGGGTAGACGCCTTCGACGACGTTCACGTCGCTCGGGTTGACGGGTGCGAGCCGCACGCGGACGTTGACGCGCCCTGGCCCGGGCGGCGAGAGGGCGCGGAAGGTGTGCGCAGAGAGCGCGTCGTTGAGAGCACCGTGCTCGCGGAAGACGAGCGCGCGATGTGCGGAGGGCGCGGCTCGGCGCGCGGTGGCTGAGAACAGGCGGATTCCCGGGGAGGTCGCCGTCGTTGTCGCCGTTGCGCGTGAGAGTGAGCGGAGGGATGCTGTGCGCGAGGACATGCTGAGTGATGCAGAGAGGAGGAGAGGAGGAGGTTTCCATTTAGCCACCGGCCGCAGGTGCACGTGGATCCTCGGCTTCTTGACGGTGACAGCACCACAGCCTACCGACTGTCCTGCGGTCCCCCGGTGTGGGCGAGGAAGGCGTGCGACGTGCACACGACAAAGCCAAGAGTAGCGGGGCGTTCGTCGGGCAAAAGGATGCCGCGCGGCTGTGGTGAGTGAGAAGGCTCGGAACGATTCAGAACTATGATGTAGTAAGTACTTGATGGGCCGCGTACTCTTATAGACTCTTATGCATTCCGGAACCAAGAGTCGACGTCGAGTTCGTCGCGCACACTCTCGTCCGCGGCTAGTCGGGATGTCGAGACGGTCACGATGGAGAGGCCGAGACAAGAGAGTTACGAGTGGGGGAAAGATTCGACGCTTCTTCGCGGCGCAGGCCCGCGGTATAAGTACACACAAGCGGTCAGATGCGGAGCGTGTCCGAGCTAAGAAACGTAAATGACGAGTCGATGAAGTGACGTGAACGGATCGGAGCAGTGAAATTGAGAAGTGAGCGATCTAGAACCGAAACAGGCAAGGGAACTACCATAACGGGAAAGTGCGAACGTGATAACGAGACGGAACACCCGCCCGGGTGACAACGTCCTTCGACTCCCGTCAAGCTAGGACAGACGACCGTTGACTCGGCACGAGTCTGGAGCGGGACGATGACTATTTGCGTGCGCGACCTGCCCCCGTTCAGATGCGGTTCTCGAGTCCACGGCGTCCGCGCTCGGCCTACGGGTGGGTCGCCGTCGCTCTCTGTTCGTCTCCAGCGCGCTGGTAGGTCGTCGAGTATCGTACGGAGGAGGGTTGTAGCATGTTCAGATCCTGTGATAGTTCATAGTATCGCGTCAATCGAATCAAAAGAAAATGAAAACGTAGCCGTCCGACGTCGTGTCGGTTTTCTCCTCCACACCGGTCGTCGGGCGCACTTTGGCGGCTGGCGCCCGGGATTGAGACCGGTCACGCAACGACGTTCTGATGCCACTGCACATGTCCGAGTCGCCAGTAAGTCCCATATACAAGCTGTAGCGACGGCTCCGATATGCGCCTTGGGATGTGCTGCTAAGTTGACAAAGTTATCGGTAAGTTATTTGGGTGGCTGAGGACGACTCATCGGTCACGTCACCGGCGGGGCCGTGGCTTTTGATCGCTTGGATCTCAGATGCAGATGCCTCCGAAGATGCTGCGACGCGTGACGTCACCTTGCTCTCCCCGCCCTCACAACGCGCCCTCCACTCCCGTCTCGCCCTTCCTCCCCCGACCACGCACCTCCCCGACAACCTCACGCCCTCACAGCGCGCCCTCCACTCCCGTCTCTCGCCCTTCCTCTGCCCACCCTCGCTCGACCTCCAACAGCCAAACGTCGACCACGCCATGGAGAACCCCGCCGCCGAGATCGAGGACGTCATCCTCGCCATCACCGCCTCGCTCAACCCAGACGTCCAGAGGGCCGCCATCTACCGGTGCGCTCGCCGCCTTCTCTGACGTTGCAGACGCTGACGCGTGCCCTCCAGGTACTTCGCGCCCGACGCGTCCTTCCGCCACCCCCTCTGCACCGTGCCCCCCTCCAGCAAGCCAGCCACCGTCTACCCGCCGTCCCAGGCGTCGCCCGTCCTCCACGCCTTCCCGTCCCCCCTCCCGTTCCTCAGACGCCTCCCCGCCTTCGTCGTGCGCCTGCTCACCCCGACCGGCCTCGCGACCTCCTCGAGCCGCGAGACCATCCTCCGCGTCTACCAGTGGTACCGCGTCCTCAGCCCGCACCTGCGCGTGCACGTCAACAACGTCGTCTACGACGCCGCCCGCAACGAGATCTACGCCGAGGTCGTGCAGCGCTTCCACATCCGCTGGAACGTCCTCATGCCCGCCGCAGAGTCCAGGTACGCTCCCAGCCCCAGTCCCAGTCCCAGTCCCCACCGCGGGCAAACCAGGTTTTTCGAGCTCCGAAAACTCTACGAACATTGGTCCCTCATGGGAACCTTTTGCGAATTTTGACGGACCCAAAACATGCTCCGAAAATGCTCCGAACATGCGTGTTTTCGTCGAACATGCTACGAACATGCTCCGAACATGCTCCGAACATGCTGAAATTTGGCTAAAATACATCATGTTCTGAGGATGTTTGGAGCCCAAATGCCCCCAGAAAAGGTTCCCATGAGGGACCAATGTTCGTAGCGTTTTCGGAGTTCGAACAACCTGGTTTGCCCGCGGTGCCCAGTCCCAGTCCCAGTCCACGCTGCTCCTCGACTCGCGCTGACGTCTCCCCAGGCTCATCACGCACATCACGCTGCGCGAGCTCCCGCACGCCGCCCCCGCGGGCAAGCCGCTCTACGTCATCGCCGCGCAGGAGGACTTCTACCACCCGGAGGACCTCCTCGCCTTCGTCGCCCCGCTCCTCGTGCCCCTCCTCCTCGCCCTCCTCCTCCTCGGCACCTGGGCCTGCGTCCTCGGCGCGTCGCTCGGCCGCGCTGCGGGCTACTGGCGCGTCAAGCGAGGCGGGGGCGAGGGCGTCCACGGCATCGAGCTCGAGCCCAGGGGCGCGCCCCCAGTGGACACCCACGAGGCCTCGTATGCGGACAAGGCAAAGCAGGGCCTCCTCAATGGCGACAAGGGCAAGGGCGAGGCGGAGGCAGAGGCGGAGAGCCCGGTCGCGCAGCCCGTCGCGAAGGATCCGGAGGAGTGGCCGACGCCCACGGAGGCGTTCGAGTGACGCTTCTTTTTCATTTTATTCTTAAATTCACCGTGTTTATAGCCCATCCCTAATGGAATATGCAGGCGTAATAACTAGTACCGGAAAGTGTCCATCAAGGCTACTCAGTGTCGCATGACCCCACCAATACGACCATCTTGAGCGCGCCGGCGGGGTTACTTGCGTGTCAGCACGTAGGTAATCCCTCTCTGCTACATGGTACCAGGGCCGCGTAACGTGCGTACTACCGTACCCAAAACGCACTGACAGGAAACATGACAGTGTATCGGCTCACCGCCGCTTTCCCCGGTTGCCTACGGGCACTGTGGAATCCGCCCCTACAGGCGACACGCCCCACCAATACGGTCGTCACTTACTCCATCCTGCCGGGGCTCGTTACTTTCACGCGCAGGAGTTCAGCTTGCATCCGGTGTTCATCGTCATACGCCATCGCCGTCACCCGAGATCAATATTCCGCTCTGCATCCGCCTCACCGCCGCCTCCCACGTGAAACTCCAACACCGCCGGTCGTGGTTCGGTAAGGGGGTGCGTCACTAGGTTCGAGTGATGCTTCGGCGTGCGGGGCTGAGGTAATGTTGTTGTTGTTGTTGTTGTTAGTTCCATTTAGTGTCGCTGAGGGCGACGCCCTATGTAGACATAAACATGATGATCTATCCTACGGAGTCCTTGTCATCGTCCTCGCTTCGCTGTGCATGTCCGTCAGCCGCGATGGCGTCAGGAGTGTAGTATAGTAACACGGAATGTGGAGTAATGGATTCAATGTGATGAGAGAATAGCGCAGTTCCGACATGTCAGTTGGCCACGCGCGTCTGCACCTGTCAGCCTCCCTGTCGAGTCGGTCGTGTATTCACCCTGCCCGCAGTCTTCTTCGTCCCCTTTCCCTCCTCCTCTTTCAATGATAGATCGCCGTAGGTTGCGGTGAATCGCCCCGTTTCGTGTATGTAGCGAAAGAGTGCCTTAGTCAGCGCTGGCGCGCTGAGAAGGCTTCGTATCGACTTTGCTGCTGGTCCGACGTCGCGTTCCAGTCGCGCTCTCGCCCGTGCGTGGCCCCGGCATTCTAGGAGGTAGTGGTACACCGTCTCCTTCGCTCCTGAGTCGCACCATTGACATATCGGTGAGTCGGCCTGCCGGGTAATGTTGTTATGCATGTAAGTCACCTTCGTCGGCTGTGCGAGTTGGAATATGTGAGGCTTGGCCGTCTGGCGTGTGGATGTACAGTATCCCTCCGGGCTGCTTGGATAAGCGAGGTCTGCCATATACGTCGCGGTGTTTATGGAGTCGTTGAAGGTGGCGGCGATGTGTGAGCGACTGGTCACCCATAGGCACGCTCTCATCACGACCCATCTGCGATACGACCCGGGGATACCTCCCACTGCAAAGCACACGCTCCGAGGGGTCGGATGTTAGGAGCGCAAGCGGATGCCAGCCGCCATCACTCGTCTCTCAGCGTTCAACCTTCAACGTGCACCATCCAAATACTCTCAACTTCAGCCTCACACCCTTCACGAGCGACTCGCAAACGTGCGTGTGTTAGGCAATCAATGCGACCTGCGTAGGCAGTAGAATGCGACGATCCGATACAATCAGCGAGACGACAAAGCTTTGGACAGTGCGCGACTACAGCTCGATCCAAATCATAGTACACTGGCACCCGGCCCCGCAACCCACGCAAGCGCGACACCTTCTCCGCCAGACCAGACAGACGACCCCGTGTCCGGGCCTCGACACCGTGCCTCGCGTCGACTCAGAGGTTACATGGGCCCGGGGACGACACTGTAACGCTTTGGGTCAGCTCAGCGTCGCAAGACAAAGCAGAGCGAACGAACTTGAAGTCGCACCGCCACCTCCACACCGCCATGACCGTCTCGTGCTCGCCACGAACGAACATGAGCCCTGTATCTCTGCAATTCATTCGGTGAAAGGCGATGTCTGGGATCAGCAACGGCACGATCACACGCTGTGAAGAGGCAGGTCAGAGTGGTGTCGGGAGACGAGACAGAAGGAACGAAGGGCCAACTCATCAAAAAGTAACTTGCGTCGCGATCGTCGATGTCTTGTTGCGCTTGCGCTCGTCTTTTTTTTTTTTTGAGCAGAGGGCCCGACGTCAGGCTACAACGAGCCTCCAACAAGGCTCGTTTCCTCCCGGGGGAAAATGCAGTTACGCACGAACTCCCAATAGGGAGAACAGTGTGGGACTCGGGACCGTCATCGCACCGCGGTACCGCTTCGTCGTCGTCGCTGTTGTCGGTCTGTTGTTGGTGCGGTGCTCGGGTCCCCCTGCTTTACCCACTAAAAACCCCCGTGCCGCCGGACACCCGACTGGGCTTAAGGCGGCAAGGTTTTGCTCGCTCGCGCTGGGCACGAGCAGAGCGTCGCCCTTGTCGGACGAGAGAGTCGGAGGAAAAGGCGAGTGTCGACGGGAAGAGCGGGGAGATGTAGAGCGGTGAATGAAAGTAACTACTTCTTGACGTTGGGCTCGGGCGTTCCTGCGGACGGCGGTCAGCGACGAGCCAAACACTACGAACCAGCAAACACTCACGATGCACCCGAGCCAGGGACGCCGCTCATTCTATTATTGTTTATCATTTTGCAGCGGCGCCCCTCTTCCTGGAACGGATGTGCGCTAGCACGCTGCAGCACTACCCGACGATGCGGGCATGCGCTGACGGCTTGGACGTCCCCGTACCATAACGACGGGCAAGCCGACTGCAAGGCATATCACATGCGGTGCTGCCATCGGTGCTCTCCGTCGGCGGTACGGTGCCTCCGGCGGCCTGCGGGATTGGCAGGCCACCTCGTACCGGAGACTGGACCCTTTCGCGCACAAACGACGTACCAGGGCGGTATCAAGCCCGTTTGGGGCGAGTGAGGATTTGACCGGGTTGTTCGGCAAATATCTTGAGGTTTCGCGAGGGCGACTTACTAGGCGAAGGTCAGTCACGGCTCGCATCCATTGCGTAACGAACACTCACTCTGGCCCTCGCCAGGAGCGCCGCCCATATCATATGATGAGCGACGCCCCTATCCCAGTACGGACATGCGCTAGCCGGCAACGGCAGTCCGACAGAGCGGGCGTACACCGGCGGCGGGGACGTCCCCGTACATATCGACGTAATGACCCGGCACAATCTCGTCGACAGTGAGCGCGATGCTCCGTCTCCGCTGGTGCACGGCGTCGTCGGTACGGTGCCTCCGGCGGCCCACACCGAGGTGCGGGCCACCTCGAGCCGGAGGCTGGATCCGTTCGCACAAGTCCGACGTACCGGGTTGTGTGGTGCCCAATTGGGGCTTGGTAGAAGAGGGTTTATATGCGCTCGCCGGGATCGTGGATCCTCGACGTCGGGACATGGCCTGTAACGAAGGTCAGCATGGGTCAACAACGGGATGTTAGCGAGCACGTACATAGCCACGTCTTTCCACCCGCACGCCACAACTGGCTAGCCTCATGGTCTGCCGGGCCGACGATGCGTCGGGTCTCAGACCAGTCAACGGCGGGACGGTCCCCATACACAGTCCGCGCACCGTGTCCCTGCGGAGCCGCATGACAGCGACGCTCCTGACCCTTGGTGCGCGTCTGCAGTACAGTTGCTTCCAGCTACCGACGACGCGAGTAGCTGGGCCTGTGTCGCCGCTATCATAGCGCGGACGACTGTAGACTGGACGGTCCCATCACCAATCGTGCAACGTACGGGTGTGCCCTTGCGGGACTTGGGGTTTCGTCGTCTGGCATATGGCCTTGAACCCTCAGGAGGGATTTGTCTTCGCATAGGTCGGTCATAGTCGCATAATCTTGAGGCACACATATTGATAGGTCTTGCCGCAAGCAGGCTTGAGGGACACTATCTACCATTTCGGTCAGCGACTACCTAGACCACGAGCCACGACGCAGACTTACTGTTGTCGACACCGGGGATGGCCACGCACCATGTGGCGTTGTGACTCTGCGGGTTGGTCGCGTACACGCGTGTGGCGTGGATGGATAGACGAGGAGGGAGGGCACAGTACATCAGCGAGTGCCTCTGGTATATCGACAGGGGAAGGAACATACCTAGTCTGTCGATCTTCGATGTGCGGCCCTCACTTCAACTTGTGGCGCATCGTAGCCGGGCCGACCCATCCCACTGTTGGTGAGATGTGACTACGTGCGGCGGTCGAGTGGCCGCTGGCGAGGGGAGGATGGGGCCGGGAGCCCTACATGGCCGTCGGAGGGCAAGAGGGATGGGGGAAGAAATCGCGTCCGCGCCCGCTCCTTATACGCCTCTCTGTGGGTCCATGTTTGTTCCTAACAAACACCTATTGTTCGCCATTTCGAGCTCGGAGCTCGGCTGTTTTCCCTGATTTGGGCATCTGCTTGTGCTCGCTGCCTTATCGATGATCAGAGGCCTACCAGAAGCACGGACCACGCTGTGGGCGGTGTTGTCCATCATCATGGGTTCTCCGAGCGTCGCGACGGCCTTGTTTTCTGTGACGCGGCGCTGCTTCTCTGGATGATAATGGCGAGAATGACTCGCTTGGCGTCGTTATCGTTGAGCATCTGCACGATAGCAGCTCACTGCGGACCGGCCGATGCCTCTGGAGACCGGTCTGGACCAACCGCCATTGGGACGGGAACTTGTGGAATAGGTACGCCTGTCGCCGCGGCAGTCTGTCTCGAAAGTGAGCATCGGTGGGCCAAAATTGCACTGTAGAGCACAGCACGCACCGTATGTTATTACAAAAGAGTTGAAAGGCTGCCGCGGAAGCGACACGAAGTCTGGTCTGGACCATCGAGAACCGTATGACGAAGAATCGTGCGACGCACTACTACGGACTCCGATGTTCAGAGACAAGCCGAACGTGGCATCGGCTCTTCCTTTGGGACTGGTAGAGATTGAATGTGCTGTCACTGGGTGAAGTTCGGATGTCCTTGCATGCGTTGCTCTGACTCTGAGTTGGTGGTTGAGCGCCCCAGCCGAGCCACGGTGACAGACGCCACAGACGCGTTCGTCACGGTAACGGTCATGTTTCGGTGACACTTCCACACTCGGTAGTCACGCATCCTACCTTCAAGTTCGCTTCACCTTCACCGCCTCCTGGTTCTTGCCGTCCACATGAGTGTGCTGCCAACTGAAAGGTAGGAAGAAAATTGGGGACATATAGGAATGTTACTCTTGATTCTTCGTCGCCATTCGCAACGTATGCTGAAGCCTCCATCTCTCGCTTGAGTACGCAGTCGGCGGGCCCGGCCGCCGGCCGCAGATGCTGCGTCCCAACACAATATCTAGATCAAAGTTGCACTTTCTGCACCATCTGCACGTACCTAACAGTTTCCTTGCGACAGAAGCATTTGACGAACACGGCAGACGGGAGGTCGGACATCACAAGGACATGATATTCACCACGGCGCAACGTCACTTCGCGCCCCTCCGAATGCTCCCTTCCAAATAATATACGCTCACTGACTTTTTCGAACGTCAGATTGACAGGACTTTCAGTGCTCTGAAAAATCAACCACTCACCAACACCAACGCCCCGTAATATCCCAGCGTCACGTAGGCGAGGATTTCGGCTTGCTGGACGAACCAGAGCCTGGCTTCGCCCTCCTATCCTGCTTGGCCTTGGGCGGCTTCGCGCTCCGCGGTCTTTGGGTGTCCGACCCCATCCCCCAGCCATACGACGCCGACAGCGTTCCGAACGCCGCCTCGAAGTTCTTCGGCGGTGCCGCCTGTTTTGACTTGGCAGCAGGGCTTCCGCCTCCGCTTGACGAGGAGCCTGGCTGGTTGCTGGCCGATGTCTGATTGTTCTGGAACGAGGCACACCGGGGTAAGCAATTGTGAGCATATGCGGACAATGAGTTTGTTTGGCTGACCTTGGCTATGAGTGCCGTCGTCGAGCTCGACGGTGTTGTGTCCCCTGCGTCAGACAAGGGCAGAGTGACTGCGGATGCGGCAGGCGAAGTCGTATTCAGCGACATGACAACTTGAAGGTTCGTTTGGATGAGTACGAGGATGTCTCTATAGCGCCCCTCCCTCGCGAATATATAGCCCACCCGGCTTGACCAGGAGAGCATTTCTGTGCGGGTTTCTTTTCCCCTGACCGCGTCTACGAAGCTCTCGCCCTCTGCTGCTCCGGACCACCAGATAGGTCGTTGATTAGCCACATATGGTAGCACACCTGCCCGACTGAGTTTCTTCCGTGCGCACAACGGTCGAGAAGACGAGCCGATAACGACGAAGGAGCTGACGAATCACCGCAGCTGACTGTGGATGACACGCACTGACTGCGGTGAGTCAAAGTGAGTCTCGTAGAGTGGGCTCTTGGTCAAGGACGATACGTGCATATGGCTGTCGCCTTGCGGCGCAGCCGTCGGGTGCGAGTAAAAAGGGTCCGCGGAGTCATGGCTGTGGGCAAGCATGGACGCGAGCTTGAGGAAAGTACGCAGAGGTGTCGTTGGCATTCAATGACTCATTGACCCGAGAGAACTTGAGTTAGTCACCGCGCATACATACTTGCGTGAGTACGTTCTTGACTCTGTTTGAGTCCGCAGGTCGGAATCCGTTTCGCGGCAGCGACAGAGTCAAGGCAATCAATTGAATCGAGATGCCATATGGATGACAAGCAATCTCTCGTCGAATAGGACTCACCAGTATGGGTCCGTAGGCTGCGCAGATAAGCCGAGGGAAAGGTGCGCGTGGCACGTACCCACAACTGACAGCCTTCCCTGACTCGTCCAGGTACGGTAGACATTCATGGAAGCTGAGCGTAGATCAGTGTAATACGCTGCGATACGATATGCGATTTGTGGTGCAACCGCAGTTTTGGGCAGCCTGATGAGTAGACAGTCGTGGCCGCACTCGCGTTGACTGGTCCGCAGGAACTGTGGGCGGCGTGATGAACATGTCCAACATCCGTCTCTGGAATGCTGCCAGCAAGACCCACTTGCCGATCATAATTCGGACTACATGCCTGCGGGAGTCATGATTGAGTTCGTGAGATAGGGTGAGGATGTGTATGCGGTTACGTACTCAGGCTTGTGTTGGTACATGCGCGGAATTCCGTATTGACGCCAAATTGACGCACGTAACTTCCAGGATGGGATCCGAAGGCCTGAAGGGAAGTTATGACACCGAAGTCCTGGCCACATGCATAGCATGGTGTGTGTCCACACGATAGGCGTTGCCCTGGGTAGGTTGTGGATCTGAATCTCGGTGGCCTGTCAGTGTCCTTCGAAGCAGCGCTCTGCCACCTCCTCGGGAGATATATACTTGTTTCAGATGTGGGTGCGGATGGCTCACGTCGTTCGCGTATGGTAGACGGATCCGCGGATGCGACGTAGGTTCAAGTTTCAAGGATCACAGTGTATACCGGCTCTCCTGTATTGTCCTGGTTCAGCGCAAAAAAGCCCTTTTGGTTCTGCCTCCTCAGTGTGGGCGGTATCTCTGACACCGTCATTGTTTTGAATGACAAACAGAGGAGATTAGACGTAGCAAGGCGAAAGCAAGGAGTATCTACCAGACAAGGACGATGGTGGTCACCGCATGGAGGAGGAAGAGCGCATAAGCGCCAGCGGCGGCGACCTGATCTCCCGCCATGATGCACCCTTCCTCAGAGTCGTCTGCATCTGTACCACACTCAGCAGAAACTATAGAAAGACAGCAACCGGGAACTCTCAGCGATGCAGCCTTCATTCGCCAGGCGGTATCGCCATACTCTGCCGCACAAGTGGATGCGTACCTCGGCAAGATTGGTTGGTCTCCTGCACACCGCGGCTCAGATTTCCAGCCAAACGTCGCCAACCTTCGCAAGCTAATGCACCTGCATCTGCTCGCATTTCCGCAGGATACCTCCGCGCTGCACTAGTGAGTATCCGACGCGCCGCTCGAGACACCGTCCCGGGCTTGTCTGGCGATCGACGTTCTCCCGGTAATGCCATCCGGTTTCGTTGACACAGGTTTCGTTGTGCTAGTACGCGGGAGCACCACATGCCAGTCACGCCTCAGGATATGTATGAAAGCATGGTCGTCAGCAATCGAGGAAGTTACTGCTTCGGACAGAACGGGCTGCTGCTTGGCATGCTCCGAGGACTGGGCTACCGGTGCGCGTTCATTCATTTCGACCGTACCTATAACGGTACCGAAGCGTTATCTCTCCCATGACCGTGCATCTCGACGGTTCCTTCACTGCAGTGCATATGCGGCTGCAGGACGCGTCCTCGTCCCGCCTCCGCCTCCCGCTCCTCCCTCCGCGCCACCCGTGTACTCCGCGCCACACCACCTCGTACTTCTGGTCCAGCCTCACAACCCGTCGAGTCCTCTCGGGAACGTGACATACATGGTCGACGTAGGCTTCGGGGGAACAGGCCCCGTTCGTCCGATCCTACTCGCGGACGGCAGCGCTAGCAACCAGCAACGTACAGCGGATGACGGGGAGTTGGACGAGGAATGTGTGACGAATGGTGGATGGGTATGGGGGACATATCCGCCCGAGCGACATCGCCTCGTTTGCGGCGCATTGCCCGGAAGCAGCCTTGGTGTGTCCCACCTACACTGTTCGCACACCGTGCTGAGTGTTCATGACGATGCGACAGAGACTCGCTTAGGGTCAGGGCGTGCGCCCGCCCGTGACTGGCACCTCCAGGTCTCACACGCGTCTGTTCGTCCGTCCAGCGCGTCCGCACCCTCAGCATCCGCGAAGCCGGAATGGACCACGCTGTACTCTTTCACGGAGGCTGAGTTCTTCCAGGCCGACATCGACGCGGCGAGCTTTGCGGTGAGCTACATGTCGGGCTCGATCTTCCTCACTTCCGTGATCTGCACGCGGCGCTTCCATGTCGCGCTGCAGTGCGCCGAGGACGAGGAAGAGGTGCGCTTGCGTGAGGACGAGGGAGGACACGATGCTACGACACAGGCGAGGTCTGTCTCGGGAGATTCGCTCGCAGGAGGAGCGCCAGGGCCGTTCGTTGGTAAGTGGAACCTCGAGGGCGGGAGGGCGACGAAGAGGATCGGGCGCGGTGTCGTGCAGGAGAGGACATTCACAACGGAAAGCGAGAGGCTGGCGATACTGAAGGATGTGTTTGGGGTAGGTGTTCGTCCTGAGGACGAGCAATGGATCGTCGGCTGGCCCGCGGCGTTGCAACCAAATACATTAACCTGAGAATTTAGACGTACTATGCGATATGGAACAGCTTATTCGTTCTGGACTGCGATGTCGAAGTCTTGCCTTCACGAACAGACTCGACATGAAGTTGGGACCCGACTTACACTGTCTGAGGCTTCAGAGTTGAGCTGACCAACCTTATGTGTGCTTCACAGTTCGATCTTGTCGAGGTCATATTGACAGGTGCGATATGAGTTGTGCCTATCCGCTCGAGCTGGATAACATCTTACTTATTCTTCTTCTAGTATCGCTGAAAGGCTCCAGCTCTTCATGAAGATGGATCATCCGTGCACCAGCGCTAGGATCATACAAGAGTCTTCGTATTGCTCATGAATCCAACTCTTCGTTCAGTCCGCCCAGAGCACACCAAGACACGGATATGTCACCCCAATCTACTGGCAACGGTATTCTCCGTTACACGACACATCGACCTCATCATCCAAGAACGCCACTTCTCATAGAGCCAAGGGATTCTGAGAGTACTTCCACCATCTGTAACGCGTCCACGTCAATCTAGCTCTACTGCTTGTTCTGTAAAGTTACTCACCCGCTGTGCGCCTTGTACAGGTCCGGCGGCATCTTGAACTCAGCGGTCAGCGGCCACGGCATGGTCGGCCACTCGATCTTATCATCGTTATGCAAGACCATCGAGGGCACCTCCCTGGTAGGGTCGGCCAACTCAGAGACCCTCGCGGCGACACTCGTGTTCAGGCCCCCCAGCGCCTCCGGCGTAGCGCCGCCCTTCCTGAGCACCTCGGGGTCGAGCTCGTCCAGCTGCTCGACAAAGTGCTGCATCACGATGGGGAAGAGAGCCTGGGCGCGTTCTTCTGCCTTCGCGGCGGACCACCCTTCAGCGCCGGAGGAGACGGCAGCGAGGTAGGCGCTGAAAGCGGCGAGTGGACCGGCGATCTGAGCCTGCTCGCTGTGGGACTTCTCGAAGGAAGTGAACTTGGAGAGAACGGGGACGATGACTTCGTTCTCGACTTTGAGATGAAGCTCGAGCTAAGAAGACACGGTCAAAGATGCGGCAGTCGGATCTGTCGTGCAGGACGTACGAAGCGGACCCACTGTTGGGCGTACCCGAGGAAGTTCTCTGCATCTTCGGTGGGAGCTGAGGTCTTGGAAGCCTGCATGGTAGGTCCCGTATCAATACGTGAAACGAGCGGCAAAAGGACACAGGCTGAGCATACCTTATAGACTTGATTCAAGAAGATTGCGAGAGCTCGGTGCGTCCAAGCCATCTCCCTGCGCATGTATGAGCCCTGACATCAGTACATGCGACGCGGAAGAACACACCATTGCATGAAGGCGCAGAGATCGGCCGGCTTGTCGCCTGCCGACAACTCCCTGAGCTTGGCCAAGTCACGATCGAAGTCTACTTGAGTATAGCTCATCTCGATGGTCGTGTTCCTGTTGAACGCTTTAGATGGTGATGCCTGATGCTTGAAGACAAGGTTGACAGCTGTTGGCGGATGCTTCGCAGGGTACGAGCCTTATGTACTAGCAGCCGAGAGGCGCTAACCTGACACCGTGCCGTTGCAGATACATTCTGTGGAAGTGAGGATGAGCCGCGTGCTGCACCCAAGAGGATAGCATAGCCCCTCCCGTGCCGGCGCATCAGGACGGGCAAGACGGATAACTCAAACTCGCAGTGTATGAGTATCTCACCGGTACATGCAGTACAATCGAGACCTTAGTGCGCAGCGACACCCGCATTCAATGGTGCCGACTCTCGCAGAGCAGCGCGGAGATGGCTTTCGACCGTCGGCCCGGCGTACCAAGGTGAGATTGGGTGATCCGCGCATGCACATTACACTGAGACAACAGGTCTCAACTCGCGATCGCCGACTTACGCCGTGAGCGCGATGATTCGAGGATACCAGGTGTTCACATTGCGAACGTAGCGCGAACAGAAGATACCCAGAACCAGGATGAACGCGCACGGCGTCCTGAACGCTCGTGAAATAGATGTGATATTGGCAGGTTAGGCACGTAGACGATGGGAGCGGGATGACGCTGGGTTCGCGCCCAGCCGTCGTTCTAAGCCGCATGCCAGCGGTTACATACCAATGTAATACAAGGCCCGGCGTGGCATGGCGCTGAGCTACGACTTAGCATCGGATCCCCATCATAGTATGTAGGAACAAACTTCTCAGCATAGGGGTAACACTGACTTACTTTCATCACTACTAGCGTGTACAGGCACTCTGCCATCCTCAGTACTGTACTCCGCCCGTTTCCTCGCAAATTCTAAGGCCCACAGCAAAGTGCTTATATCTTTATAGCGCGTAGAAGTTTCTGCATGTTTTTGGAGGCTTAGAGTCACTGTCAAAGGGAACCGAGTGCAATTGACTCGGAGTTACGACGAGTCACGACAAGACGAACGTCGACGACGTGGAAGCTGGCTGGCGCTGCTGGCCCGGGGTACGCACGTGCATATGCTCCGCTCAGCGCTCGCTCAGTCACTGCTCTTTCCAGCCGCTCCTGCCAGTGGTTCTCATCCATTCTATTGACCTTACATGGTAAATGTTTCTCGCGTCGATGCGTCTAAGTATGCAGTCTTTGAAACCTACATCCTGGCTGGCGGCCTGCCCGTAATGATGAGGCTGCCCACGAAGCGATAACAAGACCTTCTATACGTCGAGTGGCTTCGATGTACCACGCGAAGGTGATCAGGGCCCTTCAGATTGGCATGTTGGATGCATCTCAAAGCCATTTCGCGCTGACGACAACATGATGATAGTGAGGTTCACTCCACGCCTTCATGATGATACCACACTTCCTCGTCTCAGCCGTCGCATTTAAGTTGTGTGATCCTTATCTGCCGATGGAAAAGAAGCTACCAGGTGAGTGGTTGATATCATACTCCATGAGTGGCTCAACAATCGTCGACTTACTGGGTTGGAAAGACAGTGTTCAATCGAACATTGTCTATACGGGTCGCAGCATGCAGTGGCCGGACTTTCCAACTTTCCGTAGTCCCACCCGTACGGACTTCTCCGTCAAGCAGTATGATACGTATCGCAAGAGGGTCGTCTTCTCAGTGTCGTACAGCCCAATCTGCCAGTGCGGCTGATAAGAAGACAGGGCGATCACGGTACGTTTTCTCGGTCTGCCATTGACGATTCCATATGAAGCCGCGGTTCTAGAAGGCTAGGCGGTACTTTCCGGGTAGAGCACCAGAGCTGGACAGTATCTGGTTTAAGAACCAGCCATTCTGGACTCGAAAGAACGAAGCCCACGCATGTTAGCGCTTCGAGGAATCCGAGAGTGTCTCCATCTCTCATCCCTTGAGACTCGCCTGGGAGGCTCGGGTCCGCATGACAGCGGACATGGCATTCGGTGATATCGCGTGCGGTGCGGCATCCACTATTGTGAGTGGAACTCTGTCTGTGCTCTGAGTTGGCGGACACTCTCATGCGACACAGTAGATGCCGCGCAAAGGAGGCTTCCTTGAACCTTCCAATCTAGCCACGGAAATTCTAGGCAACTCATTCATCTGTTACAACCTCAAGGTAGTTACGATCCGTTCCATGTTGGAGATGCGGATTGTGGTCTTCTACCGTATGGTCCACAGTTACTAGGACTTCCAGTCGAGTCGAGTCGCCGATCAAGTATTTGCAGGACCTGCGATGTGAAGATTTCTCAGGCCGATCCGATGCGTCAGCGCCCTGTCAGTCGCAAGGAACCAAGTCATTCGTCGTAGGGTCAATCAGATCAGTCTTCGATCTGCGCCTGTCCGATTATGGAATAGCAGGTAGCCTTGAGTTACATCGTGAAGATGCGCGTTACCAGATCGGCTGTACAAAGTTATGTGGTTGTTTCACCTTCACGCTCCGTCCGTTCTGCTTACCCTATGAATAGTTAGGACAATAAAATTTTCATAGGAGCAGCGGCATGAGCTATAGGATTTTTTCGTATGTATTTCGCCTCATGTCTTCAGTACATCATCTACCGTGACCATTGACTCCGCCCCTAGCAGCAACGTCGTCAGAACTCGTCCGATATTCCCTAGGGGTCGATGTTCACAGCATGCGCTCACGCCCTCACAGCCTACCTCGTATCAAACCCCACGTGGAATCCAAGTCTCGCGGTAACAATTGATTTCGGTTCCAGTTCCGTGTAATATCAACGAACCGAGAAGTCCTCCCGCCGTATTCGCATATTTCACTCCACTGCAAACTTCAATATTACACCCTGGGCTATCACCTTCGGCGGATCGATATCAGTCTGGGAAGCCATTTCTTACGCGCTTTCGCACCAACTGGTACCAAACACTGCGTCGTGGAATGACAGCGAATTCGTAGAGCATCGATAAGACCGTGCGCGCTGTTGAGCCACCCAGCCACATCATGAGTGGTGTATCTCCGAGTGCAGGACTTCCTGCCGGATTGAACCATCATACAGGTGAGTGCCTTGGTAGCGGGTAATCGTACAGTCTGACTCGTGCAATAGGGCAGGGAAGTGTGTGGAAACTCAACTTGTCCCAGAGAACCATGTTCGACTCGGCGCTCCTCACTGCGAATTTAAGCCGTTGCTCCCCAGCAGTATCATCAGCAACACCATCTCCCCCCAACACCATATACCTTGAGGGAAACCCATCCGACAATGTCTGCAACCGACATCGTGGAGAATGCATCCTATGAGTAAGTCATGAATGCGTACAGTTTTGCCACCTCCGATGAGGCTAACCCGGTGGTTGCGTTAGCATGCTCGTGAACTGCATCCTGTCTGCCACCGCTGGTAAGCCTAAGAAGTAACTCCCAGACCTTGGACCTAGCAATGCCGACGGCCGAGCTTCTCTAGCTCTTCACGTGTACGACAGGGTCCTCAATCTCGGGCAAGAGATCCAATTTATATGGCGGCGTGAAAACGCGAAAGTCATATTACCGGTCCTCTACGTTACTATGCACGCTTCCGCGACGGTGTTCCTCCTCTTGAATGTCTTGCCGGTCACACCCAACTGTCAGGTGAGTTCATCGCACTTCAGTAGGCATTTAAATCATGGACGTGCCAACGACGCTCATCGTGTGGATTTGTCGATACATAGAGGTGCGTATGCGGCCTCACGGTGAATTACACTCTAAGAGCATCTATCGGCAGGTACTTGGCCATATCAATCGTACAGATGACCGCCATATGTCTCTTATATGCAGTATTCGGAGGTATGTAGCTTTGAGACAATGTTCTGTAATGGTGATCCGAATGGTTATATCCACAGCGATTGCAAGCTTACGCGTATACACGATCAATGGTAGGAGCTGGAGACTACCGTCACTGGTGATGGCCCTTGCGCTAGTACCCCTAGCCACCGATATTGTGCGGCATATGATGCATACCGTGCACTGCAAACAGCTACTGAACTATATCCCTAGTATTGCGCCATCCGATGGAAGTTGATTACCGGCCCGCCTTACGGTTGCGATCTTATAGTGACTTGGTCTGTTGCTACAGGGCATGTGTACGTAGTCCCAACGCTACTTCCTCTAATCTACTTGACGCTGATGAATTCTTACATAGCGGTAAGCCTTTTTGGTCGGGACGTATCGTCTTCAGTCCGACTGAAGGAGATTTGCAGCGGATGTTCTGGCCCGAGTGGCTGTCATCGCCGTTGACCTGCTGGTTTTTTGTGCGACGTGGCGCGTCACCGGTGGAATGGATGAAGTGCGACGGCGTGACCAACTGACGGGTAAGACTCAGTTGTCGGGGCTGCTGCTGAAGGATGGTAAGTCCGCATCGATATCAACTGCAAACGATACCGTCTCATGGTTTTTACAAGGGGCGCTTCAATTCGGGTATGTCTCTTCGTTGAGCGTTGAATCCTAACATCTCACCGACCATGCAGAGCGTTGCTTATATTTAACATAGTCACTGGGGTCTTTCTCATCAAATCAGTTTGTACTCATTGCTGTCCATTTAACATGATTGAGCTTACCACATGTTCTGACAGAACAGTTACCTAGGCACAAACTTCATCATCCTCCTAGACGTGTACGTCATTATTCAAATTGCATATCAGTACTTTCCCACTCATGTGGTGAAGGGTCACAATCATACTCCTATCTCGTCTGCTCTTCCGTGTGCGTGAGCACTCAGTTGAGCGGGAGTCGCCCTCCGGCTCTTTCCAGGTATCTCACTTGTCCTTCAAGGGCGTGCTGAGGCACGTCGAGAACCTCCACGACGGTGTAGCTTCGAAATCCCTGGATAGCGACGAAGACGAGGACGACAACGAGAATGACGACCGCATGGATGAGGTCCAAGCGAGCGCATGGAATGAAGATACCATCGAACTCTCCACGACATGCAGTATTGCTAGCCAGTCGTCTGACCCGCCTCAACTCCAAGGCAATGGGGTGCGGGATGATGGAGATATAACCGAATTAGAATCAGTATAGCCGAGTGCGTAACGGCGTAGACAAGAATGCCCTGACGTAGTTCAATGGTTTATACACACCTATAACCTACTGCCACATGTAGAGAACACGACGAGCCGTTCAACTTCAGTTTCATTCACCTAGTCGGTTCCAAACTTGTGTCCTACCCGAAGCGTGCAAGTTCGTAGCTCTCCGCGGACCATCGTGCAGACTTACAAATATCAGGCTGTGAGTGAAGACAGCCATGAACGGAGGTCGCTAGTAGACGCACTGAGAACGGCAACCACTTTGTCTGTCAACTTGTCCCTCACCAATCTTTCCAACGGGGCCCGAGTGCCGAATGATATTCCGCGCTTTACGAGGTCCTGATCCCGTTCTCCTAGTTCTTCATGCAGTCGCAAACGAATATGACCTCAAGTATATCCTGTGTCACACTCACGAACTTCGCACCTTGAAAATCTTGACTATCATTGGACTGTCAACTCGCTACTAGGGGCCGGTGGAGGTATTCACGGACTTGGTCGTTGGCAGCCTCCTTCAAGTCGGAGACATGAGGGCGTTCGTCGAGAGGCCGATACTCGTAGGAAGTACGGGCCAGGTACTCGTACTCTCCATCAGGAGAAGCGGAGGAGGAGAAGGAGGATGTGGTATGTATCCAGGGGGCATTCAAGCGCCGAAAGCACGGCCGCAACCCTAGTGGTGGTGGTCCAAAATCGGTGTACGGGGTCCTGATTTGAGCTTTTCACGCGCACAGCTGGTATATTACCTGCTGCACGTCGTGGACGCAAGTTCGGGACACAGTATTTCTTACATGTCTTCTGTAGACTTATATCAATCACTGGGTACCACCCTTGTGGTGATAACTCGGTGGTATGCATCGCCCGTTGAATATAATCCCTCTCCTCAGGAAGCGCTTAAGTGCAATCGATCAAACACCATATATAGCAACAGCCACCTGCAGACTTGATGCATCGTGGGTTGCATGCGGCGTACACATGCTGAGTGAATAGAATATTACAGTGCGTACGTGTATAGTCAGAGCTCTCCGCCGTACTACGAGTCGTGACAATGGACGCCCCTTCGGATCTCTCTGCTCCTCATACAATCTCGATTCCCGGAGGTCCTACCCTCGAGACTGAGTGGGACGAGAGGAAGCGGAGACATATGGTCTCCTGCGATCTATGCGGTAAAAAGATCGCGTTGACTAAACACGGCCATAATCATTCTCTGTTCGAGCATCGCGGGTCCGCTACTTGTGACGACCTGCAGCGAAAGGCCCTACGGAAACAAGAACTAGCTGCGGCTGCAGCTACCCGGGCAGCACTCTTCAGTACACAGCATACCGGCGTGACTCAGGCTCAGCCTGGCCCGAGCTCACTGGACGATCCTGCACTTGGCATGCCGAGATCCCCTCCGATGCATCCAGTCGAACCGATCACGCCAACCATGCCTTCACTACCACTGTACACAGTACCTCCCACACCCCAGCCATCTCGATCGGGATCCCGCGTTGCAAGTGTCGAGCCAATAACTTTCGAGTTGTTCAGCCGCGATCCGGGCTCAGTCAGTCCCGAGATAGCTGGCGAACTAACCACGTCATTTGCGGACCTGCGGGCCTCATCGCCAAGTCCTGGCGCAGCCTCCACAGAAGCTGGCACCAGTACAATTCCAATCGAATCGGCACTTGGCGCCGGCAGGTCCGAGTCCGTAGATCTGGAGCAGAGATGGCCCGCTGCCGCTGAGGGAGGAGGATGCAGAGGCGTGCTTGTCGAGTGGAAGGCAGGATCGGTCTGGGACACATATCCGTATCATCAGCATGCGTTCCGCAAGTACCCATGGGAGCCGATTGGGATTGAAAACGGAAACTGGTTCCGTCTGCGAGCGACAGACTGTGCACGCTCAGCTGTATCAGCCGCGAGCGACAGCCCTAATATCTGCTGTAGTGCTTGTCAGAATATCCCAACCTCGGATCGATACCGAAAGTTCCTGAACAGAGCCAAATCCGCGAGCGACCACACACCTTGGGAATATCTGAACCACAGACAGCTTGTCGCTGTATGTAGGACGGTAGTCAGCGAGAATCGGAAATTGCGGCTTAAGGTAATGTACTAGTTTAGCTTGCTCGTAGATGACAATGAGACTTACATTGACACAATGGCAGTGCCGCGATGCAGATCGCAGTCTCTCGCGCTTGCGAGGCAAATTGAACGATCATCAGCGGCTGGTGGTTCTCTTGGCGAATAACGACATACAGCGGCTTCATCACCTGTTGTCGGTCGCACTGCGCAAGGGCGCGAGCCCTAAGGCTTTGATAGCTCAGATCGATCGAGCCATCAATGGTCTATACTGCGATCGGGGACAATTTGACGAGCGTAAAATCAAGGCCGCATTCCTGTCGAAGGTTCTTGGGGGTCCACGACTCTTGTTTGCGCTCTCAAAGTCGGAAAGATTCCCGTCTGGGCCGACTGTTGGCCGTCGTATGAAGGTACCTGAGCTTGACCCCTCCATCAGCACCCCAACACGCCCCGAATTCAAGAGGAATTTTGCCTCACTCTGCAATCCGGCACACAACCCACTTCCCCCGAGATATGGTCGTGCAAAGCAGCTTGCAGGTCTTGTAGTCATGGTCGATGGGATCGCAATTGAGGAGCGGTGTCGCTACCTCCCATCCCGGAACGCGATAGCAGGCCTGGCTCGAGAAGACGCAAGTAAGGTGTCACTCGAGGTCAAGAGCTACGAGGATGTGCAGAAGGTTGAGAATGCACTCGTAGATGGAGTGTGCTCTCATGGGAAGGATGCTACCGTCGTGTCGATCGCACCGTACGCTCGAGTCGATCACTACAACGCCTTACCGCTTGTAGTCTCACCATCAAACAAGCACGAGACGGGCGAGCAACTTGCTCGTTGGCTGTGGGACTTCTGTGACTCGTGGCGTACCGACCCGCACGGCGAAGCTGTCAGGGGCACGATCTGGGCCTTAGCAAGTGATGGCGACGCCGCATTTCGCCTCGCGAAACATATCATCTGTTCGACACACGCTGTACCTGCGGAGACAGAGCTTGGGAGCCGGCTGTGCAGACTCAAGGGTATGAACCGGATGACTAGCGCGACAGGCATTGTTGCCACCTGTGACCCTAAACATGTGTTCAAACGTAAGTTTGTCATACAGTGCAGCACTGTACAAATTCGCTTACCAGTACACAAAGGCTTTGCAACGCTTATACGGAACCCAAGAGGCATCCTGATTGATGACACACACCTACAGTCGACAGATTTTTTTGAGCACTTGAGAGATCTGCCGGATATGTCTCCGGAAAAAGCGAGCCGGCTTCTCGACCCCGCCGACAAGCAAAACGTTCCGAAAGCGGTCCATCTGATACAGGAGCTACTCAACATTGAGAAACACGCGCCCCGCCCTCTGCACGACCTCTTTCCGGGGAGATCCCACCGCCGCCATATCCTCTCCTTCTTTGCCCGCGTCCTCGGCTTCTTTGTCCTGCCATTTGTGACCATCAGTATGTCACTGGCAGAACAGATACATTCTCTCGCAACATACTCACATCTGGTCGCTGTCCTGTGGGTCCGACACGGGACAGCATTCATGAACGGAGGTCTCTACGCTGATTCCCAATCAATTGTCAAAAATATCATTTTCACGGTACTGCGCCTGCAGCTCCTGGACGACGACATACCTTTCCATATCATCTTTGAAGGGACAGACCGTCTCGAATCCCTGTTTGGCAACTGTCGCACACAGGATCACAACCGTAATTTCGATGTCTTGCAACTGTGCCAGAAGCTCAGCGTTGCCACCATGATTGACTTGATCTTCGAAAGCGAACCTGATTGGGACCGCGGACACCGGCGTCTTGACCTAAAGGACGCGCTCGGGATAGATCATGTCAATCCCCGTTCGTGGACTGGTGATGTTCGCGTCGGGGAAGTCGATGTTGCAACAGAATGGGCGCGAGGTCGTTACACTGCAGAACAAGTCATCATTCAGTTTCTTGGACCGGACGCAGCCGAGGCGTTCGAATCGCTGTACGATCAGGACAACTGCGACTTGCTCCGGCCAGAAGGTACCTATGTCGGCGTGAGGCACGATCCTGGCGACGACATCGAGGAGATCACAGCATCCGCACACACTCCCGAAAATGCAGTAGTCCACGCATCTGCACAGGATGTCAGCGACTCAGACAACGGCAATGAATTTGACGATGTGCCAGTGGGCCTTGGCATTGAGGACTTCCTGCCAGATACAGAGCAGGACCTCGAAGACGATGTGGCGATGACATCGTCCGAGGATCGCTTCGTGACGGTGGAGGGCAAGAGATACTTGAAGGCTTCCGTTGTCACGGCTTTACTCACGTCAAGCCGAGCGCGGAAGGTTCCCCTTCGAACGCTCCGAAATCGTGGCGTAACGTTCGAGGATATGAGTGGCGGAGACAAGTGGAATAGCTCCGAACTCACCAGTGGCAATCTCGTCAAGACGGGCGATATTGCAGCGTCACTTCTGCGTGTGCAATCGACTATCTGCCTCGCCGTCGTAGAGATAACGGGGTTCCGTTGTGGAAGCGGTGATGATCAAACCTTCCTATCGTGCATCAGCGTGGATGATCTCGAGGACAGGGCATCAGCACCCACAGTTACAGTCCAGGTGCTCGACATGTTCACGCCGGAGCCATCTACCGACCCTGCTGAGAAGTGCAGTTGGCAGTGGACTCACTCGTACATCCGGCTCGATTCACAAAGCAATAGTCAGCGCATCATGCAACGTCAGCATACCATCAACATACCTGGCCATTTGATTCATCCACTCGGGCCGACTATCATTGCCCTACGTCTGTCAAACGATCAAGTCAATCAGCCCATTGTCCCGAGATATGCCAATGGCAAGGACTCACAAATCGCGAAGACGTGGTCCGTACCAAGGACACAACTGGAAGATATCCTGACGTTCGCATGGGAAGCACTCTCCCCCAACACGGAAGACATTATCGCAAATATCGAGCACTTACCGTCAGTATCCACCCAAAGCCTGCCATATCAGGACACAATAGGTACGTTGTGAGATAGCAATCATGGCGGGCTACCAGTACTTACCGGCATACTCCTAGGGAATGACGTGTTCACCGTCCTTGATGTACCAACTTGGCTCACAATCGAGAAGAAGACCGGCTCGGATGTCGTCCCTTGTCTAATCTGTGGAAGTAAGGAGGCTGTTAAGAACATGCGGAATCACATCGGACGCCATATCTTGTTTTCAATGCGAGGAGTAGTTGAAAAGGTGCCGTACATTGCGAAGGTGAGTTCGTTGACTGAGGATCGATGTTTAAAATCACTCACCTGCCGACTTCATGATCAGCTCGGCGTCGATCCTTGCGGCTTCTGCGGGATGGACGGGTGTGTCGTTCAGCTAACCAAGAAGAACAACAGCATGTCAGTTGCTTGCAGCTGTCCATACCACTACACATCAATGAGCTATGCCGCAGCCAAGACAGTAAGCAAGGCCACTCCGTGTACAAACGTACCGATACACTGCCCTCTGTGCCCGATTGGCCCGTCAGGACAGCCGCGCACTATTTGGAAGTACAACGTGCTCTTCCATGTTGCGAAGGAGCACTGTACCGATGATCACGAGTTGCCGCCTATTCCGCTACAGCTCGCAGTCGACATGCATATATCGATCGAGGAGGAGAGCTTGATGCGGATCGCGAAAGACGTCACGGAGGACTGGCGGAAGCAACACGAGATTCCAAACAGCGACGAGGTAGAGGCGTATCGCGAAGAGTTGAAGGCGAGCCAGACGAAGGGTAAAAAGCGCATGCGATCGCAGTCAACCGCTGTAGTCGAACGAGGAGGACCCAAGTCGCGCGCCCGACGCTAGGATCGCCTGTAATCGTAGTTGAATCTCATCTAATCTAGCATCTTATCGGACTGGTGGTGGTCTCTCAGGTGTTCGGGGGCCGGCGCTAAACTTTTTTGACTTGCGGGCCAGAATCCCCCGAATGAATGCCCCTCGTATGTATCCCCAGTTGCCAACTCGCTTCGAAGCTCGCTACATAACTCGGCGTGAGCGGGCGCTTGTTCTTCTATGTCTACCACCATCCGACTTTGCTCCCAACTCTTTTCATCATATACAAGCCGCGCAATATACAAGAAACCGTTTAATATCTCGCTTCGAATGTATTCGCACCAAGACCAGGGACGCAGGCCCAAGACGATGTCGCACGACATCACCGTGACCTTCCTCGGAACGGCGAGTGGCGGCGGACCAACCGAAACGCGCAATTGTTCAAGTCTTGTCGTGGATGCACTCGGAGATCAGACATTATGGAGTGCGTAATGATGTTAGAACTTTGCATGTGGGTGCTGGGACGGGTGGCTAAGCAGTACATTCGTTAGTGGTGGACTGCGCCGAGGGCACGGTCAGGCAAGTGTTGCAACAACCTTTCCGCGGCGGGGATCGTGTCAAGCTCAGCAGGTTGACGAAAGTCTTCATTACTCATATGCATGGTGAGCCTTCTACCCTTACGCGACATGCCATTGCTGTCTGCAACGCCTGTTCGACGAGGCGTTTCTGGGGTTGAGATCATCGCACGAACCATCTCCGGTTACTACTCCATCTCCATCAATAGACCGTCCATGGCCATGCTCGGCATACTGGCGCACAGATACAGTCTTCATTGAGACGTATCGAGGTCATCCTTGTAGGAGCTGGAGTCCATGTCCTCTCGCTATCGCTCACTGTTGCACGCAGCATCATGATGGCAGTCCCTGCTCCCGTGCATTTGTGCATAAGCCGTGTGTGCAGATAGAGTCTACACCTCTTCTCGATTCTTCCGTGTCTGGCGCACTTCTTCGATATCACGTTCAAATGCCAACAGTCTGTTGCGCTGACTCGGCAATTGGTGTATGTCTCTGTTCAGACGTAGCTAACCACGACCGTGGCCCAAGTACAGGCGCCCATGTGGATAGGCCCTGCTCGTACAATGCTGCTCCTCAGACGTCGACGCAGGAGCCAATGGGCATTTCTTGGCCTCTTCTTGGTTCGCAGTTGATCCTGAGGGAAGACCTCGAGAGGGCTCGTCTGCCGCGACCTACATGATAGCACATCACCTCTACCGGAAGAATGACCGAGAAAGCTTGGCTGTTCGACGCTTTCTTGTGCACGCCTGGTCTTCATAGACATCGATCGACGACATTAGGCGTGTGGCTGCACCTGCCAGATGTTCTCACCAGGATGTTCGCGTTGAGGGTACTGACCAATGCCCTTGTGTCCACAGCCGATCACACAGCAGGTGTCCTCACGCTGCTCCGTAATACGCTTGGTATTCCCAAAGCTAGAGCACGATCCCGGTCACCTCATGCGACTCAACTACCTCCCGCGCTCGCGCCACCCACCGCGAAAGACCAACCTGTCGCATCGTCATCTTCCGCACAAGCCTCAGCTGCTTCACACGAGTACCCTCAACATGACCCCGAAGTCCGAACGGATCCGCCTCGCATCGAGATCTTCGGCCCTCGCGGGCTGCGCCGTTTCCTGCGACTACAGATGCTCTTCACGCATACGCATTCCCAGGACCGCTACGCCGTGCACGAGCTTCTCACCGCTGACCAAACCCCTTCCTGCCCTGGCGACGTTCCTCATGATTCGGACCACGGCGCGACCGAGGAAGACCGGCTGGTGGATAACGAAGCACCGGGCCAAGACATCCGGTGCGACGCGCAAGGCTTCTGGCGAGGGATCGTCGACGAGGACATCGGCTCCGGATCCGGTTGGTGGAGCTCGTCGTCGGAACAGAAGGGCTTCGGAAAAGTCGTCGTCGACGCGGGGCCAATTGACCACCGCGACCCCTGCATTGGCTACGTGATCCGTGAGCTTCCTCACTTGCACGAGCCTGCTGCACTGCAAACACCGATCCCCACTCCGCGCAAGCTCGTCATTCTCGGCGATACGTTCAACGCGGATGCCTTGATTCCCCTCATTGACCCGCCCTCTGCCAACGCCACCGCTACTGCGAGCGGCAGCGCGACCCGACCTATCGAGGTAGACATGGACGTAGACGTGGACTCGCCACCGGGTGACGCGTCGATTGGGATTGAAGACGCGACCGTGACACCCGACGTGCGGAGCCTCATCGCACGAACACCGGTATCCCTGCTGATTCACGAAGCGACGGATGCATACATACCGCCATCGGTCGATCCGCAGGAGAAGACTGGCAAAAACAGAACCGTGAGCTGTCTTGTCCCTTAACGCGGATATAGCTCGCGATTGATTGCAAACCCACTCTGCAGGCCGAGATTGTCAATGTCAAGACGCGCGACAGAGGGCATAGTACTCCTGCCATGGCAGGCGAGTTCGCAGGGAAAATCGGTGCAGAGCGACTCGTACTCAATCACATAGGTGCTCGGTGAGTACTTCACCTCTTACGTTCTGTTACACTTGAAACAGTGAATGCGGTCCTTATATGCTAGCTTCCCCGCGCCCCCGCTTTCGACTCGTACGGGATGGGAGAGGTTCCAGCTCGCGTGTATACGTGAGATTGAGAAACAAGCGCACGCAACTTGGAGGCCCCCCAAAACGCGTCCTCCCACATACGTGACCGCTGCATACGACTATTACAGGGTCGTCATCCCGCCTAACCGGATGCCCCGCAGCCCCGAGGATGAGCGTGACGGGCAGCGGGTGGAGTGGGACGTGGCGCACCGCGATCGCTCACGAGAACGGCACGCGGAGCGATTCGACCGGAGAGAAGAAGGCTCGCAGGCACGGAGACAAACGGAACCGCGGTATCAAGCCCGTATCGAAGCTGAATCCAGCAATCAGCCTGTCGATTCGAGCCGGAAGCTGCCCCCGCGGAACGAAGTGCCCCCGTTTGTTCGTTCAGAACTTGCCCAGCAGTCTCGAGAGAGGTGGGAAGCTCTCGCGGTCCAGGGCAGCCTCGTCAGCGAGGTGGACTACAGCCAGCATCCTGCCCTGCGGGCGAGCGTCGCCGGGAGGAATGTCGAGGGGCATGGTGCACGGGTGAACGACAACGGCAAACGGGATCGGACCGTCAGCTCTGGTGACAGTACTCGTGGACAGATTCGCGGTTACGATGGAGGCGACCGCGGTGGGCGTGGTCGGGATGTCTCGGTGAGGGGCATACATACTGAGTCGAGGGGTGGTACTCAATGGCGCGGGAGAGGGAACAAGCGAGGCAGAAAGTAAGAGTTTCGTTTCAGCTCTCTTGCGTGACCGTGGCCGTGCTCCTTGCAGCCACGGATATGATCCACCAGAATCTCAAGAAATCTGTACAGTCAGTTAGTAGAATATTGCCTTGCGATGAACAATCGTGTTCCTTCGATCGGAGCGTATGTATCAATCATCAGCAGTGCTTGTAGTGCAAAAGTTGCTCTGTCCGATCACTGATACAACCATCTAGTACAATACAGTTTCATGGACATGACTGCGACGTAAATCATGGTCACTGGGGGAATCATTGAAACGTTCATGACTCTACGGTCTCCATTCTCTCCTCGGCCATCTTCTCCCTCTCCTCCACACTCACTTTTGCCACCTTCTCGTCCGCATTCGATACACTGCTACTGGCAATAGCGGCTTCCTCCATACCGCCGCAACCCACCGTCCTTGTACGTCTCTCTGCTCGCGCGCGTTGCACAGCCAGATCTGCTCTCGGTACAGCGCTCCACTGGAGGGCACTCGTCCAGCTTCCCTTCACGACGTCCTGCTCGCTCGACGTCTCGCTCCGCTCAGCGCGGAACATATCGTCGATCGACTCAAGCGGGATGCCTGACGTCTCGGGGTAGCACGCCCAGACGATCGCGGCGATGACGGCGTTGAATACGGCGAAGATGATGTAGGTTCTCCATTTGATGTTGTCGAGGGCGGGAGGAGTGATCTCGACGACCTAGTACGGAATGACTGGTCAGACTACTTCCCGGAAGATGCCATAGCGAGGGCTGCGTACCAGGAAGTTGCCCAAGAAGTCAGCGGCAGCTGCGAGTGCAGCTCCTTTCGCGCGGATCTTGAGAGGCAGGATCTCAGCAGGGTAGACCCATACGGTACCCATCCACCCTGTTCAGTGGTGCTCAGTCGTGTATACGCAGACAATTGGGATGTAGGAGCTTACCCCAGGTGAAGAATGCTTCGTACAGGAATACGAAGAACACTGCGGCAATGCTCGCGCTCGGGGTGTCGACGGCGACACAGATCGCCTCCAGCACCAATACGATCATCTGGCCTATGGCGAAGGTAATCCATAGCTTGCGGCGCCCCACGCGGTCGATGGTGTACCACTATGTCGCGAATGAGATATGAGTTCGGAAGGTTGTTGACACCCTGCTCACCGTAACGAATGACGCAACGATGTACCACACTTGCAGCCAGCACCCGAGAAACAGCGCCATCTCCTGCGACATGCCCAGACTGGACTCGAAGAGCGTCGGAGCATAGTACGTCACGATGTTGATACCTGCGCACGATACACGGCTTAGCATTGGGGCGGGCTGACGTTTCGAGAAGATGCATACCCGTCAACTGTTGCATGAATTGGATCCCGAGTGCGAGATAGAACCGCCTGTTCGCGGAGATTCCGCCACTCTTGAACAGGTCGCCCCACGAACCCTCTTCCTTACTTTCCAGCTCGAGTGCATCGATGATCTCCTGCGCTTCCTTCACCACCACCTCGTGGTCAGTGGGCAGATTTCTCAGCCGCGCCAGGACCTATGCACCGTTTCGTTAGGATGCCTACCAAAATCGGTGTGGACAGTACTCACCTCGATTCCCCGTGCGGGGCTGGCCTCGTGGCGTATCAGCCACCGAGGTGTCTCGGGCATGAACATCGTTACGAAGATGACGTAGATGGCGAAGACGCATTGGAACAGCAGCGGGAAGCGCCACTGTATTGGTCCGTTGTAAAAATAAAACGCGTAGTTGATCCAATACGCTATCATGAGCCCGAACAGCATCGAGGACATCTGGCAGCACAGTTGCCACCCGCGGTGCTCCGGCAGCGTAACCTCGCTCTGGTACACGGGCGTCACTGAAAACAATGGAATGCAGAAGCAGTGAGCGAAGTTTCGCCGACATTAGCAGGACGGTGGGACGTACCGGAGGTAATGTATCCGACGCCTTCGAGGTGGTGGGTAAGTCTCGGACCGCGGGGAAGACGCGGTGTTTAGAAGCTCACCTATCCCGGTCAGAATCCTCGCGACTATCATCTGAATCCTCTCGACGCAGCTGCCCATGAGGATGGTGCCAATGAGCAGTATCGTTGCACCGATAATGAGCGTCCTCTTCCGCCCGAGTGGCTCGGTCGTGAACGCGGCCGCAATCGCGCCGACGATGGCACCAATGTCGTAGAGCGCGGTGATCGTGCTGACCATGATCGTGCTGGGGTTGTCCATCTGCCCGAGCCAGTACTTGGAGATGACGACGCCGGACATGACGCCTTGGTCGTAGCCGAAGAGACAGAAGCCCATCGAGCACACCGAGGTGAGCATCGCGACGAGCGCGGTGCCGCGCAGGCCGTTCACGCCCAGCTTCGTCGGGAGTATTGTCATGGTGCGACTCGAAGCCTTGAAGGTCGCTGCGATGTCGCGGAACGAGGACTGTGGAACGGCGAGCTTAGCGGGGGTTCTCCGGCCGCATTGCTGCTTTATATATGAGCAAGCTTGGGCCGACCTGCGCAAGGTGGCGTTGACGCGGTAGCATGATCATGTGCGAGGAAGCGGATAGCCGTTAAATCGCGGGAGGCGACAGATTGGTACGGCCGCAGACGGCCGCTCAGGACGGTATGTAGCATCTCACAGGATTGGAAGGGGTTGGAGGAGCGATCTAACGCATATAGCATTCTGGCGAAAGCGTGGGGCTACGCGGAGGCGCCCCGTGGGGAAGTTAGAGGCACGCCTATCGTACCGCATGCGGGCGCCGGTAGATTCGGACACCAAAAGACCTGAAAGGAAGGCGGTGAGTCGTCGAAGCACTGGTTCCAAAAGACGATAGAACACGCACACCTCATATCCCACCTGTCTCCACTTGTTCCTGCATTCGAAGAATAGGTTGATAGCACGATACTGCCGGGTTAGGGAAGACAGACAGAGTTAGCATATTGGTCACGAGGATATCATGCTTCGACCAATGTGACCAACTCGTGAGGTTGGAGCACGGGCCGCCCGCGTGAATCTCCAGGACGATCTCTCCATAAGCGTCAAGGGTTCAAACACGTCTGAACGACGTAGTATGAAGATCGTCAGGGACTTCATACATTAACGTTCAAGGGGATATGTAATGCCTGCTCGATACGTGGATGGAAGATCGACGTGCGACCTACACTGGCAATCGCTTTGCCTGCGACACACGATGACGACGGACTAGCTTGACGAGGTACCTAGGCCGCATTGATCGCCATATACGGGTAAACATTGGTTTCCGCAAGCTTTCCGCCCGCAAGACCTGCGTGCGCGTGATATCATCAGACCTCCAGAGGGCTCGTCCAAGGCTTGTCAGCAGACGCGCCCCTCTCTGTTATCATAGGTAAAATTAAAGTGCATACGACATGACAAGTCGCGCTCACCGCACACAATCCGAGAACACGAAGCCCAGGGCCCTTCATACGAGTACTCGATATGCTCCGAATCTTGTATGGTTCGCGATAGGTAGGCTGTGAGTGGCATATGCTGCACCCTCTTGATTGAATGATTGAGCTACGAGATCATGTCACCCTACAACAGCGGTACTCCAAGGATCCATCCAAGATCCATCCATGAAGACTCGAAGAGGATGATGGTTGTCGAAGTCAGGATCTACACGAGCGCCTGTTTCTAGTTTAAGTGGCAGGTTTCCGTTTAAATCCGAGTTGACTCCTCCTACTATCCCAGGCTCAGAGTCTATTCAACCCATGGACTCCATCTGAGCCGCTGTGTCTGGCTGCTATTGATGCAAGCCCGCACATATCGTTCGACTAGCGAGTTGGTTTAACACCATGGACAGTGCGCAGTTTCATGCAGCGGTACTTCGTTGATTGCCTCTGGAGTCTAGTTGACAGCTCGGGCTGATACAGCGAATCTCCAGGTGTATCACGTAGCTCGGCAAATACCTCCACAGCACGTAACGTCGTACGGTAAGGAAGATCAACCTTCCTTCTTCAAAGACCGGTGGTTGTTCAAGCTCCGTCCTATCATTGCCTTCTAGGACACATCGCGAAGCTCCTCGGAATGCCTCGCCACTCTCGACACGTCGGACAAGGTAAGCTTCCACCGCCTTGCTCGTGTTGGGGCGCTGTCAGTTCTCCGTCCCTGAACACCCTTTTCCCAGCCCTAAAATTCGTCTCCCCTGATGTGCAACCTCCCATTCCCTGGTATCGTGTCATCGCGTCGTCTGGCATGATATCCTCGCGCGGACCAGGCACTACAGGCGCCGATAGGCAGCGCCAGGAGCTCGAAGCTGAGGGCATAGAGGTCAACGTCGGGCGTATGGGCGACTTGCGCGTCGACCTCAGGCGCTATGGGTGGTTCCCTGCGCCGGGGACCGTTGACACCGGTGTGGAGTTGAACGAGGATGGTGAGGCTGACGTCGACGCTAGTGAGGCGACGTCTGAGGATGGCGATGATTCTGAAGAAGAGACATAAGACCGTCCCATGCGGTATCTTGCATACGCGGGGTATGAGAGCTGTTTGTTGTACTTTTCACGACCTGGAGCAAAAAGGTGCATTGCAGGAGCCGCAGAATGGGTGCACGGGAGGCTTATAAGGGGTAGGCGTGTATTGTGGGATCAAAATCTGTGGTGCAAATATGGAGACAGCACTGTATAGTGGTATATTCTGCACGAGGGCGCGTCGGCGACGCCCAGTGCAGTAAGTCGCGAGTGAGGAAGGGCATGCATCTTTAAGGTGTGCTCAACTGGCTCGCCACTGCTGAGCTGGTCCGCATCAGTCAAGCGAGAGGGTGCAGCCAAGGTGCAGCTAACAGGTCGTGTGAGGTGTCAGCCGCTTCAGGCTGGACGATGATGAAGACGACGGCACAACATCACACAAGCTCGCACACCAAGACTGGTACATATGGCAAGTCATATTATCAACAATCAACAGCCGTCGAAGGGGGTAGCGTTCATTTCGGAGTGCGAGAGCCTTCAAGTTGCTCGGACCGGGAGAGCAAGGGACGCAGCTGAGCGCGAGCGCTGAACGTTCAGATCATTGCAACATGGACACATAAGGTTAAGCTCTAAGCTGGTATCGAGTAACCGTGACGCTCCCATTGTCAGGAATGAAGTCTAGAAGTCCGTTGTCAAACATGAGCTACGGTGACTACACGGTTCGAGAGCCTCAACAGTCATAACAATCTATTAGTGTCGAGACAGGGTTGTTCCTGTGAATTCACGCGAGTCTTCTCTAGACAATCGTCGTCACGGGCACGGCGGAGGTCGACTGGTGAACAAACTTCACGGTCTGTGCACACAAATCAGATCGACCGCCACCAACAGTGGACTCGAACACGTACCAAGCTAGTTGTGGCCCCGTACGTCATTGCGAAGCGGGTAACGTCGGCGGTGAGAAGAATGACACCGTCGGAGATCACGATGTAGGTGGTCGGCTTGCCTAAGTACAACAACGTGTTTAGCCTGTTTCCAAGCGCACGGCGAATAAAGGGCAACGCACTTCCATCAGTGTTGACCCACTGCGCGGTGACCACGCTCGTGGACGGGTCGATCGTCCAGATGTCGCTCTCAAATGGCTTGACAGTGCCCGACGCGGCGGTGAAGGAGTTGGCGCCACTTTGGGCCGGAGCGTTCGGCGAGGCTATAGGCGGCGGAGATCGTCAGAAAGCTGCCAGCGCCTCTGCAACATGGGTCGAACGTACATTCACCCTGGCTTCCGCCGATATATGCGTAGTTGTACGAGCCGACTGCCAGGTTAGAGTTGATATTTGCGAACCCGACGATAGCCGCGAGGTTGGTGTAGTCCGATAACCCGTTCTATAGCGGAGGCACGTCCGGTGAACTCATCGTCCAATGTTATGACAAAAGCCCGAAACGCACAAGCGTCCTGAGGTTGATAGAGGTATAGCTGATTTCATTGGCGCATTCCTGGTACTGCACCTGCAGAGCCTTCGAAGAGTCGCCGGTCGTCGTGTACTCGCCGAAATTGTTCGACTCGGAGGAAATGTACTGGCCGGTGTACGACCCACCGGATACTTGGAGCAGACCAACGTAAGCAGTGCACGAGGGTGTCGGGGCAGCGCTGGTGGTCGCAGCGGTCGCAGTGCTGGTAGTATCGGTGCTGGCGCTGGTGGTGCCGGTGCTAATGGTCGTGGTGTCGGCGCTAGTGCTGGCGGCGGTGTCCGTGCTGCTAGCCGGGGAAGCACTCGAGGTCGGAGGCGTAGGTAGGGAAGGCGTGCTAGTCGTCGTCGGAGTCTGCGAGGGCAGCCCACGGTTTGCGAGACGCCGATCTGCATGATCCCCCGAGTGTGGTCAGCTCCGAAGGCATACGGATAGTGGACAGCTTACTGGAGCGGAACTTGGGGCGCGCAGGGGTAAGTCCGCGTGCGAGGCGCTGCGCGTTCGTCAGCGTGCGCGTCGCATGCGCCAGATACTTGACATGGACGTTCGTCGGGTTGAGCGTGAGCTCCTCCCGGCGCGAGACGCGCGCAACATGAGCAACCACACCGGTCGCGAAGAACACCACCAGAAAAGCGAGAAATACAGAGCGCATCGTAGTCTTGGATTTCAGGAGCAGGAGAGGATGTAGGATGTAAAGAGCGACGACGAAGCTAGGCCTCAAGGGAAAGGGTGGCTCGCGGTGAAGCCTGGGCAGACAAAGAGGAAAAGAAAGCCCAACGCATCCCGACTCGCGCGGGTAACTTTTATCGCGGAGGCAACATTCAAGGTACAGCGTCGAGACCCAATGGATCCGGGGGTGCCTGAAGCCCGCAATTAATTAAGCGCGGTGTGCCTTCAGGACGACAGGTCGAACAAGGTGCACCGCGAATCGGCCATTCCGCAAACCGACGCACCTGTGCTATTGATGATGTTCCTCAAGGGACCTGACCCTTGCTGCGTCCATTGCAACCATTCGTCTGGGTACGCAGGTATGTGTCCATGGCCGCCCACCAAGTGAGCGCTAGTATCGTCCGAAAAGGAAAGTTGCGCTGTTGCGCCACACTGGCTTCAATCCCGAAGGCACGGTCGGGTGCAATGCTTGGCCTCGATCTATGCAGTCTGGAGAAGAGAGGGCATTTTTTTCAGCGACGAAAGCTGGCTTGGCAAGAACATTTCATTCGCTGCCACTTCCTACTAGTTAGGCTCACTGAAACCACGGTCGCCGGGCGAAGGTGGTTTGAGTCTTGACAGACCTGAGGATGCATTGAAGTCTCAACGCAACGTCTGTTCGAAATGAATGGCAGTTCAGGATCTCTACCCCTTCGTGATCAGCTGATACGAAAGCGGCAGCGAGCGTACTTACTTACAGTACTAGTAGCTCCAAAGCTAGAATGAACAGCTACGAATACAATCGGACAGTCCGGGTTAATGCAAGGCTGTGGTTGTATATATCCCGTGTTCGCTAGCACAAGTAAGCTTGAGCTTGAAAGCTGCCTGAGTGGGCATACAGGCGAGAATCGGCAGAATCAGATAGTACATGAGGTTCGGTGAGGCAAATCCATGGACAAGCTTCGATCAGAACAGAATCAGAGCTACATGCATAAGCATGCGTTGAGGTGCCAGTGCTCGTATCACCAGGCAGTGTGAGGGAATACCAGCTGATATGATGATGTCTGAGTGACAAGGATTCAGAGAGCCTTTCAATGTTCTGAATTGAAGTGAATTCGGTTCGCGTGAGGTGGCTGCTCGCCACGTGTGATTTGCCACGCCACAGACGCGTCAGTGACGCGAATTCAACAAGTCGCGTCTGCTGCTGACGATCTTGTCTCTCCCACAACCGAGGTCAATTCGTACGAATGCGAGTACATTTCTATGTCTGCGCTATGATTTACACATTACCACTCAACTCTATCATCGTCGGAGTCCAAGTACGGGATGCGCAAATATTTGTGTCTTGGCTCAAGAGCGTCCAACTCTGGGTGACGCGCTACTCCCGAACACAACACGACTCATCGCATGCGAAGATCAACAATACAAATACCCATTGCAGATATGAATCAATTACTACAACCGTCGCATGGCTCAAACCTGAACGAAGGTAAGTGCGACAACGCCGCTCGCCCCATACTCCGCCCCGAACGCGGCCGCATCGCCCGAGAGCAACAAAAAGTCCTCGGGCTCGTAGTACACGATGTCCGTGGCAGGCATCCCGCCATCGAAGTTGAACCATTGGGCAGTCACAGCGCCGTCGGCACCGTTAACGCGCCAAATGGCACTCTCGATGTCTTCTTGGGTGCCCGTCGCGAAGGTGAACGAGTTGGCGGCAGGTTCCGGGGGCGAGCGAGGGGCGGCTGGCAGGCATGTACAGTAAGCGCCTCGTAGTTCGCAGAACGGTGAAGCTGAATGGCTTACTAGGAGTGACGCCACCGATGTAGGCATAGTTGGTTGAGCCAGGGTCAAGGTCTGGGGATGTGCTCGCAAAGCCTGTGATCCCGCCGAAGAAAGTGAAGTCGGCGATACCGTTCTACAAGTCAAAGCACGATTGGTGAGTTGGCGGAGATAGATCAAGTTGATGGGAAGATTCGCACCAGTGTCACCAGATCGACAGGCTGATTGTTGCCGCAGTCAGCGTATTGAATTTGCAGAGCGTCAGCGGCGTCCGTGGTGATACCGTACTCTCCGAAATCGTTAGGGATGCGCGAGACGATGGCTCCTGATGGGACACCCGCCCCTGAGACGAGGAGCGTTCCCGTCCTAGTGGTACAACCAGGGTTGGGATCCGGGATGGGAGAGGCACGCGCGGTGAGGCTTTGCGCTAACGAGATGCGTAAGTTCCGACTCAATATGAAGCGACAAGACAGCTGAAAGTACCAGATCGGTAGAAGCTTGGCCTGTTGGGGGAGAGTCCCCGCCTGAGCCTCTGTGCGTTTGTCATCGGCACCACAGGAGCTCCCTTGATCGCCTTCAGGTTTACATCCACGGGATTGAGCAGGTGACCCCCCTTTCTCGAGCTGTCGGTGCGGCGAGAGAGCGTGCGGCTCGGCGGGGTCGGGATGGCGCTGACTGACGGTGCCGAAGCAGCGTTCGCCAGGAGAGCGGGCCCGGAGAGGAGGGAAAGAAGGACTACAAAGGCAGTGGTACGCATCTTGCTAGTTCGATATGTCTTGGTTATATTGAGTGTGACTTGAAGGAGTGTGGTGTGCGCGAAGGCCGGTGTGGAAGAGTCTTGACGAGGTCGGTGAATGGGAGGAAAAGTGACAGGGAACAACCGCGAGTATTCTGTGCTATTTTTATTGGTTTGAATGAGGCTAGCATTATGGCTGACAACATAGCTGTACGTAGGCGAGACGGGGTCAGCCTTGGGTCAGCGGTCAGCCTCTGGATGGTCGATTCGGAGGGCTCACTTCGACAACCTAAGTACTTGCTAATTCGGGCCAGTGCGCCAGATCTCGATCTGATCGCAGCGTCGGCAGCTTGAGCGCCTAGTGATTGTACGCTTGTCTCCGGCAACTTCTGGCCATGGTGGACTGCCCATGGTGGACGAGAACCCTGCGCCAGCGCCCATTCCTCAAGCTCACCGCTTGTCAACTTATGGATGCCTGGACAAAATACGATCAAGGGTTCAATCGGCTTTCATATAAGTACCACTGTCTCCGAGTCTAAGGCCCGGGGGAGTACATCTAGGTGTTTTTCTAACCCGTTCGCTGATGCCAATCACCACTCTGCCTTCACTCCGTTGGCAGATTCTCCGACCACGACGCGAACTTCTCTGCACCGGCGAGAAGCTCAGCAGTGTTCTTCTTAAGGGCTCCAATAGTATCTTTCCCCAAGGGGAAGTGCAGCGGAGGGTCCTCTAGCGCAGCGAGTCTGTAAACGAGCTTCACCGCTCCCGCGGCTGTCGGTCTTCCGGGAGGGAATGTCTCGGTGGCCAGGTAGCGTCGGGTAACTGCCGACGCCAACGTAGGCTTTGTATACGCGGGGTGAGGGTCGACGCGGAAGATGTTGGACAGTCCCTTCGTGCTGAACCCGCCTGAGTCGATGAGAGTGACCTGCAACCAAGTAAGCAACCGGACGCCCTGTGGTCATGACGACGGTGCGTATTCACCTTGATGTTCCATTCCGGGTCCAGCTCAGCGGCAAGGCCTTCGCTCAGTCCCTCAAAAGCTGGTCGCGCAGGGATGTGAGTACAGGCATATATTCGTCCCCCTTCAAAGCTCACCGCGTTTACTGGCACCATAGTACCCGATGCCTGGGGAGTTACCGTAGACAGCCATCGAGCTCATCTGTAAGAGCCGACCGCCTTGCGGCTGGTTGACGTCGCGGAAGACGCGCACTGCCTCCTTGCTGACATTGGCAGCACCGAAGAAGTTCACGTCGAACATCGCACGCGCTTGTTCCTCTGGCGTCCCCTCCACTTCCGCGAGTATGCCGAACCCTGCGTTGTTGTATACAACGTCGATGCGCCCGAACTTGGCCACGGCCTCGGCGAACGCCACCTTCACCTCCTCGGGCTTGGAGACGTCGAGTTTGACGATGAGGAGCTTGTCGGAGCTGTATTTGGCTGTAAGGTCCGCGAGTACCTCAGGCTTCCTGAGCGTGGCGATGACAATATCGCCCTTCTCCAGTACGAGCTCTGTCATGTTCCGGCCAAAGCCGCTGGAAGACCCAGTGACTGCGGATACTTCATGAATGATCTGATAACGCATGACAAGGAGGAACGCACTCACTGAACCATACTTGGGGAGAAGACATCTTGGTGGCGGTCTAGTTGGGTGTTCGTGTTGCTTCAATCCTGCCACAACACGGACCTCTCTCCCTCCTTTATACGCTAGCCTTCTCGGCCATCGCGGTAAGTTTCATTCGGTCTGAGACGACTGCTGTGCTTTCCGCGCCTTTGTATTCCCCATAAGTAAGGTATCTGGTAGCGAGACAACCCACGTTCATGGGGTACTTATGTGACTAATTGTGCAAGCCATCTGCTAAGTCCGAGTCCGTCGGCAATGGCTTTCTGTGTCTTTCCGCGAATAGGACGCGGCTAGAATCAACCCAAGAACGATCTCAATGCATAGACATACTTATCACTGTTGTACCCGGTTCGTCGGCTGTACCGGTGTGCATCAGGTTTCAATGCAACAGGTAGTGTCTACAAATCCCGGTGCCGGAGAAGATGAAAACGAAAGCTATTCTCGCGACGAGAGCCTTGTTTCATATTAACCATTAACATGACGAACACTCAGACCATACTATAGAGGACACTGTTTGTTGATAGTGTCGCGCCCTGCCATCACTCGTTGAAGTCTGAGCCCCCCGTTCGGCGCCGTTACAGCTCCCATATAAAAAATGTCGGCTCAAGCAATTGAACGTCATACATCGTCAATGTTCCGCATACATATCATTGCAGGGAGTGGACAGAGTGGGATGTCGTTAAAACGATTTAAGTACTTAGGCGTCTGAAAAGTTACTGACAAAGAGTACCTTACGATACCTGTAAAAAGAGCTGAGTTAACAAGTCCGTTTGGTTCAAACGATAGGTATCCTCCGTGATGTTGACCGAAGGTACGGGGTCGACGAATGTCAGCAAGGGAGGAGCGTCCATGGACGAGTTCCACAGCGGCCACGTGATGTTTGACAAGTAGCTGACGTTCGATGCAACATTACTAGGTGCATTTGGGTTGAGGTAGTGGGCGAAGTAGACTGCATGTGCATAATGCTCAGCGAAATGGAATGATCAGGCATCGCAAGCTGCAGACGTACTCAGTGCATCCGTCCCTATATAGTCGATGTCTGTGAAGAACTCCGGGATGTCGGCGGTGTGATATACGCCAGTGTAGGGGTCATCATTCCTCTTGAAGCCTGTCGCATGTCCATCAGGTCTGTTGTTGAGCTACAGCCTTGTGAGGTCGCTTCACTTACGGAAAGCCCATGCATTCTGAGTTTTTGATGCATGCTTCAGAAGGAACCGCCGTGGCGCCTGGAAGATGACGTCGCCTATGAAAGCCGCCATGCGCTTATACTGAGGGCTGCAGGTATCTGACGTCAGCTCACACAAAAACAACAGCTGAAGCGGGAACATACGTGATGTTGTACATGGAACCTGTTCCGAACGGAGAGCCCTACCGCAATGTCAGCAACTAGACAGCCAAATTTCGAGCGCGTTCTGTCACGTACCAAGCTTGGATCAGCCGGGTATGCTTGAGCAACCTCATCGATATCGCTATCCGAAAGGTTGAATAAATAGCTGTAATTCGAAGTACGTTGAGATCCATTCAGGTAAGTTGCGCTCATAGCACGAGCACGGGGGACTCACTTCACTTGTATGTATTGACGGAACTCGTCGTCCGTCCTGTGATGGGTCTGTTAGTGGGCCACACTGACGATGAAATGAATGCTACATACGTGACATTCAAACTCGTAAGTGCGAAAATCGTACCCTCATCCTCGCAATCCCCTGCAATAATGGGCACCTAGCATCCGATCTGAGCAGATCTATCCATCTAGTATATGAGGTTCACGCCGACCTTTGCAATGACACCGTCCTCGATCATGCGTGAAGGGTTGTACGGAATGATGTTGCCGTCAATGCGAGGCTGCCAAGCAAGGTTGTTACTCTGGTAGGAAGTGATACTCGGCGTAGCATTGACCGCAGCCCACAACGCTTCCAAGGGCGCATGTCGGAGACACTCCAGGGTGTCTGCTGCGCCAGTACAATTCGTGGACTGCACCAATTCGTCATAGTAGACTTGCCCGTCTGAGACGTTCGAGATGGCATGCGGAGATCCCGATTCCTTCCGCGACCGGTGAGACGCTGAGCTTGCACTTGATAAGCTGTCAGGCTGCACGTACCATGACAGCGCCGCGGAAGAGGCCACGAGTAGACCCGTTGTGCATGAGTAAGTGATAGCCTGTGGACTCCGATCCGGCACTCTCTCCCCAGCTTCAGTGGCGAGATCGTCAATAGCTAGCGTGCGACTCATACCAGCGGATTACCCACATGATGACTTTGTCAGGATCACCGCCGAAGGCGGAGATATGCTCATGAACCCACTCCATTGCCAGTTGTTCTGTCTCGAAGCTCAAGCTTCATATACACGACAGGATGATGACTACTTACGATCGCGCAGCCCAAGGTTCGTTGCACCTGCTTCCTGGACCTCCGCGCTCGCCAAAAATCCTAAGGCTGCGTACCAAGATGTTTGTGAGCATGGACAGACAGTATGAGCGGATTCGACGACGCTCACCATTCAGACGGTAGTTGACCGAGACAAAGACCACTGGCTCATTCAGGACGAGAGAACGCTCTACGATTGGTGCGCCCGGGTACGAAGAGGAGTCTCCTGTCTCGTAACCGCCTGAACAAGTGTTAATATAACACTAATACGAGGGCGTTCCCTGTACGTACCTCCAAAAAACCACTATAGCATTTGCATGAGCCAGCGTATACATCTGGCACTGCAGGTATAACGTACCATCAAAACAGGAAGTCCGTGATCTTGCTGCGCTGACGCAGGCGTAAGAACGTTGACAAACAAACCTATCGCGAAACACGGAAGTCGGTTCTGCAGGCCAGCAAGAAGATTATATCAATACGTACAGTCCTCCGACTCATTGATGATAGGAGTAACGTTCGCGATGGGATACGTAAACGGTGGTAGAGCGAACGGAAGTTGTCCAGCTTGTGAACTACCAATGGTACCCTGTTGCAGGCAAGCTGCACCATAGGCGGTAGCATTCCGGACGCCGATCCATGGCTTCGGCGGGCGTGCAGGTCTGAAGCGAAGGTCGCCGACGCTGAGTAGATCGGTGACGATCAGCGAACGGATTTCATCGAGGTAGCAGGACACTCACGGAGGGTCTGCATACGGAATACCCAGGAACGAGGAGACATTGCCTGAGGTGAATCCCTCGAAGACACCATAGGAGAGAGCGACGACTGGGTAATCTCCGTACAAGAATCGGGAAGCAAAGACGGAACTTGCAGACACCAAGGCCAGTCCAGAAAGCAAGACACGTTGCATCGTGATGAAGAGTCAAGGTTGAGGAAGTAGTCTCGGAGTCAAAGAGAGAATCGAAGAGGAAAGAGATGGTTATTGAGCGAGATGTTGTCCATCCTTAAGTACTCCTGTCAAGGTTGATAGCGCAGCGTCAACTCAGCACGAACATTGCGTCTTACGAGAATAGGCATATACCGCAGCTCGGCATGATGTCCGGGAAGAGCTCGAGCGCGACCTTCATGATCATGTTCAGACGATAGCTGTGCATTCCAGCCGCACTCGGCTGCATCGGGCGCCGTTCGTCTAATGGGTCGTTGTGCAATGGCAGGTAATCTTCCAGGAGACGCATGTAGTACGGCATTAAACAAGAATGCACTGGCAGCTGCTTCGGGTTGCACTCGGGGATCAGCCGACGATCAATGAAGTCTGAGAGTGAACAGACATACCCCTGTGGCGTGACTACCAGCGCACTCAGACTGCCAGGAGCAGTAGAATGCTGTGTCGGCTGCACAGACGAGTTGATGCGCTGAGCCATCCTCGAGCGATCAGGCAATACAACGACTGAACAGACATTGAACGCTGGTGATCGGCGCGCAGGGCCGGACCGTCACGATACCCGAGAGGCTTTGTAGCAGTATGAATAGGTGAGGCTGTAAGATATGGAAAGGGGGTTCCGAGTCAATACATCGTCTCCGCAAGCAGGGCTCGAGTAACTTACATACTCTGACGAAACCATAGTCGGTTGCCATTATGGCCTCGTTCCATCTGCATGGCCAGCAAGTGAAGGCAACATGCGGCGAATTCAACAACACTCGAACAGCAACAGTGCTTCAAGTTCACGATCGCTCGGGTCCAATGGGAACTTCTGCAAGTCTCGAGGAAAATCGTCGTCGACTCGCAACGGCACAGTACTGCATGTGCGCATGCACATACTCGCCGCCCCACAACTCTGGAAAATGGCCTCTATATTGTGAGGTCTATGCAAATACTGTTGGCAGCTATGATATGAAATTATGGCGACTTACTGTACGGTGTATCGCATGCGCAGCTGAGATGTCTGAAACGCTACACAGAAAATCCCTGAAATGCCACAGTTTGAAAACGTAGAGATAGTCTTCTCTAGACGGTCGTCGTCACGGGCACGACGGAGCTCGACAGCTGGACAAACGTGACGCTCTGTGCACACAAATCAGATCGACCGCCACCAATGCTGGACTCGAACACGTACCACGGCAGTTATGGACCCGAACGAGATTGCGTAACGGGAAAGGTCAGCGGTGAGAATAACGACATTCTGGGCGATCGCGAAGTACGTCTTCGGTGTGCCTAAGTACAACCATGCTGTTTAGCATGTTCTCAAGCGCACGGCGAACAAAGGGTAACGCACTTCCATCAGTGTTGACCCACTGCGCGGTGACCGCGCCCGTGGTCGGGTCGATCGTCCAGATGTCGCTCTCATATGGCTTGACAGTGCCCGACGCGGCGGTGAAGGAGTTGGCGCCACTTTGGGCCGGAGCGTTCGGCGAGGCTATGGGCGACGGAGACCGTCAGAAAGCTGCCAACGCCTCTGCAACATGGGTCGAACGTATATTCACCCTGGCTTCCGCCGATGTATGCGTAGTTGACCGTGCCGGCTACCAGGTTAGAGTTGGCATTTGCGAACCCGCCGATAGCCGCGAGGTTGGCAGTGTAATCCGATGACCCGTTCTAAAGCAGAGGCATGTCCGTTGAACTCATCGTACAAGGTTATGGAAAAAACCCGAAACGCACAAGCGTCTTGAGGTTGAGCGAGCTATAGCTGATGTCATCGGTACATTGCTGGTACGTGTCGAACTTAGTCTGAGCTGACACCGCGGGCAAACCAGGTTGTTCGAACTCCGAAAACCCCTACGAACATCGGTCCCGCCTGGGAACCTCTACGGACTCCGAATATTGTCAGAACATGCTGCGAACATGATGCGTTTCAGCCGATTTCAGCATGTTCGGAGGCCAAACATGCGTGTTTTCGGCGAACATGCTACGAACATGAGAAATGTAGGAGCATTTTCGGAGTCAGTCAAGCTCTCCGAAAAGGTTCCCATGGAGGACCGATGTTATTAGCATTTTCGGAGCCCGAAAAACCTGGTTTGCCCGCGGTGTGAGCGCTGAGCGGTGTCCTCGAGCGGCCACGTGTGCGGAGCACAAAATACCACGTGGAGGAGGCGGCTTGTTCCGAACCTACTTACCCGGGTTGCAGCAGGGCAGCGGCAGAACGGGCATTTTACATTCAATGTACGTTGAACATCCTGATCACGTCGAGGGCCCTTTATGCTGATCACTTAGCAGATATTTAGTATTCAGTGAGGTCTGCAGAGGTCTGTATTCATTTGCTCCTTACGCAGATTGAAGTTCATTGAACTCAGAGCATGCGGCATTGTCCCTGTGATCGCATCATGGCAGCAGTCACCACACGACTTCGCTCACAGTTCGCTCACTCAACTCAGGTTATACTTGGGTTATACATGGCTGAGACTCAAGTACCCTCGGGGAATGGCGCAAAGATCTTATTCGATGCGGGCCCATAGCTATCCAGCAGGCCTAGGGTATGCAACCGATGGTGAGTCGGCGCCGGCGTCAGTCGTTGTGGTGATTTGATGATGCTGTGCAGACATATCCCAATGCCAACAGCGGCAGTCTATACAGGCCTGAGGGGTGAGTTGAGTGCATTGACATGGAGTTATCCTCAATAAACGACGGACGTGTCGTTGTGCATGACTGGTTGACCAATCGGTCCTAGTCTCCGCCTTAAACATATATGAGCACGCCGTGTGAGTATGTACAAGCTTGACATTCCGACATGTCTCCGTCGGTTCGATTCCCCATCAAGCCGCCCCGCGGCCCGTGTGATCTATGACTGTTATGAGCGAAGGCCGCTCAGGCAGCCAGAACATCGCCTGCTTGTAACCATGGAGGTCTCGGTGACCGCCTCTGTGCTCGCTGGGCTCGCAGCCCTCTACGTCTTTGTGAATCATCTCTGGCCCAGCAAGCAGAACGTGAGTTTTGCTCGTCATGGATACCCGTGGACGTTTTCGCTGACCTCGGACCCATCGACTGCGATATCCAAACTATCGACTTACACCGATGAACTCACTCTGTACCGTCTCATCTGCCTAGCTCGCCCATATACCGACAGTGGGCGGTCCGTCGTTCCCTCTTTTATCTTACATCGGTGCATATCGCTACTTGTTCCACGCTCCGGAAGTGCTGGAAGAAGGGTATGTTAAGGTGAGCTTCCACCAGCGGATCTGTGTAATGTGGAACAACAACTCTGGGGAACTTGAAACGATAGCGTTGGCCTATGCAGTACTGTCATGCTTCTGCTGCACGGCCTCGCGTGCACATCCCTTATCTCAATGCGACCCACGGGAAGCTAATCTTGTGTGGATGACCGCAGCATAAGGGCGGGTTCTTCAAACACGCAGAGGTCGGTCGGAGGGGCTGGAGCGTCGTCGTCGCTTCGCCGAAGCATATCGACGAGCTGCGCAAGGCTGCCGACGATGAGCTCTCGTTTTCAGAGGCAACAAACGAGGTGTGTACCTTCCTTACATCGCCTACTGGCTCTGCTGATACTCAGCCATCATGTTTTGTAGGCTCTCCAGGTGGACTACACACTCGGCCCCAGTGTGCACATCAACCCATACCACATCCCAATCGTCCGCTCGAATTTGACGCGCGCTCTGGGCGGGCTCTTCCCGGAACTGCGTGACGAGATCATTCACTCATTCAAGACCGTGATCCCGGAAACAGACGGTGAATGAATACATGAATGGCGCACGTTTGCCGTCTAACCTAGTGTTTATGTATCAGATTGGGTGAAGGTCAATGTTTATTCGACTGTGATGGAGATTGTTTGCCGGACCAGCAACAGGCTATTTGTCGGGCTTCCGTTATGTAACTCGAGATCTCCGGGCGGGGTTGGCGTTTCTTACACGCGCAACTCGTTTCACAGGTCGGAATGAAGACTATTGCGCACTCAACAAGCAGTTCACCATTGATGTCTTCGCTGGAGCCCAAATCATCAATCTTTTCCCGAACCTTCTCAAGCCGTGAGTGCTACTTTGACTCTAGACCTGGGTCAATCTGTTGACTCCGTGCTGCAGGATCGCAGGACGTCTCTTAACCAATGTTCCCAAGAGCATTCGCCGTGGCGAGAAACACCTTGGCCCGGTCATTGAGGGGCGCTTCGAACACGAGCCGGGTGAGGAATGGGAGGGCAAGCCGGTGCGTCGGAACCTATCGCGTACGGGCCCAGGCTCTCTGACCCGGTGCTCGCCCAGGATGACATGCTCCAGTGGCTCATCGATGCAGCGGAAGGCGAAGAGCGCAGCGTTCGAGCTCTGGTGCTACGCATGCTTACCGTGAATATTGCTGCGATACATACGTCCTCCATAGTACGTTTCTCAGGTGCTTCATCGTGAATGTTCAATTCGCTGAGGTTGTTTTGATAGTCGTTCACTCAAGCTCTCTTACTCCTGGCTGCGCACTCGGAGTGTATACCGGCCCTAAGGGAGGAAGTCGAGCCTATCGTGCGCGAGGAGGGTTGGACGAAGGCTGCCATGAACAAGATGCGCCGCGTGGACAGCTTCCTGAAAGAGACCCAGCGATTCCTCGGTCTTGGCGCCAGTGAGTCTCTCACGGTCAAGTCCCATTCGACCTGACGGTACCAACTGGTGCAGAATCCATGACGCGGAAAGCACTCAAAGACTTCTATTTCTCGGACGGAACATACATTCCCGCTGGGACCATGATCTCCGCACCTTCGTACAGTCTCCACCACGACGGCCACTTCTACGACAATCCCACCGTGTTCGACCCGTTCCGCTTCGCACGTATGCGCGACGACGACGGCGAAGGCCTGCGGCACCAGATGGTCGCAACGAGTCCTGACTACATTCCGTTCGGCCACGGGCGGCATGCATGGTGCGTACAGTTCCGCACCCAAGACTTACCGCAGGCGCCGCTAAACTTGCCTAATCAGCCCCGGTCGATTCTTCGCTGCCAATGAGCTTAAAGCCATGCTCGCGCACTTTGTTGTGACATACGATGTCAAGATGGAGCGTGAGGGCCAGATGCCGAACGAGCGCTGGTTTGGTACATCGCTAGTACCTGATCGTAATGCACAGGTGCTCATCCGCAAGCGACGTGATTGAGACTGAGGATATCGACTTGCATTCAGTGGCCGTCTGGCTTATTGCATATACACATATATTCGTTACAACCTGTGTTGACTCGGACAAGTGCTTCTGTGTTTGTACCCATCATGTAGTCTGCAATTGGTGCACTCCATTTGTACGTAGGACTAGTATCACGGACCTGGGGTATGACGTTAATATATGGTCGGATACATGGAAACGGCGCCAAGTGTGTTTAAAGCATGTCTTGAAAGCAGCGCCATGGCTAATGCACTTGTCCTAGTAGGGGGGGGGAGGAGAAGGAGAAAGAGCCTACGTATTCGCCGGCTGACGACACTGCGGCGCTGATGGACTTCATCGAAAACGACGGTGTTCTGGTTCCAACCACGGCTCCGTATTGTACTACTACATGATATAGAGACATCATGTTCTACCACTGCCAAGGGCCAGACGTAGTATGTAAACGCGCACACGTGATCGCGTCTCCGGTTCTGCATCGGATGGCAGCAGCCTCTACCTACGCCGTACCTGGAGATCCTCACTGATTCAATCCTCCTGTATGCAACAAATATTCAGCAGTACATCCGTCTAAGTTGATAACATTGTCCCACGTCCAACCTTGGCACTCGGTGGGTTCATTTGAATTTTTGTTTGCAGAGGGCGTCTAAGTATCTAATCTCATGAGATACGATCGAGATTTCACAGATCTATCCTCGAGTCAAATCCTGTACCCTCACTGAGTTTCTCCTCTCACCAACACGACAGGTACTAGCCATGGCTCCCCTTACTCATCGCTCAATCAAGGGTGGGTACCATGTTCTATCATAAGTGTATACGTCTGACGGAAACCAGATGGTTGGTTCAGGGAGATCTCATCGCAGTGGCCGGGCCAGGCGATGACCCTCAAGGTCAAGAAAATCCTCCACGTCGAGAAGTCTCTGTACCAGGATGTGCTCGTCTTCGAGTCTGAGACATATGGAAACGTCCTTGTGCTCGACGGTGTCATCCAGTGCACCGAGCGCGATGAATTTTCGTAAGTGCGCTCAAGCCCGAATAAGATCGAATCTGATCTTTGTACAGCTACCAGGAAATGATCGCACATCTTCCTTTGGCTAGCCATCCGAATCCGAAGAAGGTGCTGGTCATTGGCGGTGGTGACGGTGGTGTCGTCCGGGAGGTGTTGAAGCATGACACCGTTGAGAATGTTGTGCTCTGCGACATCGACGAGGTATGTACCACGCCTATCCGTTGCATCGGTATGTCTCACCTGCGATTAGGCCGTAATCAGAGTCTCGAAGAAATACTTGCCGCACATGTCTTCTCTTCTTTCTGACCCGCGAGTCACGGTCTTCGTTGGTGATGGCTTCAAGTTCCTCGAGGAGAACACCTCCACCTACGACGTGATTGTCACCGACTCCTCTGACCCAGTCGGTCCTGCCGAGGCCCTCTTCCAAAAGCCCTACTTCCAGCTCCTCTACAACGCGCTCACTCCCGGCGGTCATATCTCTACTCAGGCAGAGTGCCTGTGGCTGCATCTCCCTCTCATCAACGATCTGCGCAAGACGACTCGCGAACTCTTCCCTGTTGCGGAATACGCGTTCACCACAATTCCTACCTACCCATCAGGCCAAATCGGCTTCGTTATCTGCTCTAAGGAGGCCAGCCACAACGTGCGTGTGCCGCTACGCAAGGTCACGCCCACCCGGTACTACAATGCCGAGGTGCACAAGGCAGCCTTCGTCTTACCCGAGTTCGGACGTTCTTTGGTCGAGGATGGGAAGGATATCACGCCCAAGCTGGGCAAGGCAGACACGGGCAAGTCCCGCAAGAAGGTGCTGCTGCTCGGAAGCGGCATGGTGGCCCGTCCCGCCGCGGAGTATGTCGTCCGCGAGCCGGAGAACAGCTTGACGATTGGTACGTCGGCGTCTGTGATTGGGACACAGTTACACGTGTGCTTACGGTTCCGTAGCCTGCAGGACGCTCGCAACCGCCAAGGGTCTTGCTGCGGACCTCCCGAACACGACCGCTATTTCCCTCGATGCAAGCAACACCGAGGCGCTTGAGAAGGCTGTCGCGGAGCACGATCTGGTCATCTCGCTCATTCCCTACACCTACCACGCCACCGTCATCAAGGCAGCGATCAAGGGCAAGACGCATGTCGTCACGACCAGCTACGTCAGCCCTGCGATGCACGAGCTCGACGCCGCCGCTAAGGAGGCCGGCATCGTCGTCTTCAACGAGATCGGGCTCGACCCGGGCGTGGATCACCTGTACGCTGTGAAGGTGATCGACGAGGTGCACGCCAAGGGCGGCAAAGTGAAGGAGTTCTACTCGTACTGCGGCGGCCTGCCCGCGCCCGAGGCGTCGGGCAACCCGCTCGGTTACAAGTTCTCATGGTCCGCGCGTGGCGCGCTCCTGGCACTACTCAACTCGGCGTCGTTCGTCTCGGAGGGAAAAGAGGTCAGCGTGGACGGCAAGGACCTGATGGCGACCGCGAAGCCCTATTACATCTCGCCGCCGTACGCGTTCGTCGCGTACCCGAACCGCAACTCGGTTCCGTTCCGCGAGTTCTACCAGATTCCGGAGGCGCAGACAGTCGTGCGCGGCACCCTGCGCTACCAGGGCTTCCCCGAGTTCGTCAAGGCGTTTGTCGCGCTGGGCTGGTTGAACCCCGAGAAGAAGGATTGGCTCTCGGAGAACCTCACCTGGGCGGAGGTCATGCAGAAGGCGATCGGTGCGAGCGATGCTAGCGAGAGGTGAGACATCAACATGACTGTCCGTTTGTCAGGAGTTGACGGCTTTTCAGTACGCTCATCGCGAAGGTCAAGGAGCTCTGCACTTTCCCTGATGCGTCGGAGAGCCATCGTATCATCTCCGGCCTGAAATGGCTGGGCCTGTTCTCGACGGAGAAGGTGGAGCCGCGCGATGGGAACCTGCTCGACACGCTCTGCGCACGCATGGAGAACCTCATGAAATTCGAGGAGGGCGAGCGGGACTTTGTCATGCTGCAGCACAAGTTCGTGGTCGAGTACCCCGATGGCAAGCAGGTATGTTGGCGAAAATCACTTCTGATATTGAACGGCACTCACTGACATCGTGCGCGCAGGAGACCATCACGTCCACCTTGGAGGCGTATGGTGACCCGACTGGCCACTCGGCCATGGCGCTCTACGTCGGTGTTCCCTGCGGTATCGCCGTCCAGCTCGTCCTCGATGGCGTTCTTAGTACACCCGGTGTCCACGCGCCTTACAGCCCAGAGGTCTGCAACATCCTCCGGGCCAAGGTCGAGGAGGAAGGGCTCGGTCTGACTGAGAGGGTCTTGTAAGTTGGGTCAACACGCAGTCACCAAAAACGAAAGGCACGCAGTGCTTGATGTAGACGTGAGATGTATCGCTATGTAGCCGAAACATAAGACAATGTATTGGTAGAGAGTAGGATGTCAACAACGCAAGGCGTCATTGTTTCGGGATGCGGAGCGCTTGTGAGGGACAATAGCGCTGTTCTGGTCCACCATGTGCATTAACCCTATTCAGGTCCTCTTCTTGCCTTCATTCGTGATTCGGACTGTACAGAAGACCTGGCTTGCTTGGATTATCAGCGTGATCTAAAGCTTGTTCCGTGCTTGATCTACACTGTACAGTCTCGAGCGAGCGGCCCTCAACCTGAATCTCATGGCGTCTCCTCGAGACTTACGGCCCACTCCTACGGATGGCTACTCAACAGCTACCTCGTTTATGCAGCAGGATACTGAGGAGACTCTTCTAGCTCATCTTCCCCAATCACTAGCTTCAGGGGGTGTAATAGCCAGCCAGAATGTGCCTGCCGTCCTCCAGCGGAACGTTCATATGCAGTATCTCCTGCGCAACTTGCGACAAGGCTTCCCCCAACGATATACTGGCCAGGATGCGAGTCAGGCGTGGCTCATGCACTGGACGTTCCAGGCATTCAGTTGCCTCGGTGTTGGGATGGATGGAGAGACGAAGAGAAAGTGAGTCCGCTCGTCCAGGTCGTTGCTTTTGCGGCGCCTGTTGCACGACTCAACCACCCTTGGACGCAAGCCGTTAATATGAATCTGCTATGCTAGGGCACGCGAGAAGATATTGGCCATGCAACACGAATCTGGAGGGTTTGGCGGAGGTCCAAGCCAGGCTCCGCATCTACTAGCCACCTATGCTGCAGTCTCTGCACTTGCAGTCGTCGGAGAACCTGGACCCGGCGGGGGTTGGGATGAGATCGATAGGTACGTCTTTGCGTTTGTAGTCTACGGCACCAGTAACGCTGGAACTCAGGCAGAAGATGTACGAGTTCTTCATGTCAGTGAAGCAATCCGACGGGTCCTTCCTGGTATCTCACCATGGAGAGGTGGACGTCAGGTGAGCCCCTTCGCTTCGCTTCGGTTGACGTTGTTCTCACTGAATTGGTTCATTATGCAGAGGACTATACTGTCTTCTTGCGGTCGCGACACTCCTCAACTTGTTGACTCCAGAGCTACTCCAGGGCGTACCTGAGTTCATCGCAAGCTGTCAGACCTACGAGGGTGGTTTTGGCAATGCTTCTTTCCCGGACTGGGCATTCAGCACTGGTGTGTCCGATTCATGTCGCATTGCCTGGGTCTGCTTAGGTTTGGCTGTGTAGATGGCTATGACCCAGCAGCCCCTCGTCCCGTCCTAGGTGAAGCTCACGGCGGCTACACCTTCTGTGCACTCGCTTCTTGGGTATTCCTCCAACCCTATCTCCGCATCTACTATAAGTCCAAGCCCCCGTCCACCGCCGATGCACCTGCTGCCATTGACCGGATTCCGCCTACCATCAACATGCGTTCCCTCATCCGTTGGCTCACGCATATGCAGGGCACTGGCATCGAACTTGGAGGCTTCAAAGGCAGGACAAACAAGCTCGTAGACGGGTGCTACAGCTGGTGGGTCGGCGGTTGCTTCCCCCTCGTGGACGGCCTGTTGGGCCCAGGCGCTTCCGCTGCTACACACGAAACTGAGACGGCTACCAAGGCAGAACATGCGCAGGCGTCTGCGGAAGACAATGACTGGCTCGACATTGACGGTGGGTGAATTCGCCGACTAGCGCGGGCTTCCCGGTCATCATGCATGATGGCCGGACTCCTCGCGCACAGTCCGACATGTATGCGTAATGACCGGAGCGACTGACTTGGCCCGCCTACAGACGCACTATTCAATCGCGAGGCGCTGCAGGAGTACGTCTTGTTCGCCGGTCAACATCCTGCCGGCGGATTGAGAGATAAGCCGCCCAAGTGAGTTCGATGTAACCACACCCCTGCCATCATGATATCCTGAATGCCCGGCTCTGAGCCGTGAACGAATTCGCTGTTGCTGACGCCATCTGCCAGACACCCGGATTCGTACCACACTTTGTACTGCCTTGCTGGTCTTTCCGCGGCTCAACACCGCGTTGGCCCCGATCACTCGCGGAGGGAAGCTCTGCTCCAGAGCTGGGATGCAGACGCAGCCCGACAGAAGGCCGGTACGTGTGTTTGACCGTTCTTCACGTAGTGTTTTAATTCACAGGACACAGTTGCGTCCGGTCCTCCGGACTCGCAGGAGCGTCTAGACAGTCTGCGCCGAGAATCCTTCCTTGACGCCCTGTGCTGGTTGGAAGACGAAGGCGCGGACAAGTACGTCGGAGGGTCTGCGAATCGTGTGGTGAGCTTTCTCCCATGCCTGTCTTCCCTGTGCGGTGCGTTAACACACCGCTTGATAGAATGCGACCCAGCCTCTGTTCAATCTGACGATCACCCATACCGAGCTTATGATGAAGCACTTCTACCAACAGAATTTGCCTTCGCGGGTACCGAAGGCGGCAGCAACGCGCCCTTGACTCCATGCTCATCTCCGTTTTTGGAAGCAAGCTTTGATCTAAACGCGGATGACATGTGCGTCCTGTGATGCGACGTTGGTAGGGATGGTAGTACAATGTCCTGAAGTGCTGTAAAACTCTGAACCGGTATGACAATAGCTTCCAGGCAGTTGCGGGGTCCGTGAGTCTTTCATGGGTTTGTGCCCCTCATCATGCTAAACAATGTCTCTATAACGAGTGTTGCGATCACCGTTGTAGCACTTGGACGTGATCTCCGGGTTATTGAGACTGGCGCGCCCAAGGGCCCCGGTAATGATCCATCGCGGCTTCTGGCTCCCAAGTTAGACTTCGTGGTGGCCGTGTGTGGACAACAGCAGGATGGTCTCCGGTCATCGGTTGTCGAGGTCATTGATCATGATTCAGCCCTACAAATACACCCTCAGCGTCAACCAATATCAATGGTTGGCCACCGATACGTATCATCAGACATCGAGGTTGGTGTCCTCCGAGGCGCAGTTCCTACCGGGCGTCACGTGCGGCTAGCATTCATTGAGGCTTCCGCTTCGACCCCGGGCCAATTCCTGGCATATGGTTCGTCCTGGGTTCGTCCATCGCCAGGAGGAGCATCAGTCCAAGCGGCCAATGTGGCCATGTTCCGAGTCATCGCGGCGGCGATAGTGTAATAGACAAAGGGCGGCCGCGACTTCTACAATTATTCAATGGCTGGGCCGAGAGTCGGATGGCACTACAGTATACGTTTTCAAGGCTATCCTTGACTTCGTCTCCGGGGTAGAACCCTGAAGTCAATGCTGTACCGCTAGATCCTAAATATAAGAAAATACAAGCCCTACATCCACGACATTCGTCCTGAGGTTAGATAGAAAGAAACTCTACATATACTGAGCATGGTTAATTAAAGTCAGACTGGAGGGGTAGTAGGCGTGTATACTGCGACTTCTAACGTGTCGGCACGAATATATCAGATTCCATGCTGGAGGAAAGCAACACGGCCCCTCTCTTCTCTGCGCGCCTTGATGACCACGGGGAGGACCTTCACCACCTCGTTCCACCGGACCCAAGAGTCGCATATCATCGTGCGGCGCTCGTCGAATATCCCCGCGTTATCCAGCGCGAGGCCGTACGCGTCCGGCCAGCGCAGCCCCGCCACGATCTCGCACACGGGCGTACAGAGCTGGCTGAGGAAGAGGGCGACCGAGTCCGCGGCGGCGATGTTCGACGCGCCGACGGACAGCTTCTCGAGCGATCTGAACGGCTGCTCGACTGCCCTGGAGGGCCGCGCGTCGGCGTTGATGTAGAGCCCGAGGTGGCGCAGGCGGAGACAGTGCCTTGCGAAAGGGATGAGAGCACCCAGCGTGAGGGGCGAGGGCGTGAACTCGATGACGGCCGAGCTGTTGAGCATGAAGTGCTCTAGGCCTGGCCACGCGAGCGCGAACTCCTCCATGTCGTGGTCCTGTAGGCACGGGGCGTAGTCCCACCTGAACTCGAAGGAGGTTATGCGCCTACATGCGAAGAGCGGCCGAAAGGTCGCGATGCTCGGACGTGCGTCCATGGGAGGAGCGGGGACAACGAGAGAGACGTCTGGACATAAAATGAAGTCGACCGTGAGTTCGACCAGCTCAGGACAGTTCCGCGCGACCGTCGAGAAGAATGTCTCCAGTACGTCTGGATCGACGACATCGACTGCATGCACGTGAAGGCGGGTCAACCTCTCAGGGAAGAATGGAGACTGGAGGAACCGCGTCGCGGCGGGTATACGGGCACTGAAGCTCATTCGCCGGAGGACAGGAAAAGCGTCCTCCTGGAGCTCGGGAGAAAATCCCAGGACGTCCATAGGGTCGCCCATGCCGCCCTCGTCCGGGCCCGCGAGGGCGACCTCTCGCAGGTCCTCCAGGCGGGACAGCTCCTCCATGATACTATTCGTCGAGCCACACAGCGGGATGTCGACCTTCTGCAATTTCAGTAAGTTCTCCAGGAGCCGGCAGATATCCTCCTCGAGCTCGCGCACGGGTCCGCGCCGGCGCAGCGTCAGATGCGTGAGGTTCGGCGCCCACTGGCTGATCTGGTACACAAAATCAATCGCCGTCGTCGAGTAGCTGCCCGGGGGCAGGATCTGCACGTCGAGCTCGCGCAGGCCCCTGTGCATGAGGCTGAGCGACTGCAGCTGCGTGTCGGGGGTGTGCACGTGCCAGACGATGGTCTGGAGGTTCGGCAGGATCCCGCCCCTCACTATCTTCCGTGTGGTGGACATGAAGAAGACGGAGTTGTCGAGGACCTTCGTGCGGTACTTCGGGGACCGCTCGTCGAACACGAGCCGGCGGACGTGCGTCGAGTAGCGCGAGAACCGCTGCCAATCCTTCTGATAGATATCTCGCTTGAATTTCTGAGGGGCATTTCAAGTTATCAGGTTCTGCTCTTCCCTCTGTGGTGAAACGGCACTGACGAATGACTGCAACATACGGCCGCCTTCGCCCATCTTCTTCATCGGCTTCGCAAACGGGCAGAGCATGCTGAACAGTCGGTGGAGGTCATCCACCTCGCGCCACAGCACGCCGAGCGCGATCTCCGACCATCGTCTGCAGACGCACGCCGCCCGTGCGAGCGAGCGGTTGTCGAGGAACGCGAGGATGATCGCGACGAGCTCGTTTACCTCGCCGAGGGCTCTCGCGGGAGGTGCCATGTCCGAGCGGGCGTGCCAGGGAACTCCAAGTGGAGAGGCTGGGGGCGATGTAGGACACCGGCTATGTTCTCGGCGTCCTATAAGCGTGTCGGGGCGCCGGGCATCATCGTGCGGCTAGGTTGCCGAGATCGAGGGTGTCGTTCATTTTGATCACTTGATACACCGGTTTCGCGCCCGGTGCGGTGCCGGACGCTCGTCGAGGCCTTGGGAGCGGACGGAGGGCGAGGACAAGGTGAGGACGCGGGCATTGACGCTGCGGACACTGACCTATACGGAAGCCTGGCTCCGCCAATTGTGAAGGGAATCAGGCGGCTCGCAGACTACGCTACTAGCTACAGCTGGTCGAAGCTACGATCAGGAGGACGGTACACATTAATGCCTCCGGCTATCTCGCACATCCGAGTCGCGTATCGGCTACACTTAGTCAGTGAGGCCGAGGGGTACGGGGTGCAGTACCCAGTGAGATTAGTAGCTCATAAGTAGTATGCGTGTACACTGTAGTCCACTTCTCAGGCCCAGCCGGTGAAATCAGTTTCGCCCTTTCCCCTCAGGCGAGTATTGCATTAATGCTCTTGGTAGGCGAAACAGAAGGGACTTTGGTTGGTATGTAAGGTGCTCCTCAGAGTCCTCACTCGTCCCAGCTAACTTACATATTGACTTCTGTCACGACAGAATACAATTGATTGCTGTCCCTCGGCGCGCGAGCCTCCTGTAAGAGATATGGCACGACTGCATCGATGTTGCTCTGCCCAAGTCCGGAGATCTCACGCCCATCGCGTGTCGTTATATCCATGCAATGCAAACAATCAAGGACACTACAATGCTACATTACATATGGCACTTGGCGCAACGAGCGGTGATGACGTCACGCGTTCGTCAATTCATGAGCCTGAGGGTGGCCACCGTCCGATCCTATATAAGACCTGTCGCCCTCGCCGCCATGGCCAACATACTCGCACTCCCGACACTCACTCACAATGCCGAAGACCACCATCGACAACTCCCCCGCTACGCTCATCCGCCTCCGCACTGCCATCCAGCAATACCCATGGGGCAAGCAGGGCTCCGCCTCCCTCGCTGCTCGTCTGGCGAAGAACAGCGTCGGGCCGGACTTCGCAGTCGACGAGAGCGAGAACTACGCTGAGGTGAGCTCTTGTTAGTGGGAGGCTCCAACGCCCGTTTCGAACACACTCTATTATTCACTGACTTACTCCGACCATCTCCTGCCCGCAGATCTGGATGGGCACCCACCCCAACGGCCCCTCGCATCTCTACGACTCCCCCGACACGTCCCTCCACTCCATAGTCATCTCCAACCCTACCGTACACCTTCCTCCCTCTTCCACCGCCCAGACGCAGTCCAAAGTCCCCGTGCCCGCAACCGCCTCCGACTCGCCCTCCGGCGGCGGCGGCGGGACGCACCTCCCCTTCCTCTTCAAGATTCTCTCCATACAAAAAGCGCTACCCCTCCAGGCCCACCCCGACAAGGGCCTTGGCGCGCAGCTCCGCAAACAGCACCCCGACCTCTCCCCGGACGCGAACCACAAGCCCGAGATCGCGGTCGCCATCGGAGCGCCGCTCGAGGACGCGCGCGAAGGCGAGAGTTTCACCGGCTTCGTAGGGTTCAGACCTCTCGAGGACGTCGCGGCGAGCTTTCGAGACGTGCCGGAGCTGAGGCAGGCTGTTGGCGACGACCGGGCCGTTGATGGGTTCGTGCGTGAGCCGACGCGCGAGGGGCTGAAGCGTGTTTGGGGCGCGTTGCTGAAGAGGGGCCCGAGTGGGGAGGTCAAGCCTTTCGTGGCGAAGCTGGCTGAGCGCGTGCGGGCGGGCAATACGAGCGGCTTGTCCGAGGAGCAGGCATGGCTGGTCAACAAGTCAGTCGCGTGTCTTTCACTGATACGCTATGCCGCGGACCGACTGACGTCTTGCCCGTAGAGTCTCGAAGCAATATCCAGGCGATGTGGGAGCGCTCGCGACAACGTTCTTCATGAACTTCGCAAAACTCAAGAAGGGAGAAGCGCTCTGGATAGGTGCAGACGAGGTGCACGCGTACCTCGAAGGAGGTGTGTTCATTCACGCTCCTGGCCCGGTGGTCTTTCCGTTCTGCATCTCACGTGACCGCGTCAGACATCATCGAATGCATGGCCATCTCGGACAACGTCCTCAACGCCGCCTTCTCCCCGCCCTCCGAACTCGCCGCACAGATCCCCATCTTCGTCGACATGCTCACGTACACCGCGCGCCCCGCCGGGCACTGGGCGCTCCCGGCGACGCGGTACGCGCACGGGCTGCACGGGCGCACGACGGCGTACGATCCGCCGCTCGACGAGTTTGCGGTGCTCGGGACGGCGCTTGGCAAGGGTGCTGCGAAGGAGGTGCTCAAGGTGCGCGGGCCGCTTGTGGGGATTGTGACGAAGGGCAAGGTGGCGGTGCGGAGTGGTGGGGAGGAGATGCTGCTGGGAGAGGGCGGGGTGGTGTATGTCGTGCATGGAGGAGCGGGTGAGCGAGCTGTTGAGGTCGAGCTGCGGGAGGGCGGTGCGGACGGAGACGGCGAGGTCTGGTGGGCGGTGTGTGAGTAAGGGAGCTGGATTGCGGTGCGGTTCGTCTTCGAGTCAGGTTAGGTTCGATGGGTTGTCTGTATCGATAGCTATGATATATGATTGTCGGGAGCTCCTGAGAGGAACCATCTCAATGAGAGACTTCCATCAAGATCATGGTATACAGTAGTAAGCAATACAACAAACGTGAGGTAGATCAGGGAGGCTACATAGACCAGAGCGTGGCCAAGAGAATAGCACGAAAGCATCAATGATCATAGGACACCCATCCCTCGCGCCCTCACAGTACCAGACACGAGCCATCCGCGTTGAGAGCACCCTCCGGCAACGTGCCGCGCTCCTCCAACACCCTACACCGCATCCTCAGATCCTCCACCTCCCTCTCGAGCTCCGTCCTCCGCGCGCGCTCCTGCATCCTGAGGCGAACCAGGAGCGGGAGCACCCTCCCGACCTCCGCCCATAGCTCGAGCAGCTCGTACGTCCAGTCGGGGAAGACGACGTTGAACCCGTCCGGCACACGCGCGCCCTGCCGGACCTCGCACCCGAGCGGGCAGATCTGGCTGAGGAACAGCGCGACGGGGCCCGACTCCGCGATCGGCGACAGCCCGAAGCCCAGCCGCGCGAGCTTGCGGAACGGCGCCGGCGCGTCGTGCGCGGTGAACGCGAGCCCCGCCGCGGTCGCGTCGACGTCGAGACTGAGCTCCTCGAGGTCAGGGCAGTGTGTCGCGAAGGGGAGCAGCGCGTGCAGGCTGAGTGTGGGCGCGGGCAGCGGGTTCGTCGGGACCGGGATGGGCATGCAGTTGAGCTGGAAGTTCTGGAGGGACGGCCAGCTGGAGGCTATTTCCTCGACGTCTTCCTGCGTCATCACGATCGAGGACGCCCAGCTCAGTTCGAAGACTCGGAGGCGCTTGCAAGAAAGCAGAGGTCTGAGATCCGCCCATGCCAGTGGCTCCGCGTAGACTGGCTGCGACGACACCCCCTCGGGCGGCGGCGGGACAAAGAGGTCGATATACAGCATCTTCAGCAACTTGCAGTTCTCGCCCACAGCAGTCAGGTACTCGGTGATGGTGGACGGAGGTACCACCCAGGGGAGATGAACGTATAAGGAGGTGAGATGCGACGGTGCGTGAGGGCCCGACACGAACCGCGTCATGTCAGGGAGATGTGTGCTGAGGTTGACATCCCACAGGGCTGGGAACGATCCCTCGCGCAACGTCGGTGCAAAGACGGCGATGTCAGCGGGATCGCCTCTTCCTTGTCTCTCGTTGAACTCGAATTGTATTGTGCCGAGGCTGGGCAGCACGGACAACGCCTCCACGATCTTGGATGTGAAGCAGTACGAGGGAAGCGTCAGCTGCTTCAAGTGCGAGAGCTCGCCAATGAGCGTGACAAGGTCCGCCTCGATCGTGCGCACGGGGAAGCTGAACGCGAAGTCCAGGTACGTCAGGGATGGCATCCGGGCGGAGATGTCTTTGAAGTGATCGCCAAGGGAGTAGTGCGTGCACTTGTGCAGATATACCGAGAAGCGCCTGACGCTTTGGCTCATGAAGACAACGGAGTGTCGGGTCTCGTCGCTGTGCCACTCGAGAGACGTGAGAATTGGCAGGATGTTGATGGATGTCCGGGACCGGGCGATCTCGTCGAGGACACGGGCACCAAGGTATGGCGACATCAGGTCTTTCGGATCCCTGACATAGGACAGCCTCCGCACCCGACGAGCGTATCGCTCGAACCGTCGCCAGTCTTCTGCATTGAGTATTCGCGTGAATGTCTGCGCCACTGATCAGGCCACATATAGACACGAATGAAAGTGGCACGCACGCAATATCGGAGTGGCGGGGTGGCTAATGGCGCATCCAGGGGCGCAAGGAGCCGCAGCAATTGAGTGATGTCGTCGACGCTCCTCCACACGCAGTCCAGTGCAATGTCAGACCACCGTCTGCAGACGCACGCGTTGTTGATGTTGTCTTTCGGGTCCAAGTACCTCAGGATAAGTTCTACGATCTCCGGTATTTCCAGCACGCGCTGCATGGTAGAGTCGTAACCTGTGGGAGCCATAGCGAGCTGGTACATCATGGAGTAAGCCAAATGCCACATGATCATGAGGGTACCAGATGCTTACGGTTGCGTATGTCCCGAGTGGCTGAGCACGGATCAGTCCAAGAAGATGTCAGAGGCAGGGTAGGCCTCAATTATGATTCCAGGCTTCGAGGTGGGAAGCAGAAAGCATTGATGCAGTTGCAGTTCAACCTCTGCAGCGGCCGTTCAGCCGACAAAGGGCCACGATCACATGATTGTGTTTGCTCACGATCTGATCTCAAGGGCGCTTACACCTGGCAACCAATTGCAGACGTGTTGCAGTTTCGTCCCGGTCCACATTGTGCTATCAAGGTTGTTCTTGCTAAGTACTGTTACTCGGAACGTTGGACTTGAATGTAGCGTCCGCATGACATCTCTGAAGGCGCCGCGGTGTCGCCTGGTCTTCTAGTAGGAGGCTGCCCAGTGCCTGCCACCTCCCGCGGTTCGACTCCTGGCAACTTGAATGCGGCGTGCGCTCAGTCCAGATCGCTATGGTCAGTTGCACCATCCAGGTCAAACAGTTAGCCACATACGAATATATGGTACGGCTGCTCTTGACCGTTTCTTAGCCCAGGATGTCCGCCTCAGGCCACTCGTTTGACACTGTCGTCGCAGACCGGAAACTTGAAGTGCAGCGAACCCAAGCTTCCAGCGTGGACGAATCGGGGAAGGATATGGCGCTCCAAATTCCTGCACCAATGAGCATCAACGGCGACTCAGATTCCACGAGCGCCCGCTCGTCAGAAGCCACTGTGTCTGTGCCGGACGACGAGTACCAGGTCACCCTTGATCCGGAGGACGACCCCAAGAAACTCAGCGTAGGAAGGAAATGGCTCATCACTTTGCTCATATGCAACGCTGCGCTGTGTGCGACATTTGCGTCCTCCATTGTACGTCACTCGTTTGCTCAATATTCGGCACCTATTTTGGTTGGTTGACGTCTGCCACTCGAAATGCAGGCTTCGTTCACGGAGAAGGGACTGCAACGCGACTTCCATACGGTGCACGAGGTCACAGTTTTGAGCATCAGTCTCTATGTCGAAGGTCTTGGTAAGCTAAGCCATCCTCGTAATGCTTCGGAAGGACCAGACTAGAAAGCACCGTACAGCGATGGGACCCCTGCTCTTTGCCCCGTTGTCAGAGGTGTACGGCCGCAACAACGTCTACCGAGTGTCGTACTTCTTGTTCTGGGTGTTCACATGGCCTGTCGCCTTCCCGCCAGACATTGGTGCGTATTCTCTGCCGTTCGAGCCAACAGTAGTAGCCTTATATAGCCAACAGCAACGTTCCTCGTGTTTCGTTTCCTTACCGGATTCTCGAGCTCTGCGTTCCTAAGCGTCGCCGCCGGGAGCGTCAGTGACCTATTCGAGAACGGCAAAGTGGCAACGTAAGCTTTGACTGTGGGGTTGCTGCCAGTGAAGCTACTCAGTATGCTGCAGGCCCATGGGTGTGTATACGCTGTCTCCGTTCGTCGGTCCAGTCCTTGGTCCCTTGGTCGGTGGCTTCATCTGTCAGGCAAGCAATATCAGCTCCTTAGACCGTCGCGAACATTGCGCTGACCATGATGTCTCATAGAATGCCAACTACCGTTGGGTATATCGGGTCTGTCTGATCTACGAGTTCGTCACCCTTGTGACACTTTTCTTGGTATGTCTGATCATCGCTACTAAGAGTGTCCTATCACCCTTAAAACGTGCATATTTTGTACCCGAGACATATGTCCCTGTGATTTTGAGGCGGAAGGCTGCAAGGATACGGAAGGAAACGGGAGACGAGAAATTTTGGGCCCCACTCGACCACCGTGATGAATCTCTGTCGGAGTCGATAATGATGAGCATCTACACGCCATTCAGTAAGTACTCATTGGTCGCTAGCGCACTAAGCCTGCACTTAAAACAATCCAGAGCTTTTGCTGTTTGATCCGATGGCTCTATCACTGAATATGTGGTAGGTTTTACGACGCCTCATGCTCAGTCCGTGCGGTCCTTACGTGTGCAGGAACGCGATCACCCTCGGGATCTTGTATCTGACATTTGAGGCATTTCCGATCATATTCGGTGAAGAACACGGGTTCTCGGACGAAGAAGTTGGCTTAGCATTCCTTGGTATGGGCGTCGGTTTGCTCGCGGCGTTGGCGACGCAAGGTTTCTGGAATCGGTAGGCATCCGACTAATCGAGGTCGCCATCCCTAGAATCACGTTTCTCACTGTCGCCTCTGCAGTTTCGACCGGAAAATAGACGAGAAGCACGGCGGTAGCACACCTCCCGAAACATGCCTTGTAATGGGCATGGCCGGTGGAGTGCTTGCGCCAATTGGCCTCTTCTGGATGGCTTTTACGACGTACAGCGCGGTGCCTTGGATCCTGCCCATCATCGCTTCCTCCCTCTTTGGAGTGTCCATCTACTACATCTTTGCCTCAACCTTCACGTATCTCACGACCGCATACCGTCCTATCGCCGCGAGTGCCTTGGCGAGTAATACCGCGCTCAGATGTTCGTTCGCCGCAGTGTTCCCGCTGTTCGCGGTGCAGATGTACCACAGGCTCTCGACGGCGGGAGCGACTGCCTTGCTTGCTGGACTCATGACTCTCATGACGCCGTTACCGTGAGTGGCCGCCCAGGTAACCTTTATCGGTGAGGCTGACGGGCATTATAGGTTTCTGTACTACAGACTGGGAAAGAGGTTCAGGGCGAGGTCTAAGTTTGCTGTCGTCGATGATTAACGAATGGAGATCAATGTACATTCTCTGTATCTTCTGTCTTTTGTCCGCGTATCACGTCCTCTCGCTCATGTGGCATTTAAGTCGAGACTGCCGGTTGAGTACTACGGACGCTGCTTCAGAGTGCTTCATATCCATGCCAGTGATTATAATGCAATTGAAACTATCACCGCCAAGCACATTGGTGCCACTCTTCAACGAGTCAACGTTATGTATAGAGCTAGACGATAACTAGACCTATCTTCAGTTGTATGATCACGATAATGCCCAACTGCATGCTTGAGCTTGAAGCGAAGGGGTCGGCGTATACTGGATTACGTAATTGACCCGTCGGAGATAGCCGACGGCGGCGGAGCACATCTGCAGACTGCGAGAGTCGCCGCTCGCGATTTGCAGTCACTCACCAGCCTCTCCAGTGCTCTCGTCAAAGACCAAGGTAAAGACATCTAATATGCTAATGTCCATATGGACATGACTCTGATTTCATCTTTTATCAAGGACGCCCGCGTGCTTGCGGTCCAATTTGTGAGTCGAAGTCAAAACCTTTAGTACTCAATCGCTTGTTGCTCATTCATATATCTTCTACAGATTGCCTAAATTATTTTGTTCGTCAACGTCGGTACCAGGCCGGCTTGTAGCCTAGAATGGTGAGCGGCCACGACCTTTGCGAAAGGTTCGCTTCTGACGCACCCTGTCGCGCCCGGATCTAGACTGTATGTACGGATTGTGGGGGAACTGTGATCGAGTATGACGCCGCAGCCGGGAACGGGTTCTGTGTGCAATGTGGAACAGTCGTGGAGGAAAATACCATTGTCAGCGAGGTAAGCACATGTCCCGGTTTCTCAGCCTGCCATGTCTCAGGAACTTTCTCTCCAGGTAACATTCGGCGAGACAAGTAATGGTGCAGCGATGGTACAGGGAAGCTTTGTCGCACAGGGAGCTAGTACGTGGTTATCTCGTCCCGCATATAACAACATTCCGACCCAAGGCATCCCGTAGCGCGTGCGAGAATGGGAGGGCCGTTCGGCAACAGGGGAAACAGTGAAAGCAGGGAGCAGACCATTGCCAATGGTGAGTCTTGTCTTCACAGAACGATTCATGATGTTCAGTTCATGACTGATACTTGTTTCAGCCAGCCGCAAGATCCAACAGGTCGCAAATGCACTACGCCTGTCCGAAGTCGTCGCGCTCGCAGCAACACGGTTGTACACGCTGGCAGTAGAACATAAGTTCACCAAGGGGCGTAAGAGCCTCAACGTCGTCGCTGTCTGTCTCTACGTTGCGTGCAGACAGAAGGAGACGCGCAACTACATGCTTATCGACTTCTCCGACCTATTGCAGGTGTGCACTATACTCCGTTCTCATGCGGGGCCCGTTCCAAACCTGCTCTCTACAGGTGAACGTTTTCGAGCTCGGTCACACATATCTGCAGCTAGTACAAACACTCAACCTTCGCCTTCCTCTCGTGGACCCATCGCACTACATTTCTCGTTTCGCCGCGCTACTAGAATTCGGTGACGAGACACACCAAGTTGCCATGGACGCCGTGCGCCTTGTGCAGCGCTTTGACCGGGACTGGATGACGCGTGGGCGGCGCCCGGCGGGTGTCTGCGGAGCGTGCCTTCTGCTCGCCGCGCGCATGAACAATTTCCGGCGCAGTGTCGCTGAGATCGTGCAAGTCGTCAAGATCGCAGATACAACGCTGAAGAAGCGCCTGGAGGAGTTCCGCAAGACGCCGAGCGGTGCGCTTACGCTGCAGGACTTCCGGAATGTTTGGTTGGAGGATGAGATGGACCCGCCTGCGTTCACGAAGGGAAAGGAGAAGGAGGAGAGGGAGAGGGAGGAGAGGGAAGGCGGTGGTGTCCAGGTGAAGGAGAAGACGAAGAAAAAGGGCAAGGGGAAAGGGAAGAAGAAGAAGAGAAAGCGTGGTGAGGATACAGACGAAGAGGACGTCGAGGAAGAACCTCAGCCCGCGGAGTTCGCACCTCTGCCCTTCCCTCAGTTCGATCCCACCTTTCTGAATCAAGGTATCTTCGGAGACCCTACGCAGTTACACTTTGCCGGCGCACCTCCACCACAGTATGTCGATCCTTCCCAAGCGCACTTCCCAGGACCGGACTTCGTTCAGTTCTCCGGTCCACCACCACCTGATGATGCGCCTATGCCGGGCCCTTCGCAACCACCGCCTCAACCACCTTTGTTCCTTCCAGAGGATACGGAGGGCCCTGACTCGAATATAGATCCGACCTTGCTCGAGTCTCAGGCTGCCTCCCCGACGACCCTCACTGAGCCCCCTACTGACTTGCCGCCAGACAAGGCACTTGCCCAGTCTCCCCCTTCTCCTCTGGAAGAGACAGTCGACGCAGCGGTCGCGGAAGAGGTCGCGGACTTCCTCAAGAATGCGCAAGGTACTGTTCTGAACTCAGCCCTTGACGAGGCGGAGCAGCAGCGACAAGCTCAGTTCATCGGAGACGACGAGCTCCTCGGCCTGGACGAGGACGAACTGGATCGATTCATCCTTACGGAGGAGGAGGTCAGAATCAAAGAACGAGTCTGGGTCGAGATGAACAAGGATTACTTGGAGGCAATTGCAGGTCAGTCACTATGCAATGACACCGTTGCACTCACGGTGAAACATTATGCACTCCGTCGCTAAATGGTATTTGTACAGCGAAACAGGAACAGCAAGGTAACGATGAGGCGAAGGAAAAAAAGGGTCGCAAGGTTCGTATCCCGATGCGTGTAAACGCTTTTCCGCTACTCTTTCGGACTATTTGTCTCTATTGATGGTTTCACTCACACGCCGTGTCTTTTGATAGAGACGGAAAACGAACAACAAGCCTCGCGATGCGTCGACGCCTCATGGAAGCACCGCCGCAGAGTCTGTGCGGAATCTCATCAAGAAAAACCCACGCTACAGCAAACGCATTAACTACGACGCTCTGAAGGACCTTTTCACAGACGGCTATGCGGTCCCGAAGTTGCCTGCGACGCCGGGGCTAGATGACAAAGACGACGATCCGTTGTACGTGATGGACGACAAGAGCGACGGCGAGAGCATGTTTGTCGTCGAGGAGACTGGTGGTGGCGGTGTTGGTATGGCACTCACCCGGTCGCGCTCGGCAAGCAGCGGTCGACAAGCGAATAGCGGGGCTGGCGCAGTAGCTGACGAAGACGAAGATGCCGCCGGCGAGGAAGAGGCAAGTGAGAAGGGGGATGAGTATAACGACGATTGGGATGTATACGAGCAAGAGGTTTGATCACTCGCTATCATTTGTACTGAGTATTCGGCAGACCGGTCCAGCGCTCTCGTGTGCTGTCGCCTGCATGTTCGGCGAAGGCCAATCAGAATGCCGGCAGGCAGCGAATAATGCGTCTAGAACATGAGAACGTTGTGACTTTCTATCCTTACAGTCCCTGGCACGGTGCACCTGCGGCGTCGTAGAGGAAACGCCGAGCGCCGGCCCAATACACGCGCAACGACGAGGGTTAGCGACTGCAGCCTGCGACGCGTGGCCATGGACACGGATCTGAACAATGTCGAAACGACACGCATCCAGTTGCGACCCGCGAGCTTGCTGTAAAACAGTCACGACAGGTGAGATCAATACGCAGTAACGTAATAACAGTCTGTCTCTTGCTCGTCAGCTGGAACTTCCGAGAAGCCCGGCACCTAATGTTATTGGGTAGTGCGATACGTTGACCGGAGACTACTGGAGGTCGCCTACGGTACGCGTGGCTCAATCGTTCTCTGCAAATGTGCTAACTAGTTGTAGTCATCGTTGTGCGGTCTGTTCCGATGTCACCTGTTTCGTGTTGCAGTGACGGTTTTGTTGCAGACCTCCACAGTTCGAAAGCCCCGTCCGAACGACCACCTCCGCGATTGCTCTCTCTGGTTAGCGTCTACCATGTTTAACGACCGAAATACCCCCCAGCGTTCGGTCTTGTACAACGTCGACATCGCTCACCACATCGTATGGATCGTTGCGCGTAAGGTCGGAAGTGACTTGTTCCCCACATATCTGGCAAAGGGTACCATGCAGACTCTCGCGCGCTGTGCTTGTATATGCAAGTCGTTTTCCGAGCCTGCACTGGCCTTGCTATGGAGATGCCTGCGCTCGCCGATACCGCTCCTGTCGGTCTTGTCGGGCTTTCAGTTGGCGGATCCGGACTGCGGTGGACAGGATGCACCCGCCAAGACAAAATACTGGGTAAGAAGCCTACATCACTTCATTCCTGTGGTGCTCCATGTATTGATTTAGATGTACTCCAGATAATCAACAGCGGACTGTCCGTCGTCGATCGCGAACGATTCGCCTATTACGCTCGATTCGTCTGGGCCTTCGACGTACGCGGGGACCGCATTCATCCTTCTGTCTTCACTATCCTTGAAGCAGCATGTGGCGATCAGCTCCTACCTCATCTACGATTCGTTCGCTGCTTCTCGACTGCGTCCGCGTACGTGCTCCATCCATTCCTGACGCCTTCGCTGCTATCCCTTCACTGGGAGGACGATGCTGACAGGGACGCCGAGAAGATCGACGCCGCGGAAAGACTCGCTTCCGAGATCTTGACATTGGCCCCCACCCTTGAGAAGCTCCACGTCCCACGGTGCAATACCACGTCACTTCTCTCGTCGTTCGGCACCTTCGAGCAATTGCGTTCGCTGGATATCTCTTCCACGCCACGCGTCCCGAATTGGACCATGATTCGAGCTATAGCGTCCCTGGAACACCTCACAGAAGTCTATCTGCCAAGTGCAGTCGTCGGTTGTCAACCCGCTGACCGATGCCTCGGGTTTCAGACGTTGACGAGTCTTACAATCTCGCACCGGCGTGAAGGGACAGACTTGCTCCGCCTTATTTCTCCCCCAGGGCTGCAACACCTCAAGCTCGTAGGCGGCCTGAGCCTGCTCGATTGCTGGTCTTCCGAGGAAATACGCGAAGGCGTCGAATTGTGTCTCAGCAAATGCGTCGCGACGTTCACCTCTATTGTGATCGACGACTTCGAACTCGGTGCCGTGGACTCGATCGTCGCAACCGCGGAACCATTCTTTCGTATGCGGAACCTGCGGACGTTCCGTTGCTGCCGGGGCATGATGGCGCTGACCGTGCAAGACGATGACCTACGCGCGATGGGTGCAGCATGGCCGCATCTAGAGGAACTCCAGTTGAAATGGTCCAGCGCAGAGTCTTTGGACGATCCCAGTGCTATCCCGTCGCTGCAGGGCATCGTCGAGCTCGCCCACGCATGCCTCCATCTTGTCCGAGTCGATCTCAGCTACGCACGCCTCTCACTCGCCCCGGATGCGGAACCTTACCCCGGACCCGTTCACGGATTGGAGGATCTGATCCTAGGAAGGGGTCAGGTCAGGGAGCCCGTACGCCTGGCGAGGATAATCGATCGATTGTTTCCTCACTCCAAGCTATCCATCAAGAATCTGATACCTCGCGAGAGAGTCTCAGACCTTCTACGGGAGTTTGAGACTGTTAGACGGGATAGGCTAGCGCCGTGCGAATCTCCCGTACCGGTGGCCAGTACTACTCGGGACCACGTTACGACTCAATGAATGTTGGTACAACGTGTACGGAAATGATAATGTCTCATCTTTCAGAGGAGCGGGATTAAGTTGAGGGGCTACATAATGACCAAGGTTTGTTCCTCTCTCGTCATCTGCGTCACCTACTCGGCCACGCTGACCGGTACCCTCGTTCAGTTACTCGTAACTTACTCAACCACATGCCATCTCAGATCCTCCTGGTGATTTAACCATCTCAGATCGCAAGCGGTTCCTGTACTACACTCGGCTCGTGGTCGAGATCCGGTGGGGCCACATTGATCCGTCGGTCATGATAGTTCGTCACTTCTAAGTTAGATCTGGAGGGGACCTTTGGCAAAGGGTTCCTTCCCAATCTACGGTCTGTCCGTTGCGCGAAAACGTATTGCGCGTATGGTTCAACCCACTGTTGGCACCCTCGACCTGTCCGTGTACTGGGAGGAGCGGCGGTGCTAATCTAGAATCTGAGCGGACGCCTCTCGCGGACTGGACTGTGTCGGGGATTTTGAAGTGAGCCTGAGACAGCCTCTCGCGCCCCCTCGGACACTGCTCATCCCCTCGTTCCGCGACTTCAAACAACTGCTTTCGTTGGATATTCCTGCCGGATGATCGCGTCGCTCAGATGCTTCGAGAAGGTCTCATTACCCAGCGCGGTCGTTGGCTTCCGACCAGCCGACCGCTGTTCAGGACTCCAGACTCTGACAGATCCTAGAGTCGGTCACCAGGAGGAAGGGACGGACCTGCTTCGCCTTCTCACACCTCCGAGGTTTCGTAGACTCCGGCTGGGGGCGGTCTGCATCTTCACGACACCTGGCATACGAGCGAACTCTGGGATGGAATCCACACGTGTCTCAGCAAGTATACAGACGCATTCGACACGTTCGTCATTAGTGAGGACGGGGCGGGCGCTGCGGAACCGCTGCTGGCGAATGCAGAGTGTTTCCTTCCCATGAGGTGGCCGGATGAGAAAGGTCATCAAGGACGACAATTTGCGGGCCATGGGCGTATTGTGGTCGCCAGTGTTGAGGATCCAACCAGGATCCAACTGGACGGCGAAGTACTAGGCTGGGCCAGCGCGGATTTACTGCACAAGCCGAATGTTGTTCCTTCGCTACAGGGCATTACTAAGATGTCATTGATACTCGTCATGCCATGGTAATATTCCTCGACATCTGATATGTTGAACAACCTGCTCTCAAGCTCTGAGTGAGTTATTTGACAGTCCGTTCGCGCGTCGAATCGGTTAAACGGTGCCGATCGTGCCGAGGCATCAGCCACAGACGCGTTTCCTCACGCGCCTCCGAGTCGCGTGCGTGCGGGCGTGACGGTGCGGCGTTCTTTCTACGCGACTACGTCCCGTCACGCTGTGCTGCTATCTCTCGGACAGTATAACTACTGAGGCTCTGCTTGGCGGTGCTACTGTAACCAACAACATGTCCAGGCCGGGAATGCGTACGCTTCGGGCCACGCTGCAAGCACCTGCGGACGAAGACATCAAACCTTCCTTACTCAAGTACCCACATCTCACCAAGGAACAACGAACGGAACTAGAAGGAATATGGAAAGAGGACAGCAGAATACCCACTGTGGAGTCTCGCAGGGTGTGGGCGGAGGCACGGAACATCGAACCTCGCCTGGTACACAACTGGTTCTCTAAGAAACGAGCACGGACCGTACGACTGGGTGTCCCGGTCCCGGCAGGTACCTACGAGCTTCAAAATAGAGTCGAAGTGGAACTACCTGCGACTCTGCCCTCGAACGCTGCGTATACAGTCAAACGGGAGCGGTCGCCTTCGCCTTCTCTCTCGCAGCCGGTGAAGAAGCGGCAAAAAACCGCTGGTGCCTCGACACCTCGGACGATACTGCCTGGAAAGAAATCTGGGTCGCGAACGAGGAACTCAGTCAAAATAGAAGACGGTGTTTTTAGAGTCATACCGGTCAGACACACCCGCAAGCACGCTACAAACCCCCACCCAGCATGCCTGACCTGCATAAGGGCGCATACAGCAACCGTCTCCTACGACCTACCGCCTTCCTCCCCTCCACCGAGCTCTCCTTCAGCTATACCGGAGTTAACGTTCTCTTCAGATGCGCCTTCCTCGGACGTCGGTCTCGAAAGCCCTCTCACACCTATCGCCTCGGATGGTGAAGAGGCGGAAATCGAGGCCTACCTCAACCACCACTCCTCGGCTGTCGGCACAGCACGCATATACCCACCCCCTCGCAAGCACGTCCCCAGGTCGATCAAACAGTCCGCGAGAACAGACGCATATACCCATCTCGGCAGCACAGGAGTGCCTTCGACGACCCCGGGCAACGACTTCGAGGAGATCCTCTCGTTCACTCCGAGTCCCAGTCCAGAGCCTGACGGTCTGCATGGTCAAGACCTTTCCACCGCTCCCCGGGCCCGCAAGAAACGCAAGCGAGTCCGGTTCTCCGAACAGACTATGACTTTCCTCGTCGATCCGTTCCGCTCTGATCATCGCTTCTCCTACGACGCCGAGCCCATCCAGGAAGGTGCTGGCCCTCATGCCGAGACTTCTTCGTGCTCCTTCTCCAGTTTTGCTCTGGTCCCTGTGCCTGCTGAGGCTTTGTCTGCGTCTACTGCCGTTTCTACGTCTGAGGAAGCCTCTACTCCGACCTCTGGTCCTACGGTTCTCACGTCTACTCCTTCTGCCTCGGCGACGGCTGAGAAAGCTGGGGCTTCCACTTCTGGCTCGTCTGCTCCAGTGTCTACTCCCGCTGTTATGGTGCCTGGATCTGCCGGGTCTGCTATACACTACCCTAGGCTCCAAATGAACTTTATACTTGCTATGCCTGATGCTGCTTCATCGACGACCAAAACCATATCTCCCGCTTCCGGCCCTGTCGTCCCGCCCTTCACTCCTGCCGCTGCTCCGAGCGTGCCCATTGCTCCCAAGGATGTCATCATACCTGCTACTGCGTTTACTGATGAATCATCTCCGCCTCATTCTGAGTTGCACGTTCCTCCTGCTGTCGGATCTATCCCTGGGGCCACTCCTTTCTCGTCCTCGGGTCCGCATAATCAACCTCTGCACGACGCCTCCCCTGCTCTTGCGACCAATGACATGTCGGAAGCTTCTCGCCTCGTTTTCGACCAGCAGTCCGTCTTATCACCTATACCGTTTAGGCTACCTCCGTCTCCACTCTCCATATACGCCGACGCTTCTAAGGCTGCAGAAGTACTTCCGTTGTCAGGAACGAATGGTTCGCACGCAGCATCCTTCGCAATTGCTGCCCGGGAAGAGGAAGAAGAGCAGGAGGTACGCGCAGCTCAGGAGGAGGAAGAGGAAGAGGAAGAGGAGGTCCTGAATGAACGTAACATCGGTGGGCTCGCTCATCCTCGTACTTGCCGCGCGCGACTTGAGTGACTATCGATATTCATCGGTTCAGGCCTCCTCCCAGGTTCATCTGCAACCGTACCCTATCTCGACGACACGGCGATTCCTGCACCTCCAGCAAATGTAACCGGTAAGTGATTAGAAAGACTCGCTGGCCCACCCGCGCATCCACTGCAGAACAACTTTCTATGGATGTGATCTCTGACGCGTTGTAGAAACCGTGGTACAAGCGGACACTACGACCCAGACCATGATTGTGCGAGCCAGGGAGGAAGACGAAGACTCGCGTATGGACGTTGACGAGGGTAAGTGAACTAGTGGTGTGGAGACTATCGACAGACTTCGCGGTCCGCGCATCCTAACGCGCTCGGTGTTTGATGTCTCACAGTCAACCACCCGGCGATGTACATTGACAAGGAAACAACGCAAGCTGTCGATCAGATCAGTCAGTGACACCTTTCGGTTTCATTCAGCAGCTGACCTGTGCGACGCTCGGCTCCTAGACCCTTCAGCGACAATCATCGGCCCTCAGGAGGCGGCCGAACCCTTGTCTCTCATAGAATCGGATGATGAAGGTGCGTTTCGTCTACTTGCAGCCGTGCTCACTGATGCCACTGACTGTGCTGGCGTATGTTCATTGGCTGGACGTTCTGCAGAGCCACTCGCTGTGATACTGGCTCGACAACGCGTCGTCAAGATAGAGCGGGAAGAAGTAAACCTGTACAAGACAGATAAGGGCAAGAAGCGATCTGCACCCAAGAAGTCCCAACGAAAGGTCAAGGAAGAGATCATAGAGGCTGCGGTTTCGCAAGCCGTTGCCCGCGCGGTGAAGCTCAAGAGGAAACGAAAGGCCCCGCCGGCTGAAGATGCCCTCCTAGTCGAGGCAACAGGTATGTGATCAGCGTGTACACGCCATACTGAGGTCCTCCGGCCTCAATGACTGAGATTGAATCATACAAAGCGTCGTCTGTAGTATCCGATCAGGGTGAGTATGTCATTTTGACTGCACAGCTCGGATGAATGATCGCCTCTGCGAGTTAGCCAAACCAGCGACCGCTACAGCAAAGGTGCAGAGGAAACGCGCGAAGAAGATACGAGTGAAGACAGAGCAAGACGCCGTTGCCGTTCCCGATGATAGCGAAGGACGTAGTAGCGCACCTGTGAAGAGAAAGAGGGTTCGCGTAAAGACTGAGTCATCCGCTGCAGACAACCCGCCAACGACGCAAGTCAAACGTACGCGACGTGCTGGGAAGAAAGCAGCGTCGGACGGAGCTCAGGAAACGCCGAAGGTCTCGACGACATCCAGAGCCCGTGTTGCTGGACATGGGCCGGAGGATGCTAACGCTGCAAGCTCGCGGCCTTCCGTGCAGGCTGCTCCGCTCTATGTCGAGAGTGACACGCCTCTCATGTTCGCAACTGTCTATGGGCCTCAGTCCTATGTCTTGGGAACATGTTCGAGCGCGGCTCTGGCCAGCATGGGCATTGTCTTCTCTGGCGGTATTCAATGGATGGAAGACGAGTTCGAATCCATGGAGCTTAGCGCTTTCTGCTGGATGAAACCGGTACGTACTGGGCCTACGAAGTCCACTACGGCTAACGATTCCTTGACATAGCTAACGGATGTCTGCCGAGCGGAACCCGGTCGGTCGTCCCGCTGTGGCCTTTACTTGAATGACTGACGACCCCCTGGTCAATTCGGGACCCTGCAGAGACCTCCAAAAGCCTGGCAGCTTGCTCTGATTGGACTCTCAACCCTCTCACCTATCTCTACGTCGACCTCGGCTTACCGGAGTCTCTTCAAAGCGCGTACGCTATGCCCAACCGGGTGCACGAAGGCTGGATCGATGCTAGTCAAGAAATCAATCGCGCTCTCGGATTGCCGCAATGAGGGTCGTGTGTATTACTAGTGTCACTTGCAATCACTTGCAAACGTGTCCCATACTTCACTGCGTTACGGCCTTGTCGTTGCTCTCCGAACTCGAGATCGTCACATTAATGTTACAAGTGCCAATACTACACAATAGAAACACAACGGTGCATGTTCTACATGTTCTCAATATCCCCATAAGATCACCACGACGTTGCGGTGACATTGATCCCAGATAGACCAGACCCACTACCAGACGTCGGGAGACCTTCAGTGAGATGCCTCGTGCATCGCGTGTGTCACCCCTTCCGTGCTCGTTCGCTTCTGCACATCCTCGGGATCGACAGGTCTGTACACGGTTGACTGAGTCAGCCTACGACGTATGCTCGGCTGGTCACTTACCCAGTTCGAGATGCGACTACTATAGCGGCGGCCTGAAATTCGCTGAGGGGCGCTGAGTGATCAGAGTCGTCGTCGTCTTTGATACGGCGCCGTTCATTGAGTCTGACCAAGTTATCATCATTGATACGTTCAACCAAGATAACGAATGTGGAAGCCGGTTGACTTACACGATGAGTACTGTGTTGATATGAACTTGCATCACATTTGTTAGTAGAAATACCGACCTATTCAGGCATACTCACTCGTGCTTGAAGGAAAATAAAACATGGCGCTCGTTGTGTCTTCGAATTGACCGTCCGCATTATACTGAGTGTATTACGAGGACCTTAATGCAAGCCGTGAACGTTACGACTAGGAGGCCTACCAGGACCACTTCGAGCAGCTGCAATATACTGTGGAGTCCAAGCTCGAGTCAGCCAGTGTTTTCACAGCGCGTTTTCCCCCAGTAATGAGCGACAGGAATTCTCGCACTCACAACAGAAGAATGCCGCGATTCACGACGAACGTGATGAGTCTACCAATCAGATTGTCCGTGCTGTTGGTTGATGCTACCTCAGATTAGCGCACAGAGATAACATCAACACGTACGTCCGGAATCCACTCTTCGCGCCATGAAGAATGTAAGCCAGCGACAAACTGATGTATACGTTTGCCGCCAATTCCGTGACCGATTGCAGGCGAGAGGGGACCTATCGCATACAAGATCAACGACGAATTTGGTTTGAGGGCACAATGAGAACGACCGACAAGAATGTGCGCGGCTATGGACGCCTCATTTCCTGCTGTACTGGTTTGTGCTAGGTTGCTATGCCAAGACATGATGTCAGTTGTGACTGTGATTGAAAGGACGGGAAGCCCGAGCCGCATCTGCATCAATGACGGGGAAATAGACTTACGTCTCGTACACAACAACTAACAATGGCATCAGAAGTGGGAAGACATCATCCTCGGTGTCGGACTTACCGAAGGTAGCAACTGTGTGTTCAAGTGACGTACGTCAGAGCTTCGCGTTCCAACAACCCAAGTGCCGCCGCTCACCAAGAGCTATTACGGTGAGTGTAATCTACAAGACTTAGTGAACAGTGCTCATACTCGTTGGGGAGGTACGCACAGCGATGGCCGTGAGCGCTATACGTAGCCAGGTTCTCCTTGATACTGCCCATGGATAAGCAGTTGAACAGCTCTCCAGTGCGTAAAACCTTGCTTACGGATCCAGAAATTCCAGATGTAAAACCTGCACCGCCTATCATCAGCGTTGATTCGAGGATGATAGCTCAGCGGAAAGTCATACTACCATTGCACGCATACAATGGCGAGCGCCTAGAGACAACATAAACTGTGAGCTTCTGGCCATGGTCATCCTCTCCGAGAGGGGAATGAGCTTGAGTACTGACAGAGAATACCCAAACCTGGTGTGGCTAGGTCAGTCGCACATGTCAGGCGGAAACCTAGGATTCTCACAATATAGTCGCTGTGAAGCCGTAAGGAAGAGTCAGTGGGAACATTTGCCCAATGGAAAACTGAGGCACCTCGACGTCCAGATTTCCGCGATAAACACGTCCCCGCGATGTGTCACGACGCGGTACCACAGAGCCTGCATTCAGTTAGATTATATGTTCAAACGGCCTCAGAGTGAACAAGCATACGTTGCAGGTATTGGCTTCCTTGACAATGTCCAGTGCACTCGAATGTATGTTAGAATTGTCAAAGCATTGAGAGCTGATTCGCTTCCACGCACAATAAGAGTAAGACCTGCAGAACGTAGCAATCACAACAAACATCTTCTACGGGCGAAATGCTCTTACAAATAGCTTCACCCGCATCTTATCCTTGGGGTAGTTTTGAAAGTAATAGGATACCTGAGCGGTTGTGCCGCCGAAGCACCTGCAGTTCAGTGTAAAGGTCAGAACAGCAACAGCCACTTTGAACATCCACGCACATCCACGAAATCAGCATGCCGACCGCCGACATGCCATAAGCATTGGAAAAAGCTTGGTTTGGTGAGAGGGACATCGTTGAAGATATTGTCGAAGCCACAGGAAGCAGTGCTACGTACGGGTCTGCATGGGTGCTGCATTTATATGAGTGATGCCTAGTGGTTAAACCTGGGTGATTTGACGTCAGTCGAGTGGGTGATGGTCAGAGCGAGCCCTTCCTCGCAAACTATGAACTCGAGATCTGTCGTTACGAACCTTGAAGTCACAATCGACGCTTCTATGTCCAAAACCTGAGCACAGTGTGGTAGGCTCTGAATGCACTATCGTCAAGCCGCCGGACCCGGGGTCGCTCAACACTGATACGTTGGTTTGAGTGTGCCACGTGTCCGAAAATTACCGGTACAGCATCCCAGTAGCATACTATGGGACATTCGATATGCGGCATGGTGGTTAGTGGAACAACTTCAACAGCAGCACTGTCAATCATACCATCTCGTGATCCTTGCAAGGAGCTTCATACACCGCTTATCGATCGCGCATCAGCTCGATTGAATGAACAGGCTGTGCTTCAAAGTTCTCGTACTTGAACGCGTGAGGCAGCAGGCTTGCATCGACTGATCTGAGACGACGCGGGTCTGGGTCTGTCGTCTTCAAACATACAGGTCTGCCCAAAGTCACGCTGGAAGTGCTATTGCGAGGAGCGCTCATGTCAGCCACCCCACGTAACTTATGCACATCAACGAATGCTGTTAACGGTCACGATACAGTGCAGATCATATCAGGAGGGACCACACCTGCAATAGTAATGGATGATCCACATCCGCTTGGGCCTCTGCATCGAAGTCGAATTGATTACTCAGTGCACCTGCTGGATATCGGCCAACTACACCGCCCCAATGCTGCAAAGGCTATATTGCAGGCGCACAAGATACGCCACTCACACCGCCGCTATGTCAAACCTTGGAAGACAAGATCATGGTCAGCAGTCAGGCGGTGCTCCTCAGACGCGCCACTGACCTTCACATTGTATGGCAATGCCATCTGCTCATTTGCGTCGCTTGCCGGGTCTGTTGCACAAATATAATGATCGAGGCGAGCCGAGGGGTATCAGCACTCGAGAGGGAGCCTAGCCTATTACGCGTGAACGCAAGCAATCTAAATGACGGAGAAGACAATGTCCAATGTTACGCAAGAACCTCTATAGGACTGTGAAGGAAACCTCTATGGACGTCACGCAAATAATGCAGGGAAGCTATGCTGTATATCTATACGGATGTGAATGTACGTTAGGCATGGTGGTGATGGCATGAAGCGGATGTGGTGCGGTCCAATCTTCTCTTGTACACGTGTGGGGAAGCAGCGAAGCAGAAGATCATTACAGACGAAAATGAACCATGCAAAGCAGCCAGCTTTGGTATAGTGATCCGAGGGGGATGATGTTGAGGGCGAGACATGCGGCAGAAAATCTACATAACGGGCGAGGAGCAGGTCGAGGCATTCGTCAAAGACTGAATATCCCGCCTGCTCTCCGACGAGACTGGACGGGGTGAACGAGAATAAGGGAGACACCGAGACCGACGGTAAGACCGATGGACACCGAGACGAGCTGCAAAGCAGTGTAGAATCCTGATAGATATGACTCGCTCGACGATGTCCCGTCGGTCTCCGCAGTGACGAACGTGAACAGGCCACCGTTCGCGAGACCGGAGGGCAGTTGGAACAGAATACCCGTAATCTAAACGACATGTCAGACGGGAGCAAGGCAAGGCGGGAAAGGTGAAAGACTGACCATGACGACGAAAGCGTTTCCGTTGAAGAACCGGCCATACAAATTGGCGACAAAGCCAACGGCGGCACCACCGACAGCAGCGGGAATGTCGTTCTGGTTGGGGAACTTCGTGCCAGTGAAGTGATTGCACACCCAGCCGATGCAGGAGACAACCACTAGGAGATACTTTTGCGCGTATGGATCAGGATCACAGTCGTATGGAGGCAAAGTATGTGCTTACCGTCTCCTTTCGTTTCAACGGGGCATGGTTCCGTAGGCTCAAGAAGAACGAGTACGCGGGTACGGTCAAGAACGCTGCGAAACATCCATCCTCAGTATGCATAACGGTGTGACAAAAGGCCGCAACATACCCCACCAGGTGGACGGCGTCTGCTGCCACCAGGGTCCCGTAGGATTATGGCTGCTTTGACAAGACAAGTCGTCCGTGCCCGCAAGCGTGTGGTGCGTAATCTTCGAGTAGACCGTTGCGCCAATCGAGAGACCGAATCCGAGGAAAAGCGAGTAGATGATAGAGAAACAAACTCGCACAGCCCCGGACACGATGTTGCGCGAAGCCAATTCCAGACTACCGCACAGGATGATGAAACCCTGCAATGCCGTTAGCGCCCATTGTGCGAGAAACGAGAACGAAGAAGACGCGACGTACAGGTAGGATGAGCACGATGGAAGCCGAGCCAACCGCCGTATAGCAGACGTGGTGTCCGTGGGTGTCCGCTAATGCGGCGGCGATGAAACTGAACAGCAAGCAGACCATGATCCTACACAAGACGTTCAGCGTCGTCGTCCACACCTAAGCCGAGAGCACTCACTCGAAGACATTTGAGTACAATTCATTACGAGCGGCGAAGACTTGAATGACGATAAGGAGACAGCCGAGGGGGAAGGATATGAGCGAGTCGATGAACGAGCCGTTGAAGGAGACACTGCAGATGGAGGCGGAGCAGAAACCGCCGATGAGGATGAGCTGCCAGAACTTGTACAGCTGAGGCTTGCGCATGAGGTCGTCGAGCGCGATCGACGCATCCTTGACGGAAATGTCGTCGTGGATGACCTTCCAGTAGAGCGCGTACGCGTCCTGCAGCTTGCCGATGTCGAGCGCACTGGCCTGGCGGATGAACTTGATGTTGCTCGTGCTCGTCGTCGCGTCGTCGAACGAGATGAGCATCACGTCCGGCAGGTACATGCAGCTCAGCTGGATGTCGAGCACTCTGCCGGTCGCCTGGATCTGCGCCTGCAGCCGATGCGTCGGGCCGCCGAACATCATCATCGCCCTTGCGAGCTTCAGGATAAATTCCTGCCGCTGCACAATCTCCGCCACATGCCGAGTAATCTGGGGAAGACACGGTCTGCGTCAGCGCGGTGGGAGGCGTTCCTGGGATAGACGATACATACGTAAATCTCCGCCTTCTTCCGCTTCCGCCTTTCGCGCTTGGCCCGCTCAACCTCCTTCTCCCGTTCGCGCATCCTGACCTTCTCCTTGTCCATATAATCTAGGTCGTCGCTGGTCGGCGTGCCAGGCGTACTGGGGGTGTTCGCCCTGCTCCAGCTGGGCTTCGGCAGGTCTTTCAGCACACCGGCCCACTTCTTGCTCTTCGTCGACGCTGGCGACTCCTCCTCCAACGCGTTGAGCGGAAGAGACGCGGTCCGGAGGTGCGACATGTGGTCCGGCGACCTGTCGCCCAGTCTCTGCACCGTCCCGTGCTCCGTCGTGTCAAAGTGCATACTCCGCGGACGCGACAGCTCCAGCGACTGTTTGTCCGACTTCACCTTTGGGACGTTGCTCTCCAGCGAGTACCTCGAGAGGTGGTACCCCGGCCGCTTCAAGCTCGGCTGGAGGGTGCTGTTCTGCGGGGCGGCGACGCCCGACATGTTGCCTGTGCTTGCGATGAGCGCGCCGAACACCCCGCCGGCGTTGCGCGCCTGCACTGGACGGGACTCCGCCCACGGCTTGGGCACCCGGATCGTGGGCAGGTTGACCGAGATCGACGAGCTGTTCGCCGAACCAGCCCAGCGGGGGGTCGTGATCCCAAGGTCGCGCGAGCGCGCCCTCGACGGCGGGCGTGAATCGTCGAAAGAGGAGCGCGTCGAGATGCTGCCAACGGTCTGCGACGCCGCATCCGAGTGGTCGTAGAGGGCGAGGAGGGCGGAGAGTACGCCGCCGCCCCGAGGGACGGTGGACATGTGCGAGGTGTCCGCGCTCTTCTCGACGTCCGACTCCGAGGACGTGTCGGGGCGGAAAAAGCTCCAGCGTCGCCTGCTGCCACTACCGCTCTTGCTGTGCCCATGGCTCTTCCGCTTGCGCACCTCGTTGCCTTCGGTCGAGCTTTTGCGTCCCCGCGCGTCAACGTCCTCTGACCGGCGCCCAAAGTGCGGGATCGGGACGTGCACGCCACCGAACATCCCACGGCGGTGTGCATTAATGACTTGCTGTGCCTGCTGAACCGAGTGTCGCTCTGTCCCCGCGCCAGGCAGTCCTGCTGTCTCGTTGGGGTCGATGAACTGCTCGCCGGGGACTCGATGCGACGGAGGGGTGTACTGATCCCCAGGGGACGTTTCGTCCGTCGAAGTCGACTCCCGCGTGAGGGTGGTGTCGAGTCGTTCCAGCCGTGCGAGGCTCGCAGGCGATTCGGACCGGTGACGCTCGAGCGCGCTTGCGAGCTCTTGGAAGGCGGATGGCTGCGGGAGTGATCGAGGTCAGTGTCCGGATAAGGAAGGTGCCCGACGGAAAAGATGTAAGATGCCAGAGTCTAGCAGGTGATGGCCATTGTCTCGGACCCGCCATACCCAAATGGCCCAGACCAGTATTGCCAAGTAGGCGGGCCTACTCAGGCGCGGCACGACCTGGTAGGCTCCACTGTCACCGCCGCGCCGCGCCCCACTGGGACTAGCTCGCGGTACGACATGCGTAGAGGTCAGCTGAGGTACATCCTCGACGTAGTATATAGGCCTACGCAGGGTGGTAAAAACCTCCCAAACTATCTCGCTTCTTTGCCCTCTGCTGAACTGCACACGCGTCGCGACGCGTGCCTCGACGAACGATCGGGACGACGGCCCAACATTAGGTACTTGGCGGTGGAGGTCCGGGCCCCCGGATCCCCCTCTGTCCCGGATGGCGGCAAGCACACGCTCTCAGGCGGGGCAGGACGTGAAGTTTGCTCGCGACGAATACCGCGCGCGTCAAGAAGACGTAACATTAATGCCGCCTACAGCATCCGCGCTCTCATCGACCTGCATGATGTGTCGCAGGAACGAACCATGCGCGCACATCAAGACACGGACATGTCGACGGGCGCGACACGATAAGGTGGTCGTGGTGCGAGGCGGTGGCCGAGGCCCAGGGGACGGATCACGGAAGAAAAATTGAGAAAGAAGTGAGTGCTCACATCAAGCCCATGCTCGTCCAATGCGCGCGGCGACAGGTTCGGGTCGGCCGCGTTGCGCTCGTCTGTCCACTGCACCTTGCGAGGGGTCTTTGTGCCATTGGACCTGCGCGTGCCCCCGGGTGGCCGGTTATCGTTCGGGTCGATTGGCAGCGGCGGGGGACTGCCAGTAGGACTGCCGGAGTCCATGAGGGTGGTGAGAGTGGTCGTCGAGGGCTGCGAGCTCGGGATGTTGGAGAGCTGCAGGATGCTCTCTATTGATGGTGGTACATGGTGAGGCATGGCAGTATGGTGTGAGTATGGTACTGAAGGGAAAGAGAGGGAGAAAGAGGGAAGGGAGCAGAAAGGAGAGGGGGGCGGCGGATGCGGAAGAGGTCTATGAGGGAGCGCGGAAGAGAGAGCGGGAACAAAGAATGAATGGAGAGACCGAGCGGTGGCACTCACAGAGGATGGCGGTGAGATAGGAGACCGGTCTAGACGCGACCGTCTGGTTCAACCGGGTGTATCGAGACGTGGCGGGGGCTTTGACTCCAAGGTGCGACGGTGTCGCGGGGGCGCAGAAGCGAGCAGAAGCACCGTGGCGGTCGAGTATCAAAGTGGAAAGGAAGCGTGCGCAGTCTGGGGCGAAACGATCGATTGTTGCTTGGACCACGTCGTCAAAGGCGTTACAGACAGAGAGGGGTTGCACGGGGTCTGAGCTGTTGGTTGTTGTTGGGAGAGAGGAGGCGTCCGACTGGGCCCCGACTCGAGCCATGATCCCGACTGGTCAGGGCGAGGGCCCGCACGCCGAATGGATCACGCCTGCCGAGCGGTCTTCGCTGGAGCACGGCCAGCCAATTATGGGCGCCTTGACGTCAAGGGCCAATCGGTATCTTCGGCCCGCCGCTTGCCGATGCAGATCGAGGCGGGCAAAGATTTGAGACGGCGATGCAGCCTGCGCACTGCCAGTGCCCGGGCCTCCCGAGGCCTTCTCGTCCCCGCCCGGCTTCCGCCTCCTCTCCTTGCTGTGCATGCCAGTCTGCTCTCGGAGCCACACGTACGTCCTGCTGACTCCGTCGCTCAGCCCGCACAGAGCGTGACGAAGCTTAACTGACATCCACACCGCACCCGCAGACGGCCGTTGGGCACCCCATGCTCCCCCATCCTCGCTTCCCCGTCAACAGATTTGTCTTTCGTGGCCTTGACAAGTTTCTCCGATGGCAGGTGACAACCAGCACGCCCCTGGAGCACCGCGCACGCCTGGCGCTTCGACACTCACCTCGAAATACACCGCACCAGACGCCCCTCGTTCCCGCTGCCCGTCTCCACTGTCGCCGCTTCTATTACGAGCTCCAAGCTACCGCCGCCCAAAGACGCCGCCCTCCTGCCTTGAGGCCTCTAATACTGACGCTTCGTCGTCCGAGGTTCGCGATTCACAGCGCACGCTCGCACGGAGCAGCGACATCCAGCGGTCCTCGCACCGGCTTCCTTCTTCGTGGGCATCGGGCGCCGGCCGCGCATCTTCGATAGATGGAGTTAGGGTTGAGTGGTGCACAAGGGAAGCAGTACTCATCGTGATCTCTGTTGGTACGTCCGTCCATTACGTTCCCCACGTCTGATCAAATTGCACGCTGGGATAGCGTGTCCCACTTGGCGGTTCCTTGGAGTAGACATCTGCAAACTCTCGGAGGGTCACTGAACTTCATGGCCACCCTCCATGTCGACTCGCCCCGCGTTGCATTTCCCCCAGCCTCCCCGCCGCGATCGCCCGCGCACATTGTCGGCGGAGCCGCGCCCGGCAAGCCCACGCCGGCAGCCCAAGATAGAGCACCTCGACGGTCACAACCGGTGATGGGCCGTCCACGCGACCGCCAATCCAGCTCACCTTAGCTCACCTTCCATTCTGTCAAATCAGGCTCGCTCGCATTCGCCAGCTGACCGGCGGCCTCTTCCAGCACATGTGGCCCCACCGTCTCCGAGCCCTTCGTGCTGCGCAGAGCCAACCCACTCCCCGCGTTCCCAGCTTCCTCAGCTTCGCACAGCGTGCCGCGCACGCTGTAGCACGTACCCGGCGGCGGATGTACTGCCGGGCGCGGGATGCATGAGAGGTGCCGTATCGGAAGTACGCGGCGCGTGGCGCCGTCGAATTCGATCCATCGCGTTTGCGAACTCGACCGCGAGCTCGCAGCAGGCCCGCAGGCGGCGCATCTGCTGCGGACTTCATGGCCTATTTCTGGGGGTGCATCGATAGTTGCGAAGCGCATCCGGAGGGCGCAGGCACTACCTTAAATGACGCGCGGTGGAGCGGCACCGTATGTCTGTATTGTCTGTATTATCGCCGCGGGAGCCTGGCGCAGGCGGGCTTTGTGATTCGCTGCGATTGACTAGCCGCGCGTCTTCGTCTTCTGCGTTCTTCAGTCGCTTCGCTGGTGCTTCCCACCGCTTCGTCGTATAGCTGAGAATGATTCTTGTCTATCATCCATCCATCGTGGCGTTGTATGAACCGTCGTGGCGTTGTATGAAGGCTACTAGCGTCGTCCTGCAGGACGAATTGCCCAGCGTCCCACAGAGCGTGGCAGTGTTTCGCAAGGTTATGGTTATGGCTGCGACAGCCCCGCGGCACGTCAACTGTAATTCAGTTGCCATGACGCCATCATGAAGAAGATCTGGCGTGAGATCTTGAGATGCGGAAATAGGCTTGAGATTACCGATGGTGGCCTGCGCGCGCTGTGATCTGAGTGAATCCCGCCAGCGCGATGAACATGTCTTCGCGTCATCTGACCGATGCTTGTCCTGACCCGTGGCCGTCCGCATCTCGTTCTTCGTTCTTCGTTTTTCTTCTCATATGAAGCCCGGGTGGGCAACGTTCGTCGGAGCTCGCAAATGGAGCCAATTTCGCGAGTCGCGATCGGCAGTGGTTGCGGTATGTACCAGTCGTATGCAGCTGAGTAGTCAGAATCACCACTCATCGTTGCATTTCAGCTCGCACACGAGGACTCACGGAAGTAGCCAATTGTAATCGCGCCCAGTGGTATGTCAGGTGTTGACTGCACGCTGGTGCATCCTGTCAGTGACTGGCGCGACCAGCGTCTTGGAACGCAGCAAATGCTACACGGGCGGCAGGCGCTGAGGCTGAACGTGCCGTTGCGACTTGCACGAGCCAACACAAACCTTCGCATCAGCTGCTAGAACAAAGCAACGCTCGTATGGTCAGAGCCGTTCCCCCTTCGGTATACTATAGACTAGACTGGGACATGTGTCAATAGTACCCTTGCAGTTCACCCACGTACCTGCATTCTCCGACTCCGACCTGAGGCGGACCAATGTCACCAGCAGTTTCCGCGCATACAGCACGCCTTCCGCGTCTTTCTCCTGTACAACTTTACCCTTGACAATGTGAGATGAATTCTTCCCTGCCCAGGTCGCCTCGCTGCTCCACGCATCCTGCACGCCGGCGGGCACTGGCAGGCTTCATACAATTGAGGTTCTAGTCAAGCGGCCTAGCGGTACCCTGCGGAAGTGTCGAGACACGTAAAGAATACGACTTGTCTGCATCCGGATATCCGATAACGACCATGGGTGGGACCGGTTCGCGACTTCGGCGGGGCCAGCCTGGGAGCAAGATGCAACAGCTGTGCGAGCGTGCAGCAGGGCGACGTCACAGATGATCAACAATTGCTGTCGCGCGTTGAGCATGAAGTGGCCTGGACAAGTGGCATATTTTTGCGCGTGAATCGAGAACGCAATGGGGCACGACCGCGTCTTCGAATCCCGATGGTATGCGCACAAGCGTGTAAGTATAGCCGCATACAGCCGCAAGCGTACACGCCTGCGCCGAGATTGACGCGCAGATGAGGCGTGAGCAGATGCGCTCAGAGTCGGCATGTCGGTGAACCAGATTCGATGCTGCGCGGCGGGGCCTGGGAAGACAGCTTCAGAGAGGTCCAACGGATCGAGGAGACCCAGGTTCATTGCGAGGTGCTGGGGAAGAAGAAAGAGACGGCGAGCCAAGTTTGGGACGAGTCCCAGCATATATACTGCCGCGGGCAGAGGTGCGGAGAATATTTATGACGGCTCTGAGGTGGGATGGGTGGCTCGAGCGCAGAGGGATGCACTGAAGCCGCCAAAATAGGAAAGCGCCACCCCAAATACGGCAGGAGAGGAGGTGGTGACGTCGATCGTTCAACTCCTAGATCTCGATCGCTCACGGGAAGAGCGCCACAGTGCCACCGCCACAGCGGCGGCGCCACTCCCGTCGCTCGGCCCGGGCCGTGGCTCAGTTGAGTATACAACTTGACATCCAGAATCCGCAGCACCATCCTAAACAGTCGAGAACTTATTGTCAGCGACACACTCGAAATTGGCCTCATACATGGATAAAATCACCGAATGAAGTATGTACTTACTAGCTTCGGAACCATACACATGCGACGTATGTAGTATTCCAGACAACATAGATCCCTGGGTTGGAACCACAACCGCAAGCTGAGGTCTCAGTACAAAAGGGAGATTGCTGGTGGATATATTGTAAGTTGTATCCGAAGTGGCTGCACGGGCGCGACCTCGCTAATGTGGTGCACTGGCATCATGATCTCTTGTAAAACGATGGACCCTCGCTCTGTTAGGACAGCTTACAGTGCAAAGCCATCAGCGCACCATAGACACCAGGGTGAGTAACCGCGGCGGCGAGAGTTTCAGTCCAAGTACATGACCCGCATTCAGGCCGACCGTGTATGGAATGAACGTTTCAACACGCAGCACTGGCAAGGAGCTGCAGGGGAGTGTACATCAAGGTGAAGGCGCGCGGCAGCACAGATCAACAAGTCAGTCTTGATCAATGAATTGTGCGTGCTGACGGAGACGATGTAGAGATTGATTGATGACCAACTCAGCAAGGATGGATCAGTCATGGCCGAAATACTGATCAGCATTGCCAATGCGGTAATGGCACGTTCCCGTAGGGCAACTGTGTCGCTGGTCGTGCATCGAAGGCTTTCTTGAACACATCGAAGGTATAGGGTGTGAACGTCCCTGCCACATACCACAGATGTCCATTACGCGGATACCAAAGAAAAGGCGACTTTCGGCACATCATCCCGCAAGTCCAAGATGTGACCAAGAGTCCAAGTGCCGCGGCCAACCCCGCCCGGCTCCGAGACACACGGAAACCACAAGACGTCCCGAAGCGCCGTCCGGTTCCATCGTACACCGATCGCCCTATATAACGTGAAGGCAATAGGTAGGCCACGACATCCAAAGTACCGCATCATGGCTATCCGTCTGGGATTCGTCGGACTCTCTTCGCAGGGCTGGGCATCGATGATGCTCGCGCCATCCCTCCTGCAGGCACCGCTGAACTCCGCGTACACGCTCGCAGCCGTCTCGACGAGCAACGCCAACTCCGCCGCCGCGAGCGCAGAGAAGTACTCCGAGATCGCGAAGCACTCCGTGAAGGCATATCACGGCTCGACCGCAGCGATCGCTGCGGATCCGGAGCTCGACTTCATCGCCGTGTCGGTCAAGGCGCCGGAGCACAAGACGGCGGTCACGCCCATCATCGAGGCGGGCAAGAACTTCTTCATCGAATGGCCGGTGGGTATCAATCTGCAGCAAACTAAGGAGATAGCGGAGGCAGCGAGGAAGAAGGGCTTGAGGACTATAGTCGGCACGCAAGGTAGGCAGAGCCCCACAGTCCGAAAGGTAATGCCATGCCGATCATCCTGGCATGAGACTCGACTGAGCATGTGTATGATCACCCATCTAGATCAAGGAGATCGTAGAATCCGGACAAATAGGACGCATCCTGTCCTCAAGCATCGTAAGTCCCCCACCCTGACCCAACGTCCCATCTAAGCATAGAACCACCCTACAGATCGCACACGCACCGAACCCTCCGTTGTACGCCTGGGGCCCCAAGATCTCCGAGCGCTCGACGTTCACCGCGGACGCCGAGCAGGGCACCACGCTCCTAGACGTGATCGGCGGCCACTTCCTCGAAGGCTTCACCTACGCGCTCGGGCCCTTCACCTCCGTGATCTCGACCCTCGCGGTCCAATACCCCACCGCGGAGCTCGTCGACGCGTCTGGCAAGCCCACCGGCAAGACCGTCACCCAGACGGGTGCGAACCAGGTCGCCTTCTCGGGCACGCTCGCGAACGGGGCCGTCGCGAGCATCCACTGGCGCGGTGGCGTCAGCGCGGACGGCGGCAAGCGGGGCTCGCCGTTCGTGTGGGTCATCGACGGTGAGAAGGGGTCGATCCGGGTCGAGAGCGACAACCCTGGTGGGGCGTACATCCACGTATACGAGCCGACTCTGTACGTGGACGGAGAGAAGGTAGAGCTGCCGCAGGACGGGCAGACGAATACAGCCAGGGCGTGGGCGGAGTTTGCGAAGGGCGATGCGGGCGACTACCCCACTATTGAAGATGCGGTCAAGGTGAAGGAACTGCTCGAGGCGATCAAGACGAGTTCGCGTGACGGGAAAAGGGTGGTTCTATAGTTACAGTGTACAGTATCCTGGATGACTGGCGGTGTGCCGAGGTTGAAACGCAACGGTTCAATGCTCGGATGGGCGGCGGTTCCGTGGTACGGTTGTCCATGAAACGAGAGCGAGGATTAATAGGCTAGATGCCCAAGCCCTCAACGTGGATGTAAACGGCTCTTTGAGGGCGATCTCGGTCCGGGCCGCCGCAACCATGAGTTTCGTGTAGTCGACATCGGGACCACCGTGCTGTCTCAGCGCTGATGCAGTGACGTCGGAAGCATTCGGTAGCTCCCATCCAGTCGCGAGGAGAGAGGGGTCGACAAAGGTGTCTGCGACCTCCCGAGTCGGCGACTGCCGTTGTTTAGTCTCTGGTTCGAGGGCTTCGGGTTCCACTATGGCATCTTCCAGCGCGGGCAGTACAACCTCGGCCTGAGCGACACCGCCGAAGAAGTCAGTCACGAGCGTGTTTTCCAGTGGCCGGCGGAAGAGGTCCGAGCGAACACCAGGGTGTGAGTCCAACTTCTTCGGGTCAAACGTGTTGAACTACGATGGAAACAGTGAGTCACTAAGATGCGGAAAGCCTTTGAGCCGACATACCAAATCTTGCATAGACGCTTGACTCGTCTTATTGATGCCTTCCATGAACTGTAGTACGTAGTGGGTAAACTTGTCGATGACAGCGACTCCGATGTCATAGTCGTTCTCATGCTATAATGCAGATTGGTGATTCATACAAGTGAGTAGGGCAAATTGGACGCACAGAGTACGAGTTCTCGTGAATCTCGGAGGAGCCCGTCGCCAGGATATTGGGAGAGTAGAACTTCGAGAACATGGTGTTTGCTTGACAAGTGTCGACCATGAAGAATATCTCATTGTACCTATATGCGGCGTCAAATCAGACCATACCATTGTATGCAGGGTATATGCGATACCTCTTCTTTTGCCACATTTGTTCAAACGCATCGGCAATGTCAAAGGCACTGATCTCCTCGTTATCTTGGAACTTTAGGAACTCGTTGCCGCCGTGGCCGGTCATGTACACAAAGATGTTGGAGCGGTCGTCGGTGAGAAGACGCTTCGACCTTGGAACAGAGCTGTCCATTCGACCTACGCAGCACAATGAACACACGCCCTTCTGTTGTCACTCGCAGAACGCACCTGTCAAGACCCTCAAGAAGTTCTCCACAGTCACTTCGTATCCACGATAGTCCACCTCGATGTTGTCTCCATACAAGTCCAGATAATTCCCCGTGTTCGAGTACACGCAACCTGCAAACTTGTTGCGTGGGTTACATGCGGCGTCGTCCGCGAGCATCAGGATGATGTTCGAGTCTGGGATACCGAGCCGCTTCACAGTGCGATACATCCCCAGAGCATTTGCCATGTGCTAACGTTCAATGTGATCAGTCGTGGCCATACTAGCCTGTAATAGCACGCACCCTATAGTTGAACCAATATCGCGACGAGCACACCAAGACGGCCCAGTTGTTGGTGTGACCGGACTCGCGGGCTCCATGTTTCTCGAAGAATTGCTTCACAGGCGCGGCAGGCTCTGAGTTGCTTACAACTCCACGTCCAAGTAACAGCACCGAGAGAATGAAGAGAATGAACCTATGGACCGTAGTAGACTTCATAGCTCAGGCTGGTGTTGGGCTGGTGGGACGCCGAGGGCCGGTTGTAGATGGTCTCGGAGCTTCAATCTGCACCTGTCCTTGACGGATCCTGCCCTCCGCAGAGCGTCGAGCTCTACTTCGTAAAGCGAGGAGAACACAAGTATGAGACCGAGAAAGAAGTGCGTGCGGCGCGTTGCTAGCTATGTAAGTGGTAGCTGCTGCCGCCGCCTTCCTGGCCGAAACGGCGAAACCGTCTGGTCCTTAGCGCTGAGCGCTGAGCGCCGGACCGAGTACAAACTGAACCTCGCCGAATTCAAGCACTCACGTATACTGTACAAATCCCAAGACCCTGAGTCAGACCATGAGTGCATGAGCCTTGTCATTCGTATATATAACTATGGCCAGACAGGACGCAAGCGGAGTGAAGGAGGGAAACGGAAACAGCAATAACGGTAGATACATGAATTACACGGCTAGTGAGAGACATATAGCATCTGCTAACATACGATGATACTGGTACAGTGCGTGAGGACTGCGAAGACGGAGACAATAATGCGAGCAGAACAGTCAAGCGATACAAGACGGACTACCAGGCCAAGACAACGCGAACGGATTACCGAAAGTCTCGAAAGGCAGCTGCCGCTTTGCGATGTTGATGCCGCAGCTGCATCTCCCGCGCCCTCCGCTCTCCGACACGCTGGTTGATGGTATTCATGAGGTCCGTTCGCCGCAATGGCTCTGCAGAGTAAAGCCGGTTTAGTCATTGTCCTCAGTATGCCTAAGCAGCGACGTACTGGTGATGTGATCATCCATCCCGGCTAGCAGGCAGCGTTCCCTGTCACCAATCACTAGAGGACGTACGCGGTCAATGATTAGCCCAGCCCAGGCAGACAAGAACACGCACTGGCATGAGCAGTCAACGCAATGATGGGCACAGGATCCAGCGCGTGTGCCAACTCGTATGCTCGGATCAGCTCAGTCGCTTCCATACCACCCATAAACGGCATCGAGACATCCATCTGAAAGACAAACCCTTCAGTCCTGCACTCCCTGCAGACAACGCGATGTAAACATACCAGGATGATGTCGAACGGCGCATTCCTCTGGCTTCGCGTCTTGAAAGCATCCACAGCCAGCTGACCATTCTCCGCGATCTCAACACGGTGGCCGTACTTCTCGAGGATCTTGACTGCCAGTTTCTGGTTGACAAGGTTGTCCTCGGCAATGAGTATATCGAATGGCAAGTCGTTCGCAGCCACGACAGGGGTAACTGTGTTTGACTCTAACGCTGCGATGAGAGCGGATGCGAGGTCTTGGGCCGTCACCGGCGTTGTGACTTGCGAGGAGATGCTGTTGTCGAGACACCATTTCACTGCTACAAGTCAGCTCCATGAACACTAATGGCGCACAATACAAGACATACAGTTCAGACGCGGCGTTGACTGCGGTGTCAGCAGCACGATCGGGATATACCGGAGGTGCTCGTGCTCCCGTAAGCGCTCCGTCTGGGCGAGAAGATGAGACACTGGTAGAACTGCTGAGTAGCACTGCACATACCACTTCAAGACCATCCACAATAATTGTATCGATTGTCGGGGTGTGATCCTTGTCCTTGACGTCGGCAACATCGTGGACGACAAGCGCAACGAGGTTCAGCTCCATGATCCGGTGGGCTACACCAGTCTGATCGTACAGGGTATCGACGAAGAGGATGCGACGCCCGAGGTACGGCTGCATCTTGGCAATGGTACCGTCCATCGACATGGGGCTGATTTGCGATGTGATCGTGAAGAAGAACTTCGAGCCAGAGTTGACCTCCGACTCGACCCACATGTTACCCTGCATGAGGGTGACAAGGCGCTTCGAGATGGATAAGCCAAGACCGGTGCCTCCGTATTCCTATAGACGTGCGTAAGTCCCGGCACATACAACACCACATTAGATCAGACATACCCTTGTTGTCGAACCGTCGGCCTGGCAGAAGGTATCGAAGATCATCGTCAGCTTGTCCCTCGCGATACCAATACCTGTATCGGAGACGCAAAACTCCAGGGTGACATAGTGGTCGTCGAGCGCGAGCAACCTGCAGCTGAGGGCGACATGGCCCTTGAACGCGGCCCTCGATGGCGTGAACTTGATAGCATTGCCGACGAGGTTGGTGATGACCTGGCGTAAGCGCAAGGAGTCTCCGATGAGCTGATCAGGAATCTCGGGGTCGATGTCGTATGTGAGGTCGAGCTGGTTCTGGGACGCTCGAACAACCAAGGTCTTGAGGATGCCGAAGACAGTCTGGCGCAGTGAATACGACACTTGCTCCATGGTCATGCGACCCGCTTCAACTGTAACGATCCATCACTCGTCAGAATGGCACTCTCGATCTTGAATACGAGGATAACGTACTCTTAGAAATATCCAAAATGTCGTCGATGATGAGAAGTAACGAGCGAGCCAAGCTGTGGACTAAGAGCAAGCTCTCGCGCTGCGACCTATCGAGGTCACTGTCGAGTGTCAACTCCGTCATACCAATGATACCGTTCATCGGCGTCCTGCCAACACTGGTCAGCAACAATACCAGCATACCCTGTACGAAGGTACCGACCTGATCTCATGCGACATGTTGGCCAAGAACTCCGACTTACTCCTGTTCGCCAGCTCAGCGGCCTCCCTTGCGGCAGTGTTCTTCTGTATACTGTCACGCAAGTTAAAGACCATCTGATTGATCTGCGTCTTCAAGGAGTCCATTTCTCCGCTGGCTTCGACAGTGATGAACCGACTGAAGTCACCGTCCATGGCAGCGGCTGAGATCTGCGCAAAGCCTCGCACTTGTGTCGTCAAGTTGCTCGCCATGGTGTTGACGGACATGCTACACACGTCGTAGCTTAGCATCAGGCAGCAGCTAGGGAATACGAGAACATACGTGATGTCCTGCCAGACACCCTCTGCATTGCCGACCTCAGCCTGACCACCAAGCTTGCCCTCGGTTCCGACCTCTCGAGCGACCTTCTTGACCTCGGCAGCGAAGATGGCCAACTGGTCAATCATAGAGTTGATAGTGTTCACTAAGTCGAGCATTTCTCCGGATACCGAGACACCAGTGACCTTGCGGGTCAAGTCACCGCGAGCGACGGATCTCTGTGGGACGATGAGTGGACTGCAACAATCTATGAGATCGCTCTTCACGTACCGTCGCCACCGCGATTGTTCGCACTTGTAAGGTCAAGTTGGCAGCCATGACGTTGACATTGTCCGTCAGATCCTGGATGTTGCAGCAGTCACCATCAGCCTCCGTTCCAACTCTTCACAACGCCAATACAAACCTTCCAGACACCGCCCACGCCAGGCACACGTGCTTGACCGCCCAGCTTACCCTCGGTACCGACTTCCTTCGCGACACGAGTGACCTCATCGGCGAAGACACTGAGACTCTCTGTCATGCCGTTGACGGTCTTCTTCAAGTCAAGCATCTCTCCGCGTACGTCGACTGTGATCCGCTTTGTCAAATCACCACCAGCGACGGCCTTCGTCACCTCGGCGATCGACCGCACTTGGTTCGTCAGATTCATGGCCATCAAGTTGACATTGTCCGACAAGACCTGCAAGCGCATAAGTCGACAGCACCTAGAGTCTAGCACGCGCTGACGCACCTTCCACATGCCCTGGACGTCTGGTACGTAGGCCTGACCACCCATCATACCCTCGGTACCGACCTCCAAGGACACACGCGTGACCTCGCTTGCCAACACGGAGAGTCGGGCAACCATCTGGTTGACAGTTGTCTTCAGGTCTAACATTTCTCCCTGAACGTCGACGTTGACGGTTCGACCGAGGTCGCCGTTTGCGACAGCCTTCGTGACTTCTGAGATCGACCGCACCTGATCCGTCAGATTGGTGGCCATTTTCTGCAAACATTCATCAATTTTGATTCGATGGCAGAAAACGTAAGCAGGCACTCACGTTGACATTGCGAGTCAAGTCGGCCCAAGTACCCTGCACACCCTCGACCCTCGCCTGACCACCCAAAATACCCTGCGTACCGACCTCCAGTGCGACACGCGTAACTTCGGATGCGAACGCGCTCAGCTGGTCCACCATGGAGTTCACCGTCTGCTTCAGCGTCAACATTTCACCCTCGACCTCGATCTCAATCTTCTGCGTCAAATCTCCCTTTGCGACCGCCGTCGTCACCTTTGCGATTGACCGCACCTGGTCTGTCAAACTTGAACACATCCGATTGACCTGCGAGCGGCTGTCAGCGACTGCAGCGGAGGAACTCTGAGGAAGGGCCGCACATTCCGTGTCAAGTCCAGCCAAACACCCTCTACATCCGGCACATCCGCCTGACCACCCAGTTTACCTTGCGAACCGACTTCCAGCGTAACACGTGTGACTTCCTTTGCTAATGTCCTGAGTCGGAGTACCATGCCGTTAACCGTGTTCTTCAGCTCGAGGATCTCACCGCGGGCGTCGACGTCGATCTGTTTCGACAAGTCGCCCATGGCGACCGCCTTTGTGACCTTTGCGATAGACCGGACCTGGCTCGTCAAGTTCGCGGCGAGCTTGTTGACGACACCAGTGAGTTCGCGCCATGTACCTTCGACGTCGAGCACCAGCGCTTGACCACCGAGCTTGCCTTCCGTTCCGACCTCCTGACTGACACGAGTGACCTCGGACGCGAAAGCACTCAATTGGTCGACCTGGGAGCGGGCTGGTCAGCGTCTGTACGTTGTAAGATGGTATTATGACAGCAGTGCTAAACAAGTGTGGAAAGGGGTGGCAATACTTTTGAGCTGGGGGAGTCTTGCTCTTGCGAGCAAGGGAAAAGCGTGTCGCAACTGGGGCGCCCCCAAAAACGCAGATCACTCCGGTCTCATGACATCATGCACGCTGCACTTCGTCTGACCAACACACGTCCGCCTGCGAGGCGCCTGTCCCTCCCGCATCCCCGCATCCCACAGGGACACACCATTGCAGACACCATTACGAGAAGACCCTGAATGAGACTCACCATTGCATTGATGACTTCCTTGAGCTGAACCATGACCACACCCTGCACGGGAACCGTAATCTTCTGAGACAGGTCGCCGCGGGCGACAGCATTGCAGACCCGCGCGACGTCCTGAACCTGAGCCTTGAGCAATTTGAGCTCCTCGACAGCGCTCATGCCGCTCTCGAATGCGGCCGCAGCGAGCGGGCCGATCGGGACGACCAGCGGCGAGCTGAGCGGCGGTGCGTTGACGTCGAAGTTGTTGTAGAGGTTCTTGCCACAGTGCGGGCAGTATGCGCTCTCCGCGGTCGACGTCGGCGGTGCGGACTGCGGGCCGATCTGCTTCATCTTGAACGTCCTCGGGTGGTCGAGCGGGTTCACGACGTCCTTGAGCGAGATGCTCATCGGCGACGGTGTGCGGCGGAGGCCGTTGCGCCCGCGCGATTGCTGCGCCTGGGGCGTGGACTCTTCGCTCTCGACTTCAGCCTCCCCCTCTGCGTCGGCGCCGGCGTCGAACATCTCGACGTCCTTATCAACGTTGTCTGTGTGCTGACCTTCCTCCATTGTGCTCGGGATGCTCTCCACGGAGCTACTGGGGGTGCCGACGAAGAATGGCGAGGTGGATGCCGCGGTCTGGCTAATGGAGCTGTTGGCCTCGGCGCCGTCGCTCCGGGAGCTCGACGAGCTGGCGCTGCTGATGGGCGGGCTGTCGCCGACGCTCCGGCGTTTCTTGGACTCTGGGCCGCAATGTTCGGACGCCTTGATGGCTGCGAGGGCCTCTTCGGCGGTGTACATGCGGCGCGCGACCGCGGTGAGAGAGCGGAGGATGCTATCGGTCTGCCAGTCGGAGGGGCCGTCATACTTGGGCACGGGGACTGACGAAGGACCAAGCTCGTAAACGGAGAGGGCAGCGACGAGATACTGAAAGAAAGGGTGCCCAGCGGGCGTACGATGGTCGGCGATGGGTGCCATCATCGCCATCGTCGTCGACAGTGACAACGAGAAGTTGGCGGCAGGCTGGCGGAGGGGAAAGGGACACTCAATTTCGGCACGCGTTTGCAAGCACCTGCAAATATGTAAACGCTAGTTTCGCACCAGCGCTCGCCGCTCGCTTACCGGCACGCCTCGGTCGCAAGGACAACCTCTCTCGTCGGCTTTCTGTGAACGATACCGCTGCCGTGAGGGCTGTTAAAGGCGGCAGGGAGCTCGCGACCGTGTTCAGCGAGCAGACAAAACAGAGGTCGTATTCTCTCTCAGTTTGTGACTCGTTATTTAACCCAGGTCACTTGACCCTTGCCGAGGATAACTCCAAAACGGGCAGTTGCCAAATACAGTATCAAGGCACTGCTACGCCGGATCGCTGGTCTCACCGCCGCCAAGTTACCGGGACTCAGTCTAAAACTCTGCCGTGGCCAACAAGTTGATCAATCAACTCAAATTCACTTACTTCCCCTATGTACATGAGCGTGCAAAGGGTTTGCGGCTTGCGACTCCATCCCAAGGTATGTGAGTACCAAGATTGACGCGACATCGTGGCCGCGCCACTCGAGTCAACGGTATTGTTCAACTTGTAGTCCTGGACTGTGGAAGGTGCATTGCAAAGACTCTCCATCCTTATACACGGAAACTGAACGATGAAATCTCAGACAGATGAGGCTGGAAAGTACGTGCGTTGCGGACAACGGCTGTGCATAAAAAGCCTGGTTCAACTGTAACTGTACAGTGGGTACGTACAGGGCGACAACTGACAATTGACCCTGTCGCCATATCTCGAACAGTCTCGAACAAAGACATCCTAGTGTTGGCCTCGCATCCTCACAGTACATTTTCATCCGCCTCAGTGCTTAGCGGTCCGATAGGCGAGGTCCTGCCTATTGTCCGAGGCAGTGCACGCCCGGCACGAGCCTTCGTCTACGCCGCGCATCCATCCATAGGCTCGTGTTATTGTGACTTCCGGATCCCCGAATCATAAGCACTTATCCTCTCATCGCAGCTATTGGATTCCCTATATACGAGGATCCCGATCACAAAGGTGGTCAGCTCTCTGCCCATACCAAGCTCACGCGGACCATTCGTGATCCATTTCCAGAGTCAACGGTCCGACGCACTGGGTTCATTGGACGTCCGCTCCACGGCCGTTAGTCAACAGTTCATTCTGGCCACACTCTTGTCCACCATACTGCCCCCAGGAAGACCGGTGTGGGAGTTTGTGGCCTCGCGGCCGTCCAGAACGGGTGGCGGGATTTTTAACACGACATTAATCGACCGCGGTCTGAGCCGACATTACTCAGATTACCTGTCAGTATCCTCCCAAGGCTAGGCAACAAGATTACCATACAGTGTTGGGTATGTGCGACAGGCAGGAGCTATTTTGCGCGTCGTGGTTATTGCGGACAACTGTTGAGAATAGAGTCCCTCATCACTCATGTGGTAGATATAGGTAGACATCCGACTGTCAGCAGCGGACAACGCCACTGCGCTAGCCCCGAGCGAGCGTTTGGACCTCCTTCCACGGAGCCAATCGGACGCATGGCGCGAAGAAACTTCCTATTTACGGTTGTCGCTCTGCTGTCTTCAAGGCCTCTCCGGTCAAGATCTGGCATAGAGTGCGGAGCTCGTGCGAATGGCTGAGAACATCGTATTGACACCGCACAAGCACCGCAGCAGATTGAGTGGTCACGCGGGCACGGAAGACTGGGCAGAGCGATGGCGACATCCATCTGCACAATACAGGAAGCCTCGCAGAATGTAGCGGCCGGACTCGCATGGAGCTCATATGAGGAGGTGAGTAAGTATCGTTGATGAACGTACTACTGCTCTATTAGGATGACAGGAACATGTGTCGATCGACGACGTGTAGTCTTGAGCACTGTGTGTGGTTGCGGTTGCCATGCCATTCAACCTTTATATCGCGAAAGCCAGATTACTACTATTATACGGTGAATTCGTTGACGTCTGTTTGGCATTTCACACATGCGCATCGGGCATGTCCGCCTTTCCATTTATGTTTGACATTCGACATCTGGTGACCATCTGTTTTATGAATAGGTTCGTGATGGTCAGCCTCATACTTTGCTTCAGTTGCTGACCTTGCTAGGACCCTCTCCGCATTACCGGCCTGGGCGGCTGTCTATCGCCCCTACGTGTACGGATCAACTACTGCAACCTACGTCACCGTTTTCTCATACTCGTACAAGCAACCTTTGAGCAGAGTAAGCTGCAAGCAAGCCCTACCAGTCAGGCATCACTCATGCATCGAAGGAAGCCCTGTGGGCGCGCTCGCTCCTCGGCTAGGTCTTCCCTTCACCGAACCTAACCCTCCCAAGTCCGACAATCTCGGTGCTATCTCCCTCACGCAGGACCACCAATACCATGCGCGTACGAAACACATCGACATTCATTTCCATTTAATCCGCTGGATCATACAAGATAAGAAGTTATAGCTTGTTTACAGCTCTACAGACGAGATGGTTGCCGACAAGCAAAGCAATCCCTTCATGTCGGTATGCACACAATGCACTCGAGTGCACAGCCTCTTGCCTCCCATACCACACTTGCTGAGTGATGTTCTAATTTAAATACGGGTGCGCGTTACGCGAGCATTTGTCCCTTTTCCTTTCAATTCCACAGGTATCCGAGTATTGATAGGCAGGTTGTTGGACTACTTACCATGGTGCCGCATTGCCGGGAGCTGTTTTGGGACGTGCGTGCGAGGGAATGCACAGATCCACTCGAGGTTCTCCTGGAATGATCCCCGGGTCGACGCCAGCGGTACTATATCGGTCACCTCTCACAGCCAGACCGTAATACGATGTTCGCGATGCGATTGGCTCTCTCAACACGCTCGACATCAAGCTTCGTGACGATGTATGCCATAGCCTTGGAGTCCTACTGCCGATTATCGCTAACAACGCAACCAGGGCAGTTGTCAAGCAGTGAACAGTTCCGCGTCCGACGCTCTCAAAGAAATGGTCGGGACAGCGGCAAAGGTTTTTGTCCTCACTGTCTCCAGCACAAGTTCGAAGGTGTTCATATCGGCTGCCAGCGCTTACGAGTTCATTGCGGATCCACGGGACGGCCGTCGAGCCTCTGGCCTCAGGGTCCTTGTATCGAAAATCCCGATTAAAAGCCCACATTGTGCCCCATGATCCGTCATGAACTCCTGACAAGCTCGCCGGAGTCCCGCATTGACACGAAGAACGCGAGTGCAGGGACATCTAGAAGTCGGCCTCACAGCCACCGGCCCACGGAGTGGCTTCGCGCGGCCATGTCGAGGTAATTATATCATACTCGAGTCTGTTTTGCGCCCTCTGGACCTGCGGGATGGACTGCGAATACGCAGTCTACCAGTTCTAATCAAGTCAATGACAGGCTACCAGTGCTCAACAACGCTGTCCGGCACCGCTGCCCAATTGGGCGCTGATATCATAGCGTAGCGCCTCAAAATTGAGCGTTTGGCGAACAGTGCATCGAGTACTTAAAGAAGGATTCTCCCGAGATTTGGATCATCCGAGCAAGCCCTGACCAAACCGAGCTGCATGGTACGTCCTTCGCCACATCACGCTTGCATCATTATACTGGTCCCGGTGCGTCCCAGCCCCAGGCCACTCGGCACACCGACTTCCTTGACTCGGGAGCAACTTCCGTGGCTGGATCAATTCATCTATATCCGCGTATATACGCGTTTCATTCGGGAATTCTCAGCGTTGTGGGATTGCGGACAGCCGTAGGCAGTGACGGGCTGCTCGTCTGCCTCATCTGCCTCCTGCCTCCTGTATAAAGACTCAGCCTGGATCTCGCGACATGCTAGCTCAAACGCTCGCTTTACCGTCTGCCAGAAGCCATGCGGTCTTCTCAAGTCAATTTCGCTCTCATATTCACCGCTTTCATTCGACACGCCGCCGGAGCTGCTGTAGCGTCGAGTGCACCTATCGTGGCCCTTCAGTATGGCTCGTTCCAAGGGGTTACTACGGGCAATGTCGCGTCATTCCTAGGCATGCCATATGCACAGGCACCGTATGTTGCGTCACAGAGGATCTTGGAATGCAGACTGAAGTGATCTGTCAATGAAGTGTAGGTGATCTACGATTCGCGCCGCCTCAGCCACCACAAGCATTCGAGGGCCTATACAATGCGACAGCTTATGGAGCAGCCTGTTTTCAGCAAGCGAACACCGCCCCAGCGATCGACTCAACGCTCCCGTTCAACCTTTCCAGCGGGTCGACACTGACCAACCAATCCGAAAACTGTATGTACCTCAGCCCAACTATGCTTCGACGAGACTGAGACCGTTGGCATGTCATTGGCAGGTCTATTCGTCAATGTCCTCAAGCCAGCAAGTGCAGTACCAGGCGACGATATTCCCGTGTTATTCGTGAGTTTTCTTGCTCAACGTCCTCTATGTGTATAAGTATCAGTATCGGTGTCTCAAGGTTCTTTGCGTCAGTGGATATATGGCGGTGGTTTCGAACAAGGTGACTCTTCGGGCAACCCCGGCAACGAAATTGTCGAGCGCTCGCTTGTCCTCAATGAACCTATTATCTTCGTCTCCGTCAACTATCGGCTCAATGGTACGCGCTTTGTTATGTTGAATGAGCCTGACGATGCAGCCCAGTTCCTCTGACAATCGATTCACAGCGTTTGGATTCCTGGCCAGCGAGGAAGTCGCCCAGGCCGGACTGACGAACATCGGGCTACGCGATCGTAAGTAGATGCCTGGATCCAATCATGATATGTACATGATTGATAGCTTCACCCGTAGAACGCTTTGGGATGCAATGGGTGAACCAGTACATCTCCGCGTTTGGTGGCGACCCCAGCAAGGTCACAATGTGAGCCGTGGGTGCAGTCTCGGCGTATAGCAGTCTCGACTCACGACGCGTTTATAGATGGGGCGAAAGTGCCGGTGCTTTTTCGGTTGGCTTTCAACTTGTCCTCGACAACGGCGATCCACAGGGACTCTTCCGTGCAGCAGTGATGGTACGTTACTTCAAGCCTTCACCGATCAGTATCATCTCCTATGATTGCACCAGAATATCACTAACACATCTGCACCTTTCCTGACGCTAGGAAAGTGGTTCACCCTATGCCCTACGTAATGTCTCCGCGGGCCAGCCGTATTATGACCTCCTGGTCGACTATACGGGATGCACGGGCCAGTCGGACACCCTCGCGTGTCTGCGTGAGGCGCCTGCAGAGCAGATCCTGGCTGCCGTCAATATGACTCCAAACAGCCGCGACTACACCGAACACAACCTCGCTTGGCAGCCTCGTCTCGATGGAGATCTTTTCATTCAGAATCCTCAGCGGTCCGTGTTGATGGGGCAATATGCGAAGGTGAGCCTTACGATAGAATGCCTCCCGAACTCCAGGGTGTTCTTGAGTATTGACAATGCGGGATTGGCAGGTCCCCATCATCTCGGGCGACTGCGATGACGAGGGTACATTGTTTTCGTTGGGAAACATCAACGTCACGTTTGTATTCTAGCCTCTTTCCTCTTCCTTCGTTGCTTCTCATAATGAATCTCAGGACTGATGAAGAATTTCTGACCTATATCAATATCGAGTAAGTGTGATACCTTGAGTTGCAACGAGCATACTAGATTGACTATCTCAGATACCTGCCGGATGCTTCTCCCATTGAGATGCTCGCGGTAGGAGCAGCATACCCCGAAGACCCGAGTCTCGTATGTGCCGGCTTCCGGGTTGCTTCCGTGAGAACATCCTAACATCTCTCACAGGGTTCTCCGTTTGACACTGGGGATGCGAACCAATTGACGTAAGTGAGAGACTTTCGCGAGCTTCCTATAATCCTCACTCTGCTGGCGTAGGCCTCAATTCAAGCGTATCGCGGCTTTCACCGGAGACTGGCAGTTTGAGTCGCCTCGCAGATTGGTTCTTGAGACGATGTCGCGCACACAAGATGCGTGGGCATACCGTACGTCTCTCGCTCACTCACGTCATCTTGCTGCCTGACACAAACTCTGGTCCGTCTGAAAGTGTATAGGCGTGGCAAGTCAACACCCTACTTAGGGGCTTACCACTCCTCGGATCTCTCAGATTTCTTCCGCGACGGTGATTACATAGGAATGGATGCAATAAGTCCGTCTATTTCTGTACCGCGCGAAACACTCAGAATACTCACACCGTCGTGCCCGCAGTCAACTTCGCGACGAACCTCGACCCGAACGCGGCTCCAGGCCTAGCACCTAATGTCAGCTATCTTTCTGGAGTCAACTGGGAACAGTGGGCATCCGATCCTGTTGCGCCACCACTTCTTACTTTCCAGGATCCTGCCCCAGCCATCAACTTCACCACGGACACGTTCCGTGACGGGCCCACGACGCTCCTCGCCACTCTAGCTCTCCAGATGCCCTGATCTAATTTCTGTCGTTAGAACAAATTGACATAGATCACCTGGTACATGATCGTCGTTATGTGTTTGGTACATCCATTGTCAAACAGGTGACACTTTGCTCTGCATTCGTTACAATTTGCCGGATGATGCGTCACGACAGCATTGAGTGCTCGCGTCCATCCTCATTTCCATTCCTTCGATCACTCTCATGCATGGAATCGTTTTGAGTTAGGATTAGTAATAACTCAAGCTCGTACTTACGGCGTACCATTCGTATCGCCAAGGTAAAGCACCAGTCGTCAGTGCAGCAGCGCTGGGCACATAAGTTACAATGTCACAATTCTGAATGGGTCCGATCCTCCTGCTTCCAAGCCTGCCAGGATTGCCTGCCGGACTGCTCCCAAGTAGTCGCCAAGGCGCCGACCCTCCTGACTGACGAAGTCTTCAGTCAGCTTGTAGCGCGAGTCTGCGACAATGTTTGCGAGCATCAAGGCGTGCTTGAGGTTTCTGTATGAGGGAGTCAGCCAATCGTCGACTGCAACGTACGGGAGAGTACTGACTCAGGCATTTTTGATCTCGAGGCTACCAATAAGGCGTGCAGGCGGATGATGAGCTCCGGAATGTATATTTGCCGGATACGGATGAGCTCTCTGCGACGCCGGTCCACTGCAAGGAGCTGTATTAGGCTATCGCCGATATGATAAGACGCAACAACGCACCTGCCGTCCGTTCAGCATCAATGATAAGCCAATCGTTGGTCAAAAGTTTCAACACTTGTTCTCGAGCCTGTTGCAGAAGAAGCTATGACAGAACGTTAGTTCGACGCACTCATGGGTAATGTCATTTGCAGTATTTCGCACCTTGTAGTCCTCGAGCCACGCAGCGCGCGTCTCCCTATTCATGCTCGGTGACTCCAACGCCTGACACTCGACCACCCGCGCTAACGACTCCCACACAACGAAGAACTGCCGGTACTGTAGGTGTTCGGTCGCAAGCTCTTCAGGCTTGCGTATCGACGATAGTTCAACGGGGAGCATCTCCAGTAGGGCCTTCGCCACTTGGACGCGACCACACCCTATGAATGTCTGGTCAGTTTCAGGGGCGTTGACTCTAACACGCAGGCAGTTTTACCGAGGAAGTATCGCAAGATGACATTCGCCTGTTCGAGTGCCGTAGTATGCGTGGATTCCATGAAGGTTGTCCACTCGATGGAGCGGAGGAGCAGCTGCTCCTGCTCGGAGGCAGGTGGTTGCATCCCAATGATGGATGGCAGAGGGCCTTTGGCAGGGGGTAGTTCCTGGCATTTCGGACAAATTAAGCACTCCCAAAACGCCATGCGATATAGTTGAGAAACATACCTGGAATGCCTTTTCGATTGTCCGTTCGGCTGTAGCGACCGCAACGCGCTGCATGTCGAGACCATGTTCCCTTGCACGGGTCAGGGCTAGACGGCGTTCTGCTACATCCGCTGAAAGTTCTAAGGACGTCAAGAACATCGCGTAGCGCTCGACGGCGTTATCTCCAAGAGCGCCTGCATACATCGCGATGAGATCACGCTGCCCTGCCGCCTTTAAAGGTGCATTAGCCATGCATACGTTCTGCGCTTGAGAGCATTGAAGCTATGCGTACCTCAAGCACTTGCAGGTATGCCTCAAGGATGACCTGCGTTGCCAGCGGTGGTATGTCAATGTCGATCATCTGGAGATACAAGCACAGATGTGCAAAGAACCGGGACATCGAGGCGTATCTAGAGCGATGGCACATCAGCGCGACACATCATTGGTAAAGGCTGGACGTACTGTGGGGCTGAGGTATCATACTCTCCTTGCTGCAGACTGCTGGCGAATGCCTCCAGAAGCTCGTCCGTGCGATCCAAGATGATATGTAGCTGAGAGACATGGAATGGATCATCCGCGTTTGACCTGGACAGCTTGCCCGTCAGCCTTCAGTACCGATGCTAGCAGGCTGGGAGCGTACCCTTCCTCTACAGCGACGTTGCTCAGCGATTCCAGTGCACCCAGCACTTCCTTTTCCCAGTCTTCTTCCTCCGTCTCCATCCGACTTCCGGAGTTGGCCCCCTCAGTGCCTTCTTCAACTGCCGGTCCCTCTACCGCAGCTACGCCACCTTCCCAGAAGCTTTCGCTTGCAAGGCCGGCTAGGCCAACTGCCAACCGTTCCTCGCAAGCTATTGATACAACAGCCCAGAGTTGATCCGCCCATGTTCTACATGCCGCCTTTAGTGGTCCTGACGTTTGTGGCGACGGTGCGAGTGCAGCATAGAGGGCACGTTCTGTGGGTGACAGATTTTGCTACAGACAGGATTAGAATTCAAGCGGAAAGAGTAGATAGTAAAGGCCTCACATTCAGTGCAGCCCGCGTGCAAGCCGTCTTCCAAAGCTTCCTGCGTAGATTTCCCCGCCACCCCTCGTCGACGACATCCATCTCGTCCTCGGCTTCGTCGTCACGCGGAGCGCTTGCTTCAGCGCAGTAGCAAAGACGTCAACACCGTTAGCATGTAAGGTCTGGGGAAAAACTCACTGATAGTCCTCCATCGTAAGAGCAGTGCACCGCTGATACTAGCAGCCCGCCATGGCTGCTCAGCACGTCTGCACATTTCCACGGCATCGTCGAATTTGCCCGCGCGTACGAGTGAGAAGAGAGCTTGTACGAGTGATTTATCGTAATTCTGAGAGCATGGGTGCAACACGGAGGTGCCATGGTCGACCTCAGTGGCCGTGCAACGAAAAGAAATGTCAGACAACATACTGCGTCGTCAATCGCCAGTGCCTTTGCCTGTGCGCCCCTGTTCACTGCATCCGGGTCCATTTCAGAAACAACAGCATCTGTTGCACTACTCATGCGTAAGTCTTGCATCAGGACGTGTTTCGTAAACCGCCAGTAGCCGTTGATGGCACCGGGGTCTATTGGCGGGACTGTGGCGGCCATCTCGTGTAACCACTCGCGGACAACCACAAGTGCAGAGAGGAGAGGGGATGCGTTCATGATGGATTGCGCAAGGGTCGCTGGCGGCGTGTAGGGATTTGACGCGAGGAGCGAGCGGGGGTCGGGGTATTGGGTTGGCGCTGTCTTGCGTAGACTTGGACACATATGTATAAGTGGACATGCAGAATCGCTAAGTACTGTTCAAGCGCACTCACGGCATGATTGCTTGCAGTAATGCCCATGTCTCACTCTCCAACCTCAGGCTCTCGATCTCTGACAAGGAGACATCCGCGGGGCCTCCTTCTTCGAGATCTGCTAGTCTTCACACAACAACGAGTGAGCCGCATCCCGATTGGATCCAGAATCCTAAGAACACTGATACCCACTGTTCGATGCAAAGCTGTCGCAATCGTGGTGCAAACCCGGTATGGGGATCCAGCAGTGTTTTGAGGTCATCGTTCGACTGGGATGCCGACAGAACTTGGGCACAGGACGCGTACAGAGACTCCGACATAGATCTAAGTTCCTCAAATTCCAGAGTGTGTCGGAAAAATGATCGCTGAGGAGATGGTCCAAGCTTCTGGAGGAGGGTTAACTTCGAACAGAGACGAGGACAATGATGATGGTCGGGGGCGCGTTGTAGACGATCACGTGCGAGCGCGTTTGTGGCAAACTTGGAACCGGCCCCGCGTACGCGCGCCGGTCGCACGACTCTTTGCTCCTGCTCACGACTGTCCGCAAGCCTCTTGCAGGAAGGCTTTTCGTGGATGTCGATGTCTCCAATCTAGTCTACCGCAAAGTTCGATGTAAAAGGGAAATGAACTGAGAGCGAAACGCCCCGCGGCGGCTCCGAGTCGATGTTCGGTGGTCCGCCTTTTTCCGCTCGACCAGGTTGGATGCCCCCTGGGACAAATGTGATTGTATGCTGCTCAATTCCTCTCTAGGATGAGTCACACATTGATGAACTCGTAAGCTTACATGCCTCTGTCCTTACCAGTGTGACGCTGCGAGGGCCTGGTCGCAGGAACCTCACAGCGGAACATGCGGGGCTCCTTGAGTCCGCTTCTCAAATCCGAAGATGAGGACTTCAATTCTCATTGCCACGCACCGGCTCCGTCATTTCTCACCGAGAGCACTGACGCAGTACAAAGGGCCTACTCGTACGGTTGCTGTGGGTCGCAGGATCGTCGCTTGCTTCAGTCCATCATGGTGACAGCTTGCTATAGGATGACAAGGAGATCTTCGGCTACCAACAGTAGCTATGAACGTATCAGCGGCTTTTTCAATGACATTGGCGGTTCTCACTATGTCACCTCACAGGCCTCAGCCACGCCGGGCCGCTTCTATCGCATTGCGATTGTTCCCTGCTTCTGTACGCATCGACTCTATGGGAGTGGCACTCTATGGCTTCAGGAAGAACATCGTTAACCAGAAGGCGAGGTAAAGCCTGGACATATCCCCAGGTCTACCATGGCCGCTGCCGTAAAAGTTCGTGAATGATCAAGACAGGGGTCGCTACCGGCGCACCTGCACCTTGTCAAGGTCAGCCGTATACATCCCCCTGGCTTGGGCAGCGCCACGGTAGCCCCATGAATAGCTCACCATCGTCATTTAGTGACATCCGCGATACGACGGTCCTGAAGACATAGATACCTGCGCGCCGCGCGGGCCGGTCCAAGGCCTACCTCCGCATCTCATTTGTGCGTGTTGCGCTCGGTATACTGCGGGGCAGCGTTACTCCCTCGACTGTTCTGGAGATGCGGTAACACTTACGTACGTAGGTATTCCTGCGTGCTCAGATGTATTCTGGCTAAAATTTGAGGACTGCGTTCACACTGGGGGTTCGCATGGGGTTCACGCCCGGTTCTCGGTTCTCTGGAACTTGCGAGGGTCAAACCGCGTCGGTGAGTACAGAGGGTTCAACAGTAAGTACGCTGATACGTAGCAAACCAGCCGCGAACGACCGGACCGTAGCCCAGAAAGAGGACTGACGGCGGGGCCGAGAAACCGAGGTCGGGTAATTTTCGACGCGACATTGGTGATGCGGCAGGCATGGATATCGCACGGTTATGCAGTTGGTTACGCCCAGGATGACCGCACGACCGCCCCGGCGGCGAAATGAGGCGTTCCTGGTCCCTCTGACCACTCCCCGGCTTCAGAGCATCAGGTGAACGCGGTCGGGCGGCAGGCGCACATTTCCTGATCTGTTCAGAAGGCGACGGATCACAGGTCCCACGCTCTCCTCGATCGGCACGGAGGAGTTGGAAACGCCACCGCCGCGATCCGCTGCGCTTGGTGGCGTAGTGCACAACTTATTTGCTTGGTGAGTGCAATCGATGCGGAAGACCTACGCGGGCCCTTCGCGAGTCCCTTGCGAGCTATCCTTAGGAACCAACCCTCAAAACAGTACCGCAGAGCAAGTCGAACGAGGTGCTTGTTCGCGCAAGCTTTTCATATGTTGCGTAGTTTGCCTCCGAGAAGCCATTCAACGACGCCTCGACTTGTCAAAAAATCTCAGCGATGCCATTGCAGAACGCGGATCTTGCATCATTAGCCTATGACACACCATTGCTGTACGCTCGATGACGGGTCCGTGCGATTCGAAGCGTTCATTTGCCTCTGCGGGAGTCCTGGAGAAGAAATCAATAGGGCGAGTCGAAGCTAGCGGGCCTTCGAGGTGCGTGAATACGTTGATACGACGAATCTCCGTCTCGTGCTGCCTTGCGGTGCGCGCCACGCGAGTCATATGCGACGAGTAGATCATGAAGGGGGCCCGCGCTGGCAGCGCACAAGCGTTTTGACTTGAGGCTTGGTCGGCAGGACGTGGCCCGCGTACCCCGCATCGACCCCGGACGTGCGGCGGTGATCGACGCGGGGCAACCGTCAAGATGTGCAAGAGGATGCGGGGGCGGAGGGGCGGACCGCTCCGGGCCGGGCTGATTCAGGCACCTCTGCTTCTGACTTCCCCAGGATCTCGATTATAACGGTCAGAGGCGCCCGTTAGTGCGCCGGGGGAAAAGGTTATAAGCCCCGCACGGAGGTATCGTACCCCAGGGTCGTCTTCCTGCAGTCCCCTCTTTGCATACCGAGAATCCTCCTGCAGACACCTGTTCTCCTTCAAGATGAGTACAGAGAGGACGGGCGTGTTTCAAAACATCCGGGTCTATTGTGCGTGCCTTCACCCTGTCCGTATACTACTTTCTGACTCATATTCGTCGATCAGGGCTCGCTTTCATTGTATACTGGGGCATTGTCCTCTTCGGTTATGATACGTGAGTTGCACCGTTCATACCATGCAAATTTAACGGCTAAAGGGTGCTTCAGTGGTGTCGGAGGTGGTGTCGTTTCGCAGACCTACTTCCAGATTCACTTCGGTCTCGTGAACGACGACGGCTCGATCAACAAGGCCAGGGCAAACGATGTTTCCTCCAACGTAGTATCTGTCCTGCAGGCGGGTGCTTTCTTCGGTGCCCTGGGAAGTGCCCCCATTTCTTGTGAGTAGACGCGCCGTTTCTGTGTTTCAGAGTTGATGATGACACATTCTTCTAGCTGCGATTGGGCGCAAATTTACTCTCCTCGGGTTCACTATTCTATTCGCCGTCGGTGCCGTGAGTAGCGCCTTTCCTATCATTTTGAGAATAATGTTCTGACATGCTTGCTTTCAGATCCTTCAAACAATCGCGGGTGGCTCGCGTGGTCTCGGGTACATCTACGGCGGCCGAGTCGTCGCTGGTGTTGGTATTGGTGCCATTTCAGCGGTTGCGCCTGCCTTCGTCTCCGAGTGCTGCCCCAAGGAAGTGCGTGGTCGAATCACTGGGTTCTTTCAGATCATGGTCGCCGCCGGTGTTATGATCTCCTACTTCATCAATCGTGCGTTCATTTCCTTTGCGTTTTGAAGGCCACCGACTTATGCACTCTACTTATGGTGACGCAGTTGGCATCAGTCTTCACATCAGTACGGGCCCCGCGATCTGGCGTATTCCCTTCGGTTTCCAGCTTGTCCCCGCTGGTATCATGGCCTTCGGCCTGCTTACGGTTAAGGAGTCGCCGCGTTGGCTGGCATCCAAGGGCCGTAACGGACAGGCTCAGGAGAATCTGGCGTACCTCCGTCGCCTCAGCCCCGACCACCCGATCATCCGCGAGGAGATGGCTGAGATTGAGGCTGCTATTAAAGAGGAGCGTGAGGCGCGCAATGGTCTCGGTCTTCGTGAGGCGTTCTTCGGCAAGGGCAACTTCATCCGGTTCGTCATCGCCATAGCCATCTTTATCCTCCAGCAATGGAGTGGTCAGAACTCGGTCAACTACTATGCGCCGCAGATCTTTGAGTCGGTGAGTTCATGCAGCTCCGTCTCAGTCATGTCCTCGGCGGCGCACTCACTCGGCGTCGGTTTTAGATCGGCTACACCGGAACGTCTGAGTCGCTGCTCGCTTCTGGGATTTACGGCATTGTCAAGCTCGTCGCGACCACACTCTTCGTGTTCTTCCTGGCAGACACCCTCGGCCGTAAGCGGTCGTTGTTGATCTCGGCGTTGGGCATGGGCGTTATGTTCTTCATTATTGGTGCCCTCCTCAAGACGCACCCACCCGATCCCGATGCAGCAACACCCGCTCCCTCTTCGAAGGCTATGGCCGCCATGCTCTACATCTATGTCTGCTTCTATTCCCTTGGCTGGGGTCCCTTGCCGTAAGTCTTGCCTGAGACATGACGACCATGCGGATGCTCATCTACGTTTGCAGTTGGGTTTACGTCGCAGACATCTTCCCGACCCGGACACGTCATTTCGGTCTCGCCGCAGCGTCTGCGTCACAGTGGCTCTTCAACTTCGTGCTCTCCAAGGTGACACCGGCAATGGTCTCTGCCTTGGGCTACAAGCTGTTCCTCATGTTTGCCACCATTAACATCGGCGGCATGGCAACATTCGCTGCGTGAGTCTTGTCAGCCGTTCCAAACGATGTCATGGCACTGAGGCATGATATGTGTGACACAGGATCATCCCCGAGACGAAAGGCCGGTCCCTGGAGGAGATGGATATCATCTTCGGCTCCGTCCAGGCGGAGCAGCGGCAAGCCGATATTCTCAAGCAAGAGCGTGGTACGTATCATCCTTATGATGATTTCTCAAACCACGGAAGACTCACGGACTTTGGCAGTGCTCGATCACGAGGTCCCAGAGGTGCAGTCCGTACGGTCCGACGTCGAGAAGTCGTGAGCCGGCGAGCGTGCGTTTGCCTGTGCGACAGGGGCGTCCGCTCCGTAGTACCCCTCGGCATCCATGTCTTCTGTTTACTACTGTCAGTGTATGAGTATCGATGCCCTTGTCACGACCCTTTCATGCTCTGGAGGATATGGATATCTTTAGTATCTTATTAGTGGCCTATCTCCATCCCGCAACGTGTTGTATTTTAGCAAAAACATTGTACATCATAGCAACGTCGGTCCAGACAAACAATCGATGAATCGGAGCGAGGACTCTGAGCTACTCAGCAAACCCGAACTGCCGTCCTACTGCATATAGTGGCATGCCCGGACACCGGGACGGTGCCACTGCCAGGGCCGGACCGTTCCACGTAGTATGACGCGATCACGTGGTGGACTCGTATCGAACTCGATGCCACTGGCAGGCTTTGCATGACCGCCGACCACCTCTCTGACCAGTACTGCGTGCGTCCTCCTCCAATCCCTGCCCGCCTTTGCCAAAATGATTGCAATTCCACTACCGGTCGTCCCGGCCGCTCGGTCGACGATCGCTCCCGCAAAAGAGCCACAACCTGACCTGCCTCCTCCATTCAAACCTCGCTCGGTCAATGTCGTGAGACAAGTAAGTTCTTCTACAGCTGTGGCTGGTGCGTGATTGTTGACGATGCTCTAGGATCTCTTGGCTGCACGCAATATTGACCCATTCGTCCTCCTCCCTCGCATATTCATCCCCATTCCTCGCGGGCTCTGGAGGCCACCGGTCATGCACTACGGGTGGCCTGCTCCCACTTCAATGCTTCTGTCCTACGCAGAGGAGCACGGATTGGTACTGAAAATGAGTCGACGTAACCCGAACATCTGCACCGCCGATGATAGCAGTGACGAGGACGAGCCATTCACGGAGGACAACGATGCGGAGGACAGTGATGGTGCTGAGAGTAGCTGCTCCAGCGGCCCTACAACCTCTCGGACTCGCAAGCCTATCATCGCTAGACTCCCGAAGAATTGTGTCGACGAATCGTCTACCATGATGGCTGCCGTGAAACGTATCCTCTCTATTCTCACTAAGGAGACCGGTATGCGGTACCCTGAAAGCGTGCAAGTGGACGTAACGCTACAACACAGCGGGGGCCCCTCGGAGGCGAGAATCATATCGGTTTACACGAACTACCATCTCCTCCAAACGGACCTTCCCTCTCCTGAGGACATTCAGACGATCGGGAAGACCTTGGGGCTCACCACACCGCCGATGTGGTGCATGGATCAGATGGAGTACGAATGGCGACCGTGCGTATACAGACGCGTACGGTGATGGCCATACTGGCGAGTTCTTCACACCCTACACGTGGACCCTGCACTCGTCGATGTTGACCGACTCCATCCTGTAGCGTCTCGTGTTACGTCGTATTTCTCGTCTCGGATTTGTATTCTTAGTTTTTGTCATGGGACGATGTATATACCACTAGCAGATGGCTCATGCTCAGCGCCAGCACCCAGCTACGGCAGGATATACGCTACGTCATTGCACATATTGATGTCCGGAGGAATCCTCGAATGTCAATTATCTGCGACATAGGTGAACAAGATCTGAGTACATATGTATTGCAGTATAGTAGCCTCTCAAGTACTACCACTGCCGATGCGATTGCAATTCGCTCTGAATCGAGGACAGTCAAGGCTCACTTTGGGCTCACTCTTTGCTACGCACACTTCGTTCTGACTTGAGATTGTTACATGTGTTTTTTAGGACGCACAGGATTTGTACGTTTCTTGGCCAGCGATCTCGCGCCGAGATGGGCCCAGGGGGCCGAGACGCGCGAGATCAGAAGAGGGGGAGGAGGAGGAGGAGGAGGAGGAGGAGCCTCGAGGAGTGATCCAATTTAGCCACCAGCCGTAGGCGCACGCGCGATCCTCGGCGTCTTGACGGCGACAACGCTCACTAATCACAACACCACCACCCATAGTGATACCAGTGGGCGCGAAAAGAACGAAGAACGAATGAATTCGGCAAGATTTTTGAGCGAGGCATGCCTGCGGACGCCTGAGACCGTTCCGGAATCCGCGCGGCGCGTAGTATGACGCGATCACGTGATGGACTCGTACCGAATTCGATGCCAGGCTTTGCATGACCGCCGACCACCTCTCTGACCAGTACTGCGTGCGTCCTCCTCCAATCCCTGCCCGCCTTTGCCAAAATGATTGCAATTCCACTACCGGTCGTCCCGGCCGCTCGTTCGACGATCGCTCCCGCAAAAGAGCCACAGCCTGACCTGCCTCCTCCATTCAAACCTCGCTCGGTCAATGTCGCGAGACAAGCAAGTTCTTCTACACCTGTGGCTGGTGCGTGATTGCTGATAATACTCTAGGATCTCTTGGCTGCACGCAATATTGACCCATTCGTCCTCCTCCCTCGCATATTCATCCCCATTCCTCGCGGGCTCTGGAGGCCACCGGTCATGCACTACGGATGGCCTGCTCCTACTTCAATGCTTCTGTCCTACGCAGAGGAGCACGGATTGATATTGAACACGAGTCGACGTAACCCGAACATCTGCATCGCCGATGATAGCAGTGACGAGGACGAGTCATTGACGGGCCCGGGGGACAATGATGGCGCTGAGACCAGCTGCTCCAGCAGGGCAAGCGACCAGCCAGCTGGGAGTCGCCCGACGGCTGACGCGACAACTCCTCGGACTCGCAAGTCGGTGCCGAAGAAGCGTGTCGACAAATTGTCTACCATGATGGCTGCCGTGAAACGTATCCTCTCTATTCTCGCTAAGGAGACCGGTATGCGGTACCCTGAAAGCGTGCAAGTGGACGTAACGCTACAACACCGCGGGGGCCCCTCGGAGGCGAAAATCATATCAGTTTACACGAACTACCATTTCCTCCAGAAGAACCTTCCCTCTCCTGAGGACATTCAAACAATCGGGAAGACCTTGGGGCTCACCACACCGCCGATGTGGTGCATCGATCAGATGGAGTACGAATGGCGACCGTACGTACCTTCGTACAGACGGTGATGGCCATACTGGTGAGTTCTTCACGCCCTACATGTGGATCCTGCCCTCGTCGATGTTGACTGACTCCATCCTGTAGTGTCTCGTGCTACATCATATTTCCCGTCTCGGATTTGTATTCTTAGTCGTGGTCATGGGACGATGTATATACCACTAGCAGATGGCTCATGCTCAGCACCCAGCTACGGCAGGATGTACGCTACGGCATTGTAAATATTGATGTCTGGAGGGATCCTCGAATGTCAATTATCTACGACATGGGTGAACAAGATGTGAGTACATATTCCAGAAGCCTCTCAAGTACTACCACTGCCGATGCGTTTGCAATTCGCTCCGAATCGAGGACAGTCGTTGACAAGGCTCACTCTTTGCCACGGTTGCTTCGTTCTGACTTGAGATTGTTATATTTTTCAGGACGCACAGGACCTGTACGTTTCTTGACCAGCCCTCCGACGCTAAGATCAAGGCCCGGCGCCGAGATGCCCATGGGGCCGAGACGCGCGAGATTGGAGTCTGAGAGTGGGCGCGACAAGGGCGCGACGCGTAGACGCGTCAGTCATGTGATTCCCAGCCGGGTTCCGTGCGGACACGCGTACGCTGTGCATCCTCAGGTCAAAGTCCCTGCGCCGTCTCTCTTACCACCGCCCACCGGACATGGACGTCTTAGCAAAGCCGTACAGCAACTCTCCGCTGTCACGCATGTACGACTTTCTCGCTCTAGGTCTCTTTAACTTCTGGGTATGGCGATGCCCAACGGGCTCAGTCCTCTTGCCATTCTTCCGCAAACATATTGGCGAGAGCGCGCACCTGGACGTTGCCGTAGGGACCGGATACTACACTGCGAACTCCATACAACGACTATCCAAATGCAAGAACGTCACCCTCCTCGACCTAAGCCCGAGAGCGCTGGATGTAGCAGAGGCGCGACTGCGCGCGGCGGGGTACAAAGGGACCATCGACAAGGTGCACCAGAGAGTGTACGAACCGCTGCCTGACTCCCTCCGCGGGAGGTTTGATTCGATATCGGCGTTCTATACGTTACACTGCCTGCCAGGAACGTTCCCGCCCAAAGCTAGCTGCGTGTTCGCAGGGTTGTCCGCCGGACTCGCGCCCGATGGCGTGTTGTACGGCGCGACGATTCTTGGGAAGACGGGAAACCATACATGGCTGAGCCGTGCTCTGCTATGGTTGCACAATTCGAGGGGATGGTTCGGAAACGATGACGATAGTGCCGAGAACCTCGAGAAGGCGTTACGGGGTTCGTTTGAAGAGGTCGAGGTACGAGTGGTTGGTGTTGTCGCCCTCTTCGAGGCGCGGAGACCTATACGGGAATAGCGCATTGCACTGTTTGGTTGTGAGCACGTTCTGGCTTGTTCCGTTATACTCAATGCTGATTCTTAGTCGAGTTCCTATGACGAATGAAATGCTGTACATGTCGAGATGCATCCGCTACCATAACCTCTACTCACTACATACACCTAACCCACCCTAATATATCGGTCAATCGTCCAGTGCGCTTTGCAGGTGCACGACGAACATCCGTCTCAAGTCGGTGAGCGTAGCCTGAAACCGGCGTTGCCCGCATTGCCAAGAGCGATTGTCGATCGAGGGGGAGGATCTGGGAGGATGTCGCTCCATCCGCGTCGCCGGCGGCCCATGGTTATATGTCCAAAGACGACGTACAGACTTGTCCACAATAAGGGCCTTCAATGAGATCAAGTCTGGCGCTGCAGCCGTACATACACATACGCGCGGTGAGCGTGATCAATCAATAAACGGTCCTCTGTGCCGCTGATACACTTTTGACAGGCGATCGACAGGTGTGGGTCCCGTCACTGCCAACTACAGTAGCAAGCTGCATTCCCGATCGTTGTCATGTCCGCTGTCTCTGAGATACAATTTGGGGTGAGTCTCCTCTGCAAATCTCATACGTAGGTCCTGCATTGACCAAGTGGGTCCCTCTAGGTGGTCTCAGTGGCGCGCGGTTTGCGCACACTTCACTTGGCAGCGACGCTGCACGCAACGATCGCTTACCCGGCCAATAGCCTACAATGGTCTTCGATTCTCCGCTTCTCTTCCGTTCTGGGACAGAGCACATTGATCGAACTGCTCTATCGACGTGTTCGCTCGATCATACTACAGTTGATAAGCTGCAGATTGAGTGTTCGCTGAAGGCGCTGAAGGTCGGAAAAGGATAGTCGATTGCAAGTCGATTGTGCATTGTCTGATGCTACTGATTTCATCGGTGTTCTCTGTCCGCACCCGTGCCATGACATCAGAACGACTGAGCGATAGTTTTGGCACATTGTCCTCAGTTTGACTTTGATGCTTCTGCCCCGAACGTTGAAAGTATTAGATCAAGTCCCCGGTGAATCAGGTCGCAAACTGAGGCGCCACAACGATGCGGATCAACGTCGCAAGGCGAAGACTCAGAAGAGCAGACATATGACATGGCAGTGTGGTGTCCCGCAAGTTTCTACTATCATCGGTACGTTGTTCGTCCGGCGGAGAATTCCAATCGCCCAATAGCACTAACTTGACTGACTGAACAGGCTGGAGACGTACTACGTGACCTGACAGGGAAGCCCTTCGGGGCCCCGTCCGTGACTGCTTTTAGTTGTGCTATCTGCAGCTGCAGTCAGGCGGGCCTCTGGGCTCAGGGCGATAGGTTGGCATTGCATGCGATGTATTGTCTCCTGTCCACTGACATCTTTCGTTGAGTCAGATGGCTAGCACTAGGCCGGCCTCGGGAGCAGGGTTGATCACTGGTCCGCCCAATTAAGCCTCAATACCTCGTACGTGCTGGCGACGGCAAGGGGCGACGGCAAGGACTCGGGAATATAAAGTGGACTACAACACCGTCGCTATCTTGCATGGACCTGCCTGGTACTGCTCACCTAGTATCGACGATGTCCGAGGTCGAAAACGAGAAAGCCGATGACTTGAAGATTCAATCCGTCGAGACGTCGGAGCTGATGTATGCAGGCGAACCCGAGGAACAGCTCCGTCGCCGTGTGCTACGGAAGTTGGATCTACGCTTGTTACCTATCGCAACAGTGCTGTATTTATTGGCATATCTGTGAGTTCGTTATCACGTACTTGGAGACGACTGGAACATCCCTTTTGACAGCGACCGCACAAATGTCGGTGAGCAGTGCATGTTCGAGTAACCCGCGCGATCATCACCTCAAAAATGAACGTTGCAGGAAATGCGAAGATAGCGGGGATGACGACGGACCTGGGATTGACTGGTGTGCAGTTCAACCTCATAAGTGCATCATTCTACGTGAGACTTGGTCAGTATGTGATACCACCAGTGATTGATCCAACCCGAGACAGATCCCATACTGCTCGCTCGAAGTGCCTGCGTGAGTACATATCATCCCATGTCAATGGGACCGACAACTCAAATACGGTTTGCTCAGGAACGTGGGTCTCAAGTATTTTCGGCCGTCGAGATGGAGTGAGTACATGTGAAATATGCATGAACGATTGCACTCAATTTGTAAGACGGTAGTCCCATTCATCATGACTTGCTGGGGTATCGTCGTCGTTTGTACAGCGTTCGTGAAGAATTTTGCAGGCCTCCTGGTGTAGGTCCTGTCTCTTCCCTGACGCTCTGCGCTCATGGTTTCGTCAGTATACGATTATTACTTGGCGCCTGTGAGGTGCGAGAGAAACCCGCGAATGCACACGTATAAGGTGGGAGCTGACGTATGGTTGATCAGAGTGGACTATGGCCAGGCCTCTCGTTTTGGCTGGCGCTATGGTATCCGCGGGAAGCGCAAGCGCAGCGCTTCGCTATCTACGTCGCGGCAACGAATCTCTCAGGTAAATTCTTCTCGAAGCGCGTCTGATGTTGTCCTGAGTTCTAGTACTAGGGGCGTTTGGCGGGCTTCTCGCCTACGCGATCGAGAAAATGAATGGGTGAGTTTCAAGCGAAGCGCGAAACGTGCCATTGTCTGACTTATACCGTAAGTATCGGTGGTCTGGCGGGGTGGTCATGGATTGTAGGTATCAGAAAGCCACATTCGGCGCCATCGCGCACTATTACTGACGCTCTTCGCGTAGTTTCTTCTAGAAGGGCTAGGTGAGGGCTGGATTCCTGTTGTCGTAGACCCTACTGCTCACCTGCGTATAGTCACTGTCATTATCGCGGTTAGCTCAGCCCTTGTCATGCAAGACGTGCGTAAAGACCACGCAGCGTCGCCTCTGTGAAACTGGCTGATACTCGGATAAGTTTCCGGACACGGCGACCTTTCTGAGTTCGGAGGAGAGAACCTGGCTGCTAGACACCCTGAAGAAAGACACCGTGAGCTCCTCCAAGGAGCTGAAGCACAAGTTCTTGGTACAAGCCCTGCGCGACCCCCATGCGTATTTATTCGCTATTGTCAACTTCTTGTGCGTTTTTAGTAACTCTATCGCTTGCCCGTAGAAGTGAACCTGATACCGCGGTAGCATTGTTATACCGCTGGCGTCGTTTGCAGTTTTCCTGCCGACAATCATCGTCGGATTGGGCTATTCGTCAGTTCATGCCCAATTACTCTCCGTTCCTCCCAACATCATCGGTAGCATATTCACTGTTATTGTCGGTGTGGCCTCCGACAAGGCAGGGGCTCGTGGACCGTTTATATTCGGATCCGCCCTTCTATCCCTCACTGGATATGTCATCCTCTTCGCCACAGAGATCCCCATTGTGGGATACGTTGGTACTCTCATTGCCTCCTGCGGCCTCACTCCGGCCTCTCTGTGTACACTGGCTTGGACAGCCGGTAACGCGGGAGGGGATGTCAAACGGGGTGTCATGATCGCCGTCATGGGGACGATAGGCAATTCAGGAGCGTGAGTGCAAATACTGCTTCATGGCGTTGTGTTCATTCCGGAGACGGCTTCCTAGGATTGTGTCTTCGTTCATCTACCAGTCACAGGATAGTCCTAGGTATCACCCCGGACACGCCACCAACATCGCATGTACTTGCATTACGTGAGTGTCCGGTCTGGTCTGTCAAGGGCCGCACAAGCTCACTGGTTCCGTGGAACTTAGTGCTACTCTGAGCATAGTCGGAATGTTAGAGTATGCTAGATTGAGTAGGAAGAAGAGCCAACAGTGCGAAAAGGAAGGCATAGGACTGGACAGGGCTGATGAGTTCAGTGAACTCGGAGATGGCTCGCCACTCTACAGGTATGGACCCTGGATTCATGTGGCGTCCACTACACTGACCGCCGAGATACCGGCAGATATACTTTCTGAACGACACACACAGCGTTCCGCGTCGAGTCGGAGGAGTTCGAGATACCATTTGGAGTGCTGATGGTCTCCTCATGATACGCTGTCGAGAGCTGGTATTCAGATTAGTATACCCGTGCTATGATCCATACCAAAAAAACCATTGACACGTATGCAGAGCAGTTGTGTAGTGCATGTTATACAGTAAGCCCCGGCCCAACGTAGCCGTGCACTTTAGCGATAAGCCGGACGCCCCGCGACAAGCGTGTGTTAATCGGCGATTTCAGACGTCTCACAACCCCGTTCCATGTCGCGCTGTCAGTGAAGTGTGGACTCCATAAACCACCCCTGATCACGGAACGCCACTGACAGTACTTAGTGACACTGATGCCAATGCACTTACCAAGTGGCAGGGCGAAGTGCTTCCCAGAGGGCTTGTGTCTCGAGACACCATCGCGCTCATATGTTCGTTGGTGCTGCTCACTCTTAGCCGCATCAGTGATGAGGATACTACTGACCGGCAGACGACCGCACAACTGTACGGCCTGCCCAGTGAGCATCGTGACTGAGAGATATGACCTATCGGCATATCGAGGCATCCCAACAGCGTCGCATGGCCAACACGAGGCCACTATCTGGCCGCTATAGCATCAAGCGTGTCGGACGCCATGTATGGCCGACGCTTCACTAATACTTAAACTGTAGGTCCTCCGCCGATCGCGCGTCATGTGTTGTACTATCCCAAGACGAGCATTGATACAATGATAGATTAATAATATCCCCAGCGCCGATCTCCCGTGCTACTAGTACTACTAGTAGCATGCCGGTACGCGATCGATACCATCGCGCCCTCCGGCAACCGCCCAACATCATTGTGACGGCGTATGCGGGAGTGTTTACCGACGGTCAGAATCTGATCAGGCGCAGCCGAGCGGAAGGCGCGACGATCATCTCGGACTCGGTGCCGCGCTCCAGCGCGCCCCTCGCCCGACCGTGGGCGTCACACTCGCGGGAACGCCGAGGCCCGATCGCAAGGAACGGCGGAGGCTGAAACAGGTGTGCACGGACTGGGGATGGACAGTGGTGCTGTCGCCCTACGACGGACTCACCCTCATGTGTGCTGTCCAGCTATAGCTGAGTGGTTCATCAGTCGGTCTCTCCATCGGTCACGAATTCGCATTGTCAGCTTACGATGCAATAAGCCCCGGACGGAGCTGTAAGTGGTCCGCGACTGCTTTTTCTCGTCGTCCGAATAGGTCGACCGGCCACCGCACTGTAAGCGACGCAGTTCCACGCCATAGACCCTGTGGTGGGAGAGCAGATGTGGTACGTTACCATGGAAGCCCTGAGAATGCATCCGTCGCCCAACCGGCCTTGCGGACTTAGTAAGAGCATCACTATATCTAGACAATTGAACGTGGGGAAGTTACCGTAAGTACGCAATAGTGCCGTCAGGGGACCTTCGGGAGCTCTGAAAGAACATGAACAGTGAGCACCTGAATCTGTGAGGGCGCAGCAACGCACTTGTCCAACGGTTGCATTATGGTAAGCAGATCCTAGGTGATGCATGTGAAGAGGGGGGGCAGCGCGAGCATAGCGCTATAAGGCAACTAGGTAAGGCGGTGGGGGCGGACACGACTTGAACGCCGCTTTTCGGGCTTCTCGCTTTGTTCTGGCCGCCAGCTCTCACGGTGAACAGTCGGCGAAGTATTCCTGGCGGTCCGGACACTTGAGCCTTCAGTGCAAGAATGATAGTGCCGCGTCGAGACGTAGCCTATGTCAAGACTGGCGGTCGCTATCTCCATGTAATTGAAGCCAGGAAACACCGGAAGAGTGGAGACTACAGAGGTTCTTTTAATCAGTAATTTGTCGCATAAAGCGAGCCTGACGCTGGCAGACTGCAGGGTTGCGACTCGCGAGAGCTTCGCAGCCCTTTCGCAGCACCGCTATTTCGAAGTAATGAGACAGATAATAGTAGGCAATGGGGCCAACTAGCTCACCGCAGTGATGCTGTACGTACGCCGTCGATCAGTTGCAGAAAGTTGGCAATTTCACAGTGGAGTTACGTGGGCTGGAGACCACCAGATGGAGACCGCGGATATCCTAGGACCACCGAGGACCTAGTCTGTTAGCAACAGTCAACTGATGGGCGTTGAACATGCAAGGCACTCAAAGACTGTCCCGACATCCGTATGTATGTATAGCTCATCAGCCCGGGTCGAGTCTCAGATAGAGTATCCATTGAGTATCCACTCGGTCATACTAGATTAGCCTGGGCTTGTCATTTCGGAAAGATCGTGGGGTGTTTCAGGGAGTGGCAGACACTGCCCAAGTTTGGCCCCAGGTACAATAGGGTACAATGTGCAGTGTCCCGTGGCCACATGCGGACGTACGTATGTACCGGAGGTTATAACGGTTGACATTGACACTGACAGCAGGGGCCCGGATCACCGTATCATGATGTACAGTACAGAAAAGGGGAAAGCCCATGAGTTCCTAGTGCCATTGGACTCGGAGAACTCACGGTAAAACTTCAAGCGAGTCAAGCACAGGATTCGAACAATCCTCGCGCAACCACTTGGGGTTGCCTAGGTTGGAAACGTGCGAATGGTCACCCGCCTGTGGGACGCCTGCGCCTGATGAGTTGTCCTGGAATTCGGAATGTAATGAATAATAAGTATCGCAGCTCACCACGGGTACTCACCTTGTTGGCACATATGTTGATGCTGAATGTTGAGGCATCCGCGACATATGGAAGTGCGAGGATGAGATGGAGGCCGCCTCTTACATAATGATTTTGTGGCTGAAATTCGATCTGCGATCATCCTCGGCCACCGATCAATTGGCGGAAAATGACAGTCCGATCCAGGTCCGTTAGCGGCGATCAAAAACTTATGTAACGAGATGACATGGCCGGATCTGGCACCTGCTGGCGGCTTCTCCACCGTCGCGAGGCTCGCATTCGCTCCTTCGCACGTTGTCCACACAACAGTACTCACCAGAAAATCTTCAGCTTCAGAAGGCAGCGAGTTTCCGACCCTATGCTTCGGCGTTGTGTTCCATTTCACAGAGTACGTGAGCATTGTTAGTAGCTGTGTAACACATGTCTCACCTAGCTTTCAGTTTCATAGCTGAGCTCCGCTTCGGGCCCGGGCTTCAATGACGCAGATGTCATCGGATTGCTACCATTGAAACTTAAAGGTCTTGCCACACGATTCACAAATGCCACACGAACTGGACACCGGATCTTATCGTGCCTTAGTGCGCTTTAGAGCGCCTGCACGCATGTCTTTGATCAGGCCTTGGACATGATCCCGACGCGCCTGCATAGCCCCATTCATTTGGTCCCTTTGCACATCGTGCGTTTCGTTGCGATATACGCTGCCCATCATCATCCGTGAGGACGGATCACTCTGGCATCACCGACTTGGCCCGGTGTTTCTCCATCTGCTTCTCTTCTGGCGCGTCTCGAATTGCCCACCCGTGCACTTCTTTTGTAGGGAACTGCTGTGAAATCCCTCATATCTATTCGACCACTCTCGTCGCCGGCGCCCAGCGCACTTTCCTCCGCCACCATGACTGGACTCAACATTCATCTCGACGGGAGCGTGGGCTGTTTCTTCGCCGGTATCCTCCTCTCGGGCGTGTGAGTAGTGCAGCGGGGGAACGAGGTTGGTACGGATACTGAGACGGTCGTGAGCGCAGATTGTATGGGTGCACCTGTGCGCAGGTTCTCTATTATATCAAGGAATATCCCAAAGACTCCAAAGGACTCAAGCTCTTGGTACGTCAGCTGGACTTCAGTTCGCGAACAAGAGACGGATGGTTGACGATGTCGAACCCAGGTGGCTTTCGTATGGTTGGTGGAGGATCTCTTAATCGTACGAGCCGAATGTTGACCGCTTGTGTGGGATCGCAGGGCGCTGGACACGGCAACTACGATAGAGAATGGCCAGGTAGACGGTGTTCTGAGGTTGACATGTCGGTGATGCTCACAAGGAATAGGTTCTTTGGTACTTCACGATTTCCAGTCATCAGAACCCAGCAGCACTCGAATTTGCACCACCGTAAGTTGACCTACGCACCGTTTGCGGCCATGTGTCTGAACGCAGCATGCATACAGGTCGTTCAGGGTAAGCGCACGATGATCGGTATGAGAAGCACTACTCAACCTGTCTACCTGCAGGCACAATACAGTCTCTCGGTGCGTGTTCAGCTCGAGATGTCGAGACATGTCCGCTAAGACCAGAGTAGGCGATCTCTGTGTTCGTGGTTCAATGGTGAGAGTCATCGAGGGTGGTTTGGTCAGGACCACGCCGTTGACCACGGCTTATCATCCCACAGCCACTACTTGTCCACCATCTGGCGCCGTGAGTTGCTTCTCTTCCGTAGGAGTCTCTCGGCATGTACTCATCATCCATCTCAGTGCTAGTGGAGAAGTGGTATAGGCTTCCGATGTTGTCGACCATTCTATTGATATCTGTCATTTCTCTGGGTAAGTCGTCACTTGCACGGACCACGGCTTGAGCTAATCATCATGAACTCAGCATGCGGCCTTGGTGAGTGGGCATCCCTATTGTTGAACTGTACTCCCCTGACTGAACGTACTGTCAAAGCCGACGTGTATATTACGTAAGTATTTCGCGTACGTCGGGTCTACATTAACTGACGCCGCTATACAGTACTTCAAATAACTATGTACCAATCGCCTTTGCCCGCGTCAAGGTCGGTGTCTACGTTGTGATGTGCGGTTCATGTGGTTCTGAGACGCTCTCCGCTTGGACAGATTCCCGCCTATTTGCAGACCATCGCAGCCTGCGTCACAGATGTCTTCATCACCATAGCGCTCTGCTGGATTTTGCGCGGCAAACGAACAGGTCTCGCACAGTGAGCATGGGTTCCGTCGTTGTGCGCTCGGGGTCGCTGAGCTCACTTTCCCTGTTAGGTCGGAGAGCCGCATCTGGTGGTTGACGTTTTCAATGGTCAATCGGGGCGTCCTGACTGCGTGAGTTCCGACATGTTGCTTGTCCCGACAAGCGGAACGCTCACACGGAAACGACAGCGTTCTACAAATCGTAGTGCTTGTAACTGTACGTCAGACTCACAAGTCTGAATGTGCTATGCAGCATCTGACGGGCTTCTGGTTTCCAGTATGCAGCCCTTGAGAACAGCAATGTTCTCCTATGGCTGGTGTTCCACTTCCCAGGAACGCAGAGTCAGTTTTCGTGTCCCCTTGTCAGCTATGTTTGGACTGACATTGATGGTATCAAGTCTACACGAACTCGCTCCTCGCTGTTCTCAACGTCAGGCACTTCGTGCTCGAGAGCAAGCGCACGAAGTTCCCATCTTTGAAGTCGGCGATACCGTTGTCGAAGGTTAAGCGTGCAGCAGCAGCAGCGTACGTCCATCCATTCTGCACCCAAGATTTGTACTAATCTCCAGCCGGTACCCGGCATGGACATATGCCAGTCCCGACTTCGCTGGCAGTGGCAGCTACAGCAGTCAGCAGCATCAGCAGTCCGTGCTGCCGACGGTAATCACAATCTCAACTGATATCATTCGCGACCAAGAGGTGCACGCCGCAAATGATACCGCCGCGGGCTACGTAAAGTCGACCGCTTGGTGAGGATCTAGTGCGACGGGCTTCACGGCGCGGGCATCAGCTCCTCCTCTACGAAGCCGCTGGCCTCCGCCCCTTCGCTTGACGAAGTCGCCTAGAACAGAATACGGGAAACGGCACGTTTACGAGAGGGGAGCTAGATGGCGGGAAGACGGACTTGTCAGGATGTCCCCGTGGGCAAGGCGCCGCATCGGTTCCTGGGAAGTCGGCAAGCTGACTGTGATACCTCATCGTCGGTGACCAATTGGAACCATCCTTCTCCTCCTCACCCTCCTCCTCCTCATCTGTCATCTGTCGAGTGCCAAAAGTTGCTGTACTGTTATCCCCACTAGTATTGGTGGGTAATTGATACCACCTAGTTCGCGCTCTCTACGGCTGTAGAAGTGACCAGTCAACCTTTGGCTCAACGTTCAGTAAATGGCCATCCTTTGCGCAAGCTGTAGAAGCGGACAGCAGTCGCACATTACGGGTGCGATACTGTCTCTGCATGAAGCCCATGTTCGCGAAGATTTGAGAGAAATCTTCGATGGAAAGGAAGCGACGCTGTGTATTCAGTAACCAGTTGCTGCTAGTTGCTGGTTCCCCGCCGTGTCAATCTTCAGCGTTCAAATTCGCCGCTTGGATAAGTTCACGGTAGCAATCGTTCAATGACCCGCGGCCGGTTTGGTGCCGGTACCTCGGACAGGTTCCTTCAAGACACATGTCCTCTCGGGCTACAAGCAGTAGCTCGGTTGCGTACACCGTTGGCCACCTTGGCGGTACAGGACCCTACAGGTAACGGAAATGAACGGTGTTCTAGTCTGCTGAATCATCGAGTCTCGATAAACTTGCGATAAACGGTTGTATGTCATCGATTATCGCGGTGCGCACACAAACCGCCGTTAGCCTGGTCTTGCATAATAATGTTCCCAGGAACCGGATTTACGCGCATGCGCCACGCTAATTCCCCTTTAACCAAATAAGGCTCGTTGATCGTGGCAACCTTTAGCTTGCCACGTTTTCAACTTTCAATGCACGACTGTGGCAGTGATCTGGTGTGGTCTTCTTCTCTCTCTCCCTCTCTCCTTGGTTCCTTCCATCGAAGATCTGACTGGTCTGACCTACAGCGGCCTGCCAGTGCGTGTATCAGACGTAACCCGCTACCTATCCGCGTACCCTCCTCGACGGCCGCATCCCCAGACCCTAGCCAGCTCGACCACGAGGGCGCACGGCCTCATCAGACACGTTCAGCTGCGTCTTGGTGTCGATGCGTCATATGAGGCAAGGCGGGACAGCAAGTACTATACCCCTGTGGCCCATGGGTGCCGAATGATTTGATGGAATAACATGAGGCCTATCACACTCTGCGCTCATCCCATCCAAGAGCCTTGCATTGCGCGCTGTTGCGCGAGGCGCGTTCGGAGTGCCTCAATCGATGCCGCTTCGTGGTTCATCTCACAGAGCACGTCCGGACCACTTCGTGACGCTGTACCTGACATGTCCAAGTCCTCGACGTCCGGTCGGGCATCGCTGCCACCTGTCGAGTATCTGGACCATGGTCTCGTTTTCTCCGGCCGTGATTCAGTCTTCATCAAGCATCACATGCGAACATGCCTCGGCTCAATGTCACTCCCCTACATCTATGACTTCCTTTCGATAACATTAACCGCTCAGAACGGTTGATGGAGGCAATGCCGCACTAGAGGTGTATCTGTGGCATGTCTGGCAGATGCTGGCAGCTTCTCCGGACTGTGTGTGTGCAGATTCCTCTGCCTTGCTGCACTGCAGCATGCCGTCACTCTTGCGGGATAATCAACTAATCGTCCGACCGTAGAGCGCCCAGAAATACTCTGATCGACCTGGACCCGAAGCAAACTTCCGGGACCCGCGGTCAGTTGTCGAAGGACCTGACGGCAATATCATCAAGATCATGATTCGTTTCGAATTCCTCAACCTAACTGGACATAGCGGGAAACGTGTCGACTCCGCGATATAAGACTCCTTCAACGGGACTCACACCTTCAGTCCCGAATTGGTACCCGCCATGTCTCCGGATGCCCCCTTTCCTATAGCCCTCGTACGTGCGCAGCGTCTCTTCCAACTTACTGGTTCTAACTCCTACCCAGTGTGGCATTGCAGCAGAACTACCAAGCGGTAGCTGGAGCTCCACCAATCTAGACCACAAGTCGTTCTTCGAGTTCCTCTTGTCCGGTGGGGAAGCCTACGAGAAAGTCCCCATCGAACGTTTCAACATTCACACGTGAGTTGGTCGTTACATCGACATACATTTTGTCCGAACTCCATCTCTTTTGCAGCATCAAGGGATCCGGCACCGGCCAAGTCGTCACAGACACCGGCGCCTTTCTCAAGGACATCGGTCTCTTCGACCATGTTGAGTTCGGTATCACGAGCAAGGATGCACGCTTGATGCCTCTAGGCACGCGCAAGCTGATCGAGACGACTTTCCTCGCGCTCTTGGACTCCGGCGTCGATTACAGAGGCCGTAATGTCGGTTGTTACATGTCGGGAGTCGACCAAGATTTGTTTTCGGTGTCGGGTCATGTAAGTTCCCATCAATCGCGGGACGCTGGTCGATGCTGAGCATGTTTCCCATCACTCAGGATGATGCTGAAGTCCGAGGATCGTTCGCCTGGGGTCCTGCCATGGTAGCGAACCGCGTCTCGTACCATCTCGACCTTCGCGGGCCGTCCCTTGCACTCGATACCGCGTGCAGTTCGACTTTGTACACGACGCACCTTGCGGTGCAGGCCTTGCGTAACGGCGAGTGCGACGCAGCCGTCGTCGGAGGTGCCCAGATCAATCATAGGTTCTCCGAGTGGGTGCTCTACTCTCAAGGTGGTGTTCTGTCGCCCGACGGCAAGTGCAAGCCCTTTGATGCGTCCGCGAACGGGTCAGTTGCTGCGTGAAATATGCTCAGGGACTGCTGCTGACGTCGTCAATACCTAGCTTCGGCCGTGGAGAGGGTGTAGTCTCAATCGTGCTGAAACCCCTCGACGCTGCGCTGCGTGACAACGACAAGATCTATGCCACGGTATGTGTATGTGATCTTCTGACCACTTCGTATTGCTCATTGCACCATAGATTCTCGGCACAGGAGTCAATTCATCGGGTTCCCTTGCGCCTGTGAACGCGCCAGTGGCGGCCGCTCAACAAGATGCTATGGTCCGTGCCTTCCAAATGGCGAATCGTTTGCCTAAGGAAGTCGACTTCATTGAACTGCACGCGACGGGCACTGCCATGGGCGACCCGACTGAGGCGAACTGGGTAGGCGCCCAATTCAAACGCGATGACGAGCTCGTGATCGGATCCGTCAAGGGCAACGTTGGGTACGTGCATGCTGTCATTGTTTCTTCGATCGCTGACTGATGGACGCGGCAGACACCTTGAGATCACGGCATTCCTCGCTTCGCTGAGCAAAGTGTGCTCTGTTCTCGAGACGCGCCAAATCCCGCCCACTGTCAACTTCAAGAATCCTAACCAGAAGATCCGCTGGCAAGAGTATGGATTCCGCGCCCCTGTCGAGACGGAGCCTCTCAAAGCCAGGGCGCCGTCTGGGAGGCCCCTGATTGCCATGACGAGCTCGGGAATTGGCGGTGCGAATGGTCATGTTGTCGTAGAAGGTGCTCCGGCACGTGCAGAGATCGCCTCGTCCTTCTGGTGCGGTCAGGCACCTGCGCTCTTTGTCGCTGCGGGCCTTTCCCCTCGTTCTGCTGCCGCTCTGGGGGACTATCTGAAGGAGCTCGCCGACGATGCAAACCACCAAGCTATCTCGCGTGCATTGGGACGTCGCGCTCGTTCCATGACTTGGCGTTCGTTTGCTGTCGCTACCAATGGACAGGTCTCGCGGTTCAGCGAGCCGCTCCTTGTTCCGAAGTCCACTGCTTCGATTGTGTTCGTGTTCTCTGGGCAAGGCCCTCAGCACTGGAACAGTGAGTGTCGGTCGCTTTCCGCAGTGCTTCGTGCTAATGCGTTCAATAGTGGGCCGCGACTTGTACGAGACCTCCGCGATCTTCCGCAACACCGTGAACGAGCTTGACCAGGTGTATGTTTCGGCAACTGGTCAGAGCCTCATCAACGACGTCGGCCTCTTCGCAAAGACCTCTATCAGCAGCGATACGCTCGGCGCCATCTGGCCCATCGCTATCACCCTTCCATCGCTGACAGTCCTCCAGTTGGCCTTGATCGACACATTCGCTGCTCTCGGTATCCGGCCTGACGCTACTCTCGGTCACTCCGCCGGCGAGGTTGCTCTTCTGTACGCCAGCGGTGCGGGCCCCAAGGCTCTCGCTCTCGAGCTCGCCATTGCACGCGGCAAGGCGATGTCTCTCTTGGAGCAAGAGGACGGCACGATGGCCGCCCTTGCTTGCTCCCCGGATCAGGCGGAGCCTATCATCGCAGAAGTTCTCGCAGAGCTTGGTCCCGGCGTACTCGAGATTGGATGCTTCAACTCGCCCGACGCAGTCACGCTGTCCGGCGCTACCGGTCATATCGACAAGGCTGTCGAGAAAGCCAAGAAGGCCGGGTTCTTCGCCACGAGACTTCGGACGCGCATCCCGGTCCACTCGGGCATGATGGACCTCTGTGCGGAAGACTACAAGCGCCGTGTGGGGGAGATCTTCCCGAAGTACGAAGTGACGAAGCCGACCGTCGAGACCTATTCCACACTCAACGGCGAGCATTGGGTCGATGCGTTCAGTGCGGACTACTTCTGGGATAACACGCGCGGGCCAGTCCAGTTCACGGGCGCAATGCAGTCGCTGCTCAAGAAGCACGCGAACGCAACCTTCATCGAGCTCGGGCCACACCCAGTTCTTGTCAGCTACATCTCCGCGATGGCGGGCCCGAGTGCACTTGTTACATGCCCTGTGCGCCGACCGAAGTCTTCGGAGACGCCGGCGGGTGTCGAGGTGCAGACCTTCATGGAGTCGCTGGGGAAGCTCGTGGTTGCAGGGCACAGCATCGACTTCGACGCCCTGTGCGGCACCGTTAACCTTCCTGACAGGGCCATCCCTACATTCCCATTCGCTCGCAAAGAAGTACCGTATTACGCCTCGACATTTGAGGTGGCGCGACAGCATCAGAGGAGGAACGGTCCTTTGAACTACCCTCAACTGCGCGTGAACACGAAGACGCATCCCGAGCTCGCGGAACACGTCATCAAGGACGAGCCCATCATGCCGGCTGCGGGCTACCTGGAGATGGTGAGTTCCTCCGTCTTGAGTAATCAGCTTGGCTGACAGCAGCGCAGGCGCTCGAGTTCGGTGCGAAGAAGCTATGGGACGTGGAGTTCATGTCGATCCTCTCGCTGTCGTCTGAGAAGCCTACGCCAGTGGACGTTCGACTCGACGGAACTCGCTGGAGCGTGCACAGTGCAACAGCGACCGAGTTCACGAAGACTTGGCCCCCGAATGTACGTTTTGCACGTCATCTTTGTGCCTTGACTTGCTCAACTCCGATCTAGTACAATCGTATCCATGCAAAGGGTTCTCTCGCGAAGATCGACGATGACTGCGAGTCGCTGCCGGCTGTGAATGTCGCGGAGATCCGCGAGCGCATGAAGCCGATTGAGATGAAGGGTGCGTGCAGTCCTGTTGCCACGGACATTGGGAGAATGCTCATGTCTTCATGTAGCCTTCTACGACGGCTTCTCGTTTGCGCAATATGGTCCCACGTATCAACGGATCATCTCGAGCGGTCGCGGCTATGACGAGCAAGGCCGAGAGGAAATCCTCGTTGAGGTTCGCGGTGCTGGCAGTGATCTCGAAAAGTGAGTTCTTTATATCAACTACAAGACATTCCACTCAGGCCCTTTGTCTCATTAGTATCTCTAACTACGTCTTGCATCCCGCCATTCTGGATTCGGCGCTCCATATATTGGTTCATCCTGCTATCACAGGGAACAGGGACAAGGGCCGATACTACCTCCCCGCCAAGATCGGCACGTTGACGATCCATGATCTCCTGCTGCAGCAGCCTTTCCCTGAGAAGATCTTCACGCATGCTACGTTCGTGAAGTGGACGCCTGGTAAGTACAGTCACCTTGAATCCCGTGATACGACCTGACTTGTTTTCAGAATCGCTGGTGTACGACTTCACGGTCGTCACGGAGACTGGTGAGCGTCTCTGCACGATCACCGACCTCGAGGTTGCGTTGCACAGGAAGACGGCGAAGGTCATTGACGCTCGTTACGAGCTCGTGCTTCAGCCTACGGATACCCGAGTCCAGCGTGTCAACGTCGCTGGGGCTCATCCACGTGGGCGAACGAGTCCCGACAGCGACGTATCGTCGGATTCAGGCTACGCAACGGTCGATGGAGAGAAAGTCTCTACCATTCCCAACGTGCGTATCGTTGAGTACGTCAGGGGCCGGGAGCTCGAGCTGCAGCGCTTCTTCGCTGAGGTGGATCCTCTCTCCCCTCTCTCCCTTTGGTTCGTTGCCACCAAGGGCCTGGATGGAGACGCTTCTCTCGGGTTCAGTCGTTCAATCCGGAGGGAATACCGCTCCTGGCATGTTCATGATGTCGTCTTCGATGCGTCGTGGTCTCCGGAAGAGAGGAAGACTGCTATCCACCAGCTCGCAGCCGACCCAAATTGTGAAGACGAGCTCGATGTGGACGCAGATGGCGTCGTGTCTGCCCCACGAATCGTCGAATCTGCGCCGCCCGCAGACAAGACCACATTCCGGGCTGAGGAACCCTGGGCGTACGCGAGCGGTGACCTCAAGCAGATCTCCGCCCCTCACGTCCCCGAGGACCATGTTCTCGTCAACGTTACTGGTGTCGCACAGAAGTATGGTGATGCGTGGGCTTTCGTCGGAAAGGTAGAGAGCAAGGAGTCTCCCGTCGTTGGACTGACCTTTGGTGAGCTTTCGAACGTCGTCGTCGCGCACGTCGGCAGCCTCGTGGACTTTACCCCTCTGGACGACATGGTTCCCCAGCTCTTCGCCAATGCAGTGGCCGGCGCAGCCATCGGTTTCGCGGCTTTCTCCGAACCGTCCCGTCTCGGCAAGTCGAAGATCGTCGTCACGCATGCCGATGGTGCGTTGGGTAGCGAAGTCGAGGCCGTGTACAGTCGCCTGGGTTTGCACGTCTTGACGTTGCCAGCTACTGCTACCCTCTCAGACATACGGGCCGTTCTGTCTCAGAACCCGAAGTACGTTGTTTCTGGTTCAGACGGGACGCACAAGAATCTCCTCCTCGACGACCTCCTTCGCCATCCCCGACTCAAGGCCTTTGCTTGGGATGACTCGTACCACGGGCTCAAGACCCTCCTGGCTGATGACCCATGGTCAGTCAGCGACGTCTTGCGCTCGGCGTTGGACAAGCAGCCCGACTTCTCGGAGCTTGTTCGCCCGCCACTTGAGCTAGTCGAGGCACTTCCGGAGGAAGTCCCGATTGCCACTGACCTCTTCAACGACAAGAAGGCGTACCTACTCATCGGTGGAATCGGTAGCCTTGGGCTGCAGATTGCGCTCTGGATGTACGAGGTAAGCGCGATTCGGCTCATGCCAAAATATGGACTAACTGTGTCAATAGCAAGGAGCACGGTGCATTGTTCTGACGTCACGTTCTGGGCGTGAGTCTCTCACTCGGAAGGCCGAGTTTATATCCTTGCGGCTCCTGTCGTACCTCGAGTCGCTCCCGGACCTCAATTTGCTAGTTGAAGCCGTCGATGCGACATCTCCGGTCGCCATGCGTGGTCTTCTCTCTAGCCTCGATCTGCCCCTGGGTGGTTGCATGATCCTGAGTGCTGCTATGGTTGACAGGACCTTTGCGATGCAGACGCACGAGTCGTTCGAGGCGTCCGTCGAAGCCAAGATCGGAGTTTTCCACGTGCTGGAAGACGTTCTCAACGGAAAGGAAGGCATGGAGAAGCTGGAGTTCGTTGTTGCAACATCGAGCGTATGTGGCTTGTTTGGGAACGCTGGTCAAACGAACTATGCATGGTGAGACAGCATCATGCTATCTTCGATGAAACAATGGCTGACAAGGACACAGCGCGAATACGGGGTTGACCGGCTTGACGAGCAAATACTCCAATGCGTGCACTGTTGTTGCGCCATTCATCGTTGACACCGGTCTGCACGTCTCCATTTCCACGAGCGACATCGTGTATTGGACTCGCTTCAAGCATCTCCACAGTTGGGGCATGACTGGATGGGGTAGGTTGCAATGTCGTACATTCTAGCACGAAGTTGACGTTCTTTACAGAACTGTGCGAATACATCGGCGATTCTATCCAGAAGGTACGCTCTGGAGTCGCGAACCGGGCCTGGCAATACATCCCTGCGTTCGATTGGTCTGCCGTGCAGAAGAATCTTGGGCACTCCCCTCTCTACGACCACCTCGTCCCCGTGTCTGAGGCTGAGGGCACCCAGGATAGCGGTACAGATGCATCAATCGCCTCCATTATCTGTCGTGTCCTCGATATCGCGCCGGGTGACTTGAACGCAGACGTACCATTGACGTCGTACGGACTCGACTCTCTGAGCGCCGCGGCTCTGTCACACGCGCTCCGAGAGGCTGTCGCGGTGTCTCAGATTCAGCTGCTTGCCGACCTGAGTCTGGCGGACCTAGAGAAGCGGCGAGAAGACGCCCTGGCTAATGGTCCTGGCGAGGAGGCTATAAGCGGGCAGGAGCAAATGGGTCCCAAGGAGAAGGAGATGGTGTCGATGTTGGAGCGCTACGGCAAGGACCTACCTGCACGAGAAGCAAGTCCTGAGGAGACGGATGCGAAGAAGGTGGTTCTTGTCACCGGATCGACTGGCAGCGTTGGAGCGCATCTACTCGTGCGACTTCTGCATGGCTCTCAATGCGCCAAGGTCTATACTCTCGTGCGGAAGGGAGCCTACGGTCAAACGGCGAAGGCTAGGCAGAAGACTGCGCTCGATTCCAGAGGTCTTGACGTCGGTGTCATCGAGTCGGACACGTTGACTGTTCTGGAAGGCGATCTTCTCGCTTACCAGCTGGGGCTGGGAGCAGAGGTATATTCGGAGCTTGCACAGACCGTCACGCATGTGATTCACCTAGGTAATTTCTCAGGCCGTGTTACGCTCTCGGCGATATGCTGACCCACGTCTTGTGTAGCCTGGCCGATTGACTTTGGTACTCCTCTCTCGAACTTCGAGTCGGCCATTGCTGGGCTGCGAAGGCTTCTCGACTTCTCTACCGCCTCGCGCGTACAATCTCGTATGCGGCTGCTCTTCGCCAGTACGGCGGGTATCTTCCGAAGTGCGTTTCATTGTAGTTGTTCATGATACGAGCATTGCTTACGCGTTATATGCTTCAGGGCACATGTCGAAGGACCCGATAGCTGAGGAGCTCCTCGACAACCCGTCGGTCGCTGTTGGTTCCGGTTACAGCGAGTCGAAGTGGGTCGCGGAACAGCTCCTGAAGAGGGCAGCTGAGCGCAACATCTGCAACCCGTCGATTGTACGCCTTGGTCAGCTCAGTGGCGGTGCAAACGGGGCGTGGCGCACTACCGAGTGGATCCCGTCGCTGATCTCTACGAGTCTCGCGCTTGGCTGCCTCCCCGACGGCTCGGGCGATGCGACCTGGATACCCGTCGACACCTCCGCAGCTGCGATGCTCGACTTCCTAGATACCCCCGCCCGTGTCCTTCACGTCCAGCACCCTCGTCCCGTCTCGTGGTCTTCCACTATGCAACTCTTCTCCGCCGCTCTCAACCTCCCCATCGCACCATACACTGAGTGGTACTCCCGTCTAGAGTCGGGCCTCTCATTCACGTCCGATCCGTCTTCCACTCAATATCTCGAACGCGGCCTGCGGTTGCTCGAGTTCTTCCGCTTGCCCCTTCTTACGGAGCCCGGTAACTCTCGGCCGGACGTCATGAATACGCTTGTCCACGGTATGGATCTCAAGAACGCGCTCGATGCATCTGCTACACTGCAGGACCCCGAGCTGCCTGTCATCGTCCGCGAGGATGTTGATCGCTGGATTGGGTACTGGCGCAGCATCGGATATCTGCCCGGAAACTGAGTGGGTCACTTTGTCAACGTCGAACGCAGGTATATTATTATTTGTCGGCTGTTGCGTCACTAGATTGTATGTACGACATGACGTCATCACTACCAGTTCTGTACTGCCGCTGCGATTGTTGTATGTTTTCTGTATATCTGTAATATTGCCTCATGTAGATCGCTATGAATGAATGTTGTTCGTTTCACGTCGCAGGCGTCGAGTGCGATTGAGTGGGGAGATGTCGTGCAGTGAGCCTTCGTTCGTCCCTGATCATACCCGATCAGTACGGTGCTCATGTAAATCTATATGTCTTGCCTGCCAATTGCCGGCCCATCGGCCAAGAGAGACTAAGGCACACTGTTCTACGAGAGACCCCATTGCCGATCCCGGAGATGGGCCCATTGCCGTGAGATGTGTGCGGTCCTGTGTGGATGCGGTTTCACTGTGATGAAGCTGCCAACTTCAAGCCCATGCTGACCCCGGGGCATCTGATTGGTGCACACTGCGCACTGCACCGACCACAATATACGCGGGTCTCTCCTTGGGAGGGCTGAGCATTGCGGTTGCTGTGCCGCCACTGAAGGTTGGATCAGATAAATAGTGAGCCTACGAGCCAGGTGCGCCCCACCGACGCCGTCGTACTGCCAGTCTGCAGCTGCTTGGAACCGATAAACAGGCGTACGCATCGCCATGGTTCTCCCCTTCTTTCCTTTCAACTTGAACGTGAACATCAAAGTAAACCATGTGCACAACCCGGGGGTGACTGCGCGACGAACCGCCGCACCCCAGGCCGCTCACCACTCCTCGCATCATTCTTCGCATTCGCATCATTCCTCGCACTCTTCGTCGGCGACCAAGAAGCCAGTCTCTCACTCTCACTCGGTACTGCATTCATCTGTTCGTCATGAACAAACATCGCTGATATGGCAATTCTGCTGTAGGAACATAGGCCCAGAGCCATCAAGGCGGCCCCTGCGAAGAGATCAGATACCCCGGTGCGTTTTGAGCGTTGTACGGTGAGGCTTACCGGGAGTGAATTAACAAAGTTGACAGGCGAAGAAATCGAGCCACTCACATGCCAGCGATGGCCATCACCACCACCATTCGTCTACGTCTGATCCAAGGTCTGTCGCGAAGAAGACATCCAGTCACAGGCATTAAGAGCGTGACAGGTCGCTGTACGATGAGTGCCTCGTGTGAACGGTGGTACGAGGCATGGATCGGGATGAGGCGAGGTTAATTATGTCGAAGAAAGGTGCGCATTGGTCAGCTGGGTAGACTCGGAGGCGAGCGAGGGATGGCTGACGGCTGTACAAGAGCATGTTATAACAATATGAAAGCAACTTCCTAACTTATTAACAATGCCTAGTCGCGCGAGACCTTGATGACCCTACAACGAGAACACCGTGAGCACCACCAGATATCGCGCAAGCAAGGAGATGCGCGATAGAGACGTACAGCTTCCCGTTGTTCTCTCCCGCAAAGAGCATGTTGATTGCCATCGGCGTCTCCTTGATACCCTCGAGGATATGATAGGTAGACTTCAGGACACCCTGTGCGACCCTGTCCCCGAGGTACTTCATCGCGTCCGGCATACGATCCCCTTGGTCAATTCTGTGATATTTAGCATCAACCCCTCGGTCTTCTGTTACATACATGGGGACGTACAGACTGAACCCTTGCATTGTCGCACGCTTGTAAAAGATGTCCCTGTGATTCTTGAGAGGCACTGGCTCGCTGGCTATATGAGTGTGTTAGCACGGATTGAGCGGTGCAAACGTGATGGAGATGATTCCGGCTTACCGTACGTAGACATGGCACCTGATACAAACATATCGACAGTGAGTGAATTGACCAAATAGTGCCGCAAGACACCTACCACATAGGATCACCCTGGCGTGCAAGTTCATCCTCGTGAGTAAAAAGTCGAGCATCCCGCCGCCGACGTTGTCGAAGTACACGTCGAACGCGCCGACCTCGCGCACGAAGTCCTCCTGGAACGTCGCCGCCTTGTAGTTGAGCGCCTTCGCGATGCCGAGCTCCTCCTCGAGGTACCTGCACTTCTCCGCGGAGCCAGCGATCCCGTACACCTTCGCGCCCTTGTCCTTCGCGAGCTGGCAGACGAGGGAGCCGATGGCGCCTGCGGCGCCTGAGACGACGACGGTCTCGCCTGCTTTGACTTTCGCGAGATCGATGATGCCCTGGATGGATCAGTGCAGTTAGTACTGAAATGCATCGGTCGTAGAAGCCGATCCTACTATGAATGCAGTTTGACCTGTGTCAAACACGCTGTCAGTGTCTGGGACATAGCACAGGGAATAAATTATTGCCGACCCGGGTGACCCAATGGGCCTAGAAAATCGAGCAACTGTGCGCCCTCCGGAACACTGAATGAACCGTACGTCAATGATGTGATTCCCTCCTTGACCGACGAATACGCACTCTACTTTCGTCAACTCCTTCGCCTTCATTTTGCTATATTCGGTGGTGCCTGTCAATATCATTCAGTGTCTGTACCATGGACAGCCCCGTCTCGTACCCACCAACATATCCGCTGACATGATTGCCGACTGCGAAACCGCTGTCCTCGCCGGCCCCAACAACCGTTCCAACGCCAATACCTCCCATCGTCTCGCCAATCTGGAGAGGGCGGAACGGACCTGCATCGTCAGAGAGCCATATACGCATTGCGGGGTCAATCGAGAGCCAAACGATCTTGATGACGACCTCATCTGCAGCAGGCTTCAGGTCAAAGGGTACCTCTTCGACGCGGAAGGTGTTCGAGTTAATGAGTCCCTTTGGTCGTTCGACATATACAAGGTGAGAGTAGGATGAAGGCGACATGGTGCAGAGCAAGCTTGCAAACTTAGCGCAAAGAGCAACGGTTCAGGCTGTTTGCAAGATATGTTCCCCGTTTATATACGGTCATGACCTGCAATGACGGTCCCCACTATGTAAGCGCCTGGATGACTACTGTCTGCAGAGACGCACCACCCGGCCAGGCAGTCTGGTCCTGGCAAGCCTTCCGGTAGACCACGCCCCATGCGGAGTCCGGACAGGACTCATAGCATGGGAATGGCCTGTCAATCCTAACGCGCTGACGATGATGATGATGATGAAATCTGCATTTATTAACCGCCATAAGCAAACTAACGCGCTGACGAAAGCAATGGTACTCGTCCAAGGTACGTTATTGGTAAGCGACGAAGAGTTCGGAGCCCGAGTGGGTGATACCTGGCTTAGACGGAGTCGGCGGTGGCAGCTAGCCTGAGGCCGAATCTCGATGCTCACCTGAGCTATGCTCATGATATTCTCCTCGAGAATCTTCGTACGGAGGACTTCCTTCACACAAACACCAGCTGACTCCCTTCCAGCTCGAGAGGGGGAGGAGGAGGAGGTGATGATGATGATCTCTGCATTTATTAACCGCTACAAGCAAGCCTGTGCTAAGACGCGGCGGACGCCGGCCTGTACAGTAGTGGGCGTTAAAACGCGCCACCCAGGTCGACGGGAGGAGGAGGAGGAGGAGGAGATGGGTCCATTTAGCCGCAATTTACGCGTATCTACTACACGTGACATCCGACAACGTTCACTACTTACTTTCATGACAGAATCCAACCCAAGCGGCCCCGTCTATTCTACAATATCGTACACTATTCGAGCAATAACACGGCGTGAGTACAATGCTACGTCGATCGCACACCCCGGCCCACTGGTCGCCAACCGGGCGGGTCCCGAGGTTAAAACCTGGGAGGAAAAAATTCAAAAAACCTCCAGGCGTCGGTTGCGGTTCCCCTGCACACCGACATAACTCACCCCGGGCCAGGTGATTGACATGGCGTAGTGCTACTACCGTCCGCTCTCACGCAAAACGCTGTGGGCGTTCGACATGGTAGTGACCGAGCAGGCGCATGAATTGCAAAGTAGAGGTGCACCTGTGAGTGCATGGGCATTGAGTACTCACGCTCCGCGCTCCACGCGCTTGGAGTATGCTGAGGCGATGCCCATTCATGGCGTCGTTACGTAGGTGCGTGCTCATGGACTCAGTCAGCTTCTGGGCGCATGCCTTGACGAGATCTGGCGACAGAGCTTCCATATTCATGACTGGAATAGGAAATAACGAAAGTACTTAGGAATGCCTCCGCGTCGAGTAGATTATATCGGGCCAAGATCTCAGCCACCCACTGTCCATCTGGTCATCCTACAACTCGAAGCACTGGTCAACTCGTTACTCACTGTGTCTCCGTAGCCATATATGCAGTAGATTATCAGGTTTTGTTTTTCCACGGGTGTCTACTTACCTTTGAGCGCATCACACCTGAGGCTGTTGCGCTGGTACTATACCACTGCGTGTGGCCACTGTGTGGCCGAGATGATAGATTTGAACTCCGCCTTGGATGTTTCCACGCGACAGTTGCTGCTGATGATGCTCAAATAACTCAAACTACGATTGCAGCAACCTAATCCGAATACTTGACTTTGCAGGATCGCCGCTGTTAACGCGTTGACGGATGGCCCACCCCGAATCAGATGGCGAACGTGTGCGCAAGCGTCGAAGGGTCCAGTGCGACAACGTGGCCACAGCCTCAGCCACAACTTCAAGCATGCCACCGCTGGCAAGTTCAGGTACAAGTCCGTCCGCTATGAAGAGCTCCCTCAAGGGGAGGAGAAGATACAGCGCCGACATTTTGGACATGGAGCAAGCGTCGCAGCAAGGCTTCGAGCATGGGGCACTCAGAGTCGCAGGTACGTTACAGGATGTTCGATCTGATGCGGACTTCAATGTCGGGGACGCCGTGCCACAGGCTTTCGACCCGGAGATGAGGATGGTACATTTGAGTGCCGCATTGAGGACTCGGGCGAGCAAGCATTGGCGGCGTTGCACTTCTTCATCTCTGGTGAGCGGGAAAGGTGACCTAGAGTGGCGATACTCACCAGAAGCGATTCGCGCATCCGTCACTCAGACACGTCCGATTACCCGGGACAACATACGTTCTTCTGTCACGCCGCCGATGAGCACATCCCTAGCGCGATCGCAGAGGTCATTGAGGTTTTGCCTGAGGAGCCTTCGCGCACCATCGAGGATATGCTTGAGAGACTACTGACCGTGCTCGCCAAGAAGCTTGCAGGCCACCAGGACGGAGACACGGATGACGAGATGGAAGAGGATGACTTCGACTACGACATGCACTCAGATGACGGCTTAGGCATTGACGTCGTCGACAAGGCGAAGCTCGACTATCGTCTGCTGCAGATGTCCGTGGCCGTTCCGCCTCTACCGCGACGCATATATACTGACGAGAGCCCAGTCACTTCAACGAGGTGGTATCCTACGATTACCGACCAGGCTTCATACCGTTCGGGGCCGACGACTTCGTTCTCTCCGTGTCCATCCCGATCATCAAGCTCGCGCGGGACATCCCCGCACGCGCGCTGATGGCCTGGGACGGGCGGCTCCTCTCGCGAACACAACATCTAACGCTCCTAGTGACAGGTCTGCGCGGCACGTATCCCGTGCTGCAGACCGACGGCACCGTGCGCCCCGATGCGGCGACGCGAGGCATCTCCCCGCAGTTCAGGATTGGCCTCACGCCGATCTATAAGCCGCAGAAAGAGCATGTGGCGGCGGTCGTGCGTGTGTTCGGGCTGAAGGACCAGCCGTCCGATGTGCCGCCGCCCGAGCAGGACGTGCAGGATGAGATGCTGTCGGATGACGAGGGCGACCATGAACTGCTAGAGCCCACGGACGACGAGCCGCAGGTCGAGGAGTCGAGCTTCCAGCCGTTCAGCTTGAGCGCCTCGCTTGAGACTCTGTTGAACCAGCGTTTCCTGCGTGTCGTTCAGCTGAGGCTGGAACACGAACTCGGCTGGGCTGGCGCAGAGGTGCTCGCATGGGAGGCAGAGAGAGTGCAGAAGAAACCGGCCGACATCCTCAAGAGTATGAGAAAGGTTTGTGGTCATGCCTCGATTTTATGACTGATCTGAGCGTGTCTTCGCCGATATGATGCAGCAAATCCGGGCGGCTGACGAAAAGGAAGCGGGGCTCGCGAGTAGCTACAAGCTGCCACCCGATCCCCTTCTCGCCTACGACCGCGGTGCACCACTCAACCTGCCATTGTTGGCATTCTGCTACTTGTTGCGACGACTGACGGTGAGTTGACACATCCTGGATGATCCACTGTTCACGAGCCTTCGTCATAGCTGTGTCCTCGGTACTGCATCGTATGCCACGAAGAGCTGAAGACGAACTACGAGTCCCTGAAGCCGTACGTGTGCGACACCGGACTATGCACCTACCAGTACTACCATCTCAACTTGGGGCCCTCTCTGGAGGTAGGCGCTATTGCTCACAAGGTGTCGATGCCCGCTGAATGCCTGTCGATAGTATGAGATCTGCGAGAGTACTGATATCGTCGACCTTCTCGTCTCCGTTACCTACGTCGCGGCGAAGGAGGCATCCACAGAGGGTCCATTCCCGATCGGGATGGGCCTTCGTGTCCCATACACATCGGGCATAGACACAAGAGTGACCGCGGATGAAGACGGCCTCTATGACTTCGATAAACTCAGTCCACGCCAGGTATGTCCCGGTCGACATCGAACTGGTATTCCTCAGATAACCTTGCTCAAGATGTGTCAATCGATGGTTGAACTGCTTGATGCGCTCCCTCCTGTGCGTTTTCGGTTTCTGCACTTGTCCCCGGCTCTCACCACCTACATCGGGACTAGATTGCAAACATGAAGCGGCACCTGGAGAAGCCAATTGCTATCGGAAGAACGAAGCACAAGCTCAGGGATATGGCCCCTACCGTACCAAGTGCCGCGTGGTTGCTTCTCCGATGGTAATTGTCGAAGCGTATTCAGTGTCTAATGGCTATATGACGGAGTGCGACATAGGTGTATTGGATCCTGTATGGCGCACTTAGAAGAGTTACGCTCCCCAGAGGATCGCATTACGAACATAGGTACTTGACCCACCCTGTCGTGTGCATTCGGCCATTGTTAACACCTTGATAGATCCTACATGGAGACAGTTCCGCTTCAGTGTCGGTGCTCCCGATGCCGAGGCGAAGTTCCGGACTGCTTTGACGGAAGTGCAAAATGTGGACGCCAACTGCAGGCAATACCCCTCACTCTACGTACGTTGCCGGCATGTTCGTGACCGGCAATATCTGACGATCTCTGATAGGCATTTCATGGTTCCTCCCTGAGAAATTGGCACTCGGTATGTCACCATTCTTCACAACCGTTTCCTGTCCTAGAATCCCTCTAGATCATTCGACATGGCTTGTGGTTCGACAAGATCTCCAATGGCAGAGCATATGGCAATGGTCTGTGAATCTAGTTATGGATGTCGTAGATGTTGCTTATTACCTATGTAGGAGTCTATTTCGCAAGAGAAGGCTCGGTTTCCCAAGGATACTCAGCTCGTGGATCGACTGGTTGGAAAAACAGTGCTCTCAGCATACAGTCATGTGTTGCCCTCGCGCAGATCGTGAACATGCCGTCGCAGTTTGTGAACACAAATCCTTACTTTGTCGTCGCGAAAACCGATTGGATAATCTGGTAAGTCCCGCGTCAACACACAGGCTGCACTTCAATCCCTGACATCGGCGCAGTCGCTACCTTCTCGTGCAAGCCGCCAACCATGATGCCGCGGCAGAAGGAGAGCGATCCGCGGACGTCCGCATGCCCTACGTCCGCCTGGATCCTGCATACAAGTTGACGATGGCTTCCAGAGAGGTCCAGGTCCCAGAACCATCCTTCAGGCTCGAGAAGCTGTTGTCTGCACGACGCGACGAGTATCTCGAGGCTGAGTACGATGCTGACGACATGACCGTCTTCGCAAACGGCGAGGCTATCTCTCGATCGTTAGCAGCCTTGCCGCAGCAACCGATGGATGAGGACGACTGGGCCCATGATCCTGCCTGGGTGAGCCTCTGCATCGAAAACGTGCTGCTGCCCCCTTCGGAATCCAGTCTGCAAGCAACGATGGCACTGCAGAGAGAGCTGAAGGCGATGCTAACGGAACAAGAGCGGGCGAAGTCTCTGCGCGAACTCGGATGGTACATGCCACCGGAGTTCGTGGGAGACAATCTCTATCAGTGGATCGTAGAACTGCATTCCTTCGACAAGGACCTCCAGATAGCCAAAGACATGGAAGCACGGTGAGTGCAATCACAGCGTCGCAGGAATGTGACTGAGCTCTTTTCAGAGGTGTTACATCTCTCGTCTTTGAGATCCGGTTCCCGCCTATGTTCCCTCATAGTCCCCCGTTCTTTCGTATTCTGAGGCCACGTCTCCTACCTTTCATCCTGGTAAGTAGTGTAAACCATGGTCCTTTCGCTTGTCTAACCACTGTCCAGGGTGGCGGAGGCCATGTAACAGGAGGTAAGCAAGCATGTCCTGCCTCTCAAATAAGTATCTCACAGATGGACAGGTGGCTCGATGTGTATGGACTTACTGACGGCCGATGGTGGGTTTGCTATGAGCCTTTTGCGCAGGATACTGATTTCCACGTCTCGACGTCAGGCTGGCTGCCAAGTTACAGGTCAGTGCCTGTTGTATGCACCACGATAACGCCAACAGACTAAACGTCGGTGACCAGCATATCGGCCATCCTCCTTCAGATCAAGCTAGCTATCTCGAACACGGAGCCTCGACCCGCTCGACTTGCTCAAAACTGGGACACGTGCGTATGACTAGGTTGACTGCGCAGTGTGAGCTGAATGTCCCTCCTCTATGCCAGGCCTTACGGAATGCAGGAAGCGTTGGATGGCTATAAAAGAGCTGCTAATACACATGGCTGGAAGGTAATGGGGTCCAACACACTATGCGCGGACGTCCACTGACACAGACGCAGATCCCCCGAGGACTAGAGAGACTGACACACTGACGAGGCTATAGAATTTAATTGGCTGCATAATCATTGCACACATCTCGCGCATACACAATATCATTCCTTGTACAACTACTGCAATCGTTACACAATTTGTCATTCGAGGTAGCCAACAGGTGATGCAAGATGTACAAGTATACATAACACGTTACATTTCATGGTAGGACGATCGCTAGCATCCATGGATAAGAGGCCATCGCTTCTAGATGTAGATGGGCAGCGTCGGGTTGAGACCAATCCAATCGATACCCTCCACGAAGTCCTTCTGGTCAATCAAGAAGTCCTAACAAATGGATAAGTAACTGAAGAGTACAATCCGTGTCGATGCAACTCACCATCGGACACTCAACGAGTGCCCCTCTGACTTTCGAGAGGCGGTCCTTAACTCGCTCCAACGAGACGTCAGGCACGACATGCCCCGGCAGGACATTCGGCACGTAGCGCTATCGAACAGTGTCAACACACTCGTCGCCGCTCTAGTAGTCACGGACACCTACCGAGTACGCGTCCCAGTCGCGAGCAAGATTGGTCGGAACAGGCCGGAAGATCTCCGTGAAGATGTCACGGTTGTTCTTCGCTGTGCGGTTCCACAGGTCGACGGTCGCATCCGCGAGGGGGTCGGCGACGAGTTTGTCCTCGTCGTCACCCGTCTCGTCGTCATTCGGGTGAGGCGCCGGGCGCATGAAGGACGTGACGTGCTCCTGTGGTCCAGGGCAGAGCTGTGGCTGCATGAGTCCAAGATGCTCTGTGCGAAGAGTCAGCAGACCATCACCGAAGATCTCGACTCGGGTTTACCTCTGTAGAGCTTCCTACGCAGCGTCGCCGCAAAACGAGCCGCCATGTACGGCCGCCCGTCCATGGTCGTCTCGATCATATCTTCGTCCTCAACCACCAAGGCAATCTCGGAGTCACCGTCTCCCTAAGAACGAAGACGATAAATACACATGCACGACTGACATGTAATCATCACCATACCTTCTGACTACGGTCGTTGATGTTCGCGGACCCCATCTAGCCAGACATTAGCTCAGGAAGAACACGGTGGACTTGCTTGGGAAGCGTACAATAACCCTCCGATCATCCACGATCATCAGCTTCGAATGGATGTACAGCAGCTCGGACACATATGCGGCCTTCTGCTCGTCGGGGCTACCCAGCCATCCCTCGTCTGTCAGGTTTGTGCGGTCGTGCATCATATGCTGCACGACGTTGTCCGAGATGTCCCCGCCTCCCCTGAGGCGCGACGCGGTATCGTGCCAGCGGTCGACGATTGCCTTCGCCTCCTCGTACGATTGCGGCAGCGTGTACGTCTCCGTCTTAAGCTCGGGCTTGCCACCGGAGGCGGTGATCTCCTCGGACATCTTGCCGGTGGGGAGGACGACGGTGGTCTCCTTCGGCGCGTTCTGCTCTTCGTCTCTGCCGACCCACATGCGAGCGAGGGCGGTCATGGCTTGGTGGAACGTAACGCCGCTCTGCTCTTCCAGCGACTTCATGAACGTCTCTGCCAAGCCACCGTGTTAAGCTAATTGCAACGATGAGTTGACATGCACACAAACCATAGGGTGCATTGATGCGGTCGTAGGCGCGGAGGTGGTAGAAGCGGATGTAATCCGAACTGATCATCTCATGAGCGGACAACTATCATATTCATCATCGTAAAGACTCACGGTTCGTATCCAGCCTTGCGGATCTCCTCGTAGATGCTATGGCCACCACGGTTCATGGTGCGGTACTGCGCGGCCATGATCGTCCTGACAGACGTCTCGTCCTTCACTGGGCAAGAGCGCGAGCATAAGTCCGAGTCACAACGCCGACAGAGCGAATGCCTACCTTGTCCAGCGAATCCTGGCACCTCTGGGATGACGATCACAACCTGCGGTTGAATGGGTCGGTAAGGCGCAGAATTCAATGTGCTGGAGAGGCAAACCGACCTTGAACTTCTGACCGTCACGAGCAGCTTGGATGATACGGTCAACCAAGGCCTTTGCGATGGTGTTTTTGACGGGGCCGTCCTCCTGGGTGTTCGAGATGCTGCAGCCACGCTCGTCACGAAGCCATCTCAACCGCCAAGAAAACTAATACGTACAAGAATTGGTTCTCTGACGACGACTTCCATGATCAGTTTACTCTCGATGATGAGATGGGGACGGTTGACCCACCAATGTAGATATAATGGCTAGCCTCCATGATCAATTGGCGATCTGCACCCGTCGGTCAACATCGCACACGCCTGCACCAATCCATTGCACTCCACTCACAAGCATTCTGGATGCTATGCTCCGTCAGCACGCCATGGCTCCAGTCGCTGACGCTACGGATGGCCTGCACCGTGCACGACCCGTTGGGCGGGCGCGGATAGAGCAGGGGGTCGTCAAGAATGTCTGACTCCTGCCTGTAGTGGAGCCCGTGGAAGCGCTGGCGGAACCGACGGCCCATGCCGTGCCAGGCCTCGCGGTACGGGTGGCCTGTGACGCGAGCGGTCAGGATAGCGCAAAGGAGACGGTTGTGCGTGAGACGCACGCGAGACGGCTTCTTCGGGGGCCTCCTGGACATCGTGCGGAAGGGCGAGCCAGTCGTAGCGTCTGCAGGGAAGGGTTCAGCTTGGCTCGGCGGCGTCTCTCAGTGGGCACGCACTGATCTTTGCTGTACTGTTGCGCGCGATGATGTGAGTTCGATCGTACGAGGTACGAACAACCAGGACATACCTTGCGCTTCTTGACCTCATTCCAGCGCTCCACGAAGTGCTGCACGAGGTCGAGCACGGACGGGCCGCAGAGGGTCATATGAACCTACGCCGGTGCTCGTGAGCTACGCACGACTGTCAGTAACGGACGGTTGGATGCGCACATCATGCCACGGCATCCTGGCGGTCTCGATGATACTGAGCCCGTTGCTGACATAGTTCTGGACGTCCTTGAAGTCGAGCACGCGCGCGTTGTTGTAGTCCTGGCCGGGGAAGAGCGTGCGCCTGAAGTCGGTCGGGTGCACGTCCGCGAGCGGGTGCGTGTGCGTGTCCCAGCGCCCGAAGCAGATGTCCAGCCCGCCGACGCACGCGCGGTGGTTGTCGACGACGACAAGCTGTGGGCGAGGTGAGGATAAGGCAGGTCGGGGAGGCAGCAACAGACCTTCTCGTGGTGCGACCAGAACTCGACGTCGTCTGAGGAAATGTCAATGGGGAGCCAAGCAGGGCCGCGTTGACGACGTACCCTTGCTGCCAATGTGGTCAGGGTGGCGCATACATGCGATGTTCGGGTGTAGGTCCTCGAGAGCGTGCTACGAGCCCCCAGTCAGGTGGTAGCGTTCGCAAGATGATCGCGCGACGCACCTTGGTGTGAGACGAGCTCATAGACATGGTCTGCGTGACTTCCTTGTACACGACAACGTAGATCTTCACACCCTCCTCGGCCTTGCGCTTCAGCAGACGGTCCAGACGCCATTCCTGGTTGAAAGCCGGCGGGCGACGCAGGTACAACTCCGGAGTGAGCCACCAGTCCTGGTCACACGATCAGTGGGTACGCATATACCCGCGGTAAAAGAGTCACATACGAGAATGAAGATGCAGTCGCGTGCACTGTCCAGAATCTCGGAGAGCGCGTACATGTAATCATGCCCATCGACGTGCCTACAGGACCTCTTCAGTCATCGTTCCCCATTAGCGGATCATGCAACAACGGAAGACGGTACCATTTGACAAAGTTGGCATGCCGTTTGTCCGCAAAGGACTGGAATCGGTGGCTGTCGTTAATCTCCTGGCGGACCGCGTCAATGCGCTGCTCCTCCGGGTCGTCGTGCCTGCCTAAGCGAGATGTCGGTGATCGGCGCCATGATCGACGAGTGAACAGATTCTACGCACGGTTTGGACTCAGAAAGCCTGCGATGCGTGCCGGATTGTCAGCGACGACTCAACCTCTGCTACATGTCTTGATACGCACCTTCGACAGTCGCCACAGCGTGGTTAAGCCCCTGGTCGAGCTTCTTGAATTCACTGTCGACAGTGTGCTTGATGCTCTGGAGGAAATGGGACATCCTGAACGCAGCGTCGGCGAGAGCAGAGATAGAGAGTCTGCGAGCAATGCCCCTCGGTGTTATATCAGTGGAGGTGGGCGCGCGATTCAATCACGCCGCCGAGCCAGGATCGGGTCTGGTCGACAGCGACGGCAACGGCAAGAGCTGGTTGCGCTGGGCCTTCGGCAACCGCCGCCAGATGCAGATCATGTCTATCTCGGCTGCCAAGTCGAATTCTTATTCGGAGGGCGTTGGGGCAGCGGCAGAGGGAGCGAAATGGTGGATGTATTGCGAGGAGGGCAGTAGGATGTGGAGGTAGCAGGAGATTCCGAGTTGTGGAACTCGACGTCAACTTGAAGTCAGTCCGCCGCCACACCGCCGGACCACGTGGGAGAACGACGCCGGGAGAAAGTGCCTTGACCGTGACGGCATTGTGACGGCAGTGTAGTATAGCACTAATAGATGTCGTGCACAGTATTGACCATAGGAAAGAAACGCAACGGTGAGCGGACTATGAGGTTAGCATACTGTCGATGGATAGAACCAGCAGATGGGAAATGCGACGAAGCGCCCGCTACTTGCAGTTCGTCGAGCGCTTGTGCGATGTACATTCGGCGGCAGTAAGTACTTGTTTGTAGGGTGACCCTCTCTCGCCCATCCGTGTGATGGTCGCACCTAACCACCGCACCGATAAGTACTTACGAGATGGCGGTGACCCTGTGTAGTACTTGTACGAGTGCGTCGGGTTTCCGTTCGTCGACGTCGTGGTCTTGGTTCAAGGGTGGGCGGGGATTCGATGCAGTCCAGGCGGCGCGGGCCTGCGTTATATGTACAAGGACGCGGTCAAAAGTGGAGCGGACGCGTCAGCACAGACGTATGTATAGAAACGATGAGGGAAGGCGAAAGCGAATGACGTTGGAAGTGAACTTGAGACGCAAAAGGCAAGCAAGCTTAGCTTCTGTAACAGGAAAGTGACGTCAACCGGAGATGACACCCACCAAGTCCCGGACAGGCCAACTGCAATTAATTGCAGCTAGACCACAGTCGATGTTGTGCTCGGTACTTGTGAGGAGAAATGCAAGAGACGTCCTTGCAAGATACTCGGTTTGTTTGCTGCTGTGATCAGTAAAGATATATGCAACCCTCGTTGATTCATTCAGTGAATGGACGCTTCCGCCAACGCGTTGCGCGAGGCCCGCCAGACGTAGATGCGATACATATCCAAATCACATTACAAAAAACCTACAATGGATCAGAACACCCAAGCGAGAAACGTACAGAAGGTGAAGACACCTGTGCCCTACAACACGACCCACACCGCGGTCAGTAGATTTCGCGGCAAGCCGCAAGGAATGAATGTACGGCGTCGCGCGAGAGAGCGGGTTGGCATAAGTAGAATATAAGGAAGAAAGGGTATGAGAAGAACACCACCCAATATGCGTGTATGGCAGCATGTGAAAAGCGGTGAGATGACTCTGGTAATCTCGAACAAGACAGGGTGACGAATGAGGAAAAGCGGCGACAGCAATCGAGTAATCAGGCTGCGGCCGGAATTTACGCGAAGCTATGTGGCAAGGGTAGAGTATGGAGATATCAATGATACTTCAAGGAGATACGTCAAGAAATTTGGGCGGGGGACAATTCCGCCAGCGAGCTGCTGACAACGTCAATATCGTACAGACTGAGTTGGCCAGCAATGACAGGATCAAGGGTAGAGCGGGTGGGACGACGGACAGATTGCACGGAAGGTGGCGCGGTTTGGGAAGCTGTGGTACCTTGCCTAGAGAGCAGAACCGTGTTCAGCGTTCTCCACGCCATATCTACTCTCCTCCGAGACTGCAAAGCTGCCCCGGGGCTCGTCACCGCCATCATGATCCTGGCTCTGCGGAGGCATGTCAGGATAGAGCGATGCGGGCGACGGCGGCGTCGGCTTGGACACCAGTCCGAACATGTCGATCGTGGTCGGGGTAGGGTCCTGCGCGTAAAGCTGTAGCATGCCGGTCCCAGTCGAAGGCGCCGGAGTGGAGGAAGTAGGCGGCGGCGAGCGCAAGTTACGTTCAGCGTACGCGCGAAGCATGTCATCCGGTGTCATGGCAATCCCAGGGATAGATGGCATCGGCATCCCACCCAGGATAGGCGACTGAGGAGCAGAAGGTGCCTGGAGGGCCGCGGCAGGCGGCATGGGCAGTTCAGGCTCGGGCATCTTCATCATAGCAGGAATGATGTAGCTATCGTCGGTGGGCGAGGAACCCGTACGCATCACTATAGAGGCATTAGCGCAATGCGGGGGACACTAAATGACGGTACTTACTGGACAGAGCAGCGGAAACGGAGTCACGGTTTGAGCTTGAGAATTCCTGTCCAGACATATGGGCACGGATGTCATCAGAGCTGAGGCTGAATGGTCCGGCGGTCTGCGTAGGCGACATCGCGTCCGGCAGCGGAGGGACATAGTCATCATGGAACGCACGCGTCCGGCGGTACTCCGAGGACGGACGCATGTCTGGCGCGAAGGACACCCGGGACACGCGCGACTGGCGGTCAGCCGCGCTGTACAGGCTTGCACGGAAGCCAGGGCGGACTTGAGCCATAACAGGCGGGGACAGCTCCTCCTCCGTAGTCTGCAGACGCAGGGAGTGCGAGCCGATGGAGGCCTGTCCACCATCGATTGTCGATGCGCGGTCTCCGCCGCTGTATACGCTGCTCCGGACAGCATGCGTCGCGCCTGCAGTGGTGACCGGTCTCCATTCCGTGGAGATCGTGGACATGCGCTTGTCTACCGCAACGCTGAACCGCTTCCGCTTCTCCTCCCTACGCTTGCGACTGCGCCAAATGTACACGCCTGCAAGGATACCGGCAACGGCGAGTAAAGTCATGATCACCGCAGCAGCAACCTTGCCCTTGGAGAGCCCGTGCTTCGGAACGTTATTCACGTCCTCCGAAATTGACCCAGAAGCGGTGTCGCTATTGGTGGAAGCGTCGCTTTTGCTATATGTAGCGTTCCATATGGGTCCGGCAGGGAGAGTGGCCATGAAGGTCGGCATGCCCGACTCGATGATCTCCAGCTGCAGGCTCACAGATTTGGTGGAGTTCCACCATGACGGTTGGAGGGTGGCATTGTAGCTTCCGTATGCATAATCGACGTTTTGCCAGATGTGGACCCGTGATGTGGCGGCGAGGGGGGCGAACAGGTAGATATCGACAGCGGTTGTGTCCAGGCATGTCGTATCCCAGCTGATTTGTAGAGGGTCGGATGAGTCGACTACGGTCGCTGCGCTAGGTGATTTGTAGAAGCCTCCGGTAGCGCACGCTAGGAGTAAGAGTCAGCTCGGCTCGTACAGACTGATCCAATTCTAGAATACTGAGGCGATGGGCAATGGTCATGGTCATCAAGCCCCTAAGGCAGTCCCCGACGGAAGACTCCGACCCGCAAACATCCAACTGTTCTGCGGCAACCACGAGTGCACTCCGCTGAGTTTCTGCACCACTGAGTACCAGTACCCGACTCTATTCAGGATATGTGGGAGTTGGCGGGGAGGCCAGATGCTCATCCTGTCAGAATGTAGATGTGGTACTCGAGCCTGTTCCTACACAGGGCCAACGCGGGTCGTGTCCATCAAGGCATGGTGAGACCATCCGGACGTCAGTGCCCTGGTTTGTCTCATCCATGATCCCATCCAGACAATTTGGAAACGAGACGCTAAGGCACTGCATACCGACGATGCGGGTACGAGCATGGACCATGCATATATGACTCCAGGGGGCAATGGATACACATAACCAGTGGGACGCGCACCGGGAAGCGTCATGCATAGTTCGAGGGTGCGTTTGCATGGCTAGAGACCAAGTGCTTTCGAATAACAACGTGAAGGATCATCCGCACAGCAGGATCAGCTTGTGCTACGGACTCCCCACCGATAGTCAGAGTAGGGTCCTAATCTCTGAATTCGCACTGCCCAGTCAAAGGCCTAGCTACCCTCTTGGTCTCTGTGCCCCCGTCTTCCCACCCGAGAAACAGCTGCTGCACCCTATATGCAGCTAGCACATGGGCCCTCACTATCGCCTATCGCCCGACTGGCAAGCAGCCCGTCCCACATGTCACTGCCCCAGAAAGCAACCAGATCTACTCACAGTCGCGTTTACGATGTCCGTGCGGGGCAACGGCGTGCCCGCTGCGAATTTTGTCGTGCCCGTTTGCCATCCGTTGGTTCCACAGTTAAACGAGCGTAAAGTAGAGAACGTGAGGTGAAAGGAGGGAGTGGGCGAGCAGCGGCTCCGTCGTCGTCGAGAACAAGAAGGTCGGCTTGGACGAGCTTGGCGGCTAACAACCTGTATCACGTGGAACCGAGTTGTGACCCGGGTAAGTACGACTTTGTGATGTCACTGACGTGTGATAGATAAGCACGTAAGTAAACTTGCTGACTTAAATATGTACCCTGATGCGGCTCTCGCTATATGCAGAGCTGTTCACGACATCGCATGCATTAGTTTACGAAACCATGGTACAGCAGCCGAGGTAGAGAAGACGATGTCCGCAGGAAAACACTATATCGACGTACGAGCAAGACAAGATAGTAGAGGGTCCACCCGACAAACGCAAAACAAAAAACATTACAGCGAAGGAGCTCGAGCAAGGCAAGTGAGAATCTCATCCTCTACTACTCAGCGCAGTGGGTACTGCTTCGCCTCGTCCACCAACCTGGGCTCCCGGTACCCGTCCAACGACCCTCTGCTCGACGCCGGGCTAATGTTCGTCCCGGTCATTCCTTCGCCCGACGGGTGTAGATTCGGATGGGGGCTCACGTAGGTGTACGGCGCAAGCCTGATATTTTCGTCGGAGCTCACCCGGGCATTCATCTCAGTGACTGACTCACTCGGGGAGTATGCCGTGTACTGCGACGAGCCGACGCCGAACGCTTCGCCCAGGTTCATCTTCGTCCGCGTCTTCCCGTCGAGCTCCGTGATCGTTACTCGGGGTCCGCGCGTGTACGGCTTACGGAAGATGTAGTCGAAGAAGAACTTGAGCGAGCCCGCGATCTCGATGACGAAGTCGGCTGGTGGGCGGATTGTCAGGACGCACAGTTGATACAACGATACGGTTGAACGCACTGTAGTTGATGCTGTCCCAGAGCGGGCGCCAGACACTCGTTGTGCCGTCATTCCCCTTGTACTCACTCGCAGAGAATGCCCAGATCATGAACGCCGAGAAGAACACCATCTATGCGCTCATGTTAGCATCTTGTCAACCCCCGTACGGACCTGTGCGAACCTCGATGCAAGTCGCGAGGGCGTTCAGACCGTTGGCGATGTTCGTCTCGGTCCAGTACTGAGTAGCTGCATTGCGCGTGAGAACATGCACTGTCGTATCTTATGCGGAACGACCCACCATGGATTACGCGTCCCTCTAACGCTTCGAACTGGTCAAGACCACTCAGTGGAGGCTCGATTAATAAAGCGTGAAGAGCTACGTACAACCAAGCCCTGGTAGAAAGTGAACATGACGATCAACTTGATAGACAGGAACTTCGCCAGCGGTCGTCGGCCCTTCAGCTCGTCCTTGGTAAGCGCATAGAAGACGATGAGTCCGTACAGCGCGATCCTACGCAACAAAAACGCTCATTTTGAGACGTCCCATACATCGAAAGGCTATTGTCGAGACGTACGTTATACTGACAGCGTCGATGACTTCCAAGTACGAGTTCGCTGTTTTGAAGCTCCAGGGTCCGGACTCGCAGAGGACGCCGTAGGCCTGGCAGATAATGCCTGCGATGGAAATCGCTGGCCGGATGATCACGTATTGCAGGACGGACCACTACCAACGAGTGAGCGTAGGCATGAGGACATCGACAACACACCGCTGTGTCGTACCTTCAGCGTATACATGAAGTAAGCCTATCTCGGCGCGTCAGACTGCGTGCGTATGCCTATGTACGTTGGAATCACCTTTGTTGGCCTGTATCTCCATATGCAGAACTGCAAGGCAGATTAGTCTGTCACGTCGTGCACGGTGCGAGCATCCACGAACCGGGAAGGGTAGCTTGTTCTTGTCCTTACGAGCGATGGCGTTGTCAACATTGTGCCCGGATGCCGTCGCAGCAACAAACTCGATCAATAGGAGGCTGATATCATTATGAGCGTTCCATCGCAAGCTATGTGTACCCGATAGACTCACAGGAATGCACTGAGGGTGACTGACTGCGGTTGACTTCAGACGACTGTCAATCAGATATAAACACGAATAGCGTACCTCATATGCTGGTAACCGTACGCGTGAGCACTACATCAGGAGTGATCAAGTCTACAGCACGTACCAGATTCGATGAATGAATAGTAGGTGTAGCTTCGGAAAAAGCGATAGGAGAAGAATGAGATGACCGCGTATACGGCAGGCATGTACAGTACTCGTATGCTAGGAACAACTAGTCAGATATTTGCGCCACGGGATAGAGAGCTGTCATAGGAGAGGCATTTGGCAAGTCAGGTGTAGAAAAATATGACGACGTACATTTGTCTTTGTTCTCCTGGGTTGGTGTAATGTCTGCGCCGCCGCCGTCAGTCGCCCACACAAGCAACATCGTCGAGAAGACTCACCGTGCGTGTTGCAATACATTGTAAAGGGTAAGCAGAACAGACTACCGCCACCAAGATTCAACACTCCCTAGCCGAGGGACCAGTCCAAGAATAGACTCACGACGCAGGCACAGCAGCCCGCTATGATCCATCCTATGCGGTGGGCATCCCAATTGAGCCCATTGGTGCTCCAAAAGCTATCCTGCTCGACGACTGCAAAGTTGTCGGACGGGCAGAGAGTTGAGTTCGTCATCGCTGTCGTTTCGGGGCGGGTGGCCGCTTCGTCTCTTGGCCGCGGGTCGTCTTCTGGGGAGTCGATGGGTATCGCTCGGCGGCCAGATAAATATACAAGAAACGAAGGAGCGCAGTAGGTAGTAGCGGGAGGAAAGGGAGGGTTGCCCACCAGCCCGCTGCAATGAGCCCGAGTGAGTTGCTGCCAAGTTGCTGCGCACTGCAAGTGCCGAATACCGAAACCCAGCTGCCGACAAGGGCGTCGGGATGCTGACTCATCAGCCTTATTCGCCCCAGAAAGGCAAATCTCCTCGTACCGCCACCGCCACCGGCACGCTCCACAACTCGTAAATGAACAACATTGATCACATACGACAGTCCTCGGAACGAGCTCAGTCTTCAGAGTACGACTGCCTGCAATATTGTGCACAAAAATAACACTTTCAAGTTCAAGAGCAGCTAAGTCCGCCAACGCGCAGTCGTTTACCCGGGCATGGTGGAAGACGCATGCGTGTCAGCACGGAGGCACAGCCCCGGACGCCCAAGCCCATATCATACAGTTCACTGACAAACTGCCTGCAGAGCCTATCTCGCGCTCATATATGCACCAGGCTCAGAAAGTTCCGAAGAACAACAGCCTCACGGCGATCTCTCGCAGCCTGCCCCGCCTTTCATCGGCTCTTGTCCCGCTGCAGCACCGATAGGTAAGCTATAAGTCATCTCACATGAAGTGTCCGATTGCCGGTGGGCTGCATGAATGGACACGCCATTCCACCAGTTTCCAGCTTCCGAACCATGTCAGGTAGCAGGTCAACCCCGAGTGCGGCATCCATCGTTTATACTCAGGTACACGCACACCGAGAAGGCTGTTCGTATGACACCCATACGTCGCATGGTGTCCGGACTACTGGACTCCTCCCTCTAGACTTCGCTTGGTGCCCGGGACATGGCTTCTTCGCTCGTATGTTACGGTCCTGCAGTCACTTTACCCTCGTACGAGTCTGCATGCACGGGTGTAACCGTCGTCCTCGTCTCCTTGCTCCCAGTCTTCATCTGGATTGGCCGCCGTCCATGCATCAGCACCCGACTTCACTCAAGCCAGAAAGTCGGCTGGCTCACCTCTTCGGTATCTCCCTTTCCTGATTCCACCTTCGTGTCTGTCGGAGATGACTCCGGGTCGGAGCCTGGTCTACACGAGCACACGGTGGCTGACCGAGAACGGACGTGTCCCATCCCTACCTGGAGCTTCAGCGCGTCATTGCCGGCGTCGACGTCCCGACTGGCCTCGTCGCGGTGGATGCTCCTGAAGTTCAGGCTGCACACACGGTGCCTGGTCAACGAACGCCCGAGCCGTATACAAAAAAGAGCGCCCACGTTGCTAGGAGTGAATTGGCGTAAACTGCGAGCTCAATGTCAGAACCACTGGTCGTAAACAATTGGCGTGGACGTACGTTTGCTCAAAAGCGGATGCAACGCCATATAGATCATGTTGTATGGCATCGTCACGAACTGCAAAAGTCAGAGGCATCGTCTTGGTAGTCTCAAACGCCATGTGGAGAAAGACATACGGTGAATATCACAGCGAGACCCACCACACTATGGGCCCCCCTTAGCATACTAGTACTCAGTCTGGCGATGGAAGGCTGCACGACTTACCTTGTGAGCAACCCGTTGTTGATCGTCCAATACGTCAATTTGTCGATCAGCTAGACCACCAGTTCGTCAGCCCGCTGCCAGCTCAGACGCTGTGGACTCAACGCACGCTGTCCGTTCTACGCGTAATTGTATGAATCAGTTACGCCAGCCCCGAAGCACAAGTTGATGCACTCACTTGCTGATAACACAACACGATCAGTAAAATTGGACGCTGACTGCGAAAGAGGGCTCACTGGCTAAACTTTGTCTTCTTTCGCCTCAACAAGATGACGAGAGAAAGGGTGATGATCCAGTCCGCGAGCGTGCCCGCGCCCATGCCTGTACCTACTAGGGCCTGAAGCACATGCCACCGCATCAGCCTGTAAGTAAGCACGCAGGAGCAAGAGGAGGAGTGGGTCTTACGGCGATCTGATGGGGCAGGCCCGCGAAGGTACGGATGATGAGCCTAGAAGGACAGTGAGCACATCCTTTCCCCAAGGGGGAGAATACAAGCGACGATATTCCACTGGCTTACATGCGGATTGTGACGACTACGCGAAGAGCGGCATGTCATGAGCATATGGTACTGAGACGATGTAATCAGAGTTACTCACTGCATCCGAATACTGCATGGCCATAAGCGAGTCTGGATCGGCGTAACAGTGTGCATGAACATCGGACGTACCTAATCTGACCGTAGACAGCACACCCTGTGCAGACGTGTTAGTGCGCGCCCTGTGTATGACCGTCGACATTGCTGAGCGGAGTACATACAATAACGATGACAAGAGGCCAACGTCGATGACCCACTACACCAGCATGTGAGTTTCCACAGCCTGCAGTCCATCCGCGCTCGCTGCTTACGGATATACACACGGCGAGCGTAGAACCTGTATGGATTGATGCGGCATTAGTCGACGAAAGCGCAATGCAGGTGTCATGGCCCACCCGTGCACGACGCATGTGATGAGGGCCTAAAGACGTCGGGGCGGGCCTTTAGCAAGTCGACTCAGACACAAAAGATGGGCTCGTACCGTCACCAGGACGCTGACCTTAAACCATGCATAATTTTCAGACTGGTCGCACTCTCGGGTACCGTAGTAGCAGACTCACGTCCCAACTCCTGTATCATGCACGAAGTCAGCGAGCTCTGCCTGTCCCTTATCAAAGATGGACTCACCAGACCGATTCGGCCAACGCACTCGGGTTGTCGTAGTTCGTGACGAGGTAGTAGTAGATCATATGCATGATGAGTATGATGTGGAGTGTATCAAGCACGCTGCAAGAGCGGATGCGTCATTGTTAGATCTTCAACCATCGAAACCCATCAGCGCGTGAGGAAATGGATGCCCACCACACAGACATCACCTAAGACAGTCCAGGTCTACACGTAAGACTTCGAGAATCCCACAGCATAGGACGGACTCACAACCCATCGTATGATTGGCGGGTCCTGCGGGAACGCCCGGTACCACTGGTACGTTTGCATAGACGTCACGCCATAGCCTCTACAGCCCATGCATTCAGCGTTACGGCACTCGAGACCCGTAGGAGTACTCCGGGTCGTATGGCACAGAGAACACGACTCACACAGCGGTGATGAGCGTCGCGACGAGCAAGGCCCCGATGGTATCGTTCCTATCCTCCGTCATGCTGCGTCGAGTGGACCGTACAGGTCGAGAGGAGGGCGAGGGACGGTGCGAGCAGCGAGCAGCCATGTCACTCGACGGGGCAGCATGGTAATAAGCCGCCTCGGAGCGCTTGCCAAGGGGGCGGGTAGGACGGAGGCACGGAGGCGTCATGACACGAGAAGGCTCCGAGATGTCCACTGCATTCGAATACGTCGAAGGTGAAGCCTTGAGTTGTGGTCCAGGATGCCTTGGTTCCTGGCCTGCCAACACGTCGAAGATACCCGGATCACGGTAGAAGTTGTGTCGTTCCGTCGTGCAACACCGTCCTCCGAAGTTCGCGATGCTCCATACTCGTAGGAGCATGGAATGGAAATAGCATACACCAAAAGGCATCCTTCTATGTTCAGGTGTTCAGGATGTCACTGGTGACATATATATCGGGATGAGTCCAGCAGGCAGGCTTGTTAGTCATGCTCAAGGTCAAGCTCCGAGAACCCAGCTCACGCACCGATACCTTTCCATAGCCTTTCAACAGAGGCTGGCCCGCAAGCAATGCGACATCGGACAAACGAAAGCGCCTCCAACGTCGTCGCCGGACGCGGGTTAGTTCCCCACCGAGGGCTAGACCGCGCTGACTCGTGGCCAGGCCGCCATGGGAGTTGAAGACGTATGACATGGACGGTCCAGCCGATGCATCAGAGTCCAAAGCAGATATTGGGAGCCGAAAGAAGTCCACCGTGGCGACATATTGCGAGGACCAAGAACTGAGAACTCCGGCCAGCTTGAACGCTCTGACGCGATCACGTGGGTTCCGCGGACGCGCCTGTGGCTGGGATGGGGTCTGGACGCGCGGTCTAGATCTTACCCCGAGAGTTGCTAGTAGGCTACTAGAACTAGATAATACGTGGTTGTTTGACGCAATGTATTCAGATAAAGAGCAACAATCGAGTGACTGCCCTTTCCAAACTATGCAACCCGGAACCGGTTTGAGGCGAGGAAACGAGGGTTTTTAGGATTCTAATTTATTCCTGACTATCGTGGGTAGACAGTAAACTATAGCAGATATTGCTGTTTAATATTGCTGTTTGACTCTACTAGTACTAGCTGTTGGAAGCGAATTGAGGGCGGCGGCGGCAATCCAATCATCCATGATGCACAGAGCGATCACAGACGGCCATGGCGTGGATGCTAGAGCTGCTGACAACTTCTTCGAGCTCGCCTTGACGCATAGATTCCGAGTTTGTGCTTATCGAGACCGTAGGATGAGAAATGAGCGTATAAATGGGGTACGGCAAAGGCAACAGTGGTCGCGAGACGCGGTGTGGCTGAGGCGCCCAACCTCGGACTAAGTACTAGCAGCGGGCAACCGTCGCCCCACGTCATGATAAACCCGCGATGCTCGTCAAGCAGGTTCGCAGACCAATAAAATTCCATTCCAATCAAGGTGATATAACTTTCCGTCGAGCAAGTGCACGACCACACCGCAGTGTGGTCAGTCTGCTCATGTCATGATAGGATCGTCTACTACGGCCCGGATTCTACCCGAGCCAACTGTGTAGACTCGCATATGAGTCAGAGGAAGACTGAGATGATTACCATAGGAGTGTTAGGAATGTAATCGCTTGTTGCCGAAGTTGATCGTAGTATTGATAGCGTGTGCACACTGCGCCGCATTCAATGCATGCAACGTTTCCCAGCGGGGGGACCACCGGGGTGACATTGGCAGTTTCACATGAGATAGGTCAGAGCCTGAGGCATGGTCGAGATGCAGATTCAGAGCTGCCAGTGTGGTAATGCACAGTTGACTTGGATATTCTGTTACACACGCAGTAGCACTTTCATATGATGTACTAGGTTGACAGGCCCATATGCAATCATGGTGATGTCCCAACAACGCAGTCGAACCACACAAGCCTTGTGCACTGGTACGACGGGAGAGATACCTCCTTCTGGGTGAGTCCGATGTTCATCTTTGTCAGTTTAAGTGCATCTACTTTCATTCATTAATGAATTAAACCCTGGATCTGATTTACACACTTTTGTACCCCTGTTAATCTAATCCTAATTCAATGCAGTCTTAATCCATTGCTCAGCTCATATGCCTAATCCTGGTGTATTACAGAGGTCTCTTGATGCACTCTTAATGCACTGCTGATCCACTTATGATGCACTGACTTAAGACATGCTTGATCTCAGTGTATCACAGGGGTACCTTAATACACTATTGATCCACTAAAGATGCATTGGCCAAGTCAGTGTATTACATGTTTAAGGCATACATGTATGCAGTTCTAAGCCGCTGGATTAGTTTTAGATCAAGGCAAAAAATAAAAAAGCGGACATATGGGGTTTGAACCACAGACATTAGAAAGCATTACATAATCACATCATCAAATCGGACCACAGGAACACTAACCACTGCACCACAAGTCTGTTAGAAATGTTGTAACACAATGTTATATGTCATATTGCTGGGATGCTGGACTTAGACATATTTTGGATGCTGGCACAGGGTGCCCTGCATTAGTGGTGGATCAATAGGTGTGTTAGCAGTGAATTGACACAGTGTGGTAACAGTGAATTAGCAGTGACTTGACACAGTGTGTTGACAGTGGATTAGCAGTGAATTGACATATTGTATCAGTGCTAGTCTAACATGTGAATCAGTGATGAATTAACATAGTGTATTAATGTTAGCCAGACAGGTGACTCAATAGTGACTCAACTGACAATGGATGCTAGATGTCAAATTCGTTAGGTCAAAGTTTAAAGTCACTTTTGAGTCACTTGTCAATTCACTGCTGATCCACTGTCAACACACTGTGTCAAGTCACTGCTAATTCACTGTTACCACACTGTGTCAATTCACTGCTAACACACCTATTGATCCACCACTAATGCAGGGCACCCTGTGCCAGCATCCAAAATATGTCTAAGTCCAGCATCCCAGCAATATGACATATAACATTGTGTTACAACATTTCTAACAGACCTGTGGTGCAGTGGTTAGTGTTCCTGTGGTCCGATTTGATGATGTGATTATGTAATGCTTTCTAATGTCTGTGGTTCAAACCCCATATGTCCGCTTTTTTATTTTTTGCCTTGATCTAAAACTAATCCAGCGGCTTAGAACTGCATACATGTATGCCTTAAACATGTAATACACTGACTTGGCCAATGCATCTTTAGTGGATCAATAGTGTATTAAGGTACCCCTGTGATACACTGAGATCAAGCATGTCTTAAGTCAGTGCATCATAAGTGGATCAGCAGTGCATTAAGAGTGCATCAAGAGACCTCTGTAATACACCAGGATTAGGCATATGAGCTGAGCAATGGATTAAGACTGCATTGAATTAGGATTAGATTAACAGGGGTACAAAAGTGTGTAAATCAGATCCAGGGTTTAATTCATTAATGAATGAAAGTAGATGCACTTAAACTGACATCACTGACCTACAACAAGAACCGCTCCATACGTCGATGTCCGCAGTATCACGGTGCTTCAAGTGACATACGCCTTAGCGGCGCTGGCTGGTGCCTTCAATCTGGTTGATGGGAGTCGGGACGCTCAGAAACCCTCGCTCCTGATGCATCAGCATCCAAGAACGCTGAGCCGCATGAGCGACAATTGAGGTCCGTGTCGTTATTTGCGATAGTAGAAAAGACGTAACTCCTTCTCTCGGAAGTATTCGTGAGCGTCCCATTGAAAGGTGGTCCATCCGAACCTTGCACGGCCTCTCATAGAGGAGCTCCCACGATGCGGTGGAGATCGTCAATCTACCACTCCCATGTTACAGAATAACGGGTCACATTGGCCATAGATGTCGTGCATACGAGTTCCCCGACTGCTATCGGGACGTGGACCCCTCTCCTTCACTGGCGCACTGATGACGCGCTTAACGTATGAATCTGTTCTCACCCAAATTTAGGCTTGATCTATCCAAGACAGCGCTTTCGGGCATCCGCTGTAATATATGCATAGGGTCATGTCTCATCGCTATGCAAAATTCCCCTTGGCGCAGCTATGTCGGGGCCGCATCCTTCATGTCGCTACGTGGACGTGCTCATCGCAGGTGGAGGGCCGACCTCCTTAGTAACTATATGTATGCTATTGCAAACGGGAGTTCGCGCGTTAGCAGTTGGTGAGTCCCGTTTTCATAGTTACAGATTCCCAGGTCATGATTGAACCAATCTGCAGAGCAATATGATCATGATGAACAAGTCCTTTACGGGCGCGCGACAATCGTATATTCGCGAACCCTGGAACTCTTGGATCAAATAGGTGTCTATGACCGCCTAGCAGACATAGGGTTCGCGGTAAGGTATGAAAACAGTCGTAATGGTGCATCTATGTCGTCTGATATGAAGGCGAATATCGTAGGGATGCTACAACGTTCAAAGATGGAGTAGAAGTCCCTGCGAGAGGATGGAAGTACGTGCTGAAGGCCATAGACGGGAACACATTCTTTGACTTCACGTAAGTGCCGAGCAGTCCATCAGGAAAGTGGCACCTTGCCTCAACGGCCTCAAACGGCCTCACCTGTCTAATTTGTGCCTAACTTGTCTCATTGCCTCACTGATTTTCGACTTGGCTGGCTTTGGTTTTGCGTACTTACTGATCGACGATACAACTTACTGATTGACAATACAATGAATGCATTACAATACTATCTATGTCGACACAGGCCGACACAGTTGTGTCGCTACTGAGTACTGAGATCCAATACCCTTGTTCTGGCCGCTGCACCAAATCAAATTCGCGTTCACCGCCGGCGTTGGCGGTTAACTCATCGCGGGTGTTCTGCACTTGGGCCCATCGTGCGCGTGCCAACCACTCACTCGCTCGCGAGTTGCTGCACCTCCGCCCGCCGTGGCACCGTGGCGGGTCGTGGCGGGTCGGACGGATGTTGGACAGCAGGATGAGCTGATTATCTGGGAATGTGGGCAAGTGGGCGGGCGAGTAGGTGCCCGGGCGTGCGGGAGCATTCGCAAGCAGGTACGTGGGCAAGCAGGTGAGCATACGGGAAAACGGGCAGGTTCATGGGTAAGCAGGCCGGTCAGACAGTGGGTGTATGGTCGAACAGCAGAGCGAGGCCGTACCTTTGACGTTCATGCTTGGCCTTGTAGCCCTCATCGCGCCCTTCATTCTGCTCCTCCTCAGTATCCCACCCTTATCTGCATGCACATCGGGGCAGCGTGAGCGGCATCTTGACAGATTATCGCATATTGGCTTGCCGACGTTGCGGGGCAAAGCGGTCGCTGGTCGCGTCGTGCGGGGAGGTCGTTATGGTGCACGCGGGCGGCGGGCGGCTGGCGGATGCGCGTGACGCGCACATCGTCGGTCGTCCATGCACGTCATTGGTCGTACAGGTGGTTGCAAGAGGGTGCCAGTGACTGACGAGGTGAAGAGCGACGTTGGCCGGCCATAAGTGATGGATCATTGAGGACGTCAACAGCACAGCCCAAAGATCGTTGAATGGCTGCCCTAAACTAGATAACAGCTCCGACCTGGCTCCGACCGCCGGCGCTCCGAGTCGGCGCGCACGCGCGGCCTTGCTTCGCTGGCACTTACCCTCACATCACGCAGTCGCGGGCACCTCGTCTCCCAACCTCAACGTGCAAGACAGCCGACAAGCATACAGAATGTAAGTCCCGTGTACACAAGCGTGCAGCAAGCTGACGGCTGGTACCAGGGAGGGAACGGCAATGGGTGAGGGCCCGGCCGAGCGAGCGGCGGGCGCGGGTACAGCCCTTGGGCATCCACCGCCTCTACGAAGAACACATCGAAGAACGGCGAGCATATGCGTAGTGCGCATGCCTTGTTCCCGAGGCGGGGCACGACGTCAGACGTGAGTAGGTTGTGCCCCACACGGCCCGCGTCTGGTTAGCGGCAAATAAATATGTGAGTTTCGTTTCGTGACTCATTATCCTGTATATGCACCTGACCGGGAGCTTCTCGTGAAGTACAGAGTGTGGGGGGCTCCAACACACTATGGCCGAAGTGCGGATATGATTTCGTATATGGTCTGTCCATGCCCTCGCTTTCGTCCTCCCGTGCCTGCGTGATTCTGACTCGGTGTGCAGGGGCCTATTCATCAACAAGCGCGTCTTGCTCAATGTCGATGCATCGTGCTCGTTGTGCTGGACGGTGAGTGAGGTTTAAAATGTTGGGCTCGAGGTGAAGAATATTGACGTGTTCAGTGTGTACTACAGCGCGACGATCTGGCGCTGGTATAAGAACTGGCCCGCAAACAAGGACGAGGTTGTTGCAGGGACTGGTGCGTGGCCCCGTTCTAGACATGTCGGAGACGCTGATCAGCATTGCGTAGGTGATATTCATGGCGATTGAGCAGCAGCGGATGGCATGTGGAGATGACGGGGCATGAGTGCGCATCGGGCGACCTCATGGGATGTGGATACCCTCACGGAACTCGCAAATAGGGTAGGCTGTTGACCGCATCTCGGAGGGGTACAGAGTGAGGAATTAGGACCGCTGTTGTAGATACAGCTCAAATATATTTGTTATTTTGTTGCACTGTCTTCCGGCTCACTTAAGTACCTCATGTGTCTATGTGCCCTATGAGCCTCATTGCCTCATTGCCTCATCACGTCTCAGATGAGAGATAATCTACTCAAATGAGACTTGAATGAGGCAGCCCGTCTCAGACTGTCTAATTGCCTCATTGCCTCGATGAGGCAAAATAGGCAGGTGGTGCACATTCCTGATGTCCCGCACTTCAATTACCAACGACGAGTCTAGGATGAGCGTGAGACAGAGATACTTGGAAGAGGCTCTAAGGGAGCATATATGCGAGCTTGATCCTCATGCTATACAAGCTCCTGTCAAACTAGTGAGCTACACAGTCGACGAAACGCCGAACTATCCGATACATGTCATAGTACAAGATGGCAATGGTATAAAGTCTGGAATCCGATGGTGAGCCAGTCCCATTCCAGGGGTTGAGAAGCTTACCAACGCAATCTTCATCTCTGTTGGTAGCAAATACTTGATAGGGGCGGATGGCGGGCACTCTACAGTACGGTCGCTCGCAGGGATCGGCTTTCCAGGGACAAGCTCCGACCATCGATGGGTGCGCATGGATGGGATCTTCCACACAGACATGCCACACCAGCGGGCGGGCGGCGTCTCCATCGAGTCCGCCGAACACGGTGACGTTCTCTGGACGCCGCAGGATAACGGGCGCACGCGGATAGGATTCGTTTGCCCTGATCACCTATGGGACGACGTCACCGCGGAAGCGCTCATACAAGAGGCAAGAAAGGCTCTACACCCGTTTACGCTCAAAATCGAGAAACTTGACTGGTGGACGGTTTATGCAGTTGGACAGCGAGTGGCGGAGACCTATCGCTCGGGCCCGGTATTCCTAGCGGGCGATGCGGCGCATACCCATTCTTCTGCAGTTGCTCAGGTGAGCATCATAAGCTTCATCCCTGTCCGTCTCTCATATTCGTCAATGAATCACAGGGCATGAACACCGGTATCCACGATGCGACAAACCTGGCTTGGAAGCTCACAGGCGCCCTTGCAGAGTGGCTGCACGAGGACGTCCTGGCCACGTATGATGCTGAGCGGAGGCCGACAGCCGAACGAGTCATTCAGCTAGATCGCGACATTGCATCGCTCATATCGGGTGTGATACCGTGTCACTTCAACGCACCGCGTGACGCGGACCCCAATGCATATCTCGAACAGGTACTCCTGAACAATGCCTCTTTCACCGTCGGACTCGGTATCGCATACGAGGAGAATGCCTTAAATCTACGTCGTGCTGCCCGCGCGACGAAGACAAGCGAACTCATCGGTCGTCGTGCCCCAGATGCAGCATTGTACAGACCGTTTGCCATCTTGCCATGCAAGTTGTACAGCTGCATGCCCTACATCGGGAAGTTCTGGATCCTCGTCTTCGCAGGCCGGATGGAACCGGGCCCTCCGGGTGGGAGGCTCGAACCCACATGCTCTGCTGCGTACCGCGACCTAAAGGAATGCCTCGATCACCCCCAGTCCTTCCTGCATACCCTAGCACCTGTCTTCAACTTCCTGACCATCCCGTTTGGGACCGGGGCACTACAGAGTGCTGAAGCTCTCGGCGAGCAGCCACTAGGGAAGACGGTGTACGACCACACTGGAGAGGCCTACACACGTTATGGCATCGACGCGTTGGAAGGTGCCATCGTTGTCGTTCGCCCGGACAGTATGATCGGTACAGAAACGTCACTCGGTGCCGATGGCTACGATGACCTTCATCGCTACTTCGTTGGAGTAGTGTGTTCCTGGACAAAGCACGCCTCCATCGCAGCGCAAGGTGACACACGGGCAGTAGGGGAGATCTTGCTCGACGATGAGCTAGAGACCATTCGGGTGGTCAGGACGGCTGCCCAGTAGAGCAACGACGGGCAAGAAGGATGATACTGCGAGCGTGGTGTGCTCCGCCTCGTACTATGTGTTGGCATGTAGTAGTTGCGTTCACATTGACGATTAAAGTACTTTGTCCTCACCATATTACAGTTCCTGCTCGATACTTGACTCGGCCCTACGTCTCTGGAGAGAGGCAGCTGAGTTATACGAACAACAGGCAACCCGTGCACCTCGGGCGTACACAATTCGGATACATAGAAGGGTACATTGTACTGTGCCTGAACGTTGGATCATGACGAGATACATATAGCGCGAACATTCCTCTACTCGGTGTACGTGCCCTTCAGTATATCGGCAGCTTGCTCTGCGATGGCGTATACAGTTGCTGATTGGAGGAACATCAGAGCTTGTAGAACTTCGCAAGGACACCTTACTTACACATCCATCAGCAAATCGTGCAAACCCTCTGACGGGTGCCGTCAGGGGCTTCATAAGCGTTCAGGACGCTTCAGATTGCTTCAGATTGGCTCATATGGTCAACCCTCAGTATCTCGATTTTTTGCAAAATGTCTTCGTCAGACAGAATCCTCAGACAGCTTCAGGTATTCTCAGACAGCCTCAGGGCCGCTCAGGCATTCCCAGAGCAGTCAGAATCCACGTCAGTGTGTCAGATATGCCAGAGAGAATATGTAACACAAATATATATGTTGTACTCTGTACGAGGCATACATAGGGCCAATTGATCCCCGAATCTAGCTAGTGCAGTACACTCGCGCAGGCTACTTACCATCCAATTCATGCGCATTGCGCGTCGTAGTAGCGGTGTACCGTAATCGCCCAGTGTGCGCTTGCTGGGCGTGTCGCGCTTGCGTCTCCTCGCGCTCGCGTCTGCCAGGCTCATCAACCTGGTCCGTCAGGGATGGGCTAAATGCCCGTTTGTCGTCTTGGTGCTCGGCGGACTGGCTCCAAGTTCTCGACGTGTGGTCCTCCTTGGCGAACTAGGTCACACCGAGCTTGAGCGTGCGAGTCAGCGCGTGCTGCATTGTAACTGTGTGCGGTAAGTTCGTGCTGGCCATACCCGGGGCGCGGCATGTACAGGCTTTCCGGTACATGCTCACCGGGCTTTTCTTAGGGAGGCTGTGCCACTCGTCTTCACCGCGCTCGTGCTTTTTCGTACATATGCGCACTGGGGCCATCTCCATCATGTTAGTCTTCGTCAGGTTGTCCTGGATGGGATATGCTTGTTAGGTTCGTCTGCGGGTCAAGTGGACAAGTGAGGTACACTCACTGAAGTTTCTGTCCCGCTGGCCACCCATTCTCCACAAGCCTCTGGCGGCCCGGGTGCTCTAGGCGCGTCGCTGGAGCTCTTTGCGGCTGCTGAGCCGCGCGATCGTGGGGCGCGCGACCGGTCGATTCGCGTGCTGACGTGTCTTGCGGACGGGCCCGTAAGTACATGATCGAGGTAGGCGGCAAGAAGGACACGCGAAGTGAAGGTAAGAAATGGCGATGAGGGTGCTGAGGTCGACTCGAGGGCGGACGTGTGGTGAAGTGCGGTGAGAGCGAAAGCGAAGTAGCAAGCGCGCGTCAGTAGCGTGACGTGGCTGAGGCGCTTAGCACTTCAACTGCGCCTCCGAGGAGTGACTCACAGCTTCCACATCGACGCTCAAGTCCGACGCTGCAAGATAGCACCCTGTCCCAAGAACGACGCGGATTGCATAAACAACACAGAGAAGAAAGAGTCGGGACATGGCAGGGAATACAGGTGAGTGCGAACACTCCATATTTGAAGGTACGGTACGCCGTCCGCAAACAAGTGGACGTTATGTTCATTGACTCCTATGGTCACTCGCACACCCGACTGCTCATGTACTCACGCACCCGCCCGCTCGTGCGCCCACCCTTCGTTCGGTCACCCACCTGTCCACCGGCTTACCCACCCCTCCGAGTCTAACCTACCCTGCGGCCTCGCTACCCCAGTTCCGCCCAACGGCCAAGCCAGGAACTGTCCCCCACGCCCAGTCCATGAGCGTTAGAAGAGCGCGCCGAGTTGCCCGCGTGGCGTCGCCGTGACCGCACCGCGATCCACGTCGTGTTTGCCAGTGAAAGGATCGGACGGCGCGAAGCATGGCTCCCGTTCTGACGCCGCGTCCGACGACCTCCACGTCAACTACAAGACCGGCTTCCCCAACATCAACGAGGCGAACCTCCTCTGCATGATCGACATCTGCGTCGTGCCCGCAGCGCTCGGCACACTCCTCGGCAAGCATAAGCTCGACTTCCACGGCACGTCTCATGTGTTGTGCGCCTTCCGCCCGGGCATGGAGAAGTCCGCTCTGAAGCCTCATCCTCGTCGACTTCCCCCTCTCCCGCGTGCTCTGCGGCACACAACCTCGACATGGCCATGGCGGCGGGCGATTGGTGCGTGTGGCTCGGGACCTACAAGCAGGGATCGAGCACGAGTGCAGGGAGTGGAGACGGGGATGGTGCGGATGTGGACGAACGCAAGACTGCCGGGTAAGTCGTTACCCATCCTTTTTACCTGCGCTGTTCCGCGCACTCTCTCGTGGCGCAGTCTCAACTGTGTGCAAGACCAGCTTCGGCGCCGGAAACCAACACCGCAGCAGACCGTACACCCGAAACGCGCGCCGCTATGCTTCGCTCGTGCCTATCGCACCCCCGCTGTTTGCCCAGCGCCTGTCTGCCCCGCCTCGAAGTGCCCGCTCCCCTCGGCCGTCTCCCCTCACCTCACCTTTGTCTGCATAGCCTCAACACATCAAGCCCCGCCACAGTGCAGAATTTCAGTCAATTGTGAGACAATATGACCCACCGTCTGCGCATCTCGCAGCTGCCCGCTCTCCGCCGACGCGATCAACAAGGATCGCCCTCGCGCCTGCACCCAACGTGAGAAGACCTGCTTGACCAGTCATGACTCGCGCGCACACAACATTGCTCGGTGGGTAATCGTGGCATCCGCTGCTGTTCAGGCGGCAACTCTGCCAGTATCCTACGCCGCGACACCTACTATGTAGACCTTTGTAACAACGATTGTAATAGTCTACTAGTCTCTCAATACATTGGTTCATTGTACTGTGCTATCTGACATTGTCTGATGTGATCTGAGCATCTGAGACGAAATGAAATGATCTGACAAAGTTTGTGATGTCTGGAGTGTCCTGATGCTCTGAAGACTTCTGAGGGCCAGCTCTCAGACACAAATGCTGTCAGAAATTGCACGGTTTCCTGATGTCGTGTGCGCGGCGAAGTGCAGGGGCACAACTGAAAGGTCAACGACGCGTACGTTGTTCGTGCCGTACACCCTCAGCTCAGGATCGACAACACCGCTGTGCTCTCTCGGGAGCATAGAACAAGAGCCTGCAGTATCTGCAGTGCGTGATGAGATAAAACTGTCATAGAATTCCAGCAGGAAGGTAGTACTCACGCCAAGTGGTGAGCGCGTATTTCCTCGCCCACTCGCGAATCTCTTCTTCATTCGCGATTTTAGAACCTGGATTGTGTTCGCATACTATGGACCACCATCATTAGCGAACGAATGAATAGAAATCATGGTGGTCGTACCGATGAGGTTCTTAAGCGGCGCGACATCTGCTAACGTCCTGACCCACTTCACAGACTCAACAAGAATATCCAAGTCAACTTCTTGCTCAAAGTATCGCGGATCAAACTCGGGCTCTACGCGAGGATCAGATGATATTGAATGCTGTAGTCACAAATAATATTAGCTCATGCTTATACGGACATCGTCAGACTCACAATGGTACCCCTCGAGAAGCAATGGTTCATAGCCGGGACTATCGACAGGTACTGCTTGCCCGCCTCCGGTGGTGCCGGAGAAGAGAAATGACCAGGGAAACATATGACCTCGCATTCAGGCGCTCCGTTTTTGATACGCTCGAGTTGGATCGTGTACTGTTCCATCAAACCAGGAGGGAACCTATGCGCGTTGGCCATGATCTTTGCTTTGGCTTTCTCGTAGATGACATCGGAGAGCGATGATATCCGCTTCAGTGGGTTGAAAGCGAATCCGATGACGGCCTTGGTAAACAAACCTAGACCTTTGGAACTGTGCGGGTGTCAAGTGTCAAGATCGAGGAAGACAACATTGTTTGCTTACTGCAGTTCCAGATGCTTTGCTGCGTGCGTGGGGTCCCGGAGCAGATCGGCGGTCTCAAAGTCAACAGTGTCCTTGAGTTCTATTCCGTCGACATCAGCCTCTCGCCCAAGTGCTGCAACAGACATAAGTATTCACCCCAGCTTACACCCAGATTCAGATGTTCCTGAACATTCTCTCCCACTCCGGGTAGCTCGACCTTCAGAGATACTGATATCTTGTCGAGAATGTCTTTTCTCCCTATCCCAGAGAGCTCGAGAATATGGGGAGTCTTCAGGGCCCTGTGATTCGGAGTCTTGAATATGAGGTAGTGAGATCACAAGGAGTTGCACATACCCCGCTGTCAAGCAAACGTCCTTCGCGGCATCCACGGAATACAACCTATCCTTGTACTCAAATTCGACGCTGGCAGCACTCAACTTGCCGTTGGCAGCTTCTCGTGTGTTGAGCCGATGAGCCGTAGCATGTACGAGTACGGTCAGGTTCGGCCGATCCGCTACCGGGGTGTAAAACGCCTATACAGCAGTTCAGTCAGTCTTAGACAGAATGCCATTGCTAGAACCCACTGTAGTCGCATACGACCGCGTATTTTTCACCGGATCGTAGGTGTTAGGGACAAGGCATATGCCGTTGGGCTAGTGGGAGGCAGGTCAGTACACATGCAAACCATGTGAAGACAGCGTGCGACATACATCCCCGCTCAGCTAGACATTGGAGCGTGTGATGTCAGGATATTTACTACACTGGTATACCAGAGGCAGCTTACCGGTTGAGAGGCGGAAGGTATCCCAGCGTTGCGTAAAGTCTGTACGAGGCCTTATCAGCAGACACATCTTCACTAAGTAGGCTGTTCTTGCACCTGAACCATACAACGCTCGACCTCATCGACCAAGCCAGGAAATGAGATCTCCATGGGACCTGAAATTGTAATTGACTGCTCAGCGCCGCAAAGCATATATAAATACGACGGCTATTGCGAACCTTCCCTCCCGACCTCCCACGAGGAGAAGTCAACCTTAAGGATGTCATCGAGCTTTCCGTCGCTGGGGGCGACGAAGCTGCAGAAGCACTTAGTCTCCGCTGTCATAAGCACGACGAAAGAGCCTACCCTTCAGTCCTCGAGACGTAGTGTTGGTAATTCTTCCAATTCCAGCCGGGATTCCCGAGCCTCTCGAAGTCTTATTGAACGACTAATGGAGTAACAGATGATGATGCGAACATGTTGCACTATACCGTCAATTTCCTCTTTGGGGGGTTTGGCCCACACCATGAAGTTGATCTGCGAGCTGCCGCCAAGACCTTTGCCTCTGTTGTACCTGAATATCAGACAGCGCATGGCAAGCCTTCAATCCGACGCGAACCTGAACCAGAGGTACTCCGTATCGTCGACCGCCTTCTGCTTGACCTTCACCATTTGTCAGTAGGGATGAAGAACCTGGCAAAGGTGTGGACCCACTGTTTTGTACGGCCATGTCCAGTCTGCGTTGGCAAAGTGACTGCCCCAGGACCCCGGACGCACTACATATCTCCATGTCAACGGCGCTCGCACTCGAAGTCGTGCTACTTACGAATGCCCGCCTCATCCAGGTTGGTTCCTCCTGCTTCTAGAACAAGAACCGAAACATCCGAGTCTTCAGAAAGCCTGGCTGCCAATGTCAGGCCAGCAGTGCCGCCCCCTACAGACAGAATATCAGTTCGTGAAGTCATAACTACGCCAGACTATGTGTGTGTGTGACGTACCACATATCACGTAGTCAAATGTTCTGTCAGATACCTCGTCAATGTCAGCAGTCATTGTCGTGCTTGGTCTCTGTGTTGTTAGCTGAGAAGGAGATGTGCTGAGGAGCACCGAGTAGGACGCAGCCTGTACTTAAGCGTTCCGCTCTATGCTCAATAGGTGTCCTCGGGGGGCGAACTCCGCCGAGGTCAACGTCTGTTCATCGTGCACGACGCTGCACTCCCGTCGCGCGGCCTCGGCGCCATCAAGGAGCGCTAACGCAGGCTTGTCGTGGAACACTTTGCACGTCGGATATCGACGAGTGCCGGCCATTCTTACCTTATTGGGGGACCGCGCAGGCCATGCACGGTTGATGTCAATGTGTTTCAAGCAACTTATCATGAATGGAAGTACCGCCCCCTACTGTCCAATGGTATCGCCGCACGTTTCGCCGCTGGCGGGTTGAACCCATCGCGCCATGGCCAAACAGGATACTTTTCAGCATAGCCCGCTGAGAATGCGAACATATGAATACCTTGTATGGCTCGATATAGCTGACAGTAGAGTGAGCTCTCGGTGGCCACACAGAGAGAACGGCTCAGCTTCGTCGCACGCTGTTCGCGATGACCAGATACCTGCTCCATCGCGGCAGCATACATACATACGCGGCGCCGCATATTCTGATGATTCTCAACTACAGAGAGAACGATCATTTACGCGCATGTCGGCTAGCCTTCCGTATGCGTTCCCCATACAGCCAGAATAAATAGGGTCTTTGAACCATACAATGAGCATTGTAGGTAGTATCTTGACGAAGAACTCACGCAGGACATCCAACTACAATGGCAGCGCAAGCGAGGATAGTATCACCCTTGCCATACCCTAGGGTACGATACATTGCAGGCGCAAACAGCGGGAAGCCGAAGCCTGCGCAGGAACGTAGGAACGTCGCAGCTGCGAGTGCTGTGAATTTATCAGTTTCGTTCGCGATGTTCGAGCGGGAGATCGTTGAGTACCTGAGGCGGCATAGAGAGTGAACGCGTCTATGAGATACATCTGGATGCACTGGTAGTTGATGATAATACCGGCCCCCACCAGTGCGATACCCTTAGAGTCTCGCTGAGCATGAGGCGCCAATCATCCTGAATACGAGTCGAAGACTCACAATATCAGGCCCTATCCAGTGCGTATGTGCCGCCGCCGTCCATCCTGTGATAAATAGCCCGATAGGCAAGACGATCGACGCGGGCATCATTGTCGCTGTAGTCGACTCAGTCAGAGCTGCCTGTGCCTAGCTTCTAAGTAGCTCAACGCACGCAGTCGGTACTCGGGCCTCCCAGCCCCGCCGTTCTTCTTCTGCAAGTGCTTGTACGCTTTGTCCACGATACGCGCGTTGATCTGCGAAGCACCGATGAGGCCGATGCCGAGCGCGAAGTAGTTGAGGCCTGCGATCCCGACGGACTCTCCGTAGACGTCCTCGAAGATACTGTCAATGGTTGTCAGGAACACTGTCAGAACATTACACGGGACGCCTCAGCATTGAACGTATGACCCATGAAGAAGACGGCATACAGTACATGATGCCGTAGATGTAGGCCATGTAGATAGCGAGCAACTGGATGATAGGCTCCCTGAAGAACAGTGCAAATGGTCGGATAAGCGCTTTGGCGAAGATTTGCTTCCAACTGCAGCAGACTAAGCATCCGTGGCTTGAGCACATCAGCAAATGCGGACGTACTGTCGATCGGCGGTGTCGAATACAGTTCGTACTTGTTGCATCCGTGCGGTCTCGGGGTCCATTGCTGCGCGAATGCGTTTGGCCTTCCGCCCCAGCAGGACCGGTGCATACGCTAGAGAAGAGGCGACCTGTAAGACTGCATGGGACCGACTCCGACGGGCTTGAGGGACCGACTTTCTCGTAAAAGGAATACCCCCAGGACCATGATGACCCCGTTCACGATGCTTGATGACCAAAACTGACAGATACGTCGGTCTGGCGAGCGGGCGCGGGCGATGCACGGAAACACATACCACCCATCTACACGTAGTCTTCTGTGCTATCCACGCGCCACAGACAGGCCCGATGACGGGTCCGAGCAGCGGTGCTAGAGAGTACACCGCGATAGCTTGCCCGCGTTCTTCGGGCCTCCAACAGTCACCCAGAACGCCTCCGCCAATCTATACCACACGGCAGAGATCAGTCGGACAGTCGCGCATTATTCTGTCTGGACACACCGTGAGTGCTGCGCTTCCACCAGAACCGGCGAGGAAACGGAAGGCGATGAGCTGTCCTTCGGTCTGAGCGAAGCCACAACCAAGGTTCCACGCTTGTTCGTTGGTGAGCGGCGAAAATTTGCAGGGTCATGCAAGCGGAACGTTACCTAGGTACCATACGTTTGCGAATTGCAGAACTACAGAGCGACCATAGATCTCGCTCAACGGACCGAAGATCAGCGGCCCGAATGCTAGACGCGATTGAGTATGGAGTAGGAATGAAGTTGATCAGGCACAGACCATATGCCAGAATGAATACAGAGGTGATCAAGGCAAGCACGGTAGAGTTCGTTATCCCGAATAGCGAAGCGATTTGATAGCTCGCCGGGGCAATCATGGACGACGAGACTGGACTGTTGAAAGCAAAGGCGGATACAATGGCCGTCGCTGCCCACTTCCGCGAGAAACTCCAACTACAGCATTCTCTTGTCAACACTGGATGTTCAGGAGTGAATTGTATGCGCTACGCACTTCTTCGGGTTCTCTGGGTCGTTCGGCCCGTCCCAGTCAACAACCTGCACACCCTTTTCCTTTTCCGTATCTGCGCCATCGTGGGTATTGTTACCGGGTTTCGTGACGGCCGAGGCTGTAGCAGAGCTTGGATTTGATGTCATGTCACTCCCGGATGGTGGTCAAGCTGACTATGCGCGGTTGTGCACGCTGGTATACTTACGAATAGGAACCCTCAGCGCATGTTCAGCAGCGCGGAAGGTGACGCGCACGCAAGCTGGTGAGAACCATTCCGAGCGGTGCAATAGAGTTCTGCGAGTTTATGTATGACTGATCAGTAGAAGCACATAACATCATCATGTAAGCGTGACATACCACATAACCTGCGCCTCCCTGGCAGCCGCGATGCTGTCTACATACATCCGTAGAGCGATACAGATGCATTTTCAAACAAGGGGGTCCGTCCACAAGACAAGCCGCGGTAGCAGATGGTGGCAGCGGCAGAGGTTCGTAGGTACTCAGTACCACTGTACCGATCCGAGTCGCGCGTAGAGGTACGTTGGGCGCCTCCGTGGTCTTGGCGTAGGCGTCCCTTTCCTACATATTACATAATCAGGTTTCGTACCGCCGACCACGATTATGGTACGCCGGAAGGCCACAGTTCGATTTCCGTTTGAGGTGGCTGCTGCCGAGGCCCGATCTGCTTACGTAAGCTAGTCTGGCCGAAAGTCTCGTTCCGATTCGTGCCTCCCCTCACTATTTTCATGTTCTGTTGAGTGCTACAGACTATTCTTGATCTGTATCGGGTTGAATTGTAGCTTCTGAATATATTGTGGGGAGTCCATATCTCAAATTTGAGCCGGAAGAGTCGGAACCTCGGTAAGCGCCGTCGGGTAACGGTCACACTTGGCGGTGGACGACGTCTTCATTGCGCACGGGGGCGATTGGGCGCAATGCTTTGAAACTTATCTGGTTGACTCGCAGAAAATGGTTGGATAACTCACATCGCTGCGGATGAAAAGAACTTAAGTGCAACCGATGTCCGCCGCCTGTCCAATTTAGGCAGGTGTGACCGTGAGTCTGGGGCGCTTACGGAGTTCCAGCACGCCGAGACAGACAATCCATACCACAGAGCACCCAAAATCCATTGGAAAGCCGATAATGCACTCAATAATGTCTCTTAATTGTCTCAGAGTACATGGGGGATGATCTAATTTAAGGGAGAGCACAGACGAGGCCATGCAACACTCGGCCAGAGTGGCTTACGTAAGCAGATCGGGCCTCGGTAGCGGCCGTACCATGGCCGTATCACTGATTTTGAACTGTGGCCTTCCGGCCGACCTTACCACGATGCACTAAGTCACTCTTCTCGCTCATGCTCAACCTATGAATCCGTTTGTGATGCGCAATGGTTCTGACACTGTCTTAATGACACCCTCAAGACCGATAGCGGCTCCATACCATGCTGCAGCATGAAACAGGGTCGGAACGCTGACAGAACGGTTTGTCACTCGGACCACTATTCGCATCGTTACAATGCAGAGGCTGACGCACAACAGAACCGCTGACCTGTGCTGATGAACCAAGCCCGCAATAGGAAACGTCGGTATGCTGCGACAAGGCATTGTTGACAGCTTGTAGCGCCTGCCATGTAGGCGTAGGGTTGGTCGACGCCGTACGGCCGCTCGGACAGTGGTTTGGAATGAAAAATGTTCCATCGGCCAGAGACAGGAAGCGATGCTTCTGCTCCGGCACTGCAACCCGCGAGCGCGATGGACGACGACTCCACGCAGCAGTCCGAGCCCTTTCCCATTGGAGAAGACAAACGTGGATTCAGGTCCAGGACACACAGTCGACATCTTCTCACCCCGAGATCGAAGGTCAACACTAATGGTACATAAGCCGCTGTCTTGATTCATCAGTCATCGGCGATGATACGGGTTTAGCAGGTAGACAAACTAGCAAGTAGTCGCGTATGAAGGCGTTGAGTTGCAGTTTCGGACAGGTGAGTAGGTCTTCGTTATGGTTAGTCGGCGAATCATGGCACTGCTGAGTGTCCTCCATTCCTCTGAACAGAACGTATTTCGTTCGTAGCTTAGGCATCTGCTGACCACCGCTTACTCAGTATCCCCTCAGGCTGCCATCACATTCTTGCCGCCGATACGTTATTATTGGCCACACTGCGCAACTCAGCATTCTTCCTGTCAGGGCGTCGAGCGTCGCTTGCTGCGCAGCGGACCACTGTTATGCAGCGTCACACGTCGAGCGTCGCTTGCTGCGCAGCGGACCACTGTTATGCAGCGTCACAAGTGACTCAATTGCAGGGAAGCACGTTCACTGATGTTCCCATTTCATCACACGTCCATCACTGGTCTCCGAGGTCTGACAAAGATTGCCTCAGCCCGGACTCTAAGCCGGCGCATATAATGGCGAAGGCATGACCAAAGTGACCATGCCTCGCGCTGTGATTATGTGGGCATCATCCATATCCTTGGGCCCAAACGGAGCGGCGACAGCGTCAGTCTGAAGTCTGACAGCGAGCTGGTACTCACCGAAGCTCTCTTACGCAGCAGTCATTGAACTCTAAGGGAATAACAATTTACGAAGGGAAGCCGCTCAGGTCATCTAGCTCATCCGTATCACGTCCGAACAAACCCTATATTGGACGCTATACATACTGACTAAATAATTCATCAGACCTGTTTAGTCGCTGCTTCAACGCTCCCGCGATGACTCGTAAAGGCACTTGTCAGCTTCGATGGTTAGAGGCGGTGACTGCTCAGCGTAAACGTGAGCTCCTTGTTCCGAAGCGGGAGAGTCTAAATGACCCGCGAGCGCCCTTCCTGATCGCGCCAGGAACGCGCAGATGGGCCACTACGTCCCACTTAGGCTTTCACGGTCCACGGCCCAGGGACTTCGACGCGAAGGAGATGAGCGCGATGAAAGATCTTCGCTGTTGGCGATGTCATGATCACATCCCGAGAGGTAGCTCGCATTTGGTACTGTAAGCTTCCATCAGGCCCGCCTACATCTCAGTAGAATCCTAATTGAATGGACCGCCTGTGCTGTATTGGCCGGATCTAAATATCTGAGAGCGGTGATGCGGCGAACGACCGGTATACAGTGCGATGCTCTGAATATGGGGTCGTATTGCTTCCCTCTGATACATGCCGGCCTTTGATGCGCTTCTCGGACGTAGAGCGTGCGCTCTATGTGCGCTCCGTTGAAGAAGAGTCTGATCTGCCAGATTGTGTACTCTGTAGCTAGTAGCAGCGCTCTGTACTGGAGTTTACCTCGATTGGCAACAGCTTTTGGCGTTCGTATTTCGTATGTGAGCCCCATAAATCACCGAGGTAGTGATGCCCGACTCAAGGCGCGACTCGAGGCAGAATCTGGAACAACTGGGTCAAAGCCGTCTATCCCGTTGACCTGCCCAAGACCTGCAGGCGCAGAACACCATCGACGATCACCGTATACACCCGGCGAACACTGTTTTGACTGAGGAATCATATCGTACCTTTTGATGCAACAGCAATGGTCGAGTGGTGCTCAAGAGTAACCCTTGAAGGCACGCTTAGCCGTATGTGATTTAGATGTCTCCCAGAGGCTCTGCGGATTGATACGGCCAGACCAGGGTAGATCACATCATGTCAGAGGCAAGAGGAATCTGGCATAATCATATCGAATGAGAACAGTGCGTTCTGCGCTCGGCTCATCCCGTAAATACAGCAGTACACCGCATCAAGGACAGGGAAGTCTAATATGGACACTGAGGACCTCTGGATTCGCAGCGAAGGAGGTAAAGTCGCCTGTTGCATGGCGAATCATGACATCTATGTATCAAGTCAGCGGCGAACCTCACAACCTACCGTGTCAACGCACTGCCTACTGACAGTCATGACCAAAGGAGGCTCCTTCATGCCTGTTCCAAGCCCATTCCGTACGGAATCAGAAAGCTACCGTTGCCATAAAGCACGAGTCAAATTCAGTGTGCCCCATCATGCATCATCATTCTTAGGGCTATGCGATGTCTAGCTTCGTGACACGACCAGAGACAGCTTGGATAGAGAAGAGGTGTTATATACGGCATGCTGTAGCAGTCTGCCTCGGTGTATTAGACTTGTGATCAGTAGGTGTCCAGAAACGTGCAACGTACTTCCCTCCTTCTTCCCACAAGAACACCGGCAGTCCCACGTCAATTAAGCTTCGTCCGTACAGTGCAGACTCGGAGGAAGTATCGCTGCAAGTTACCGTGACGTCGGCATGATGGGAAGGCCAGAACAGCCCTGAATGGAAGATCATAAGCTTGCGAACAGTTCGGACGATCACCATCACTGTTCAGTTCCCCCTCAAAGCACATGGGCACACAGTTCGGGTTGTGTCACTGTCATGCTACAAGCGAGACGATATACTGTGCCTCGGCGTAAGGCACGTTGCCATCAAAGGAGACAACGTTGACTGAAGATGTGCTTCAGTACTCGTCAAGGTGCACCGCGCGACGATGTCCTCACCTTGCGTTTCGGAGATATGAGAAGGAACAGACAATGCAGTAGCGCAGCACCAAACCCGATGGCGCGTTCAAAGTTGTCGTACATGTACATAGTGGCAGCCCTACCGCGAAAACCAACGGACACGGCCCGATTAAAATTCTACCCTCTATGGCGATCCTCCGATTCCAGATATATCACAGCATAACGTACATTCCAAGGCCTATGCCACGGACAGCGAGGGGAGCACCCGCCAGCGGGGTCTATTTCGCCATCCCGAAGTCTTCCATGTGAGACTGGTCGTCGTGTGAGAGGGTCTGTGGAGCGTATGCGAGTTAGAGGTACTCTACCTTGTCCGTGGAAAGGTTCACCATCGCAATGTTCGGGTTGTCGATGTACGACTCCTGCGCAATGTTCACCTGGATCGGTCTGCGGCCCTGCGACCCTGTGTGGCTGTGTGCGGAAGGGATCGTGATGGTGCCCTCGGCATGCTTGCGGAGCACGTTCCGGTTGTTCAGCAGCACGAGCAACGAGTTGCTGTACGCCTTCGGGAGGATGGACGCTGGCGTCAGGTAGTACGTCGTGTCCCGGATGATGAGGTACATGCAAAGCTGAACGATTGCCATCGTAGCTAGTCGTTGGAACGAAGGTTCAGGTCGCTTGAGCGGCGCTACAAAGTAATGGACGTACCCGTCGCAAGACCCGTCTCGACGACGACCTGAATGAGCTTGTTGACTATGCTATCCGTACGGTGGATGCCACTCCGACGTCTCGTCAGCTGCACAACGCGCCATAAGCACTTTCTTCCACTCTGGAGCCGAGTCTATAGGGCACGTACGTAGAACACCATGATGATCGTAATCGTGATGTCGCAAGCTGCACTTCCCGCAATCCAGACCTGGATCCGAGTTCAGCGGCCAGCGAGCTGAAGTGGTCAGACTACTCACCGCCACCGCTTTCGCTTCGAACGGAATGTCTGCTGACGTTGTTTGGTAAACGAAGCACGCAACGCCCTCAGCAATGCCGCCGCCGCACTGTAGTAACGAAAGCTATAGCCGAGATGTAAGGCTCGATCGACTTCTCGACGATCGGCAAACTCGACATACCGCGACGATGAGGATTGGCAGGTACTTCGAGTTACTCAAGACGTAGATCCGCCAAGCATAGAAGCACTGTGTGATGCACGCAACTGCAGGACATCGGTTAGCGAAACAACGCGTCAAGAGGGAAGAACGCACTGATCGCGGACTGTATTGGTAGCTCGAACCCAATGAGATAGGGCTTCAGCAGGCCCGTCATGTTTCCAAAGCTTATTGCTAGTTGGTGGAAGGTATCGTGCGTGAGCAAGATCGTCTGGAGTACCTCGAACAGGTACATGAACCAGACGACCGAACGAATGAAGGTGTTATCCTTGAACTTCGCTTGGTGGTACATGTCTGATGATGCGAAGCGTCACGGCAGAATACCCAAGCAGACGGGGCATGCTCTTACACATCTGAACAGACAGGACGCCGAAGAAGAACCAGTTCAGCTGCGACCCAAGGAGCTGTAGGATGCGGCATGATGCATGAGGGTCCGGCGAGAAGGTGGAAACGGGCTTCATTTAGCGCAATTATCTCTCCATGATGCTAGCACTTACGATCGGCCCCGCACTATATTGCGTCGGTAGAGGGTCAGCAGGACGACAGAGACATATTTGGACAGCCGTTGCTCACATTTGCTGGATATTGGCGGGTATGGGTGGTAGGTCGCATTCTGGAGCCGCCATCGGATACGTCGCTTGGTGCTGGCGCGCGTCCAGGGTGACCGTCGCTCCTTAAGTCCTATGATCGCTTCTTTGACTGGAGGGCGTCATGCAATCCCCACGTTGCGCCTGACAGAGGGACAGCTTCGGAGAAGGCTATTGCGAGTTGGAAAATTGATACCGCGCGATCCCAGCGTCACCGCATCAATACAACCCTGGATACCGGGCGCTTTCAAAGTCCTCGCTCCCACCTCAGCCGGAGGATCACGGCATTTGCGGTTCATTCCGCGCAGGTCATCGGCCTCGGATCTGAATTCACCACCTGGCCCAGCCGCTCTCTCGGCAGTCTGGATGCTCTGACAAGAGACCTGTATCTCCTTGTATGTCGGTACAGCACCCATACGGTGCGGGGTTGCGGCAAGCGTTCAGTACAGTTGACTGACATACCGGTCTAACAGCACTTCTCGCTTTGTGGCGTTGAGTCTGGCGCGGCTCTGTGATCAGGAGCACTCTTTGACAGAGTCTAAAAACTCCCATGCAAAACGTGTGGGTTCGGGTCCGCTTATGGGCTTCTCTGATCTTGCGTAGAAGAGACTGCGCTGAACTGTCAGACTACGGTATTTACAGAATTGGAAAGCACGGCCCGACAAACCGTCCGGTGCCTCTGTCTTTCCGACATGATTAAACAAAGCCGCCGAGACGGAATGCGCATACAGCAGGTCTGAGACTCACCTTGGCAAGTTGGCAAGTTGCGTAACCACGAGTCTCGTTTGTCTCAGGAGTGCGAAAGCGGCCGATGGCTGAGATGTGTTGTACGGCACGATATGTGTGTGAGCGTCCGAAGTCAGAGAGGGGATTCAAGGAATCTCGCAAACTCGATTTAGGTAACATTCATTTTCATTCTGTTCCGAGCCGTGCTATATTTAAGATATTACTGTATTTGGTAAGCTCGGCTACCCCGCAACTTGCGGGTCCTCGATCACTCGATTGAGGCTAGCGGTCCTAAGTATGATACCAGGAACGCGGGACTGGCGGCAACGCTGTCAGTGTCATACCCGTTGCTGCCTCTCCGCTCTCACTGCGATGTGATATACCAAACTCTCGACTGTCTTTCATATCGAGTCTGCGCGACGACATGGAGCGATAACTTTACAGTAAGAAGAGCTGAATGAATGCTCGTAGCTACCTTATAGGCCGGTTCGAATGTGCTAACAGTAACAGCTCGTTGCTGTGGATGAGCGCATTGGGAGGTTCTGGAATCTGGATGGCGGGGTGGAAAGCGTGCTGCGCACGGTCTGCACGTCGTAACTGCGGATCAGACTCGTCGGTTCCGAGTCATCAGAGCCCGCCGTGGAGATGCCCCGACAAACACCTCGCAACCTCGGGGTTGGACAGATACCTGAGAGCCACTTCCAGGGAATCCATGCTGAGCAACAGCGACAGCCTGTCAGAGGTACGAACAGAATACAGGTACAGGCGGTCTTAAGACTCGGGTTTGCCCAAAGTCTTCCTGGCTAAGCTGCGTGGTGCGACGTACGTGGCCGACATTCCACTTTACGTGTCAAAGTCGCCTACAGTAGGATACCGACGCGGTTAAGAGTAGAGGACCGATTCTGGATTATCAGCGCCGTCGTTGGTGAAACTTCGCAAAAAGCAATCGGGAGTCCTTCACGTCGCCTGCGTAGAAGAGGTGCTAGACTCAGTGTGAAGATCTGATTTGTCTCGGGGATAAATAGCTTTGAAGAAGTGCGCCCGTATTTGGCCCGTACTTGACCGCCTCGAGCTGATGCCGACCAGCTCTACAGGCCTGGGTGTAGCTAACACAACCTTGAACCGCGGGCTAGCCCTTACGGCCGGCAACATCCCGCCCCGCACCCACCCGGAATTTGCACTTGGCCCTCGGAATTCTAGTGACGGTTCCTGCCATCGGATCGGTACGCTCATGTTCTGCGTCACGCCTGTGGTTTGTGATTCTTCTCCATGTTTGGCAACGAATCACCCTCGGGGGCGGCGCTAGGGAGGGTATGGCGCGAAGCTTAGCGAGAACCTGCTATCGGGTGACATGAGGCGCAGTGCAATATAAGCAGACGAGTGAGCCTCCCAGGCCAGACTGCTCAGTATCTCAGACATGGCATCTTCAGTCCCCTTCACCGGTCTCTTCATCAACGGGCAGCAGCGCCCCGCCAGCGACAACGGCTCCTACGAAGTCCGCAACCCGTACACTCGTGAAGTCGTCGGACACGCTGCGGCCGCTACGCAGAAGGATTGCCGGGATGCTGTAGAGGCAGCCGCGACCGCTTTCAAGACCTGGGAGAATTCGCCCCTGCACCTGCGCCGCGACATCTTCCTCAAGGCCTCGGATCTGCTGGCCACCGACAAGTGGAAGAAGCGCGCCACCGAGGCGCTCCAGGAGGAGGTCGCGGCGACCGACTTCATGGTGATCTTCAACTTCGTGCTCTCGAACAACGGCCTCCGGGTCGACGCCGGTGCGATTGATCAGCTCAAGGGCGAGACGTTCCCGTCCATCGTCCCCGGCGGCCAGGTCACCACCGTCCGTCGCGCCATGGGTGTCATGTGAGTGCCCACTGTCACTTCGTCGTTCGCACACTCTGACCCCCCGAATCCAATGCGTCTCCGATAGCTACGCCATCTCCCCTTGGAACGTGCCCCTCGCGCTCACTATCCGCGCTTGCGCCGTCCCCATTGTCTGCGGCAACACCGTTGTCCTCAAGACGTCCGAATCGAGCCCGCGCTCGCAGACGCTCGTCGCCGAGCTCCTGCACGAGGTGTGTACCTTAGCGCGCTGTGCAGATTTGCTTCCGTGGCGCTAAACCCCTTCAGGCGGGCCTGCCGAGCGGTGTCCTGAACATCATCTCCACGCGGAGAGTCGACTCCCCGCCCCGGTCGGCGGAGATCATTGCACACCCTGCTGTGCGCAAAATCAACGTGAGGAAGGCCTTCATTGTTATGCCTGTCGCCTGTGCTCACGGCGTGTTATTTTTGCCCAGTTCACCGGCAGCTCGGTCGTCGCGAAGTCGCTTGCGACCGAGGCGGCGAAATGGCTCAAGCCGTGCGTCTTCGAGCTCGGTGGTAAGGCTCCCGTCGTCGTAAGTGCGCCCGACCAGTTCCCTCTGCGCATCCTTTGACTCGCATCTTGCAGGTCCTCGAGGATGCCGACATCGACCGGGCCGCCCGTGCGATCACGTCGTCCGCGCTCATGAACTCCGGTCAAATCTGCATGTCGACCGAGCGCGTCATCGTCATGCGCAAGGTCGCGCCGGCCCTCATCCAGGCGCTGAAGACGCACTTCCAGAAGCTGAAAGCAGGCGGCCCTGGCCTCCCGCTCTCCGCCCTCTTCACGGAGGCGTCTGCGCAGCGCTTCATGGGCCTGCTCGATGACGCTGTGGCGAAGGGCGCGAAACTCCTCCTCGGAGACAAGGCCCGCGAGGGCTCCGTCGTCCAGCCCCACATTCTCACCGATGTCACGAGCGACATGAGGATCTGGAACGAGGAGTCGTTCGCCCCGAGTAAGTGCTCGGCTTGTCGATTTGAGTACTCCTTGCTGATAATGCGGCAGACATCATCGTCCACTCTGTCGACACCATCGACGAGGCTGTCGAGTACGCGAACAAGTCTGACTACTCGCTGATGGCGGCGGTCTGGACGAAGGATGTGTACAGCGCCTACGAGACCGCAGGGCGCATCCACTCCGGTATGTCTTTGGTACCACCCAATACGTCAGTCGCTCACTGCCTTCGCTCACAGGTACCGTCAACATTAACGGCCCTACCGTCCACACTGAGATGGGTACGGCCGGCAACGGTGTCGGTAGCTTGAGGGGTCTTGGGTAAGCTCTTGTCCGTTGGTGTCGTCATAGGCTGCGGCTGATGATTCACTTCCTCAGTGGCGACTCCGGTTACGGTCATTTCGGCGTCGAGGACTTCACATACATCCGCGTCCTCTCGCTCCACCCGAAGGACGACACGCAGTACCCGCTCGTCGGATAGAGATGCAGAAATTTGTGCAGGTCACTCTTGTATAGTAAGGGTTTGTGTCGTGTAGGAATGCGCACGTAGAGTTTCGTCGTCTTCAGTTGTGCGTGTTGAGGATAGTGTCCTTCCGACGAAGGCGAGAGTTGAAGGCCGCAACAAGCTCCTATCCCTCATGTCATACCCGAGCATCCTGATCAGTGAGCATGTGGAATGACACGCCAACAATGTACTCAGTTAGCTCGAGAACAGGCTTGGCTGGATCAGTGGATGGACTCTGCCCGGCCCATTTGACGACGACGCAGCGACGACGAGACGGAGACATTACGTGATCAAATCATATTCACGTGACAGTGCTTCGGCCTGCGTTCGAGGATCGAATACCGCGAGGACTGTTAGACTGCGGAGACAGCGCACTGAACTCCATGCTTCTTCCAATATTACTTACTCCCCGAACCGATTGTTCCGCTATCCACTCGTCCCGCAAATATTAAAGTTCCTCAGTATTACTTAGATCGACGATGTCTGTTTTTAATGAAGTCAATCTCGAACGCCGGCACCCTCTGGATGATGCCGGCGGCTTATATATTGTACTCATAAGTGTCATCACTACGGAACTGAGGGCATAAACGTGTCCGAAGCTAGAGTGCAGAGGTGGCCTCAATTGACCGTAGTGCATCTCGATTGCGGAGAGCCCGAGATAGATGATCTACGAACCGGCCGACGCATGCTTCTCGCCCGAACCCGAGGCCGCCCGACCGCCATGCTGACAATGGACAGACACGAATTATTCAGGCCGACCTCCACTTCCTTCTCCCGAAATAAGTCGCCGGCAGTATATGGGTCCCCAGTGTCGTCCAGGTACTACTCATTCACCGTGCTTGAACCGTTCCATCGCAGCGGGCGTGCGTTCAGCCTCGATCATCGGATCTGGTATAGGTCCCATTCCCGTACATGAGGACACCTAAGGGCACGCAGTTCGTCAGCGGGATGACACGCAGGTGTGTTCCATGTCGTGGGCTCTGTGCAGGACAAAGCAAGCGTAACCCATGGCCATGTCACTGTCGGCAAAGCGTGCCTTACGCCGAGACGAATGGTGCGAACCCACCTACGGCTTCTGCTAGGTGCATAATACAGGCGCGGCCATATCTTATCCCGACGTTTCGGAGACACCATGGCTCTTCGGAAGTAGTATGGCCACGCCTCCCGAGATGAACCCGCACGAGGGGCTGATTGAACCTTGACATATACTGCACCTGCGGTCGTGGGTAGAATAGGCGACGTGATAATTTGCGAACGAGATCTTGACATAAGATGGTGTTAAGTAGGATGCCTTAATACGCCAGCTCACTACGCACCGTGTCGTCAACTCTGAGTGGTCGTCTCCCGGTCAATAACACGAGAAGAGTAGACACTGACTTATTTTCTGCTGATAACCAGATAGTGAGTGTCATCCCCCGGCGAGTGGGAAGGTTGGTCTGCACGTTATGCATGAACACTTGACCGCATTGACGTGAGACTCCTGTCACGTACGGACATCCGGAGCCTGAAAGCAGATCGCGGTAACAAATGCAGTGCAGAAGGTGCAGCGGGAGTAGTTTGTCTTGCCAGTAATCCATCCCGACGTGAAACGGCGAATTCATGGTATGGTGATCAACAGGATATGTGACCAACGTGGACCACCCCACACAATGGTTGCCGACAGCGGACAGTACTCCTCGAAACTCCAGGTCTGTGATTGTGATTGGTCTATCGCGAATGGTGTTCCGCCACACGAGAATTGTCGGGATGTAGCCTTGAGAACAGCTAAGGAGTGCGGCTAGGTTCTCAGCTATGTATAGCTATATAGTTAATAAACGACTGGAAAAATGCCTGTCTGTCTCGTCTTCTCGGAGAGTCTCGAAGAGACGCACCGTAGGAATAGCACGTCACGTAGGGCAGGAGCAACGCACAATACACCCAAAGTAAGTTACTGTGATGTCTCGACATGAAGTTCAGTGGGTGTGACCTGTGACCCTGAATTAGGTAGGCGTCCTAGTTCAGGACCGGCTGCGACCTGTGGACAGACCTCTAGTTCAGTTCAAAGGACCGTCGCCGGCCTGTACTCAGTATCAGGGAACAGCAGCCAGAAGCTACGTCGGACAGAGGCGGCGAGCGACTGCAGAGATCATGAGCGGACGAGCGGGCGAACGGGCCGGCCGGGGTTCGAGAAACCGTGACCCTAGCCCTGTGACCCGACCATCTGTGACCTGTGACCTCTCGACTGAAAGCCCAGTTCAGAGGGGCCTATGACCGGTGACTGAATTTCATGTCGAAACATCACAACCCACCCATTACCTTCGTCCGCCACACGTGCGTATGCAGCAATGAGTACTACGGCACCGGTGAACATTAATGCCCGGGATCACAGACCTCGACGCTGCCCCAATGTGCCTTATAAACGGACGAAATTTCGCCAGCCCCTCGATTCGGAGTCCTGATACACCGCCTGCATGGAAGAGACGTATCAGCCCGAGGTCTGGTTTATCACAGGTCTGTCACTGTGCGATCGAACTGTGTCCCTCGTGCATACTTACCGGTGAGACTAACGTGCGATATTCCTGTCTTGTCAGGAACGTCGTCGGGTCTCGGCGAATGTCTCGTACGCTCCGTTCTGAGTCGCGGGGATTGCGTTATTGCGACGGTGCGGCAGCTCGAGAAGTTCAAGCTGAAGGATGTGGATCACACCCGACTGCATGTCCTCGAACTCGATGTGACGGATACAGAGGAGAACATCGCCCGAGTGGTGTCTGAAGGGACCGCCAAGTGGGGGAGAATCGACATCCTGGTTAACAATGCGGGTATCATTCCGAAGGCTTTGACAGAGGAAGGGGGGTAAGTCACATCGTAGGACCAGGAGTCCTTGTCCATGTCGCTTTCGGTGCACATGCTGATGAATGCATGACACTCGTTAGGTCAAAAGCCGGGATGGAAACCTTCCAGACCAACTTCTTTGGTCAAGTCAATGTGACGAATGCGGTGTTGCCGTACATGCGAGAACGCAGATCTGGGACGATAGTCAACATAGGCAGTCGTTCAGCTTGGATTGACATACCGGTGAGTCGAGTCTTCGCACCATGCAGCATTTTACTTACAAACCCCGACAAGGCTTATGCCTGGTACACCTCCTCGAAAGCGGCATTGCACGGTATGATCACCCTAGACCTCGAGTCCCAGATAGTCACTCACTTTGGTGTACGCTCGCAGCATATACTACGACCCTGGCGAATGAAGTCGCTGGCTTCGGCATCCGCGTCGTGCTTGCTATACCAGGCGGGTTCAAAACGGCCAATGTACTCGACGGACCAGACCTGACAAACAAAGCTCTGCCCGAGTATGATGAGTTGCGCTCGCGCGTGCGGGTAAGCACTCAACAAGCCTGGGACCAGTGGAAAGGCTCCGGCGATCCCGCAAAGGCAATGGAATTCCTGGTGGACGTGCTCAAGGGAGAGGGCAGGGCGAAGGGTCGGAAGGCGCCGTTGTGGCTTGTCCTCGGACAGGGGACGTATGACCGCGGCAGGGCATATTGCAAGAGTCTGACAGAGACGATGGATGCATGGGAGGATGTTGCGAAAGATCTGGATTGAAGCGAGGTAGTATCCTACATAGCACAGTAAGCCACTAAATGTACGAGTTTGGTTCACGAAACTTTCGCACGTACCAGAGCACTACCTCCGCCAGACCAATTGCTACACGCCGCCGTGTGGCCATTGCTATGGGCATACAACGTAAGCGTCGAAGACGCAACTAGAACTTCGTTTCTCTGCATTGACACATTGACAGGAATGGGCCTGCCTGACATTATCCATGGAGCTGCCTATGGGGGAACCTGAGCGCGCATAGCCTCAACAATATGAGTCAACTCGAAGATTCGTGGCCGAGCGGCGTACTTACTAAGTTCTACTTGCTTCACTGTCGATGGACCAGTCAAATTCAGTAGCCCTAGGGCCTAAGATCAAGAGACCTCGAGGTGGCTCGCTAGTAGGGTTGAATTAGTTCACAGCCTCGCAAGTTCTGTTGCGATAAAAAGCTCAAGGAGGAGGACAGCGTTGCCGACTACGGCGCTCACCCAATCCGTCGGACGTCGGCGTTCCCTGATTCGGTAATGGCCGCCTGCCCTGAGGTCGGGCGAACGATGGGCGGCGGATGGGCTAGCACCCAACGTACCCAACATTTCAACATTTCAACCGCGACGCGCGCGACTCATGAGCCAACGTGCCTGTTCCGTGGTGTCACTCGGACTCCTCTATTAAACCAACTTGAAGTCTGTCCGTCTTCGTACCGATGACTCGTCATTATATAATACTGCACAACTTGTCGAAACATGTTCCAGATCCCTTGATAATCGTAAAGCTACATGACTTTCTACGCCAGCTATTGCATACAGACACAGCACGGAAACATCGGAGGAACCTACACCTTGGAGACAAGGAACGAACATATGGAGAAGCTAAAAGACAAGCAGGAAGCACAGACAAGCCGGTCGCAGCAAGCACCCGATTCGGACGGGTCAGCCGCGCGACCACCAACGTCGAGACTCCTGGTCCGGATGCATACACAGTCTGAAGAAGAGAAAACAGCCGAGAGATCCGAGCGCTACATCTGCCTCACATAGCTTGCACTCTCTTGGCCTCTTCGAGTAGCGCGTACATCACCTCGTTCAGGTTAAGGGGCCCTAGCTCGTCACCGTCATCAACCTTCACGATATCATCCTCCTCGTCTTCGTAGTTCTCTTCATCAACATCTTCACCGTCGCTGCCGGTTTCTTCCGGCCACTCCTCCTCCATCCACTCCAGGTCCGCGCACGAAATCGACTCCGCATCGCTGCCCATCCAGGGCAGCGTGGCGCGCTTCGCGCGGGGATTCCAGCTCTTGCGAAGCTGCAGCGCGACGAGCTGGTCGGAAAGCGTGTCTTCGTCGGGCGGGAACATGATCACCCCTGGGTCACCGTCATCAGCTTTGGTAGCAGCGTCACGGCCTGCAGTCGCATCCTGTACGATATCCCCACTGGGTGTGATGAGCACACTTGAAGGCGAGGTACTGGCGGATGTCGATATGGAGTCCGATGCTGATTCAGGGGACGATGGCGAAGAGATGTTGACAGTTGAAGACGGCGGAGTGGTCTGGGGAGCGATAGATGGTGTAGCGGGATTCGAGGCCGTGGCAGCCGAGGCAGTGCGCAGGACGAGAAGGGACTTTGCAAACGCTTTGCGCATCTTGCCTAAGTCCTTTTTGCTGATCGTAATCGTTGCCTCGACGCTTTCGGGCTCCTCGGGTATCGGGGTATCGAGCTTTACAGCGTTGCCTCGTGAGGCGCGCAGCGATCCGTAGTTGATGAGTCGCGACTTCGAGCGCGTCTTCGCTATCTTGGGCGGTTTGGGCACCTTCGGTTTGGTCAGGGAGGCAGAGTTGCCCGCACCGCCTCTTCCGTACGTATGCTACACGATGCCCATGTGAGTGGACGATGTCTTAAGCCACATCCTACTGAACCTCACCCTTGTGTGGCGAGCAGCCTCCCGGCTCTCAATCACGAGCATACGCTCGTACCTCGCATGCGTCTCCTCTTGCGCGGCAACGAGGGCGGCGGTGAGTGTATGGTCTCCCGGCTTGGTTACGCGGCTTGCTCTACGCATGATTGTGGTAGAGATGATGTTTCCCGCCCCGCTTCTTCCGGTGGAGCACGTCTAGAACGCAGGTCATGTTAGCACGTCCGTGCCAACTGACGGACCAATGTATGGCTGCTCACGCTGTCGGGCTTGGCTGCGGGCGCTTCGCGGCCATTGACGGTCGATACATCATCATCATGCTCAGCTGTCTCATCGATCGTGAGGCACTCGTTCGAGCTGAACTTGATGTTGCCGACACCGCCTCGGCCGGACGACCGCTATGGTTGTAAGTTTAGCTATGTGACATATGAATATGGCTAGTAAGCGCACCGTTCGTCGACTCGAGCTACTGGATGTAGACGATGTTGACAGAGAGGTCGACGAGCTCCAGCCTGAGCTTGAGGCACCTGACGTGCGGGAGAGAATGCTGTCTGTGTCTGACATAGCGGCGGTGGTCATCACGGCTTGCGTGCGATCGCCAAGTGCAGAGACGGCCTGCCTGCAGAGCAAGTCCAGATATACGAGTCCTATGGAAAGAAAAGGGGAAAGGTCGCAGGCAAAACTTGATTCATAAGTCCAACTTGAAGCTCGTATGCCTGATAAGCCTCGGGCCTTTTGCTGTGGCCTGGCCAGTGCACAGCGCACAGGCGGTTCACGTCCACATGAACTAGGAGCATCGCGGGACACACTGACAGCTCTTCCCTGCTGAACGTATCGGCATTGGTGTGGTCCTATGGGAATCCGCGCACGGGCTCTTGCTGAGCCTCCCGGCAATTGCCACTGCCAGCGTGATGTACGACCGGGCGCTGTGGTTGGATTTTGTCTGTCAATGTTCGTACCTTACCTTATCTGTACCACACGGAATCTCTAAAGTGGGAGGGCGCGGTGAGGCGCAGGCTATGGTACGAACTACAGTCAATCGATAAGCCCAGTAACATAAGCCAGACGACCAGCTCACCGCTCAATGAAGCTCATGTGTAAGCGATGGAAGCACCGAACGTCGCTCGGGCATCGGCGTCCTCAGTGGGAGCTGACAGTGAACTGGACATCCGCCCGAGATAAGGCCCACATAGGTCATACGCCCGCGGGCGCAGTGGCAGAGACACCCAGGCTTTGCCCAGGCTAGCAAAGCCTCTATCTCGTCGTCGCAGAGTAGATGGGCCTGTTCCTTTGTTTGGGTCTGTGCACGGCTTGCCTATGCGGTTGCAACAGGGTTGCAATTCCCTTGTTCGTTGGGTGGTCCGCGGCAGTGTACAGGCGGAGCTAGGCGGAGACACGACAGATAGCGAGGAGTACGTAAGACGCGGCAGTGCACAGCCAGGTGAAAACTTGCCAAAGAGACAGTTCGAATGCGCAAAGAATAGCGTAGACGGAGACACCCTGTTCCGTATATCCCACCTAAGTAGTCGGAGGACGAGGAGGAGGAATCCAATTTAGCCACCAGCCGCCTTCGCACGCGCGATCATGGGCGTCAGTAGTATGTAATCGGGATTCGGCGATCACAGGTCGTGAAATGAGGATGACGTGGCGGGCGCCTGGAGGGAATGTGGCGGCGGTGTGGCTACCACATGTTCCACATTTGGAGATAGATCACTTGCAGGTCACTTAAGTTCAAGACCAATTCAACGCGTCAACGGACTTTGATCCCACCGACGCATCCTCGTCCTCAATTGTGAACCTAGGTAGCAATTGTATGCTTTATATCTCGCAGACCAACCGCAGGTAAAGTAACACAGTTCTCGCATTCTCCAATCTGTGGTTTTATTGAGTCCGCTAATGTGAAGTGACGCGACAACCTGGTACCACCGCGCAGCGCCGCTGGCTTGGCGAACTTTAGTTTGATTCAAAATCCATATTGACAAACACTATGCCAAGGCTAGAACCTATGAGCGAGAACCAACTTGAAGAGACTACGTAATATTGGCAGAGTGTGGCATTCCCTATCTGGCGAACCACTGATCTATAATCTAAGGTCGTGTCTTGTTGATGCGCAGGCACCTCGTCTCTTGACATCGGTGTGTCTTCAGGGCCGACAGGAGGACGCGCTCAGGCTCAGGCACGTCTGCCGTCGAGCATCGCTTCAGGAAGTCCGGCGTACAAGGCGCCTAGGTAATGCAGTGTACGGATCGTATCGCCGACCAAAGTAATTATGTTACCTTCTGTGGCGCGATTTTGACCTCCATGGTGCATTTGAATACACTGTGGGCAAGTTGATTCCACACCGTCGCGAAATAGTACGCGACACTGGCAGACAGAGGTTATCTGCGCCTTGATCGAATGGAAGCAATGATCGAATTGCCGGCCACCTTGAATCTCCGGCGTAGAGAAGGAGGAGGAGGAGCTCCAGGGTCTACCGTGTGGCCCGGATAGTCACCGTCGACTGCTGATACTTGATATTCGTACTCATGGAGTCGATTAGTACTGGAGTAGATTAGGCAAATAGAGTCCGGCGGCGATACCCATGGATAGTATGAAGCCAAGGTCTCCGTTCGCCTGCTGTAAACCTATGCATCGGTAGGGTCATTCAGCATTCGAGATGCTGTTAGTGGACTCGCCGCGGATGTCTTGGCACAGTCGGCTTGGTTGGTGGGATCAGATCGAGGGTCGTCATCTGCCAGAGGATGTACAGAGTGGCAGCTCCAGCCACGCCAATAACGAAGTACGGGAGGAGCATGGACAAAGATCGTGTCAAAGATACCGAGGATATGCCAGTGTCTGACGTAGGCTCCGAAAAGAATCGCGGTGGACTTGAGCTCTATTATGACGTCGTCGTCGCGATCCGGACAAGCGCAGTATAGGATTGTCCCAGCTAGGTAGATGCAGGTATGAGTATGTGCTCGCGGCAGATGACTGATACGTACCAGACTGATCCAAAAGCGAGCACCCACAATTGAATGGCTCAGACTATAGATCCTGTAGGGCCTTAACCAGCCACGTAGTCGGCACGCCCTGATTCATCCTAAGACCTGATGTTTCCGATGTGGGTCAATGTACAGCCCACGCGGAAAGCGAGTGGACACGCACCCAGATAAGCTTGAGGGCAATAGGCCCAAGCGCAAAGCACGTGGTATCGGCCTCAGGTCGCAACTGACAAATGGCACTCAGGAGGGATTGTTGCGCAGCCGGGTCCGTAGTGCATGCTCAAGATCTGTGAGACGACAGTCAATGTGTGTTTCCTCGCTGATGAGGAAGCGGGCAGTTAGATCTCGCGTTCCGTACTCCTCTCCGTTACGTGGATAGTGCAGCCACGCGTGAACTTCGCCATCGTCGTGGTCGACAGCTTCTCCGTCAGCTGTCTCAAAGTTCGGATCGTTTTCGAGCCAAACTCTGGTAAGCGGGACATCATATGTGCAGAACGTCTCTAGGTTCAAGTGCTTAGCGCTTAGCAGATCACGCATAGGCAGCATAGGCAGCATAGGCTACAAAGGTCACTCACCAGGATCCATGCTGCACGATTCTCAACGTCCTCTCGCGTCGAACTTCGCAATGACCCAAGTCAATTGAGTTTGCGCATGGGCCCGCGGCAAACGGCTACGCCGAACTCGAGCTTGCACTCACTCGAGTAACGTACAGCCTATCGTGCTAGTATACTGTATGGATCAGTTGCAGGTTCAGTGGTCTGGGAAATGGCGAGCTGCCTGCAAATAAAAGCAGAATAATGTATACTTGGCGGTGAGTTTTAGGTCGGGCATCGCGCTGTTGGGACTGCTGTAGTCCTTTGGATGTCGCGGAAGTCGCAAAGGCGTTGACGTGGATGTTCCGTATCAAGAAAGAGGATGAGCTGGAGGAGGAGGAGGAGGGATCCATTTAGCCACCGGCCGCAGGTGCACGTGCGATCCTCGGCTTCTTGACGGTGACAGCTGAATCGAACCGAACGCAGAGCATGCACCGGCGCTTGTTTACACGAGCCATCGTCCCAGCATCGTCCTCACCAAGCAGGTTACTCACTTACTATCCTCAAGCAACAGGATGTCGCTCAGCACCCGGCACTAGATCGTTGCGAAGTGTACTTGGTACGTCGTACTTTTCTAAGAGGCCGCGGGAGCTTCGGTGCTGGAAGGGCTCAAGTACGAGCGTTTACCCACGAATCCGAGATGATCTGCAAATTGTCTGCGGCGGCCAGTGCTCCGTGTACTTATCTGGTCCGTACCAATATGCTGCCCTTTTCACGGATACAAGATGCGTACTAATCTTATGGGGATACGTAGTAGCGTACTAGTCTTATGGGGATACTTGATTTCCAAGTCTGCTTTGCCAGACATGATTCATGCATATGGCTCAAGCGCACCGTAAATCCCGGAGATGGTTTCCCGGGGTCGGGTTTAGACGCGGCTTCTTTCAACGCAAATCCTCGGGTCGCAGCCTTGCCACGGTCAGTGCAACAATCATGGTCCTACTCTGACATATCTTGAGATGACACACTTTCGTTGCTTTGCATTAGAAATGCATTGCGTGCTGAGTCGTCGAGTCCGAGAACACCATTTCGTTGTACTTCAAGTTGGGCGGCGGTAAATATCAAACCCCGCGAAGATCCACCTCCGGCTCGGCACTCTCAGGTTGTACTCACCTGTTGAACGTTGAACTGTTCAATGCCGTTTGTGAGTGCAATTCCTGACCATCCTGGCTCTTGCGCGATCTCTGGAGCCTTATACGAATGGAGATCCTTCCTTCTGGGATCAACCGGCGCCCGACTACGGATTCAAGTTCTAAAACGTCGTACGTGGTACAGAACACAACAATAGTCACAGACAGGCAGGGACCATGAGGCACAGCACGTCAACCTGCATTTCCGATCGCGTCGCTTGATCAGCGTACGCATATACCTGTGGTTCATGACTCAGCCGTAGGGTTCGAGGTAGCGAACGTCCTCTCACCGGTTATGATCAGTCAGCTCCAAGTAGTACACTCCAGGACACATATAAATGGTCGCGGCCACGATGGCAGGCTCCAGCACTCCCTGTAGATCCTCACCACCTCAGCTCAGTCGCACCCAGGTATCAACATGCCATCTATCGTTGTTGCAGGTGCGTCCCGTGGCCTCGGCGTAAGTCGTCTCTCCTCTGCCAAAGAACAAGCTGTACTCACCGCATTTTATCCCCTGCCAGCTCGAATTCGTGAAGCAGCTCCTCGCGGAGGGTAACGTTGTCTTTGCCCTCGTGCGCGACCCCGCCAAATCGGCTAGCCTCGCTTCTATCCAGGACAAGAACCTCCATGTCTTCAAAGCGGATGTAACCGATCCTGTAGCTCTAAAGGTAGGTTTTCCGTGTGCCTATGATAGCGATGCGAACGTAGAGAGGCTTAACGTGCTGTAGGCAGCGGCGCAGGCTACGGCAGATGTTACTGGCGGGTCGCTTGACATCCTCATACACAACGCAGCCTACCAGAACGATGCGCACGCATTCCACACCATCACTGAGTTGTAAGCCTCCGTCCCTCCTTGTTTCGCCCGCCGAGCCCTGACTGTCACTGTCGCAGCTCCTCCGACACTGAGCTCATTGAGGACTTCAACAAGACCTGGCACACGAACGTCATCGGGCCAATCTTGACTATCAACGCCTTCCTCCCTCTCCTGCGGAAGGGTACCACGAAGAAGATTTTCACTCTCTGGTCCGGTGCCGGCGAGCCCGCATTCACCGTCGCCTCGGAGTTCGTGGGCCGCGCTGCGTACTGCGTAAGCAAGTGCGCGCTAGACATGGTGAACGTCAAGTACGCGCGTGAGTGGGATTTGCGCCTTGAGCTGTTGAGAGGACACTGATGACAGTATATGTGGGCGCAGTGGCACTGAAGGACGAAGGCTTCATCTGCGTCGCGATCAGCCCGGGTGTCGTCAACACCGCCGAGGCTCCCCGTGCGTACCTTCCCCTTGTGTGCTTTTCGCTCACTTACCATCCATCTGCAGCCCCACCCGAGGCGATGCCGTTTATCACGAAACAGGTGCAGGGCTTCGTGAACGTCAACCCGAACTGGAAGGGCCCGTTTGAGCCGAACGAGTCCGTCGAGCTCATGCTCAAGGTCCTCCACAACCTAAGGCCGGAGCACAACGGGCAGACACTGAGCCACTGGGGCAACAAGGAGTGGCTGTAGGTAGACGCACGGAATACGTTACAGCCTGACAATCCAGATATAAGACAGTATTCGTGGTCGTAGAACAAGCAAGCAAATACATCATCCTCTACCTTGTTCTACGCTTTCTCCACGGAGCTGTCAGTCTACTTTAGGCGGTCTTGAGCTTCTCCGATCCTTCGTTTGGTCGACATTCATGTTCGTGGACTATGGTTTGTTTCCTATTTTGAAAGAAGCCTCTAGCCAACGCTTATGTAAAGACAATGTAATGGTATCGCCCATTGCTCGGTCCGATTACATATTCGAACATTGACTGCAAAAACTTAGCCTCGTACATGAGACCGGCGTGTGTATAAACTATTATAGAACGCAGCTTCCAGTGAAGTACTTCTTGGATGACTACAAAACCGTTACATACTGTAACTTACCTCAGCATGGACATGCATACGTCCTCATCCCTGCCGCAGCAGTTCTGTCCATGCTACTTAGAAGCGAGTACAGTAGTAGCACGACTGCGGCCTTGGCAACAATATCATTGCATTCCGTGGCGACGCGATGATCGCCGATAGGCTCTTGGCGTTGTATGTGGCGGTGCGTAACGATCGTACGCTAAGACACAATCGGCAGTTGGGTGCCTGCAATACGCCGGAGGTCCTAACGTTCCGTGTTCGGGACGGGTGTCGCATGCGGCGACGAATACATAATAGTGCTCAAGCCCCTACTTATCTTCTGACTTGTAGCCGCATTCCAACGCCACTTCCTCTTTGCACGCATTTGTGTCCCTTCTTCGTATGATACTACAGTAACTTCTGCTAATACTGATGGAGAAGGATCCCGGTAGAGCGTCGCCGGAATCGCAAGCGCCACTGTCTGGCCGTGATTCTTTCAGAAGCTCGCGTCGATCATACGCGTCCGTACATCTCATCCCGACTCCTGAGGGGGAGCGTAGGCGGCCGCCCCGTTATGTGAGTCGCAGAATGTCTCCGGTGGTCTACGTCTCAACAGCTTTGACATGTACAGGAGCCCCTGATTTTGAAGACGTGGGTCGTAATGTCCGTGACGACATTCATGATTGTGCTCGCTATTGCAACAGAGGTTGCTCTACATTTCTCTGATAGGCAACAAGGTACGCCTACTGAACCATTGTTCAGACTGCTTAACACTGCTGATATGTCGCGGTCCGTGCTATTTCAAGGCTTTGCTGTTGCGGAGAAGAATGTTTTCAGCTTCGTACCAACATCCTTCCTGTTGGTAAGCGACGTCGGATACTGCTACATACGCGTGATTCTTACACACGATACATTCAAGTCGTTTTTCCCGATCCTATTCATTCTTCCTCTCACCAAAATTTGGGCGGGAGCGAATTGGGGTATCCAAACATTCCAGGTGACTTTGATCTCCGTAGCGTCGCGAGTCCTGAACTGACACATTCTAGCCATATGTCACGCTATCGAAAGGGGATGGAAAGGCAGAGGATACAATTCTCCTCGACTATGTATGCACCTATTCTCGTGGTGCGATGTCTATAAGCTAACGCCGGCTTCAAACGATAGATGGCACTGAAGTGAGGACCAGTCTGATGCTGTGCGCTATTCAGACGTTTATTGCATTGACAGCAACTGGCAAACCATGCTCATAGCGACGAAAAGGAGGCATTGGCTAGTCTTTGTCTCGTTGATGACAATCTTCGTCGCCAGCTTCATGCAGCCGCTTGCTGGTTCCGTGTTTACCCTAGCGACTCCGGAGCATCGTCAAGGTACTGCCATATTTCACTGCTCATTGAGCTCGTGCACTCACAGAGAATACTTCAGAGGTTGTCTTACGTTCACAGCGAGGACTTGGTCTGGTTTCTACCTACGGGAACTTAAACGCCTTCTCGTCGGCTGCCGGAGTAAGCCCTGTCCATACTTGTTCCATGCCGCCGAAGGTTCAACTATGCGTAGTTCACAGATTCAAAGGTTTATCAGGGCCTCCCTGACCCTCCCTTCGTTGCTGGAGAATGGGCCGTAGCCCAATTCGAGGTGCGCCAAGGGTCTCCGAGTGACCCGATTGAGCCATGCACTCATGTCACTTTGACGCGCAGATTCCCCAGACCAAGGATGCTGCTGCCGCCGTGGAAGCCGAAGTAGTCGGGATTGCTACCCAGACAAACTGCTCAGCCCCAACCACTTCCTCTCTCACTAACCTGTCCAATCCCATCATCCCTCAGTTTCAATTCAGTGCATCGCTCTCCGATGGGTGCACGGGCCGTGTCCAATTCAATCCCGATGACTCCAACCAACAGTACGGCGTCGTTCAGGTCGACTCGGCGAGCTGCGGTCTCGACAACATTACAGACACACAGCTACTGCCTGTCATGTTTTGGTTCTTTCATTCGACGCTGGGTGGACAGGGGCAGAATGTCACAAGGGCAAAGGGCGTCGTTTGCCGGCCGATGATGAAGATCCAGACAGTCCTGGCCACTGTCAATATCAGCACGGCTGCGCTCACGAGCATTAACCCGCTCGCGAATGTCAGCGACACCAACAATAACATCACAGGGCAACCACTGAATGGGCGACCGCTGAATGGGTACGTGCCGTTAGTGTACTCCACTTCAGCTCATCAGTCTGACACTTCACCTCTGGCAGTGTCATCTTTCCCCCGACAAACAACACCTTCGTGGGATCCAGAGGTCTCACCATCTCGATGGGACTTCCTGGGACCATCTACCGGAATGCCTCATTGACGCCGGGTTTTGATGACTTCTTCGAGGACAGCTCAACTAGCTTCCTCTCTCTGACGTCTTCAGTATACGTGAGTGCAGATGGCATATACTTTCTCAATGCCGCGAAAGCTGAGGCTTCACGCAGTCGACGTACTTGTCAGTCATCGCCAAGACGGTGTACTTCGTGCCCGCGGAGTTCTCGATCAAAGCAGACCTCATCAACCATTTGCCGCGACTTGTGGTCGAGTAAGGACCCACGTTCGATTGGCAGCCTATCCGACGCTCATGCATGAATCTTAGACCACTGGCTGCGCACGGCCTCGCCGCAGTCCTCCTCACCGTCGGTATCGTTGGCATGATTGTACATCTTCTCCACCGTCACGCACGCCGCGATCTCTATTTAACAGCGCCGCCCGGTTCGATCGGCGCGTCCATGGCTTTGGCCTTCCACGCCGGCTTCGGCGCCTCACTCACGCCCTATGACGACGGTGAAAGCATTGGCCGGAAGCTCAGATCCATGCGCTTCAGCATGGACCGGAGGACGGGTGCGATCCTGGCGGAGGAGATTGACGACGGGGACGCGGCAATGCCTTTGACACGGTCCTCGGAGGAGACACTGAAGGGGTATAGGGATTATTAAAGCTGTGACGGCGCGTACGTGTGAGCATTTCCCGCAATCGCCGTGCCCTCGAATGAGTTCATTAGATGCTATGTACTGCTTTCTAACTTATCACGGATACGCAACCTGGACAGCCCCGAGTTAAGATGACCCGACGGTGTGAGGTGAATGTCAATGCCTATGCACTGCTCAAGGGTGTGAGTCGAAACGCGAAGCCAGAAGTTCTGCGAGACCACGTCGTGGGCTGGGGCTGCATTGCGCAGGACTGCCAGTGACCAGCGTTTCCGAGGACGCAGGGTCTCCCACCACATGTCAAACAGTATAGCAGGCTACAATTACAGTACAAAAAAGAGACAGGAAAGCCCGTGAGTAGCAAGCGACTTCTGTAGAAGTACAGTTTCCGCAAAAGAGATCTAATAGCTTGTAGTACACTCGATAAGCACGACTAGTCATGCTCTAGACAGGCGTCAGATACTTACCGACAATCTCCGACTCAGACAGTGACAGATAGTTGACATTGTTGACGAACAGTGACGGGTGCATCATTATCAGACTTTGAGAAGGTCTGGGCTGTATATCGCAGCCGACATCCCAGCTGCGACGATCAACCCCAAGTGACCATTGGACTAGTAGAACAATCCAAACTGCGTCAGAATCAAACCCGTCCAGCTGACATGTACTGGTAGACTGGACTCAATGTTGAATTTTCGCCAGCAGTCCTCCGCCGCTGCAGGAGAGCGGTGGACTTGACACCGGCTTCGGCGTCGTCCTTTCAATCATGTGGACGATGATCTCGTATCAGGCTGAGTCTCTGCTGGTTTGTACTTATAGTATGGTACAGTATACGTACTGAATGGCAGGGTATAGTAAGTGCCGAATAATGAGCCCATCGCCTTCGATTGGTTTGGTCAAGAGGTGGCGAATTGATCCTGCGACGGCTGGTCCGAGGTCGCGCGCGAGCTTCGCGCGATGATCGTTGTATGACGGACACTCGAGTAGATAGTGATAGACGGTTTCGCGGGCTGTGTTACAGTTCGGGCATGTGAGGGATTGTAGCATAGAGTGGGCCACTAGATGCAGGTCGAGCGAGAGAATCGGAAAGCGCTCGGTGTCCGTCTCTCAACCAATCATTAATCAGATGTCATCATTGTCTCGCGTCTTTGTCTCAGCCGTTTGTCCCCCCCCCCCCGTGTGAATACCCGACGCCTCTTGTAGTATAGATGCACACCCATCTTCGCGCAAACGTGTGGCCTACTGAATCACTGTTGAAGACCGAGCTTTGGCAGGCACCGCAGGTATCAGAACTTGGGGAGGTCTCGTACCTCCGTGCTGAATCTATCTCCAAAGCTTATGGCGAGTACTTCTTTTACGTCTGTATCATGTAGTTGACGGCCTGGCAGGTCTCAATCTGAAGGATATTGCGACGCTTACGCCTAAGTTCTGGAAGCTGCACCAAGACCCGATCTTATGTATTGACGGCGCCGCAACCACCTTATTAACTATCCATTACAATCTGTGTCTCGGGACGCTTAGCACATATCTACCACGCAGGAACGATCTATATCCGCTCGCGCAAAGCCTTGCTGAGTACCAGACAATGTGAGTGCTTCTATCTCGTAATGTCGTTGTACGATGCACTGACCGTCAGACGTCGTAGTGGTCAATTCTGCCTTACCGAAGGTATGCGAACATCTATGCTAATGAGCGAGTAACGTTGTAACTTTGTCACAACAGTTAGCCATGGACTTGACGCGTTCAACTTGGGTACGACGGCAACCTTGCACGAAGATGGGAGCTTTGATCTTCATTGTCCTACTGCAGCCAATGCTAAGTAAGTCCGCCGTACTCATGAACCTTCTTGCAGCTTATTTTCTTCAGATACATGCCGCCGACTATTCCTGTGCTCAGCCGCCCCTGCATCGCCATCGTCTTCGCACAGCTCGTCGTCGACGGCGAGAAGAGGGGCATCCGCCCTTTCGTAGTCACCCTGAACGACGGAAAGTCCATGTCTAAGGGGATTTCGGCGCAGTGAGCATCTAGGCATAACGCAGCATTTCTGACAACTGCTGACGATGATCCCAGGCTTGTCCCCACCCGACACGGTGCCGCGCCCGTCAATCACGCCATCACTCGATTTGAACATGTTACGCTGCCCTCGGCGGCCCTCCTCGGCGACCTCGAAAAGTCGGACTCGCCGCACCAGGACTTCCTCCAGGCCATCTGGCGCGTCGCTGTTGGCACACTCTCCCTGAGCGCGACCACTATCCCCCTGCTCCAAATTGCGACGCTCATTGCATTCAAGTATTCCGTACGCCGCAAGATCGGCGGGCCCGATGGCGCGCCGCTGCCTATCATCTCATTCCGCACGCAGCAGATGCCCATCTTCCATGCGGCGGCGCAGGTGTACGTTCTGCAGGCGCTGAGCAAGCACATCATCTTGCGCTTTGTGGACACGACGGCAGACCATCGTATGAGACACGCAGCGGCGACAATATTCAAGGCGGCCACGATGCGCCAGTTCCAGACTCTCCACCTCGAGCTCTCTGAGCGATGCGGTGCACAAGGCCTCTTTGCTTATAATCAGATTGCGTCACAGTTGGTGTGTAGTGCTCTGGGTGCCGCGTGCTTTACTCACTGTGTTGTTTAGAGTGACTTCCGGGGCATGACCATTGCAGAAGGCGATATCCTCGTGCTTTCCATCCGTACGCTATTTATATCAGATACTCGCACCCAGTGCGTCTGACGGATATGAATACTCCACAGGTCTTGCTACTGAGCTACTCCTTGGCAGATACAGTCTTCCTCCGGCCGCGGATCCAGAGAGCCTCCTTGCGAAGCACGAAACCTCTCTCTTCGACGAATATCGCGACATCGCCAGAAAACACGGTCATCGCAGCAAGGCATTCGCATCCCTCGTTCTTCCCCGCTGCTTGTCACTCGTAGAGGCCGTCGGGGCACGCATGGCATACGAGGCCGCGCTCGCCGAAGGAGTTCCAAAGCCGCTTGTGGATATCTACGTTACCCACACCATCAGGGAGGATCTTTCCTGGTACGTCGAGGCTGGTATGCTTACCCGTGCCAGCCATATGGAGAAGGAGAACGACGCCTTTGAGGCAGCGTTCCCTGTCATGGGAGGATACATCAACGGAATGGGCGCGGCGCCCTTCGTGCGCGCTCCCATTGTCAGCGATGCGAAGTGGGAGCAATTCTTGAAGACTCTCAGAGTATTCAAGCCACCGGTCTCCAGTGCTGTGAGGCTCTGACTGGCTCACCGTCGTACTCGCGACGAGGCTTACTTATCACAGAAGCTTCCGCGGAGGGCGCGCTCGATAGGATACTCGGGGAGTCAGTGATGTCGTAGTAGATAGACATGACGCTGCACAGGTCCTCGTTTTCTGATGATGTTGAGCGCTGTGAGTCGAAGACAACGCAGACGACTCGGATGCGTCGATGTATTTGTCACGGTGTCGATTGCTGATCCCATATTAGACACCAGCAACATAGGCCTAGTTCATAAATCTCACTTCACGTTCGCACCCAGCCTCAGCCTGGCCCCTGGATGAGTACCATCGCGCGGGCGGTAAGCCACCGAGTGAAGGCGAGATACAGAGCAGATAAGTTCGAATGGCGAGCTGATCGACTCGGAAGTTACGATTAACTGAGATAGGAAGTACGACCCATGAAGTGCTACTCGGTATCCTGACTGCCACTCTGTTCACTAGCAGTGACCGTACTAGTATGACCATGACCGCCGACGAGCTTCAGACTGCTCATCCAGGATATTCAAGAGAGGCACTAATTGCCGACGCATGTCACGTCCGAAGTCATGTCGCAAGGAAGAAGGGCGCGACGCAGACTCACTGCCCAGCACAATGACGATATCCCCATGCCATGAAACACGGGAATAATGGCACGCTTCGACGCATGCAAGATCTGTGCTGTCTTCTTGTTGAGCCGCGTGAGACTATAACGCTTCCTCGGTGTATGACAGCATAGGCGAGAGCACTGGAAGAGATAGGGATGGGCTGCGTGTTCTAGGTATCGCAGGCGCACCCCGAGAAAGGTCTGTCATCGCATGTTCCCTACCAACCAGTACATACTGTATGCTTGATTTCTCTATACTCTATGAGACGCGCAATTGCAGCCGCAGAGTTGCGAGGAGATATGGGAAACACCGCGTATCCTAGGGAATGGTATTTTTCCATTGAAACCAGCATCAGCTAGACGACGATAATGTGATATGCAACAACATACTGAAAAGCGACAGGACGACAACAACGGCATCGTGCGCGATACCCGGAGCCCATCTCATTCGAGCTGTCAGTGTCATGATCTTCACTCCAGCACGTATCGCCCTGACCACTTCGGCCCAAGTGCCCGAGTGCGGGTGTTACCATCGCCGGTGGAGTACACGAAGAACGGGTCTACAGGGTTCTTCGCGCCGTTCCACTCACAGAGCTCGGGTAACGACAGAGAGCCATCGAGTGGAGGCGAAACGTGATGCTCGACTGTGCTTGCGTCTGTGGGATAGCAGGGAGTAGCGTGCTGTGACAACCTCTGGAGGTATTCTCCCTTCCAAGCATTTGGATGCGCAGAAGAGCAGCGTGGATCGCTCACGGGCAGTGCAAGAGAAGCACCGTAGACAAAGTGCTTTGTCATGCCTCGAGAATGTCAGACGAGGGACAAGCCGAACAAGGATCATGAACTTTGATCATGCTCTAGCGCAGAGATAGATACCGTCAACACATTTGCGCGACGACATGGTAATGGAACATACCATACTAATAGCAAAGATGGTACCTCGCTGCACAAGACACTGGTCAGTAGCAATATCAAATCATCAACTACGTCCGGAAAGTGGCACGTTCGTCTCGAGCGTCATACTGACGAAGAGGATTTTCAACCTAGTAGTATCGGAAGGCATGCTAACACTGTTACGTGTACACATAGGGTATGTTGGCTACAGAATAAGTTACTATTACGAGGATCAGCTTTACAGGACCACAGAGCCCTATCGCACATCAGTATTTTACAATAATAACGTACCCACGTCTCGCTCACTAGCCCGGCCTTTCCTGGTCAGGGTGTTGCCTAGACATACGAGTCAATACGCTTGATCTCGATGCCTTTGAGCGTGGATGGTCCCGTCTCGATCGTGCCCTCCGTCCTCGATGTGGACATGGAGGTACCTTGGTTACTGTCGCGATACATGATAGCACCAAGAGGCACCGGCGTACGAAGCGAGGTTCGCACGGCCGTGCTACCCTGCAGATTCTTGGTCATGCCGATGCTGACGAACACCGCATTGAAGATGAGGGATATGAGTGAAGTCATCTAGGGGATAAGGGGCGCTCTGTCAGTATACAAAGCGCATCGTCGTAGACGACGTGCTACGCACCAAGCCGTTTACGACCCATTCCACGGCAGGCGCGTGGAGGATGGTGATGAGCGCCACCATGAGCATCACGGAGTAGATCATCCCAGACTCGATGATGACGAAGAGAATCGGCCGAAGTGGGTTCCTGCTGTAGGTCGGATCGAAGTTTCGGTACGTTTGCGAGCCGACCGCCCAGATTCGATACGCGAGGAGTACTGCGGTCAGCGCACGGTGAGAACAGCGATCAATGAAGGGAGCTACGGAAGTGGCGCACTAGTTGCAATCAAGTTCGTCGCCAAGGTGAATGCGAACGCCATGAGGATCCAGTTGAGGTATGGAATGCCTTTCGCGAAACACCACTCAACCCATGCAAAGCTACCTAGAGGCATCGAAAGTATGAGCAAAATAGGGCATACAGAGCAGTGATGCGCGTACAAATGGCCCCGAGACACGTCAAACATGGGAATGCAATGATATACCACTTCTTCCAGACGATATAGCATCTGAAGATCTGACGGTACACGTCAGGTTCTCCCGCGAGTACTCGGGAACTGGGAACATACAACGACAGCATCTCCGATGATAGTGGAGATGTAATAGAGGCATTGGTCGAACACGAACAAGCCGTGGCTGAAGTCCAATAGGTAGTCGAAGGGACCGGTGGGTGTTTGGAGGTTAGCGTTGTCGAACGCGATTATTAGTTGCGCGATGTCCGTGCAGGCACGCTAGACGCGAGCCGGTAAGCAGACTGCGAATCGCATAGAGAGAACACGCACTATCGTAGCCATGAGCCAAAGCACTGCTGCTATAAGGAGCATCGCAGCGTTCACCGGGATCCTCCTCCGGTCCTTTAGAACCCAAACCGTCATCGCAAACGTACATGTCGCAAACCCTGCATTCAGTCAGATACGTTCGTCAGAGTGACTTCTGCGATGCAACTGTGCCACTACTCACCATAAATAATACATTCCAGTGTCACAGCCGCGATCGGAGCCTTCCCGCTGTTCATCCAGCCCGGCATGGTGGGCAGAGGGACGTGCGCCGCGCAGTAGGTTCTGTATCGCAAGTTATACTGGCGGGCCGTTCCGTTACTGCACAGCCTTTGCGGTCCCGGTGCGCCCTCGCGTTTGATGTCAGATGTATCTTGGATGTAACTTAAAATGCTCGGGGGCGACGCCACTAGCAGCCCTAATCGGACCGCACTAATTGATGGCGGGTTTCATATCCGTCACTGGTCGACGATTAGAGTATAGAGGGAGTTGAAGCGAAGTGGCGTGTGTGTTGGTACCTGAGCGAAGAGACCATGTGTGGTTGGTGTGGGCGCATCATTTTGTCGTATAGTGCTTGTATGGTGTAAAGTCGATAGGTAAGCGCCCGATGCCTCGTTGTACGCGCATGCTAGGATCTGCTAGGATATCGTCCTACCCGTGCGGTCATGAATTAGTGAAGGCATACGGCAACGCAGACAATGGTGCAACGTACATAAAACACACGATTCCATTGAGTGAAGTCACATCTGCGAGTTCGTCCTTGATGGTCCCTACGTGTAATGGACGATGATGGCGCCGTCAGCAGATGAACAGGGTGAGCATCAGGGTGACAGGCGGATCACCCCGCTACATTTGCATCCGTTGGTGGATTGTAGGGGCCTGAGGCTGAAGCGCTGAAGGTTCTGTGTCACTGTGTCATCGGCCTGCAAGTCATGATTCATCGTCGTGTAGACGGTCAAAGAACGGTAGCACTGACGTTCTGTACCTATACACCGTTGACATAGCCCTGCTAGCATGCCGTGCGTACTATGTACGTGTAGAGCGTCTAGGTCTGGCGGTATCTAGACGCACCAGTGCCTGTGTCCATGCACAACCCGTGCGTACACTAAAAGGTACGCCTCTCGTCTCGGCCAGCCAATCATCGGGGTTGAACCGTACGTCCTCCTCGTGCAATCAATCATAACGGCTCCAAGTGACTGCGGATGCGGAGAGGGCCCAGGGGCTTCTGACAGTGACAGCCTGCGGACTGCTCAACAAGTGATGCTGCCACTATCGGCGGTAATGAAGGGAATTGCGGGGGTGGGCATAACCTTGTCCTCGCTCAGAGGTGTATGGCTGTTATCTCTGAAGTATGGACTCACATGGGCACGGGCCGCAAGGCAATGTGTGCCGCGTTTTTGAACCTTGCAAGGACTGCGATCGTCTTCACGGTATTATGCCATAGAGCCTCACAGCGAGCGCACACAATTGTTATGAGATCTTCCATCGTTCGCGGAACATTAGTCTGCACTATCTGAGAAAAAACGATCGGCATAAGCGACACGCACACCTCATTTTTAAACCATAAACGACGTACCCCTCCTCCAGGCCCCGCAATCTCATTCGCGTTGTCATAAAAGTCGTAGAACGTACCGGATACCAAGCCACATGTTGCATTTCTGAGCTCAATATCAATGACCCCGCCAAACCCTCAAGCATAGCAGACAATTGAGTAGAAGGATGTGAACATTGCAAGGAATCTTCACGGGGATGCCGCTTAGTGTAACACACAAGTCGTCGAGATGCTCGTCGCCGGTCGGGCGCTTGGCCGCCACCACCAGACGCGCCGCCACGTTGCCGCCACGTGAGCCGAGCATATGGCCGAGGCACTGGACTTCAAATCTCTTCAAATCCTGTCGAGTCCTAACTTGGTCCTAACTATCACCTTGTAAGTATGTACGGTGTAGGACTGCAATCTGATTCCGCCAGCCTGAGCTAGGACCTTTTCCCAATCCGTCTTGGCTCCTTCATATGCGGCCTTCAACCTCAAGACGTCGAAGAGCCAATCCTGGTCTCAGTCCGTTTATGGCTCATCGTCTAACAGTTGAATTGCTCTGGTGCTTGGGTGCTTGGAACACCCAAAACAGTCGACCGCCAATGCGTGTAGTCGCTATGAAACTACCTGAAGAGATTGCGTACACAATGCACACGTGCGTTGGACGTGACAATATGGATACCAGGACCCATTATAGATCGTCTAATCGTGTTGCCAGGCTTCACTGCTCTACGAACACTCAGGTATGTCAAGGCAATACAAAGCGGGGACAGACAAATTTGACGGATTATTTTATGGATGCAGGTACCGTTCAATGTAGGAACTTCTCGAGCGCAGACAGTGTGCTTAGTTGACTGCATGCAGCTACGATGCCGAGTGTGAATCCATGCTTGAGGAAAGCAGCACTTGCTGATGAATGTGACGAGCCTTCTGCGCACGTAGTCATATGCTCATTTGGGCAGGAACAGCTACCGAATATTCTCCCCCACTGCACTTCAAGAGTCGCGATCGTGAGAGCCGGTTTATCCTTCTATGCCTCTGTCAGCGTTCTTGTCGCTGAAACTCTTTCATTCGGCCAGAAACCATACTCGGGCGACTCTTTTAGATGTTCCAGGCATTGTGCGCTGAAGCAACTCGTGTGGCCTCAGGCTCCAGTCGGTTATCATCGGATTGTACGTGAATCATAATTGACATCGAGAGCAGTTTAAGCTCGGTTCACGTTCTAACACTATCACATCTGCAGCCTCCGCCACTGGTCATACGCAAATCTATCTGCCGCTTCCGGTGTCATCGAGGTCACGTAGGCGGCTGTTTTTGAGCTTTGCGTCGAGCGACCATGTACCTTCTCCACCGTTCCAGACTAGGTTACTGCCCGCGCGCGTTCGCGAAGGGCACGTCGGGCACCCATGGAGTATTTGTAGCGAAGAAGCTGTAGTGGCTGTCAGCACATGTGAGCTGCTTTGACTAAATCGAATCGCATTCGGCGTCCCTCACGTTGAAATCCGTAGGAACGCAGAGCTCTTTTGAGGGTATGCTCGGGGATAAAAGCCGGGCATGGTCAGCCGTAAACCGATGCAGACGCTTCGGCATTGTGATGTAAGTGTCATGTCACCCGAAATCATTCCACATTCACGCTAGGAAGCAAGAGTTCTCCGTAGTATAAGTTCAGGTTGCGCATTGACAAGCACATCTCCGGCGCAACCCAATTGTGCTCTGAGACCCTCTCTTGCAACGCTATGAACTTGATCACTGTAGCCATATTAGTCCTCTTGCTTCTCTCTGCCGCAATTGTCATTCATCTGGTCTACTTCATCGCAGATCCGCATGCTCTTTGTTCGTATCCAGGACCCTTCCTAGCCAAGATATCGGATATATGGCTTGGACGGGTTGCTGCCCAGGGACATCGGTCTGAGCTTGTTCACCAACTCCACGAGCAGCATGGCAAGCCTCACCACGCCATGCAAGACCGTCGTGTCTAACTCGCCACCGCATAGGAATCTTTGTCCGGCTCGCGCCGAACCACCTATCCATCAGCGACCCCGCCGCCATTCAGGAGATTTACGCGCACGGGAACGGAACGACGAAGTCCGACTTCTACGACGCGTTTGTGTCGATCACGCGTGGGCTCTTCAACACCCGCTCGCGCGCGGACCACTCGCGCAAGCGCAAGGTCGTCGCGCACGTCTTCTCGCAGAAGAGCGTGCTCGAGTTCGAGCCGTACACGCGCGTGCACGTCGCGGCGCTTTTCCGGCAGTGGGACCGGCTGTGCGGACTCGGCGCGAAGGGCTTTGCGGGGAAGGAGGGGGAGGGGTGGCGGGGCGAGGACGGTCGTGTGTGGATGGACTGTTTGCCGTGGTTCAACTACCTCGCTTTCGACATCATCGGTATGCGAGGTTACCATTGCTTCTTGCGTCGCTTGCTGATGAATGTTCACCTGCTCTAGGCGACTTGGCCTTTGGGGCACCGTTTGGAATGCTTCAAGCCTGCGCTGACACAGCACCAACTGTCTTATCCCAGGAGGCCGCAATGGCATCGTACGGCAGCTCAGAGAAAGGCTCCCCGGAGGTGACCTACTGCCCTGCCGTGCGGATCATCAATGAGCGCGGCGAGTACTCTGCGTCGATCGGTGTGTTGCCGACGCACTGGCGACCGTGGCTGGCCCGGTTCGTCCCCTGGTACCGCCAAGGAAGTGCTTCGGTGGAGCTACTAGCGGGAATGGCTATTGCGGCGATATCAAAGCGGTTGGCTGCGCCGACGGAGAGGACGGATCTGCTGTCGAAGCTACAGCAAGGGAAGGACAAAGAGGGGAGCCCGTTGGGTGCGAAGGAGCTCACCGCGGACGCGCTGACACAGCTTATTGCCGGGTCGGACACAACTTCGAAGTGAGGTCCCCTATGCTTCGTCGATTTTCAATCGCTGACCCATTGAACTTCTCTGCAGCACTTCGTGCGCGATCGCGTATTACCTTGCGGTCAACCCTGATGTCCAGCAGAAGTTGCAAGCCGAGCTGGACGCGGCGCTAAGCGGCGAAGAGGACCCCATCGTCACCTTCGAGCAAGTCAAGCGTCTTCCGTACCTTGATGCGGTAATCAACGAGGGCATGCGCGTACACTCAACCTCTGGAATCGGTCTGCCGCGCGAGGTTGCTTCGGGTGGCCTGACAGTGTGTGGGCGGTTCTTCCCTGAGGGAACGGTCCTGTCAGTGCCGACATATACTGTTCACCGGAACAAGGAGATATGGGGGAGCGATGCCGACTTATTCCGACCGGAACGATGGCTGGAACGCGACAAGAACGAACTCCAGAAAGCGTTCAACCCATTCTCTTTCGGGCCAAGGTGCATCGTGATTGCGTGATCTACGCGACTTCAGTCCTAACCAGAATCTCGTGTCAGGGGATGTATCGGACGCAACCTCGCGAGCATGGAATTGTTTATCATCATCGCTTCTGTATTCCAGCGTTACCATTTCGTCTTGGAAGAACCAAGTCAGAAGGCATGTCTCCAAGGCCTGTATCGCGGTCCTAGCCTGAGGATGCTGATGATGATCCCACAGTTAGATATCAAGGAGGGATTCTTGCGAAAGCCTGTGATGTGCAGGGTAGGAATGAAGCGCAGAGGCGCAGGCATGTGACAGTCAGTCCGACAGTCGAGTATCAGTAATTTGTACGACAGGATGTCTGACACTGCAGATCGAGGAACCAACTCATAACGTATGTCAGCAGTGTCATTCCACAAGCGATAAACCGCGTTAGCAGGGTTGCGACACATCGCAACTCCGCGGCTCTTGTCGTCGCAGTCTCATGATGCTTGGGGTGAGGATGTGAGATCAAGGTGAGATGAATCACGCCGATCGCTCGACGAATGATTCAACGCACATTCAAGAAAGTTTAGTAATTGGAACCAACAGCCTGAGCGGTCACTCGACTTCTGATATTAGGTTTCACTATGTGTGAGGCTAAGTTACTGATATGCTATAGCTGCATAGCTCAGTTTCTTGGAGCATTAATAGGCAACGTACGGTGCCTGACAGTTTCTGTAAGTATACTAGTTGCGGAGCCTTGGCGTTGTGGGGCATCAGATCCTCCCTCTCGTCCTAATCAATCTAACCAGTGTTAAACTGCTTTCGTCATCGCCGTGAATCCATACCGCTGGAGGTCAATATTGTCGAGTGTTCCCATTGTGGCGGCCGCCACCTGGTCGCTTGCACACCGTGAGAAGATTGTATCGCTACTGCTACTAGCTGGCTACTAGTACTAGCGCTTGCCAGTACTAATGGGCCTCACCCAAACCCATTTCTGTGCCGCCGCTGCCATGTTCGCAGCAGTACCAATTGAACTATGCAGGCTGCTCAGAGGCTGTGGGGTCTTATAGGACGACAAAAGGCGTAACGCATCATTCCAGCCCACGACCCTTCATTTGAATCTTGAAGTGGGGCAAGAGTCGATCGTCTCAACTCGTCTCCATACGTGGCATACAGTACCCTCTCTCTTCAAGGCTCAAAGGGAGGGTCATGCAACGCAACGATCCACAAATACTGCGGCGTCTTCCGTTCAAAGTCGAGCGATCCAGCGCAGTCTTGCACGCTCTGGCACCGACGGGACTCCGTTTGCAATAGAAGTTGATCGCCTTGGAAACATGAGGTTGTACGTATCCCTTCTCTTCCTGGGAACGTAGCTGATCGTTGGGTTTTATCCATTGTATCAAACAGGTCTGCGTAGCACTGAATCCTTTCGAAATGGATCATCGAAGTTTCTGATCTGGAAAGCGGCCTTGGGGGATATGACTTCGAAGTCGATCATCGGTTGTGCTCACATTGACTCACCATGGCCCAATTGCGCTCAAGTCGGCCCACATATCAGAAGGCTACGGGAACCATCGCGACACCGCGTTACGGAAGTTAGAGGCTCGAACAGGCGTCCTGCAGTGTTAGGCTGTGTTGCACTCCATCTGTGTGACACGTCGGAACCGGCATGCATAGGTGAGTTACAATTTGATATGGCGCAGAGCGGCTTTTCGTGGCAATGTTGACCTGAGCTCACTCAGTGCGCTGTGTTCGGTGAGGCGTGCAATGTGAAGCGTGCACTGGAACTTCGTACGAAATCCTACGAGCCGTGCATGCCGGGAGGTGGAATACATTTATATCAGTTGGAAGGCCATCAGAAGCATACCGACCGTAACATGGAACGCGAGGTTATTAGAACAGCAGGTCAGTGTGTGTCATCGAAGACCAAGAACATGGCCTAGGTTTCATGGCTACCAACAGTCTCCAGTGTGATCGTGTCGACCGCACGGATCCGACCGCTATGAGTGACGGTTTCGCGGTAAAATACTTATAGGAAAGTCGTAGCTCCGCGGCGATTGACTTACTCTGAAGACTTACTTTCGCGCGACTTAGACTTAGTGTGATTGGCGCCCGGCCGACGTGCCCGAGGCGGCCTTGCCAAATCGGGATGAACATCGCACTTGCCGGGACCACTGCGCCAGACGGTTTCCCCTTTATTCTCTGTGATGCATGACATTTCTGCATTGAATTGATACACTTTCAACTTATGTCATAATATCTGTCCCTTTCGATACCATGAGAACCGCGGGCTCAAGGCCATGGCTCTCCTACTGAAGATCCCGGGCCATTCGTCTCGTCAATAAGGGGGGCTATGGAGTATGAAAAGGCATTTCACAGCTCCGAGTCTATAATATGATGATCGGGCTTCCGGGGTTCGTGCTATCCATGTCATGCAATGGACAGCCGCAGTGCGCGTAGACAAAGTTGCCACAACTGGCTGATGATTCCGCATTAGGCAATTGATCAGCCGCCGAAGCGGACTTTGGCATTCTAGGTGAGCAGACAACGGGTGTGTCTCACTGCAAACTATATACAGTATTAGTGACTAGACAAGAAATATATGCATGATTGTAGAGACCAAGTGCACGAAACGGCATGAATTTATGTCCAAAGGGTACGGTTCACGTGTCAACTAAGTGGCAAGTCTTACGCGACAACTAAGTTCTCACTGTAAGTATTTTTCCGCGATAACGACCGTCATAGACCGCCCTCCTCCCCTCCAAAGAGGTCGTATATGTGGTCTGCCTACGGGAGACTAGTACACACGGTCAACTGAAGATCGTGCCCAGAGCTGTGTCGGCGCTACTCGGACCGAGAGGATACTCCTGAATGTCTCGGTGTTCTTACAGCAGCATGCATTCTGTACTGACGCAGGTGGACACGATGCCGATAGTCTCCTCTTTCTCAATCAATTGCTTACCTAGGTCCCCAAGTATGCTCCTAGCCAACTCTCAGCCTTCGGAGAAGAGCGCTAGTGATTTGATATCGATGCCTCGATCGCCTCCGAGAAGGTTTACTCCTCCCCATTTGTCTCGCTTCAAATCTGCGAATAGGATGACTGTCTGGCAGGTGATGATAACAGCGGGATCTGTTCCAGTCCGAAGCCGCTGGCCGCCGTTACGTTGCAGCTCTCCGCTCGTGGGCCTGGGATCTATTCCGGCATCATATCATCATACGGCGCGCAATCATTGTTGAGCAATCCGACAAGCACTGCAGTGTTACTCGCCCCACGGCAATTGCGTTCAGTTGACAGGTGTCCTTGGCGCCGGCGTCCCGACCTCTTACGGAATGGCGCTTCGCAGAGCGAAGTTGGTTATAATACATTCAAGCAACCGAACGCTTCCTGGCGCTCCTAAGCCCTCACGACGGCGATACGATGTCGGTCTCCGCAAGCGACCTCCAAGCCTTGGAGGTATCCAAATACCTCGCAGGTCAGGCAATTCCTTCCTGTACTATGTAGGTCCCTGTGACTTCTGACGTTGTACAGGTGTTGGAGTCACGCTTGTCCTCTACGACCACCTACTGAACTTGCCGCGGGAGATCCAGTATGTATGGCAAGAGCCGCCTCTCTTCTTGGCGATATGTGTGCTCGCCGATGTCTATCTGAGGGAGGCAGGCCTCATTTACTTCGCCGTCGGTACGTGGCACCCGGTCTAGGCTGTCTCGTCATATGCTCACAGACTGCATATTGGTAGTACTGAGTGGTATCGCACCTATGGATCGGAATGTAAGTATGAACACCATTCCTGGAACGACTACTCGTATCTGACCGTGAAACCTAGAAGTGGGACATGATTTTATCAAGATCGCCTTGACTTCGCTTATGGGCGCCCTCGGCGACAGGTGTGCTTCATTCACCATATTCGCCGTCGTATATGGTCTTTTCAGTAATGCCTCAGTTCATTGTGAGTCGGATCTGGCGCTACACAGGATATCTACTGACTGATGCCGACTGGCAGCTTACATCCTCTTTCGATTGTATCGAATATGGGACGACCGAAAATTCGTGAAATACGTCCTCGGAGTAGCTTTCTTCATATGCATGGCTGGAACCATCGTATCCGACGGCTATGTTCTGAAGCAGCTTACTGGTGCGTTCACACATCCTGCGCGCTCTGGGCATCTGACAAGCAACATTGATCGCAGCGGAGGTGCAGTACGTGCATTTCGATTCCGTTTATCCGGCCGCGACATGTGTCTTCCCGAAGAAATCTTGGTATCTTATTGGATCGTGGGCCGGGATGGTGAGCATGTCGCCCCCCGGTGTCATGAGTGCACACGATCTCATGTGCCATTGCAGGTCGCGTTCGATTTGTTCGCATTGTCCATGGTGCTTCTGAGTTCTCTGATGACCCCACGGAGACCGAACACTGCCATCGTTGGTGTCCTATACAAGCAAGGCTTCTACACATTTCTTGTGCGTCACATCTCCGTTGTCTCTCACGGTGTGATGGCTAACAATCACATCGTGTCCAGGCATTTCTACGTAAGATTTATATCATCATTTCCTGGCATCGTGTTGATGAATATGGTCCAGTACTACGGCTGTCAAGGTTGCTGCCAACAATCTTTGGTTCGGTAAGTCTATCGACCGTTTGTGAAGAGCCGATACTGACAAATATTCAGGCGGCGTATACTTTGCTCATGCCACCGTAAGCAGTGCCATCTATTCCGGTGCTATCTCTACCATGTATATAACTTCATCACCCAGGATAACTTGGGCGTTGGACGGCATCCTCAGCTTTCGACTGTTCCTCAAGATCAAGCAAGTCGAGAACAGTTCAAGACGACACTGGTCCAAGTACGATGCGGGTTCGCGGAATCGTAGTCACTTGCACATCGGGCCTCAGCTCCCAACTATCCTGGTTTTTGAGGAGATCGAAATGGACCTGAAGTAGCTGTGCTTTCGAAATTCGGTTATCCACTTCGATGCCGCGGTGGGCCATGGCATCTTCGTATACAGACAGTCATGTACTAGCGTAGTGAAGCCCATCACGCCCATTGTATCACATTTCTTGTTTATGCTTTCCGAGCTATATCGGACACATGTAGTAGTTAGCCACGTAGCCTAGCGCTGTACTGTATATGTATCTCGCACAACTTACTCCGAGGGTGTTCGCTTCACAGGAGTCAGTGTACTGACAGAGGCATGTGGTGTGGGTTTGATGCGGGGACCACGGCCCCGTCTCGAAATACGTACCGGATACTGTTGGGCGTACTTGGCAGACGTGGCCTTCTGATACGGCGGCATCCATATTGCGGTCCGTTTTGACCAAAACCATACGAGACTTACCCATGCCTGTGAGAACGTAATCGGCGCACGTCGGACGGCGGAAGGAGTCCCGGGAGCTCATCAGCTTCATTGCAGGGACGCAACCTGATGCGGATATGGAGACTGCGGTCACATGCGGTCACGCTGAGTAACCAGTTACTCACTTACGGACATAATCTGTAGCCTGAGCACTAGGTCGCTTGCTTGTCGATGACCAAACATGTAGAACTCCGGACCCTACGTGCAGAGCAGTCATGCTTAGACCTGAGCGCGCCGACGCCAACGAGCGTGATACCCTCTCTTGAAGCAACTGGCGACAATCTACATAGCTACGGCGTACACCGTAACGGGAGTGGAGAGCAACGACCGTTGAACTGAATAATCAGGAATCCACGCCCGGAGTGTCTGAGATCCGGTACGTGATCTTTTCCGCATGGACCTCATCACCGCGATGTCAGGACGTGTCTTGACGGAGAGATGGAACACGGTTACCTTGCCTGCTCCCATGTATTCGAAGCCATCCTTGACGCTCTGCAGTCCGTGGGGGAACAAATTGATTCGTGTGTGCTTGATTTTCCCCTGCGATAGGAGTTTCGAGATCAACTGCGCGTACTCCACAGCACTTTGATGATCCTCCTCGACAGCAGGATGCGCAAAGGGGAAAGTTATTTCCTGTGCGAATGCGTGGGCCTGAGTGGAAATGTACGCAAGGAGATAGCTATCAAGCTTACCTTCCCTAAGATAGTGTAGGCGAGAATGAGCTGGGTCTGAACTCCTTTCGACCTGCTGACGTAGGGCAGAAGAGTTGCGATATTGCCGCCCTCCTTGCTTAGCGATGTGCTAACCTGGTTCGGTGTCCTGTCTTGACTGATACAATCCATGGCGTGCCGAAGAGTGCCTCCAGTGGCCGCGAAGATCTTCCTGGGGGTCTTAGAGTCGGCGTAGTCATACACCTCGTCCGCCCCGAGAGACCTGACGAGGTCGAAGTGTTTGGGCGACGCCGTCGTGATGACTCGCAGGCCACTCAGCTTCGCAAACTGAATGGCATACTGCCCTGTCGCAGACGTGCCCGACCAGATGAGCATAGGAATCGGCTCCGTGGCAGGGCAGTCGGGCGTAGGAAGCTTGAGGCATCGGTACAGGGCGAGACAGCTTGTGAAGCATGCTATACCCAGCTGCGCCCCTTCTTCGAATGTCACCGAGTCGGGCAGCGATATGGCGAGGGCAGCCTCCATTACCACGTATTCCGCGAACGCGCCGTTCGGTGCTACGCCTGGTAAACAACTCAAGGTGAGGTCCGCATCAACAGAGTACGAACCAGTGCCTACCGCCCTGTATGCATCCAGCCACGCGTTCGCCCTTGTGTCGCAAAGTTTCAGGAACCTCCGGACCGACTTCAACCACAGTGCCCGCGAAGTCACAACCTAGGATGTTTTCAGGCTTCTTGTGCAGGAGAGCGGTTTTCCCTGGATTGGCAGCCCGGTGAGCAGAACGCTTGACCCTTCATCATCAATCGGCATGCTTACAATCCACGGGATTTTGAGCAGTTGCAGCGACTTTCACTAGCATTTCACCGGCCGAGGCGCGTGGTGTCTGTACGTCCTTCAGTTCGAAGTGCCCGTTACCCAGAGTCACGATGGCCTTCATGTTCGTGCTGTAATGCTGATAGTCACAGGCAAATGCAGTTAGTAGACGAGAACAGATGATTGTGTTGCGGATTCACGGCGACACCGTCATTGAAATGTCGCCGCAAACCTTAGACGGCCGCTCCCAGTGGAGCACCCGAGCAGCTTGCACAGTCTACTACTTACCGTACCGTACTACTAGTGTGAGTTAACTCGTGCCCGGGGCCGCTCTTCCTTCAAGCGTGTCGAGAGCTGACAAGTAACCAATCGGAACGATGTCCGATGTTCGCCAGAGCTGTGGTTCTGCCAGAGACCGTGCAGATGATAATAAATCTCGTCGAGGATTTGTTTGGTCTCAATTTGAGTACGGTATTGCCGCGGCCTGCTAGTGTACTTCAAGTTACTAGTAGTAGCTAAGTATAGTACTTGGTACTTATCATGTAGCGCCTAGGAATCTCAGATCCGGTGGCAAGCACACTTTTAGGTGGCGACACGCCACCGCTGCTCTTCGGCGCTTCAGCTCCTCCTCGACCATCTCCCTCTCGAATTTCTTGACAGTATTCCTCGAGTTGAGATACTGCGACGGACGTACCATCATGGTCAATTCTTGGCAGCATACGACACGTAATGGCAGTGTGCTCACTGGCCGTCACGTTCCGACTTGAGCGCGCCAGACTCGGGCGCCCGCTCCTGGGTATCGAGGTGAGATGATTGTTCCGCTGTGCCCTGCGAGATGATAGGCGAGTATCGTATTCGTCTCTTCCGTCTGCGTACTTACTTTTTCGCTCAAGATCTACCGCAAGAGCGCCGCTGAAACGGGTGCGGTCACGGGGCGATTCGGTTCCCCTAGTCGAACATTATGTACCTATTCTCATTCGTTCCTCCTCAAACGACTATCATCTTTGACTACACCGTAGTTTGGACTAGGCAATGTGATCGGTCCATCTATCTGCACTGATGGGCCCATCAGTGGATAAGGTTGAATGGCGGAACTGCGGCCACATATATAGACTTGCAATCAAATCGCACGGATCCTCTTCCGGTCGTGTCGGTTTGAGGCACGCGTCGGCATCAGACTATTTAGAAGCACATACATCAAATCACGACTTGCACTTACCCATGACTTCAATCGCCATCGTGAGTCGCTCTACCTCCATTCCTTGCTTCATATTGCTGAGGTTCGTAGGTTGGCCTCTCGGTGGAGCTTCCCAGCGGGAAGTACTCGCCGAAGAACCTTGATCATGACGCTTTCTTCCAGCTCTTGCTTGACGGGGTTGATACATATGAGCGCATGCCAGCAGGCCGCTTCAATGCAGATGCGTACGTTCCACGTCATTTGATATACCTCCGCCGCACTCAACGTCACTGCACAGATGGCTCGGTCAACATCTTGGAGAAATTCAAGTTGATACTGGCGCCTTCCTCAAGGATATCGACTCCTTCGACAATGTCGAGTTCGGAGTATCAACGAAAGACGCTCATAGCATGGCCCCAGCAACAAGAAGACTTCTTGAGAACGCGTTCCTTGCCTTACTCGACTCTGGAGTTGATTATCGATCGAGGAACGTCGGCTGCTTCACATCGGCGACCGCATTCGACTTGACGACTATATGTGAACCGGTACATCCTGCTGATCCTCACGTGGACTGAATACTACTGACGGCTTCCCAGGATGAATACGACGGACGGGGCTCATTCGCGGGATACCCGTCCATGGTAGCCAATCGGATCTCTACCCACCTCGACCTGCTCGGCCCATCCGTTCCGACGGATACGGCATGCAGCTCAACTTTGACCGCCTTCCATCTGGCGGTCCAGGCCATCTCCCAAGGAGACTGCGAGACTGCGGTAGTGGCGGGTTGTCAGCTGAACCATCGGTGAGTGGTCCCTCATACGCTTTGGAGGTATACTAAGGCTACCGTAGTTTCATTGACTGGTTCACGTACAGTCAAGCCTCAATTCTTGCCGCGGACGGGAAATGCAAGCCCTTTGACGCTTCTGCGGATGGGTGCGGCTTGTTCTAATGATCGTGGCAGGCATACTGACAGCGCGTGCACCATAGCTTCTCCAGGGGAGAAGGCTGTGTGGCAGTGGTGCTCAAGCCTCTCGACCGAGCTCTCCAAGATCATGATCGCGTCTATGCCACGGTTAGCCACCAGACTCGCGCGCTCATTCCTTGTCTCACGGAGCGAACAGGTTTTGGGCACTTCAATCAACTCTGCTGGGGGCGCGGCGCCTCCGGGCGCTCCGGTCGCGGAAGCACAGCGGGCGGCGATGAGGCAAGCATTTACGCGAGCGAACAGGAGTTTCAGAGACGTCGACTATGTGGAGGTGCATGCAACAGGTGCGTTACAGAGGCCATCTCGTTTCAGAGTACTAACTAAGTAGCCGCGCAGGTACTGCCAAGGGAGATCCTACGGAAGTAAACTGGGTTGGCGAAGAATCTTGTCGAGACGATGAGTTACTGTTAGGCAGTGTTAAGGGCAACATCGGGTGAGTCTGCATGCTAGTATAGCGAGTACTGTAATATTGAGCTGACGCACGGTCAGGCATACCGAAATCGTAGCCTTTCTCGCGTCCCTGTGCAAAGTGATTTCAGTATTCAAGACGGGGACTATACCGCCGGCTGCGAATCTGCGTACGCTCAACCCCGCAATTGAATGGCACAGGCACAAGCTTCGCGTTCCCTTGACCGCTACCCAACTTCCATGTCGGAACGGGAAGCTACCACTGGTATCCATCGCCAGCTCAGGCATCGGCGGGTCGAATGGCCACGTCGTCCTGGAAGGCCCTCCCGTACTCCCTGCGCCCAGCCGCTCTGCGGTATCTGGCTCGGTCGTTTTGATGGCATGCGGACTCTCCTCGCGTAGCGCTACTTCGATAGGGCAGTCACTAGAGAGCTTGTTGGACTCAGAACAGGTGGACTTGCGCGCTCTGTCAACGGTAGTAGGTCGAAGGGCGAAGCAGATGACCTGGAGGTCCTACGCTGTCGTTGAAGAGGGTTCCTCTGGTTGTGTCGCGTTCTCTGCACCCCGACGTTGTTCGCGCATGAAGCCTCCTGTCGTGTTTCTATTCTCAGGCCAAGGGCCCCAGCATCCCGACAGTACGTTATCCCGTTTGATCTGGCATCGTGGTTAGGACCTGACGGTAATTTGTAGTGGGTCGCGAGCTCTTCGACAATTTCCCTGTCTTCAGAGATAGTGTCCTCGAAATGGACAGTGTCTTTATGAGGTTAACGGGCAGATCAATCATTAGAGACCACGGTCTCTTCGCAGGGACCGCACCAGCGGCGGACGGAACCTGGCCCATATCATTAATTCTACCTTCCATCGCAATATTTCAAATGGCTCTCTTTGATTTGCTCGCGCATCTAGGCGTAAAGCCTGATATCGTGATTGGCCACTCTGCAGGGGAAACCTCTGTCCTCTACGCCTCAGGCGCAGCCCCGAAGGCGATGGCTGTGGAGCTAGCAGTTCTACGAGGACAAACCTTCTCGTCTATGGAAGCTCTGGCCGGCACTATGGCCGCTGTGTCCTGCACGCCAGACGAGGCCCAAAGGCTCATCGACCACATTCGCCAAGAAGACGATAACAGCGTCCTTGACATAGCTTGCTACAACTCTCCGTCTGCCATTGCCATCTCTGGGCACGCGGTAGCGATAGACCGGTTCATGGAGCTGGCCGTTGTCCATGGCTATTTCTGTCGCAAGATCAGAACCCGAGTACCAATCCATTCGTCCATGATGGAACAATGTCGCGACGAGTACGTCAAGGCGCTTCACGACTTGTTCAAACGGTATCCGGGACGCCATGTACCAGACGTTACGACATATTCCACGTATACTGGCACTCGATTTGAAGGACCCTACAGCGCCGAGTACTTCTGGAATAACACCCGAAACCCTGTTCTATTCACACAAGCGGTTCAGGAGGTAGCTCATGCGTCACCCACGACAACCATCGAGATCTCTCCGCATCCCGTCTTGTCGTCATATGTCTCACAGATCACTCAAGACGCTGGTGCGATCTTCTCGTCGACCCGCAGACGGAAACAAGGCCGCCCGTCTACGGAGCATCGCGATCTGTTGGAACTATGCGGACAGCTTACCTCTGTGGGACATAACTTTGTCGACTTTACGGCGCTAAATGGGCGCGCATGTCACGAGCTGAATGCTCCATTACCGGAGTACCCCTTCTTGCGCAAATCATATCCTCTCTATCCCGACACTATCGGGGGTGTGAAGCACATGAGGGGGCACAGTGGACCGCTCAATCACGATTATCTCAAGGTGAACAAGGAGACACATCCGACGCTGGCGGAGCATGTCATCAGAGGGGAGCCAATCATGCCTGCGGCCGGCTTCATTGAGATGGTCCGTGGATTCTGACGACGCACAGTACTGACGTTAATACTGACCGAATTGCTACTCCAGGCATTGGAATTCGGAGCTACGGCCTTGATGGATGTGGACATGCGAGCCATTCTGTCTTTGTCATCCGAGAAGCCTGCCAAGGTTGATATCTCTCGCGATGGTTTCCGCTGGGTGGTCAAGACTTCGATCTCATCCAGCCATCCGAATTCGGCGACGCCGGTGCGTTTTTCATCTTACTTCTGCTAGGTATTGCATGTCATTGTATACGGTGACAGACGGAGAGGGTTCATGCGAGTGGATACCTATCATTTGGATCGACCGAACGTCAGACCCAGCTAGATATCAATACTATACGTCAACGGTGTGAAGGATACAGCGGAACCTGTGAGTGGATGCTGGTACAAAAGGGATACATCAGGACTGAAAGGCTACTTGTAGCGTTCTATCAATCACTCGGATATTTCTCTGCATACGGACCTTGTTTCCGTCGAGTAACAGAAGTCTTCTATGGCTATCACGAGGCCCTAGTATCGATCAAGGGAATGGATGGGGTGTTAGAGCGGTACGTTTTTGCCTTGTCCTCAGATCGAAATCGCCGCTGACTGTCTTGCAGTGACGGGCGGTATCTGATGCATCCAGCCATCCTTGACGCCTGCTTGCATATCACATCGTTCAGACCATTCCATGGGGACCACAGCTCAAACGGCTACTACTTGCCTGCTCACGTCGATGCTGTCATCCTCCATCGTTCTCCTCGGGTCCATTTTTTCCCGGATCATATCTATACGCACACAATACTCAGGGAGTGGACACCATGTAAGCAATGACGCCTTCGGCGAGCGGACACGAGTAACAAGATTCCCGTTTCAGCCTCCGTGTTCTATGATATTACCATCACAGATGACGCCGGAAGCCCCTTGTGTACCCTTCAGAGGCTGGAGGTCGCAAAACATCATTTCAATCCTCCACCTGAAGATTTGATACCGTTCCAAGTCGTGCTGCAGCATCCCACTTTGTCGCCACGGCCGGTTATTGAAGACAAAGCGAAGGTTAATGGGCACCACCACGGAAACGGAAAAGTGCATGAGAGTGCGATTTGTTTCAGAGTAAGTAGCGTAGATGAACTTTTCCTTTTGCATCATCTCTATACTTACGCTCGCGGACGGCAATAGGAGGATCATCTCACAGACGCTATCGTTAATCACTCGGGCGCATTGCAAGAAGCTGTCAAAGAAATATCAGATCAAGACAGCAGACGCGTTGCTCGTATCCTCGTCGTTGGTACTGGTACGCACGATGAGTCTGCAGCTGGTGTGAGTACTGACTGACTGAAAATGCTCAGAGCTCTCACGTATCGACCACATCGTCCCCATTCTTGAAGATTTCCCTCATCTCTTCTTTGATATCAGCATTCCGAAGGGGACGCAGGCTCATATCAACATTGACCCAAGACGACGGACTGTCAGGACTTCAAACATTGATCTCGCCAAACCCCATCCTGAGCCCGTCCAGTCCTTCGATCTTGTATCCTTATTCCTTCCGGAGGGCGAACTCCATGCGGCGCAGCTGAACCGTCTACTCGTCTCCGGAGGCTCATTGGTTGTCACAACACGGCTTGATCTGCCGGTGAACGGCCACAAAACGCATGGACTCGAAAAGCTCTCACAAACATTACGTGATGCAGGATTGACGGTTCGACGCACGCTGGTCACGCCTGATGGATCGTCTTCGATCGTTCTCACCTGGCGCCAGAAAATCTCAGCACCTGCGGGCGACGCACCGGAATCTCCCGTATTCAATCCTGAAGAAGCGTTTGTATTCCACTATTCTCAAGGGCACGAGGTCGACCTGCAGTGGGACTTCAGTGGCCTGGACCCTGCAGAGCCGTTGGACGTCTGGGTACTCACAAGTGAAGGTCGCGGTGGGGGCGCCGCACTTGGCCTCGTCCGGGCTCTGCGACTGGAGTATCTACTGTGGACTATCCGCGTCGTCATATTCCCCTCTAGCTACGAAGAGGATGCATGCGAAGAGTGTCTCCACACGATCCCGACGTGCATGCGCGAGGAGCTGGACATCTTCGTCACTCAGGATGGAGGTGTCCTAGTGCCACGAATGGTGCCTCTTCCTGAGCGCACTACCTCGGATGAGGACGGCGTCGACTCTTCTGTTCACAGCCACGCCTGCGAAGATTACATGCTCCTCAACGTGCGGGACGCCTCCGACGTAGGAGATGTGACGAGCGTTGTCGGAGTGGAAGTCAAGGGAAGCGAGTTACTCGCACTCAATCGCTCTAACGATGGCACAGTCATCGCACTCGTGCAAGGTATTCCTACCAAGGTCGTTGGCGTTCGCAGGGAGGCTTCGTCTCGTCTCTCTCCGCGACTGGAGCATCATTCGGCCGCTGTAGTACGCTTCACACCAGGGGTCGTCGCTGCTGCCCTTGCCCAAGGCACGCACACATTCAACAACGTCAAACGGTGCAAGAACCTCCAAGTGCTCGTCACCCATGCAGACACCTCCATTGGATCAGCGATCGTTTGGACGTATCAGAGGCAGAACATCGCTGTCGTAGGAGTACCTGCAGACGCAACACCCCTACAACTATCCTCCGCACTTCGTTCCGGATTCAACTTGATCGTGTCCGGATACACAGATGCCTCCTATATCGAGCTTCTGAAGTTTACGTCAACGTCGAAAGACAGGAAGATATATCTCTGGAACGACCCGCACGAGGGGCTTCCTTGGTCCCTACAGAACGACCTGTGGTCCGTGCAGGACGCGCTGGAGCTCGTGCTCGCCTTCCTAGAGGTCCATGTAGAGGAGTTGGGTGAGACCGTCGACGGCCACAGCCCACCGCAAGCTACAGTAATCACGTCTGCGAATAAGACACCGGCAATAGTGGCCTTCAGCCCACACAGGACCTACCTTGTCCTGGGGGGTATCGGCAACCTAGGGGCGCACGTCACCCTGATGCTATACCGAGTGAGTGTCACAAGTTGATACGTTTCACACTTGCTCATGCGCGCATGCCAGCATGGTGCTCGACACATCATAGTCACTTCGCGCAGAGGCGCGGCTAGCCTGCAGACAACCTCCAACCGGCTTGTCCGGCGCACGTTCGAGTACCTACAATCGCTTCCCGAGCTCGATCTGCGCCTCTCAGCCACAAGCGCCTCCGACGTCGGGAGCATGACTCAGCTCCTCCGCACGATCTCGGACGATGCACCGCTCGCAGGGTGTATCATCCTTACGGCCACGCTGGCGGACCGTACGTTCGCGCGGCTTGAGGAGGCGGACTTCGCGGAGGTGTACGAATCGAAGACTGGTGTGGTTGATGCACTCCGTGAGAGCGCCGACATCGCATCGCTCGACTTCCTTGTTCCGTTCACGTCTGTTGCGGGCCTGTTTGGGAACGGCGGTCAGACGAACTACTGCGCGTGAGTGGCTGCGAAATGGCCCACTCAATGCTTGTGATGGCTAACATGATATCAGTGCGAACACGGCGATGGAAGAACAAGTGTCTGCGTACTCGAACGCCTTCGCCTTCGTATGTCCGGGCATCATCGACTCCGCGATGATGCGTGCGAGCGACCTCAGCGAGTCGGGTAAGACTGCTCAGCTAGAGCAGTTCGCTCAGTGGGGCATCACAGCGGAAGGTGCGTCTGGAGCTTCGCACCCCCAGCTCTCCTTTGACCACAGAATGCTCACCAACTGCGCATAGACATGGTTCTGTGGCTGGAGGACGCCTTAGGCCGCTTCCAAACGGGCGAACGGTTCGCGCGGTATGTCCCTACTGTCGACTGGTACGCGGTCGAGCGCACGCGGGGCATGCCTATCATTGGGCGGCATATCCTCTCATCTGATTCCCTCGACGACCGTGGGCATAACTCTACAAAGGGTGTAGGTGAAGGAGGGGCAGAAGATGCGGGTGCGCAGATGGCGGCGATCGTACGCGGGGTGCTGGGCGTCTCGGCGGAGGACTTCTCCCCTGAAACGCCGTTCACGGCGTATGGGGTCGACTCACTGTCAGCGGCCCGTCTCGCGTTTATGCTGCGCCCGTATGTGGAGGTGACACAGCTGCAGCTGTTGGCGGATATGTCGTTGAGGGGGCTAGAGAAGCTGGCTGGTACCAGTGCGAAAGAGAATGAGAAACTGGCAAAGTGACCTGGGCCGAGGTGCCATGGTGACTTTCGATCACAGTCTGAGCTCTAGGTGCACGGGCCGCTGCCTGTGGTAGAGAACGCCAAGCTTTGCCTCGGAACCCCCCACTGGTCTTAGCTCGCTTTTCGGTTAGCTTCTTCATGTATTATTACTGTACTCTACAGGAGGGATTTCATTGCTGCTATGTATCACGCCGAAGCCTCTACGCGAATGAATAAATAACAGGACTTTTGGAGCCTGCATACTAATAGGCTAGTTATGTAGAGCACGGGGACCCGGGTAAAAGGCTGTCGGACTCGGAGTGCGTACAACCACACCTTCCTCATTCGGTATGCGGCGCCACGTCATCATGATTCGTGGCTGGGACTTAGTGTACATGGCAAGGTCGGACGCAGCCCCTCGCCTGCCGGCGTGCCGGCAGCTGCCGTATCTGCCAGGTGGCAGGGTACTGGCAGAGAAAAACATTGTAATTACGTAGATTCGGTGCTTTGCAGACCTGCTTTTGCCATGATCTCCCTAGCGCTCCATTGAGACTGCGCCCTGGCAGCCTGAGTGCTCGAGAAGGGTGGTTTTTGCAGTGTTGGTTGGTTGGTTGGACATCCCGTTTATTGTCGCTTCAGGGCGAAGCCCTATGTAGACATTTTCATGGTGTTGTATCCAGGTCCCATTGTTCTCAGGACAGTATCGGCAGTGATACTTGTACCCATTAGACTTGTTAGGGAGCTTTCTTGGTTTTGTGAGATGAGTCGCCAAGAATGTGTCAGCAAATCTGCCAGGGAAGGACATGCTCATCGTAGTTCAGGTAGTACTTGGCAGCCTGAGGCCATGTAGTATGTACAAATTTTACAATGTCAGCCATTCTACCTGTCTGTGGCCTCGCATCTACGGCCCGATGCGGCGACGAATGTTCAAGCTGCTCGAGCTCAGCCACAGGCCTGCCAGTCCTTGCCAGGTAATTGCCCTCCTGCCAGCCGGCAGTTGCCTTGCCGGCAGGGCGCTTGGCGAAGTGGCAGCGGCATGCCAGTTACATTACTGGGACTGCTGTTGCGTACAGTAAGTCACAGTGGCCGGTGCAGCACTCAGGCCTCAGGTATTCTCCTCACCCTCATCCAATTTTCACACTCCGTGCAACGATGTTCACGGAGGTCTCATAGGCAGCACGTGCAAGCGTTGTGGGTTTATGTCATTGTCATAACGTCTTCGAACAACTGTTGTGGCTCACCTAATTGACAGTTGTCGGCCAGTGCGTGCGTGACGCAGCCAGCGACCCCATTGCCGCATCGTCTACGAGCGCGTCTGGTGACATTGTATCTTGGAGGTAACTCACCTTCTACGTAATAGTACGTATTCGTTGATTGAAGCACGGAGTCTGCCGCCTGTCATGGTGGCGGTGGCAGGCGTTCTCCCACCGTCCGCACTGAGCAAGGAGGACGCTCATAGGGCCATGCGTCCTAGCGCTATGATGCATCATGACTTCTTCGGGAGGGCTTGTTCGTCGTGGTACGTTCTATTCTTACCCCATAAAGCCACTGATACCGAGAAGCACCGCTGTTCAGCGTTGTTCTCACGTAGGTATGCGCGCTCGTTCGCCGCACTGCGCTGGCGTGAAATACTTACGTCCGGGTCGCCGCAGCGCCTGATGCAGCCCTCCGGCACGTCGTTGCTTCTCTCCTGTACGACTGACAGCAACGAATTCGACAAGCCCATAGCCAAGTCCTGTCGCCGTAGCTTGTCTGCCCTACTGTAACGCCCGCCGCGGTGCACGCTGGTGCAATTCGCGAGCATCATGTCCGAGTCGTCCACTACGAGTCCTCCAGCAGAGGACGCCCCCAAAACCGAATACCCTCCATCCGAGTCGCCTGTCGTCGAGAAGCTTGTCCCGCAGCCCACCATTACCATACCTGATGGCGGCCTTCAAGCATGGCTATCCGTCCTTGGAGGGTATGTCCATCGCCCGGTGGCGCGGTTGCTCTCCAGTTGACCACCGTGTCCAGCTTCCTCATCTGCACGACGACCTTTGGTTACTCGAACTCGTTCGGTGTCTATCAGGACTACTATGTACTGTCCGGCGCGTCTACGGCGTCGAACATCAGCTGGATCGGGTCCCTACAGGTATGCGACAGTGGATTCCTTATCATTCTTGTTGACTGAGACTGTACCATTACCAGTTGTTCTTTATGTTCGCGATGGGCCTGCCGGCGGGTAAGCTGTTTGATCAGGGCTACTTCCACCACGTCGTCGGGTTCGGCAGTCTACTCTACGTCTTCTGGTACGTACGCCTCCTACCATCCTCTCCATGATCACCGTCTCTCCTCTCAACGGTATGCTCATGCCACGCCTACAGCATGTTCATGCTCTCGCTCGCCCACCCGGCCAAGTACTACCAGCTCATTCTCTCGCAAGGAGTCGGTATGGGTATTGGAAGTGGTCTCATGCTTGTTCCTGCCATGTCCGTGCAGGCGCACCACTGGCGCACTCGCCGTTCACTTGCGATGGGTATCGTCATGACTGGTGAGTTGCCTTTCCTTCCTGCACATCCTTTCGAGACCTATTTGCTCAACATCTCTTCCTTTTCATAGGCTCTGGTATCGGTGGCCTGATATACCCCATCATGCTGAACAGGCTCGTGCACGGCAGCGCAGGTTTCGCCTGGGGTGTCCGTGCAACGGCGTTCCTCACCCTCGGCCTCCTCACCGTGGCGAACGCCGTCATGACGACTCGTCTTCCGAGCGCGAAGAAGCGAGGACCAGGGCAAAAGCCAGACGCGAAGGCTATCATGACGGACATACCATTCTTGGTGCTCGTGTTGGGGTGCGTTCGGCAGGGATAGAATATGGCTATGGTGTGCTGATAGGGTGTCACTTTAGGTTGTTCCTGGTGTTGTGGGGGATGTTCTTCCCGTGTGAGCGGCTTCAGTTGTCAAGAGGGGTGTGTGAGGCGGCGAGCTGAATGGACTGCACCGCATTCCAGACTTCTACTTACAATTGTGGGTCAACCTTCACGGCCTCTCCTCGACTCTCGGATTCTACACGGTATGCACGCCCACCCTGTTCGTTCCCGCACCAGAAAGCCTGACATTCACAACCCCTCCCGCCAGATTGCCATCCTTAATGCGGCGTCGATCTTTGGGCGGACGCTCCCGAACATGCTCGCCGACCGCATCGGCCCGTTCAACGTGCTCGCGCCGATCGTGGTTGTCACCGGTGCGCTCGTCTTCGCCATGTTCGGCGTTACGTCGACAGGCGCGGTCATCGTGTTCTCGATCTTGTATGGTTTCTTCTCCGGAGCTAGTGCGTCATTCAACCTGCTCTCATCCAAAGCGTCGCACTGACGTTGGTGTCCGATGGAACAGCGATTTCTTTGATGCCGCCGGCCGTCGCCACGCTGTCGAAGGGCGTGCATGAGATCGGGTGCGTTCTCTGTCTTCTCCGGACTGGACGTGATCGGAGCATGGAGTGCTGAAATCATTGCGTACCGTCAGAATGCGTCTCGGACTCGCATACTTCTTCACGTCCATCGCGATGCTGACTGGTACGCCCATTGCGGGCGCGCTGTACGACGAACAGGGGCAGTGGTACAAGCCGATCATCTTCAGTGCGGTAAGTCGTTGGCGCTTCTTTCCTCGCCCAGTATGGGTCGTGCGTGCACTACGGCACGATCTACTTTTCCGTTTTCCGCGCACCGCGAAAGCAGTGTTTAGCGTGGCATGGTACAGCGTGCTCACGGATTGACATGATGCAGGTCGTTATCTTCGCCGGCGCTGTGTTCATCACCGCAGCGCGGAGCATCGTCGTGAAGAGAAAGGGCACCCAGCGCGTCTGAGAAAGGAATGGATATATGTAACTCGATTCTAATTCGTAGTGCGGTTGTATGCGGCATACGAGGATGCCTGTACGACTGCTTCTTGGTGTGCGCTGATGTACTTACGGTGTGTCACGTAATTTATATTACATAATGTCCCCAACAACGAGGTCTGGCACAGTTTCGACCCCCACGAATCCGTTCTCTTCCACAGAGCTGGCAGACTCCTCCAAGGATGGGGACGACTTGAGCTCCGTGGCGTACATGAGGTTGATGAACACTCCGAATATCTTGACTTGAGTACGCGCCGCAGCGACCGCAATGCACGGGGACGCGATGAGGGGGCGATATTCGTCACGATCCAGAAAGGAATGCGGACGAGCAACCAAGCAACGGTCGCAATGAGATAAAAAGCCTTGAGAGCTTGACGGCGGAACTCGGACGACATGGTTGGGTCAGGTCAGGGAGCTCTGAACAACGTGTACAATAATGTATATCCCATCTTTGTTGTCCTCCGAGACACGTCGGGCAGTGGCGGGTATATGCCAAGTCAGTAATATAGGTTCAGGCTGAATTCCTCAGCACTAGCAAGGGCTGGTTTCATGGGCAAGAGCGGGTTTCAGGAGCAGGAGGAGTTCATGGGCAGGGGCGGGCAGCCTACTGTACATCGTCTTGCAGCAGACAGGATCGGCACGACACGACTCGCTATTGGTAGCGCTACTACGCAATCATGCTGCCTCTCCCTGGCATGCAGGCCCAAGCTCGGAATTGCATCCTCAGCATCACCATGCCCTCAAACCAAGTGCGTCTTCTTGCGCGCAGCAACCAGATTGCGCGTGACAACTATGATCACCAGAGCCAAGGCAGAGGAGATCTACAGTACAAATCTTCGTCAGTAACAGTGAGGCGCAGTAGAACGCAGTGGAACTCGCAGCGGTGAATGAGTTGACAAGCAGAAGCGAAACATGTTGAACTTCGACTATTTCAGGTGTTATCACACGGAATAGGACTTATCCTTACCCGTTATGGACTTATGTTCTTCATTGCTACATATTACGTACATTCTTGATGGACTTGATCCAGACCTGTAGCACATGACTTGTTCTAGACCTGTATGGAACATTCCACATGGTTCCATCATATTCCAGATCATTCCTTGATGTTCCATCACATTCCTTGATCACATCACTTCGCATCATTGATCACATCATTGATCTAGGCCTGTCCAGTCCTTTCCAGTGCCTTCCAGCACGTTCTATCTATAGTGCCATATCGCATCATCCTGATGTATTCGCTCATTGCACTATATTGCATCATCATGACACGAAGTGTGTATGCCTTACTCATCCTGCTACAGGCTTACACATAACGCTTACTTACGCTTACTGTACGATCATGTGATGACTCTCTCATGTGTATATATACTGGGCTGGATGCCCCTGTAATGTATCAGTCTCTCCTCTTGTCTTACGCCTGCTGAGTCTTCCCTCTCAGTCTCTTGAGACCTTGCAAGCCCTCCATTGACTGCTGTCCTTAACTGGTCTTGTAGTCTGTTAAGTGTTGCCTTCACACTTGCCACTCCCTTTTCACTCCTTGTTCAACAAAACAGACGTACGCTGCAGAATAGGATGGGCTTCCACCAGGGGAATGTCAACCCGAGGAGCGCACCGGCGATGGGGTTTCCCGTCAGTGCGCCTAGGGAGCTGATGAGGTACGCGGGTCCGAAACGAGCTCTAGCCCCACATCGTGGTGTCGTATCAGCGGACGAATGGAATCAACTGCCGAGTATGCATACGCACCCGATCTCGCTCGGGTCGCGCGCCAAGCTGGCTATGCATGGCGCACACAACGACAGATCTGCACACGCAGCGAGTCAGATGGCGACGCTTGCAACGATACAGGGCTACTCACATGCTCCAGAGAAGAAGCCGAACAAGATCGCGAACATCATCGTCCCTGCGACGTCCTTGACACCGAAGAGCGCGAACAGGAGCGCAGCACACACGAGCGTGACGGGCCCGAGCAAGTTGAACGGCCCTAGCCGGTCCGCGAAGTAGTTGGGCACAATGCGGCCTGGGATCGCGGCGCCGTTCATGATCGCCAACTGTGATGCGCGGGGCAGTCAAAGGCGTCAGTCGGGTCGAGGGATGTAAGGGAGGGCAGAGTAGCGTACTGTGTAGAAGGCGATGTTTGAATCTATGCCATGGAGGATGGCAAACAGTTGGAGGTAGAAAACTGCATCCCGATCGTGGTCCTGCGTGAGCACGTAACAAGGCGCGGGGGCTCGGACATGAAGTGAAACACATACACGGGAAGAACAGGCCCCAGTTGTTTAGCAGTGACCTGCACAGAACGGATGAGCGCCGATCGCACGGTAGGAGGGCACTGGTCTGATACACACGATAGATTGAAGAGCATGTAAGGCACGTCCGTTAGGATGGCCTTCATGTTCTTGTGTGCGTTTGGTGCGTTCGCCGCGCGAGCCGGCGGGCGCGAGGTCATGAGCAAGTTGCTCGCAACGAGAAGCGCGAGGACGAGAAAGGCGCTCGCGCGCACACCCCACTCAAAGCCAGTGCGCCCGTTGAAGAGCTTGTTGAGCATGATCGGGAATATGAGGCCGCCCAAGGATGAGCCTGTCGATGCACACGAGCGGTAGTAAGTGCGAGAGATTATAAGAGGCACTGATCTGCGGACACACCTGAGACGACGATGCCCATAGCGAGGGAGCGGCGGGCACGCCAGTGGTGACCTTGCACAGCTAGAGAAGGGACATAGAGTAGCCCGCCGCCTATGCCCATACCGAGACCTTGGGCGAGATAGAGTTGGTAGTATTTGCTGCGATCGGCGATGGATACCATGAATAGCCTGAGGTAAAGTGATCAGAATACTTCCAATAGGGAATTCATGTGTAGAGGTGTCGCCTATCCAAATTCCCTACATACAGTAGCGCATTCGCGAACCCTGCTCGCAATGTATTTGGATCACCTCAATCAAAGAACATGTAGGACGTTGTCCTGCGCCGAGCACCACGGGCGATGGCTGCGTATCAAGGGGTACTCGAGAACACACAGTGCAGGTTGCCTCTGTTTGAGTTTGATCATACGGATCCAAGTCATCGAGACGATACGTGCAACGCCGAAGAGCGGTGCCAGCTGCAGCAACGCGAGATAGGAATACTACGCACGAGAAGACAAATAGGAGAGATCCAAGGAGGAGGGTTACTCTGAAGTAGCCCTTGTCCAGAAGAACGCCGGACAGGAGACCCATCGCGAGGAGGAAGAAAAGCTGCGTACATCAGGAAACTGTGCAATCTCTGACGGTATGTACGTCTGAGAGCCGGCCTTCAGAGCGTCAGAGCCTGTCAGGGCACTCCAGATATTACAACCCACCAGTTGGTTTCAGATAGTGCCAGAAAGTATCAGGTAGCACAGTACGTCAGAAAGCAGATATCACAAATTTCATCAGGAAACCCCTCCTGCAGATTAATTGGCACAAACGCAATGTATTAAGACTACTACATATCATAATGTACGTCTACCCGTCAGAGCACATGTAGGTGGGGCCCGTGCGCAGAGTTATCCTCGAGCGGGATAGGGGCGCGGAACTGACCACATCCGCGCTTATGGCGCGAGGTGCGCGGCGCGCCGGAGACGTTCTGGACGCTGCTGCACTCGAGGGAAGTGCCTGAGTAGGCGTAGAGGCCTCCGAAAAATCTCCTTACCCTTGGGACCCGGAATTGCGACGGCCTCGTTGCTCTCACGACGCGTCGCCGAGGTCTTCTCCATCCTCGCGTTGAGTGCGGACGCGAGGGTCGCGATCCTCGTTGGTCGCGTCAGCGAGACCCGCCGGCGTCGCGCCGTAGAGGCTGGCGAAGTGCGCTAGGGAACGCTGGAGCTTCGCGAGGTAGTCGTCGTTGTGCGCGAGTGTGCGCTGCAGGATCTGGAACCATGCGCTCGTCGTCGGCTCCGCGGAGAGCGCGTCTTTGTGTGGTGTGGGCGCGGGGCCGGGCACGTGCGGGTGGGTTGGCAGCAGATGCGTAGAAGTTGCGGATGCGGAGGGCGGGGCGGCCGCGCGCGATGTACAGTGCGAGGGAGGTGCTGAAGTACGCGCGCAGGAGAATCGAGATGGAAGTGGGGGAGAGGTTCGGGACGTAGGAATGTAAGAACAACACGGAGGTGACGAGGCGGAGGCTGTAGACCAGTCAGTGAGAGTAGTGCAATGGGTGTTGCGGTCTACCTACAGGAAGAAGCCCCCGTCGAACTTCTTGCCGGGCGTGGAATACCTCCCGGCCCAGCCGCCAACACCGTGCAAGAGGACCTTCTTCCAATTGAGCTCCTCGACCTTGCGGTGGACCGCCTCCTTGTCTCTGCCGTTGAGTCCATTCTGCCGCGAGCTCGAAAATCTGCTGTTCTCGCACCTCCAGCACGTTGATCAGCATGGTCTCATCTGCGGAGTTCTCGACGGGGATCCCGACCGCTGATGGAGCGTGAGCAGGATCGTTCACGATCTTCGCAAGGATCACAAGAGTATGCGATTCCGTGACTTCTGTGCGCCCGTTGGCGCGCCATTCAGACCGACTGACGACAATGCCGCGATAATGTTCGATACCGATGAAGCGAACACACTTCCCGTCGAGGTGAAGAGCGCACTTACCCGGTGGTCTTGCACTCGTGCCCCAGCCAGCACGACGGCGAAATCTGCGCGGCGGACTGTCCAGCCGGGGCGCATTGACAGCACGAACGTGTGAGGGGTGCGGCTGCAACTGTTCAGGCAGAGGTTGGAGGGCGGGCTCAGGCGGTGTATCAGCATCATAGGGTACACGCACTTTATCTCGTGCATCCTCTCGACGTCCTGTTTGCGTTATCCCGTCCCCACTCTCTGTTCTCGCTCGATCCAAACCCGTGGCCACGCGCGCCAGTCGTCCGTCGTCATGGTATGTCAGGGTTATAAGGTGTAACATAGGCTGAGGAGGCGGTCGACGAAGACGTCCGTGCGGGCTCATCCACGCGCGGGCGGAACGTCCGGTGGAAGTCGAGGTTGAGCAGCAGAGCTCTGCCACGTCAGAGGGTCGTGCCGGCGAGGGCCCAAGCAGCGCAGGATAGGTCGAAAACGCGGGTCAGTCAATGGCAGGGTGGGTGACCAGATGACGGGTGGATGTCCGCGCGAGCGAGCGGGAAGGTGCTTGGGTACGTGAATGTCGATGTGGAGGAGGAGAGCACGACTCGCAGGCGCAGCTGAAGTGCTAAGCGCCTCAGCCACTGCGACACGTCAGTGACGCGCGCTTGCTACCGTCCTCTCGCTGCACTTCACCACACCTCCATCTTTGGCCTCGGCACCCCCTTCGCTTCGCTTCTACCTACCTCGATCACATATGTGCAAGTCCGTCCGCAAGAGACGTCGGCATGTGAATCAACCGGCCACGCGCCCCACGATTGCGTGGCCCAGCAGCTGCAACGGGCTCCAAGCGACGCGCAACTGTGACGGGGGAGGGGGGCGAAGGATGGTCGCGAAGGAAGGAAAAATGTGGGTAGAAGGCAAAGTGATCAGGTGAGTACTACAGCTCTTGTCGTCTTGCGACCTTGCCTGGCGAACGCAGTCAAACGAATGCCAGCGCGCGCAGGTCTCCCTCTAACGTCGACGCCGACGGCTTCGTTCATCTCGCCTCTCTACCTACTGTCTACTCATTGTACAAGACCTGGGGTATGGCTGGAGAACCCTACGCGACAGGTGCGTACGCGACATCGCTGCGCAGCGCCCACAACCCCATCCACTAATATCAATCACAGGACGTATACCTTACCGGGGCTTAGCATTTTAATCAATTACCCTCGTTTTGCTACGACACTCATGGCCCCGCGGCGCATCCTCCAACTCCCTTAGCCCGCCTGAGGTCGTCTTCCCTGGCACGGGTTCCGCGTCTCCGGGAACATTGCTGTGTTCTGTCTCGCCCTTGAATGGGCTCACGCAGTTCCTCTCGAGGCAGACGAATTGGTTTAACCGTGTGACGTCCGACAAGGTGTCACGCTCTTCAATTAGTTCCAACGAACCGAGGTCCAGCACGAGTTCTTCAGGCCGGAAGCACAAGATCTCGCACCCAACGGACCCTCAGCCAAATCCTTGTAGGCCCGCTGAAGATGAGCGCGCCTCTAGCTCGAGGAGCCAGGCTGCCAAGCACCGGCGCGTCAGCCCGATGAGCCCACGCGCGAGCACGATGGACGACCCGCACGCGTCGAGCAACGTGTAAGCTCATGGATTAGTGCTCGACAACAGAGTCTTGACGTGCATGGGCCCACCGGGTAGTAGTGGGCGCGAGCTTAGTGTGAGTGTTGCCGTGGAGTGCCATTACGTGTTTGTTGGTTCGTTCTCTTGTGCACTCCCCATGTATGTACAGTAGTATGCCATTAGAGCTGTCTATAATGACGGAAATATATTGTTGTTGAGCATATGACATCTGAAGTCACTGAGAGTCTGACACATTATCTGACCACTCTGGATCACTCTGAGACTTTCTGAAGATGTCTGAGAATTCTATCTGACAACAACAATTTGCGAAAATTCGACACCTTGAGGACTGGCCAAATGAACCGTTCTGACGCGATCTGAAGTGTCCTGAGCGCTTATGAAGCCCCTGACAGGGCCTGTCAGAGGAATTGCACGAAAACCTGATGCTAGATCCGATCCAGCTGATACTCGAAGCGGACGCATTACCCTCGCGGGTGTAGAAGTCTTGGTAGACTCCAAAGGCACTGGTGTATCCGGATGTTACGACAGTGACAAAAAAGCTGCATACAAGGTTAGCGTGAGCAATGTACGGACAATAGGGGTCCAGAACTCACCCCCCTACGATGGATGCCCAGGCATGATAGCCACTGTCTAATCGTTGGACATGGAGCTGCGACTCGAGCGTGTTTGCTGTAGAGGGAGCCGGGTCTTTCTCGAGAATTTGGGATGGACTTGCTATCGCGCCCGCGTAGTCACCGTGCAATGAGGAAGCAGACATCGCGAGGTAGGCAGCGATGATGGCCCTAATCCACTGGATGGGAGGATGGATGTGCGTTCCGGGTCGTAAGTTTGGTGAGGCGCGCGTATGCGTGTTGAACGCGGCACATGTTGAACAGATCGCAAGGCAACAGTTCAGAATGGGAAGACAGCACTTCTCGATGGAGTCTGAACTTCTGTCAGATTGTGTATTGCCAAAACGAGGCGCGCAGTCGATGTGGTGTGCCATTGCGGACTCTTCTGTATATCGCCGAAGCTCGATCATCCCGTTATGCCACTGATAGTGGTCTGAGGGGTGATGCCACAAAGTTAGCATGTTGACAGGACCGTAAACTCGCGAATCCTACAACGAAACATGGCAGTTCGTCTGAGGATTACGGAGCATCGGGACAACTGCTCATTAGTCTTCTCTCTGAGCGCGCGTTGTTTCTCTTCGTCAGAGTTCTTGCGCCTTCACTGTAGTGACCCTACTGTCATGTCCAATTTGACCTGTCAACGGCGTCAGAGCCTTCCCACACATATACAGCATTGAAAATTTGATGCGACATACGTTTGAACGACTTCTGGAGGTCTCCTCGCAGCTCACAAGCATTTCCCTGACATGCCATCGTGCTCATTGCGGCACGGCCTTGCAGGGGCCCATGACGAGCTATATTTAGAGAGCAAATCGTGATTGAGCTCTGACAGTAGCTGTTCATCAGTGGCGACCGCCCGCTCAGCGGGAGGACCAGGGTAGCTAGTAGTACATAGCCAGGAGCCGTATGTGAATATAGTAGCAAGCAAGTATGTCCATGCCCCACGCCTGTCGCGACAATGTCTCGGTCTACTGCAAAACCAATGATGATAGACGCGTACACGTACTAGAATTGTCGATGGCAACACCGAAGTGGGAAGCCAGTGTTCATTCCCGCTACCACCCCAGTTCTCAACTGCTCCCGGTTCCCAGAAATCCGTCGCTCCTATGATGATTGACGGGCTATGAGAAGACACATTCTTCTTCCATGGAGCCAAACTTCGCAATAGAGATATCAGAGCGGTGCGTAGCCCTTGAGGTCTAATGAGGAGATCTCATCGCTCGTAACACCCAGCACCGGATGAAACTTTCGATCCTTTAAGTGAAAGATCGATAAAATTGACAAAATCTTTTTCACGATATTTCGTATGAAAGATTGTCAATAAAAGTCAGAAACAATCAATTAATCATTCAGACTCGAAGTATCAGGAACAGATCACAGAAGGATTCATTGACAAGTGTCTTTGATCTGTTTGTGATCCTCTAGGCAAATGATTGAGAACATGATATTCAAAAATTCTTGAACACTATGTGGCTCAATTGTTCTGAAAGGATTGAAAACAGATTGTCACATGGGGTGTTACAATCTGTTCTCAATCTTTCAGGCTGTCACAATCTGTTTCAAATCCTTCCAGCTGTTGATATCTTGGTGAGATTGGAAACAATTTGTATCCCAGGGGTTCAAAACAATTTGCCCAAAAGGATTGACAAGAGATTGTGACACTAGCTGTGACACTGTGCCACTTCCCTATGACAGTGCAGTGAAGGCAATTATGCCAAACCTATGATAAGCTGCCTTCTGCTGGTATGCTCAGTCATTTTTGGTCCCTCATTCATTGCCTGCCATCACATGAGTCTCATTAGATGCACTCAGTGTACAGGGTTGTACTTGTGATTGTACATTCCTAGAGATGTGCATCTCATTGTATGACTAATGAACATGTCCCAGACCTGTGCATGTCCAGATGCAATGAAAGAGGGACCAAAATTGACTGAGCAGACCAGCAGAAGGCAGCTTATCATAGGTTTGGCATAATTGCCTTCACTGCACTGTCATAGGGAAGTGGCACAGTGTCACAGCTAGTGTCACAATCTCTTGTCAATCCTTTTGGGCAAATTGTTTTGAACCCCTGGGATACAAATTGTTTCCAATCTCACCAAGATATCAACAGCTGGAAGGATTTGAAACAGATTGTGACAGCCTGAAAGATTGAGAACAGATTGTAACACCCCATGTGACAATCTGTTTTCAATCCTTTCAGAACAATTGAGCCACATAGTGTTCAAGAATTTTTGAATATCATGTTCTCAATCATTTGCCTAGAGGATCACAAACAGATCAAAGACACTTGTCAATGAATCCTTCTGTGATCTGTTCCTGATACTTCGAGTCTGAATGATTAATTGATTGTTTCTGACTTTTATTGACAATCTTTCATACGAAATATCGTGAAAAAGATTTTGTCAATTTTATCGATCTTTCACTTAAAGGATTGAAAGTTTCATCCGGTGCAGAGGCCCGGTCTTCGATCCGAGCGGAACCCTCGGCCATGGTGATTCGGAAGGGGTGGTAGCAATTCATAAGCGGCCGCGGTTTTGCGTTATCCAAGACCAATGAAGAGAGCAGGGAGAATTCTCAGTTCAACGTTGTCAATGTCGCCGTGACTGGAAGCATTGCCGCAACAGTCGACAGGGATGGGTTGCGAACTTGCGACACGGCGCAATTACGTAATACTGCCAAATTGGTGTCACTGCGGCCACTGCTTCCCAAGCCGAGGACGAGACGTGCTTGGAAAACTCGGACGCATGAAAGAACCAAGATATAACACTATATCATTGAATCTACGCCAGTCTACAGTACTAACATACTTCGTCAAACTATCTTGTAGGATAAGTAACGTGACACAGTCCAGACGCCAGCAGACATGACATGTAGAATCGACATCCACGCCAGTATCTGAACCCTCATACAGCGTCCATGCCCGTCAAGGAGGGCTTCTTGTCCATAAACATCGCGGTCGGCATTATCTTCTCCGTGGGGTCCAAGCCAACCGGATCCGCCTTGATCGTCACGTCGAGGTGGAACGAGTCCATGTCGTGTAGCTCCGTTGCCGTCTCCACCGTATTGCCCGTCGACGGGGTCATGCCACTTCGCGAGTTGAAGTTGAGCGTGGTGAGCATTTGCGAGGTGGCATGATCCCCGTGGCTGACGCCCCGCCCGACGCGGTTGATCACGGAGAAGAACACAATACCCTAGAACGTATTGTCAGTCGGTCATTGCCCCGGAGTGTGGCAGCCGCCGGGAGTATGGGGCTTACAATTATTGGTGCGGTCTACATTCAGAGCGAATCAACATGGTTAGCGCATTGACAGACGGGTTCAGCAGCCGTCGTACTCACAATGTCGAGGATTATGAACATCGCCGGAGAGCCAGCGGCGTATGTGCTAATGAGGATGAACAGGAGTGCGGAGTACACAGCGCCTAGAGCGCGGTTGTCAGTCCTCAGCAACCTCTAACAAATAAACCCCACTCACAGGACTCGATGAGGATGTTCACGATCCGCGTCAGACTCGTCCGACCGGACGTGATCGTGTTGACAGATGCCAACTCCTTCTGGATACTCCATATCCTGTAGGCAATCAACACTGCGTTCCGCCCCCATCATCAGCGACAAAACACGACACGTCGTCCAGCTGGCACTCACGGGTACAGATCACGTTCAGTGTGAGAGTGAGCGCGTAGAAGGCCTGCGTACGGCGCGCGATCGCATCTGCGTTGAACTTGCTTGTTCCGACATTCAGTTGCGTCAGTTCGTGATCAGCCGCGATGCCCATCCCTGTCACGGCTGTGCGTTGGCACGACCACACGAACGAGCACGAGAGACTTACCGAGATCGCCTATGAGGAGCAAGGTGGGGAGGATAGCCACGAGTGGGTTCTGGTTCCACACAACGTATGTTCGGAAGACCTGCGTGTGGTTAGTCTCTGCAGCCATACCAGTGAATGCGAAAGGAGCTGACAATAAACGCGTCCGAGAGGATTGTTACCACCGTATATACGGCTGTTTTGCACACGCTGATCGCGCTCTCGATGTCGCTATAGTATTCACCTGCATAGGCCGGGTTTGACTCGTCGCCCGTGAACGCCTGCATGGCCCGCACTATGTCGACGACCTCGTGCTGCAAAAATGTCGTCAACACCATGCTTCGGGATTCTATTGCAACTCACCAGAGTGATGGTGGCGAACATCGCCAGCGCAGAGACATAGAGGTAGATGTCGCCGAATCGCCCAGCGTGTTTCTTGCGCAGGATGTTCACAGTTTCGAAGTTCATCAGGAAAAGGGCGATTTCACTGACGGGTTCTGACGGTTGCTGATTTGCTGATGGTATGTGACGCCAAACCGTCAGATAACATTAGCAATTAACGTGGCCGTCAGATAGCTCACACATCAGATACAATTCTTGTGTATTGCTGAAGTGCTGACGAGTGACGTTCTGACTGCTAATGGGCAGTGACGGGTGATTATATTACATGCAGTGTACAATGACTTTATAGTGGACTGGTAGCTACTGTACTATAATCATTGGTATCCAAGGCTGAGGCTCCGCCCGCCGCAGCGGGTACGGGTCACAAGCGGGTACTGCAGGTCCGCAGGTCATCGAGTGGGTCCACGAGCAGATGGGTGGGCGTACGAGCCCGGCGAGACGGTGCAAGCGGGTCCGTCATCGTATGTGTGGGCCCATTCATCTTGTGTTCCGTTGCTGACTGTCAGTCGGTCTTCGCGTTGAACTGACTTGTCCAAGTGGCATCAGCGAGCTGAGCGGTTGTGAGATATGCAAGTAAGGGCAGACGGGAGGAACGCGCGCACCTCGAGCTCGTAGCGCATACACATCCAGGCTTCGTCGCCTTCGCGCAGGGTGAAACCGTGGGTCGGTTGGTCATAAGGCGGAGCGTGGGCATGTGTAGCGAGCCTCACGGCTTGGATTGTTTGGAGGGAGGGAGTTGGTAGACGCGCTCTGCACGAGAGGATACATCCTGCTCGTGTAGCGCGCCAACACGATCTTCGCGCGGGGCAGAGTTGCAAGATTCTGGAGCAGCGGATCGCCGGCGAGTGGCGGGGGCGCGGCGCACACGCATGGCTGCAAAGTGACAGCGTGACGGCATGCAAGCTGCATGTAGGCGAGAGCACGTCGGTAAAGGGAACGTGCAAGTCAAACGTGCAGGGGAGAGAGGGTGATGGAGTAGGCCCTAAGGGCTGACGGACAGACCGTGACGTGCTTACCATTGCTATTCAGCCTCGCCCTTCCTCTGCCTTCCTGCCCTGCTCGTCAAGCTCGAGCCGATGATTTGTGTGCCCAAGTCGTCACGATTGTTCGCCCTCGCCACGGGGTGCGTCTCCTGCGGGAGCTTTGGAGTGCCTGTCTGTACTGCTTGCACGGTGACCTCCCGCTCGCGATGCGTGTGTATCCGGACTTTCCAATACTCACATATCCTCGCATCGGACGTTGGCCGCATCGCCGACAGTAGTGGAGATAATCCTGTGGGATAATAAGCGTGCGAGTCATCTTCGTCGAGATAGCACAGCCAGTCAAGATACAGCCATGGATGGAGACATCACCAGTGAAGGGGTACTTCTTGTCTGAGCAGGCAAGGCAGCGCAGGGCGCATGGAATATCAGCATACAGGCCTGCATAGTACAGGACACACCGATGAAGGTGCCGTTGATTGCCTCAGCAGGCGTCTTGAAGCCCAAGTCAACGTCCTTGTACCACTGCTTCTCCTTCGTTGAAGCACTTGGTGGTTGGCCATGGCTCATTGCTCTTGACGGCGGGGCGGTAGGTTTTGGGTGGAATGGACGGCCGGGTTTATCTGTCCACGTTGTACGCGGGCGGGGCCGCCGCGACCTTTGACGTGTCAGTGGGGGCCGGACAGTTGTGAAGTGAGGTTGCGGAGGCGCCAGACCGTGACGGCTGTGAGGTGTGCGGAGGGGTCGCACAACCTCGCGTTCAGCCTGAGGGTGGCATTGCAATGGGGGGCTTGACGCGTCGAGAAGCAGTTCAGGCGAGGTCGTCAGTGCGAGAGTTAAGGGCTGAGAGTCGCGCACTCGGGTAGATGGACGAGTTGGTGGAAAGACGAGCCCGAGGATGCCGCTGTAGAGCGGGTCGAGTGGTTCATTGGTGACAAACAAGGCGGACGAGGTCGGGGAGAGCGTGGAAGGGTGGCAAGCGCGCGCGGCGTGTCGTGGCTCAGGCGCTTAGCACTTAGCACACTTGAACCTCTACCGCACATCCGCCGCCCTCTTGACAGCGCCCAGTGCCCTCGCCCGACCGACCTCACCGCCATGTATACCAGCGAGTACGACTACCTCCTCAAGCTTCTTCTCATTGGCGACTCCGGTGTCGGCAAGGTAAGCCTCGTGCGCGTCCTTACGCAGTCGCCCTCAGAGTCACAGGTCACACCGCCTCCACGTCGACATCCAAAACTTCGACACTGCGCAGAACATCGTACTGCGCACACACTGGACGCAACGGAACAGCAACACGGCGACACGGAACTGGAGGAGGCGGGGATATCAGAAGGTGCGTGCCATTGTGCGCATAGACCGTGACGAGAGGCGAGTCTCTCTTTCACCGTCTTTTCATCTTCCCATCCGCCTTCTCGCGTCCTCTCACCCCAGCGTCCTGCTCGCGACTGTGCACGCTCTACATCCATGGCATTTGTCCGCCGCCGCCCTCTCCTCCTCACCGCCACTACCCGCGACACCCTCCTACGCACCGATACTGTCACTACCGAATATCCCGCTGCCCGCCAGCACGCACCCACCGACGCCCCGTCATGCCGCCGCATCCGCCCTCACGCACGTCCGCCATCCGCCATCCTCCACCACGTCGCGTCGCTCTGTGTTTTGTGCGCTATCGCGCGCGTCCGCCGACCAACATCCCCATCACGTTGCGTCACGCGCACCTGCACCGTCGCGCACCAGCCCGCGACGGGAGACTTATGCGCGCCGGCGTTGGCCATTGACGCGTCTCTCCAGTGCCTGGGAAACAAGATTCTGCTGAGGGAGCAGGGGTGAGAATGGGGTACCGAGGGCAAGTACGACGAGCAGGGTGTTGAGGGGCTGCTGTGAGCACGCAGGGCGAAGGCCCTGCGCGCAAATATAACCAACGAGTGGACCGCGGGCAGGGATCGAGTGTGTGGGCGCAGGCGGGCAGGGCAGACGGGTGGGAGGGTGGGCAGATAAGCACGACAACACACGCCGACTGCGGGTACGGTGGACGGCGGGCCAGCACACACATGCGACGACACACACGGCGACGACAGCGCATAGTGGGCCCGAACAAGACCATGCCCTGCGGCGGTCACGGGCACGAAGACACGGACCAGCGAGGACACAGACTGCGAGGGCACGGATTGATGCGCGGACGAGTGAGCACGCCAACAATGAGCACAACGGACAACAGCCTGACATGCAAACACCGCCGACAAGTACACCGAGCGCGGACGGACAAGAGCAAGTGGGAGCGGGAGCGGGCGAACAATGGGCGCGGCGGACACGGACGAACGCGTGCCCGTAGGGACGAGGTCGAGGCAAGCGTGGATGATGAGTGGGAGCAGGTGCGAACGAGTGTGGGCGAGAGTGGGCATGGACAAGCAGGCATCTGCCTACAGCACGCCTGTTCCTAGTACATCTGAATATATACTGTACACACTCCTTGAATTGCACAGCCTAGTGACCTGTCGACGCAGCTCAGCCCGGTCATCATGACGCAGATACTATACTTGTGTGAATACTGACCGTAGGTGATGCGTTATATGTGAACTTGCTGATAGGTGACAACTGTCTAACGCAGCTGACGGCGTCGGTCCCACATTTCGGCCGTCCTGCTGAAATGCGGCCCGCGTTGCTGATGCCTGATTTGGTGACGGAATGTGAAACTGGAATATCAGCAACCGTTACGGCCCGTCACGGCCCTTCACCGAAATCGCCAAAGTTCTGATGAAGGTCATCATAAGATAGACTCCTGCGGTCAGGAGCGATAGCGGACATCAGATACGTAGCGTTGCTTAGCATCAGAGGGGCGCACCATACGTGAGTGTCTCGAGGAACACCCCAATGAGTTCAGCCTTCTGAATAGAGATCGCCATGGCACTCAGCAGTACCAGCTGCAGGGATGTCTGCGGTTAGCTACGCGGGATCCGTGAGGCGGCGGCGGGGATGGCGTCGCAGCCGAATTCAAGTCCGGAGGTTCTCGTTTATACAACGCCGAAGACCATGCGATCCGCCATCGGTGACTCTCAATCTTAACGTCAATCCGCACATTCCTTAGCAGTCGATGGTTGACGGTATCCAGCCTTCCTGAAGTTCTGCATCAGGGAAATACAACTGTCGCTCACGAGCAGGACCCCCATGCAGTATTATGAACAACATGGGAGAGGAACTACGATGATTGTATGGTCTTGTGCCTGACAGGGGGGATGCACGGAAGTCGTGCAATTGGAGTTATCAGGTTGTCCTTCGCAGCGAAGCATGTTTATGGGAAGCCAGAGGCAACGTGCTTCGAACTTTAAGGCATGGCGGGCCGGTGGTCGGGTGGTCGTTGAGAGTAGTATGCGATACCGATGACCACATGCAAAGCCGCTGGCGGATTCGTGGCTGCGAGCCCGCAGCACAATGCGATTGACAACGACATACTATCACGGTACCAGTAATGCAACTTTTTCACCTTTTGGATTCTACTGCACGGATTACTTACTGGAAGCACTCGGATTTTGCACCAGTAGATTGCTGAGGTTCGAGAGTATCTTGTACGATTTTACACGCCCTGTCTGGTGGGATGGGACGGATACCGAGAGGGAGCAACGACTGGAACAGTAATGCAACTGTTCTCCGAAGCTTGTCACGGCGATCGTCACAATGCCGACACGGCCGATGTTCAAGATCCGCCGTGCCGAATGCTGCTGACCGTGGCTGAAGACGCGCTGGAACAGTACTGCAACTGCAGTGCCAGTGGTGCCGGAGCGAGGTTTACCGGCTGTTTACCTGCGAACATGCGGACGCGGTACAAAAATGAGGTCGTGACGATAAAATCATGTCTTCTAGGCATGTAGTACAGTATAGTATGCACAAGATTCCGAAGTATGTACTCTTCGAATTATATCAGTGGATCGTAATGGTCTGTGCTACTAGGCGCGCTATTACATCGCCAAGTCGTGCGGCGGCAGATTACTAGTAGAGCGGGGCTGTTCTCTAGGTCTATATACAATGTCAGGTGTGTCGTAATATGCAGGTATATAGGGTGAATATGCGTGAGGTGTCCCAGGTGCATACATCGCCACGGGTGGCATTATGAACGAGTCCGAGTCACCACGCGGCCGAAGGCCACACTGTGGCCTGAGCCGCTGGACCTTTTTGGCGATTGTGCGTTTACTGAGAGGGTGTCCAATTTCGCTGAGATGTTTGATCCAATCAACAAAAGCCTTCTCCTGTCCAGGAGTGAGCAGCTGTTGAGAAGCATGGGGAGCCCAATGAGTGTACTTTTACGTTCCTAACGGTACACCCGGGCTGCATATTCCCCGTTGTCAACGGAAACCCGACGCCGGCCGGAGAAATGTGTCCGGAGGTTGCAAACCCACCGGCCGGCACCTGAGGTGCCCATTGTTAGCAGACTGGCCGGTCTTGTTTTGAACGGACCGGCCGGCAATAGGGCAAATCAACAAGTGTTACTGAACAATGGTCCGGAATTTAATCTATGGTTGTAAATGGACCGGCCAGAGATCAGGCACCTACATTTATAACAGACCGGCCGGGACTCATATACCCACATTAATAACAGACCGGCCGGAGCTCATATACCCACATCATTGATGCACCGGCCGGAGCTCATACATTCACATTATCAATGCACCACCCAGAGCTCATATACCTTGACTTATAATGCACCGGCCGGAGTTCATGTACCTACATTTATAACATACCGGCCGGAGGTCATATACCTGCATTGCAAAAGGACCGGCCGGTCATAGTCTACCTACACCAAAAACAGACTGGCCAGGCATGACATACTTACACTACACATGGGCCGGACAGTCATAACAAACCTACATTAGAAATGAACCGGCCGGTCATATGGAATCTGAATGATAATTGTGCCAAACATCCCAGAACACATTGTCAAAGATGCACTGAGGTTTCTGGACCATCAACACACTGGACCTAGGTTTTTTGGGCTTGGAATACATTGACAAGCATTCCCTTACATGCTCCCAATTTTATCAGGTACATACAAACCATGCCCATGCTTCAAAAGCACCATAAATGAGCTTTTCTAGCCTGGAAACAGACCAGATCCAGGTTTTCCAGGCTGGAATTGCTTCAAAGGCTATTCTTGCACATGTGTTTAGCTCCCTAAATCATATTTACAACAGGTCTGAGCCTTATACACCAAGTCCGAGTATTTTGCACAATCGCCGAGATTCCACAAAGTCCCGGCGCCGGGGGTGCACCAAGTTGCGGCGCCGCAGGTGCACCAAGCCTCGGCGCCGCACCGTCTCGTTAAGCGCCGAGAAACATCGCTCGGCGCCGAGACTTGGTGCACCTGCGGCGCCGCAACTTGGTGCACCTGCGGCGCCGCAACTTGGTACTACCTCGGCGCCGAGTTGTGCTAAACCTGAGGAATAATGGAGTTTCTAACAATGATCACAAAAAGATTACTGATGTTTGTTACACCAATGACCTTTTGTAGCTCATCTTATAGGGAATGTTAGGTTCATTAGGAAATCTCCTAATGACACTACAAAGGTTTGTATGTGGTTACTTATAAAAAGTGATGTTTGTGTCTCATTGTGTAGGGAATGGTCTGTTGATAAGTAAATCTTCTATTGACACTTCAAGGATTCTCAACGGTTAGGCCGGTACAGCTGCTTTTCCTGTTCCGGCTGGTAAGTAAACTCACTAATGACACTACAGTGTGTTGTATTTAATTAGTACATAATGAAATTAAGACAAAGGAACACTGTAGGAACAAGAGGTTGATTATCACAAAAGAATACATCATAGTTACAACCCTGCATCAAGGTTGAACTGTCTAGCATTTACAGAAAAGTCAGTGAGTTCCAAATGTAGGCTGTAGCAGAGCAATGTACCTAGGACCACATGTGTTAATTCTATAGAATGTCTCATATTCATCTGGGATTGGTTTCTACATACAGATATATATGTAGGGTGTGGCCATCATGATCATAGCAGAATGTATGAGGATAAATGAAACATGTATCAGCAACCCATCCATACATGACTTGATGAATGTACTTGTTCATCTGGACACATGTTGGCACAAAAGTTGTACATAAAGGCAACAACTTATCACTTCAGAGACATATCACTAATTGTGCATGTCCCTGCTCCCTTCTTACTCTCCTCACCATGGCAGTATTCTTTGCCCACATTAGGTTAGTGGCTATAATGTATGTTCATACAGCCAGCAGCACATATGCCAAATCTCATAGCTTAATCTTCCAAGCTGTAAGTGCTACCAACTTTAGTGTGGGCGCTAGATCAGCCAGAAGTTGTCATAGTACTACACATTTGTAATGTAGTGTTCTGTCTACTGTACAATAACAACAGCATGAGATGTACACATCCTTGTAGTCTCATCATAATAGTTGCTTATCAACCTAATGTTCCCCACAAGATGAGATACAAATATGTGTAGTGCTATCAATAAGCTTACTTACTGGCTGAACAAGAAAAGCTGCTGTACTGGCCTAAGCATTGAAAATCCTTGAAGTGTCAATAGAAGATTTACTTATCAATAGACTATTCCCTACACAATGAAATATAAACCTCACTTTTTATAAGTAACCACATACAAACCCTTGTAATGACATTAGAAGATTTACTAATGAACCTAACATTTCCTATAAGATGAGCTACAAATGTACAAATTGAATACAATATACTGTAGTGTCATCAGTAAGTTTACTTACCAGCCAGACAAGAAAAGCAGCTGTACCGGCCTGACCATTGGAAATCCTTGAAGTGTCAATAGAAGATTTACTTATCAACAGACCATTCCCTACACAATGAGACACAAACATCACTTTTTATAAGTAACCACATACAAACCTTTGTAGTGTCATTAGGAGATTTCCTAATGAACCTAACATTCCCTATAAGATGAGCTACAAAAGGTCATTGGTGTAACAAACATCAGTAATCTTTTTGTGATCATTGTTAGAAACTCCATTATTCCTCAGGTTTAGCACAACTCGGCGCCGAGGTAGTACCAAGTTGCGGCGCCGCAGGTGCACCAAGTTGCGGCGCCGCAGGTGCACCAAGTCTCGGCGCCAAGCGATGTTTCTCGGCGCTTAACGAGACGGTGCGGCGCCGAGGCTTGGTGCACCTGCGGCGCCGCAACTTGGAGCACTTGCGGCGCCGCAACTTGGTGCACCCCCGGCGCCGGGACTTGGTGCATCCTCGGCGCCGGGACTTTGTGGAATCTCGGCAATTGTGTAAAATACTCGGACTTGGTGTATAAGGCTCAGAGCTGTTGTAAATGTGGATTGGGAGGCTCAATAAATGTGTTCTGATGCATTTCCAGCCCAGAAAGGCTGGTTTTGGTCTATTTTCAGCCCAGAAAACTCAATTTTGATGATTCTAAAGCTCTGGAATGGTTTGCATGTGCCTGGAAAATTGGGAGCATCTATGGGGATGCTAAAAATGTATTCAAAGCCCAAAAAACCTGGGTCCAGTGCATTTATGGTCCAGAAAACTCAGTGCATCAATGAATATGTTTCCAGGATGGTGGGAGCAATTGATATTCAGGCTCCATATGACCGGCCGGTTCATTTCTGATATAGGCATGCTATGCCTGGCCGGTCAATGTGTAGTGAAACTATGTCATGGCCGGCCGGTTTGTTTTGTGCGTGGGTACATTATGACCGGCCGGTTCTTTCTCAATGTAGGTATATCACCTCTGGCCGGTGTGTTATTAATTTAGATATATTACCTTCGGCCGGTACATCATAAACAAAGGTATATGACCTTCGGCCGGACCATTTGAAACCGTAGGGATGCATTCCGGCCGGACTATTTCCAAACACAGGGATGAAATCCTGCTGGAGTGTTATAAATGTGGTTGCCACTCTCCGGCCGGTCCATTTACAACCATAGATTAAATTCCGGACCATTGTTCAGTAACACTTGTTGATTTTCCCTGCCATCGGCCGGTCCGTTCAAAACAAGACCGGCCAGTCTGCTAACAATGGGCACCTCAGGTGCCGGCCGGTGGGTTTGCAACCTCCGGACACATTTCTCCGGCCGGCGTCGGGTTTCCGTTGACAATGGGGAATATGCAGCCCGGGTGTACCGTTAGGAATAGGTATAGTCCGCTCATGAATGTGGCATGGGCAGCTGAGCGAGGCTTTGTTTTCCCTTGGAGACGGCGAAGTAGAGTAGAGTAAGGTATGTTATGATGAGAAGCAACCTGTTTGATATTAACATCGCCGGATTGACCACGAATCTCTTTAACAGCTGAACTGATAGCAGCTTCGACTGCAGCTTTGTGTGCATGAGTACGAGCAGAGCTTGGCATCGACCTGCCATAGACAATTCTGGATGCGAAGACAGAGCTGGCCTTCCGCACTTGTAACTCACAGAGTCACAGCCACACATTGCCAAATGCCGTTCATCGGCAAGGAGCGGAGATGAGATCCTGGATTGTCGAGTGGCTGCTCATCACGCTCCGACCTCATCCAAAAGACATTTGCCTCCAGAGGTACGCTGCATGCACGGATTCCACCGGAGAATTTTGTAGAAGGTATCATGAGGTTGTAAATCCATATATCCAGCCTCTCAAAAGAATCGTACAGACCGCAGAGTCATCCGAGGCGATCTAAGCACTGAGATTGATGGACAATGGTATGGAATGAATTCTGTACATTCAGCCAGTTCAACAACACATTGTGCGAAGCGTGTAGTTGTAAGGAGCATGGTACAATACATGATATACAAAAATCCCAGAATATTTGGAGCAGGCAGTGTGTTCAGAATTGAGTAGTTGCATTACTATCCCAGTTGCATTACTGGTACCGTGATAGTACCGGTGGCAAGAAGCTTCATAGAACATTGTCGCCGCAGTGTCATTTGCAGGCTGCGATGACATGGTATGATCATACTGCCAGCGTACCTTAGAGTTCGCGATATGTCATCATTGGACGTTTGTCTGTCTTCCGAAGGGGGACAACGGGCTCACAAGGCATTGCTATCTTCTTGCTATTCATGCGGTGTAGGCTCAGCCAGTGATTATAAGTCTAGCTTCGGTGATAACATTGATGAGCTATGTTTAGTAGCTGGCCGGACGGACTCGGAGGTGCTCACTGCTGTAAGATGGTCATCCTGTGATGATGATGCGGCTTTGATGAACGTTACAGGTGCTTCGCGGCCGCCTGAGCGCAAGAGGGTTGAGCGACTGACTCTGGTCTGACTGCCTGCAGAGTACAAGGCCTATAATCTATGGTGGTATGTAGCATGTCGGTAAGTAGGTTTGTCTGGCAGAAGTCAGCCACCGATGCTTGACGGAGGCTAAGGCGCCCGGGGCCATGTGGTCCTCCGCCACCGCAACCTGAGTGTGCCAACACTTGGCCAACACGTTCATCCTTCACCAATTACGACAGCGCCAAATTTCAAAGGACTTGCTAGCTCTACGACGATGATCTTCCTTATGGATATATGCATACGGCCAGGAGTCCATGCCAGCATTTATTGTTCGAAGGGATCGGCGGTTGCTGATGACTCCGAAGGGGCCTCAGGCAACGTGAATGACGACTCGGCGGATCTGCTAACTTGGAGATTTATACATTTGCTGTAAGTAAGTATCTCCCTCTGCGGAATCCAATTGGCTCAATTGTCTTACAGCTTGCATTGCAGTGATTCCACAGTCCGCTGTCTCAGATGCATTGACTGCGGACAGCGGAAACGTTGCTTGCCCCACATCTCATAGGCGTCAGCCACACGCATGGAGTCCTGCGGTCAGAGAGCTCATCAGACCTAACATTGCCGTCGGAACCTAGGTTGACACGGTTGCGTGTGGATCAGTAGCGGCACCATCGCTGAGAAGAGGGGTTATCTCCAACTGTCAATGCAGGGCTGCTACTTCGTAGAGGTTGGCAGAGCAAACTCCGGTTCTTCATGCATTGCCCTCGAACGACTATTCCCAGGCTCTGGACGCCCGAACGCTATCACCGCCGTTTTCTCCGCGCAGCGCAGACTCGCATAGCTTTGGCGCGGTCAGCGTTGAGTCAGCGCTTCGTGTGGGGAGGGCGCGCGCGCGACTTATATTATATGTCCACCGTGCCGCTGAGCGACGTGCGACCGCCGGCGCAGCGTGATCATTTGGTATGGCGACGCTCACGTTCTCGCAAGCCCTCACGAGTCTACTCGCGGTGTGGGTGTTCTGGCGAGTATCACGGAAGGCATTGGCGACTTCGCCTTTGGATAACATCCCCGGACCACGTTCCGGTTCATTTGTGTCAGGTCAGTCATACAGCGCTATTGCGCGATACGTCAATTCCAACTGAACTATACTATGGGTAGGGAATTATGGCCAGATGTACCATCGGCAGGGATGGAAATGGCATGAAAGACTTTGGCGCAAGTATGGGTCCGTCATCAAGCTGCACGTCTCATTCGGCGTATGTTTCAAGCTTGCGAGATGACTATTGCTAACGATTCTGCAGCAACCATGCCTGTATGTATTCGACCCGACGACTCTGAGGCATATCCTTGCCCCTGATCAAGGCGCACTCGACCAGCCTGGTTTCGTCGTTGAGTGCGTGGACCTCTCATCCTAGTGGACGTCGTATAGTTGACGTTTTCGGAATCGGACAGCTCCTACCAACTCTTCCTTGGTCCTGGCTCAATGTCTGCCACAGGTCAGCTCACTTTCCCATCAGCAGTTTGGGATGTAGCCTCATACTTCGCAGGCGATCGGCACCGTCGATGGCACAAGTTGCTGCACCCCGTTTTCTCGCCAAGGAACTTGCGCGAGATGCTGCCCGTACTCTATAAGACTACACGCAGGGTAAGAATCTGTGCTTTCCACCAGATAAGATACGCTTACGCCGTGGACACAGCTACGAGATGCAATAGGCATGGAAGTGGGAAACGGACCAAAGGAGGTCGACATCCTGAAATGGATGAATCGTGGAGCGCTCGAGTCAATAGGGCTTGCGGGGCTCGGCTATGCCTTCGACGCCCTTGTAGAGTCTGACTCGAACAACCTCGCCAGAGCGATCAAAGCCCTCTTGTGCGCATTTGTTCGACATATACTGCAAAATTAGCTGACGCTGCGACTTGACTCCCAGCCCTGCCGTCTCGAAGCTCGGTATTATACAACAGCTCGCGCCTTGGCTGATGAAGCTCGGGCCCTCCAGTTTCCGTCGACGCGTTGCGGAGGCCATCCCGAATGAGACAGTACAACAACTGGTTGAGATAGTGGACACGATCGAGATGCAGTCCCGTGAGATCGTCGAGACGCGGAAGGCGCTACTTGAGAAGGGCGACGCAGCGCTAGCAGGACAGGCGGGCTCTGGCAAGGACGTGATTACATTTCTGCGTATGTTCTACTGCTATTTGTGAGTGCGATGTGACTGACACTACCTACAGTGAAGGCGAACATGCAAGTGGCCGAGAGTGATAGGCTGACGGATGAAGAGGTCATTGCGCAAATAGGGTTGGTTGAATTCATCTCTACTACTTTCAAAGATGCCTACTCCGAAGCACTGACCGCTGACATTCCAGGACCTTTACCATCGCCGCCACGGATTCCATTGGAAGCATGGTCACCCAAATGTTGCATTATCTTTCTGAGCACCTGGACGTGCAAGACGCACTGAGGCGTGAGATAATAGAGGCACGTAGAGGGGACGACACCTCGTTTGAAGAGCTCATGAAGCTCCCCTTGCTGGACGGCGTTGTGAAGGAGACCCTACGATTGTGGGTTCCCTGCGCTATCGTGTTGTGTCGCTCGCCTCACGTGCCAATAGGAATCCTGCTTCTACTATCATACCGCGAGAGTAAGCACGAGTCAACAGCCCTCACACTGTGTCGACTGACCACGCACGCGCCAGTGCATGCAAGGACATCGTAGCTCCGCTCTCGTCTCCGATCCGGGGCGTTGATGGACGGCTCATGACGGAGGTGACAATTCCCAAGGGCACTACCGTCTTCCTCGGTGTGCGTGCATCAAACTGTAACCCTGCATTATGGGGTGAGGATGCGATGGAATGGAAGCCTGAGCGATGGATGAGACCCTTACCGACTGCGGTGGCAGAGGCGAAGATACCAGGGGTATTCGGATCGCTGTAAGTCCTCATTCGCCGACATCCGTCGCTGGACTTATCAGAACACTCTGTCCAGCCTGAGTTTTGGTGGCGGCGCAAGAACTTGCATGTGAGTGCTCGGTCCCATTGCACTGATTATCGTCCCTTCTCCAAGACTGTCCAGCTGACCTCGTGCATTCCACAGAGGATTCAAATTCGCCGAGATAGAGATAAGTGAGTTTCCCTTCGCTGTCTAGTTGTTCTGTTGACAGGATGATTGCTTTGCAGAGACTATACTATATGTGCTGTTGGAGTCGTTCAAGCTCACACCGCCGGGAAAGGACATCGCCTGGAACATTGCCACGATTCGCTACCCCACTGTGGGAAAGGAGGGTATGAAGCCAGAGCTACCTCTCATCATGACTCCCGTCGCTACGTGACCGACATCGAGTACTCGTGTACCGTCCGAATTGGGTCTGGCAGGCACTGTTCGGTAATTTGACAAGAATTTTGGAGGCGTGCACACGGACGTATAACATGATCAGGGCGAAGATACAGTTTTATACGTAAGAAGCATCCAGCATTTCATCGCGACCTCCAGCGGGTCTACAAGTCTTGCTCTGAGAGGGCCCAGTAACACTCACTTGACCCTGGACCCTGGATTCAGGCACAAACATGTAAAACAGGATTAGCACCTGAATCGTGGTCGTAGCCTACAAATCAGGTAATCTGGCACTGTACGTGGCGTACCCAATTGCGGAGTCAACCTGGGTTGGTCAGGCATGCATCGTCCAAATACATGTACTTAATTTAGTGTACAATCCACACAACTCGCAACCCTCCAAACTACTACACCTTACCCTTCAGTGGCTTGACCATGAGCGGCAGCTCGGGCTTCGTCCCGTTCACACCCACGGTGGGGAAGCGCACAGTGGCGAGGTTCCACACGATGTCCTTACCCGACGTCGAGAAGTCGAACGACTCGAGAAGCACGGAAAGCATGGCCTCTAAACATGGATGTAAGTTAATGCGAGAGTCGCAAGGCTCGCCTGGACGTACTGAGCTCCAGTTCCGCGAACTTCAGCCCGCTGACGAGGGTGCATGTCAACGGATCATTCACACAGGCATCGTGCGGAGACTCACATGCACGACCTGTTACCGCCAACGAATGTCATCCTTCATTCCAAGAACATCAGCACCACGAGAAACCCCCATTTCTATACGACTCACAGTGACGAATACACTCCCGGGATGTGTGCGTCGACCAAAGTACTCGGCGGCGGCGCGAGCCAGCGCTCGGGCTTCCACTCCGCCGCGTCCTCACCCCAGACGGCTGGGTTGATGTTCGATGCGAGGATACCGATGAAGACGATAGTTCCTTTTGGGATCACCACTTCCTTCCTCAGTCGGCCGTCCTTGCCTGTGATCGGCGATGATATGGGAGCTACAACGTCTTTGCAGAGCCTAGAAAACGGAAGTATCGACGTCAGTGTTCATCATAAAGGGATGTCAGGGAGGAACGAACTGGCGCGAGACCTGTGAGGGGGGTGGATTTCTGTGCGAATGGGCCCGTGAGTTGCGTCAACAACGGAACGCAGAGGACAGGACGCACAAGCGGAGGGTCTCCTTCACGACAGCGTCGACGTACGGCAGCTTCACAAGCTCCTCGTACGACAGGTCCCCGTCGCGGCCCTCTCGCGCAGCCACAATCTCACTCCGCAGCTTTTCCTGTATGTCCGGCCTCTCTGCGAGATGCTGAATGATGAGCGCGAGCGCAATCGCAGACGAGTCTGCTCCAGCGAGCACAAACGACCTGGCATCGACTCAGTTTTGTAGTGCCACGCTGGCGGAATATGCACTCACGCCACCTGCCCGAGGATCTCTTCGTCCGTCAGCTTGTCCTCATCTTCCGCCTGCTCGTTCGCCTTGACTGTCAGCAGCGCGCCATCAGCATCGCCCTCTCCCGATACACCTCGCACGGGCACTCACGGAGGCACGTCATCAGATCCCTGCCCCTCCCTTCCCGATTCGCGAGCGCCCCGTCGCCTTGCTTCAGCAGCCGTCTGCTCGTGTCCAAGATCTCTCTCGACTTCCGGTCGAGCGTGTCGACGACCGCGAGCAGGTCGCGCGCGGACTTCCAGGGCAGCGCCACGAGCTCCGCGAGCCGGCGGCGAAATGTGCGCGGGCCGAGCTTGATGAAGAATGGGGTAAGCGTGCGGAGGAAGCCGACGCGCTGCATCGCTGGGCTGCGATGCGTGGTGAGCGGGTATGCGGTGCGGGAAGGGGAGGACGTACAAGAGCCCCTTGAGAGCACGCGCGAAGTCATTGCTGGGGTTCTCTCCTAGCGCGGTGAAGGAGTAGCCGAGGCCCGCTTGGCCCATTACCTCCAGCGCGCCACGGTTTGTCCACTGTAACATGTCCAGCTCCTTTGTGCCAGTCGGGAGTTGTGCGGACATCGCATCTCGTAGCTGAAGTGCAAGGACTAAGTCAGTTGTTCACACAGAGAGCCTGTATGAGGACTAACCTTGTGGATGACCCCATAGATCACTGGGAGCATCTCCTTGAGGTTGCGAGGTGAAAATACTGGGTTGAGGGTCTTGCGCTGTCGTCGGTGGTGGTCGCCTGCGTGACTGAGTATCCGGCGAATCAGCAGTTTGCGTATAGCATCATACCTCGAGCACTCATGAGCCCCGGGCCAAGCAGCAGGCGGTACGTGCTGAATGAGCAGCTTAGACGGAAATAACATTCACTTGCACGACGACGTACGCAGCAATGAAGCCAGACTGCTCGACCGCAGTCGCATCCGATAGTAGACAGTTCAAAGTCGCTGGATCGTAGACGTACAGACATTCAGTCTGTAAGTTCAGTTACAATGTCAGTGGACGTCGCGGTCGTACCGGGCAAGCACGTACTCCGAATGCTGCATGCACCTTCACGACGGAACCGTACTCCGCCCAGAGCCGTCTGTGGAAGTCCCATCCCTGCCGATGGTACAACTGGCCATAGTTCCCTAGAGATTGCGGGCACGTCAGTGTGCGAGGCTCCCGGACCGTGCGGTCGACATTACCGGCGACGAAAGACTCCGAAGGGGGCCCGCGTATGTTATCGAGCGACGAAGACGCTAAGCGCGCCTTCAAGATACGCCACAGAAGCCACGACACGGCACAGAGCGCGAGCCCTTGCGATGCAGAGAAGGAGACGTACGCCATTGCGAAAGTACGATGCGGTAGCTCTGCAAACCGTCTGGTGTGCTGCTAACACGGGCTGTCTGCGTCCGAAGTGACGGCTGCGGCGGCGATGCTATACGTACGTATCAAAGCTTCACATAGTTGAATCAGTCACACGCGCACATGTTCCCATCTCAAGTCCGCTATAAATACGCCATGTCACTGAACGCGGAACATTACCGTCGAACGAGTGGGAACTTTGATCATCATACATAGCATTGCCCAGAAAAGTATACACATACGGATTTCAAGGTCAGCCATGGCGGTGTTCACGCGCAGAAGTCTAAAAACAGAACTGGCGTGCTTCGTCCGCAGAGTACGGACTCTTGTGAGATGGAGATGTGCTGCCGCCGAATGTTCCGCCGAGCTGCGGTGGTCTAGTAAGTGCTCGCAGCCGCTATAGCCATCCATCATACGTCGATTCTCCCGCAGGCGCCTGTGAGGGTTGAGACGTGAGTGCTCTGGGCGCGGTGCTGGAGATCCTGAGGCACAAAAGACACGAATGTAGGTGTTCCTTGCGGCATACAGGCCGATGTTCGAGTTGAGGGATTCGGAGCGGATGTAAAGGTCTAGTGACGGATCAGACCCGGCCTCTGAGCTCAAGAAGCCCACCCAGCAGAGTCGCGTACGCCGTAGGCGGAGGGCAAGGAGGTGTTCAAGAGGTACCGTGCTGTCGCGGAAAAAATGACCTATGACAAAGGAGCAGAGTCAGCAGGACAATATACGATGAATCAAGGGCCGAACGCACCAGAACGAAGTCTACTTACCTGAGACTCCCCAGGACCACGATGAGCGTCTCTCCGCAGCTTCCGTCTGTGAGCAGATTGACTCAAGAAGATTCAGTCCCAGACGTTGACATGGTACAGGAAATGACTTTGCGGAAGGACTGCATCGCCGTCTTTGAGTGGTAGCAAACCTTAGCATCGCCACGGATAACGCACTTAGAGCCTCAGATATACCAGTACAAGCTGAATTGACAGCCAATTCTCGAAGAGCGTGTCCCATATCAGGATGTCTGAGTGTATCACTGTATGTGACGAGTAGGACCTCGAGTCATGGCGCCCGTCAAGTTGTTGAGCCGGTTCTAAGCGCTAACAGCCCCAGACCCTTGAGGTGACGTGGCATACTTGCCTTATTTGGTAACTCGCCTTCCCGATCTGTCGTTAAGCCGTACCATAGTGACGCCTTTACAATGTCCTACGACAACGTATGTGGCCCAACCCGCAGACGTGCTAGGTCCCTAATTGCTTCACGATTGTCTGTGTCAACCGGGAATATCCCACCGGTATCCAGTATCTATCCGATCCGTCGTCGATTGGCAGCCACGCTCAGGAATGTATTGGCAGTAGAGCCTATGACGACGACGGGCTCCCATGCAAGGGCTAGCCCAACTCGAGAAGGCCTGATTGGAGGAACAATATTCAATACGACAGTGTTACTGGAGACAGGAGTACATCGTACAATCTACGTCGTCATACAGCTTCTGGAAACATCCAACGAAACTACGACACAACATGACACAAATTCATCGACATCGACAGCACCACACGCGGTAAATTTACTTCGGCAGATACCCAACGCTGTGCCAGTACGCAATCCAACGATCAACGTCCTCACGCACAATGCCAGGCAGCCCCGGATCCTTGAGCGTCGCAGAGGCCTCCAGCGCATTCTTGAGGTCCATACCGTGCACCAGCGCGTTCATCACATCCGGTCGTGGGTTACCTGGGTCAGCAACAAGAGGGAGGCGGAGGATGTCGAGCAGCCGCAGACCGCGCTCGAGGTACTGCGTCGAGGACGGGTCCGACGTGAACGACAACCCTGATTCAAGTCGGGCGAACCACTCGGCATACGGGGCGAGCGGGAGGTTGAGCGCCGACGAGAAGTGCTGCATCACCGAGGTCCAGGAGACGGGGCGCGGGTGTTGGATGTGGAGAACGCGAGCGGGCGTGTCGACGAAGTCGAGCATCGCGGCCGCGGAGGCGTCGACGGGGATCCAGGTAGCATCCCCCGAGCCATCGGGCAGACAGCCGAGCGCAAGACTCGCAGTGACCATGGACGGGATCCACTCGGTTGTCCGCCACGCGCCGTTCGCGCCTCCGCTCAGCTGCCCGAGTCGGACGATGGAGGGCTGGCAGATGTTGCTCTCAGCGGCCCTCTGCAGCATCTGCTCTGCGATCCACTTAGACTCGCTGTAACCGGTTCCGACCGCCACGGAAGGGTTGTCCACGAGCTCCTCGGGAACAGGGTCTTTGGAAGCGATGCCTGGAAGGTAAGGTCGGTCAGCTAACTAAGATACGGATAATTGGTGCATACGCTCGCTCACGTCGGAAGATGCCCGCCGTGCTTGCGAACAGCAGACGCATGCGGGACTGCGAGCGGGAGGCCATCGAGAAGTCGAGCAGTTTGCGGAGACCAGCGATGGCAGATTCGAAGTTCGCAAGCGGCGTGCCGAAGTCGATCGGCCAGGCTACGTGGACAAGCATCAGCATCGACGGTCTCTGAATAAGAAACTGAGTGACAGGAAGACGTACCGAGATGGATGACATGCGTGACAGTCTGTGCCAGCTCCGCATAGACCTCCGCGCCCAATCCAAGTTGGTACGCAAGAAGGTCACCCTCGAGCACGCCCAGCCTGTCCATCTCTACGACAGCTACGTCCAGTCCTCTCGCCTCTAGCGCTGTCTTCTGCCTAGCCTTCGCGGTTTGACCGTACGCGCCTTTGCGGACGAGTATGTACACCTTGTCGAACTGAGTGCCCTGCAGCAGGTGCACTAGCAGGTGGGCCCCGACGCTCCCAGTGGTGCCCGTCACGAGGACGACCTTCTTCATCTCTATCTCCTCGTTGGCGGGTTCGCGGAGCGGCAGGTCCTTCCCGTAGCGCTCCAGCATCGCCAGCATCTCCTTCTCCTTCGGACCCATCTGCTCCTGCCCGCTGCTCGCCTGCTCTCCCGCGCCATTCTCGAGCGCCTCCTCTCTCCGCTTTTCCAGATCCACGACAGTTAGATCGGCGAGGAGCTGGATCTGGCTGACCGCGACGGCGTCACGCAGCGCGTGCGACAGTGAGGCCGCACTCAGCGAGTCGAGGCCGTATGACGTCAGAGGGACTTCTGCGTTCAGGTCGCCCGGGACGATGTCGAGTACACGGCAGACGATGGCAGCGATCGAAACGTCGGCACTATCCTCCTGTGCACCCTCCGACTCAGACTCGGGAACGAGCGCGTCGTATAGCGGAGAATGCCCGAGATTCGACTGTACGGCTGCCCAGTCGAAGGCGGGGATGTACTGCGCAGCGCGGATGGTGGGCCCTGAGCGAATCTTCTTGATGGCATCGCCGATATGCTCGCAGAGTTCTGTATCGAGGGGTCAAGTCAGCTTATGCAACACTTGTACAGACGCCTGCACGTACCCCAGCCAGTCATGCCCCAGCTATGGAGATGTTTAAAGCGCGTCCAGTAGACAATGTCCGTCGTGGAGATGGACACGTGGAGGCCGGTATCCAGAATGAAGGGTGCGACGATAGTGCAGCCGTTGTTGTACTTGCCGACCAAGCCTGTTAGACCTGTATTCGCACTGAGAAACCGATTAGCATGCGTGTAAGGCAATATATGGCAGAAGAGAGGAATGTACCATGCATAGTTTGTCTGACCAGCATTGCCGAACAAGCCACAGACACTAGAGGTTGCGACGACAAACTCGAGCTTCTCGATCCCTTCCTTTCCGTCGAGCAACTTCTCGAGCACCTGGAACACACCAACCTTGGCCGCCACAGACACCTCGAATGACTCGTGCGTCTGCATCGCGAATGTACGGTCGACCATAGCGGCACTAAGGATCATGCAGCCGCCCAGCGGATGGTCCAGGTTGGAGAGCAGTGCGCGCATCGCAACTGAAGACGTCGCGTCGACGGACTCTACGCGCAACGCAAGATCCGGGAGTGACTCGAGATAGGCGAGCAGTCGGAGTGATATGAATTCAGCTTTCCGAGTCAGAGACTCGCGTCCCGACCGGGAGGTGATTATAATGGAGCGTGCGCCTTGCTGTGGGATTGATTAGCACGGAACATGGAGGAGAACCGGAGTGCTCACCTCATACATCCAGAGCGCGATCTGCAATCCCAAACTTCCGATGCCACCGATGAGCAAATATGTCTTCTTCTCATCGAAGAGGTCGGTCGCGAGTGGGACTTCTTCAGTCGGACGTGTTCCAACCAGTTCCAGTGGCTTGTGAACCGGCCCCGAGACTCCCGGCTGAGTTTCCATCGCACACCGGAGTGCATCGCCAACGGACCACGGGTTGTTGTCCAGGTGCCTCTTCAGTCCATGTCGCGAATCGTCCCATACGAAGGCGCCATAGTCGGATCGGTGAAGGAGCTCGTTGAGAAGTGCGTTCTCAACAGATCCGTCCGAGCCGGAGACGATCACCTTGGGGTTTTGCGATGCGACATGTCGAACGTCTGATAGGGTAGCTGTGCTCGTCAGCTTGAGAACATGTAGTCCTAGACGTCCATAGATGGCAGCGATCTCGCTACCCAACGAGGAGTCCGCATGGGTCACGACGATAGTCGAATTGCGAAGACGACTGGGCTGAACGAAGGTTGCGGGTCCAACGGCCAGTACGGCTAAGACGTCTGCGAAGATGTGAGGAGCAAGATCATCCTGTGCCACGATCTCTACGAGGCTTCCGACGTGCGCAACGACAACATTTGAGAGTTCGCCGAAAGTGATACCGGCAACGGGGCGCTTCATGCCTGCAGCTCTGCCGATGAAAGACCAGGCGTCACCGTACCTCTGCGCAATGCCAGTCACGTTTACCAGAACGTGGTCTTCGGGAACATGTGGGGTGGAGATTTGCTTGAGAATAGATCTAGACTTCTCGTATACCCAGGGTTGGCCTGCCTCGAAGGGTGCCTGGTCTGTCGGAGGTGCAGATCCTACGATCCTCGGTGCGAAGACGTGGCCATCTGCATCGATGGAAAGCTCCTCTTCACAGTTGGGGTCAGCAGCCAACTGACGGAGTGCTGCTTGCCTCTCCTCTGAGGACCATGACGAATCGAAGACGACATCGCGGACCTTCCAAGAACGGTACTCCCTACGAATGGAACGTGTAAATCCGAGAGACGCATCACCATTCAAGCCTTCGGTAGCGATGAACCAAAGGGAAAGTGGGGCGAGAGGGTCGACTTCGGCAAAGAAGCGTTGTAGCTCCATTTCACGTCCACGAGCGTACTCGACAACGCGCGTGTTTGCGTCTGCAGGTGTGCTTTTCTCCGTTTCGATGGTTGCATATCCGGAATCCGACGATGCGTCGCTGATGGGGCTGGAACTTTCGCGCCGACGGCTTGCAATGCCGTCGAGACGTGCCACTCGAAGGTCTGTCGGAGCTAGCGCGAGCTCATAGCGAGTATCGATGTCCATCGCCGTCTTTCCGTGCAAGGCAACCTCGAGATCCGTGATGGTACAAAGTTGTTCCCCAGCTTCAGTGACCACCTCGAAGTCGTATATCAATGATTCTGACATAGGATTAGCAACGATGCTTCCTGCGGCACCTGTACGACTTACCAGGAGTCCACTTCACGAACGTTGCGTGAGTGAAAACCTTAGACGGGAAAGGCTTCTTGAGCAGCGGGGCGTGCACAGCGAAAGTGCCGATCTTCGCTGGAAGGTAATACCTGCCTTTGTCCCGGTTACCGGTGATAGCAGGATGAACAAGGATGTGAAGAGCCGAGTCGAGGATAGCAGGGTGCAGAATGTAGTTTGAGATGCTGTAGTGCAGGGTAAGCGAATAGCTTTTGTCGAGTGCAAGTGCAAGTGCACTTACTCTCCAAGATCACTATCGGCGCCGCGAACCTCCACCAAAATCTCCTCTCGTCCCTGCTTGTCATAACCACGACCACTGGAGACAATCCGCTGGTAGGTGGCACCATATTGGGCAAACGAAAAGCCATCGTAAAACGCTGCCGAAAGGAGTCAGCTCCGCTCGACTGTGCAGCGATATAGCACACCTCTCATTTCGATTGGTTTCATCCGCGAGCGAATTTCGGCGACATCGACAAGTGATAATGGCTCACTGTCGTTGGTCATCGACAAACGGCCTTTTGCATGGATGCGGTTATACTATTGGGAGATTTAGCAAGCTGGCGCACAAATGCGAGAAGAACAATTTACGTTGGGCGGCCACGTCTTGGTGAACTCTGATGCAGATGCACTGTGCACGCTCCACTTTGATCCATCCAACTTGATATCGACGGGGGTCGGCTTCTCAGATGAGAGCGATAGAATTGACATGAATTCGACGTCCCAGAGCCGCTTCGCACCGAACTCTAGCGCCTGTGCGCCAAACGTGTCAGACCGTGTTGCGAGAGGATACACCAGTGGCAGCCCTTACCATCTCGAGGTAACCTGCGGCAGGCATAATTGGCTCCTCCTTGATGACGTGTTCGGCTAGCTCGGGGTGCGTCTTCGTGTTGATGCGTAGCTGCGGGTAATTGAGAGGCCCATTCCGGTGTTGGTGCTGTCGTGTGACCTCAAACGTCTGAGCGTGATATGGGACCTCCTTCCGAGCGAATGGGAACGGTGGAATGACTTCGCCTTTTTGACCGACCACTCCGCACAGCGCGTCGAAGTCGACAGTATGTCCGGCAGCGACGAGCTTGCCAATCGAGTCCATGAAAGTTTGTACCTCTACACCTTGTGGGTTCTCGGAGGACTTCGGGCGGCGAACCGGGCAGGTCACGAGGGCATTGCTGCCCGCCATGGCAGAGATGTAGCTAGCAAGCACGGGGTGAGGGCCTAGCTCAATGAAAGTCGCGTTTGCTTGGCACTTGAGTAGTGCCTGCATCGCGGACGTGAACTGCACCGGACCACGTGTGTTGTCCCAGAAGTATTCCGCACTGAATGCTTCATCCCACGGCGCCCCCGTCAGCGTCGAGTACGTCTCAACCGTCGGCTTTGTGACTTTGTAATTCGGGAAGATCTCGCCCACGCGGCGTTTGTAGTCCTCGGCACATAGCTCCATCATTCCCGAGTGCACAGGGATGCGCGTACGCAGCTTGGTGGCAAACACTCCCGCCTTCTTTGCCTTCTCGACCGCTTTCTCGATGTGGCCGGTCGCACCGGAGAGCGTCACTGCGTCGGGCGAGTTGTAGCACCCGATCTCGAGTACCCCGTCGCCGAACTCTGCTGCGACCTGAGCGACGATCAACTCCGCTTCTTTCGGAGAACATGCGAGCGCTGCCATCGTGCCGTCTTCCTTCTCCAACAAAGACATTGCCTTGCCGCGGGCGATAGCTAGCTCGAGCGCCAGAGCCTTCGATCCTGCGCCGCTGGCATACAACAGCGCCACTTCACCAGCAGAATGGCCAACGACGGCATTGGGTTTGATGCCCAGCGCAGCCAGTGTGTCAATCAGAGCTAGCTGAAGCATAGTGAGCGAAGGGAGAGTAATGGCGATCGGCCACACGGCGCCAAGGGAGTCGCTTCCGATGAAAGAATTGGCGAAGAGGCCTATATCGCTGACGAGCGACTGGCCAGTGGTAGACAGATAGACCTGGTCGAGTTCATTGATAGTGGTGCGGAAGACGGCGCAACTCTCGTAGAGATCGCGGCCCACTGCGTGCACGGCCCGTGTCAGCACCGACTCGCCTTCGATTCAATGGTTCACGTACTGTTCCAATGCTGGGGACCTTGCCCCGAGAGCACAAACACTATCGGAGAAATGCCCTTCGGCGCGAGGACTGGCTCGCTGAAGCGCGACACACAACCGTTGGCGACGACAGCGTACGAACGCCAGGTCATGGACCGAGCGCGACGTCCCAAAGCGCGCGAGACCGCACTGTAGTCCACATACTTCCCATCAAGCTGGTTCAGCGACTCATTCAGCGCCGCCACCGAGCGCGGGGAGAGGCCCGCAGAGATGAGCAGCGCGATAGCATCTCCGCACCAGAACGTCGAAGGGATCTCAGTCAGGGAGGGGGCGCCCTCGACGACAACATGTCCATTCGCACCACCGATCCCCGAACTCGTCATCGCGATGAGGGGGCTGCCTGACTCCGCACGACACCGGAGCACCTCCGTCTCGACAGGAACACGGAAGCCGTACTCCGTCCAGCGGATCTTCTGGTTTGAGTTCTTGAAGTTGACCGTGGGAGGAACCTGACGTGTCTCCAGTATAGAGCAGACTTTGCTCAGCGACGCCAGGAACGCAGTGATCTCTAAGTGTCTGGACGAAAGTTGAGGTCAAAATCATACGTGTAATTTTTTGTTTTGACGAGAGACAGCCCAACGTACCCAATGTTACCCTTGACAGAACCAATGACGAGCTCATCATCGCGCTGGAATTCAGCGCCGACCCAGTTCGCTTCGGTCGGGTCTCCGGTGGCGGTGCCTGTTGCGTGCAACTCGATGAAGTCTACTTCCTTGGGAGAACGACCTGCCATGCGGAATGCGCGGATCATTGCGTCCCGCTGTGCGGACGCAACAGGCGCGTTCACAGGGGCGAGGGACCCGGACGAATTCACTCCCGTCCCGAGGATCTGCAACTCAATGAGTAAGCGGGAAAGGGGGCTTCGAACTGCAGACCTCACATTCGCGTATATTCTGTCATTGTCGCGGAGAGCGGCTTCGAGGGGCTTGAGGACAATAGAGACAACGCCCTCTCCGCGTCCGAAGCTGGAGCATCACCCAATGTCAGTGGGATTTAGAGCATTTTACGAGTATGGATACTGACCCATCTGCGGATGCATCGAACGGCTTGCACTTTCCATCGCGCGAGAGGACGCCGCCTTGGGTATATAGCATCCACTCGGAGAACCTGTGGTTGAGTTGGGCACCTCCAACGACAGCCGCCTCACACTCGCCATTTCGCAGGGCCTGTACGGCAAGGTGGGTGGCGTACAAACTCGAGCTGCAAGCGGTGTCGAGAGGAAGAGAGGGCCCGCGGAGATCGAGGTGGTAGGAAACACGATTGGCGACCATCGACGGACTGAACGCAAACGACCCTCGGACCTCGGCGTCGTCCTACGTCAAGCAGCCGCCTGTTAGCCTGTGTGAGTGCGCGAAAACGTCTGAATCACGTACATGACCAGATACCGAAAACACGTCCTGCGCAGTCCCGGACATGTAACAGCCGACATTGCCGCCCCGGTAGTCGATACCAGAATCCAGCAAAGCAAGAAACGTCGTCTCAATCAATTTACGAGTACCCAGCGGCATCAGCCGTGCGTCCTTGCTAGTGATCCCAAACTCCACGTGATCAAACAAGCTGATGTCCTTCAAGAATGCGCCAGTGTCTGTAACAATCTGGCCAACACCGTTGCCCTTGATCCTACGAGCTCAGTCAATATCACGGTCAAGTGGTATTGGGGCGTGTCTCACGCATGGATGTTGAAGCGATCAATGGGTATCTTCTCATAGGCTTCTCCCCCGGCTAGTAGGAACTCGAAGAATGCCTTGTGGTCGAGGTTCACCGAACTGAACGCTCCGCTAGGAAGTTCTGCGGCAATGCCGACCTAATTGACTCAAATGAAAGGGGTGAATGAACATACATTTGGAGGACTTACAATCGCAATGGGACATAATTCAGGAGGAGACATCAGGGCAGCGACTGGGGACGTGAGTGTCTCACATCGCATGCTGCCGTCTTATGCGAATTGACGATACGTAGCAATTCTTCCGCCGTAGCACTCGCATCATGCCGAACTTGGAGAAGCAACCGCACAGGTTACGTTCATTTCATGCTCCTCGCGTATATTGTCTCAAATTGAGTCCAATTTGCCTTATCCATGACACAACAGACGAGGACAGACTTCGCGCACGTCCACAATGCGGTTTCTTCCGTCTTACCTGGTATAGGGCATGTAGCGGATGCTTTCTGCAACAAAGATCCGTGATCGTTCGCTAGCGGCGCCCTGATGTTGGCTTTCTGTAAACGAAGCATTGGTGATTAGACGTGATGTCCCCCATCCTTCCGCACTTCTACCGTTAACCACGTTGCTACTGCTCACCTACGATACATGGAGTGTGAGAATGCCATTCGTCGCTGTGACGTGGAGAGAGAATGATTCACCCTACGCAATATGAGAAGGCAATACTCTCCCATAACGTCGTCAGCACCACACTCGACACTCGAGAGTACTGGCGTTCAATTGTGTGGCCAGCGCGCGCCAAACGACATGTCGTGAACGGGCCGACGAGACGGTCGTCGTGTCCGCGGAGGAGAGCCTTCCTGAGGCGAATTCTGCGTCGACGTCCTGTAGCTTGTGTCGCGCCGGACATGCGAGAAGCGCAAACATTTCTGATTGGCCATGACCGACGGTTCTGACTCTTCTCGCCTGTTCTACCGCGCAGCTACGAGCGCTGTTCGCGTCTGCAAATTTCAGCAATCGTTCAGTTGCGACACCGCTCACCCCGACACTATCGAGATAGATCCGCTGAAGCGCGGGAGGGACTCACGAAATCTGACGATAGATCTTCGTGCATAACTATTCGTTGACAGCTTCTTGAGATCCCAAAGTATTGATGAAGCCCGTCCTTTGCTTGGGTTGGACGGCACTGAGCTGCCTATCAGTATCAACAGAGTGAAAATGTGGTCAGTTCAGAATCGCGAGGGCGCTATTTTCAGGTGTCGTGAGCTATCGGAAGGAAACATCTTTCTGTTGCTGTCAGAACTTCGAGACTACTCCACAATGGGGACATCGACCTCAAATACTGTTTAAACATGAAGGCGCAGTCAGAGTGATATGTCAGAGTGATAATCAGACGTAGCACACGGAACGCACTGTATTTGATTGGAAACGCCGTCCCTTTGTTCATACTCGCCAGACGCACGGGGTCACATTTGTCCAGCTTACTTGAATGTCCATATTCTCGATAAACTGCTTATTATCCATATGCCAAACAGTTGCTCCTAGCTTGCGAATCTGTTGAGAAGACACGAGGGGAAGGCCTTCGATGCTGACTCCTGCTTAGCGGCATTGGGTCTACACTGCGTTCCTTCCACCGATCTCTCCTCCTCTCCTCCTCCGGTCCATGCTTGTGACGTGGGACCTCCGTCACACGTGGATCCGCCAGATATGAAAAAGTCATCAGCTTGTTGAGCAGTGAGGAAAAAACTCACTGTGCAGTTCATGACGTCCCGCGGTACCTCAGTCTACCTCAGTAACCAACCCCGGTATCATTGTAGGTGAGAAGAATGAGGAACGTTGCGTAACGGTAGTTGCCGGATGAACATCAACGCAGCGGAAACTGCCGAGCCGAGACATGGCGATTTCCGCTTACGTATGCAGGTGGCTCACCGGTAAGTACGAGGCTCGGAGGAGGAGAGGAGAATTTTCCAGTACTTCAGTACTGTTGTGAGCTGTTCTGAGCTGAGATCAACCATCATCGATCATCTTCAGCTAATATCGTACCAGCTCAGCCTTCCTAGGGCGAAAACAACCTCCAATCACATTAAAGGTGCTGCGTTCGAGCTTGATACTGCATCACTTCTTACTCAGGCAAGTGACCGGTGGATTCTCAGTTGCATGGTGAGGTGATATGGGTCCAGGTCCTATTGATATTGTTGCATACTGGTTTCTGCCCCAAGAAGAAGAGACCGGGACTGCAGGCGCGAATGCGCCAAGATACCCTGTGATAACGGAGGACTCGGATAGATTACTCTCACGTCAGGCGTAGCTGGTAGCTGCGAGGTAAGCTGTTCCTATCCCGAGTCGAATGGTCAGGCTTTGAAGACTCACACGCAATTCAATGCTCAAGAAGACCACTGGCATACCTACCGGTCGCAAAAAGGTCTCCGACAAGCCAGGGAGTTAGATGTAAGTCCGTCATCCGCGGAAGGCTTCATCAAGCTTCTGCGAGGCCCAACCTCAGTGGCAGGCTTCGATACCGTGTACAATTTGCGACATCTTGTACGACTCCAAGTACTTTGTGCTTGCGATATATTCGCAACGAATGTTGATACAGACCATCGCCTGCGCACCCGACGGTGTAGCACTGAACGACAGGTCCGGGTTGACTCACCGCCCTCGGTAGAAGCGTAGACCGTGTGGCCCAGAAATCCTCACGCAGGCAATCATTCCGAGCATATCTTTGACAAACGTTCCCCGAACCAGTCCCCAATACAGTGTTGCCGTCCGTCGGCGGGTTTGGAATGTAAGGGCCCATCTCATCTCATCGTCGCTTCCTTTGATATCAACGTGTCCGGATTCTTCATCTAGCCATACCTCTCTCATGAAGGCACGAACAGGCAATCGGCAGCGATACGAGCGATCATCACCACCGGTACCACTGCGACACTACGTTGACATACTGTTGTAGAAATTCCTGTAGCGGCGCAAGCGCCGTCCCCGACTCCATGTGGGTGCCTGAACTGTATTATGAATGAACATCGATTGAGCAGTGAGGGTGGTGTAGATAAGATGATACAATAATCTACATAGATCTTAAACTCCGCTTTTAGTGGTACAACATAGACCTAAAGCGGAACATAAGTATCAGCATCACTACTGTATACTAATGCTGTCTCCTTCTGGGTCAGATACACCTGTATGTTCCAGCAGTACAGTTGGTTGATCATCTGCATGTTTAGAGTTGTCATGCATAAAAGCCTCTGCAGGACGTTCTGTAAAACCTGCTGCTTCTTCTTGGAAGATTTCATCACTTTTTTGGTGAATGTCTTGGATGAATTGAGCATCAACACCAGGAAGAACACCATCATCTGGAAATTGATCTATGTTACTCTGATCCAACAGGATCTGCTCATATAATTTGTTATGGTGCTTCAACCAAAGAAGAAAATGCCATATTTTGGCTTTTTGCACTCTGAATGTATTGCCCAGGTCACTGGCTTTGATTTTATGAGGTCCAATAAATACAACTGAGAGATACCCAGTGATGTCTGCAGGAGTTCTAGGAAGCACTGTTGTTGTTGATATGACATACATATCATGTGTTATGGTGCTTCCATGAAAAATCTTTGGCTGTCCAGGTTCTGAAGATCCATACAAATGGGTTACATGGGCAGTGATATGATAAATAGCACATGCCATCTCTTCAACCCATGTAAGGTCACAAAATTCAGTAGGAAGATAACCTCTATATAGATTATTTGCCAGTGCATATCTGGGCATAGCTGGTTTCTTTAGGGAATTGTAGCAGTCTGAACATAGTGCTATTCTGTGATTGATAGGATCACTGCATAGCAGCCCTTTTTTTATCCAACATGAAGCCATCCAATTCATTTCCATACAAGAATTCATTGGAATTTTGTTGTACAATGCATTTCTGAATAATCCATGGGTCATGTACCTGCAAAACAGACATGTTATGCACTATGTTGGGGATTTGATTCATATCATAGATCTTTGTTTTCAATCTATGGGCACTGCTAGAGTACACAGAGCAGATGAGAGGAGAATGCCATTGTGTTGCTTTCCAATAATTGTATGCACACTGTAGCTCAGTCTCAGTGCTAGGTATGGTAGGCCAATTCATTTCTTCACTGAGGTATGATTGCTTTAGTTGTATGCTCTTGTCTTGTCTTTTCAACCTTCTATAGTCTCTTTGATACTGAACTTGCTGCTGTTTCCTTATTTCTGGGAGTGTGTTATGGAATATTGCATTTATCACAGCATCACCATAGTATGCAATCAAGATACTTTCAACAATATTGCATGGCTTTGGCACATTAGGTAACGTGTTGCCACTGTATGTCACAGCTGTGAAGTATTGTTGGTACACTTCAGCAATACTCAAGTCACTGATATATTGCTTAATGGCCAATATCTTGGAAACCAGTATTTGCATTGCTCTTGTTTTGCTCTTCATGTAGTCAGTCTGAAATATGGTGTAACAATGATCTAAAATGTCCTTGTCTAAACATTTCAGTTGGCTGAGAATATGAGGGTCTATATCAGGAACTGTACTTGAATGAGCAACATCATGTGCTATACTGGAAAGCATAGGAGATTGGCATAGACATTTCAGAATCTTGCAGCCATATAATTGTATATAGTAATGCTTCAAAATTATATATCTACAGTGGAATGGTGAACTGAGCAGCAGAGAGCAGTTGCATGTTTGGCACAGGAGAACATCTGACATATTTGCCAATAACACTTTAGATGAGTTGAAATGCTGCAGTAGTTGCTTAGCCAAAGATGCTTTGGATTGCCTGATACCTTGTGTCTGATCAACACATGTACAAACAGCAGCCCATAATTCAGCTCTGGTAAGGGATTGTAATTGCTGCAGGTAATAATCATCAGTATAATAGAACCATGAAGGATTGCTATTCATGATGCCTGGGACTGTGTCATTAGGGACACTTGCAATTGTATGTGGTATGCTGTCTGATGATGAGACTGGTATATAGTCTGCAGAATCATCTGGTAAAACTGGTAGTGGGCCTGAGACACTGTCTGGTAAAACTAGTATTGAGCCCAAGGCCCTATCTGGTAGTTGGGAAGTAGGGGCAATACTAGTTAGTTGTTGTGACATGGAAATGGCAGCTGCTTCAGGGGGGAAGACAAGATGTGTTGAAGTGAATGTCTCGATCATAGTGGCAGGAGGCATGTTATATATGCTCGGAAAAAACCGGAGGAAGATCCGGCCGCACGAGCGGAACACAGAGCCAGGCAGAGCCTCGGTCAGACGCGAGCGCACGGCTTGCATGTGGACAGTTTCCCTATGCGGTATCGCGCGTACCATATATGGACGAAGGTTTCCCACGGCGACACGGCATCCCCGGCGCAATATCGTTTCTACTTGACAGAGCCCTCCCTCCCTTCGGGAGGAGTCGGGGATCCCACGGGAATCACTAGCCCACCATGTGGTGTGTCTCTCACAATATGTCATACACTGATCTGAGCTCCAGGGTCATAAGTTGTCACAGCGGTCAAGTCCACAGTTTTTAGGCTGTGCGAGCGATCGGTACGAACAGTTATTGAGCGCGAAGCAAATCATCGGCGGAGTGATGGCCACACAACTTTGCAGACATACGACGAATCTGAAAATGAAATGGCTGAGGTCTTGTCCTCGCAAATGAGTTTCCCCCTGCTACACCCTCAAGGAATTGTTTTCTTGCGTCGTTTCCGCTCAAAGTCAACGAGCACTGTCGTCAGGACCGAGCAGCACGTTTAGATTAAATTACCATCGACCAAATTGAAGACACTCAGAATGAGGCATCCAAGGTATATATGCCGATCGTAGCGATACCAACAGAACAAAACTGCTCTCGCGCTGAATTCTATTCCCGGGCCAGAGATACCTATGTGACATCATGCGTCCGTTGCTACACCCTGTGGTGCATCTTCCCCCGCTGAACATCACTTTAAACCATGAAACCCTCGGTGTGCTTGCTCGATGTCAGCGTCGAGTCGGTGACGTCCGCCGAGGAGTTGTGGGCAAAATGAATGCTCGCGGTAGTACCAATCCTGAATCCTTTCTCCTCCTTATTCTTCATCTTCGTGCTCGTCTCTTCGGTCCAAGCCTGGCCCTTTGCCACCCGGTATATAATGAGGTAGGAGCAGATCGCCTGCAAGTCAGCCGTGACGAGGCTGCACTCAGCGCTATTTTTAGAATACCTGGAGAGTGGCACATACCTGAATAGAGTTGACGTAGTTGAGGAAGAAGTCGGCAACCTCGACGCCCAACCCAAACGTCACGAGGAACGTGATTGCGAAGGCGGAATAGAGCACCGCCGATTCGACGACAATCGTCGCGATATTGGCGTAAAGGCTCGCGTGGGGCACGCCGAGCACGGCGAGAATGCGGCGGCGATAGACAAGCAGACGGCCGGCGATCAGGAGGGAGACGAGGATGTTGGCCGCGAGCGAGATGACGTAGTAAGAGAGAGTGAGGTTCGCGACTACGAACGGTGTAGAATCTGCGCTATCGTTGAAATTGGCCATGTCCTTGAGGACGACGATCCCGATTGCTGAGTGTGTGTGTAAGTAAACTAACGTCGCATCTCATGGTGTTCGTCTACGTACTAATAGAGGCCATGACCATGATACAGGGAGCGGCAAGCAAAGGTGCCACAAGCCACGACTTGCGAAACTCGCTATAAAAGACCAGGAACCTCCAGACCTGCGATATGAGTTGTTCAGCACTGTGTTCTGGCGACGGGCGTAGAGATAAACTCCTACCAAGAATATGTCGAGTAACCAGTTGCTCACCACCCAAGACACGCTGCTCGTCAGGCCAACGGTGTCGGAGAACATGGCGTTGAGGTACGCTCCCGGTCCACCTGGGAAGTTTCGGTTCTCGATGAAGGCTTGCTGGGTGAGCAGAGAGTTGGTGATCATGAAGACGGTGCCCAGCCCGAAGATGATTGTGATGAACACCAAGAGAAATATCTGTCGCTTGAAGTTGTAGCGGTCCATGTTCTGGAGCAAGGCCATGAAGCACATGAAGAAGAGTGTGAGCTCGACACCATAGGGTATATTCTCCAGGATGTTAGACTGAAGCCATATCTTGTCGAGGTAAATCTCGGAGGCCGTCTCATTGGGAGCCCATGAATTCGACATTGTCTGTGTTGAACATGATTAGATACAGTGAGGAGACAGCGCAATGACTCACGACCTAGCTGATCACGCAGTGACCGTTATTGAGGGAGGGAGGGCGCATCTGTTGCGACCATACAGATGCTGTTATACGCTCGGGCGCGCAGATCATCGAGATACATCATATGGAACGCACGCTCCGGTAAGGTAGCCTTGGCGCTATGCAGGAATAGTCCCGAGAATCTTCATCATTTCTAGACAGCACTCACGTCCGTAGTGGTTCTACGAGTACCGGAGACGGGTTCACTATCTGGTTTTCTTCCGCCATACAGAAGTCACCTTGCAGTAATCGTCGGCCATGATACGGGATCGACATCATGGCTATGCCATTCCCAGGCGATTGACGGACGGAGGCACGGAACTGGCCCCCAAAATACTGCATGCGCAACGTCAGTCTCAGGCTCCCTGACAGATCGGTGCGAATGTCAACTATGAACACTAAGTTTCGCGGATGTTCAGCGAATGAGGAGAAAGGTCAAATCGGCGGCAACATATCAGCGCATCATGAGACCTGCTGTCAGTTATGATAGTGGGCCAGAGAACCGCACAATGGGGTGCATGGCTCAGTCCAGAGATCCCCGAGCGTGCATGTATGGAGATTCAGAAGCTGGGCGTAGCGCCAGAGGGCTGGGAAGTGAGATGGCAGCGCTGACGCTGGCTCGGGTTCTGCGGTCCAATGACACACGAGCGGTGTAGGTGCCTGAACCACAGAAGATATGGGTAGGACTTGGATAGGACCACTCAAGATGTACAGTACTTACCATCATACATGACTTCAGAGATGCGAAGTTTACGTTATGATCACGACGCGTGCCAACGTGGAAGGCCCGTTGAAAGGGGTACTGCGATCATGGCACGCCTGTCAGTTGTGTTGGAGGGTAGATCTAGACGTGCATACCGTGACGTGAGTTTGCCATTGCTACGGACCCATGGTAGAAGAGTCAAGGACACGATACGTTACAATTTCGAACCCGTTTCAACTTTCGAATTGTCTGAGTTCTAATTTCTGTATCGTCCGAATCACGTGACTGCCACAGTACGCAACTCTTGAAGCTTGAACATTTGGACAATGAACTCGATTCACAGAGCGTGCATGTCTATGTAGACTCACTCCTCCTCCTTTGCACAATCTCTTTCGAAGGCTGCAATCGTGACAGTACATATCCCACCCCTGCCCGTGCCCAGGATAGCGCGATCCGGGCCTTCCTATCGCGGCGTTGAACTTGAGCTTGAGGGATACAAGTCTCTTCTCTGGACTACACCGTGTTCATCTTCGGCGAAACTCAGCGGTGATTCACTGATCTGTCAAAACGTGTACCAGGCAGACGGAGGTGTTGAATAGCGAAGGGCAGGAGGAATGACACCGAGGTTAGGTCAGCCGCGCGCTGGACGGAAGGTACGGTGGGAAGTTTATTTTGGTGGCAACCGGTATCCTTGCTGCTGGACATACGTTGCATTGATTCTACAGTTCTGTACCAGGGGCCGCATCAGTAGTCCTGTCATGGCGCCACGAAGGCAGCCTTCGACGACCAGGTGTTGTAATACCAGGCACGCCTTCGGCTCATGGATTGCAACGCTCGACGACTCTCAGGCTGTACTCCCCCTTATGTAAATGGAGACCGCACAAGAACCCCGGTGAGGATTTGACCCCCGCGTTGCTATAATGCGTTACGAATTCATGTAGGTTGCTGATCAGCCTCATAGTCTCAAGAGGATCGCCATAGCTGCTCCGTACCGGGCAGATTCAGGCTTTAGGTTACAGACAGGCGGACTCCGTGGTCACCGATTCCCGCCTGATGTCAAACCCTGTGTAAATTTTTGGGGGTGTTTGACTGCTGTTTGAAAGCTTTCATGATAAGGTCGGGTCGATGCTGTCGCATACACACGCATATCTCTGATCCTGTACGAAGGTAGGAACGGAGATCGGAACAGTCGTTTCCGCATTGTTTTCGCTTGGACCCCTGTCACCGAGTGTGCTTGTCGACCTCTTCCATCTCGGAAGAGACGCTTCATCGTCTGGAACTTACCCAGATCATCCCACATCCTGCTTTGTCTGTCACGGACTTCGCTACGAGCCCCTGCCGCATGTCGGATGACAAAATCCATCTGTGGGCGACGTCAGCTTGCCTCCCCGAGTCTTTCGGTCAGCGCTGCCATATGACCTGCTAGGGACGTGCTACATAGGCGTCCGCCTGCCTTGGTTGGTCCTTCTGTGCGCTCAGCTCAGTCGTGAGTGTTTTGCATCTCACTGCGTTGCGCTCACTTAGTATCGCGTACAGACGATGTCAAGTTCGTGGGCTCCTAACGAGACGGACTACGAGATCTACCTCGAAAAGATATGGCTACAGTCAAACGTCCTGGAGAACATACCTTACGGTGTCGAACTCACGCTCTTCGCGACATGTTTCCTCGCGCTCCTCCAGAACATGGACCGGTCTAACCTCAAACGGCATGTATGCCTTCTAATATTCATTACGATCATCTTCGGACTCGGCACGATCTTCATGATCACGAATTCTCTCATCACCCAGCAAGCCTTTATCGAGTACCGAAACTACCCGGGGGGACCGGGAGCGTACCTCAATGCAATGTTCTCTGACACGGTTGGATTGACGAACAGTGTTTCGTGGGTAGTGAGCAATTGGCTTCTTGACGCTTTCCTGGTAGGAGTATGTTCTCCGCCTTCATCGGGTAGACTCAACTATGTTGGCTGTAGGTCTGGCGATTCATCGTCATCTTCAGCGACGTCAGCAGGCCGTGGTTCCAGGCGATGCTCGTTCTCCCTTGCCTCATGCTTCTTGCGTCCATCAGTACGTTCGTGATCTTGCCGCGTCGTAGCATCTCCTGACACAAGTTTGCGTCCCTCGCAGTCCTCGGTAGCGTCGTGCTACATGATTTGGCCGAGATAGCGGACACACCCAACTCCACGCCCTTCGCAGTGGCAGACCTCACGCTCGCGTACTACACCATCTCGCTCGCGCTCAACATCCTCCTCACGCTCGCGATCGCGGCGCGTCTGCTCGCATTCCGGCACCGCATATCGAGGCTGCTCGGCGCGCACCATGCGACGCCGTATTCCAACATCGCAGCAATCATAATAGAGTCTGCCGTGCTCTACGCCGCCTTCGCCCTGACGTTCCTCGTGTCGTTCGGCGTTGACAGCCCCGTGTCCAACGTCTTCCTCAACCTCGTCAACTCGGTGCAGGTGCGTTGCGCCTTGTCGGGTGCTCGGGTTGGCCGCGCTGACGTTAGTGTCGCTGGCGCAGGCCGTTTCTGCGTTCCTCATCATCTCGCGGCTGACCACCGGGAAGGCATGGTCGGAGGACACCAGAGCGCGTGTCATCCATAGTACGGAGAATATTCTGCTAGGGACCAATCCCGGGAGAAGCACACAGTACGCTCAGGATCGGACCTCTATCGCTAAGGACCCGTCTGCGGTCTCGGACGGGAATGTAGGCGACCTGGTCTCCGGTCCGAGTCGAACGGATAGTAATGTCTAGGGAGGCTTGCTATTGTTTTCCGTGTGCTTCGCGACCTTGTGCGATTGCAGCTACTCTGTCGAACTAGCAGAGTGTGCGGACCGTATCGATATCTGCCATACTTCCCATTTTTACGCGTTACACGTACACGTTGCATGCGCGTCGCAGTGTAGGTAGAACGGCATAATTCACCTTAGTCTGCTGTCGCAGAATCTGTACCTTCGTGTCTACATCGTCTCCAACAGCCACCTTCAATGCCCTCAGACTCGTCAGGAGTCGAGCGAGAGTACTAAATGCCAAAGTAGTCGAGGTGGATGAGCGGCTCGGTTCAAGTTTGGGCTCGGCGCTGCCGCATTGACATGTCCGATGCACTTATGCCTTATACGGTGCGTGGGAATGTCAAACACGATTTGTAATCCTACAGACAAGTTGAATCGGGCAATCTCGCGGTTTCTCCTGGTCTCTCCTCTCGAGTCTTTCTCCCTTCGACTAGGGCGTCGCTACAACGGGATGCACTACATATAGTGATCGTCTTGACCGGTTTGAGCCCCACATGTCCCAGCAGTGTGCATAGACATTCTTGGTACGCGAGTCAGCATCTTGCCACTGCTTCCGAAAACACACTGAGTTCTTCTGGCAGTGGCAGAGCTTTTGCAGTGTACTGGTACAGTCGGTCCGACAGGAACCCACGCCGTAGGTGTGCGGCTCAAATGTAGATTTAGACAGGTATGGATAGCGCCTCCCACGATGTGAAGTTCTGCTGCAGGACGCCCGCAGAGATGGACTCAGATGGTCGCGTCCCACGCAGCGCACGCATGTGCGAGCCTCCTCCTCGCCCAATCCAGGAGAGGTGCATCACAGGAATGGAAGCTGGGGTTCATCACAGCATTGTCGTCTTCCGCATGATATGTGAACTGCGATCGAACCTTGTCCTTGTCGTCCTCCATACAAGACGCCCCACGGTGACCCAGCAGCTTAGCTAAGCTTCCGCCCGACGAGGACTGTTGTCTAAGGTCTTCTCTTGCTTCTGACTGCGAGAACAGAATAGAGTGCAAGAGATAACGCGGCTGTCAGCCTGAGCGGCGAGTATCACACAAGCTGCGGCTTCGGCGGCGGTCAACATCTGGGCCTTGTCATCTTCGCCCTACATCAGGACAGCTGCCTGTCCGGACCCCGATGCCCATCCGCACCAGCGCTCGGTCTCCAATTTGCAGCTTCGCGTGTGCTTCTGTGTGCGGTCCTTCTGCCGTGGCATCTGCGGCGATGCCCGTGGCCGCACAGGTTCCTCGCGTTGCGCGTCCGCCAGCTCTGCATTCCCCGCTGCGTACGCGCAGGCTTATATGAGCAGACGACAGGCGGGCACGTACGTATGTCTTCTGACGGTCTCAACGCAATGGCGGATAGTGCCACTGCACTCGTCGCCGCGCTCGCGCCTATTCAAGATGGCCTGCTCGCCGACGCTGGGTTAGCATTGGTCAGTAGCCTGCCATATTGCCCGGTCGACGCGTGTACGACTCACAATAATACTAGCTTGCCCATCTGTGGTTCAAGAGATACGAGCCGACAGACCTCGTTTCGCTTGGAATACTGCTTGGTGTGCTGCCTGCAGTACCTGTGGCCTTGCTCCGCGTCCCCCTTGCCTCGACGCCACTCGCCATCCTGGTCGGCTATGCTTCTTTCTACGCTTTCCTCCTCTTCTCGATCACCGCCTACCGCCTTTCGCCATTCCATCCGCTCTACAAGTATCCGGGCCCGCTCCTCGGCAGGCTCACGAACTTCCGCGGGATGTTCATCGCAGCCGGAGGCAAGCAGCATCTCTACTTCAAGGAGATGCATGCCAAGTATGGCCCAATCGTGCGCCTCGGTGAGCTCTCTTCGGTGCGCGCGGCTCCCCGAAACCCGTAGCTGACATGTATCGGTAGGCCCCAATGTGTTGTCCATAGTGGACACCGACTTGCTTCCCTCCATACTCAATATGCCACGCGGCCCCAGTACGTCACGTCGACCCACTTCACCTGTGTACGCTGAATTCACGGTTTACTTTAGTGTGGGATGGGCGCCGCATCTCGGGCAAGCGGGGTCAGGGCACTGCCGGGATCCAAAAGGGCAACCTCATGGGCTCGCGCAACATGCAGGTGCATGGGGAGGCGCGCAAAGTCTGGAACCGCGCGTTCACCACCGCCTCCGTGAAGAAGTACGAGCCGATTGTGATTCGGCGGGTGTCCCAGTTGGTCGACGAGCTAAAGGGGCGCTGTGCCGCGAACCCTTCGAAGGCTGCGGAGGTGGACATTGCGTACTGGATAGACTGTTTCTCGTGAGTGTGTGCTGTTGGGGCCCAGAGCACCGTCGCTGATGGCTCGTTCGGTAGGTTCGACTTCATGGGAGATTTCGCGTGAGTCGCGCTCAGTCGAAAGGCATCTTTACCTGACTTGCGTATTCACAGTTTCGGTGGCCCTTTTGATCTCCTTCGCGACGGTGACAAGATCGGGGTACTGAAGATGATGGAAGACAGTCTCTTGTACGTAGCCAGGTAGACTCCTACGCCATCGTCCTAGCCGTACTTATGCATGCGAGCAGCGTTCCGAACTTGTCCGGGCATGTGCCATGGACCATCGAGGCCGTCGTGCGGCTCCCGTTCCTCCCCAAGGGAGCAAAGGGTCTCGGCGAGTTCGCCTTCAAGCAGGTCCTCAGGAGGCTCAAGGAGGGTGCGGTGCACGATGACCTGTTCTACCATCTCGTGCGTACCTCCCGCGCGATTCTGCTAATGCCATGAACTAACCCTCAGCGACCGGTGCTGGCAGAACGACGAGGCGAAGATCGACAACGACCCGCCCCCGCTCCCAGTCTTGGTCTCCAACGCCGTCACGGCTATCGTCGCAGGCTCGGACACCACGGCCGCCTCCCTGACGCACGCCCTGTATCTGCTCATGGGCCACCCGACGTGCTACAAGCGCTTACAATCAGAGCTGGACGCTGCGTTCCCGCCTGGCGGGGAGATGCCGACGGATTCCGCGAAGCTCGCGCAGCTGGAATACCTGAATGCGGTGATGTGAGTGGACCCGCGGCGTCGCGCACCGTTGCTTGCTGACCGTCCTTCCGTGGCAGCAACGAGACGCTGCGCTTGTTTCCCGCGCTGATGACCTCTCTACAACGAGGGCCCACTCCGGGCAGCGGGGGACAACTTCTCGGCGGAAAGTGAGTTCGTTCGTTCCGCTGCTCGCATCTCAGAAGGTGCTGAACGTGCTGCGCAGGATGTTCGTCCCGGAGGGCACGGGAGTCTACATCCCGCCGTACGTGTACAACCGCGACCCGCGCTTCTTCTCGCCGAATCCGGAAGTGTTCTGGCCGGAGCGCTGGATCCTGGCGAAGAGCGACCCGTCCATCACGCTCAACCCGAGCGCGTTCCTCTCCTTCTCCGCGGGCCCCGCCAACTGCGTGGGCAAGCCGCTCGCGCTGATAGAGATGCGCATGACGCTCGCGTCGCTCTTGCAGGCGTTCGAGGTGCGCTATGCGGACGGGTATGACAGCAGGAAGTGGGTGGACGGGCTGGGCGATTTCCTGGTGACGACGCGGGGCGAGCTGCCGGTTGTTCTGAAGCTTCGCTAGGCGGGCTGCAGCTGACTCGGACTCTGGCCCCTCTTTGCTTCTTACAACCATCTGCGGCAACTTTCCCACGGTCTAAGCCTCATAGGGGGGGCATACAGACGTGCGGACAGCTTTAGTGGAGATCTAAAAAGAACTCCATTCTATACATAGAGACTCTGAGGCAACCTTAGAGTCAAGATGTCTAACCCCGGGAAGGGGAATGGGACGTCGAAGACTGCTAGAGCGACAGCGTCACCGACGACCGCCAGGGCGCCTAGCGCCCGACCGACCAGCACAGCCGTGAAAGCAGGGAAGACGACGGAGAACCAGGACGCGAGAGGGCGGACAGACACGCTAGCGAAGGCGTATGAAGTGCTGAGACGATACACCCTCATCCCAGAGGGCGATCCGAGCATTGACGCGCTGGTCAGCGGTCTACTGTTCTGTGCAGAACTCACGACCCAGGCCCAACTGCGCGACTCCCTGTACGCATTCGCCACCTACGCTACTGCTATCCGCGACAGCGATGCCCTCGCCAAAGGATTCGACAAGCTCAAGCCGATCCTGGACGACGCGTTCAAGGCGGAGGAGAGGCTCGAGGAGCTCACGGACAAGCAAGTGCACCTCGAAGCCCAGGTAGATGGCGCACTTGGTCGACTCAGCACGGAGGTGAGTAAGCTAGTCGAGAATCAGGGAAAGTTTGCGCGGGAGCTGGAGGCAGTGGGGGAGGTCCGAAAGTCTATGGAGGAGACACTGCGTAAGACGCAGGAGATGGTGGATACACTGCCCAAGGCAGTCGAACAGGGCGGGGCAGCCTTCGGTGCGGCGAATGGCCCCACTGTAGTTGAGGTTGGGGGACGACCCTCTTATGCAGCGGTCGTCCACCACCAGCTGCCTATCTCGCACGCGTCGACCTTGACGCGCCAAGCGAATCACGCCCGCCAGGTTATGATTGACGTGAAGAAGTGGAAGTCTCGGGAGGAGATCGACCTGACCGAAGAGGTTCTCGTCGCGAAAGCGAACCAGACCATGGAACTGATAGCGGACGACACGGTGGGGCAGCCCGCGGATGCGAGCTTTCTTTCCGTGAGGAAGCAGCACCACGGTGGGCTGCTCTACGAGGTGAACTCAGTCGAGACGATGAAATGGCTCATGGAGCAAGCGAACATGGATGCGTTCGTGCGCTCGTTCGGGGCTGAGGCGCAGATACGGGTACGCCCGTGGAAGCTTACCTTCCCCAACGTCCCCGTGATGTTCACGCCATGCGAGAAAGAATACCGCGCGCTGGAACGAGAGAATGGTTGGACTGATCGCGCGGTAATGGTCGCTCACTGGATCAAACCTCTGGACAAGCGAAAGCCTAACCAAAGGACTGCGTTCCTACTGATTCAATTCCGCACGGATGAGGCTGCTAATGCAGCCATCCGCGACGGGATGCTGTACATGGGTCGTAGGATCAAACCAGACCGCCGCAAGAGGGAGGTCCGACGCTGCCTGAAGTGCCAGCACTTCGAGCCGGCTCACCTCGCGGCAGCCTGCAAAGGCGAGGACACCTGCGGGACTTGCGGTTCCAAGGAACACAAGACCCAGGCCTGTTACGTCCCAGAGGGACCCGAGCGCTTCTGTGTCAACTGCAATGAGCACGGCCACGCGTCGTGGGAACGCGAATGCCCGACGTTCATCAGACTAAACAGACGCCTCCAGAGCAGAGACCCGCTCGAGAAGTACAAGTACTTCCCTATCCCAGGAGACCCCTCGACGTGGGAGCTCCTGGTAGAGGAAGACACGTCTGATGATTTCCAGGGCTCGTGGGAACGACCACGCCCTCCTCCAGAATTCGCGCACACCTCCCCGTTCAGACATGATGCCCCGGCGGGTATGCACCCATCGCGGGCAGCCAACCTTGGCACCTCCTTTGAGGAGGCGTCGAGAGCAGTACGAGAAGGAGCTCGTCGTGACCGCGAACATCGACCACGTGATGCGCCACCGCACCGCTCCACGGAGCCGTCCCAGGGGATGAGGGGACGAGCTCCTGTGCGCGGGGCAAATGCGGCCCCTCTCGCTACTGACCGCTCGCGCCCACAGACCACCAACTTCCGAGACCCGGCTGGGAGACGCCAGTCAACCCTGACCGGGGAAGGTGGTTTTACCTCGTCGGCACCGCCAACTCGCCCAGCCTCCCGCGCCTCCTCGAGTAGTCAACGCCCTGTACCCTCCTATGACTGGTGAGGGTACGGAGCTCAGGATATGCCAGCTGAATGCGAACAAGTCGAACACCGCCCAGTCAGCTCTCCTCCACAGCGTCTCCGACTTCGATATTGTGGCACTACAGGAGCCGCACATCGACTTCTTGAAGAATACCCGGGCCTCTGCCAACTGGATTGCGATCTACCCTACCGGACACAAGGATAGCGAGGCTACGTCCCGCTCAATTCTCCTAATCAATAAACGGATATCTACTAATAATTGGACAGCTGTCCCGATACCCTCTCCCGACATAACGGCGGTGTCGATAAGGACAGCAGAGACCTCGCTGTACCTCTACAACGTGTACAACCCGCAGGACAGTGATCTGGCCCAAGCAGTCCTGTCCCGCGAGACACGTCGGGTACTGCGAGATGACGACGGGGTCCCTGAGCGTCAGGTCCTCTGGCTCGGGGACTTCAACCGCCACCACCCCCTGTGGGATGACGAACGGAACAAGCATCTGTTTACGGACCAAGCCCTGGACAAGGCGGACCGTCTGATTAACATGCTGAGTGCCTTCGATATGCATATGCTCCTGCCAGCTGGCACGCCCACATTGGAAGCCTCCAACACTAAAAACCTGACTCGTCCAGACAACGTCTTCGCAACAGAGGGCCTAGTCGATTGCCTAGTCGCTTGTGACACAGCCCCTGACCTGAGACCGCCCTGCACGGATCACTTCCCCATCTGCACGACGCTCCTGCTCGATGTACCAAAGGCAAAGACACGCAAGTTTCGGAACTTTCGAAAGGTGGAATGGAACGAGTTCCGTACCGAGCTCGCCATCCGCCTGGAGGATGCTCCTGACCCGCATAAGAGCCTCACCTCGACAGCTGGTTTTGACGAGATGCTGACCACGATCATGACAGCGCTCAAGGAGACGATCGAGGAGAAAGTCCCGGAGACCAAGCCCCCGCCGTTTGCCAAACGGTGGTACTCGAAGGAACTCAACAATGCACGGAAGGAGGTCGGACGTCTCGGCCGCCGAGCATTCAAGCTGCGCGAGTTCCCCGACCACCCAATCCATGCGGAGTACCGTCGCCTGCGGAACCGGTATGGTGACCAGATCCGCGCAGCCAAGCGAGCTCACTGGGAGGCATGGCTGGAGGATGCAGACGCTAAGTCCATCTGGACTGTTGGGAAGTTCATACGTGCAGGATCGTCTGATGGAAGTAAAAGCAGGGTGCCACCCATACGTCGCCCGGGCAGCACAGAACTCGAACGGGACAACGACGCCAAGAGTCGAGTCCTGTACGAGACGTTCTTTCCTCAACCCCCGCCCGACCTCGAGCTCCCTGATCCAGACAACGAGCAGTATCCCCGCCCTGCCTTCGACTTTACCCCGGTCTCGAACCATCAGATCGAGGAGGCGTGCTCACGGCTCAAGGAATTCAAGGCGCCAGGTCCGGATGGGATACCTAACGAGGTATATAAGCGGTGCGCCAGCATATTAGTCCCATTTCTCGGCTGTCTGTTCCGTGCAACCTTCGATCTGCGGTACTACCCAGAGGAGTGGAAGGTGTCCACAACGGTTGTTTTGCGAAAGCCGGGGCGCAGCGACTACTCGCTTGCGAAGTCGTACAGGCCCATTGCGCTCATGAGCTGCATGGGGAAGATCTTGTCCTCGTGCATGGCTGAGGCAGTGGAATACGAGATGGAGAAGCATGGCCTGTTCCCAAAGCACCACTACAGGGGCAGGGCAGGCCGCACGACAACCGATTCACTCCATATGCTCACGAAAACGGTGGCTGATGCATGGCGAGCCAAGAAAGTGGCGTCCGTTCTGTTCTTGGATGTTGAGGCAGCTTTCCCGAGTGCGATTCCGGAACGCCTCTTCCACGAGATGAGGCGTATTGGGATCCCAGAGGAGTTTGTCAACTGGCTACGGCGGAAACTGCAGGGACGCAAGACGAGGTTGTCATTTGACGACTTCGTCTCAGAGCTCTTTGTTATCCTTAGTGGGATTGACCAGGGATGCCCCCTCTCCGTACTCCTATACAAGATCTACAATATGGTCTTACTCGAATGTGCGCGAGAGGAGAACAGAGAGATGGCACTAGGATTTATTGACGATGTTGCGACGGTGGCGGTCGGGAACGACCTGAAGGCAACTACGGGTGCCCTCAGGAAGTACATGGAGAGGCGAGGTGGCGCGAAGGAGTGGTCGCGCACACGGAACTCACGCTTCGAGATCTCGAAGCTCAACTTGATTAATGCAGACCCCTCACTGAGTCGAGACGACCTAGGGCCATCTCTTGTACTCACAGACGGAGTTGTCCACCCCTCCAAGGAAGCGAAGTTTCTTGGTGTGTGGGTGGACCGCAAACTCGGGTTCAAACGTCATGCCGAGTACATCAGGAAAATCTCCCCCTCGGAATTAGCATCAACACTGCAACATTCACAGTATTACTGCAAATACTTGTGATTACTATGCATTACGACAGCCATTCGTGACATTATCAATACTAGTGCGAATTCTTATGTATGATATGAACCGTTTCTGTATACCAAGTAATGTTCGCGTCATTGACGTCATTCACTGCGTCAGGTGCCAGGTTCACATGCAGAACAAAAATGAACATTATATTCTGACAAACAGACATAGTGGTACTAATACAACGTCGAAGCTATGCGGGCTTTGTACCTAGTGATTTAGGTAACATATGATAGTACAATGATTGAGGACGTTCTTGCTCATCCAAAGTACTGGAGGCTTGCCGTACCCGTACTCGCGAGGGTCAGGTACCCGCCCGGCGGGTACGGGTCATCCGCGGGTCTCGCAGGCTGGCGCGGATGCGGCCCGGGGATTGGTGACGAGCCAAGCGGGCGAGGAGGGCGGCGGACGACAGGTGAGCGTGCGAGGACGCGCGCAATCGCGCGGGCAAGCAGGGCGTGAGCATACGTGCAGGCAATCGCAAGCGCGAGGAGCAAGTGGGTAGATACTAGATGAGTGGGCGGGTAGGCCCTGCCCGCTGCTGGTCGCGGTGTGTATCCTGGGTGCGTGCCGCCTGTGCTGCGCGCGTGGCATCCGCTCGTCGGTCATTGTTGTGTGTGGGGCATTTGTCCTGCCCGCTGCTGGTTGCCGTGTGTGTCGCCTGTGCAGGCAGGTTGACCAGTTGCCCGCCAGTCGACTCACCTATCTACTCGTCTGTCTACTCACCTGCCTGTGCGCTCTCGGCCTCGCTTCCACCCGTCCGTGCCATTCCCGACCTTACAAGCATATTGTCCACTCGCCGGCCGGGCCGTGCTTGCGTGCTGAGCATTTGCCGCGCCCATTTGTGGTTGCCGTGCGTGTTGCCTGCGCGGGCAGCTCGATCCCTTGGGTGCGACTTTGCTCGCCTTTGAGACGCGACCAGGAGGCGGGCAGGCGTGCCGCGTGCGTGCATGCGAGCGCGCCGGGTGTGCGAACGCACAGCTGGGCGGTCGAGAGGAGAGGGCGGGTGGGTATGCGTTCGTGTCAGCGAGCCTGCTCGCAGGTGGGCGAGGGGCGTGACGTTCATCACGAGATCTTCAGTACACATGAGCACCGGTCCTACCTATAGCTCTTCGTCAACATCCTTGAGGAAAGACACTACTCACCTTTGATGCCAGTGAGCCGGGCTCAGAGAGATGTTGAGGACGAGACGACGGTAAGTACTTAGCTCTGAGTCGCCAAGTCGTAAACGCCCAGGTCTCTCGACGGGGAGCACGTGCCACGATGCCACCGCCACGTCAGGCGCTCCCAACTCTCCCTCCTACTTACTGCCTCACTCTCCGTCTCCTACGACAGCACGTACCCCGCCGCCTCCCCAGCTCCCACTGCGACCTCATCCCCTACGCGTACGAACTCGACGTCAACAAGCACCCTGGGCTCGACGACGACAACTTTCTCTTTGACCCGACCTATGGCGAGCGCTGCGTCGGTGGTTGACCCTTAGCTGGCGCGGCGTCCTCAACATTGCCATGCTCATCATCACCGCCACCAACACTGGCATAACTCTACAGGTCACTACAATCTCTCCTTCCAGTCCATGCCTTCATCTCCGCCCATTCGCGCTGACTCGCCCGCATCTACACCGTCCTACTCGCCATTTGCACGCTCCGCGGCTCCCCTCATTCCACATTTCCCTCCCCTGTACTGCGCACACGCCTGGGCTCGCTGTCACCTACCGAACCCCACCACGCGCGTGATCCGGCCGCTGCTCATCTCGACCTTCGAACACGTCCCATGCGCCTGTATCGCCCCCGTGAACGCGCGGGCAGCCATGAGGACCTCACGAGTATGGCGAAGCTTCAGCTCGCCACGGACAGGTGCGTGTTCGATGTGGATTGAACGGATGGCGGAGGATCGCGTATGGTACGGTGCTCGGGCGATTTTCTGACTTGCAGGAGTGCGGCGGGCGTGTTGGTGTCCGATCCCAAGGGCTGGGACATCAAGATTAACTCATACACGCTCTCGGGTGAGGGCGCGGAAGTCTCGCTGAACTATGGGCAACCGCGCGGTCTACTGGGAGAGAACGGCCCTGGAAAGGTGAGCAAGGCAATCTTCGGTTAGCATGGACCGAGCTCCTGACCAATCGCCACACAGTCAACTTTCCTGCAATCCATCGCCGAGCGCAGCCAAGTGCGGCGGCGGTGAGTTTGCAGAAGGGCCAGAACCTCGTCAAGACTCGGATCCGTGCGGGGCGAGTACGTTCCTGGTTTCATGCGAGGGATCGTCGTGTTGACGGCTAGGTACGTATGCTCAAGAATCAATGGTCGTGATCCCGCCGTTATCCCGTCCCTACCTTTCGCCCTCTTTAGTCTCAACCTTACCAGTTGCATTCTAGTCCGCAAAACTTGTTAAGGTTGTTGTGTCTAGATATCTGCGCTCTCTTCTGTCAACCGCCTCTTCCGCCTTGTCCTACAGGCTGCCTGTCTTGCCGCTCTGGCTAGTGTGGGTAGGTTCTATAGCGTTGTTGAGGACAATGTACTCTGTCCTGTTGCTATCGCTTATTATCATTTTCTTGTCTCGTTGTGATTGTTCTCTCCGTTGACTACCTTCGTTCTCATACTATTGGACACTGGATCTGTGTAGTGTGATGCTCGTTAGGCCCTTGTGTAGTAGTATATTTGAGTGCAGTGCAATACACGTAATATTCTCTTCAGTATTTGGTGTGAATGGAAATAAGATGCTAGACTACTGTGAATGTTCATGGTATACTGTAGAACAGATTGCTCATTACATAGGTATGTCAAGCAAATGCTTCGTAATTACATGTATTACGGAGTATTCATATTTGAACCCACCGGGACCAGGGAATGTTTGGTTTTACGAGAACAGAGAGAATAGTCGTTAATACTACCAATACCGAGGAATAACATGATGTTCTTGCTAATTCAGCAGAGGTGTTTTTCCTGATGTATGCTCTGAAGAAGGGCACAACGTGGCTTCTCCAGTTTGGTCGACTGGCAAGGCCTAAGTTTGGACTACCCATGAGATACATCCGCTCGCTGTACGAGCAGATGCTCCTCCCTGGAATGCTATATGCAGCCAGCGTGTGGATCACACCGCAACGGCGGATAGAAGGACACACGCGAACTTACGGATCAGTGGGAGTTATCCGCAAGCTCGAGCGTGTCCACCGCCAAGCGTGTCGCATGATGACTGGAGCTATGAAATCTGCGCCGACAGACTCGCTAGAAGCGCACCTCAACATCCCCCCCTTCCATTTACTTGTGGATAAGCTGATAATGCGAGAGGCATCTAGATTGTGCTCCTTGCCCGACACGCACCCGCTACACAAACACGTCAAGAGGGCGGCGCGTGGGGCCCAGAAGCACAAGAGCCCGTTGCACAAGATCATGGCTGCCTACGACCTGCATCCCGAGAGGGTAGAGAAGATAGCAGCCGTGCGACTGCCACCCAGCTGGCAACCGGACTTCCGGGTCTCAATAGCGAACAACAAGGATGCGGCAGAAGAAGAGGAGAAGATGTGGGCGAGCAGGAATGGTATGAGGGTCTACACGGATGGCTCAGATGTCGACCAGGGTGTAGGCGCGGCCGCTGTCTTATACGTCCCAGGACGAGCCGAATCCAAGGTCCTGCGCTACCACCTCGGACCTACAACGGAACACACCGTGTACGAGGGAGAGCTAGTCGGGCTGATCCTCGGAGTGGCCTTGCTACACCGTGAGATTCAATGCAGAGCCGCGTCGAACGCGGCAGACAACACTGCGAGCCTTCGGGCCAGTCAGAACAGGAAACCTCACCCAGCGCACTACCTAGTCGATCGACTCTTGCGCGCGATCGACAAGCTGAAACAGCGGCACCCAGGGATCGACTTCACGATGCGCTGGGTACCCGGCCACCGTGGAATTGAGGGGAACGAAAGGGCAGATGAAGAGGCGAAGAAGGCGGCAAGGGGAGACAGCAGCCCGGTTGAGGACCTCCCGGGTTGGCTGCGAGAGAAGCTCCCGGTCAGTGTATCAAAGCTGCGACAATGCCTGCACGATACAATCAAACAGAAGGCAAAGGAGGAGTGGAGGAACTCACCACGAGCAGAGAAGATGGACAGGATCGACAGCGGCATGCCCTCAAATGCGTACCGCAAACTGGCCGAACGTCTCCCGCGACGACACGCGAGCATTCTGATCCAGCTACGCACGGAGCATGCCCCTCTCCAGCGACACCTCCACAGAATACGGCAGGTCGACTCACCGATATGCCAAAGGTGCGACTCAGGAGTGAAGGAAACGGTGTACCACTACCTCCTGGAATGCCGGGGCCACGCGCGGGCGAGAGCGCGACTTGAACGCGACGTCGGACCAGCGGCGAAGTCGATACGAAGCATACTCAGCGCGCCAACACTGACCAAGGCGCTCTTCCGCTACATACACGAGACGGGACGGTTCTCCGCGACGTACGGGGACCTGTCATTGAAAGAGGATAAGGGAAAGGAGACGACGAAGACTACGAACAAGGCGAAGACACGACCGAGACAGGGAGGCTGACGGACGCGGACGGGGGTGTCATATCTCTCCATCTCCTCGCATTTCATTTCATTACCCCATCCATGCTACTACTATACATCACTCCTGACGCCAACGCGGCTGACGGACATGCGCAGCGAAAAGAGGCAGATGAGAAGGCCACCGTAGGATAGAATATCGTGTTTTATGTCTACATAGGGCGTCGCCCTCAGCGACACTAAATGGAACAAACAAACAAACAAACAAACAGACTCGGACTCTGGTGTTGTTTTTGTACGGCGCGGACGAATTTCATCCGGGTCGTGTTCTTTCAGTTGTGTGTCTGTATTTCTTTGCCTGTGTGGACTACATGTGGCAGTAACTCAGTCGTATGAACATCCTCAGGCGTGTACATCACCGGCGCCCCTTGGGGTCCACCTTAGTGGGGAACCTCGCGTTTGTTGATCAAGATGACCAGCTAGCTCATGTCTTACACGGTGGTTGATATGGGCTGGGCCCTGTTGTCTGGAACATGATACTGACTTGGCTCTGCTTGGTGAAATGTGGTTCGATGCAGACGTACGATTTGGGACGACGTCGACCAATTTTACCCAATGACATATCGGAACAAATGCGTGCACGATATGACATTGAAGCTAAGTACATTTCCACCAACTCGGACTACGGCCACGATTCTACGATACATAAGAATCCCAACTGTTTGGTAGCCCATGGCGCGCAGATGTGATTCATGCGTTTGCAGAGTTCTGTTCCTTGATGATGTCGGCCGCTGAAGCACCGTGGGGGTCAGTCAAATCGGTTTGAAGCACGTTCACAGCCTACTTACCCATCTCCGCTATACCATAGGCTACAGCTTCAGAGGCCGTTAGTGAACAGAGTCGGTCAACGATCGGAGACGGAAGTACGCACTCTGAGTATGCACGGAGACAATCAGAGGGAGAATGGATAGGTCGACAATCCTGATGTTGGACGTCCCGTATACCTACGACCCGCTCATCAGATGCATACTAAGCCAAGACAAGGTTGCGATCACCTTCAGCTTGCTGTCGACGACACCGCCCTTGTCCTCAGGCAACATGGAGCACGTTCCGCAGGAATCTGGGTGTAGCCAGGGTGAGTACACGTCGGCAATGTTGCTCGCGAAACACGTTGCTTACGCCACGTTGTGTGTAAGTTCTTCTCGATATGTGCTGCAGCATGACGACAGTCCGTTATTGTGATGAAGTCGCGCAGGGAAAAGAGACGTACCGCGAATCTCCTCATCGGTCTGCGCTTTGGGGCCTGGGGCAAGCTCCGCCCCCGCTATGACTTGGAACGGCGCCATTTGGCTCATCTTGCGTGTAAACTTGAACGCATCAAGCAGGACATCCATGTCGGCCTCTTCCTCAAAATACCGCGGGTCGATGTTTGGAGCACGTTTCGGGTCGGACGAGCAAATGTGCTGACAAACGGATATTCACTAAGCGCAACGTGCGGTGCAATAGCAACGTACGATAGTTCCCCGAGACAAGGGGTGCAGGATCGACGGCATCAGCACAGGGAAAGGCTTTTGTGACGAATCTGTAATGTCCGTGTTCAGATCAGTCGTGCGTATGAGGGACAGCGACGTACAAGTGATGCTCGAGCGTACATCGCCGTCGAGTTCTACTGGAGGGACGGCGTCGAAAGGGAAGACGAAGAGTTCCATCGCCGGATAGCGCGGGTTCGCAAGGAGCTCGGATAGCAATTCGTACTGTTCTCTCAGACCGGGCGCATAGTGCTCGTCTTCTCGGGCTACCTTCGCCTTCAGCTGAGCAATAGTACTCTCTGCGCGATCCGAAAATGCTTGCAGCGGCAAGAAAGTGCAGCCTGAGAGGCACAACGAAGTTGGATCAGCGTCGGGCCTAGTAATTATCAGCAAACACCTCGAACAGCGGGAAACATGGCGCACTCTGTCTCACGTAGGCGACTGGTGAGCTTCTCGTCGGTCATCGACTCGCTTGTGATAAGATCCACTTCGTCGCGCATCGCTAGTATGCTTCTGTCAGAAAAGAAACTAACCCACTCATTCATCAACTCACCCAGTACGAGGCCCGTCGAGACTATGTGATCTTGGAGGTTTCGGCCAACGCTTGGCAAGTGCTTCTGCACTTCAATGTTCAAAGGTTCTAGTATATTTCTGTCCCCTATTCCACTGAGCTCCAGGATTTGCGGGGATTGGATAGTCCTGCATCGCGATGAGATAGCATACGTTTCAGACGAATGCGGCTTACCCTGCACAGAGTATGACCTCTTTTCCGACAAGGACTTTGTGCAAAGTCCCACCATGTTCGAACTCGACCGCAGTGGTGACGACTTCGCCTTTCGACGTCTCTGTCACGAGCTTCGTGACGTGTGCCTCGGTTAGAACCTTCAGATTGGGACGGTCAATCACTGGGAGTAGATATGCCTTGTCATCTTCGTCAGTAAATGCTACATCGAATGTAATGTGTACTTACCGTTGCAGCGGAGCATCGTTTCCCGGTAGCCGGGTCCAGGTCTGAAGCTACTTTGAACGTACCCACGGTCTGCAGCGAGAGGTCAGAACTCGTCAGTGTAGATTGCCGCCGGTTCAAGAAATACCTCGCCACTCATCTGTGAATGCAATGAATATGTCAGCCCTCACTTTCAATGAGCTGGCTTTGAACATACAGAATCATCGATAGTTTCGACCCCGAGTAACTTGAGACTCTATCGCGATCATGTCATGTGTTAAGGCTAAGTTCAAAGGCAGAACGCTCGCTACAGCCTACCTGTTGAACAGGGCGTTCGATTCCCGAGCTAGTCTGAGTGAATGAGAGCTTGACAGGTCCTAAATACGCAATGATATGAGATGAGCTACATCATTTCTCGTGATTCGACAACATCTCGCCTTCATGACCGAACGTGTCTGACTTGTACAGGTCGCGATAGTCGCCTACGCTGACTCTCTCAGGTACGAAGAAGCTATGTGTAAACAGTGTCAATCAAGACACCGTTGGGAAGAGTTGGATTGACCTTTCTGATTTCTTCGAGTATTTGTAGAAGTTCTCCCAATTCCAACCAGGGTTGCCGAGCTTCTCGATTGCTGAGTCCGTCGTAAGCATCGAATCAGATAATGCCACAAATTTAGAGACCATCCATATCCTCTCGCTGAGGTCTGGTCCATAGAAGGAGATTCATCGAGGAGCTCCCACCCAACCCCTTACCACTGTGTGAATAGGCCGCTCAACATGAGCCTGAGTGATAGATGCGGAGGTATTCGGCGGCCCACCGATTCCAGAAAAACCTGCTCGTGTCGCAAGTGCTTTGCGGGGATTGAGGGAATGCCCAATCGTATTCTGGATTCATCGCCTGTTGCAGCCATCCTGTTGGATGATCTGTAGAGGTAAAATGAGTGGGTTGAACCCTCGCACAGCCCGCATGGCGTGAGATACGGACAGATTATTGGGTCGTCGAGATGCGCTCTCCCGGATTCGAGGACAGCAACAGACACATGAGCGTCCTCGCTGAGACGGTTCGCTATACAGAGCCCGGAGGTCTTGCATAACATTAATTTATGTGTTTTGGAGGGAAAATCCACCTACCCCTCCGCCTAGAAAGCGATGAGGAGTCAACAGGGGGCTTCGATCAGATAGGCATGATCAATAAATGCGTACCAATTATTACGAAGTCAAAGCACTTGTCAGCCAAGTCGTGCACCGTAGCTAACTTCGCCTCCATGACAGAAAGTAGCAGGCTAGCAGCGTAGCTGCCTACAGTCTTGTTGACGGGCCTTTATATGCGAGTCGATGATGAGTCTAGAACAGAGGTCATACTGTCCGTATAGTCAGTTGAGGCGGTTGCCGATAAGAGCTACCGCACGGAGAGTTTCACTGAGAGCGGAGAGATACACCTCCGGACATGACGGATGCTGACGGGCATGATAAGACGTTCTTCGATCTGAATGCTCCCCGCTGTGTCCTGCCATGAGTATGCGCGTCCTACGTTAGATGTGGATGTCTAACTCGACCAAGCGCGCCAGATAGAAGGCCATGATGTGATGAGACAGTTCCACGGTCGACATGAACATAGCCGCGTCTTACTATAGCGATGCATTCGGGCATGAGTGGTGCCAAATCTTATAAGGTATGTAGTGACAGGGTCGGCTGCAAACGTTAATTTCATTTGCCATCGCTTGAATTGTTTCACTGGTGCTACGCACCTGAACAGTTCCAACACCCGAGTTTCTTAAGCCCCTGTTGCCATTGGAGTGATACGAATTGTCTCGGTGCCCCAAACTCTGAAAGTTGATACTGTTTCTAAGGAGGAACAACACCGCCCCTTGAGATGCGACAGAAGACGTCCGTAGTACTTCCATACGGTCTGCATCAAGATCATGAACGGACAGATCCCAGAAGATGGTGCCAATGTGGTCCTCTTCACAGAGAAGCATACTTTCGCAAATTCAATCGCGAAGGCACGGGCCGCCGGACCCACTGCTCTGGGATTCTACTTAGACCACAGAAGTAATAGATCACTCACGGCGCATACTCCACCACGTGTAGTTCACGTCCACCTCCTGAAACACACTTTCTATTGAGGAGCAAAATTGCCAGTACTAGTGCCAGAGTCTCAATACTTGTTAGCGATGTAATGCGGATTGGGAAGGAGGAGGAGGAGGAGGAGGAGGGTGATCCATTCAGCCACGCCATACATCCTCTTGCTGAGCCCGGCGGGCCCGATCTGGGCCCGATCGTGGAAGCTGACTAAGCATTCCCGTCGTTGGATGAGCCGCTCCATCCATCCTCAGGCTGGCATTGTGGCATTCCTGCATGCATTGTTCCTGCACTCCGTCTTCGTTTATCAGAATTCGAATTCAAAGAATTTGGGAAGAACTCGGTAAGGTGCAATAACTACGCATCTTCTGATACGAATCAAACTGGGCTTTTCGGAGGGAGTACTCCCAGTCAGTGACTCGCCGGCGTCGGATATGACATGGAAACCCCGACGACTCGGATCCCGGAGTTTGTTGTACTGGCCCGCAGTGACTATGCCGCATGCGACGTTGGGTACTGACGTGGGCTGAATCACTGGTGAGAGCTTGTTTGTCCACTCAACATAGTGGAAGGTACTACTGCTGTCACTCCGAATCGCCATAATAATGACATTGCTTTTCGTCAGATTCCAGAGTCCAGACATTCCACTCGCCTTATGGCGCCCGGAGTTCTACGTTACATACTTATCATGTCCCGGACACATCTCAACTTCTCCGAGGCAGCACTTTCATCCGCGAAGGGCGCTGTGAGTCTTTGTGCGATCATTTGTTCATCAATGTGGTTTGACCGTATCTTTTTGGCTTAGCGACGTACTGGCGCACCTCTCCGATGCGAGTCGTGAAACAAGGACGACATAGTCACGCCTTCAGGGATGTGCAAATGCTGTATGGACGGACCAAAGTCTTGGGTGGCCAATGAGATTTTGCCCCAACAGTGGGCTGCATGACGACGCACTCGGGGTCGGATATAAGGGTATTAGCTCAGCGGCGTTGAACCATCGAGTCCAGCCCCCATCCTCTGGATTGAACCTCTAGGATGGCCGAACTCTCCTTGATCGGTGTCAACCTGGCGACTGCGTGCATAGGAAGCATGGCTTATGGCGTTTTCTTCGTCCTCTTTGTCCTATCCACCTATCTCATGTTACAATATCAACATAAACCACCTGGTAATGGCACCGTTCGGAGATCGCCCCTCCTCACAGCGGGGTTCGTCCTGTTTCTAGGTGTTACTGGAGTGCGTCTTCATACCCACGAAGTAGCCTTGAATATGCTCATTATTTGGACAGCAATGGATATGCGTTGTTCTGCGGACCTTTGATGCCTTTCTTAATTACGACGGTGGCAAAGATCCAGTCTACTTCTACGCCGATCTCCGGCAACCAACGGAGGCGGCAAAACTGGGATGTTGGGTCACGGTCATGATCGTATCGGACGCTATGATTGTGCGTGCATAGCTCTTTCACTCGAAGACAGACCCTGAAACTTGCCACCAGATATATCGTATGTACATCATATGGAACCGGAACCTGCGAGTACTTGCCTTCCCACTCCTGACGTTGACTGCGGTATTGGGTAGGCCCTTAAGTGTTCTGTCTATCTGCATCTAGGATCACTCACTGGATGCCCCGGGATGAGCAGTATCCGGCATTGGGGTTGTTTACCACTTTGCCGTATATCCAGTCGGTGAAAATGTGTATGCCTCAACCACCGGTCGCTGGATTGTCTCGGATTGTCTCTGTAGCTTGTGGTACGCAACACGCACTTTGATATCATATTGTGTCGCTGACTTGGCCCTCGACTAGTACCAACCTATACTGCACGAGTAAGTTCCTCATTTTTCTCTCAACCCCCGTGAGGACAAGTGGTCATATGACACCTCTACACAGCAATGATCTCATTCCGCATTCTACGCTCTCGGGCAAGGGTGCTACGCTTTGGCGGAAATGGTCTGACAGTAGGAGCTTCTCTTGTGCATCGTCACACCGCAGTGATATTTACTACGATCCACAGAAAGCGCTTGTTATTGTCGTTGAAAGCGCGGGCATATATACGTACGTTCTTCGGTGGACCTTCTCTGCCCACGCGGTAGAAACTCATGCATGCACAGAGCCTGGAATATTTTCTTCGTCGCGGTGTATCTTGCCAAGTCGAACCTCAATTTCACTGCAGTAGACGTATGGTGTCCTGTCGCTGGAATAGCGAATATGCTCATCAACGTCCGCGTGGGTATGGGCTGGGCGGGGAATGACTATCCGTCACGCCCCGGGATGGCGCCGGTTGAACCACGCCTGCCCGCGAAACAATCGCCTGCGCATCCCGTAGAAATCAATGTCGCGCGTGTCGTGGAGAGTGACGACTACGGGATGGAATTGCTGCAACAAAAGCAACATGACGGTGTTTTCGTGGACGACGCCTTGTAACGTAGCAGCAATCTCCATTCACGTTAATACCGTTATGGTCGCCCATATTCTATGTACACTATTGAAATCATCCATTTTTGCCAGTAGGCAGTATTGACAGCATGAGGCTTGAGCCGCGGTTGTGGCGCATCTCGAATTGCGGCGGCGTGTGTCACGCGGCGTTACCGGTGTGACGCGACGCGTCTGTTGCGTGCCACGTCGCGACCCTCACTGCGGACAAAACGGGTTGTGGGAAAATTGAACATTGACCGAACATAGGCAGGGCGTGTATATCATCTCACCCTAAATTGCGGGGTCCGAACATAGGATGACAAAGCAAAATGATATGGCCATGTTCGGAATGCGTACAACGGAGGCCAAAGATGGTATGTGCGGCGGCGTAACATACGTCACGTTTTCGCCGCGATGTTCGGAGACCAAACAAAGGTCTAGCGTACCTCGTGTTAGAACACTGTTCGCACGTTGTGACGAGACCGTCCATAGGTCATGTGCCGACACAGAACAAAGACCGCACATTCCCAATGTTCGGACAATGTACGGTGGCTGATCTCTACGCATGTGCGGGGTCCGAACAAAGACTATGTTCGGTGTCCGAGCGTTTGCTATTTACGGTCTGCGAAAATAAATAGAAAATAAATCATGTTCGGGGACAAAACACTATGTATTGTCTGGCTATGTTCGGACGGCGAACATGAGCAATGTTCAAAACCGATTCCCCCGAGTCGGGAACCGATTCCTCCGAGTCGGGAACCGAGTCCTCCGAGTCGGGAACCGACTCCCCCGAGTCGTGGCACGACGGCTGCGAGTCGTGGTATGACGGCTGCGAGTCGGAAAGCGACGGCTGCGAGTCGGAAAGCGACGGCTGCGAGTCGGAAAGCGATTCATAATTGTGTCCTCGAGAGCCCCAGGAAGTGGAACGCGGAGTCGCCCTCGAAGAACTGCGTCTCCGGGATGGTGCCGCCGACGGTATCAAGGTTAAACCACCCTTTCGACATGTCGTCCGCAGTTTGAGAGGTTCGGAGTCGTTACAAGGACGTGAGGAGGATCAAGAAACAGCTGGAGTAGTGTACTTAGGCTCCTCGTAGATGGCACCAGGCCGGTGGGACGTGTTCACGGAGACAGACGCAATGTGGTCGGTGAGGATGTCGCAGCACGGCTGCTGCTTTCCAGCGGTGTGAGACCTAAGACATGGAGTCAAGACCCATCAGGCTCGAATAGACGGCACAAACATGTCGGAATACCCTTTACCTTGATGTGTAGGCCAAGGCGCAAAGCATTCGGCGTTGATCGCGTCGCTTGCACGCACTCGCGATTGGACGCGAGATTCTATCTGGCACTCCGAATCTCATTGTGGTTAGCGACAGATTTTGAGAGCGTGCAAGGGCCATTGGCAGGAACAGGTACTCAGGGTGAAGGTTAGCCGCTTTCTTGTGCGATTCATTCTTGTGCGACTCACCCGTACGACATCATCATGCACCCTGACCGTCCGCGACTCGGCTTGAAACCCAATCGCTGCTCACATCTGCCGCCAGCCTCATCGTATCTCTGGACCACTCTTCCAATGCCTTGCAGGACGATCGTCTGCCCCACTAAGCCGACAATGTGTTGTCGGATCATACAACGGCGACACTCACCTTACTAGCCTTTGTCTTGTGTATGTCACTGAGCACGGATCGCATCAGCAGCACTTCATGGCTCGGTTGTAATGGCTTACCTCGAGCAAGTACGCGCGCAGGACAACGAACACCGCGCTACGAGTCCGACGCACAATCGCTATCGATTCGGTCAAGTCGCCGCCCAAGCGACCTCGTTCGACATGGACGAACATGCCGATTTTGACGTATGCTGACACCGGAAGCTGGAGAGGTGCACGGGGGTCAAATTTCGCAGATCGAAAGAGGTGGAGGAGAACTCACACATGTCGTCGACACAGATGAACGAGGCTGATTCGGATACGGATACAAGTCGACACGCACGCGGCACGCGCGTCGAGATTGAGCACAGATGTACTCACCTGAGCCGAAGACACGGCACTTCGCCTCCTAGTACTCCTCGTAGTCCTACGGGTAGCGATGTTGCACCTAGTGAGCGCTGTCGCCGTCAAGAAGTCATCCTCCTCGTCGATGGCGAAGATACAGCTGCGCGGCTTGAGCAGCTCAGGGTCCGTGCTGGTGTTGTCGCCTGCATTCCGGTTCCTAAGGTGGTGTCCACGGCTGATTGTGGGCACAGTTGATGCGGCGTGCTCAGGACTTGCGCGGCGACCAGGTCGTAGCGGCAGTCCTGAGGTTGCAGGCGGCGGCGGGGCACTCGGGTCGTTACTAACACTGTTAGTCCACCGTGCAACAGAGCCGAGGCAGCGAAGAGTAGCGACCGCCGGTTGAGACGGGGTGATAGGCGAGGTATTGTCGTAGACATTGTTCTGGAGCAGTCGGCTTGGACGCCCCGGATCTGCACTACTCACGCAGGCGCGCCGCGCGGCCAATGTTAGTGCGCTCCTGGGGATAAGCATGCGACGTAGATTCTGCAGACCAGTATGAACAGCTGACGATAGTCCTTAGGCCGTTAGGATACAACTGAACAGTTTCAAGCTCATCCTCACCTTGTAGCCTCATCTCTGTCCTGCATCTTAGCAGATTAAAGTTTCGGAACATTGTCCAGTGTGTTAGAGGATCTTGGGCCTCGTGTTAATGAAGAGACGAGGGACAGTGGTGGTGTGCAATTGGAGGTATGGAGGAGGACGTGTGCGCATGAGGGAGGAAGGCAACACGAGCGATAAGCGCGCAAAGCGCCGCGGTCGTCAAACATCCACAGAGGAGGTCGAAAATAATATAATATCGTCTCGGTCAAGATCTGACGATAGCTGCGACTACTCGACACGGAGAGTTGAGAGAACGTCCTTCCTAATACCGGCCAAAAGTGTAGTGAGGCGATTATACATGGTCATGACGACGAATCAGGTCGAGCGATGTCAACCAAATCATCTTCCTCCGAGCTCCGGCCCTGAGCTTGGGTCGAATGTATATCCTACGAGCGATGATATCCGAGTCGTGTCAGTTGCATGGCAGCCCTAAGTCCTTCTGAACGGCTTACCTTGATTAAAGGGAAGACATGGACTTCGTTGGTTTCACGGTTATCCTGAGCCCGAAACTCTGTATATGCGAAAGGGCAAACGACGTCACTAGCACTGATGATCTCCAATTCACCGTAGTCTTTAGAGAAGAGGCACCCGGCCAACATAAATCCAAAAGCTCGATATGGGTCGCTTGTGCGAGCTTCGTCCGAGAGAGGTCGATGTCGGCGAACAACCAGGAATACCCGAGGCTGTCTGAGCAAATCCTTGCGTGGGTCAGGAATAGGCTCCTTCTCCCACAGTATGCGGACTATCTGCGCTGGATAGATACCTAGCTCCTCCACCGGAGGAAAGGACGGATCCGTGATATCGGCCTCATTCTGCGTAGAACGAAGCAGAATGTTTGAATCGCGATGGCTTCTAAAGGACGGCCGATAGTCATAGCCAGCCTTTCGCATCACGGAACACGAACTGATGCCTGTTGACGTGATCAGCGCTGCAAACTAATGCGTCGAAAAGATACACTGTTACCCAAGAAGGATCGCCTTCCTATGTATCCACTGATGATATGCTCCTCTTCAACGCTCCCGAACAAAGATCGCGATGAGAATTCCTTTACTTGCACTTGCGCAGAGGCACCGAGGCCCAATATGTCGTTCAGCCTCGTACCTCGTGCCTGCGCTCGGAAAGCTTTATCGTACGCCTGCTGTAGACCGGATAGCTCTTCAGGGAGACTGCCGTTCGAGAGCAGTGGTCGCACGTTTGCTGCCCGATTAGCGTAGTACATCATTGACATCTCCAGCTCGCCTAGGAGGTGCTTCAGATTGTCAGTCTCTGCGACATATAGCATGCCACATACCTGATTTCATATTGGTGGGAACTTCTTGCAGGCTGTGGTTGAACCTTTCCGTTGCGAATGCTCGTGTTGCATGAGAAGGACCCATGTCGCTAAGGTTCTCCGCGTAGTGTTGAGCGAGGTGGTTGCTCGGATTGAGAGGTACCTCCGGATATAGGACGAGGAAGCCCTTGAGATACTCGGTGTGGTAGAAGTCGTATGCTCTGATGTGCTCCGGAGTGATCGAGCGAAGACAGGATATCTGAATCGTGGCAACAAGGTTCATGAAGTTATGTAGCATGTCTGCTTTACGGTCATTTCTGAAGCCCCACAGACGTATGAGTGTTATGACGAGGTGGATCAAACCCAGTGAGCGCCACTCATCGGCCTTCAGCTTTCCTGGGCTCTGCGCAACATTTCGTGGTGCCGGCGACACACTTGAAGGCAGCATTGTACGGTCCATGTCACTCCAGACGTCACGCAGGACATCTAACCCTAGAACAGCCGAACCGCGTGGGTCACCGTTGCTCGTAGATCCTTCGGGCCGTATGATTTCCTGCATCAGCGGTTGGTCAATCGCAGGATTGCCACTGGGAGTGAGACTATACCTGCAACTTCCCCCATAGAACTTTCTTCGTCCCTGCAAAAGGTATTCCGTTGCGCCGACACAGTTCCTGCAAAGTTGCAAGGCCGGTCGATCCAGGAGCTTTATTACCCTTCTTAAGTGCTCTCTCTGCTTTGGTGATGTCATCCTCCGTCCAAGGTTTCCGCGCCCGTGATTGCGTAGACTGTTGAGAACCAGTCGCCGTCACAGCAGATTCATTTGTATCCGTCGAAGCGGCGGAGCTCGGAGCGGGCGACCAGACATCGCTGTGAGAGGGACGTGCCGAGACTGAGGAGGGTATTCCGGAGGGTGGCGCACTTGCAAATCGGTCGGCAGTGCCACTCGTCGTCGACGACGGTGTGTCGGCGCGACTGGCCTCGTAGGATGCGCGGGACCCCTCTGTGCTATACTCCGCTGTGGTTCCCGAGTTGTCCGAATGCCCGGACTCGGAGCCAACACCGCTGTAGTATGGAACGGCCTTATCCTCAGCGTCTGTAGCCGACAGAGCCGATTGAGGGTTTACTGGTTCGCGATTGTCCCTCTGTTAGGTTGGCAATGTATCAGTGAGGCTCACAGAGAAGTACACATGGGAACCTACCTGCGCGACTAGGCGTTTTGCTAACATACGCGTCGATCCCGCGCGTCGTAGATGTAAATCTAGGCATAGATGCCATAGAACTGCGTGGCCCTCCTTCTCAAGGTCAGATAGCGATGCGGTCTCGACCATTCGTCTCTTGGCTTCCCAGGCTGGCGTATTATCGCGCACGGAGCAGGGCGGAACGACGACTTTCGCGCAGAGCTCCCCGTCACCCGATGGAAGTGATGCGTCCATACACCAGGCGTCCGATATCTGATGCGACAGATTGCGGAGGAAATGTGCGTGCATCGGCTCTATCACCGTGAAACGGCTTGGGTTCCAGTAAGGGAGGCGCAAGAACTCAGTCCAGCGCACGCCGCCCTGCCGAATGTGATCCTTCTGCGCGTGTTTTGTCTTCAGGGTCAGCCATACTGCAGCACTGCGTCAATGATCGTCCAGATCGCGATACTTCCATTGCGACTTGTCGATCTGTTCGATATTGTCCTTCTCGAGTAGGCAGACAGAGCAAAGGTGGGTCGCCGAGTGACTTCCAAAGCCAGAGATTTGGCGTGCGGCAGGGAGGTCACAGATCATTGGGATCAGTATGCCCAGAGCGAAGCGTCCCGCTGGGTGCAGTGCGGTCCTCGAGAAGTAGACGCCAGGGGACCAGAATACGAGCATATCGTCAACGATGAGGCGTGCGAAGTGGTTGATCTCGTCCGTAGAAGGCTTTCCGGGGCCAGGAATGACACCGATGAGAAACATGTTCTCCTCGAGAAAGCGCAAATCAGGGGGAAGGTTCATGAGGATGAGATAGATGGCTGTCGAAGAGATACTTCTGCGCCCAGGCTTCATATGGTGAGGATCGAAACTGTCAAAGGCAAAGCCCCAGACAAGCCTCAGCTCTTCGTCGGGTCCATCGAGAAAGCGACGACCGTCTGGACCGACGAACTCCTGCACGAGCTTGCTCTCCATGATGTCGTGCACTCTCCTGTCTGGATCCCGCATTGTGGCTCGTGATTCCGCCGTATACTTGTCCAATGCAAGCTCGATGTCCTTCCGTGCCAACAGGCGTGCATGCCATGCCTTGAAATCCTGATGAAGGTACCTGCGCACCGCCATGACGTGTTTCCCCCCCTTGAGTGTCCGGGTCTCGAACAACTCGGTATCGCAGGTAGGGGAAGTGTCGAATGCCTTGTATGTACAACGTTCCGGGCACTCGCCGTCGTCCTTGTATAAGGCGTAGCATTCAGGACAGCAGATGTAAGGTGCAACCTCGGGATCCAGGTCGAAATGGCGTAACAATGTCCGCAGATCGGACGGAATCTGTTGGTCGTGGCCTAGCCGCGGTCGCAAGTAATTGATGATGAAGCGGAGAATCTCTAAGACCCAATTGCAGTGGGTGCGAGATACGCCGCAGAGCAAAGAGAGAGTAAGGACCATGTAGCATGCAGTGGCAAGAGCTGGATCGAGCCCCGGGAGCGGTTTCCGGTGATACCGATCTATCAGAGGGGTGTTGAGTGGCCGACGACACAGGCATGAGCACGCGAACTCACCGCAATCGTAATACGTGCATTGGACTCCATTATACTTGAATTCGTCTCGGGGCGCCTGAAATGGAGTGTGTCTCTGGGCATCCCACTCGCGGCCCTTGATATCGCATACACGGCGAATCTCTCCCAGGATCATATGCCGAATCCGTTCGCGGATGTGCTCCACGACGTCGTTACCCGGCGTAGAGTATCGGTCAATCAGATCAAGATAGTTATACATCTTCGCTTCATGTGTCAAGAGTGCGGAATTGAAGGGCGAAGAAGGCGATAGCATGAGGGTGCCAGAGTTGGGACGTGTAGGGCAATCGGTGGGGTAGGTATACGAAGGGGAGGCGGAAACAGGCGGATTGACGAACACAAGAGGGGCTGTCGCAGAAAACCCGAGTCGTGCTTGGTTGATGGTAGCGACCATGCGGTTGAGATCGTCAAGATGGTGCTGTGTCCTCGCGAACATGTCAAGCTCTCTCGTATCCGCCTCCGATGCGGTAACGGTTGTCCCGAGAGGGTGTTCCTTGGACTCAGAGGCGTTCGAGGCGACTGTGGGTCTCTGCGATGAAGAGGAACCGATGACTTCCTGGCGCTCAACCGGTGAGCCAGGGCGAATTTCCGTTGGAACAGCGAAGGCTGAGTTATCGCCAGCCAAAGGGGTAGGCCCCGAGGATGTGGAGGGTTCGCCCAATAGAGTGGATGTCTCGTATGAATAGGACACGATCCGTGAAAGGTACCGGGACTCTGAGAATTGCCCCTCTGAGACCCTTGCATGAATGGCGTCGGATTGCTGGCTGATAGTGTTGTGGTATTGAAGGACGCGCGAGCTGACCCACTGGCCGAAGATGCTGCCACCGGTCCGCGGATCCTTCGACTCCTGACTGTTGCACCCGTAGAGGCTACATTGGCAGAGATGTCGTAGTTCCCCCTCAACCGTAGCGCTTGTCCGTGACGCCTGAGGTCTCCCCGAGTCGAAGTTTGTCGTGAGCTGCTCCATGAACGTCGGTGAACTGCGATTCTACTGCAGATCAGGGGTTAGTTAGTGTTCGACCGATCAGTGATCACCCACTGTTAGGTCACACAACGCACGAGATGGAGGTATACGGTGATGGCCCATGCAACACTCCTTGTGCCGATAGTACCCTCGGGCGACACAGCGCTGTCAACTAGAGTAGAACTATGTATGTATGATAACAGTCGAGATGATGAGCCATTATGGGCGGGTGCTGCTTAGTAAGCCACGCTACCACACACTCAGAATCAGAACGCACGCATAGCTACGCATGGGCTAGAATGTGCCATTGATCGAGCTATGGATGAGCTGTATATATGCTGCAGCGGAGCCGCTATACACCCATGAGAAAGCGCGCGTTGTACTCGTAGATCGACATGACCTGGGGAGGGTAGAACACGGTGAGCCCGTCCAGCGGCAGCGACCTTATCTGTAACCGGTTCATAGAGATGGTCATACTGACAACGATTACACCAACAAAGTACTAACATTGCAACCCATGTACTGGTACGTCATACGTCGCGAACAGACGAAGTGCAAGCATGGCCTATTAACGCTGCGCTGAGAAGTTCTCCGCGTTCCCTGAACCAGGCCTGTCGGGGTCGAAACGTCCTGTTACTAGCGCTTTGTGCGCGAGGTCGTACCGGGTTGCTGTCCTGAAGTGATTGAGCTCTTTCAGTCAGTGCGTGTAGACAGTTGAAGCGTTAAACTTACTCCATGATGCGATCAGAATGCGTGAGGTCGATTACCTTTGAAATAGGGCTGAGCCACTTCATCTTGAAGCTGTCGTATTCCTTGAGAATGGATGGGGCATAGCAGTTTACCGGAAGTCCTGTGACTGCAGGAGCCGAGCTCACGTTCCGACTAGAAACGCGGAAATGAGGCCAACCGCCCTGCGACGCCTTGAATCCACCTCTGTAGCGCACGAAGAGATGAAGCGAATCGAGCGTGCGCAGCCAGGTCTGCAATTCCGGCGAGCGCCACTGCTTTGCAGGGATGATGTAAGTGGCTTCTCCTCTGCCAGCCTCATGGTCGGATTCGTCGCTGCTCATACCGTGAACTCCCAGCGCATCCAGGAGCTCTACGGCCCTCGGAGAAATCAGCGTGCCCGCGATGTGACGACGACGAGAGAACAACTATCGAGTGTACAAGTCAATGACGCGCCCTCTAGGAACATTGAATGACGGATCTCTACCTGTCGCTTTCGTTCCTCTCGTCTGTGGCACATGTCATCGTATTGGACTTCAGCTTCATCCCGAGATCTTGCGCGAAACTGGCGATGGAGGCTCTCCGCATGGCTAATCCACGCCTCCTTAACTTCCTGGTCCGACTTACCAAGCTGAGCATAGTGAGCTTGGAAGTCGGCTATGAAGACCCTGGCTGCGGAAGTGTTCCAGTCGGTCCCGGGTGACGTGTTGATGTCGTAAGAAAAGGTAGCAGCGGTGCAACATTCACGACCACTGGTTGTATCGAACGCAAGAATGCCGTGTTTGGAGGGTATATTGACGAACGGCGCCTTGTGGTCCTTCCGTTGCATCAGCTTGAGCGCGTGCGAGCGGATACATTGCTGAAAACTAACATGAACAGGTATGTCATCGGCTAGGACGCGTCGACTCACCTTGAAAATCCTCTCCTCCTTAGTTGTCTTCTTCTTCTCGCGGTGCCTCGTAGGTAGCTTAAATTCATCCTCCATGTCCCCCTCATCGTCAGCAACCGACCCTTCTTCGCCATGCACGCTCGGCCCTGGTTTTTGAGAGCTCTCGCGTTTAGAGGTAGCAGGGGATGGGCGAGCAGCGGGCGCAGAAGACTGTCCAGAAGGTGCAGGCAGTGTCGGAGAAAACACAGACCGAAGGGTGCTCTCCAGCGAGAGCTGCAGCGAGGACGTCAAACTGTTCGTAAGCTCGGAGACCTGAAGATTGAATTGATCACGCAGATTCTGTTCCATGATAGCCATGTCTTGCCGGGTAATGGGTGCCGAATCGGCAGCGGCATATCCAAAGGAAGCATCGATGCCCTGCGCGAAAAGATCAGAACAATTTAGTCATCACGATACCATCACGTACGTTACTGGATCGAGCCTGAGATATATGAGCGGACGTTGGTACAGCGCTCGCCGAACGGACTTTGCGATCAGCCTGATGGGTCCCCTGCGACTGGGCCTGGGACGCTCCCAGTAGTGCTGTGTCCGGCTGAGAACGTGACTGGCTTGTGTCGACTGGGACAGCAGTGCGATATGCTCGCCGGGTGTCCTCGAAGGGTATCCTGGACTCAGGACTGGATGTCCTCAGTCGGGTGCCTCCGGAGTCGCGATACCTTTGAAATTTGCGTGGCGCTGCTTTGGAATCCTACAAAAGGTTCGCAGCTAAACCAGCGGTAGTCAGAAGGCTCGGAAGACGTGCGTACCGTCTGCGACGCAGTAGAGTGACCGCCACCTTGCTGGACCATCGACCCCGACTGAGGTCCCATTAGACGCAGATTACTATGGAGTGTGCACAACCGTACTTACGCTCGTTTCAAGGGCTCCAGGTAGCTCACGTTCCTTCCCCTTCTCGGCTTGGCGAGAGCGCTCCAAAATGGGTGACCCGTCGCCAACAGATTCTTCGGGGGTTTTCTGCCGCCCCTCATCTCTATTCACCGGCGGAGGACGCTCGGTCGATGTGGAATCGGCGTCGTCGTCGGACGACGTGTCCATGGCAGATGAATCAGGGCGAGATTGCCCCATGATGGGTGACCCGTCACCGAGAGATCCGTCTGCGGGTCTCTGACGCATTTCCTCTCTATTCACTGGCGGAGGATGCTCGGTCGATGTGGCAGTGGCATCATTGTCGGACGATACATCCATGGCAAAGGGTTGAGGAACCTGGTCCAGGTTATGAGCACGACAGGATGAGGTGTTATTTATTCGACTCACATCGCTGGTGTCTTGATTGCTGTAACCTTCTGTGCTTGTCTCAACCAAATCCGGTCGAACGGATGTCGGTTCAACGTTCGTGAGGCTCGTAATCGTGGAGTCCTATCATCATATCTCAGCCGGCCGATAAGCATATCATGAACGTGACTTACTCGCAGCTGTTCTTGTTCATGGGAGTTCTTGACGGCCGGCTGAGACGGCAGACTCAGAGACAAGTTAGGAGGGACGTCACGCAGTGCGGGCTAACGACGAAGCAAATGTCAATGACACTGCGATGACTGGTTGACTGAGGCTTACATCTTCCATGTCGACATCAGATTCAGGTGGCTAAATCGAAGCGGGTGTGAGCACTACCTTCACACTTTCAATAAACGAGCTGTGTACTTCGAATGACGGAGGTGGTGGGACACCGGGATGCTGTGTCTGAGCGAAATCGTGTGATGAGTGTTTCTGCGAAACAGTCATAATGAGATATACCTGAACTTGAGCGGCGTGAAGCGCCTGACTTCCTTCAAGGTTGCTCGCTGCAACTTCCTGGCGGCTATTTGCTGTCAGTTGGCTGGACGCTGCTGCAGGCTGCCATGCCTTGTGAGCCTCGAGGAGATGTGCAGGAGGGAGGACTCTACTAACTGGTTCCAACTGATCGAAATCGAGCCCAAACTGAGACATACTTTGTGTGCCCTCGAAAAGGTCGGCGTAGTACATAGAAGAGTCAACTTGATTGGTAGGGATGGTGCCTTGGTTGAAGGCCTGATATGAGTTGAGTCAGCCAGCCCGAACTTGAAGCGCGAGTCCCGGGAATCGCTTACAACATCCACGACCCCTGTATCAGACTGCATATCATCGGTGTAAGCCTGTACAGCCGATGGAGACATCGCCTCAGAAGCGGTAGCCACGCTCGATGGGAGCTAAAACAGTGGACGGATCAGCTATTGCGCCGCGGTTCCATCACGCAACTCACCGCATGTCGGGTATCGTCCTGGACGGATGAGTCCGGCTCAACGCTGATTAGTACGTCAGAGGGTTCCCTAGTCCTGTGATGTCCTTCTAAGCCAAGTCGATCCTGCCCCGGGACCAGATAGCTTTGCGGTCCGCGACTCGAAGAGGCCTCAGGGCTAACACTGTGTGATGTTGGGACGTCACGGTGGACCATCTCGCGCTCCGCCCTCCATTCTGCGCCAGGGTTATTGTTGTGACCTGCGGGAAAGCCACCAGTCGCATATGTCGCCAACGAGTTCCAGAAATTGTGGATACGGCCGGTTTGCAGATGCGCTGAGGACGTGGAGGCAGTCTGCTAAACACGCATCAACACTGGTGTGGGTCTATGAGATACTAATAATCACCTGTGGTGGAGACGACACCGCCACTCGTATCGCCTCCGTCCCTTCAACCACGGACTGTAATGCTTCTGGAGCCTACGAACGCAATGCAATGAGTGACTGTATAGCGGGTAGCTGCATGAGCCAACCTGTCCGGCGGGAGCGGTTACGCCTGCATAGCCCTGATGGTCGACCGCCGCCAAGCCTTCATGCGTACCATCCGCGTTGTTGGCGGTCTATAGGCTGTATTGAGCATTCTTATATTCATAGCGCAGCAGAGGCGCAAGGATCGAACATCACTGACCTGCTGCTCGTATTGTGGCGTCGAGCTAGCCCCGCTCTCTAATCCGGTGGCCCCAATCTGAAGGGACTCCTTGAGGAGACGGACAGGCAAGCGAGTGTCACGTTGATAGACATACCAGGTTCTCGAGCGCAGGTACCGCTTTCGTGACAGAGTGCTTGAATTTCTTCAACGAATACATCCACGTCGGTGCATCGTCCTCCGGGTTGTGAGTGGGTTGTCTACGGATCTCGACCTTGGGCCTGCGACGAGGGGAAGTTGGTCGAACAATCGTGTTACCGTCTTTGTCTACGAGTTGCTGCGTCGCGCGACGGTCCTCTACCCTCTGTCGCTTCACACCCACAACGGGAGGAGGCTCCTCGGGAGGAGGCAGCTGCGAAGTCGAAGGAGCCGCGTTCGCTGCGTCTGCCATGGTAATGGTGCGTCAGGCTGAAAGGCGAAGGTGAAGTATGCACTCACCTAATCACCAGGGTCGCTTATTTGACCGCGGTTGCATGGGACAATGAACGCTGCACAAGGAGATATTTAATTAGAATAGCGCCGGAATCATGACAGAGTCGTGGTGTACATGTGGAAGTCAGATTGCACGTGTCGGCCCGAGTAGCTTTGGCTACGGAGGTGAGTATGTATCGACTCGGAGCACCGCACACTTGTAACGTGTATTGAATCTGCAGCCTCCATTCGGCTCCTCAAGAGTTCCTAGTTGCGTCACGTCGGATATGATTCTGAAGAGAGGGTACTCGACCTCCCCCGGCTGCCGTCATCGTAGGGTTCGATCCTTCGTTGTAGTCCCGGCTCATACTCATAATCAATCGCACAATGCGAGGGAGCGACGAAGAAGGAGGGATTCCGATTCATTTGGCCACTGGCAGTGGCACGTCCTCTTCTATCTGATGTCACGTGATGACGCTCGCGTTGCGCTTGCGGTTCGCCGATTGACTGGAACTTGGCAGCCTTGGAGACGTTGGAAAGAATGTCGGACCGCTGGGTCCACAGAATCGTCGCTAGAGATACAGAGGAGCGCATCCAGTTCGAGCCTGGTGGGAGCACGCAAGAACTGACGTTGGATGCCTCCGGAGGCGCCTCAGGGCCGCCATCGTACTGCATCCAGGTAATGCCGCGCACTCTGCGTTACACAAATAAATTGGCAATATACATGTTTATAGCAAGAGTGAGAATCGTGATACCCGGAGGCATCCTACTGAGGCACAGGTAGCCTCTCCAAAATATCCACCGGAAGCCCAAGAGCCTTCAGAGCCTGCGCCCTCACGCACTCCAACGCGAATCCGATGACTCCGTGCACCACTTGTATGCCGACTTGATAAAAATCAATCACTCTGCGCAGAGTCCAGATCAAGCAGCGGGATAGCATAGACCATGCGAAGGCAACCTGATATAGATACGTGTGTGCAGCACATTCGGCAATCATCCAATGAAGACTCACAGTTTGGATTACGGCGTTACCCCACTGCCGCCACGGGACGAGTATGCCCACTTTGAAAAAAGCCAATAGCAGCCCGAGAGCTATTACCAGGATAGCGAGTATGCGTATGGCGCTCTGCAGCTCATCGGTGGTAGGCAAGAGGCGCTCTGGCTAGCCCAAGGTTAATAGACAAGTGACGTGGAGAGGTATACAGACGCGCACAGCGAACTTTCGGAACAATGCCGCCGAAGCCGATTCGCGTACCTGCTGCGGTCCGAGTCCAGCTAGTAACTCATGAGCGAACCCGTGCCAACAAACGCTGACAATAGCCTACCTATTCTAGCACGCCAAATCGTGATATACGTATCGCGACCCTTCCCTGCAGAGCCTGTGGCCAGATAGCACGTGTCGTCCGTCGTTTGGCATCCCTGAGACAGGGATATGAGTAGTAGAAGTAGACGCAGCGTATGAGTACCAACCGCCACCGCCATGATTATGTCTCCTGAGTCGCGACGCATGAATCCACGGAATCTGGACGATCACGCATACAGCTTACCTTGATGCGCTAGCGTCTGATATAATTCTCCGGTCGTCGTTTGCCATATACAGACATTCCCGGTCGTAGTACCGCATACGATCGCCTGCCCGCCATGGATGAAGGACACCTGTAAGAGCACGTCCGGAATCGGCTCGACATCGAACTTGTAGTGTCGCAGAGGCTTCTGTTCGGCTCCAAGAGAATAGAGATGCACGCCATCTTTGAAGTTGTGGACTGCAATGAATCGGAATTTCTTGTTGATGGCCGAATGTCCTCTGACGAAGATCAGCTCGGAAGACATAGGTAATCAGAGAAAGAGCTCACATTGCGGGATATATCTCAGGGGGTGTTATACGCCATAGCGATCGGCGAGCGTGCACATCCCAGCAACTTATGACGAGCGGATCAACGTCAGAGTTTTCAGCAATGGAACAACTGAGCGGATACATACATGATTCCATGAGTTAGGTAGCTCACGACGAGCCTCGTCCCAGACCTCTCAAACCTCAGAGCGACAGCGCGATCTCGCGAATCCTCCGCTTTGGACCCCGCGATCGGAGGAGGCAGCCGTACCGTCCCCGTGTATCTATCTATAAGAATTCAGCGACGTACATGATGTCAGGCACGGCAGACATCTTACTAGGCTGAGATTCTCGGGCTACGTATACTCCCGGGCCAATGGCAACTGCAAGGCACGACGTCGCGGAGCCATAGTCCAACGAGTATATATGCGACCGTACGCCGAGATGAACGTCGTAGGTTTCGCAACGCAACTGTGATCCAGAGTAAGTCTCTTGAGACGTAGCGCATATTCCATAGGACACACACCAAATTTAAGTAGCATACTTGCTGCAAGGCCCCGCTCGAACATCCGACGATGATAGTATCCTTTTGCACGGGATGCCAGACAAGGGTGTCGACGGTGCTCTCAAACGGAAGGCGAAGCACTTGTTCGCCTTCGAGGATGTCCCAAATGATAACGGCATGGTCATCACCTCCGCTTGCGAGGTATTGACCTTCCGGAGAGAAAGCGACGACGTTGACAGTGTCTGAATGCCCGTTCTTGAGCGTGAGGACAGGCACGTAGGCGGTAGAGGCCATTGTCGCGGTGGGGAAATTGAAAAGTTACAAGACGGTGACTACCTTCAAGTCTCGCGGGCACCTTGGGAAGCATTGAATGTGGGCGTACCTACCTCGTGTAGAGGGTCAAGATCGAAATGGGGATACCTGCCTCATGTCACGGAGGGCCCGGAGGGAGTCAGGGTCTAGTGTGGGCGTAACTGCCTCATGCAGACGGTCAGGATCTAATGTGGGCGTACCTGCCTCATGAGGAGGGCACGATCTGATTTGTGCGCACCTCGCCTCCCGCAACCTTGCGGTCCGCACTTCGTGTACCAGCTCATGGCGTGCACGCCGCCGCCGCGAAGCTCGTCTGCGATGCTTCACATTCGTTTAATTAATTGGCACCGAATCGCGGAGCCCGGAAGTAAATCGGGGATCTGACTGATCCGGGTGGTCACATCGACATCAAGTCACATCGACTCATCAAGACGCATTCCCACAACGCCGACGGGACTAGTACTTGCCACTGGGGATAATCTAGCGTGTGTTCGACTTTGTCCCCCACTGCAGACAATGACCTCTGCTGCAGATGCGCCGCTCGATTCGAGAACACATGGCGCCCTACGAAACTCTCATTCCGTGTCCCTTTGTGCGTCGTAGGCGTATACATACACGGCGTAAGACAAGATGCCAGTGGGCCCAGGACGAGGTGTGAGTCGCGTCGTCCGAGGAGAATCATGCTCACGACTTGCCCCATCTGCTTGGTCTCTCTCGCGACAGATGGGCCTGCCTTGATTGCCATCAAGACGTGCGGTGAGTGTGTTCTCTATGCTGCGTGCAGCGTGACCATCTTTTACTGAGACTCTGCAGGTCATGTCATGTGCACGGATTGCCTGGAGCAAATCCGTAACACGCCCCTCTTCTCGCACTGTCATCTATGCAGAGAACCGTTTCGACCTACTACTGACCTCGTCCGGGTTCAACTGAAGTTCGGAGAACCGGAGTATAACCCTAAGTTGTTCTGGAATCTGATCCGCAGGTGAATTCGATTTTTTTCTTTGAAATGCCCCGTCGCATCTGAACGGAACGACTGCACAGAAAGGCGGCTCAGCTTCAAGAAGAGCGAGTCATCATCGACGGGGAGCGAGAGCGTCTTCGCGCGTCGAAGCAAGCCCTGCATCGACGCAATCAGGTTCAGCATGACCGCATCCACTCCCACGAGGGTACGCTGCGCAAATTGCGAGACCGTACGTCGGACATCCATGCCGAGGTAGAACAACTGCGGCTCGAGCTTCGCGAGGAGTTGAGCAGGATCTCCTACATCCTGGATAGCCTCTACAACTCCATAACCGTCGTGAGTTTCTCGATGTCGCCGCTATTACCTGTACTGGTCGTTGATTCGCCATCCATGTGTCAACAGTAACACTCTTCTGTGTCTTGCGCCCCGATTTCGATGTCGACTTGATGTACAATATACAAGTAGAACGTACCCCGGACTTCCGCCTCTGAGTCCCTTGTCTCACTTTTTCTTATCCTGCGCACGCTCCGACGGTGAACATGTAGTAATAACGTTAATAACGTATCGCCACGAGTCTAATTAGTCCTATATACCTGGTCACATCGTGATATCAATCGAGCTCGCCGCGTACTTCGCGACCAAGTCTTCACCTAAATCGCAGACCTGGACCAGCCTCGACTACATCTGAGATCTGAGATCTCGCTCCGATCCGTCCGTTCATCTGCGATCATGGCTGAAGCGCTGAAGTCTTCCGGATTCGGATGCATCGGAACGCCCTCAAGGATCGCCTATGTCCTGTCACCGCTGACTCCAATGCCACGACGCCTCACTGTAAGCTCTCAGAACGTGGTTGCCTCATTGAAAATTATCCCAGTCCCCTCCGCCGATGATTAAATGCTCCCAGTGCCAAGCTAGGGAAAGTGTTCATCATGCCTCGCGAAGCCATTGAATGCGCCCCAAGGGCCGTCGCGAAAGTAACTGGATGCGCTGCAAAGGCCTCATGGCTGTATTCTATATCACAGGTAAGTCGTCACCTGCTGTTCTTCTGGCCAACGATCTCATCGGAGTCCCGTTCTCCTTTGTCTTACCAGCCAATGGTGTTTCACTGCCAGCGGCCAACCCTTTGTCGTGCCGGACCTACACAATGTCTGGAACCTTGCGTAGAATGGAAGCTTAGTCTTGATTGGAAATTGACAGAAATGAAGGCTCAGCTTGACCGTTTTTCCCGTCTAGAAGCCTGAGGCGTGGTCGAACACATTGTTTCGTCGTTGGAGAACGCAAGGAACTTGCCATGAGCCTTGGCCGAGCTGTCGCGTACAATTGACACCGTATATGTTAATTGGCATAAGCGATGTAGCCGCGACGCCGACGCACCGCCCTCGTCTCTGCAACCGTTGTCCTTACGATCACCATGTCGGACAGTACTTCGCTCTCTTCCAGTACTCCCAGAAGGTCTGCTCGCCTCCGCCGATCCGAGACTCAAGTCGACACAAGTCATACTGACGCGATGAGCGGGACTGCCCGCGGGGCTCCTGACGACTTCAAGACAGCCGATCTTGCGAGCAGTGGCTCTCCTGGTAATGACAACTGATTCTTAGTGACGCTCCCGGTGTTCACCGTTCGATGCCTTTATTTCAATCCCTACAGACAAAACGAAGATCGAGAGAGGTGCTACCGCTCATCCAACGCAGTATCCGCCGAAGTCAGTGCGGACTGGGATATCTTCTAACGGATGTACCCGGCTGGTATGTGCCTCGTCCGAGCCTCTTCGGCGCAGAATACTCACCGAAGTTGTATAGGTGTCCCTCTGCGTCGCTGGCATCGCCTTATATATCCTTTCTCGCTCGGACGTTCAATGCTACGCTGCTGCCTATGTATCCACGCTCATTCACCCTCTCTACACGATGCTCATTGGCAGCGACGCCTACTCGCTCGTCGTTCAGCCTACGCTTCCTGTCAGGCTTTGCACACTCCCTACGGCGACGCTGGTAATCCCAGCTTGTCGTCGTGTCCCGGATGGAGTGAGCTCCGTTACCTGGGACGACTACACGGAGCTGGTCGGCATACAGGGCTCGATGATCGCAGGGATAGCGAATCAGACTTCGGAGCACCTGGATGCCGTTGTTCGCCTTCAAGCCGTCATATGGAAGCTCCACCGCACCTCCGATACTCTCCTCGACTCAGTCGAACGTGCATGGATGAAGAATGGGTCAGAACGACTACTCTCTACCAGTCGCAACGTCACGCTGCTAGTCCTCGACCTCGGACAAGATGTAGCTGCCGTAGCGAGGGGGTAAGTGCCCAGTCGCTTTTCATGGGATGTTCGCCGTCCTAAGAGCCCTGTTTCAGAGCAGAGGACGTCAGCCAGGCCGCGTTCTCCGCAATGAATCGCATCCAAGCTGCCGCATCCTCTTATACTGGTCGTGTACTTTATCCGGCGCCACGATGGCTCGTTGCTCAGCTGTTCCAGGCCGTCCGAGATGGCATTCGATCATCGCTTTCCCCGTTGTCCATGCAAACGTTCATTGCGACACAGACTCTCCTTGCGCTGTCCAGCGACCTCGTTCACCTCGAACAGTACACGATGGGTCATTGTTGGCCCCGACCCCTCGGCAGAGCAGGTCTGCGCAAGGTTTTGCACCCTAACAGCCCCGACGATGCTCGCTGCCGCGATCTGTTGCTTGGGCTCGACTTGGCGCGGTTTGACATCGATGCGCTTCACTCCTCGACGCGCGCGATATTCGCGATTCTCGACGAGAGCGAGCGCCGACTGGCCGATCTGGAGAAGAAGGCGGAAACACGGATGGAGGTAGCACCGGATTTCCAGTACGCCGGTCGTCACCTTGCTGAACTCATGTATCACATGGGGCGCATGCGCTCGGTGAAGTGGGATGCCGCGGTGGCACAGTTGTTCAGGGCGCTGGTTGAGCTCCGTAGGACGTAGCATGGTCATGGTATGCGCTCATCTGACGGGCAACCGGTGAATGATTCTATGTGCTCAGGCTCCCAGTCATTATACAACAATTCACAATCCCAACGTACAAATCGCCACTTTCCCATACACTCTCTCCTCAATCCACCATGTTTTCACCCTTGTATGTATCATGCGTTGTATCGTATATTTCTATGCAGCTACGTGCGTGAATTCCTGCAGTTGGAATGACCGAGACTCCGACAGGGTGGCTGCGCGCGTCGTCCGCCGGCCAGGAGGCACAACATTGCCGAAACAACGTGGGGCCAGCGGGAAATTTCCCCGTGGATCGCCAGTGCGCGCCGACTCTATGCTCATAATTGCATCGATAGCGATTCATTTGTTGTCTAACCACCTTGTGAGAACGAGCGCTTGCGGCGGTCCTCGATTTGAAGGTGCATGCTTAGAATGTGCACAAGGCGACGCGATGTACGTGCAGCGGGACTATGTATTGACTCCGCCCGGGTCTAGGAGTACATACACGGCGACTCGAGGAGGAGGAGGAGGAAGAGGGGGGTCCATTTAGCCACCGGCCGATAACGCACGTGCGCACCGACTTCTTGACGGCGACAGCGCTCACTAGGTACAACATCACAGGCCATAGGGCTACGTACTAGACTACCAAATACTACTCGCTACATGACCCCCAGCCCCCCTGATCCCTGCCCTACACTCGAGAGTACAAGATTCATGGCGAGCGGTGGCGAGTCGGGGCCAAGTCGGAGGCCGGCGGCCCGGGCTCCTTCCCTTGTAGGCGTCAGCAACACAACCGAATCGGGGGAGGAGGAGTCCATTTAGCCACGTGAACCGGCCGATAGCGGGGGAGATCATGATTCAACACGCCTACCCAACGCCTTACCCTCGACCCTCCTCCTCCTAATTCGCTCCGATCAAGCGCTGCCGCCAGGGCAAGGTCCTGATGCCATTTGGATGCGATCATCCGCAGTCTGTATTCTTGCCTCGTCGCCTGCAACAACAAATGAGATTCTAGAACGCTGACGACAAGCGGCTCATTTTCGTAAGTCCAAAGAGCGAGCCTGAGCCATACCAGTCTCAGCTGATCGCCAGACCGCACACGAACTAGCGTCACAGGTAGCCGTCTTCTCCGCTATGTTGCTTCTGAGGAAACGTGGTAGGGCACATCTCGGTACAACATCACGGTGTGAAGTGCGAGCTTCTGCCAATTCGCCGTTCATAAATTCACGCGTGCGTCCATCTCAGTGCCCTAGTATTTCAGGCATCTGGAAGTCGTGTCTTCCCACTTTGTTCCGACAGCAGCACTACTCGTAAGCTCCCTGAACCTCGACTTGACGGTAGCGGCAATGGATCCGGACGTGAAGGCGTCGGTGGTCCCGTACGTTTCTTCGTGCTTTCCCTCTGCTCCACGACTAACGGTGCGAATCAGACGCAAATTTCGCATCTTGCTAGCCGCAGAAGTCGAAGACCTCGACCTCGACGGCGCTGAGTCTGCGTTGCCACACAAGGGAGATCCGTGTCCGTCCAAACAAGTGTTTGCGCAACTTCCGTCTGGTCGATGTGAGTTCGTCTTGTAGATTACACGTTACGCCGTCGCTCAGATAGTATCTGGCACATTGACGCTACAAGATGTCATCGTCGGCCGTGGTAGCGACCTGGAAGACTTCTTCAAGTACGTGATCCTCGGGAGCGACACTAGGATTGTCGCATTCCAGGTAGGACCTTTCATTCAAGTTGATCTTGTGCCCATCGCTCACTTTCGTTCTCACAGATCCTTCGAACGATCAAATGGACGACTGGAGGCAGATGGTATTATGCCCAATTCAAGACAGATTCGGCATTCTACGACTGTCTTGCCTCCTTCTCTGAAGTCTCCGCCCGACAGGGCATAGAGCAACTCGTCGACCATGAGGAAATCAAGGTCTTGGAGGGTGCTCTTGACCGGCTGCCTCTATCCTCAACCGCTGCAAAAAGTCACGATGCTCTCACGTTGCATCATAGCAGCGAGGACGTTACCCGGGGCCTCGTCATTTTTCCCGACCAGAATGCAGCAGCGTATGCCGCGCCCGCCCTGGCCGGGATCGTGCTAGGTGTACTCATCGGGCATCTGATGGGGAGGAAATGATGTTAGATACTGCGTGTCTCCCAAATATTTACGACCTACGACGCATAGCGTCCGCCGCCGAAGTCCTACCTACATAACTTAGTAGCTCAGGAGGTTTTATGACGATGGACCGCCCTCCGCTTCGCGCGCACGTGTCGCAGCCTACATAACTTATCAGCATCAGAGCTGAGGAGGAGCAAGTCCACGCCCGGCGAGCGCTCCGGCAGTTTAGGGCAAGCACCAGTCACACTTAACACGAGTGCAGCGCCCCCGCCGTCAAACGGTTGTTACTAGCCTCACTCTGCTGGCAACACCTGAGCCAGCTGAGTTCATCATCATCATCAACACCTGAGCCAGGCTTGCAGTCCCGCGGGCACGTCTTCGACTACGCCCATCCTCACCGTCTGCACACGAACATGTCCGAGTCGCCGCCAAGCAGCGTGCCACTTCACACACCTCCGCCTTCGAACAGGTCAGTGCTCTTTGGTACTCTACCTGCAGAACCTCGCGCCCTTCCACCACTCCGTCTGACTCTACCATTCCTCAGGTCGTCAACACACGGACAATCTGCCAAGACCTTCCGCGACGACTCCCAGAGCATGCGCGAACGCGCCTGCTTACCCGTGACGAGCCCCCGAGGCAGAGGATGCTCACGCCCACAGCAGCCATGCACGCGAAGACACCGGACGTGAAGACGCGGAATAATATATCAGGCATCATCGCGGGGAAACGGAAGGGAAACATCGCGTTTGGCACGCCCCCCAGCTCCAACGCGCCCGGCCCAGCCGCAGCGCCCCCCAGCTCTACCCACATCTACGAGGCGGCATCCCGAAGCGTCTAGCGGCGGAACCGTGGCAGTTTTCAAGGGAAGGCGCACCTTTCGGAGGGCGAGCAAGAAGTTGAGCCTGCCCATGGTGGAGGGCAGCCCGGTGTTGAAGGGAGGTGGCGCGGAGAGCAGCGGTGCGGGTGATGTGGAAGAAGCTATCAACAAGGTAGGCACGTCAATCATCCCGCAGGCGGTCGATCGGCAGCAGGACGCAGACAAATCGGTGTATGCGGAAGCGTCAGAGACTGGCGAAGACTCTTCCATGCCGGCCCCGCCTCCCAAGACGGGCACAGACAAGCCTCCCGCACCAGAGAACGCGAATGCGTCTGCAGCGAGTCCCGACCTTCAAGCGCAATCCCACCCGGCGAGCCTCGCTCCGAGTCGCCCTGCAGCTCGTCCACGAAGCACACTCTTCCCAGCCGCCGCAGACCCCATCGCAACTCGCGTCCTCCAGCAAGAAACAGGGCAACCTATCGACAGCCTCGCCTACGCTCGCGAAGCGCCATGCGCCCGCGATGGCAGCCTCCCGCGCACCGCCGACGGCGGTCGACCGCTTCGAGCCTCTGACGAGCACGCCGAGCGTGCTGAAGCGTTTGATGTTGGGTGCGCACGTCTCATGATCAGGGGAACGGAAGTGGGAATGGGACGCCGAGTAAGATGAGCGGAGTGCTGAGAGACTGCACAGTATTAGTGGATGTGCGGACGAATGACGGGTGGATGGGTAGGCTGATGAGTGAGAAGACGAGTGGGCTAGCAATATCATACCATTGTGTGCTGTATTCGTAGTAGATTCTGTACATATTGACATGGGCTACAGATCGTAAAAAGGCAGTCATATCTACACATTTGCTAACTCATGCTGATATGCTAACGGCGCTGTGACGGCGGTGAGATATCTAATGCGATGCTAACGCTGTCTAACGGCGCAATCGCAGCCATTCACCCGACCTTGTGAAATGCGGCCGGCGATGCTCACATCTGATACGCTGACGGAATGTGGAACTGGAGTTTCAGCAGCCATCAGAGCCCATCGCTGAAATCGCCGAAGTTCTGATCAGTGAGAATGAGTGGTGCCTTCGTATGCGGTGAGCACCAAGTCCTTCTTATTCTATAGTATCATATATGTACGAGCAGCGTAAAAGTAATTTCCAAAGCGACTGAGCGACAACAAGAAAACATGAGTCCAAAGCAACTCTGGCCTTTGATGGCGGATGAAAAGCGGAAGCAACAATTTCGACCTGGGAGAGCCTTGCTCTAGCGAGCAAGGGATGTACGAGCAGCGTAAAAGCAATTTCCAAAGCGACTGAGCGACAACAAGAAAACATGGGTCCAAAGCAACTCTGGCCTTTGATGGCCCGGGGACGGTTACTCCAACGCCCCGGTAAGCCCCAGCTTGCGGCTTTGCTCGCTGATGTGGATGACCATATGGAAGAGATAGCGGCATTCAGCCTCCTTCTCTTGTAGGCGGTCCTCCGTTGCGATGACGCGCTCACTGAGCTGTGCTCGTGGTACACCTTCACAAGGGGCCTGCCATGAGCCTATCAAATATATGTTTTGTTTAACTGACGCACGATTTAAAGCCTCTAGACGTCCTTGTCGGAGCTCACGGCTTGTTGATGTATCGTTCGTCGCCATCGGTACACAGAGCTCACGGCTTGTTGAGTTCGGCGCCATCTGTACATGTTCTGGTCAGTAGTAATACTATCTGCAACAGAACACTTACCGATGGGAGAGAGACTTGGAAGGTACGTAGGCAGGTTGAGTGCTCGCGTAGGAGTCGGGGGCAGTCGCGTCGAGACCATATGGGTCGTATTGTCGCTACAAGCGTGGTACCAATTGCCCATAGTAGGCAAGGCGTGCCTGTCCCGATTTGGGATGCCCGATTCATTGATGGTGCATGCTCTATCAGTCATGCATTTGACCACCGAATCGAAGCTCATGGCCAATGAGATTGCCTTTCAAAAGTAGTCGCAACTACTGATTCGAGGCTGGGGGCTCAGGGTATTGAACCATGAGGCACCCATTATCGCCCCGCAGACGCGAGAAGAACGAAGCGCCTAGATCTGACGAGCGCTTGAGCGCTCACCATCGGGCGACTTCAGCGAAACCGTGCCCAGGCCATCCCGAGATTGAATGCGAGGCCGCCGCGCACTATGTCGATAAGCATTCGCGTAGCATCATCCATTCAGCGCGGGAGGATAACAACTCATGTTACGTACAGCTGCGCACGGATTGACGAGGCGCCACATTCCTAGCAGCTTCCTCGCCCGTTCTCGTCTCATGTCCATCCGTTCGTTCAACTCGTGGCAGTCTCTACACACGCCAGGCTCCCCTCAAACTGTCCGTCTTGCGTCTTTCTCGCTTAATCTGTCTTCTCACCTTCGCCTCCATGCAGGCTCTGAGCTATGCATGGCCAAGTTGTCTCCTCGAGGCTCAAGCGCCCACCGAAGCAAGCGCTCTGGATCTGAGATGACAAGCTCACGGCGGCGTCTATACATCTCACTCTTGCGACCTACACCTGCCTACACGCCATCCGCGAGCGTCGATCCACTGTACAGGTCCTCGCCGACGCCGACGCCACGACCGGCCATGCTCGCGGGCCAATTCGTACAAAACCGTACCACGCCAGAACACACGGTGTGCCCCGTCGCGTTCGTCCACTTTCGCTCCTATCATCTCGATCTTCACACTTCAACTCGCACGCCGCTGCAGCGTGCGGCATCCCCATTTGGAAGACGATCCCTCTACCTACGAAACACACACTCTAGACCGTCATGTGCGACCTACTAACCGCACACAAATCGCAGGAGAACTTCGAGCGCTGCACGCATAAGCGGGACATCAAGGCGGTGGGACGCAGATATGTCGGTCGTCGACAACTGGGTACTCAGGATATCTGGGAACGTGCGATCGTTCGTACGATCTTGCACGCTCCTCATTGACTCAACTGACTCGGACGTAATAGTCCGCCACGGCACGAGCGCGACCTTCAGCTACGACGGTAAGAGTTTGCTCCTCGACATTGACTGCGCTGACCATCGTACTGCTATGCACACTCAGGTCGAACACAACGACTGCCACTGCTGCTGTGCACATCGTAACACAGCCCCGGGCCCGCTCCTGCGCGTCGCGTAGGGTGGCCATGATATTGCGCGCGACTGCAAGCCACGCGGAGAATCTAGAACGCGCGATTGCGGAATGCGGGAGTCGTCTTTCCAGACATCGTACGGATCGATACCAAGCTCAGGCTGTGTACACGGCGGTGATGCACTGCCCAGTACTAATTGCGGGCGGACTGGGCATAGAGAGTGGTACACATTTAACAACTACGGCAAAGACCAAAAATCGTATGATTAGGGACGAGGACTTCAGAAGAATGGCATGTGTTACGGAAAGCGAGATGATGTTACCGATCTATAGAGGGTGATACATATTGAACGCAGGGGGCAAACGAGTACGGAGAAGACCAACAATCGCGTAACAAGGGACGAGGATGTGAGAAGTATGACATGTGTAACGGAAAGCGAGATGACAATACTGATCGCGTCATGGGCTAGTCGTCGTTGTATAACAGAAAGCGAGATGACACCGATCGCTTGCGTCGTGGGCTAGTCGTCGTCGACGTCCATTTGTTGATTGAGCTCGGCGATGAGCCTGGCAAGAGTCAGAAAGAATTGGCCACTTTGAGAGGGAAGGCTGGATGGCACAGCTTGGAAGCAGGCCATCAGTCGCTCTTCGAGAGCTTTCCGGGCTTGATGAGCGAAGTGCATGCCTGTCATGAAAGCTTGTGCCAGGCCCACGAAGGTTACCGTAGGGTCGTTCGAACCGCCAAGGACGAACTGGTGCAGGTACGTCCCGTCCCACCATGCCAGAACTGCAGAATCCTGCAATACATGAGCTACTACGCTGATTCGCAATAACGGAAGCTGGACATACTTGAACGGTGACGCTCTTCCAAGAGACCTTGAATGGCGAGACGAACGACCGGCCTCTAACGAAGCCATCGACGATGTAGAGAGAGTCTATGACGATGACAAATGAATATCGACGGCCGCAGTTATAGGAACGAAGGGGATGATACGAACACTTTCGAGCGCGGTGCTCAATAATGGCAATTACGCAGGGAACCCAAAAATCGGAAGGGGATGCGCTCATCCCGCGAGTCCGGATGTAGAACCCGGATGCGATGAAGACGAGGGGTTTCAGCTCGACGCTGGAGGCGGATTAGTGGAAGCTGGAAAATCATTGAGAATACTTACTGAGACATCTCGGTAGGAGCGTTCAAGTTGACAAGCTAAGACGATTGCTGCGAGGGATGGCGGGTCCTCAATTGCGCCGTTGATCTCCATCTCATATACTGCCAGTGCTTGACTGCGGCCAGTGGCAACGACGATGAAAGGAGCGAGCTCGCCATTGTCCCAGCGTCGTCGTCGGTCAATGCAACATTCGCCCAGCTACGAAGTGACGGCGGCCAGCGGGGGCACAATGGTGTGATTGCGCGCATGAGTGCCTACGAGCGACATGAGGTACCCGTCATACGTTTCGAAGAGCAAACATAACTCAGCGGCAGCGCGTTGACTACACGAGCTTTCATTTCTACTGCCTTCTGACCGGCCTTGGCGGAGACCAGCAGTTGGGGCTTATCCCCCTACTTCGAGCTTTCTGCGCTCTGTCTTGAATTTCTTATCCTGTAGAGCAGTAAATATCCCACGTTGACCATATCACAGGACAGTGTTCGGAACGAAACGAACCCACTTCTGTGGCCAGGGACCTGGAGGAGTAACTTTTGAAAGGTCCGCGCGATACTGACGGCGGGCTCAGGAATCGGTTGAAGCGTTCGGCCTGTGTGGAACCATGGAATTGCCGTGACACTCCTCTGGGAAAGAAAGCAAGTGAGATTTGAACGGTACGATGAAATGAACTGAAATGAACGGGCGCGTTTGTGTCCGAAGCCGCCATGAAGGTAAGGCGAGGAGGAGGCGAGGCACTCAGGTGATATGCATAGACACGTCGCCAGATTGACGAAATGAGACCAAGTCAAAAAACGCTTGCACGGATGGATTACGAGACGTTCGCCCCCTGATACGTTGACTTTTTTTTACGCGACGATCCACTCGGTAGAATCCCTGCAGGAACGGCCTCTAGGTATGGCAAACAGCCTACAAAATACGATCCACACGCGATCACCCGGGACGTACCTACTACACCAGCACACTGACAAGGCGGCACTATCGAGAGGTGATGCGTCACCTTTCAAATTCAGACGAGGAAGAAGGTTGAGCAAGCGACAACATTGTGCAAAATGAGAGCATGTACAAGTCGGCAGGCCTAACGTACTGGGCTAGCGCTCTATAACCAGCGCTCAGTCGCATGTTGTGGTGTGCGAATTGATCGACGTCATGTCGGAAATGGAAAGTGCGCCCCTAGAATACGAGACGCATACCGTACCACGAGCGTGACAGTTCGGTCACCCAATGGGTCGCGCCGCCACTGGTAAGTACTTTGGCAGTCCTGGGGCCCGAGGCACAAATCGCGATGACTCTCGCCGGAGAAAGATGGCTTCCCAACGACTCTCGGTCGTCAACCAGGAACCGAGCCGCAAACGCTCGTTGTTCACCGTTCAATCAGTACGTGCTTTCGAGTTCAGCGACATCTACGACCTGTCATTAATTAATTGTTGGACCAGAGTACATTATGACTACCCGGGAATCGTATCTATATAGCCGCTTCTGCCACCGATGTGACGAGCTCAAAAGCACGATCGATAGCGGACTCTTTCCTCCTCCTCCTCGACTCGTGTGTCCTTGGCGCCCATATAGCAGCGTCGAAGCGACCAATCCAGGCATGCTCGTCTTCTGATTGCCGGTGCCACTGGAGAGCTCACGTTATGCGGCAGACTAGCAGCAGCCTGGCTCTGGCGGAGACTCGGAGGCGGCAGCAGACTCGGAGTGGCATGTCCAATATCGTCGCTCGTCTTAACCAATAACTCACCACCAAGCGTGTAGCTCCTCGTCTGCGCCTCAGTAATCGTCCCCATCCCGCACGATGTTCCGCACAACTTTCAGCTTCGTCTCTCAATCCATCGTGCTGGTTCTGCTCCTTCTCTATGGGGCGACGTGGATGTGGGCGGGACTTCGCTCGCTCTGCCAAATACCCTTTGTCTCCTCCTTCGTACGCTCCTGCGACACCATCAACTCCAATATGACGGTCTGGGCTGCTCTTCCGCTGCTGCTCAGCGGGCAGACGGTTGGTATGGAGCGGGTGCTCAACCAAAGCAGCGCGCACGCCGAGATCGTCGACGATCTTCTCGACATACGCTTGGCGTCTGTCGATTTGTCGATTCTCGTACAGTCAAGCGACCTCGAATACCGATTCCAGTTATCCAGTCATATCGACAAGGTCGCGGACGACGCGCTGGACCTCAATCGCGGTCTGCAGCATCTCTCAGCCAAGATAGCCGCGGGATTCGACAGGTAAGCAGTGGTCAATCCCGACAATGATGTGTCGAGGACTCACATTCTGTTTGCGCAGGATTCTATACACGAACGAGCACCTATACCAGTTGCTGCGTAACGTGCCCATCCCTCCCGGTCGCATGCCAGATATACCTATCTGTCACTCGAACCCTTTCTCGGAAAATCTGCATGCTTGCCTGATTCAATCGCCCTACTCCGACATTGCGGTTGCATACGAACGTGCGTTGCAGACGTACGAGGCCGTCCTCCGCGAGCTCATACAGTCTGCGGCGGCTTCCCTTTCCAAGGCCGCGCTCCTCGACGCGGACTTGAGGTCAACAATGAGAGTAGTCGCATGGGAGAGGTTCGGGGTCGATCTGGCACGGAGGGATCTGGGGTTGGGTTTGCTCTGGAGCCTTCTGGGAGGTCATAGGCGGCGCCTGGCACACCTTTCACGGAACGAGAACATCCTCAACCGCGTTGGAGAGTACAGTGCGAGATCGCTGCGCTACGTCCGAACGATCCAGGACACACTTGAAGGTATGGAGAGGCATCTGGAGGAACTGAGGCTCGTAGCATCTGGAGCCATGGTCGTGGATGCGGCGCCTCCAGAGGTCATTCTGCAGATGCTTGCCCGAGGCTTCGAGCGCCTGGGGAGGGCGCGTTTTAGTGACTACGAGCATAGAGCTCCGGCGGCTTTAGACGCTCACTGAGACAGTGCAAGGCGAGTCCTTGAAACTCATCTATTCTGTTATTTATTGACGTCTCCTCAGCAATCAGGACATATCCGTATCGGCCGCTCGGTCGCTTTTCATCATCGCTACTCAAGCGTGCGACTACTTCGTTCTTGTATGTGTGTGGATTCCGAACACCATTTCCGCTGAGCAGGCTCTCAGTCTTTGTATTCTAAGCCCGTACTTCTCCGAGACCTTCGTCAATCTACAGTCTGTATGTGATCCTGGCCGTGACACTACCATGTACAGTAGTTGTGTCCCATTTTTTCACCCTTTGGACCCTATCCGTCATCCCAGGCCTTATCAGTTTTGCCGGCCAACTTTACTGCGAGTCTATGACCCCCGTCCGAGATTTGAAGTCGATGCAGCGTGTCGGCTGCAAGCGCGCATGGTCACGTGAGAAAATCGTGAGGGACGGTTGGAACTCGTGCGTTACATTTCATCAAACGACCTTATGTAGGATGCCTTCGATTCGCTGACCTCGACATCCCCGACTCATCCTCTACGTGTACGATGTGTTCAGACCATATCCTCCGACGAGCGAGTCGTCTACGCCCTCGATCCGACCTGAACACGCCATGCACACATCGGAGTTCAATGTTCATTGTTCACAATCAGTGGCACGGCGTCCGATTCCTTTAAAGAGGCGAGCAACTCGGCATTGTTCCCCCGGCCAGCACGTCCTTGCTTGCATCTTGCGCCTCACTGTCTGATATGACTGAACGACGGCTACCTGCAGTCGTCCACATCACGGACCCTCACTTGCCCAGTCTTCCGCTTGAACGGGATGTAAGCTCTCTTGCAATCGGACACACGTCGATCTTTACCGCTGACTCTCGCTTTTAGGAAGACGTTATTCGTCCGGGCTGCTACGTACTCCGTTACCGACATTTGCGCCTTCCCGCCATGGCGGTCCAGTATGTATTTCACCGAACCTACACCTGCAGCATGTACAAACCAACGTCGGTTTCTTCTCACTCTCACAGAGATCCAGATGTCGAGCACGCTGAGAAGATCATAGTGCCGTCGAACCATGATGTGAGACCACGGCCTGCCGAGGTATGGACTGCTCGCTCATACGTATGATGTAGGTTCCCAACCCGTCTGAGGTGCACGCTGTTCGCCGCGCAGGGAGTCACCCGGTGTACTCCAACACCAACTGCTCCCAGGATGAAAGCCCAGCTATCGTGCACAAGCGTGTGCCTGCTACCTCAGCATCGGCAACGGAACAGCTTACTAGTCCAGATCAAGCGTGCACATGGGATAATATGCCTCAAGCACCGGTACGTTCGTTAAGGCCTTTGTGGTACCATCTCAAAGCCGATGGGTCTCTTTCCTAGTTCCTGTCTGTGAAGGGCAAGAACACAGTAGCTGAAACTTCAGGCAGCAACGGCACGCTTCCGCGCAGCCAGCCGTCAGCCGTACCTGTGAGTCGGGAAGGCCCAGCGTCGCTCAGCTCTCTACTCCGAACTCTCAATCTGTCCGAGTCCGTCGGAGTGTCGACCAGTCGACCAATCACGAGTCAAACGTCGGGGATACCTACCATCAATCTGGGCACAATGGGGCGCGTCTTACCACGCAAAGCTGCTCAGCCACCATTGTCCTTCACGCCAATGCCGTCCGCGCCACTACCGCCCGCCAGAAAGACTGAGGGGACTGTAGAGAAACAAGTAGAGAAGCAAGTCGGATTGTTCTCCCGCATCACGAGGTACGCACGCCCTCGCATCAATAACGCCTGCGTGACTGACCGCGCACCTCAGAGGCCCACACAAGTTTGACCACTCCGTTAGGTCACGCGCAGAAAAGGTGGTCTGGTACGAGTCTCAAGGTACCCCGGGCAGGCTTACCGCTGTCCCAATTGCCCCCACGATCGCGGACATCGGCGAGTTGTATGTCCATAAGACCGGCGGGAAGGTGCAGGTTTGGCTGCGAGACGCGTCGGCGACTTGGGTCTCAGTCGCTGAGCAGCATCCGCATCCCGTCATGGAGGGCTATGTCTTGCGCCTACTCGACGGTGATCCGCGTTGGGTGAAGAAGGAGACGTACCGCACGTATATTGGCCGTCAGAAGAAACTCGACCTCCTGTGATCCTCCAGAGAGAACCAACGCTCTTTGCTAACTTCTTCGACGGATACTGTTCAGTTCGCGAATTTGTACCAATAGCCGTAGCGGCGTATAGATATTAACGTTTCGAGCTAGACGTCAACTCTAAACAGGCACAAGCCATAAGCAGGAGGGGGGCATGGCCGAGGCTGACGATCTGGATTCGTTTTGGTCATGCAGGGCCCTCTTGAATGTTCACGATGAGGTAGGTGACGGGTTGTATATCTGCACTCGCGCCGCTGAATGCAGTTCGGCCCGCCATCTGCATGCGAAACTGAAGGACGCGCAGGCCTGCTCTAACAGAAACTACGACGAGCTGGACAGCCTCGAAGCCACGCATTGCCTCAATCGAGAGGCCTCTGGTACAATGAAAAGAAGAAGCGGCATTTTCATTGTATGCTGCCCCTTGACACCGAAGCAGATCGAGGTGTACAAACGCATTCTCAATACGGAGGCCGTGCAGAACATGATACGGAAGGATGAGCTTTGTGACTGCGGCTCTCGTAAGAAGTGAGGACAAGGGCTAGAATGCGTATGGCATCGACCTGACCTTCGCCCCCAGATGCCGCAAGTACCATTGTCCGTTCGATAAGGGAGACCTATTGAGATACCTTACCGTGCTCATACGGGTATCCAACCATTTCGCACTCGTATTGCCCTGTGAGTCACTACACATTGGGGTCCCGTATATGTTACTGACTGTGCGCGGAAGCCCCTACGGATACACCGGAGCAGATACGTTCGCGGTATGAAGAGTCGCGCGATGTATACTGATCTAGCTTCTTGATGTAGACTGTACGGAATCGTGAACTTGCTAAGATGGCCTTCCCAGAAGGGTCGATACCGAAGCATGGGCCTGCGATTATGGTCCCGAATTTGTGGAAAGTGGCTGGTGCGTTATAAGATATTGAAGATTCTCGATTATCATCTTCAGGCTCAAGGTAACCTCGTCGTCACGTATACGGTGTACTGAGAACTGATCGGTTTTGAAGGCCTGGGCTTCGTTACACTCGAGGGATCGACGAGACCTCAAGATCGTAGGGAGGATCGTGATCATCATGACGACTTGCTGACCTCTCTCGCAGGTATGCCGCTCATCGACAAGTTTCATGAGGACCCAGATATCTTCGTATTTTTTTTATCTCGACGTTGGATGGTGGTACAGGTCTGAATCTGACAGGAGCAAACAAGCTGGTGATCTTCGGTACGTTCTGAATACTCTTGAGGTACTCGACATAGACTGACATCGCGATCAGATCCGAATTGGAGTGAGTACTACCCTGACAAGCGGCAGCCTCAATGTTCTGACATCCCGTTACTCAGATCCTGCACACGACCTACAAGCCATAGACCGCGCCTATCGATTCGGCCAAACTCGGGATGTTGAAGTTTTCCGTCTGCTGGGTGCAGGGTCCATCGAGGAACTCATCTATGCGCGGCAAGTCAACAAGCAGCAGCAGATGCAAGTCTTTTGTCCTTTTCGGCGCCGATTCTTGTTCTCTGGCGATTGATTTCACATATCCTTGCCTTTATGATACCAACATCTACTCTACAAGAGGCATGACAGATACAAGCTCCGACGCCTGCTCAAGCAGGGTTCCCCATCAGCCTGCTGCTGGTGAGGGTACATGCGTCGTTATTGAAGGCGCGCGTATGTGCTCAATCAGCACGAATCACGCATCTACCAACCTGACGGGGACTACACGTCGTACTACACGCCGGACGTCCCAGCGTAAGTCCCTCGTACCTAGATTTGCCGATACTCGCTCATTGGCTCGCAGCTGGAAGGTATTCACGTACACCTATCTCGGTCTCAACGTCCCCATTGTGCGTCTCGCCTCTTCATTCTATATACGTAGTCCTGATCTCTCCGCAGATCCTCCTTCAATGTCTCGGCGCCTCGTTCGCCGTCGCTGCGTCCACGGTGCCTGCGTGGAACAACGGGTACAACAACGGGAACTTCGGCAAGTTCCTGACCGTGATGCTCGCTTTGAGCGCGACGGGCAACATCGCGATCACGCTCTACTCGTTCTGCGTGTCCTTCCAGGTGTTCATCCCGCAGGCCATGTACGTGCCGCGATACTTCTTCTCCGTCCTCGCCATAGCGATGTACGTCCCACTTCCTCTGCCTAATGCGTCTCGCGCTGACACCCCCGTAGTATCATCCCGCTCTCGATCGTGGGGCAGCACAAGTTCTACGACGCACTCAGCAACTTCCTCGGCCTGATCGGGTACTGGTCGACCGCGTTCTGCGCCGTCGTCATCGTCGAGCACCTCGTCATCCGCCGGGGCAACTTCGCTCTATACGACCTGCGCTACTAGAATGACTACCGCCGGCTCCCGCTCGGGCTCGCGGCTATCGGCGCGTGCCTCCTCGCGTGCAGCCTGATCGTGCCGTCGATGGACCAGGTGTGGTTCGTCGGCCCGTTCGCGAAGACGACGGGGGACATTGCTTTCGAGTTGGCGTTCGTGGCGACGGCGCTGTTCTATGTCCCTCTGAGGTTGGTGGAGTTACGGTTAAGGATACTTTTGGCGGCATTTGAGTTGGTTGAACAACAGTGAGTTCTTGCCGTTCTCACTGCTATGTTTACTCACGTCAATGTATGACGTCAGGAAAGGGTCTAAGAGCACGCGGAAGATCCGCAGAGATGTCAAAGAAATCAAGAAGCTGCGCGACCAAATGGATAGAAAGCTCAAGGACTAGCAACAAAGGCTCTCGGGCTCGCAGCGGCGCGAGTAGAGTGGTTCCGGGCGAGTGCGCGCATGGCCAAGTGAACAGCAAAGGTCAAGATTGGCAAGGAAGAAATGCGGCGTGTGCAACGCTTGCTCAAACATTCGTCGGAGGTACAGGCACAGCGAGAACGTGCCGTTCAACACCTCAGTGGACCGAGGGGCGGCGGCGTATGCGGCGAGGTAAGCAGCTTAACCTGGTGTGTCGCAGCAACTGATGTTGGCTTGTTCGACCAGGCAAGCGGCGATATATTTGCGTCTATTGCTCGGCGTACGGCTCGATCCCCAGCGATGGAACACGTCGACCTTCTGACAACCCTTGTGGACCCAATCGAGGCGAGCGTAGCGGATACCGCTGACAAGGAGAGTGAAAGCAACGTCGTGGCGCCCGTCACAGATCCCATGGACGTGGAAGACGATGTGACTATGCATGCCCTTTGACTACGACTACAACACACACAATATGACCTGATTCAGCGCAGCCGCCGCTTTCTCTCGCGCTCATCCTTCTGTTCAGCAACCCCTCAACCGCCAGATTCTCTCGCGACCATCTCCTTCTCTTTCACCCGCATCATGAAGTCCATGCTGTACTCTCGACCGTTCTTCGTCCTTTATTCTCCCATCGGCAGACGATTCGCACTCGACTCCGGCGGAAAGGAGCCATCGTACAAGATGAGACCGTGTCTGGTTACAACTGTGGAAAAGGATAAAGTATATCTTGCGCCGTGTCTAACGGCGCAGGCTTATAGCAAGGTAAGATTCCTTGCGCCTTGCGAGTCTTCGATCAAATGGACCCTTGCGAAGATGAAGCGATCCTCGTGGACTCCCGTCGACTACGGCATGCACGGACCACCCTCCCCCAGCAAAGATCGCTCTACCTCGCCCGTCTTCCGCTTGCCGCTGCGCCCCGGCCGCCAGCATGGCTGGAGGGCCACTTCATGCGACCTGTGGACTCGCGACCGAGGGGAAGAAGTCACGATCGAGAAGTTCAACAAGTTGAAAGTACTGGATGCGGATTTTTCACTGAATGCGAGGCAATTCGCCGGTGTGCGGCGCTTGCATTTGACCATCTGTAAGTTCTGTATCATTGTTGCTCTCTTTTCCTTACTGACTTGCGCATAGCGGGAGGGTTGCGCAGCTCGGAATGACGGGTCGCGGATGTTCCTGATCCATTCGCGTCATCGTAAATATGTTGTACGAGTGTCATCACTATTACCGCTGGATATTGGGGTAGTATGCGTCCCTGGTCTGGTTAACGATGCGCGCATCGCTGCCGACAGCCTTACAGACGTTCCGCTCGAACATCACGAGCTATACGCGCGGCCCAACCGCACGTGCCCCCTTGTATGTTCTACACACGATATCACCGTCGCGCTCGATCTCCACCGCTTGATCTCCATCTTCAACCTCGATGACCACCTCACAACGCATTCGCAAACGCTCACCACCATCTCCGAATCCATACCGCCGCAACGTTTCCTGGACGACGCTCCCGCTTCCTTCCCGACTGTGCGCCCCCGCGCGATGCTCAGTCTGGGCAACGCAAGTACCAGCTTTACCATCGCTCATCAGGCCCGTCCTCAGGACTATCTTCGATCGTCGCGCAATCGACGCTCGCGTAATCGACACACTGCTCGCGATCGTCAAGATCTATTCATTACTCAAGACTGAGGACCACCGCGGGGCATGCCTCGGGCTTGGTATCAACGATGTGCAAGACGACCAGGGCCCAAGGACATGCCCAATGCCGTAACGCGCCCTAGCCCCATGCATATACGGAGATGGGCACCAAGGGGTGCGACTACGAGCTCGACAGCAGACAATAGGCGGTTGGCTGCGCAGCACGAGCCCTGCGCCGGCTCCCGATGGACAGTCGCCTGTCCTCGCGTCACCTTGCCACCGCGTCCAGCAGGCCAGGGATCTCGATGCACAAGAAGATCAGGTTAACCGTCCGCGCGACCTACAGCAAGCCAATGCTCAGCTTGCCTCCATGAGGCAGCAGTGGGAAGATGAGAAGCGTCAACCGCTCGGGGAGAATGCTGTTCTCCAAGACGCTGCGAATCGACTGGACACACAGGTCCGCGACACCAAGAGAGACCTCAAGAAGCTTGCGGACACGGGCAAAGCCGTCGAGCATGCACGAGCCAGCATCCAACAGGTAGGATTATATCGGCAGGGTGTGATTGAACTGCCTGATAAACCTGACGACATGTAGGAACTAGACAACGCGAGGCGTGTCATCGACAAGCTAGATAATGAGCTCATGGCCGAGCGCGGGCGGCTGAGAACCTCGTCAACAGTGCAATCTCGTGTGCAGCGAGAGAAGGAGCAGGTCGCTTATCAGCTGCGGCGGACAGAATCCGTGAGCAAATATCGACTTCTACCGGAGTACGACTGATCAGGCACCCTAGGATATGACCGACGTTGGGAGCCAGCTGCAGACACTCAAGCAGGAGAACCAAGAGCTCTCAAGTCACTTACGATGTGTGCTATCTTCGATCTTTCTTGAGTTGCTCGATATCTGATGTCGAAGTAGCGAGTTCTGTCGCAGAGCAGAAGGCCCGTCTCTTCGAGAGCAAGGTCTCCGAGAATGCAGAGATGATCGAGCAGCTGCGGTACGAATGTTCCCTGTTCCCTGCTCGCGGCCGAACACAGGGAGCTCCAGCGCGGTACTCAAGATCTCAGAGGTACGCTCTAACATCACCTTGCTGGGCTACCTCTCCTGATCAGTAGCCATGCAGCACGTGAACCAAGTGAGGGAGGAGCACGCCGCATCGCAAGTGTCACACGACGAGCGTATCGACTCGATCTGCGGCTGCTCAAGATCGACGACCTGAAACGAGCCCTGTCAGAGCAGGCCAGTGAGCTGCTACGTACTGAATCCGAGCGGAACCGCATCGCCGCAGAGAGGTCCGACGTCGCCCGCTCCGTGGCTGCACTCGAAGCGGACCTCCAGCGCGTGCGGCGCGACGCGGAGATGTTCGGGCGTGACCTCGTGCGCAGAACGACAGACTCGAGGAGCGAAGGCTCGCGCAGACAAAGGCAGAGCGCGCGCAGAAACACGTCTGCGTTGTGTACGTCCCATCGCATCCCACTTCACGGTTGGCGTTGACTGACGAGCCTTTTGGGTTGATCGGCGATGAGCAGCAGCTCATGGAACTGAACAAGCAGCATAAGAACGAGTGCAAGGGTCTGATGCTCCAGATACGCTAATTCAAGGCCAAGTTCACTCGCGAGTCCAGTCTCGGGGGTGCCCTAGGTTACCAGAAGCAGTGTTTGCTTGTCCTACTGGCTCATTACGAGAGGACGTGAGTGGAGCATATACGTCTTGCTGGTGTCCGCGCTGACAGGACGCTGATATGCTACAGCGAACTCAGTATCTTGGCAGCGATAGCAACGATTAGCTTCCCTGCGGCAGATCTTCCGGTCAAAACGAAGAGATGAACACTCAGGAGCGTCGCCATGTCCATCGCATTTATTGCACGGTCAAGGTGAGACCGACCTGATACGACCTTCAGCAGGTATCAACACAGCATTCCCAGACGCGCTGCCGAGAGCTGGCGAGAACAACGCGCGTCCAAGGACGCCATCGCCGCGGCTTTGCAAGAAGTACGCACTGTTAGTATGTGCATTTCTGAGACAGACGCACTACGTACTGGAAAGTCTGGAGAACAGCGCCTAGCTATTGATGCATCGGTAGTACGGGACTCACCGTCGTCAGTGCCATGAACGAGAATCGGAGAATTGTGTTGATGTGCATGGGCATGCGTGAGTGTCGCGCCGAGATCAAAGGGAAAGAGATTAGTTGCTAACCTTGCTTATTCGCGTGGGCTGCACCTCGGCGGACAATCCCGACACGCAACCCCCGACCTCGCTGCACCACGGCGTGGCCTCTGGCAAGCCAGCGAGCCGTGTCCGCTCCCGCTGCGTCACGGCATGTCCTGGAGTCGGCAAGCAGCGCCCGCGCGTGCACGATCGGTGCAGACGAGGGCAATTGCCCTGACGCGAGCCGCTGAGAAGCGGTCCAGCGCGTCACGTACCATACGCGCGAAGAAACATGCTTCGGCACCGACGCCTTGATTTTGCTGTGGGGAGGCGCCGCGATTGCCTGTATCGATTGTTCGACATCGAGTCTGTTGATGGTGAAGGCCTCGCTGCACGTTGCTTGCGCCATTGTCAGCCACAATGGAATCGTAACGCATTATTCGTACGAGCATATAATAGCCGCCTGAGGCGCGTCGGTAAGTGTACCTCCCCTCATCCCGTACATCGTCCGCCGACTGCTAAAGATGGCTCCGAGCGACAAGTCTGTCGTAAAACACCATAGTAGGCAACGCCCACCCGCCTCTGAAGACGAAAACGTCATCGACATCTCGTCCGACGATGATCCTGCGCTACCTGAAGCCTCCACCTCGTTTCACCGCAACCCTAATGGCAAACGTCGGTCTTCGCGCCCCACAGACACGCACGAGACGATATCCGACGATCATCCGAACCGACAGAGCAAGCGTCCGAAAAATCAGTCAGCACCAACGGCAGCGGACGCGGTGTGCCACTTGGAGAAAGACCTCAAGATACAGATCGATAGGAATGACGCGCTGCAGGAAGCACTCACCGCCGCCTCTTCCGCCCGAGAGAAGTTGCAACGTGAGCTCGAGGCCGCGTACAAGGCTTCCGACGAGCTGTTGAAGGAGCTGGTTTCTACGACTGAGGTATCGTTTGCCGTGCATGTGCTTCCTTTCACGGTCATTTCACGGTCATCTATAGGAATTAGATAGTCTCCGTCTCATTGTTCATGAGGGAATGGACTATGGGGCCGAATTGAAGGCATGTTTCCTAGCCGCCTCTTTCTTTGATTCCAAACTCACCGTCAACACAGCACGTGTGTACCGTTATACGTCCATTGAGCATACATTGATTATAGCATGCAGGATATCGAAGACCCTCAAGCCCTACCGCAGCGCGAGGAGACGGTCAATGCCGCTCAGGTTCGAATATACATGACAGGCGTTGATCGCGCGATTTGACATTATCACTTAGGCATTCATTGACGCTTTGCAAAGCGACACGACCTGTACCATCTGTACTCATCGGCTGTGGCTCCCATACGCGTAAGTCTGCTCGACCTCTTGATCGCTACGCTATATACTTAGGCTCTTTGATTCCACAGCCTGTCCTGTGGTCATACAGCGTGTCAAACCTGCATACAAGAATGGTTCAACGAGGCGCTCATACAACATCTAGACAAGAACCCGCATCTAGAAATGCCAAACGTACAGCCTTACCGCGAGGCGCTGCGCAACCCGGAGCTGCAAGGAGTGGATCGTGACCGCGTCAAGGCAGAGCTTACTGCCGTTCTTCAGCACTATCCCCCTCCGCGGTATACTTGTCCAATTTGCCGGCAGGTCGTCAAAGCGAGGCCCACAGAAGAAGTCGCCCTACGGAGCATCGTATGGACGGTGGCTGAAATACAAGGAGAAGAGAATCCGTACAAGCGCATCCCTGAGGCGGGTGGAAGTATCCACGGAAACGAAGGGATCTGGGACGGATTCTTTACACATATGACATACGACTTAGAGCTCCATTAGTGAAGGAGAGGCTGATTCCCGATCCGGTTCAACAAGGGTACGATCGCTTGCTGTCGTCTAGTGATAGTGTCGTCATGATACGCTTGACTGGTGCATCTGCTGCTGCACTGCTCTCACTTGCGGTCAGGATGAGCGATGTCTGGGCGGAAGGACTTATCGAGGACGAATGTCACTAGAATGTTGGCTTGATTGCAATGAACTCCGTAATATACAACAAAGATAATCTCGGACTATCACACCGTGTCGAAGGGCGCTGCCCGCCCTCCTCATTCCCTGCCAATATAACGATTGTGCATGAGCGGAAATGACTTTGTGAACGCTCTTGATACCATGGACGTACTTTGCACAGGTTGACGTACACGTACAGGTTGACTTGGAGTCACCTATGCTGGGCTTGCAACGACTAGGTATGACGCTCACCGCAGAGCTAGCGCAGGTCAGAATCACTCTATCATCATGGTCAAAAGCATTGTGTTCTTTACCTGTTGCCGACGTAGGTTCAACTGCGCTTCGAGTTCAGCACGCCTCAAACGCAGCCTTGCAAGCTCTCGCTTCAGCTCCTCGTGTGTCGCTGCCGAATGCTCCTGCTCATTGACCGCGCTCTGCATCTGGGCGAGGAGATACGTGATTGCAGACACATTTTCCTCGTTCTCCTTCTGCAGGACGTCGTATTCCTTCTTCGAGAATTTCAGGGATTCTTTGGCTGCGTCTATGCGGCGCTCCAGGTACAACAAATGAACGTCCTGGCTAGTGACGGGGATGAGTTCATTATCGGATACTATGAGCTGCATTTGACATACAGGGCGCGATGGGACCAAGCATCGGAGTCGTCTATGGCAGTGGGTATGTATATGTCACCAAGGTTCGTTCGCATGGCGTTGGCAGGAGGCGCCGTCATGTCAAGGGTGACGAGGGCTGCACCACAATTGGGGCATCCCAGGCCAGGGTGCTCCTGTATGTAGTGTCCGATACAATCGTCACAAAACAAGTGACCTGGAAACAGTCCCACATATAAGCTGCGTCGACACTACGGAGGACCTGGTAAGTACCGCATCTACCGTTCATCTTCACCTTCGGAGTCAGGTCGTGCTCTTGATATAACCGTGATTCGCAAAGCTCGCATACAGGATGACCTGGTTCCGAGTCCATAGTCGGAAGTCCCTGCAGCAATGTTGCGGTACTAGAGTCAAAGTGTCTGCGAAGGAAGCAGCTGCTCGTCGGATAGTACGTGGGTTGCATATATATCACCAGTGCCAGTACTTATCTCGTTCATCAGCGAATCCCGTAGCCCGTTTGTCACTGGCTCTGGTAGATTGGACGCCTGCTGGAACCGTGCGCTTTCCTTTTTCAGCAAGTTGGTGCTCATTCTGGACGCGCGTGCCGCGTGCGTGTCGACTTGTATCCGTATCCGAATCAGCCTCGTTCATCTGTGTCGACGACATGTGTGAGTTCTCCTCCACCTCTTTCGATCTGCGAAATTTGACCCCCGTGCACCTCTCCAGCTTCCGGTGTCAGCATACGTCAAAATCGGCATGTTCGTCCATGTCGAACGAGGTCGCTTGGGCGGCGACTTGACCGAATCGATAGCGATTGTGCGTCGGACTCGTAGCGCGGTGTTCGTTGTCCTGCGCGCGTACTTGCTCGAGGTAAGCCATTACAACCGAGCCATGAAGTGCTGCTGATGCGATCCGTGCTCAGTGACATACACAAGACAAAGGCTAGTAAGGTGAGTGTCGCCGTTGTATGATCCGACAACACATTGTCGGCTTAGTGGGGCAGACGATCGTCCTGCAAGGCATTGGAAGAGTGGTCCAGAGATACGATGAGGCTGGCGGCAGATGTGAGCAGCGATTGGGTTTCAAGCCGAGTCGCGGACGGTCAGGGTGCATGATGATGTCGTACGGGTGAGTCGCACAAGAATGAATCGCACAAGAAAGCGGCTAACCTTCACCCTGAGTACCTGTTCCTGCCAATGGCCCTTGCACGCTCTCAAAATCTGTCGCTAACCACAATGAGATTCGGAGTGCCAGATAGAATCTCGCGTCCAATCGCGAGTGCGTGCAAGCGACGCGATCAACGCCGAATGCTTTGCGCCTTGGCCTACACATCAAGGTAAAGGGTATTCCGACATGTTTGTGCCGTCTATTCGAGCCTGATGGGTCTTGACTCCATGTCTTAGGTCTCACACCGCTGGAAAGCAGCAGCCGTGCTGCGACATCCTCACCGACCACATTGCGTCTGTCTCCGTGAACGCGTCCCACCGGCCTGGTGCCATCTACGAGGAGCCTAAGTACACTACTCCAGCTGTTTCTTGATCCTCCTCACGTCCTTGTAACGACTCCGAACCTCTCAAACTGCGGACGACATGTCGAAAGGGTGGTTTAACCTTGATACCGTCGGCGGCACCATCCCGGAGACGCAGTTCTTCGAGGGCGACTCCGCGTTCCACTTCCTGGGGCTCTCGAGGACACAATTATGAATCGCTTTCCGACTCGCAGCCGTCGCTTTCCGACTCGCAGCCGTCATACCACGACTCGCAGCCGTCGTGCCACGACTCGGGGGAGTCGGTTCCCGACTCGGAGGACTCGGTTCCCGACTCGGAGGAATCGGTTCCCGACTCGGGGGAATCGGTTTTGAACATTGCTCATGTTCGCCGTCCGAACATAGCCAGACAATACATAGTGTTTTGTCCCCGAACATGATTTATTTTCTATTTATTTTCGCAGACCGTAAATAGCAAACGCTCGGACACCGAACATAGTCTTTGTTCGGACCCCGCACATGCGTAGAGATCAGCCACCGTACATTGTCCGAACATTGGGAATGTGCGGTCTTTGTTCTGTGTCGGCACATGACCTATGGACGGTCTCGTCACAACGTGCGAACAGTGTTCTAACACGAGGTACGCTAGACCTTTGTTTGGTCTCCGAACATCGCGGCGAAAACGTGACGTATGTTACGCCGCCGCACATACCATCTTTGGCCTCCGTTGTACGCATTCCGAACATGGCCATATCATTTTGCTTTGTCATCCTATGTTCGGACCCCGCAATTTAGGGTGAGATGATATACACGCCCTGCCTATGTTCGGTCAATGTTCAATTTTCCCACAACCCGTTTTGTCCGCAGTGCCTGGCAGTCGAGCTCAAGCGCTCAAGCGCTCAAGCTCGAGCTTGCAACTGTTCGCCGTCTGGTTCATATCGTACTCAAGCCATCTTCGTCCTCATTGCATCAGTCAGTTGCTTGCCGCGCACGGACCTTGGTACGAGACAAATGTCCGCTTCAATCAGCCCCAATTCATCCCGATCACTGGCGACCTTGCGTCAGGCCGCTGAAAGAAGACTCGTGTCCTTCGAAGACGACGAAGACCGTCTTTCCACCCCATATCACTCAAGTACTCAAACCTAAAGAGGTCTTCTTTGGGGTTGGCCTACGGGAGACTAGATTGTCTTGTACCCATCCCTGTACGGTTCGGTGGTTGGGTGCGACCGGTACCGTACAAAGATGGGTACGAGACAAAGACTAGACTCATTTACTTCTTAGACGCGTCATCACGATGATTCGGGGACCAAGGACACCGCAGCTCGCTTGGTGCCTGTTCAGAAGAAGACTGGTCTGCGGTCTGCAATCGGCCGCCTCTGATGGAGTGAGTTGATGAGGAAGTCGGGACATGCACACCATACGACAAGATGTACTTCTTCCGTTCAATGGAACACGGGGCTGACGCGCTACGACCGTATTGACCCGATCTGTCAAGTGACTGGTACGGTTGGTCAGCCGAGAGATAACAGTGACTCTCACCCAACGAGCGCGAACAGAGTCGAGTTAGAAGCCCACAAGCTCAAGAAGAACGGGAAGCAATGGCTGGTGAGTACTGTCTCTATCATGGTCTGCTCTCGCACCGGATACCACTGACGGGCGAGATGCAGCTCTGACTGCGCTAATTATCGGAGCGACTGGAGCGACGGGAAAGCATCTCCTTCAAGAACTTTTGGCCTCGCCACAGTACTCGAGCGTGTCTGAGTACGGCAGACGTGTCAGCGCACCCGAGCAGATTACGACCGGGAGGGAGAAACTCGAACAAAAGACGATCGACTTCGAACGACTCGAAACGGCCGGGCTGAAGGATAAGAAGTGGGATGTGGTGTTCATAACGTATGTCTTCTTGCTCGACGCTGCCAAGGAAGTCGCTTGACTGAGACTCTTTACAGCCTTGGTACCACCCGAAAGATAGCTGGAAGTCAGGCCGCATTCGAAAGAATCGACAGAGAGTAAGCGGTTCCTTGGTGTAATTGACTTAGCCTCTCATTACGCTTGTTTAGGTATGTTGTGAATGCAGCTCGAGCTGCGAAATCGGACGATCCAAACCATCAGCAACGGCTCATCTATGTCTCTGCACCTTCAGCGAATCCTAGCTCGTACTCGCTCTATCTGAGGTCGGTCCAGCGCTTTGTCAGCTTCATCGACCTTGATTCAGTGGGGCACGATGCTTTGCAGAAGCAAGGGCTTGACCGAGATCGGTCTCGCTGAGCTCGGTTATAATGACACTATTGTTTTCCGGCCAGCCATGCTTGGGGAAGGAAACCGACCGGACAGTAGGCCTCTCGAAATCACAGCGGTGTACGTTATACTTTCTCCCCAGAAGTATCCCTGTCTTAGCTGACATCATGGAACGCAGTTACCTTGCGAAGGCAGTATCCAAGGTTTTATCAAGTGTCTACATGCCGGTACGTCTCCAATGCTTGCACTCAACTTCGTCTGCTTATACTGCCGAGTAGATCCCTACACTCGCGAAGGCCCTGCGCATTGCAGGCGAAACTGGCTCCGCTGGTCTGCCCCCGGATACAGTCCAGAACGCGGGTGACGGAAAGGTGCAGTACAGCTTGATTAGCAACAAGGGCATCTTGGACATCGCCAATGTTTCGCATTGAACGAGCGCATATATGTTGTATAATAAGACTCATCGAAAAGGACACTATCGGGATGGCGCTTGATTCCAGCATGCGCTCAGAGTGCTTTGAAGATTCATAGGTGGGTACCTCCGTCGGGCTGTGCACTGTCGGTCGAGCGTTCTAGGAAAGACTAGGAGCTCGAGTCGGCCAGTCAAGCTAGTGAAGATCTGCCATGCTCGTCGGAGCTGAGGACATCTTTCCAAGTCGAGCCAGACCCATACCATTGCAGGATCGATAGTGTGAAGATTCAATAGCGCCGCATGCGTCGAATGACATGAGGACGCCAACTGGGCTTATGGGGACTCCAGTGAGTCACTGCGTTGTCTTACAATCAAACCTCTCATGCATATAGGCGATACCACCGGTTCGTATAAAGAAGTGCAGACTAAAGCGTTTTGTGTGTCTCAATGAACTGGATCGCGACGCCACTTCCACCCAACCTCTGAAGCTCGAGATCGCCAGTTCAAGTTACTAATGTGCCGTATTTTCCTCTGGACGCGTTGTAGACCAGGACAGGGAAAGCGTCGGCCGGCAAGCAGTCGTATCCCACCCGAGCCATTCTGCATCGCCACCAACATCCGTGCACTGTGTTCCCCTGAGTCTCAGCAGAGTCTCGCAGTCAAGACCAGTGACACAAAGCTCCAGAGTAAGTACCAGTATCACCGTCAAAGTAACGTCTTGAGGCTCGCCAGAACGTACGCAGGACAACGTCGATAGAAACAGAGTGTGCAGGTACAAGCGAGGAGCAAAAGACTGGGGTACACTCCTCATAACCGCTCATCTCGAGGTACATTCTGAATCTCCATGATCACTCATCTCGTCGGACCACGTGACCACGTTGCTAGATGACACGAAAGACGAGGATGGCGTTCGAGACACAGTTGCTATAGTTTATGCAGGTTAGGCCACCTCTCATCGTACCTTCTCGCAAAGGCTTACCGCGGATTGTTGATGATTATAGCTGGTTTACGGTACGTTTTCTTCTCTCATCCTTCTAAATTTTTACGTGCGCAACGCGCTGATATATGTCCAGATGATGTCCGCACTGATGACGGTCATTATTGCGCTTGTTGCCAAACCCGTTATACAAGCTCGCGCACAGGCAGAGATGGACATGGTAGTCGGAAAAGACCGTCTGCCGACGTTCGCTGACCGCGATAGGATCCCTTACATGCAGTGCATCCTCAGCGAAGGGTTCCGGTACGTGCTATCATACTTCTAGTGATATTAACGACCAAACAGTAGACCATTATGATAGCTGGGGCGTGACCACGCCTGTCGGTATGTTACACGTCTTAACTCCAAAGTTCATACTTACAGATAAGCGCAGGTGTCCCCCACCGGCTGTGTCAAGACGACTACTACAACGGATACTACTTGCCGGCAGGCTGTATGGTCATTGCGAATGCGTGGTATGTTCTCTCTCAATCGGAACAATCGCAACTCATACTCTAGCTATGTATAAGGGCCATGCTCCATGATCCTCGCGTATACCTAGATCCTGAGGTATTCAATCCCGACCGCTTTCTGAGCGGCGAAGGGCGGACTCCGCAGCCTGTCCTAAGAGGCCCTGCTTTCGGCTTCGGCAGACGGTAGGACAAAGTTTATTTGACCTACACTAACACCGATTGAATGAGCGGTTCCAGCGTCTGTCTGGGGAAAGATCTCGCGGAGAACCACATCTGGGCGGCAGCACAATTTGTAGCCGTAGCGGAGCACGGACTTCCGCTAGTGTCTATGAAGGGAGCAAACACACAAACAAACAAGTGGTGCCAGAGTACTCAAAGCATACATGCGTATATTACCTGGCTCAGACGATCCCCAGTCATCATTGCCTTTGCCTATGGACGACTCCGCTACTAAGAATGGTTGGTTCATCCTCCCCGAGACTATGTCAAATTGGCCGTGGTCCAGGCATATCAATCCTCACTACGAAGAGATCAAAGCGGAATCGGATGCATGGCTGAAGGCTTTCGAACCGTTCAATGAGAAATCTCAACTGGCGTTCGACAAATGTGACAGTGGTAAGCTTTCTTCTGGTGTTCCCGCATCGTGCAACGGTAGCACATAGTACTGACATTGTATACTACTAGCACTCCTCGCAGCACTATCATATCCAAAGGCATCGAAGGGTGAGCATCCAATCATACTTGTAATCGGCCACAGGCTCACAGTCGCAGAGCACCTTCGAACGGGGTGTGACTTGATGAACGTCTTCTTCGTCTTTGACGAATACACCGACGTAGAGAGTGCCGACGTGGTCCGCGAAATGGCTGACAGTGTGATCGACGCCATCACCCATCCCGACAAAGCGAGACCCGAGGGCGAGATACTTCTGGGGGAACTCGCACGACAGTGAGTACAAAGGTCAAACCTACCCGTTCATGATGTTTTACAAGATCGGCTGAAGGTTCTGGGCACGGGGAATCAAGACATGCACTGCTACTTCCCGGAAGCAGTTCGAGAAAGCATTCATTGACTACCTCAACTCCGTCGTCGAGCAAGCTGCTGATCGGGACAACGTCACTATCCGCACAGTCACGAACTACTTCCCGAACCGAAGGGAGAATGTCGGAGCTCGGCCATCCTTTATATCAGCGATACTCGGGACAGACGTTCCCGACGAAGCTTTCTACCACCCAGTCGTTGTCGAGCTATCTGACCACATAGCTGACCTCATCATCCTCGATAATGTCAGTTCGAAGTGCGCCGCTCGTCGTATAGAATACTGATAATCGCGTAATTTAGGACCTTGCGTCGTACAACAAAGAACAGGCCACAGGAGACGATCGACAGAATATTTTGACCGTCGTCATGAACCACTCTGGATACAATCTCGACGAAGCTCTACGATGGGCCGCCGATTATCACAAGGACGTGGAGGCTCTTTTTTTCGATGGTCTGAAGAGAATTCCATCCTTCGGACCAGACGTCGATCAGCAGCTTCAGGAATACATTCAGGCTATAACGATGTCGCCCCGGGCGATTTACTGCTGGAACTTCGAGAGCGGAAGGTACTTCGGTGACAAGGGGCGAGAGATTCAGAGGACCCGTCGCGTACCGATTCTACCCAAGGTCGTCGACAACCACCGGAGCCTTCGTAGACAGGATGTTGTAGTCCCCTTAGTCACTTTGTAGAGCAACATGTCGTCATCTAATGCGGAACCCTAGCGTAAGCCCAGATCGCGCTGAACTCGAGCTACGCTCGCGGCTGGTGGGCGCGTCAGTTCTGGGTCTCCACTGCTACCGTTCTCTCATACATTAAGTTGGAAGTGTGCCGGGTGAGCGGCGAGACGCTAGGCAAGACGGCCGGAGGGACAGTGAACATGGGTCGGGTGATTGGTACAGCTGTCGGAGGAGTGCCTAGCAAGGAGTGTCCCGACATGACGCGGCCATGGGGCGCAAGAGGAAGAGCTGGAGTTGAACGTTGAACGCTTCAAGCTCTTGAGGAAGTGTCAGGTTCCGTAACGACAGGTCCATCTACCCTATAGCCAAGCGTCCTGAATTTGCGATACCTCCGTTGTCAGCCTCATGCGTGGATGGGTTCGCTTAGTCGCAACGTACCAATGTACCGATCCGTTGGTCTGCAGCGTGAAGACTCACAATTACAATAGCGAACTGTGCAAAGAGCCAACGTACCTCGTGGCTTCGCAAAAAGGTCAAACGTTGGTTGGGCTGCATGACACGCGTCTGATGCGGGAAGTAGACGTAGATCCAGACAATCGTAACGCGAGAGCGTCGTCGCATGACAGGTCCGGCATACACCCAGTTGCAGTTCACTTTACGGAGAACTGCCGGGCTAACGAGCCGGACATTCACTCGCGGGACCGATGTTACGCAACTCCTATCTGAGTCCTCCAATCATACGCGCTACTGCACTGCACACCCTGATGCTTCCGGGACCTCCTTATAGAGCAGACACTGCGGTCGGCGCAGTGGCCCAAAGTCGCACATTCCGGATGCTGCTGAGCGACGCGGCGTCGCGGACCAGGACGCGAGCAGCCGTATGCAGAGCATCGCGCGAGTGCAAGTCAAAATGATCGTAGACACTCATTCCATGACATTGGAGCTGATGGCAAATCAAATGGAGCAGTATGTCAGAAGGTTATACTAGAGCGGAGGCTAAGAATGGCCAGCAGGCTGAGGAGAAGACGGATGTTGTGCTTGTCATACGCGCTGACAGACGCGCGTCGCGTTCGCACGTGATGGACGCGTCGCTCAAGCGCCGGCTGCCGGCGGTACAGTACTAGTATCCGCCGGGAGGAGGAGGGATCCATTGAACCACACACCATGCGCATAGCACGCGATGCACGACAGCGCAGGCAGCGCTCACTGACACAGGCGCGTCCGGCCTACGCCTTCTGGATACTTGCATAGGTCAACGTCCATCGCCTTTCAGCCACGCTGGCCGAATCCCGATGTCGGATGTGTTGGCCCATCATATCGGGCGCAGATGGGGGGCGACAATTTTGCAGCAGCAAATGCTGGCAGCGCACCCGCGCGGGCCCCACTACCTAGTAGGCCTACCTTCCTTCGTGTACAGCATACCTATTGTATAACCTGGAGGCACTGCGCCATCCCTCGCTGCTCTGGCCAGCTCTGAGTAACATCGCGTTCGGTTTCCAGCCTTGATCACTGCGAGGTCTTCCCGTTCTCTGTCTCGACATTTGCCAGTTTGACTATGGGTATCACATCGTCGAAAACAACGGTCGACGAGCCTGAGCTCTATGCCACCCCGCTGCCTTCGGGCGCTCCGAATGACAAGCCACAGGCGGATTGGAAGTCTTATGACTATGTCGTAGTTGGAGGCGGCGCGTATTCCATTTCTAATAGGTATGTTTGGTCTGACAGACGCCTATCCATCGTACTCTAGGTACTGCGGGATGCGTCCTGGCATCCCGGCTGTCGGAAGACCCGGATGTCTCTGTGCTCATATTGGAGGCAGGCCCGAGGTGAACTTCGTATGTTACACTTGCCTGGACAAACGTACTCAAACGTTGCACAGCCATGAAGGTCAGCTTATGAGCCGCATGCCGCTCGGCTTTTCCAAGCTACTCCAGGGCGATTGCGACTGGGACTACGAGACCACGTAAGCTTGGCCGGGTCGCTTCCAGTGCTGGCATGACACGCGCGAGGCCTCACGTGTGTACGCTCGCAGCTCGCAGCCTAACTTGGAGGGTCGCTCTTTGTCGTGGGCAAGGGGAAAGATGTTGGGTGGGACAAGGTGCGTGCTCTCTCTGGTGTCCGGGCGATCCGGTGCTGACGAGTCGGGTAGTGGATTAAATGCGCTCGTCTACCACAGATCATCCCCGGACGGTGAGCCATAGTGTAGATTTTGCGCACACGTGCTGACAATCCACGTGTGCAGACTTCGACAACTGGGTCCGGCGCGGTGGTGAAGGCTGGGGTTACGAAGCAATGCGGAGGTGCGTCCCTTTTCCCGACTCTCCACGACATAGAACTTGAATTGACACTCACCATCATACCTCATCTTAGGTACTTCGACAAGTCAGAACGCGTCGTATCTGACCCACAGGCCCCTATCGACACGTCGCACCATGGCCTCTCTGGTCTCTGGAAGGTCCGCAGCTTCCCGATCACAGTACGGTTTCAAATTGTTTGTCATCGAGGACGATGGGAGTATGGTGCTGACCGTTGTTGCGGGTATTGCATAATAGACGATCTCGACTAGGTTCATTGAGGCGGCGGAGCGTGTCGGGATCCCGCGCAAGACGTGAGTGCATGCACGCCCCACTTCAGTTCCCAATGTGAATCGACGTCGATTTCTCATCTCCTAGGGACTTCACGACATCTGAAGGCACGATTGGTGCGGGCCCATGCATGACTTTCATCGACGAAAAAGGCGAACGTATGTCACCTGCTAACATCGCGCTGCACACGCTGACTCGCTCCTCATCCAGGAAGCTCCGCTGCCTCTGCGTACCTCCCGCCCTCCGTCTTACGTCGCCCAAACCTGACCGTCGCCGTACGCGCAATGGTAGAGCAAATTCTCTTCACCCCTGTCGCCGACGGAGCGCCTCCGCGCGCAGCAGGCGTGCGCCTCGCCGCACGTCGCAGCGGCCCACACTTCGGCGTCGCGGCGAAGCGCGAGGTCGTCCTGTGCGCAGGCGCAATCGCGTCTCCGCAGCTACTCATGGTCTCTGGCATCGGCCCCGCGGAGCATTTGCGGAAGCATAGAATTGAGGTCGTGCGGGACGCGCCGGACGTCGGTCAGCACTTGAGCGAGGTAAGGGGTGTTTGAGCTCGGTTTGCTGCTGCATGCTGACTGTACGTGCCCGTTGAGTAGCATGTCAACTCAGGCTCGATGATCTACAGGGCAAAGCTGGGGATGACGCTCGATGCGCTGAACCGCCCGCTGAACGCGATCTCGGCCCTCGTACGGTGGCTCATCACGGGTGGGGGCCCGATGTCTGTGCCGCCGACGGAGGCGGCTATCTTTGTGCGCTCGGACGACGAGAGGTTCGTACCCTTGTTGCAATGAGTGTATGAAAATGCTGACAGTCCGCTCCTGAGCAGCCTTCCATATGCGCCGAAGGGAAGGGCACCGACCCAGACGGTGTCGCGCAGCTCCGGGCCCGGCGCACCGGACCTCGAGATCGTGTTCTGCCCTATGACTATCATCCGTATCAACACTGGGTTCCTAGTACCGCCTTCCGACGTCGAGGGTGTCACCATTGTACGTACACACTCTTCCTCCCTTACCCCTATGTATACTGACAGTACCGCACCCAGGGTGCGATCCTGCTGCACCCGGAGAGCAACGGCTCCATCACGCTGCAGTCTCCATCCATCTGGGACAAGCCACTCATTGACGCACAGTACGCCGGACCCGCTTGATGCGCCTCGTTGAATCCATGCTGAACCCACAACACTAGGTACCTCGCCTCTGAGAACGACGTGAAGGTGCTGCTCAAGGGCATGCGCCTCACCCTCCGGTTGGCAAAGACGGAACCGCTCGCGTCGTGCTTCCAGCCGATCGCGCGGGCAAAAGAGGGCGTTGACCACTACTGGGCGAGCAACGTCGACCCGGATACCGTGCGTTATCACCGGTTTACGTCGGCTCCTCCATGCTCACCCGCGACCTGTCTTGGCTGTATTGTAGGTGACCGACGAGGAACTGGAGAAGCTTCTCAGGCGGAACGCCCAGAGCGCGTGGCATCCGGTACGTCGCCTGCTCCTCCGCATGTTCACAGATGCTAATTCAGCTGTGACCGTAGACATGCACAGTGCGGATGGGCACCGACCCCGCGACGAGCGCCGTCGACCCGGAGCTTCGTGTGCACGGTGTGCAGGGTCTGCGGGTCGTCGACGCGTCCGTGTTCCCGGCGCAGGTATCGGGGCACACGTGCGCGGTCGTCATCGCTCTGGCTGAGCGTGCGGCGGACTTGATTACGGGCAAGGTGACGGTGTGAGGGATGTGAGAGGGGTATACTCTGTGTCATGCTGCTTTGCATTCCTTGGGGCCTGTACGTTCGCTATCGACGTTACTTATGATATTGGATCTCGTATTTCAGTCATGATACCGCGCTCTATTCGCCCTCATGAGCATCTGAACATCTTCTCGCGATGAAACCCAAGGAGAGACATGTTGTATGTGCTCACCGGCGAAGCTGCTGCCGGCAGCACTTGCCATATCGGTGAGCGGTGTTGCCAGAGCTTCGGATCATTTTAACGGACGTAGGGAGTCACTCACGTCGTGAAACACCTATTGTCATGCACACCTCGTCGCAATTATAAAGTTATAGATTCGCAGAGTAATCTGACCTCGCCCTCTTAGCAATGGTAGCGACGTGCTCCGTTGGTGTAGGGACTTACGTATTCAGGCATGGACCAGTGACAGCGCCCTCCTACGTCCTCATGTATTATCACCCGCATACCAAGACCGTGGTGCACGAATTCGTTCAGGTGTACTCAGTGGTAATGCACTAAATGCATGCCAATTGGTGTACGGGATCGACTGCGCCCCATCATTGGCTTCGGGAAAGATACTCCCCAAGAAGCTCCTCCGCGCGGGGTGACCGCGGCTTGACGTCGCACACAATGTGCTTTGGAAATCTGAACGGCACGCTTCGTCAACGAACGTGACGAACGGGAACTGCACGAGGTCTGCAACTCACACTATGACGCCGTTCGTGTATTCCATCGGGGGGACGATCGGCTGTCCTTGCTCATCCAACTTAGGCACAATGTTGCATGTCGCGAGGATGGTCGCCACTATAGCAAAGATGGAGCTTTCCGCGAACTGCGAGCCAGGGCATGACCTGCGGCCGAAGCCAAAGACGAGGTCGGTCACCTTCCGCATCTCGCTGTCGCTGTTTTCGAATCGCTCTGGGCGGAACTCGTCCGGCTGCGGGTATACGCATGGGTCATGGAGCATTCGCCTGCCCATTTCATCAGCGTCATGCTCCCGGATAGAAGCACGCGTAGGTACACTGACCAGACGTTGGGGATGACGATCGACGATTTGGGCAGCAGGTAGTTCTTGTACACGTCGTCCTGACGCACTGCATGAGGTAGGCCTGAAGACGAGTCAGTGACATCCATGCAGACGCGTCATGGGCATACCTAGTGGCGTAGCCGGGTCGCAGCGAAAGACCTCCGCTATCACACTCCTCACGTACGGCAGCGACGGCCGATCTGTAATCGACGGGAGGCACTCAGTGCCTACGACCTCATAGATCTCCGCCTGCGCCTTTGCCTGGATGTGCGGATTCCGCATCATCGCAAGCAGGAAGGTGAAAATGGTCGACATGTTCTTTTACTGCAGTTCAGTCTCTTGCATCTATTCCCGCCCAACGTTGTACGTACCGTGTCCAGACCACCACCAAGGCCGGAAGATGCAGCCCAGACGAGGGCAGCCTCATCTTCATTGTTCATATCGCCCTCGAACTGACTCAGTGCGGATGCGACGAGACACGGCTCCTCTGATCCTTCTTGCTGCGCACCATGCACGCCGTCAGCATCGATACCGTGCGTGGCAAGGAATGCGATACACACCACTTTCTCCTTGCACCACAGGTACGGACTCCAAGACGCCTTGTGTTCGAGCTGCCTGTATTCCTCCGCAATGCGCAAGAACGATGCCCCGGGAACCCAACGGGGCAAATATTGCACTTAGTACCAGCAAGTGTTTGTTAGCCAATTATTCAGCCTTCAGTTCGTTCAAACACACTCACGCTGTGGGATAAAGTCGACAATCCACGTTCCGGGCTCCGTCGCGGTGCCAAAGTTCTCCATCGCGGCGAATGGCACGGTGATCATCGGGTCGTCCTCACCCTTGACAGTGTAGCCGTACGTGACGCGCATTATGATCGCCGCAATCCGTCTGCCGCCACCACAGTGAGCACACACCACTCGCGATTCCTGTCATCTCATGCATATAAAGACACACATACTCACGTCTTGGTCTGGCTCACTAACGTCTCCGGACGTCGAAGAATGCCCTGCACGAGCTTGCGGGCCTCGTGCTCCTGGATTCGATGATAGCCCGGCATCATGCCCGAGTTAAACGACTGGACGAAGATCTTGCGCTGCCTTCGCCACTGATCGTTGTAAGACAGCATGGGCATCTCGATCCCGAATCCCGATCTGTACGCATCACGGTGCGAGAGTCAGTGTGAGGCCACTAATGGGCGAAGCCGAAGACCGAGAGAGCGCACAGTTCTGTCATGACCTACGCATCTGTCAACTTCGAGAAAGCAATATCGGCCGGACATCACGCACCGAGCCAGGACGGTCAGAATAGATGGTAGACCGACCATCGAGCAGGTCCTTTGCGGCTTGCGCAGTGTTGAGGATCACGAGGTGGTCGCTAAGGGCCTTGAGATGGACGACTTCTCCTGCGGACAAGAGTTCCAAGTCAGCGAAAGGCATCCTCTATAACCAATCAATGCACCAACCGTAGGTGTCTGCCCAGGCGGAGTAGGTGAGCCATGGGCTGTCCTGGGGGATTTGCAGCAGGTTGCCAAGGACGGGCCATCCGCGCGGACCAGGGGGGTAGGGCTTTGTGCGCGCCGCAGAGATGACCTGGGTAGCGAGATGCGCGGAGACACAGACAAGGATGGCTACGAGAGGCCCGCTCTGGTAGGCGTAGCATACGACGAGAGCCACAGTGCAGACGACTACGGCAGCTGGAACCTTGATCATCGTTGCAACACTAATAGAGCAGCACAACACGACGGTGGTCCACTTCGAGGAAGCACGGACAGCGCCGCCTGCAGAGGCAACTTCAAGTGCTTTGCGAGTGCGCTAACATCGGGTTACCCGGAGAGCGACAGTATCTTGCGCGCTGTTGATCGTAGGACTATCTGGATGATGCAGGTACAGAAATAGCGACGCCGGCTGCTTGCTGGCGTCCCGTAGGTGTCGGAAATGTGCTAAATATGCAAGTAGCATAGAGAACTCAGGAACTCCGAGTCCTTGCCCAAGTCCGAGTTTGGTGTACGTGGAGTCTGGACGTCCGACCGTTGGATTTTAAAGCTTGACAGGCAGTCGCCACTGTCTTGTTCTTATGACGTGCTTGACTTGAGCGAGCAATGGTGTGCATACGTCGAGTACCCGTTGGAGTGAGGAAACTGGAAGCGGCGGCGCGAACGACGTCTGAGTGAGAGCAACATTGACAACCACCGCATCGTCCTCCGAATTGCTGTGGCAGGCCGTGACGCGCACGTTGAATAAATTACGTAAGCTACGGTACCGACAGCCGGCGGCGCGGCCCTGGCGCGGCCTTCAACTTCAAGTAGAAACTACTCAGAGTATGTAGTACTTATACACTGGCACGGCGGTGGCGATAATCATGGAATTAGCGAACAGCGAAGCCTTGTTTGTTCAAATAGGCATCGCGACGCAATTGGCTGTGAGTTGCCTCGCTGTCCCACAAGCTAAGCTGATCACTAGCACAAACCTCAGTCTGAGAACAGGCGGTCAAAGAGTATCAATATGATTCAGATGTTACATGACTATCAGAGGTCGAGGGTATGTACATGATTCAGTGCGAGCGAGATGTCTATGCAGTTCGATAGAGGATGTTAATGATAGGTGTAAATAGGTGGACGACGCGAATATATGAAGTATGCATACACTCTATGATGACGTTCAAGCCGAAGTCAACAAGCCCTGTCGGCGCCAGTATTGGACGAACGTTGCCGCTTGCTCCTCGCTGCCGATCATCTCTTCCGGCTCGCGCATCGCACGCAACGTAGGGCTGAACGCGAGCATCTTGTCTAGACTGAGCCGCGCCCATCCGCCCGACTCGCGCAACTCCGGCTCGGTGAAGTCCGACGACAGTGGCGGGCAGGCTTCCGCGTAGATGCGCAGACGATCGAGAAGCTTCAGCGCGGGCTGGACAACAACCAGTCAGTCTAAGTATTCGGAGTCGCGGAAGCATGTATGCACTCACAATCGCCTGCGTTTCCTCGGCGGACAGCGTCGCACTCAACCGCTCGAGCTCGTTGAGCCAATCTACGAACGGCACAAGTTCAAACGTGCGGCCCTGCAGAGCGGAGAGGCTCTTCGCGAGGTTGCTCATCATCGCGTGCCACGTCACAGGACGCGGGTGTACCAAGTTGAACACCGCAGGGGGACTATCGGGCGAGAAGACGGCGTCTAGCACGACGGGCGCCGTCTTGTTCATCGGGAGCCAGGAGACCATCTGCGAGCGACGATGAGGAAAACTAAAGAAAAGTTATGAAGAATGACGTACCCCTCCGGCATCAGGCAGCGAACCGAGCTTCAGGCTAGACTTGACGATCTCGGGCACCCACTCCGTGACAGACCACGCGCCTGTGTCGCTCGCGCCTGACAACTGCCCAACACGGAAGACCGACGACTGGATACCGCTGGCAGCAACAATCTAAAGAAATACCATCAGATACTGCTCATCGCGATTGATCGACTCAAGGACATACCCTTTCAGCGACGTACTTGCCCTCTCCGTAGCCGCGTAACACCGCCAAGCTGGCGTCCTGCACGATCTCCTCGGGCACCTGCTGGCTGAGGTCCCGCCAGTTCTGAGTCGAGCCGATCGTTGAAATAAATGCAAAGCGGATGCTGTCCGCGTGCGGAGACGCGCGAGCCATGTCGAGCAGGTTGCGAGTCCCAGCGATGTTCGGCAAGAATGTCTTCAGCGGCGCATTCAGGTCGAGCCTCCACGCGTTGTGGATGATCACAGTCACGCTGCGACGGAGCGTCTCGTACATCTCCTTGTCGAGGCCGAGCTGGCTTGCTGTGGCATCGCCCTCGACGAAGACGAGCTTCTTCGACGACAGGAGCGAAACGTCGAGCTGGCGCGCTGCAAATCCAGCGGCTTGACGCTCGAGGACCGTGCGCTTCTCCGACGGACGGTTGAACGCGTACACGCGGCTGACCCCGCTGTCCGCCAGGAGCTGCGCGAGGAAGTAGCTTCCCAGACCGCCCGTAGTACCAGTGATGAGGATGACAGAGTTAGGCAGGAGCGGGCCCGTGGGGCGCTTCGCGTTAACGTCGAAGCCGATCGAGTACTTGCTGATCATCCTCTCGAGCTCCGCGGCACCCGCAGCGACGTCCGCGTTCGACGCACCCGGCGCGCCTTCTTCGTGCTTCGGCTGTTGGGCCTTCGCGACGCGCGCCTCAATCTCTGCGAAGGTCATGTCGCCGAGCAGCTGCATCTGGGACAGCGTGACCCAAGGGCGCAGCGCACTTGACAACCGACCAGCGGTGAGCGAGTCCAGGCCGTACGTCGTCAGCGGCACTTCAGCAGAGAAGTCGTCCGCCGCCACGTCCACGACCTGGAGAACGAGGGACTGCAACACGTTGTGCAGGTCCTCGCCGTCAACCGCAGCGCCTTGCTGCTGACTCCCACGCGTCATGTGGCCGTAGAGGTGCGAAGGGCCAAGACTCTCTGTGATCACGTCGAAGTCGAGTGCTGGGACGTAGACGCCAAATGGCCCGTCTTGAAGTTTGAGGATACCGTCTTCGAGGCAATTGCAGAGCTCTGGAGAACTACGTCAGGGACACTCAGATGACGTCGGCAACAAACGTACCCTCAGGAGACAGCGCCCATGTGGTCAGATGGGAGGCGCGCTCAGCATTGCTGGTCGTCACCGTGCCCGTCATCGAAGTGGTATTGAAGATGGCAGGGGCCGCGATCGAGAATGCATTGCGGTAACGTGCAAGCTTACCCTCCATGATGGTGTTCGCGCTGATGAAAGACAACTATGAGCAAGCTGGTCTCATATCTTACAGTCATGAACACTTGCCTGGTGTAGTTGGTCTGTCCAATGTTACCCCACGTCGTCGCGCTCGAGAGACCGATGACGAAGTCGAGTGCACCGAGGTCGACGAGGGCTTCAAGAGTCTCGACGGACCCGACCTTTGCGGAGTAGCTCCGAGAAAAGCTTGCGCTGTCCTGTGCATGGAAGAGACGATCATCGAAGGCGGTCGCCAGGAAGACGCAGCCGCCTAGAGGCTTCTGCATGCGACTGAGGACGGCCCCCATGGCCTTGACGTCGGCACCGTCGGCGGCCTCCACGACGAGAGACAAATCCGACAGCGACTCGAGGTACTCAAAGACCAGCGAAGGCGCAAGGTCGGCCATCTTAGCCAGGGCACCCCGACCCGATCGAGACGTGAGGACGACGTGACGAGCCCCATGCTGCAAAGTAGTGTCAATGCCCATATCACTTCGAAGACGATGTCGCGCACGTACCTGGTACATCCACAGCGCGATGTAGGGACCAAGACTTCCCATTCCGCCGACGAGGAGATACGTCTTCTCCGCACTGAACAGCTGCGACTCTGATCGTGCTACAGCACCAATGTCTGTGACCGGGTCCGCGCTCGGAGCAAGGGCGGAGGCCAGATCAGGCAGCTTCGTGATTGCATTCAGAACGTCGTGAACGACCCATGGGTCGCGTCGAATGGCCGCTCTGGTTGACCCGACAGACTTCCAGGACACAACAGTACCATCCTGCGGGACGAAGCCGGCGAGAAGCTGACTGTTCTTCTCGAAGGCCGTGCACAGGATATCAGCCGGCTGCAACTTCAATGCGTAGAGCTCCTGAGGCGAGGGCTTTGACGACAGCGTTGTCACGGACAAATCAAGCATGTGACACAAAGCGGACAGCGCTTGTGCCGTCTTGTCCTCGCGATGCGTAATGACAACCCTGGAGCGAAGCCGCATGGGGTTCGTCAGGGCACCGGCGCCGAGCATCAGACCTCCAACGAAGAGGGCGGGGGCTGCGACGGCCATGGCTGCATGGTCTACGCGCGAAGGCAAGCGGACCATCGCCGAGCGGTGAATGCGTGCGACGGGCGCAGGTGCGTCTGGGACCACCGCGACGACGTGTCGACCAACTAGATAGGTATGAGCGGAGCCATTAGCCTCGACAACCTTGCCGACCACACCCCACAGGCCTGTATCTGACGAAGAACAGTGCAGCACTTCAACTCGGAGCTCGTGCTCTCCCAGAGGCTCCGCGTGCGCGGGAAGAGAGTGGACGGAAATGGAGGGCGGCGGCATGGGGACGATTCGGGGAGACCGAATGCGAAGTCCTTCCTCGATCACGAACTCACGCTCTTCCCCAGCCTGGGGGAGGTAGTTCGTGATGATGAAGGCCCGATCCTCGTCGGAGTAGGTGCTTGCGAACGACGCCAACCGCAGGTTCCATTGGGGGAACTCCTTGGTCAAAGTGCGCCCAAATCCAGTGAGACCATCAGCATCGGCGCCATCTGAAGAGACGAGCCAGATGGGCTGGTCGTACGAGTCGTCGATTCGCTTCAGCTCGTCTTGTACTTGCATCTCCTCGCCGACAGCATAGCGCACGATCACGGGGCTGCTCTCCACCGGGTACGTAGTAGGCAACGTGGTGGGAAGAGCGGGGCATCGAGCTTGTATGAGAACGTCGCGTCGCTTGTCATCCTCGTCTGACAGGAGAACCTGATCGAATGTTGCTTGATCGAGGAGTGATTGCCAGTCACGCGACGGAGGTGCGAGCAAGAGCAGGAATCCTCCAGGAACCAATCGAGGACGCAAGTGCCTGAGGATAGCCTCCACGTCTACTCCGGGAGCGGTATCGACAGAGCCAAGGATCAGGTCGAACGCAGCGGGGTCGAGGCTTGCGAGGCTGTCTGGCTTAGTGGCATCCACAGTGACAGACGCGTATTGCTGGGGCTTGGCTTCGGGTGCAATGGCGCCGACGTCGACAGCAGCAATGGTGTAGGCCGCCGGCGCAGCACCGAGACCATCCAGCAGGTCGACCAGTTGCTTGCCCAGAACTGGCGCCCCTGAACAAATTGTGAGTGAGAGCAATGGCGACGTAGAGAAAAGCCATACCACCGAGTGAAAGCTCCAGAATGCGAAGGGACTTCTTGCCGCACGTTTCCACCACGTACTTCAGAACGTCGCGGCACCGATCTTCGAGGGACTCAACGTCACCGCCGAGATCTACGCCGGAGTCCGACTGAGGTTCGTTAACGTGAGCATGGATAACAAGGACTCGAATCTGACCATAGGACTCACGCTCTTGCTCGAGATGGATGGCTTCACCGGGATGCTATACACTTGGTTCACCAGCTCATATCGAGCTGAAACTTCTTGGACAGGGATCTGGTAATGGCGGGCGACAGAAAATCCATGCAGGAGGCAGAGGTACTGCCCGCGCATATCCAGAAGTGCGACGTCGTATACGATTTCAGCTGACAAAGCGTGATCATGAGCCAAGATTAGATGGCAGGCACGCAGAGCACGTACAGGGCTTCCAGGATTTGAAAGTAACATAGGCATAGATGTGCTCAGCACATAGGGCATCCTTAGTCATCGCATCGTAGACGTTGATGGCATTCACGCCGGAGGGCAGGTAGTAAACGTTCGGGTCCGTAGACTTGGTCATACTCGGATGGACGCAGACGTGGAAACTCGCGTCCAAGACGGCCGGATGCAAGATGTAGTTGCCGTCCCTGTTCACACGTGCGTCAGTATGCCGGGAAGATCATCGCGAGCATAGGTATGGCTTACCTAGCAAGGTCACCACCCATGCCCTTGATACGGACCAAAGCCTCGCGGTTGCCGAAGAACAGTTGATCGACGCGTCTGAACGACGGCCCGTACTGCGCAAAGTACTCGAGAACGTGGTAGAAACCTGTGGGCCATTGGCATTAGTGGGGAGTGTTGTAATAGGTGCGTGAACGTTGGGCGTACCAGTTTCATCGGACTCCGCACAGCGCTGGATGATAGCGGGAACGTTCAGGTCAGCAGGCCTTGGCGCCATATCCTTGGAGAAGAAACCATCCGCATGTAGTCGAAGGCTTTTCGGCTGTCCCAGCGTCATCAGCAGACGTACGTTGAGAACACACGGGATGACCTACGTCGTGGTTGAAGAACTTGGCGCCTTGTAGAGTCTGAGAGAGCACGGAGTAGCGCATGCCGTCGACGCTGACTTGGACAGGAACTGGACTATTGGCAGAAAGTGCCAAGATGGAGTGGAACTTGATGTTCCACATCGTCTTTGCACCACACTCAAGTCCCTACACACACGCAGAAGTTCAGCCGAAGTCGCGTCAGCACTAGGCGAGACATACCATTTCGATGAAACCCGCCGCGGGCATGATTGGCTCCGAATTGATAAGATGCTCTGCCAATTCGGGGTGCGTCGCAATGTTGACGCGGAGGTCGGGGAAGTTGAGCGGGCCAGCCTTAGAGCTCATCTGGCGATGCATGATGCGCGACAGTTCGGGGAAGTAATCGACATGCTTCTTGGCGAACGGGTACGCAGAAGTCACGACGCGGGGGGCGCTCGCACCTTCGCAGCGGCCGTTCAAAGCCTGGAAGTCGACCCGGTTGTACCCCGCGACAACTAGCTGGCCGATCGCATTCAGCAGCGATGTCTGCTCCATATATGGCGTGATCGTCTTGGAACGCCTCATCGGCCCGACAATCGACGACGCGGGCACTCCAATCTCTGCAACGTACGACGCGAGGACCGGATGCGGGGACATCTCGACGACGAGTGGGTTGGGGTGAGCGCCGATCAGGCGTGCCATGGTCGTGTCGAAAAGGACGGCGTTCCGCGAGTTCTGCCAGAAGTACTCCGCAGTGAAGCCTTCCAACACTTGACCAGTGCAGGTCGAGTACGTGGTAACCTTGGTGCGGTACTCGCCAGGGTACCTGGCGAAGACGTCGCCGACAAGCGCTTTGAATTCCTTTTCGCAAAGCTCCATCAGGCTGCCGTGAACCGGGACGCGGGTCATGATCTTGCGGCCGATGAAGCCCGACTTATTGGCAAGGGCGACAGCCTCATCGACAAGGACTGTGTGGCCAGCCAGTGCGACGGCATCAGGACTGTTGTAGCATGCGATCTCGACCGTCTTATCCGGGTGCTTCGAGGACACGCTCTGCAGGATCCGGTTCGCATCGTCCGCCGAGCACGCGATAGCCGCCATGGTGCCCTCTGAGTGTTCCTCGACGATCGTCATTGCCTCGCCACGCGCAATAGAGATCTCCAGCGCCATCTCCTTTGACCCGGCTCCGGACGCGTACAGCAGGGCGGTCTCGCCCGCTGAGTGACCAATCAGTACGTCTGGCTGCACGCCGAAGCTGACGAGCAGATCGAATAGCGCGAGCTGGACGGCCGTGATAGAGGGAAGGATCAACGCAATTGGCCAGACCGAGGGCAACCCCTGCCCAACAGTCTTGCCGAACAGACCGATGTCGTGCACCATCGACACGCCAGTGCGCTGCTTGTAGCAGGCGTCCAGCTCTAGCATGCTCTTCCTGAATACTGGATACGCCTCGAATAGCTGCCGGCCCACTGTAAAGCATCTATCAGTAAGGGACGCGTGCGCTGTGCATGGGAACGGCTCACTGTGAAGATGTTGGGGACCCTGCCCCGAGAACAAGAAAACAACCGGTGGCTTAACGCGCGGTCCAAGAACGGGCTGAGAGAAGGAAGTAATATCTTGCCACGGGCGTTTGACAGCGAAACTACGCCAAGTCATTTGACGCGCCCGGCGACCATATACAATGGAGTAGTCCGCCGCGGCCTCATCCGTCTGACCCGCGACGGTCTGCTTGAGATCATCCGCGACAGCCGCTGCCGAGCGAGGCGACAGGCCTCCCGCGATGAGCAGTGTGGCGGTGGCGTCTGACGCTCGGGCAGGGCGCTCAGCGCGGGGGTAGCTCTCCAATACCGCGTGCGCGTTGACACCACCGATGCCTGAGCTGCAGATCGATACGAGGAGGTTCCCAGAAGATGAGCGTGCCGTGATGGGCTCCGGCTGCATCGGGACGCGCAGCTTGTATTTGTCCCAGTAAATGGCCGGGTTGCGCTTGCGAAGATGCACCTGCGGCGGCACGTGCTTGTGTTCAAAAATGGAGACCACCTTCGACATGGATGCAAGGAAGGATGTGATCTCGAGGTGGCTAAAAATAACACGTGAACGATCAGCATGAGAGCTAACCCCATCTTGTAGGAAGCACAAACCCGATGTTTCCTTTCACGCTGCCAATCAGTAGCTCACCGGATCTTGCAAATCGTTCTCCCACCCAGTTAGCCTCAGTTGGATCGCCGGCGGCAGTGCCTGTGGCGGAGTGTCAGCATCAGTTGGTGACGAGAGATCTCAAGATTACCTGTGCCGTGGACTTCTACGAAATCAACTTCGGCGGGAAGTCGCCCAGCTGCCTTGTAAGCACGCTCCATGGCGTTGGCCTGCGCTTCAGCCACCGGGGCATTGACTGGCGCGAGTGATCCACATGAAGAGACACCCGTGCCTAGAACCTGCATAAACTGTGTCAATGCTATGCCATCGCGAGGTGCTCAGATCCATACCGTTCCATAAATATGATCTCCGTCTTTGATAGCCTGATCCAGGGGCTTGAGGATCGCAACAGCCGCCCCCTCTCCCCGCGAGAACCTATGAAGACGTCAGTCATTCAGCACGAGATAAAAAAAAATGTTACTCTACGCACCCATTCCCGCCGGCGTCGAACGGCTTGCAGCGGCCGTCCGGAGAAAGAATTGATGCTTGCGTGTACAGCGCAAAGTCGGAAGCACTGCGCCGGCGACGTCAGCTCGTAGTGAGGCCTCAAGCAAAATATTTACCGAAGGTTGAGTTGACAGCCTGCGACGACGGCGGCGTCGCACTCGCCGTTCTGAATCGCCTGCACAGCGAGGTGCAGTCCGACCGCACTCGAGCTGCACGCAGTGTCGACGGGGATCGACGGACCGCGGAGGTCGAGGTGGTACGAGATCTTGTTCGCGACCATGCAAGGGATGCCCGCGAGCGAGCCCCGCGGCTCCATCTCGTCCTGCGTTAAAATGTAGCTCGTCAACATCCGGCAAGCATGAGCGGGGAACGGTTGAACGTACCGGTTCGGCGATGGCCTGCATGTCGAACGCGGTCGCGGACGCGTAACACCCGACGTTCCGCCCGCGGTAGTCTATTCCGGCATCGAGAAGCGCGAGGAAGGCGAGCTCGATGAGCTTGCGGGTAGTCACGGCCATCGCCCGCGCGTCCTTGGCTGTGATACCGAACTCGGTCGGGTCGAACATGCCGACGTCCTTGAGGAACGAGCCTCGCTCCGCATTGATCTGCCCGAGCCCGCGGCCAGCCCATCTATTGGCCGCTCAGTAGTGCGCACAGACCATGTCAAGAAGCCGAGACTTACGCGTCTATGTTGAGGCGATCCTCCGGGATGCGTACGTATGAGTCCTTCTTGTCCATGAGGAACTTGAAGAACTCGTCATGACCTAGGTTGTTGGGAGAGTGTTCCCCGCTGGGGAGCTCAGTAGCGATGCCAACCTGAGTGGAAGCACGAAGTCAGTCCATAGCTTGCGGTAAAGGGTGGAACGTGCATACGATGGCAATAGGGTTGTTGTGAAGCATCGTGCTGAACGGTGCGAGTAGTAACACTGAACGATAGAGTTTGCAAAGGCACTTGAAAAGTAGACGTCTAAGTCTCTAAGTCTATGACGAGCGATCGTCGGGAAGGACTTGAGTTGGTCGAGAGCAATTGATGTGCCCTTATACCTTTGCAACCTCAGGCAGGACTCCGTCTCTGCGAATGAGGCGTCAACTACGGAGTGCCCAGAGCTGTGTCTGTCCGCTATCAATCATCTACCATCTTTCCAGGGGTATGGCACAGTGCACAATTGTCTGCGCAGCGCCGCGGGCGGCCGCTGCATCCGGACCCGATGCTTTCCTGATGCGCTCAACAGTGCGGACCGATGGGGGAAAGTGCGAGGACAAGCACACGGTGGTCCTACGGAAATCTGATGGACAGTACCAGCTCGGGAATTGGAGTCGCTATTGCAACAGTGGACGTTGCTAGTGTCGGAGCACGACTCCGATTTGTATTTTCTGGATGGAGAGAGCACTCACAGCGTTTCACGATGAACATTGGTATCAGCAACCAAGCAGAAGCTACCTGGGGTCTCGCTGAGAACTTATTCCGCGACATCGGGACGTACACCTCCCACTGCGCCGCCAATCAGAAGCCTCGAGTCACATCATCCGTTTTGGTCGAGTAGGGCGGTAAGATGTGCTCTCTCCAATTGCAAATAACCGACTGTGCAGGTTAGTAGTAGAAGATACGCCGCCATAAAACCGTGCAACACAGCGCACCCGGGCCGCGCGTCGCACCGACTCGGAAGCCGGCGACGCGCTGAGAATGATTGATACGCCCATATCAGACGAAGAGATGACAGGTTGGTATCGCAGTCGCCGCTAGTACACCCAAAGCGTCGTGTTGACGGGGCGGTTGGCAATGTCATGTCCCTCCCGTGGAGAGGCACCTGTATTAATGATGAGATTAGCCGAGATATGACAGAGCGTGGAACCTCACCTCCAAGCGGTGTGTCTTCCCGACCACATAACATAGCGCGTACAGTTTAACGCTGACAGGAGAGATATGAGTACATACCCTTGCAGACATGCCGCACAAATGACGTGGCGTACCAGAGCATCTCTCGAAGTGACAGCGATTCATAACTGTCTACGGCATTGTCTTGGATGTTATGTCAATTTTACGCTCTCTGTACGCCAAGCTCAGTCAACAGAACACGTAGAAAGTGACATCCTTTGACATTACTAGTACTAGTCGCCACGCTCGCGCATCCGTCCCACGAACCAGTTCCGATTGTCTGCTATCATGCACGATCGGATCTTAATGATGCCCGAGCATACTGATGAGCCTAGCTTGAACCCCAGAAATCAGGGAATGGCTGCAAGCGGATCCCGACGCCACGGATTAGCGTCACTGAGTCTTGACATAGCAGGTCGCCATTGCACAGGTTGCGTGACATCAAGCGGAACGCCTGGGGCAAGATAGCGTGGCGAAAGGCCGTCGCGATATGAGCATCAACGTCAAAAAATCACGACAGACAAATAATGAGATGATTGTCAGCAAGGAGGTAGAGGAGAGGCAGAGAGGCGACAGGCCAACATTAAACCACATTTACCTGGTTACCGTAAAGGGCACGGCCATGTCGGCAATCGCCGCACGGTGGCGTCAGCGGCCTGGACCCGCAATAAAGAGGACTTCCAGAGGACTTCCGCGCTGCATAAGTACTTAGCTAGTACCACTACTAGGACAATGGCTGACAGTAAGTTAATCCGAGCAGATCAACATGGTTGTTTTCGATGCCAAGTGCCAAGTCCCAAAAAATACTGGTTCGCTGTTTCACGTGAGCCGCCCGAGTTAATTTTGAACGCCACAAGATTTCGCCCTCGCCCGGAGATAAGGTTGCGGAGATCGGGATCGGGGTTTGATGGCAATAATTGATGGGATGGCGCTGCAGCCTGCAGGGTGGGTACGATAGACACGTACTTGTGAATGCCACAGCGGCTCTCCGGCGCTCTGAACTTATCGCAGCACCCTCTGCGGAACGAACGATGGTGCGTACCACCGGATGGTTCACACTAACTGTACAACTGACACGCTTCTCCTTCGTTACACTGGCAGGTCTGAGAATCACATCATGGCACGTAACAGATGGGTTGTTGCTGACGCGTTTGTTTGCGTTCTACCTATCGCCGTTGTGCCCCACCGTGGAACCGCTCCAGAAACTGTGGTGGCTACCTACGAAATCTTAGGGAAATGCGATGGCGGCGCTTCAAGAGCCTTAGACTGCGTACGGCTACGAGGCCACTGGACCCTCGTGTTGATATTGATCCTCCGCAATCTGGGTACATATCCCCCAGACAGCAGTATGAGTGACTGATTGAATCGGAATGCTCACATATGAAAGTTAGTGCTCAGGACTGCTCCCAAAGGCGGCTATGAATACGGAGGATCCTCCATTCGCCGGCATCATCGGGCCTGCCAGGCTGCCGTCAACCTGTCCGCTAGCACGACAGTACGCATCACAGGCGTCTCCTCTGACGATCTCGTAAGCTACCATGCCTAGTTTGATTGCCCTGTATTGATCAGCGCCCGCAGGATGCTGTCGAAGCTCATGACGCTCGAGTCACCGGCGACATGCCAATTTCATTTGATGGGCGGCGAGGGTGAGGAACCACTCTCACAGCTACGCATCTCGCCCAAGGGGAACTCTGACTTTCCGCAGAAGTCAGCCAAGCGCCTCTTAAACAGCCTGCGGGCATAATAGGGTGCCTGTGATCTGACCCGCCAGTGTACCAGCATCCGTATTCGACGCAGTACACTATGCCGCTGTCTTCTGAGACTTTCGTCGCGCTCGCAGCGTTCGTTGCTATCCTCGCCGCCTGGCTCAACACGCGCAGGCGGCGCGGCCTCCCCCCGGGTCCGCCCTCAGGCTACCCGTGGATCGGCACCCCGCTTAAGCATGCGAAGGGCGCGCGATGGTTCCTCTACACCGAGTGGGCCAAGACATACGGTGGGTCTACTAGCCTGAACCCGCGCATCTGTGGCACTCATCACGTCCATCTACAGGTGACATTGTGTACTACATGTCATACGGACGCGACTACGTCGTACTCAACACGTACGAGTCCGCGCGCGACCTGCTCGTGCTCCGCTCCCGGATCTATTCTGACCGCCCGAAGATGACAATGGCTCGCGAACTGTGCGGTCTGATTCCTCTGGTTCGCCGGACGGCATGCGCTAACATTAGTGCTCACAGTGTCGGATACGACAACTCGATTGCGCTCGCGGACAGCACGCCGCGCACTGTGTTCATGCGCAAGGCAGTTCAGACCGAGCTGTCGCCGAAGAACCTCCCGCGGTTCCAGGGTGTCCAAATCAAGGAGAACGGGCTCATGCTCGGCAAGCTGCTCGAGAACCCAGCCGACTTCATGGACCACGTCCGGATGTGCGTTCCCGCACCCCCTCAGATCCGCGTCGGCCGCATACTGAGTGAGACCCGTTCCCAACAGCATGATGGCGTACTCCGTCTTCGCGGTCGCGTACGGGTACCGCCCGCAGTCGGACAATGACGAGCTCCTGCTCATGATCAAGAAGATGATGGAGGACTTCGCCGTCTTCGCGACTCCGGGAAACTTCCTTGTGGACATCCTCCCCTTCCGTGAGCCCCTCCTTGTTTTTCCTCTTAGTCGCGATCCGCGCTGAGACGCGTCGCAGTGAAGCACGTGCCCGCGTGGTTCCCAGGCGCCGAGTTCAAGCGCTTCGGTGAGGCTGCGGCGGAGCGCATTAACGCCGTCTGCAAGCTGCCGTTCGACAGAGTCAAGGCGCGCAAGGTACGTGCACACGCCCGCCGCTGTGTCGCCCCGAATCTCTGATGCGCTTTCCTCAGGCCGCGGAGGGCACTGCGGGGCTGTCCGTGACGGCGTCGTTCCTCGAGATGCCTGACCTCACCCCAGAGAAGGAGCACATGTTCCGCTGGTCGTCGGAGGCGGTGTACGCCGCAGGCTCGGACACGACCGTCTCCGCGATCTACACGTTTGTCCTCTGTATGGCGCGCAACCCCGACGTCCAGGCGAAGGCCTACGCGGAGCTCGAAGCTTGGCTCGGCGCCGCGGACATGCGCCTCCCGACGTTCGAGGACCGCGCGGATCTGCCGTACATCGACAAGGTCCTCTGGGAGACGTTCCGCTGGTACGCGCCCGTGCCGCTCGGTGAGTACCCCTCCCCCGCCGCGCGCTGTCCGGAGCTGACGTTGCCTTTAGGTTTGCCCCACCGCCTCACGCAGGACGACGTCTACCAGGGCTACACGTTCCCCAAGGGGACGACGGTAATCGCTAACGTGTGGTATGGCGTCTAACACGTCTATCGCGGAATCGCACCGCTAACGACACCCATCTGCCAGGAACATCCTGCACGACGAGGTGATGTACCCCGACCCGTGGACGTTCAACCCCGACAGGTACGGCAACAGCGCGGACATCGAGAACAGTATCAACCAGGACCCGCGCAAGTCAATGTTCGGCTTCGGCAGGAGGTGCGCTAGGGCCCATCCCGCGTCTCCGCGCGACTAGCTTAGCTGTATCATTCGCAGGAACTGCCCGGGCCAGCACCTTGCCGAGGCGTCGCTCTGGCTCGCGATCAGCAACATCCTCATGGTCTATGAGATCCAGGCCGTGCGCGATCCCAAGACGGGCGAGCCCGTCCTCCCGCCGATGGACTTCACGCCTGGGGCGATTAGGTGCGTGCGACGCGGCGCGGGTACAGGGCATGAGCTGACCGTGAATTACTTCGCATGCATGCAGCAAAGCCCTGCCGTTCAAGGTCGACTTCAAGCCGCGTTCAGCGAGGGCGGAGACCTTGATCCGCGCCACCTACAAGAAGGCGCTCGAGAACGTCGACATATAGACCTCTGTTGGGTGCTCGATTGCGCGGTTATGGGGTTGTGCGGCGGAGTGTGCGGATGTCAACGCTACTACGGAAGTGGGGTGCACGGTCATTGTAGTCTGAGTAATTGTCTAGGAGACCATCGAGCTTCTTTCCGCTGCTGTTTTTTATCTTGTAGTATCAAGTACTAACAAATGAAGATGCCGTGTTTGCAATGTACGAATGCACGAGTCAACTGTTGGAGGTGTGGTCGAGCGCCGGCGCGGCTTGAGCTATTAGACCAGCTACCGAGACATAATTCTGCCATAGTCATTGCACCTTCACTGCACAATGAATGCGAGTACGTTTGCATGACTTGCCTACATGTTCAAAGTGGTCAAAGTGGATGATTCGACGTCCTAGCCCGTTGTCATGGAATATAATGGGCTTATACCCTACAGTGGTTCCCGTATAGATTGGACTCAGGTAGGGATTCGCTCTACAGAGTCGTGCGAATGTGAATGTTGTCTGCTCGTCCAAATATTGCGCTGTTCAGAAAGCACTGTCCTGAAAACTCGATTCAATAGGCCGCGTATGTGCCTGATCTCAAGTATTGCGAATACAATGCTTTGTCTTGGGCATCTTTCTTTCGCTCATCTTTCATGGCCCAGGACCCCAGAAAATGCCGGATGCTGTAACTCGTTCGCGATGGTGATTACAACTTCGTCGCGTCACGGTCTAGTCAGCGTTCGCAATGCGCATTCTGTAGGAGATCTACACACTAGGCCCTCCCAGGCAAAACACGGCCATTGGATTGCAAAGTGAATCCAAAACGTATCCGCCCTATCCGTACTGGCTTCCGTGGATCTGGGTTACGGTAGGATCTACGCCAGTGCACTAATTTGTATTATCGGTTGAACCGCGATACCGTTCTTGATGAATGACGTGAGCGGACAGGCAGTCCCAACGCTCCGAGGAGTGATATGTGAGCGTTCTTGACGGGAGCCCCAGCCGCCCGATTTAAATCCTCGACAATCGCGCCGCGCGGCCGCCATTGACCACCGAGTTTGCGACGCCTCACTACGCAATGAGCGCGCCTCTAATAGACTAGGCTCACACCGCGAAACGCGTATGCGTTACGGGCCTCGTAAGACTCCGTATGGTCGAGGGCCTATAATCTGGAGACGCGGCTTCTGATAGGCCACTGGGCTTCTCATGTCAACTTTTGAACAATAGGACTGATAAGTGCGCCAGCCTTCCTTACAACGTGCCTTGTCCGCAGTGAACCAATTGTTAACAAGGGCGCACCGCGTCATGCTTGGCCGGCAATATCGAGCTGCGTCGGTTGTATAGAGGTGGACTGTGTCGGACGCAGTTACCAAAAGCATATACCAAGCCAAGTACCAAAGGCGTATGTGTCGTCGGACAAGACCACATGGCTTCGAGGTGTTGGATCTCGATTAGCGCGGAGATGATCAATCTGCAATCAATCTGCGATCTCATCAATTGACCGCTTCCCTGATTACATTTGGCGCCAAGACTAGGCAACCGCCGGCTTTACATCGCACGGGATTGTGCTATTTTAAGGTCTTTCGTCCGGAACTCCTAACATCGACAAGGACATGGGGTTGGCCTTGTTTGTCATCTCCGACAATCGCTTTTGTCTGGGAACCGGTGATGAGGGTGTTGTGCAATTGTATGTTTCGTAATCACGCCCAGCGCCCAGACGGCGCGTCCTGTGCCAGTATGGCATATTAACTAAACGACATGATAATGAACACGCTCCTGCAATGCTGCCATGTCAATGCCATACAAGCGATTCACACGTTCGCGGTGGTAAGTGACAGAACCTACGATCTGGTCGGAGGAAGACGCTACGCGACACTAGCCGTGGACAGATTGACTATTCCGCGCAATGGCCGCAGCGCCTTGATTGGCCTCCGCCGTCGTGATCCGGCTCGTTGATGCCTATCTCAGCGCCGGGCTCCTCGATCACAGCAGATATGGGGCGTGCGGCTGATGGGACCAATGGCGTGTCTGCCTGGCAGATGCGCCCTTGTACTCCGCAGAGACGCAGAGTCCGCCGGCGTGCTTCCCTCGCACCCTGGGCGCTGTCCTGTGGGTTTCCGCCGTCTTCCACTCAGACCACCATGAGATTGGGAGATTGACGGATGCGCTGCTCTGCTTACTCACCAGCGCTGCCCGCTAGCCCTTACTCAGCAACTTGTCCCAAAGAGACTTAACGCGTCGCGCGCGCTCTCTCCGCTTTCCAGCACGCCGTCCGCGTTCCCTCCCCCTGAGTGCTCAACCCATCGAACGCGTACCACCCACCCTCAGTCATGTCCAGCCAGAGAGACTTTGGCGTGTTCCCGGTTCCAAGCTGGCTACGCCACCGCGAAGACAAGCCGTTGCACTTTGGCCTCTTCCTCAATGCCATGTTTGGGATCTTTGCTTGCTTCAGTACGTCCCGCTTACTAACCTTAGTCCTGGTACTGAGATTTCTTCCAGCGGTTTCCAACCTCTATTACTGCCAGCCGATTTTAGGTAAGTGGCGGTCAGTCAGTTCATCTCAACACAGGACTTACGGTGCACAGGAAACCTCGCTAGTGCCTTCGGCGTATCTGACAACAAAGTATCGAAGTCAGTGCAGCTCTCGACTCCGCCACCACGATTTACTGACCCATTCACTTACGCTGCAGCATTCCTACGTTGGTACAGGTGCGTCGATTTTGTAGTTGAAAGGTGTGGCGCATATACTAACGGATATTTTCTAGGCAGGGTAGGCATTCCGATTCTGCGTCTGAACGGCGAGGTCAAACTGATGCGTTCCAGATATGCCGGCGGGCTCCTTCTGCTCACGCCGCTCGGCGACATGGTCCAGCGACGACAGCTCATTCTCCTCCTTGTGCTGATATCCGCATCGCTCACAATCGGACTCGCACTCACCAGCTCACTCGTCGCCTTCGAGGTGATCACCTTCCTCGTCGGCTTCACAAGCGTGACGCCGCAGATCCTCATCCCGCTCGCGGCGGACCTCGCGCCGATGGACCGCAAGGCGGGGGCGACGGCGGTCGTGTGGGCCGCGCTGATGTTCGGCGTGCTCTTCGCGCGAGTACTTTCCGGTGTGATAGCGAACTTCGTCACATACCGCGCGGTGTACTGGCTCGCGATGGGCCTGCAGTACGTCGTGCTCGTGGCCGCGTGGTTCATCATCCCGAACGTACCCCGCAAGAACCTCGGCTTGTCGTACGCGGGCATCCTCTGGTCTATGGCGAAGCTCGCAGTTACGCAGCCGCTCCTCATCCAGAGCGCGCTCTGCCTGCTTGTCAGCAATATGTGCTTCACCAACTTCTGGGTCACGCTCACGTTCCTGCTGCTTGAAGCGCCCTTCCACTACTCCTCGTCAGTTTCCCTTCCGTTCTTTGAGCTCCTAGTTATTGATGCACGCATACAGGCTGGATATCGGTCTGTTCGGTCTGCTGGGTATGCTCGGTGTCCTGCTCGGCCCGTTCCTCGGCCGCATCCTCGACTTCATCTACCCGTGGTGGGGCGCCGTCTCAGCGTGCTTCGCGCTGCTCATCTTCCAGGCCGTCATGGTCATCGGCGCGGGCCTCAACATCGCGCCCGTCATCATCGCGACGCTCGGACTCGACGTCTTCCGGCAGACGACCTCCGTCTCGCTCGTCAACATGGCCTTCGCGTAAGCACCCTTCCTTCCCTCTACAGAGGCTCCCGCGCCCCGCGCTAACCCCGCACGCGCCTAGGGTCGATCCCTCCGCGCGCTCGCGCATCAACGCCGTCATGAGTGTCTCGGTGAGTGTCCCTTCGCCTCTCGTGCTTCCCCGCCGCAGCGACTAACGCGCGTTCCCGACTCACAGCTGTTCATCGGGCAGGTGATCGGTACGTCCGCAAGCACGACGGTGTTCCTGCAACATGGCTGGCGCGTGTGTTACGGCATGGCGCTTGCGTGGACGGGCCTGCAGGGCTTGATCCTCCTCTTCCGCGGGCCGCACTGCCCGAAGACCACCTGGATCGGCCCGTGGACGGGTGGCTTCAAGCTGCGCAAGCCCAGGGCTGCACCGCCTGCGCCCGCCCCCGTCGCGGCGCCGGAGGCAGAGAAGAACGAAAAGTCTGAGGTCGCGGAGACCCCGAGCGAGCGCGAGAGCGGGGAGAAGGCAGTGTAGACGTGAGTTGACCAGCCGTAGATAGATGCGGGCGGCGGCTGCTATTGGCGGTGCCCGTTGCCCTGCGCTTAGCACTTATAGAGAATACCACTAATACGGCGGGAAAATCCGTTGCGCGAGCTATCCTGCGTGATGAAGTTCGCGCCGCCGTAAATCAACGTCACATCGCAGTTTCTCACTCACCTCGCTGGTGTTGTTCTCGCGCAGCTCTCAGGCAGTTCGCACCCCGGCCAATTCATAGAGCCCTCGCACTGCCATCTAAGTCTCACAAGCCGGGTTGAGGACGAAGCACGTTGTGCAGCGGCACCCGGTGAACTTGTTCCGCGAAGCGACGTGGCGAGACGGGATCTCTGGATCAGTCCTCGGCGTCGGCCGGGGTAGGATCTGGGATCGGTGCCTCAGCGTCAGATCGGGCGGCCCGAGAGCACACGATCCTGGCGAGCCGGCCTCTTCCGGCGACTACTTAGTACCCGCAAGTCCGGCGATGAACAGCTTCAACTCAAAGTGATCGTAAAGGCTGGGCAGACACCCTTAGCCTAACTGGATTTCAGGCGAGCTGCCGCGGATTTTACTTGAGCCCGTGTAATCGACTGTTCTCTTGTATATGGGCATCTCTTACTTTGCGTTTGCGACGGTATTCAGAGGCTATTTGGCGTACGTACGTCGCTTCAATGGTCTCGACTCTCGCGACACTGGTACTGTGGGCACCTGCCATAGTGACTACTGCTACTGAGGGCGTAGTCTCGCCGAATACAGGATGATCGTCAAAGTATTTGCGGCTCAGTACACTATTATGATTGCTGAATCAACTCGCTCCAACATCATTGCGCATAGAAGGCTAGCGTCTAGTACAAACACAAACAAGACTTCGCGAACAGCTCGCGATCATGAAGTAAGAATCGTGAACTCCCATACGGTATATTCGGTGACGCTGGGAACACAGGTGTTGTGGTTGTTGCGTGAGTTTCATCGTCTACTTCATGGACATCGCGTACACCCATATGGACCCTCAATTATGCAACTTTCAGGGCGCGGTACTACCACTGGCAAGTGGCGTGATATGTAATACAGTACTTTGCATCATCGTCATAAGACCTCGAACAGCTCGCACACGTCACGGTCGCGGTACCCTCTAGTAATGCGTAGACGTCACGATGAGTGCCAGATGGCATGATGAAATCCAACCTCTCGGTATGCACGAGTAGCACGACGCCACCCAATCAATGCTTCTTGTATTCACCTTTTGCAAGCTGCGTTGTGAAGGCTTTAGATGCGGATGAACGCGAGGCCATGGAGAGGTTACTACGTCTTCCAGGATGGATGACCGACGGGGCGAGTCATGATTGGTACTGTACGTTATGTTACGACACATGACGGCCATGCCTTCATTGTCCAGTGGAGCGCGTTACAGACGACGTTCATCATCGTATGCTGAGCATGACGAGAGATGGCGCGCAAGAACGAAGAACGAAGAACGAAGAACGAAGAACAAGTAAGTATATTATATCAACATGAATCACGTGGCCATTGGTGACAACCTCGAGTGTGTATTTAGATCCAGCTCAATGGAAGAATATCCGCGGGATCTATACATCATATCACGACAATGGACGCTGCGCTCGGACCTCATCAAGCCGCGACCAGCATGCTAGTGGAGAGCAAAGCGTCTCTACTGCAGCACCAACCTTCACTCGCTGCCTCAACTAGAAGAGCAGTACAGCGAGTGATGCGCACACAGCACCCGCAACGGCAACTCCAAGAACATATCAGACCTTGCCCATGCTCGAACTGCCACCGTTACGGGGTGGAAGCCGGGGATGCAAGAACGCGGTCAAACGCTTCAGCGAAGCTAGCTGATGTCCGCCGACGGTGAGCTATCGTGAAGCTAGAAAGTCGTATGTAGCTCGACTTACGTTGTAGGGGGTATACCGGGCCGACATAGGAGTGTACTCGACCCTGCGTCGTCGGATCAGCCTCAGCTTAGGTCTTAATCGACAGAACAGAACATACCAGTTCGAATTGTCAACAGTACAACGGAAGTGAGTGAACTCGTCGAAGGCCGCCTTCCCCGTCGAGTATCCGTCTAGAACTGTTTATGTAAGGGCGATCGTAATGTAGTGTAGTCAGCACCTTAGTCAGCATCCCGGAGTTTCCCGAAGGGCTGTTATAAGCTGACGTGCCTCACTGTGCTCGTTGTCTTTCTCCCCATCGTTGTACACCGCTCGCCCTTGCAATATAGAGGCTTTGGCTAGCTTAGTACGGCGTCCGAGAAGACCTTATCCTTTACATCTTTTTAAGCTACCGACCTCGTTAAATCGAGGAGCCCTTCTCTCTCTCTTGCTTATATCCTCTCTACTGCTTCACTCAACTCTCGCAACCCATCTATCCCCAACCCATGTCGACTACGACAACTAAGACCAAAAGACGGGCTCAGCAGACTACGGCCAGCCGACCCGCCACCCGCGCATCCAGCCGAGCTGCGATGCACGTCCAGACCGATACCCGGGACGTCGACGATCGTCGCCCCGAGGACCAGGGTGAGCAAACACCGCCGTATCGCTCACCGAACCCTGATGGTTCTGTTCGCAGAACCCCGTCGCCTCAGCACGTCGAACAAGAACTCGACCCTGGGAGTGCGCCATCTCGGCGCGCACCGTCCCCTGCTCCTTCAGCTCGCTCAGAGACGCGGCGCACGTCCGAAGCAAGTATTCGCGACATGTGCCAGCGGTTCGTCGAGATGATCAACGACCGTCTCGAAGATTCGGACGAAGTCATCCGAAACGCGGCGAATTTCGCCAACACCGCGTTGCGTGACGTCATGGCGGCTCAGCAACGAGCGGCCGAGACCCGCAACCTCACGCGAACAATGTTCGAGAACATCCGAAGGGAATTGGACCGTCTCAGGTACGATCCAGCCGAAGAGGAAGAAGAGGTACGTGACGATGTTCACGGTCCTCGTGCCTCTCCGCATTCCAGTGACCCCAGACAGCCATCGCCGCATATTCGCGACGACGACTACGTCGAGACCATGTCGCTCGATACCATGTTCGCGCCGAGGCAACTGAACGAATCTGACACCCAATACGCCAACCGTGTTTGGCGTCGGGACCAATTCTTGGACCGCCAAGGTATGGAACAACGCCAACGTGAACGTGAGGCTCGCATCGCGCAAACTTGGCGCGAGGCAGCAGAACGGCACGGTGGCGATCCGTATGCTAACCAGCCGGCCCAAGGCCCTTATCCAGGATCTCCAGACGGCGATGACGACCCGGATGATGGATCCGCAGGAGGTTCGCGTCGACCACCGTCGCGAGAGCATCACCCACCTGGAGGTCATCCACGTAGCCAACGTGGAAGTGGAGGTCCCCCGCCGCCGCATCCGCCATCTGGTGGACCACCTGATGGTGATGGTGGAAGTGATGGGCCGGACGATCACGACGACGAGCGCGATACCGACAATGATGATCAGGACGCGCGCGAGCATCCGCGTCGGGATGAACATCGTTTCACCCGTAGCCCTTCATATCTAGCTAACCGACGTGTACCTTTGTACGATACGCGCGCTGGTAATAGACGAGTTCGTGACCCTTACGACCCGGACTACGATGATACATTCCGGGCTGAAGGTCTCCGAATGATACGAAGATTAGTCCGTGAGAAACTGTCTGAGAGTATGCCTGACAGCAACGCGCTCAAGAACATAAAGAACATACCGACACCATCGCAATACGATGGTACAGATGACTATGAGCAGTTTGAAAACTGGCTCAAGACGCTGCTTCGCTGGATGAGTCTCTTCCGTCTAGGTGGAACAACACTTGACAAGGAACGATTGTATATACTCGGTCAGTTCCTAAAAGGAAAGGCTGCTGACTGGTATAATGATACTATCGACACGCCTACCGCAAACGGAAGGCCCTGGACATTCCTTGATGCACTCTGTGGACTATTCGACAGATTCTTACACCACGCGACTGCTAGTACAGCAGCCGACAAGTTCTACGCTGCTAAGTACACCAAGGAAGCTGGTGTTAATGGGCTATGGGACTATCTCATTAAGTATGCAGCTCGTATGCCCATACCACCTGACGACTACACGTTCGCACGTGTGTTCACAGAGGCGCTGCCGAGTGACATCGGCGTTCCGCTGTTCCAGGCGAAGAACGTATCGGTTGAGTCGACTCCTCTCCAACGACTCCGACGCCTCGCCCTGCAACAGGAACATAATAACAAGCAGGTCGCGGCCTATCGCGCGAAACATGCAGCGCGAAGTATGTCAGCTATGCCCAGCACTGCGGGTAATGTTACGGCGCGAAACACTGAACATCGCACCGAGACGAACCATCGCGATAGTCGAGGGCATGGTGCTCAACAGGGAACTCGTAAGTTCATTCGCTTTGTTCGTCGCTCTGATCTATTGGCCGCGGCAGCACGCGGAGGAGGCGCACCTCTAGTTCGCCCTAAGGGACTGCAACAGCCCGCCCAGTCTAGTTCAAATGTCCGTGGCGGTGCAGCGCCTGTATCAGGCAACCGTCCGTCGGGCCAGCAGGGTGCGTCACACCATTCCCATCCACATGGTTCATCGCAGCACTCGCGTAAGTGCTTCAACTGTGGCGAAGAGGGACATTTCTCAAAGGACTGTCCCCATCCACCGCGCACCAACTTCCGTGCTGCGCGTATTGTTGATGATCGCGACGATTCCGATTTGAATGACTCAGAACGCCCATCCGGCAATTCTAGCGAACCGCCTGAGGCTTCACCGGACACGGCCCAGGACACTCCTGTGTCTGCTGCCGAGGCAGTTATTGCCGAAAACCAGGACGAAGTACTCGCCCAGTTGGAGGACGAGTACCTCGCCATGGATGGATCACAGTATGATCCAGACGAGTACATCGCTATGGAGGATGTACTCGAAGAAGACGAGTCGGATGATATTGTCTATTATGGATCGATGCGTCGCATCGACGTGTCACAAGTCGACAATGACCTTGTGGAACACAGTGAAATTTCTCAGGGAGATCATACTTCTTATGGTCTCCGTGTATTTCACATTCCTCGCAATGTTAGCCTGCAGGATGACCAGGCTGCAAATGCCAGTATCTTCGAGCTTGAGTGGCGTCACGCGCTTAGTAATGGCGCTGACAACATCGATTTTGAGTCAATAGACAACCTCGCTGTGCGCGAGATCTTGCGCAGAGGCCCGGCTATTGAAGCCGTATCCGAGAGCAGCAGTGCATCCTACGAACGTTTCGCGGATGATCTCACTGGCCCTGTCCCAGTGGATACTGCAATAGCAGCTAGATCGGGAGATCTTGATGTGATGTCGATCTCGTCCGACGAGTCAATTCCACCTCTTGCAGAGGCTCCCGACGCTTATATTCCAAGTCCGGATTTTACTGACGAAGAGACTTATGCTCTTGCACTTACAGGCCGTTTACGCACGCTGAACCGCGAGCTTCAATGGACGCGATACGAGTTGCTTCGCAGCCTCGAGCGCTACCGACCGAGCGTGGAAGATCGTGAACGCATTCGCGAACGAATGCGTGACCAGGATTGGATGGTACGTTCTATGAACATACCAGACTTACCGTCTGACTATTCAGATGATCCCTCGCACGCTACCACCATTGCACTTGCTCAGCAAGTGCTCGGAGACGACGCGGACATGCACGATCCGCCTCCGCCATATCCAGCATTGCGAGCAATGTTAGCTCGCGCCGCGCGCATCCCGGATGCGCCTAACTCAAGCACACAGTCCGTAGCAACACGCGCAACCGTGCGACGCACTGTAACGGGCCGCCGGCCAGATCTAACACGGTATGACCAAACTTGTCTTACCGCGTACTTGACAATCAACGGGCTTCAAGCCTTGGTTCTGTTGGATTCTGGAAGTACCACTGACTCGATTAGCCCAGATTTTGCTCGCGTCTCAGGCATACAAGCATTTGAGCTCGAGAACCCTGCTATACTGCAACTCGGCTGTGTTGGAAGCCGTTCGCGCATCAACTATGGCGCGAATGTACCCGTCATATGGGGTACTTTCCGAGGTGAGGTTTATTTTGATGTTGTCAATTTAGATCGCTACGACGCCGTGCTTGGCACGCCGTTCATGCGAAAATTCGGAGTCTGCCTTGACTTCGCACAGTCTTCCATCCGTATCGGACAGCATGTCATACCCGCCTTGCTTCCGCGAGAGGAGGAGGACGCCGCCAATCGCCGACGGCGCTCCTTCCCTTCTCGTCGTACCGCCACAGGTGTGACGGTGCAGACGGCCAACCCGCCTGCGCCTCCGCCTAATGCTTCACATTGACTAGCCGACATAGACAGTAGTGCATCATTCGATCCACTACGAACCGTCTCATTTCATCGTATCACGGCTAACGAACCTTATCCAGTTGCAGACGAAGCGCGTATCAAACAGATACGCGAACAGTTCATGAAGGAATATAGTGAATTATTCGGTCCAGTACCACCTGGACTACCTCCAGTACGAAATGTTAATCATAGCATACCTTTGATTGATGATCAAAAGCGATACACGTACTACTTACCGAAATGTCCAGACTCTCTCAAGCCCAAGTTGCTCGAGAAGATACAGCTGTACACTGCCAACGGCTGGTGGAAAGAGTGCCAGACAGAGCAAGCAGCACCAATGCTTTGCATTGCGAAGAAAGACGGTGGGCTACGCACCGTTGCAGACGTTCGCCAACGCAATGCGAACACCATCAAGGATGTAACGCCTTTCCCGGATCAAGACCAGATCCGGAACGACGTTGCGCGCGCTCAATATCGCTCGAAGATTGACATGTCGAACGCATATGAACAGGTATTAATAGATCCAAAGGACGTCCCGAAGACCGCCTTTGCAACTATCTATGGTACGTTCTACAGCCTTGTCATGCAACAAGGGGATGCAAACGCCCCGTCTACGTTTCAACGTCTCATGACATCGATCTTCCGCGATGCCATAGGGATATTCGTCCATGTATATCTGGACGATATCTTCGTGTTTTCGGACACACTTGAGGACCATGAGAAGCACCTTGAATGGGTTCTCAAGAAGCTTCGCGAGAATCGACTGTATCTCAGTGTCAATAAATGCGCACTGTTTGCAACACGAGTTGATTGTCTCGGTCATATTATTGACGAGAAAGGCCTGCATGCAGATACTGACAAGATGGCCCGCGTTCGCAACTGGCCTGTACCTCGGAACTACCACGACATACAGCGTTTCCTTGGTCTTGTCCAGTATCTTGCTCATTTTATGCCTAACCTCGCAGCTTATACAGGTCCGCTTTCAAGCATTACGCGAAACGGCCAGTCATTTGACTGGCGACCTATCCATCAGAAGTGCTTTGACGAGATCAAAGCACTTGCCTGTAAGACACCTATCCTACGACCTATTGATCCTAGGAACTCCGACCCTATTTGGGTCATTACTGATGCGTCTACATCAGGTGTCGGTGCCGTGTATGGCCAGGGCCCTCAGTGGGACAACTGCCGCCCGGCTGGCTTCATGTCAAAGAAGTTCACGTCCGCGCAGCACGCGTACTTCACTTACGAAATGGAGGCTCTAGGCGTCCTCGAAGCGCTTCTCAAATGGGAAGACAAGCTGATTGGACGACACTTCAAGATCGTCACCGACCATCGTGCGCTCGTCTTCATACAAGACAAGCGGAAACTTGCACCACGACTTGAGCGCTGGACGGAATACCTCAGTCGGTTTGACTTTGAGATTGTGTACGTCCAAGGTTCTAAGAACCTCGTCGCTGATTCATTCTCTCGCTACTTCTCTAGCGAAGGCGCTGATGTGTTACACGAGCCACAAGATTATGTCTCTGCAGACATAAGAATTGATCCAGATGGTGAGACTCTCTCCAATTCTCGTCTCGCCGAAATTCGCGCTCAACGTGTCATTGAACACGTTGAACCACGGGTTCGCGAAGCCGAGGAGCTTGCGGCTCACTATCCGCAAGCTTCTGGACCGTCTGACTCTGATTCAGATTCATCACCCACTCAGGACGATCCAACTGCAATTGACTCTGCAATTGCAGGACCACCGCTAGATACAGTTGTCCAGCAAACACTCGATTTACAAGCTACCGTGCGATCTGGCTACGCCAAAGATCGCTTATTCAAGGCCATTATGGATCATCCTGAAGATCATCGCATGTTCTTCGTACGTGACAAACTGCTCTGGTATAAACCGCGTGCAGATACTGAGGTATTATGCATACCTCGAGTCACGGTACGTCGTCGACTACTCCCTGAAGTCATTCTCAATGAGGCGCATACTGCGCTTGGGCATCTGGGTACTCGACGAACATCAGACTATGTTCGACGATGGTACTGGTGGCCCAACATTGGCAAGGATATAGCTGCATTCTGTGCGAGCTGTAGTACTTGCCAGATGTCCAAGTTCTCGCGTCAGAAGCCTATTGGGCTGCTACATAGCATGCCCATTCCCTCGCGACCCTGGCAATCCGTTGGGATGGACTTCGTCGGCCCATTTCCTTCGTCACGAGGCTTTGATTACCTTTGGGTAATCATATGCAGATTAACCTCACTCATTCATCTTGTCCCTGTGACGACTCGAGTGCGAGCCTCTGAGCTCGCTTGGCTTTACTTTAAGGAGATAGTGAGGCTGCATGGTCTCCCTGAGTCCATTGTCTCGGACAGAGATCCAAAGTTCACGTCGAAGTTCTGGAATGAACTTCACAGACTCATGGGCAACAAGTTACTCATGTCAACTGCTTTTCATCCACAGACCGACGGCGTCTCAGAACGGGCTATACAGACAATTTCGCAGATTCTGCGAAGCGTTGTTCGGCCTGACCAGACCGATTGGGTCGATCGTCTACCGCTCGTCGAGTTTGCCATCAACTCGAGCATCAATGCATCGACTGGGTTCGCACCCTTCGAACTCACCTACGGATACATGCCGCGCATCATGCGCACACTCGAGAACACGCCTGCAATGCCCGGGGTACGTGCATTCGCCGACCGTGCGGTCGAGAACTTGCTGACTGCTCATGACGCAATCATTGAGTCGCGTGTCACTCAGACGACACAGGCAAACCGTCGTCGACGCGCAGACAACCCCGCCGGCGATGACCAACCTCGATTTGATGTTGGGAAGCTGGTGTATTTGAGTACCCATAACCTATCCCTACCGAAAGGACGTGCTAACAAGCTCGCCCCACGCTATGTAGGGCCTTACCGCATCGTCAAGGCGCACCCCGATACATCGAACTACACTCTGGAGCTACCAGAAGTGCTGAGGAAGCGTCGTATTCACCCGACCTTCCATGCGTCTCTCCTTCGGCCTCATCAGCCGAATGACGACACCATGTTCCCGGGCCGAGACGTGACAACGTTTTACGATTTCGGACTTGACGACGAACCGGAATACCTGGTGGATGAGATACTCACTCACCGCATCGGGAAAACCCCCTTTTGGAAATTCGTGAGAAGTTATGAATATTGCACAGAACAAAGATAACGTAGACACATTCTACGGAACATAGCTAACAATCAATACATTGCCCAGTATTGTTAGAATGAGCGAGGGATTACTGAGAATGCCATTGAGGGGCTGTACATGATATAGTAATATCTGTCTTGGTGTCGAACAAGCGATATGGGCCAAAAACATTGATAAAATTGTATCAATTCTACGAATCGGTGTACATTACATGAGTATCATAGTCGTTTGTACTTCGACAGCGCAGACTAATCTAGTTTCCTCCACCAAAGGCGCAGGGCCGCGGGATAAGGGACATCCTGCGTGGCTCTGCGAATGCGGCACGACTGCGTCTGTGCCCGCCGGTCGCTGGCCCCCCTCACCGCTCGCCCATCCCTACTGTCCAGCCTTCCTCCCCGCTCACTCACCCTCGCGCCCGCCTAGTCTTGCCGTGCACTGGCCCTGCCCGCTGCCGCAGGCTCATTCTCGCCCACTGCCCTTCACAAGTTGCCCTCGCCCGTTCTTTCCTCGTGTGCGCGCAGTTCATTGGTTGTGTCTCGTCGCCGTGCGTGTCGACGGGTGCGGGTACCGGTGAAGGGTCGGGCGGGCAAGGAGGTGGGGGATGGGTTTGCGAACGTGCGAGTACGCGGGTGCGGCGGGCGATCGTGCGTGCATGCGATCATGCATGCAGGTGGGCGACGAGCTACCACGCGCGCAAGGGGCGATCATGCGGGCAAGGGGTGATCATGTGGGGCGAGCAATCATGGTCGTGCGGGAGGGCAGGTGAATGGTCGTGCAACGAGCGATCATGGTGGTGGGTGGATGGGTACGTACGCTGGCGTGAGCAGGCTGGGCGAGCAGCTGGGACACACGGAGGTGGGCGGGGATACACGCGAACGCGCAGGATGAGGACGGTGTAATCGCAGGAAGTGTTACTCACCTGCGGCATCTGCTCACCGCCGGCAGCCCTCTCTCGACCTCGCCCCCAACCATACCTGCCGCCGTTCGCTTGCGCTCGACCTTGCGCGCGTGGCATCTGTTCGTCAGCCGTCGTTGCGTGCGGGGCATTTGCCCCGCCCGCTCGCGGTCGCCGTGCGTGTCGCCTGTGCAGCAGTTCAATCGCTTGACCGGACGTCTGCTCCGCATCCTCGGATGCCTTTGAGAGGTGGTAGTGAGCGGGAGGGAGTGTGAGTGAGCGTGCTAACGTACCTTATGTGCGCAAGCTCTGCCGCGCGCATCCTCTCCTCTCTTGCCCCATCCATCGGAGAGTACCCGGCAACGCTCTTGTGGCGTCGCTGGCAGTACCTCCAGCCGGCCGGCCGGATGCCATTTGCGCTGCATTGCTCGCGTTTGAGACGCGAGCGCGCAGGGCTGTTGTAGCAGGTGGGCGGCGCAGTCTCGCGCCGGTTTCTTGCGCGTCGCGTCGCCAGCTGCTCGTTCTTCGCGTTGAGCGCGGGAACAGCGACGTTCCTCTGTCGCATCCGCGAAGGCTGGGAAGCAGCGAGGTCGCGCTGCCTCGCCGTCGACAGCACCGCGGATGCGACGCGCTGGCAGCGGTGGCGGTGGCGGGGAGATTGATGAATGCGGCGGGCGTCCAATTTGGGACGTGGCGCGGCCGCGGGATGCTGCTGGGACGGTGAAGGCGGTGCACGGATTGAGGACTGAGGTGGAGGGAGGATCGACGCGAGAGTCGCGCGCAGAGCAAGTCCTAAACGCCCACTTCGGGATCTTCCGATGCAGGCCGCATAAGGCAAGTCCGACAGCGCTTGCGTCCGTCCTGCCAGCGCGCAAGTGCTGACCCTCCCTTCACTCCCTCCTCCACGCCCTTGCTCTGTGCCGCTCGTCCGCCACTCGTCCGCGCCTCAAGATCATGAAAGGCGGCCATTACATGAAGAGACAGGCCTACCATGGGCCTGTCAGAGGTACAGGTACGCCGCGGCATGTTCGAGACGTCAACGCGCGTCCAACCCAACGAGTCAGCAGTACATAACAGCACCAGCGACGCTGCAAAAGCGTCGCCAGTGTGCTCACGAAGGACGCGGCGGATGTAGAGTAGAGAGGGCTAGCGCGGCTGAGATGCTGCATGAAATGTACGTGTATTCCCTCTCTTGGCCTTCCTCACTGCCTAACTCACCACCTGGGTGCGCGGGGCGTCTCCCTCCTCTACGCTTCTGCCAACGGTGGTGTGTCCGGCAACCAGGCATCCAGCAATTTGCTGCACGGAGTTCGTGCCTGTCTTCCCTACGAGCTGTCCCTAGTACGTGCGCCCCAGCCTGCTTCGTCCTTCTCTGACCTCTTCTAATGTGACCACCGTCGGCGCGACGACCGAGCAGCCCACAGAGATCGGAGCGAGCTTCTCCGGAGGCGGCTCCTCGAACCAGTGCTTCGTACAGACCGCCTACTAGTCCGCCGCCGTCGTCTCGTACCTCAGCGCGCCTGGGTCGAACTCGAGCAGGCTCTTGAACGCGACCGGCCGCGCGTACCCGGACGTATCGGCGTACGGCACGCGGTACGACATCAAGTCCAGCGCGGTGTTGTTCATCGTGAGCGGGACGAGCTGCTCTACGCCGATGTTCGCGGCAATCGTCGCGCGGCTGAATGACCAGCTGCTCGGCGCGGGCAAGAGCGTACTCGGGTTCTTGAACCTGTGGCTGTGTAGCACCGCGGCGGGTATGGGCGCTCTGAATGATGTCGTGGGCGGGAACAACCTCGCGTGCAGCGGGGGTACGACTAGGTTCTACGCCGCGCAGGGATGGGATCCTGTAAGTGTTGTACTGTGTCGTGTGCGTTGTGGGGTTCTGACGATGACGATAATGGCTCTCGCAGGTTACGGGGCTCGGCACGCCGAGCTTCACCCTACTCGCATCTGCGGCGGGCCTCTGAGCCATGGAACATAGTTTGAAACTTGACTTTGTCTCTTACCTTGTATTCAAGCTTCAAGTTCTGTCGTGCATGTTACGTGTTCTCTATGGGACTTCCAGCTTACATACATGTTCTTTGTCACGGACACTGGGACATAGAATTAATCAAGGCTTGCTCGTAGTACTTCGTTTGTCCATCACATGTACTCGCTCCATCTAGACAGTTCACAGTACTGCCTCACAATTCATCTAATGTTCCTGAAATATTCTGTCTGTGTGAGGCTTCCAACAACATGAACAATAATGAATCATACTTACTATATTCTTCAATCTGTGGCACATAACATCGAGGTAGGTACATGTAATGCACTCGCATTCTCAATATATTGTCTGAAATTCGTACAAAAGTTCGGGGGGGTAGCTAATTCCCTATAATATTGCGAACAGGTGAATAGTTGAAATAGTTCATTATTCCATACAATACTCTGCAATTTGACGTATTCTGAAAAGGGGCTTTTCCTGATGCGCTGGGTCGGGCGACGTATTGAGTTCCTGGTACGTTTTGACGATGGCGATATTCTCTGGGAACCTTATGATAACTGCAAGGACCTCGAGGCCCTTGACAGGTACCTTGAGTTACAGGGTGTTTCGGACTGGCGACAGCTGCCCCGACGTGCCGGACCAGACCGCCACGCGCCACGATCAGTGCGCCCTGGCGGGTGATATTTCCACTATCTAGATCGGCGTCTGTCCCGCCACTAATCCACCCCATTGCTTGACAACGGACACTCGCCCGAACCCTCATCGAACGTTCGCGACTGTCCTGCGATGCTCGAATGCCGACGCAACACCGATTTAAGAGCACACCGCCCGGATCGCACTGTGCTCACTAACTTACTCGACCCTCGTGTGTGCTTACTCTCGCATCACTCACCATGTCCTCCACCACGCTTACCGCTGACGTCGACCATCCCATGGCCGACGCGAACGCTGGGCAGGCCCCTCAGACTGACAGACCTGTCCCCAGCCTTGGTCCCACCATCGCGCGAGCGCCCATGATGTGGCGCTACAATAAACGCGTGAAGACGGTCTTGCACGCCGGCAAGTGCGGCGTCTGCGACGCATTCTTGCAACACGCTATCGATGCGCTTGGTACTCGTAACTACCAGGTCGCTCACACCGAACAGGACGACACCGCCGTCCGCTCTGCGAGGCGCGAAGCCTACGAACAAGGCTACGAAGATGCGCAGCATGACCGTGTGACGCTCGCCACCACGGTCCAACAACTCCAAGCTCGCATCGCGGAGCTCGAGGCCCAACTCGCCACCCGTACAAATGCCGGTGGACGCATGTCTGGAGGGGGAGGATTTGGACCTATTCGGAATAGGTTCGCCCCCTACAATTTCAGTTCATCTGTCGATACTAATCACGACAGTAACCCATCGCTTAGAATCAACACGCTATGACGATCCGCCCGAGAAGTGGGCATCGTATTTCTCGCGCTACCCCCAAGCACGACTGCCCCGCGGTCTCGTTCGCGACGAGCAGGGGCAAGTTTCGCTCGAACGCGCAAGACTGCACATGTTGATGGTCGGGATCGCCTCACCGCTCACTTCCACTCGTAAGCGCTACAAGCCAGTGATCTTCGATGCACTCGCTGCGCTGTTTTCCGAGCCCCACGTCTACGTCGCGCACCTTCAAGCTGCGCATGTCGTCCCCGCACCCGAGGTCAACATCACTCCGCTTCCTGAGACGCAGGTCGTGGGTGGACATGTCGCCACGATCGACGTGACGACGCATGCCATCGCTACGCATGCTGCGCACTGCGGCATCACCCCGGAGTTCGTCACCCAGCACCTCAGCCACTGGGCCCGCGATTACTTGGCGACTGGACCACGAACGGCAGAATTGGATCTGACCGTGAATGGAGCCCCGCCGACCGCTGGGAACCCTCAAGGCGAACAGGTCGCGCACGAAGGACAACCCGCAACTGGCCACGGTGAGCAGTCCATTCCGAACGTCGCGGCTGACGCAGAGGATATGGTGGTCGAGCCGCTTGGTCAGGACTCGGCGTAATGCCGAGGGATGGTTCGTTCCCTAGTCTAGACTACTTCCTTTGACATTTTATGTGCTTGCCGCAGTCGCATTTAGTTGTATCCCTTGCTCGTCCCGCCTCACGCCGACGAGTCTAATACTTAGATTAGTGGTCTAATCACTATCTACTATGGTCATGTATATGATTTCCTCGTCGACTCTAGAACGCGACGGGTATTTAAACCTATGCATCATTATGCTTAGATGCTATGACCCATGTGCATTGCCCCATATCGACGTCTACGATGTTTTCCTGGAGGGGGAGGATGTAAGGGCGATCGTAATGTAGTGTAGTCAGCACCTTAGTCAGCATCCCGGAGTTTCCCGAAGGGCTGTTATAAGCTGACGTGCCTCACTGTGCTCGTTGTCTTTCTCCCCATCGTTGTACACCGCTCGCCCTTGCAATATAGAGGCTTTGGCTAGCTTAGTACGGCGTCCGAGAAGACCTTATCCTTTACAGTTTAGCTTCCTTATAAGCGCGCCCGGCTCTGATGCTACTCACAGCCACTAGCGCCATATCCACCGAACGGCGCATCATTAGCTACGAGCAGAGTGAGCTTTGGATCCACTTCGCATGCATGTAGGACGGACCCATGACGTGCAGAATCGTGTCGTTCGCAGCAGCTGTACCGCTGCGGGTATTGTCGATGACTGGGAACGGTGAGTTCAACTGGTTCATTGGCATGATTCAGACTCATCGGTACCTTTGTTCTTGAATTTGCTGTCGCTTGTGAAGATATAAACACTGAGAGCTTCGTCCCTGTACCGTCCCGTGAGTCGAGCTACGAGCGGCGAACGCAGAATCCGGCAGCTCACACGCTGTTGATGAAGGTAATAGCCTCGTCAAGGTCCTTGACCGGGACCACAGGCAGTAACGGACCAAAGATCTCCCTTGAAGGACAACGATGTCAGTCGTTGCGAGGAAACCAAGAGGGCCGCTGATGAAGGCTTACTCGCTCATGAGAGAATCGTCAGCCTTGACGTCCCTGATGAGAGTCGGTGCGACGTATCGCGCTTCCTTGTCGATCTCCCCGCCGAACACTATGGTGCCCTTGGTATTGTCGAGCAAGTTCTGTAGACGTTCGACGTGGCGTTCGTTCACGATGCGACCCAGCATCCCCGACGTCTTAGGGTCTGTGGGATGGAGCTCGTTGTACCTGCAGAGCGTCCATGGACAGCTATTGCATGTGCAAAGTCGCAAACACTTACGCATCCTTGAGAGCTTCCACGAATTCGTCTTGGAATGACTCCGGAACGAGGATGTAGTCTGGACACAAGCAGACCTATGCTGAACCATCAGCAACTGCCAATATGTCTCTCTGTGCACTTGTACCTGACCGCAGTTCACGAGCCTGCCCCACCAAATGCGCTTCGTAGCTATCTTGACATTACACTTGGGGTCGACCACGCAAGGACTCTTCCCTGACATTTAACGCTTAGTACGGCTTAAATCCGTCAGACGCAGAGCGGCTCGACTGACCCCCAAGCTGTCAAATGATCTCGTCGGTGCTCAAATTTTATGGTGACTAACTGTACATACCTCCAAGGTCACAGGAGTGAGGTGCTTGGCTGCGGCCGTGCAGATGATCTGGGCGACACGATTGTTGCCTGCAGGACGGTCAATAGCGAACAATGTCGAAAGACATGCTGTCTCACCTGTGTAGAGGACTGTCGAGTCGCAAGCGCGATCAGTGGGCAACACGTGACATCATCACAGGCGCACTCAACTGTGGTTGAACCGCAGTTCCAAGATCTAACAAGACTGGCCGTCAGAACGCACGGAGATCATTCAAGTAGAATGTAGGTACCTTGGTGGTTTCAGGAACACCACCGTTGACGACCCGAACCAACTCGGGGTCCAGGTACTTGGGAATGAGTTCAGCGAGCAACGATGCCGACGCGGGACAAAGTTCCGAAGGTTTCAGCATCGCCGCGTTGCCAGCCGCAATCGCCGCGGCCTGAGAAATCGCAGTCAGTAACGAGGTCGTGCTCCAGATAAGTGCACGCACGAACCAGCGGAGTCAAGGTGAGAAAGTAAGGATAGTTGAATGGACTGATGATGAGAACCACGCCCTTCGGCTCCTTTCTCGTCGCCGGAGACAGCGTGAACCATAAGAGAGAGAACGGCGACTTCTGCGGTGCCGCCCATTTCTCGACGTTGTCATAGGCATCTCTAATCTCGAGCAAAGTCCCGCTTATCTCGAGGCTGAGACATATCACTGAGCTACTTCAGTTTGTGCATAAGTATCAGAGCCTCACAAGTCCACCTCATGTCGCGGTCTGCCAAGGTCCGAGAAGATTGCTTGTCGAATGCGCTCTTGGTTGTCTTCGACCAGGTAAAAGAGCCGCGAGAGCTGCTGCTTGCGATATGCGATAGACCTCGTCCTTCCAGAGTTGAAGGCGAGGCCAAGCTCATGTCGTATCTGAGGACAGAACACAGAGAGTCAGCCGGAAATGTAGGTTCTGAAGCTGAGCACGCTGTTCCACGTACCTTGGGGATATCCTCAACGGGCGTGTACCGCAGGGTGTCGGTCATTGTACAGTGCGTCCAGCTGAGGGGTTTAGCAGCGAGAGGAATACGTGTCCGTCAACAAAGACGTGGGCCAAGTGGTGGTAGGATGCGGGAGCCCTGGCGTAATGGGCCGCGCCATATGAGGGCAACACCCCTTCGGGCGATGCTCCGTTCCTCGCAGTTACATGGTGGAGCCAGAAGAGAGGAGGAGCACAGTGCCGGCGGATGGGCGGCGGGTTGATACAGTGATAGGGGATCGTAGGTCTCTTTATGCGCCATCTGATATCACGCGCGCTGCGCCTCTTTCCACGGAACCCGGGGGGTAGTCATGCAGGCAGATGCACTATCGTCAGAGCAGCACTCTGTTGCTGGAGTATCGGACTAGCAGTGTAAGGTTCGTGAAAGAGGAAGTTGCCAGTGTCACGTCACTGCGTGAATGTCGGTGTTCATGTTCGAATTAGAGTACGGCATCTGGATGTTCATGAGGACCACCGAGCATGAACCTCCGCGTTCTGGCACCTGTGCTATGTCCACGCGGAGTGAGCGCGAAGTCGGAACCACAACGCCTGTCGACCTAACATAGCCCGCGAGCGGAACTGTGAGCAGTGGCGACACAGATTCGCCCTGGACAGACATGACGAGCAGCATGCAGAAGTGCAATATGCGGCCGATAGCGATGTATAAGATATCCAAAAAGAGGGTACACCGCGACGCCGTGCTAACTTGCCTGCACCGCCAACCATTTACTTGACCCAGTACTGGGTTCTATAGCATGCGAGTGCCACAAATGCAGCGCCGCCGCCATCTCCGTGAAGCGTCGGTCGTAGCATGAATGTCGCGACTGCGTGTCCTGCATGAGACGTGTCGGTTCTTCACGACTCGGAGAGCGACAATGACGTTCCTGCTCCCCATCCAATATCAGAATGTCCCTGTCCTTACTCGACACACCTGTATTGACACCCTGCTTCCCCTCACTACGAATCACTCTGATCCACCGAGAGCAAGCTGGGACAAAGTCCCGTTAGCAAGCAGATTACTGGCAGCCTTCCACATGTGACTTACCAACACGAGTACAGCATTATTTCAGTGCCTCGAATGTGCCGGAGCATAGTCCTTCGACTCGAATCATTGCAGAGTTAAGGCGAGCCAAGGAGTAAATATGGTCTGTCCTGGTCCAGTTTCAGTCTTCAAGCGTAGGGGATGGCCCGTGGACGAAGGATGCCACCTCAATGAGTGTAACGGTCTTGAGGCAGGCCTTCTGAGGTGTTCCGAGAGCTCACAGGACCATAAGACGTAGTAGAGGAGGAGGAGGAGGAGGAGGAGGAGGAGACATGTACGACGCCGCGGACGCGTAGTACGGCACGCGCTTATGTAAGGCTAAATAGCGCCTGCACGTGGATTGAGACGCGCCACCGACGGCGACGCGACGACTCGGACTGTCGCGCTCAATGGCGGCGACACTCAGCTTTGCGAAACGATTTCTTGGTGCGTTTACTGACACATCTGAACGCTAGTACCGGTATACTGGTGCGCACGATATAAGTTTGCGGAATATACCATGCCCTCACGCATTCCTACCTTCTAGGCCTAGGGTGGACTCGGACTCTATCCAATCGCAGAAAGCTGAGAAGAACTGGCCAGACTATCTTGTCTATAGTATGCGTCTACGGACGTTCCGATATGGACATAGAGGGTCCGTTGATTCCTGGTGCTTCTAACACAAGTCTATTTGGCGTTGACTTTCACAAGTCTGCCTGAGCGGAGCAAAATTGTCTGCGCATAGGCGCTTAGGCGAGCGAGGTCTTTCTTCTCCCGACACCCACATCCTCGCCTCATCGCCGACAGAGTCCATCGTTTCCTCCCGGCTGTGAGTTTCTCTCGGGAAATTAGCCACAGTATTGCCTGGATGTATCTCAGTCGGCGCGCAGGGATGGTGGGTCATGTCATGCATGGGTCCCGAACTCATCGGTAGCACAATTGTTGGCCGAACAATTGCCAGACTCGTCCGAATTTGACGTCCATGGAAGCAACACCGTCGCCATTCCACGCATCGCGTCTCGACTGAGAAAGCATTTGACTAACAGTAATATTCTTCACGCTCCCAACACCGTCCCCGCTCCACAACGGCATCCGGCGGCGACTTGGACCAACTTGGATTACATTCCCTAATCCACGCGCTACCTGAGGCCTGAGGAGTAAGGCCTGGAATAGGTTGATGAAGTGATTTACGTGGACGACCACTTGCTGTGAAGTGAGGGACCCTATGCATGCAGGCTGCGAATCCCAGGTGCCTGTCGTAGCAGTCCTCATGCAACTGTCGCTTCGGTCGTCCGCCGGGTCCGCTCGCTGAGCTGTAAGACACTCTTCGCACAATGAAAATGGTGATCCTCTCTACCAGCTCGTCCGAGAACCTCAGTTGACATGCAACGTGTTGTCCAGGGTCCCAGGCAACACTTAGAATATGGCACTACAGCCCATTTCTGGAACCGTTACTGCGCACGAAGCTGGGTGAGTCTCGCTTCTGTTACGCTGAATTATGTTTGAGCATATATGGGGCAGGCCTCATGTTCAGCTCTCCGGCTCTCGCTCGGACTCGTCTGTCATGCGTAAGCAGCGCTCTCGTGCGTAGATTGTATATAAGGTGCAGGGTAGCAGGCCGTCTCTGCATCGAACGCACTCAGCTAAGATGTCTCAAGCAAACCTCACGCTCTCCTACTACGTCTGGGCTCCCGACAGCAAGGCTGGCGACGTCGCCCAGAAACGTCAGGCCATCCTCGCCGAGCACACCGAGTGGATCACTGCCCGCCGCGCGGATGGAAGCGTCCGTAAGTAATCTTTGCCTCGCTGTTTTTTGATATTTCTCTCGTTGCCATTGCCAAAGGTACCGTGGTCGCTGACGATCTATTGCTCGTATCTAGTGTACGGCGGCGCCATTCTTGCGAAGGACGTCAAGCTCCCGCTTGCCTCGAACCCCGAGATCGCGGGCACCATATTGATCGTCAAGGCGGATAGCCAGGAGGCTGCGCGCAAGCTCGTCGAGCAGGAGCCCTACTACAAGGCCGGTGTGGTAAGTGGTATGCCTTCTAGCAGATGGCCGACTGCTGAGCGCGTCTCGTATTTCGTTAGTGGGACACCAGCGACATCAAGGTCGCGCCCGTCCTGTCCAGGGCTTAGGCTGGGGCCGAGTCGTAAGAGATTAAGTCTCTTCGCATGTAAAGCAGTGCCCACCGCTCGTCCATGGATCGTACAAATGCTATTGTGTTGTTTGTGATTTCAGCTAATTTGTTGCATTTGAGTTCTCCGCTGTAGCACCTAAGCACATGAGCCGTCACCAGGATCGCCCTTCTGTCAGATCGCGGACACGTAACCCGAAGTAATTTTACACGCTTAGTCCTTCAACGCACTCGCTGTCCATCGCAAACCCGTGCAGTCTGAAGCTTAAAAGTTCGAAGGCTTGGGATTATTGTCAGGACGAGAGTTATGGCCACTCAAAGGCATGAGCTATAATCTGAAGCTTAAAAGTTCGAAGGCTTGGGATTATTGTCAGGACGAGAGTTATGGCCACTCAAAGGCATGAGCTATAATCCGTGTACTAGTAGGGTGGTCAGTCAGCAAAGTAACCGTACTTGTATACTTCCTTTCCATGGATATTAAAAGCGGAAATTCCGCGTAGGCTTGGAGTGTTGAGTGGAAGTCGTGGACTCCCGGTCGATAGTGCTAGTAGCGCCAGTGAACCATCGTAACGCGTAAGTAGTCGTACAAGAGATAAAGTCAGCTAGATTGCATCGCTCGTACTCCTCCTGCAGCAGTGCAGCAGCACGACGCATTTCGAGTTGACGAGTCCAGCCGTCTGAACCTGTTGTCAAGCTCCTGGCTCAAAGTCCACCCCGCATGAGACACATTAGCTCAGGCTGCTCACCCATTTTCACCGGCATCGTCAATTGTGGCGAGGATGGCGACCTGAACGACCTCAAGGAGGTGCGTCACGGTAGGTGCACTGGGGGTCCGAGTCGCGCTCTACGTGGCACCACTGAAGCTAGTGCTGACGACGCGGATTTCAGCCTAGGCCCAGTGGAGGTATGTAGCGAGGATATCCGAGCGAGCGAGACAATACTGATAAGTAAACACCATGGAAAGCACCAGGAAACATGATATATCAGTTGACGGGAGAGACCAAATACCAATATGTACGCTCGCGGCCAGCTATACATCAATACATCTCATCATTCGTACACAAGTGCTGCAAAACTATCATACATACAATGTACCCTTCCTGAAGCGGGTCACGCTCAAGCGGCGGTCAGCAATCCAACTTTGCGCCAGTATGCGAGCCACTTCTTGACGTCTCCTTCGCCTACTTGGCGCAACATCGGGTTGGCCAGAGTTGGAGATGCACTCACAGCCTGTGCGACATCCAGCGCAGAGAACCCGAGTGCGAGAGATCCAAGTGCCTTGGGAATCGACTTGAAGAACGGGAGCAGGCGTAGCGCAGGGAACGCACGCAGGTGCTCGACCTCGTTTCGCTCGTCTACCGACACCGCATCATGCTGTTCCAGTTTGGCGAGCCACTCTTCGTAGGGGACCAAGTCGACCGAAAGCTCCGCTGAGATGGTCTCTGCGACAGCGCTCCAGGGAACGGGACGGGGGTGCACGAGATGAACGAAGGAGGAACGAGAGAGCTTGCGGAAGTCTGCCACGGCGGCGCCAGCGACGTCGAGCTGGATCCAATCTACGGCCTGCACATGGGTAGTCAGGGCTGAAGGAGTGGATAGCAATGTAGGGCGGACGTACTCGTGGATCATTTGGGAAGCACTTCAGCTTCTCGACGCTCTGAACCAGAGACGGGAACCATTCGCTGGCATTCCACGCTCCATCAACACCACCACAGACTTGCCCGACCCGCACGTTGACGGTGGTAAGGGCCGTCTGACCGCTCGCTTGACGAAGTATCTCCTCCGACACCCACTTCGACTCTGTATACCCAATGCCGGCAGCGAGCTCAGGCTCAATGCGGTCTTCCTTCTGGACATCTCCGTTGCGTACATCTGTTCCCGGACAATCAGCATGGAGAATACAAAGCAATCGGAATTATGCACGAACTATGGAAAATACCGATAGTGCTCGTGAATGTCAGCTGCGGTGGCTGAGCGTGGAGAGACGACAAAGCGAAGTCGATGAGTCGTCGCAAGCCCTTCACATTGCTCTCGAACGACGCTAGAGAGAGATTGAAGTCGACGCGCCAGGCTGCCAACAGTCCTGTCAGCATGGGCGGATGGCTCGCGGACGGGCTTCGACCTCACCATTGTGTATGATATGCGTAATCAAATTTCTCATCTGTGACATATACGTCAGCAATCAAACAGCAAACAATTAACTAGATACAAACTTCTTGGTAATTGGTATCAGTGAGCCCAAACTGGGGGAGAGTCAAATCGGCTTCAAGCAGCGTGACCTTGCCACTGCCATCGATGTCAACGTCAAGGCCGCGATCGACGGCGGCCGCCTTCTGACGGTCGCGGAGGCTCTGTCCATTCTTCGATGGCCTATTCAGAGCGTATATCTGGGTAACCCCAGGGTCGGCGATCAGTTGCGCCAGTATGTGGCACCCCAAGCTTCCCGTTGTTCCGGTCAATAGGACCACGTCCCGTCCGCGAGGCACCGCAGTCGCGAGAGGCGACGGCTGGTGAGTAGGGAAGTCTTTGCTATAGGCTTCGACCATCGCCCGCATCGCCTTCACTCGCCCTTTCTCTGACTGGTCGGCGCTGTCTTCATCCCCAGCCCCGAAGGCCAGACTTGATAGGTAGGTGGCGAGACTGGCAACGGTCGGGTACTCGTAGACGAAGTTCCTGGCGACTTTTCGAGTGTCCAGCTGGGCCGAGTCCCGCAGGGCACGGAGGAGCGAGTTGCGTATCCACGTCGCTTGCAAGCTACAAACAATGACCATGAGACTATCGACAACTGTTAGCAGCGGCTATCATACCTATCACATCCGTGCTGAAAGAGGTCGTCTGTATCTTGCACGGAATGAACGAGCACCTTCCCAACGACAGCTCGGACGAAGTCGGTGGTCGTGACTACATCCCATTGTCTTGGAGCAGCAATGCTTGATTGCGTGCTCTCTTCAATCGCCTGGTACAGTCTTTCGATCTCTGGTTCGTAATCGATGATGATGGCCTGGCGCCGAGCCGTACCCTTCGCAGTGTAGGTAAACGGCTTTGAAGGCTTGGAGACGAGAATCATCTAATGAACTGGCAGTTAGTCATATCGTGACATAACGGCATATCAGCGCACCTCTTTGAAGAGCCGCGAATGCTGTGGCGCGAAAGCATTCATTTTCTCTATAGTCGGCCTGGACACAAGTTCAGGGCTAACCACGATACCCTCGCTGAACGACTCACCAGATATTGTTTCGGAAGACGGCGAGCGCAGCTTCGTCAGCAGGGTCGAACTTGAACTGTGGTTTGGGGTCCACTATGACCCCTGCCTGGAAATGACCTCGGCCAAACATGACGGCAGATTGGACATACGGGTCCTGGTTGAGCATGCTTTCTACTTCGATGTTAACTGCTGTATGCGTCATGTCACCCGAAATTATTTACCTAGCGGACCGGGGTTCGTCTGTAAGATCAAGGCACATGAGAAAACCCTCATAGACATCAGCCCCATCTCGCTGGACACACCTTCTCGCCTGTGCTATGTATGATCTGGTCGTCACTTCGGCCGTACACTTTCCAGTAGTCAGGCTTCGACGGATGTTCCGTGAAGAGATCCGATGATGCGTAGGCGTCAACTCCGTCCACCTTCGTATTGATTACACCTGGGGTGCAAAACTCGTTCGCCTAATCAAGAACAAGAAGTCAGGATGGTGCGTGACAAGAGACTATGGCTGTACAGACCACGAGGACGAACTCGTAAGTGTTTTCGCCGAAGGGCTCCATACGTTTACGCAGGAATGGGGGGAACTTGAAGTAATCCCAGTCATAACCCACTTCGGCTAAGAGAAAATTCAGAAGCTACAGATCGGCATCATGGATGCTGTTCATACCTGGCAGAATAGGACTCATGATCGATCCTTCCGTGCTGCGGGCAATGTGTCGTTAGGTGCAACATCGTGAAATACGACAGCACACTCACGAGCCATAGAGAATGAAGATGGATACCCCCTGGGACGTCAGGTAGTCTCCGACTTGTCTGTTCAAGGGGCCGCCACCATACAGCTAACAACGCTTTCAGGCGAGGGTCATACATGAGCTATGTTGGACGGACCACTCCGCTACGAGTCGCAAGCCATGCAATGTGATCAGGGATTCGCGACCATGCCTGTAAGAACGTCAGTCCAGTGCCATACTATTACGAGTACCTTGCCCCACGTACCTCGATGATTGCAGGTACCGCGAAAATGATATCGCTCTCAGTAGCATGCGCCGATCTGAAATGTGCCTCTGGGCTCGGGGGCGGAGGAGGGGTCTGTGGCCGAAAAGCACTAAGGACTAGCCCACAGGATGCCTAGAAGTTTATGATCAACCGTCGACAGACTGTATCCATTAGAACTGAAGGCTTACCGCCCAGCCCACAAGGCAGACTCCCATTCCGTGGAACATAGGCATGACGTGCATAGAGAACACCTTATCCGCCAAATCGCGCCCGGCGAAATATGGTTGTAGACACAGCTGAGACATTCGACGGTACGTGAAGACGATTGGCTTGGGGAATGCGGTTGAACCTGGCAGGAAGGATATGGGATCTCTCGGTACGACTGTCATGGTGGAACATCATACCTGAGGAATGAAGGAGCATCGCCGGGTCATCCGAGCCGTGAGGTCTATACGGGATATCCGCAGAGCTGACGGCGCCCTCGCCAGGTGGTAGGTACAGTTCTTCGAACGAGAGCATAGGCGAGAGGTCCGGTAGGGCGGTCGATGGATGCTCCGCTTTCAGGATGTCGAATGCGCTGCTCGCGAGATCCGTCATTGCCTTCTCTCGTCCAACTAGAATATGCTTGACATTGGCTTTGACGACGAGATGGGCGATAGCGGCAGGAGAGTTGCGTGGGGAGAGAGGGAAAACTACGTAACCAGCGCGCATGATGCTCATCTCCAGGGTGAAATATGGTATGCTGTCTGGATCGTCCGCCGCGTCAGTTAACATCGAACCTAACGCGAGGAAGAACAGGTACCTGATGGTGACAAGATCGCGACGACTGGGTATCCCTCCATGTTGGGTTTCCATCCCATACGATCCCTGATGATCTTCGCGCCGACGTTGATAGCAGTGACCGCCTCAGGCCAGTAGATGGTGCGCAAGGTGCCATCTTCCTTGTCGAAGACAAATAAACGGTGATTGGGGGTATGCTCGAAATGCCAGTCATAGATCTCCGGTAAAGTCAACGATCCGTCGAGGGGAGGGGGCTTGAATGTAGCACTCGAGAGCGCCTGAGTCTGAGGCCATGCTGGGAATGTCGTACGCGCTGCCATGAGATGCGTGCTGCAAGCGCGATGGAGAATTCTTGACTGTTATATACGAGCTACAGACGGGAGGTCAGAGTCCAGGTCGAGATAAGACACCGGGTTGGGCTGAGGGTTGCTCTGCGTTGTACTGTACTGTTCACGGGCAGAAGCGGCTTTGCACCCTGATTGAAAGATGACCGCGGCCCTTTGATGAGCTGCGGGCACATTTAGTAAGAATCGTGCGGTATCAGAATGTCGAAAGCAGCCAGGACATACATTCCTGGCAGCTGCCAGTGGCAGTAGGAGCCTGAGGCAAGTCCGGCATCGACGGGGTTTAGGCAACCGGATCTACTTGCGGATCTATATTCAGAAGGCGTATCAATCAGTGATCTCCGCCTAGGACGGTACTTACATATATATACTTACATACTCCTTCTTTCGAGTGTTACACTGCTACGACCCAGTTCTCATCGGAGTCAAGTCAGAGCCTATAGAGAGGTACAGTCAGTACAGCAGGTCAGAGATCGCAGGTACTGTAGCAGGACATACACTGACACCATCCTTGGTTCCCAAATATCCATCAGTTGACGCCAGATTCAGAAGCCTTGGAGTTGAAGTTAAGAAGCTGATGAGGGCGGCCGAGATCGGGCGATCAGATCTCTCCTCCTCCGCCACAGGCGCGCGTCGTGGCGCAGTCTGCCCTGCCATCGACGATGAGGCCCGTCGTACGGTCGTACCTACTTATTCCTTTCACGAGGGATGTCCTTTGAATGTCTCGCCCGAGTCTGAGGTGGGCCCGTACAACACGCGCTACACCCTGCATGCCCCACACACCGCTAGTAAGTAGGTTATCATCACTTCTTCGGACTCTGGAGGCTCTGGTTCGGCCCGCCGTCATTTGGACGCGGAACAGTAGCCAGCAGTAGCCCTGCGCCATTGTACTTATCAGTACTGTTGAAATGTTCCCCAGTAAGTCACATGCCCGAATCCTTCGTCTGGAATGCGCTGTCACATCATGATAGAAGTTCTTCGTCATACGAGCTTGGGAAAGATGGTAGCTCAGGATGGTCTTCTCTTCGATGCGCCCAGGAACGTTCAGAGACGTTCAGTCGCTGAAGGTTGGCCAGTAGGAACAGGGTAAGTCATGTACAATGTCTTTGCGATTCTACAACTGATTGGGCCGACCATTGGGGTCCTCGCACTAGGTCCGCACTACAACAGCGTGGTGGCGTCCTGTCAGGAGACGTAGCGCGACTGACTCCCTTCGTGGCATTTCGAGTGCACATCAGATGAGGCACACGCATCATTTACGCTGTGATCAAATCGGTTTACGCAGTGGGAAGGGCTGTCGGCCATGCATCCGCTCATTGGTGGTCCATTATCTGTGCACTCGTTTCAGTCAATGTCCGTGTACGGAGAATCGCCGCTATCGCTGCCGGTGCGTCTGAGCAGGAACAGATACATAAATGTCGATAAAAAAAGTTGCGCACTGCAGTGCTAATCCGTGATCCACCTGCAGAGCCATGGATCATCGTGCCAATCATTGCAATCATTGTTGTACGTCTATCATCTACTGACATTGGATGCAATACTAACCCAAGTCGTAGTGACCTCTTGGCCGCTTGTCCCGCCGCTCCATTGTGCATTGGCCGCCGAGAACAAACTGTCTGCCATTGACGTGAGTGGGAAGGTCCGCTACTACTATGTAGCCATATGCTGTTCGCCAAAGCAACCGCGTTGGGCGAGGTATCTTTCGGCGTTGGTGCTTATCGACAGCTCGAACCTCGCTCGTGTGGCGCGAGAAAGGTCCTGGGATGGGTCGCATACGTCCGACATACGTTTCGCCCAAGTCTCGCGACCAAAACGTCAAGCAAGTACAACCAGAGCCTCATAGTAACTGATATCATTGTCCTTGTGGGATAACCCGGCTGTCGACAGTCTCACGATCCTTACACATCCCATGCCTGAGTTCCATCGCTCAGATCTCCACTCGTAGGAAACATTCCTTTCACAGGCACATCCAGATCGTTGTCCCGCCGCGTGGATTGGCTGATCTCGACGGTGAGGGGCCGCAGTGGATAGGATCGGTTGCCTAGTATTCCCGGAGCCGCGGAACCCGTTCCCGAGGCATTTCTAGAGTCGATTTGCGACGTTCCGATGGACTTGCCCAAGCCCACTCGCACGTTGATGAGCATAAAAGAGATGCCACTGACGGCCGGCCATGTGTCCACGATAGGGAATTGTACGTTGGTCTTGGTTTGATATGTGATGAAGAAAATTAGCGTCCAGGTGCTGGTACAACATGAGCTCTCAGATTGGTGATACGGACGTTGGAGAGCGACGTACGTGTAGAGAATGGCGCTCTCGATGAACATCGCCAGAACTCCCTGGTAGAAGCTTTCAGCACGGCATTCTCGAGACCCGATGAACGATGCTAATACCATGAGATTACTGCCCCCATGCCTACTAATCGCGTTATGATTACTCCAAACCTTCCAGGCGATCACAGCTGCAAATATGCAATAGTGAGTAGGGGAAACCTCGTAGGAGTGATTTCCAACTACCGGAACAGTAAACATTTGTGCTGTCGCATTCAGGATGAGTGGAAAAGACAACCGGTCAGACAATAATGCGACGTACCACAGCGTGAATACACAGTTGCTAGTAATCCAGCGCCCAGCAACGGACTCAAAAACAACCTCTCCTGGCACGTACTGGGAGAACTGGTAGGTAATCCCGCTACCGCAGACTGTTGCAGTAGAACGTATTACTAAACGTGACCTGTGAATCACAATACAGAATTACTTACTGATCAAGCCAATGAGCGTACACAGAGGGAAGATGATGAATGCCTTTTTATGACTCCACACAATCCAAACACGATATATCTACCAGCCGAGGGTGAGAGCTGGGCATCAGGCGATATCAGCATATAAACTCACGACCATTACATCGCCTGCGATTAGACTCGTGACCAAAAACCCCGTCTTGACGACCTCAGTAGTTTGACGAAGGTCGGCGTAAAAGTACAATGGCTGTGTTCCGTCTTCATACAATACAAACGCTTGGAAAAGGCGTATCACTGTGCAAATGATGTGCTTGCATACGAGTTGAGCACATTCCGAACAGCACAAAACGGAACATCATACCGCTGTGATTGTTATGAATAAGGACATAGAACCGATAAACATAGGTGACACCCAAAGTGATCGCGCTGAGGAACCTATGACACCACCGGGTCGTCTGTTGGTAGCCTGGCGTCGGCTGACTGAGAGATAGGTGGACAGTGCAGCGAGAACAAAGAAAATTCCATATAGGAAGCTTTCCATGAACACCGTGGCCAGGTTCGCGGAGACCAAGGGGACTTCAGACATGGTCGGCGAGTCAGCTTTACAGAGGGGTGCCGTTCCTTGCTCGACTCATAGAGTTGTATTTATCGATACGATGTTTCACGGTGCGTTCTTGCTGTACGGGCATAGGCGCAGGATCCACAGTATGCCATGCCAGTGAGCTACCCGGCGCCTTCGATTCAGGATGCAATCACGACGGACCTTGTGCCGGCGTCCAGGTCAGCGATATCTCCGAAATGCGTTTGGCGTTGACAGATTTCAGACACAGGTCAGTCGTCCTGTGATCTGATGGTGCTAGTCCATACCAGGCACCTAGATTCAGGAATCAGACACCACTGACAACAGAAGCGGATGTTGAAATCGAACCTCAGAACTCTTGTCAGCAAAGACGGAGCAACGTAACATGTCTCCACCGCCCTTGAAGTGCGGCCACATTGAACGACGATATTATAGCTGCAGCCTTTCGTAATAAATACGCATGGCTGTCGATGCAGCACGTCTCTCCATGTGGCGCATGCAAGCGCGGTACGATGGTCGAGCGTAGGACATTCACAGGCTCCCGCGTGTGACCGTGGAGGTCGACTTAATTCCTTGCTGCGCATAGCACCGATATAAAGGTCTATGGTTGCACGGCCACGGTCATTGGACAAACACCGTTCTGTGGCACTCGATTGTAGGACTACTACATAGTAGCGAGTGGTCGCGCATAGACCTGCAGGATGCTGGATAAAACACCGTGAATGCATGAGTTATCGCATATGCGATCGAAGCACGACCCCTTCAAGTACTGAGCAGTGACTGAGTGAGTGACTATAAGGGAACCGCATCTGATCGAGCCTCGTCCGGTCATCACGCAACGGCCAGCGTGATGGTCAGTCCATGCGCGATCTGTTTGCTCTGTAAAGGCTCATTCTGCGTGAGCGCGTTGCAATCCCGATTCCCCGGTTCATTGAATACAGTGACTCACCTTGGCCTCGACTTGCAAAATTCCAGTTGCGCGTGTCCCTGCTGATCAATCGAATGCACCCTTACTTCGAGGCGTACCGCGTTGTGCGAACATCGAGGACGACCGGACGACTGATACTGACTGGCGTGTGGTACCTTACGAAACCGGAAATTAGTAGCATTCAATCGGGTCGTTTGAATATCTGACACGCACTATGTCCTCCTGCCCACATGATTATCATAGACCGCAGACAATTCGCTATCATTGTTCGTCCATGATACTACTGTGTTCGGTGTTGGCCTGGTCTTCAGCGGCGTATCGCGTGTATGAGCATTAGCGAATGTGATCTAGGAGTGGCGCATCTCGTCAGTTAACGGTATTGCGAACGAGGCTTGCGTACCTCATTGGGTCCGCAGAGATGGTAAGTTAGTAAGGTGCCGTCTTCGATCACCCGTCTGCGAGTTCCAGTTATCCTCTGGACGTGGAATTTGGTAGTCGTCTCATCGGGGACCCGTGCGCTCGACACCGTCTGTACGGGTATGCAGACTGGGTGTGATCATGAGATAGGAATAGAGACTTATTGCTGAGCTGAATACATCGAGGCACTTAGTGACGTAACCGGATGGCCGCTCGCGTCGCCCAGCCTCGCTGGCCCTGTAGGGAAGGCGATACGTGGCACCCCGCTCGCCGCTGTCTCGATAGGTATACGTGCGATGAGCAATGCCCTGTCTTGGCGATGCTCAACTTTCATCTGTCACGGGAGCTCTTCTTTGAGCCACAAAGGATGCTATGGCGGATATCCAAGCGAGGACAAGGCAGAAAGGGACTCAAGTGTGCCGAGTTTGCCACCCTCGTTCGTGAATCTTCTGGGGGCGATCTTGTCTAGTATGTAGGCCCCGCGTCGCTACTAGTGGTAGATACAACGTTGAGCGTTCCATCGCGAGCAAAACAGGAGAACTTACATCTCGCATGTTCGAACTCAGAATGACTTTGATTGAGTTCAAATTCACTGTAAAAGGAGCCTGATACATCAGTACCGATAACCAAGATCTGATTACGGACCCTCTCGCGTCCGTGCGCCTGCAGCATGGACGGTCGTGATACGAGACCAGGACTACGAATTCACAGCGATCACAGTCGTTCCAGAGGCACATGGTCGTTTGTGACGCTCCTCCCGCAAGTACTGCGGCGGTACAGTTTGTTCGTTCCCACGGTGCGCTATCGGCCGGTGGCTCAATGGACTCCTCCCAGCTCCTCCCTTCGCTGAACGCGCGACGTAATCCCTCCCTATTTATCTAATTCAGCATTCCCGCCTTCTAATCTTGATAACTCTGGACAGGGACAAGCAAAAGGCTCTGCAGCCGACGCAAACACCAGTGGTACTGTAAGATCATACTACTGGTTGCATAAGCACGTATACTATCGCGGTCATGTCACCGGCGCTGCATTGCGGTTCTCACTTTTCCGTTGCTCACAACATTGAACAGTTGACCTGAACATCCATCACGCAGTCGAACACATCTCCATCATCTGTCAGCCAAATCTGTCGTTCAAGCAGCAAAATCAGACTATATCATATCCAAATACTGCACCCGTCCGGCCAGATTGTACCTTGCCAGAAGACCCAGGGGCGTTCTCGGTACAGAGCCTTCCTCGAGCCCTTCGCAGGCTCACACGGTGTCGGAGAGAGAACGTGCGCGTCGACGACCAACACACACACAATACGATCTCCTGGAGCAGGCGTTTGGAGCGAGTCGAGATACGGGTGATCGGGCTGGTGACTGGACGACGGGCGAGGATCTGTGTAGGGTAATAGGGCCGCGCAGAATATAAACGGATACTTATCTTATCTTCTCGACTACTCGACTAACTCGACTTGAGGTGCACGCGCGACGTCGAGTCGCTCGTCCGTGCCGAACCTTGAAGTGCGCGTGAGCGAGAGGGGAGAAGCTGGGGGATCTGATAACTGGCGAGAACGGGCGACGCAGCCCTCTACAAATACAGTGCGAGACCGAAGCACCAGAGAAGTGTAAAAAACTAGGAGAGAGCGTTGGACACAGAAGGAACGCGTGACTGGTTCGAATGGAAACGTGATATGTGAAGTACCAGCGATCGACTGCCGGATTGGGAAAGAATAATACCTAATTTGGATGTACCGTATGGAACGAATCTGGAGCACCCGCCCGGGTGTCGACGTACGTTGGTCCCCCTTCCGGCATTGACGGCGGACCGTTGTCTCGGTACGGGGCTGACAGCGGACGAGCGGTGCTATTGACGTTCGCGACCTGGCCCCCACAGGTGCGGCACTCTGCTCGTTGACCCGCCTTCGTCCTACGGTAGGTCTTTCGCCTCTGCCTTCCAGATCGCCTCGGACGCGTCGGTAGTGTCGAGATGGTACAGTAGTAGATCGCGGCCGTAATGTATGAATGTCTAATGCGAAGTGCGTGAGTCAAGAATAACAGAAGCTGGAATCGATCAAGAATTGAAAGGTGACATATCTATGACGCGTCGCGTCGGTCTAGCCTCCGGCCGGCTTTCTCTTCCACAAGAGGGGATGACTTCAGTCTTGACCTCAAGACCGTCCTAGCACCACGGTGTGTAGTACTGGTCAACGAGTGCGAACATCTCCACCGCGTTTGTCATCTCGTACGTGCCCGCCATGTCCCACCTCCGCGTGTCGATAACGTCCCACACACCCTCCGGTAGCTCCGCCGCGTTCTGCTTCAGAAGTCCGAGCGTTCCGCAGCTCGTCCTCCACATGTAGTGCGGTACGTCTTCCAGGCGCGGGTCGTCTGCAGGATCGAGTGCGAGTACCGTGGACATTGTTTGATGGTCCGCCCTGTAGAAGAAAAGCCGTAAGCGACTCGCCGCGACATGCTCCTTCAGAACGGTGCCATCAAGCTCGCGGATACAGTAAGAACCAGAGGGATACCGCTCGTGTACTATGTACGGCCCTGCCCAACGGAGCGCGCCCTTGTTACCGTGCTGCGCATCGAGCCACGTCTCATGGACAACGACCCATGTCCCGGGCGCGTAGTCGCCGAGCTCGATCTGCCGAGCGTACTTGCGCATGAAGTCGTCGATCGCCCGCTGTCGGCTTTGCCGGAGGTGCTCTGTCGCCTCCCCGAGCACCTTGTCGCGACGCTCGATCTGTTGTACGCGGATGGCGAGCAGGTCTTCGGTTGTCTTGACTTCGTCCCATGCGAGCCTGTACCACGTCCTGTCAGTAACATCAGGGGAAAAAAATCTGGCCCATTGCACACAGCCAAGACTACATGGACCACATAGGTCCCATAGCCACTGTAGATCTGAGTGGTGGCAATGTTGCACACCATTGCACAGGGTAGATACAAGTGACTGCCATAGTGCCACTATGTACTGGCTGGCAGTGGCTGCAATAGGGTTGCTCTACATAGCTTGCTCTTATACATACACTGTCAAATACATCCAATCCTTTGATTTCTTTCTGCTTCTGTTCTGTGCTGTGGGACTAAGCCAGATCTCACAAAATAGGACATTGCACACAGATGACATGACAAGATATATTTTCGGAATCCGTATCTAACAGTATACTATTGATTCGCGCACAGACGCACAGATGAGCGCGAAACGCGTCATGCGCGCTGTTCGCCTGTACATCCGCGAACCATCTCTCGTCACTGCGATGAACAGCAGCAACCTCGTGCACTGCAGCAGTCAGTGACTGTCGCGTCGAAGTGAGGGTAGGGCCTAGGCGGGACTGGATGACGCCGCGCTGTGCCCAAGGGCCGGGCAGACATTGAGTTCTGAAACAAGGTCAATGTCTGTGTTCAAGGACAACGGACGGCACTGACCAGCTCGTGTAGTACATCACATTCGATACATGGCGGCGCGGCGCGTGATTCTCGCAAGCTAGCCTTCCGCACGCTCGCGCGCGCGTTCAGGTGTCGGTTGGTGCTGACGCTAGCCAGCGCCGTCGGCGGGAAAGGGCGTAACAGGCCGGGAGAGGCTCTGGGAATACTGTTTGAACGGGAGAAACTGGAAGTGAGGAGGGCGGCATCACCGTCGCACTGGCTGCGCCAGGATATAGGGCGAGGTCGAAAAGACGACCGGTGGCGGTCGACAGATGTGTGAGCGAGATGATGCGGCGCGTAGAATCTTGACACTTACTCGCTGGACCCTCTGTTCACCACCGGCCTGCTCTCTCGACCTCATGCACGCCGTTCACTTGCGCTCGACCTTGCACACGTTGCACACGTGGCATGTGTTCGTTGGCCGTGCCTGCATTCTGAGCATTTGCAAGTGTTGTGTGGTGCTTACCAAGCTTTAAAGTGGGTGCGCGACGGGCCAGGAGGGTATGAGCGCGAGAGTAGAACGCGAGAGTGCGAGAGCAAGGGCAGGACGCAAGAGCGCGAGGCTGACGCGGCGCGAGCAGCGAGCGCGAAGTTTCAAGCGCTCAGGCCGGGATCTTCCGATGCGGGCCGCATGAGCAACTCGAGGCTCACCGGAACCTACAGGGGTGGGAAGTCCATCGAAAGCGCGCAAGGAGAGTGGTTTGCAGTCAGTGAGCTACAAGATCCAGGAGGCAGGGGGTGGTTGCCAGTGCATAGTTATTAAGTAGATTGACTTGGACTCGCGCGGCCCACGTCGGGAATTTCCGAAACAGGCGCTCATCTCGTCGCTCCATCTCCTGCAGTTACTACATCCTCTTCACAGTCGACAGTCGGACTCGTCGTCTGGTCATCGTCTCGCTCCCCTCTCCGCTGCTGAACACCTCCCTCCACGCCGCTATACCCTCCGTCCATAAGCACGCTGAGCGTGCAGTTTTCCGCACTCGACTCCTGCTTGACCTTCCTCCAGCTTCCACACGCCTTGACGGCCTCTCTGGCACGTCCGCGTCAAGCCCCGCCGCAATCCGTGATGGTGGCGCGTCCATACGCATCAAGCCCACTCAAGACTAAGCAGCCATGGCGGCGTCCTTTCTCGCATCACCGGTAGACGTGGACATCAAGCTCGAGGCCGAAAACGCGCGCAAGAAAGTGGACCTCAAGCTCGAGAAGGAGGACCTCAAGCTGAGAAGGAGCGCGCCGTGTCATGTTCGGTGTACTATGACGGCGACGCCATCACGGGGCAGGTGCGTCCACGCGTATCGCACACCCACTCACAGACATCTGACCGCGCGTCCTAGGTTACGGTATGTGTGCACGATGGGAAGCGGCTCGCGCATGAGGGTTTCAAGGTCACTGGTATTCATTGGCAGCATAGGTGCGTTGTGTCTCTCAGTCATCAAGGGAGCATGATGGCAAATGAGACTATCAGAGCTATACTACGACCGCAGGCGCCACGAGTTCCTCTCGTCGTCGCAGGAGCTCGCGGCCCCGGCGGAGATGCGTGCGGCACAGACGTTTGACTTCCTCTTCAAGAACGTGGAGAAGCAGCACGAGAGTTACTAGGGGATCAGTGTAAGCTCCGGTGCACTGTCTTCTGACCTCTGGGCTGATACGATGTGTTCCACAGATACCTCGTAGGCATGACGATGTCACGACGAACAGTGGACGTGACAAAGTAGGAGGAGCTATGGGTGCACTCCTTCCGCATGCCTCCCGACAGCAATTGAGGGGCTCTCCATCATTCCCCGCAAGACGACCGGCACCCTTCGAACCAGTACAACGAGAGCGAGGCCATCACCAAGTTCGAGTTCATGGACGACGGCGCACCCGTGCGAGGTGCGTCTGCTCGCTAATACACTGTGTTTATTTTCTGATGGGTGCTGACAGAGGAAACAATTCTGTTATGGTGTACCCAGGTGGGTACAGGTATGGGGTGAGCTCGACATACCCGTCGGCCCTAGGACTCCACAGTGGCGACGGCGAGCGTGGCAGTGATTAGTATACTGTATCCATGTAATAGTCTCTCAGAAATGATATCAATGACTGAACACAAAGTATGATGATCAGCTATGGTACAATAGCTGTATGTGTAATGAGCTATGTCATACAATGCCATCTGGGCTGAGTATCATATGTCACTATCTAGTAAGTCCTGGTGACTACAGTGTGCTACAGTGTGCTACAGACACTACAATGACAACTATGTGTAGCTGTGTATGAGGGGGTATGCTAAGACTGCAATGACTACTATGTAGACAATATTGGTCTACTTTGCAAACCTCTTTTTTCCTGATGAAGATCGAACGGGAACAAACAATGCTTGCCGTAGAGTAGGAAGTAGGGCGTAAACCCTGTTGCGCGAGATACAGTCGTCCTGATCGCCAACAGCGCAGCGCCGAGGTGTCGAGGCCACTGTTGAGGTTTGTCTCCGCTTGACCGAAGGAGGACCCGCATAAGCGTCTGGCCATCACGTTCCGCGATACCGTTCCCTTGAGGATGATACGGTGTGCTGAGTATTATCGCGACGCCGTGCTCTTCGAGCAATATTCGAACTGCTCCCTTGAACTCTGGTCCTCCGTCGCACCCGACTATGGGCAAGCAACCGAAACGACATATAATCATCCACAGAAAGTCAGCCCAAGTGCGCGAGTTGTTCTTTCTTACCGCCCATGCTTCGACCCACTTGCCAAGCGCATCTGATCCATGGAGTAGGTACCTCTCGCCGTGCTCCCCCTTTGGCATGTATACCGTGTCGAAGACCCATCGTCTAAGGATCGACGGTGCGAGCGTGATGCTGAGTGGCGTAATCGTGCGCGTCCGCGACCTATACTGGCAGCTGTTGCAAGATCGCACGAAGTACGCAATCTCGTCGTACATAGACGGCCAGTAGTACCTGTCTGCAAGCTTCGTATACGTCGGGTCACGGCCCCGATGTCCACAGTCGTTATGAGCCTCCGCAATCAACTCCCGTCGCCTACCTTCATCGAGCACCACTAACCGCGGCACATTACGCTTGCTGGTCTTCCACAGGCGGCCATCGTGCACAATGAAACCCTGAGCGCGTCGCTTCAAGTTCTTCAGTTCGTTTCGGTCCAGTACGCATCGTTCAGGAAGTGTCCCGTCACTTATGTACGTCCTGATTTCTTCGAACAGCTGGGTGGAAGACGTGTCAGCCCCTTTATGCTCGTGCGAAGCGCACCGAATATCATGCATGCCTGTTGGCGGCGGCATGTATGCATAACGCATTCTTGTCTCTTCCGGATGCGCGTCCCAGGTTGTGCTGCCGGCCTGCCAATGCGACCCATGTCGGCGGTTGGCCTTATCGACATGGTCTTGGATCGCGTCGAGTTGATCTGGGGTGGTTAGCTCGGAGATAATGTACGCTGGTCGATACTCAGTATACGCGAGCGTCACGACTTCGTCGCCTACGAGAAACTCAGCTTCCTGTTCGCGTGCGAAGCTACGCACCATGAATTCGTTGCCGATGTATGTCGCGTCGTCCTCGTTTCGCAGCAAACTCGGATGGAACGGGCTCATGTTGCCTGGTTCCTCGATTGGTGCCCAGTATTCCCGCCCAGTCCGTGGATTGTTCTGCGAGCTATCCCAGTTAGGTCTGCACTGAGGTATAGACGGAAAGAGACGATGATGATACGTATACCACCTTGGGTAGATGAAATCGATGATGTTCGCGTTGTGCGGCCGAGCGTTTCCACTTAGGACCGCGCTGCCGACGAGGTAGACCCACTCTGCTATACGGTTAGCCTTGTGCGACTCGAACTCACCCATGGCGGCGACCGTTGCCACTTGCGCGATTCCGTCTGTTGATATTTCGTAGTCGAACCCGACCTGGGCCGCTGCTGCTGTTGAGCGGTTTTGCTCAGCCATTGCGAGGGTGAACGCGTTGAAGTGTTTCAGGCGTGGTCGGCTGCTGACATGGCCTATATGGCGGTTGAGTTCTTCTTCTCCGTCGGATTCGCTAGAGTCCTCGTTTGCGGGTGGTCGACGTGATAGACCATCTTCAGCCTTGTGCTTCGCTGCAGGCACGTGATTCAGTTCGAAGTCAAACAGTTGTATGTACGATACCCATCGCGTCATTGGCGCGTTTGGCAGATCCGGCTCGTGTATCATCTGCTTGAGGTAGCTTGCATCGACGTCAAGCCGGAAATGAATGCCCCATATGCGGTGTCGGCATTCCTTGATCGCTCGAAACACGCCGTACAGCTCGGCTTTGGGCTGCGAGTATCTTGACTCGACTGCGTTGAACGTGCACGATCCGAATATAGCTGGATGCTTGTCAGTCTCGTTATATTGATAGATGACCCACCCTGCTCCGTGGATCGACGAGTCAACCGCGAGGACGACGAGTCCATGGTCCGATGTTCGTGGAGCCCGAACGATCGTCGCTGCAAGAGAGTAGTCGACCTTCCTAAGTACCGGAGCACGCGTGATCAGCGCTTTGAGTTCGTCCATAGCCTGGCGCTCTGCTTCACCAAACTCGAACGGAGCGTCAGTGATACGGCATAGAGCTGATAAGGGCTTAGCGATCAATGAAAAGTTCCTGATCCAACGACGCCCGACGCCTGCCGTGCCAAGGAACCCGCGGACTTCACTGACCGACTCGCAGTACGGCCATTTGATAATCTTGCTGACAAGACCGTGCTCAGGTTCCCAGCCGTTCGCGGATACTACTGAGCCAACGATCTGTACCCTTGGGGTGGCAAGAATAAGCTTCGCCCCCGAAGCCGTCACGCCAGCTTCGCGGAATCTGTGAAACAGCACATTCAGCGTATTTGCGAACTCGAAAATGAAGCGGCGGATATCTCGGTTGCCGTCTATTGGTTCGTCATTGTATCGTGACACAGGTCCTTTCACTCTGTTGTCGTCTACAAACACGTCAGCTAACAAGGGGTACATGGGACCGAGTACGTGCAATATCCAGCGCATGAAACACTGCATCGCGTTCGTGAATCCTTGAGGCATTGTCGCATTCCTGAGCGCGCCGCATACTGAGTGGAATGTCGTTAGATCGCGCGACCCTTCGTGTAGTCGGATACCGTTGTAGCCTGAAAACAAGTCAAGTATCGCGTATACCTGATGCCCAACGAAACTCTCAGCGAACTCATCCGCGCGGGGCGGCAGAGCCGAGTCACGGATCGTAACCGCGTTGAGGTCCTCGAGATTGATCACCATTCTCGGTTCCCCGTTCTTCTTTAGGACTGGGAAGGAAGCTGCTCGATATGAAGCAGTTGAGTGCTCATAGTTACCCGCATCAATCTGGTCTTGCACTACCGCGCGGACCTTGTCCTCGAGGGCCTTCGGTACTTTGATCGGCGGTCGCGTCCATGGCACGTGTTCTATAACGGGGATCTCATAGTCCGGGAAATACTTTGGTGAGAACGTACCTCGCTCCTCCTCAGTCCATGCGAGCGCTTGCTGATTGATGGCGAGAACATGTACCATGAGGTCGATTTCCGATTCTGTGAGAAATCCCTCCGGGATGGACCTGAGGATTGAATCTAGGCGCTCTCGAGTCAGCCGCTGCGTCGGCACGAATTGCGCGCGTGGTGATGGATTCGTTGGTAACGGAGGCGGTGTCGGGACTTCGATTGGAACAAGCTTCTGTGCAGACGGATTAGGCATATACGTGGGGACAGGTCTTACCTTGCGTGCGACTGGTTTGTATCGTCGCGCCGCGTTTGAGGAAGCTTCCTGTTGTCCGAGTGCTCGATCTGTCCAAGGTGAGTGAACTGGCTGCTTGCAATCGGACGAAGAGAGAGAAATGGAACGGAGAAGCGCGTCGAACGCGCGAGGCGGATTCAATTGAGCGAGCACATGCACGTTATCCGAGTCCAAGAACTTCCGATCGCCGGCTAAAGCCTGTAACGATCTTCTGAGCCTAGGTATCTCTAGGGACGCCTGCCCCGCAAACGAGGCTGGCTCGATGTAAGCGTCCCCTCCTAAAAATCCTCTGCAGCCTCCGCCGACTGGACCAATTTGTCCACGTTTCGGCGGTCTGATAGCCCTGCAATCCGAATTCTCATCGGCACATTGTCAATATCCCCGTCAGGGAAGACTACGAGATCCTGCCCCCCACCACGCGCATACTCGAGCCGCGACGAGAACCACTGCAACCACGGCTGTCCGAGTATCGCGTCATGCCTACCGAGTTCCTGCGGATGCACGAAGAAGTGGTGGTCGAACCTGACACCGTTCACCTCTACTGGCGCGTCTCTGCAACATCCAACCAGCGACACCGGAGCTCCGTGTATGCCTCTGAGCGTCCATCTCGACCCATCACCGTCTAGCTCGACCCCCGCTTGCTCGTACACCCGTTGCGCGATCAGGTTTAGTTCCGAGCCCGAGTCAATGAGGTATGTTACCGGCTCAGTCCCGAACTTGCCCTGTACGAGTCCGCATGCCATAGCGACGAATCGCCGTCGCCCAATCGCCAGTGCTGCTGCGTAGCTGTCGATAACTTGTGCGAGATGCTCCTCGTCGCGGATTGTAACCGACGCCGCTCCGACGGAACCAACATTGTCGTTAGCTGTTCTCGTGCCGTCGTCAGTGTCCTCTTCCTCGCTTACCTCTTCTACGATTGTCGCATTGACTTCGCGTCGAGTTTTTGTCATAGTCGCGAAACGCTTCTGCATCTCAGGCGACATTGCTATGAGCGTCTTGAGCGGGATCGTGAGCATCGTGTTGAGAGCCTTCTCCATGACTTGATCGGCTGATACCATGTCTTGTATGTCTGACGTAAAACGCACATGAGTCTTGTCTGATCGTGTCTGACCTACATGCTCGTTTGGGTATGTCTTCCGCTGCTGCTTCTTCTGCGCTTCACGGTCCCTCCATCCTTGTTCCGTGTTGACCTTCGGCGGGTCGGCCTTCGCGTCTTCAGCCGCCTTCGATTTGTCCTTCGTGAATCGCGTCGGCTCTGCAGGCTGTCGAACTTGCGTGGGAGGGGATGACTTACGAGTCGACCCGCCCTCTGGCTCATCAGCGCTAGAATGCTTGTAATCGAAACGTACCTTTCTAGGCTGACTCGGTGCGGCTACAGGCTGGTCCTGAGCTTTCCCTTGCGATCTAGTGACAGGAAACGAGTAAACGTCTTCGGATGATAAAGCGTAAACATCACCGCTTAGTACTGGCTCATCGTCATGTAACACCTCGATCGAACTGCACGACAAGTGTGGTGGCGTATCGCGTGCTTTCCCTTTGAGCTGATCGATCCGTTGCTGAATCAGCGTCGAAATGCCTCCCGGAATACCTCGTCCGTTCGGCAAGTCTGAGCCATCTGCAAACGTTAGCCTGCCTTGGGGGCTATACATGATCGTACCGTCTGCAATCCATTTCTTCGTGAAACCGCAGTGGCCCATCATCAGGAAAAACATTTGTGTCTTAAGTGGTCTTGTGGAGAGCCAAAAGTGACATTATGTGTCACTATGTGCCACAAGAGCCTTAAGGTAAGTCGATTTCTTAAATTGTCTTACTTAAGTTCCATTAAGTAACCAAAGTAAACACTCGTTCCAAGCAAGAATGATGTTTTTTCATCATTACTGGGGTGACTTCTCTCATGATTCTGCTGTGTTTGTGCATATGCTGTCATAACAGGCATCCCAGATGCAAAAATGTCGCCCAAAATAATCTGCCATTTCCCAGAATTGAACCCCTGACCTGCTAAACTAATTTCCCACACTCCCAGCACAAACTTGTGACCACTACACCATAGGTCCCTGTGCTTGTTCCCTTCTACAATAACCTATATTGACTATCTTTCTGGACTTAGAGAAATCTGCAATTGCTGCCCCCTGTTAGCCCAGCCCCTGTGCATCCCTGGGCTCTCAGACTGGCCTCATTTCTTCTTGGCACTATCTGTTGCCTTGCAGACCTTGTGTAGACTCATAATTTGCTCAAGGGCAGGCTTCTTGTCTCACTTTGCATGCTTAAGTGTTCTTTTGCTGTCTCTCAACCTTAACAGGTCAAATATGTCCAAATCCCTGACAATATGACTTTGACCACAGCATCTGTTGTAAGTAGGGTAATATACTCATAATCCCAGGGAAAAACAAATGATCTTTATTTGTACCCCATTACTGTTGCCAGATATAGTATGTGTTAACTTGTCAGGTGAAATCTTGGTGAAGTCTTCATATTGAGCAATCTGACATCTCATCATGCATATTTTTTAGTTAAGAGGTCATTTGCCAACTAATGTGTACTTATGTGTCTTAATCTGTAGAACTAAAGTTGCATATCTTCCAACTTGGGGACAAGACAAATTTCTCAAAGATACTATAGTTAACTTCAGCAGTCTTCATGCACATGGTGCACTTAATTGAGGAACACAAGTTGTGAAAGATTGAATGAGATCAGGTGTTCTTCATTCAAGACTGCTGAAGTTAGAAGTGTTTTTCCTGATGATGCCGATGCGATGATCCAGATCCTTACCTTCCTCTTTGTCGCACATGTAGCAACAACGTGGGGACTGCCCGAGCTGAGCCGCGTTGGCCGTAGCCTGCGATGTTGAGTTTACTGTCGCCTTCGCACGCCGCGCCGCTAGCAGCTTATCGAGCCGTTCTGCTAACTCATCGACGTCGTCCTTGTCTTTCGTACGCTTACCCTTCTTCTTACCCTTCTTCTTATCTGCCTTCTTGCTGACCTTCTTCTTCCGCTTCTTCTTCCTGTCGTCGTCGCTGTCACTGTCGGAGGAGTCAGCATCTGAGTCAGTCTCGTCGTCTGACGAGTCGCCGTCTTCGGACTCGTCACTAGACGAGTCCAGTGCGTCCTTGTGATAATCGTTATCAGTAAAATACTTGCGAACCTCGTTCGCGCACTGCTCGAAGGGCGCTGGCTCCTTGTGTGTGGGCGTCTTTCCCATCACCTTCTCGAGCTTCGGCACGATTGCCAGTCTGACGCGCGAGTTCAGTCCCCGGAAGAATAGATAATCATGCTCAGCTTCGGTGATCCCGCCGAGCTCAATTTGATTGCCCGCGCACTTGAGGAACCCATGAAGGTACTTGTAGTATCCGTCCAAGTTCCGGATCATATGCTTCTTCCTATACTTCTTGCTGAACGCTCGTAGCTTGTCAGCTGAACCTTGATCCTTTACCGTGCCTTCGCCGAAGCAGAAGACCATTCGTTCCTTGGCTTTCGCCCAATCACTACCTGCAAACTGGGTCATGCACGATAGCATAGCACTTACGTCCTCGGTGCAATATTCCAGCACCATACGGCATTTCTCGCCGTCCGAGAGCATTGCGGCGTTCGCGAGGTTCTCGAATACATTGAGGAAGCTCCGGAGACGCTTGCCGTCAAACCGGGGCGAATATTTCGAAGTTGGTGGTGGCATCGCGATACGAGACGGTGGTGGTGCGATCAAAACGGTTGAGTCGGACATTGCTCCTGGCGCTGACATGTCTGCTGATTGTTTGTCAGTAGGATTCTGGTACTGGGATATAGGGGAAACCGCGGGAGTAAACACCGGTGTGAATGGTGTTTTCGGGGTAGTTGGCGTGACTGAGCCTGAGGGGAACGAGGAGAGTGAGGTAGACGAGAAAGTGCTTAGCGGGGTGAGTACGTCTGCGGATGACGTAGGGAGAACCGAGATATCTAGTTCCTGATCGACGTCCTTGTCGATCTTAGGGTTCTTCTGTAGTTGCTTGCCTTTCCTGGATGCTGCTTGTTCTAGCGAAACGTCAGTAGCCAATCGAGTAGTACGGCGGAGTTCTGGGCGTCCTCGAGATGGTTCGCCTGTGTTGGGCCGCGGTGCGCTGGTCGCGCTTTTCGGTTCTTTCTTGGGCGCCGTCCTGAAATAGAACAATTAGCGCACCCGAGACTCTGCACACGTACCAGTGTGCAATGAAAAACCCCCTGCGGTGGTCACCACTTGTCGGAGAGAGAACGTGCGCGTCGACGACCAACACACACACAATACGATCTCCTGGAGCAGGCGTTTGGAGCGAGTCGAGATACGGGTGATCGGGCTGGTGACTGGACGACGGGCGAGGATCTGTGTAGGGTAATAGGGCCGCGCAGAATATAAACGGATACTTATCTTATCTTCTCGACTACTCGACTAACTCGACTTGAGGTGCACGCGCGACGTCGAGTCGCTCGTCCGTGCCGAACCTTGAAGTGCGCGTGAGCGAGAGGGGAGAAGCTGGGGGATCTGATAACTGGCGAGAACGGGCGACGCAGCCCTCTACAAATACAGTGCGAGACCGAAGCACCAGAGAAGTGTAAAAAACTAGGAGAGAGCGTTGGACACAGAAGGAACGCGTGACTGGTTCGAATGGAAACGTGATATGTGAAGTACCAGCGATCGACTGCCGGATTGGGAAAGAATAATACCTAATTTGGATGTACCGTATGGAACGAATCTGGAGCACCCGCCCGGGTGTCGACGTACGTTGGTCCCCCTTCCGGCATTGACGGCGGACCGTTGTCTCGGTACGGGGCTGACAGCGGACGAGCGGTGCTATTGACGTTCGCGACCTGGCCCCCACAGGTGCGGCACTCTGCTCGTCGACCCGCCTTCGTCCTACGGTAGGTCTTTCGCCTCTGCCTTCCAGATCGCCTCGGACGCGTCGGTAGTGTCGAGATGGTACAGTAGTAGATCGCGGCCGTAATGTATGAATGTCTAATGCGAAGTGCGTGAGTCAAGAATAACAGAAGCTGGAATCGATCAAGAATTGAAAGGTGACATATCTATGACGCGTCGCGTCGGTCTAGCCTCCGGCCGGCTTTCTCTTCCACAACGGGTCTCAATGGTATAGCGTGAGTTCCCTTCCACATGTGTAGGAGACGAACGAAGCCCGCTTATGAATTTGACCTCAGAACTATCACGGCGGTCATGCGCGTACTCTCACTGTTGAACTTCCGAGTTTTCAGTGTTCTTATCTTATCAGTTATGTACGGATATGGACTTATATTCTGCGATGTCAGATTACATACGTTCTTTGATGGACTTTGCCTAGATCACATCATGTGACTTTAGTCTGGATCATTCCATGATATTCCACGACATTCCTTGATGTTCCATGACGTTCCATATCATTCCTTGATGTCCCATCACGTCTTATATTACTCTTTGATGTTCCATCATGTCTCATATTATTCCTGATGTTCCATCACGTTTCATATATCTCTCCACATCAAACTCCGAGTTTTGGCTTACTCATGCTGCTTATCAGCTTACTCATATCCCCAAAACCTCGGACTTAGTGCTTACTGATGAACCACTGATACAGCATGTGACCTGTATCAAATGTGTATATATACTGGGCTGGTTTGCCCTGTAATGATAACGATCCTTCGTCCTCTCCTCTGCCTGCCAGCATAGGATCTTCCCTTTGGGACTGGTCTGTTCACTCACTCATTAGTCCTTCACTGCCACTGGGCTTACTAAGCCTAAAACCTCTTTCTTCAACAGGTTATGAGCCCTGCGCTCTGATTCTTTGATCACCTGCATCCCTCTTTGCGCGCTCTAAAGCCCAACTCTTGAAAGAGTGAGTTGGCAATTCTTGTCCTTTGTTGGACTATTTTTAAGTCGCTGCGTGACATAGTGCCAAAGGCCTTGTCTGAGCGCATCTCTAGGGCAGCCCGAAAAGGCAATTACGAAATTTATCATCCGTCTCGTCGTGAGAGAAACGACGTTGACGAAGACGACTCTAACGTCATCGCCGTACGTCATCGGCATTTGTATGGTCATCTACCCGTCCGTCGCCAGATCGACATTATCCTCGCTCCTACCCCTCGTCGTCGCCGCCAAGCCTCTGGCCGCGTAGACACGTCCATTCCTCCCAAGGAGTCCTGCCGCACCTCGCCGGAGCAGCACCTCTTGTATTTGCAGAAGAAAGCGGACGTTGCCGAAGCTCTCGCCGAGACTCGCCGAGCCGAACTCGCTGCTGCTCGTGCCGCTAGTGCCGCTGCTGCCGAGACCAAGGCTTCGCTCATTGAGCGTCTTAGCGGAGAAACTCCCATCGTTCCCACGGCTCTAAAGCCTATCTTCCTGTCCGACTTCCGCAAGAAGTCAACCGCTGACAAAGTCGAAATCCTGTGCAAGCGTCTCCTTGCCGTCCAGAAGCGCCTTCAGCCCCTCTATCGCCACCGTAACCGCCTCTACGCCCGTCTTCCCTTGTTGGATAACTTGGACGATTTTGGCAGGCGTTTCAACTGGGTGCTGACGAATATCGAGGAGGAAGGAACCACGTGGTCTGCAGTCGAATTGAACGACATCTGTTCTGTCTGCGAGCTGATTGCGAAGATTTCCTTCATAAATCTTAGCCAGAATTTCGGCCGCATTATCAAGGACATAGGGGACTTGTACAAGAACAACTACTTGTACTGGGTAGATAAGCGATTGTAGTCGCATTTTTTCTGTATATCTTCGTCCCTAGAATTTAAGCATCACATTGTGGCTTCGTCTCAAGAAGAGACATTTGACCGAGACTCAAATAGTGAAGCATCGAACGGAGTAATTCCACCGTACGATTGCACCGACCATCATCATCTCTACGACTACGAGGAGAACTTCGATTATCATTTTGACGTCGAAGAAGATCAGTGGATCAACTGCGACGACGCTAGTTGCTCACATCGCTACGATCAACCTCTAGGTCCAGTTCCAGAAGGATTTTCAACTGGAATATCGGTCACTCCTTGGCAGGAGAATTTCCTATTTGCTAGTGAATTTTCGGAGTTACCTCCATATCCTGAACACTTAGTCCCGCTCCCTGAGTCGAGACCTCAATCTCCATTCTTCGAGGAATTACCCTTCGAAGTTTTTACTCCAGAACTACCATCCGTCTCACAAGACGAATTTATCCTCCTATCCGCAACCATGGGTGACGTCAAGCCTGACAATGTCCCCAAGCTTTCCTCAGCGTCCCAATACGCTGATTGGTCAGCCGCCATGCGCGGCTATTTGGTTTTTATCCAAGCCTGGCCCGCCGTTACTGCAACTGGCACACCCGCAGCGGACTTCGCCACTCAGAATGCCCGTGCCCAGGGTGTTCTATTTATGAGAACCGATCGCTCGATGCATCATCTGCTCGAGAAAGACACCGGTGATCTCAAGGATGCGAAGGACATGTGGAACTCGCTCAAAACCGCTTTTGGCACCCCCGACACGGCATACGTCTGGTCTCTCTTCCAGTCGTTAATCAAATCTCCGGAAATGTCTGACTCCAAGCCAATGCAGGATCAGATCAACAAGCTGGTTACCCGGCTTAAGGAGATTAGTGGTGGCGGAATTACGCTCGGTGACTCGACTCAGGCTCTTCTCCTTCTGTCGAAGCTGCCAGAGTCATACCAGTCGATGATCTCTGCGCTCCTGGCGACGCAGACCCTCAAAGATCTAAAGGTCGACTCGGTCCAGAGCAAAATTCTTGCCGAGGAATCACTTCGCCGGTCCGGTATGGGACAGTCTGCGTCTAAGACGTCCCAGGTCAAGCATAAATCCAAGGACCCCTGCGATCACTGCGGTGGGGCCCATGGTAGCGAGAATTGTTGGTCCAAGTACCCGCATCTCCGCCCTCAGAATAAAGGTGGCGGAAAGGGGAAGAACAACAAGGGCAAGGGCAAGGGCAAAGGAAAGGGAAAGAACGGAGGAAATGGTCAATCTAGTTCTGGTACTTCTAACACTGCATCTGCGTCGGACTCTTCGAATGTTGTAACTGTAGAATCCTCCTCATCGTCTGCAAATACTATGACTGCTTCTTGGTATACTGCGGCTAACACCGCGTCAGGAAGAACGACTGATTGGATTATGGATTCTGGTGCATCCAAGACGATCACCAACGACATGGCTGATTTTTGGGATTACACTCCTTACGAGGAGCCCATGATTTTTAGCACAGCCGGCAAGAGTAAGATTGCAGCTTACGGTGAAGGCACTATCAAAGGCGTTGTGCATGTTGAAGGGAAACATATTGTGTCGACTATCACCAATGTCGCATATATCCCTGCCGCGTCTAGTCGCCTATTTTCAACTGGAGTTATTGAACGTTCAGGTTTCACCCTTGTTCAAGGTGGAGGCCGTATGGTCATTTTTGACCAACCTATTTTGCATGGTTCTGACCGAATCCGTGGTAACAAGATCATGGAGGCGCATCACACGCCCTTCAACAATCTCTATATGTTGCACATGGAAATTATGAAACCGCAATTGGCTAAGTCTGCGGACAAGTCAAATTTTCGCCTTTGGCATCAACGCTTCGGACATTCGTCTGAAGAAGTTATCCGTCAACTACCCAAGCACACCAAAGGTGTGGATTCTATCGGTGACAAGGACAAGTCTCCTTGTGCAGGTTGTCAATGGGGCAAGTCTCATCGTGCTCCATTTCCCGCGTCGGACAAGAGAGCTTCAAAACCTCTTGAAATTGTTCATACCGACGAAGATGGTCCTATGCGTACCACCGCTATTGGTGGATGGCGCTACTTCATCAGCTTTCTCGACGACTACTCCGGTCTTGGCCGCGCCTATTTCCTCAAACATAAGAATGATTCGACCCAAGCGTTCGATGATTTCAAGGCATGGGCTGAGAACCAAACTGACGAGAAAATCAAAGCTGTACGCTCGGATCGAGGGGGAGAATATACCTCTGCAGAATTTACCGAACATTTGCGCAAATTTGGCATTGAACATCAGAAGACGATGCCATACTCTCCTCAACAGAATGGGAGAGCTGAGCGCTGGAATCGGACCATTCTCGAGAAGGCTATGTCTATGCTTCATCATGCTGGACTAAGCCATGGTTTCTGGCAATTGGCTGTTGACGCTGCGGTTCACATTTATAATCGGCAACCAATGCGACGCCTTAACTGGCAATGCCCCATTACTCTCTGGGATAGCACAGTCCCGGACATTTCGTATTTTAGGGTATTTGGGTGCAAGGCATATGTGCATGTGCAGAAGGAACAAAGAGCTGGGAAGCTCAACAAGAAGGCTGTCGAGATGATCTTTGTTGGCTATGAGTTAGGTTCCAAAGGGTATCGTTTCTGGAACCCGGCCACTCGAAGTATCGTTGTGTCTCGTGATGTGACCTTCGATGAAGAGACATTTCCTGCACGTAAAGATTTAGGCAATAATCCGAAATCCCTGGATAAGCCGTTTGATGAACCTCCTGAGGATGCGAACTCGGAGGATTCTGATTCTGAGGATTTACCTATTCCTGTTCCTATCCCAGAACATGAACCTGAACCTGAAGACCATCCAGAGCCAGTGGGAGACATTCCACAACCGCAACCTGATCCTGTACCTCCTCCGCAACCTCAGTACGAACGTCCACGTCGTCAAGGTGCTGGACAAAATCCTAAGAGGAACAAGGACAATGCCTATGGTGACGAGCCACCTGCGAATATTGATCGTCGTACCGATGCTCAAGGTCGTCAACAATCTGAGGCTGAAACTCTCATGTTTGTGCGGATGCTAGCAGAAGCAAACCATGGCGTTCCCCAGAGTCACAGGGAAGCTATGGAGTCTCAAGACAAGGCTAAATGGCATGCATCTGAAGGTTCTGAATACAAGTCGCTTATGGACAACAAGACTTGGGTTCTAGTTCCACGGCCTAAAAACCGAAAGGTTATCAAGTGCCGGTGGGTTTATGCGATTAAACACGATGGTCGCTACAAAGCGCGTGTTGTTGCAAAGGGATTTACCCAAGTATGGGGTCAAGACTATACCGAGACTTTTTCTCCTGTTGCACGGTTTGAATCCGTACGCTATCTATTGGCGCATGCAGCACTTGAAGATTGGGAGATTGAGTCTATGGATGTCAAGACGGCATTCCTTAACGGTGACCTTGACGAGGAAATCTACATGGAACAGCCCGAAGGATGGGCTGTACCTGGGAAGGAGAACTGGGTCTGTCTGCTCAAGAAGGCCATTTATGGCTTGAAGCAAGCGTCTCGTCAATGGAACGCTAAGATCCACAAGTCTCTCCTTGACTTAGGGTTTAAACGGACGTATTCGGATGCCGGAATTTATGTCTTCTCTCGTGAATCTGAAGGACACACCTGCTTAATCATATTGTATGTCGACGACTTGCTCCTCATGGGCGACTCGAAATTGTTCATCGACAACATCAAGCAGAGACTGTCTTTGGAATACCAGATGACTGATCTGGGAGCTGTCCAGCGTTTCCTTGGTCTACACATTCGTCGAGAACGTCTTGCACGTCGTATCTTCGTTGACCAGGAAGACTATATTCAGTCTGTTTTGGAGAGGTTCCAAATGTCCAACTGCAAGTCTGCAAGGACGCCTCTTCCCGCTGGAGCAGTATTAGAGAAGAACACCGACACTGCATCTGAAATTTTCCGAACCCGTTACCAGAGCATCATTGGCAGCATCATGTATGCTATGCTTGGTACTCGCCCAGACATCTCGTTCGCGGTCACGCGTCTGGCGAAGTTTTCTTCAAATCCGTCTAAAGAGCATATGAAGTTTGCGTACTATGTCCTGAGATATCTTCAAGGGACAAAGGAACTTGCACTTTGCTACGATGGAGGCTCAAACTCTGGTCTGATCGCCTACTCAGACTCAGACTGGGCTGAAGACCGTGATGATAGGCACTCTACATCTGGCTTTGTTTTCCTCATGGGCAATTGTGTCGTTTCTTGGGTGTCAAGACGCCAACCAACGGTATCTTTGTCTTCAACCGAAGCAGAGTATAAGGCCAGCTCCGACTGCTGTCGTCAGATGGCTTGGCTGCGTCATTTTGGAGAAGAACTGGGAGACAACATGTCTCATCCAACTCCACTTTGTCTTGACAACCAAGGCAACATTTTCCTTGCGGTGAACCCCGCTGTGGATCGCCGCACCAAGCACATAGAAATCCGGTATCACTACATTCGAGAGTTCTACGAACGTGGGGAGATGGACATCTATTTTGTCGCAAGTGAAGACCAACTTGCTGATGCCTTGACCAAGAATGTTCCCTTCAGCGGAATCGAGAAATTCAGGTCTTCGGTTGGCATGATGAGATACTCGACATCTTGAACAAGTGGGAGTGTTGAACTTCCGAGTTTTCAGTGTTCTTATCTTATCAGTTATGTACGGATATGGACTTATATTCTGCGATGTCAGATTACATACGTTCTTTGATGGACTTTGCCTAGATCACATCATGTGACTTTAGTCTGGATCATTCCATGATATTCCACGACATTCCTTGATGTTCCATGACGTTCCATATCATTCCTTGATGTCCCATCACGTCTTATATTACTCTTTGATGTTCCATCATGTCTCATATTATTCCTGATGTTCCATCACGTTTCATATATCTCTCCACATCAAACTCCGAGTTTTGGCTTACTCATGCTGCTTATCAGCTTACTCATATCCCCAAAACCTCGGACTTAGTGCTTACTGATGAACCACTGATACAGCATGTGACCTGTATCAAATGTGTATATATACTGGGCTGGTTTGCCCTGTAATGATAACGATCCTTCGTCCTCTCCTCTGCCTGCCAGCATAGGATCTTCCCTTTGGGACTGGTCTGTTCACTCACTCATTAGTCCTTCACTGCCACTGGGCTTACTAAGCCTAAAACCTCTTTCTTCAACACTCACTGGCCAGGGAGATGCTCTGTCGTCTCCGCGATCAATGTAGACGGTAGTATAGAAGCATGGCCTCCGCTTCCTGATTCCTCAGACCTTGGGAGCTATCTTGGGCTCCTCTAATTGCTTCACATTCGGGAACGCGCGGAATGAGGCACTGTCCGAGCGGTGCCTGAGGCATGCAAGAACCTTGGGCCACGAGATGGTCCAAACCCTCTGCAGGTGCCACTGGTGAGCTCAATGCGTCGTTGATGTGTTATGGTCTTTATGACAGGACTTGACATTGAATTTCGTTTCATTGGCAGATGTACCCACTAGCGGCGTCCTATATGCCTCGTGAGAGGCGCAGCAGCATCTTTGCTTCTTTGATATGATCATGATGCTGCACGTTCAGTGCTGTATCATAGTACGAGGCAACTTATAAGCTAGGATGCCTCTCATACGCCGAAACAGGTGATCTCCATACTCACCTTTGGTCTCTGTAGAGCAGTGGACTGACTCAAGAAGTCGCTATCGATGATTTTGCTCCTGACACGGGTAGTTGTTGTTGAGAACTGCCACAACCCATCTCCCGTCATAAATACGCCGCCTTTTGTTAATCAGCTCTTTGAGAACGTATATCTACTATCTCTCTGATCGTTGGCAACGTAGACGACCGCCCTCTCTCGCGTTCAAGTTGGCCATTGCGCCCGATCAGCTGGTTGTAAGTCGATTGACTATGGGTTCTTTCAGGTACTGAAGCGCAACGCAGACGATGTCGAGTTCATGGGCTCCAAACGAAACGCACTATCAGATGGACATGGAGAAGATATGGCTTCAAGCAAGCATCATGGAAACCCTGCCTTACGGCGTTGAGCTAACGCTCTTCGCCATGTGCGCCATCACCCTACTTCAGAACCTGGACCGGTCCAACTTGAGGCGACAACTTTACCTGTTGACGTTCATCACAGTCATTTTCGGATTGGGAACGGTCTTCATGATCACGGACTCTTTGCTCACCCAGCAACATCAGGAAAAACACTTCTAACTTCAGCAGTCTTGAATGAAGAACACCTGATCTTATTCAATCTTTCACAACTTGTGTTCCTCAATTAAGTGCACCATGTGCATGAAGACTGCTGAAGTTCATTATAGTACCTTTGAGAAATTTGTCTTGTGCCCAAGTTGGAAGATATGCAACTTTAGTTCTGCAGATTAAGACACATAAGTACACCTTAGTTGGAAAATGACCTCTTAACTAGAAAATATGCATGATGAGATGTCAGATTGCTCAATATGAAGACTTCACCAAGATTTCACCTGACAAGTTAACACATACTATATCTGGCAACAGTAATGGGGTACAAATAAAGATTATTTGTTTTTCCCTGTGATTATGAGTATATTACCCTACTTACAACAGATGCTGTGGTCAAAGTCATATTGTCAGGGATTTGGACATATTTGACCTGTTAAGGTTGAGAGACAGCAAAAGAACACTTAAGCATGCAAAGTGAGACAAGAAGCCTGCCCTTGAGCAAATTATGAGTCTACACAATGTCTGCAAGGCAACAGATAGTGCCAAGAAGAAATGAGGCCAGTCTGAGAGCCCAGGGATGCACAGGGGCTGGGCTAACAGGGGGCAGCAATTGCAGATTTCTCTAAGTCCAGAAAGATAGTCAATATAGGTTATTGTAGAAGGGAACAAGCACAGGGACCTATGGTGTAGTGGTCACAAGTTTGTGCTGAGAGTGTGGGAAATTAGTTCAGCAGGTCAGGGGTTCAATTCTAGGAAATGGCAGATTATTTTGGGCGACATTTTTGCATCTGGGATGCCTGTTATGACAGCATATGCACAAACACAGCAGAATCATGAGAGAAGTCACCCCAGTAATGATGAAAAAACATCATTCTTGCTTGGAATGAGTGTTTACTTTGGTTACTTAATGGAACTTAAGTAAGACAATTTAAGAAATCGACTTACCTTAAGGCTCTTGTGGCACATAGTGACACATAATGTCACTTTTGGCTCTCCACAAGACCACTTAAGACACGAACGTTTTTCCTGATGAAGCCTTCATCGAATACCGAAACTTCCCGGGAGGACCGGGCGCGTTCTTAAGCGCCATGTTTTCCGACACCGTCGGATTGGTGAACAGCGTGTCTTGGGTAGTGAGTAATTGGCTCCTGGACTTATTCTTGGTAGGTCGTTTTTCCTCCGCTCTTCGACGAGACTGAACAGCTCCGGATGCAGATCTGGAGATTCCTCATCATCTACGGAGACTTCAACCGGTCATGGCTGCGGGTGCTGCTACTGTTTCCCGGTATCATGGTTTTGACGTCAATCGGTATGTGGATACACAAGTGTGTTCTATATGTCCCATTCACCTTGCCTTTGCGTCTCGCAGGCATTTCCATTGTCGTCCTCAAGGACATGGCCCAAGCCAATGACTCATCGAACTCCACACCATTCGTAGTTGCGAACCTCACTCTTTCGTTCTACGTGATCTCGCTTGCAGCGAACATCATCGTGACGATCTTGATTGCGGGCCGTCTGCTTGTCTATCGACACCACGTGAAGAACGTTCTCGGCGCGCACCACGCAAACTTCTACGCCAACGTCGTGGCGATCTTCGTCGAATCTGCGGTGCTTTACTCGGTCTTCGCGTTGACATTCCTCATTACATTCGGGTTGAACAATCAAGTCTCCGACTTTTTTCTCAACTACGTGAACAACATCCAGGTATGTTCTGAACCTGGTACCTCTGACGAAAGTGCTCAGTGCAGCTTTGCGTACGGTGACTGCTAGGCGATCAGTTCTTTCCTCATCATATATCGAGTTGCGACGGGGAAAGCATGGACCGAACACACCACCGACGTGCAGATCATGGGAAGTACCCGCAGCAACTCAATCAAGCTAAGGCCCCCCACGAGCATTCAATTTGCTCACAACACCTCTGCGGACATCACAGACTCGATGCAGATCTCGAGCAAAGATTTGGGTATCGTGATTTCAGCAAAAATTGAGCAAGATAAAAGAGGTGATCACAATGTGTAGTGGGGTCTATATTTACGGTACATACGTACCCCAATCTTGGCCGATGTCACTGTTCCAGGGTGTACGTGTGTAATCTTTCAAAGGCTTGGAATGTGTTTGCCATAAGCTACTAGTACGGTTTACTTACATACTTTGCCAAAGCACAGTAGTCATCAGGAAGTACATGGTGTAGGAATATGTATTTTGAGCAACGTCTACAGCACCTATTTTCCGGTTCAATACACAGGTCAACTGCACCACTGCGATACAAGAGCCTGAGTCGTGTGTCTTCACGATGCGCCCGCTGTCGACTTTGTTTGCAGTGACTAGACAAGCGGGAAAAGATTTGCTATGCTCCAGTGAGGAACAAATTGAGGTCGAATATCTGGCCGCGGATTTGCCGGGTCGGTGAGGACAGGTGTCAGGGAGACGGAGGATCTCGATTCTCGAACAGCCGCGGACCACGCTCGAGGTACTGCATCGAAGACACGTCCTACGTGAACAACAGACCGGACTCGGGCCGGGCACACCATTCTGGATACGATGCAGGTGGATACAGTCCAAACGGGAGGCTGACTCCAGACAAGACGTTCTGCCAATCACCGAGTTTCAGGGGACGGGGCGTGGGCTCTGGATGCGGAGGGCGCGCATGGGTGTGTTGATCACAGCAGTGGAGGGACCCAGATGGCGTCACCACAATCGTCAGGAAGGCAACCGAGCGCAAGACTCGCCCGGACCATGAGCGGGATCCACTTGTCCACCGCTCACCACGCGCCATTCGCACCCAGGCCGGGCTAACCGAGCCGTACGACATCGCAAATGTACCAATAGCCACAGTGTGGAAGAGAAAGCCGGCCGGAGGCTAGACCGACGCGACGCGTCATAGATATGTCACCTTTCAATTCTTGATCGATTCAAGCTTCTGTTATTCTTGACTCACGCACTTCGCATTAGACATTCATACATTACGACCGCGATCTACTACTGTACCATCTCGACACTACCGACGCGTCCGAGGCGCTCTGGAAGGCAGAGGCGAAAGACCTACCGTAGGACGAAGGCGGGTCGACGAGTAGAGTGCCGCACCTGTGGGGGCCAGGTCGCGAACGTCAATAGCACCGCTCGTCCGCTGTCAGCCCCGCACCGAGACAACGGTCCGCCGTCGATGCCGGAAGGGGGACCAACGTACGTCGACACCCGGGCGGGTGCTCCTGATTCGTTCCATACGGTACATCCATATTAGGTATTATTCCTTCCCGATTCGGCAGTCGACCGTTGGTACTTCACACATCACGTTTCCATTCGAACCAGTCACGCGTTTCTTCTATGTCCACTGCTCTCTCCTAGTTTTTTACCCTTCTCTCGTGCTTCGGTCTGGCACTGTATTTGTAGAGGGCCGCGTCGCCCGTTCTCGCCAGTTATCAGATCCCCCAGCTTCTCCCCTCTCGCTCACGCGCACTTCAAGGTTCGGCACGGACGAGCGACTCGACGTCGCGCGTGCACCTCAAGTCGAGTTAGTCGAGTAGTCGAGAAGATAAGATAAGTATTCGTTTATATTCCGCGCGGCCCCATTACTCTACACAGATCCTCGCCCGTCGTCCAGTCCCCAGCCCGATCGCCCGTATCTCGACTCGCCCCAAACGCCTGCTCCAGGAGATCGTGTTGTGTGTGTTGGTCGTCGACGCGCACGCTTTCTCTCCGACAACGGAAGGGTTGCCCTCGAGCTCCTCGGAAACAGGATCCCGAAGTGACATCTGAGAGGTAAGGTAAGGCCGGTCAAACAAAGCAATATGCGCAGGTAGTCAATACACTCGCTCACGTCGAAATATGCCCGCTGTGCGAGCGAATAGCAGGCGTATTCTGGACTGCGCGCAGGAGGCCGCCGAGAAATCGAGCAGTTTGCGGAGATTAGCGAGAGCGGATTCGAAGTTTGAGAGCGATATATCCGAGTAGATCGGCCAGGCTATGTGGACAAGAATCAGTATCAACGGTACCCGAAGGTGAGCGAATGTTAGAAGTGCGCAGCAAGATAGAGACTATGCGTGGCCCTCCGTACCAATTTTGCACCCAAGCCGAATTGTAACTTGGTAGGCGAGAACGTCATCTTCAAGCACGGTGAACATGGCCATCTCCACGACAGCCATGTCTAGGCCCTTCGACTCCAGCGCCATCTTGCCTTCGCTGTTTGATAGGCTGCGTACACGGGTTTTCTGACAAACATGTAACTTAGATGTTCTCGAATTGTGAGCCATGTAAGAATCGCACCGTAATGTGGAAGTACCCGTGACGAGGACGACCCACCTCGGCTCTCCGTCACCTCCTACACCGGCTCGCACAGCACGAAGCCCTTCCCGTAGTGCCCCAGCCCGCCCCAGCCACCACTGTGAGACCGACAGGAGTTGGATCTAGTTGATTGCAAGGGCATCGCGCAGCGCATGTGATGGGGCCGCCGTACCGACTCGGGACTCCTCCAGACCATGCGACGTCGGCGGGACCTCCGCGTTCAGGTCGCATGGGACTCGGATGGGCCAGCTCGGGGTGCGTCTTCGTGTTGATGCGTAGCTGCGGGATGTTGAGAGGCCCGTTTCGACGTTGTTGCTGCCGTGTGACCTCGAACGTCTGACACTACTCTGCCGGTAAGTTATTTATGATGTGGCAGCTCCTTCCGGGCGAATGGAAACGGTGGATTGATTTCGCCTTTCAGGCTGACCTTGAATTGGCACTCCATGCTCGTCAGCGGTGCCTCTCGCAGTATGTTGGAACCTTCGTTTGACCTTCGCTGCAAGTAACGACAATGGCGGAGGAGGAGGGAGAGGATCAATCTAGTCACTGAGCGACGCGGTAGCGTCCAGCGGCGAGCGCAGCCTGAGCGTTTGGTGCTAGCGGCCTGTGTGACATATAAGTAGTGTGACGGATTTAAGTACTACTGAGTGTCACTGTGACAGTACTAGTAGTAGGATGGTCCCGTACATCCGAGTCAATTTGACGTTGAACGTTGAACGTCCTCCTCCCATCCAATCTCGCGCTCGCGCGGTTCCTGCAACCAGGACTCGGAGGAAGTGAAATTGATAGGTGGTGTATCGTATAGCGCAATGAGCCGACATCTCTGACAAGAGCAGCATACCGGGAGGTACTAGCCGCTCATCTCTGTCGGCGCGGAAAACATATTCCAAACATCCCGATAGTAGTACATACATCTTGTGACTGAACCAGCCACACGCTCGCGATGAATTTCGGCCGCTACTATACACTGTAGTTATCTGTTTTGTTTTGCCCGGCTTCCTCCGAGATGATGATACCCATCTCCTTCCGCGAAGTTGGCATCGAGTCCGTAATGTCCGTAGATGCATTCGGAGCGAACTGAATGCTCGTGGCGGGCTTGAGCCTGACTACATTGCTTTGCGTACTGTCCATGATCCGCGTGGTGGTGTCTTCGGTCCAAGCTTTCCCCGTCGCGACACGGAATATGATGAGGAAGGAACAGATCGCCTAGTGGCAACCATTACGAATCCCAACGATGCACTCAGCACCAATATCACAGAGGTCTAGGCACAAACACACACCTGGACGGAGTTCACATAATTGATGAAGAAGTCGGCAACGGGATTGTTCATCCCGAAAGTGATGAGGAAGGTGAGGGCGAAGGCGGAGTAGAGCACCGCTGATTCCACGAGGATGGTCGCGATGTTGGCATAGAATGTCGCGTGGTGCGCCCCGAGAACGCTCTGTATACGGTGTCGATAGACGAGCAGACGACCCGCAATCAGAATCGTCACAATGATATTCGCCGCAAGCGAGATGACGTAGAACGAGAGTGTGATGTTCGCAACTAGGAAGGGTGTGGAGTTCGACGAGCCGTCGGCTTGGGCAATGCTCTTGAGGACGTCAATGGACATGCCTGAAAATAGAAAGGCAAGTAGGTGAGTGACTGATATAAATTGTGCCGTTCATCCACGTACCAATGGACGTACAGACCATAAGGCCGGGAAAACATAACAGTATCCGCATCCATGACCGATTAAAGTCTCTGTAGATGACGAGAAATCGCCAAACCTACGTCCGAAGCCGTTCAGCGCCATAAAAGGGTCGGACTAAATGACATACCAAGAACATGTCGAGGAGCCAGTTGCTTACTACCCAAGACACACTGTTCGTCAATCCGACAGTGTTAGCGAACATGGCGCTTAGGTACGCCGAAGGCCCTCCGGGGTAGTTGCGGTATTCGATGAAGGCTTGCTGAGCGGTCAGGGAATTCGTAACCATGTAGACCGTCCCCAATCCGAAAACAATGGTGATGAACGTGAGGAGAAATATCTGTCGCCTCAGATTGAACCGATTGAGGTTCTCGAGCAGGGTGACGAAGCACATGACGAAGAGCGTAAGCTCAACGCCGTAGGGTATGTTCTCCAGGATCATCGCCTGTAGCCATATCTTCTCATTATAGATCTCGGAGTCCGTTTGGTTGGGTGCCCACGAGCTCGACATTGTCTGTATTGCAGTTAAGTACCTGCGATACTGTGTGGCAGAGAATTGACTCACTACCTAGCTGATTGCGTGCAGTGACCGGCTCGGGCGTGAGCGAGGGGGACGGCTGTGTCGTCAATGTCCGGAGTGATAGATATACAACTCTGGAAGGGACATCATCAACAGCCGGCGTAGATGGAGCCAGGAACAGGAATCGTTTGTTGATCAATGCAGATACTGTATCATTGAACCAATTTCGCCGCTCTACGAGACCCGAGTCGCCGATGAGTTTGACCATCTGTTTCATCATGCCAAAGGAAGCTCAGCGGCTGTCGTGCTTCGTATGATACGCCAGACATGCTACACCTGTCTTCATAGAGCGGCCTTGGTAAAAATAAAAGAAGCTGCGCCTCTCACGATGCATAGATTGCACCACCGCACACGCTACCATTGCCAGATGCACACAGCGAGAAGAAGTCGACATCCTCTCGTACCGCACATGTCTTCAAGAACAGCCTGACACATTGACGATGTACTGCCAGTGGGCTCACCTCTAGAAGATTCAGAGCACTATCGCAGTGACTCGACGCCCTTGAACGTCCCTGTATGTTGTTTAAGACGTGCTTGGCCACGTCAGTCCCGTCGTGCAAAACCCAGGCACAAGTTCGTGACTTCTGATAGTTATGTGGTCAGCCTGAGCGTTCGACGGATGAATCGATGAGATGTAACGCCATCAAGAATCCAGCGCCAGCCCACCTGTCAGCCAGTGGTCCAGAGAATAGCCCAGCAGCGCCTCGTTCCATATGTTCCCGAGCATTGTAGTAAGCTATTATTGAACCAACTCGGAATAACACCCGAGGTCTGTTTAGCCGGACGACAAAGCTTGCAGATAGCGTCTAGTTCGTGACAGATTGGTTTCGTTGTCAACTCACATTGCGCGACTTGCTGTCGGGAGGAGAGGGGGGATCCATTTGGCCACGCAGCACGCGCATAGCACGCGGTACGTGACAGCGCTCACTTGCCGAATTTGGCATGAGGATGACTGCATTTGGACGCTGGTGCCAAATAAACCGCAACAAGAAGGTCCTAACACGTAGATACTAGAAACCTTGCGGTCGCAAAATGAAATCCACTACGGGCGTCGTCTTGCATCAGGTCTATCCATCATGCGTGCGCACATACGAATATACGGGAGCCGGGTTCTTGACGAACAAAACCTTGATTCGGGACTCGGAACGCCTCCCCTCGAGCTCACTGAGTGAGTCTGAGGCTCGGCCCGTTCAAGTTGCTCTAATTTGACTCGATGGTCAGATAGGTTCGACACAGATGGGCCTCACGTATGTATCGGATGTAAGTATTTGTGCTGCAGGCTGCAGCACCCCTCCGGTGCACTGTGATTATGTAAGTTCTGTCGCGAACCACGGAGGAGCGCAGAGTCTAACTCTAATTACTTTGGTCTCACAGTGGACAGTCCTTTCATGACGCCATAAAGGCCCGCGTACATGGACATATGGGGATATTGCAACTTCCAATAGCCACGCAATGGATCAAGCTTCAGCGCGACGCACGGCCCACCCAATGATCGTCTCGGAGTATTGTATCAGGTGTGAGATTTGAACCACTGGAGCGCTTGCCTATCAGCATCATTCTCTCTACTTCAGGACTCATACCTGTGCTCGTAGGTTCATACACACAGATGTGTGACAGTGAGAATCACCTAAAGTTTGGACCCAGACCACAGAAGGCCACGAATTCACGGCTGCCAAGGCCTCTCTGTGAGGCCCCGACTGGGACGACTTTAGGTAACGTATTCATAGCCCAGTATTCACAAACACACGACGCAGCGTTGATTGAAGTTTTGTATCTAGTGCAAGAGGCCGCTGTCAAGGCGTGTATCTCTTCGCATGGAGTCAAGGGCCGGTCCGTTGCGGTATCTACGTAGAACGATCGAGCTAGCACATCGCAGTGAGAACGTCATGGCCTCCTGCATTCGGTCTATACTGCCCGCTGAAGTGGACCTTGGGTCTCCCGAATCGCCCCTGATTCAACGTCAACGATGGATTATCTACCGAGCGGCCGCCGCGTCCATTGAAATGGGCCTCGGCCATCGAAGCTGTTCGGTGAGTGACACCTCCACGAAATCACCGGCCATTATGTACACACCCGTTTCCGTCTCGTTCCCGCGTGAATGTCCGCTCTTTCATCACTTCGAGGGCGGGCTTCCATATTCAAGCATCGATAACTCGAAGACCTGACATTTCTCACCACACGCATGCCTATCGAGACGCAGCGACAAGCAGAATGCCGGATGCCGGATTACAAACCTTAGTCTTTTGGGCGACGTAAGCTCATCTCTCCTGCGCCGCCGCCGTATTACCTGCCATATAGGCGTAGGCAGCCACCCTGTTCCGACTGTGCTTTCGCGCGTTCAGCTCAGTAGTAAGTCTCTCCAGTACCCCCATCGCGTCACTCACACTCAGGTCGCGTACCCGCACAGACGATGTCAAGCGCATGGGCTCCGAATGAGACGGACTACCAGATCTACGCCGAGAAGATATGGCTGCAGGCGAACATCCTGCAGAACATACCGTATGGTGTAGAGCTTGCGCTTTTCGTCACATGCTTCGTTGCGCTGGTGCAGAACATGGACCACTCGAACTTCAGGCGACACGTATTTCTCATGACATTCATCACGATCATCTTCGGATTGGGAACTGTCTATATGATCACGAATTCTCTATTCACTCAGCAAGCCTTCATCGAATATCGAAACTTTCCAGGAGGACCGGGAGCATATCTCAATGCCATGTTCGCCAACACTGTCGGATTGACGAACAGTGTTTCATGGGTGGTGAGCAACTGGCTTCTCGACGGATTCCTGGTAGGTCTCTGCACTGCTCTCAAAGTCGAACGTGAATGTTGAACAGTGTGTCGTACGTAGGTTTGGCGATTCATCGTCATATATAGCGATGTCAGACCATGGTACCGCGCGATGTTCGCCATCCCTTGCCTAATGCTACTCGCGTCTATCAGTACGTGCATGATCAAATATACTTCCTGGCTGCTTCCTTATTCGTCTTTCGGTCTGTTGCAGTCCTCGGCAGTATCGTGCTAAGGGATATAGCGGCGATGGCTCAGGCTGGCACGTCCAACTCGACGCCGTTTGCGGTCGCAGACCTCACGCTCTCCTACTACACCATCTCGCTCGCTCTCAACATCCTCGTCACAATCATGATTGCGGCACGTCTACTCGCCCACCGACACCACATCGCGAGGCTCCTCGGCTCTCACCATGCAGCGTCTTACGCCAACACCGCAGCCATCATAGTAGAATCTGCGGTGCTCTACGCCGTCTTCGCCTTCGCCTTCCTTGTGTCTTTCGGCGTCGACAGCGCCGTGTCAAATGTGTTCATTAACTTCGTCAATTCCACGCAGGTCCGTCCGGCTTTGCTCAGGTTTCTTTCGCGGTTGTGCTAACGGCGGGCCCCCGGCGCTTGCCGCAGGCTGTCTCTGCCTTTCTGATTATCTTGCGCCTGACCAAAGGGAACGCTTGGTCAACTGATACCAACGCACGGATTTTCCACAGCGCGGAGAACGTTCTGCTCGAGTCAAGAGCGGCGCCGAGCGTGCAGTATGCACCGGATAGGACCTCTGACGTGACCGTCAAAGACCCGTCAGCGATCCTAGACGGGGATGTTAGCGATCAAGTTCTGTCTCGTGAATTGGATCGCAAGGTTTAGCCTGCCGTCCGCAAACGAGTCATGATCCCGTCGCTACTACTGCTGTAGACCGCGCTTACTTCGTACAGTCGTAGATATCAATGTCGTACGTTTACCCGCTCTGGCTCGTCATGACATAATGCACGCAGTTGGGTTGTTCTGGATGCATAGCTTCTATTGTGGTAGGTTCACTCCTCTTGTCACACTTGGGAAAGCAAGTGGCTGCGGACGTGCAGCGTTCCTCTGAGAACGATCCGACACTGATTGCACTTGTCCAGGTCTGTTGTTCCTGTATTCACTTATCGGTCTCGGCCATGTCAAATCACGAACAACGCAAATACAGCACGTACTCGTTGACACGTCACCGAGACCCTCGGCCATGATAGTTGCATCGCGGCGATGGAAGCTGGGTGCATTCTTATCGCATCGCCTTCTGGATGGGCTGCGATCTAACCTTGTCTGTGACGCTGGCTAGCGCGGCGTGCAAAGCACACCGATCGAGGCGAGAGAACGGCTCACTTCAGTTCCGTCCGTAGGGAATGGATATCGTCTCCGCGCCTGCATCTCTTGCTTCCGAGAACAGAGTTCTGTTGTGCGGTTTGTCCGAGTCGGCGGTTGACTTCGGGTTGACTGATGATAGCCGCCTGTCTTCGCGGCAGCAAACATATGACCGCACAGAGGCCTTGGTCATTGTCATTCCACAATCCGCCGACTACGCGTCTAGACTCCGCACAGCACCCGACTCTGCAGGCTGAGCGCAACATCCTTCTGTGTGTGACATATGCGGCGGCGATTCCCGCACCCTCGCTGGCTCTTCGAGTACTCGGTGTGTACTATGTGTTTGACCTCGAATGCAAATGCGCCGGAGCGCCCTCTCGGCGCATCGGAATCCAAAAGGCATGACAGCCGAAAGCATGCTGACAGAAACGTAGGAGACGCTGCTCGACGAACGCATCATGAAGGCTAGGCGACCAGGCCACGCAAACCAACTCTGCGAGACAGCTGCAGCGCCAGCGCTCAAGCTGCTATCGCGAAGTAAAGGAAGGTACTGTGTGCTCAGACGTTCCACCCATCCTTTCCGAGCTTGCCAATGCTAGATTCCACATCATTATCCGCAGACAAACACAATTGTGAATGTCATACAACGTATATCTTCTTGTAGATGCTCCAAGCCTCGGGGCCGCAATTGGACTCACTTGTTCTCGGTAACGATGACGACCTTCTTCCCTTTGTTCGTGCCCTTCTGGACGGACACGATCGCCTCGCCGACAGACTCGAGGCCGTACGAGCGATCTTCCATGTACTTGACCTGGCCAGAGGCGACCATCGGCGGGATCTCCTTGTAGAATTGGTCCCGGTACTACATGCGGAGATGGTCGTCAACGCAGCGAAGGTCGAGCAGATGGAAGGGCATCCATGCCACAGAGAGCAGACGAGCAATGCCGACAAAGGGCGTGAATATGCAATTGAAGAGGTCATGGCCGTGAGCAAGGAAGGCGGCGACGAGCGCGACGAGGCCCACCTTGGGATACAGGTTCCTGACAACAAACCCGTTGATCTTGAGTTCCTTCGAGATGATGTGAGTCAGGTTCTTCGGCCCATAGGGCTCTCCGTTGTATGCGCTGATCATCCCGCATTCCTACCACGCAGACGGTAATGGTCAACACGCTGTCACAGCCCCGTAGAACTGAAAGAGTGCGCCCACTCACAATGAACCGTGCCTTGTTGTGCGCCGCATCAAGAGCGGCCTCGAGTATATGCCCACCAACGTTGTCCCAGTAACTAGATAGAACACATCGCCAATTAGGATAGGACATCTAGTCATGTTATGAACGAACATGTCAATCCCGCCTTCGCGCTGCAGCACCGTCCTCGTGTCCTCTTTCTTGTAGTTGAACACGACATCCGCGCCCAGCGACTCGACGAAAGAGACCTTTTCGTCTGACCCCGCGCTCGCTATTACCTTGAGACCGTCCGCCTTCGCCAGCTGGACGACCGTTCTGTGTGGCCCGCGAGGTTATTATAGCGCCAGAGAACGGATATAGTGTGATATACGTACCCGCCGACGGGGCCCGCTGCGGAGGTCACGAAAACGGTTTCGCCAGGCTTGGCGTGGGCGTACTCGTGCCAGCCGTGATGTGCAGTTGAGCCTGTGCGGGTCGGAAATGGTTAGCAAGAACTGTAGTGTTCGACTTTACGCCTTACGAGGCGCCGGAACAGAGCAGAAATGAGGTAGTGCTTCATATGGCGCCGACCTGAGGCTGGAGTCCGCAAAGCACAAACTGCAGCGGATTGCAGATGTCCGAAGGCAGACTTGAGTTGCATCTCATGCAGACTCCTGAACCATGGGAGGGCCAGATCCACCAAAGGCTGGCCGGATCATAGCGTGGTGTTTGAAGCCAGGGGGCGCTCCATTTGGCCAGTTTCACGAGGGAGCGAAGTATCTGCCCGTGAAGTGCTGGGCGACGCGTAACGACACGCCAGTATCGCCCCGTGACACAAGGCTACATAGCTTTCCGACAAGGTCTACATACCTGCCATGCCGCACACTCCGACATAGGCGCTCCACGGTACTCCCTCCTTCGCCTCGAGTATTCGAAAAATGTCGGGACGGATATGAGCAGGGTCGGGGACAACTGTGTATTCCTGGAACGGGAGGAAGCCGTAGATATGGTCGCCCATCTTGACGGCGGAGTGTTCTGAGCGGACAACGAGCCCGACTGCGAAGTTTGCGAGCCTGTCGCGCGTCAAAAAGGGTACACACGAGCGAGGAGTGAGGTACGTACGGTTCGCCTAGAGTGAAGGGAGGCTACATGTACAGCGGGGTCAGCGCAGATAGAGGCAAACTTTGGCTTTCGGTACGTACGGAGTAAGAGTCCTGGGCGCTGGGCTCGCGCATCCTGCCACGCATGTACGGATCGATGCTGAAGACGAGAGTCTTGACGAGGAACCCGCCATCGAGCGGGACAGTCTCCAGATCGATCGTGCGCGAGTCATCATATACAGTCGTCTTACCGGGTTCGGGGTACGTGTTGGGAGCAGGGATCGAGTTGAAGAGGACGCGGGCATTGCGAATGGGAGCCATCGAGGCAACACTATACGAGCTTGTGCTATCGAGATATGTGGTGGAGTGGAAGCCCGTTCATCGCCATTCACTTGTGGATATCGAGCCTTTGATCACGCAACAAGTGATCCGTGAGGGCATGTGGGCATGCCAGATTCGTGTAGCGACGAGAACACCGATTGCAGGTGTAACGTGTTGTGATGTGTGCAAGTGTGTACACGGGCGGCGGCGGTTTGATACTTCGACTCTTCGAGAACACCGGTCGTTGGCATCGGGCACATGTCTGCGCGACAGAAACACGAGGAAACATCAGTCAACATGATACGTTCGGAGGCACCTATCGTACATACACCATACCAGCGGCATGTCCTCAGTTGCCAGGCACACGCGAGCGAGGGTCAAATCAGTTCAGAGCGGTACCGTTCAGCGCGGCACTGCCAGCGCTCTCTACCTCAAGGCCTCAACCTGTTACCTGTCTAGGCCTGATACACGCATTAACGCGACTTATTTTCACGGGTGAAACCGACACTCACTGCTTACCCGGTCCTCCGTCACGACACAACACGCAGTTGTGGAAACAGCCTAAGGTACCCAAAATGCTTCAAGTTCAACAATCGATGTGATCACAGTACGTGCAGCCTCAAGCTTGAGCCTTTCGGATCGGCGCAGTGCCCTCGAGCGTTAAGTCAGTGCATGGATGAGGGTGTATCTATTCAGTAGTAAGCAACGAAGATAGTACTTGCATGGAGTCGACATTAATAAGTATGACAGTGAGGACGAAGAGGAGGCCGTGTCACGGCGACGCGTCGTGTCACACTCATAACACCTCGTGACTTTCACAGTCAGCGCGCCGGGGCCCCGGCCCGGGCGCCTGGACCTCAAACCAGAGCTCGGAGACAGAAATTAGAATCCGAGCATCTGCTTCCGTTCTGTGTCTTCGCCGCGCTCTGAGTCGCCAATTTCCCTCTAGAGTATGTTTCGGCTTGCCGCAGGAGCCATTCCCGTCGCAAACCACAAAAACATGGGTGTTCGCGACGTGGCGGCCCTCCCTCTCACCAGCCGTCGCACCAGCCTGTGTATATCACGACAGCAGTGCGTTCACTGGGCATCGGCATTGGGAGCTTGGGAGCTTGCGTGTGATGGGGTATGCCCCATTTGCTATCATTGCTCCGGCCTCCCATGGTAAGCTTCCTTCCGAAGCACTCGCGGAGGTATGAGAGTCTTGTCCGAAAGGCTACAGCGCGGCACTACCAGGGCATGCCATGGTCGGAATTAGGCCCACCAGACATCGTGAACGGCCCATACACATGCTCAAGTATTCCCTCTTCCAACGACGCGTCAGACGACGCGCAATGAATTCAAACACCCCCGACCCAGAAAGCCATACTATTTGCACTGTCGCATGCGAGCGCCCTATGTACTGCCGAGATCTATGACAAGTAAGCTGCACAGTACGTCTCTTCTAAACTCCATCAGACAGACGCGTGAAATAGATGGCCTCATGATCTAGGAACTGGAGTAGGACTACACAGCCTTTCCCTCGACGGAAGATCAATTGCAGTATCAAGAGAAGATAGCAAAAGCTTCTGTCTGTGCGACCTGTCCAACTCGGAATCACCCTATCCCAGCTCGTGCGTGCTGAGCTGCATATACAAGCCACAGACTCGAGGGCAGACCACCACTACGAGCGATGCCACGTCACAGTGCGTTTCCTGTCATACCGCAGACGCAAGCTCGGTCCAGTACGACTTTTCGGCCACCTCCACTTGACGATTGTCTCTCGTTGCCGGAACTCTTCGAGTGGAATGGAGTGAACAACTCGATGCACCCCTTGTTCGTGTGTGCCAGAGGCGATGGACGCATCCGCACAATCCCATGGTCCGAAGTCGTTGCAGCTATGAATGTCGGTAGCCAGATCATCAGGGATCGCCTGGGATGGACTTCGGGGACTGCCCGCGACGTCATTGCGATTATCGCGCCCTCAGGTATGTCATCGAGAATGCATGTGGCACCGTTTGGCTTACGACGAGCTCTGCGCTAGACAACATACCCTACTGCATCAACGAACTGAGCATCATGCGTGCAGGCTACGTGGTCTTTCCGATATCGCCGCGAAACTCTGCGGCTGCAGTTGCCCATTTGGTAGAGCACGCCCACGTACAGCATATATTGGTCGGGAGAGAGCAATCTATGGTGCACCTCGTCCAGGAAGCGCTCGCAATGATTCGAGAACGCGGTGTTTCTTCGCCTCTTCCGAGTGTCTCTTCTTTGCTGTCCTATGACGAGCTGTTCTCATTCGACGCGGAGCGACCGCCCCAAAGGGACTGGGTTGCATATAACGACGAGGGCACCAATCCGGAGGCGCATACATTGATACTACACTCATCAGGTATAGTGGTAGAGGGGTATAAAGTTCACGAGGATACTCACCCAACTGCATAGGTTCCACGGCGTTTCCAAAGCCCATCATATTCACCAACCGACGACTCGCGGAGGTGTGCTTGATACCCTACTTCGGCAAGCGCGATTTGACCGGGAAGATCATCTCCGTGCATGTGTTGCCCATGTTCCATGCCATGGGTTTCCAAATGATCTGCTGGGCGGTGAGTTTCGTGTTGGACAATCGCACGAGAACTGACTCGACATGCGCAGGCGTCGTGCGGAATGGTCTTGAGTGCATTCGAGCCCGGGGTACCCATCGCGCTTGCAACTCCGGAAGGACACTTCGAGGCTGCGAGAGCCTCTGGCAGCGATATCATCTGTTCATTACCTGCCGTTCTCGAGGTATGCCACCCAACGGGAGACAATCACCGCGACTGATGTTGGATGTGCACAGGCCTGGTCCCGCAACCAGGAGGCTGTCAACTGGCTAGCCGGGCGCGATGGCGCGGTACGTCACATGCAACGCTACTGGCACCAGTGTTAACTCGTCGCACTAGCTATACAGCGGAGGCCCCTTGAACCCGCACGTTGGAGAGTACCTGCGATCTCAGGGAGTTGATATCGCGGTTGTCTACGGCTCGTACGTCTTGGGCTCACCCACTACCAGTGGGGCTGTCATTGACGATTTGCATGCCAGGACGGAAGTGGGCGCCCTCACTCCTATTGTTCCAGGTACGAGGCTGCTGTGCTATTCGTCCTCGCGTGCTCATGTTCCGACAGAGAAAGGCAACCACGACTGGGACTACTTCGAGCTATCGTCTTTCCTCCACACGAGGATGGTGCCATCTGGTGATAATGCTTATGAGATCGTAGTCATCGTAAGCATCGAATCAGCCCCCTGAGCGTGGAAACTCATAAGACGCATGCTAGGCCAATGAGTTCTGTCATCCATGCGTGATCAACACCCAGGTCGATGGGCATGACGCGTATGCCACGTCCGATCTTCTCGTCCCACATTCAACGACGCCCGGACTCTGGAAAGTGTACGGACGGACGGACGAACAGATCATTCACAGTACCGGAGAAAAGGTGCGCACACGGATCAATGTTTGCCTCGCAGCGCTGACGCGGTTAATGGTAGACGAATCCAGGGCCGCTCGGTGAGTGAGTTGACCGCTCAAGGACGCGCGGTTGATGACGCGTTGCAGAGAGCATATTGAACCAAGATCCGCATATCGCGTCGTGCGTCATGTTTGGTAGGGGTCAGTTCCAGGCGGGAGTCCTTGTCGATCCTGTGCTGGATCACAGACCCCTGCCGTTGGACGAGAGGCAGTTGGCCGAGTTTCGGGACAAAATCTGGTAGGTCTCAGTATGCGATCTTCCTAGCAATTTCTCACAACGCCGTACTGTACGTCATCAGGCCGACCGTCACCCAAATGAATGCTTTCGCGCCGCAGCACTCACGGCTATTCAAGGAGGTACAGCATGAGTTCACGCTCTACGGATGTGGGTGGCAGCCTGCTGACAGACGGCTGTAGATGATCATGGTCACGGACCTTGCGAAGCCATTCACCTACACTGCAAAGGGGACACCGCGCCGCCAACCAGTCCTACGCGACTACTCGCAGGAGATAGAAAGGCTATATGAGATTGTCCATGACAGCACCCAGTCGGACATCCCCGCGCCTCTGACGTGGGACCTCCTTTCGACAACTGACTTTGTGCGCCGCGTTGTTGGCCGTGTTCTGGTGCACGCCGTAGGAGACACAGATGATTTCTTTCAAAACGGTTGTGATAGGTGCAGTGTGTATATCGTCACAAGGAGTTGGCATATCTGATGTCGCCTGCGCAGCCTACAGGCGACATGGATCCGGAACTCGATACTGCGCGGGCTGCGGGACTCAGCCAAGCTGGAGACGAGAGAGATTACCAGGGATTTTGTTTATGAACACCCTACCGTCGTAGCCCTCTCCGTATATGTCTCCGGGCTGGCCGCCGGGTCTACGAACGACACCGATACATCCGAGCAGGCTCGTGTGGCTGCAATGCGGGCCATGGCTCGAGCCTACAGCGAAGCCTTTCCGCGACATCAGCCAGGCACGGGGCGCAGTCATCATGACACTCACGCGGACAAGAGCGTTTTCCTGCTCACGGGGACGACTGGAAGCTTTGGGTGCCACATTCTGCACCGCTTGGTTTCTGACCCGCATGTCTCGAGGGTATTCGCACTCAACAGGCCTTCGAAGGACGGGATCAGTCTGCGTGAACGCCAGAATGCGGCCTTGATCGAGCGCGGGTTGCCGACAGACGTCCTCGGCGACAAAGCAATCCTGCTGGAGGTCGATTTAGCCGCCCAGCAGTTCGGGACGAGTGGCACGCTGTACGAAGAGGTGTGTTCCAGTCGCACCTCCATTTGCTTGGGCCTGACCCGTGGCAGATGAGGAACAGTGTCACGCACATCGTCCATAATGGTGAGCGCGGCAGTATTGTCGCGGAGATGCGCCTACTCAGCAGTTGCTTTCTAGCTTGGCGTGTCGATTTCAATGTATCCCTCACTTCCTTCGAAAGCAACATCAAGGGTCTGCGCGGCCTTGTCGACTTCGCCTTATCGAGCGGTATGCACCAACCGCCACGGCTAACGTTCATGAGCAGTATCGGTGTCTTGCGCGGTACGTGCCCAGATTATATAACAGGGACTGCACAGCTTATAATGAGAAAGACGTCCGCGCAGACAGTTCTCACGAAGAAGGGCATATCGAGCCGGAGGTCGCGGCAGGCAGCGGCTATTCGGAGTCAAAATGGGTGGCGGAAGAGATGCTATACCGGGCTCGCAAGGAGACGTCGCTACAGACGCTGAGCGTTCGCGTCGGTCAGCTATGCGGCGGTATCGATGGGTCATGGAACTCCAACGAGTGGTTCCCGGCCTTGGTGCAGAGCGCGGAGATACTGAGGTGCTTCCCGAGAGACGACAGAGTATGTGGCCGTACGAATGTCAAAGCTAATGTGCATCTGATCAGTACACTGCAGACAGTCGATTGGATACCGCTCGACGTAGCAGCCACAGCCGTGGCAGAATTCTGTACGACTACCTCGCCGGTCGGGTTTCTTCACCTCGTACATCCGCGCCCGGTGCCGTGGGACTCTATCGCCGCAGTCGTTGCTGCAGAGCTCCGCGTCGGTCTCATCGCATTCGATGTATGGCTTGCGAAGCTCGAGCAAAAGGGAAACACCGCCACGACACATCCGGGTTGCGATGAGGTGGAGATGCTTCGCACACTCCCCGCGTTGCGCTTGCTTCCGTTCTTCAAGACGATCATCAAGCCGGGTGCCATAGGGTCTCAGGATCTGGCGATGACGAATGCTATGGGGGCGTCTCCGTCGTTGAGCGACCCGAACGTACGGCAGGTTGGCGAAGACGATGTTCGGAAGTGGATCGCCTACTGGCGGAGAGTTGGACTGCTATCGAATAGCGGACGGTGAACTGTGATCAGTGTCCCAAGCATGCCTGAAGCTTGTTGGATATGACAACGCGGGAAGCCAAGAGGTCAGAGAGTAGAAAGTCACTCCGTATGCCCTACGAGCTAGCAGCTTAGAAGGCTGGTAGTGCACGACAGCTCAATTGTGCTCTCCGCGGTGTTACACGTTCTCGCTTACGTAACGCTACACAGTCTTCACATTCGTCCTATAGGTCGACACTCTCCCAGATCCCTCCGGAACCCAATGGGAGCGGGTTCTCCCCTGGATCAGGACACTTAAACTCGAATTCCTCACGCCCCGGTAATGGATTATCAGTGCTCAGTGCATCGTGCCCACAGAACCTGTAAACTGCAAGGCGTGGACTCTGTCCCACTCGTCGCCCACTATTCCCACACGGATACCAGCCTGCCATCATGTTGCATACGTCGCCTTCATGTCCTCAAAAGCGTACGCATCCGTGCTCAGGTCGGTCGCGGTCTCCTGCGTCGGCAGAATATCGACATACGCCCGATGCATGCGTCGCGCTCTGCGTGGGCCATGATGTGCAAGGCGACATGCGGTCGCCTTCCAGCATGGCTTTGCTCTGGTCAACGCCGACAAGCGATCGATATCCTGGTGTGGCATCGCGTACCATAGTACATGATCCTCCAACGATAAGGTTGACAATGCGAACTGCGCCCGGAATACGCAACTGTACGGGGTACGGCACACCATCGCGCATGACGGGTTGGGGAAGCTGGTTCTCTGTCGGTCCCAGTCTACCCTGACTCCGCTCACTGCGAACGCTACATGTCTGTGACAGGCGTGAAAAGATGCAGGAACAACGTAAGGCACGCGGGTGAGAGAGACGGTGGTACAAGAACTTCCATGATTCATAGCGTAATAACAGCGCGACAAGCCTAGAGACGAGAGAGCACACCAGCCTAGGGATACATGTCGAATACTTCTCCTATAGTCAATCACCAGAAAGCACACCTATTGAAGAGAGTCAGCGATGTGAGCGTCGGTAGTGTGACAGCGAAAGATGAATGTACGGACCATCCTGAGAAGCATTGGCATAGATTTTCGAGCGAGGTAGCCTGTATGATGAGCTTGTCGACTTGCGCAGCAACCGAAAGTGAGACGTCCGGATTGAAGTCACGACCTGGCATAGAGTTTAGTCGGCCCGATGAATCGAGACGTATGCGACTTGCCTGTCAACTTGTGCTGGACACGGTTGTACACGAACAATGCTCGTTCGTTGCGAATCTCCTGGTGCTCTGTACCAAAGTCTAAGTCTGAAGTTTCGTATCGATCAGCAGTTACGCACCATTGAAGATGTCATTTTCATCGGCCTGCAACCTCCGTATCGGGGCTTGAGGATATGCTGATGTACGCGTCGTTTCTCTGGCAGGTTCTGGAACAGATGCTAGGATCAGATATTCATGTTGCCGAAAAATATGACATGCATACCCTCTGGTCGTCTGACATCCACAGTATCAGCCTGCATCAACCTCCAGTTGATGAGAGGGTCATATACGAAGGCCTCGAGCACAGCCATCAAAGACTCCTTGTTGTCTCGCAGGACCTTCATGCTGATCTCGCACGTGTTCCTGAAGCTGCCCTCAATCCCGCTGACTTCCATTGCATGCGTGAGCATCCGCGTCAACCGGAACGGAATCTTCTCGGGGAACTTCTCTCGGTGCATTGCCACCTCGAAGCAGTCGCCGAAGTCGATGTGCACCACCTTCCCTGTGTTCCGCTCGAGCATCAGGTTGGATGGATGCCGATCGCCCAGCCCGAGGATGTGGCCGACCATGCTGTTCACCGCGAGCGAGCGCGTGTATGTAGCGCGGCGCTCGAGCCAGTGCTCGGAGCTCGCGCTCTTGAGCCATAGTACACGGTAGAGGTCCTGGCCGGTGGTATTCTCGAGCGCGTACTCGAAGACTTCGATCTTCTGCAGCAGTATGAGGTTCTCATAGTCCGGCGCCATCTGCGAAGTGCATCAGCATGGGTAGAATACACCACACAGACTTCACTCACGTTTAGTATCAGGCGATACTCAATGTTCAGCAGGATCTTGCGCGATTCGCGGTAGTCCTTGACCAAGACGTGGAGCGTGTCACTATCCTTGACCCAGCCCAACAGGCCTGCGTTGGGAGCGAGCGGCATAACCGGAAATCGCTGAATGTGAAGATGCCTCTTGAAGCAGTCCGTATCCACAGAAAGCAAGTTGTTGACGAGACTGAACAGCTGCATGACACGCTCGTCTTGACGCAGGTCCTCGTGTCCTGGAGGGTGATGAGCAACATCGAGTGCATATCACGGACAAATACGTACCTTTCAAAAGATATTGATAGTCCTTGCCATCGCTACCCCTGAGCGAGAGACGTCGTGGCCGTTGCTTGGACTGGATGACAACTAGCTTCGTGGCAAAGTTGACGATAGTGATGACCGGTCGCCCTGCTTGATAGGCGCCCGGCACCGCCAACTGCAGGTCTCGAGACTTTAGCAGTGCGGGAGAGACGAACTGCAGGTCGAGCGTCGTCAAATTCTGCAGCTGCTTCTCGATCTTCTTGAAGACCTGTGGACGACATCAGCACTATCCTGTGATCGGGAGCGGGCTCACTTACAGAGTAGTAGATCTCCCAGGCCCTGTCGAGGTCCCTCTGCTCGCCGAAGACTCGCCACCGTTTGCACGCTTCACGAGCATCCTGGAGATCACGGCCGAACACCTGGTGGAAGGACGTCTCGCGCGCCGTTTGAGGACCCTGGCCGTACCCCGTTAAGCTGACGGTCACAGCAAGACAGCATGCTACTCACATCCTCGATCATCTTATGCAACGGCTCCAGGAACACAATCATGCCCTCCGGATCCTTGTTCGTGAAGTAGAGCCTTGACGCTTCCTCAAGGCCTTCATGCCACATCTCGTGCCAGAGAATCGCAACTCGGATAAGTTCGTGACTGACGATGTTCGCCTGCGCACATGAATCTTGATACGATGATAAATGCACGGTACGCACGGTACATACCTGTTGGACGATCTCCTCGCTATGCTCTCTCATGTTATTCATGATAGACTCTGCCGCACTCTTGCGTGTTGTGCTAGAGGACTTGGACGCCACGGTCAGCGGGTACACCAAGGCTTGCGGATGGTGTTTCCCGACGTCGGTGAGAAGTCGACTGATGTTCCGACGAATTGCCACGATAGGTGTTTGGATGCGAGCGATGATCTGGTCCGAAGTTAGATGAGTGACTTATGATAGGCAACTACACGCACCTGGGGGATGACTTCCAGCCAGGTGTCCACCTCGACGGTTATGAAGCCAGAGCTCATTGCTTGGCTAACATCGGGATGTATGCCATACTTGAACCAAAGCGTGAGTAGTCGCAGAGTATCCTGAAGAATATTCTCATTCCGCAAGTTGATGGAAGTGAAGAATCCTGTACACACATCATGAGACTGTGGTCTGGGATGGGGCGCGAATACGACGTACCCTTGATGGCCTGCGTAATGTGCAGAGCCATATTGTCAGACGGTGCTTCTGAAGTCCTACCCTCTGTCTGGCTTTCTAAGTAACCGACGACGTCGAAATGAGCTAGAGCCCAAGTATGATGCGCCTTGTACCATGTTGGGTCGTAGTGGGTGGCAAGGTAATAGGAGTGCAGGATGTCCTTGATGTTTCGCTAAACGGATGTAAGCATGTGCTCAGTTCGTGAACAAAGCGAGGAGACACACAGAACCCCAATCGTCCCTAAGTGCCACTTGCCATTCACCCAATTTGAGATAGCAACGTGCGAGTAACCTGGAGATCTCGTCCAGCTTCTCGTTCGGCTTCAGCCTCATGAGATCTGGAGTGTGACCGTTGGCGCCGTTTTGCAGACCCCTCTCGAGATTCCCGCAGAACGAGCGTAGATAGCTCAAACTTTCTTCTCGGGCGCCGGTCGCCCATATGTACTTGAGCTGGGCATATACGACTGCGTTCGGAGCCTTCATTTGTTCACGGTACGACTGTTCAATATCAGATGTGAATAGCAATCACAGGATATGCATACGAACCCTGTCGGAAGAGAGGAGTGAGTTGATGGACTTGTCCGCAAGCACCATGCGATCAGACTTGCGACACAAGTTGGCGAACTTGATCCACATGATTGGGTCTTCATCCGGGGTAAGGACCAGGGCTCTGATCTGCAGAATGCGTTGCCAGACCTCTACGTCTGGCTGGCACCCCTGCAGCCTGCGCACGCAGCATGAGCGATGCTGCGTCGTGGATGTGAATCAAAACTTACCGTTTCATCCAAGTTCTCCTCATGGACGCCTGGCGCTCTGGTTGGTCGGCATATTGCTTGTACGTGATGATCTCCTCGAGCTCGGACAACATTTGTGCCCGTACCATGGTGCTGTATACAGTCTCAGGAACGAGGACTGAGCGATGCTTGGCGACTTACTTGTAAGAGCGACCGTAGCCCTCGCCCACAAGCGACATGAGTTCCGGGTCTAACTGATCACGCGCCTTTGCGATCTGTTGCATAGCTTTCGGGAACTGATTCTGGTGGACTGAAAGAATTGCACGATAGAACGGTCTGTCGCCCGAGTCGGGTCTCATCGTTGCAATGTAATCCTCCATGGCATCCCAATCGTTCAAGGACCAAGCGGCGGCGGCGGCCATGGGCGCGATCTCCCTGCGGTCTTCGTGAGTCGCCTTTGCCCAGTTCTCTTCGACTTGCTCCGCGAGCTCCTTCCATTCACCGAGCGCGTGCAGACACCGCATCCTACCGATGGCGACATCAAGGTTGTCCGGGTCGTCTCGTGCTTTCTTCTCGTACGTGCCGAGAGCCTCTGTCCATCGCCCGAGTCGCTCGTACCATTCTTCGTGCTTGCTGACATCGTACTGCTCGCGAGCTATCAGCAGAGTGCCCCACGCAGCATCGTGCTGTTGAAGCTTGGAGTTGATGCTCAGCAGCGCCTCTATGATCGTGGGAGACGTCTCGGTAAAGAACTCGAGTTCCTTGTAGTGCAGCGCTTTGGCATATGCGTGGAACTTCATGGCATATTCACCCAGCGTCCGGTTCTCGATCGGGAGGGCCTTCTCCTCATGTTCCATGAACTCGGCGAGGTTCAATAGACGATGTACGATCTCCGCGGGAGCAATGGGCGATGTGATAGCGCACTCAATGGAGCGGACCAGATCTTCCTGCAAAGACCAGCGTGTCAATATAAGATTGA